CACCAGGTCGGTAGTTGCCTCATAATAAGCTGCGAACATGTTCAGAGGAGCCTCGGGACGGTGTCGGAAGAACGCTCACCAGACCCCATACGCCTGTGAATGCAAAGTAAAGCACGGCATACCCTTGCTCGCCGAAACGGTCCAGCTTAGTCTCCCTCCGAATGCCAAACCATTTGGCAGCGGGCCTGCATAGGTACACCGTGATGGTCTGCCGGACGAATGACCAAAAGACGATATAGTAGGCAAGGAAGGCAAGGTCCAGGTAGCCCTTCTGATAACGCGGGTCATCTTCAGGGGTATCCGGTATCCGGTGCGAGATGAAGAGGAGTGGGGCGAAGGGGTTGGGCGTGTCCTTTGCAATATATGGTGCAAGGAGCTCCCAGTTGGCCCATAGTATGAACACGAGCAGGAGGATCTTCAGCGACGAGCCTTCGCGTCCGTGTTAGGACGCGTAGCCGAGCGTGAAGAGAATGATGACGCACTGGGGACGACGACCCATCGCAAAGACTTGAGGTCTTGCCAGAAACCACGCGACTCGGTGGACCAGCGAACGACTGGTGACGAGGACCTGGAAGGGGTGACAGGGGACGGAGTGGCAGGCCACTGCCCCAATGGTCTTGGAGATATGGGTGAGCCGAAGGCGGGGCAGGCGACAAGTGGGCGCTCACGTCTGCGGCCTAAAAGGCCCTGCGAGATGGTGGGCGGGGTCTGCCCTGGTAGCAACGGGTCAATTTGAATAGGACAGACAGCGCGCGAACGGTGACGGCGTACTCTATCCTGTCGATAGAGGTCTGGATGGCCTCTGGACGCTTCTTGGTGGTGCGTGGCGGAGAGCGGGCCATGGTGTGCGTGCTCGGCGGGGGCTTGGGGAGGAGGTCCTCTTATGGATGTGGGACGAGGAGGACTGCGGAGGATGCTCGATGGCGGCTGCTCGTCAAACCGTCGGCGTCCCCTTCCGGGACATAGACGCCCGTTCCCGGCTTCTGCGCGTGCCAGCGGATGCCGCCGCGCTCGCTGCCAAGACCGACCGTCGCCGGCATCTCGAATAGCAGCCGGACCCTCATCCATGCCATTCCGCTCGCTGCGACCTCTGCGACGGCGACGTCTATCATGCGCGCATCCACAGAAGCGAGCACGGCGCGATGGAATGACCAAACGTCTCACTGCGCGCGAGTGCAGCGCCGCCGCGGCGCAGATGGCGGCGCGGCGAGTTGCTGCTGGCGCACACCGTCACGAACGCGCGCGGCATGTGACTGGAACGATCTGTCACGGTTGTCATACGGGATGTGTAACGCGTTTTGCTCGCATCTCGGTTCGGTCCGTGATTGGACCGCGCCGTCATTCCTCTGTTTACGCTCCTCCCATCCTAGCAGTCTGCGCACCCGTGCATCGACCGGACGTGCCCTGAAGCTGACTACGGCGCGCTACGACATCTCTGCCATACCGTGGAGTACGCGGAAGTGAGCGGCCATGTTTCCGACCCTGAAGCTCTTCCAAACTCTCCCATGTCCGGAGAAGCCACACTGCACACGAGCCCACTGTCTCTTCAGCCACAGTTCCGACATCACCCAGATCCCAGTCACGCCAGTGCCCGTGGATGTTCCTAAGCCAGTCCCCTCGGTCTCCTCTACCCCTGCTAAACGGACGACCGCGGCAGCTGCGGTAGCATCTACCTCAATACCAGCCAAACGGCCAATTAGCTCTCCCCTGCGCGGTGCCGGCCCTAGCAATGGAACGTCCTCAGGCGAACCTCCGAAGAAGCTACAGAGGACGGGGACCTCTCAGCGGCCAGTTGCTGTGCCCTCCGGCCCACAAACAACGTCGGTAAGTCCGTATATTCCGCTCCCATATTATCGTTGTTTACCCGTGTGTGGAACAGACTGGTGTGCCCGTTTTGAGGGTCAGCGCGGCCCAATCTCAAGTAGCCATACCCGTTCGCCAAGTACGTGCTACTGCCAGACCCCGTGCGACCGCTTCCTGACAACCCATGCAGGCTATGCTCAAGAACCTATACGACCATTTCGTCATCCTTTATGAGAACATATCCCGCGCCAATCCGACATTAGCAGCTGAGCATGCACTCAAGCAGGAAGAGGAAGTGTACAAGAAATCTTCCAAACTTACGTACCGCAACGTGAGTGCATGCAGTACAAATATAACAGCGTACATCTACTTACCCAAGGTTCGCGCAGGCCGTGATTTCGTCTATAGCCGCGCTCAAGCGGCGCCCCAAACCCGACAATGCCTCGCACCCGTCGGTGGGTACGGAGGCCGAGGTGCAGGCGCGCGAGGAGATGCGCAAGAAGGTCGCCGCGCTGCGCCTCTCCGGCGCACAGCTCGAGCCGTACGTCCTGTCCCTGGACGACCTGAAGAAGTGGGGGTACATCGTGGAGGTGCCCGACGGCCCCGGCGGGGACAAGCCGCACGAGGAGGGGGGTGTGATGACGTGCGACCGGTGCAATCAGAAATTTCAGGTCAAGCGTCAAGAGGACGCCGACGAGTGCCGCTTCCATTGGGGGAAGGCGTTCACGTCGAAAGTGAACGGTGCGTGATGCTGCGGCATTTGTGCGTCGTGACACTCACAGCTGTATGTCAGGCGAGAAGAGACGCGTGTTCACGTGCTGCTCGCGAACACCGGACGAGGAGGGATGTCAAACGGGCCCGCACGTTTTCTACGAGACCGACCCCGAGGATCTTCACCGGCGACACGCGTTCACGCATACACGGCCACCCGCAGACTCCGATGACACCGCGCTAGATGCCGTAGCACTCGACTGCGAGATGATATACACGACAGGAGGAATGCGCGTCGCGCGCGTCTCTGTGGTGGACTCTGCCGGGCAGGAGATATTCGACGAGTATGTCCGGATGGACAAAGACGTCGAAGTAATGTGCGATCCTTGGCTTCTCCTCCATCGAAGGTATACTGAACGCGCACCGCACGTAGTGATTACAACACGCGCTTCTCGGGCATCACCTCAGAAAACCTCGGGAGCGCGCGCCTCCCGCTGGATTCCATCCGTCGGTCCATGGACGCGTTCATCAGCTCGGAAACCATCATCATCGGACATGCGTTAGAGAACGACCTGAAGACGCTGCGCATGATCCATCATCGATGTGTCGACACCGCCGTGCTGTTCCCCCATCCTGCCGGGGCACCATACCGGCGCGCGCTGCGGGCATTGTGAGTGCTAGTGGTTTGATGGCCATGACATGTCCACTGATGTCCGTGTCGTGTCAGAGCGAAGGAACACCTTGGTCAGACCATCCAGGCAGCGGGCGCGGCAGGCCATAGCTCCGTCGAAGACTCCATCGCGACCCTGGACCTCGTCCGGTGGCACGTCATCAACGGGCGCAAATCCGCGCCGAAGCCGACCACACCCACTATGACGTCGAGCGCGTCGGCCCCATCGAACACATAAGTCTTCACTTTCATGGACACCCCCGCATCGTACTCCCGCATTTGTAACATACCGCACGCACACATCCGCATTCACTCGCACGCTCTCGCATACTGTTTCGCAGGCCTGACTCCGGGGAAATCCATCTTCTATTGTATAGAGCATCGGTCTCCTTTTTTTGAAGTTGCCTGTTTGTCTCCTCCTCTCGCGGGCCGGCGGGTGGGCTTGGTTCACAACTTCGCAGACAGTGAGCGAGCTCCAACCACGACGGGCAAACGCCCGTGGCAGATGTGGTCCCGAACAGGTCAGGAATATGATCTGCACTGGTCCCTGAGTCTTGGTTCAGGACCGGAGATATCATCTAAACCCATTTATTATCCCGTAAGTAACGTTACTGAGTGGTATTCCGAACCTGAACTAACCTGATAGCCAGGCTATTGACAGGAGACCAGTTCAGGTACTTTCCCAAGCCTATTCAGGACCGGAACCAATTGCGCGTCGTGCACGTGCCAGGGGCCCCGGCGCGTCTAAGTACCACGAATAAACTCGTGAAGGTGTTGTTTCCTCCCTTGTCTCCTTGGCTATGTCCACCCTTGTTGCTATGTCCACCACCCTCTCCATCAAGCTTTACGCTTCCTTCCGGTCCAACTCAAGGGTGAGTGTCAACCCGGAGAGCACTTCTTCTCGAAATAAATAGTGTTGTCCTCGTGCTACCGCCGCCGTTGTCTCCACGCAACACATGATTTGTTCATCAAGCTCAAAAGGGAGCGGAAGGATGCCAGGTAAGGCGGACTGTGGTTATGGGGCTTGATCTTGATGCTGGCTCGAGCGGCAAGCGTGTTATTGCCAGGGTTGTATGGTCGACCCTAGGGCCACTTGCAATGGACGCGTTCGATCGGGAAGAATCCAAACGCAGGTGTTTGTGAGGCTGATTATCTCACCATTTTCCCATTATACACATTTCCGAGTTGCCCTCATCTGTATACTGTGAAATCCCTCTGTCCAGCATCGCGTAGCAGGTATGTTTCGAACCACAATTCGAACCTAGACGACTTCCCGATTAAGCATGCGACACAAACCCCGATCTGATCTGAACCGCGTCGCGTCAGGCGCTTGCGAGCCACTTTGAACGCGTCCTCCGCCTGCGCGACTGCACCTCTGTGCTCTGTACCTCATACTTGCGATACCCTCTATTTCTTTGCTCACTCGCTCTTTGCTTCTACCTACCACGACGCAGGGGATATCGTATTGCTCTACCTAGTGTCCGTCATACGCGCTTCCGACTGCCAGCCCCTACACAAGTGTACGACTTCTTCACGCCGCGGCCTCCCTATCCACCCTAAGAATGGCGCAGACCGTCCAGCGAGGAAAGCGCAAACAAGCCGACGACTCTCCGCCCTCAACTCCGCCCCCGCCAGGGAAGAAATCGCGTCCGGCGACAGCGCGGAAGAGCACCGGGGGACGTCCACCGGGTGGCCGGGCGAGCGACGCGGGGCCCTCGGCCGCGGGCCGTCGCGCTAGTGGGCAGGGGGCAGCCCAGGCCCAACCACGCAGTGCGTAGCGTCCCTATTCCGCATGTTGGCGCGTCTTTGCGCGTGTAGGAGCTGACAGAACGCGTGCAGAGAAGCGTTTCCGTCCCGGCACGGTCGCGCTGCGCGAGATCCGCAAGTACCAGAAGAGCACGGACCTGCTCATCCGGAAGCTGCCCTTTTCACGCGTAGTGAGTACCCCCGTTCATATATATATCGTGATGTGCTATACCCTGCCACCCTGCGGCGGTCTATCACCTCGGGGCTGGGTGGCTGAAGCGGCGCAGGGCGCAAGCGAGGACGCGTTTATAGAGAGGCTGACACGCCGCACAGGTGCGCGAGATCGCGCTGGACATGATGACAGACACGATCGATTACGGCGACACTGGTCTACGGTGGCAAAGTTCCGCGATTCTTGCGCTGCAGGAAGCAACGGAGGCGTTCTTGGTGCATATGTTCGAAGACGCGTGAGTGCCGTCGGCGCTATTATGATCCTGCGTGGGACTACGAACTGACGGACGTTAACGTACTGCCCGGCGGCGAACAGCAACCTGTGTGCGATCCACGCGAAGCGGGTGACCATCATGCAACGGGATATTTGGCTCGCGCGGCGCCTTCGCGGGTCAAGCGGCGGGCTGGCGTGAACATTCAGCAGGTCGTCCTTGCTGAGTGTCCCGCCCGAGTCAGCCCGACGAGGGCGGCCGGCGAATGGGCCTCCTCCAGGCCCGGAGCCGGATGTATCGTGTTCCTGGTCGTCGATTTTTGCTGTTGCTGTCGCGTCTTGCTGCCATCTCTCCTCGATTTGTCCCCGCACCTCCCTTGACATTATTTATCCCTAGTTTTTGACTCAGACCGGCCGAGCGACACCCCCTCCATACCTACCGCCCATCATTTCTTGCATGTATTCACGCGTCAAACTTTCTGCCATGTAGCCCGCACAGTGCGTTCAATATGACACCCATGAATGATTGATGCCGAGTGCAACCGCGATGGAAGGGAAGTCCACGGATTGTCCGGAATGTGGCGTGCGCTAAGGTCGTGCTAGGTACCGCCGGCAGTGGATGTTGAGATGAGAGCTTGAGTTCCTACTACGTGTATACGAGCAAAAGCCAATGGAGAGGGCACTCGTCAACCAGCGTGTAACCCGGATATAGATACGCTGTACTTGTACCTTTAGCAACATAAAAACTCAATATAAAACAAAACCACCGGGATGGAAGAATACCAGGAGAAGATGTGTCGCCGTCCGTCGGACTCGGGGCTGATAGCGTTCGGACATACCCTCCGTAGTTCCAGGGGCAGCAGTGAGCATCGTGTCGCGATGAACTATGTCATGGATGTCATCGCTGGTGGTGGTCTGGTCCAAGTCTGGTCTGCGAGCAGCATGGGCAGCTGGCTTTAGTGATGTCAGGGCAGGGCGATCACAGGGTTTCCGTTGTGCAGGGAAGGTGTTGCTGGAAACGCGCTGGGCGAGGGCGGCGGGCGATGTGGGGAATCATCGAGAAGACGTTGCTAGTGCGAGCAATGGGGGGAAATGATGTCATCATATTGCGTATTGAGATGGGCATGGCCATGCATGGGACCACGGGCGTGCGATGGGCGAGGAACAGGCGAAGAGGGCGGTGGTGTCGATAGCGAGCTACATCGCGTGTGGACGTGCGAGCGCGGTGGCGGACGTTGAATGGAGGGGAAGCATGGGAGGGGACGCACATGGGCAGACGGACAACTCGCATTGGAGCCGGCCGCGGCGGGGCGGACTTCGGATAACTGCCAATTCGGCCAAAAATAAATGGGCTGGGAATTGCGCGTGGCGGGGATTGGCCGTGGCCGTGACCGTGGCCGTGGCCGCGTCCGGCGCATGCGGCTGCCACCGTTGGCATTCGGGCGGGGGGAATGCTGAGCGTGGTTGAGCCTGCCCTCCCCGTCTTCCTCGCAGCGAGCACGAGCACGAGCAACAGTGCCCACGCCGTCCTGCCCGTCGACTGCCACCACCGCTCCCCCGCTCTCTTGTTTTGTTTCCGTGTCCGATCCAGGTACGGTCCTCGAGGAGCAGCGGGAACCGCCACCGTCCTTTCGCTCCTTCCTTCACCTTCCCGCTAAATCCCTGCCCCGGCCAGACTTCCGGCCCTCCGCAAGTCGCCCCTCCTCGGCCAGTCCTCCCTGCCTCCCTACCTTTTCCCCACACCTTGTCCTCCCGACTCTTCTCGCGCCCTCCAATGCCCCCTCTCGACGTCTGATCTTCCCCGACGACACTCTCCCTGCGCCCTCTTTCATCCACTCCCCCATGCGCCGTATTGCCGCGGTCTTCGCTTCAAAGCGGTCAGACAGATCCGATGCTGCCTCCTCCACCGCCGCCTCCTCCAACGCCGACCACAGTCTCTCCGCGCAGAGCCAGGCAACCGTAAAACCCGCGCGCGCACGCTTTTTCCGCTCCATTTCGCGCAAGAGCAAGCCCGTCGATCCTGTCGTCAACCGCCTCAACAGCTCCGAGCTGCACCCGCCTTCGTCCTCCTCGTCCTCTAGCGGTGCGCCTACCACTCCTGACGATGACCGCGGTTCTCTCCTCAGGGTTCCCGCGTCCAAGGCATGGCTTCCCCTGCCCCCTCTTCCCAACGAGCACCACTCTTCATCTAGCTCATTATTGCACCATCCGGAGCTGACTCCCCACCATTTGTCCTCGTTCCATTCCACGCCCCGCCCCCGCGCAGCCCCATCCAGGCAGTCTACCCTTGACACCGAGGACGACTCATCCGAAGAGTCCTCCGTCGCCCTCGATCTCTCGAGGCCACCGGAGCGCTCGACGCCCCTCGCTGCCCCCGCCTACGTCCTCGCTCTTACGTCAAGTCATCTGCATCCTCCATTCTCCCCGCCCCCCTTGCTCCATGTACCGGGCTGTCCCACATACCCCCGATCGTTCAACAGCCGGCGCACGCTCCCCTATGCAGATTCTTTGGAGTCGTCCATGCACCGAGTGCGGCTCCAGCGCCGTCTCCAGTGCGGCGATCTAACCCCTTCCGAACAGCGTTCGATTGCCTCGTTCGCCGGAAGACGGACCGTGCCAAAGGAGCGTCTCTCGTTGCAACTGGACGATAATGCGGTCGACGTTAAGCAAATCACGCCGTTCTCTGCGGGGTTGCGGAGGTGGGCCGATCGCCCGTGCTTCGAGGACAGGATGCAGGTGCTGCTTGCCGAGGATGTCCCAACCGGCAACGATCTGGTCTGGGCACGGGTGGCCCCGGCCACTGGCTATGGCGTGGCTGCCCTCGAGTACTCGGTAGCGCTCGAGATGCTTGCAGGTTTGTATGAGGAAGAGGCTCAGCCAGCCGAAGAGCCGCAGGGTTCGGAGCCGGACACGCTCCCTTTAGACTTCCTCCGTGTCGACACCCAGCTCTCGCTGGATCTCTCCCTTCCGCACTCTCAGTCTCTCATGACCCCGAGTCCTTCCTCGCTATTGGAACCGCAGTCATCAACAACGTCGCTCTCAACAATGGCCCCGGCATCAGCGCCCGCTGCTGTTTCATCGTTGGCACCCCCTGGTGAGTTTTAGTCATCATCTGTACGTGGATGTACGCTAACGAGTTCCACCAGCCAACCCCCGTTCTGTGTCGCACAACAGCAGCCATTACAAGGCTCACCCCTCGCCGCTCCGCATGGAGACTTCTTCGACGCCTCTGGCGACCGCGCTCCTCGCATCGCCCGCGCCCTCGACGACTTCAACAGCTGTCGCATCTCCTCGTTCTCTGCCCAGCATCGCATCCCCACCAGCATCAGCACCAGCAGCGCCCCTCAAATCTGCACTGAAGCAGGGTGTTCGCTTCGCTGAAGGTGAGAAAGAGGACAAGGAGGAAGGCCTCCCTCTTGGGTACGTGCAGCGCATCAAGCAGAAACGCGAGGAGAAGGCGCGCTTCCTGCAGCAGGAGCGCGAGCGCCGCAAACATGACGACGAGCGGCGGAAGCACGAGGAAGAGAAGCGAAGATGGGAGGAGGAGCGCGCGGCTTGGGAGCGCGAGAAACGTGCGATCGAGGACGAGCGCAAGAAGCGGATGTATGCGGACGAAATCGCTGCTGCTCGGAGTCGCCGGGAGAGCCAGCGATTTGGGCCCCTGGGCGCGATGACGGGCGAGGGCCTTGCCACGGGCCAGTGGGACCGGAACGAGCGCGGCGGCCGATCGGAACGCGAGGTGTCCTCGACGCACAGTCGGCCGACGTACGACCCCTCGAGCCACCCCTCCCGACAGGGCTCCGACGTATCTGTTCATCAAGTGCATACACCCAGGACTGCGAGTGGCTCGGTCTCTGGATCACCATCGAGCGTACGGCCTGGCAGCGTCTACGGCTCCGCAAACATTCCTGGGTCTTCCCGTCCACCATCGATGTACTCTGGGTCACCCGTGGCGTCCTCGTCGCAGCAAGACATTCGTCTTCGCGAGCGCCGCATAAGCGGTACTGGCAGCCGCCGAGCCTCCATGGTTTCCGAAGCTGCAGGTTCCCGTAACTCTCTCGCCATCCCCCCGATGCCGATGCAGCCGATGTGGGGCATGGGCATGAACGGTATGCCTATGCAGGGTATGCCCATGGGGATGGTAATGCCCATGCCGATGTATGGCGGCGGGGCTATGGAGATGCCTCTCCTGCCGCCGTCGCCCCCTTTCATGGCGCAGCAGTACGGCTATCGACCGCCATCGCAGAACAGCAACCGCGCCTCACAGCCGTCCCCGCAGCGCTCGCACAGTTCATCGCCGACGATGGGAGGACGTGGCCTGCCAACAAGCCACAGCTCGGATCGCGTCAATCGCATGTCACAGGCGCATGGTTCATCATCGTCGGCGCGCGCGCCTTCAGTGCCTCGCTCTGAGTCGACGCCAGGCCCTCGGCGTGGGCATCAGCGCACATCGAGCGGCGAGATCGTGCAACGGCCTTCCACGCTACGCAGTCACTCAGACGACAAGCGGAGTACGAAGTCCGCGGCGCCGTCGCCACGTCCCGCGCCCGTGCATAGCTCTTCGCTACCACCACACCCTCCGCCGTCCTTCAACCCATCGAGGCAGTCGTGGGCTCTACCCAAGACAGGGTTCGAAAACGTCAGCCGACCATCACAAGGCTCGCGGCGGCAGACGGTCATCTCATGACAGTGAGCCCGCTCTGGCCGACCCACTTTACCCCCTCCCCTCACCGCCCATCGTCCGCCGGACTAGTGCATAAGTATTCACCCACCTAATCTTGGACGTTGTGTCATGCATGCACCGTCTCTCGTTATACCTGACCGCATACACTCTTTCGTCCTCTTTTTACCACGGCATCTTCTCCGCGCATTGACCCTTTTTTCTTCTGTTTCCTTACAACTTATTCCGTGCGAACTCAGTTCTCGTCATGTCTATTGCCTCATCGACACACACACATCGCACGCCCCACTCCCCCTCCCATTCCCATTCCTCCCTCGCTATCCTCCCGCATATCTCCACAAACACATACCGGACGCCGAACCTTGTCCACGCCCGTCATGCCCCGCGCCCGCGCGCCGCCGCCGTCGCCGCGCACCCAGTAGCTAGTTAGTACGTATACAGTATTGTAGAACCGCCCGCCTGCATGGATGCTGCTCTCCCCCCTTCACCCGCTTTCGCACCCCGCACCCCTTGTTCGGGCCCCCTGCCCCTGCCGCGCCGTCCATTACCGGGCGCCGCGACGAACGTGTACTCTCCCCAAGTTACCCATCCCAATACGTACTCCATATCTCTATCTCTAGTCTTCCGCTTGGGGCACACTGCAGCTTATAATGGGGGCGGATCATCGGCCGGCGAATCGCATGGAAATTGGAAGTCGGAAGTATCGATTCGAGGCGAGTCAAGCAGTGCGTGTACCGGGGGGCTGGAGCCTTTCGCTGGCGCCATGGTGAGTGCTGCGGTCTGTCGGCCGCGGGGTGGAGCGAGCAGGTGGAAGACTGGAAGGGACGTCGACGAATGCGGCCAGGGCGGCGGACCCACAAGTACCCACAAGTATGGATAATGTGTTCCTAGATAAGGTCCCCGAGGCTCCCCGGTACCTCAGCGGTACCTAAGGCACGTTGCTACATAGCTCCGTCAATCGTCAACGTATTGCGTGTGCGAAACATGCGCTCTGGTCATAATACGCCAAGGCGGTGGACGTTAAGTGGTCTCAACTTCGGGGAACGAAGAGTGGCCGACCAAAATGTTACACTGACGAACGTTGCTCGCCGGGGGCATGGAACGCAGTGAAAGCTGTTGGTACGTAGCTCGGTCGACGTGTTGCGTGTGCGGAACATGCGCTTTCGTCATCGGTCATGGGTGTAGGTTGAGGTGGTCGTTGAGTGGCCTTGGAAGTTGGGGAACGAAGAGTGGCCGGCGTAAATGCTATGCTGACGAACGTTGCGCACCGGGGGCGCGGAGGGCGGTGAAAGCTTATCCCTCTAAGGAAATTCGCCCCCTCCTTTGCTTCGCAAATGATGCCCATTGGAAGCGACCCGCTACATAAAACACAGTTAAGGAGTATAAGCTACAGCTGAGAAGGTCAGTCCGTGAAGTCCATGCATAAACTAAAGAGAGAACGCTCTAGGATAGTAGCCGCCACCAAGCCCATGAACCCCGACCCTTAAGCCGGCACGTCGTACTTCTCCTCGCCCCGCTCCTCAGTGGTCGGCACCAGCGTGCGGCCCGCCATCTCGGGGCGCACGTACCAGCGGTTCGCCGCCTTCTCCTTCGCCGCGCGCCGGCGGCTCACGAAGTACACGACCGCGATCGCGCAGTAGCCGAGGCCCATGACGCCGACGACCGCAATGAGCGCGATGAGCACCCCGTTCGACACGCCCTTGCTCACGACCGTCTGGGCGTCCTCCGCGACCGCACCGAAGAGCGCGCCGGTTTGCTGCGTGTCGCGCGAGTAGTGCGTCGAGGTGGACGTGGCGTAGGCGGAGCCGGTCGTCTGCCAGGAGGCGGCGGTGGTGGAGGTCGCCGCCCAGTCGCCGCTGGACTGGCCGGGGAGCGCGTTGTTGGCGTTGCGCGGCTGGCGCTGGGTGGTAGGCTGGCCGTCGCGCTTGATCCCGCAGCGGTCGAGGCACTCTTGGGTGCCGAGCGCGATGTTGTCGGGGATCTGGGGGCCGCGGGGTCAGCCTCGGTGCCTATGGAATGCGTGTGTGGCACTGACCATGTCCTCGATGCCGGCAACTTCCTGCACACCGATGTCCCCGAGAGAAGCCGCAACCACGTCAGGGGGCAGGCCGAAGTCTGAACATATGATTAGCTGCGGGGTTGCAATGAGGGCGAGTTTGTGACGTACAGCGCTGCGCGATCGACTCGACGCCAGGGTCCTCGTGGTTGAGCGCAGCGACAAACATCATCGGCTCTGTAATCCAAGAAGATGCATACGATGAGCAAGATCTTACAAGAACATGCGTGGGACATGCACTCACCGCACCCCTCGTTCTGCTGGAAGTGGATGGAGCCCTTGGGGAAGAGCATCGCGCTTCCGGCTTCGAGAGTGTTGAACACGAAGCGCGCGCCGTTCTCTGCGATCATGCCGCTCGAAAGAGTGCCGTTCACAACGTAGAGCATCTCGGTGGCGCGGGGGTGGGTGTGAGGCGTGTTCATGCCGCAGGGGCCCAAGAACCCGATCGTCATGGCCATAGCTTCAGGCAACAGGTGAGCATGTGGCAGAGGTTTTGACTGTCGAAGGACTCACCATTGTTGACCAGCGCAGGGAAGTTGGCGACGGTGGCACCGACGGCGGCACCACCAGCACCCTTCGTAGCGGTAGCATTCAGGAAGTTGAAGGTGAACTGTCGGGCACTCGTAAGCAAAATTGAAGGCTAAGCGTTGGTAGGAGGTGACTCACATCCGAATCCTTGTCAAGGAGCTTTATCCGGTCAACTTGGGTGGGTGCATCACGGAGAGCAGTGATCTTCTGCGCGATGGGAGAGACAGAAGACTGGGCGAGGGCACCAGCTGCGAGAGCAAGCGACAAGTAAAACGTGGAAATCATTAGGAGAGATAAGAGAAGGGGCTCGTGAGGAAGGAGGGAACGGGACCCAGAGGAGAGGAAGGAAAAGCGGGGTGCCGTTCGAGGTTGCAAGTCCCACCTTTTTATCCATCCACCCACAAAGGTCAGCAATCTTCTGCACATACGACCATGCTGAAACCTGCAGGACTTAGCACGACGCCCAAAGCACGCAGGCACGCGCCCCGGACGCAGCTGAGGACCAATCGTGATGCGCCCTCAGATGCGCCGGAGGCCCGCGCTCGCCACAATAGGCAACGATAAGACAAAAGCCGTACGAATGAACTGCAACCCTCCCCGAGCACACCGGCGGCGATGAGCGAAGGTTCGTCTCAGGACAAAACGTTGTAGAGTGAACCAATCGCACCGCACTTCCGAGTCCGGCGGCTGTGCATGTGGGTGCGCTGTTGGGCGCTGCGCGCCCCGCCCGGCCATATTGTCTGCACCATCATTTGCACGACCCCCATTTGGTTGCCGAGACGCATCTTCATTCGCCAGCTGAGAGGTTCAGGGCTGATTTTGACCAGTTTACGTCCGGCGCAAAAGATCTCCCGTTGCTCCGCGCTGACTTGCCATCGGTCGATCCCTCCGATTTCGGAAGTTGCTTGTATGCCTTGAGTCCTGGCTGATATCATGGTCGGACAACGGGGCACATATTCGATATCTTTCAAGTGTGCGACGAGCTGCCATGAATGCTTGTAAGATGCCGGGCTATGGGAACAACACATGTTTTGGGGAGCTTGTCTTGTGGCACCGATCGAGGGGACTACTACCTAAAAGGGGAGAGAAAGGGGTAAGACCGGGTACAAAATTAGAGGGACCGCCTGCTAAAGCAAACTACTTGCCCCTGTAACATACCGCAAATCCGGGATCTGAAACGGCAATGGCGGTGCCAAAATGCGCGGTCCGGGGGGAACCCTCTGAGGCGGTGTCAGACGGCGCGTGTACTCAGGACCGCGATGCCGCTTTGACGCGCATGGTGCTGCATGTCCAAACGGCAGGTGTCGTAGATGGTCAGCTTAGGGCACGAGTTTGCCACCAGCTACATTAGCGGCAGCAATATTGTGTCGATACATGCGCTGATCTGCAAGACAGACGTCAAGTAACGATACACAACAGACATTCGCCTACTCTGAAGCGGAAGACCTCGCATGTCGTTCCTTCCGCTTGACGTTTTCCCACCACCGCAAGACCCGTCTCTCAAATCGTTCGACTACGCCGAGGACATAATCCTCGTCTACGCCCGCCCAGCGTGCAGCCCGCGCGACCACTAGTTCTAGGTCCTCGGGAACAGTGCCTAGAATATCTTGTGTGTTGTAGATCGGATAGTGCTGTCCAGGCCTCAGCGCGTCCGCGCTGTCATCGACCATAGTCGCGTTCATTGTGGGATGGACCCTGTCTGCTTGCGCGGGAAACATCCGGTCACTATCTGTGGTGCGCGAAGCGGAGTTCTCGGGCAAGGGAAAATTTGTCGTGGTGACATTACGTGCTGGAGGAATGTCTTAAATCTTGCTGCCGCGGACAGAGGCCGCGGAGGAAAACTTACCGGGCATTCGGTCTTCTCGGGGGAGAAGGGCTTTCTCACAGAATTGCAGGTAATCATCCAGCATCTGGTCGTTCATATCAAGCACCGAGCTGCAAATCATTCCGTCAGTCTGCACTGCCAAAGGCACCGCCCCGTACTATGCGTACCTGTGGCGTTGCGTGGACATAGGAGAAACAACCGCCTCGCGCGCCTCCTCTGAATTCCGGATAGCCCTAGTGAGTTCGGAGAGGGCGGGCAGAGCACGCGCAGGGTCTTCTGCGTTCTGAGGATGCCTGCGCCGTGGACAGTTAGAGCCGTTTCAACACTTGCTGTTGTGTGAGACTGATACCTAGACGACCCGTCCAAACCGTATGCCAGTTTCATGACCACTATAACCGCTGACGCGAGCGCAACTTCGGGAACCGCGCCGTCCTGTTTGTGGAATGTTGGGTCGCGCTTCTTAGTGCGCACCAGGGCGGGCGCCAGAGACCGATGCAGAGTTAGTGGAATGGATACCAGCCGCGCGAGCCTCTTCGTCAAGACATATATCAGGGCTAGAGGCGGCGTAAGTCAAAATCGGCGTGGAAGTCCCTCGAGTTACGCACGAGTGCCGTGGAGATAGCGGACGGATCTCCACAAAATGGGCGCGGCATTCATCTCTGGAGTGTAGATGTCGTAGGTGGAATACATCAGTCGTGCCAGACGAGAGGCTAGTCGGTGAAGGTGTAGAGGCGAGGGCGGGTGCTACATGTCGGCTTTGTGAGTATATGCTTGTGGAAATGTGAAAATACATACGTGGGGAGATAGTGCCTGCACGGTGTTCTTCCTGAGATGGGATGTCATGCTCTCGGGGAGCAGTCTCAGAGGATCGAGGTATGGCAAGTCGTAGCTCTCTATAGATCTTCCGCTGGTATCAAGATCAAGCCTGAGGAGTTACGCATCGTAGTCGCATACCTTACGAAGTCCACATACATCACCGGGAGCCGTAACGTCCAGCAGGCGACGACTAGGCATGAGATTGTACTTGCAGGGGTGTCATAGCGGCCAAATGTACGCCGTTTCCGTGGCGTTCTCGCGCTCGGCCTTGGCTTAGGAGTGCTCGTAGGTTCGTCATCATCATCAGACGGGGTTTCGGAGTTCTCTCGCATGAGCTCCTCGAGCTCTTCATCATCTGGCTCAGAGCCTGAAGAGGAGCCAGACGAGCTTGATGACTGGTTTGCGTTGCTGCCGTCCGCGATGTCTTCCCCTTCGTTCCCCTCGTCCGCTTCGGGTGATGGTCGCGGGGAAAGGCTTGCTTTCGACGCGTGATCCTCCTCGGAGCCGTCAAGTGCGTGTAGCAAAGGCTCTGGGCTCGGCGGAGTCGGGAGCAAGGCAAGATTCAGAGCCCAAACGTCCCTGCAGATTAACTGGAGCGCGTTGAGACCGCAGGAATCATACGGACGAGGTCGGTCCCGTACCTCAAATTCTGGGGGAAGCTCCCACACGCGGATTAGAGCGGCTGCTTGCATACGCAACAGGACCTGCAAACACTGGAAGTAATGGCAGCGTGCCCGCTCGCCATGGTAGACTGAATGCTGGGTCAGAACAGGTCTCTTCACGCGGGAGCGGCTTGGACCAACTTTTCGGATCGGCCTTGCTCTGTCGCTCCTTTTTCTTCCTCCCGGACTTGAGGGTGCGCTTCCTGACGGCATGAGGTCCCAGCTCGGTGACCTCGTGCGTTTCAGTGCGGTAGTTCTGCACAACACTCGGGTCAGTGCGCAGATCATGCTGGGATGCGTCGGCTTCCTACCAGAAGGACGTGTCCTTCGCTGCAGGTAACGATACCACTCGTGGGTTCCTTGTGCCATTGTTTTGAGCCGCATATATGGCACTTGCGTCGAGGGGCCATGGCTGCTGCTGTTGAAGAACTGCCAGTACGCGAGCGCAGAGCTCGGCTGGAGATTAGATAACCACGTGGCGGGGAGATCGGGAACATTGAATCTGATCGAGCTCGGTGGCAGGAACGCGCCTCTCTCGTCCGTCGCGTTTCTCCAGGTTCACTCATTCCCCCCTTCCGGTCTTGTCTTCACCATCACGCTCCTTGCGCACGTCGCTCGTGCAGCTGAGCGCATACCATGAGGATTCTTCATCTCGTTGCCTTTTTGGCTGTTCTGGTAACGGCCGTAGTCGCGTACGTGGGTCTTACACCAATGCACGGAGCAATCACCGCTGACACGCGTCGAAACTAAATGTAGCTGGACCAAGGTGAGCATATGTTATGACGCGGGGAGACTGGGAGGCTTATATGGCCGTGGCATATAGGAGGACCATGAGATATTCGACTTGGTCAGCGCGATAGAGTCGACCGAGGGTAAGTGACCGGCGCGAGTGTTTCCACCCGTTTTCTTACACGAGGTCTCCAGGCAAGGGGACGACCTTCTACTCTTGGTTGAACATTCCGCCTACTGCGACTACGAATGAAGTCTCGAAGGCGTACAGGAAGAAGAGTCTGCAGTTGCAGTGCGTGATTCACTGCTGGCACATATACGCGCACATTCATGCTTAACTAACCGACTGTAGCCCGGACAAGAACAAGGGTGTGAAGAACGCGCACGAACGTTTTGCACGACTGGGTGTAGTCGCTGCCATTCTGCGAAACGCGGAGAAACGCGAACGGTGCGTTTGCTGCCTAGAAGCTCGTGTGATGCAGCCCGCTCACCTAGACCTTCAGCTACGACTTTTTCTACAAGAACGGAGTGCCCAAATGGAGGGGCACCGGCTACTACTATTCTAGATTCCGACCTGGAATCGGGGTAAGCCGTACACCCAACTTCCCGAAGGAAGCGGACGCTCATGGCACCTCTTGCAGACTGTTCTTTCTTTCTTGGTCATTCTGACTTCGGGGCTACAATATTTGGTTCAGAAAATGAACTATAATCGGGATGTGAAGCGTGTCCAACAGATCATGGACCAGGCTCGTGCTGTTGCTTGGGGTACGAAGGGGACGCCCATAGAAGGCCAGCGAAAGGTATGTGGCAGCCAGAGTATTCTTAAACTTTGACACCGACGGCGACTCTGCTTTAGGTTAAAGTCAACCTTGGTGGCGGGGCGCGGATGGACGACGACGGCAATGTCGTAGCGGGTCGGTGGCTGGATCTGGTCGTGGAAGGAGAGAGCGTGTTTATTGTGAGTAGTCTGGTGGCATCTTCCCGTTTAAAGCAACATGTCGTAACGCCCCCGTCAGCTGGAGCCCGACGGCAGCCTGCTGCCTGTGGACAGTGACACCGCCGTAGCCCCATCGATCAAGGGGACGTGGTTCCTGTCCCTTGTGACTAGCCTGGTGCAGAAAGTCGGCAAACGCGATGGAGCCAAGATTAACGGCGCTAGCACGGAGCCGGAGGGCGCAGGGGAAGACAGCGACGGGGGATCTGGGACGGCGTCGGACGCCCCTGGGAGCGGTACAGTCACGCCGAAGGAGGGCGGGGGCGCGAGAAATGGGCGGGCGGCGGCGACGTCCATGGCGGGCGGGCGGAGGCGGAAGGCAGTGGCGGCGCGGCGAAAATGATGGATCGGGGGGCGGGGGCGGCCGTCCGTCGCAGTCCTTATCTCCACGGTTGGACGTGTGCCCTGTGGGTGAACAGAGCGCGCTGGTGGGAGCCAATCACATTCGCTCCGTTAAGGCTCGGCGTTCCGGCGAGATTCCTGATTCGTAGGGGCGGGGAAACGTCGCGTCCAGCGGTCGAGTCAGTCCCGCAGCGAGCACAGAAAATGCGCGGAAGAGATGGGGAGATCGGTGAACGCGCACGGCCGAGGAGGGCGCAGAGATAGCGGGCGGCGCGGGCGCTCGCGAGCATGGAGGCGGTCCGGAGGAGACCCAGCCATTTGTGGATCGTCGGCTAGATGCGCTCGATGCGATAAGACATGGGTACCCCAGACAAACATACGCAAATACCCCCACTGCTATAGCTTTAATCAATTGACTCGGTACCGTTCTCCCAACCTCTCACCACCACATCCTCCGCCGTGCCCTCTCTGCCCGCCATGTCGTCCGCCGCACACGCCTACCACCCCGAGCTCCTTGCTCCCTACCTCGCCCTCCCCCAGGGCGAAAAAGTCCAGGCCGAGTGTATGTCCGCCCGCTAGCCCGATCTCCGTGTGGGGTAGCATCCTCATCTGCCGATTTTCCCAGACGTCTGGATTGACGGCGATGGTGGCCTCCGCTCGAAGACCACGGTATGCACAGTCCTGCGATCCGTACGAACAAATCGGCTCATGCATTTTACCAGACCGTCACCAAGAAGGTGACCGACATCGGAACCCTCCGCATCTGGGACTTCGATGGCTCCTCCACCAACCAGGCCCCCGGCGGTGACTCCGATGTCTACCTCCGGCCATGTGCCATCTTCAAGGACCCCTTCCGTGGTGGCGACAACATCCTTGTTCTCGCTGCGTGCTACAACAACGACGGTACCCCTAACCGCACCAACTACCGCCACCACGCCGCAAAAGTCATGGAGCTGGCTAAGGACGTCGTTCCCTGGTTCGGTATCGAGCAGGAGTACACCCTCTTCGACATGGACGGCACCCCATACGGGTGGCCCAAGGGCGGTTTCCCCGGCCCCCAGGGCCCCTACTACTGCGGTGCTGGTGCGTTTGATATGATCCGCCCAGTCTTCCGCCCAAGCATCCCACTAACGTAAATGTCATACCAGGCGCTGGAAAGGTCTTCGCCCGTGACCTGATTGAGGCCCACTACCGCGCGTGCCTGTACGCCGGTGTGAACATCTCTGGCATCAACGCCGAGGTCATGCCCTCCCAGTGGGAGTTCCAGGTCGGCCCTTGCGAGGGCATCTCCATGGGCGACCACCTCTGGATGGCCCGCTACCTCCTCGTCCGCATCGCGGAGCAGTGGGGCGTCAAGGTCTCCTTCCACCCCAAGCCCCTCCAGGGCGACTGGAACGGTGCCGGCTGCCACACCAACTACTCGACCAAGGCGATGCGCGAGCCCGGAGGCATGAAGTACATCGAGGAGGCGATCGCCAAGCTCGCGAAGAGGCACAACGAGCACATCGCTGTCTACGGCGAGGACAACGACCTCCGTCTCACCGGCCGTCACGAGACTGGCCACATCGGCACCTTCACCTCTGGTGTCGCGAACCGCGGCGCCTCGATCCGTATCCCCCGTCACGTCGGTGCCCAGGGCTACGGCTACCTCGAGGACCGTCGCCCGGCCTCCAACATCGGTACGCTTGCTTCTCTACGTTCTCCACCATCCAGTCGCTCATACGTTGTCCTGCAGACCCTTACCGGGTTACCGGCATCATCATCGAGACCACCTGCCTTGACAAGTAGAGGTTTTCAGGTTGTGGGGTCCAGTGGGTTCGCACCTGTAGTGTTGGATAGTACCCCGTGTATACGCGTGACCACAGCAGCAGTCTTCATCATTAATGTAATTGTTCATCCTCATGGATTCGTGAGTGCAGTACAAGAGAAATCTGAGAGGCGATACAAAAAATCGATCCAGTAGTAAGGAGGGTATTGGCGGTAGAGCGACGGCGAGGCCCTCTCCGCCGAGCGAGTCGAGTCGAGTCAGAATACGAGGCGGGGGAAGGGAAAGATGGCAGTAAGTAATACAAATGAATTGTGTTCGTCTTCTCGGTTTCAGTCGCGGTTACCCATGGAATCAATTCTCCAGAAATACGACGCCCGGGCCCTCCTTGGCACCCGCCGCAAAATTTGCACGACGATCGGCGGTCTGGCCTGGCCACTAGAATCAGTACGGGCTGTCCACGATGCTCGAGCGGCTGCGGCCGCCGACCGCGAGCGAGGCCCGCGTCGGCTTCCGGAGGTTCTTCTTGTTGATCGCCAGCACGTCGTTCTGGAGGGCCACGATCTGCACGGGACAAGCAAATTTTTCGTGAGAAGCCCGTCTCGTGCCAAGAGGGAGGGGGGGAAACACAGGGAAAATGACACGTACGATCTCCTTGTCGTCCCCGAACTTGAAGTTGTCTTGCACGACGAACTGGTCGTACCTGGAAAGAGGGGGAGGGAGATAACGCGAGCCGTTAGCCTTGCGCGGGCCAATCGGGACGCGCGCGCGCGTGCGCCGCGGGGGTATACGCACTTCTTGATCTCGTACTTGTCGAGCTGGCCCTTCTTGACCTTGCCGAAGTCCCACGCGACGACGTACTGGCCCGTAGAGGTCACGATCGCGTTCTCCTCCTTGCCCTCGCCCATGTTGAACCTGCGCGCAGTGAGTAATGGTGAGACCTAGAAAAACACGAACATGTCTGGCACGATGAGATGAGGACGCACCTGGCGGGCGTAAACGCGACGCTGTGGTCCATGTACGCGACGTGCTCCGCGCGGAGCTGCAGCCGCCGCGGGATCGGCTTGGCGTTCGCGGGGAAGCTGCGGTCGAAGCCGAGCGCGCCGGTGTAGCGGCCCTCGCCGATGAGCGTGTCGATGAGGAGTAGGTACGTCTTCGTGGTCGCGACGATCCAGCGGCCGTTCGCGGTGACGTCGACGCCGATGATGGGGTCGCCGAGCGGCGGGAGCGCCGTCTTCGCGTTCTTGCCGATCGAGTCGAAGAGGCGGATGTCGCCCTTCTCGCTCGCGACGGCGAGCTTGCCCGCCTCGGTCGTCGCGACGGACGAGAACTTGTTGCGCGCAACGTACTGCTTGAACTGCGAGTCGACCATCTTCGTGCCGGACACGCGCGGGTCGATGCGGAAGAGCGCGTTGTGCGAGAGCCCGACGAGCGTCTGCTCGGGCGTCATCTGCGCGAACTTGTTGTCCGGGGCGATCGCGTCGACCGTGATGTCGTCGTGCACCTTCCACTCCTCGACGACCTTGCCGCGCTCGATGTCGAGGTTGTACAGCGAGTTCGGCTCGGATGGGTTCATGAGCACCATCTTCGCGTCTTGGTCGTGTAGCATGACCTACATTGGGGTTAGGACTGACCTCGATATGAGCAGAAAGTAAAGGCGTACATGCTTGGGGCTGAAGACTTTCCCCTTGGGTGTCGAAACGTTGCTGATGGACGCATAGTACTTGACCTGGTTCTGGCCTGTATGGCTGAACACGCCAATTTTGTCGTCCCGTACCACATACGACCGGTCCCCCTTGAAGCCCACCATGAGCTGCTTGTTGCGACCCTTCGGCATCGCCGGCACGTCATCTTCTTCTTCTGGATACTCTTCCTCTTCCTCATCGTCACTCCTATCTGTAGCAAAGCGTAAATATGACAAGGTGAGCGATGGTAACGGGTTGGTCGCGTACCCAGCTCCTGTGCTATGGCTTCCTCATCGTCCTCCTCGTCTTCCACATCCTTCATCTCGACGTCTTCCGTGTTCGAGCTCATGACATAACTCTGTTCCTCGAACTGCGACAGGGACGATCAACGAGCTATCAGTGAGAACACACAATTCATACACACCTTGGCCTTCTCCCATGGCCACTGGTTCATCGCCTCCCACTGTGCACGAGTGAATGCCCGTTGGAACTCATCGAACGCCTCCTGAGTGTCAAACCGCAGGCACCAGCTGTTCCCTACGCCGTTCTCACTAATGTTATTCCATGTGAGCGAGAGCACGCGGGTAGACCACCGCTGGTTCATTTCGGACGAGATCCTGTGGGCGAGCATCTGGCCCTCGTCTGTCGACGCGACCAACCAGTAGTCATACTTGCCCCCAGCAGGGTTGTTTGCCACCCGTGCGGTGACGTCGGCCTCCTTGAGGAAGAGGCTCTGGTCCTTGTCCCACAGATGCAGCTCTGCGAGTTCCGTAGCCAGCGCGGGTATGTTCGGGTCTGCCGCTGTCTTCTTCTTCGTCTTTGCGGGACTCGGCGGGGGGCTCGCAGAGGTGGTCGCCACCGCGACCTCCTCAACGGCAGGGGGAGATGCTTCCTCCGATTGGGACGCGGAAGCCTTCCGCGACGTCTTCCCCTTCGACTTCTTTGCTGCGGGGGGCCTATCACAACGAGACGGTCAGGCACGCACACCCTAACATAACCCGCTCCACGCCGCAGCGAATCGAAATAGCACGCACTGCCAGATGAACTCGCGGAGGTCCGCGTCCGAGAGGTCGTCCGCGCTCGCGCGGTACTTGCGCTCGTACATGGCGCGGTACATGCACGTCTCGAAGAACGCGCGCGTCGGCTCGTTCGTGCCTGCCGCGACGAACTCGTACAGCTCGTCGATGTCCCCCTGGAGGTCGCGGAAGATGAAGGTCGGCTCCTGGTCTGCGGTCATGCCCGTCCGGAACTCGAGCTCCTCGCAGACCAGAAACACGCGCTCCTCGTCGGCTTTATTGCGAGCGAGACGTTTGGGGAGGAGGGTGACGGGATTTAGGACTACGGATAGAAGGGGATGTAGAGCTGAAGCCACTCACTCTCCTCCTCGTCCTCGAGCAGCTCCTGGTCGCCGTCCTCGTACACGCGCGTAATCACCAGCTGGAAGGTGTGCTCCATCGAGGGCACCCGGCGGATAGTCGCCATGGCGTCATTGTATCTGCAGGGACGCGCCAATCTGAGCAAACGGAGCACAATGGGCAGAGAGAGGGCGGGCGACAGACATGCACTCGCGGCCGCCGCGCACTGCGCCCGAGCGGACGAGGTAGAGCTGGCCCTCGGAGATCTTGACGACCTCGGCCGCGTTGGGATCGTCTGCGATAGCAGTGATGTCAGAGTGGCGGCTCTACATGCGAGGAACGCCGCGGGCGCACGCACGCCAGACTTTGCCTAAAACTGCAGAACCAGCGAATGCGGTCAGTATCGCACACAGTGTATACGAGCAGTTTGCGGGACGCACGACTCCTGAAGATGTTCATGGTGGTGGGGATTGGACAAGGAGCGACTAGCTCGGACGCAGCCCGCGACCCTGTCTCTCCTCCGGCTCCGCGCCCCGTGCACCGTGACCATCGCTTGTCGCGTCAGTCACGTCACCCCGCGCACCTCGATCGTAAAGCTCACCGCCGTCGGAGGGCCTCATTTGCGTGCCCTCCACGTTCCTGTCACCTAGGTCGCTCACGGTCACTATGGATATCGATAAACTGTTCAAGGTCAGTGCGCGCTCGTAGTCATATGGTCCCGGTCAGTGACTGAACGTTTCTCTAGATGCCCAAGCTGCCAGCTGGTGGCAATAAGAGGCGAATGCCCGACAACCCTACCCCCGAGATGCTCAAACGGATGCGAATGGACACCGAGGAATCTGAACCGTCTGCGTCCGTTGAAACTGTTAACGGCTCGACGTCGCGCGGTAAAGGCAAATCACGGGCAGTCACCGTACAAGACGAGAGCGAGGAGGGTCAAGACTCCATGGAAGTCGACTTCGCGCCTGGTGGAGACGCCGACTATTTCGTGGAGGAGGACGATGAGGGCCGTTTCTTTGGTGGAGGATTGACGCAGGAGCAAAAGGAGATCTTGAACATATTTGACCAGGCAGGCGGTGAGGAAGCACGAGAAGACGTGAGTGCCTTCGACGCGTCTGTGGTCTTGGGCTCATTACTGAGCGTAGCGGGCTAGTTGGACGAGATGAGCGCTGTCACCGTTCGACGGTTATTGACGCGTTTCGAACGCGCTGCCAACAAGAACCAGGACCAGCGGTCAAAACATCCTGACGACCCTACGAAGTGCGTACTATGCTCGTAATGTGCGGTGGAACCCGTCCTCAACCTTGCGGCCCCCAGATTCATTGACTCTGAAGCAGACCTTGATGCTGCTCTCAAGGCCCTCCTACCACTCGCACAGTCTCCCGCCCTAGCCTACCCAGAGATCATCCGTTCTGGAGCGGTGGAACGATTGATCGGACTACTCAGTCATGAAAACGTGGACATTGTCATCGACGTCGTCGAGGTCATCCACGAATTCACAGACGAGGACGTTGGGAACGAAGGGGACGATGAGGAGGAGGAAGGCGAAGGGAGCCGCGAGGACGCGCTCAAGCAACTCATCCAAGGCTTCGTACGTATGGTCCTACCCGTGCACATAGCTGACAGCACTAATAAGTCCCGTAGCTTGACAACGCAATCCTGGAACTCTTGGTGGACAATCTGAGTCGTTTCAACGAGGAGGAGGAATCTGACAGACAAGGTGTATTCCATGTTTTGGGTAGGTGCAAAGCTATTATTTGGCGCTGCTGTATGCTGAACTTTCTTCCAGGTATCTTTGAAAATCTACTCGGTTTCAATGCGGACTTGTCCGTACAACTCGTGGCGAAAACGAAGATTCTGTCTTGGCTACTAAAGCGCACAGAGTCTACCAAGCGCGATGAGAACAGGGGCTACGCAGCCGAAATTCTCTCCATAGTGTTACAAAACAACAGAGCGAACCGCATAGAACTAGGAAAGCAAGACGGTGTTGAAAGTCTTCTCAAAGTTCTTTCAGTACGTACCTCCTCCAGTCTGTGACGGCCGAATCTAATGACTCCCAACAAAAGCGCTATCGCAAAAAGGACCCCGTCGATGCTGACGAAACGGAATTCATGGAGAACGTATTTGACGTCCTCTGCTCCGCCCTTGGCGAACCCGAGATCAAACAGCAGTTCCTGGACTCGGAGGGTGTAGACCTCATGGTGCTCATGATGAAGTGAGCTGAATGTCCTGTCAGGCAGGCCGCCTTTCTGACATCTATGCAGGGACAAGATGCAGTCTCGTTCAAGGGCTATCAAGGTCTTGGACTACGCCATGTCAGGGCCTGCGGGCACGGCTGCGTGTGAGACCTTCGTTGACGCGCTGGGCCTCAAGAACCTCTTCTCGACATTCATGGGCGGCAAGGTTCGTGGTGGCAGCTCCGTCTCAATGCACCGTCATCTTAGTCCATGTCACAGGCGGGCAAGAAGCAAAAAGTCACCGATGGCCATGCAGCGTCTGAAGATACCGCACATACACTGGGTATCGTCTCCTCATTGCTTTCCAACCTGGCCTCCGACTCCCCAGCTCGCATTCGTCTGTTGACCAAGTTCGTCGAGAACAACTACGAGAAGCCGGAGAAACTGCTTGAGATTCGAGACGCTGCCCAAGCACGACTAAAAGCGATGGAGAAGGAGATTGAAGATGAGAAGAAGGTGCGGAAATCACATCTCGTCCCTTGTATCTTCGTCTGACCCGCATATCAGCGAATGGAGGCTGACGGTGAAGAGATCGACTCTGAAATGGGTGACCTCTGGTATTTGCGTCGTTTGGATAATGGCCTGTTCACCCTCCAGACGGTCGACTATATTCTCGCCTGGATTGTCATGGAGGACGACGGGGTACGACGTCCTGCGCACTTTCCTAGTTACCCTGCTAAATTTCTGCTTCTAGGTTCGAACGCATGTCCAAAAGCTCCTGGACCGAAAGAGCCAGTCTTTCAAGGACATTGTCAAGATTCTACAGATCTACCACGACAACGTCGACGAGGACAAGACCACTTCAGAGGGCGACCCCGATGGCGCGCCGTCACAACGCGAGATTCTGCGCAACCTCATCGCCTTCCTCGAAGCCTGCTGATTATACGGACAATGTATGAAGTACAATATGTGTAGCACTAATACGGAGAGCGCCTCCGGCGCGGTCGCCCAGACTATACAACGGAGAGTGCGGCCGAGGCAAGGAGCATGTCCAGCGCGCCCTTGGCCTTCACGAGCTCTTTTTGGAACCGGATCTCGGTCGCGACCTTCTTCCGGAGGCGGACAAACAGCGTATCGATGAGTGGTGACTGGCCTAGTACGGGGGTGTACATCTCTGTGCCGGGCGTCAGCAAGCCACCGATAAATGTGTGGGGAACACTGCTCACCGATCACAACGTTGGCGACGTCGCAGACCATCTCTCCAAAACGTGGGTCGGTGATGTGTTTTAGCAATAAACGTAGCACGGGCTCCAAGAGTACATCGTCGCGTCCAGCCAAGGCTGTCCGGAGACCATCTCGGTGGACCAGCTCTTGGACCAGGGAGAAAGCTGTGGTTGGTGGGACATTCTGCGGATTACCTCAGTATCGCGCATATAGCTGGAGAATAGACTATGCACACCTTGCGCAACACCGAGTCTAGCGCTGCCGAGTACTTGAAGTTCTTCAGGAGTCGGTCGTACTCGCGCAGGCTCTTCTTCCGTTTGCTCTCCACCTTCAGCTCGTCGACGTCGCCTACAGGTTTTGACTTCCGCTTCTCTTTTACGCGCCCTTGACCGAGTGCAGGAAGTGCACCGCCGAGGAAGGACTCGAAAGCACCTGTCCGTAGAGACGTGGCCGAGAAGAGGTCTCTCGCCGCAGGCTCGGACGCCTTCGGTTGACGTCGTCGTACAGACAACGTACCGTCTGACATCCCAGTGGCAATATGTGTTTCGTCGGGCTGAACGAAGCACAGTCAGGCGAGGTATGACATTGAGAGTGGGGAAGTTGCTCACCGATATCGCCATGCACAGTATAGGCGCAGGGTACCGCATAGTATGTACGACGCGGTATGTGCTAACGTCGTACACCTTGACCATTTGGTCCAAGCCTCCGGTCAGAACCCGACTCGCGTCCGAGTTGAACGCGAGCGAGGTGATGGTCTTCTGGTGATTTGACATGGCCCTCGTACACCGGCCTCCCGCTACCAAGTCCCACACGCGCAGAATGGGGCCCGCCGTCGAGAGAGCGACGGTACCGGAGGGAAACATGAGGACCTGTTCCACTGGGTGAGTATTGCGAGTGCTGCCCTCGCCCGAAGGTTCTCCCATGACCATCTCGCATTCGCCTGTTCTTGAGTCGAACAGGCGGACAGTCGCATCGTAGGAGCCGGTAAGGATGTGATGGGGGTTTGAGGTGGAGACTTGACCTGTGCGGACGTAGTCGGTGTGGTCGAGGAAGGTGGTAATAGCTGCTTGTGATGGGACGTCCCACAGCTTCACAGTGGTATCGTCGGAGCATGATAGGACCTGCGTCTGGTCCAAGGCAGAGAATTTGGTGACATGTACGGGCTGTTTGTGGGAGTCCAGGGTACGGAGGATGGCACGGGAGTTTATGTCGAACACCTACAAGAGTTGCGCTTAGGACCAAGTACGCATGCATGTCGGGGAGTTTTCATGACCTCCGACAAGCGAGAACCGTGTATACACGTACCTGAATGAGACCACTGTCGTCTCCTGCAACTACGAGCTTCCCGTCCCCTCGTATGCAGCCACTCCGCGCGACATCCTTGAACCGCGAGATAGTCTTCGTGACCTTCTGTGTCCTAGGCGCATAAATCTGGACGCGAGTCGCAGCAGTTACCGCATAGCGGTGAGGCTTAGACGGAGCAAAGTGGACGGAGGTGACGGGGGCGTATTCCTTGATGAAGACCGGGTGCCGGTACTGCCGCCAGTACCGGGACTCCGCGTTGTGTTTGGTGGTGGCGGGGCGGGCATGCTTACGCACGACGACCGGCTGGTAATCCATGGCGAAGACTCGCAAGACGTGGGGAGCAGCGAGCTGCTGAAGACGGAGGCGCGTTCGCGGCGCTCGTGGACGAGCACAAAAAAGTTCAAAAAAGGCAAGTGCAGCGGTGCGGAGAAGGCGGACACGTGACGGGCCGATAAGAGATCGATTGATCGCTGTCTGACCGCTCCGCCAGTTATTTTTCGGCGAAAAGTGTACATAGCCCGGGCCCTCCGTCTCTCCTTGCTCTCAGGTCTCTCTCAGTCCCTCACCCTCACCCTCCTCCTCAGCTTCCCCACTCCCCCCTCAATCCGCCGCCATGCTCCTCTACAGCGACGTTGTCTCCGGCGACGAGATGTTCTCCGACGCCTTCCCCATGTACGCCCTTCCGCCGCTGTGATCTGAAGGCTACCCGGCTGACTGTCTGTGCAGCAAGGTGGTCGATGACATCGTGTACGAGGTCGACTGCCAGACGATCACCGTCAAGCCTGGCGCGGACATCGATATCGGCAAGTAGCCGCATGATCTACCCGAGCGCGATCGCGCTGACCCCGCTCTTCAATCTAGGTGCCAACCCCTCCGCGGAGGACGCAGACGAGGCCCTCGAGGAGGGGGCGACGACGGTCAACAACGTCGTCTACTCTTTCCGTCTCCAGTCGACGCAGTTCGACAAGAAGTCCTTCCTCACGTACCTCAAGGTGCGCTTCCCGATCTCGTCCCTGGCTGTGATACGCGAGATCTCACACATAACATCTCGTTTGCAGGGCTACATGAAGACCGTCAAGGCGCACCTCCAGGAGACGAAGCCCGACCGCGTCGACGCCTTCGAGAAGGGCGCGCAGGCGTTCGCGAAGAAGCTCGTCGCCAACTTCAAGGACTACGAGTTCTACACCGGCGAGAACATGAACCCCGACGGCATGGTCGCCCTCCTCAACTACCGCGAGGACGGTGTTACCCGTACGTTCCTCCTCGCCATGCGTCCGCGAAATACAGCTGACCACGATCGTAGCCTTCTTCACCTTCTGGAAGGATGGTCTCAAGGAGATCAAGCTCTAGATGTCCCGCTCGCTCGCTCCCATCCCGTCCACCTCGGATCCTTTCGCTTTTACTTATGGCGCTTATTTGGTGGTGTATCAGTCGGTTTCTGTAGGAAGAGAAGTATCAGCATCATTGTATCCCCCCAAAAGTCGCCTCAGTGCCCACAATGGATTGCATGTCACATCACAGGACTTGCATACAACGTTGAGCTCGAGCACCTGAACTTCATTCAAGTCACGCAGTGAGAGGGTTTGTCAAGAGCGTCGACTAGTAATATTTTCAGGCGGGGTGGTCCCCGACTAATACATAATAAGCGTAGGGTTATTGCGATGCATCCAGTGGTAAACCCAAAAATCAGAGCTCGTCGTGGTGGTCGTGGTCATGCTCGAGGACAACCTGCTCAGTCCCGACAGGCGTCTTGTTGCCAAAGGTGACGTTGGGGTCGAGCGGGTTCTTCGCGTTCTCCTCGACGAAGGCGATGAGGCTCTCGAGGGAGCGGTCGCCGTCGTAGTCGATGAAGTCGCGGGTTCCCGCCTTCTTGAACTTGAGGGTAGGGAAGCCAGAGACACGGAAGGGCACAGTGGGAGGGAGGTCGTTCTCGGTCGCCTCCATCTTGACACTGTTCCGCGCAGAATAAGTCACGGCACTCAGTATGAAGAGGAAAGAAGCTTACATCGTGACGCGGTCCTTGACGTTGGCGAAGTGCTCACCGAGCGAGTCCCAGGTGGGCTTGAGACGCTTGCAGTGGCCGCACCTGCAGCACTACGTCAGTCGTGGTCATAGTTTAGCAGCACGTAAGACGTACCAGGTAGCGTAGAACTCGACGAAGACGTCCTTCTCGTCGTCAAAGACAACCTCCTCAAACTGCTTGCCAACAAGCTCGAACACGGGCTCGTCCTGAGTCTCAGGGATGGGCTGGCTCTTCAGCTGGGGCTCAAGCTTGCCGTCAAGGAACTCGTTGAGCATGGTCTCGAGGGCCTCGCCGGTGATCTCCTCGCTCTGGTCGTACGGGTACTTGAGCTGCTTCTGGAGGTCCTGGAGGACGAAGCTGGGCCACTTCGCCTCGTTGAGGTTCAGGGCGCGCGCGTGGTCACCGAACTTGACGGCGTCGATCCAGACGAAGTTGACCTTGCCCCGGAACTTCGCAGCAACGGGACGGACGGTGTCGAGGTACTCGCTGAGCTTCTCGTCGGTGGGGTCGACGAAGAGGTACGCGAGCGGCTTGCCGCTGGAGGCGTAGGTCTGGTAGTTCTCCGCACCGACCTCGTCGATGATGGGGATGGAGAGCTCCTGGATCCACTCCTCAATCTCCTTCGCGGTGGCAGAGGAGATGGGGTAGGGGAACTCGGTCTGGGGCTCATCGAAGTTACGGAAGACGACGATTGCCGGGGGAGTAACGCCAGCGGCCTCCGCGATGGACTCGTCGGTCGTGAGACCGAACAGGTAGTCGTCACGGTGCTTGTTCGCGGCAGAGCTGAATTCCGGAGCAGGGACGGCCGTCGTCGACGGCAGGAAAGCAAGTGCGACGATCCGGTCTGCCTTCTTGAAGTCCTCGTAGTTCTCCTTGGTGACCTCAGAGACCGCGGGCAGGGATTGCCTGTGGCAATGTCAGTACAAAGCAGCCAAGAAACGCGCTGCAACGCACTTGGTCATGTAGCTGATGATGCCATCAGCCTTGCGGGGGCCAGTGTAGTCGGAGTGCTCCCCGTTGCGGTAGACACGGAGAGTGCTGCGGTCGACGCGTTAATGCTGGCCGCGTTGGAGTCATGACAAGGAACGTACGGGTATCCCTGGATACCATTGGTCTGGCAGAACTCGGCCTCGTCAACGCAGTTAACCTTGGCGATCTTAATGTTCTTCTCCTTGAGCGCGGTAGCGGCCTCCTCGTAGTGAGGGGCGAGAGCCTTGCAGTGACCACACCTACGCCTACTCAGCACGGCAAGCGGTTGTGTTATGATCACGTAACATACCAGGGTGCAAAGAACTCGACGAGAATGAGAGACTCCGGGTTTACGACAGCATCAAAGTTGTCGTGCGTGAGGTCGAGGACGTCCGAGCCAAGTACAGCGGAGAAGAGGGCGAAGGCGGCCGCCGAGGTGAACAGGCGCGAGAACCGCATCGTGCGCGAGGGGGTGGTGAAGGAACGGAGGGGTTTGGGCGGTGGCAGAGACCGCTAGGGTTTATAAAGACGCAGCGCTGTCGACGTGTCACTATATAAGCACCATCACCCGAGCCGAGCCCCGCTGCCAAATGTCCCACACAGGCGCCCGTCTCCTACGCCGGCCCCTTGACATCAATATCCTCCGAGCATGCCTCGCGTGCGGCGTTTATGTTCCTCAGCCCAACCTCCCCGTGGGTGAGCGCGGACTCCGTCCGGCCTTAGCACGGACATATAGCGCATCATCGTCTGTCTCGACCCTCATTTAGCCCGCTCCGGCCAACCCATGACTGACAGCACCGCAAGGCACATAAGAACCGGTCGAAGCATACGTGGCATTTCCAGACACCGTCCTCCGTCGTACACACTACAGAGACCCAAGGTCGAAGTTGCATCCCCTTTGCCGCCCCCCTGCGTACGTCTTGACGCTCGTCTGGAACGGCCGCGGCGGCGGGAAGTCCGACACCGGGAACGTGTGAGCCCCGACGGTAGGCGGGGGCGTGGGTACTGAGAACCACCGAGTGTCAGCAAGCTGTGCGGGTCCTGAGCATTGAGAAAACTGCAGAGCTTACTCTTTCGGCGCTGCTCCGAGTTTCCATTCCCGTTCAGCTTCGGCACCAATCCAGATCCAAATCTGCTCGGGGGTGCAGACGGCGGGCGCAAGTTGGACCCCGACGACGTCCGTGAGCGCACCGGAGGAGGTGCGCTAGGCGGCGGAGGCGGGGGTGGTGCGCTCGGTGCTGCACTATGGCGCGCTGGAGGTGCTGAGGGTGGAGGAGCAGGCGGGGCCGATGGCGGCGGCGGCGGTGGCGGAGCAGCAACGGGAGGAGGGGCGTGCCTGGCAGGAGGCGGAGGCGGAGCTGCGGGGACTGCAGCCGTCTCAGACTGTACCCGCTGCCGGACAGGAGGAGGCGGAGGAGGTGCCTGTGTGCTCCTGCGTGCTGGAGGTGGTGGTGGCACTGGGCGCCCGTGAGACGCGGCGCTACTTTCGCTGTTATGCACGGCTAGAGAAGAGGGACGCGGTGGAGGTGGTGGTGGCGCACGCCCGCCTGCACCTGGAGGTTGAGGGACCTTGCGGTGTGGCAGCGCTGACGATGGCCGTGGAGGTGTCTCCGGCCTGCCTCCGCGACTTGCTGGCGAGGACGTGCGAGGGGGTATAGCCGGCGGCGCTGGTGGGGAGGCCGCGCGAGGCGGGGGCGGGACTTTGCGTGGTGGAGGAGCCGGTGCGCTGTTGAATGTCGAGGGAGGGCGCGATGGAAGAGTCGGCGCAGCACGTGGTGGGAGGCTCGGTGTAGCTCGTGCTGGAAGACTCGGGGACGATCGCACTGGGAGGCTCGGAGCAGCTCGTGGGGGCGCCGGCGGTGCAGCGGGGGGTTTGGCGGGCGATGGTCGGTTGGGTGGAGGTGGGGGCGGGGCAGCAGGCGTGGAGGACGTTTCGCGCTTGGGTATCGAGGGTGGTTTCCCTAGCGCAGGCGGTTTACCTGGCAGACATGCCGTGTCAATTGTATCCTTGGTACCGCATAAAAGCAACGTACCCAGTTGGCTTGACCCAGCCGGCTTTAGCTTGGGCATCCCACCCGCAAACAGCCCCGCGAGCTGTGGAGGACCTCCGCCTCCAGAGGACGAGGGGCCCATCGCAGGGGCTCCCATGCCACCTCTACCGCCACCCCCGGCCCCCTTGGGCTTCTCGATTATAGGCGCACTGCGGTCGATTGTTTCGGCCTTTTTGAGTTTCTTGCCAGCCTGGATCTGCTTGAGCAGGTCCGATGAAGCCATCTACGTTGGATGCGAGGGGTGTCGTGTGTCCTGGTGCAAAAAGAGTGAGATGTGGACCGCAGCGCGGATGTTCGACGCGGGCGGTACGAGATAAAGATGCGTAGACGCCCAGCGGCACTATTGACATCACCGCGCTTGCAGTGCCACAGGTCGGTCCAATCGCGCTCGCAGTGAGCTCAGCATCGTGCGAGCACAACGGCCATTTTAGCCAAGGCAGTCAGTTGGAATGAATGTACGATTAGGGGCACAGTGGGTATCCAATATGTACTACTAGTGATCACAAACAATACACTAATCCCCGCTCAAAACATCGGAGAGTGCGGCCGCGCACAGCGACTCATGGCCGCTGCCGCTTAGTGGACGGGTGGGACCGCAGGTTGTTCGCTCCGAGGTCGAGCGGGGGTAGCTCCGGACAGCTGCCGCTGCGCCTGCGTGTATGTCCTGGGGTGAAGTCTTGTGCCTCCACGCCGTCCGCAGTCGTCGGCCAAGCACTGCGCAGGTTCGGCGACGAGCCCGACATGGGCGGGGACCTCGGCCCGCGCAGCCTGCCTGAGCCTTGTGCGCGCTCGTGCGAGGTCAGCGGGGGTGACAAGGGCGTCGGGACACCATGCCCTGGGGAGCCCCGCATCGACGACGAGGGTGTGTCAGGCGTGGTGGGCGTGCGCACGCGATCCGGGACCGTGAGGTGCTGAGCGGAAACGGGGCGCGGGCTCGACGGAAGGCCGGGGAGTTGGAGGCCAAGGCGCGATGGAAGAGGGCTCGATGGTCGGGAGGCGCGCAACGAGTGTGGACGGCTAATGACCAAGCGCTTTGCAGCGGCGGAGGATTGGCTTCCGCGCCACGAACCGGTCTTTAGGCCGGCACTAGAAGTTTCCGCGTTGGCTTCTGCGACGGGTGGCAGCTCGTCTCGCCCGCCGAAGGTCCTCCCCGACGCGAAGGACTGGCGCGGGGCACTCCGCCATGGCAACTTAAGAGACGTTTCCCCCGGCGAGCGCAGATTCCTGCTTCCTTGACGGGACAGCATGCTTGAGACCTTCTGACGCGAACTGCTGCTTGTCGTGCGATTGAACGCGAACGTCGACGTCGACTGATTCGAGTAACGCGCGGTGGGCGTGGCGTCGGAGGAAGACTGTGACACGGTGTAGTCGGACGGGGTCGCAGTGGTACTGGGCGACCATATCTTTGTGTCCTTCGTGTCCCTCCGCTCCCTCCTTGAGGGGGTTTTCGCCGAGGAGAGGCGCACAATGTCGGAACCAATGATGCTGAGCCTCGCCGCCTCCATGTCCTCGATCACGACTTGGACGTGAGGACGCTGTCGCTTCGGGTGCCTAGGCACGATGGGCCCGGTGTGGATGTGCCGTTGGAGCTGCTCTTCAAGCTGCTCGACATACTTGACCTGGAAGGGCAGAATCTGCCTTGCTTGGAGGTCGGCGAACATAGGCGTATCTCCAATGCGTGGCGGAGCACTGTAAGGGGCAGTTACAGGCGGCAGCGGCTTGTTGTATCCTCTAGGAGGACGCGATGGTCCGGGGCTACCAAGCACAGCAGCACCGCGGTTGGGGGACCCGACTGGGGAACTGCGCACCGTAACAGGTGAAACCTGGCGCGAAAGTTGCGTGACTGGCAAGGGAGTGGGAACACGAGAAGTAGGCAGAATCGGTTCGGCGTCCTGATCTTGCGCTACCAAACTATCGACCTTGTAGTTGAAAGCCACTGGGGGAGGACATGAGGTACGCTCTACTCAGAAAAGAAGAAGACTCACTGAGCACGATCAGAGCTCCGAGGCTGAAAGGGATAAATTGGCCGAGCACGTTGAGGCGAATGACGTTCGGGGCGAAGGTTAGAATATCGATAAGTAGGAGGCTGACTGCTCGTGCGACTTGAAGATTGGCAGACTGCGAGACCATGACACGCCACCCATACTTGCGATTCTCCCAGGCTAGACAGCGAATGGCAACGTACAGCTCCAAGAGGATGAAGCCAATCGAGGTGAGCAGGGCGGTGGGCAAAAACCTGATGCATCACTTTCATGAGCGACGAATAGCAAGGCGTAAACATAGCCACCCACTGAATCTTGACACACATGGCGATCCCCAACGTCTGGATGAACACCATGTCCCCTGTGTTAGTGGCGTTGAAAGCCAATATAAACGCTGCGACATGTCAGAACATGCAACATGTAAACGCATTGAAAACATACACAGTGCGATGACGAGAGCGGTGCACAAGCAGTAGAACTCCACGTTGGTTGTACTGCGCTGTTTAAGGTGCAGCACAAGGACGGCGAGACCGATGAGGCGCGCGGCCTGGGCGGCCATATTGGCCCATGCGACTGTGAAAGCTGCGTATGACCGCATGAGCCCGACGCTCTCATTCCAATGAGTATGACTCGTACCACAAGCGGTATCCGCGCCTCCAGGATCGTAGGCCAGTATGGAGCAGAACTCGGCAAAGCTCGCGAAAACGAAGCACAAGTTCAGAGTGAAGACTAGTGCCGCCTCATTAGAGATATTCTGAATGCCCGCCAGGCGGCCCTCCTCCCGTCGGGAATACTTCTCCAGGTTTGCAGATGTACGCGCTTCGACATCGGCGGTTTGCGTGCGCGCAGAGGTCCGGCGAATGAAGTTCCAGCAGATATGACCCAGGAGTTGGAAAAATTGTGACCTGTACGCGTATGACACGCTGCACCAAAAGACCCATCCCAGCAAGAAGCCCGCTGTCGCACGACTGCGCGACTGCGGAGTTAGCGACTGCAACCAACACTTATAGACAGTATGGGTAGAGAGACTCACAAATCAGGGTGCCGCAAAAACTCTGCCGCAAGCGGATTCTGGATGTCCTGAGGGAGAAAGGCGGGTGTAGACATTCGCTGGTTCGTAGAATCGTGAAGGGCGCGGATTGCTGCAGCAACATGAACGGTCCAGCCAGGTATAAAAAGTCGAGACAGTCCAGCTGTTAACGCGAGAGGCCAGCTCGACAAGGAACGAATGGACTGGGTCAGGAAAGGGGAAGGTCGTGCTCCGGACGAGCGAGGCAGTCGGAGACAGGCATATGAAGATCAAAAGGGGGGTCTGCCGGCGGTTGGTGCGGTTCTATGGTGATGAAACTAGCGGGGTCGAGATCAGGTTGATCGGCTTTGCCACCGACCAGTGTTCAGGACCACAGCCGCTCGCAGCTCGACTGAGTCAAGTGAGACGCACTGCGTGCATATATTGGAGTTTTGGAGGAGAGTCGTTGGTCAGACGGAGTGAACGCTGACCTGCGTCTCCATAACCGTCCTCTCCGAATCGCCATAGCTATCTAGGCACGCGCGCCACGAACGCGGACGGCGGGTCGACCATCGGGCGGTTTTGAGGTATCTAGCAAAGTCTGCTTTCGAGATATTGTGGATGAAATTAGAGGGCGACGGCAGAAGCACGACGTGGAGGAGTTAAGCAAAGATTGTTCTTTGTCTCTCGCCGAGCTGTCAAGCTGCCTCACGGCCCTCAGCTGCCTGCAGCTTGGCAGACCCGAGATTTAGCGGAGAGGCGCCTACGGGCGACGGGCCGAGGCACGTTCCAGCGCTTAGCTTCTCAAGGACCCCGTAACCGTTTGGCACGTGGAACAGTCCGGGGTCTTACCGCTCACCAAATCAGCAAGAGCATGGCTGGCCGCTGTCAACGAAGCCATCGCCCTCCTCAAGACCCCCCTTCCTCAAGGTAAGTAGTCGTTTTCAGCCCTCTGTGCCGTCCCTGCCGCCCATAGTAGGAGTGGAAATTGATTTGGGAGCGAAACGGTGGAAGATACGTGCCGGAGGAGGATGGATGGCTACCGACTGAACCGGATGAGGAACATCGGATACTAACCTCTGGTCAACTCTGCAGATGCCGTTCGTCAAGAACCTCAAGTCCGACGCCTACTTCTCGCGTTTCCAGGTCAAGTACCGCCGCAGGCGTGAGGGAAAGACTGACTGTACGCTACACGATATACACACGATGTGAATTATACTCATCCTGCTGCAGACTACGCGCGCAAGCGGTTGGTGACCCAGGCGAAGAACAAGTAGTGCGTCGCAACACAAGTCCGTAGCTGTCGTTCCCTCCTGACTGTTTTACAGCAACGCGCCGAAGTACCGTCTGGTTGTCCGCTTCACGAACCGTGAGGTTCTGGTCCAGATCGTGTACGCTCGCCTTCAGGGCGACTTCGTGCTGTGTGCTGCGCGCTCGAAGGAGCTCCCCCGCTACGGCATCAACCACGGTCTCACTAACTGGACTGCCGGTATGTTCCCAACCCATTGCATGTCATCTAGTGCTCACGATCCTTTTTTCCCACTCTTAGCATACGCGACCGGCCTTCTATGCGCGCGTCGTGCCTTGACTAAGCTCGGCCTCGCTGAAAAGTACCAGGGTGTTGAGGAGCCCGATGGCACTCTCACCCTCACGGAGGCGCTCGACGAGGAGGATGCCCCCCGTCCCTTCAAGTGCTACCTTGACGTCGGCCTCAGGCGCACGTCTACCGGTTCGCGTGTGTTCGGTGCTCTGAAGGGTGCCAGCGATGGTGGTATCTTCATCCCCCATAACCACAAGCGCTTCCCCGGCTACGACGTCGAGTCCAAGGAGCTCGATGACGAGGTCCTGAAGAAGTACATCTTCGGTGGCCACGTCGCGGAGTACATGGAGTCCCTCGAGGAGGAGGATGACGAGCGGTACGTGCATATGCAATCATGCGGGGGATTCAAAAACTGAAAGCCCGTTTAGCTTCAAGAAGCAGTTCGCCACCTACCTTGCGGACGGTGTCGGTTCCGAGGACATGGAGGAGATCTACACCAACGCCTACGCCGCGATCCGTGAGGACCCCACCTTCAAGCCCAGCGACAAGTCGAAGGACTGGGCCTCGGAGAGCAAAAAGTTCCGCACTCCCAAGCTTACGCTGGAGCAGCGCCGGGCTCGCATCCAGGAGAAGATCGAGGCCTTCCAGACCGAGCACGCCGACGAGTAGATATACCTTCGCGTTGTTGGCCTCACCGCCTGTCCATGTATTACGCTCCCTCTACGCCGCCTATGACACTAAAACCAGGCTATGCTCTGACATGCTTTCGCTGCATATATTACACGTGTGATAAGCTGTTCAACTGCACTCTCTAAGTACACGCTCGAAGAAACAATCATCGCCCCAATGAAGTGTCAATAGTATGGCGAACCCACTCAAACAGAGATAGCTGTCCTCCTGGTCGGTAAGCCTCTACATGCGAGATGCGGCCGTCCCGATGCGCCCTTGACGCTGTGCAACCAATGTTATCGTGGTGAAACGATATTTGAAAGTTTCTGCAGGCACGTCGTGAGCACGCTTGATGCGACGGACGGTGAGACGGCACTCACAACACACAACCCTCCCATTTCCCGACGCTTCTGCCGCTGAGAAGATCCACGAACCACGTTCCGTTGACCGTCTTGCACCGCTCAGTCCCGATGTCGCATATTCGATACAGCAGACGGCTGCTAATCTCGTCGACGAGCAGCTGCGTGAGCTGGAATATGGACGCGATTGGGAGCGTAGCTTGCGGAAGATGCGCCGTAAGTGTCGATGGCGAGGTTGTGGTAAAGCGGAGGGTATGCCTGCGAAGTCGCATTCAGCGTCAAAGACACCGACAGGGTGCGCAGTGATGCCATACCTGTCGTCGATGCGTAGCAAAGCTTCACCGCCGACCGGGTCCATCTTCTCGTTCTGGAGAGATCGGCCAAGCGCCTCACCGCTGTCTGCGACAGGGTCGTAGTGTACTCGCGCGGACACACCCGCGAGCCGCAGGGCTTTCACGACATGGTCGATCTCGTCGCGCACGCGCTCCCAGAACTCACGGTACTGCAGGATGTCGATGATAGGCTGTAGGAGCGGGGGTGGCTGTACTGCGGGGGGCACGATGCCTGGACGGAATATGCTAATCCTGCTCAAGCGCTGCACCTTCAGCACGGAATGCGCCCGTAGCAGGAGGACGTGCAGGGAGGAAAAGATAAGGTCGCATACGGGATCGGTACGTCCGCTAGACGTGATGGCCATACTGTCTGCGTCGACCTATGGAACATGGGTGAGCAACATGCCGTGAACGAAACATATGCGAAAAACTTACTAGCTCGAAGCGAAGCTCGGTATTTTGCCCAGCGTCGATCATGATGAGGCGCTCCGATACCTCGGCCGAAGCGGTAGGAAGGCTGCTCGCTTCCTTGATGAGCGCGGCGAATATCTCCTGCTCTACAACCTCGGCTTGCGCCGCGCGCAATCCGCCGTCCAGGGAACCGTTGTCCGGGTTGGTTAGGATGCTATGAGACGTGCACCGGTTTCCATCCGGGCTTGTCCGGGTCAGAGAGATACGCAAACGGGTCCGTTGGCGCACGGGGAACTCGAGGGCGTTTCCGGAATCGACACGGCCCATCGCGGCCATGCGGCCAATGGCACGTCTTCGGAATACAGGAGGAGCTACACAAACGTCAAACAAGCGCATACAACGAGACAGGCAATCGTACGTACATTCTTCCAGTCCAAAAGTGATCAGGAAATCCTTCGAGGTCTTGTCTGCCCCCTTTCCAATGACTGAGCCGAGGGGTAGAGGTGCAGGGATCAAGCCCCAGTTCCCTCGGCGTATTTTGAGCGCGTCCAACCAGTACTTTTCGCCAGCTACACGGCTTTCCTCCATTTGCTCGGCGGCTCCTTTGAAGAGGTCGGCGGCCGCGCGCAACGCCTTGTCCTTCCCGCCTATAGCCAGCTGCGCGTCGAATGCGCGTACGGACACTATCGGTGGGGGCTTGTTGACCACAGTCGCAGCAAGTGGCGCGGGCGGTAGTGAAGAGGCCTGCGAGGGCGTTGATGAGGAGAGCAGGAGGGTCAGGAGATCTCGCGCCTGGGTCATCTCTCCGAACGCGATGCTGCTCTCAGTCCAGTCATCCATGCTGCTATTGGGCGAGATGTTGACTTACTAGAGCTGAGGTAGCAAGTTCATGCGCATCTTGTAGAGCTCTTCAGGAGTCATCGTGTGAGAGGTCTCAGCGGGCGCATCATCCTCCATGTCGTCCTCCTCGTGTGGTGCCGCATCTTGGGATTGTAGCGGTGGCAATGTGCGCGAGTTCTTGTGTACTTCAAAAAAATCATGGCCGCGTTCTACGAAAATCCGCCGTAGCTTCGTCCCAACTGTAGCGGTGGGGTCTTCACGCCTAACATAAGGTCTTAGCAAATGGTATATATGAGGTTAAACTATATAGGTGGAAGTGAAAGGGGTCCCGGATGGACGGCATCCACTGGTGTGCCCTTCGTCGCATGATACTTCGACTTTTTTGCGAGCGCAACCAACGCTAGCGCCTTCAGCGGCAAATTAATTGCCACACAAATGGGCGGGTGGGTTTGCGATTCAGTCGTATCCTTGCAGTGGGCTGCGAGACTATGCTATTCGAGAACTCTCCTCTTCCTCCCCGGTATACAGAGCGCGTTGAGACTTACGGGCGGTAAACATGCTGCCCTTCCGGCGTGATATCCAAGAGCTCAGGTATCGGCTCGCCACTATCATCTTTGTAGGGGCGCTCCAGAGACAACTTGAGTTTCTTCCACGGAGGTTCCTCCACGAGGTCGGTCTGCGTGTGGTCCGGTGTTGGCACTAGTTGTGACATCGAAGCATAGGGCGTATCTGCCGCGTTCGTGCGCGATGACTCGAGGATTACGAGAGGTGAGTCAAGTTGAGAGAAGCAGGTCAAGGAGAACGCGGTGAGTGTGGCTGTCGAACCCTCGCGGTAGCTCCTCGCGGTGCGCGCCCACCGGGAGCGCGCGCGATTCGCGGCACGTGCCAGTGCGGGCGCCTGAAAGCGGAACGAAGGCCGCAGAGAACTCAGGGCGGAGTGCAACTTGACCTGAATCCCTCTCCGTCTTTTCCCTGTCTCCGCTCCGACCTTCTTAGCCGCATATATAAACCCGCTGGCCGTGGGCGCGATGGTCAAGAACACCCCCGGGATGACTCCGGACGGCACACCCGGCCTCACTCCGGCTCGACGTAGGTCTGAGGACGAACTGGACTCCAGTCGCGCGCACAAGAAACCGCGGACACGAGTAAGGTATGAGTCATGACACTACGCCCGTTGCATGATAATTGAACAACCACTTGCACAGCTATTCGTGCGGCGAGTGTCATCGGCGCAAACAAAAGGTATGTGAAAGGGAACTATACTGGGGAGGTCTGGTTGTTGACAAGTAAACTCTCAGTGCGATAGACAAGTCCCATGCTCGCATGTCAGTTCAAGCAAATCGTAGCGACCCTTCCTGCACGACACTGACTAGGTTTTCACAGTGCATCGCTCGCAAGGTCCCGGAGCTTTGTAAATCCTACACTCCTGGCAAAACCGACCAAGACATACATGTGCGCCTGGCTCGACTGGAGCACATTGTCGAAACCGCCCTCCCCCACTATTGGTCTCGCGGCGATGATACCCCCAATTCGGATGGCAGTGGTCACAATGACAGGCGACGCTCTATGTCTCCCGCTGACGACGGGAACCGCTCTCCGGCGGAGGACGAGGATCCGAGCGGAGGCATCTTCGAGAGCGGGAGATGGTTTGGGAAGAGTGCTTCTGGTATAGTAGCCGCACCATCTGTGCTTGAGCAGGTTTGTCCGGGGACTTCTCTGAGGGCGCTCTCTCATTGACATTTTGTAGCTGCAAAATATGGTCCCAAGCCAAGGACAAGACAACGAAGCCAGCAGTAGCTCGCACCAAACACACCCGGACATATTCAAGCCAGATCGTCCGCCGAGCCTAGCGCCCATAGAACAAACAGCCATCGAGCGACTCCAGCGGCTCATACAGGACTGCGGCTACAGCTCCGAACGTCTCCAGAACATGTACAACGAGCTGCCCCCTCGCAAATTACGCGATGATCTCGTGGACCACTACTTCACTACTATGTTCGTATGGCGCGACGCGTTCCAGGATGGTATCTCTGACCTTTACGTACCAGAAATTGGACCCGCTATCCAATCTCAGAGCATGAGTTCCGTGCTTCGTATGCGGCGTTCATAGCGAACGAACACAACCACGCGAACCCCAACAACATCCGCTTCCTCCCTCTGCTTTTCGTAGTGTTAGCAATATCTGTGCGGTTGGCGCCTGAACGTATCGGAGGGTCGGAGCAAACCAAGAAGACAGCGGGTTCCCGCTATTACTGGTGTTGTGAGTACGATTCGATAAGTTTGCGTCACTCCAGCTAGTCTAATTTGTCGCCTACAGCCCGGCGCGCACTTCTCATCATAGCTGCTATCCAGCCCGACTGCTTTGAGGTGGTGTTGATCAGGATGCTTGTGCGTGATTTCACTCATATATCCAGTATGATTCTGACTTTCTTGTAGAGCGCCCGCTTCCTCGTCCTAGACCGTCGCATGACAGAATCTTGGAGTCAATTGGGGGCCGCTGTCAGAACAGCGCAAGCCATAGGTTTGCACCGTGATGGCGCCGACATGGTAAGCTTACCATGCCACAACTTTGTTTCGTTGCTAATGTTTGTCCGCAGGGCATGGATTCGTTGCAAGTAGAGAGAAGACGCCGCATATGGTGAGCCCAGCACTCGTGTGATATGCGTCATGCCGATTTATCTTGCTCTTAGGTCAAATCTGTATCACGCAGATCGGTCGATCGCGTTGGTGCTAGGCAGGCCGATCGCAATTCATGACAGCTACACATCAACGCGCCCACCAGTGAATACAGACGAAATGACGGCAGACGGTCGTTTCAAGACGACGCCCCTCACCCAACCTACCCGTACGGCGTTCTTAATCTTCCGACATCAGCTTGCTGGGATCATGGGCCGCATGTCCGACTTCTTCCAAAACGTGAACTCTCCGCGGCACTACGCCGATGTCATTACCTTGGACGACGAGCTGCTCAAATACAAGCAAAACCTCCCACCTTTCTTCTCCCTCGACCCCGACACCTCATACGACCACTCTCATCCCTACATCCCTTTGCAGCGGTTCCTCCTCGTCACTGAGTTCCTCTTCGTCCGGATATCGCTTCACCGTCCATACCTCCTACGGAAGTTGGACGGTAACAAGTATGCGCGCTCCAGAAGCGCCTGCTTCGAATCCGCTCTCAAGGATTTCGAGATTCGGCAAGAGTACTTTGCGACGATCTCTCGTACCGGCCGCGACCCCGTCGCTAGCGCCTATCGTGAGTTCCAGGCAGCCATGATCGCCGGCATCTACTTGGTGCTCTATCCGAAAGGCAAGGACGCCGACCAGATGCACGCCGTCTTGGATAATTTCCTGGAGCGCCACGAACGCATACCGGAGATGGACGACATCACGCGGAGGGAGATGAAGATCATCGAGTTCCTGAAGAGCAGGTCGTCTCAACCCGGCGCTTCACCCGAAAGTGCCCCGGAGCACAGACCTTCCCCCGACATGCGCTTATACCAGGCCAACGCGCCCGCACTCGCCCACCTACGTGCAGTCGCGCCGAAGCCCCCTCATCACCATGCGCTCTCCGCCTTCTCTCCCTCCTTCGCCTCCGTCCCGTCTACACCAATGTCAAGCGCTGCCCACCACGGGTACGCCTCTTTGGCCGGGCCCTCGACTGTGCAGCAAGTCCAGCACCTGCAGCAGTCCGAGAACGCGTCGCACTCGGGCACGGGCAGCCCCGGGGGCGACGAAGACTCGACCGCACAGTCGCTGCTCGACCAGTGGTGCAATATCTTCAGCGGCGGCCCCGCAGTGGACGACGCGCCGTCGGGCACGGGGCTCCCGTGGGCGACGCCAGGCCTGGGGGATCTACCGGGGTGGACGGGTGCGGGCCATCCGGCGGTGACGTCGCCGCTCGTGGGCAGCGACGCGCTGCCGAACGTGGACGGGTCGGACTGGAGCTACTGGGAGACGTTGGTGAACCAGATCAGGAGTGGGGCCGTGTCGTAGACGGACACGGGTGTGCGCGGGGTCGGTGTTGCGTTGTTATGCTATTCACTAGATATTCGAGACTGATCTGTACGTGATGTGTTGTTGGACATATATAGAGGAACGCGACTCCTTTAACGAAGTCGTCGGCTCTTCGCACGAGCGAGTGAGATTTTACTAAGTACAACGGCGATGGCCCAACACCGAGTACGGTCAGGTTTAACATCCTGCAAGTCGACGACGCAACCGAACGATGTATGTATGCTATTGCACAGAACCAGACATGCTCACCTATTGATATTCTTCACCGTTTCCTCTTTTTGACAGGCTGCTCGCTACCACGTCCATAAGGTCGTGTCTCCGGTTCCTCCTCTATGTCGAACTCAGCCTCGGTTCTCTGTGTCCGACTGGGGCCCTGCAGCCAGCTACGCCTCCGATTGGTCGCCGACCCTGTGCTCTCCGCGGAGGCGCCGGATAGCTGCACGGAATGGCGAGATGACGTGGATGCATGAGTCGACTCGGTCGAGTTCCTTTCAGGCTCTCCGTACGAACTCAGGCGCCGCTTAGACTGCGGTCTTGGGTTCGTCCTGAGGTTTGAGCCAGCGATGCTTGACGTCGTTGCCGGGTCCCCCGTAGAGGTTTCCGGTGCGACCGGCCGCTCCCTCAGCTCCTTCCTATAGTCATACCGGGCGGCTGCTGTCAAGGAGTGTGGGCTGCTGGAGGGGCCCTGAGCGGTAGGTGTGCGGCAGTCGTCCTCAGATTCAGGCGACCTGCGGAAAGGCCGCGCTTCCCCTGCCGGGATAAAGGCATTCTGCGCGCGGGGAGGCGTCGCTAGGCGAGGATGCGACAGCGACGGCCTTCTCTCCGTCCGTCTCTGGGTGTCCCGGCCGGCGCTTTCTTGAGTTTGTGGACTAGTGTCGTGCGCGTTCGTCCTCCGAAGATGCCTGTCAAGCAAGCCCAACCCGTCTGAGGCGGGGGGAGCCGACCTGCGGGGCGGTGTAGGCAAGGAAGGAGGAGACGTTGCAAACGGAGAGGGCGTGGGAGTAGGTGATCTTCGAGCCAGAGGGAGCACAGGGGTTACAGATCGTCTGGACTTGGAAGGCGCACTACCGGCGGAGGGAAGAGATCTCGGCGTAGGAAGCCCACCGGGAGGAAGCGATCTTCGGGACGTGAGAGGGCTCGGTGTGCTCGACTCGAACTTTGAGACCTCCATATCGACATCCTCAGGCGTACGGCGGGCGCGAGACATCGAGACGTCCGTATCGGCGTTTTTTGGGCTTCGAGGGTTGTGGGCGGAACGTTCATCTACTGACGAGTGTCTTGACAACCTGGAATGTGCGGCGAGAGTCGAGAGGCGGCTGTGCATCGTCGTTGTGAGCCCCGGGCTTAGGTCGGGCGCTTCGTACAGAAGTTCTGGGTCCGGATCCTCCCTGAGGGCGTCCCAGAGCTCGATCCCAAGAGTATACGAGGGATTGGTAGTCGTTGAGCGGGTGAGGGTGAGTCGTACGGTGATGTCTTTTTGTGTTGCCAATCGCAGAAAAAATTCCTTCGAAGCCGTGCCGTCCCGGAAAGTCCATGACGATCGAACGTGGCTGTCGTCGTCCATCCTATGGGGTGCCGCATGTCGAGCGGGCCATGTCCTGTCAGGGCTGCTCAAGATTACCGTGGCGCTGAGGTAGTGATAGCTGACTCCGAATTGGCAGTCACAACGTCGCACGTAGATGTTGATGCATTCTGAGGATAGTGTGGAGTCTTCAAGTACAATGGTGTACGGATCCCTGGACATATTGCTCGTCAGCTTGCAACCAAGAGTGCAGGAACACAATTTACGCACCTGCTGGTAGTTTTGCGTATGCTGTAACCACACGCCTTCAGAAGATCGTGAGACCATGCAGCGATGTGTAGGTCGAACGCCTCATCCGACGACGCACTCCGCAGAGCAGTGTGTAGATGGACGTCGCGCTGGAGGTTGTAAGAAGCTGATGAGGGCCAATAAGGGATGTACGACTCTGGCTGACGCCACATGTGAGCCAGACTCCTCAGCTTGTCTACCGACATGGACGTCATACGAAAGTAGTGCTCCGAGAGCGCGCTGGCGGGGGTCATGGAGAAGGGGGCGATGGTGTCGAATGCGCCAATGATGTCGTGTAGCTGCCCCACCACCGCGCCGACAAAGTACTCTCCTTCAGGTCGGTGCGGTTGAGAGCGCAGAAGAAGGGCCACGATATTCCCGTCCACGGCGTCCTGGCAGGCTAGGAGCGCAATGCATGTGGGAACATTGGTATGTGGGTCCGTGGCGCGGATCGCGAGCAGCGGGAGACGAGTGCGGACGCCATACGGCGTGGTAGTGTAGGTCGGCCGGTGGTCGAATCGCACTTGGAGAAGCTGCAACAATTTGTCCCATGGGATGTTGACAAGATGGGAGCAACCTAGGAAGTCTCGTGGGGAGGACGCGAGTAGGAATTGGTGCAAGGATGATGTTTCCAGAGAGGGTCCGGCGCGCAGCTGGTCGGAAGAGGGGTACGGGTTCAGAGAGCGGAATGTGAAGTCGTGGTTAGGGAGGATAGGGCCCCATGCGAAGATTGTCTGGTCAGAAATACGCTTCACAATCTCCTCCTGCAAGCGAATGAAGGCGTATCGGCCTTCTCCATAGGTTGAAGGCATGTGCACTCCGAAGATCCCCATAAGCGAGTACGCCTCGTCTTCTTCTCGCGTCGTTTCGCGTTTGGATGCCCAAGACATACGACAGGCGACACTAAACTCCTCGAGGGCGCGCTCCCCAGTCAAGACCGCGCGATCGATCCCAGTGACCGCTTGGATTAGGTGGGCGAGGGTGTGCTTCGTGCCGAGGATATCCCAGGTGTTAGACAGGAATACGACGGTTCTTGGGGCGAGAAGCTCCTGTAGGGTCCAGCCGCGTTTATGCCATCGGCTGATTTGAAACAAGCTTCCGGGGGCCTCGAGCTCGACAGTGGTCGTGGTGGAGACATCGACAAGGTATACGTAGCATACATCCGCGTAGCGATACCAGTCGTACATCGAATTGATTGCTTCAGAGAGCTCGGAGCTGCTCGTCTGGTCGATGCAGCAGGCGTCGGTCCACGCGTATTCGTAGTCGTGCTCGGCCGCGACCTTGCAAAAGGCCTTAATTTTCTCGGAAGAGAAGAGGTGTACCACCGAGGACTGGTCCGAGTTGTCCGACACAAGATGTGAGCCGTTTCTGGAGGCCGGGTGGGCGTTGTGGATGTTTTGTACGTCTTGAAACGTCATCTCCGGATAGTGACGTTCGCCCTCTCTTGCCCAGACGTGAGACAAGATCGCATACTTGACGGTACGCGGATCATGAAAGGTGTGAAAACGACCCGTTGTCGTGTTTAGAAGTCTCATATCAATGACTCCTGCTTGTTTTTATATCAGTATCTGACCCTGCAGGGTAGCTATAAGGAACTCAAGAAGTAGAAGCCATTTCTCACCAAATCTCGCGCAATTAACCGCCGCTACGTCCAATGTAGTCTTCTACTTGCTTAGACCTCCCTTCGCGCTGTGAAAATGATGAGAGGGGCACCACATGATCAATGAGATAAGAGAGCATACACAACGGCATCCGCTCGCGGGTGGTAGAGTGATGGGGGGAAGGGTAAAGCAAATGAGCGCTCCGCCTGCCCGTCCCATACATGCTACTTATCATGATTAGTTACGTACATCTGGAGGGCTGACAAGCAGGTACGATGAGCTTTCCGATGAAGCGTTCTTTTGAAGCACGATGTCAAGACTTTGATGTAACAACGAAGGCGCACGAATGAACGCTGTTGGGCAGTGCTACTAGTAGTGGACTGATGGCGAGGCTTCATCGGTTCCGGAGTCAGTATGTGCGGAAATAGATCAGTTTCCGCGCTGTATATGAAGGTAACTACGCACTGCTTTGAAATTCATGGAACTGCGAAGACTCTGGCACGGGTGCACGGCCGTATATTGCTGGATGGTAGGCCTCAGACCTGCCCAATATTGTTGCCCATCATAAGAATCCTGAACGTGATAGCGATTTAATGTGGTCGATGTGGGCAATCACGGTCAGAAATCCTTAAAAACCGGTCAGTGAAAAGCGCTAACCAGTTTGAACTCTACTGACGCCATGCTATGACTTCATCATAGATGCCACGTGCGCTACTAAGGGCGGAGCGGCATCCTGACCGCATGGGATCGGGCTCTATACTCGCCTGGTCTGTCTGGGTTTCTTCCTGACACTACCGTCGCCTGTTCTCGCCTGTTCCTGACTGTGAAAGGCGCACCAGTTGGAGTAAGTATTGCAGATGCCGCTCTTAATTATTGACGGAGGACTCACATATACTTCAGCTACGTCAAGCGCCTGCTGGAGACCTTACATCTCCGTCGACGCGAAGTTCGACAGACAACCGCCATGGCGAAGCGCACACATAATGAAGACAGCGTAGAGCCCGACTCCCAAGGCCCTCCCCGTACGAAATCACGACACGATTCACCAGAAGCTTCACCGCCGGAGCCAACGAGAATCCTCTCGTGGAATGTAGAAACACCTGTTCCCTTCCTGCAGCTCCCCACGACCCAGGCACGATCCGCCACAGGCGCAGGAGTCGTCGCAGGAAGCGACCCCGGACAGCTGCGCGACCTCCTCCGCCGCCACGACTTCCCGGACTTCGTGTGCTTGCAAGAAGTCCGCGCCCGCCACACCGACAAGCAGTGGATCCCCGCGCTCCGGCTCGCCGCGAACTATGGCGCGCACGACACGGGCCCAAAGTACACGCTCTTCCACTCGCTGAACCGCGCCCCGCGCGGGCAACGGCACTTCGGGGTCGCGACGTACGCGCGCGAGCCGCACACGGTCGTGGCGGCGCGCGAGGTCGATTGGGACGCAGAGGGCCGGGTGCTGATCCTCGAGCTGCAGGCGGGCTGGGCGCTCGTGAACGTGTATGCGCTGAACGGGAGCGAGTACATGTGGCGCGACCCGCTCGGGAACGCGGCGCCGAAGACGCGCAACGAGCGCAAGCGCGAGTTCAACCGGCTGCTTCTGGAGGAGTGTGTGGCGTTGCAGAGGCGAGGGCTGAGGCTGGTTCTTATCGGCGACTTCAACATCTCCCTGACGAAGCGCGACTGCTTCCCGCGGCTCCGCACGGAATACCCGCATGGGCTGGCGCGGGCGGAGTTCAGGGAGCAGTTCATCCCTGGGCTAGATGTGGTGGACGTGTTTCGTGAGATGTATCCACAAACGAGGGCGTACAGTTGGTTTGCGAAGGGGAAGCCGCAGGGGAAGGACTGCGCGCGGGTGGACTATGCGTTGGTGGAAAGCGGCCTGAGGGAGAACGTGGTGGACATCACTTACCTGGAGGATCCCGCGGAGAGAGGGAAAAGCGACCACGCCCCGTTATTACTCACCATGAAGGGCATGACTGTAGCGGACCAGTCATCTCAAGGCTCCGATGCGCAAGAGGTGCAGGAGCCAAAAGAGAAAGAGTAAAGAAGTGCGCATGTTATTGAACTGCAGCCTCCGAACGAAGCTGACATGTCCAGACTCAGAGCAACATGGCGAAGATGACGGGATAGAGCGGGACGACGTCCAACCACCGCGACCCTCGACTGCGAGGCGCCGCACTGGCTAGCTTCATGCCTCCGACCTGGGACACGCCCGGCCCCATCCCCGAGCAAGACGTTTCGCTGCTGGCGGGCCCACTCACGGACGGGGAACCGGAGTTGGAAGCGTGCGCCTTCTTCGTGGGGAGGCTGGCGGTGGGAACGACGTCTTCTGCGGCTGCACCACTAGCAGTAGGCGTAGGACGAGCCGAGTTGGCAGTCCAGTACAGCGAGGAGTCCCGCGTGCTAGACTGTGCGTCGGTGCCATCGTGTTTGTGCGTCCGCGTTGTTGATGTTGATGATGGATCGCTTGAGCCGTCTTCGTCACTTTGGTCTGCGTCGCTAGACGAAGCGTCGTCGGATCCGACCTCTTGCGCTGACACTGTGCCTCCAGAAGCCAAATGGCCTTCACCCCAAGGGACAGCATCGCCTGCCGGCTGTGTAGTATGCGCCGGAGGCTGACTGTCGCCACTTGCGGAGGTGATCTGCAAATCATGTGAGTAATTAGGACGAGGTGACAGTCCGGAAAGACGCACCGCGAAGCGGGTAGTCCATGCGGATTCTGGGCTATTAGCCCCATTGGTGAGCTGCGTATTTGTCAGCGCTGGGGCTCGTACAACATATACAGCCCAAGAGACTGTTAAACGTACCTGATAGAAGTAAATGGCGGAGTACGGATCCACCTCCGGACAAGTCCAAGTATATGGGGACAAGCTAGAGTCCGTGCCGTCCACACCAGACGCGACGGTCGTCACTCGCGTCATATTGTCGTTGGAGCCAGACATGAGGTCTACGTGTAATGTAAATGATGTTACGGGAGAAGGTGCACGCGGCGGACTCACATATGGTGACGTTGGTCCATTGACCACTCACGTCGGCGGTCCACTTGATCGTGCAGTCAGAGCCAGCAGCGAAGGTATCTCCAGGACCAGGCGCAGTGGGTGTGATGTCGGCCAGTGCCGTACCCGCGTAGGCAGCGAAGAGGATAAGCGAAAGCATAGCAGTAGAGTCGTCAACGACAGCAAGAACGAGAGCAACGGTGAAAGCAAAGGGGGGTACTCGGCCGGCGAGGATGGGGGTACGAAAGAGAGATAGTGAGTATCTTAGCAGCCCAGAGGGTTCACTTATATACGCTGCAGCCTCTCGTCCGAAGCGGTCAGCCTTGGGGTCAGCCTCCGTTTAGGCTCTAGTGTTATTTAGTAGTGACGCAACGGTCCGGTTCGAGATCAGCCGAACTTGAAAGTAGTCCCTCTTGAGACTTGTATAATAAGACATCTCCCAATCCCACAAGCAAAGTAACGCGTCATTCGACGAACGTTCACCGTAAATCGAGTGGTACCGCCAGCTGCAGGAAGACACCCGGCGGTTGCTTAAGGGCGCGGACCACGTCATCGATTTAGAGGTCGTGAAATACTCTGCAAGCCCCAATTGACCCACTATACGGGACACATCTGCATCAAGAATGAGCTCGCCGCACCCAGATAACGGTGAATTACCTGGGCATTTTACACCTCAAGAGTAGGAAGTCATCCTTTCTTGAGAGAACGCATCGCAAGACTTTCGAAGTTATCCACACGCTAGCAGCTGCTACGGTGATTATGACTTCAGATTCATACTGTTAGGCGTAGTTAATAGCTGAAGACAGAGCAGGAGACCATCGGAGGTGGTGGTGAGGGTGGCAAGTGAGTCCCGATCGCGAGGCCCGCTGCGCACATAGCCGGCGCGTGGAATTGGGACGCGTGAGTCACATGCACCGCGTCTGCGCGTCACGCTTGGCCACAGTTGCCGCCACAGTCCGCTTCGGGACTCTCACCTGTACCTGACCTTCCCCAGTACCGCTATCGCCCGTAGTCCCCATGCAGACCATCAACCGCTTTCTCTATGGGCCCACCGCAGAGGAGAAAGTCCGTGCATGGCAGGGGAAGCTGCGTTCAGAACAACGGACCATTGAACGCGAGATGAGGCAGGTTCGGCATCCCCTCTCACTCCCCCGTCTCGCCCCTCATCCCCTCCCAGCTAGATACCGCCACGAAGAAGGCGCAGGGAACGGTCAAGCAGCTCGCCAAGAAAGGCGATGTGAAGTCTGCGCGCATCATGGCCAGGGAGGTCGTACGGAGCCACAAGCAGATGGACCGGCTTTCCGTGAGCAAAGCTAGGCTAGGCTCCATTGGAAACCAGCTACAGCAGCAGCTGGGTACGTGGCAACCGTCTTTCGAGATGGTCTTCATACTGAATCGGCGTGTTGCTGCCGTAAAGCTATGGCGAAGGTCACGGGATCGCTACAGAAGTCCACCGAGATCATGAAGCTTTCCAACTCCCTCATCAAACTGCCACAAATCAGCCAGACCATGAGAGAGATGAGTATGGAGATGACGAAGGTAAGCAGCTTACCCTGGTCAATAGGCGGATATAAACACGTTTTCTATAGGCTGGCATCATGGAAGAGATGCTGGATGATACCCTGCAATTTGAAGACGACGAAGAGCTCGACGTCGAGGCAGATGCTGAAGTGGATAAGGTACTCTATAATCTCACGGAAGGGAAGCTCGGCCAAGCCGGCACGGTCAAGGAGGATCTACCAGTACGTGCTGTAGTCTGCACCGCTCTGTCTATCACTCACAACCGACTATCGCAGTCATTACAGGACCAGGTGGAGGACGAGGAGACGGAACGAGCGATGGAGCAATATCGACAACAGCTGAATGGACTGCTGAGCGGATGATACCTCTTTCACATTCCACCGGCCCTTCTTATTTCTCTTGTACCATATTTAATGCGTGTGTACACTACTTGTCGAGCAAGCGAACCGGATATATAGATACCTTGCTGACCGGCCGAACGCGGCTACGGAGGGCGGTCGACGGTCGTCATCGGGATGGACGGGAGCGTCGGGCGAAGCCAAGGATCCCGCCACGTGGTAGTACATCATGGCTCACGTGGGCGACCACGATTTCGCCCGCACCTCAACTTTCGGCTTTACACCTCTCTTCGCCGTCGTCCCCCGACATCCTCCCAAAAATGCTTGCATCTCGTACTCTCTCTGGCAGCGCGCGGATCGTAACGAAGGGCCCTCAGGTGTGTAGGATGAGTTGTGGGCTCGCGCATGGGTCTAATTGCGCGGCAGGCCTTCCGTCGCTACGCTTCCGCCGCGCCAACCGCCGCCTTCGCTGGTCAGAAGGGCGCAAACGTGAGTCGTCATACGCGCACTGTACCTAACGGCTGCTACATGAATGTCGGATAATAGGGCAAATATACCGTCACGTTGATTCCCGGAGACGGTGAGCACGACTGCGAAGAGCTACGAGACATGACGTGACCTGGCTTCCAGGTATTGGGCCGGAAATTAGCGAGTCGGTGAAGGAAATCTACACGGCCGCAGGTGTACGTATACAACGCTCGGGGGATCTAAATGGTTGGGGTGCTCATAGTATGGCAGGTTCCCATCGAGTGGGAGGAGGTCAGCGTCGCGCCGATCCTGAAGAACGGCAAGACGGTCATCCCGGATGCTGCTATCAGCTCCGTCAAGAAGAACACCGTTGCGCTGAAGGGTCCCCTTGCCACCCCTAGTCAGTGACATACTGGGGAAGACACTCATACATTCTGACACCCTACGCAGTTGGCAAGGGTCACGTTTCCCTTAACCTGACGCTGCGCAGGACCTTCAACCTATTCGCGAACGTCCGCCCTTGCCTGTCCATTCAGGGCTTCAAGACGCCCTATGACGATGTCAACACTGTCCTCATCCGTGAGAACACTGAGGGAGAGTACTCGGGCATTGAGCATGAGGTTTGTGAATTTGTGACGCGTTTATGCGACCGGAAACTAACGGGATGCGTGTTAGGTTGTTGACGGTGTCGTCCAGTCTATCAAGCTGATCACCTGGGACGCGTCGGAGCGCGTTGCTCGCTACGCGTTCCACTACGCTCAGTCCCAGGGCCGGAAGCGCGTCACGGCTGTGCACAAGGCGAACATCATGTACGTGCTACTGTACCATACCATGGCGGCGGCTAATAGTCAATTGTAGGAAAATGTCCGACGGCATGTTCTTGTCTGCCTGCCGCCAGGTCGCGAAGGAGTTCCCCGAAATCACGTATGACGAGGACCTCCTCGACCGCGTTTGCCTGCAGGTAGGCACCCCGAACTTTACGTCTAAACGCGCGGCTGATTGGCGTTCCGATAGGTCGTGCAAAACCCTAAGCCGTACGCCGACCGTGTGATGGTCATGCCCAACCTGTACGGTGATATTCTGTCCGACATGTGTGCCGGCCTCATTGGTGGTCTGGGACTGACGCCCTCCGGTAACATCGGCCGCGTATGTCTTTCCACAAGGCTCTGTGACGCATATATATGTACTGACTGCTGCGCAGGACGCCTCCATCTTCGAGGCTGTCCACGGCTCTGCGCCCGACATTGCGGGTGCGTCTCTTTCCTGCTTGCACTTGCCGGTTTATGGCTAATTGTTCTCCACACTGCAGGCAAGGGCTTGGCTAACCCGACGGCTCTCCTGCTGTCGTCCATCATGATGCTCCGGTAAGTCGGTCCTGTGAAGTGGAGGATTTTGAGCGCCGCTGAGTTTTGGTACAGGCACATGAACCTCAACGAGCACGCTAGCAAGATCGAGAGCGCGGCTCTTTCGGTAAGTGCTGGGTGACCTGTTGCTTTACGACACTTGCACTAATTCTCTGCTATAGACCATTGCCGAGGGCAAGTCGATCACTGGTGACCTTGGTGGCAAGGCTTCGACGAAGGAGTACACCTCTGCCATCATCGAGAAGCTGCGCCGGGCGTAGAGTGGCAGCTTTAATCATAGGACGCTGGAATAGAACTACTGTACCGTGCTCCTACATGTTCCTGTAGAACGCTAGTGTCTTGTCAAATACCGTACGAACCGTGCACACTGTACCACAGGGTCCTGGAAGGTCTCGGGTCGCGATAATTGTGTTGGAACGCGTGCCTACAGTGAAGGTTTTGCAGAACTCCGCGCAAGCAGTGCGTATCAGTGACTAAGGAACGTGGGAATTGTATTGCCGCCACGCCTGTCCTTAAAGCGTTGCGCGACGCTCTCCTTCTCTCTTGCGACGATAAACAATCCCCTTCCACGCCTATCGAGGCAACCACTCCCATAAACCCCCACTCGCCCTACAGGGCAAAGCCGACTACGTCTTCAAACTTCCACCCAACTTTGTGTAAGTCGCCCCATTGCATCGAAGCCCGTCGGCCACCGTTTCGGCGTTGACCCGACCCGTTCCTATGCGCAGTCTTCGTCACTCCTGCTCTACTTCACGAAACATCCCAAACCCCCAAAAACATTGCATAACGCCAAAATACGTCCCCTAACGCATACAGACACATCACGAACGATATGATGGACGAAATCACGCCTCAGGCGCAGCAGAACGCGCCCAAGAAAGACGACAAGCGGCAGCAGCAGGCCGCGCAGGGGAACGGCGCCGCGCAACAGGGCGGCGGCAACAGGCAAGCCCCCAAGAAGAACGGTCCTGGCGGCCGCACCGCGTCCATCAGCACTGGCGCAGGCAACCCGCGACCGTCGTCGAGGACGAGCAACCGCTCGACCAGCAAGAAGGGCCCGGGCAACGGTCCCCAAGCTGCGGATTCCGGTTCAGAGTCGGCGAACACGCGCAAGGGCAACGACGGCGGCAGGCAGCGCGGCAAGTCGCAGAGCGGCGGCCCCGGCGGCAACAACGGCCAGCGGGGCGGTAACACCCACCGCAAGTCGTCGCAATCTACCTCGCAGGGTAACCGCCAGGGCGGAAACGGCCAGAGCAACAGGTCCAAGCAGTCTTCTGGCTCCCCTGCTCCCCCCGCTAATACTGAGAGCAGCGACGCCTTGTCCTCGCTCCAGCGCGTCATCGCCGACCTCAAGACCACTTCACCCCCCACCAACCCCAGTCCCAACACTAATCCCTCCATCTCTGCGGCTGTGGGCTCAACTCTCCCGGCCAATGCACCAGTCTTCCAACCCGGCGCGCTGTCATTCCCCGGCATGAACCCTCCCGAGCAGCCGCCCCGGCACCGCAAGGCAGCTTCGCTTGGTGCGTCCTCGCTCGGGTCTTCCAATGCGTACTCCCCGAATCTCGGCTCCATGATGGAGGATGCGGAAGACGGGCACGGTAACGCCCTCGTCGAAGAGGGCGAAATCCCCGAGAATCCCTACCAGACCGGACATCCGCGTCGCTCCCTCTCTCAGAACTTCACGCCGCCCCGCTTTGCCGCCCTTGCTGCCCAGCAGCAGGAGCAGAACGACCTCGGCCCTTCCGGTCGTCCCCAGCTTGCTCCCAACTTCATGTTCGGTGCACGCCGCCGTCCGAGCTCGAACCTTTCCATGGGTCCTCCGATCAACGAGGAGGACCTTGGCTTCCAGTTCCCTCAGCAGCAGAACAACTTCGATAATGGAGAGCCTGGCCACAAGGACATGCTGGCTGAGCAGGTAGGTTGTCTTGCCATGTCCATCTATGCGTGATTAACGATTCGCATTCGGTAGATTGCAATCCAAAATCAGATCGAGGCGTTGCAGCAACAGCAGCAGGCTCTTTACCACCATCAGCTGGCATCCAATCAAGTCCTCTCCTCTTTCCAGTCCCCCGGAATGGCCGCAGGACGAGGTGCTCACCGTCGCGTCCACAGCACTGTGCCGATGAGCATGGGTATGGGCTCGTTTGGTGGGCATCAGACCGCCATGGGTCAGTTCGGTAGCCTCGGCGGCCTTGGGATGGGTCTGGACGGACAGCCGTCCAATGTCCCCCGTGGGCATGGCAGGCGTCACAGCGTCAACGTCTTAAACAAGACTGGCGGCCCCAGTCTTGCTTCCCTTGGCTTCTCTGCCAGTGCGGACGGGTTCGACGACGGCTTTGCTCCCCCGAGTGCTCTGGGTGGGAACGGCCACTCTCGTTCCGACTCTAGCTGGCGTATGGGTCAGTCAAATTCACTATACCCTGCGTATATGCGGTGCTAAGCGGCGGTGTATAGGCGGAGTGGGCAACCTCCAAGCCAACAACTTCGCGTCCGATCTTGCACAGGCGCAGGCGCAGCTGCAGAGTCTGCAGCAGTTCCGTGCCGCTGCCGGTGGACACCACCAGAAGATGGCGTCCTTCAGCTTCCCGAACATGCTGCCGAACATGATGGCCGCGAACATGATGGGCCTTGGCTTGGGTGGGATGAACCTACTCCAACAGCAGCAGCAGCAGTTCCAGTCGCAGCTTCAGCAGCAGTCTAGCCAGCCTCAGCGAAAGTCCCTCTTCGCGCCTTATCTCCCTCAGGCCTCCCTCCCCCCGCTTCTGGCAGCCGGAAAGCTTGTCGTGGGTATCCTCCGTGTCAACAAGCGTAACCGGTCCGATGCATACGTCGCAACGGAGGTCCTGGATGCCGATATCTACATTTGTGGCTCCAAGGACCGTAACCGTGCGCTGGAAGGTGACATCGTCGCAGTCGAGCTCCTCGACGTCGACGAGGTTTGGGGTACTAAGAAGGAGAAGGAGGAGAAGAAGCGCAAAAAAGAGGAGAACTCTGCGTACGACCTTAAGGGCGCTGCTGGTCGCAAGAACGACAAGAAGAAGGACGACGTGGAGGTCGAAGGACAGGGCTTGATGCTCTTCGAGGATGAGGAGTGCGTGGTGACGCGCTGCGTGTTGTGTCAGTCGAGCTGACGGTTCCGTGCAGAGTGACCGATGATGTGAAGCCTCAGTACGCCGGACATGTCGTCGCCGTTGTGGAGCGCATGCCTGGACAGCTGTTCTCTGGCACCTTGGGTCTTCTTCGCCCGTCGTCCGCGGCGACTAAGGAGAAGCAGGAGGCGGAGCGTCGCGAGAGGGAGGGAGACAAGGGCGATGAGCCCCGTCGCCCCATCGAGCGTCCCAAGATCGTCTGGTTCAAGCCCACTGACAAGCGTGTTCCCCTCATTGCTATTCCTACCGAGCAGGCCCCGCCTGACTTTGTGCAGAACTCGGAGACATACGCGAACAAGCTATTCGTCGCCTGCATCAAGCGTCATGTAAGTTGGTTCACCGATCGCCGTGCCTCCCCTAGTGCTCATTGTATCGTCTTGCAGCCTATCAGCTCCCTCCATCCGTTCGGTACCCTGGTCGAGGAACTCGGGCCGATCGGCGACATCGAGGTTGAGACTAGCGCGCTTCTCAAGGACTGCAACTTCCCCACGGAGGACTTCAGCGACAATGTGCTTAAGTGCCTTCCCCCCACGCCCTGGACGTGAGTCTTCGTGCCGTGTTACCGATGCCCTGGGTATATGCTCACGAAATGACCAGTATTCCCGAGCGTGAGTTCGACGTGCGCAAGGACCTGCGTAGTGAGCGTGTCTTCACGATCGATCCCGAGGATGCGAAGGACCTCGACGACGCCGTGTCCGTCAAGGTCAACGAGGACGGCACGTACGATATCGGCGTGCACATTGCCGATGTGTCCTACTTCGTGAAGCCCAACACTGCGTTGGACCGCGATGCCAGGAAGCGGGCGACTAGCGTGTACCTTGTGCAGCGTGCCGTGCCGATGCTGCCTCCTACCCTCAGCGAGCAGGTCTGCAGTCTCCTGCCCGGTCAGGAGCGCCTGGCGTTCTCGGTCATCTTCACGGTGTCCAAGGACGCGAAGGTTGTCAAGAAGTGGTTCGGCAAGACTATTATCAAGTGCGTACCATCATGACCATAATTATGCGCATATACTCAAGCATTGCTACCAGGTCCGCTGCCAAGTTGTCGTACAATGATGCCCACGGTGTCATCGACGGTAAATCGTTGGGTGACGTCCCCATCATCCCCGAGCACGATGCTGCTGGCATCTCCCACGACATCAAGGTCTTGGATGACATTGCCAAGCAGCTCCGTGCGCGTCGGTTCCAGAACGGTTGCGTCAAGTCGAACTCCCTTCGACTGAAGTTCAAGCTTGATGAGAGCGGATTGCCTGTTGACTGCGGCTCGTACGAGCGGACTGAGGCCCACAACCTCATCGAGGAGGTACGAGTCGATTGCCTTTATCGAGTCCGACGATGTTACTGACGAGACGTTTTCGCACAGTTTATGCTCCTCACAAACATGGCTGTCGCGCAGCAAATCGCTGTTCATTTCTCTGAACAGGCTATGCTCCGGCGCCACGACACGCCGAGCGAGCGTCGCTTGGTACGTCGTCGATACGAGCGACATCCGTGATCTATATGCTAACTCATACTTCTTAGGGTGCCTTCGCTGAGCGTGCTCAGCGCCTTGGATACACGATCGATAGCTCATCGGTCGGGACACTCATGCGTTCAATCGAAGCCGTGCAGGATCCCACTGCCCGGAACGTGCTGGAGCTTTTCCTTCAGAAGGCTTCGCCCCGCGCGAAGTACTTCTGCGCCGGCATGCTGGACATCGCGAAGTACGGCCACTACGCCCTCAACATCCCCCTCTACTCCCACTTCACCTCCCCCATTCGTCGCTATGCGGACATCATCGTGCATCGCCAGCTGGACGCCATTCTCCAGGGCGGACGTGAGTATAGTTATCTTCGCGTGGTCCCATGGATTGACAAGTATTCTATAGCGGAGCCCAAGTTCAACATGGACCGCGATGCCGTTGCGAAGGTTGCGCAGCAGTGCAACATGTACGTCTCGTCGTCACGTCTCATAGAATTGACATTGACGGAACCTACAGCAAGCGTGACTCGGCTAAGCTGGCGCAGGAGCAGTCCGCGCACCTGTACCTCTGTGTCCTTATCTCCGACCTGACCCAGCGCTACGGGCCCGTCATCCGCCAGGCCAAGGTCATTGGTGTCCTCGATGCCGCCTTCGACGTCTTGATCCCTGAGTTCGGTATCGAGAAGCGCGTCCATGTCGACCAAATGCCTATCGACGTGAGCAACCATCATTTTTACCAGTCGTGCAGAGCACTGATGAGCGTCATGCACAGAACCATGTATATGACGAGCACACGCACACGCTCCAGATTTACTGGTCGACGCGCGACGTCATTACGTGGCTCGCGGAGAACAGCGACGACGAGCACCTGAAGAAGGTTAAGCAGAACGCAGAGCAGCACGCGTTGAAGATGGAGGTCGCGTCGCGCTCCGTGCACGACGAGAAGGCCCTCTTCGACGAGGACGAGGACGACTCTGAGGACGAAATTGTTCTGGGCCGTGCCAGCGAGAAGGCGCCGGAGGAGGTCGAGATCGCCTCCAAGCAGCGCACCCTGTCGAGGCAGAAGGTGCCGCCGCAGTTCGAGGGCTTGAGGACCCTGCCGTCGGGCCATAAGATCCAGGAGATCCGCGAGCTCATGACTGTTCCGGTACGTCCTTCACAGGATCTGCGACGCTGAGACAACGCTAACGTACCTTCACACCTTTCAGGTCATCGTCACTGCTGACCTGACCAAGAGCCCTCCTGTGATCAAGGTCTACAGCGTCAACCCTTACGCCCAGGAGGAGAAACGCTTCTCCGCCTGAATGTGGCTGCCCTGCCTTGCCCAACGACAACAACGCCAATGCGCCCGCCTTTCGGATGGTCCCAGGATGATTCTGTGTACGATAGTGGTCGGAGTTCCCCTTCTCCTCGTTCTCTTCGCGTGTTTCCTCTGTACGATCGCCTATGCCCCCCCTCCCCGCTTCCCCCTGCTCCCGCAACCGCTTGTGCTGTAGCGCATCTCGCGGGTCGCCTGTACTCCGCGTGCGCGACTGTTCGTGTCGCGTCGTCGCCACCTCACCTCACTTCGCTTTCCCCCCTTCTGTGTCTTCTGTATCATGGCCGCGCTATCGGTCACAGCTGTAGTACGGAGGATGTTTTGCTTCCGGATCGTCACAATGTGTATGTGTTCTTCATCCCACCACCGCCTGCCCCGCATCTAGTCAAGAACTACGAACCGACCCCGCATCGTATCGGCGTCTTACCCTTCGCGAGATGAAGTGTGTGAGCGGTCGCTGCGAACACGAGTCAAGATAGGGGTCGGGTTGGATTGCCGCAACGTGCGCGACAACACAGATGCATCATGCTATCGAACACCGTATCACAGCAGTATGAACAGTAAGTACACGGCACGCTACGACCACGAGTGGGGCGGTGCAGGGATATGAGCGCACATGACCCCGTTGAATGGGCTGCGGCCTTCGACAGCTCTCGAGGAGATGCGCCGGACGCCAAGTGGTGGGAGCGTACGATGGATTGCCTGCTTGGAGGTGGCCACCGGGAAACCATCTGTCTAGCGGCGAGTTCTCCGCGCGATTTCGTGTGTGGCGGCACTTCTGCAGATGACTGTTGCTGGTACTCCGTGGACGCGCGGCGAAGCGACCACCTGGTCGAAAAGTCAGTACGATGCCCCTTTGGCGTGACACATGCAGATAGGACGTACCGTACCGAGTAGTTCAGGGTCGCGTGCGCAGGCGGGCGTGAACATGGAGATGGGCGCAAAGGGCATCGGAGGACCGGCGGCTGGGCCTGAGGCACTGGCACTTGAGATGGGACGGCGTAGGGCGATCATAGGCCCTGCAGGAAGGCGGATAGGCCCTGGCGGTCGCGCTTCTTGTCCTCCTGCTTCTGCTTCTCGCGATTCCGTGCGAGGAGGGTCTGCAGACCAGTCTTTTGCTTCGGGCGCGCCTTGGCCTGTGCAGGAGCCTGAGATTCTGGAGTCTTAGCAAAACTTCCAGACGTTTTGCCCGGACTCGAAGACGAAGATGCGGGTGTAGGGGCCAACCGAGAGGGAGTCGGTGCGATGCTGCTCGAGCGAGATGAGCCCGGGGTGGCGGAGGATGGCAAGGACCGGGATGCGCGCTGCTGAGATACCAGGGCGTGTTGCTGCTGGGCAGCCACAGACACAGCAGGCGTCGCAGCAGTGGAAACACGAGGCGCGGTAGATGATTTGCGCCTGGCGCGCTCGCGGATGCTCGGAAAGGCGGGTGCGCTCGCCGTGCCGGCGTTCAGCACGACATCGTCGTCGTGTTTGCAGGCACCGCACGACCTGCGGATTATGCGTATGGTCGCTGCGACTCCATCTTTTGATTTCCTGCTCTTTTTACGGATGGACCTGGTGTGCCCGCCGGTCGCAAGAAAGGGCGCGCCGCAGCGTGCGCAGTGTGTGTCGGCGAGAGAGGAGTCCGCGGGGTAGAGGAGGCGGACACGTGTTGCGTGCAAGGCTGCGAGATGAGGGGAGATGGGGGCGAGGAGGGAGGGGAGCGCGAGCTGGAACTTCGCGGTGGCCGCGTTGGGGGCGGCTGCCTGCTGCATCGCGGTCTGTGCGAGATCGAGCGCGGTCGCGAGTCGCGACGATGTGCATAGACGCCGGGGCAAACAATAAGGTTGGTGGCCAAATAAGGAGATTGGCTGGGGTTAGGGTTGGGATTTAACGTGGTTGGAGCATTGTTCTCGGAGTGGCCATTGTTCTCCTGCGAACGCTCAAATGGCCTTCTCCCTGCGCTCCCGCTCCCTCCACTCCTCCCTCTCCTGCCTTAGCCCACTCTACAGCGCTTCCCCTCGTCCCCACTAGCGACGATGTTGCCCGGCTCTCGCTCCCCCCAACACCGCAAACAGCACTCTATCTCGCGTCCTATGCCTGCCATGGACGCCACCAGCTCTGCAGTCCGCCCCACGTCGCCTCAGACGAGCCCCAGGCCAAAGCCCAAGATCCGCCGACCGTCTGTGTCCAGCCCGATGACCTGGCTGTCGCGCGCATCCTCGAGCTCATCTGCCTCCAACGCGCCGTATGCGCCCTCGCGCCCGGTCCGCATCTCAGAGCCCCGGTTCGCGGACCCCACGGAGGCTTTGACACACCAGCGTAGTGGCGTACTGGGAGCGGGTGCAATCGTCGTACGGACCCCTCAAGATGCTCTTGCTGGCCCAAGGGCGTCTGCCTCGTCCCCCGACCTCTTGACATCCTCTCGCAGCCCATCCCCTCGGCGCCTTATGTCAATGGAATATGAAGACAGACATGACATTGAGCGTCCCGGCAGTCCCCCACTCCCGCCGATCCCCGACAGTGTATCGGAGTATGAAGAAGAGGAATACGAAGTGGACGCGTCGGCCGAGACAGCGACGCTCGATGATTGGCAGTCTACGTCCGTCATGTCCCACCCGCCACCACCGTCGCGACCCCCGCCGTCGATCCCCTCTATCCCTGACTATGACTCCGAGGTGGCCCAAGCACGCCCCATCTCCCCGCTTCGTCCAACAGCGAAGGCCATGGCCCCTCCTGCGGACTACTTTTCCTCGGCCCCAGCGGGACCAGGCGGCGTACCTGTGTCTCCCCCGCAATCCCCTTTCGACGCGATTCTCGTGTCGCCTGTACCAAGCAACACGCTTGAGCCCTCGAAGATCATTGTCTCGCTGGAGACAAGCACGGCGACGCAGCGGACTACAATGGCCACGCTGGTTTCGCGGCCGTCCTGCCTCGCGTCGTTCCTGCTCGGGCTGTTCCCCTCCACCGACTCCGACTCGCGGTCGGTATACTCCACGAATAGCGAGGTCGAGAGCTCGTTCAACTCGATCTTCCATCACCATCTTGCTTCCTCTGGCGTCCTCACACACGCCTCGTCAAACCTTCACATATTTTTGGACCGGCCGAGTGCTCCGTACGTGTTCTTTGTCTACAAAGAAATTCATCGAACTGACCGTCCCTTGATTCTCAGATATGCACACATTCTAGCCTACCTCCGGTCACCTCACTCGACGCCCGAGTCCCCCGTCGCCCTTCCGCATGCCGCGCACGACTGAACGGTTCATCAGCACGGCTCGAAGCGCTGCTCGAGCTGCGCGACGAGGCCTGCTATCTTGGCCTCGACGAGCTCGAGCGGCTGTGCACGGAGGAGCTCCGACACCGCCAGGGCACTCCCAGCAGCCTGGGCCTCGGGCTGCACATGCGCGGGTTCAGCAACGCGAGCAACCACTCCGTACGCAGCCTGCACACGCTGCGCGAGCGTGCCGAGCCGGCGGAGGGCGCGGTTGACCGCGCTGCGCTGCGCAAGTCCGACGACTCCGGGTTCGCGAGCGGGGAGACGGGCGGGCGGAAGAGCGGGAGCAGCGCAGAGCTCGACGCGCCGTGGCCGTCGCCGCCTGCTACGATTCCGCGCCCGGCGTACATGAAAGACCGCAGCCCGAAGAGGGACGGGTACGCGTCGCTGAAGACGAAGCCGACGGGCGAGTGGATCTGACCGGGCTCCTTCGCCTGCTCGGATACGTTCTCGCGATAATATATGATTGAGTCGTTATGTTGACTGGTTCTTCCCGCTCTCTCTGTTTGACATTTGACGTCGTCGTCGCCGCGCGGCGGCACCTACTCTACCATCCACACTCGTTGTGCACACCTACCTGCTGTATTGGCATGCGTATCACTATCCTTTTGCGTTACTACCATCATGATTAACTGTATCACCGTCGTCGTCCCCCGCTCCTTACCTGTAGCTTTCCGTGTCGTATTCGGTGCACGCGCCGTGCATCTTGTAGCAGTATCATTAAGCATCAATAGATCGAGTCCGCTGTAGCTATGAAACAGACGTGACGTGTGGCGTGTTGTACATGGACCCCCGCCTATGCCCTAGTAGGTCCGATAGGAAATCACCCAAATTTTGGGGGTTTCGGTCGACATACCTTTCATGGGGGTTTCAGTCGACATGTTTCTCAGACATACCATTTTGGGTCCGGCGCCTATCGACACAGGCAATCGGACCTCTAGAAAATCAGGGAAATTGAGGAGAGCTCTACATATATTCATAGCGGTTGCTATGCATATATCCTATCGTATGAAGGTGTCAAGACACCGCTGGGACGGAAGGGGGGCCCCAAAATGCCATCGGGTCGTACATGGCGCCGACCATGGTGTACTTATTCGCTGACAGGCTCTTGAGGTGAGCTTAAGCGCTCCATATTGGCCAAGGAGGACAATAAATCAGCACCGAGGACGTTGTATAGCTTCGGTCATCGAGAAACGGACCAGACGGCGATCAGGCACGTGGAGGAGAGTCAAAGAGACCGGTCGGCGGGCTGCCCTTTCAGTCGACATGATTGATCGGACCTCTCCCGCCATGACCCATATGGGTCGACATAGGCTATCGGACCTTGAACCCCATAAGGGTGGTTTAGTACGACATACTGACTCGGACGTTAGGCTCGTATAAGGGCACTTTCAGTCGACATCGTAATCGGACCTACTAGGGCATAGGCAGGGGTCCTGCTGTACATGGGCGCCGTGTCGAAGCTCTTCATCCGCGAAGAGATGAAGGTCGCCAGACGTGTACAAGGGATGTCCGATCATAGTGCCGCATACGCTGGCAGCTACTGCCGCGGTGCCCACAGGTCGTACAGCTCGCGGTCCGAGGGGTCGAAGCACGTCACGAGCGCAGGGTCGGCGCGCACCGTGATTATGCGCGCGGGCGTGCCGTACGCGGACGTCGGCGCGGAGGGGATGGGGCGGTAGAGCGAGCGGGACGGCTCGAAGACGCGCGAAACGTTGGACATGGTCGAGGACGTCGGGGACGCATCTCCACCGGGCGTGCGCTGTGTGTGTGGTGGTTCAGCGCGAGGTGGTCGTATGCACGCGAAGGGGGTGGGACGGACCTCCGAGCTGCCAGCCTGGCCTGCGCTGCGGTTACGGAGGCCTGTGTCTGGAGTTACAGGTTCCCTGGCTGCATAGAGTGCGCACGTTGAGCCTTACACTATATTTTGAATGGACGCAAACGGACGCACTGGGAGGGTTGAACGGAGGAGTGCTGAAGCGCGTCGAGGAGGCCATGACCGACTCCGTCTACCGTAGCGAAACGGATGAGAGTTCGAAGCCACCTTCGCGCGCTCGAACCGCGTCAGAGTCGCGGGCGCCACCCCGCCCACGACCCGTACCGAAGCCACCGTGTGCGAGCTTAGCATCCCCCGGTTCCTTACAGATGCATGTGTAGTACTCTATGCACAATAGGGTGCTCTACTAGCTATTAGGGGCGATTATTATGTGTACATGACTACGTTTCGAAAAAGCTCCGGCGACCGTATGTTAAGCCTATCATGCTGGAGGCCATGTACACATGTATACAGACATACCGCAAGCATACATTGATTCACGCAATGTAGACGTTAATCATACACGTATATATACGAGACGTAGCTACTATCTGGTCGGTGTCAATACCGAGGTGTATTGTCCAAACTCACATCATACCAGCCGACTCCGAGCCGCCCTCCAACCGTGGCTCTGGACAGCTTAGTAGGGCTTGTGGCGGTTCTTCTTCAGCTCCTTCTCAAGCTGCTTGGCTTTCCGGTGACCGATCTCTACCGGGTTGACAGCGTTATCCGCCTTCTTCAGCTTAATGGGTCGGTTGCCAACATACTTGCCTGGTAGACGGATCGCGGTCAGACAGGAAGGACAATAGAACGGTACATGCGACATACCATCCATCTCCTTCCAAGCTTTGAGGAAGTCTTCAGGGTCAGAAAAAGCGACAAATCCGAATTTAGCCTGAATTAGATATGTCAGCTGCATTCCAAGAGGTCCCAGCGTGAGAGCCTCACCTTGCCACTGAGCCTGTCTCGAATGACCCGCGCCTTTGTGAAGGTTGCATACTGGCTGAAGGCGTTGGATAACACGTCATCGGACACGTCGTTGCTGAGATCGCCCACGAAGAGGCGGAACCAAGCTGGAGCCGGAAATCAGCGACTGGACGCACGATGCATACAGTTGACGTACATGGGTTCCATTCGAGCAGCGTTTGGTCTTCCCAGACCTTTCCCCCGCCTTTGCGTAGGACGGTGGTTCGCTTACCACCCTTCGCCAGTTTGCCTCCTGCGCCGCCGCGTTTGTCTATAGTAGCACCTGGAACGTAGGCGCTCTGCTGAGCAACTATTCCAACGTCGTATTCATAGGCATTGGCAGGTACAGGTGCATTGTGGGCAGAGGTTGACGAGCCCGGGATCGGGTACATAGGGCCTTGGTATGGCTGATGATACGGGTTGTAGTCGGTACTCCCACTAGCACCCTGCTGGTACGGATATTGCTGTTGATAATAGTTCTGAGAGGAATAGGGATCCATGGTGGCAGAGTTTCAACAGTTGCGCGTAGGTCGTCGGCAGTAGGTATAGCGAGGATGGCAGTGAGGAAGCAGGAGGCAAGGAGGGGAGCTGCATACAAGCGCTTGAAGAGTGAGCGCGCGTCTGTTAGAGTCACGTGGCCAGAGACTTTCGGGGTCGCGCGCGCGCGCCGGCTCTTCGACACTCTCTCTTTCCCCCGCGGGGACCTCAGCCACACTGGTCTCATCCACCGTTTCTGCTCCCCCTCTCCTTTTCTCATCTTTGCTGGTTAATTTTTCTTCTTCAGGATATATGCCGCTAGCCCGCCATGGATAATACACCGCCTCTGCACACAGCAGCGGACCTGGAGTTACGTGCGGCGCGCGTCGCAGACCCCAGCATAGGTGCGCCTTCCCCATACATTATTTCGCGACCATTGCTCAAGCACACAGAAACAGATCTCAAAACAAAGTATGCAGTCGCATGCGAGCTGCGCGAGATGATAGACACCGTCCGCGAGGCTGAAGTCCGCGTGCTCCCCCATATGATCCCTGTCCTCCTCGAAATCCTGCGGTCTGGCGAGCCCTCCTTTCAGAAGGACAGTCTCGAGTTCCAGTTCCGTCGCAGCCTCCTCGAAATTCTCCACCGCATCCCCTCCCTCGAACCTGTTCGTCCCCAGATTCTCCCGCTCTTCCATGGCATGCTCTACCTGCTCCGCCATGACAATGAAGAAATCGGCGTGACTTGCTGCAAGACATTCGCTGACCTCACTCGCGGAATGCGCACACTCAACGAGGAGGTGTTCGCCGAGTACATGTCCATACTTCTCACTCTCCACGACAATCTTAAACAGTTGACGGTCGAGGCGCTTTCCGAGGAGTCCCCCGAACTGGATCCCAACACGTCTCTTCCTGCCATCCGAAGCTTCAAGGTTGCGACGGAGATGGACTTCCTGCTTGTCCCCTTCTTGCAATTCAACCGAAGTCTTGTCGTGACCCACTTGCCCACCATCATTCCACGCCTCCTCGAGTTCCTCGAGGTTCAGTCTCCTGCCCAGCTGAAGGCCCGAGAGGACTCTGAGGCAATGGGCGAGATCTGGGCTGGAATGGCTCCGACCATCAAGAATGCTCAGATATATACGGACTACATTGTCGCCCAGTTGAAGTGCACCTCGTCTCTGGTGTTCATCGTGAGAGGCCTGCCCGAGCAGTACGATGCGGAGGGGGAGAAGCTAGTGCTCACGATGCTAAGGCTCTTCCAAGACTGCCCAGCGCTGGCTATCACCGCTCGCAAGGTAGACCTAAATATTAAAGGAATTAGAGTTCGTTGCTCAGCGCTTCATAACAGGACTTGTCTACACTGATGAGACACCTGGGAGGGACGTCTCATCGACGCGCATTATTGCCCCACATTGACAAGCTGCTTGACGAACGTGTACTGCTCGGCAACTCGGTGGGAGGCCGAGAGATGTTGCGGTACGTTCTGAACACTGTAGATACTGCACGAAATACTTACGGAGGATATTAGCATCACGCTCTTTACTGCCGTCGGGGACCTCCTGCACCACTTGAGGGCTGAGCTCACTGCTGCGAACCTCACTCGCATCTTCACCGTCTTTGTTCAGCACCTGCACAACCCTTTCCTGTCCACCCACATGCATGTCATGTCTGCGAAGGTCATTCTCAACCTCATCGAGATTGAGGTCCAGAAGGACATTCACCAGAACGCCGCCCGCATCTTGACCATGCTCTTGGAAGCGTGCGTCGACAAAGTGGATTCCCTTGTGTCCGTGCAAGCCGAGAGGATCAGTAAGGCGGCGAAGGACAAAGACGCGGCCTCGGAGTTCGTTGACTTTGCCGCCATTGAGAAGTCGAGACCACTCGTAAACCCCTGCTATGCTACAGAGAAGCCGGAGGATCATGTCGGAGGTGTGTCTGTATTCTCAAATCGAATGTAAATTCGCTCACTCCCAACTCACTAGAGTACCGCAATCTCGTTCGCACCATCCTCCACGTTTTCCGCGGGCTCATTGTGGGGTTGAAGAAGTCCGATGCACCAGTCCCGGACGGTGCTCTCATCGCCCGCATGTTCGACAGCTGCGTTCGAGCGATGGCGTTCTTCGACACGGACGCACGAGATGCGCACGACGCTATGGACTGGCTCGCTGGGGGGTTGGCGGAGCTGAACCTGCATATATTCCAGGAGGTTTGGACACGCAAGATTGGTTTCTATCTCGCGGCAGCTGAGAAGCGGCCACTCTTGATGCATCTTGCAAGCGTTCTCTTCGGCAAGGAAGCCACCTCTCCTACTCTAGTCGCTATTGTTCTCCGCCATCTTGTGGACAGGCTCCCTGAGCTTGGAGACTACGACGACCAGTCCGCTGCCGTGCTGATACGCGTCTTCAAGATGGCGTTCTCGGCGGTGACGACCTTTCCTCAGCTCAACGAGTCTATCCTCGCGTCGCACTTGGGCAAGCTGATCATGGATTGCTTCCCTCTGGCAGCGAAGACTACAAGACCGATCAATTACTTCCATCTCCTCCGCGCTCTCTTCCGCTCCATCGGCGGCGGGGGCGGTCGGTTTGAGCTGCTCTACAAGGAGGTTCTGCCCCTCCTACCCGACATGCTAGAAGGTCTCAACCGCCAACTCCAAAGTGCCGAGAAAGGCAGGCGTGACATGATCGTCGAGCTCTTCCTCACTGTTCCCCTCCGCTTGACCCACCTCATTCCATACCTCTCCTACCTCATGAAGCCTCTGGCGTTGGCACTGCGAGGCACCCCGGACCTGGTCACCCAGGGCCTGCGCACGCTCGAGCTCTGCATCGACAACCTGACCCCGGACTTCCTCGACCCGACGCTGAACGCCGTTCTGCGCGAGTTGATGGAGGCTCTCCACGACCTTCTGAAGCCGACGCCAGCGAACCATCATCACGCGCATACAACCATTCGCATCCTCGGCAAGCTCGGCGGTCGTAACCGCAAGCTCTTGGAAAAGGAGCCGCTGCTGAGCTACCGTACGCAGGTGGAGCCAGTCACCGCCCGCTTCTCCTTTGGGCCGCAGTTGGGGAACATCGAGCTCACCCCGATGTCGATCTTGTCGGCAAACATCTTCTCTTCCACGTCGAAGTACGGGCCACAGTATCGCCCGCTCGCGTACAGCTATCTCGAACAGTGCTTGAGCTTGGTGTTGCACGAGGTACGTGAATGATAATCTCCAAAGTCGGTCCGGGTTCATTGACAGCGTATATTGCAGGGAGTCAAGGGCCGCGAGCGCGAAGAACTCTTCATTCGGTCTCTGGAGAACCTCTTCGACGCGCTTCATGTGCAGGACGTCCAGGAGAAGGCGGAGAAGGCGCTGACCGACCTGTCGCGCTTCTTGTTTGCATCCGAGGTTCGACGCAACGCGGTCAGGGACGCGATCACTCGACGCTACCCCAGCCCGATCTTCCACTGCTACCTGAACGCACTGCAGCATGGGCTGGCTCGCGACAAGCCCGAGGAGGCCAAGAAGTCACTCGACCTGGTCGAGGCTTCCATCCGGGAGCTCGTCGCAATGGCGGCTGGTTCCGAGGTGTCCGTGAACGACGTGGTGGCGACGCTACACCAGATCGCCAGTCGGTTCCTCTCGTTGTGCCTCGAGGAAGCGTGGATATGCCGGAGCGCGGGATGCGGTGGTATCCGAGTCATGACGAACATCTCTGACTTGGGCGTGCGGTGGGTGAACGAGCGCGAGGTCGATCTTGTGCGCATGCTCCTTCACGTACTCAAGGACATGCCCCACGATCTTCCGCACGACGCCGACACCGTCGTCGACGTCCTTCATCGAGTCCTCCGCGTCGGAAACGACAACACGCTCACGAGCGACGGCGAGCAGCTTCGGGAGAACAAGATTTTGCACGTCGTCGGGCTCTTCTTTGCGGAACTCTCGAGCCCGAATCCCATCGTGCGCAAAGCCGCGCAGGAGTGCATCGCCCTACTTGCAGAGCTCAGCGACAAGTCGATCTACGACCTCCTCATGCCTCACCGCGACCGTATGCTCGCGTCTATCTACACGAAGCCGCTTCGAGCGCTCCCTTTCCCCCTGCAAATTGGCATGATTGAGGGCATCCGGTACTGCGTCAGCCTGAATCCTCCTCTCCCTGAGGCGAACGACGAGCTGTTCCGCCTTCTGCATGAGACGCTCGCGTTGGCCGATGCCGACGACATGGCTCTCGTTGGGCGGACGAACGGACGGCAGAGCAGCTTGGACATCATCAAGCTCCGGGTGGCTTGCATCAAGCTTTTGACTGCGTCTATGCCCATGACAGACTTCTTCGCAAGGCAGCAGGCGACGCGACAAAAGTACGAAGTCCTGGAAGTGAAATGTTACGTGCTGTTCTAACTTAGCATCCAGGGTCACGACCGTCTACTTCAAGTCTCTGTACTCGCCTACTCCCGAGATCAAGGAGGTGGCGCATGAGGGCCTCCGGATGGTGCTGACCCACCAGTCCAGGCTTCCGAAGGAGCTGTTGCAAACGGGGCTTCGTCCTATCCTCATGAACCTCGCTGACCCGAAGCGGCTGTCTATCCCGGGACTGGAGGGTCTGGCGCGCCTCCTGGAGCTGCTCACCAACTACTTCAAGGTCGAGATTGGCCACAAGCTACTGGACCACTTCCGCATCGTCGCCGACCCCCAGATGTTGCAGCAGTCGTCCCGATTGCCCCTCATGGAGAACGACGGGATCAAGAAGCTCGTGTGCCTGGCAAACATCTTCCATCTGCTCCCCTCCGCTGCGAACATCTTCCTTGAGAACCTCGTCAATGCGATCGTACAGACAGAGTCCGCCCTCCACTTCTCCGGTGAAAGCCCCTTCTCTGCGCCCCTGGCGAAGTACCTAGACCGTTATCCCTCCGACGCCATAGATTACTTCATGAAGCACCTAGCCTTCCCGATGCAAATTCGTACACTCAGGAGCATCCTACGCGCGAAGCTTGCGCCAAATCTACTCCGCGAGCTCAACGCGAGGACTAGTCTTCTCGTCATGGCGTGTCTGGAAGGAAGAGACGCGAACCTCGTCATGCCAGGTCTTCTGCTCTGTGCCGACCTTTCCGAGCTAGTGCCTGGTTGGGTCCTTGACAACAAGCACGCCGTCGACGCCGTCATCGCTCTCTGGAGGAGCGAGCCTCTGGTGGAATCCCCGAACGCCCCATCTGCGGAGCTGCTGCAGAAGTACACTCTAATGCTTTCGATCTTCAAGCAGGCTCTCGAGCAGTCGCCGCGCATCGACATCCTCTTCGACCTCGTGAATGTGTTCATCCGGCGCCACCCGCTCGACGTCGTCAGCGTGATCCAGTTCCTCTACCGCCATGTCGCTCTGAGCACAAACCTGGCTTTCCGGAGGAACATCCTCCTACGATTCCTCATCTGGTTCGACGACCCTTCCTATACCTGGGCGCAGAAGGCGTTGTTCCTTCAGTATATCATCACGCCGATGTTGCTGATGCACGCCACACATTCCCCCACGAAGGCGGGCCTCGTGGACGCCGACATCATTCAGCGTATGCAGAACCGCATATGGCAGCCTTTGGGGGCCTCGGAGAGTACCGCCTTGACCGCCTTCCCTGGTGCCGACGACTTGGTCAAGATCGAATTCCTGCGACTCACTACGATCATGGTCCAACACTACTCGGAGTTTTTGCAGGAGGCGAAGAGGGACATCATCAAGTGCACCTGGCTCTTCATCATCAGCGAGGATCCCCTCGTGAAGCATAGTGCGTACGTTCTCGCTGCGCGCTTCTTCGACGTCTTCGACGGCCCTCCGAAGTTCCTCTTGCGGCTCTGGACTGGTCTTCTCAAAGGTCCGCATTCCGAAGGGAGGCATCTGGTCAGGCAGGCTCTCGACGTCCTGGCGCCCACCCTCCTGCGTTCGCAGTCGTCCGAGCCCGGCTACCCTCAGTGGGCGAAGACCACAAGGCGGCTCCTGGCTGAGGATGGCGTCAACTCCACCCAGACGAACCTCGTGTACCACCTCATCGGCGCGCAGCCGGCTCTCTTCTTCCCCGTCCGCGCGCTGTTCGTTCCCCACATCGTCAACCACCTCATGAAGCTCGGCCTATCTCCGGGCTCAAACATCGAGTCTAGGTTGCTGTCCATCGAATTGGTGCAAGTGATCTTCGACTGGGAAACGAAGGCCTCAGCCTCAGCCTCGAGCATGGACGTCGACAACGCTCCCTCTTCGACCCCCTCGGAAGAATGGGTCACTCCGCTCGGCTTCCGCGAGAACATGGTCAGCTACCTGATCAAGCTCTCCACTACCGCCCTCGATGTGCAGTCCAGGTCGATGGTTATCCCGCGAGCGTTGGCGCTGCTGCGCAACCTCATCGGGCAGGAGGGATGGGGAGATGTCACCATCAAGCTGAACTTCTTCTCTCGCGCTCTTGAGCAGGTAAGGGACTTGACCACATCTGATCACTTCGTAAGCTAACAACACAACGAACATTCCAGAACGACTTCACCGAAGACGCCGCGAAGCTGTCAGCGACGAGTACAGCGAAGGTGTTGCAACTTGTCTCTGCAGAAAGGGACGACGCGTGGTTCCGGAACAATGTCGCCGCGCTCACCAAACTCGTCCGGAAGGGGATGTTTTCCGAGGACCCTGTCTTGCAAGACGCGCTGTATCCCGTGGTCGATCGGATTCTTCGACTATTCCCCCTCCCCAAAGAAGAAGACCTCTCCCAGAGCGAGATCTCCGAGTTCCACACCATCGTGCACACGGCCATTGGCGATAGCATCAGGAGCTCTGAGAGCACGCGGCCCGCGTCGCTACGGGGATGTCTGCTTGTGCTGAAGACGGTCGTGCAGGTGGCGCCAGAGCGCATCGAGGCCTACTGCGCCAACCTCATGAAGCTCCTCAGCAAACTTGCCAAGGATCACCTCCACACCACTGTCCCCGGCACGCCCGGCTTCGAGATGCTTGTCCGGATCCTGATCGCCATCCTCGAAGTTTGCCATATTGCAGTCGTTCACCTCGGCGATCAGCGCAAGTGGCTGCTGAGCACCCTCGTCGTACTTGTCGACAAATCGAAGAGCATCCACCTCTGTCGTTACCTGCTCGATATTGGGCGGGACTGGGCGATGAACAAACGGGACGCATACCCGACGATGAAGGAGAAGGCAAGCTTGTTGCAGAAGATGGTGCAATATGAAGTTCGCGGCGAACGAGGCGAAGTGGTATACAACAACTACCTCGAGCTCATCTACGAGATCTACACCGACACGTCCCTCCGTCGCAGCGACCTCACGACGCGGTTGGAACACCCCTTCCTTCTCGGATGCCGCGCTGTTGATCACACTATCCGCGAACGCTTCATTGACCTGTTGGACAACAGTGTGCCTCGCTCGCTCTACAGCAGACTTGTCTTCATCTTGGGTGTGCAAAGCTGGGAGCATCTGGCCGACCACAACTGGATCTATCTGGCGCTCCACCTACTACTGGGATCCGTCGAAGGTGACCTCACGGTCTCTCCAGACCGACGGGGCACATTCGAGTCTGGGTGGTCCACTCCGCCGTTCCCGCTTTCCCGGGCGTCTGCCTTCATCAAGCCGATGCAGCGTCTACTCTTCGTGGACAAGCAGGTTGCTCACGACGTATGGGTCTCGGTTTTCCCTGCAGCATGGGCCTGTCTTACGAGACGGGAGCAAGCCGACATCACTCATCATATGATCACCCTCCTCAGCAAGGACTACCACATCCGACAGGCGGAGATGAGGCCCAATGTGATCATGACCCTCCTCGCCGGCATTCAAGCCTGTTCCTCTCCGATGACGCTACCACCCCATCTCGTCAAGTATCTCGCGAAGACCTTTGGCGCTTGGCATATCGCTACCGAGATGCTCGAGTGCTCGTTGACGTACGTTCGGGAGGACGAGATCGTCGTCCGGGACACGATCTACGACTCCCTGGCGGAGCTATACGCCGAACTGGCGGAGGAGGACGTCTTCTATGGGCTCTGGCGCCGTCGCGCCCTATACGCTGAGACCAATGCCGGCATCGCATTCGAGCAAGCTGGCATGTGGGAGCAAGCGTCCAACGTGTACGAGATGGCGCAAACTCGTACCAGAGCTGGTGCCTTGCCGTTCTCGGAGTCCGAGTTCTGCCTTTGGGAAGATCACTGGATCCTCTCCGCTGAGAAGCTTCAACATTGGGACATCTTGTTCGAGCTCGGGAAGCAGGACCAGAACGTCGACCTGATTCTGGAGAGCGCCTGGCGGACTAAGGACTGGGTCGACAACCGGGAGCAGATGGACAACTATGTCAAGGAACTGCGGGACGTGGCTACCCCCCGGCGACGCGTCTTCGAAGCCTTCATTGGCTTGCTCAAGATGCAGACTACGCCGGACAAGAACACGGACTACACGAAGATCCTCGACGAGGCGATGCAACTAGCGCTACGCAAATGGGTCAACCTTCCTCACCAGTTCTCCACCGCACACATCCCTCTGTTGCAGCACTTCCAGCAGATCGTCGAGTTACAGGAAGCAATTCAGATTTTCGCGTCGCTCGCGGTCACAACGGCTCAGAACTTGGAGAAGAAGTCCTCAGATCTCAAGATGCTCTTGCAGGCCTGGCGCGAACGTCTACCCAACATCTGCGATGACATCACCATCTGGAGCGACCTCGTCGCCTGGAGGCAGAACGTTTTCAACGCGATCAACAAAGCTTACATCCCGCTCATTGCGCCTGCGAACCAAGGGAGTGGCGCTAATGCGGGGAGCACGAACACCTTCGGGTACCGCGGCTACCACGAGACGGCTTGGATCATCAACCGTTTCGCACACGTCGCGCGGAAGCACGAGCTACTCGACGTCTGCTTCACCTCCCTCAATCGCATCTACACTCTGCCCAACATCGAGATTTCCGAGGCCTTCCTGAAGCTCCGCGAACAAGCTCGATGCCACTATCAGAAGCCGGGAGATCTGCAGGCGGGCTTGGAGGTTATCAACAACACGAACCTCATGTACTTCTCCAACACCCAGAAGGCGGAGTTCTACACGCTCAAGGGCATGTTCCACGCGAAGCTGGGCCGGAACGACGATGCCAACAACGCATTTGGGCAGGCCGTTCAACTTGATATGTTCCAAGCCAAGGCATGGGCGGCCTGGGGCAAGTACAACGACAAGATGTTCAAGGAGATTCCGACGGATATGTCCTATGCATCGAACGCCGTCAGCTGTTACCTTCAGGCCGCAGGACTGTACAAGAACAGGAAGAGTCGGCCCTTGCTTACCCGCGTCCTCTGGTTGCTCAGCGTCGACGACAATAGCCTTTTGATCTCCCAAGCTTTCGACCGCTACAAGGGCGACGCTGCGTTCTGGTACTGGATCACATTGATCCCCCAGCTGTGCTTATCGGTCTCCCAACGAGAGGCGAAGCAAGCTCGCTACATCTTGCTCAATTTGGCAAAGCTCTACCCCCAGGTCAGTCCTCAACACTCGTAATCTGACTCGCGATGTGATGCTCATTGTGATGATAGGCCCTCTTCTTCCCTCTCCGTACTACGAAGGAAGATATGAACATGGTGAAGCGGCAAGCGAGCCAGGCTGCACAGGCTGCTGCCGTTGCTGCAGCTCGAGCAAATCCGCCGCAATCCGCAGAAGGTGCGTGACGAAGCGATTCCATTTCCTGTGAGCGAGACTGATAGCGCGTACGTGCAGGCGGTGTCAAGGTCAATGGCGGCAGGGATGACGGCAATGTCAACGGCCAAGGGTCTTCCGGACCTCCCAGGCCCCTACCTGCCGAGCTCAACATACCTGCCGCTACCCGTCAATCTTGGGAGCTCATAGACGAGATCGTCCAAATCCTCAAGACGGCCTTCCCCTTGCTTATCCTCACCCTGGAAACCGTGGTCGAACAGATTGCGCAGCGCTTCAAGGCGTCCTCGGAAGAAGAGATATACCGACTGACCTGCATGCTACTTCAGGATGCGATGCAGGTACGTCGCGATTACGCGCATAGTGCTCAGCTTTACTGACAAGAGGTGTAGCAATATATAATTCGGATGTCTGCCGAAGACGACGGGCAGCTCACCCCGACGACTGTCACAACGCTGTCTCGTCTGGCCATCAACCTGTCCGGGTCTGCTCGCGTAAGCCACCAGTTTTACATTGATCGCGGAATGTCTCATCGACCGCGTTGAAGAGGGACTATGAGGAGGACTTCATCAAGAGCAAACCAAGTTTGCAAGAGTACATCCGTAAACTTCAGCAATGGCGGGATAAGTATGAACGCCTGCTCGATGCTCGCCCACGAGTGCAGTCTCTGGACAACCTCACCCATTACTTGATCGAGTTCCAGTACACGAAGTTCGACGAGGTAGAGGTACCGGGACAATACACTGAGGTAAGCCCTTCCCGCTTCATCACCGAGCATGGACATTAATAGTGCTTGCAGGACAAGGACACGAACCAGAACTTCGTCCGCATTCGCAGGTTCGGCCCTCGATACGAGAATTGCCGGTCGCACGGGTATTGTTGGCGACGACTAACAATCAAGGGTCATGACGGTTCCTCCACCTCGTTCGCTGTGCAGCTTCCATCTGGACGTCATTGTCGTCGAGAGGAAAGAACGATGCAAATCTTCCGCATCTTGAACAGGTGCGTCCATCGTATTGACGCGCCGTATTAGCTGGTTTAACCCTTTGCCTTCAGCACCCTAAGTCGCAAGAAGGAAACCCGCAAGCGCAATCTCCACTTCCATCTCCCGGCCGCTGTCTCTTGTGCACCTAACCTCCGGCTTCTACAAAACGACTCGTCATACATCACCCTCGGCGACATCTACGACAAGCATTGCGAGGATTCCGGGATGGCAAGAGAAGAACCAGTGCTGATGAGCGGCGAGAAGGTGAAGGTTGCCATGCGCGAGTACAAGCAAAGAAATGAGAGACAACCAGTAAGTATATGTAAACATTGTTGCTTCATATACTGACCCGCTGTGCAGCCCACCAAAGGAGAATTCTACATCCTGAAGAAGGACCTTCTCGATGATGTAGTGGCGAAGACATGCTCGGAAGACGTCCTCACACGTGTAAGTGGATCACTCTTATATAACAGGCCTCAATGCTCACAAAGCGATTGTAGTACATGATGCGAACGATGGACGGCCCTAGCGAGCTCTGGCGCATGCGCAAGGAGTTCGCGCTGCAGTTGTCGTCGGTCAGCTTCATGACGTACCTCCTTTGCCTCGGTAGCCGCCTTCCTTCTCGATTCCACTGGTCGAGGTCCACGGGCCAGATTGCCATGAGCGAGATCCTCCCAGGTACGGAAAAGCTCCTTTGATTGTGTGCATGCTACTTACTGTATGTGTTGTACAGGCCTCGCCTCTCAGGTCCCACAGTTCCACTCCCCCGACGCAGTGCCTTTCCGGTTCACGCCGAACCTGCAGCACTTGCTTGGCCCCATCATGACGGAGGGCATCCTCGCGGCCGGCATCATGTCGATAGGCCGCTGCCTCACAGAACCTGAGGTGCGTTTGTCTATTCATCGTTTCCTCTCACCGGCTCACCGCTTTCACCAGAACGACCTCGAGCATCAGCTATGTCTCTTCTCACGCGACGAAGTCATGACTTGGCTGCACCAGCACCACCGCGGCAAGGTTCCTCAGATCGACCTCACCTTCCGTAGCCAGGTCGCCCAGAACATTGATAGCGTCGTGAAGCGCGCGGAGACGATGGCCTGCAAGCTCGAGCGCGAGCAGGTACGTGCCATACACCCCATCCCAGAGCTCCTGTTCTTGACGCGCGCTACTCTACAGGCCCTGGCGCAGACTGCACAGACCATCAGCACGATCCCGGCTGTTCAGACTGTGGCCAGCCTCATCTCTACCGCGACAAATCCGATCAACCTCGTGAAGATGACGGAGATGTTCGTGCCCTGGTTCTGAACGGTGATCTATCCTCGCATCTTGCTCTCGCGCGCATTCGTATGTTGTACTCGTAGAACGGTGGACTGTATACCATGTATCACATAATGCATATCTCTCTTGGTCTCTACATATGGTTACATGCGATGGAATCCCTCAGTCTGTCGGAAGGCGTTGATCTCGCGCTCACTAGAGATCAACATCTACGGGGCGCGGGTTTAGCGTGAGGGACACGATGAGGGAATAGGAAATGTACCTCTTCCGCCATGTTGTAGATCTCCGAGCCCGGTCGGTTATACATCATTGCGTTGGCGAACATCAGGTATATATCGCGCTGGAACTCGAGCGAGTTCGCGATCAGCCCGTCCTTCACCCTAGACTTGATCGTCTTCAGGTCCATAGGCCGCTTCACGATGTCGTGGTAGTCGGGAGCCTCGGACTTCTTGATCGGATTGTGGAAGATGTTGCCGTAGCGGTGAGCGGATATTTGGGAGTGCAGCATGCCAATGACGTTCTGAAACCGTTTCGAAACGACGGGGGCATCTGAGCCGCCAGAGCGCTGATTCCGGCGTGTCCTTGGGGCGCCTGGCGAGATACGGATCGTTTGAGGGTTTGCACTGCGAAGTGACGCTCTATACGCACCGTCGTCCTCGTCTGCGGGTTCCGAGTCTTCCCTGGGCCGTTTGTGCTCTCGTTGCTCATCGAGCATCGATGTATCACCATCCGTTGCCTTCCGCTTGCCTAGGACCGGAGTGAGCAACAGCGCCACGTACAGACTCGCCGACACATACCTTCGCTTCGGGACGAATACGCCATCTCCTGCGTCATGCTTATCGGTACCTCTGGCGACTCGGGTTCTTGCGAGGCATCTTCTCCGGATGGCAGCTCTGGAGGCTGTGGTGTGCCTCGCTCTGCTGCGTCAAGTTCCATCTCATCGTCGTGTTCTTCAGGTGATTTCGCAGGCGTGGGAGGGAGCTCCTCTCCTTGTGAGGTGTCAGGAGGCTTCTCAGCGGCGAAGTTGCCTATGAGTTCGTCGACGGCTTCGTTGTCGGAGCCTTCCTCCGGCTGCAACATATGTCAAGCTTTCGACATAGTCAAATTCAGCATGCACATACCTTTTCCTCGATTTCAGGCGTGGGCTCAGTCTCAGCGGTGTCCTGTTGTTCCACCTCCGGCTCAGGGGGGGCGTCTTCCGGTTCCTGATCCTGATGTGCTAATGTTGAGAGGGCCCATTTCCTTGAGGCAGACCTACTCACCGCCGGTACGTCTTCCGATGCAATAAGTTCGGAGGCTGCAGGGTGCTCTTCAACCGCTTCTGCAGCATTGTCGGCCTCTACCACATCCAGTTGCGCTTCACTGACGTCCATCTCGGGTTCCTCGTTCGCAATCCCTACAGAGACGCGTATCTTGTCATCCCACGCACCGCTCCGAATCTCGTCGATTTCTGTGACAAGTTTCCTGAGCGACCGGTGTGAGCACCACGCGTGTTTCAAGAGCGTGATTACGCACTTGAACTTCGTCTCCTCTGCGGCTATGAGCTCCCTGAGCTCCTTGACGCGTGCTACATAGTAACGCTGCGCTAACTTGAGATGTTTCTCTGCTGCAATATCAGTTCGCGACTGTCCTATGACGCCTGTATCGCATATACTCACATCGTGGGCCGACGTCTGTTTCTGACCTTCGCAACGCGACATGAGTCCAGCAATTGCGCGCACAAGGCTATCTCCTCTTACCATTCTAGCTCGGCCTCCTCCATGAGGCGTTTATGGAGAACAGGACACGACTGAAACACGCGGAACACGGATGAGCCTCGTGCTTTCTCGGTAGGATACATGAGTGCTAACTTGGGGCGTGAATGTGTCCTTCGGCTGAGAGATGAGAGGATGGTTGGAGAGCAGCTTCGCCACCTCGGGCCATGCACGCGTGCCGAATTCATGGACAGCTTGTGCGAAGATGAGGCGTTCGACGTTGCTCAGGTTCGACACATCCAGCTCGGGCGTAGACGTGGATTTGCGCGAGCGGACCGCCGAGGCCATCTTGCTAGTGGGGAGCAGCGACACAGTGGAGGCGAGACGAAAGGATAACGCGCATATATTCAGCTCCCAAAGACGGGGGACGCGTCGCTGTCCATCGTTGTGGTCGCCAACGCTGTTTGACTCCGGGCGACCTCCGGAATCCGGCTTCCCTGGTGCCGAAATACGTACCAAAAGAGCAATCTCGCCGTGAGCCCTGCCAAAGGAGGCGTGGGGTCGGCCCAGTCCCGGCCGCAGCCGGCGGTCATGCCATCGAGGGCCAACGTCACCCCTCCGCGCGGTGACTACCCCAAGTCGGCTGCGCTCGAGCTTGCCCTTCAACCACCATGTTGCTCTCCAGACTCGCCTCCTTTGCCCCCCTCGCCCTCCTCCCCTTCGTCGTCGCTGATGGCGTCCACAGGATGAAGCTCAAGAAGCTTCCTCCCGCCATCTCCAACCCTCAATTGGAGAGCGCGTACCTCGCTGAGAAGTACGGTGGTGGTTCCCAAGTACCGCTTGGTGGTGGTATTGGCCGCAACGTCCGCGTATCGCGCCCGACAGTCAAGGATGGCGAAGAGCTCTTTTGGACTCAGGACGAGTTCTCCACGGAGGGCGGCCACACTGTCCCCCTGAGCAGTATGTAACGCTCTCTTGCTGTCCTTGGCGCGTTCTCTCATAACTGTCGCTAGACTTCATGAATGCTCAGTACTTCGCCGAGATTACGTTGGGCACTCCCCCGCAGTCGGTAAGCAGCACGTGTACCTTGATCAAGGTTGTCTTGCTCACTTCTGTTTAGTTCAAGGTCATTTTGGACACCGGGTCGAGCAACCTCTGGGTGCCGAGCACCAAGTGCACGTCCATTGCATGCTTCCTCCACGCCAAGTACGACTCGAGCGCTTCGTCTACGTACAAGGCGAACGGTTCCGAGTTCTCCATCCAATATGGCTCTGGCTCTATGGAGGGCTTCGTGTCTCGGGACGTCCTGACTATCGGCGACCTTACGGTCAAGAACTTGGACTTCGCCGAGGCTACTAAGGAGCCTGGTCTCGCCTTCGCCTTTGGAAAGTGAGTGTTGTGTATTCCCCCCATTGCTTCCGAAACTCAATAGCCATAGGTTCGACGGTATCCTTGGTCTTGGCTATGACACCATCTCTGTTAACCATATCGTGCCTCCCTTCTACGCGCTCGTCAACCAGGGTCTCCTTGATTCTCCCGTCTTCTCCTTCCGTCTCGGTGACTCGGAAGAGGATGGTGGTGAGGCCATTTTCGGAGGCATCGATGATAGCGCGTACTCCGGCAAGATCGAGTACGTCCCTGTACGGAGGAAGGCCTACTGGGAGGTTGAGTTGGAGAAGATTCGCCTCGGCGACGAGGAGCTTGAGCTTGAGAACACTGGCGCAGCCATCGACACTGGTAAGCACATGCTTTCATCCTTGCCGTATGATGTGTTGACCATTGTACTAGGAACCTCTTTGATTGCCCTTCCTTCCGATTTGGCGGAGATGCTCAACGCTCAGATTGGTGCCAAGAAGTCCTGGAATGGCCAGTACACGGTCGACTGCGCCAAGGTCCCTGACCTCCCCGACCTCACCTTCTTCTTCAACGGCAAGCCCTATGTCCTGAAGGGCACCGACTACGTGCTCGAAGTCCAGGGAACTTGCATGTCCTCGTTCACTGGTATCGACATTAACCTGCCCGGTGGCGGTGCTTTGTGGATCGTCGGTATGTTCCTGTACCCCACATCTTGCAATTTACTTTGCGCTAAGCTTTCATCTAGGTGATGTCTTCCTGCGCAAGTACTTCACTGTGTACGACCTGGGCCGGGATGCTGTCGGCTTCGCTCTCTCGAAGTGAGATGTCAGTGTTTCTGAGGACAGTCCCCATACGACCGCTCGTGTTACGTTTCTTGATACCTGCATGTACAACACATAGTCGCGGACGGAATCATATGTTCAACATTTCGCTCTGCTTTCATGAATGATGATGTCATGGACGTGTTCGGCGCTACAACGCCCAGTGGGCGCTTTTTGTGTTCCAGTATGTACCACGCTGTTCATCTCTCGATTTCGAAGGCTTTCAACTCCATGCGCCCATTCTGCTCATAAGTATCTGTGTATGGATCTTGCGTTGTCCTTTCAACCAACAACATGCGCCGTAATCGTTTGGACACAACTCTCACAACATTGCCACCGACTTGCACCCGGTCTCGCAACTGGAAGCACGACCTTCTATCGACCTCATATTACAGTGGCAGATTAGACCGCGTCAATGTCCTCGGGAGTGAAACCACAGGACACACCGGATGCGTCAACGCACTCTCTTGGGCCAAAGAAGGGGCCGTGCTCATAACTGGCGGCGACGATACTACGTGTGTACCACTCATTCTCGTGAAGCCTAGTGTCCATCGGCACTCACTTCGATCGTTGGAAGGGTCCGCTTGTGGCGGTTGGGAACCGATGACACTGGACAACAAGACTATCCCTTCGTGTGCGACACTGTCATTCACACAGCCCATCGTGCAAACATATTCAATGCGCAAATGCTGCCCCATTCATCTCGTATGTATGTGTCTTGTCGTCGTAGCTTCTTCTCACATCTCACTGACCATACAACTTTGAAGTGTCACCGTAGCTGGGGATAGTCTTGTTCGTGTGTTCGACCATGAGAAAGCCGCAGGGTACTCTGTGATCGACGGAGAGACACAATACCATGCGCGCTCGGCCGGCATTAGGGTCTTCAGGTGCCATGACGGACGAGTCAAACGTATCGTGACGGAGGACAGTCCGGACCTTTTTCTTACGGTCGCAGAGGTACGCAGCCACGTTTCGCGGAGAGGTTTAGGCCACTGTCGAGCCGTGGATTCTGCAGGACGGTTCTGTCCGTCAGCACGACCTGCGTGTTCCACATTTATGTGCCTCCAACGCTTGTCCAGCTCCGCTGGTGCTCCTCGATCATGAACTCTCGACCTTGTCCCTATCTCCGTTGACCCCTTATCAATTCGTTGTGGCAGGGGCTTCGCCATATGTGAGTAACTTACTACTATGGCCGTCCGTTGCTTTCCTGACGCATATATACAGGCCTATCTCTTCGACAGGCGACATGCAGGACGTTACTTTTATGAAGAATGGGGCCGGCCTCCTAGCCGCGACGATGTCACTACGTGTGTGCGGAGGTTTGGACGTACGGCGCGAGGGCCGCACGAACGCCGAGGGCTGGAACATATCACAGGCGCGAAAATCGCGTCGAGCAACGGGCATGAGGTGCTTTTATGTGAGTTATCGCTAGCCTTGCCGCGACTTCATCTGACTCGTCCTCAGCATACAGCTCGGATGCAGTCTACCTCTATTCCACCAAAGATGACCCTCGGCCAACCAGTATCGCGACCGGAGACACGGCCCTACTACCTCCCAATAAGACCAGTCACAAGTACGAAGAGCCTGTTGGTGATTCTTCTGAAATCGAATCTACGTCGCACCACGGATGGTCTGATAGGGATGCTCTCATGGACGAAGATATCGAACGAATACAAACGGAGGAGACCACAGATTCCGATGACCCTGATAGCCGCAATTACAGTGACGACAGCGATGCCGAAGAAGACGATGAGGCTACGAGCGAGGGGACAGGTGACGAACGCTACAGCGGGATGCCTACCATCATGCCTCGTTTGCGCTTTGCAGGTGCTTGCAATGTGGAGACCGTCAAAGATGGTGCGTATTTATAAAATTGCATTAACATGCATCTGACCTTTTCACAGTCAACTTCCTGGGGCCGAGGGACGAGTTTGTCGTATCCGGCTCCGACGACGGCAATTGGTTCATGTGGGAGAAGAAGACCGGCAGGTTGCATGATATCCTGGAGGGCGACGGAGCCGTTGTCAATGTCATCGAGGGGCATCCTTACTTGCCCCTGGTCGCCGTGAGCGGAATTGACACGACAGTGAAGGTACGCATGCAGCATTAATTTGCGCATACTATGATTTCTGTATTGACCTGGTTTTAGCTCTTCGCTCCTACGGCTGGCCCCAGGAAATTCTCTCGGCTCGACCAAGTGGATTCGATCGTAAATCGCAATGCGGAAGCGGCCAACTCAAGAGGAGAGCTTCTCAATCTGAGAATGTACTACCGGTTGGCCCAGCAGATGGCTCAGAGCGAAGGTCACGGCGCTCCCGGCCCTCAGTGTCCTGTGCAATGATCAGACGTGGGCGCACACCGCATATACAATCTTGTAACACCATCCTCTACTTGGATCATACTTGTAACTGCTAGTTTTTGTCCTTCGCTATCGGCATGTACCATGTATCATACGATCGTAACCAGGATTTCAGAGCGTGGCTGGGTTCAAGCTTGTCGGGCGGCCCCACATGTGCCCACGCGGGGCGCGGACCGATCTTGCAGTCAACCACAACGACGCGGGGCCAGTCTTGCTGTATCTCTGACACGGTACGAATCATTTCGTTGCTGGTGTTGCTCAATGATAGCCTCAGATGAGGGGCTGAGAGGACTCGGCGTGGTTTCGTGCCGGACCAGGGAACATTTTTGTTCTCAGAGGCTCGGTTGGCGGTGCCACAAGCTCAAGCTCGTACCACGACGCTACCTGGGCGTCGTTTCTCTCTGCTCGGTGCTTTGCTCGGTGCTTTGCATGCTATAAGTAAATACTGCTTTCCGAACAACCTCGACGCATATACAGCTCTCTGTGGCCTCTTGTACCATGTAAGTACCATATTTCATGTTGCTGGTATGCGTCAAATCTGTAGCGCGTCATGCTGACTATGTCGACTCCTCCCCGGCCTCTCTTGCTTCGCAGCTTCGTACCTATTCCCCGGGACGCATGCGTCCGTGTCTGTGTGATTGGGAGGAGCTGTCGTTGAACCTGTTTGAGTTGGCGCGAGAGTTTGTGGAGGGGAAACCCTTGACCTTTGACTTTGCTCCGTCACGGTGCACGTAACGTGAGCGTCCAAAGTCGACGCTCGTCTCGCCTCCTGCCATCACCTCGCACGCCCTCGCCAGCGCACACTGCATGAATTCGAGCAAGCGAAGGAGTCGACACAGCCCGGGAATAGACGACGGGGATCCCAGTGCAGGTTTGGCATCACGCGTCACCGTCAGCGAAACCCTGTCCGGCTCACACACCCTACAAGACCGCAACACCGCTCAACGTTCCCCAAGATCCTCCCGCAACGGCAGCCACATGAGAAGAGAAGAGTCCGGCTCTCGAGGCCGCTACGACGCCGACGACCCGTGGAAGATGGCCGACACGCCTGAACGTTACGCATATGGCCGCAGAGAAGAGCAGAGACGGGGAGGGGGACCGCATGATGCACGAGAGGGAGATGGTTGGTCAGGACGTGGGTCATACGACGTACGGAATTCCTCTTCTTCTCGACACACGGCGGACGACCCCGACCGGGGCCATTCAGCGCAACCTCTACAGGACACTGCTGGGTGGACGCCTGCTCGCCGTCACGACGACCGCGCTGGCGGCTATGACCGGGAAGGGCGTTCGGGCCAGCACAGTGGACAATCTCGACACGAAAACGACTGGAAAGATGACCGCAAGGAAGGTCCGCCCCGGGAATGGCGTAGTGACAATGGTTGGGACTCGCGTAAGCACTCTTCGGGGTCGCATGCGTGGGACGAGCCACCTCGGGAGTGGTCTGGTAGCGGTGAACCATCTCATCGAGAGGATCGTTCTTGGGAACCCGCTCCATCGTGGCAGACTGCTCGGCGGGACGGTGGCTCGAACTCGTCCCAGCGCAACCAGCATTCGCACTCCAACAAGTCAAAGAACAAGGGAAAAGGTGGAAAGAAGAACGGGAATAACAACAACGCCAACAATAACAGCAACACCAACCGGCAAAAACGCAATTGGCGTGACGACGACAGCCAACTAAACAAGTATGTCGACCGTATTGACCAACCCGTGTGGTACTCATGTAAAATCTCAATAGCTGGACTCGACGAGACTCCTCTACATCCAAGAAGAGCGCCCCACCATCGACAGGAAAGCGTCGTCATCGTGATTCGGTCTCTCCTGCTCGATCTCGTTCCCCCGCCGAGTCCTATCATTCTCGGCGCTCATACCGAAGCCGGTCCCGTTCACTCGGTACTCCGAAGCGACGACGACGCGACGACAGTCCTCCTCGCAGTGGTCGTAGTCCAAGCCACTCGGACAGAAATCGGGGTCGAGAGATTCGTCGTGATGGGCGTTACTCCCGTTCGCCTCCCTCGAGTATCAGTAGTCGAGGGCGCGGTAGGCGACGAAGTTCATCTGCCTCGAGCTATAGCCGCAGCAGGTCGCGCAGCCCTACACAGAGTCCAAGAGACCGTCCCAGAGCCAAGCATCGACTGCCGCCGGTGTCGACCGTCAGAGACGTCCCTATAATCAAGGGCGCCTTCCGCAATGGCCAGAATCGCAACCGGAAAGGGGGCAACAAGAACATCAATGGCAAGCTCTCCGAGGTACGTGCCGGATGCTACCTCTAGGTGCATATCATAACCGCCAGGCTAGCTTTTCCCCGGACTTCCTGAACGCCCACACACGGAGACCAAACCCAGATCTATGCCGCCGCCTAAAGTTCCCTCCCCACGCCGCAGATCTGCGTCTCCTTCTTCGGGGGTCCGTCCATCAAGCACGGCAGCGGGCTCCTCCAGTACAACGACAGGCAAGAAACCCGGTTTCAAGCCGATCGGACAAGCCAGCAGTTCACTCAAGCGATTTTTCCCTGGCGACGACGATGACGACGACGATTCTCCTCCGCCTCCTACTAGCCGCTCTCGAGGACAACGCCCTCCGACCCCCCAACCAGATTCGCCCGAACTACAGACAACCCGATTGAGTGGTGATAGCTCACCAAGTCGTGCGACATCTCCGCAACGCGGCCGGGCCTCCGCCGATATGGAAAAGAGCCCTAGCCAGTCTCCGGGACGGCGTGGTAATGAACGACGCTTGGGGCGGCGCGTTCCGTCTCGTCGGAACACAGCACAAGCATCTCCACAGCTCGGTGACAAGGAGAAGTTGTACGTTTTGCTTGGCCAGGTTGGTTCTGGAACATTCGGCAAGGTCTACAAAGCGAGCAACACGGCGAACGGGCGGATGGTCGCTTTGAAGCTGATCAAGATGGAGTCGGAGAAGGATGGTTTCCCCGTCACTGCCATGCGGGAGGTGAAACTCTTGCAGTCCCTGCGGCACGAGAATGTCGTTCAGCTGTACGAGATGCTCGTTTCGAAAGGTGGGGTGGTTGCGCATGATCTGGACAATTGCAGTGCTGATGCTTGCTCGCAGGCTCTGTATACATGGTCTTCGAGTACATGGACCATGACCTCACTGGCGTCTTGTCGCAGAATCAGTTTGAGTTTACAGAGGCGCATCTCAAGTCATTCTGCCGCCAGATGCTAGCCGGCTTGGCGTACCTTCACCACAAGGGCGTCATCCACCGCGACATCAAGGGCTCGAACATCCTGGTCAACAACCGTGGAGAGCTGAAGCTCGCCGACTTTGGTCTTGCCCGATTCTACCAGAAGCGCCGAAAGAGCGACTACACCAACCGCGTCATCACGCAATGGTACCGCCCTCCCGAGCTGCTGTTGGGCGCGACGATCTATGGGCCGGAAGTCGACATGTGGAGTGCCGGGTGAGTTCGTCCTTGCTTGCGTTCATCACAGTCTTCTCATGATCTCCGCAGATGCATCATGCTCGAGTTGTTCACGAAGAAGCCCGTCTTCCAAGGCGTGGACGAGATTCACCAAGTACACGTCGTGTACAAGATCTTCGGCACGCCTTCCATAGAAGAATGGCCTGGGATCACCAGCCTTCCGTGGTTCGAGCTTCTGCGGTCTTCAGAAGACATGCCGAACAGGTTCAGGGAGTTGTTCAAGAAGTGAGAGTCGTGCTTAATTTCGCACTCACTTGTTCTAATATGTCGTTTCCCTAGGTGGCTCACCCCCGCTGGCTTGGATCTTGCTGAGAGGCTCCTCACTTATAATCCGGAGCGTCGTATCACGGCACTGCAGGCTCTGGACGCACCGTACTTCAACCAGGAGGAGCCGTTCGCAGCGGCGCCTACCGGGTATGTTTTCAACTACGCTCTTTCTGCAGCCTATATGCTTACAGCGTTACAGATTATCGACCCTTCAGGGAGAGTGGCACGAGATGGAGACCAAACGGGAGCGGGAGAAGAAACGTAAGAGGGACGAGGAGGGCGGTGGCGGTGGCGGTGGCGATCAGGACTGAGGTTTTTCGTGCTGTTACGAGTCCAGGATGCTATGTATTGTCGTACACATCGTACACTCCCCCGCAGGGACTTCTACTACGAGCACCCTCTGACAGATGTAAGCCTCGCACATTCTATCGCATATTCATACTTGTACTGCTCCAAACGACACCAGCCCCTTCTCTGTGAGGTGTTGCACGATTGTCTCCACCTGGAACTCGTGTTCAAGAAGGGAAGTAAATGGGCATGTCAAGGAAACTCACATTCGCCGCTGTCAGGCGGATCTGCATGTCCCATCGTTTCGTGAAGGGGGCGCCGGTATCCTCCTCAACCTGCTCGACATCGCCGAGACCGCCGGCCTTGCCCTGCGCGTCATCCTCTTCACCAAGGACATCGAACGAGATCAGCTTCTCAACCTGGTCGATCGACCCCTTCAGCCGTCCTTGCTCAATCATCCGGCGCGCCATCGTCTCAGCCGCGCCCGGAGTGAGGTCAAGGAGCGCGCCCAAGCCGCGGAACGTGATGTTGTTGTAGATCTTGGAGCTCGCGAGCAAGTTGTGTTCCATCACGGCGCGGTCGAGCACGGTGGCGGGACCTTTGCGCGTGCTGATCGTGGCGTCGTTTGCCTGGTCATCATCCGCGACCGCAGATGCAAGGCGGTCGTTGGACGAGATGGAGATCTTGGCAAGCTGATGAGGCTTCAACGTGCCTTCGAACTCCTTGATCTCGTTCGGGCGCAGGATGCGGTCGTGGAACATTTTGAGTAGGATGTTGAAGGACGGGAGCTCTGCGGTGCGCTCATCGCGACAGAGCGCCGCAAGCACTCGCGAACGGTTCGGGCCTGCTGGGGCCAGGATCGCGCATGTCATCGCGGCAGACCTGGGGAGCGGTGTGAGTGAGGCGCAAGGCTGAGGGGGAAATGAACATACAGCATATGTTTGCGCTCCTCTTCGTCGATCTCCGCGACCCAGCTGAGTTCATGGTACCGGCTGGCAGCCTCGAGGAACTTCCGGCTATAGTCACTGATACGCGCCTGGCAAAGCTTGAACTGCAGCAGTGTCTCCCTCTCCGTTGTGCTGTGTGCAAGCAAGGCGGCGCGGTTGTAGTACCGTTCCGCCTCAACCGAGTCTTCGTCTTCAAGCAGTAGGCGCACTATCCGTACGTATACGCGCAGCTTCTCCTCGTCAGGAAGGGACCTGTGGCATCAAGTGAACTTTAGGCTTGTGTGGCGCGAGGTTGGTACTCACCTCTGGCCAGAATCTAGTGAGATACCAGTAAGCACTCGTGCCGCGTCGCTCCATTGCTCCTCCTCCTCGAGAATGTCCGCTAGTTGGAAGCGTAGTGAGTTCACCTGAACGCGCGGCCCTTAGCGCCACAGTGTCCTCGGATCACGCGTCGGCACTCACCTGCTCCTCATAGCTCACGATGCGGGGCTGAACGATGCTCAAAGTGTCCTCGACGATGCGCTTCCTCTGCTCGGTGTTGCGAACCTTGCCTTCTGATAGTGCCTTGACGAGCTCGGATAGGATGCCTCTGCTAATGACGAGACCTACGCTCTCCTGATTGACCGCATTGTCGATGAGGGTGTGGATCTCGGCGTGGAGATTGGACTGATCTTCCTGGGCGAGGACCTCAGCGAGAAGAGACTGGTAGGCGGTCGCCTTGTCCTTCTGGTTCAGCGTTGCGAACTGCGCAAGTCTGCTCTCCATTGTGCGGTGGAAGGACGCGAAACCGAGGACGGTGGCTGCAGTACAGGAACAGGAATGCGGTACGCACGTGGTTTGGACTAATGATGCTTGCCCATATCGGGATATGCAGGTCCGTAGGCGCCGGTGGTACCATGGCCACGGTGACGCGTGAAGGGATGTGAAGAGATCGAGGTGCATATACCCAAGGCTCAGGACGCCGCTCCGTCTCGCACCCTCCTGCTCGTCCTTCCTCCCAGCTCGACGGTCGACGGCACTCAGCAGAAAGCACCGGTCTGCTTTCTCTGTCTGTCTCGCAAGTGCCTCAGGATTGCCTCGGTCGTCCTGGAGATTTATAACGCCTGTCTGATGCTGTGATTGGATCACACTTGCCCTGGTTTTATTCTCAGCCTCCTCCTCACACTCGTCCACCGGCTATCCTTCGTTCACTCTTCCAGGTTCTCTTGCTCTTTTCTTCGTGCCTCTTGCTACGGCCTCCTCGCCGTGCTCTGTCTTGTGCTGCTAGACAGCGCGGTTCCCAACCCATTCGCTCTCTTAGTCCACCTCTACCTACGCGCCGCGCTGCCTAATGTCCCACCTCACCGCACCGATGCCCTCTGGGCACCATGCCTACAAGTCTCATCTATACGACCTCCCTAGACCCGTACACCCCCTCACCCCTCCGGACACGGACTTCGAGACTTTATCTCAACAGGTTGCACCCGCGCAGAACATGGCTGGACTGGAGACGGACCCATTTCCGCCTCAGCATCAACACCACCCCTCGATGGCAGACTCCCCCTTTTCGGGCCTGCATAGGAAACGCCCCTCGGTCTCGTACGTCAACTCGGGCATCCGTGATTCGAGGGAGCGGGTGGTCCAGAGAGGCATCAAATGGTTGGTGGTCGTGCTGCCGCCTGTCTCGTTCGCCAGGGAGCACGGACACCTGGGGCACACTCTGTCGTCGGGACCGACGCGGAGGCTTTCCAATGGCCTCCTCATGCCGCTGTTCCCGACGGTAAGCCCGATTTCCCCTGCGTGCTACCCGCAGTGCTAATCGCTGATTTCCGACACAGCTCAATAGTCAGCTTGGCGCTATCGCACGCGAGTTCAGCTTCCCAAGCATCTCCGGCATCTGTGTGTACTTACACACGACTCACGGCGGCCTTTCCCTCAGCCCTCGGCTCTCCGACGAGTCGTGGCCCATCCTGTGGGGACATCTGTTCGACGCCCGCTCGCCGTCGCTCCCTCCCCAGCAGCTGCCTATCAGCGGTCAGATAGAGTTCGACATTGACTTGTCGAAAGCTCGCTGGTACGACGCCTGGCTGTCGTCTTCCCGCCGCGACTATGTCGATGTGCCTCAGTCAGTTACTCCGTCGCGCGCGCAGTCCATTTCCCATTGGCGCGGGGATAGTCAGACATCCATCAACGAGCCGCTGGAGGATCAAGCGGACGCCATCTCTGTCGTGCAACCTGGCAGAACATCCGCCCGCAACATCAAGAAGTTGTCGCTCCTGGATCGGTTTGACGGCGCGTCCGTCCGCTCGGTATCGAAGCTAGTGCCGCGGGACGAGTCGCCCCCGAGCCAGACAGCTAGGCAGGCCAACGGCCCTCAATCGCTTTCGCCCATCGTCCAGGAGGATGAGCCTGCAACCGCCAAGAAGGAATTCGATAGCCGTGTCCAATCTTGGCGCATGAGCGCGACCGCAGCAGCACGCAGTCCGCTTGCCGCTACCGGACAAACTAGCCTGGACCCTGCGAACATGCCCAACACCATGGGCGACCTGCCGACTGCCACTACGTCCGAGCTACAGTCCGAGCTTAACCTCGATGATTATGCCTGGTCGGTTTCTTCTGCGGGTCCTCCCGACTACGATATGGAGTCCGTCGCGTCCTGGGATCGCGTTCCCTCGGTGCACATGGACAGGCGGTTCGAGGGTTCGGTCTGCCTTACGCCGTCGGTTTGCACGTCCTTCGGTCCCGACGACGACTACTTCCCGTTCTCGCCCGTCTCATACATGTCGCGTCTTCCTTCTCCGGATATCGCCTGGCGTATGCTTGAGGATGTACCGCCGACTCCGTCGACGGCAACTAGCTGGGGGGCACCGCTTTCTTTCCCACCCTCCCCCCTTAACTCGCCGTATGCGCCGTCTGTCGACCTTGGAGGTCGGTGCATGTCTAGCCGGCCCGCGACCCCCTCCACGGCAACCTCTTGGGGAGCCCCGCTGTCCTTCCCGCCGTCTCCCAGGATGTTTTCCCGCGCCCCCTCCCCCGATCTCGGCGAGCGTGGGATGTCGAGTGTACCCGGCAGTCCTCTGTTCCGCCGTGAGCCCCTCCCAGTGGCTGAACCGTACAACCTCGTCTATCCCTACTATAACGCTACGAGGGCCTCTTCCTGGCAGCACGTCTGGCCGTACACTGAGGAGTCCCATGTTGCTCAAGAGCAAGTGGTGGAGCGCCAGCAAGAAGTACGGATGAATGCTTTCGTCTTCCCTCCTCCCCCTCCTTCGCGTTCAGCGGCCGGGCCATGGAAACAAGTCTGGCCATACGCGGCCTCGTCAGATGATCAGGTCGCTGAACCTGCTACTACGGCTCTTGGCTACCCGGTATTGGACATCTATCCCGCGGTCTACCCTTCATTCGACATCTACCCCGGACTGCTCTCCCTCGATGACCGTGTGCTCGGTCACCCGGCGATCAACACAGGCGCGGCATACCCTATCTTCGATCTTTGTAAGTGCGAAACGGTGTCGTCCCGTGCTCTGGCTGACGTGGTTTTTCTGCAGACCCGGCTACGTACCCGTCCTTCAACATATATCCCGGACTTCTCTCCCTAGATGAGCGAAAGCTCGGTCACCCAGCGGTCAGGTCTAGCGCGGCATACCCTATCTTCGATCTCTGTAAGTGTAAAGTGGATTTTTGTTGGCTTTCCGACTAACGTAGTTTGCCCGAAGACCCGGCTGTGTACCCGTCCTTCGATATATATCCCTCCGCACTTACCGTTCCAGGTTCCGAGGAAATGCACGTTTCAACTTGTACGTCTTCTGTCGACTTGTATGTGGCCAATGATGGATTTGGACCCTTTTCTAGACACGTCCGGCTACCCCCATCTCGTTATCTACCCTCCGCTATCTCTAGGCTCTGCTGGAACCACAACATCGAATGCTACGATCTCTGTGCGTCTTGAGGCGGAATATCCAGTCTTCAACATTTGTATGTGCTACCGTCCCACGCCGTCCACAGTTACTGATTTTTACCATCGGTAGACCCTGCTGTCTATCCCCACTGCTTCGACGAAATCTACCCTGCAGCCACCCTGTCATCTTTGGTGCACGATGTGATACATGATGGCTGTGCGTTGGTCATTTTGTTTGCGCCATCGACTATACATCCTGATCACCAGTTAGACCCTCACAGCGTGTACAACATCTACCCTGCGCTCGGTTCCATCTCACAGCCGTGGCTCTCTGCTGTGATCGTCGGTGTACATTCGCAATACCCCGTCCTCGAGATCTGTAAGCTTGCTTGCTCTAAAGTTGTTAACAGCTTCTCATGTACCGCATCCTTAGACCCGCCGGTTGCTGGAGTTTCGTCGAGTCGCACAGTGTCGGGCATTGCGGTGAACCTGCCCAGGACGTATCCCGCCTTTGACATTTGTAAGTTTGCCCGTGCACACTTGCCTTTCCAATGCTGACTTGTTTTCTAGACCCAGCTGTATACCCTTGGAGCCTGCTCACTGTCTACCCGGAAGTTCCCACACAGGAACGCACCAAGGATGGCATCGTAGTCAAGCTGGCATCTGCTTACCCGGTCATCGACATCTGTGAGAAGTTTGCTGCATTTTGAGTGTCTGGTAGCTTACCGGTCACTTCGGCAGACCCTGCAGTGTACCCTCATAGTCTGCAGTCAGTCTACCCGGCGTCGCAGTCGTCAAACGTTGCACAGCCCCGCGTTGCACCTGCCAGCGCGATCAGGCCGCCACTATCTCTACGGCCGTCCGTGAGGTCAACTCACTCTCGGAAAACTTCGTTGAAGCGTGGTCTTCCTCCCGTACCGCCTTTGCCGAAGAACGCTCGGGAGCTGACTCCTTTCTCGCCCGTGTCTCGCCGGCCTCTTCCCCTTGCACGCGTGGAGTCTTCTGTCCCTGTGCACCTCAGCGGGGTCTACCCGAACGTCTGCCCCTGTGAGTCTGGTCCCCTGCGATGTCGGTGTGTCACTGAAACGCAGCAGATCCGCCGGTGTATCCGTATCTCTCGATCTACCCTTCGGTGACCTCGGCCACGTTCCCGGTCTTGGATGTGCAGCCGATTGCTACGGGCTCGGTGTTCCATTACCCTCATCTGGTTATCTGTGAGTCTTACCTCGACTGTGTTTAGGCGTTGACATACCTACTTTATCAGACGCTTCGGTCTATCCCTACATCGAGATCTATCCCGGATCCTGGGACCATGAAGTAGCCTCAATTCGTCGTAGGCGGCCGAGATACACGCACATGGAACTCCGTTCGCAGGTCCACGCCACGGTGCCTGCAACTGTGGCACCCGTGGCAGCACCCCTTCCCGCGCGCAAGAGGCCGACGTTCACGCACATGCAGCTCCGCGAAGAGGTCATCGCTACGGAGCGCGTATCGAGGGAACGGCAGCTGCCCAGGGTGATCGTCGCTGAGCCGAGCCCAGCTACCCCTGATCTTTTCTCACCCCCCGAGCCGGATTTTGAGATCGTCACGCCCATCGTGCGTTCAGCGGGAGCGAGGATGACCAGGGCACCTTTCTCGCCTCCGGAGCCTGAGTTTGAGCTCATTGGCGCCCCTGCGCCAGTCTCCGCTACTCACCGCACGTCCCCTGTCCCCGCGGGCTCGAACCGCAGCCGCTCTGGCACTGTGAACGCGCGGCCGCCCAGTGTACTTCCCCCACCACGCCCGCTGGGTGCGCGACCGTCGGCGCCCCCGACGCAGTCCATCCCGTCCCCTGTCGGCCCTTCAGATCTCTCCCCCGCCCCGTCGCCTTCACGGTCACTAAATCGCCTCTCTGGCTTGCCCGCGCATCCGGCAGCCAACCGACGAGTCTCTGCTGCTGCCCCCCGGCCGATGTCAACGTTCGGGCCGCTCCCTGCGGTACCCCAGTCCGGCCCAGGGTCTTCTCCTGTTGCCCGCCGGCAGCAGTCCATGATGAGCCCGCTCGACGAGGAGAGGCCTTCGCCCATCGGCAGCCGCTCGCCGCAACTGCCTTCGCCTGCAGAGGACTGGCAAAGGAGCTACCGGACCCCCAGCGACACCTCGCCTACTTCGCGCCTTCCGGGCATGACGGGCGGCCTCAGCCGCTCGAACACCATGCCCTCTCGCGCCGCTCCCCGTGGGCCGAGGAGCAGCACACTGATCTCGGAGAGGGCGAAGCTGTTCAACCCGGCCAACGGTAATGGTGTGTCCCGTCGTAGCATTATTTCTATGGTTCGCGATACTGACGCCAATGATCTTATAGCCGCCGGTGCTAGCGCAGCCGAAGGTGGTTCGCCGACGAAGCTGATGTCTACTCTTGCGGAGTTCCCCGTCCCGCCGCGTCCGCCGATGCCCTCGAACCCGGCGCGGGCGTCGATTTCGAAACTGGATCGGTCAAAATATCCTTTCGCGTAAACGATGAGGGATGTTATGGATGTTGTGGATATCGTGACTACTGTACCGGTACCGGTGTCTGTCGTTCTATCAGAGTACTTATGCCTATAATTATCATGCCAAACTAGTGTTGAACGATTCAAGGGCAGAGTGTGATTGTGTACGCGTGTAAGCCAGAAACTGGCACTATGTATCGGAGCCGAGTGTGCAATATTGTTGTGAGCGCGGCAGACGCGGGCACGTGGATTGGAGGCGCGTCGCGACGCGTCGATTACACAGCGGCGAGCGCCTCCTGGCTTTCTCATTGACAGCCACAACGTCTCCTGCTTCTCTGCCTTCCTCCTGCGCTCCCATCAGCCTCGGTAGACTATGCCTGCTTTTCAGAACCCAGATACTGGCGCGTCATTAAAACGCAAGCCTGAGCAACATGACCCCAACTTCGCCAGTCGTAAGAGACAAGCAACGGAGAACGACAGCGCGTCCGGCACCTCCGCGATGGAGGGTGAGCATTACTTCATGGTCCAATGGTGAGTATATGCGTCACTACTTCTTGAGCTCTGAGTGCGACGCGACGCGACGCGTGCTGTAGGAGGAATCCTCAATACAAGAAACACAAGACCTGGGATGGAGACGCGGTGCTAGTCGTCAGCGGGAACAAGTGCACACTGTATGATACCGATAACAAACAGTAAGGATCTCCACATATATCTTGGCAATCACTCTTTTCATGTTGCGTGCACAGAATAGGGAGCGGTAAGCCTCACGGAGTCGAAGGGGCGCACAAACTTGGGGAGGGCTCGGAATTCTCCATCGGCAGTCGGGAGGTCGAGATCGACCACAGACTGTCGCGCGAAGACTTCTTATCTGGCAGATGCTTTGGGAGGGGTGGTATTCCTGAAGTCTCTGCTACGTCAGCGCGGCCAAGTGCTGCGAAACAATTCGTTCCTCTCAAACCGAAGACTCTAAACGGCAAGAACCCCGCATACATCGTGCCTGTTGTGGCGGAGAAGGAGAAGCGGGGCGTTGTCCTAGAGGCGGTTAATTTGGTTTCAGCACAGAAGACTTCAACGAAGGGTCGCACGAAGGAGTCATCCTGGACGGCGAATTGGTACGCAATGCTCTTGGCACGGGCATATATGGAGCTGAGCTTGCAGCAGGCGCAAACCCCAACAGAAGAAGCATAAGACGTGGGATGAAGATGGCTACGTGCTCCATGAAGGAGAGAAGCTGACTTTGCTATCGGATACCGGTGTAGTGTGAGTATACTCTATTCTGCTGCACGCGTGCTGTGCTGAATATGCACCTCAGACTGGGCTCGAAGAAATGGGACGGCCTACCCCTCTACAGCGGTTACAATTGCTTCATTGGCAGTAGGGAAGTCGAGCTCGACAGCGAAATTTCTCGTTCGCGACTGCCTACCATCGTGGGCTCGTCCAAGGAACCGCCTGTTGATCCAGACTTTGGCGAAACTTCAAGTTCTCAGACGGGGTCGTCTTTCCTAGTCGAAGCACGAAGGACATCGCAAGAGGGTGCCAATAGCTCAAGTCCGTCTGTGAACTCCCCCGCATCAGCGAAGAAGTTCATACCGCCATCCTCCTTCTATGGAGCGACCACCAAACCGAAACCGAAAGGGCCCTTGTATGTATGAGACACCACCTCGCGGCCAAAGGCTCACTATATGCGCCAATAGACATAGCCCTGACGCTCCAGGGGCGGTCGTGATGAAGGCGCCTAGCAGGGAGCATCAAGCGAAGTTCAACAAGAAGTAGCCTTGTCTGTCCTCCTCACCAAAAATAAGCTCATTCTCTTGTCTAGGAATCTACCAGTTGTTCCGGTAGTTATCGACCCTGTGATAGCTCGCCACCTTCGCCCTCATCAGAGAGAAGGCAGGTTAAGTTCGCAGCTCAATGTACTAAGATACTCACCGGTGATCCTCGTTTACCAGGTGTACAATTCTTATACGAATGCGTTATGGGTCTACGCAAGCACGAAGGCCAAGGATCTATCTTGGCTGACGAGATGTGAGTTAAGCCACTCGTATTTGCATGTATGTCTGTTGAAATATTTGTAGGGGGATGGGGAAGACGTTGCAGGTAAGCCCGTCATGTGTTGTTGTATGAACCCCAAATTAACGTGTGCTATAAAGACCATCGCGCTTGTCTGGACATTACTCAGTGCGTCAATAGTTGTTTTTGCGACGACTATGCTCACGCTCCGAATAGAGCAGAACCCGTACGCTGGTGCGGGGCCTGTTGTCGGGAAAGTACTCATCGTCTGCCCGGTTTCCCTCATCAATGTGAGCTCATCCAAAGCCTTTTCGTTCGGAAAAGACTGACGTATCTCCGTTCAGAATTGGAAGAACGAATTCCACAAGTGGTACGTCCTTCGTTTTCAAACATCGCGTATGCTTTCAAGCCTAAAGGGAAATTAGGTTGGGTAAGGACCGGGTTGGAGTTTTCGTTGGCGACAAGAACAAGTCTACCATCAAGCAGTTTCTTAACTCGTAGGGCCCTCTCATTGATCGTGTCACGCGCGATACTCATCGTGTTACAGGAGGATACACCAAGTACTCGTGATTGGATACGAACGTCTCCGCACTGTTATGTATGTCGATATGCGAGTTGATACTTCTTTGAGCTAACCTCTGCGGCGGCAGTGACGACCTAGCATATTGCAAGTGAGTATATCCGCCGAATACCCAGGTGGTCCGACTGAGCACATTAATGTAGCCCGCCCATCGGCCTCATTGTTTGCGACGAGGGTAAGTCGGGATTTATCATCCTCGAGAACTCGTAGGGCTGATTCAATCCAAGGGCATAGGCTGAAGTCTGCAAATAACAAGACGTCCACGATGTTTGAGGCCCTCCGGACTCCCCGCCGCGTCATTCTATCAGGAACGCCCATTCAGAATGAGCTGAGCGAATTCCATGCAATGGTATGTTCTTCCCCAGCTGCCCATGAGGACAACCATTTACACATTCCCAGGCCGACTTCTGCAACCCAGGATTACTTGGTCGGTAGCTTCAATACCTAGATGGATGTGCATACTAACACGAGCATACCACAGACGATTACAGCACCTTCAAGCGGGTCTACGAGACACCAATTCTCAAGAGCCGCGCTCCAGGTTGTAGTTCGAAGGAAGCTGAGCTTGGAGAAGCACGCTCTGCACAGGTATGGAGACGGGAATCATCATCCACATATACACGAGTCTGATGCAAAACGTTGGTAGCTCACAGCCATCGCGAAGAGTTTCGTTCTGCGCAGAGAGGCCACGATGCTGAAGAAGTACTTGCCGGCGAAACGTAGGTGTTATTGACTACCACCGTTCGTATGTTTCTGATACCGTCGCCGCCGTGTAGACGAATACGTTGTTTTCATCACGCCGACGAAGCTACAATTGGCTATATTCGAGAAGATCCTCTCCAGCGACAAGCTTGACAATCTTGTCCGCAGCTCCACCGCAGAGTCGCTTGCTCTCATCAATATGCTCACGAAGATCAGCAATAGCCCCATCCTGCTTAAGGCGACCGCCGATCAAGCGAGGCTCAAAGCACAGCAAGGTGGCGATGTAGTGAAACGCAATGCGATAGAAGACGCACTCAAGCTGCTGCCCTCGGGGGCGCAGATTGAAGATGTTGCTCTGAGCGGTGAGCACCCCATATATGCGTCCCACTGAACACATCTTATATGGCCAACTTCCCAGGTAAACTGAGTGCTCTTGCTACTCTGCTTCGGGCGCTGCACAAGGCAAGTTTTGCTATGACTTCCTGAAGTGCCTCCACTTGTACTGACTTGCGTCTGAACAGCATACTGAGGAGAAGTGCATCATCGTCTCTCACTACACTTCCACCTTGAACATCATCGAGGCGTACTGCAAGAAGAAGTCGTACACATACCACCGCTTGGATGGGTCCGTCTTCTACGGCCGTGACAACTGATGTCCAAGGCTCACCTGATTATAGGAGCACCCCCGCGGCCAAGCGTCAGGACTATGTCAACGACTTCAACAGGTCCTCTCAGGCAAAACGATGTGAGTTTCCCATCGTCCTTCTTGTCTCGTTACTCACACTATCCTAGTCGTGTTTCTGTTGAGCTCCAAGGCAGGAGGTGTCGGGCTCAATCTCATTGGTGCATCTCGTCTATGCCTCATTGACTCAGATTGGAACCCCAGGTAAGCCAATACTGACACGTTCATCATGAGTGAATGGCTGACAATCTTTACCCCAGTCATGACCTGCAGTCAATGGCTCGCATACATCGGTATGAGACATAGTCACGTCTAGCATGACTATCTGATTCACCGAGCCCTCTCAGTGACGGCCAGAAACGACCCGTGTACATCTATCGTTTCCTCACGACCGGTAGCATCGACGGTGGGTGTCATGGGCGGATAACCATCAAGTCATATACTCATCGACTGTTTTACAGAGAAAATCTACCAGCGGCAAGTCACTAAGTTGGGCCTGAGTGACTGTAAGCTTTACATGCGTGTAGCTGAAGTTTTGACTAACCTGATGCTTCGTATTCAGCGCTGATGGGTTCCGTACGTGGACTCTGCACGTAATTCACTACTCCTACTCACAGTATCTCAGGGTTCCTCCGAGTCGAAGTCCGATTCATTCACCCGCAAAGATGTAAGTACCATCATGACTTTGTGAGATATCGCGCTGAGACCTGGTTCAGCTCTTGGACATCTTCACCATCAATCCCCATACGGCGTGCAATACGCACGACCTTCTGGACTGCCCTTGTGAAGCATCAGACGAAGCAGAACCTAAGCCGATCACGAGGGAGGAGATGGATGAGGCAAGCTCTTCTAGCGATGAAGACGAAGACCCAGTCAAGGGCTTCATGGCCGCCTCGCAAGTGACGACAAAAGACGTTAACAAGATGGACAAAGCAGTAAGGGTCCTCTATCGATTGCGAAAAGCGAAGCTAACACGTCGTTCTAAGTACATGAAGCAGAAGCGTGCACAGCTCGCCGCGCTTGGGGAGTGGACGCACATCAACTGCCTCCGGCCTGGCGCTGCAGAGAAGGTCCAGGACGACATGCTCACGCATCTCATCTACTCTCTACCCAAACCTGCGAGCACGTCATCCGCCCCGCAGACGATAACGGAGAAGCTCCTAGACGCTGTGGACAGGATCGCCGATGAGGAGGCGTTCTTCCAGCGGGACAAGATCCCTGGGGGGTCGGTGTCGTTCTTGTTCGAGCGCAGCTCAAAGTTGACCTTGCAGGAACGCGAGGCGGTGGATGAGGACGACTGATAGACGACTAGACTTCTGTACATTAGCGTATACACACTCGGGCCTAGAGCTCTGAGATATTGAGCTGCGTCGTATTCCTCGGCGGGATGTTTCGGTACAGGTGATATGCTGAAGCTACGATGGCTCAAGGAAGGAGCATTCCTAGTCCGCTGCCTTGCCTTGTAGTGTGACGATGTTGCTCCCGTTGGAGAGACCCTTCGGACGCGGTATGCCCTTCACCTGATATCCACTATGCCTTTCGCGCTGCGCACGCGCCGCCACGGACAGCCGGTCGTCCAGGAAGTTCTTGTGTATCTAAGAGTCGTGTTAACACCGCGGGGACGCTAGGCTGGCATCAACGCAAGCCATGTCGCACGAGCTCACCTTCTCTTCGTGCGCCTTGCGCTCGGCTTCCTCTCGCTCATGCTTGAGCTTCTCGTCTTCCAGTTTCTTCCGCTCGCGCACTAGCGCCTCCTTTATCATCGACGCCCCGACGCGGAGTTCGTTGACGTTATCCCCTTTGAAGACGTAGTAGGGCACGAAGTCCTCTACCTGTCCGGATTCACTCGTTGGTGGTGGTCGAGACGGAGCGCGAACCAAAGTACCTTCTCTCGGAATCCCAGCTACATATGCGCACAGTGAGCTGGGAAGACAAACGAGAGAATGATCGAACAAACATCAACGACCAGCTGAAGCACGCCCTTCGGCTCTATGACGAGCTTCTTGATCGTGTTGTTCGACATCTTGAAGCGCCGGACATCGGGGTCGGTAGGAGCTGCGAGGATGTTCTCCGCGAGCTTAAGCACAGTCTGCATCGAATGAGCTGTGGTAGGTGCGCGCAATCGAAGCAAAGAGAGGGTACCTCGAGAGACCGGACGGCATGCATATCAGGATGTGTGCCGAGAATGTCGCGGTCTATCCTCTTGCGGAACCGCTGCCGCACCTCGTACTCGTTGTCGAAGGAGGTGTACAGGACGCGGGCGGGCTCCCGCTTCCGGAGGCTTTGTACGTTCCGTTGCGCGGCGGCAGCGATCTTGGCTCTGTCCTCTGTAACGCTGGTCATCGGGATGGGGTGGGCAGTAGGGAAGGCGGGGGTTTGATTGAGGCACGACGGATGCCTCTGCTAGCTTTTATACCCCCGATAGAACCTCACCATTTCAAGGTACTGTTGCTGCGGTAATGTCAGTACATACATTATCATCAGTCCCGAGGAGTCTGCCACTCACCTGGAGAGAGCATGACCGAGTCTGGCGGGCACGAGGGTGCAGGAAGCGGCGTGCTATGTGAGGTCAGTAGTCAATGCTGCGGTAGATGGTCTTGCGGTAATGACTGTAGCAGAGAATCCTTGGATTTGGTACAGATGTATGAATACAGGTCAATCTATACAATGTGGACATGAGCGTCGTGCTCTGCATCGAGCCTCGGGTCATGGCGGCTAGTCATCGTCTTCATCGTGGTCATGGGCGACGCGGGGAGCACGGGCGGGGGCGCCCTCCTCCGCCTCTTCTTCGCCTTCCTCTTCTTCGCCGTCATCGCCATCAAGGTCAACGACCTCGCCCGAAAGCATGTGTCCGGAGCCGGGCATGCGACGCTTTGGGCGGTGGTCCCGTACTGCTGGTGCCGGTGAACCCGCCGGACGGTTTGCTGCGGCCGCGCGCGCGATCCTCTCGCGCTCGTCCGTAATCGCCCTGCCCTTTCTGTCGTCATAGAAAGCTTGTTTGACCTATCGCATCCCTCAGTAAACGGGAAGCGTGTGCCGAAACCGAAATGGCTACCTTCGCCACAGCAGCCTCGTGCGCGGCCTTCTCTTCAGCCCTTCGCCGCTGATCTCGCCCCTCCTTCACAAGCTCGCGATCTAGTGCCTCTTTGATCATGGCAGCACCGATCTGAAGGTCCTCCATATGCCGCTTCTTGAAGATGTAGAATGGCTGAAAGTTCTCGACCTGCGTTCAACATTCTTAGTCGCGGTCTACCCTCTCGATGACATCGGTCCGTACCTCTGGATGGAATCCCAGCTTTAGGATCGAATTGAGGACATGCGCACGATATAGAACAAGTGTGGCGACGACGTACTGCAACTGCATACTCGAGCGTTCCTCTAGGGTCCACCAATACCCGCTTGATGGTCGCGTTCGTCGGCTTGAACCGCTGGTACTTCACCTCGTCCGGGTGGTCCACGATGTTCTGCGCGAGCTTCAATAACGTCTACGCCACAAAACAAAACATAACACATGTTATCCCTCGGATCTGTGGCGCACATGAGGAGAAGCGGCTGAACCTGCAGAGACTCGAGCGCGAGCGGGCGGGGGTTGGGGCGCAGGATGCCCGGGTCGATCATCCTGCGGAACTCCTGCCGCTTCTCATGCTTTCCGTCAAACGTGGACGGTTGCGCGGCGGCGGCCGCCCTGTCGCGTTCTGCTTGCATCCTACGTTCAATTGCCGCCGCCACCGCGTCGTGGTCCGGTCGTGCAGCTGGTGCGAGGGATGACGGCGCCGAATCGGGATCCATTGCAGTAGTATACGTCTTTTGTGCTTGATTTGATGGAGCGGTTCGACCAGGGGGCACAGCAGGCCAAAGGGAGAGGGAAAGGGAGATCCTGGTATTCCGAGTACACGATGGTCCTCACAGAGTCCGCCTTCCCCTCCCGCGCTAGCCACACACAGGCGCCTCTTCGCAGTCATAGCCAGCTCGGGCCGCCTTAGCCGCGCCACCAGACTTGCACTGTGCCGCCGGGGGTGGGGCCTTCAGCAGACTCGGAGGGTCGGACGGCAAGAGAATGTCAAGAGATGCAAGATGTGGGTGGTTATGTACATGCTTGTACACTAGCAGAGCGGAAATCATAACGCGAAAGAGTGTGTAACAGTACTTCATACAACGTTCAGCTGTCCCGGTCAACCTCTGGCTGCAGGCCCTCATCCGACGAATTCCTGTCCATTGCCTGGTGCAACTCGAACGCAGACGGGAACCGACTGCGCCTAAAAGACATGACCGACAGGTCGTCGTCATCGGACGAGCTGTCGCCCGACCACACAGGCTCGGGCGTCGCCACCACCTGCCCCTCCGCTTGAGGACTCCGCATTGGCCGGCGCAGCGACGCGAACGGCGAGAACGCAGCGCCCAGAGACGCCTTGCGCAGCCGCTTGAACAGACTCGACGTATCCGACGCGCGCGCATGGTGTCCTCTGCTGTGTGTCGAGTGCCGGTCGGTCTCGCTCCCAGACGGCGGCGGGGGTGGGTCGGGCGTCGCAGCGCCGAAGTCGCCTTCGGCGATGTCGTCCAGGCTCCCGTCGGCATGTACCGAGATCGGCGTTCTCCTGCGGCGAGGCTGGTGGCGACCGGAGCCGTGCTCGGGGTGGTCGCGGTCACGGTGGGACGAGGTGGAGGCCTGAGGGACGAGAGAGCCCCGGTGGCTGGAACCGTTGATGTACGCAGCCTCCGCATCGGTGTCCATGGGCAACGGCTCCTCAGAGGTAATGGTTGCCATCACAGGTGGTGCGAGGAAGGTTGGGAGGTTCGTCCCTGTGTTCGGCGGCGGGACAGGTTCTTGAGGCATCGACTCGATCTTGTTCGCCATCCGCTCGCGACTGCCACTTTGCATCGCTCTGCGGACGCTCTGGCGGCCGAGGAAGATCTGTCTCTCGAGTCGATGGCGGTTCTCGATCATGTGCAACTGCTGCTTGTTAGTAGAATGTCCAAAACACGGCAAGCCAAGCAGATGTACCTTGGGCCAAGTGACGAGCTGTCCGATGCGCATCATTCGCTCCAACTCCACGGGATCCGGGTCGCTGAGAATATGGATCCAATCCTGTTGTGAAGGTAAGCTATGCATTCCGCGGTATCAGGAACTGACTTGCCATCATGCGCGTGCGGGGCCATATGCTGGTGGCGACGCTATCATCAGTACCGAGCGCTGAATGACGACAACAATAGAGAACGCACGTCACAGAGCCTTCGAAGCGCTGCAAGAACACGCTGGACCAATCTTGCCCGAGGAGTTGCGGCAACAGGTCGAGATCTCGAATCAACTGTGCGCCGCATGAGCCCGTGCCATCTCACAGTTCTGCTGTGGTCACGAACCTTGAAGTTCTTCGTTAGTTCGAGCTTCAGCCACTGTTCCGCAGCAGACAGGAGGAAGTTGCCCCTCCATCCTGTGATGGATTGAGTAAGAGTTCTCATGACGCAAATAGAGACGTACCCTTGCCCTTGCTATGTGCGACCGGCTTCCCAGCAGACCCTTGCGGCGCGAAGAAGAACAGATGCACGTGCGGGTTGACTTGTGAGACGATGGGATGGGTGACTGAAAGGTAACGTTAGGTTTGTTAACAGCACGCATATAGTTTGGGGGAAAATACCATTGAAGTAGAGATTGAGCGCCTGGACCGGGATGTCAACTCTGCGTAGAATGAGTATATGCGCGGTTACGGGTGGAGTTGATGCAGTACGCGCGCGCACCTCAAGGAACCATCTTTGAACTTGCTTCCCCAGTTCCACGGCACGATGTTCCCCTCCTTCGTCTTCTGCATCAGAGCTACGGGGTTCAAGATGCCAGGAACAGCGGCGGACGCCAGGAGGGCGCTCCAGATGACAGTGTCAGGCGCTGTAATGTAGTTAAGCAGCTTCGTCGGCCTGTGCAAGCGGCGGATGCTGAGAAAATGTGGGCGGCGCGCCGAGATGAACGGACGCACGAATGACGCTCAGCAGGGATAACAGAGACGTTCAAGATGCGCCCCGTGCGCATGTAGGCTTCCCGGAAGGTCATTGAACCGCGAGTGAAGAAGCAAGCCTGCGTGGTTTTGGCCATTAGCAGCGAGGAAATAGTCCAGTGTTCGGGGAAACCTGCGCGCACCTTCTTCGCCCATGTTGAGCTATCGAACCTTGCACCTGTGATCCAGAACCTCTTGAACCAGACCTGGAACGTGTCCTCGCATGCAGTGATACGGTTTGCGAGCTCCGGGACAAGAAGCTCCCGAAGCTCAGCGTCCGTGCGTGTACACACGAGCGCCGCAACGAGGCCACCGGCGGACGTCCCTGAGATGACACGGGGGAGCAGATCTTGATCCAAGAACGCTCTTACGACACCAAAGTGATCTTGAGCGCGATGTATGCATGAGTATCAATGGTCGGGACCTGATGAAAACACTTACAGTAGCCGAAGGACGCGCCCCCTGATAAGCACAGTGCAGACGTTCCCAGGTTGGTATTACAACTCTTGAAGAATCGTTTCTTCTCCTCATTGGATATATCCGGCGTGTGACGGATGTACTCAAGCGCTCTCTCCACTTCGTCAATGTAGGCTGGTGGTTGGGAGATAATTAGTACATTGATCCGCCTAGACTTAAGAGACAGCAGGCGTCTTACATTCAATGAGGACCTTCGTGCCATAATACGTCTAACTCCCGCGGTGAGTGGGGTTGGTGTGCTGAGCTAGAACGTCCTTACCTCGCTGTATAGTCTGGTCGCCAAAACCAAGGTTAAGAAGAATGTTCTCGCGCACTTACACTAGAACCTACCTAGCGGACTCGACACCACCAAAATTAGTCCTGATGCAAGTCTCTAGTACACCTAGGACGCTGCGTGCATCATTCTTCTCTCTAGCGGCCTTGAGCGAACGTCGGACCTGTGCGATGTACAAGTTGGGTGAATTGGCCTCCGGTGCCTCCGCTTATAGACACGCACCTTTCGGACAAGCTTCCAGTCGTAGTACGGGTCCTCGTCAAGAAGCTTCCAGTCATCAAAGAGCATATGTTCATCTAATGCCAATGCAGCGTCCTTCCACTCCTGAGTCGAGTTCAGTGACATGATTGTGACCTTTTCCGTCCAGCCGACTCGCCTGATATGTCCGCGCATTCCGCAACCTCGCACGTAAGATCCCCCTTCTTCCCCGCCCTTAACATAGGTTGTCAGCATGCCAATCAATGAGATGGAGGGAATTGCGCGCACATGCGGACATCCATTCCTTCGCATTCACCAATTGTCGAATTAGGACGTACATGCTGAACTGCGCTGCAATAAACAGAAATATAAGGCCCTTGACGGTTGATGAGCACACTTGAGTAAGCCAACGTCGAGATAGGACCATACCAATAGCGGCCATCGTAGCGTGAGGTAGAGCCACTCGCGGCCCTTGTGCGCTGGTCTGGGTGGTCGCCTCCGCCTTCGAATGCATGCTTTAGCACCATAGGGAGGAGCAGGTGATACGTGTAGACGCACCTCTTGACCTTGAGATTTACAGGTGCAAAATCCGACAATGCGGAGACCTTCCGCACGCGCTGCCCAAAGGATGGTGTTCCAAAGTGTTGAGGGCCGACCACGGGGCTATTAGGTGCTTCGTTGAAGTCGCTTAGTATGGCAGAGTCGTCGGCACGCAAAGCTTCCTCGAACTGCTGCATGTGCCTGGCAGCTGGTTTAGTTTGTGCTCGTCCGGAAATATGTCAAGCAACTCACTTCTCGTCTACATAGTCAAGGTCAAATGGCGACGGTTTCCGACGCTCTTCGGAGCCGGTGTGTTGCGACATTGTTCAGGGTATGATCCAGCGAAAACGATTGTACAGCAGAGAGCAAGAGAGACTGTACCAGCAGTGAGAGACTGAGAAAGAGTGGGGAGGGGTATACGGTATTGCAGCCGGAAAGCAGGTCGTAAGCACCCGATGAGGTGCCGATGCGCACTCGCCATGGCGCGCCCCCACACCGTGTGGTCTCGTGACGTCACGTTCCCCAGCTTTTCGGCGCCTCTCGCCCCGTCGAATGAGCGCGCGGCGTACACAACTTGCACCTTGACCTCTCCATTGATTCGCGCTGGACACGCCAGGATGTTTTTCTCTCGTGCTGAGCATGCTGGCACAGAGTGCTCATGGTACGTGCAGTGAATCAGAACAGGCTATAACACGAGCTGAACTAAAGATGGTCAGCGGTCAGCTTTTCGTCCCCAGCGGGGTTACCGTCATCGGAACTTATATCCTCGATGTCCTCGATGTATCGATAAGATCTGTTGGATCTCTGACGCCCTCAGGCCAGAACGCTCCCCGACATTTCATTCGGTGATCGCGGATGGTACCAACTTCAAGCACTGACAACTGCTGCTACACCATACCTTGTTGTAAAATCCCAGTTCGTTCACATCGAGGAGTGCAACGCACAGAGTGCCGCTCAGGATCCGACTCCAACCATGAGCAGAAACAAAGGGCATCCCAATCAGCGAACGTGCCATCAGTGAACATGCAATGCATCTGAGAACGTGGGGTTCTAGCTGTCCATCCCCTCGGAACTGCCCTGAACATGTCCGCAGCGGCTCTCAGTGACCGGTATGTGAGGCTTCTTGATATGTGCACTATTGGATACTCATCTCTCCGGGCCGCAGTGTCCTTATATGTATTTTCGAAGCGAATTCATCCAAGCATCTATCCAGGACGGTCGCGGTGTCTCCTTGGTTCCGATCTTCGACTGTCTACCACGACAGCGCTTCCTATGGGTCTCTCCGACCATAAGCGATGTGAAATGTACAAGACGGGTACATCGAAGCTACTGCGCGCATGCACGAAGACCTCCGGTGGCATAGATAGGCACCACAGCCACAGCCTTGTGACGACAGAGCTGCTATATGGCGTTCGGTGTTCCTAGGGCCCCGCTTCGGGGGTCGCCCGCAGCCAGGTGCGTCAGCGGTGTTGTGTCCAGTTCATTCAATAGCTCCGTAGTCACCCTGTGGCGGGGATGAGCTTTCTCGCCATTGTTCAACGCTCAGTGTGCGACGGCACGCTTACGGCAGCTCAACGGAATGGTCTTCCACAACGGGTGTTCCATGCGCCCGTGTCGACGTCTTCCTGGAACAAGAGCAGCCCCGGTTGGCGGTGCAGACACCGCCCAGAAGGCAGGCGCGTCGCGAGGCTCAGGTCTGCGGAAGTCTGCGGATAGGTGCGTGTCGGATTGCATCTCCCTCATTAAGCAGCTGTTCCCTTTGGGGGCCGTTCCATGTGATGATCGGGGTCAAATTCGCTGGAAAATACCCTGGCCGACATATCCGCCCTGGTAACACCAACGTCCGCTATTATTAGAACGTGATGTCACTGACGCCCTGAGTCTCAGTCTATATAAACGCGTCCAGAGCTCTATCGGATCCCAGTCCTGCACTCACCATCTGTTCATACCCCAACCACTCCCACCACCACCTCTCACACCACCATGGGTTTCTTCCACCACGACTCCGACGAGGCTCAGGCCTACGAGCAGGTCACGAACGCCCCCCACAAGGCTGAGCTCTCCCACGAGCTGATCGCCGCTGCCGCCTCCTACGAGGTAAGTTCATGCTTCTGTACCCCATCGAGATCGTGCTGATCGTCTTCGCTATACAGGCCGCCAAGGCTTACGAGCGGCACTGCGAGAGCGAGGGCAAGCCCCCCAGCCACGAGAAGGCCAAGGAGATCATGGCCGGCTTCGCTGGTGCCTTCATCGACCGCATGGTCGAGACCAAGGGCGTAAGTGTCCCGGCTGTAGATGACGTCGACGACGATGCTGACCCTCCTCTCAGCTCGACTTCATCGACACCGAGAAGGCCAAGCGCCAGTCCAGCCAGCGCGTCGACGACGTCGTCAGCGCCGACAACTACTAAGCGATGAGCGCGTTGTAAAGCAGAAACGGATGTATGTAAACTAGCCGTTGGCAGAACATTGATATATCAGTCGCTGTTGGTGTACTCTTGATATCGGAGGAACGCCGTTGAGGGGGAAGGAGCTGCTACCAATAACGCCTCCCCCGCGTGAGACCAATCATGTCCCGAATCTCGGGCCCGAGGGCCCCTGAGGAGGTGAAGTATTCATAGACTATCATGCACGACCGGCGGCGGTTGATGCATATATGTCGAATGCGATCGATATCACGTTGCCAGCGGCCTGGCCATGTTTGTACTAAAGTGGTCGGTATTTCTGCTAGTAACTGTTGGGGTACCCGTAATGAATTTGAATCACAGTAAGCAACATTTGTCTCCCCGGAACCGCTGCTCCTAGGGCATTTTTGTTGACGCGTCGGCGCGCGCAGGTTCGAGGTCAAGTTAAGCATTCGTCACGGTCATTAATACGTGCTTAGGGACTGTCACAGTCACAGCCACCGAGAGACACAGAGCGTGTTCTTGTAAGGCGAGCGCCGCAGGATGGATCATCCGAGTCCATGACTCCGCCTCGCTCACCTGTCTCTTGCTCTCTCTTGGTCTGGTCTGGTACTCTAGCTGGGAAATGACATGGCAGCATCTCTCTTCTGCGGCGACGATGAACGCCAGTCGAGTGACCACCAAAGCTGCGGCCGCCGCATGCCAGGCGCATGGGCGCGCGCTGCTTCCAGCTCCCGGCGGCGGCGGAGCAAACCATAGCAAACGTCCGCTCGGTACCGTGCGCAGGATATCGACGTCGACACACTTTTACCAGAACAAGCATCTGGAGGCGTATGCGTCGAAACCGGCCACTAGGCTGACGCTGCGGCAGCTGGTATGTGACACTTGAGGCTCGTACTCGCCCCTTCGTTAAGGCGCGCCCAGGTGTACTTTGGGAAGTACATGAACGAGGAGAGGTTGATCAAGGTGAGTTCACGAACTTGGGGGAACTCGAGACTCGGAGCCGAACATGCATGCATAGAGTGCAAACTATGTGCGCACGGAGCTTCCCGTGCGGATCGCACATAGGCTGCGTGACATGCAGGCGCTCCCATATGTAGTGGTGACGCAGGAGGGTGTTGCGAAGGTGTATGAGGTACGATTATGTGCACGTTCTAAAGCAGATTATCGTATGCTAAACATATCCTCAGCTATATTGGACTGCATTCGACAAGTACGCTGCCGTCTAGGAACTGTGAATATGTGTATAACCTGCGCGGCAGGTTTCGCCGATTTCCTGAAATCACCAACCTACAAGAGAACGACGCGTTCTGTGAATCTGTTCGTGGTCTTCTCAACGACCAGTAAGCACCACTTTTACATAGCCGACGCAAGTATAGCTGAACGGGGGTCGTATAGTAAATCTGTGATTCCGAACTTGTCACTCGGCCTCTCCCTGTCTTCGCCGTACCTTCTCCCGGACCGGTTGGATACGTTCATGCGGAAGATGCTTGTCTCACGAATATCACGAAGAGTGTTGGCGGAGCACCACATCGCGTTGACGCAGTTCGTAAAGTCACGACATAGAGGCGCAGAAGCACACGAAAACGTCGGGATCATCTACACCGGCCTGCGGGTGCAAGATAGCATCGAGAGATGCGCGACGTATCTGCGGAGGCGGGCGCCCAATACCGAGGAAGATGCTCTGTCTGGTCCTCTCAGTGATGCGGACTGGTCTGAGGTCATCGTGGATGGGCACAAGGACACGAGGTTTGCATATATCCGAGAGCATCTAGAGTGAGTAGCAGCACAGCAGTGTTCAGCCCACCGGCTGACATAGTCACAGATATATCATATTCGAGCTACTCAAGAACGTGCGTGCTCGGCCTCATCGTGACGAAACCGAGTCTAGGCTGACAATGGCACGTTGTCTAGTCACTCCGGGCAACAAGAGCGAAGCATCCAACAGCTCGTGTTCTTCCTCCAGTCCGAGTCACCGTAGTCGCTAGTGACAACGACGTCTACCTCCGCATATCTGACCAAGGTATGTGCACCCGACCACCTACGCCCCGTGTTTATTGACATGGCACAGGGGGCGGCCTCGCTTCCACTGGAATCAAGTCCCCTTCAGATCTGTTCTCCTTCTCGCACGTACGCAATGCTGCACGTCTCGCCGATGCCCGCCTCGGCGCGTTGCGTACCCTCAGCTCCAGCCAGCAGGGCATGACCGCGACGGTGTCCGAGCAGATCGGAAAGTGGCAGCGCGAGTCCGACGCAGACGTCCCCGCGGACGGAGTCAACCCACATCCAAGGATCGGCATCGGACTCCCTATGAGCAACATCTACGCAAACTACTTCGGTGGATCGCTCGAGCTCGTGAGCCTGGACGGCTACGGTGAGCGGTCTTGGTGGTTATGCCCCGGTGCCTTAACTCATTATGATGTCAGGGACCGATGTATACGTCCGGCTTCCCAAGTTGGTAAGCTCGAGTTTTGCAGTGGGCAGCACAGGAACATGGTGCTAACAGGACGCGGCGTGCAGGGCAAAAACCTGGAAGGGATCGAGCTCTGATAACCTGTCCGGAGCTTCCGTCTATGCAGCCACCTGCACCCTTCGAATGTAATGTGCTGCTAAACATGTGTTCGTTATCGTGCATGGTAGAGTGGTTGAGGAGGCCTGTCGTGGATGTATGCCAAGATCTTAGATTTGGATGTACGATCACGGGCGCTTCCTCATAATTACGCGACGGCGACTTCGCGAGCTGTGCGACTCTGCATCAACGACTCGGACTCGGCGAATCTCATCTTTGAACACACTTCGCTCTATGCTGCAATCCTTGCTTTTCAAAATGTCTGCTCTGGCTTGGATAGGAGGATAAATGCCGGCGGGACTGGCTGCTGACGCCATGATCGATAATGTCGCCCTGAATGCTGGATAGAGCTGTCATCTAATGAGGTTTAATGGCGCTCGAGGCTATGTCGACTAGCAACTCCATTGGCAGATGCACAACGGCAGTCTCGCCGCAGCTCCTGGGCGAACCGGTGACCGGTTCACTGCCCAGCCGCCTCCTTGCATTTTACCACAACATTCTCTCCGCCAGCACGCCGCTTTCCCTGCTTCGCGAGTCCACCTCTGGCATCCTCGGATCGCGCGCACAATCGCTATCTGCAGCGCATGGACGGCACGATCTACAGCCCCGCGGACGAGCTTCCACCGCCAGCGTACGAGATTACCCAGGATGACTTCGACCAGAAGACGGGGCGCGTCATAGAGGAGAGCGCGAGAGAGCCTCCTGAGCCAAGGGTCGATGAAGATGGGTTCGAGATCTGGGACGAAGATGCATTCGAGGCTGCTTTGGCTGCTATGGGCTCGGTCTCGGTGGCGGAGGAAGCCTCTTCAGGGAAGTCCGTCGCGGGTTCGGAGTCATTCCCCAAGTACCCTCCGGAGAAAGCACGCAAACCACCGGAGCAGCCAATACCCCAGGCTGCTAGCCCTCCCGTGGCGTCCGGATCGAGCTCTGCAGGTTCGTCGTCGGCGCAGACACGACCTCTGAGCCTCGCGAAGAAGGCGCGTCCGGGGAAGGAGCGCCCATTGTGGTTCCAAGAGGCGGGACTGGGTGCACCCACTCCCAACGCACCGCATGCCCAGCCCCCGAGTCGCGCAGATGTTCCGTCGCAGGCCGAAGCTATGTCAAGGGCAGGGCGTCCCCCTCGGCGGCAGCTGACGGTGATGAACAGAGATGGCGCAGACCTTGAGCGGGAGGTGACGCCCCCGCCGGAGTTCACGCCGGTTGGACCTTCGTTGGACGGCCCTCCGTACGATTCGTTCACGATGTCCTACGATGGTCCGGAGCTCGAACCACCCGACCACCTGCCGCCGCCGCCCGCTTTCGATACGCTGCCCGAACGCTACACGCCTCGTCCGTCACCACAGCCCTCGCCGCAACCAGACCACACCCGGCCACATCCCGCGCATGCACAGTCACTTCCAGCCACTGTTCCTTCACCTCTCCCTGCAACATGCCCTCACGTAGACCATGCTCAGACGCTGCCCGCGGCTCGAGTGCCACCTCCGCCTGCGGCCAACGCTCTCAAAGACTACCAGCCCCGCGCGAAATTCCCCAGCGCGCCCCGCTTGGCCTTTAATCCGCAACTAGCATATAGCAAGCCGCTACCTAGCGTTCCGCAAGACGAGGAGCCACCACCGCAAACATTTGACGCGTCTGCGTTCTACAAGTCAGTCGATCAATATCGCGTTCGTATCGTCAAATTACTGACTAGCCGCTTGCGTTAGTGGTGCGGTCGCCGCACATTTTTCGTCCAACATCCCTGCACGCATGAGGAAACTCTCGACTGTACAGTCTGACCGGTAAGCCGCTTCACTGTGAGTATGGGTCGCCGTGCGCTGAACCCCTTGTTGCAGGAGCAGCATATACAGCCAGGACTCGAGCTGGGCGCCGCCTACGAACGGCTACGGCAGCTATGGCAGCCCGCCGAGTCAGGCGGTTGTTTCCCCCCGACCAAGCTATGCATACGGCCAGGCTGCGTTCCCAGATGCAGCTCCCAGCTCGAACGGCGCGTGGAACCCTGGCGGCAGGACTCAACAGTGGGGGTGATGGCCAAGCTTGAATTACCCCGCATTTGATCGCAGACTGGATATCCTACGATGCCACATTGTATATTTCGTACTGTACATATACCACGAGCAGAGCAACACGCACACATTTACTCCGCATTCTCGCGTGCGTCTGGCTGGGCAGCGCAGATAGGTCCGCGCGAGCGATATGGTTGCCAGCGATGGACGCGGCAAAGCATTGTCGCAAACCGATCATCATCACGTGACGGCCCATTAACGGAGGCGGTTTAAAGCTGGTTTCGAGGACTGCTCGGCTCGACACTCTGCAATGGCAACCACGACGTCCCCCGCGCCGCCCATCCAGCCCTCCCAGTCCTCCTCGAGCGTGAGCAGCGCGCAGTCCCAGTCGTCCTCCACCAACAAACCCGCCGACTACGTCTACTTCGAGCGCACCACCGCCGGCTTCTCCGACGATGCCGTGCCCCGCTCCAAGGCGGCCCAGCTCAAGCTCGAGCACCATTACAAGGTCGCGGTAGAGGCCGCCATCGAGCGCAACACGAGGTGCGTGCGCCTCAGATGCGCAGAATGCAGCCCGGCTCACCTGCTGCAGACGGGTAGAGATGGAGCGGAAGCTCGCCGCCGATACCACGATGTCGGAGGAGCGGAAACAGCGGCAGCTCCAGGGCCTGGGCAAGCGCGAATCTGCCTTTTTGCGACTGCGCAGGACGAAGCTGGGGCTCGATGACTTTAGGACTGTGAAGGTCATCGGGAAGGGTGCTTTCGGCGAGGTGCGTCTACGCGTTCAGAATGATTCTGCTGGGCTCGCGCTGATCCGCTGGGAATCCTGCAGGTACGTGTAGTGCAGAAGACCGACACGGGAAAGATCTACGCCATGAAGACCCTCCGGAAGGACGAGATGTTGAAAAAGGACCAGGTATGGGGATGTCCCGCGCCCCGGTACCCGACATCGCTGATCCTCGCCACAGCTCGCCCATGTACGCGCAGAGCGCGATGTCCTGGCCGAGTCGAATTCCCCATGGGTCGTCCAGCTCTATTACTCCTTCCAAGATCCCCAATATCTTTACCTCATCATGGAGTTCCTCCCCGGCGGCGACCTCATGACGATGCTGATCAAGTACGACACCTTCTCAGAAGATGTCACTCGTTTCTACATTGCAGAGTGTGTCCTTGCCATTGAAGCCGTCCACCAACTGGGCTTCATCCACCGGTGAGTCTCGCGATGTCCGTCTATTGCTACTTGGAATGACATCGCTTCCAGTGACATCAAGCCCGACAACATCCTCATTGACAAGGAAGGACACATCAAGTTGTCGGATTTCGGTCTTTCCACCGGCTTCCATAAACAACACGACTCCAGCTACTACCAACGCCTCCTTGACTCCGCGAACGGCGTTACCTCACCAACGGTCGCCGCACGCAATAGCGTAATGGTGAACGCTATCCACCTCACTATGTCCAGCAAGGACCAGATCGCCACATGGAAGGCGAACCGGAGAAAACTGGTAAAGCGTTTCCTTGGCAGCTGCCCCGCTTCACCGTCGCTAACAGAGCCTACCAGGCTTACTCAACCGTCGGAACGCCCGACTACATTGCCCCCGAAATCTTCATGCAGAAGGGCTACGGCAACGAGTGCGACTGGTGGTCGCTCGGAGCGATTATGTTCGAGTGCCTCGTCGGTTACCCGCCATTCTGCTCGGAATCAACACATGAAACCTACCACAAGATCCTGCAGTGGAACCGCTACCTGCAGTTCCCCGACGATGTACACCTCAGTCGCGAGGCCGAGGACTTGATCAGGAGGTCGGTGTCTTTCTGCCTGCCGCCCGTCTCAAAATTTTGTGCCTCATGCTGACATCCCGATCATTGCCTCACCTCGCGTTTTGACCGTGTCGTACTTCTGCGGCGCCGCAAACCCAGGCTGATCACGTCGCCGGACCGTCGTCTTGCTGTGGAGCAGATCAAACACCATCCGTTCTTCTACGGCGTGGACTGGCAAAACATCCGCGACATCGAGGCGCCATTCATTCCCCGCCTACGCTCGATCACGGACACGTCGTACTTCCCCACAGACGAGCTGGAGCAAGTGCCCGACGAGCCCGTCAGCGCCGACACCACAGGCGCGAACAAGGACCTCGCGTTCCTCGGGTACGTCTTCCCGCAACATGCGGCGTGTGTGCGACATTGACGTATGAGCCGCCGTGCTGCAGATACACGTTCAAGCGGTTCCAGCTTTCCTCATCAGCGTTCTGATTCTCGCCTCCCGCACTGGCTCCTTCGCATCGGCTCACCTCGTTCCGCACGGATTTCTCCAGTTATCAGCGCTGTAGTGTATACGGTACCGCATGTTTCCCCCGGCGCGAGCACGCCCTGGATTTTGGCTTCCTGCACATAACGTCCGCTGCTGTCGCCGCTTCGTTCGCTCTTTCGTTTACGACACGCTCACGACTTCTCTCTTCTGCGCTCTAAGCGTCCGGGCACGCGCGTTCGGTGTATTGGCTCCGGGTCGATATGTAGGGCGTGTCTCGGTTTCTGTGGGTACGGATTTACACATGCATGGACGGCAGGGTTACAATATAAATAACGCGATAGGCTGGGTTCGGAGGGGTCGTGATGATACAACTGTATGTAAGTAAAGCAACATCGCAGCAGGAGAACGCCGCCGCTGCGCACAATATCCCTGAATTACAATAGACCAAGGCTTCTACGAGACTCCGTGTGTTTGACACATCCGTTGAGATTGCGAAGTGCGTCCAAAGAGCTCACCGTCGCACTATGAGCTGTGGCCTCATCTGTTCAATTCCGACAAAGTCAGCACCGGGACGCGCAGGGCACGCAAACGCACGCACCATCTCCACGAACAACGGCAGAAGCTGCGGGATGTGCTCCAAATCCGGCGGCTTCGGTGCAGCCGCGCCCTTCTTCGGCTTGGGCGCCGCCTTCTTCGGCGGAAGCGGCCGCTCCGGCTGCTTCTCCTGCTGCCGCGCGCGGTTCGGGGCCGAGTGCGGCAGCGGCGGGACCGGGGGGAGCTCCTTGCTCCCCGGATGTGGCGGGAGGTCTTTGAATCGCGAGTCTGAGTGCACGGGGCGGGATGGGGTGGAGAACGTGCGGGAGCGTTGCGGGACTGGGGGCGCGCGTTCCTCGGGTGTGCGTGGGCGCGGGATGTCTGCGGAGTGCCGCATGCCGTGAGGGGAGCGGAGGTGTGCTGGTGGTCGTTTTTCGACGGGAGAGTGGCCTACTGTGCGTGAGCGGCCGAGTGGTAGGACGATCTCGCCTGTGTGCGGGGTACTGTCGCGCTCTGTGTCGCTGCCTTCACCGCTCTCGTCGCTTTCATCGTCGCTCTCGTCGGAGCCTGAGCCTGAGCCCGACGACCCTGAGCCCGAGCTCGATTCCTCGTCGCTCGACCCATCCTCGTCGTCCGTCTCCTGCGCGGCCAGGTCATCCGCGTCGCCCTTGACTAGGTCGCCAAAGCTCAGATCCCGCACGACGCCATTGACCAACTGCGCCGCTGCCTCGTCCTCCGCGTCCGCGTCGTTCATGCCCTGTGTGCGTCCGAAGCGACGGCGCAACTTCGCCTCATATGCGACCTTGAGCTTGTAGTGATAGAGCGCGACCGAGTCCACCTCACGCAGGATGTCCGCGCGCTCGGCGCCCGTGTGCGGCAGGATGAAGTCGAGCGAGATGGGCTCGCCAAGGCCGTCGCGCATGAGCGTGAGGAAGAGCTCGATCCAGCGCATGAGACGCGTGAAGAGGCCCTCGCCCTTCGTGTGCACCTTGTGCACGAAGCTGTAGAAGGACTGCTCGTGCCGCTGGATGAGGTCGATGAAGATCTGCACCGTCTTCGCGGGGTCCGTTTGGCTGACTGGACGCACCCATCAGCAATTGTCCGAGTGTGAACGAGAAAGCACTTACGCTCTTCAGTTTGCTCGACCGTACGGATGAGGTCGTTCATGAAGTTCTGCAGGTCACTGAGCGAGTCCGCGATGCTTGCAGCCTTGTAGACTTGTGCCAGCGGTGCATAGAATATCGTGATGATGTCCTTCAGCAGCTCCGCAGTGTTGCCCTATGCGCCAGTGAGTATTCATACTTATCCGTTGCAGGGTGGTGTTTCACCAACCTGGAAGATGAGCTCGATGAGCTGCTCCCTGTCCCGTAGCCGCGAGTAGAGCTTCGCGAGCATGCTGAGGTCCTCAAACAACCACGCCTCCTCGTTCTGTGGGCCCTCGTCGTCGTCCGAGTCTTCCAACGACTCAGTGTACTTGGTGTACTCCTTGTGTGCCCGGTGCGCATAGATCACGCGTTGCATCTGGGCTCGCGATAAGGCTGGCTCTTCCCCAGAGCGAAGGACCACCGCCAGTACGTGCATGTCCTCCGTGGCTGGCAGGTGTAGGTCAGAAATCTGCATACTCCCGTACCGACGAGGTGCTCACCAGCATCGGCCTTGTACACGGCCTGGATTTCTCGCGGGGCATACACATACAGCTTGACCTTCTCGCACATCACCGGATCGTCGACCTTCTCCTTGACGGCCTCGATGTCTTCCTCGAGCGCGCGGACCTCCTCCATTAGTTGTCCTGTGAACATCCGCTGCAGGAGACTCCGGCCACCAAACGGCTGCGCGAGGAATAGGTCGAGCACGCCGCGGATCATGCCCATGGGGTTGCTGATCTTGAGCGCCGCCTTGAGCATGAAGTACGGCATGAGCCCATGTATACGCTTCAGGGAGGCAAAGCTCTCAGACGCGCTGTCGGAGGCGACAAAGTGGTGGAACACTGTCGATGCAAGTCTACGTGGAATGTTAAATTCTCAATCCGAACCTGAGGGGTTTGAACCAGTACTTACGATATTCTGGCCCATTCGATCACAGCCTGGTAGGTGCCAGGTAGATTGCGCACGTCTGTGGTCTCCTTGATCGTGCCGAATATGTGCGTCAGTCCGTCTGAATGGGGCAGTCCCGGGGCACGTCAGGTCTGCTGCGACACGCCCGGACGCCTGGAAAACTAGCGGGCCTACCTTTTCCAAGAAGCTCGCCCTTGACGCTCCGCACAGTTTGCCTGAGCCCATCGACCCGTGCCGTAATCTCCTTGGCGAACCGCTTTCGGCCGTCTTCGCGCATCTGGTCCGCCTCTTCCCGTCTGCGTGCGTCCTGCAGCTCCTCCTCAGACAGTCGCGTTGGGCCGCTGAGCAGGAACGACTTGAGCACGGGCGAGGATGCGAACGTCGATGACGATAGGAGCACAGTAAGATATGATCGCAGAGTGAGCCTGTTCTTCTCGCGTGAGAGGCGCATTGCTTGTTGTGATATCCCGCCGCCGCTAGTGCTGCTTCCTGGTACACTCAGGAAGGTTGGACTGGTTGGTGAGCCGGTCCCGAAGGAGTCTGCACTGGAATTGCGCTCGGTGTCGTACAGATCCGCCGAGCCCCTGGGGCGCGGTAGTCGTGTAGGGGTACGTCCCGCCTGACTCGCGACGGGACTTACTGGCGGAGCTGATGGCATATGGAACGGAGGTGATGCTGGGCTGAGGTAATTAGAGAACGAGTTGGAGGGAGAGGGCTGTGTCGGGGTGTACGTCGATGGGGATACCGTGACATTCACGAAACTACGGTCCTTCGCGGGCGGCGTAGGCACGACCTCGTCGGGATGCACTTTCCGCAACTCGTCCGCTAGTGTCTTGAAGTCCCCGTATCGTCGCGATACGAATACGTCTGGATGATCCCTCCGGCGCGTGCGGATGATGAATTCCTGCCGTTCGCGTGTTAGCGTTTTACGCGTGTATCATAGGGATCGACATACTTCGTGAACTTTGCTGCGCATCCGCTTCTTCTCTACAACAGACCGCACGCAAACTACATTGATGTCGAAACTATCCTTGAGGCGCCTCTCTCTCGCCGCACGCTTCCTAGCCAGGACTTCTAGGCGGTTGAGATCGGCCTGTGTCAGACGGACGACTTCCTCGGGCTCGGCTAGCTTCGCCGCGCTAGTCATGAGCATGGACAGATTCCTTTCCAGCTTGTTCAGGAGACGGTGGCGAGCCGCCTCTTCCGATTCCTCTGGGTTATCATCTAGGACGGAAGTAGGGGACAGATTCCTAGTTAGTAGCGAGGCCAGGAACGGCTGGACTTTGTCGGGGAAGAAGTCCTTGGGTGCCGACTCGAGGAAGGGAAAGGTAAGAACGAAGTGGCGGAAGAAGTACCGGAGAAACGGCAGATCCAGAGGGGGCGCATCCTTCGGAGGCGGCGTGAAGGGAGATCCAAGGTACGAGAAGGTCGAGACATTATTTGTGGGCGCTGTTACTAGTGCATCTAGTTCACGCGTAAACTGCAGGCGAATGAGCTCCTTCTTGAGGTAATGCGCGCGGATGGGTGTAAGCGTCGTGAAGTCCGGGCCGGGATCGGAGGAAGGCGCAGCGTCCGAGCTGGAATTTGGGAGCTCTGGTGGATGCTCGCTGGTTGGAGAGGCAGCGAGAGGTTCGTCAGAGATGACAAGAGGCGAAGCTAGTGGTGTGGCGAAGATGCCGTCGTCGGATTCGGGAGGTGAGTGCGTATCGGATGGGGAGGGCGGAGGGAGATCAGGGACGGAGCGGGAGGGCTTCGGGGGGCGGAGAGTGGACGACCTCTCCATCGCGTCTGACGGTGATGAGGAGCGCGTGTACGATGAGCAGAGGCTTTAGGGTGACGCGCAGCGTCTTTCGCAGTCGCGGAGAGAGCGGCGCCGATCTGCTGCATCCCTCCCTCGGCGTCGGCGGCAGAGGCGGTCCTTACTCGGCCGCAGCGGCCATACGTCATCACGCGCTCCCCACGTGCGTCGCCCGATGCGAGCCTCTTCGGCCAAAATGCAGGGGCCAGGGCCAGGGGCAGGAGGCGCATCATCGACGGGGAGGCAATTCATGTTTAACACGGCCGTGTCCTGCACGGCTCTGGCTCGCTCGGCTCGGGGCAGTCTCGGTCGCGTACATGGATCGTCGTTCAGTACGGCGCATATATAGGCTGGCCGCGGTACGTCTTCCCGTTCACATCCAGCAGGCCCTTCAGCCGCGTCGCGATCCCCTTCACCCCCTCCCGACACTCGTCCATCTCTCGCCATGAACCCGCGACGCTCCAGCACTCTGAGCACGCCTGGCTCGCCGTGCTCACCGTCTCCACCTCCAACTCCTGCCGCATGTGCAGTGCCACCATCACGTCCACCAACCGGTTGAACCCCGCTCGCCATGTCCCCACCCCCTCCTCCGCGTTCATCGTTACGTCTGTCACCAGATACGAAGACGCGAGCCCGATGCTTCGGCGCAGGACGCGCTGGTCTATTCGGCCGGACTGGCGGGTTGTGCGTGCGAGGACGTCCACTACAAATTGCCCATAATTGGTGCTGGGAGACATGTCTGACTGTGAGCGAGGCGCCCCTGTGTCGGTGAGTGGTTCGTGTGCGGTGATACAAGGCGTACATACCTGCGACGAGTCGTCCGCCATGGTGGTCAGGATTAGCGTGTTGTGAACCGCGGGATCTAACACGAACCTCTGCCGGCCGGCTTGCAGGGGAAGAACGCCAGAGCTGCGGCTAACCGATGTCTGCCCTGTGGTCGGGGTGTCGAAAGTGCCAGCCTCGTGCGAGGGCTTAAGTAGGCTAGGCGTAGACCCCTTTCTGTTCCGAAACACGTAGTGGCGTTCTTGCGACGGAGATATGGGCGATGCAGTTGTGTTGTGAGCAAGCAAGAACGGGCAAGAGCATCGGCTGCTCTCCTGGCGCTTCCAGACGCCGCGGCAGAAGCACTCATCCTGCATCATTATGCCCGCCACGTGGCTATCAGGCGCAGGTACCTGGGCGCCTCTCCCCTAAGACGCGTTCTCGCTGTCCGAGTCTATTTCGTCCACCTCGACGTCGAGCACCCACCGGTCAACATGGCGGCCCTCAACAACCTCGCGAAGTTCCTCACACCGCCGATGCCGAATGTCACGGCCGATTACGACGGCCTCGAGTTCCGGTATAAGTTCTTCGCCTTCCGGCCAGCTTGTAAGTCTACACGGCGCTACCCCACACTGCGGTTCAGGTTCATGAATTGCGTTGCGTGCAGACTTCAAGAATGAGGTGTACTTCCTGGGCGCGGCGCTGCTCTACGTGGTCGTCTACTTCATTGGAAAGAAGGCGAACGAGAGGAAAGCACATAAGTGGTACGTCGCGAGATCGCCCTCGAGCTTTGCTACGTGGACACGTCTCAATCGAAATTCTATGGTATGACAACAGGTTTGCGGCACACGATGCGCTGTACAAGTCGCAATTCTCAAAGCCGACACATACGGAAGGTCTAAGTCAAGGTGCGTGGGGGATTCACCATTTCTGCGCTATGACGACCTCAACCCCCATCCGCAGACGGGAACAGCGATTTCTTCGCGTTCTCCACAGGGAGGCGTGCTCTGACCTCCCTGCACACCACGTTCACCCTCCGGCCCCGCCACGACCTCTTCCAGACCATCTTCCACTTCGTGCGCGGCCTGGTCGAGCTGGATTACAAGGTCTATGACGCGGTCGAGCTCGAGTTCACCTTCCGGGAGGGCGCAGCCCCGGAGACCGTATGGGCGGTCGTTGCGAAGGATGAGCTCAAGAAGATTCGCGATGAGCGCTGGGACTTGGTACGTCCCCAACATGTTATATACTATACGGCGAAAGCTAACAGGGTTTCCGTCCGCAGACCTTCACTAAGACCACCGACACCCCCGCGTTGCCGGCCTCTCTGGCCGTCATGTCCGGTGAGTCCTGCACTCAGGTCGCGATTGACCCGCATTCTTACGCCCCCACAGAGTTCGCCGACGTCACCACGAACCTCCTGAAGCCATACGGCACGTTCTCGCTCCCCGCGGCGCTCTCCCTGCCCGCCATCCAGCCCTACTTCCGCTCGCTCTCGCTCACAGACCAGCCGCGCACGCGCCCCTCGCAAGCACTCGCCCCCTCCGAGCGCACGCGCCGGCTCATCCTCACGCTCGCGCTCCCGCCGACCTCCGACGCCGCCGCCACGCTCCCGCTCATCGCCGCCGCCTTCCAGCTCGTCGACGTGATCGCGGGCGAGGGCCGGCTGCCCGGGGTGCGCGGGGGGCTCGCGGCGGCGCTGCGCCCGGAGACGAAGGCGAAGCTGCGGAAGATGCGCGAGGAGGTCGAGCGCCAGATCCGCGACGAGGACGCGCGCGAGAAGCGCGAGGAGGTCGAGGAGCAGAAGGCGGCCGCGCGCAAGAAGGCGCAGGACGAGCGGCTGTCGAAGCTGAGCGCGGCGGAACAGAAGAAGGCGCTGGACCGCGAGAAGAAGCGCGCGATGCGCAAGACGCAGGGCAAGACGAAGATGCGGTAGGCTGTCTTGCCCGCTCGAGCTGCGCTGGGGTGCCGGGCTGCTTCCCGGCATGGGCAGTAGGGTCAAAATGCTACGGTTCTTGAGTAAGTTAATTGCGCGTACAGTACATGTTGCATTGCATAGCGGTTGTCCGTCGATAGCGTAAAACCTGGTATACCAATAAGTCCCAACTGCAAAGCATGTCAAGTCGTGATTGTCCGCTGCAACATCTGCGACCGCGAATCGTCCCTAGGCAGCCCCACAGAGCTGCTCGCCGCGCTCAACGGAGTGGGCAGCTCATCCGTCTCGCCCTCCGTGTCCGCCTTCTCAGTCTGCTCCAGCGTCGCCGGCCCATCCAATGCGCCGTTCGGTACGCTTGGGGATCCCCGACCCATGCCGAGCCTACTGCCCCAGTAGTTGAAGAAGCGGAGCAGCCAGGTGGGCTTCAGGTTCTGGTGCTCAATGGCATCCACCTCCTCCTCCGCAGCCAGGTCCATCCCCGGCAGCGGCGGCAGGTCCTCTTCCTCCTCAGCCTCGCTCTCCGTACGCCCCAGCCTGTCCACCAGGCGCTCCTTGCCGTCCACCGTCCACTGTATACGGCTGAACGGTCCATGCGCCCCCCGCACACCCTGTGGGAGCCTCCTGCCCGTCCCGAATATCTTCTCGCGCAGTGCGAGCGCGCGTTGCCGTGGTTGCGCGGCCATGTGCCAGAGGTCCTCGACGAGAAACTGTGCGCTTTCGTACGCGAGCGCGTTCGTCTCCTGCGTGAGCGCCTCCGCCTCCGTGCGTAACGCCTGGAGGAGCGGGAGCTCGCCGCCGCGCGTATCGAGGCCTGCGAGTGCGCCGCGCACACTCTCGTGGTCCGCGCGAAGGGCCGCGTTCTGCGCGTCGAGGCGGGATGCGAGGGCGGCGAGGCATGCGAGTACATTTGCGAGGTGCGCCTCGCGCCGGCGCATCACGAGCAGCTGCCCGCAGAGCTCAACGTCAATGCGCATGCGCTCGATCGGGAGGATGTGACTATCGACGAGATCGGCTGCGTCGCCGAAGCTGCGCCGCCGGTCGGCGCCTGTTGTAAGCAGGCGGCGACGACGCATCTTGTCGAGGTCCGCGGCGTCGGTGAGGTTCATGCTTTCGTCCTCGACGATAGAGGAGGCCGTCGAGTCGGCCCTGCTGAGAGGGCTTGCGCCGAGACGATGCTCCCTCGCGGACTGGTCGTGTAGTACGCCTCTGGCACTGCGCGAGTCCGACCAGCTCGTTATGCGGGATTGTGTTTTCACCGATGGCCGTTTCTGGTTGAACTCGGTGACGCGACGGTCGTACTCGGACAGTTCACTTGCAGAGCGCTCGGCGTGGGGGAGCGTCCCGACTCCGAGCATGAGCGGGTTGGGGGCATCAGCTGTGAGTGCAGACGTGAGTGTCGCCCCTAAACTATGAATGCCGTGCAGGTACGCACAGACAGGCGACTGCTGGCCACTGCTCAGGACCTCCTCTTCCTCTCCAGGATCCCTGTTGCTATTTAAACAAGGGGGTATATGGCGGGCCAAAAATAAGACCGACCTCGAGATTATGACTGACGGCACCATCGAGGATTGGCCGGACCTTTCGGACAGTCCTCGCGGCGAGTCCGGCATAAACGCCTTCCCTAGGGTCCCGAAATCCACGCTGAGTTTCTTGCTTTTACCCAAGCTGTCACAGCTGGCGTGAGCATCATCCCCCCGGAATAAAAATTACGCACTCACGCAGCCCAGCTCTCGATCTTGCGTTGCATCCGCCCCGACCAGGGCTTAGCGAAGTCACCCTCATCGCCTGATCGCGGTTCTCTGTCCCGCTCCTTGTCCCTCTCCTCCTTGTCTTTGCTCTCCCTGACGGCATCTCTCTCACCGTCCCGCTCCTTCTCGCGATCTTCTCGCTCGCGCTCGCCATCGCTCCACACGGCCTCCTTCTCTCGCCGTTTCTTCTCCGCATGCCCTGGACGGCCGGTCCAGAGGTACCGTAAGCTCTGTGGAGCGTCTTTCGTACTTACGACACACCGCACAAACGCTGACAGGTCAGCAGTCACGCTCAGCGTACTTGCGTTCGTGCCCCCGCCGTCAGACGCGTGTGTCCGAAGATCAGTAGCAAGGTCATCGAGTTTGTTCTTCAGTACACGGTGGACCTTGTATGACTCGCTCTGGCGCACTTTCTCGTATTGGGACTGTATCAACTCGATGAGCGGCTGCGTGAGGAAGACGGCGCTCAAGTTGGGACTGAAGGCAGGTGGTTGCGCAATTGAAGGTGGGAAGGCCGCAGCCGAGGTCGGTGGGGAGATGGGCGAGGAAGCGTGCGACTGGGGGTGATGGCCGTGCGAGTGTGGGTGCGCCTTCGATGTGTGCAGGGTCGCTAGTCCCCTGAGAAACCCTGAAGGGTCCAGGAACGGATCCTTGGGTACGACCTGGTGAATATGTGAGTGCCAACTCTATGCACGCTGAAAGCCAGCAGCATACCAAGCCCAGCGCGTGCAGTTTGCTCCGTGTGCTCAAAATCAAGCTGAACAGCGCAGCGACAACGGTCGGATCTGCCACCTTTTCGGTCGGCTGCGCCCACAGTTCATCTACGATGAGTCCTGGTATTTGTGAAGCAACTTGGGTACGTACCTCGACCTTCAGGTAGGGCTCGCCGATTACCGAGACCCACTGTTGTATGCCCTCGCATGTAACATCGCACAAGAGCCCATCCTTCTCCGGCGCGAGGTCAAACATACCGAAGATGGCCAATGACGCTTGAATTAACTTGACCAGCTCCAGCACCGTTGCATTGAAGAGGGCACCAGAGCGTGCAGGCGTCTTGTCAGTAACATGGTACATCGCAATGAAGCGGTCCTTGGTCGCGTCACTATAGTATGGTAAGACGGTCCATATCGCAAATGGTATGTTCAACGAGCGACCGTGCATACCTGGGCTCTTCTAACGTCAATGCACTCCGGCCACCGCAGCCCATCCGCAATAAGTTCACATTGGTGTAGAGCTGTTCACGAACGTCGAGGAAGTTCCCAGACGGCACATTCACGATTGTGTAGTCCGAGCGGAAGTTGGCCAACGATGTGACCATGAGGACGCCCTTGTCTGTCTTTGCCCATGCGTGTCATGAGCAGCGGCTCGGAGAAATAGAACGGCAGCTCACACCTCTTTCGGCCGTGCGCCATCTCTACGAAGGGCGCGGATAGCGCTGTCCCATGCCACTTGTGCGTCCGCGGCGGACAGCGAAGGAAGAAGGCTGAGCGCTGTCACCGTGATCTGGCCCGTATTACTTCGCCTGTGTCGGCAGGATGGACGGTTCACGCTACCTTGTGCTTCGGGTCGCCAGTGTAGACTGTGAGTACGAGAATAGGCCGTTTGCGCGCGACCACCCTTGAGGACAACTGCTGTTATTTCGTGCTACACGCCGCCACTAACCTGTCAAGCGTACCACTTCTCTACAGCATATATCTGGAAGCCTTCTAGTTCGAGCTGCTCTTCCACAACCTCGAACTTCTCCCCGCCCGGAAGCCAGTCTGATGCGCCAGAAGGAACGCGCTCCTGTGGGTCTGGAGAGACATTCACGGACAGGGAACCTGCCCTACCGCGTCCAGGTTTAGCAGAAGCCTTGGTGGGTGAACGAGGAGAAGCCCCGGATGGCCTCACTGCGCGTACTGTCGGCAAGAGTAGACGCTTCGTGTTGTTCACATTTACAGATGACACCTGCGGGGTATAGAATGGTGTCGAGGGTATAGCTATCGAGCTGCCCGAAACAGCCGATTGCGCGCGAACTACAGCTGGGCGTGGCGCGGGAGATGGCGGACTGGACGAGGGCAACACGGTGGGCACTGTTGGCGATTTCGACCGTGTATTCGGAGTCGGAGACCCAGGAATGACAAGGTAGGTAGGACCTTTGCTTCTGGGCGGGCTGGACGGGCTGGACGCCATGGTCTTAATCACCGGTCACCTACCTCACCCGAGGCCGCGCAGATGTAGGTGTAGAAGTCCACGTATGTACGAGGTGTCGAGTAGCACTTAGGCGTCCTAGACAGAGAGAGTAGGCTTCAAAGCACGTTATGCGTGAGCTCGAAGTAAGATGCCGTACGTGGGAGATGGCCTTGCGGGAGGAGGAGGAGGATAGTCAGGTATAAGCCGCTGGATTTGGAGGAGGGTGGGCTTTCGGCCATGGCCGAACTAGGCGCCTATAGTCAGCTGTGGACCGTGGTTTCGCACAAGTGTCGCACCGCGTTGAACTCACATTTCACAACGCGAAGCACACAGCTATAGGGTATATTGCATGTGTACCATTCAATCAGGATGGCGTTGCTCGTGCTGTGACGAAATCCGCGTCGAACGTTGAAGGCGAGGTTTCTCGGGCGTTAGTTCCTGGCACTTACTAGTACGGCTTGACCCAGTAGTCACTGCAGCGCCATTGCTACAGGAAATCGATGTTTATGACGCCTCCTGTACTTCCGCAAAGACGAGTAGGCGGTTACATATATATTCTCTTCCGATCGGATTATCGAGGACGAGAAATGACACTGGGGCGCGCTGGTGTACTAGACGATGCCGTTTCCCACGTCCACGGTGATACTAACTGCAGCAGGAGGATGCCTCATGCGTTCTGCCCCGCTTCTCTTCTCCCCATACTCCCTTTATTCCTCATAACCCCTCTATGCTGGCCCCCGCCGCGCCGCCGTAATCACCGCGCTGCGACGAGGACCAAAAACGCGTCTACGAGTTGAATCGGGACTTCTCGCGTCCGTTCTCGCCTAACACGCGCTACCTCCCCCTCCACACGGTGTCCTCAAGGCCTCTGACGCCCTCGCGATCACCCCATGGCAAAGGGCCCCAAGAAACAGAAAGCAAAGGCCAACGCAGCCGATCAACCAGCGGACGTACACGCGGAGCCATCCAATGCAGTCCCTGCCGTACACGCGAGCCACGACGTAACAGTGAATAATCCTGCCGTAGCCGCAGGAGGTGGATATGGTTCGTATTTGGCCTTCGACTCGCTTGAGCATGAAGTGCTGACCTTGTTTCCCTCCCTTCTCCCTTCTCCCATGTCACCATCTTCCGCACAACGTCTGCTTCACCCGGCGTGATATGAACCACCGCGCTTCCCGCAACTACATTCCGTTTCCTACAGACGAATGGGGTGAACCTGGCTCCTTGGCTGCACACGAAGACAATGGCGGCTGGGGTCCCGGCGCTGGTGCTGGAAGCCTACGGAGTGAAGGAACGGCTGACCAGGAATGGGGAGAGCCCCCTGTAGCAGACGGCGGCTGGGGGGCGCCCTCTGTTCCGGCGGGCGGGTGGGGAGCTCCCACTGCCGGTGACTGGGGCCCTGCGCCTGCAGCGGCCATTGATGAATGGGGAGCACACGGCTCTCCGGTGAGCATGAACGAGGGCGTGCGCGGGACGAAGAAAAGCGCGTTGAAAAGAAGTGGTGCGCACAGTCACTCGCAGCAACAACCGCTACCAGTGCCACCGCCCGCACAAGCGCCTGCACATACCTCTTTCCATCCTTCTGCCACTGCTCATATGCCTCAGTCGCGCTACGGCGCGCATCACGCGCAACAAGAGTGGGGAGCCCCCGATGTAGCTGGCTGGGGCGGCCAGGCCTCCTGGGGACCTCAAGCACCGCCAAAGCCTGCCCCTGGACCTCCTGCTGCGAAACCCGCGTGGGCCAACTGGGCGAACGAAGCGAAAGGAATGCCTATGGTAAATACTCAACCAGCTCCCGCGGCTTCGTATGGCTATCCGACTCAGAGCGCTGCTGGCGGCGGGGCTCGACCGGCCGTGTCCGACCAGCAGCGCTCCCAGATCTTGAGTTCGCTGCTGCAAGCTCCCAATCAGTACACTAAGGATTACCTCTCGCAGGCGCAGGCTCAAGCGGCTCACCAGCCGCGACGTGAGCAACCAGGCTCGCATCACGGCCGCCCACAGCAGCAGTCTCTCCACCCCAGCCAACAGTGGCAGGACCCACACTTCGTCGCAGAACAACAGAGTATCCTGCGTAGCATCCAGGAGGCCCGCTCTCAGAGTGGCTCACATCATGGCCGACCACAGCCAGTACAGCAGGCCGACAGCTGGGGGTATATGACCGGCGGCGGTGGCGGCTGGGGAGAGCGAGCATCGACCATACCGGAAGAAGACGAGTACGATGAGGAGGAGGATGAAGACGACTGGGGACACGACATGGGCCACGACAAGGGCGGCTACGGCTGGGGCGGGGGGCACGCACCTAACGGCGGACGTGTACGCTTTTCCCCAAACATCTCCTATGGCTCCTCACCCCGGGCCCGCGCACAGAGCGCGCCGTCAATGCATGGCGTGGCGCAGCCGCAGTCTGGCTCACAAGGCAATCCGCAGCAATTCTGGGCGCCCGCTGCGATGGCCTCGAAGACGATGAAGATCGCGACTGGCGCGATCTCGACCACCGTATTCGAACTGCCGCCGCCTCGAAATGGTGTGGGTGAAGCCGGATTTGTAGACTCCCAGGGCGCGGCACTCGCCTCCGCCGAGCGCGCGATGTACAACCGACATCGACCTGCGAAGGAGAGATTTCGGTGGGGCTTCAATCCGGACAAAGACCCTCGCGTGCGTTCGCTCTTGCAATGGATAGCTGCGATGTCCAACGGCCTTGCCACTATTGGGGTGAGTGGACATACATCTCCCGCGGTTCCGCATGATTAATCGCGCCGCGCCGTTCAGTTGAAGAGGTTCCTTGAGACCCAAGAGAGAGGAGCACTCTTCGCCAACGCCGATTTTCGCGTCCCTGCACCCACGCCAGGAGCCCCAGCGCAACCTACTTTCGACTATGTGACCCTCGACCAAATCCAAAGAACTCTGGACGCGACCATGCAAGAGTCCGTCAAGCTATATGATCCTGCGTTCCAAGTGATCGTCTTCGTATTCCTCCTATCCCCTTCTGGGAACAGCATGGCGCTCTGGCGGCGCAAGCTCGAAGTTCCCGACTCAGTGCGCGATGCGTACTACGACGACATCCTTCAAGTGGAGGCGGAGCTCAAGACCTACCCGGTGTATGTTGACGAGTTAGTATTCTTCACCATCTCACTGCGTCAGAATGCTTGTGCTGACAGAACAGGGGTCGTGATAGGCTACCGGTGAAGGCCGACGCGCCGCCACCGAAGAAAAAAGTACGCTTCGCATTCCTGCGCAGGCTATTCGGAGGGAAGAAATCCGCCGCTGCATCATGACCCAGCACCCCTCCCCCGACCCACGTCTTTCACGCCTCACGTCCCTCTTCGTTCACACCCGTGTTTTATTGCTTCGCCTTCGCGCTGTCCCTGTCTCGCTGTCCTGCATTGCACTGTATCACTGCCCTCCCATTTCTGTCCTGCTACCAAGTACTGCTAGATCTCTTCTTCTGGAAATACCCGCGCTGCCCTGCTAATGTCCGCGACACCTTGTGTATTACTAGCGCCCTGCTTCACGCCCATCTCCGACTACTGCCACCTTTACGATGTACATGACTTACGACGAGCATCACGTGGACTTTGGATGTGTAATTGTATGTGCGCGCCACAATAAGCATAAGCACACATACTCTCTATCTACTGCTACTGCTACCTTCGGCGCCGGCGATCAAGAGGCTTGCGTGTCTTCCATGAGTTCTTCGCGTGTGCCCGAGCCCCTCGACCCTGGGACTATACAGTCTACAGACCCCCTTCGCGAGGACCGGCCGCAGACCACGATGTTCCCGCTGACCTCCAAATCCTCCAACACCAAGTCAGCGCGCGACCCGGTGCGCACCATTGTGGTGTTCGCGGCCGTGGTGTCGCCGCTCGCGATCGTGCCGTACGTCCTAGTGCGACGGCGCCTCGCAGGTCTCCGCACCCAGCTCACAGCCCTGCGGACGGCGAACACGAAGCTCACTAAGGAGCTGCAACGCGTCAAGTGGGACATCGATAGCGGGCTTGAAGGAGTGCGGCGGCATATCGACGCCACAGTCGAGCGCGAGGGCACAAAGATTGGCAAGATGCTGCAGCAGGCGGAGAGGGGAGCGCAAGAGCGGCATGGGATAAGGAGAGCCTGGGAGGACGATATGCGCAAGAGTGTGGGGGTGCTGCTGAACGAGAACATGACCCGCAGGTGAATGCGAATTCGTCTAGTAGGTCCGTGAGGTGGAGGCTGAGTGGCTGAGTGCATATCAGGACGCGGCTCGCTGAGGAGTTGAAGGGGATCGGGCACTCCCTGGCAGATGCCGCAGCATTTGTCCAAGAAGTGGAGTTGCGGCAGGGTTGGGTACCGCGTCCAGACGACGGTCGCGGCATCGAGAGGACGCGGCGGCTGGCCGTAAGGTTGCTAGAGGATGCAAACTCGATGGCGAGTTGCTTGCTTTCTCACATAGTTGATTGAAGCTGAAGGGTATGCAGGAGAAACAGCAGGGGACTCCTCCGCGAGCAGGCAACAAGGTCGAAGAGAGTCAATCGCAGTGAACGGATCTACTCACCGACATCGGACTTGGCGCATGTCTCACTGACCATGTAGAATATGCAAGACGTGTATTGGTACAACGTTTCGATCGGCTATCCAAGGCACTAGTACAATCGTACACAGCGTCCCCGCTCCTGTCGTCTACAGTTACTTTTGCTTCCGCCTCGTATCTTGTAAAGTATATCACGGGTATATTAGCTCCCACGACTGGTGCACACTACTGCTAGAGAACACAGTACCATAAAGCCGCTTTTTCTGGTTCGGGACGAGGAACTCCTCCATCAGGTCCATGTCGACGCGCCCCCAGCCCGCATAGTCGCCCTTTCGCATCTCCTTCGAGCGCCGCGCGAACGACGCGAGGTGGTAGGCGAGCACGGCCTTCCACTCGTACTGCGCCGCGATCTTCACGAGGTGGCTGCTGTAGCGGAAGAAGTGGCAGGGGAGCAGCGCGGACTGCCCGTGCGAGAGCCCCTCCACGCAGAGCACCGAGAAGTAGGCGTTCAGGGGGACGAGGAGCGAGTCAAGCGTGGGGTAGGTCTCGATCGCGAAGGGCGTGGCGCGGAGGGACACGGTGGAGTCTTCCATCGAGACCTCGACGATGTTCCATGTCGACTCGAGGATGCGCCGCGAGTCGAGCTTGTAGATCTCGGCCCCGGGCAGCTCGTGGCGGACGATGGCGGCAATGAGGTCGAGGTCGACGTGCGGGAAGAGGGCCGCGATAGATTGGAGATCTTGGCTGGGAGGGTATATCGAAGCCATGATTGGAGGGCGCTGATTGCATGAGTTCGTCAAGTGATTGCGTGTGTGGTTTCACAGAAGCAGCGTACCGTGGAGATCCAGCACGATTACGGGGTATACGACGAACTCCGGGAGTGTCGAGGGGACGGGGGACAGCAGGGCGCGAGCATGCAAGAGAATGGGCAGAGGCAACAGGGGAACGCTAGCCACCGAGCCACAGCATCCCTCACAAAGACCGCCGGAAAGAGTAGCCTCCCGTAGCACACGTATGCACAAACGCCGGATTCCCAGCAGTAGCAGCCGCAGTCGCAGGCATTGAGCAGACCATTGTATGTAGAAGCAGGCAGCGAGCAGACAGAATACAGCTAGTCAACGCTGGCAGCCACGAGCACGCTGCCACGCGCGATGAGGACGTCGATCGCTTAATTAGGGAATAATGTGCCACGTGGGCGTGAGAGGTGTGGCTGAAGAAACTACACAGTACCTCTTTCCATTGTCCCACGCTCTGTATTGCTCGTCCCCAGCCTGGCGCGTACATCCCCTACGACACTCCTCAAGGTGAATATCTCGTTTCTCCTTGCTGCTGGCCGCTGTGGACTTGTCTGGGACTAGTGAAATGCTGTCGGACGATCCAACCAGCTCCATCTGCTCAATGGACCTAGAAATTCCGTTCTGACGCTCGATTTCCTCTGGTAGATCCTCATTTCGACAAAATGCCCGGAAAGGTCAAGGCGTACGAGCTCCAGTCCAAGTGCGTATTTCGAACTAGCGATCTGTCAACTTTTGCTCACAGTGATTGAAGGTCCAAGAATGACTTGACCAAGCAGCTTACGGAGCTCAAGACTGAGCTCCTGAGCCTGCGGGTACAGAAGATCGCTGGTGGCTCCGCGGCCAAGCTCACCAAGATGTGAGTTTATTACTGCTCCGGTATGCTTCTCGTCCTCATCCACCACTCGCGCGTAGCAACACCGTCCGCAAGTCCATTGCCCGGGTGTTGACCGTCACGAACCAAAAGCAGAGGCAGAACCTCCGCGAGTTCTACAAGAACAAGAAGTACCTGCCCCTTGACCTCCGCGCCAAGAAGACCCGGGCCATCCGGAGACGTCTCACGAAGGTCGGTGTTTGCGATCGTCCACGGTCGATCTAGGAGGCTAATAAATGTCTGCAATCGTAGCACGAGGCATCGTTGAAGACGCTCAAGCAGCGCAAGAAGGACATCCACTTCCCCATCCGGAAGTACGCGGTCAAGGCATAGGGGAGCTGCCTGAGTGCGGGTCGCGGAGCTGGTTGTCCATGTTGCTTTGAGTTTGTTCCATTTTCATCTGTATGCCATACGCTACCACCACCAACCAACATGCCATGCCATTCATGCGCGTACGAATAGCCGCAATTCAGCCGTGGGATGCTGTAGGAAAAGAATTTCCGGGGAAGCCAGAGCGTGCACGTCGGTTCTGCCGAGACTGTCATGAGCACGCCGTGTGGTATAAATGGTTCGGTCTAACTACCCAGATGCAATGCACATTGGAGAGTATCCGGCGTTGAATATGCGCTTGGCGATGCTTAGTACATATGGCGTTTGACGACTATCCGGAGTGAATAAGAGGGTGCGGCCGGACCGGAGAGGAGGCTTTTGTGGGATAGACGGTGGCGGAGTCGGACTTACGGGTGTGAGACGCTGAGAGACATAACGTCACCGGACTCGGACAAGCCCGCCCCTCGCCCGCCGTGGCTCCCCTCCTGCCTTCCACCCGCACCGACGATCCCCTCACGCCGCCGCCGTACGCGACGGTCTGCTCGACGCCTGTCTCGGCGGCCTCACCCCCACTCACGTCTGTGGCGCGCATTCCGAGGAGATACCTCGCCCGAACTCGGCTATTGCTGCCACGGCAATCTCCTCCCGGTCTCCGCACGTTCTCAGATCCTGCGTCTCCGCCCAACAACCACCACCGCGTGTTTTCCCTGTTTGCTTTCCTCCCTGTCCTTCGCCTGCCTCGTTGCGCGCCGATTCAAGCATTGCCGCCTTCTTAGTTATCACGATATTTATCACGCGTCCAGATATAACGACATTCACGAACTATGGTGAGTTATCCGTTTGCCATGCTGCAATGTCCGTCATCGTGGGGCGGCCTTGATCAAGAAGAAGTCATGGGTATTGGGGCTTTCCCTGCCGTTTTGCCTCCGTACCGCATGGTAATCCAGGCCATACCACCACACACGTGCCCACTAGAAGCTTCCTCGCTGCGACGATAGCCAGCTCGACGGCCAGCTTCTGACGTCCCTCTGTTTGTCGTCGCGACCCACCCCTGCGCGTCTTGCGTCCACCCTCGAGCGCCGTCGCCCCCACCTCCACAATATGCCTCCCCAGGGATCCCGTCTGCTCAAGAAGCAGCACAGCTCGTCTAGCAGCTCTTCTGACTATGGTTTTCAGCCCAAGCAGCTCTCCAAGTCCCCGCCACCGTCCCCAAGCGCCGATCGCAAGACGCGGCCTGAGCCATGGCCCTATGTCCCCAGTAGCAACCCTGCCGCACAGTACTCCCTACTAGAGAAGCTCGGGACAGGGAGCTTCGGTACGGTCTACAAGGCGATCCACAACGACTCGAAGCAGATAGTGGCCATCAAGCAGATTGGTGCGTTTCTCACGTACACACACATGAGGTTCGCTAACGCGTCGGCGCAGATCTGGAGGATTCGGACGATGACATCTCTGAGATTCAGCAAGAAATCGCAAGCCTCGCCCAGTGCGACTCCGAGTATGTTACTCGGTACTACGGCTCCTTCGTCGTCTCGTACAAGCTGTGGATAGTGATGGAGTACCTCGCGGGTGGTTCATGCCTCGACCTCCTAAAGGCCGGCGCATTCTCAGAAGCACACATCGCCGTCATTTGCCGTGAGCTCCTCCTTGGTCTCGACTACCTCCACAGCGAAGGGACGATCCATCGCGACATAAAGGCGGCCAACGTCCTGCTATCTGCGTCCGGGAAAGTTAAGCTGGCGGACTTCGGTGTCGCTGCCCAGCTCACGAACACCCTGCGGCATACGTTCGTGGGCACTCCGTTTTGGATGGCGCCGGAAGTCATCCGTCAAGCAGGCTACGACGCCAAGGCCGACATCTGGAGCCTGGGAATCACAGCAATAGAGATGGCCAAGGGCGAGCCGCCTCTAGCGGAATACCACCCCATGCGAGTACTGTTCTTGATCCCGAAGGCGAAGCCGCCCGTTCTCGAAGGCCCGTTCACGCCGGCTTTTAAGGACTTCGTCGCCCAATGCTTAACCAAGGATCCCCATTCCGTAAGTGTTGCGCTTCTGTGGCCTCTGGGCCTGTGAATCTGAGCAGCGCTGATCTGCCCTTCTTCACCCGTGTTTCACTTATATAGCGACTGTCGACCAAAGAGCTCCTCCAGCACCGCTTCATCAAGAACGCTCGCAAAACGCACTACCTCACGGAACTCGTCGAACGCTACCAGGACTACCGGAACCGGACGCCTGGCCGCGTCCCCCAGATGTACCAGGCGACGGTGCGGAACAGTGGTACGTGGGACGGAACGCTGCGCAGCGATTGGAACTTCGACACGATCCGGTCTGCATCTGCGATGGGCTCTCTAAGGAGTATGGCGAAGGACATCATGCCACCCGGGATGGAGCTCGACGAGCAGTACTACGATGACATGCTGCCCGAGGAGGACGAGTCGGCGTACGACGTGCAGGGTTCGATCGACACCGCCGCGGCGACGACAAAGGGGAGTGACGTCCCGCTACAGCGGCAAGTTGGCCTGTCAAGCATCGGCATGAACGCGGACGCGGGACACTCGACGGTCGTCATTCGATCGTATGCCCCAGCAGGCGATGAGAAGGACACGCCGTCGCTCATGGCAGACAATGGCTCAGACGAGACCGTGCAGAGTGCCGCCCCCGTGACACCTTCCCAGAGCACGGAGACCGTGAACGCGCAGGTTGCGGACGCCGCCGAGCCTCCGCCAGCGTACACCGGCTCCATTCGGTCCTCGCGGCGGGCCTCGTACGCAATGCGGAGCAATTCGTCCAACGGGACCGTACTTGGCGAAGCGGATATTGGCAGCGGGGTGGACACGATCCGGCCGGTTAAGAAGGTCGACACGGTACGCTCCTTGCGGTTATCGGAGGAGTACGTGGGCAGTGTCCGGAGTCGGGAGGGCAGCACGTCCTCTACGCCGTCGTCGCCGCAGAGCTTGAAGGGATCGCAGAAACGGGCCGGTGAGGCGGCGAAGGCGGGTAAGGCTATGGTGGAGGGTGTCTTGTTGCCATTGCTACAGAAGGTACGTCATTCTACCTCAATTCATGGAAGCACTGCTGACACGCTTTGTAGACGACAAGAGACGATATGGACGCTCGGGAGATCGAGTCGTTGAGTATGATTTCGCGCGGCTTCGAGGAGCTGGGCACGGTCAACCCCGAGCTCGCGTACAACCTTGTGTTGGATATGCTTGCTGGTATCAACGAGTGCGTATCGTTCGCAAAGACTTCCTTGGACCTGCAATGCTCATTATCTGCCTGCAGCAACCCCTCCGTGCGCAATCACATACAGACCACGCGGGCGCTATTCCCGCACAAGCGCATCATCCGCAGGAGCGAGATGACCGCGAAGGGCCTCATTGTGACCGAGGAGGAGGAGATCTCAGGCTTGCCTTCATCCTCGGGGTCAACACCCAGCCCGGCGGTGGCCACGCCAGAACCGGGCTCGCCGGTACGCAAGTCGCCGATCTCGGAGCTGCTGTACCTGCGGTGGTTGGAGGGCCTCAAGCTCAAATGGCCGAGCATTCTCTAATGACGTGCGTGCGGTGTCTCACTGCCGCTGCCGCTCTCACCATCGGACATGCCGTGGTGGATGATCCGGAAGCTTGTCCTGCGGACCCGAACGTCATGTCATCTCGTCGTCAGTCTTCATTCTCCCGCCTCTCGCCCCTAGACACGGACTGGACTCGGCTTGTGCCTCCTGTGCGCCTCAGCCATCCGATCGCTCCGTTCTCCTCCCCGTCGGCCATTCCGACGCGGACTCCTGAGCGGCTGACTGACATATCTTTCGGCTTATGCTCGCCCACCTCTCTCCGCGCGCTCTCCTTGATCATTGGACACTTATCGGATACCGCTCTGCTTTGCACCATTCCGTCTTTCCCCTCCTGACTCGTCTGTCGTGCTCACTCCTCATATCATCCTTGTTCCCATCATCGCTCCTGTCCTGTTCCACTGCCATCCTTTCCTTGGTCCATACCTTAATGTCGCCTTATCTTATCGCCTCCCCGTTCGCCCCACGTAGTTCCTCCTTGACCTTGCCCGTCTCTCGTCTCTCTCCCTCGCCTGCTTCTGCTATACGTAGGCGATCATACCTGGGTCTGTCCGCCCCTTCATCCCTTCACCCGCCGCCCCTTCGGACACACGGGCGCGATGCGTCCCCATCGCCGCATACTGACGACTTTATGACATGACATATAACGAGTATCGAGTGTCTGCAAATGTACGATGTTGCTGCGCAGTATGATTGAATGCCATTCGTTGGCCATAGTACAGTGGGGGACCATCGACGCTAGGTGGATCATCGATCATCGTATCATGTTTCTGTCTCGGCCAAGGATGGTGTTTGTAACTGTACTAGTAGCGCACATCGAATGAACCGAACCGTTCCTCCTCCTCCTCCTCCTCCTCCTCCTCCTCCTCCTCCTCCTCCTCCTCCTCCTCCTCCTCCTCCTCCTCGGATGTGCGAAACTACGTGCGCGGCGGGCGCCTAGGCATCGGTATGACTCATCCTACATTTACTAGCGTGTCCTGCATCTAGAATCAAACTCGACGCACGACGGCCATTCGCCAACGTTGCGTAGACCACACGCATTACACGATCCAAGGCGCGCGGTCCGGTACCGACACCGCTTCTCGCTCACCTGGCCACCTTCCCAAGAACGAACCTTCGCAAACACAATAAGCCCACTCCACCCTTCCCGCCCGCGCGCGGGCGGGGATCAATGTGCTCCCAGCGCGCGCCCGGAAATGAGGACGCGCTGGGAGTAGCGCGGTGTGCCCTATTGTCTCGCCATCGGGCGCGCAGCGGGCGCCTAAATTAAGAAGGATGGGCTTTACGCTAGAAACTGGGCAAAGACAACAAGGCCTCATCAGTAGTGTAAAACTGGGGGCCGTTCGCTCGGGTGCGATCGTCCGCTTTATTGTCTTGTACGGTGCGCCGTGCAGGCATGAGGCGGGGCCGAAGGTTTCGGCACGGTGTGCACGATCGGACGCCGAGGAGCAGTACGAGTGAGCGCACTGGTGCCCACCGTGGCAGGAGCAGGGCTTGAGGGGCATATATACCCTGTGTAGAAGGAGAGGTTTGACAGCGAAGTCGTTCACTACTTCTGCGTACCTCGTCCGCTGCTCTGCTCCGGCTTCCCGCCTCTTTCGGCTTTGCCGTCCCGCCACACTCCGCGCTCGAGCACGCATCCCCCGTCGTACATCGCCAGTTCTTCTACCATGGACGCATTCTTCACCATCGCGCCGCCGGTCCCCGTCGACGAGCCCACCGCGGACGTCCCGATTGACCTTGACGACACCGGCACCAGCGGGAACAGCGGGTCCTGCATCATTGCCTAGAATACCCTTGTCGCCCACCACTGTATCGTTGTAAGTCAGCATGGTATTGCGTTTTTATGCGGAGTACTCACCAATTTTGCCCACGTAGACATTGGCACGCCATAGGCCTGCACACTACTACCCCACTCGACTCGACAACGCGCACGACACGCATTCGTTCCGTCGCGCTACCTGCACCTTCATCTTCACGCACACACTAGCCGCTTCGGCGTCGCTTTACGACTAATTTATCACCTTCATATTGGCTGTCTGATCGGGGCGAGGGGGGACCCGGAGAGACTTGTACGATGGGTGGAGTACGGTGGATGGACAAGAAGGGGTGGGGGTCATCGGAGAGTCGCCGTCTCGCAGCCTTGTTTGTAATATTTTCGTCCTGGATGAGTCCAGTGACACCCACGTTATGAAATGTATCATACTCGCGCCTAAGCAGACGGGGTTGGGCGTGATCGTTGTCGTAAATTCTTGTAGCGGTTGCTGCGAAACTTTTAAGATCGCCTTTCCCAGTGCAAGCTTGATCTGTTGCAATTGGGGCGTCTGGTCGAGGGGGCAATAACGCTACGTCACAAAAACGACTATGGCGACGAGTGAGTTTGAAGTCTGTCAGAACCGGAGTCTTCCACGAGAGCCGTTTATACATACCAGGATAGTTTTGTAGCGGGCAGTTTGCATAACCACCGCAGATCACGGCGCGCGCGTCAGGGCTTCCCCGGAAGCACACGAAGGGACATGGCCTCCCTGCGGCTGGTATATGAGCCCTTGGACGATGTAAGCTCTAGGCCTCAGGCTTCAGGTCTTGGCGGCGTCATGGCGCACTCAGAGAGGACTTCGCCGCTGGAACGACGATCCTGTCGCGACGGGAACGGTCCAGGCCGTCATAGACTCAATGTTCGGGCTGGCTTCCCTTTCTTTGAACGCCGGAAGAGAAGTTCTTACCGGTTGCTTGGGGTGTTCAGCCGAGACGAGGCGGTCGCTCGACATTCGAATGAAATTGATCGCCCGCAGTCGATGTTCGGATATAGCTGTCGCTCGGGCTTGCGGTTTGGCTTCTCGCGATCATCTCTTGCCACAGGGAGTTCCAGAAGATCAGTATAGAGCATACAGTCGTACGCACGAGCAAATAATTTGAACCTATGAGATGGCGAGGTGGTGGTGGTGGCTGGAGACAACCTTAACTGACGCCCGCGCCCGCACCGCTTCAGGCTCGTACATACTTCGCCACCACCATTTGTGCCTGTCTCGCTCCACCACCATCCCTGAACATATACACTTTCATTCTCACAACCCACCCTCCCACTCCGGTGTCTCAAGCATCTAGATACTAGAGTCGGAGGTCAGGTACGGTCGCGCGAAGCAGCCACGCAATGACGTCGCCCCGACCCCCGCGCGCGCCCCGCCATGCTGCGCAGCACCCGGAAGAGGCAGGCTTCATTCATCTCGCGATCCTCGAGTCTATTCCTGGTCCCCCACGCGAATCTGCCTCTTAGCCTTCCCCGATCGAGGGAGGATCGAGCGCGTTCGCACCCCGGACGCGCGCGATCGCGCTGTGGGTCCATTGAGTTGTGGGTCCCGCGAACGGCATTGCCTCTTCCGCTCTGCATTCCCTCCCACTCTCCCGCCGCCGCTCGCCCCGGACATCACCGGCGCCGTTCTTGGCTCCTTGGTCGCCGTCCGGCGACTAAAGCGTGCACTCAAATTCCTTGCACAGATGACGTCCCTCGGCACGCGCGGAAGATGGAGACACGACCGCCCGGAGGGGCAGGTTCCTTGTGCATTCCCTGGGTGCACTATTACGGCGCCCGCGCTTTGGCGGCGGACGCTTCTACGTACGATAAAGGGGTTGGTGTGACGCGTGTCGTGGTGGTGGTGGTGTGAAGAAAAAGAGTGTAGGTGGTAAGCACGAGGATTGATTAGGCCCTAGGGGCGGAGGCGGAGAGTCCATGACAGGTCGTAAGTGATGAGAGGGGAATGTCCGAAGATGTACAAGGCGAAAACAGGGAAGCAGCGGGAAGGATATCCTATCGCGACAGTAAAGGGGGTACTACTCTACACAGTCTGCGGTGCGTGCGGGGCGACTAATGCAAGATGGCGTACACCGGCGCGCGGGCGGCGGTCATAAATACGTGCAAGTGAGTGAGCGACGGATTAGGGTGGCCTCGCGTATGTGTGAGGGGTGGGTAAATTTCGATGGCCGAACCGAGCCGTAGAGTAGCATGGCACTGTGTCCGCACACGTACCCAGAGTCCCGAGTGGAAAAAATCCGAGGAGAGAGGGTCCAAACGCTCCCAGACCAGTTCTAGCACGGGGCGGATCACAAGAGGACGGCGGCGGCGACGAGCGCGGACACGCCCATCACGAGGCCGGACGCGAACAGCGACGCGGCCGAGTTCGTGTCCGCGGCGGCGCCAGTCGCCTGGCCGTTCGCGGCGGTCGAGCTGCCCGATGCGCTGCTCGTGCCGTTCGTGCTCTTCCCAGAGTTGTTCCCGGCAGGCGTGCTCGTGGTGGACGTTGATGCGCTCGAGCCGGTGGCGGAGCCGGTTTGCGAGGCGGAGCTGCCGGAAGAGGCGGGTGCAGAAGCGGCAATGCCGACCAGGCCGGGGGTGACGTCCTCGGTCGAGCTGGCCGAGTTCTGGTAGACGTCACCGCCGTCCATGGTCGCGAGACTCTGGAACTTCCAGCCGTTCTGCTGGATGAGCGGGAACGCCTGCATGAACGCGCCGACGGTGTCGTTGCTCAGCTCGTGCTCGAGGATGACGAGGCCGGGCGACTTGGGGCCAGTGATCCACTTTTCGAGGTTCGCGTTGACCTCAGGGCGGGTAGCACCGCCAGGGGAGCCGACGCTCCAGTCCTCAGTGCTACATGAGAATTAGTACTCGTATATCTACTATCTGATCAGCAAACTCACTCCTGGTTCCAGATAACGGTAGTCAGGCCGAAAACCTCCTTCGCGATCGCGCGGACACGGTTGTCCGAGTCGCCGTAAGGGGGGCGCCAGTATTTGGGAATACGTCCGCCAGTCGAGTTGTGAATGAGTTGCATGGTCCAGCCGAGCTCGCCAAGGACCTCCTCATTGGTGAGGGTGGTCATGTAGGGGTGCGTCCATGTGTGGACGGCGATATCACCTGGGCAGCCAACAGGTAAGTGGACAAGTACAGCTGGGAGCTACTCGATAAACGCACTCTGGAGGTCCTCAAATGCCTGGGTGAAGCCGGTAGGGTTGTCGATGATGTTCTTCCCGATCATGAAGTGGGTAGTGATGACATTGTTCGTCTTCAGGAAGTCGTACAACGCAGGAGAGAACTGCGAACAGAGGTGTCTGTTAGCACGCGTCCTGGGCGGTAAATCTAACTATAGCTGCGCACCTCCGTAGGACCATCGTCGAAGCTCGAGGCGAACACGCCGTCGGGCGCGTCCCAGATATCGCCCGAGTTACGGCACTTTTCAGTGGCTGAGCAGACGACGTCGCCGTTCGGGTCCAAGCCGTTGGGGTACACCGGGTTCTGCCCGGGCACGTTCTGCGAGGGCGGGAAGTCGGGGATCTTGCCCGCCTTGACGGCCGCGGCGAGCGCGTCTGTCCACGCCTGGGGCAGGGGCTGCGAGTCGACCTTGTCGGGCGGGTAGCCGGCGGACCATTCTGGGAGAGCAAACGCCGATTGAGCGGGCCCGAACAGCATGTGCAAAAAATTTGGTTTGTGAGCGCGAACGTACCTGGGGAGCCGACGGCGGCATAGGTCACGCCGTCGCTGGGGACGTCGGCGCGGCGGAAGAGGCCAGTTGCGGGGTGGTCCTCGGGGTGGTACCAGCGCGAGGGGAGGGCGCGGGCAACGGGGAGGTCGTGGTCATGGCTGTCGTGCGGGTGTGCGGATGCTTGGGACGATAGGAGTGCGGTGGCGGCGAGAAGCAGAAAAGAGCGGACGGCCGGCATCGTGTATAGTTGGTGTTGTCTTGGACGGGGGGCGGGGACGGAGAGGGAAAGGGGGCAGGGCGGGGAGGACGGCCATGGCACGTTGATTTATACCGAGCGAGTGGGCGGCAGCGCGATCGGGGAGAGGAGGCGGATGGGCCAGGACCAGCAGCCGCGCGCGCACAACACAGATCTCACCCAAGTCTGCGCGAGCCTCGCATCCCCACTGCCGCCCGCCTCGATCACACTCGGCCTCGCCTTGCCGCTCCCCCGCTTTTGGCAGCTCGCCTGCCTTATCCGACCGCGACTCCCGTGCCGTGCCTGCCGTCGCCCCCGCCGTCCAATCAGCGTCTGATCCGGCCTCATCAGCCCTCATCCCGCCCGTGCGCTCGACAACGACCGCCACCGCCGCCCCCGCCCGCCCCCGAGTGCGCGCCGACTGAGCCGGACGGCTCGAGCTCCTCCTCCTCCTCTTTGCTTTGCATTCTCTACGTTCAGCGCCCACACCAACAGCCCCCGCCCTCCGTCACCCGACCCGGTCGGACCTGTCTCTTTCTCCGCCAGTCTCGCCTCGCCCCGGCTCATGCTTTACCACCATCGATTCAGCAGTGTGATCCCCGCGGCCCGCTGATGCCACCAAGTCCGACGTATTGCCTTGCCCGGCGGCAGTACGTTCGCAACGCTTCTGCAGATGCCCGCACGCACATAAGCCCCATCATGATCTCAGTCACCAGGCGTTCAGTAGTCACTCGCGTAATGCTGGCTTTATTTTTGGGGAGATCTGCTCATGCACGCTCGGTATCAGCGCCTTCGCAAACGCCTCGGGAAGCTGCACACACTCCGGCGCTTCGGGCTCTCCTGCACAGCTTCCCCGCCGTCCGCGCGGCACGCACTGCCCACGCGAGCTGCAAAACCACTCAAGATCGTCCCGACGGCCCTCCCGCCCCGCCGCCGGTCAAAGTCAAACCACACGCACAGATTGGAGATTCTCTGGGCGGGCACAAGCCGACGCGTGTATTCATAATACGCGCTGTATGTGTAGGAATGGATGGTGGTACAAGCCAAGCGAGAATCAAGATGGGTCCGAGTGTAATAATCCGCGGCAAATGGCCGCGCTAGAAGCACCGTGTGCAATCAACCACGCGCACTACCTCCCTCCCCGCGCCTACGCTGCCGGCGAGGGCGCGGTCGCAGCACCGCGGTACGCGGGCCTCAGCACGAGCACGCCCTTGCTGAGCTGCGCGACCTCCTTCACGAGCGCCGTGAACTTGTTCTTCTTCTCCTCGTTCGTCAGGTACGGCGTAAAGTGCAGGATGCACTCGCGCGTCGATGCGCTCGGCGTCGCCCGCAGCCACTCGATGACCATGCGGTCCTCGAGCTCTGCGCCCGGCGGCAGCTGCGCCTTGCGCTTCTTCAGGCGGGGCACGCTGCCCGGCGCACCCCCCGCGGCGCCCGCAGACCCGTCGTCTGTCGCCTTGCGCTTGAGGGCCTTCGCACCCCCGGACGCAGATGGTGCCGGAGGGGGGCTGCCAGCAGTCGGGCTCGTCGCGCGACTGGCTGGAGGCGACGCTCCGTTGGGGCTCGCGAGTGGGCTTCCCGCGCGGCTCGGGATGGCCGTTTTCAGTTTGGGCATCTTCGGGCTCGTAGCCCGCCTCGCGACAACGGAATGGCCTCCGTGCCCCGGTGCCGGCGCGGGAGACGTCGGCCGCGAGATTGATTGTGGCAGCGGTTCCGTCTTGGGCGTGGACGGTGGCTGTCCGTTTGCCGTGGGCTTGCCCGCTTGCAGGACCGGTGACGTCTGGGACGCCGATCGCGCGCCCGGCTTGGGCTCGACAGGCTGAATCGCAGGACCGGTAGGCGCAATGGGGATCTCTTCCTCCTCCTCTTCCTCCTGCATCGCGTGGTCAGTAGACAATTTACGCAAAACGTAAAAGTATGCATACCTCGCTTGCATACGGGTTCTTCTCGTCGTCGGAGTCGTCGTATGCGCCATCCTTGTCCAGCTTCTTCAGGGTCTTCTGGAGGTTCTTGCCCGCCCCAGTCAGCTGGGTCTCTTCCTCCTCTTCGTCTGATTCATCTATGTGGCCCTCACGGAGCTTGTTCGCGTTCTTGTACTCCTTCTTGAGTCGCTCCTGTAGTAGATCGGTTTAGCTGTCTTGCACGACCGCAGGCAAAGGTTGCACAAACCTCAAGCTCCTTCGTCTCGTCGTCTTCCTTGTCGTCCAGGTCCATCTTTTCCTCGTCATCTGCAAATGTGTCTTCGAAGTCTAGCTCATCGAGGTCACCCTCGGCCCCGTTCTCGCGTTTGGCTCTCCGCTTGCTGTCGCCGCCGTCTTCATCATCGTCACCGCCGAAGAGCTCGGATGGGCCACTGTCGACCGTCCTCAGCTTCCGACCGCCGGGCCCCAGACTTGTGCCTGCGCTGTGCACGAGAGATGAGCCACCCGTGGCTTGCTCGGTTCTTTGTCGGAGCGTCCAATGGGTATCCTTGTGCTTCTGCATTTTGGTCATCTAGAGTAGAGCGCGCCATGAGTTGTATGATCGTATCGAATCTGTATGTACATACCAAAGTTTCCGCCTCCTCGAGGTTGGGAATATGATAATGCGGCTTCTTCTGAAACTTGTACCACCGGTGTGCGGGCACGAACTTGAAGACATCGTCCGCGGCGGGCATGAACATCGCATACGTCTGCGACTTCGACACCTCTTCCATCTTGCCCACCCACGTCTCGTCGTGCTTCGCATCCTCCATCACCCACGGGTGGCGCTCCTCGCGCCGCAGCTGCCGCGTCTCCTCGGGCACGAGGAACACCTGCCGCGTCTTCTTCACGAACCGCTTCTTCTTGTCCTTGCCCTTGCCCTTCTCCTCCCCAGCTTCGTCCGCATCCACGGGCGCGCGCACCGGCCGCCCCGCCGCGTCGACCATCACCACCTTCCCGTCCGCGCCGATGACGAGCTTCCCGTCCGAGCCGACCATCGCGCTCACCGCCTGCAGCGATGCCGCGTCTGGGGCGTCCTCGCGCCGCGGCTCCTTGCGGTTCAGCTTCACTGGGGCCGCCCAGGTGTTGATGTCGACCCGCTTGCGCGACTCGAACTTCATCACGTCGTACTTCCACCCGTTCAGCTTCGACGACATCAGCCGGAACTCCGCGTATGGGCCATCGGGCAGGGCTTGTTTCTTCTCGTCATCGTCGGCCTTGGGCTTGGGCTTTTGCATTGGGGGTATCCCTAGGGGGCGGGGGGGCCGCTGCTGCGGTGGGCGAGTGGCGGGAGTGGCGGCCTTCTTCGGCGTGCCGGGGGTGGATTGTGAGGGCCCAGGTGAGGGCGTGTTCGTGCTCGGCGAGTCCTTCTTTGGGAGTGTGGGCCGGCTGGGCTTCGGGTGGAAGAGGCTCGCTGTGCCTTTCGCCATATCGTCTTTGTCTAGGGGCTCGAGTGGGATCGAGTGGCGCGCGAGAAAGCAAGAGTTATTTCGGGTATTTCAGATTCGTACAGATCGTCTAGTCACAGCGGAGGACGTTAGAGCAGTCGAGAGGGCCGGCGTAGACCAGGCTGAGGCTGGTCGGGGCGGGGTGGTGGTGGCAGAGAGTCAAGTGTGCGTACGGCTCCGCAACCGCCCGCGCTTACCGGTGCCGTATATGTACACTGGTGGCCACACTGTGGCCCATGCGTCGCTCAACGGCGATAAACAAGATCGCAAAATACAACAACGACAAGTGGCGTGTCTTATTCTCTTGTATTCGCTGTTGCCTGCGCTACGTCTCTCAGATGGTAGTGGAACAGGATGCAGTCCGTCTAGAAATATATGGATCGTCCGAAGCGCCAGGGTGGACCAATGTTATCGGAATACTTATGGAGTGGGGGAAGGGGGAATAATAGGCAGGTGCGACAACAACAACAACGACAGCTCCACGAGGGCAAACGGGACGTCTCTCCAGCTCTAGGTGTGATATTTCAGAACAAACGACGACATGGAGGATACACCATAAGTTATCACCTTGGGACAGACGACGGAAAGCCTCGATCCAGGGAGGGAAACAAGAAAACATATCGATACAGTTCGGGGTCCCGGCTGCGAACAGACCAAACCTCCTATGTCGGCGTATCCGTGCGTGCTGCTGCCGCAGGGGGCGCGTTGCCGTTAACGGTAGGCTGTTGGGGTTGCTGCTGGGGCGGGGCCGCACCAGGCGGATAGGCGTTCTGCGACGACCCAGGTCGAGACATAGGCTGTTGGGATTGTTGCTGAGAGGGAATTGGATGAGGGTGGTGCGGAGGGGGAGGCCCAGGTGGTCCCGGAGGGCCAGACGGATGTGTATGCGGCGGCGGAGGCTGGTGAGGAGGAACACCGGGTGCACCGTGTGGTGGGGGCGGATATGGAGGAACGCCAACTGGAGGGCCATGCGCGTAGACGACGGGATGGGGAGGAGCACCGGCGAATGGGGGCGGCATTCCCTGGCGATATCCTTCGAGCTCGTGCCGCAACAAGTCTATATCCCTGCCCATCTCCTGGTGGCTCTGCTTGAGGGTAACAATGAAGTCGATGGCTGCAGGACAGGTGCATGTAAGCATCGTTGGGCTACACACGCGAGCGTCCATTGCGCACCTTTGCTCAGTATCTCCCACTTGCTCGCTTTCATCCCCCTGTCTGCGGGCAGCTGATCTCGTAGTTCATCGAACAACTCTTTCATCTCCTTCCTCCGTTTGCGTTCGGCGAGTTTGTGCGACACCCGCAACTCGGGCGAACGCGAATACGGAGTCGAGCCCGACTTGTCGACGCCACGCGACGACGACGCATCCTCTGCATTTCCGCTTGAGCCGGGGGAAGCCTGGCCAGGATCGTTGGCTGCCGATGGGTCGGCAGTGCGAACGCGTGAGGGGGGACGCGAGCGAGAGCGGAGGGAGCGCGTCGGGCCCGTAGAGGGAGGAGCAGGAAGATTTTCTGCGGAAATGTTTGGCGCAGACATTCTGCGATCCTGGGCGAAGGTGACTGGAGGCATGATTTGTGTGAGCGAGTCGAAGGGATGGGGAGGGCCCTGCATATTAACGGCAGGCTCGTGCTGCATGGCGGGAGGGGTAGCCTGATCGGGAGGAACGTGAGGATTGGCAGGCCACGCGAAAGTTGCGATGCCGCCAGGAGGTCGGCCATGTGGCGAGTCGCCGGGAACTGCCGAGGCAGGCGTACTGAAGCCAGTCGTCAACGGCGTGTTCGTGAATGCAGACGCGGACGACACAGAATCTCGTCTGTCATTCGACCACCATGGTGACCCTGCCGCGGCCCGTCCATCTCCTGAACCTCGTCGGTCGTGCAGGCTCAGCGCAGCAATCCTCTGCGTGTCGATCGCTGATCCTCGCCGTTTGGGCGCTGGTTCCTCTGGTTCTCTCCCCTCCTGCCCAACTAATTGCGGATCGATGTCTGTAGGCCCGGGCGGATACACGCCTTTGTCTGACGACATCTTGCGCTTCGTGCCTTGAGGCAGGATGTGAGTAAGGGTCCGCAAACGGAAAAAGAGGATTGACAACCTGCTACCACAGACTGGCGGCGGCCGCTGTAGTCGACGTCTTCCATATCTCGAGCAGCGTGCTCCGGTCGCGTGTTGCCCTCTGCCCCCTGTCCATGCTGCTGCGCGTCCTCGTTCCGGTCGACATCCATCCGGTCGTTCCCCTTCGCCCTGTCTGGCAATGCACATAGAAAAGAACGACCCACATCAACGAGAATGTTCTTCTCCGTTCGTACTTCTCGCTACTCACCTTCGCTGCCGTTACGCTCCCTAGCTCCCGGCGTGCCGCCCTCGCGGCCGTTGTCGGCACCCGGGGCTTGGGTGGGCGTGCGTCTGTCTCCCATCTCAGCCGAAGGGGACCTCAGCAGGCGTCTAAGATGCGCGTTGGGACTCTCGCTCGGCTGTGCGGACGCGTCGCCGAACTTGAACGGGGACAAGGGCCGGGACTGGGAGATCGACCGCCTGTGCTCGTGGGAGGACGAGGGGAAGTTGGTCGCCGAGGAGTCCGGGCGGCGGAAGGAGGACGACATGGCAGGCGGTGCAGCCGCACCAGACGAGAAGGCAGGGGGAGTCGGGGCAGCGTGCAAGGAGGGGTCGGTGATGGAGCCCCGCCGTTGGTTTTGGAGAAATTCAAGAGGGGCAAGGGGAGTTACGGGGGTCTGTCGCGAGCTCATGGACGGAGACGACGTTTTGGGTTGGAAAGCGGTGCCTGCGGAGGTCGCATTAGGCGAATCTGCTGACATTTTGTGGCCTGAGCGGGCTGGGGAGCCGTCTGCAGACGTGGGGGACGTCGAGGACGTCGGACGACGGGCAGCGGGGGCGGGAACGGTGCGCGGCGCAGTGTCTAAGTACGATAATATGGACGTGCAGAGGCAAGAGCGCGTGGCTACCATTCTTGATAACCACGTGGGCCAAAACTACCGTCAACGCTCAAAACGGGTTACATTGCTTGATACCAATCACGTTCCCTCGCCCACCGCCCTCTCTGCCTCTGCTTCGACTCCGTGGAATTCGACTGCCATATCGACCATCGCCGCGCTCTCATGGCTACCCGAACGCGCAGCCTCCAGCTCCTGTCCACCGACCCATGCGACTCTCAGCCAGAACGCACCGCACCAAGACGGCGCCTCGACCCCTCCGAGGTCTGCGCGGCCCAGAGACGTCTCCACTGCTCGCGAGCGCAGGCGCGTACCGTCCTTGCGACTCGCCGGACTTATTGAGCGAAGCACAGGCAGTCCACATGGCTAGAAGCCGCAATCGCTCGGTGGATTTGGGCTCAGTTAGGCTATAGGCAGGTGCCCATGGGAGAGCCCGCCAAACTGCACCCCTCCAACCGTTCGTAGTAGAAACCGGGGCACCTGCCGACTGACAGTCTGTGTCAGCTTGTATGGAGACACAGGCGAAACGTGAGAGCGCTTGGCCCTTGGATGAGTTCAGTCACGTTTGAGTCATTTATGCCGCTCACTTCGTTGTGCCCATGGTACTCATCAGGTTGCACGGCGTCGTGCGTGTCTTCACGGAAGGTTGCTCGCAACGTCAGTGTCCTCGGCGACCCCTTGGTAAATATGGCACGAACGCTTCCGCAGAGGTACGGTTCCTCGGGTACGGCCCTGAACCTACCAGCGTCATGGAGAGAGTAATTATGGTGTTTGTCCTGACGGCGAATCCGGTACGAATTTGTTGCCGCTAATCGCAATGAGGTCATTCGCGGTAGAGATATGCCTAATGAAATATTCTGTTCGGTCTTCTCAGTCTAGAATTAGAGAAGCTGAGTTAGTTGGAACATACGTATGGACAACACTAGTACTCACAGGGAGACCTCGGATAATGGACGACCGCATGCTCTGGTTATGGGCGTTTATGAGGTTATAGGTTAATGCACGTGATCGCAATCCAAGAACGAATTTTCCTGCGGAGTGCGGTCGAGCCCATTCACAGTCCTCCAACTCGTCTTGTCGTAATCTCTCCTCGTCTACCACTCAATTGCCATGGCCAAGGACAAGTCAGAAAAGAAGAAGGAGAAGAAGACCAAGGAGGTCACGGAGACCGTCGAGGAGTCCATCGAGGTCAACGAGGACGTCGACATGGGCGATGCTGAGCTTGTGAAGGTATGTTGCATTCGTTTGAGGGAAGGGCGTATTTAACAGGTCTCGAAGGTCACGAGCAAGGTCAAAAAGGAGAAGGAGGAGATCACCATACCCCTAGAGGATCTCTCTCCCATTGCGCAGCCCCTTGCGCAGAAAAAGTTGCTGAAGAAGCTGCACAAGACTATCAAGAAGGGTGCGCGGTCCTGATCTTCTGCTCTGTTTCCCATGACTTACACGGTCGCCCTCTTAGCCTCAAAACAACGGCAGGTGAAGCGCGGTGTCAAGGAGGTCGTAAAGGCCATCCGGAAGGGAGAGAAGGGGTATGTTGCTCCCACAGCTTGTCTAAATGTTCGCGTCTGAACTTCGGCTTTACAGGCTCCTCATTCTCGCCGCCGACATTACACCCATCGACATCATCTCGCACCTACCGGTCATGGCGGAGGACGCGCAAATCCCCTACGTCTTCGTACCTTCGAAGGAGGAGCTCGGCCACGCGAGCGCGACGAAGCGGCCAACGAGCTGTGTGATGATCTGCCCCGACCAGAAAAAGAAGAAGGCGAAGACTGCAGAGGGGATTGAGGAGAAGGACGAGGACTACCGGGAGATGTACGACGAGAGCTGTAAGGAGGTGCAGCAGCTGGACCAGAAGCTCGTATTCTGAACATCGTCCTGTCCGCGCCGTCTCTCGCATCTAGTGTTGTCGCATCTGTACTTGTGCATTCCTCTCGTTCTATGTACTGTTTTCATAATCGCTATGCATTGCCATAATCCACTGAGCGGCGCGGGCGCGTACGGGGCGCGGGGAGCGCGCTCCCGGCTGCGTGATCGCGCCTGAAATCTCGAATCGAGGCTGCTGTCGCTCAGCCACGTCACGGCAGGCCCTCAATTCGCTGCACCCACCGCCTTCTCACGCCCACCACTTGCCTCTGCCCAACCGCCCCCTGTTCCCCACCCTCCGCCGCCGCCCACGCTCTACCGCAATGGCCCCCAAGTCCAAGCCCGCCGCGACGAACGGCGCCGCCAAAAAGCCCAAGTCCGCGACGCCCTCAGGCACCGCCAGCCCCGCGACCACCACCGTCGAGGTCCCGAAGGAGGAGGCCGTGTATGGCTCCGGGAAGCCTGATAAAGCGCTCTACGACGCGGAACAGAACAAAATCAAGGCCGAGATCGACGCCCTCCAGGTTAAGCTGGTGAGTGCGCTAGTAGCACTCGGCCCCGTGCCCCGAAGTTAATGGCCTTCGCCGGCACAGACCGCAGTGAAGGACAAGATCTCCCTCACGTCCAAGTCTGGCCCTGGTGGTGAGAAGCGGAACGCACTCAAAGCTGAGCTCGACGGCATTCGTGGCCAGCAGTCAACGAACAAGCTCTCGCGGGGCAAGGTCTTCGACCAGCTCAAGGCTCTTCAGGATGGTGTTCAGAAGAAGGTCGGTTACCATACCGTGTCATGTCCACCAACTCTATCTCACATTGAACGTTCCTTAGATTAAGGACCTCAATGCGGCTAGGGCTAAGATTCCGTACAAGACCGTTGCCGAAGTTGACGACCGGATCAGGTAGGCCTCCCATGCTTCAAGCTTTCATGTGGCATGCTCACGCACCTTGCAAGGCAACTGGAGCGGTCCGTCGAGTCCGGTAACCTGAAGCTCGTCGAAGAGAAGCGTGCGCTCCAGGAAATCAGCCAGTGGAAGCGTAGTCGGCGGATAGTCGAGGGCTTCCAGACCGAGCAGGAGACCATCGAGGCCGACCGCGCCAAGGCAGACGAGCTCCGCAAGCAGCTCGACGACCCCGAAGCGAAGGCGATCTCGGAGAGGTACGACACGATCCGCGCGGAGCTCGACGAGCTCAAGAAGGAGAGCGACGACGCGTACGCGAGCCGCAGCAAGCTGCTCGACGAGCGCACCGCGCTGCAGGGCCAGCTCGACGACCTGTACAACCGCAAGCGCGAGTCTGCGCAGCGCTACAAGGATGCGAATGACCGCTTCTACACGAAGCTCAATGAGGACCGTGCGCGGCGCGCAGAGCGGGCACGTGCCGAGCGTGCAGCCCACGAGGAGGAGAAGAAGAAGGAGATCGTGGAGCGTCTGCGCGAGGAGGCAGAGGTCCCCGCGTTCCAGGCGCAGATCGAGGACTGCCAAACGCTCATCGACTCCTTCTCTGGAAAGTCCTCCGGCTCGCTCTCCTCCCAGAAGCCGCTTCACGAGCGTGCGGACGTCGCCGGCGTGCCCAAGCTCGAGCTGCGCAAGGTTGAGGCAGCACTAGAGGGCGTCGTCGTTCGCAAGAAGAAGGGTGAGGACGACGACTCGTACTTCGTCGGCGGCGGTGGCAAGAAGAAGGGTGGAAAGAAGGGTGGCGCGAAGGTCCCCGCGCCAGCAGCGGAAAGCAACGGCGCAGAGCCCGCCGCCGCCACGCCCGGCGGACAATTGCACGTCCCCCTCCCCACGCTCACCGCCCTCCTCACGCTCTCAATACCCCCACCCACTTCGACCACCGACGTTCCCCGAGTCATCGAGGACCTCAAGACGAAGAAGGCGTGGTTCGAGGCCAACCAGGCTCGTGTCACCGCGGAGAACAAGGCGAAAGCGGAGGCCGAGATCCGCAAGCTCGTCGGCAAGTCCGCGGACAACGACAGCGCCCCCGCTCCCTCAGGCGACCTCGCTCCTCCTAATGGCGGCGCGGAGCACCCTGCTGAGCCCGCGCCAACCCCTGCCGCCGCAACACTGCCTTCCACTGGCGTCCCCGTGGAGCCTGTTGACCAAAAGCTAGAAAGTGTGCAGGAAGCAGCAGCAGTCGAGGCGTCATGATAGGGTCTACGGGCGATGGGGATGGGGGTTTGGGGCGATACTCGTTGGACTACTTATTCTGTAATCGTCGTTGCACATTTAGCGTACATTCTCCGCTCGCAATCGCATCCACTCGCGCTCACACCCACGGCCACGCCGCGTCAGTCGGAATCTCGTTAACGCGTTATCGCAATATTTGGGGTCCAGTACAGTTCCCTGGAGGAAAAGGTGGGGGATACATTCGTTCGAACGACAGGGGCAATAGCTACTAGCGAAGGGTAAAGGAGGGAGTACGTACGTCAATACAGCAGCGCAACAAAAGTCAATAATTAGAGACCGAAGAAAGCAGCAACAGACCGGCATTAGGTGGTATATACGTAAGCTAGATGTCCGCACAAGCCCCCACAACGACAATTCGACATAGACGACGACAGCAGCGGCGAGGGCAATAGTCAAGCCCGTCCCGCGTTTCATGACTCGGACTTCACGCTCTCCGCCTCGTGATCGGACTCGCCGCCAGCGGACGGCGGCGTGCCGCTCGTGCTGATCCCGAGGTCCTGCGGCGTGAACGCGGGCACGTCGAACGGGCCCGCGCCATAGTCCGGGAAAGACAGGCCCGAGGTGTGCACGGAGAGGTCGTCCTGCGAGGACGCGCCCTCGAGGTAGTGCAGCGACCCGAACGCGTCCGCCCCAAAGGACGTCGCGGCGGGGTCGAGCGTGCCGCTCGCGAACGAGTCCGCCTGCAGCGCGGCGAGCATGCTCGAGGTCGTCGGCGTGTGCGCCATCGGGGCCGTGGGCCGCACGTCGAGCGTATTCGGGAAGCTCTCCTGCCCCGCCATCGGTGAGAGCGTGAAGAACTGCTGGTGCATCACGGGCTCAACGGACGCGGCGACCGAGTTCGTGGACAGCGCGACGTTCCGGAGCACGTTCAGGGCGATCCAGTCACTGGGGAACACGGCAAGTCAGGATCGGCACACAAGCGTGTGGGAGAGCGGCGACGGGGACTTACTCCAAGAACAGCTTGAGGATCTGGAATGCGCCGAACGCAGGGTCGCTCCGGATAGTCTGTGCGACGCAAGGCATGATCAGCACGGCTGTCCGCCAACGCTTGACAGAAAGGCTCTCTTACGAGGTCGCGCATGACTTGACTGGTGACGTAGCCCCATCGAATTAGCACGCTCCGGGAGCTCATCGTCGTACGTTCCTCGGCACCTCCGCCACGGCCGCCCATGAGGCGTTCGCAGCACTTGTCTGCCCATGCCATGACGTCGCGCACGGGGTCTTGGCTCTTGGAGAGGCCGTCGAGCACTTGAACGAACTCGCCCTCGAGCAGCTGCACGAGGTCCTCGTGGCGGCAATTGCACACGAGCGCGGACTGGTTCCGTACGGACTCGAAGTCGATCTTCGCCCACGACCGCCGCATCTCGAGCAGCTGCTTCTGGTTCGTCAGGACCGTGTTGAGCGCCTGCGTGACCTGGTAGATGTCGAGGAAGCGCACTAAGGCCGCCTGCTCAGCGACCGCCACATGGATGTCAATAGGAGAAGCACGTCACTCACGGACGAGATGCCCGAACCGGGCGCCGAGCTCGACCTTGGGCTCTACGAAGGTGTTTCCATAGGAATCAAGGGCGACAAGCAGGATCTTCTCCATCTTGTCGGCGAGTTGACGCAAGCCCGCGAGAGACGCGGGCGAGATGGGGGAGAGCATCTGGGAGCGCAGCATCTCGAGGATTTCCTGAAACGATTGGTGAGCATCATCCTTCGCTGTCTGCTGCCGGGCGACTCACATCGTACACGATGGCATCCGCCTTGGCCATGAGACCCGCGACCGCCGGGGCGTGCACGACCTCGCGATGGGCGCCGGTGAGGCTTGACCAGAACGAGCGGAGGTGGAGCTCAAACTGGTCGAAGCGGTACCCGCGGATGCTCTCCAGCAACGCATCGAGATGGTCCTGGAACCACTGCCACACCTCGCGCGCGGCGATGCTCTGTGGCGTCGTAGAGTTCGCGCCCACCGCCTCGTCGATCGATGGGAAGTTCGGCAGCTGGCGCACGGAGCCTGCGGAGCTGCCGCCCGCGACGTTCACGGTCTGCACGCTCCCGGACGGTGAGGGGTGCGATGATACTGCAAGTCCCTCCTGGCCGGGGTGCCTCCGAATCGGGGCTTGGGCGGGGAAGGCGTTCGCCGGACGCTGGGTGGCCTGTGCCTGTGAGAGCAGCGTCGCGGCCGTCGGTGTCTTCTCGTCTGCGAAGATGGCCGAAGATTTCGAGCCGCTAGACAGGTTCAGGGAGTTGCGCTTTGATTGCGCGCCCGAACCGGGGCCCTCGGACTCGTCCTCATCGTCCTCGTCTGAGCCGCGGTTTTCCCCGTCACCCGCCATCCGGGCAGCGTTCACAGACTGCTGCGCAGCATTGTTGTTCGACTTCCGAATGTAGTCCTGGAGGAACTCCGCCTCTGCGGATGTCGCAGGTCGGATGCCGCAATCTGTCACGGGTGAAGCAGACCAAGTCAGCGTCAATCAGGCGCTGGCAGAATCATGATCGAAGGATGAGGGCAAAACACGCACAGTGGTACTTGCTGTTCCCTCGGACTCCCAGACGTCTTGTTTTGATTGTAGGGAAACATAGCCTGATCGCCTTTCCGAGCGTGGCGGTATTGATATGTGGGATCCCATACTGATCGCAGACCCGGCGGTAGGAAAAGTACAGACCCTGGCGCGGGACGTTTCCGTCCGGGTACGGAGAGTAGTTTGCCGTCAGCCTGGAACAAACAAGACGAGGGGGAGTTCGAGTGGGTCATGGGAAGGAAAGGAAGAGAGAGGAAAACAAGGATGAGCGCTTAGCGGAGGGGCTCACGATAACAAGAGATGTATGACATACCAGGCTTGCACGAAGATCTGCTTCGCCCTGTCGGACGCACTCGTCGTCGTCGCGGCACGGACATTGGCAGCAAGCTTTTCAAGCGCGTGGTCCGGGCTGAGGTTCATACGGCCAAAGGCATTGCCGTGCATTGACTCCGGGTTGGGGATCATCGTTTGCGGTGAGACGGCGTACATGGGGTGGTACTCGGGCCCTGCGGCTGCGAGGTACATGGAGATGTCCTCGGTCTCCGACGAGGAGGAGTGGACGGACTCGGCGTCGCGGGGGTAGGGGGACGCGGAGACGCGTGCGCGGATGTGGGTCTGGCGGAGGTGGCCCTTGAGGGCGGGGTTCGTGATGTTGTGGTTGGGCGGGGAGTCGGCTGGGGTGGCGAGGTCGAGGGAGTAGGCGGAGGAGAGGGAGACGTCGGAGGTGTTGCGGGCGTGGTCGAAGGAGGTGGTGGTGTGGAAAGAAGCGCGGTAGAGGTCTTCTGCGGACGGGGGGAGGCCGGCCGACGTGCGCAGAACGGGGACGCCCTGGGAAGACTGGGGCCGCGAGCCGGGGGAGTGCGAGGAGGAGGAGGAGACGGAGTTCGAGCGAGAGTGGAGGTGGGCAGACGGGAGGAAGTCAAAGGGGACGTTTGCAGACATCATCTGGAGGTTCACGGCCGCCATGCAGATAAGTAGAGATAGATAGTTCGGGGTCCGTGCTTGCGCTCACGCCAGGGCTAGCAGGGAGTGGTGCGGGTCGAGCAGCGGGCGCGGTGGCGTGTGTGCTGAGCAGAGGGAGGTAAGGACAGTGGACGTGGATTGCAGAGATCCTGGAATGAAGCTGAAGCGGCCCAGCCGTGCGCGAAGTGAAAGAGATGAGGGAGTGGAAGAGAGAAGAGCAGCTGGGAGAACAGCTAAAGGTGCGAACGGAGGGCTCGCCAGAGGGGTGTAAAAAGGGCGTCGAGGCACGGCAGAGGATGATGCCCTGGGAGATGAGCTGATGCTATCGCCTTGGCCTCGGAGAGGAGTGTTGGACGGAGAAGGCGAAGCGCAGGAGAGGCAGACCCCGAGACCTCTGTCGCTGCGCGGTATAAACAAACAAGGAGGAGAATATACGGTCGCCCGACACGGCGGAAGGAGTGGAAAGTTCAGATGGCAAGAAATGCGGATGGACAACGTTGTCGGTGGTCAAGGCAACTCGAGGGAGACCCAGCGCAGACGCCCCTCCCAGACGCCCTGCCTCCTCCCCGGCCCCGGCCCCCCCACGGCCCCAGCGTTCCTGGCCTCCTCCGCGCTCCCACAGCCCGCCCTCCGCACACGCTCCGATCTCATCACTCTGATCCGCCGCAGGAACACACCACGCTGTTCATCCACCATCTGTCGCACCGCTACATACAACTCGCGACCTACGTCGCCTCGTCCGCCCCCATGTACATGAACCGCCGGAACCGCTGCCGCAGCTGCTTCGCCTTCGACCGTCCCAGCCGCTGCCCCAGCGCCGTCCACGACGGTATCGTCAGGTCCTCCAGCCCGTACGGCGCGAACTTCTTCGACTTTCCGATCGTGCTGTTCCGAAGCAGGCGCGGCAGGTGTCGCCGCGGGATCGGATGCCAGAACTTGGCTCCCTTCTTCTCCTTCCCCTTGCCCTCGCTTGCCTCTGCGCTGTCACTCGCTGGCTCGGCCGTGTCAGTGGCGTCCGCGGCCCCCTCCGCTTCGGGTGGGTGCAGCGCCGCGACCGGGAACGTCAGGTACTCGAGTTTGAATTTCGGCGGATGCCTCTCGTCGGCGCCGTCCATTCCGCGCAGCGTATACTGCGGCAGGATCGAATATATCAGCCAAATCCGGGCGGTGCCCGCACCCACACCACACAGATGCGCCTCCACCGAAACACACACCTGAGCATAGCCGAGGGGCGTCCAGAGCCTATTCGTGCGTGAGGGCGATTCGGCGTTCGAGTGCCACGGCTGCTCGAGGTTGCACCGCCAGGTATTCTCGTACGCCTTCTCCGCGCACAGCGCGCCGACGCGCGACTTCAGCGACGCAGACGACCCCCCTGGTTGCCCCGTCGCGTTCCCGAGCTGCCCGGCCGTGTACAGCGAGCCCGTGGTGTTGTACGCGTAGATGCGGAACGAGGGCAGGTACGTCGGGACCACCGAAGGCGCGACGTTGACTACTGCATAGTTGTCATGGTTCAGGCCCTGCGCACCTGGGAGGTCGGCAAACTCCTGCAGCAACAGCTTGTATAGCTCCTTCTTGCTGTGCTTCAGCGTGGAGGGCGCGTCGCCTGCCGCGAGTGACGTGTCGCGACTTCGCGAGTCATTGCCTAGCTGCTCTGCATCCACGAGAAAAAACTGTGGCGACGCTCAGCAAGCCGGGATCTTCGAGAACAGTTCGCATCGTACTTACGTGATCCATGTTCATATGCTGTACGCCGGCACCGCTTCCAGATGAGTGTGGCTCGGAGGGTGAAGCGTCGCGGAACTCACCCCATAGACGTGCCCCAGAATAGTGTCCTGGTACCGGAGGGAAAGCTCGAGGTATCGAACGTACTAATCGAAGTCAGCGTTGCGCCCTTCATTACGCTGTCGCGAGCCGAAACACACTAACGCATTCAGAGTAGAAGTTGCGGGAGGAGGGCGGGACGTGGCCGGACAGCCAAACCTACGGATAACGTCAATTATGCAGCAGCCAATCGGAGGGCGCGTCGGACCTGCATCCCCCGCTCGCGGAACATCTGCAGCTGCACGTCGAGCCAGTCGAGTTGGAGGTTCCCGGGGTCTTGTGGTTCGGACCGCGCACATCCTCCCACAGCTGCCCGGTCGCCATGGCGATGGCTCGTCAATAACGGAGAACTGGTCCATTACGGCGGTAGAAGCGCACCTGTGTTTGAATCGTAGAAGTACATAGTGTTCAGGCTGATGACCGCCACCGAGTCTGGGATCACCTCCACGGAGAAGTAGCCGCCACGTTGGAACACCTGATACGACGGAAACGGCACAAAGGCCCGCCATATCCTGGAAGGTCTCGCCATGAGAATATACTTGGACGGGGCTGCCGCGCGGCACTCACGAGGTGAACTCGGCGGTTATACTGTTTGGACCTGACACACGTGAGCTCCGTATTCCTACTAGAAGTCGGAGGACTGCTCTCACCTGGTAGCATGATATTCTACAGGCCGCGTCCACGCGCATTTAGCCCCAGGATGTCTCTTCCGTGTTACTCGGTGTACTCACATGTGCTGTGAACAAGCAAAAAAGTCAATGTAGCGCGCGCAGACGAAAATGGGTGGACCTACGCCATACATCGTTATTGCCTGTGAGAGCGCACCCACGCTGTTAGCAGACGCAATATGGAGGAACTTCCGCGCAGAAGGAGACGCGCACCTATGCTCGGCACGACAGGGATGCCTTTGCGGACGAAGACGTGTTCCATTTTCTTCGCCATGGCGCGGTTGAGGTCGTATATCTCCGCCGTGGTACGCGGATGCCGACGGTCGTTGTCATGTCTGGCGGGGGCCCGTCAGACAGCGCACCGCGGTTCCCTGCTCACGAATGTTCACGGTACCTCGCACTATCTCCTGTCCCTACGCGACAGGCGTAAGCAATCGAAGCACACCAAGGCGGAGGACTTCACCGCCCGAGGGTAAGTAGGACATTTACATATCACGAAGTCTATTTCGTCCGCCCATTCTCTATCTAGAAAGTCCAAGGTGTGGTTCGTGAGCGAGAACGGCGCATCGCAGTCGCTGTAAGAAGTCGTCAGCGTGACCCCGTTTGCAAAGTCCCAATCTGTCTTGTTTTTCCTCGCGGCGCCTTTGACCTAATCGAGCTACTTCACAGCGCGCGTTCTTGCAAGAACTGGTGACATCCACAGCGAAGCCGAATGAGCTGCACGCAAGGTGTGGGCAACCCAGACGTGCGTGAGCCAGAACCTCATTCTTTGGCTGGATTTGACAGCAGCTGGGATTAACCCGAGAGCCAGCTCCCTGGCCTTCAGGCAAGGATCGGCATGGGTGCGTTCCTGCGAACCGAGAATTCCATGCGAGTCCTTCGCAACCCGCGCGCTCGCTGGTGAAGCTTCCAACCAAGCACTTTCGGAATGCGCTGATCCCGACCCGACCTGAGGTCATTTGGGGTGTGATCCACGTCTGAGTCACGGCAAACAAAGGCCAAAACCGACATGCCACTATAGCCATGCGATAGCCAAAACAGGCGTTAAACTATCGCATCCTCTTCAGCCTTTTATTCAGGCTATACCCCGACTATAGCGCCTGGGGGCTTCCGCATCTTGCCTGCCGTGTCTTACACAATGTGTAGGACAGCCCAAGACGGTAATGCAGCCCATTCAAAGACTGCATTACAGCCCTTATGACCGTCCACTCCCTGCATAATACAAACAGACGCGGCAAGGAAGCTTAAGACAGCTGGGGATTATTGCTGCACCACCACCAATTGCACGCGCACCTGAACGGCAAGCCGTAGTAGCCTGCGACTCTCTTCCCCTCCTTGGGCTTTCCGCGGTGGCACGCCTTCTTCTCGGACGAATCGACGCGATAGTACGGGTCCGGGTGGATGTCTGTGATGTGCAGAAAGCGACCCTGGAGCTTGCGCCGTGGTTCTGGACGGATGCGCGAGCGGACCACAGTCAGACGACCTGCCCTGCAGGCGAGCACGCGACCCAGCGATAGCGGTAGCGACGTACTGGCAGCGTGTATCTCCGGAGATACCTCGAAGGGCGTTTGCGCGGGTATTGACACGCTTTCGCGTACACAGACCAGCAGAACGAGGAGGAGGGCCTTGAGCTCTAGCATGGCGGCGGCGGACAAGAGAGTTCAAGGAGCGCCTGGCGAGAGAGCGATTAACCTGAGCGGTACACAAAAGGAAAGCTGTAGAGTAGCTCTAATTGGGGACCATGATGGGCAGAGGCAGCAGGCGATGCGGGGTTTGCAGGGGTGCGCACGTTCGTCGTCGGAGTCCGCTGTATGAGACTCCACACGGTCTGTCCAAGAAAGCGCGGGCGCACATCCTTCTCGGCGAGTCCCGAAGACGTCACGCTTCCCCTTCTCGCTTAGCTCAGGGTCCAGTCGCGTCGACGCGTCTCGCGTACGACGCGCATATACCCACCCTATGGCTTAAAACGAACCAAGTACTGAAAGCCCTTGAGAGACGAAAGTGCCATTGAACAATGAGACTAGCGCTATATATCCGACTGTACTCGGATATCGTTCGATACGGACCCTAGCGGACTCACATTGGGCCGGTTTGGTGTGTTTGAACCACATCGTATCATTTCTTGGGCGACGCACGTAGCCGAGGCAGATATGGCAAGAAAATGTGCAAATAGCATTACAAGTAGAGTCGCGGCAAAGTCTCATGTACATATACAGATTACACACCGAGCCGGCGTAGTGTACTCGTTCGAGTTGCGGATGATGGTACAGTTGCAGGACAGAACAGCAAGGAAGAATCACAAAGCAGGGACAACAACAGACCAGGCGCGCCCAAACGCACTACTTGATCCTGATAGAACGCGTGGACGACCCCAGCTTAGGGGAGCGCGTCTCCTGCCGCGGGGCGTGCATCGCGAGGAGGAAGGAGGCGTTGTCGTTCTCCTTGAGCACCTTGTTGATGGACAGTTCAACGAGGTGACACATCTGATATCAAGGATAGGTCAGATAGACTGGCGGAGATAGCATGGGGGTGGAACTCACCCTGACATAGCCGCCTCGCTCGAGCGCGGAACGCGACTTCGCCACTGTGTTGTGGATGCCGTCGTACGCGTATCTCCGGCTGCGATATCACGGGCATGAGTAAGTGGCGCACAGCGGCGGAAGAGCGTAGTACGTACAGGACGCCCTCCAGGTCGACAAACGAGCGCGGCACCAGGTACAGATCCCGACCGCTGAGATATCTTTGGAACGCCTGGTAGGTGGCGCATGCGGCGGTAACGGTCTCGTCGAGGCTCGGGTGATCCTGGTCCCAGGTGAACCAGTTTTCGCTGCAGGACGCGGACGACTTAGTGGACGAACAATGCCTCTTCCAGAGAGCGGACGTACGTGAGGCGTGTATGGGCCTGTGCTTCAGCGCTCTGGGGTGCGAAGAGGCGGTCCATCATTGGGAGGGTTGACTGGAGTGGGAGGTGGTATACGAGAAGGGGGCGACGGGAGAAGGGGCGATGGTTGGAGTGGGAGTGGTTGAGGAGTGGTCTCGTCGAGGTGAGCCTTTATGGACCCGCAGGAAGGTTGCTAATATAAGTTATGACAAAGGCGGCGTCTGTCGGAGAGAGCCTGAGCGCAGTGAGAGAGCGGTGCGAGGACAAACGTGAAGATTGGGTTTGGGATGAGTTGGTTGAGAGAAGAGTCATTCTCAGCCACTCGCCAAGAATTGTTATATAGGTAGCCTTCGCACGTTCGTGCCGATGAGATTCATCTCATCCGCTTACATCCGCTCCATTTGCTCCGCCACCCTTTCTCGGGCGATTCTATTGTCCGCACTAGTCTCAAAGCTCCCCGGTCGTTCGAACGCACAATGCCTGGTACTGTCTGGTATAAGCGTAAATTTTATACACACAAAAAGTGTGCTACACTGACTTTTTTGCGGCCAAGTCTTGTTATCGGCCGACAGATGGTACGAGATGGCGTGGGAGATCGCCCAGCCAGGGAGGCTGTGATTGGCGGACCACTCTTATCGCTAGTCGGACATTGGCGCCGCGGAGTCCGCCGATGGAGTCTTAGCGGGGATAAGCGCTCGTAAGCGGGGATGTAATGGGAAATGACAGCTCCTTGCGGGCCCGCTTCTGGGCGAAGCGAGCGGGACGCCCGTGCGGGGCGGCTCTTGTCCAACGACCGCGACTCCTTGGCTCACCGTCGCCATCGTCGCAAGTGTTCCCAGAACTGTTCGCAGCCCTTGGCTCTCTCAACCCGATCCTGTTGGTTCACTTTGACTGCGCAACGCGTTCTTGGCAGACATATCCGCCGCGCTTCTCCCATCCCCGATACTCGCCAAGTTCACAGCCCAACTACAACTCAACCGTTCGGTCTGCCACGCCTGTCTGCTCCGGACGAGACTTCCGTCATCGCAGCCTTCTGCGACGCTCGGGGAACCCTCTTTCTCAGGAAACCCGGTCCACAGCAACCACCTTCACAGACTACCCCTTACCACCTGACACGGACCTTAACACGAAATGGCACTCTACACCCCAAGTTCCCCGGAGTCCGCACGGGTGTCCACCTTCAGGGCGCGCATTAACGCCGCCCATGGCCTATCGCTAAGTACCTACCACGAACTGTACAAGTGGTCTACCGAAAACATCGACCTGTTCTGGAGCGCGGTTTGGGATGATACAGGGATCGTCGGCCACAAGGGCGGTCACGTCGTGGACCGCGAAGCGCAGCCCCCTGAGAACCCTGCATGGTTCACGGAGGCGCAAGTGAATTATGCTGAGAACATGCTGAGGTGCCGCTCGCCCGACAAGACCGCACTCGTACAGGCCAGTATGTTCTCGTTCCTACTACACACGTTCGTTTAAGCTCGCGGATGCCTGACCTTCCCTCAGTCGAGCCGGAGCCGAACCACCCCAATCCCGAGTTCCGTCGGGTCTCGTACGCGGAGCTCTACGCGCTCGTATCGGACATCGTGTCGGCCTTCCTCGCGCACGGATTGAAGCCGGGAGATCGCGTCGCGTCATACTCATCCAACTGTATTGTACGTACCTGCACAACCATGCTTCTAACGCCTATGTGGCTTCGTTAGCTATCGTATACAGGAAACCTATCGGACCGCGCAGTCTATTCTTGCAAACTCTGCAAATCACCGCGCTCGCCCGTACCTTGGAGTCATTACTGACGTACCTTTGCAGGAGAACGTTGCAGCATGTCTCGCCTGCGCCGCTATCGGTAGGTATAGTCTATCATTGGACTCTGACACGTTTGAACATGACTCCGCACAGGTTGCATCTGGGTCAGCGCCGCCGCTGACTTTGGCGCTGAGGGTGTGTTCGAGAGGTGGGTCTATGCACTGCGGCTCGTGCGTTGCGGCTCGTGCGTTCACTTACGTCCCGAGCTCAACAGGCTGGAGCAAGTCCAACCGCGCATAATCATCTCCGTCGATGCTGTGGTGTTCGTCTCATCTTCTCGTCTGCTTGGCTGTCTCGATTGACAAGCCTCAACAGATACAATGCCAAGGTTCACGCACATCTGCCCAAGCTCAGAACTCTCCTGGCCAAGCTGTCAGACAGGGCTCAGCTTCGCCCCGAGGTCGTGATCATCCGACACCCGTTCGACGCCAGCCGTCGCGAGGACTGGGATCCGAGCTGGATCGACTGGACGGACCTCGCAGCCGAGGGCCAAGCGAAGAAGCTAGGCCGTACAGCTGACGGCGAGATAGAGTGGCGGCGCCTCGACTTCAACTGGCCGCTGTGGATACTGTTTAGCTCGGGGACCACAGGTGCGTCCCGTGCTCTATCCTGAGGCTTCCTACGAACCTCCCGGGATCCGTCCCGCACTGTGTGAAGGTCGACCGAAGTAAGGTTAGTTCCCCATTTCGAGAGGAGGGTGCTCACATTTGGTGCAGACCGATCGTCCACCGCGCTGGTGGGATGCTGATACAGGCGAAGAAAGAATTCGTTATATGCGCCGACCTGCAGCCAGATGACGTGTTCTTCTACTATACCACCACGTTAGCGGAGTTATTTCTGCTCACTGCGGCTTCTACTCATGCGTCGGCCATGCAGAGGGTGGATGATGTGGAACTTCCTTGTTAGCGGGCTAACCATAGGCTGCACGGTCGTCTTATACGACGGCAGCCCGCTGCACGACCCTGCCTACCTGTGGCGCCTCGTGGACGAGCTAGGAATAACGATCTTCGGAACGAGCGCGAAGTACATCGATCAGCTGGCGGTACGTTTCCCATGAGCCCTGCAGCGCTGTTCATTAACCTTGTCTGCGCTGTATTGCTGCGTGACTGACTGCGTGCTTCTCTGCAGAAAGTGTATAAACCTGCGGCGCACCACAGACTGTCAACTCTCCGGCACATTTACTCCACAGGCTCGCCCCTGGCGCCCCACCTGTTCGACTTCGTGTACGAACACATCCGCCGCGACGTCCTTCTCGGGTCCATAACCGGTAGGCGGTTCTATATACAGACGGATTCGACGTGCACCAGCTGACCGGCACAGGGGGCACGGACATTTGCTCGCTCTTCGCGGGGATGTGCTCGGCGCTGCCCGTGTTCCGCGGCGAAATCCAGTGTCGGCTGCTCGGGATGGCCGTCGAAGCGTTCACGCCTACTGGTGCCGCGGCGGGGGCAGACGAGCCGGGAGAACTTGTCTGCCTGAAGCCGTTCCCGTGCATGCCGGCGGGCTTCTGGCCGCTTGCAGGGTACGGGAGTTCCGAGGCGGTGGAAGCCGCGTCGAAGCGCTACCAGGACGCGTACTTCTCCGAGTTCAAGGGCGTCTGGTGTAAGTAATGCTGGAGTTCGCGCGATGCGGCGGCTGAGCTGACGGGCGGCAGACCACGGCGACCACATCATCATCACGCACTCGCAGGCAGGGAACGGTGGTGGACTGATTATGCTTGGGCGGAGCGACGGTGTTCTGTGCGTGACCTCCCAGCTCTCCGGATATGCGCGCGCTCTCACCTCCCTTCCCCGCGCGCCTCGCCCTGGATGTCGACCGTAACGCTCGTCGGACACGCCCATCAGGAATCCTGGAGGGGTGCGCTTCGGGTCAGCTGAGATATACGACGTGATCGAGCACTGTTTCCCGCCCGCCACCACGCACGCGGCGCACACCATCGTTGACTGCCTCGTCGTGGGGCAGAGCATCGCGCACGGGTCGGACGAACGCGTGGTGTTGTTCGTGAAGCTCCTCGAAGGACAGGTGCTCACGGCCGAGCTGCAGGCGCGGATCAAGGCCGAAGTGCGGGCGCGACGGAGCGCGCGCCATGTCCCCGCTCGGGTAAGCACAATGGCTGTCTCTAGGCGCTGAGCGATATCTCGCAACTGCGCGCATCTTCACGGCTGCGCGCGCGCATGGGCCAGTGGTGGTGGGGAGCCCTGGCCGTGGATCGCGCGCCGCGAAGCCCTGCAACGTTGTTCGGTCGTGGCCGCGGCTGAGCGTGCTGTGCAGATCCTGCAGGTCGACGACGTACCGTACACGGTGAACATGAAGCGCGTGGAAGTGCCTGTGAAAAAGGTAAGTCGGCGTGGTGGGTCGTGGGCGAGCCGGGGGCTCGGCGGGGAAACGTGGACGCTGAGGGGACCGGGTGACCAGATCATCAACGGCGCGCCGCTGAGCAGCGTTAATCCGGCGACCCTGCGAAACCCAGAATGCCTGGCGGCGTATGAGGCGATTGGGGTGCGGCTGCGGGGAGAAGTCGCTTGAGAAGGTGTTGCTGTAGGGTGTGATATCTGGATGGATATATGTGCTACGGGTAGGAACGAACAGCGGCCGAGGGTGCCATTGAATCAATGTCGCGGTATCCCATATGCCGATAGCTGCGACAGTAGCGGGAGAAGTGGCTGCACGCAGCATCGGACATTGCACGAAGACGAGGGAGGAGGCCGGGATGCGGGGATGTGCCCCGCTCCGAGAAGAGGACACCGGGCCGATCGATCTGGACCTGCTTGCTGTGCTGATGGGGCTGCCACATATGGGAGGATGCGGGCGCCTGTGCGATATTGACTTTGGAGTGGCTGCCTCGAGGCGTCGGGTTTTCCATCACGCACCCTTCCTTTGCAGACCTTCGGACACAAACAATGGGAAAATTTGGGGCCCGCGCATCCCTAAAGGTCGCGGCCTCCCCTCCGTGCCTTGCTCCGAGCCTCCAGCTTCTGGTCGTCTCCCCCCCTCCCGCCCGACACGACCACAGCAGGCCCCCGCCTCGGCCGCTCACGTTCACGAGCACCCCGACGACGGACGACACGACCGGACACGCTGCGTGACATAGGCCACGGACACTGCACGCACACGCACGCCATCACGCGCACGCCCGCTTACGCTCTCAAAGCGTCGCCGCCCCGAAGCCTCGTTGCTTTCATCGCACACCGCTTTGCCCGGCAGCACCCTGTCTAAGCACCCATCGCCATGTCCCCTTCAAATACCAGAGAGCAGAGCAGGACCCGGGGCCAGTCTCGATCCCGTTCCAACAACGACAAGCCCTCCAAGTCTTCCGCTAGCCGGTCTTGCTTTACTTCTCTTCTGCCCCGCATGCCTCCCGTCTTCAACATCATCAGGGCGGGTGTGTACTGTGAGTACTCCACCCTTACGCTCCAGCGAGACACCACTGATGCAGGCTCCACGACGTAGTGGCGGTTCTGGTGTGGACCATCGTTTGCTTAGCCATCGCGGCGCACTTCCAGAGCATCTTGGTGTCCTCTGACCTCAGTGAGTAATCATCTCGGTGCTGTGGTACAGCAAAGCCTGACTGCAGCTGCAGCTCGTTTCGTGCCCTTCGCTATCTTCGTTTGTGCTGCGAGCCTTCTCATCTTTATTGCACTGTACGTTAACGTCAAATCCATCTACCCGAACGCAATGCTGATGATAGCACAGTCTCGCTTTCGGACTATGGAGGGAAAGGAACCCCATATCCACGCGGGTTGAGCTGGGATGTCTCGGTCTCGCCGGCACTCTGTGGCTAGGTGAGTTCCTGTCTCGTTTTGGCGTCCGGCGGCGTTCCTGACATCGGGATATTTACAGCGCTCGGCGCATTCGTCGCTTCCTCCGACTCGGAGATGGCAGACGTGGAGTGTTTCTCCTCTGCTGACACGGACAGCGAGCCCATCGAACTGCCCGGATGTGAGTGTTCCTGTCCGTCTTTGCTCCGGCGCACTGTTGACACGCCTCGCCCTAGTCAACACGGAGACCTACCACGCTCAATACCATGTCCTGGAGGCCTTCTCCTTCTTCAACATGATTCTTAGTGCGTTTTCATCTCCCTTGAACCTTATTGTGCGCTTCGCTGACAGGGACGATCCACAGTTTTTGGTTTCCTTCTCTTATTATTGGTGCTCGCCATTCGCCAGAGCCGTGCCGGATCGAAACACGTCTGGGTTCAGCCGGTGTCTATGATCGCCTGGTTCGGCCCGGCGGGTCGCCCCCAGGGCAAGCTTCCCGCGCCCGTCACCCAACGCTCGCGCTCGCAGTCCAGGCGGCCCACCATGGCCGAGAAGCCCCGTACCCGCTCGCAGTCCCGCCCCGCCGACGTGCGCCGCAACGACTCCCAGCGCGCGCTCCTCCGCGACGACTCGTACCGCACCATGGACTCCCATCGTACCGGCCGCAGCGACCTCAAGCGCGAGGACTCCAGCCGTACCGTCGTCGGTGTCCCTGAGCTCCGGAGGGAGGACTCCCGCCGTAATGCCGGTCGCCCTGACCTACGCCGTGATGCTTCGAGCCGCACGACCCCTGGCGCGGACGTCCGTCGTGGGGACTCTAGGCGCACGGATCCTGGTGCGGACGTGCGCCGCGGCGACTCGCGGCGGACGGACCCCGGCTTGCGGCGGGACGACTCGCGTCGGACGAACCCTGGAGAGCCGCGGCGGCTGCCGCAGCGCACCGGGGAGCCGACGCGCAACGAGACGGCGACGCATGTATATTGGATGCCGTACAACCGGCCTGAGGAGGCGCATGTGCGCGACACTCAGCAGACACGACCGCCCGCGCGCGACAACAGGTTGGGTTCCACACCCCGGCGGTGATACGGGACTTGGGGCGCACGGGCGATGATTATTATTTACGACATTATAGACAAGACGGCGTCTGGGCCGCACGCACAACACACTGATGTATCTGCTTAGGGCTCTTCACGTTGTACCACTACATATCAGGCATATATCGGGATGTATTACATTGGAATTCACGAGGTGTGCATAAGGCTGCGTAAGGGGGCGGGGAGTGCACGCTGCACGGTGAGACAGTGCGAAGGCGTCGGTGGGAGTCGGTGGCCGACGGAAGTTTGGGGTGTGTATCCGGGGCAGGGATGTCGGTGGAACAACACGAGGATGCCTGCAGGCAGGGGCGCAGTCGACCGAATCAGACGGCGCCCTGGGCGCGGAGGAGGGCGGAGAGCGGAGCGCGGTCGGACATCAGGAGACGCGGGCACGTGTATGGCGCGTCTGGGTCACGTGCGCGAGGGAAATGAACACCCGTCGCCTGCGCTGCCCGACCTCGCGGCTTTGCACTCGACGCGGTACGTCACTTTGAGCAGACTTCTCCCAGCGCTGCTCGCCCGATCCGAGTCTCCCCTCTGCCCTCTCCTGTACATCCTCCTCCACGATCTTACGACCCGCCGACGACTGTGGACATCTCGCTTGCTCCTGCACTCCGCTCATCGCGATACCTCACTCTAGTCCAACGCCCCACAACTACGCACTAGGTCCGCATTTCATCCGGATGCCCACTCCCTCGGAGGTCTCCACGATGACCGCGCTGACGCACAGAAACATACAGGATGACGCAGCTCTTCAGAGCGATGCGCCTCTACGGCCATGGTGAGCACCTCAATCTTCCCAGGGCATCTACTCCGCAACCCGGGGGCTGATCACGCCTCTAGTCGCGCTGCTCCTCCTCACGGCTACCGTGCTGGGTATCGCAGCCTACTGGGCGAGCATTTTCTTGCCCAACATACGACGTGCGTACTGCTGCAAGTTAACGTTGTCTCCATGCTCATACTGTCTGCTCTTAGATGACTTCTCGATTTTCTCCCTCATTGTTCCTGCGTTGACCATTGTACTATTACTGGTCGGGTACGTGGTTGCACAAACGTCGCAGAGATATCGTCTCACCACGTTCACCCGTAGACTTCAATGGTCGACCCCTCGGACAGAGGCGGTCTTCCTCTTCGTCCTCGGCGTGCTCTGGCTCGGTATGTCAATCAAACTTTCTGGTGTGCTAAAACCATAACACGAAATCTTTCTCGCAGCTGAGGCGGCCTGGACCACGTACGCGAATCTCCTCCTCATGCAACTACAAATGCTCACCCTACATCCTCACACAGCGATATCATCGGAAACCAGCAATGCGACGCGCTCACTACCCAGACCGTCCCCACCAGAAGCGGGAGCCGTGAGTCCGAGTCCACGCCCGCGTGCCCCCGAGTTAATGTTTCGCAGTTTCCGCAAAGAGCTGGTGCTACGAGATGCGTGTCGTACAGGCTTTCTCATGGATGATCTTCTGCCTCTGTGCGTGCCCGCCACACCTCCCCTCTTTCCCCTGCCGCCCGCTGATGTCCCCCCTCCCGGGCTTCCCTAGACGCAATCTTCCTCTGGATCCTGATCTCGCTCACCACGCGCGCCAAGGCGCTCGGACGCCCCTTCGCATGGGGCGAGCCCATCATCGAGCTGCCCTGGTTCGGCCAGTGGCCGGGGTACCCCGAGGGCGGCCAGTTCCAACAGGGCATGATGTACCCGCAGCAGTACGGGTACCCGGGCATGGGCATGCAGCCGATGGGCGCGTACGGCCCGCAGATGGCGCCTGGGTATGTCGTCCAGCAGACCCCTGGTCACTCGGTAGTGATTCAGCCCGGGATGAACGGGCAGCCCCCGACTGTGACCCAGATCCCCGGCACGGTCTCCTCCATGTGAGGAGGCGCCCCTACGGACGGCGGCGGATGGGACAACAATGCTCTATCTTCACGACTACCCATCCACAAATTCAAAAACGGACATGAAATTACGAAGAGAAGGGGAGAAGCTGGTGCTTCGGAGCGTGCTGCTCTGGACGGGAAGGGGGCCGACGGTGAGGCGCTTGCGATGCGCATGGCCGACACGTTGTTCTACTGTACATACTTGCTCACTGCTACGATTATCGAAATGGAGGTCTCTTTGTCTATCACGGAGCTCTGCGTGCGCAAATCAGCCAGGACGCCGTACCTCGACACGCGGCTGCAGGACGGAAGCGGGCGCATGTGCGCATGATTCAATGTTGCAGCTCCCTCACCCCAGATGCGTTCGCCGTCGCAGCCTTCGCTAGCGTTCGTTACGTCTGTGCGGCCCCTAGGTACGGACGTCTGTGTTCCTGCGCTCGCATCGCCCGCGCGCTATGATCAGCACGTTCGCGGGCAGGTTGAATGCGCCGCGCGATCGCAGAAACCGCGTGGGGTGCACATCCCCGCGCCAGGCGCAGAACGCGTGTACTCCGCGCGGGCGATTCCAGAGGGCGGTATGTAGACTGCGCAGCGATTGCACTGGCAATGACTCCACACCGAGAGCACACCAGACATCTCGCAGCAAGTCTGATACACCGCATACCCTTGGGAATCCTTGCACGAACAACCCAAGAATCACTACCAATACGTATACCATCAGCATTTTGGATCGGAATGCCGCGCCTTTTTGAAGGTCGGGAACGTCGCGCAGGGGCGTATGGTGCGTATAGTCGCTGATGATTATGACCTCAACGAGAGTGCGGTCGGTTCTAACGGCCTGGCTGTGGTCTTTCGCAGCGCTGGGGGCGGCAGTAATTGCGCATCTCGCGATGCGGCTCGTACCGCACTCGACGCGTGAGTGCTCCTTGCGGCCGTAGTAAAGGGTTGGGGGCGTGTACCGACCTGGAGGCTTACAGAGGTGTTCAGCCTGATGCAAACGTCGGTGGCCATTCTCGCCATCGCCTCGCTCGGCCTGATGTGAGTGGTCGTTTCCTTTGTGGGACATGGTGCTCACCATACGCAAATATATCTGGGCAGGGTCGTGACGCACCACAGGAGACATGGCGAGCTCCTTACGCATACGCAGGAGGAGGCGGTCCTGCTCGTCGCCTTCGGACTGATGTGGTTCGGTACGTCACTTCCGTCCGTGCAGATCAGTATAGAGCTCACCGACCATGCAATGGTGCAGCGTTGTTGATTGGATGGCGCGCGCTACAGCGCGGCTCGGACTCCGGGGTAGGCACAGGAGGTGAGCTTTCGCGCGCGTCGCAAGCAGGACGCGGTCGTAACACGGCCCATCAAGGCGTCGGAGGAAGGCCGTACCCGTGCTCGAGCGATTCTGTGTACTGTGTGGTGGAAGAGTGGACGTACTGGTAAGACTGTATCGACATAATGGGCCTGCTGTATTCTCGAACGCGACCCCGCTGAGCGCGGGTAGCACTGTATTCTATTGGACGAATGGTCGGTCAGGGATCCCCCTCAAACGTTGCTTGGGCCAGAGAAGCAGCTGCATCGTCGAATGATTCGCCGCGGTGCATGCTTCGCGGCCGGATGCAGAGCCCTTATGGTCATACCGTCCTTCAGCGCAAATCCGGTTAGCAGGCGAAGGGCAGCTGATTGAGTCGCGCGTCGAAGATCCCACCAGGGACTGCCACCGCGCGCAACGCACTAGGATGCCTGCAATAGGCCATGAGACTCAGAGGGAGAGCCGAGACACGCGTACGAGAGCGGGGGGTCAAGAGGCACCGGCGGGCGGTCGTCAGCAGGCGATTGAGCGAGAGTTGTGCCATTGCGGCCGATATCGATGGTGCCCCCGCGCGCGGTGTGAGAGACGACGTCCGGGTGGCCTCGCCGTCGTGCACTTCGCGGGAAACACGACCCTAAACGCGTCCGTCGCGCAACCCGGCCGGTCCAGAGATGGGTAAACAGGCGCGGCACCTCGCAAGGTTAGGCTCGTGCCGTGCGCACGGTTCTGCCGTTACGTTAAGTTCACGAGGTTGCAGAGAGAGCCAGACCCATCAGCAGCAGTAGACAATGTGCACCCAGTGGGAGGAGGCGGCGATGGCGAACAGGACGGAGAACATGGTAGAAGGGAGGAGGGACCGGGACGCAGCACCGCGCCGAGCGAGTCGGGCAGGTTCCGGCGCTGAGGCGTATCGGGCGGGACAGCTGTAGTCACCGTCACTGCTTCACCTCCTCCCTTCACCCTCTCCGTTCCCTCTCCCGCCCCTCTTCTCTCGTCGTCCTCATCCTCCGCTACGCTCTCCACCTCTGCCTCGCTCTCCCACTAAGATCTGACCTCTACACAACAACGCACTCCTCCCTCTACCAGACATCATGATAAGTAGTCTGAATGTCCTCGGACGACGGTGCAGTCCCGGCTAACATGCGTCTCGGGACTTTACAGCTCACCCAGCAAACGTCGTATCGAGACAGACGTTATGAAGCTGTACGTCTTCGTACTTCCCCATCTGTGGGATCTCCTCCGCCCCCAGAGATGCTAACGGTGGCGCTCCCTCGATAGACTTATGTCGGACTATGAGGTCAACCTCGTGAACGATAGCATGCAGGAGTTCTATGTCCGTTTCTATGGTCCCACAGAGAGTGAGTGAACCCTGTTCATCTCGTATGCCCGTGTCCTGACCGAATGCGCGTAACTCCGACCCACGCCCGCCTCTGCCACTGCGTTTCTATCGGGTCGCACGATGACCTCCGGAATTGCCGCATTCGCAGCCCCGTTCGCCGGCGGGGTGTGGAAGATCCACGTCGAGCTCCCGGACCAGTACCCGTTCAAGTCGCCCAGCATCGGCTTCATGAACAAGATCTTCCACCCGAACATCGACGAGCTGTGCGTCCTGCGCTTCTATCCACCCCTGTTCTTCTCCCGCTCACATCCATTCGCACAGAAGCGGTTCCGTGTGCTTGGACGTGATCAACCAGACGTGGTCGCCCATGTTCGGTGCGTCCTCCCGCTTCTGCCTGGGCGCCCCCGGGTGCACGCTGACCGCACCGTCCCGCCCGCGCAGACATGATCAACATATTTGAAGTGTTCCTCCCGCAGCTGCTGCGCTACCCGAACCCGAACGACCCGCTGAACGGCGAGGCAGCGGCGCTGCTCATGCGCCATCCGAAGGAGTACGACGCGAAGGTGAAGGAGTACGTGCAGCGGTTCGCGACGAAGGAGGCCGCGGACGCTGCCGTCGACAATGACGACGAGGACGAAGACGAGGAGATGAGCGACATCGGGAGCATCAGCGACGACGACGCGGAGCACATGCAGTCGTGAGCGGCCTGCGCTACCGCCCCTCCTTTCCCCGTTCCCTCTCTCGTACTCTCACTCCGGATCAGACGCCGCCACCCGGTCTCGCTCTCACCTCGCATACCTTTCCTCGCTCATGACCCACTTGTAATGTGTGCCATTGCTGGCGCTGTCTGTACTTGATGTCGTTGTAACACCACTTCTCGTTGTCCGTCTCCTCGGTTGCCTCGTCCTGGAATCATCATTGTATTCATTGTAGATCACGCCTTCCTCTCTCCAATCTGAACACACGGTGCAACTGTTCGATACAGTATTCAGAGACTTCTGTCCACCCCTGTTTTCCGGCTGCTCCAGCTCCGAAATCGCGGTGTGCCCTGTGGCGCTGAGGTGTGCGTAGCTCGACCTCGAGAGCATAGTATGCGCGGATGCCGCAGAGGGTGATCTAGTCCAAGCACGGAAGGGGAGCTGGACGATGCCGACTGCCGGACGCTGCATGCGAATGGGCTTCACGCCAGGTTTGCTGAGCTTAGCTCGGGGCCGGCGTTGAAGGATTGGTGGTAGGCGGCAGCGGATTAGACTGCACGAGGTCGCTAACTTTCTTCTGCGCCTCAAGTGCGGACTGTACGGACACAAGGTTAGTTGAGCATGTGCAGAAGCGGGTGGCGCCGCCACGACGGACCTTCATCAGGCCGTCTATGTGAGTCTTGACACTGTCCATGGTGGCGGCTTTCGTCTTGCTCTCCTTCAAGAGCGCTTCTTTCGCCTTTATGAGCTCTTTACGCTTCTGATCCAACCTGGAGGAATATGAGCCGGTGGGAAATGAGCCGGGATTAGGAGTGGCGCACCTCTGCCGCTCTGAGAGCTCAAAACTGAGACGGTTGAGCATGAGCTGATGCTCGTCCGCGAGGACTCCGTCCGTCCGCGCCTCCTCAGGCGCAATCTGCTTGAATTCCTCGAGTGCATGGAATGGGATGTCCTGGTATATAGACCTGTACGACGCGATTAGTGTAAGGCTCCGCGCGCGCACAATTTCACAAGTACAAGGACGCACGCGAACTGACGGCACTTCTCTATCTCGCGTTCGAGGTGGCGCTTTTCGTAGAGCAGGTTCTGCAGCCCGAGATAGGTCTGGTCCATCTCGTGGCGCGCGTCGGCCGTGGCCTGCTTGTGTGCGCGGGTAGCATGGTTGGCGGCGCGGTTGAGAGCCTTAAGCCGGGCGAAGAGGGCGCCTGCGCGGATCTGGACCTGGGAGGGGTCGTGGTTGAGGAAGCCGGAGGAGACGAGGTCGCGCAGGGCGTCGAGCTCGGAGTCGGGGGCCGTGGGGAGGAGGAGGTCGTCGTCGTGTGTGGGAGCCATGGGCAGGGTCATGTGCGTCGCTGCTGAGAGCAGCGGGCGCTGGGAAGAGACGTGCATCGGCCATAGTCCGGTCGGCGAGCGTGGCCGTGGGAGAGGGGCGGGCAGCCAATGGGCGGGGGCCGGGCGGGCGGACCGGGGGGAATCAGAGGTTGCATCATCCTTCTTGGAGGGCGACGGTGCTGCTGAACGAGCACATCCCGTCCACTCCGACCTGCACTCACGCGTCGGCGGCAGCGCTCCCTCACAAACACTCGCTCGCTCAGGTAAGCACGTCCGCCTTGCCTCTTTCCTTCCTTCCACCACCACCTCACCTCCCCCACAGAACATCCACCAGCATGGCAACTACAGGCCGCCCCCGCGCCATGTCCGGCACCATCCCCTCGATGGAGTCGTCCGCGCACGAGTCCCTCACGGACAACACTATCATCGTCGGTATGTCTCTCGCGTATCCCGCCGCCCCTCCGGACCACCCCGCTCACTCTGTGCAGTGCTCGGTGCGTCCGGCGACCTCGCGAAGAAGAAAGTACGCGTCTCTATCTAATCAGCACCGCCGATCCGCGCTCACCTCATTCAGACGTATCCCGCCCTCTTCGGCCTCTATCGCATGGGCTTCCTGCCCCGCGATGTCAAAATCGTAGGCTATGCGCGCACTAAGATGGACGCTGCCGAGTACCACAAGCGCATCACCTCCTACATCAAGGTCGCCGACGACGATGCCGAGGGCAAGGCCTCCGTTGAGGCCTTCAAGGGCTTCAGCTCCTACGTCTCCGGCGGGTACGAAGACGGCCCCTCGTTTGAGAACCTGAACAAGACCCTCGAGGAGATCGAGTCCAAGTACCAGTCGAAGGAGCGCAACCGCCTCTTCTACCTCGCACTCCCCCCGAGCGTCTTCATCCCCGTCGCGCAGCACCTCAAGGAGCAGTGCTACTCCAAGGATGGCAAGAACCGTATTATCGTCGAAAAGCCCTTCGGAAAGGACCTTGACTCGTGCCGCACCCTCCTCAGCTCGCTCAAGCAGCACTGGACAGAAGACGAGACGTTCCGTATCGATCATTATCTTGGGAAGGAGATGGTCAAGAACATCCTCGTTCTCCGCTTCGCCAACATCGCGCTCAACGCGGCTTGGGACAAGAACTCGATCAGCAACGTACAGATCACTTTCAAGGAGCCCTTCGGCACTGAGGGCCGCGGCGGCTACTTCGACGAGTTTGGTGTTATTCGTGATATTCTCCAGAACCGTGAGTTTCCCACCGGCCGCTCCCATACTACCATATACGTCTATTATATGACATGCGAAGGCGGCCGTGATGCTGACGTCGTTCCTGTGGTCTAGACTTGCTGCAGGTTCTGAGCATCCTCACCATGGAACGGCCCGTGTCTTTCTCAGCGGAGGACATCCGCGACGAGAAGGTAAGCAACGGCCTACTTATAGCCCGGTCCCGGATTCTCATGCACCATTGACGCCCTATAGGTCAAGGTTCTCCGCGCGATTCCGCCCATTGAGCGCAACGACACGCTCCTCGGCCAGTATGTCGCAGCGAATGGCAAGCCCGGGTACCTCGACGATGACACCGTTCCCCACAACTCGGTCTGCCCGACGTACGCCGCGACCACGTTGTGGATCCACAACCCCCGGTGGGAGGGCGTCCCCTTCATCCTCAAGGCCGGCAAGGGTCAGTATTCGCTATTCTCACCGTGCTTCTGCGCTTCTCGATAGCTTATCTGCGTATCTGCGGCGCCGGTACAGCGCTCAACGAGGCGAAGGTCGAGGTGCGGATCCAGTTCAAGGACGTCACGCAGGGCATCTTCAAGGACATCTCGCGCAACGAGCTCGTGCTGCGCATCCAGCCGTCCGAGGCTGTGTACCTCAAGCTCAACACGAAGACCCCTGGTCTGAACACACGCGCGATCCCAACGGAGATGGACCTCACGTACAAGCGTCGCTTTACCGAGGTCAAGATCCCCGAGGCGTACGAGGCACTCATCCTGGACGCGCTGCGCGGCGACCACTCCAACTTCGTCCGTGACGACGAGCTCGAGGTTGCGTGGAAGGTCCGTGGCGCGCGCTGACATAGTTTATATGCTATGTGCTAACACCGCGCGCGCATAGATCTTCACACCCATCCTGCACTGGATAGACGGCAAGAACGGTCCTGCACCCAAGCCGGTGCCATACCCGTACGGCTCGCGGGGCCCCAAGGAGCTTGACCCCTTCATCTCGAAGTACGGGTACAAGCGCACGGTCGCCGAGTAGTACGTATTCCTTTCGCAGGGCTGCCGTCATATTGGAAACAACAATGAATGATCGACCGTGTTTCCCACAGCACGTGGCCTCTCATGAACATCTCGTCTCTCTGAGGAACCGTCGTCGCGCAGGTGTACGAGTAGCGCAGTCTACAACAACAAGGAAGTGTCCGAGCAATCATCCAATATCAATATCTGCAACCATCGCATGCTGTGTAGGGGAGACCAGTAGGAATCAGGCGGGAGTCGAGACGTATCGGGAACTGGGTAGCTGGGCTGCTGGCTCTGTATATGCATCTGTAGGGAAGTAATCGCAAGCAAGACATAGAAGGCGAGCTGTATTGTCCGTGTATGGTGTTGTAACCCCGTGTCGTCCGATGCTGCAGATTTGCGTGTGTCAAGAAGCTGAAGTGAGGCGAGTGAGGCACCGCCGAAGAAGGGTTGGTGAAGCTTCGCGGTTCGAAAGGCCGAATGCTCTAGCTCAAGCTCAAAATTAAGTTCAAACGTGTTCTAGAATCGAGAACGTAGTGCGTAAAGACCAATTAGTGTAGAGAATCTGTATACCACGTTGTGTACCTGAGCCCTGTAAGCCCGCGGCCTTTTTTTGTGTTGACCGACGTACCAAGATATATTTCGCGAGACCATGTAAAATATTAGTATAGTAGAATAAAGGGGTGACAATTGGACAGCGATTCTCCAAGTTCACCGTGACAATCTGGAACAACAGCATATGCGAAGTAGGTCATGGCGACACAAGCCACACTAGTGAGAGGTGTGCGACGGTGAATCGAGCACCTATGCCTATCAGTGCCCTACAGGGTGATCAGCATGTGTAGCAGAAACCACAACTTATGGGGCAGACTCCAACTCACCCAAGCCTATATATTTAAGGCCCCAATACTCGAAGCGTATTATATCCCTATCCAGGACTTGAGCGGGGAGTGCCTTGCACAAGATGGCAGCACACTGATCAAACGTCAGTTTGCGCGAGACCACGAGAACGATCGTCGACAGAGTCGAGAACCTCTCGACGGCCAGCGACATAATCGCAGCGAGGGACTGCGCCAGCGTGAAAAACGCGTCTTCTTCCTGCGGTATTGGGACGAGCAAGGTGAGCTCGCGAAGTGTGCCGGTGGGGACGGCAGAGAGGACTGCAGTATACGCCTTGCAGAACTCGCGGTCCATCTCCTCGCGCTCCCAATTGGTATTGTCGGTATTGGCCCGCACATGCAGCGTCAGCCGCGCCACTGTTGTGAGTTTGCCCATCTCGAGGCCTTTCCATATACCTGCAACAGATATCTCAGCAACACATGCCGCTGCCGTGGCACGCCACTACATACGAGCATCCTTGGGTTTGTGCACCTTCACCGCATGGCACAGATTCAAGCGCAGGTCGCGGATGTTCGCGCCGTATCGACGGAGCATCTTGCCAGCGTAGCGCACCGCGACCCTGTTGTCGGCCACGACGTCAAGCGTCTGCAGCGCCGCTCTGTCCAGCCCACCGCACTTGTCGTTGTACTCCAGGAAGCAGTCCGGGTCCGCGATGCTCAGCTTGCGCACGACAGGTTGGGGTATGCCGCGCCGGTTGGCCGTCATTTTGCTGCCACGCTCCGAATCGTCGTCCGAGTCCGACTCTACGCCGATCGTGCTGCCCGCGATGACGAGCTCGTCGACGTCGGTGAAGAGACGGAGGAAGTCGAGACGGGCGCAGTGCTCGTTGTGGTATGGGCCGTTCTGGATGTCCGAGATGACCAGCCGGTGCAGTTTGAATGGCACTGGAGGCATCGGGGTATAAAGCGGCCACCCGAGCAGCGTGATCCCCTGGAGGCAGACGCAGCGGATGTTGGGTGTCGTCTTGAGTATCTCGAGGAGCAGCCAGGGAGGAAGGGGGTAGAGGTCTTCGGAGAACGAGACGCTGAAGACGAGCTCGTGCATGAAGGAGGCGATGCGCGCGTTTGCTTGGAGGAAGTCGTGGAAGAGGTCGAACCGCTCGTGCGTGTAGAGGTGTATGCGCCGGCATAGGATGGGCTGCGCGATATCTTTCCAGGTGCGGCAGACCCGGGAGCACGCACCGAGCGTGTCAGTCTTGACGGAAAACCACTGACCGCCATCGAGGTACTCGAGGATCATGCGGACAAGCTCGACAGAGCACCTCGGTGTAGGCATTTTGGGAGAGACACCCCGTGTCTACGCTTGGACGACGATAAGTAAAGCACGGAGTTGGGTCGAAATTCGAGGCGGTAGGTAGTAGGAAAAGACAGACACTAGCGCGCGCCATGACTGTACCATCCAGCGCGTTGGTCACCTGCTCGCGTTTGATTGCCGATGGACTACGAACTTCATCGAGACGCAACGAGGACCGTTACTCTCGCGCAGTGCACACATTGGTTGAGCTATTTACTAGCACCGGTTCATATGGACATGAGAATTAGCTAACGTTACGATAAACAAGGATGGAGCCGGAAGGGCGTTGACCGGTCGAGCCTCGCAGTCCTGAGACGACCAAATGAGTGCAAGCGGTATGCGCGGAAGCACGACAACTTACGAAGCCTTCAGAGTCTATGTTTAAACCGCACAAGGCCGCGCTCTATGACGTCCTTGGAGAGCATACCGTGCATGACCTCCTTCGCATCCTTCAGAGTGAGACGCCGCGCAATCACTAGGGTGACGTGCTCGAGGTGGGGGAGCCTCCTAGCGGCATGTTCTATCACCGGCGTGACATACGACGCTGATTCCGTGAATTCTGGCACTTCGTATGAGGGGGAGATGGGGATCGAGAGCTCGCGAAGCGTTGCAGGGAGAGTGGAGACGATGTTTCGGAAGACTTCTCTGCGCGTGATGTTGTGCTCCTCGGCGTCTTTCCCCCATGGGTTGAAATTGGTCCAGGTGAGCTCCAAAATGTCGAGAGCCATGCAAGAGGCCATGTTGCATGCGGTCCAAACATCTGCACAACCGTTAGGGGATATGTTGCTACCGTAGGCTCGGACTGGTCGCACCTGGTCCCGTAGACAGGCGATTTTCCAGGGTCACACAGATGTCCAGCCGGAGTTGCGAGAGGTGCTGCCCGTAGTGGCGAATAAGACGGCCCGCAAACTTCACCGCTTCGAAAGTAGGGGGGTTGAGTTCGACTACGCGAAGTTCCGTGCTGTTAAGCCCCCCCAGACTGTGATTGAGCAGAGAGAAGCACTCTCCTCGAGATATATTCAACTTGCGGATCGTCGGACGAGGTGCCCCAGCGTGCGTGAGAATGAGTCTGGGATGCTTGGGGTGTCCACGGTCGGCGTTCATGGAGAGTTCGGCCTCGTCAACTTCGAAAAGAGAGAGGACATCGAAGGGCATGCTGGACGCACTCCTGTTCGGTTTGAAAGAAACTTCGACCATCCGGAGCGTCCGAAGCTTTATCGGTATGGAGGGGAGAGCACGAGAGAGAGGCCAACCGCTAATGATGACCTGTCGTAGGTCTAACTGGGACAACTTGGGTAGACAGCGTAGGATTGCGACTAGTAGGTGAGGCTTGATGACCACCTCGGTCAAGTTTGTATACCTGCCACCATACCCGCGAACTTTGTTGGGAAAAAGATGGAGAACACGGACGAGTCCGGCGATGAAGGGCGTCGACCGGAGGAATGCATAGAGTTGCGTCAGGGAATGGCGTTCAAGTCTGACACGTAGCACCCTGTAAAGGAGATCTTGTGCGATAGGTTTCCAAGACCGGCATACACGTGAGCAGCGTGAGAGCGTGCTTTCAGTCTTGCCATAGTACCAAGGGTCAAGGTTCTCCGTGCTCCCGAGGATCAAGTAGAGGATCTCGGTCGGAAATGAACGCATCTAGAGCCCTGTAGGGTATGGTTACAGACACTCCAGGCGGTGAACACGCACTGAGCACTCACCTGCACTGTGACGTGTTCGGAGACGTGGTGTACTCCAAAGCCCAAAGAGAGCGAGTAAGCAACTGCTGACAGCTTACGGACTCAGATAGCTGGGCTAAGACTTGGTACCCGAAGAGGACTTTCGTGTCGACTCTCGAGTGGAGAGTCGTGGTGGTACGGTAGCAGCGTCACTTGACAGCGACGCGCCACAACCAGCGAGCGCTTCATTCGGCGCTTAAAATCAAGTGAGTAGTACTTACTCTGTAGACTTAGCACTCCATGATCTATCGCGCAGTGGTACGAGCGGGGCGCAAGTAATTGGCACCTCGTACCACGAGTACAGGCTATTCTTTGTATGTGTATCCGAAGCGTCCTAATGCAATGATTCCCCGACTAAAAATTAAGTGCATGCCACTACGACCCAACCTAAAACCCGATCGCACCGTGTAACTTGTACGACATAAACCCACCGACTCGCAGCGATGACAATGTAGCAAGTCGACGAGTTTGTTCTAGACAAATCGAAGTCAGTATCAGTTCGAGTTGGCCGCGGTGAGAAGGGAGATATAAGAGAACATACAAAACGAAGGCCCGTGATGGGCTTTGAAGTGCAGGAGTTGTCGATCCATGAAGGACTTCGGGAGTAAGGCTTTTACCGTGTCTGCACTCTTCTCCAGGTCAAGGTGTCTGGATATCTCGAGTGTAACGCTCTGGAGGTCGTTACGTTTCTCGACACCGTGGATGAGGATTGATGCGATGTAGTGAGCGGTTTCGGCGAAAGGCGTATCCGATGGCCGGGCCGAAGAAGCCTCCACGACCAGGGAAAGCTCAAGGAGATGGGGGGAGGTAGTGGAGAGGATTGCGCGATACGCTTCGCATACCTGAGCGTATTGTCCTTCCACTCCGGCCCATTCATTATGGCTCCAGTGCAGGCGCAGTGACTTCAGCTGCGTGCACGATGCGAGGTTGAGGTGCTCCCATATGTCTAAGCAGATGAGGTTAGTCCAAACCGTATGTGGGAAATGACTGGGTGACCTACCTGCAGTTTCAGACTCGCCCAGAGCCCGGCCAATATTCACGCTGAGGTGGCGAATTGTCTTGCTGTAGCGGCATATGAAACGGTTGTAGAAGGGTAACGTGTTGCCGAAAATGACAGTGGGTTCCAAGGATAAGGAAGAGAGCTCATTTGTGTTCAAGCCACCGTTCCCATCATTCACTTCGATGAACAAACTCTGCCCGTAGATGTCGAGCTCTCGAACGGCGGGAAGGGGCACTCCGGGGACTGCGAGAATGTTGTTTACCGGAGGACGGGTAATCAAGTAGGGAAGGGGTAGCCCGCCGCCAGAAATACGCATCTTTTGTGCGTCGAAAAGGCGCAAGAAGTCGAAAGCTTGGTCTGCGGAATATCTTGTGGGGTGGAAGTCGATTACGATATCCGTTAGGACGAGGGAATGCAGTTTCACTGGGACCGTTGGGAAAGGTACAGTTGTGTTCCAGCGAAGGAGGACTACACGGAACAAGTCCAACTTCTGGAGCTTTGGAAGCGCGACCATTAGCTTGTAGAGGATATGTGGTTGGATGCCACAGCCTTGATGCTCGCGATCGTGCTCGAATCTCCATATACCGAGGGAGCGGACGTGGATAGAGATGTGGGGTACGGCATTCAGGAAGGCGAGGACCCGATAGAGAGGTTTGTTCACTGGGAAGCGCAGTTCCTTGAAGAGTAAAGACTGCGCGACCGGTCGCCAGTCCTTGCAGACGAGGGAGCAGGCCCGCAGATGTGGGGATTCCTTATGCCTCCGAGGGTATCCATCTCCGGTATTATCGAGGATAAGGTCGAGAACATTGGCGGGGAAACGGAGCATTGTGTGTGTTCGGAATGAATGCAGGTGGTACTCCTCTCTGGCAGGGCTGGAAGGGCGGTATGATGACCTCTGAATCTGCCGCGTGTGTTAGATGGATGCATCCGATAGAGCCTGAGGTGAGTAGATCGGGCCACCTTTGATGCGAATTCTAGGCTTTAAAGTGCCCGCAACGAAGATGCGAGATGTTGGCGGTGAGGAGCGCGTGTTTGTGCTGGAGCGGCGACTCGGCTGTCGCAAGGCGTAAAGATCTAGCCTCTACGGGACCGCCCTTAATTCGAGTTTGGAACATGAGATACGGCAGAAGATCAACGTACCAAGTGGAAAAGAGAAGTCCTGGTAGTAGCCGAATTGGAGGCAGCCCACGGGAGCTTCAGAATGCTGCTCGTCGTGTAAGGTTAACCGTAATGTCAATGCCCCCCGCGCGCATGCCGCGCGTCTCCCAGCTCTGCACCCCGTTCATTGACCGAAAACCGTACACCGTGGTGGCAAGGAGTCGTGCTGAACATTTAAAGGCAGTATCAGATCATATTATCTGTACCTATAGGAAGATGTCGTCAAGTACATATACACTGGCAGGGTAAAACGTTAACGTTCCAGCTGGAATCTATCCTGATGGTAAGAATGCAAGGTTATTCATACACTGGAGAGTACACGTAATGAAGCAGTCCGAGAATAAAGTGGTGTGCTGCGAAGTCCTTGCGGAGAATGGGCGGATATAGGATACTTAATGCGACACGGACGTGGTTGTTGGGCTATGAGGATTGCAGCGCATGGAGCATTTTGTAACGTGCTGAATAGACGGCGGGAACAGAATTTGCGTAGGTAGCAGTGACGACGTTACGACGCAATCACGGTCGCACGACGTGTAGCCGCCATACCAGGCCTGGCGCAAGCCCCTTCGCGGGGTTCCCATCGGGAACCAGGGAGAGCCCCACGAACTTGCGCGCCCCACACAGGAAGTCGACGCGCTTGATGCCCTTGTTCTTCTCCGTCGCGCGTTCGTCCGCACGCGCCACCTGTGAGTATCGCGCATGGTAGGTGGCGTGCACGCGCTCCCGGTGGTTGAGGTCGCACAAATGGAGCTCGGCCGCGGTCACACCCATGCGGAGCGCGCGGTAGAGCGCGTAGAGCACATCGCCGACAGTGACATATGGCGCGGCCCAAGCCGCGTCCGGATTCGGGTTCACGGTGATCTGCCATGGCAGGTGCTCGGAGACGATGATGATGGACGCGACTCTGGGAGTGGTCGCGGGCTCCATCGCTAAGTGATCAGACACGGTGCGCAGACCCGTCGGTGTCCGCACCAACACGGTGTTGACGTCCTGGGTGAGGTCCCAGGATAAAGGGCCACCGGTCCCCAAAGTGCATGCAAAGACGGGGTGAATTTGCACCGGAGCGGCCGGCAGAGGTACCGGATAGTAGTATGGCGAAGGCGTGTTATAGCAGTTAGCTTGAAGCGGTGCGTACAAGAGGCTCGGTGGCGTTGGCGGGCCCGGGGACGATGCAAGCGAAGCATTAGAAGACGGGGTTGTGGGGATACCTGCAAAACGGACGCGGTGATGTCCAGGCATCGTCGTTGATGATAAGGGGAGGTAGTGGTGCAGGAGTTAGCGGCGAGGCGCGACGGGGATGTGTGGGCGTACAGTCGTTCGGGAGGCGGGAGCTGGTGTGAAGGGAGGGTGATGATCTCCCTTAAGTACGGGGCGGGAGGCGGGGGGCGCGTGCCCGCGTCGGGGGCGGGGGGCGGGATGCATGATAGCGCGAATCGCCCCGCCCCGCCCGAGCTGTGCAGCGTCCTACCAGACAGACGTACAAGGCATATGACGTCGACCCAAAGAAGCACGAAGGACTCACCGTGAGTCACAGCCGACCCCCGAGGCAGAGCCGGGGCGGGCTCGTCCTCCACGCTTTCGTATCCCGACGCGCTATCCGAGTACACACATGACCGCGCGCCCGCCCAAGGCGCATGCGACGATCCCAGGGTGCGAGCGTGTTGGGCTGCGCACCGCTGATCATATCTGAGGATGATATCTCCACCGCATTGCCGCCGCGAGCGTCAATCCGCGGACGCCTCTCGACATTCCCTCCGACCGCGCGGAAAACCTGAGAAATCTCGTTTGATAATCAATGGACACTTTCCGCAGTATGCTGGGGTGACTCGTTCTGGTACTCAGGACTCCGCGCAGAAAGCTTGGATGGGATGTGGATGTGAGCAGAAATGCGGGACACGCTTCGAACGAAACGTGCGAGATAACATGCACCAGGCTTCCGAACAAAAGCGGCTGACCTTCTATCTTCCAAGAGTAGCGCTATCAGTCCTTGCGAATATTGGAGTAAACACGAAGATGAGAGGAGAACACAGAAGAGATTGAGCGCTTGATTCGACTCCATGCCTCTCGAATTCGAAGCTTGGTTCTTATTAGGCGCCGAGTTGTTAGCGGAGGAGCAGCCGTGATTCTTGCTCTTGAGATGAAGGAAGAACTTGTAAAGAGTCCACGTCGTCGGCGTGGAGAGGACCGAGGGTTTATTTTGTGTATAGTACGACCGACGGATCGCCTAGTTTGATGTGACTTGGCCGGTTTGAACGCTATTACGACGTGAGCCTACGATATCACATATGGCATATAATGAAGACTCTGTGTGCTTACGGACTAGTTCTCCTTGGCCCGTATGACTCGTAGTATCACGCTGCCCAAAATCTCAGCCGGAATTTGGCTGCGAATTATTTCCACGCGCCGCTCGAGGTCGAGCTCGTGTGGAGCAGACACACCCAGCGTGAGCGAACCGAGCCTGGGGAACCGCATGACTGCCTGCTCGATCACAGAGACGAGTTCCTTCGCCGTGTCTGCCACCCTATCCATATCCCTCCGGGCGCAGATGTTGAGAGTGAGCACCTGAACGGTGGTTGGCGCGGTCGCGAGCAGGCTGCGGAACGCCTCGCCAAGTTCCTTGTCATCAGCCCGCGGGATGTCTCGCGTCTTTTCTCCTTGCCACCAGCCGAGATGCAGGGAGTTGAGCTGCGTGCATACCGCCAGGCTGAACACCACTTCTATACCTGGAAGATGTCCATGAGCGACTGGGGGACGCACTCGACGGGTATCGGGCGCACTCACCGCCCGTTGTATACCAAGAGAGCCAGATATCCGACGAGATCTTCAATGTCAGGTCGCGTAGATGGGCACCATGTTGCTGGAGCAGCGGCGTGCTGGCTTCCCTGAGCGAACAATTCCCTAGAGCAACGAAGATAATCGAGCGAAGGCTCTCCTCGTCCAATGCCCCGTGTCCGAGAGCATGAAGGGAGAACCATTCACAGTCGCGAACTCTGAGGCGGCGTACGATCCGTCGAGCGGGAGCGGCCTGCGATAGCGCGGATGCCTCAGCGGGCAGCGTACGCGTTGGCAGGCCGCGGTTGTGCCCAACATGGAGCTCGTCAAGTTCGAAGCAGGCGAATATATCGAAATATGTCGTGCCAGAGGACGAGAACGGCGTGTAGTACATGCTCCAGAGCTCCAGCGCGCGGAGGCGGATGGGAAGCGCGGGAAGCGGCGTGTCTTTGCGCCAGCCGTGCAGAGTGGAGTCCTCTAGCTTCAGGCGGGCGAGGCGAGGCAGCGCAGACACGAGTCCTATAAGGACCGCGGGGGAGACCTCCCGCTCGATCTCCTCCGTCTTCCTAAGCTCGAAGGGGTCATAGAAACAGACGTAGAATGCGGTGATGGGCCTGGTGTTCCAATGTCACAACGTTAGCGTGGTCACTGCGCCCGTGATGTGTGGAGGAACAGGCCCAGCGTCCGACTCTGCCCGCCGCGTAGATCAAGGTCTCCGAAGAGACGGGCCTGTGCGATGGCCGTCCAAGCCGTACATACGAGAGAGCACGAGCCGAGAGTGGCCTTATCCGATGGACTAAGGGAGGCACAGTAGACAGGTTGTGTGGCCTCAATTAGGATGAATGTGACGATTTCCGGAGGGATATGGACCATGGTGAATCGGCTAGCAAATTCTTCGACGAGGCTCAGTGGATTAGTTCAACCCAAAGTTGGAGTATTCTCACAGAGGCATACCTTACACGTTCTATTGAAGGCGAGGAGGACGAGTGTGTAAAGAGTTTGTAGCAATGCCCATGGTGGTCGTTGGCAAAATTGAGGAGAGAGGCGTACCTTAACCTTCAAGCTTCACTTTTTGTGGCGGTGCCGAATGTGATAAGCCAAGGTAACGTTGACGGCATCTCGGTACACAGAATTTACCCTTTGCGTGCATTCGTCTGCTGTTCAGGCTGGTCGCGCCCTCCTCCAAGCACCCACAACGATACGACGTGCATCCAAATGATAGCATATGAAAAGAAGCCTAGGCAGTGACTACAGCAGCCACGAATACGACATGGAATCAGGGACGCCCGGACACCCTGTGAAAACATGAGACCGACAGGACACAGCAGTATAACAGCGGGGGACAATAAGCGATAGCACGCCATTAGGGATGTGACGGAGCCCATGATGCGAGAAACCCCCCGTCCAAACCCCGAACAAACCACCACGCCGGAACCCCCCTCTTCGCCCTCTCCAACCCTTCCAGTTCGCCGGCCGCCACCTACGTGCGCACTACGCCTGTCTGGCCGGTGGCCGCAGGCGCGTTGTTGTTGCGACGCCAGTCCGCCTGAGCGGAGTACACCGCGGCGAGCATGATCGCATACGCGAAGAGCCACATCCAGCCGCCGAGCGCGCGCGGCGGCAGCGCGCGTGCTAGCAGACGACGCACCCGCCAGAGAACCACCTGCCAAGCAGACGCAGACGCATAAGCACGAGCCCTTGATCACGGGGGGAGAGAACATGCGATCAGGCCCGAGCGACGACAGACTCACATAGCACGGGGGACACAGCGGGGGTGCGAGAGAGGGAGGGGGCCACTTACCAGTTGCTGTTCAGCTGCTCGATCCAGTGCACGACCAGCCGCAGGCGCAGGCGCGGCGAGCGGATGGGCAGCAGCTTCGCCTTCTCGTGCTCGTCTATCGGGAGAAGCTGTGCGCGATAACGAACCGTCAGTTTTGCTTTTTTTTTTCTGACCGCAGCGCGCGGGAATAGGGGACGTACCAGGGCCATCCAGAAGCTGAAGCTCGCCGCGTCGCTCGGCATCGGGATGTAGTTGTTGTTGAGGTGTTGGACGACCCACGGCGTGCCCTCGCGCATCTGGTCGATGAAGGCATGGCACTTTGCCATCAGTTCCGCATTTGTCGGCGGTCGCGGACTCTGCGGGGAGGCTGGCATCGCACCCGCACCCGACGCCCCTGGGCTCTTGTCCTTGGGCGCCACCGGCTCATCCTGCGACGTGGGTGGATTGTGGCCATGTGAACGGCTAGAATTGGACTCCGCTAAGCTTGTGGACGAAGAGGCGTGGATCGCGCCCGGGCGCGATTGCGGGGCCAGAATTGATGCTGTTTGAGCGGCGGTCGCCGCATCACCAAGCTCAGCGATGACAGCGGCTTCGTGCTGCTCCTCTACTTGCGCTGTCGCCGTCGTGCTTCCCATGGCGCGGCCCCCGAGCGGACTTTGCCTGACGCCATCGTCATCCGGTCCCACTTCGGCAGTGTCTTGCCTCTCTTCGTCCTCGCTCGGGTCCTCGGGCACGGCAGCAGTGTCGTCGAGCTCCTCCTCGTAGTCCTCGATACGCTCTATCCTCGCGACCATGTAGCCGTCGAGCGTCCCGCGTTCCATGACGCGGAAACGCCAAGTGCCCCAGGTTTCGACTAGGCTGCGCCCGTCAGGGAGCATTTGAACGTTCCGGATAGCAAGCATCGTTCCGTAGTCGTTGCCTGTACTGGAGCCGCTGGCGGAAGCCGAAGGGGCTGCTCGGGGTGGCGGTATCATTCCGAAGCACGGGTGCGGTGAGTCCAGACAGCGTCGGAGCATCAGTCGGTATCTAAGGGGGTATGAGCGAATCCCCAGACAGGTGAAACAGGGCATAACGCACCGAGGCTCGAAAAAGTGAAGCATCGTTGGCATTCCCGGAAAGCTAAGTTGGCACACGAATACTGGTGTGTCGAGGCGCGCATCGCGCTCCTCCGCTTCGATCGTAGCGCCGCGCTCGGCATAAGCCTCTGGAAAAGTCTTTAGGACTGCAAGACGCTGTCAGTGCCGATGACGTTGTGGCGAGGATACATACGTACGAATAGCCAGGATGACCCTGTTGCAAGGGTGTTGCTGAAAGTAGTCGTAACCTGGGAGCTTCTGCCTGCAGAGCGGACACGACTGGTTGTGGTCGAGCGAGCGAAAAAGGCAGCGGGTGCAAAATGTCTGGAACGAGAGCGAGTGTTAGCGAACTCTGTGGGTAGGGTAGTTGGGCACCGAGTCCACCGGTACTTGGGCGACGGAGGCATTATTATACTTGACAAGCGGGCGTATGTGTCGACCGCAGTGCAGCCCCACACACCGATCCCGCACCCCGGCATCGATCGAGCACAGCGCCGAGCCCGCTGTGAGAGAGCACAACGTTGTGCGCACCAACTTCCCCGGGGTCCTTTGCCGTATCCGGAATACCGCCGCCCGATCGGGCAGGCTTCTACGCCGCAGCCGCGACTGAGGCGAGATGCGAGTGGCCTGTGCGATCTATCCTCGCGGAGGCAAAATCCACGGTGCGCGCTGGGGATCGAGCCGAGACCCGAAACCTGCGATGTGCACACCCCGGCCTACGTCGAATGCGATCCCGAGTGGGACGGAATCGCGCGCGACGCAACGGGTACAATCCAGAAAGACCTCCGCCGGATTCCAGGCAGCTAACCTCCCGATCCCATGCGAGACACGGCTCTCGGGATCGACGTGGAGGAAATGCGCGGACGGCGTGCGGGCACGACCGGGGATCTCGGAACCAAGGAAGCGTGTACTCACATGTTGGCATGGGGTGGTCAGCGGTTGCCAAAGGAGCCCGAAGCATATCTCGCAAGTAAGCTCGGACTGCAGCTCCTTCTCGAGACGGCTTTGTGGGTCGTGGTCGGTGCGGTGAGGGGAAGGGCGAGTGCGAGCGGGTGAGACATGGCGGTGAAGCCGTCGTCGCCGGCGTTTGGGCGCGGGAGGGCGTGAGCCTGAATGAGAGCGCGACCGAGAGCGGGAGTGGGTATTGGGGTGGGTCGGTGGAGGGGCAGCTGAGTCAGATTCTCGGGTAGGGGACGCCGTGTGCTGGCTTGTAGGCGTACTGGGAGGTAGGGGGAGATACTCCAGGTCCGAATCCGAATCTACCTCGTACTCGGAGTCCGTGCGGTCGTCGGGGTCGTCATGAAATGGAGGCGGCTGGACGTCTTCGGTCGGCGGTGCCACAAGTATGTCGATGAGCTTGTTCACGGTGACGTCGAGAGGCGGTGCATGTGAAAAGGTCGTCTGGGCACGCGCAGAGGACGAACAGCAAGTCGGGAGAGGACAGGGAGGGAGCACGGGCGCAGAATCGGCCGCTCTGGAGGTAGAGGGAGGATTGAGCGAGGTGAGGTGCACGGCGCAGAAGGTGTGTCCACAGTGCAGCGTGACGGGTGCGCGGAAGAGGGCGGGGGGGTCGCATAGTGGACAGTGCAGGATGGGCAGGAGGACGCTGGGCTGCATGCGAGCGTCGAGGGAGGGGGCGGACGGAGAGGGAGAGGAGCGGACCAAGGGCGGTCGGGCGGTAGATGTAGTGTGCGCCTGGAGGGGGACGGGCAGAGATCGCGGCACTCGCTGGGACGACGGGCGATCTGGGCTGGGAACGGGCCGCCGGGTGGGGGGCGTCCTCGGAGGGCGATGGCCTCCCTCGTCTGCGCGATTCGCAGCCTCTCCCTCGGCCTCATGCCTGTCCTCCCACCGATCCGACCCCTCCCTGCGCCTCTCCCCGCTTCTGGCCCTCCCATTCCCCCCTCCGTCCACCCCCGCCCCGCCCGCGTCGGGGCCTCCACGCAGCCTGTCTGGTGCTCTGTCCGTCATATCCAAGAACAAGGGCGGCGCCGCATCTGCGCACAGCACGGGGGATGGGAGAGCGAGACAAGGAGGTGCTTGGACGGACGGAGGGGAGCGATCCTGCTCCTCGCCGATCGTCGTACCTCAATCGACATTTCCCGCCACGTGCTCAGTCGCGCGATCGAGATCCGGATCTGCCCCTTGCGCACTCAATCTCGTCCTCTCGCTTCGCGCCCCTTCCTCCAACGTTCTCGCGATCTTAGCCTCTCGTTAACCGTCTTTGCTCCTTCGTCTCTCCCACCGCGCTGCTGTGCAGGTACTCAAATCTACGTGTCCGGCATGCACGGGTTTAAAGTTGCAGCAATGCACCCGTTCGAGCTCCCACGCACGTCGTAGGTGGCAAGGAACGTAAGCTTCTTCTCCTCAACCCCCACCACGCGGGGCCGAGTAGTTTCCTTGACATTTCCGTCCCCATGGCATAAATTCATACAACAAACTTTTGTGCTCCTTCTTCAGCGCATTCCCTCCATATATATCCGGATGTCTGTAACCAGAAGAATGCCTCGCGGCGCGGGTCCTGTCAGTTGTCAATGGTCCGTTCTTTTACAGTGGTAGGGCGCCTTACGTGATGACGTACTTTACAATTCAAACAGAGAGGGAGAAGGTATGCAAACGCTTACAGAAACGGCTGTATTCGCCAGAAATACTCCAAATTGTCGCATATCGACTGTACCTCCAAGACTCTTAGATCCGACGTGAGGCTTCGTGTAACAAATAATACCCCGATGGATTAGCCATGCAAGAGCAATATTCGAAGAGGATGTATGGTGGCCGGTGCGAAAAGTGTTGCAGAACCGATGGAGTGATAGTAACTTCAGTGCCGCCATTAGACTTGTTGCTTCTCGATGACATACACTGCTACTTAGCCGCATGGGCCGCTCCCGGCGTGTGGCGATTGAACATACAGGAGATTTATCAAAGGAATTAGCACGGCCAGAGTACGGTACTACTGTCTCCGAAGCAATGCCTATGGAGTCAGGTGCAACCATCAAAATCTAATATACACTCTTCGTCAAGGGCCTTAGGGGCGTCCGCAGGCAAACAAGATCCCCCAACGCAAGCGATTTCAGAAACGACCTATCGTTTCCTAAGCAGCTGTAAGATGGTGACCATATACTAATACAACAAACTTATGCTTTCCCTTTTCCGCGTCTCTTCTACCTTCACACGGCTTCGTCCTCTGCGATCTCCCACCCAATCTCCTTTCCCGCCCAGAACGGCACTACATGTGTCGCGCCTGTCCCATAGCCCTCGATCCCAACAACTTTGTTGGACGCACGTCGAAGGACAACGCGCTTATCGGTCTCCGCCGCAGGACGCCCATAGAACGCGCGCCCATGTGTGCTCACGAAGCCCTCGATCTTGTCCAGCGCGCCGAACGACTCGAGTAAGTGAGCCACCAACGGCAGCAGGATCGGAGAGGTGTACACCCCTGCTGCGCACGGCTGCGTCGGCGCCGCCGTCGCCTTTGTCTCTGCCGGATGGGGTGCAGAGTCGGAGCCGAGGAAGAAACGAGGATGCCCTGGGGGGGAAGCGGGATGGAAACGCGTAAGGACTTCTGCGGCAACTCAACCGTCGGGGGAATAACGAGATCCCGGACCTTCTTTGACCACTTCCCAGAGCGCGGCGCGGTCGTCGGGGTACTTCGCGACCGGCTTGCAGAAGTGCCAGGCCTGGCCGGCCCAGTCGTCGACGGTGAGCGCGAGGTGGTGCGCGGTGATCGTGCACGCGACGGTGTCGCCGAGGCTCTTCACGCACTCGACCGCCGCGCGCGTGGTGGCGTGCTCGAGCACGATGCGCAGCCGCGGGAACTGGGCGTGCAGCTTCCGGAGGTGGGGCAGGAACGCGGGCTCCGCGTTCAGGACGCAGGTGTTCGTCGCGGCCGAGGAGGGCACCTCCCCGTGCAGGTTGAGCACCATGCCCTCGTCCTCCATCGCGGCGAACACGGGGTAGTACGCCTCGTACGATTCGATCCCGCCCTCGGAGTTCGTCGTGACGCCGCGCGGGTATGACTTGACACCTGTGACGCGGGCGATGAGCCCGATGGTCTTTCTGGGACGGATGTGCACGGAATCGCACCGACGACGCCTGCGCGGGCGGCTCTGCGGACCTCGTCTGGCGTGAGCTCAGGGCCCAGATAGAGCGTCATCAGGTACTCGACGGCAGGATCAATCGCCTGCAGCTGGGCCCGGTAGAGCAAGGCCTGCTCCGCGTTCGTGATGGGCGGCTTGAGGTTGGGCTAGGTTGGACGGCGGAGATGAGATGGGGCCGGTGGAAGACCGGACGGGGGACGTGCCATGACATAGGCAAGAGAGAAGCCGCCTTGGCGGACGTGTTTCGTCACAACCTCTGCCAGAGGACCCTGGCGTAGGTGGACATGGAAGTCTGCGGGGGAGGCCACCGAGATGGTTTCTGAGGACATGGTCGTCGCTGGTCAAGAAACGCAGATCTTAGATTCGGCAGAAGTGGGCCAAACAAGCGCCCATTGGGAAATACCTGAGCAGGAACATCGATCATGACATCATGGAGACAGACGGACACTCCGGTCCTCTGGGTTGCTTGACCTTGTTTGCACACCTCATTCGCTGAGATACATTGCCAGGGCAGCCGCTTGTACAGCCGCGCCTTCGAACTTCGAAGCACCGTCCTGCCGGCACGTATACCGTGTTCTACGGGGGTATGACGAGACAAAGTCTTCCTCCGCAGTGTAGAGTGCTTGGCTAATCTTGATTATAGGACACGTCGTGGAATTAACAGTCGAACTTCGCTTGGGGTGCCGCTCTCGCCGCCGCGTTTTGCTTTGCTTCGGTCCACCATGGTCCCTACTCTACCCACCGAGATCATACATCTCATCATCGAAAACCTCAGAACGGCTCTGGAAGAGCACACCCTCGCGTCTTGTTCTCTCGTATGCAAATCCTGGAGATCCTTCGTCCAGCCCCTTCTTTTCCAGTACGTGAGGCTGTGTGTCACAAAGCCTCTTGACCAGTTCCTTGCGTTCCTCAAAGCTTCCCCACACCTCGCCGCGGCTATCCGTATCTTGAACATATGGGCTAACATGCATCCTACGACGATGGTGATCGACGCTGAGTCCGGGAAATGTCGTCTATCCCCCATCCTACTCTTGCAAGTCGCGGCCAACCTGCCTCTCAGATCTCAGCGCCGAGCTCCAACTCCAAGGGATTACGCTCATCGGATGGCCCGATGATATTCCCCTTCCAACAACGCCGGTGAGACTTCACAGGCTGAAGCTCCACTTCCTTATTCGCTCATTCACAATGCATCTCTTACGATCTCTTCAGCTTCTTCGAACTCGATGAACTCGACGTCGCCGATAGCCACACCGATGAGTTTATCAACCCGACAGCGGCATTGGCGGTTGCCCTACCAGCCGAGACGCGACCCATCGCGCGCAGCCTCGAGATCATCGGCGTGGACGCCTTCGTTATGCGCAACCTCTTGTATGGAGGGCTCCATCCAGACCATCTCGCCACCGTACGATTCTTCCCCACAGACGGTGAATCGTTGGGGCTTGCCAGGTTGATCCTCCGTACTCAGGGCGCAGGCGTGCTCAACATCGAGCTCTGTATTTCTCACATCATCAACTTCGAAGGACCCCAGGATGCTAGTAAGTGTTCGCGCCGCCCCATGTGTTTCTTGCGGTCCGTGGATCCTCAGCACCACCTTCCACAGCATTCTGGGACGTCTTCAGTATGTCCTCATGCACACGCCTCGAAACGCTGAACCTTTCCTGCAGGCACCTCATCCCCCGAGTCCAGGAAGCGCAGGGCCATGATGGTGTCTGCGCTGCATACCTCGCCACTCTTACCTGTGTGACGCCGCGGACCCTTGCCGCGCTCATATTCGATCTGCCGCATACGAACTCCGCTGAGGCGTTGTCTTGCGTCATGCGCCACCTCGTTCCGCCGATCGAGCAGGCCGTCGCGCGTTTCCCGGGGCTGCGAACGCTCACTTTGGTGGCACTGGTAACGCGGTCGCTCACGGCGGAGGAATGTATGAATGCTATGCGCGGTACCCTTCCGGCGAGGATTATGGACGGTGGGATGCTTAGGTTCGAATACAAGGATGTAGATTGATGTGAGCTCCATTCCCTGCATCCGTGTCTTTGAAGATAGTTCGTCTAATATTTAGTACAGGACGTGATATATACAAGGCTGTCGTTCATACTGAGTTACCTGGTGCGGGCTTTCTACCCTACACGACTCGGATAGCCGTGTTGATAGGCATTTCTGCACACGCAGCGTTTTTTTCAGCAATTTACGCGCTGGCAGGTACTGACCTCTCGGTGTAGGTTGTGTATGGGCTTTGTACTGGCTTTGCTAAAATTCCAGATGAGCTAAATCTGCTGCCCCGTTTTCGATCGAGCGTAAGTAATCTAGCGCCCAGTACTTCAAAGGCACGATCTAGCGCCCGTCGGTATTGCCTGTATTTACCTCATCCCGCCATGGTACCCCTACCGCCTGAGATCATGGACTTCATCATCGCAAGTACGCACGATGAAATGTCTGCAACATGGGTGAACGAATGGGCCCTGAAATCATGCTCCCTCGTTTGCCGATCCTGGAGGCCGCCCGCCCAAAAACGACTTTTCAAGGATGTGTGGCTCAATGTCAATACTCAAGACCCCGACGATTTCCTCGCATTCCTCCTATCCTCGCCGCATCTAGCTGCAGCCATACGGAACCTGTGTCTGTTTTGGGGGGAGCTTCGGTGGTTCGAAGTTCTCGAGGATGATGCTGATATCGGTGAGAAGTCCGAAGACGATGAGGACGACAAGCCCGAAAACTGCCCATTATCCCCCGTCTTGCTCATGGAGGTCGCGGCCGCACTGTCTCCCATGGCTGTCGTCCAACTGGAGGATATTTCCCTGCTCGGGTGGCCCAGCGATACTCCCCTCCCCACAGCGCCCGTGAAACTGCGTGGACTAGAGCTCAGCGGCGTTATATACACGCCAGAGCCATTCTCTCTCCGCTCTCGCACCACGGCTTTCGATATCTCAAGTTTCTTCGAGCTCGATACAATCTTCTTCTCGAAGGGGCGAATGGCGGAGCCGATCCACTCTGCGGTTTCATCGGACGTGCCACTGGTCTTAACAGCCACCACGCGGCCGGTTGCGCGTACCGTCCAAATTAAAGGCACTGATTGCTTCGCGGCCTTCAACCTCCAGTGCGGAGGATTCGATCCCGGACGCCTGGAAACCTTGCGTTTCTCTCTGACAGATTCCGCCACGCTGCGGTTCGCCGGGGCGCTGCTCCGCCTCCACGAAAACAGCGTACACAACGTCGAAGTAGCGGTCAGTGTGAACTACGTCACCGCGACTCATGAGCGGCCAGAGGTTGCGAGTGAGTCTTTGCCGTCGCTTCGTGGATCTTGCCATTACAGTTGCTAACGTGCGTGTTATCTCTAGGCTTTTGGGAGGTCTTCGGCCTAGCATCATGCACTCGCCTCGAGTCCCTGGATTTCTCTTGGTTCCATGATACTTACGGCACACACGAAGTGCAGGTCCCCGAGACTCAGACTTACGAGACATTTAGCACCCTCCTCGCCTCCACACCACCGGCCCTCAACAGACTCAGATTCACCCTGCCACACACCGACGCAGTGCAAAACCTAGCGACCTTTGCCAGTATTCTGCGAAGCCTGGCTCCACGCATCGAGCAGGCCGTTCAGAGACACCAAGGGTTGCGAACAATCACAGTTAGGGTCATGGGGCTGTTTGCGGCTGACGAGTGTACGAGAGTAATGGATACCGCACGGAGTACGCTGCCGACGAGGCTCCTGGATAGTGGGGTGTTGCAGATCGAGCTCCGGATTTCCCCTTTCTGTAAGTCTTGCATTGATCCCTATGGAAACGATGGGCGAGCTGACAGGCTACCATGCAGGATATGTGGTGGTATGAACTACACAGTTGTTAAGCTAATAGTTTACTGCGTTGAAAGTATCATCAAGTTGAAGGCTCGTCCGTGACGGTGTGCACCCTACTGTCTGTGATCACGTACCCTATTTCCCGTAAGTTCACGTTGTGAACAAACCAAGACGGCCCTTCATGTACCTTAAAACAATATCGTAGCATTTATCTGTCCACAGTCCAGGCAAGAGTGTACTCCATCTGCGCCTCATGCTCTTCCGGGTTCTCCGAGCAGAAGGGGTAGACGCCCTGCAATGGAGCGGTCACGTGGTGAAGAGGGCGACGCGACGGCGCCTGTGTGGCACGCGGCGAGTTGGTTTGGTTCGACTGGCGGGGCGCGGTCGCGAAGTTGAACAGACCATCCACATCCACCTCCTCATCCTCGGCCACCCCCGCGCTGCCACCCTGGGCCACCTACACTAACTCCCGCGCCCTCCCCTTCCGTCCACAATCATGGCCGCTGCGGGCTCCATCACCGTCGCAGGTGTGTGGTCTGCCCTTTGTTCTGCTCCTTCCCAATTGCAAGGAGCGCCATTGAGCACCAACTGACTGTATGTTCCACAGTCCGCGTGCGCCCTCCGACATCATCAGAGGCTGCTCGGCTACCCCAGGTAGTCCACGACACCTTCATTCGCAGCGATGGCGCCCTCTCCACCCCCGGGCGCGTCGCCAACACCTCCACACTCCGCGATATCGTAGAGATCGTCGACGACCGCGTCCTGACGTTCGACCCGCAAGAGAAGGACCAGACGCGTGCATTTGTTGAACGTGGCTTCCTGCCCCCGGGGACGAAGCGCTACAAGGACAGGCGGTTCATCTTCGACCGCGTATTCCGGAACGATGCATCGCAGCAAGATGTGTACCAAGGAACGGCGCGGCCACTCTTGAGCACCCTGTTGGACGGGTTCAACACGACTATCTTTGCCTACGGTGTGAGCAGAACGTTTGCCGGTACGTCGTGTGATGTGCTGACGGTGCCCTGGACGCGCGTATAGGCCACCGGATGCGGCAAAACACACACCATTAGCGGGACGGACGCCGATCCCGGTATCATCTACCTCACAATGGCGGACCTCTTCCAGGAGATCGAGGACCGCAAAGACGAATACAACATAGACGTCGCCGTTACATTCTTGGAAATCTACAACGAGGAGATCCGCGACCTCCTCTCAGAGCCGGGTACCCCGCTACCACGGGGTGGGCTGCAGATTCGTGAAGACAAGAATGTCAAGGTCGTTGGCCTGACCGAGCTCAGGCCAGCCACAGCTGCCGAGGTCAAGGAGATTGTGCTCCTCGGCAATTCGCGTCGGACGCAGAGTCCAACACACGCGAACGAGACCAGTTCCCGGTCGCACGCCGTCCTGCAGGTACATATCACCCAATCCCCACGAACAGCGGCTATGACAGAACTGCGAACTATGGCAACACTCTCCATCATCGATCTTGCGGGCAGCGAACGCGCGGCAGCTACGACCAACATGGGTCAGCGCATGGTTGAGGGTGCTAACATCAACAAGTCCCTTCTTGCGCTCGGAAACTGCATCAACGCGCTCTGCGAGAGCGGCGGCGCGATCCGGCATATTCCCTACCGCAACAGCAAGCTCACGCGTTTGCTCAAATTCTCTCTTGGTGGCAACTGCAAGACGGTCATGATCGTCTGCGTCGCGCCTACGAGTGCCCATTTCGACGACACCCACAACACCCTCATCTACGCGGAGCGCGCCACGAAGATCAAGACAAAGGTTTTGACGCGCAACGTCCTGAATGTCGATCGGCATGTCGGGCAATACGTGGAGGCTATCAACCGGCTCAACCTCGAGGTCGCGGAGCTCAAGGAGAAGCTGGCCGGCAAGCGCAACACGGAGCAGGAGACAGAGAAGCGGAAGAGGCGGGAGGCCCTCCTGGAGATCGAGAAGACGAAGAAAGACCTCCAGCTCAAGGCCGAGCAGATGCAACCGAGTATCGTCGACGGCGCGAACTGCGCAGGCAAGATCACCGTTGCGGAAGCGAAGCTCAAGGTCATCCGTGCACGTTTGGCGGAGCTCGACGCGCAGGCTTCCTCTTCCTCGGCTACGCTCTCGCCTGACCTCGAAACGGAGCGGGCGCTGCTCCAGGCTCTCGCTGGTCCGGAAGAGCAGGTGCTCAAGTCGGAGAGCGCTCTCAACGTGCGCATGCAGCGGGCGAACAACTCGGGCGCGCTCTTCGAAGCCTCCCTACGTGCTCTGCAAGAACGCCGTTCGTCCGACCGCTTGGACGAGGTCTCCGTGGAGAACGTCAAGCTCGATGCTCGTTGGCGGAAGGCGGAGATGGAGCGCATCAAGTCCGAGGCCAGGCAGGACGCGCTCCGGGAGGCCGTCACTGTACAGGCACAGGCCGTCGTCAGCCTCGTCGGTCTCGTTGGGCGGTGCACGGTCATGCTCAACGAGGCGAGCAAGGCGCTCGGTGCGGCCACGGAGGACGGCCGGGATGGGCTGGAGAACACTGCAAAGAGCCTGAACTTGTCGCTGAAGAGCGTGGCTGACGGGAACGACGCGGCGTTCAAGGCACTTCTTGGTCACTCGATTGCTGCATATGCTGTCACCACAAGTCCGCAGGCGAGCATGTCTGCCCTCGGGAGCTTCAGCGGGTACGCGGCACTCGGCGTCGGCCGCGTCGTCTCCAACCCTACCATGTCACAACAAACGATCCCGAAGGTCTCGAGGCGGACATCGTCTTACGGCTCGTCCATGGGCTCCCCTCGCCGGTCACATAAGAGCCCGCGGAAATCCTTGCGTTCAAGTCTCGCCCCGTCCTCGGCACCGTACCGACGGGTCTCCGACAAGGACAAGGGAAAGAAGAAGGGTGTCCAATGGCGCGACTACGCTGGTCAGGGTGAGATCGACGATGGCGGCCAGGGATCTGTGCCCGCCCCCGCTCCCGCGCCCGTAGTCATATCTGTCACCCCCGCGGACCCTAGCTCTAGCTCGTTCTCTGCCCCTGGACCCTCGAACTTCGAGGCAGGAGCATCGTCATCTCACCGCAACCTCTCCTTGGCCGGTTCAGAAAGCGAGTGGGAGGACGAGAAGACAGACACCAGCACGGACTTCAGCCTGTTCTCTGCGCCCTCGATATCGTCAGCGGGCTCATCGTCGTCGGGCATGCTCCGCGGAAATGGTCCTCGGCGACCAAGGGCAAGCCGACTCGACCCCGGGTTCCTCAAGTCACGATCACACGGGTCTTCGGCACTGGGCAGTCTCGCCGAGGACGACGAAGAACGCGCGGCATCGATGGGTTCACCACGGCGCATCCCTATGGGCGACCGCAACATGAACCGCGTGTCCTCCCCCTCGAGCGACTCGGCCAGCTCCTCGGAGACGGCACTGGGCAAGGCGCGCGAACGCCACCATAACAGCCCCGCGAAACGTGTGCCGCTCACGCCTAAGGCCGTTGGCTCAAGCAAAGCGGGGCGGCGGCGGTCGAACATCGGGCCCATGCGCAGTGACCGGCCGCGGCGGCGTTCGAGCATGATCCCACAGCTCTCGCCGCAGGGCCGTGCGTCGCTGGGCGGTGGGTCGTCCGCGACGGGCAAGAGTACAGGAGGTGCGCGGCGCGTCGCGATGTCGCCCGCTAAGCGGACGAAGCGCATGTCGTTGCTGGCGGTGTCATCAGCACGGCTGCAGTCTCTGAGCAGCGCATCGTCGCGGAGCAAAGCGAACACTAGTATCGACCCAAACACGAGCTTGGAGCTGAGCTTCCGCGCGGGTGGTGGCTCGAGGCCGACGTGGCGGTGAGCGTTGAGGATTGGTGACTCGTTATGCTATGACTACTTTGGACGTTTGGGCCCTGCGGGCGTACGCGTGTAGAGGGCGGGTCTTGGAGGCGGGGTCCTTGCCGAGGCTGCTACTTACTAGTTTTGAAATGTGTACTCGATTTATCACGACGCGACACGACAGACTCGTCTTCGTTTTCTTGTTTTGCTCTGTTCTACTGCACCTACGCACACCCATGCATGCCTCCTCCCGCGATTCACTCTCACTTTCTCACTCTCGCTTCCCGCTCTGTCCGCGCGTCCGCACCCTGTGTTCTGTCGTCCGATTTTGAGTGTTGTAAAACTGCATGATACCCCTGCCGAATATCGTCGTTCTATTGTTGTTCTCATACCGTATGCACATCACTACTGCCCTGATTTATGGACTCTTCGACTTGCAGCTGGTGAGGGAGTCGCGAAGTTCGAATGCCGAGGCTCGGTGAGGCGCACCGAGAACGCACACCACGCGGGGCCGCAGAAGCACAGCAAGGGTCAGAAAGAGCGAGATAAATTATGCAAGACGACCATATATCCCCGTACACTAGAAGGCCCGCTTGACCTCGAAGAAAGACTGCAAGGAGGGTCAGCAGCGAACCCGTGCATAGCTGGACACGACTTACCTTCAGGTAGTAGACCTGCCATGCCACAACGGAGAAAAGGACTATCGCTTGGAGGATAGACCACCACTTGACACGGTCGTTTGTTGACTCCGCTGTGTTTCGATGGGTCCGCTCGCGGACGACGATGTATTCTTGTTCATCCTTCACGGAAGTCAACCCATGTGACAATTGACGGATTTCGCGCTCGATGGGCGAGACAATGTCTACGGGCAATGGATGGACACTTAGCTAACCTGTTTGTGAGGATAGATGAACAACCAGACGCACCTTCGTCGTCGACGTAGATGACGCCGTGCACGTTGAAGCTGTGAGACATTAGGCGGCGCGCGCCTCGCCTGCGAAAGTGACACGTACCTGACCATCTTGTCCACAACTGTGGACATCATGTTCGAGAAACAGTACTCGTGCCGTCCATCCTTCTTCGCCGTTATGGACACGGTGCCAGTCGACTGCTTTATGTGCTTTCCGAGCGCAATGTTGTCCGGGTCTGCGAGCTGCGAAAGCAGGGGGTTCGTACCGCTGTGGCGCGTGCGAGAGGGTATGGGGAGGTACGCACCCAGAAGTCGATGTCGAGGTGGCCCCCGCCTCCTACTTGGTACGTCACCGTCATCTGTGCGGCATTGTGAGCACGCTGAAGAGCCACGCAGGGGTCGCTGGGCGCACTTTGTCGTTGATATGCAGGTCCTCGAAGAAGCATTCTTTCTTCGAGGCTGGTACCTCAATCATATGCCCAGAAACCAGCAAGGGCACGACGAGCAAGAGTGCGAGCCACATATTCAAAAGCGCAGGGGTATATGGTCGTGGCATGGTCGTCGAGTGCTCGCTCAGTCGAAGTACAGTCCCAGGAGAGTGTGAGTAGCAGCGGCCAGCGACGCCTGCACAGTGCACCCAGCACAGCTGTAAAGTCACGTGCGTGCTAGCTGCGGGACCCGGGCCACCTTTGATTGCCATCTCGGGGTCCTTCTCGCGATCTGGAGAAGGGCGTCGGCGCGAGTCGAGCTCTTTCTCTACCGCACTTTTTCAGCTCTCTCCTCTCTCCTACACCCCAACTGTACCGCTCTCGCTAACGAACAATACCCACGACGCCATGTCCGAACCGACCGATGCGCTCGCCCCGAGGGTGAGTCCCCCGTCTCTCTATAGTGGTCAGGCGACCGCGTCGGTGCAATCGATGCACAGAGATCGCGCCACCCCTTACGGGCGAGGGACACGCTTGTGCTGACGACCGCGGACGCGATCTACAGGATGAGGAGCACGACCCTCATTTCGAGCCCGTGATCAAGCTCACGGAGCAGGTCGAGACGAAGACCCACGAGGAAGATGAGGAGGTCCTCTTCAAAATGTGCGCTCCGATCGCTTGCGTTCCTCGTGCCCATGCCGCGCCAGGTGCTCATGTGCGGTGTGATCCTACAGGCGCGCGAAGCTCTTCAGGTTCTCGAGCGAGTCCTCGGAGTGGAAGGAAAGAGGCACGGGCGACGTCCGTCTCCTCCAGCACAAGTCGACCAAGAAGGTCCGCCTCGTGATGAGACGCGATAAGACCTACAAGGTCTGCGCCAACCACTCCAGTGAGCACATCACACATTCTTCCTGTGATGGCAGTGAACTTAACGGACTTCATAGTCACCCCGGACATGCGCCTGCAGCCCAACATCGGCTCAGACCGCAGCTGGGTGTGGAAGGTCGCGGCTGACTACTCTGAGAACCCCCCGACCGCGGAGACCCTCGCAATCCGGTTCGCAAATGCTGAGAGTAAGTATTTCCGCCATTAGCATGCGGTGTAATTTACCTGACCATCTTGTACAGATGCTGCGCAGTTCAAGGAAGCGTTCGAGAAAGGCCAGAAGCTTAACACGGAGCTTCTTGGTGGTGCTGCCGCCCCAGAAACGAACGACGAGGCCCCCGCCGCGGAGACGAAGGAGGAGTCCGCCGAAGAGAAGAAGGACGAGGAGCCCAAGGAGGAGACAAAGGAAGAGCCCAAGGCCGAGGACGAGAAGAAGGAAGACTAAACATACCACTGTTACCATATTTCCCATTGATATCGACATTCATCTGTGGCATACGCCCGTCCGCCGTCGACTCTGCGCCCGGCGGACGGCTTGTCTGTGTAGCACTTGCGTTCTGTAGAGGTTGGTTTGTCGGTGTGTAGCCAATATGGTGTATATCCGCATTTTCGCCCCTTTCGTATGATGTGCCAATTACAGTGCGCTCTTGCATCCACCCACTCGCCCGTCCACCGCATATTTGATACAACAGCGTGTTTTACAACAGTCAACAAAGTTCCTTGCGAAGTGTCATTGGCTGGCCGCCAGCGTCAGCGTAGATGCCCTGTGTAGATCGCCTCCTCTTCGTTCCATGCTTTCCAAGATTCCTCAGCCTCCCCCTGGTCTGCACCCCAGTAATCTGGCGGCGCTTCACCCAGTACAGTAGCCTCTCGAATGAGGATGTGCTTGATCCACTGCATCGAAATGAATGAGTGCCTTCATTCGCATATCATTGTTACGAACACCTACCGATCCACTGAACAGACACCCAAGTCAGCACGCAGAAAGTAAAACGACAATTGGAGCTACTCACGGTGCTTCGTACATCGGATCCAACAACAGTGATTCCTGCGAAACGTGATGAGGCCCCACCTACAAGCCCATTGATCAGAGAGACCGCAGCCTACCATGATTCCTCGCAGTCCTCGGGCGCCGCCTCCCCTGGTTGCAGCTTTCTTGCAGATCTGGTCGAGCGCGGCGTTGGTGAATCGGAGCTCTATCCCCGAGTAACCGAACAACGCGGTGTACTGCGAGAGGAGAGAGCCCTTGACCTCAGTCAGCACCCGACGCAGGTCCGCCGGCGAGAGCGGAGTGAGTGTCGTTATAGACGGCATCCGCGAGATGAACTCGGGAATGAAGCTGTTTGATATTAAGCATTGGATCACAGTTAGAAGTATTACGTCGACTGACCCAAACTTGACAAGATCTGAAACGAGAAACGAATGTGGTCATCTCATAGTGGTAAATTGAATTGGGAGAGAACACGTACCACCCGGCTGCACATGCTCGAGGAGGGTTGTTGGCGCGTTGACATTCGGAGTGAAGAATGGCATGTCAGATGCGGCGGATTTGGGCGGAGGTGTTGTTGCCAGATTAGCGGTGAAGCCAATTGACTAGGGAGAGCAAGTGCTGGTCAGTATCGAGATTGCACTCGCGTAGAGAGATTATTGCCATACCCCTTTAGCCATCCGTTTCTTGATGATATCCTCCAGGCCCACGAATGCACCGCTCAGAATGAAGAGAATATTGGAGGTGTCTACCGCATACGATTCTGGCCACTCTAGCTCGAGATCAGTAACTATGCAGTGTGTGTCGAACATGCACTCACGAACGGGAGACGGCATACCTTGCCGTGCGCCTCGCGCGCCCCCCGTCGGGGACTGCATGGAGGGGCCCTTGGCAGGGACGTTAACGACCGTACCCTCCATGATGCGAAGCAGAGCTTGCTGGACGCCCTCCCCGCCGACGTCGCGCGTCGATTCTGGGCCCGTGGACTTGCGAGCAGCTTTGTCTACTTCATCGATGTAGATGATACCCATGCTGTGGTGGAATTCCGTGATCAGTGGACAGCTGATGGTTACATCTGACGTCCTCACTTCGCTTTGTACGGATCCCAGTTGGCTGCTTGCAGCTGTGCAGTCTCATGTGGACTTTGTCTAAGGCCTCAAACACTGTAGGTACTTACTAGCCTTTGGACGCACATATCTACATCGTCTCCGACATCTGGTGTGCGTCAGGAATGATCGTTTGACTTTGCAGCCGTGGAGAAATACGCACATCCGGCCTAAATATTCGGAAGCGCGTCTGGCAACTAGGTACGTTCAAGAAACTTCTGCCACTTACCTGTGTGAACGTGGTGGCGTCACTGACTGAGAAAGGCACGTCCAAAACCTTCGCGAGAGTCTTTGCCAGCAAGGTTTTCCCTAGACGGCGTGAGCTAGGCTTACTTAGCTTCAACAGCCAGACGTCCTACCTGAACCTGTGGGACCGCTGCGAATCCGGAACAATTGAGCTCAAGAATCTGTACTGATTGCTCAGGAAAGTACAGAAGGACACACATCACCAGTACGTTGCTCTTCTCGAAGACAGGCAAAGGTGTCCGGGGCACGAGTGGTGATTCCGCGGAGTACGTGTCGGCTTGCGCCCCCAAGGTGCTGACTGTATCCACAGCATATGAGCTGAGGGTTCTTGAGCTTCACTGGAAGCATAGAATATACGACCATTTGTTGATAAAAAGGACGACCTGCTCAGATGTGGTGGTTCGTCGTAGTACATGGCCCTGATGTTTGCTTGCACCCGCGTGTAGTGGTTGTACACACTTTACGGAGTGCAACATAAGCTTAAGGCTCTGCCGCACGCGAAAGCATCGAGGAAGGTCTACGTACGCCACCGAGAGCACCTTCTTGGCGTTCTCCTGACCTATCACGTAGTCATTAAGATATTTCACCAGCTTCGGGACGTAAGCAAGCAACACGATAATGCTGATTGACTCTCTCTACCTGACGAGGTGTCGCTAGTGCCATCGGGCTAGGACCATACAGGGAGTCGCCGGACAGATCGTCTTGCTGCGTGTACCGGCGGGGTTGCGTACGTACGGATCGCGCGAAGACCCGAGAGCGAGAGAGCTTCAAGGGTGCAGCAACGCGACAGCAGCAGCTCAGTGCTGTCGAACGGCCGTTCAGCATGGCAGCGGTACGAGAGCAAGCAGGACGGCTGCCCACACATCCCGACCGGCACCTCCTGGTCTTGTACGTACGGTCAATGCGGACCGGTGGGCCCGACAGCTTGCTGTGCGTTTGGCGCCCATTGACGCTCCGAGCTTGACCTTTACCACCACCGCCGCCGACGCTATAGTGCTCAAATTCCTCCGCCTGCTCTCGCTATACATTCCACCGCAAATAGGGACTACGAAATGGGTAGAGACCGCTCTCGCTCTGTGACTCCAGACCGCAGGGACCGTGATCGTGACCGTTACCGCGACAGGTCTCCTCGCGCGCGATCCCGAGACCGCGAAGGACGGAAGGAGTCGCGCAGGTCTGACGGAAAGGACGGAGAACGCGACCGCCCCCCTCGTAGTAGGCAGCGTAGCGTGAGCAAAGATAGGGACCGCAAGTCTCACCGGCGGCACAGAGATAGAAGTGGCAGCTCGGAGCGGGATAAGAAGAAGTAAGTCTTGCCAACAAGCGTCACTTTGTGCACGCATTGATGTTGTGTAGGCGCAAACGTGACAAATCCGAAGACCGGAAGGCTCGAAAGGCTGAGAAGAAGCGAGCTAAGGAGGAAGAGGAGGCCCGGCGAGTCGCGGAGTTGAGCGTGTACAGCGCGACTGACAACCCCTTCCACGACGTCAACCTTGACCAGCAGTTCCGCTGGCACAAGAAGAACGAGAAAGAGAAGAAACAGGGGCTGTCCCTTGAGGAGTCGCAGCGGAGGGATGCTCTACGCCGACAGGAAGCTAAAGAGGAGCTGGAGCGGCTGAACAAGAGGCGCGCTGAACGAGAGGCAGAACAAAGGATACGCGAGGAGGAGGAGATCAGGATGCATAGGCTGCAAGAGTCTGCTCAGATGTCTGAATGGCTCGGGAAGGAGGAAGACTTCCAGCTGGACCAAGAGCGCAACAGGGCCATGATTCGTATCAAGGAGAAGAGGGCGAAGGCCATCGACTTCCTCGCGTTGAATCTGCGCTACGTCAATCCCACCACCGAGGAGGAGGGCGATGATGATGAATTGACCAAGGAAGGTCTGGAGATTGACCTCGACGAGCCGTATACCATTGTCGACGTATGTGAATCTAACTTCTATGTTACTGCAGTGTCGATTCTAACTCGCTTGTAGAGCCTTACTCCCGAGCAAGTAGAGGAGCTACACGACGATATTGAGAAGTATCTTCGCCTCGAGAAGTCAGAGTCGAGTCTCGAGTTTTGGACGGTATGGTCCCCTGCCGCTGGTTCAATATCATCACTAACTTGCCCCACAGAACATGATGGTAGTTACAAAGGATGCGCTAGAGCGCGTGAAAGCTTCACGTAGAATGGGCGCCGCGGCCGCAGCCGCAGTCGAGTCCGATATCTCTGCTCTGCTGCAGGGCAAGTCATACGATCACCTAGTGCAGCTGCAAAAGCAGATACAAGCCAAGCTCCTCAGCGGGGAACCCATAGACACAGACTATTGGGAGAATCTCCTACAGAAATTGCTCGTGTGGAAAGCAAAGGTAGGATCAAAAGTCCATGATATTTACGGTATGCTCAACATCTCGTCAGGCCAAGCTTCGGACTTTCCACGAGGTCGTCGTCCGCAACCGTCTTGAACAGCTCCGGAAGCGGCAGCGGGACGAAGCACTTCAGGCTCAGGAAGAGCTATTGGCTGGCGTCGCGAGATCCGCTCAGAGGGGTGACGCCCGAAATGTGATTCCCGCAGAAGGCGTGGAGAAGGAAGTTGCGGAGGACGTCGAACCCTACGACCGCTCAATGAGCCCGCAATTGGTAGACATCCGTGATTTGAAGCACGACGAACGAGAGATGGACATTCTCACGACAATCGAGGACCTCCGTTATTTGGTATGCAGATATGGGCTCTTGTACGATGAGGTGCTTATACTCTATCGTAGATGCAACAACGCCGCAATGTTGCAGGATCTCGGTTTATCGCCAAGCCGGTCGAGGCACCCGCCGAAGAACAGGTTGTCGAAGCCCCGAGCAACGCAGACCTCGCGGAGGCCCTGTACCGCGCTGAGGCCGAACGGGAGCTGGATGAAGAGGAGGAGCTCTTCAATGTGGAAGAGGCGATCAATCGCACGACCGCATACAACTGGGAGGACAAGCATCGTCCGCGGAAGCCCAGGTACTTCAACCGTGTCCACACCGGTTACGAGTGGAACAAGTACAACCAAACACATTACGAGTACGTATCATCTATACGCTGCCATTCAGTCGACATGCTCACCCTGTCGCAGTACGGACAACCCTCCTCCCAAGGTTGTGCAAGGCTACAAGGTGATTAAACCGCCATGACACCCTGTAGAATATGTACTGACCTCCCTCTATAGTTCAATATCTTCTATCCCGACCTCATCGACAAGTCGAAGGCGCCGACATACAAGATCATCAAGGAGCCCGGCAACGACGAGACAGTCCTTTTGTACTTCAGCGCTGGCCCTCCATACGAAGATATCGCGTTCCGGATCGTCAACCGCGAATGGGAGTTCTCTCACAAACGGTACGTCCCTTTTGTGACATGGACACTCCAGAGATTCGCAATATGCTCAACTGGCATGCAGAGGGTTCCGGAGCAGTTTCGACCGGGGATGTCTCTCGCTTTGGTTCAACTTCCGTCGGAATGTGAGTACCATAGCCAATTGCTACGCGTATATCTTACTGACTCCAGGCTTTAGTTCTACCGCAAGTAAGACTGCTGGTCGTATTTTTTTGGACCTGCTATGTATTATATTCTGCCCAAATGTCGTCGTTGTGTTGTGGAATACTGTACATATTGCAATTGCAGACATGAGCCTCGCGATCGACTATGAAGCGAAAGCCAAGATAGACGCCGACCTTGACTCGATCGCGATTCGCGGGAAACGAGATCCTCTCACTCCAGCCTCAGATCTTGCTCTCTCATACCCTCCTCTTTCTACTGCTTGTCTGTGCTACATCTTAGCTTGCTCACTGGTGTAGCTACAAAACTATGCCGACCGTCGCGTGCGATAAGGAGGAGCTATGGCAGAGACTAGGGCGCGCCTACTGTATGTGCAAGCGAGAGTACTCCGAGTCTCATACCTTCTGCTGATTTTGGACTGTAGCCGCGGATGAGTTCGATCGCCTACTCTTCGAGTTTGGCCTCGAGCTGGACGAGGACGTACGTTCATTCTAGTCACGCAAACTTGATTGCGTATCTCAGCACAATGCTCCCAGACCACCGAAGAAGTAGAGGCATTGAAGAAGAAGGGGCTCCCGGCTGAGCGTCCAGTGCGTGCCACTTCCCTCTTGTGGATCCCTATGCTAATGTTTATGATCATAGCAACTCAAAATTGAGATTCCTGCGAATCGGTCAGTCCTCAGCTGAGCATGCCCTGTGCACCTGCTGAAGATGCATATGTAGATATGACCTCCTCTGCATCGAAGGCATCGCCCGTGCGCTGCGAGTATTCCTTGAGCTCGACAAGCCGCCTCAATACAAGCTCGCCTTCCCTCCTGGTGGCGAAGCCGACCTGCTCACTGCCACTATAGAGCCGGAGGTCCGTATGGCTCATGGGGGGCTGCTGCGACGACGGCTGACCCTTCGCACGCACGCTATAGACTGCGAAAATCCGCCCGTACTTCGCATGCGCCGTGCTCCGCAACGTCAAGTTCACACAGCTGTCATACGACTCGTTCATCGACCTCCAGGACAAGCTGCACCAGAACCTCTGCAGGCGGCGACAGTTCGTCGCCATCGGCACACATGATCTTGATACCATCCAGGGACCTTTCAGGTATCGGGCACTACCTCCCAAGGACATCAAGTTCGCGCCTCTAGGGAAGTCGCAGGAGTACACGGCGGAAGAGCTTATGACCGTCTACGAGGTACGCAATAAATGAACTCCTGGTCTGCTTAACGGGTATCGACCTTCTCGCAGTCAGAAAAGCACCTCTCGCGTTATCTGCACATCATCCGGGACTCTCCCGTGTACCCCATCATCTACGACAAGAACGATGTCGTATTGTCCATGCCCCCCATCATCAACTCCGAACACAGCAAGATCACGCTTAACACGCGGAATATCTTCATTGACGTTACCGCAACGGACGAGACGAAGCTGCACATCGTCACGAACATCATCGCGACCATGTTCTCCGAGTACTGCGCGGAGCCCTTCACGTACGTCATGAACAATTCCACAGCAATATTCCACGCTGATTACTGTACACTAGGATCGAGCCAGTCAAGGTCACTCGCCCCGACGGAACCACTCAGCTCACCCCCGATCTGAAGTACCGGTCTGCCACGGCGCACGCATCCTACGTGAACTCATGTACAGGTCTCCAACTGGATGCGCCTGCAGTAGCCAAGCTCCTCGAGCGCATGACACTGACGGCGACGGTTTCCCCGAACGAGTCCGACGAGGTTACTGTCCAAATTCCGCCCACACGGCCGGATATCCTTCACGAGTGCGATCTTATGGAGGACGCCGCGATCGCATATGGCTTCAACAAGCTGCCCGACGCGTTCCCTACAACGAGCACAGTCGCGCAGCCGCTGGCGATCAGCAAACTCAGCGACATCGTCCGTCTTGAGTGGGGCCTAGCAGGCTGGACCGAGGCGCTCCCGCTCATCCTGGTACGTTCCTCACAGAGTGTTCCCTTCCACCCCACCTAACGCATCTCCACACAGTGCTCACACGAAGAGAACTTCGAGTGGCTGAACCGCAAAGACGACGGGAAGACGGCCGTGCGCATCGGGAACCCGAAGACGCTCGAGTTCCAGGTCGTGCGCACGTCCCTCCTGCAGGGCCTCCTGAAGACGATCCGCGAGAACCGCTCGCGTCCACTCCCGATTCGCGTGTTCGAGAGCGCGGACGTCGTGCTCAAAGACCCCACGCTTGAACGCCAGGCACGCAACGTGCGCCACGCCGCGGCCGTGTGGTGCAACAAGACCGCCGGGTTCGAGGTCGTGCACGGCATGCTCGACCGCATCATGCTCATGCTCGAGGTCCCGCGCATCGCGGGCGACGACGCCGCGGCCCCGACTGGCTACTACATCAAGGAGCGCGACGGTACGTAACACCCCCACCTTCAGATTGGGCTGCGTCTGTTTCTGTTTGCCGTGTGGATGCTGATCGACGTGTGTGCGCGCAGACCCGACGTTCTTCCCCGGGCGCGCGGCGACGATCTACTACCGCCCGCCGAAGAGCGCGAGCGGGCTGGCCACGTTCAAGCGCACGCTCAAGGCCGCGTTCAACGACTCGGACGACCTCGAGGTGGGGGTGCTTGGCATCTTGCACCCGTCCGTGCTCGAGAAGTTCGAGATCACGTACCCGTGCTCGGCGGTTGAGTTCAACCTCGAGCCGTTCAAGAAGGAGCTGCAGACGGTGTTCGCGTAACGCAGTCCGTGCGGCCGTACCGGGGAGGCAGGACGAATGAAGTGTAGAAGTTGTCATATATGTACCTCGTCGAATGAAACGTTCGCTCAATCTCCACCTCCGTCGCGCGCGCACCCGTGAGCTGCTCAGAAATATAGCGGAGTCATCTAGTACACGGAGATGTATATTACAGGGAACGAACGTCGCCCGAGCAGCTTCTCGCAAAAACACATTCACACAGAGATAGGATGCAGCACGCCGGGGTAGATGGAGATGGAGAGAGAGGTATCCAAGCCAGACATGTCCAAGATGAATAAGTGAGATTAGCACTCCTCCGGCGTCGCAGAAGAGCAGAACGTATGCAAGACCGCAACATCCTCCCAACCGCCCCAGGTCGCGAGGCCCGGGGCCCAGCCAAACGCCCCCGCGCTCTCATAGCAAGCCTGCTGAGCGCAGGTCCTGGTGCAGCCGCGCCTCGTCGGCGTACGCACGCGCGAGCCGCTCGTTCCGCTCCGGATTCGACGGGTCGAGCGGGAGGACGTATGCGTTGCGCGTCGGCTGGGCGTCGTCGTCCTCATCGTCCTCGGCCGGTTCGGCGTTCGCGGCCGCAGAGAAGCCAAGGCCGGAGCGCAGAAGCGAGCCGTCTGCGAGGCCGTGGAGCCCGAAGGCCCGCTCGATCGAGTTCAGAATCGCGGCGGAGCGGGCCTGCTCCTCGGGCGTCGCGGGGGCGGGGGACTCGCCTTGTGATGCAAGGATGCCACGCTCCCACCGCTTGACGCGCCAGAAGCCGAGGACGGAGGTCAACAGCATGAACCAGCCTAGGCGCAAGATCAGTATACCGCTACTATGTGAGAGAAATTAGCAACTTACCGATGGTCATGAGCAGGAACGACAGCCACTCGGTGGTGGCATCGGGGCTGATGTATCCGTCAGTCGGGATATCTGCGGTAGGGGTCGGCGGCGCGGTCGCTGTGAGGTTCAGATTGCTGTAGTACGCCTCCGCCTCCGCAGCGGTGGCAAACGTTGGGCGAGGCTCCTCTGGCTTCCACCCGCCCCACACGTCCTGCTGGTCGGACACGTACGCTTCCTTGCTCCGCAGCGCGAACCCGTACTGGATGAGCGTGATCCCCAAGCCAGCGCGCGAGCCGAACTTCGCGGCGTGCGTCGTGTGCAGCAGGTACGTGAGCAGGAAGCCGACGAACTGGAACGAGATCGACACGAGCATGTTCCAGAGGAAGGAGAACAAGCTGCCGGTGGGCAGCGAGTCGATGATCACGTCCCCAGGCGTGTTCGACGCCGACGGCGCGTGGATCGTCGTCTCCCAGTACGGCGGCACCGCGTCCGCCTGCGCCTGTGCGTACGACGGCGGGACCTCCTTCTGCACCTCCTCGGGCACGATAAGGACGTCGTCGCCTACAAGTACCAAACCAGGCACGAATCAGCATAGATGGACATCACCCCGGATATACACACGCACCATCCTGCACACGTATCCCTCTCGACGGTTTCGCCGTCACATTGGCGAACACACCGTCGTTGGAGAACCCGCCGCCGACCGGGCCCTGCGGCCGCTCGTCCGCCAAGCCGAGCCGCTGCACGTAGTGCGTCGGCAGCACCGCCTGCGCCGTCCGCCTGAACCACCCGTTCGCGCCGCGCGACGACGCCGACGGCGCCGCATCCGTCGCCGACTCCTGGAACGCCGGCACGAGCCCGTTCGAGTTCCCGAACTCGTTCGGGAGGGCCCGCGCGGATGGCCCGGGGGGCGAGCCCGGCGGCGGGCGGATGTAGTCGAAGTCGGCGTTCTCAAAGTCGTATGCGCCAGGAGCTGCGGCGCCCTGGTGGTGGCCGACGTCGTGTGAGTCCCGCGTAGGGTGTTCGGGCTCGGCGTTGGACAAGGCCTGGTAGCCGTTGCGGCCCCGGGCGGTTAGAGGCTGCGGGCCGTCGTCATCGTCGTCCGAGTCGTCGAACGCGGCCTCCATCTCGTTTATCGCATCTGGGTCGGTGTGTGGGTTCGGTAGTGGGGCATAGCGTGCAGGCATAAGGGAGAAATAAAGAGGAAGCAAGGGAGGGGGAGGGAGGAGGACGTCGCAGGCGGTGAGAGACAGAGTCGCGCGATGGGGCCGCGCAGCGTAGTGCGGGCAGTTAGGCGCCCTGATTACACCTCCATCTATACCTGCCATATCCGGACATGCCTCGCCCCGTCCAGCCAATCACAGAGCTGCATCTGTTTATCTCTGTAGACGTTGTGGCGCCTAACCCAAAGGGGGAGCTTTCCTATTGGCCAGAGCCTAGATCGTTCAGAGACCGTCCTCCAACTGAATCCTCTGCTTCCACCAATCTTACCGGATGCCCCTTGGCATCTTCTTTGACGAACAAGAGATGTGCAACCGCTGCCCACGCGCAACGCACAGGACATTTATCACCGAAGTCACTAATCATATATGCACTGCATGGTACTGCGATACAAGCAACGGATAGAACACGACCGCCACTACGCCCATCTACTCCGGAGACCTCGCTTGAGGCGACCGGGATCGACACCATAGATGTCATCCATAAATCAGCAACGTCGCAACCATCGGCTGGCGAGGTGGCCCGGAGTGCTCTCCGGGCGCTCCGTCGCGGTCTCCGACTGGTGGAAGGAGCGGACGCGCGCGCTGCACGCAGTCGAGGCGAGTCGCGCTCGACCGAGGCACCGACGGGGTATAAGTCCGGCTCCAGATGCGACCGCCTGCCGGGAAACGTGTTGTCAGCATCACAGCCGGTGGGAGGGTGGTATGCACCAGGAGCCAGGAACGTACCTGGCAGGCTAGCGCATGTACAGGTCCTCCCTGCTCGCACTGTGGCTCTGAACGAGGCGCTGCACGCGCTGACAGCTCTCCATCCGCGCATCCATGAGCTCCGAGAACATCTCGAGGATCCGGGTGGCGGGCTCGGTTGGGGGTGCGCGCGTCGGGCGACGCTTGCGCTGGTGGAGGGCGACGCCCTCGAGCTTGAGACGCATCATGTTCTTCCGCCGCATCCACCGGTTCATCGCGGCAGAGCGGGAGGGTGGAGGGATGGTGGCGTCGGTCTCCATCTTTACGACGGGGGAGTCGACGGCGGTGGCGTCGGACATGGTAGATGATGCGGGGGAGAGGGCAGACTGGGTGGAGGACGAGGGCGAGGGTGCATCCGCCGCAGCGGGACCGTCGATGCCCTTGGTGAGGGCGAGCTCAAGAGCTGCGCGGGTGTGGTGGGCCCAGTACCGTTCTTGCTGGTAGAACTGCTCGAGGGAGTCGAGGAGGCCGACAGCGGGGTGCTGTGTGTGGGGCGAGGTGGGGGAGTGGGGAGGGGTGGGGAGGCCGCCGTCGGGGGAGGGGGAGCGGTACTTCATGTTGTGTGGTGGGCGGGGTGGGGGAGTGGGTGAGAGAGAAGGGGCGTTGATAGTGGGGAGGGAAGGGCTGTCGCGGGTTGGCTGTCGGGCATTTTATGAGGGGCAGAGGACGAGTCTCGACTGTCTCGAGAACAACCGCACGGGAGCTTGAGCGAACGTCCAGACCAATAGCGTTCCAGACCAGGCCCTGTGAGCCAATGGGAACGCGCCATCCCATTGGCCAATCACCGGCTGATTCGAGCGGTGATTGGCTGCCTGCGAGGCGAACAGCTCGTCCGCGGAGCAGAGGCCCCTTCGCCTGCGAAGAGGAGCAGAAGAGTGAGCAGGGAAGGCGCAGAGGACATCGACATACCGGAGCGAGGCAAGAGCAGAGCCCTGCCCGTCGTTGCAACGGACAGAACACGCCCCGCCCGCGTGAGCTCCCCGCCCAACATGGACGCAGTGACGCACCCAGATCTCCGATCCTCCCCTTCGTCAGCGACCTTGCTATTCCTGGCCTCCTCCCGATCCGGCCCCGCGGCCAATCGCGTCGCAGCATGCGCGCCTACGCGCCTTCCTGGGCTGCTGCACGCTGATTCGCTCCTGCACCCCGCCATGTTCGCCCGACTCCCTCCCCTCCTCCTGTTCTCGCAGCTTGTCCTCCTCGCCCGTGCGCTTCCCGAGCTGCATATCAAACACAGGATCCTCCACCCGTCCCTCCCCGCCGCGCCTTTCGTAGACCGTGCCACTGTCCTGCTGACGGGCTCTGGGCCCACCGCCGCCGCCCGCCTCGTCCCCTCCGAGACTCTCACTGATGACCTCCGCGAATATCTCGAAATGGCCGAGGGCCTCAAGGACGCGTTATACCAGGTCGCGCTAGAGCACCCAGGCGGCCCTGAGCAGGCCCAGTTGGCCTCCTCTTCCGTCCTCGCTGTAAGCCGACCTCCCTCTCGGCCTTGTCTCTTTCTGGCTGCGGGGCTCCAGACGCCTTCCCCGCCCTCTTTCTCTCCATATGTTTACAATTGTCCCATGGTCAACCGTGGCGTGCTCGCTGTGATCAATCTGAGATATTGACCGTTGTTCCCTCTCGCCCCGCCCAGTGCCATCTGCCGTACAGCACCTCCGAGTCGTTCACACTCCACCTCGACCAGAACGGCACCCCGTTCAGCCTCGACTATTTCGTAGGGCCCATTCCGCACAACGGCGCGTGCCCGAAGAGGTCGCGCAAGGCCAGCGCGCAGTCCAGCCACGCCCAGGTCACGCTTATCGCCAACACGACCGTTGCACTTCGATCCCCGAGTTTCCCGCCTCTGTACGTTTATTTCCCCGCTCTACAAGCCCGACCCCGCGAAGCACTGCGCACGCGGGGTCGCACTACGGACACAACACGCGCCGTGATAGCGGTGATGGAGGTGGCTGATCATCTGCATACAGCCCGCAACTACGCGTACCGCCCCCCGTGACGGCCGAGGGCAAGCCCGTCGAAGCGCCGCGCGAGAAGTCGTTTATCGAGAAGTACTGGATGTACATCGCCATCGCGCTTGTGGCCATGAGTACGTGTGCCTGCTGTGTTCTCTCCGGCACGACGCTGACGGATGCGGCGCGGGCCGTGTGTTCATTACAGTTGCCGCACCGGCGCCGGCTGCTGAGGAGGGAGCGGGAGGCCGCGACCAGGGGTCTGGGGGACGTCGGTAGCTTGTGCGCCGCGTACTCGGGACAGAGGTGCCTGCTGCTGTGCGCCGGACGCTGCTGCGTGTGCATGCCGCCGGGCGCGACGGGCTCGTGAATAACGATCGGTGGCTGTTTCGGCGTGCCGCGAACGCAGCTGGACGCACCCAGGCCGGCCTCGGAGGGCTTTTGTACGTGTCGCGTGTGCCGTTTGCAACATGTTTGGCATCTGCGAACCCGCCAGGCAACAGACGCAGCGCGCGGGCGGTGCGCGGCGGACTGTATGGAGAACTCTGTGGACTGCGCCGTACGTCGCGTCCTGACTCGCTGACGGACGTGGTGGCTGCGAGCCCGGCCGAACGCGGGGCTGCAGCGGTGGGGGCGATCGGGAGCGCCGCGGCTCATTCGCTCTGGACCAAGGGCGCGCGATTCATGTTCTTCCTCGGCCAGTCTTCGATGCATATTCCGGGCCATCGCTCTCCCGCCTCTGGCCCCGCTAAGGTTCGCCTCCTCCCCTCGTGACATACGTGCCCCAGCCTGGCCAGTGCGCTGTTCGGCCGCGCTGCAGGGCGCAGTACTCGGCCGTGCAGGTATACACAGGCCTGCTTAGGCATATAGCCGCTACTTGTCCCTGCGCCGAATTTTGCGTTGAGTTCTGTGTCCCTGGACGCGCCTCCCGCGCAGTGGAGCGCAGCGCTTCTCTGATTGGCTGCCCGAGCCTGGACCGCGTCTCCAGCCACGGCGCGCGCGCGAACGCCTCTCCCTGTCACGCCACAGCTGTCCACTGGCCACATCCTGCGTACTCACTACTGTCGTTGACCTGCACACTAGAGCGCGCTGGCCAATGGACGGACGCATTCTAGTTCGCGGCGGGTGCGAAGTCCGCGTACGTGTCACGGTGACCAGGGCAGCCCGCAGCCGTCTTCTGGTGTGTTTTCCGCGGCGTTTTCCAATTGGGCTCGTGGGTGGTGCCGGCGCGTGCGATCTGATCCTATTCACTAGCTGCAGCGCTTCCGACGGTCCAGATTCGCGCTTTCGACCCGCCGGGCCTATCACCAAGCCACCTGCGTGGCTGGGCGCGCGCGCCGATTGGCTGATGGGCTGATATGTTCACGGAGGAGGTGAGATGCTCTATCGTTTTACGTACCGCGCGACCTCCGACGAGGCGCAGCGGCCGAGCGGGCGTAGCGCAAGATGAGAGGAGAGCGGTGTACATGTCCGATCGGCGTTCAAACGTTCTACGCCCCACTGACACCTTCTTACCGGCTCTTCGTGGGTGGGAGGCCTAGCTGTCGGGCTGGGGACACAAATTTCGTATGGCTCGGAAGCACTGCTGCAAGGTGTGTCGGAGTGCGGACGACTCGAGCGTCGATTCATGTCCGACGAGGGCCGCTACCACGCCGCCCGCATTGCATATGTACGATCCTGCGAAGTCCCGGGATTTCGGAATGTCATACTCCGCGAGTACGTCCGACACACCGTGCATGACGTAGGTCATCTATCACAAGTCCAGCCGGTCTAACAGCACTTCACGATAGATTCCAGGTCATCGATTTTCGCAGCCAGTGGGAGCGGACCGGGCGGGAAGTGCTTCGTCGAAGGCCGTCTCCTGCCAACAAATCACCGTCGGGTACCGTGATGCGCATCTGATAGGCTGCCGAGTGCTTCGTCGCCTGCCTAACGCCGCTGCTCAGCGGCCCCTTCGCGCTGGATGTCCATTCGTCGCGCCGGTGTGTTGGCCAGGCCAGTCGTCTTCAACACGCCTCGGAGGTTTAAATTTACAGCTGCTTAGGAAACGATAGGCCGCTTCGCAAATCCCTCACGCTCGGGCTTTTGTTTATGGGTGGAGCGGGACAAACAGGCGGCACACGTCGGCATACACAAATGCAGCAGGTTTACGGCGTAGGGCTCCGCCAGCGCTGGTGAGAGCCACGGCGAGCACCCGAGCGGCCGCGATGATTGGCTGTGATCTGTTTGTTCAGCCCCACACGATAAACAAAGCCCCAAGCACGCAGGATCTGCTCAGCGGTCTATCGATTCCTAAGCAGCTGTAGGATAGGCCTCTCAAACCGCACGAGTCCGAACTTGCATGCGCAGGCCCGGTATCTGCACCCGAAATGGACGGTGAGTACAGATGATCATTGTCGCATGGTTGCACGCATTGATATTCACATGGATTCACGGCAGGGCTCGCGTCATTGGCGAACACGAGTTGTGTATCCGGCCTCGCTGCATCCAGCTCGCGGTAGAAGCCGCGCACTGGCGGTCCCATGCGGCGTAACATGGCCCGGCAATATCCTGTGGTGCGGTGCAACGGGACGGTGTAGTAGTTCGCGCAACTTGAAGATTGGTAGTAGTCGATGGGTTTGCTCGTCCCCTCCTCCAGGATTGACGGTTTCTCCTACTATTCTGAAGGAGCGTATTTGCTGACGTCGGGCATTGATACCTGAGTCCTAGGGCACCACGCAAGGCCGAGATCGAGCCGGTGAGTTCGTTCCGCACGGTATATTGGGGAACATCCGAACACAAGTTCATGATAAATAATAAAGGCAGCAGCATCGGCCAAAAAGAAAGTGCCATGCAGCAATATTCGCATCAGTGCGCATCAACGCTGGCGATTTAGGCGGGAAGACGGTCAGTACTACCTCTCTGTAGCGGAGAAGTTGGCAGCTCACTAATCACCACACCCGCAGGTGCTTCATCCGAAGGTAGGGCGGGTCGCGGTGGGCGCAGCCCACCCCTTCTTGGCCGCCTCCTTCGCAAAGGCGGAGGCGGAGTCGAGCTGCCCGTCCATGGCGGGCGGGGAGGCCTTGCCCCCCTTGCCCTTCGGCGAGGACGACGCGGTCTTGTTGTCCTCGGCGAGGGTGCTCGTGTCGGACATGACGGACTTGGCTGCAAAAAGGGTAGCCGTCAGCGGCGTGCAGGGGCGGCAACGGGGGCGCGGGCTCTCACCGTCGTCTTTGGCGGCGGCTGCGTCAGCGGCGGCAGGGGTGCTCTCCGCCTTAGTAGCGGTGGGAGCGGCCTGTGCAGCGTTTTCACTCATACTGTGCGGTGTGTGTGATGTTCAAGTAGATGAAGAGGAGTTGCTCGAGGAGCTGGATTATCTCCCTCAGTTTCGCCCGGTATTTATGCGCGTGCGCACCTAGCAGTCGGCGCGCCCTATCCCATAACAAGTACACCAGACCAGACCGCCCCCTCACCCCCTGCCCAAGATGAGAGTGCCGCGCGCCGAACATAGTTGGCCGGCCGACGCAGCCCTGCGCCCTGGGTTTCCCCCGCCGCTCTGCGGTGGCGCGAGCCTTGGGCGGTAGCGCACGTACGGGCAGAGCGGTGGGTCCAGGGTTCGGAGTCCATCAGATTCAATGCGGCGGGTCCGACCAGGGGTGCGCAGCTATAACATGATCTGCAAGCTGAACCAACTGTGGGACGCGCCGTTTCTAGTGAGTATCTAACGTGTAAAGGAGGAGTTGTGGGCGGCCTGTGGCGGGTCGCGCGTCGGGCCCGAGCGTCAACTAAGCGGTGAGTCGGGATGTATAAGCTCGGTTGCGTGGTATGTACTCCGAGATTGACGGAATTAGCAGCGGATCCTGTCAATCTGACTGTGTCCCTTCGGCGAGCAGATGCGAACCGTAGTTGTTGGATGTGTATGTCGTAATAGGAGCTATGTACGAGTGTTCTCTAGCGACGGTCAAACTCAGTCATGCGGCGTCACCGTCCTTCGAACGCTGCGAACTCCACGCCCATCGTCCCCGCAGGGGCCCCAGGCAGCTCCGTGAATCCTAGCCTCTCGTAGAACCGCTTCGCCCCGTCGTTCTTCGTGTCAAGCCCCAACCACAACCTGCTCAACCCTCGCTCCTCCCGCAGATACGTGATCGCGCGCGCGATGAGCTTCCTGCCCCACCCCTGGCGCTGGTACTCGGGGAGAATGTCGATGTGCAGATGTGCGGGCGAGTACTCGAGCGCCGCTTGGGGAGAACGCGACGGGTTGTGCAGAATGCCGATGTAGCGCCTGTCCGCGTCCGTCGCCCCAGCGTTCGCCTCGGGCGGATACGCGTACTTTGCGCGGACGCGCGGGAACCACTCGTCCGCGGCGTGCTGCTCGAACGTCTGCGTGTCGTACGAGCCCAGGACGTAGCCGACGACCTGGCTGTCCTCTGGCTTCGCCGGGTCGACCATGACGAACCCGAATGCGGCGGGCAGGTGCGCGTACGGCTCGGCGTAGACGAGGCCGATGAGCTCGCCGAAGGTGTGGAGGTGCTCGGCGGATTGGCCGGCGGCGCCGGTGAGGAGGCAGATGCGGTTCAGCGCGGGGGAGTCGGTGGGGCGGACTTCGCGGACGTAAACATCGCTTGTGGTTGTACCAGGATCGGCCATTGAGGAGGTTACGCTAGAGAGATGCTGGTATCAACATCTTACACAAATTTCGCATGAGCCTCTATGTAAGGGCATCTTACTTGGATATGAGCGTAGGTGTTACTATCAGATAGACACTGGTCGGTCTTGCAGATATTCTCAGAAGAGATGTGGATGCTTGTACGTGTGTCCTCTGGAAGACTTTGTGGGGCACTAGTACTGGAAGATGCCCTGTGGCACGATTGTGTATTCTGGACTGCCGTCGATCTCCGCGGCGACGCCACGCGCGGGAATCATAGATACGAGAGAGGCCAGGACGTGGGCGTCTAATATGGAAATCATCCGAGTAAGGAAGATCGAGCACAGCTTGAACTTGGACGTCTTGGACCTCCATCCTCACATTCCCCTACTTCGCTCCGAAATGGTCCTCCATGAAGTAACATGTGGCCCATGTAATAGGCGAAACATATACACGATGTTACAGCCACAATATGGACCCGGATGGGACGCGAATAGGTAGAAATATTCGGTCGAGCCGGCCGGTGGTTGCAATCCCAACCGACCAGAGGCTGACTGACTACTACTACCCACAAAGGTCCTGGCTGACTCGTACCGCACTGTTCTCTCTCAGTCCCCACCATCCTTTACCTCTGCACCTCACCACGGTCGTACTACAGTTCTAGGAGCAGGCTCCACTATGCCTTACACCGACCTTCCTCCTCGGCGCTCTTCTCTCGCTCGGCGGTCCGCCAATTCACCAGAGACGCGACGCAGTTCCCGGGTGCACTTCGACGATGAAGAAGACGAGCAGCCGTCTGTCACTGACGACATCGTCGGAGGATATGAAGGGTCCTCAAACGGGGACGCAGCTAGCACCATACCTACCCCTCCACCGGCGCACCCAGCACAAGAGGATGTCGATTGGAATATCCCTGACTACCAGCACCCCGGCACTCCCCGCCTCACTGCGGATAGCGCCCGTCGTTCCCCAAACAACGTGTCCCCGCGAGGGAGCCGCAGTGACGGTCACCGGGACTCAAATGCGACCCTGTATGAAGGTGGCAGCCGGGATTCCTTCGATGTGCAAGGCGACCCGGGGAAGGAGGACCCGAAGCGCTCCTTCTCGTCGTACAATCACCCTTACGATATTCGCCCGCCGCGTGCGGCCCACACAGACTCGCCCTCCCGCCCGAGCCGCGCGAGTGTAGCTAGCGGTCCATCAGCATACAGTCAGGACGACCACACCGACAATGGCGAATCCAACAGCGGTGACGAGGACGACGGAGCTGCGTGCAACCTTGGTACGCGGGACGACCGTCATCGGGGGTACCTCTCCAACCTGATGGACCTGTACGCCAACGACAAGAAGGCTGGGAAAGAGCAGAGCGGTCCGGATCGGTCAAGGCTGTATCGTCGGGTGGCCCGCGGCAACTCGTTCGAGTCGACGATGACCACGTCAACAAGACCGGAGATGAACCGCTTCGACTCATACATGTCGAACGATTCGCAGGTGGTCGATCCGGATGACCCGACCGTCACTGGAGAACGCAAGAACAACCTCGACGATCCGGAGGACCTGGAGAAGGCTTGTATGAAGACGATGAACTACAAGGCTCGTCGCAAGCTGCGCCAGCGTATCCGGATCGAGTTCAACATTACATGTATGTACATTCCCGACTACTTTCGTGTCAACGTTTGCTAATCATTTCACAGCCGTGTTGAATCGCCAGAAGTTCCTCATGCGTCTCGCCAAAGCGTTGATGACTTTCGGAGCACCCTCGCATCGTATCGAGTCCCAGCTTCTCTCAGCGGCTCGGATCCTCGAGGTCGACGCCGAGTTCATCCACATCCCCGGTGTCATCATCTGCTCGTTCGGAGACCAGGAGACGAAGACGTCGGAAATGCATTTCGTCAAGTGCGGCGGTCGACTCTCTCTCGGCAGCCTTCATGAGGTCCATCAGATCTACCGGCAGGTCGTCCACGACGAGATCAGCGCGAGGAAAGCCACGGTGAAGCTCGAAGCCTTGATGGCTGCGAAGCCTCTCTATGGCGCGATTGTCCGCTGCAGCTTGGCCTTCTGTCTCTCAGGGCTCATCTGCGTACTGGCCTTCGGAGGCTCGTTCGTGGATATGTGGATCGCCGGTATCGGTGCTACGTTCCTTTGCCTCATGCAGATTGGCGTCGCGACCAAGAGTCAGCTGTATGCGAACGTGTTCGAGTGAGTGTCTAGCGTTCCCAACCCCGCATTGTACTGATTTTTTGACCCTCCTCCCTCTAGGATTTCGGTGACGATCATCATCTCTTTCGCTGCTCGCGGACTGAGTAGCATTCGGAGCCAAATCTTTTGCTACACCGCGATCTCTTCTGCAGGCATCGTCGGCATCCTGCCGGGCTATCTTATCCGTAAGCCCGACGTTTTCTAGACATTGTGGACCGGAACGCTGACCTATATTGGATGTAGTGAGTAGCTCGCTCGAGCTGGCGTCCAAAAATATCGTTTGCGGGAGCGTGAAGATGGTATATGCGCTCATTTACACGCTGTTCCTTGTGAGTGTCCATTATCATGTTTCCGTCCTCGTATCTGACGATACTTATAACCACAGGGTTTCGGACTTCAGATCGGCTCAGACCTGTATTTGCTCTTCGACCAAGGAGCACGCCAGAACCTGGCCGCACTGGCGGCTCGGATGATGACGGCCGCAACCATTACCGGCACCTTCGTCTCCGACAACGGGACGTTCGCGAACATCAACCACGGCGCGCCGCTCGAGGGCACGTTCACGTTCGTGAGCGGCGCGCCGTTCGTGCAGGAGCACATCATCGACGGCTGCTACCGCCCGCCGACGTTCCCGTGGTACCTGCAGCCGTTCCCGTGGTGGACGCAGTTCATCATCGTGCCGACGTTCTCGATCATGTCCTCGCTCGCGAACCTGCAGCCGCTCTGGACGGTCGAGCTCGTCGTCATGGTCGTCATCTCGTGCGTCTCGTACGCGGCGAACAAGGTCGCGAACCACTTCATTTTTAACCGCTCCGACGTCGTCTCCGCCATCGGGGCCTTCGCGGTCGGCCTGCTCGGGAACATCTACTCGCGCAAGATGGGCGGCACGGCGTTCACGTCCATGGTCACCGGCGTGCTGTTCCTCGTGCCTGTGAGTCATTTTTTCGCATGTGCGTTCCTTGCCTCGACCTGGCGCTGATGACGTCTGTGTAGTCTGGTTTGTCCCAGGCGGGAGGTATCACCGCCCAGGGGAACGGCATCGACATTGGAGGAGCGATGATTGCGGTCACGATCGGTATCACCGTCGGGTTGTTCATGAGCCAGGCCCTCGTCTATATGTTCGGCTCGCGCAAGAACGCCGCGATCTTCTCGTTCTAGTCTCCGTCGCCGCACTTTATGGCAATACAGTTTCGCCTCCGCCCTCAGGGCGTCATATACCCCCGTTATATCTCTACTACGTCATTCCACTCACCGACCTCTCTCTTATCCATATCCCGCTATGTTGTACTACCACACATCGACAGTGTATGTACCACCAGTAGTTGTGCAGACACATTCTCGATCCTGTGGTCTCTACCTCATGGAAATACACTTCTTCTATTCGTATTCGTACGCCACACCGCTTATGATGAGTACAGATAGTTCACACTGCCGTTCCTCTCTCTCCCACGCCGCCACACGCGCAGATCTCCTTCCGGAGCGTGTCGATCCTAGAAGCGTACGGCGGGCGACCGCTCGACGCTCTCGAGCGAGACCTTGTGCCCGACAAGGGTGCGGATGTTGTTGATTCCATAACTACAGGGCACGTCGGTGAGCGATGCGCATTCAACGGCGGCCGCCTCCCACGACAAGGAGCCGCCCAGGGCGATTGAGGGAGGAAGGCACTCACCGAATCATCGTCGGCCGCTCGAGGCTGATGCCCCAGCCGTGGACGTGCACGTCCTTGGGGAAGCCCATGGGCTCGAGCATCTCGGGGCGGAACATGCCGCTGTTCCCGACCTCGACCCACTTGCTCAGCTGCGGGTGGAAGGCGAAGATCTCGAGCGAGGGCTGTGCAGGGACGGGGGAAAAGTGGAGTGAGTATGAGTATATGCATGAGTATGGCGGGAGGCCCGGGGACGCCGAGACGACCGACCTCGGTGTACGGGTTGTATGCCGGCTTGAAGCGGATGTTCGTGATGCCCATCTTCGTGAAGAACACGCGCATGAAGCCTACAAAAACTATCTGTCAGCTTGCCGCTCGTGCATAAGACGTTGCTGAGGGCGCACCGATGAGGTCTGCAAGGGTCAAGTTCTTGTCCGCGACGACGCCCTCGACCTGGTGGAACTCCGCCAAATGGGTCGCGTCCATCGTCTCGTTACGGAATACCCTGTCAATAGAGAAGAGCTTCGCCGGGCGGAAGCCATCGGGGCCTGCCTTGCCCGCTCCAGGGACGGTCGAGGAGGCGTGCGCGCCCTCGCGCTTGATGGTCTCCTCGGAGTCGTCCTCCTCCCCACGACAGCGCGCGGCGAGCTTGTACAGCATGGACGCGGAGGACGCGGTGGTGTGGGTGCGCAGGAGGAGCTTGCGGGACTCCTCGTGTGACCAGGGCGCGCGGTAGCCGGTGGAGCCGTAGCCGCCGTGCTCGTGGACCTTTGAGACGCGCTCGTAGTAGTCCTTGGGCGGGGGCAATGATTCGGCGGGGTCTGTAATTCACCACGGCCACGATAAGCCCTATGTCATTGATATAGTATAAGAGGATAACTTACCGGAAAGGTAGAAGGTGTCCTGCACCTCTCGTGCTGGATGTTGCTGGGGTACGAACAGCGCGTCGAAACACCAGAAGCCAGACTCGACGAAGGATGATGTAGGCATCTCCGCGAAACTATCACAAATGGTCAGGCGCAGTGCCCTTGCGAATGTTCACAAAATGCATACCCCATCTCGAGGAAGATATTCCGGATCTCTTCGCGGACCTTCAGGAGCGGATGCAATGCGCCGCCTAGTGGTGGAATACCGTCGGCCTCGAAGTTGTACTTCTTGTAAGTAGCGGTTTTCCATGATCCCCTAGGAGCGTCCGTGTGAGGCGTGTACCGCGGTAAACTCGCAGCGGACCTACGATGTGAGCATGTCGACCGTGAGATCGGTTTCTGGCTTTGCTGTCGAGGTGCTGAAGTTTGGGCCTTTGCGCACGGTGAACCACTGGCCCTTCCTTCGCACGAAACGCGTTCTCAATAAGATAATCATAGGCTGCAGATATTGAAGCGGACCTCTGCGCAACCAGTTTGCGTTTCCGGAGCTCTGCGAGCGCCTTCTCCCCCGCCTTCAAGGCACCGGTGGAGTCGACCTCACGCATTTGCAGTTGAGTAGTATCAGTAATAGTGTCCACCTACACGCAAATTCAGCTCTCTTCCGTATCGAGCGCATAATTTCTGAGACTAACCAGCTTGACCAGTCCATCTCCCTCCTTGCCGATCCACTTGTTTTTGAAGGCTTGGCCCTGGCCGACCTTAGCGGTCTCCGCACCGACCTTCTCCTGCAGCTGCTTCGGAGGGATCGGAGCACCCTCGCCCTTCTTTGGGCATGCAGCCCATACCCGGGCCTCGTGTGACCCTTGGAGAGCGATTTGCGCGCCCTCTTGTGTGAGAACATGAGATACGGTTTCTTGGGTGGTGTATGTGATCATCTGCGAAGGCCATAGGTATTTGCATGTAGATCATTGGGCGCTAGACATACATCTCGACTTGACAGAGAGTTCAATGCGCCGAGGATGATGATTTGGGAGTCATGGGTGGCCGCGGGCTCCTTGTATCCGGGGAGGATGAGGGTGCGAGTGTCCTTGATCTCACCGTCTTTGGCGAGGGTGTCTAGGACGAGTTGCTGAATTGCTTCCGCCATAGCCGGTGTGCGCGCGTTCACTAGTTCAGCCTTTTGTTTCAAACACAGAGACCGAGATTCGGCAGAGAGCAAGCGGAGGAGATGGAGGTTAGTGCAAAGCGACCGAGAGAATCGAAATCGAGATGAGCTTGACTCGGTAGACGCCCATACCGCGATCGTGTACTTTATTCCACGCGCACGTGCACGCGAGTCAATCTTGGCGACGGCAGTAATCCTGCCGATTTCTTGCGTAAGTTAATTACACACATAGTACATGGGAGGTCCGCGGAACGTCGATGGACGCTGTGCAGAGTCATATAAGATACTCAAACGCGCGATGTTCCAGACAAGTTGCCGCCCGATCACTCTACTAATGGCAGAGACGGCGAGCGCCCATAATCATCGTACTCCTCCCTCGTTCCGCTCTGACGCGCCGTGTGATCAGCATCACTGCAACGCGACACTACATAGTACGTGTGTCAGACATATATTACTCCGGCGCCGTAGTAGCTGTGCTGACCGCGACTACCACATCTGATCGTGGTGCCAGCAGGCGTTAGCTGCGCACTCAGTACATAACTCCGAGTCGAGGCTCATCCGAGGGTGAAGCGGACTCAAACCTCGGCTAGCACAGACCACGGTCTTGATGGAATACGCCACAGTAGTATCTGCACTTGCTCTTGTCTTTGCCACGACCGTCTTTCTCGCGGTAGGAAAAATGTGGTTCTTTTCCAAGAAATGGGACCCTCGCGGGCAGGTGAGTGCCAGCGGATGCTCTGTACGACAAGGATACGATTGAACTTTCTCCTGAAACAGCACTGCTTCGTCACTGGAGGCTCTTCAGGCACGGGCCTTGCGCTCGCGCTGCTGCTCGTCAAGCGCGGTGCACACGTATCCATCGTGGCACGGAATGAGGAAAAGCTGCAGAAGGCACTAGCAGAGCTCGAGGCTTGTGTCTCGCTACTTCACATTCCGATATTCTCAATTGATGCGTCGAGGCTTTAGGAACAGCGCCAGTCTCCAGAACAGATCCTCAAGTCTTACTCGTTTGCTGTGGACAGCGAAGCAGGCTCCGCCGCGGCGCTCCAGGCTGCGAGTGAAGCGCATGGCGGGCGCTGCCCGGACGCCTTCTTCCTCTGCGCAGGCGCTTCCAGGCCGTCGTTCTTCATCGACCAGAACGAGGATTCGATGCGGAAAGATATGGATTCGTCGTATGGCGCTCAAGCGTTCACGGCATTGGTAACGACCTGCGATCCTCTCCGCATCGCTACGTGTGCTGACGCGCGTTATAGGCCGCCACGAAGGAGATGGTGAAGCAAGGTGTCAAGGGCAAAGTCGTCTTCGTCTCTTCTGTCTTGGGTTACTTCTCCATTGTAGGCTATTCGACATACTCACCGGGCAAGTTTGCGCTGCGAGGTAAGTATATCCTGCCTTAAAAGAGTTTAATTGCTGACCCGATCTGCTCTTCGTAGGCCTCGCAGAGGCCCTCCAGTCGGAACTCATCCTCTACGGGATTGACGTCCACATCGTCTTCCCGGGCACTATCTACACGCCCGGCTACGAGACGGAGAACCTCACGAAACCCAAAGTTACGCTGAAGATCGAGGAGTCCGATACTGGGTCAACCCCCGAACACGTTGCCGACATGATCTTCAAAGGTTCGCAAAATAGATGCAGAGGCCTGCCCGTGCTGACCCCGTGCCAGGCGTCCAGAGGGGCAAGTTCCACATCACCGTGGACTTCTTGGGCCATATCTTCCAAGCATCCTCGGCCGGGTCCTCACCGAGAAACAGCTATCTCTCGGACATGTTCTTCGCTCTCATTGGCTATGTACGTTCTCTCGTATTTCTCTAAGATGCCGTGCTGACACCGCGTAGATTGCCTTGCCCATCTGGCGGCTGACCGTGGATTCCACTGTCCGCGCGCATCGCGTGGAGCACGAGGAGTATCTGCGCCAGCAAGGGCACACTGGTGCCAAATGATGAACTTGTTTTGGTTGCTCGATCCTGCTGTGGCACTGCGGGGATTCTGCAGCTGGTTCTTGATGTCCCTTACTGTACTCGGTGCTTCATTGTATAATTGCATCTTCACGGCGTCAGTCCGCAAGAGTGATACAGCATAGATGACAGATGGAAGTGGTTACATGTGTAGCTAGCGCATGATCCTGTGATAATTATGGAGACAGGTGAACAACCTCGAGCGTTCGAGTGACCGACATATCTCCTTGGACTCGCCATTGGTTCTGCTTCTGAGCGCGCATATGTGGGCTGACAAGGCCATTTCCTACGTGAAGTCTTGCTTGGCTTTAGCTGACAAACATAGGAGTGGGCCAAGAACGCAATTCCTTGCTGGGAACAGACCTTGAAGGCGAACAGTGGCAGAGGATGACCATTGGATGACCGAGCAACGACACCGCTGCTTACCGCGGATCTCGATCTGCGCCTGCTATCCCGCTCCGATGGTTCCGCGGCGCTTGCTATAGCTCGGCTCTGCGCGACTCCTGCCTCTCTTATAACGGCCGGGGACCCACCCTCCCCGTGCTCACGACGGCCCCAGTGGCTTATAACGCACTCACCTCCTCGCTTTTCTGTGCTCCCCGCCGTGCTTCTGTACCACTCGCCCTCCATGTCCGCTGACAACTCTGAAACGATCACCCTCGATGACGCAGATGTCGAAAAGCGCGCACAGGCACAGGCGCTTCCCAAGGACTCCGAGGACGCTGCAGACGGCAGCATCGCAGCGGACGCATACCAGGTCCAGCTCGAGCCGGAGGACGACCCGAAGAGTCTGAGCGCATGGCACAAGTGGCTCGCGGTGCTCGTCATCAGCTCGTCCTCGCTGTGCGCGACGTTCGCGAGTTCAGTGGTGCGTTCCCTTTCCCATCGCGTCCTCGCGCGCCGCTCGCGAGACAGTTGTACTAACCGCGACACAGGCCTCTTTTACAGAGACGGGGCTCGCGCGCGACTTGCACACCTCGCATGAAGTCACCATCCTGAGCATCAGCTTGTATGTTCTCGGGCTGGGCATCGGCCCTATGTTCGTGGGACCGCTCTCGGAGTTGTACGGACGGAACATCATCTACCGCACCTCGTACTTGCTCTTCTTCGCGTTCACATGGCCAACGGCGTTCCCTCCAGATATAGGCATGTCCACTTCCCAAGGCTTGCACGCGCGCGTATATTGACAGGTGCACTACAGCTACCTTCCTAGTCTTCCGGTTCATTACTGGCTTGTGTGGAGCTGCATTCTTGAGCGTGGCGGGAGGAAGTGTCAGTGATTTATTCGACAACGCGAATGTCGCAAGGTGAGTTACCCATGCTCCCCGAGGGGGCGCGTGCACTAATAGGCCCGCTTAGTCCCATGGCCGTGTACACAATATCGCCTTTTATTGGCCCAGTGGTAGGCCCGCTCGTCGGAGGGTATGTTCTATCAGACCACTGCTGTGTGAACGCGATGCTCACTTACGTTTCTCACAGGTTCGTCGTCCAAGTACGCACGCTGTTTTGAGACGCTTCGGTACATTACTTACTTTTCCCCCAGAACACGGATTGGCGGTGGTGTTACCGCTTGCTCCTCATTTGGCAGTTCGTCCAGACAGTTCTGCTATTTACAGTGAGTTGTCTGCTCTGGGTAGTTTCTACGTGCTTGACGTGTCATTTTCAGTGCGTCCCTGAGACATATGTGCCGGTAATCCTTAAGCGCAAGGCAAAAAAGTGCGTTCGCTGCTTTTGTGACCCTGGCGCCGTGCTGACGCCCCAATAGCCTACGGAAGTCAACTGGCGATAAAAAGTACTACGCGCCGCTTGAACAGCAGGAGTTCAGTCTATTCCACATGATCCTGTTCAGTTGCCTCACGCCGTTTAGTGAGTTGGCATCAGCGCTGTTGTCTTTCCCTGTACTGATGGACGTCTTTCAGAGCTAATCGCATATGACCGCATGGCGCTTGCCTTGGATCTGTGGTATGTACACGCAATTATAGCTCGCAGTGCATACAACTGATGCTTTTGCCAGGTCTGCGCTGGTGTTGGGTATTCTGTACCTCGCCTTCCAGGCATTCCCCATCATCTTCGAGGACGTACATGGCTTCAACGTTCAACAGACGGGTCTGTCATTCCTGGGTATCGGCATCGGCATGTTCGCTGCCCTCGGCACTCAGCCATACTGGAATGGGTGCGTTTCCTTTCCCAATTCTATGACCCATACCCCACCTTACGCATGTCGACACAGACTCTTCGCCCGCCAAACAATTCAGTACAAGGGCAACGCGCCCCCCGAGGTGCGCCTCATTATCGCAAAAGTCGGCGCGATTATCGCCCCACTAGGTATGCACACCCCACCCTTGCTCTTCCTTTGCTAATGAGTTCCTGACACTAACCACACCACTCGCCGTCCACAGGTCTCTTCATCCTCGCGTTCACGACGTACAAACAAGTACACTGGATCGGGCCCATCATCGGCTCCGTCCCCTTCGGCGCAGGCGTGTACTTCATCTTCACGGGCGTGTTCACGTACCTCGTGACCGCGTACCGGCCCATCGCCGCGTCCGCGATGGCGGCGAACAGCGCGCTGCGCTCGTCGTTCGCGGCCGTGTTCCCGCTGTTTGCGGGGGCGATGTACACGAGGCTGGGGACGGTTGGGGCGACGGCGCTCCTTGCTGGGCTGTTGACGCTCATGGCGCCATTACCGTGAGTTTTTGCTTTGTTTGCAAGGGAAGGAAGGCGAAGAGGCTGACGTGGATGTATAGGTTTATCTTCTACAGGATCGGCGCGAGGTTGCGCGCGAACTCGCGATTCGCGGCCGATTAAGACTGAGCCTCTGGGCAGTCTTATTGCACGTTTCCGATGAAGAGAGGATAGTACGTCGGGCCCGTCGTGATAACCTGTTCAAAACGCGGCGTGAACAAGGCTCCAAAAACGCGACTCCATAGGAGACACGCAGTAGAGTGACGACACAGACTCTACGCTGCCAGGTAGCCCAGCCTGGCGGATACCATATCACGACTAGAACGATCTTTGCACGTTAAAATGCACCTCGTTTACACGATGTAACACCCTTAATCATAGCGAGCTACGCTTGTACAATTGACCCATTTGCATCGAAATTCTCCCACTCTTCTCCAGAACTCACCCATCCCTCAAAGGGTCCTCCAGGCCCTTTCAGTGCATGCTTGGCCGCTTGGTATTCCGACGCCGTACGTTTACTGCCGTGATAGGTCCTCGAGCTATATCAACTGTTTAGCGACCATCTTAGACATATACTCGGCGCACCTACCCGTCATTAGGAACACCGGCCTTGCGTGCTACATCTTGATATAGCGCATACAGGACGAGCTTGGACAAGACAGGTCTTTCAAGATATCAGCAGCCTTGTTCGGAGTGGTCTGTCTGATGCGCTTATACCTGAACTTGGGATTATGTCGATGCTTGGGAGACACGCCTCGCCGGAAACCATTGATGAGAACCTCGCACTCGCGAGGAGACCCCGAGATCCAGCACAACGCTGCTGCACTTCAGCCACGATCGACGGTGATATATGCATACACTCACAATCGTTGCACCCGGATGGTGCAGGGACATCGAGAGCGAAGCGCGAGTGCACGAAAGGGACTGATGTGTAAACGATCGACGCCTCGTTCAGTCGGTGTGGGGCGGTAAGACCTGCAGCGGGCAGCGGGATAGGCAGATGGCATTATCGTTTGAAGCAGCTGACGACCGACCATTGACGCAACGGAGCCTTGCATATAGCGCTCTTGTGCAATCTGCGGCCACCTCCTCGTGCATAGAGGGAGCTACTTCGCCGATGATGATTCGGTCGATGTAGACTGGGTGCAGGAGTCGAGACGCCAGCGCGCCCTGTATGCCGAGGACGTTCCATGCCGCTATCTTGTCGCTGCAAGACATGGACAGGGTCGGCGGAGAGTCCGCGCGTCCTGGTTTTGTGCGCATCACGCCGTATAGGGAGTAGTTGTCTCGTCCTCTGGCCGTCGAAGGAGAATACGCAGGTGGTTCGGGACGTGCGACCGAGTCCTTGAGAGCCGCCATTTCGGCGCCCTGGAAGGACGCGAGGTAGCGCGTCGATGCGTCTCCGCCTGTCGAATGCCCGTGAGTTCATGCGCAGTTTGCAGAAAAATATAGCATACATGGAACAGTAGATATGTACATATCCAGTTGGACGCCCTCGCGTAGCATAAATCGACCATCCGCATCCCGGATGAGCCAGGGTGACGCGTAGTCCGAGTCTTCAGAGCAGACGCGCGCAGTCTCTTCCAGCAGCCACCGAATAGCTCCGCGCCTGGCTAGCACTTCAGCATGACTGTCGTGCAGAGCGTCGCCGGATTTGGGAAGTCGCTCAGCAGGTAGACACTTGGAGCCAGTCCCCAGTGATACAACTTTGAGCTGCTCAGCAGTGCGCAGAACGAAAGCCGCGAGGATGGTGAATTGACCGCTGGGAGGTTTGAAGTTCAGCTTAGAGTATGTCGCAAGCACAAGAGAGGTGACATGATCTGGAGAGTCGTCGACCATGCATAACAGAGTCCAAACGCGGCTACCGGCCAGAGACCAGCAGTGAGGATTGGAGAAAGAGCAGTTAACGGCGCTTCCCAAAGCGGGTGCCTGCAATTACAGGACGAGATGGGATCGGGGGTTGCTTGGCGTGGAGAGCGCCCGTTGAAGCTACCCCACTCCGCCCCACAACGTCGCCCTGTCCAGGGCGGTCACTGCGGTTTGGCTACGGAGCACTCCATACACGCAGTACACCCATGACCGCCTCGACGATGACGAGCCTCCTGCGCGAAATCGCATATAAGAGACCCACACTCCACCTACATGGCTTCCACATACACTCCCTCATCACACCCTGCGCACGAATCCCCACTACTGTCCAACTACCGCAGCTCACATAACCGTCTCTTACGTCTAACGATGCCGTTCTTCACCCGCCGCTATGAAAACCGCGAGGCTACCACCCGTCGCACGGGCGGCTTCCGCGCTCGCTTCGGAAGGAAGGATCCCGATCGGGTCGCCGGTGGCTACAGTGAGCATGCCCTTCCGCGGTCCACGTCCGTCTGGTGACTTACCGCGTCTCTCCGTGTGACTTCAGAGGCCGCCCTGGCGAATCCCAACACGACGCGCACAGGCAGGAAACGCGCGGAACACGAGTTGAAGGCGATGGTATGTCCCGTCACACGCTCGCGCTGTATGGAGGACTTCTCTGACCGCCGCGCTTTCGCCATCCAGGGTCGCGGAGACGAGGCGCACGTCCCTTTCATGACGAAGGTCAAGCGCACGCTGGGCATTCGCAGCACGCCGCGTCGCGAGAGGACGCATCGCTCGAGCAGAACGCTCAGGAGGAGGGTTTAAGCGTTAACCCACGACATGTCCCCAGCTTGAAGCTCAGAGCCGACGACGAAATCCAACGACCAGGACTTACCCTATGACGGACAATTGTTGTACAATTACTGTGTATTCTACTTCTGTGATAATCGTGATACCCCTTCCTGCTATTGTTGAATGTTTGCACCTCGTTTTTCAACTGCCATTGTGTCGAGCGGTAACGAGTTTCACGTTATTGGTTGATATTCCTTGTCGTACGTAAGTAAAGTACATGCGTCATGATGGTCGTGAATGAATAAAGAGATCTACAGAACAGGGGCCAGGATCCTCGACGATAGGCTTGCCCGGCAAGCGATAGGAGGGCTCATACAGTTACGCGGGTGGAAGTGAAGTCGAGAGATGCGAGAGGATAACGTATGTACAGTAAGGCAGCGAGAGGGGGAGGGCAGAGTCGCTCAGCTCGACGAGAGCACAGGCTGCCACGTTCCCGGGGACAGCTCCTCGAGGTGGTAGAGGATCACACGATCCCAGGAGACGGGGATCATGTTCGTCTGCGCGAAAGGAGAGCGTAAGCGACGTGTTTTCGGAGACACGAGGTGACGAGGCTGCGAGGAGCCGCGGGCGCATGCTTACCTGCAGGAAGTGGCAGCACGCGCGCGCAATGCGGCGCGCCACAGTTTGGAGCTCGACTCGTCCGTCGTAGGTATCGACCGGGAGCTCGTATGTCATGGAATTGTAGCCCGTCCACTACAGAGATCTCCGTTCAGGACTCTGCTCAAACAATTCACATGCGTGGAAAAACACGTACCTTGACTTTGAGGATGATCCTGCCCCGCCCATCGGCGTTCAGGTCATACGGACTATAGTCGTAGTTGTTCGAGAGGTGCGCGTCGGACATAGCCTCCCCGAGCGTGATGCCGCTCCGGAAGCCGCCCTTGCGCTTGAACTTGACCACCGTCGAGCTCATCCGCCGGTAGCCGTCGAGCGTCGGCCGGCTCCCCATGCGCGAGAGCGAGCGCGACATGGAGTGGCGGCGGCGCATGTACGGCGCGCCGTACTGGCGATCCGCGTAGTAGGGATCTCCCAGGGCGAGATCGTCGTACGCTGCGGCAGGACGGTGATCAGACTGGGGGCCACACACAGGGACGGCGCATGCTCACCTCGGCCGAACTGGCTGATCGTGCGTTGAGGAGTGTATACTGGGTAGGCAGCTTGCGGGTAGCCCTGATAGACGATGTGGCGTTAGCCAGCTCGCTAGGACGTAGAGGGCAATCCCGGACGCTACTCACCTCTCCGTAGGCACCTGCATAGATCGGGTCCTGGTACCCAAACTCGGTCGGGTGGACTCCGAAGGCGGGCGCGCCGTGCGACAGGGAGTGCTGAAGGGGGTAGCCGAAGGGCTGGGCGTTGTAGCCGTCGTATGCAGAGTACGCCATAGCGAGTCAGACGAGCTGGTAGACAGAGTCGGGGGTGGGGTGTGGGAAGACGCAAACGGGGCTGCGTGAAGCTGGCGGCGCGAGCGCAGGCTTCTTATATGTTTCCGTGTTCGTGTGGCCACCACGGGCGTGTGCGTGGCCCGAGGATCACAATGGGTGAACGCGCTCGCCTCGAGGTGGGATGGGGGAAACAATGCAATGCCGAAGAGTGGTCGAGCCCACCCCCTGCCAGATATGGCGCGGGCGGATTGGCAGGGCCGCTGGAGAGGGAAGAGCAGCGCCGTGCTATAGATGTGAGAACCGCTCGCCCTCGGCCCTGCCGATTTTTAAGAAACATGGCCTCGAGGAGAGACTGTCTGGCAGCACTTCTGCCCCTGAGAGATGATCGCGAGCGCGATGGGAGAGTGAGAGTGCCGCCCGCTGCGAGAGTTGCCAGAACGGTCGACAGGCCGGAACTATGAGGTGCCTTCGGAAATGAAGAAGGTACTCCAGGGATCCCTTGTGACGTTGCTACGGGCTACGGCAAACCTGCGTGTGACCAGTTTCAGCACAGAAGTCCTGCCTGACGCATCGCATAATGGAATATCTGAATACGAGGACTTACGTGGACTGAATCTTCAGCGGCATCGGGCTCTCAAGCCATGGCTCATGATGGGTGTACAATCTTGGCGCGTCGTGGGCGGTTTTGACTATTCAGGCCCATATCTAGACACGACTACCCTTTATTGTGTGACGAGTTTTGGGACAATCCAGTAAACAGGATGGACGATGGCGATGAACATGATGGTAGACGGAGACAGAATAAAGGATGGGATAGGATAGGATGCGGCAGAGAGCGAGGCGTGGCGGGATTCGCCGATGGCTGTGCAAATTCGTCTCAGTGTGGCCCAGCGGGAGGTCGTTCACAAACTCAAAACTCTACCTCTTACCACATCGTATCCTGATATCCTGGACTACCCGTGGTGGAACCGTACGCCGGGAATACATAACGGACGTATGTTTTGGTAGATATCTCTCCATACGCCCACGGCCACCGTGGCGGTCGCGCACAGCGCGCACCGGGGACTTCGAGTCCCATCGTCCTTCAGGATGTTGATTGCCTTTCGAGGTCCGTCCATCCAAATGCCTCGGCCTCAGCTTCCACGCTGCAGCGCACTTATGTCGGCGCACCCACGGGCGATACGCTTCGCATTCTCTTCGTATCGCCATTCAATACCTCCTGGCCGCAGCCGCTCGTGGTCCTTGGAACACAGCTGTGATCATGCCTTGCGCCTCAAGCATGGCTGCAGCAGCGGCAGCGGCATGGCGTAACCCGTCGCTCATGCGATGTATCATCCTGTGGAGCAGCTCGGACCTCAGTCGCAGATCATCGACCTCGATTACCCGTGGGCATCGAGCTTCGAATCATGTTGGCTCACGTTTGTTGCGTAGCCGGAGGGTAGCGCACGGCGGGACGCCGGGAAGAGCTCGAGTGGACGGATCAACGAATGTCGCCAACTGCGATCTACAATGCGGGACCCACGAGGAACCCTTGTCCTGCGTGGAAGCACTCAGGCTCTGCTGACGAGCAGGGATCGTCCCATCGCTCCAGAGCGCTCGTCGCCCACAGAAGTGGCGTAAGCTGGACACACGGGGATCCCAGCCAGCCAGAAGCGAAGTCATAGGATATGAAAGCCGACAAGACGATGAATTACTCGGTAGCTACAGTATACAAGACGGGGTGACTATAGTATGTACAACGCGTGCGACGCGATTTTGGGTGTATCCTAGGCACAATAGCTTGGCGCATTTTGACGATGATCCTCGAACGCTGGAGCAGTATAGTACACGAAACAAAGTAAAAAGGACAGCTAAATGAGGGCGGTTTACACCTCCGCTGCCGGTGGCTGGCGAGCGAAGTGCTTTTTAAAGGACTGGAGCCTGGCGACTGCCTGCTTGATGATCGCGTCCAGCTTCTTGACGATTGGGGAAGACTGAGCGGGCTTGAGAGAGTGTGCGAGAGTATCATACGAGGGTGAGCTCACCTGCGCCCACAACCCGCGCCTAAAGAGCACGCTATACCCCATGCTCGAAATGCCCACGTCATCAACTGTGTCCGCGAAATTGAAGGTCGGGTCGACCGAGTAGGTGGGCGACGTGGCCTGGTATGAGACGTCAGAATGGCGCAAACGCGGGTACGGGGAAGTGATCGAACCATGGAACAGTCCGATACGGTGAACTCTGAGCCCGTCTCGTCATCCCACTCGGTGTAGAAGGCGGGGCGGTGGTGGAAAGAAGGCGGAGGAGAAAGGAATTCAGGAGAAGTCGTAGGAAGAACAAGGTGCAGCTCATTTCGGGAGGGATAGAAGACGTATTCGTCGTACTCTTCGTCTTCGTCGGCGTAGTACGCGTCGGCGAGAACGACGTGCCGCAGCTGGGGGACAGATTCGTGCATGGCGGCGAGATCGTAGGCTGAAGGGCGTGAAAACGAGGACGTGGGATGAGAGAGAGGAGGAATAGAGGACGGGGATCATGGTCGAGCTTTATGAGGGGCAAATTCGCGTAAGAGCCCGTGCGCTGGGGGCAAAGTCGCCGCCAATCCGAGTGAGAAGCTGCAGGGTCGACGCGGCAGCCGCGCTCGGGTACCACCTAAACGGCGACCATCCCGCTCTGATTGGAGGACGCCCGCCCTCCGCGGAGGATCTAGGTGCGTTGCTCGCGCAGCCACGCGACCTATTATCTCACAGAGTCAATGGGAGTCAAGCTATACCGTTCTGGACGACGCCGGGGGGCGAGCCGGGATGCGTTGATGAGTGGACGATGCCGACGCGCGAGCAAGGGGTCAAGCCAGCGTGCTGGGACATCGAGCTCAGGGAACATGGACAACAACGCTGCACCGACGCGCTGCAAGCCTCCGAGGCCTGTCTCGCCACAACGGAGACGAAGTCGAGCACCTCCCAGGGCAGGCACCGATCAACGATCGAGGGAGTGAATCCGGGGACGCAGCAGCTCGTCCGCCTAGCACATCGCTTGCAGCAGGGAGCTGAAACCTCTCCTCCGAGAGCAGTGCGCCCCGGAGTTGGAATGCACACCAGTGAGTCCCCTCCATGCTCCTGGGACATCGCAATGAGAGGTCCACCCAATACCGAACGCCCTCTCCCTCTGGGGAGGAGATCGGTATGTGGGGACGCGTCGGAGGGTCGCGGGTATATTGGCCTGGCGCTTGAGGGTCACCATCACGTGCACATGGTCACATCACGCTGGAGAGAGAAGCGCTCGCGGCTACGCACAAGTAGGAACGGGCGGCAGCGTCTTCTTCCTCAGAACCACCACCCATCCTACTTGGGCTCAAAGCAAGCTTGCGTGTCCGAGACTTCTCCCTCCAGTGTGATTGCATCAAGCAAAAGAAGACGTACCTCAAGCCTGAAGAGCCGTTCACAGAGTCTGCGTCAAGTCGTGTGAAGCAAGATATGCAAGACAAGAGTGTGCAACGTTCAAGACATCAAGAAAGACAATAGTGCCAAGACGACAGTGCGACGCAATCGAGTGAGAGTGGCCGAAGACAAGATGTCGCACGTACAAGGGCCCAACGGCACGTCAAGCAGCGAATAGAACGTCGCAGAGAATGCGCCGACTGCTCGAGTCAAGATATCAGCGTGATTCGCAAGGGAGGGACGCACCAAATGCCCATGTCCAGCAAGAGACTATGCTCGTCCAACACCCTGCCAAAAATCGCGAATTTTGAGCCGCTAGCAGGCCGTCGAGGTCTCAGCTGCGCGTCCGAAAATGGCCATTGTTCTCGCGGTGAGCTCGGCTCGGAATACAGCGCCCAGCGTACTGTCGTCTGGTTGCTTAGAGGCGGCTGGACGAGGGTATCGTTGTGGTAGATGCTGCATAGCGAGGAGGATGTCGTCCAGAGGGAGGGGAGCAATGCGAGACCATCGCTGGTCGCCGACCCGTACGCGTCGCAGGCGGCGGGGCAGTCGCGGAGTTGAACTGTCCCCACGGCCCACGGTTTTGCCGCGCCCAAAGGACAAGGGCAGCCCGACGATCGATCACTGGCCGCCGACTTGGACGGCAAGAGTGCGCTCGGGCTCAGACGGATGGAGGGCGTTGTCTCGCAGGACTCCGCAGAGCTCAGACTCGAGGGGACGGTGGACATCGCCAGAAAATTGCGGAAGGGTTGCGATTGCACCTTGCCGCATGCGGTTGCCCGTCCAGGGCCCCGCGACCAGCCGATGTTTCGATTGACGACACCCGGCCCGACGCCTCGGTCTTCAAGCTTCCCCCCTCCATCTTGCTCTCCCCAGCTCGACAAACGCAGCTCATACACTACTCCACGAGCGACCCCTTGTCTCCCCGCCATACCATCGTATACGCCGCGCTCACCCTGCGATCACCAGAGATTTCGACATTGTCCCCCGGCTCGCGGAGGGTCGGAGTCTGAGCCACATGTCTTAGCCACCACTTGGCGCCCCGCACGCTCTGCGCAACGACATTCCCATCGCGTCGACGCGCTCCTCGACCTCGCGCGGCCGCTGCACACCAACCCCTCCCCTCGCCTGGGGACAGACTCGCCTACCTCCCCGGACCCTGGCCGGCGCCACGACCCTTCCCCCATAGGACACACTTCGGAACAGGCCGTCACCTAGCTCGCCTCCGACTCCGGTCCTTCCTCCGATGGCCAATTGTCCAGAGTGTCCGGGCCCGGTTAGCGAGGACCTATACGCCTCCCAAATTGCTAGTACGACTGCCTTTTTTGCTCCCCATCTTGCTTCTCCCACCTGCCCCCTCGTCGCGTGAACACATCGGCGGATCCCCGGCAACAAGCCCACGAACATCGACGCAAGGTAGCCTATGCAGCCGCCCTTGTGCCTTCGACCTAGGTATAAAGAGTACCAAAGGGCTGCCACCGCTACTTCGCTCTACAACTCCCCTGCTTTGGCTCCCACACTTGCCAAATTGATCGCGAACGCGGGGATGGGGTCGCCCAAACGGACATCAGCCATGCGTCAGCGTGCGTCCCGCTAAACCTTACACGGCAGCTCCCGTCCGTGTCAGGGCTATTCGCGTACATTTTTCAAGTTCGAAAGCAACGACCATTCCCCACTTTGCATTGGCACAGCTCATCTGTGTACTCGTCGTATGCCCTTCACGGACTTGGGGCCATCTTCTTGGGGGCCCTCTGATCGACGTTTAGGACACAGCAAGCGTGGTGAGTATGTTGATCTAATTCTTTGCGTACTTACTGTTCTTGACCGATGGCAGGACTACGTACTCCAAACACAACACTTCGATCGTGGCCGACTTCTCTGGCTGAAGCTCGTGTACGGCGTATGACCACAGCTGAAGTTTCTGGCGGCTCAGCCATTACTGTTGCACCGGTCCGACCGCCGCAGCCATAGGACTCCCCGGTGGTCCACGATCCCTCACCGTTCTTCATCGCTCCAAAACACGCTTCAACACCTACTGCCAATCGCCATTGCGTACGGCTTGCACCCACCTCATCATCCTCCATACTCTCTCATCTAGGTGATCGCCCGTCGGGCTCACGCAGGCCGGCTAGTTTTTTCAATTTCAAGTCCACCATTCCGTCGTCGTCATACGGCTCAGTCGACCGGTCAGCAAACAACTGCCGATGACTTGACACGCCCTTGGTCACTGTCTAATATCGGGCCGCGGAAACTCCTCCACACACCGTCGCTAGCCTCGCCAACTGCCTTGCTTGCACCTGCCTCTGCGATCTCTTCCGCGTCCCTTCCTCTCACAATGGGTCCATGGTCTCTGCCAACCGCTCATTAGGGGGGCGACTTCTCCTACTTGGTATCGAAGGCTAGATCCTTCCTCGCTCTCTCTCTCTTAGGACGTATAGCATATGCGCTACCGAGTCGCGAGTCGCGCTCGTGTACCGCTGCACTATCCGTCGATCCTATTTGCCAGACTTGCCTCGCCTGCTTACTCGCCTTCCTCCGCCGATTCGGATCTCCCCGATGGTCTACCACCTCTTCGTGGGTGCTACGCCGCGAAGCACCCACCGCACTGCCACCTCATAGCAGCAGCTAAACTGTCTAGGCTCTACCCAAAAGCGTGGACTCCTGGACACACATCATTACGCCATGTCCCCGCACAACGCGACGGCCCCAGGTTTCACGGATACGCTTGCCTATCTGCTGCCGTAACAGCCTGCACACCGCTCTCGCAGCACGTCCACACATAACGTAACGAAGTTTGGTAGACCTGTTCATAAATGCCATTATGTTTATCAAGTCCTAGTCGTTCGTTATCACGTATGAGAAGGTAAGGAAGCTGCTGCCGCAACAATCCTTGCTTCGCAAATCGACGATATCTCGCGCCCGATGGATCTGACTCGATGTTCCCGAAAGGATGGGTAAGTACTCCTCCGCGCCCACTCTCCATAATTTCCACGAAGGTGGAAGAATAATGCGTGTCCTCGTTCACCGGGAACGGCGCGAGAACAGCGTCAAGACGAGATAAATCAGATCACGGCTTTTCGCAAAGGTACATGCAGGGGTTCGAGCTAGCGAGGTGCACGTGAAAGTGTTAGACGTCCACAAGACTAAATGAGATGCATTGGCGTGGATATCGTTCAGAAGTTTCTCAAGAGATGGATATCTAAGGACCATTAACCCCTCGACTGGGAGGCACATATAACTAGGATACATACAGAGTAGGAGGATACACGCGGGTTTGGGTAATTGATACATTGGAGCTAGGGCGTTCGGGTATGTCATTGATTCGTATGCAGTCGTCACTATCGTCGAGCACACCCGTACTTCAGGCGTTGAAAGCGCCGCCAGCACCGGTGGCAGGGGCGCTCGGCGCGCCAGCCTCCGTAGCAGGGGGAGCCCCGCCCACGGCGGCGCGCTGCCCGTTGTTGTCGAAGCTCGCGCGCCGCGCATCAGCAGCAGCCGCGGCCTGGGCGTGGATTTGCGACAGCTTGCTCTCGCGCAATTGCTGGAGACGGCACAAGCGTTAGTGCACACGGCTACGCGCAAATGAGAGAGAGACGCGGGACGTACGTCATTCTGTGCCTTGCGCTGCTGCAGCTCGTCGAGATGTCTGCGTTTCTGCTCGAGATCTTGCTCGAGCCGCGCCTCGTGCTGCTGCTTGATCTGTAACAGAGCGGGCGCATCGTAAGGGACGGTCGCGAGGGGGTGATGGCCCGGCGCGCGAGCGGTGGAGCAGGGGAATGGGAGCGTACCTGGACGGTCTTCTCCGCGTTCTGCTCGTTGGAGATCGCCGCGTCGTGGTTGTGCACGGCGCGGTTGAGGGCCTTGGCGGCCTTGTGCTCGTTCTCGACGGCCTTGTCGAGCGCGTGTTGCGCCTTGTCGGCGGTCTGTGGACGGCGGACGGTGAGCGTGGACGCGCGGGGACCGGAGGGGGGAGGGTGCGGTCGCCGGCTGTGCGAGTGAATAGGAACGGGATGTGCACACCTTGATGCTCTTGTTATGCGTCTTTTCGGCGCCGGAGAGGTCCTTGATGGTGTGATCCAGGTTCTTCTGGTCCTCGCGCGCCTCCTTTGCGATCATCTTCTCGACCTGGCGGACCTCTGGGTTTTCGGAGAACGTGTCGGACTTTCCGAAGAGCGGCATGACGGCGGAGAGTGGGGTGGTTGGATGTAGAAATGTGGACGAGAGGTTGGTGGGCGTGACGGCAGGGGGTGCCGGCATGCTTTATAGGCCAGTGTGAAGGGTGCAGCGTCATCGGGCTGTCGAGGGGGAGCGGGACCCACTCTGCAGACTTGTGGCACTCGGAGTGCACGACGATCGTACTAGGACGCCGTATAACTGCCATTCCGGGCGAATGATGTCACCGGGCGCGCAGCAACCCCCGCTTTCACTGGCGGATGATGATTGGACGATGCGGGGGAAGAGCGTTCTGGAAGGGGAGGTTAATTGATTTTGCTCTGGAAGGGGAAAGACCCCCGAGTGCCAGGGGCGGGGCGCTGCTGCGAATTCGCGGGGTCTGCCAAGTTTTACGCTCAGGCCGAGGCAGGGAAGGGGAATATAGGGCGGAGGCGTGCGCCAGCAACGGAGTGCTCTTCTTCCGCTGCTAGGCTCCTCCTGTCACTTTCGCTACTATCAGTGCTCCCGCCTATCTTCCCACTCCGCCCCCTCACACTCCTTGATGTCCAACCACCTCCCCCTCCCACACGACTACGCCGACAACGATACCCCCCAGCCGCCTCGCCACCGGCCACACGACCTTGACCACGACCTCTTTGCGCTCGAGGGCGTCGAGAATCCACTCCCCTCTCCGCCCTACCGTCGGGTCCCATCCACATCACAAGTTCTCATCGCACCCTATCCGGAGCAGTCTCCGGCGTACATGTCCCGCGCTAACTTGGAACTTGACGACTCTGACATGCCCGAGGAGACTCACTTTGACGAAAAGCGCTCTCACCACGATGAAAAGCGCCCCGAGAACGGCACGAAGGGCAAGCACGCCGTCCACTATGACGACACCCCGAGCCCGCACGTAGACAGGTTCGAGCCACAACCCATCTCGTCTCGTGCTTCCTCCATCGCTGGCACGGACGATGAGGATGAAGAGTCTGCATACGACTGGAGCGGCGAGGAGGATTTGGTAGATGAAGAAGCTAAATTCGAGCAGGCCATGGGTGTCAAAAAGAAACGAAAGTTTGGCTGCATCCGGTGCGTCTCTTATGTGCCACCTCCTCCGCAGCTTTCCACCCTCATACCGCTCGCTTAGCCTCATCACGCTTCTGTTCTCCACCCTCATCGGCTCGACCTTTCTCTCCGGACTCATCATCACCCCGGCGCTGCTCATCCACTTCTTGTGGTACAAGCCACACCCCGACGAACACCGGAAATTCGTCAAGGACAACGTCGAGGCCTGGCTCTTCTGGGCGGCTGCTAATGTCTCCATCTCCTGGGCTCTTGCGCTCATTGTCGACATCATCCCGGTCATCATACGATGGGTCATCTCTCTGGCATGGGGCCACGTGAGCGAGCTCATCAAGAGCCGTCTCGAGCTGTACAACAGCGTGAAGGATACGATCAAGCCCGCGCTGTATGCCGCGAGTTGCTGGGTCAGCTGGGTCATCCTGTTCAACAATATCTTCAAGCTGTACGACATGGATAACGAGGACCAAAGTCGAGCGTCGTATACGCCCAGGGTATGTCCTGCGAAGTCCTGTATACGACTGCTCTCACAGTTACATGCAGGTGTACCAAGGCATCGAGTTCCTTTTCTTCTTTGCCCTTGTTATATGTGCGCAGAGGATGTTGTCACACTTCATCGGTATGTACCTACCTCATAAGAAATTAGCACACGTCTGACCGGATTCATCAGCCTTCTCATTCCATCGTACCGCATACAAGGAGCGTCTTGACGGTGTACAAGAAGCACTCCGGGTCATCGAGAAGCTGCGCATGTACCGTCCGAAGCGCCGTCATGCGGCCAAGTCTTCCTTCGGTCGCACGACTCCCAGTGCATTGGTCGGCCTGCTCACACCAGCTCACGAAAAGGACCGCTTCCTCGGTCACTCGAGACCCAGTACCCCCGGTGGCTCGCGCGCTGGCACTCCTGATTTCGGTGGCCAAGACAGCGACGACGACCGGGATGCGACCCTTGTGCAATCGAAGAAGAAGGGCAAGGCACGGACGAGCTGGGTTCCTCACCCCCGTGGCCAATCCGACCCCACGAACCTCCACAGCCAGCGGCCGGACCTACAGCTTGACGTGAACGAGCAGCACCGGTACCCCCCATCCCCGCTTGCACAAAGCCCTGCGAACGCGAACGCGCCCCCCGCGCGTGCCCACCGGCGGAGCTCCGACTCGGACGAAGACGCAGCGGCGATCGTGCAGCAGGCGGCGACCTCCGCCGCGAAGGTGCTCAAGTCCGCGATGCTGCACGACGCGCGCGGGATCCGGGGCACGAAGGACGGGGAGGAGGCGCTGGGCGGGCTCGTGTGGAACGTGACGTCGTCGCACGAGGCGAAGCGGCTCGCGCGGTCGATCTGGACGGCGTTCCGCGAGCCCGGGCGCGGGTACCTGATCCCGACGGACCTGGTGCCCGCGTTCGGGGGGAAGCTCGAGGAGGCGAAGAAGGCGTTCGCGGTGTTCGACACGGACAACAACGGGGACCTGTCGCGCGCGGAGATCAAGACGACGCTGCTGAAGGTGTACAAGGAGCGCCGGTTCCTGAGCCGCTCGATGCGCGACGTGGGCGAGGCGCTGAAGACGCTCGACGGGATGCTGCTGTTCATGGCGTTCTTGATTTTGTTCTTCATCTCGCTGAGCGTGTTTGGCGTGAACATCGAGAGCTCGCTCACGAGTCTGTACACGATCGGTATTGGCGCGAGTTTCATCTTCAAGAACTCGGCGAGCAATGCGTTCGACGCGATCATGTTCTTGTTCGTCACCCAGTGCGTAGTTTCCATACACCTCAACTTGGAGAGAATGCTGACAGGCTCTCGTAGCCCCTTCGACACGGGCGACCGCTGTTTCATCGATGGTGCGCTTTCCACTGTTCGACCCCCACCCGCCGTATTAATTATGGGTCCGCAGATGAGAACCTTGTTGTCAAGAAGATGGGGTTGTTCGCTACGATCTTCACGCGCTCGGACGGTACGGAGACATACTACTTCAACAGCCAGCTGTTCAACAAGTTCATGTGAGTGACTATATCCAACCTCTCCGCTTTGACGTGTACTGACAGGGTTGCGCAGTACGAACGTACGGCGGAGTGATGTACGTCTATGCGTGCGAACCTGGCACACCGCTACTGACATGGTGTACGATTTTTAGAAAACGGCAGAAAATCTGGTGATGCAGGTTGCATGGCAGACGCCGATGGAGAAGCTCGACCAGCTCGAGAAGTGTCTATGCAAGTGGCTCGAGACGGAGGAGAACCGGTGGTACCAGCCGACGACGTCCGTCACACTCCAGCACATCGACTACCAGCGCCACCTCGAGATCACCATCGGTATCCCGTACAACAGCAACTGGCAGTAAGTCTCTTCACCCCCTATTCATCTGGACCCCCTCATGAACCGCATCATAGGGACTGGGGCCTCCGGAATCAGCGCAAGACCGCATTCTACGCGGCCGTGAACTACTACTGCCGGCAGCTGGGCATCACCGCGTACGAGTCGCCGCTCCCAGTCGCGTTCGCGAACCAGGAGACGGGCGAGGTGCTCATGCCGGACATCGACGCGACGCCCGCGGGCGACGAGGACGTGGACCCGCTCGAGTCGCCGGGCGGCGCGGAGCCCGTGGACCGCCGCGACGCGCCCGCGAGCAAGGAGCGCATGCTCGGGTTCCAGGCGCCGCCCGAGGACGGGTTCCCGAGCGGGCTAAGGAGGCGCAAGCCGCGGAGCAAGAAGGCGATCCTGCGCTCGTTTGGCGCTGATGGTTTCTGAGCTCTTGCCGTTGGCTCGATGTTGTTGCTGGCACACTCGCGTCTCTCTTCATTTCAGACTGTTTCGTTACAGTCGGGCGCGGGCCGGGCGGTGTGGTGTATATGGAGGAAGGCTGGATATACCGGGTATATAGCGGTGGTCCTTACGGACGATTTCTGTGCTTGGTTATTGGACGATGATGATGACACGTTTGACTTGATACGATCCCACACATACAACCTTGCATCTGCATATAGAATACTCATCCATTCCGTTCCAGACTGTCGCATATAGACGGTCTCCTGTGCTATCCTACAGTACCTCTCGAGACCAGTGCTCTCGCTAAACACATACGTACGACCCTCGGTGCTAGCAATCGAATCCTCGTTAAACGTTATCATTATTCTCGAGCCACCTGCCGACCATGCCCATGCAGCGCAATCACGCAGGCGTGATGTTGAACCACTTGTTGAACACGAGCTCCGGGTCGTACTTCTTCTTAATCTGCTGCAGCTTCGAGTAGTTGACTCCAAACAGCAGCTTCGCCTTGTCGACAGGCACCGCGCCCTCCGTCGCCGACGCATCGCTGTCCGGACCTGCACCACCACAATAACATAGCCGTCAGTCACCAGGCACACCGCAAAACGCACCCCCACAACCAAAAGGCACGCAGTGACGTACTGTAGTTCCCGTACCCCACGCTCGCCTCCGTCCCGAACAGCCCTATGAGCTCACGCGCCGCATCGCGCGCGTACGCGAGCGCGGCCTCGCCGTCGTCGCGCGCGTACACCGCGGCGAGGATGTTCGGCACGAGCGCGCGCGGGTAGGCCGTCGCGTCGTCCGGCACCGCGTTCGCGGCGGCGAGCGGGAAGTACTCGAGCAGCAGCCCGATGTGGTACTCCTGCGACGCGGTGTGCGCGGCGACGCGCTCGAAGACGGTGGGGAGGATGGAAAGCGGGAGCGGGGAGGGCGCGAACGCGCCCTTCATGTACGCGTTCTGGCCGGGCGTCACGATCTGGTTCTGGAGCGCGTTGAGCGACTCGTAGGGGATCTCCTTGGTCATGTCCGCGACGGGCTCTGTGCGTGGACTGTGGTTAGTTGGTAGAGGGGGCGGGGGACACGGGCGTTCGTACTTAGGTCGAAGAAGGCTTTGTAGGCCTGGCGGCCCTCTTCCTCCGAGCCGTTGTAGAACAGGAAGGCGACGATGGCGGGCTGTGTGCAGGTCAGCAAGGGCATGACACGATCCCGGACCCGAAGACGAAGGGGCGACATGCCTGATGCCCGGGCCCGCGCGTGAAGATGTGAATCAGGCCCTCCTTCCCGGATGGCCCGTTGTTCCACCACGCCTCCGTCACCTTGAAGAGCTTGTCGAGCACGTCGGGCGTGAAGACCGCGGGGCCCGCGAAGACCGTGCGTCGCTGAGGGTGCAGCTGCAGGACAAACTCGGTGACGACACCGAAGTTCGAGCCCCCACCGCGGAGACCGAAGAAGAGGTCTGCGTTCTCGGACGCGTTCGCAGTGCGGATGGCGCCGTCGGCGGTGACGACCGTAGCCTAAGTCGAGGACGCGAGTGAGACGAGGGATGAAGAGTACACATCGAGTTCACCCACCTGTACGAGGTTGTCGATAGCGAGGCCGTATTCGCCGCTCAGCCATCCGTAGCCGCCGCCCAGGACAAGGCTGAGGGTGCTATGTCAGTGCTATCCATGCTATAGATGAATCACCGTGCACGACTGACCCGCCAACTCCAGTCTGTAGTGATACTTGTCAGCGTAGACAGACATAACAAGAGCAGCGACCACCTACGTGGTTGACCGTGCCGCCAACAGTAGCGAGCCCGTGCTCGATAGCGGCCTTGTCGACGGTCTCCCAGATCGCGCCGCCGCCAACGTAGGCGAGCTTCTTCTCGGGGTCGATGCGCGCCCCAGCCAAGTACCGCGAGAGGTCGATCACCAGCCCGCCCTCGCTCGAGGACGCGCCGGCAGGGTTGTGTCCGCCGCCCTTGATCGCGATGCGCAGACGGGCCTGCTTCGCATACGCGATTGCAGCGGATACGTCTGCCGCGTCCTTGACGAACGCGACGACCGCCGCCTTGCGTGCCGCGTTCTTCGCCCAGCGGGCGATGGCCTGGTCGTATCCGACGTCTTCGGGAGTGATGAGGTCGCCCTTGAAGGTCGATTTAAAAGCTTGGAAGTCGGTCATGTCGATCGATGTCTGTGGAACTGTGTTGTCTGCTTCCCCCAGGCCATCCCTGGTAAGTTTATATACCGCAAGCCGAGGCGTACGTGCACTCACTTCCGGGCTCGTTGTGTACGTAGTCCGACGGCTAGTGGAGAGCGTTTGCGGCACCCGGACTATCTGTGGGCACTATGCGTGTCTCGTCGGCCGCAGGCAGATGTCGTACAGAAACCGATGAGAAGCTGATCGGATTATGAACTAGGTTTTGCGTCTAGCTGCGTAGAAATGTTGCAATGCCCTGGGAATTGCAATATGTGCGCCGAGGTCCTGAGAACGCGAACCCATATGTAGCGCCAACGATAGTATGAGGTGATAGAGCCGCTGTACCGGCGGCATGCATAGCCTTGGTGCAGACCACACAAAAGCTGCGAAGGGTCCGGGTGTACGTATGATATGGCGGATCCGGGAGGAGTGCATGGCCCGGTTGAGACCGCGGTACTGGAGGTACTGTCCCGGATCCTCTGAAATGCGGATTGATCGCGGTCACTGACTGATCAAATGCTGTGTCGGCCGGACGCGTGCGTGCCACCGCGGTCGGGCCGCGCTTGTCCTTCGTACTTTCTTCCACTCCGTCCCGTAGGCTGGAGCGCCCCCATGGCTGTCTTTGGGACGCGAATCCCCTATTTCGCCCCCCTTATTGCATCGCTGTTGATCACAGCAGTCCACTCTTTTGTTCCGGCATACCCCAGCAACATCACCATCTCCCCCGGCGCGGAGGCCCATGCAGTCCTTCAAGTCAATTGGGCGTCCCAGAGCTTCTTCAAAACGGATGCTCAAATTGTCCTACGGCGTACACAGAACCCCGGCCTGAACCATGTAAATGCTATGAGCGTAGCAGCTATGAATGGAAGTAGCATGCTAAACTATATCCGCAGGGAGCGCTGGTTCATTTCAACGACTCTGTTGCCGCCGCCGCGACCGTAGCAAGTGGGATTCGTAACCTCTGCAGCGTTATGGCGGGTGCTGATTGTGTGTTGTTCATGGCAGCGACAACGCCCTGGGTTGCATTTGTGTCCTGTGACTCTAATATCACCGACACCAACGCGTCAGAAATCAATATCTTCGCTCGTGCCGAGAAGCTCGGAGCGATCGCTGGTGTATGTTGCTGCATTGTACACCCTGTTGTCGGAACTGACAAAGAAACATCATATACAGGTTCTTTATTCCCTCCACTCCCAGACGTGCTACATACAGCAGTCTCTCGAGGACCCTTCGCAGTTTGATCGCGGCCTTGACATCTTCACCCTGTCGTCCCTGACCACGATGCGGTGAGTCGGATACAGGCATTGATACATTACGCCCCACTTATCAACATCACAACCCAGCCTGGTCAATAGCACCTTCATGAACATCGATGCCGCTCAGTATGGCACTTTTGACGCGGCGAAGCTGGATGCTGCCCACGACCAAGTTATCACCCCGAACGGACCGACAGGCTCTCCCTTCCTGATCGCAAACACCCTCCTGGATTCGTCGGGCTCCACCGACACACTCCCCGACTCCTCGGCGACAGCTTCCGGAGCCTCATCGGGTGGGGCCACCAAGACCTCGTCGTCCGGTGTCAGCGCCTCAGCCACGAATTCGAGTACTTCATCCTCCTCTACATCTTCGGGGGCGCCTAACTCAGGAGTACGATTCAGTGTACCATTCTCATCGTCAGTATGTCTCTGTACGGGATGGCAAACATATCGCTGATATATCAGTAGCTTTATCTCAGGGTTGCTTTGTCTGTTGGCGTATCTGTTGTTCTTATAGTCTGCAGCTCGGGTTATTGCTGCATATACCCGGGTTTAGAAAAGCACGCCAGATTCGTTCCCAGGGTGTGTATTAGCAAAAGTTGTTATAGGATACTGAGTATATGTCCTGGGTATGTAGTCTCTTCGTTGGCCCTCCCTACTGCTCTGCCTTCACTTCCCCGCTCACCGTACTCTTGGCGTCAAAGCTGCCCCCAATACTCGGTCTCAGAGTTCTGTCCGAGTCCGCGTTACTGCTAATACTACCCCTCTCCTCTCCTATAGCAACAGGAACCGCCAACGTCTCAGCCGCAAGGGCAAGCGCAGCCACAGGCTTCTCCTCAAGAAGCATCTTCGGGCCGTCGTTGAAGACGCTCCCGAGCTCCTCGAGCGTCTTGTGCGCCGTCTCGGGGTACACGAAGTAGACGAAGATCCCGCAGAAGACGCAGAAGCCGACGAGGATGAAGTAGTACGCGCCGCCGATGGCCGCGAACAGCGGCGGCGTGGCGAACGCGATGATGAAGTTGCAGAGCCAGTTCGCCGTCGTCGAGAGCGCCATGCCCTTCGCGCGCGCACGGAGCGGGAAGATCTCCGCGCCGAGCAGCCACGGCCCCGGACCCCACCTGGTGCGTGGCGGCGTCAGAGAATACGCCGGTTTGGTATGGGGATGCAAGCACTTACGTGGCGCCGTAGAAGAACAAGTACAGGCACACCGCTGTGATACCAATGGTAGTCAGCGTGGCAGGAGACAGTGCAGCGGACCAGACGCACCTGCGAAGACGCCGTTGGCCCCCGGCATACGCGCGTCACCCCGTGGCATGGTATCCACGTACAGCTGCAGCCCGCCCACAACCGCGAGCGCGCCCGCGAGCGCCGCAGCACCCACCAACAGGAACGGCCTACGGCCGACGCGATCAATCCACAGCGCCGTCGGGATTGTGCCCGTGCAATATATCAGTGACGCGCCCGCAGCGTATAGGAGTGCTCGCTGCGTATCGAATCCCGCACGGGTCAAGTTCTCGGGCAAGAAGTAGAGGATCGCGTTGATGCCGTTGAACTGCGCGAAGATCTGGCAGGTGAGCCCAATGACGCTGCGTCGCCGGTACTGTGTGAACAACTCGCGCCAGGACGAGCTCCCGAGCGCGCGTTCGCGCGCGACGGCGTCGACGATCTCGCGGTGCGTCGCGAGCACCGTGGGATCGTCGATGTTCCCCGCCGCGTGCAGGTCCGCGAGCACCCGGAGGCCCTCGGCGGGCATGCCGCTGTTGATGAGGAAGCGCGGCGTCTCGGGGAGCACGAAGGACCAGGCGATGAGGATGGCGGCCATGGCGGCCTGCACGATGTACGGGCCCTTCCAGGAGATCTCGGAGGGGAGCGTGAAGAAGAAGGCGTAGCCGACCCAGGCGGAGAGCGCGTACCCGGCGTTGAGGCAGATGTACTCGATCGAGATGAAGAGCCCGCGCGCGTGGCCGGGCGCGATCTCGCACTGGAGGATGGGCACGGTCATGGAGAGGATGCCGACGGCGACGCCCTGCAGGGAGCGGCCGACGATGAGGCTCGCGAGGTCGGGCGAGAGGATCTGGATGATGGAGGCGACGAGGTAGATGAGCGCGCCGAGGCGCACGGATACGCGTCGCCCGAGGATGTCACAGACGTACGCCGCGAAGAAGGCGGAGAAGAAGGCTGTGATGTTCAGGCAGGACACGGTGATTGCTGTAGTGGATGTGAGTCTTCTCGAAGGCTGCAGATGGACTAAGGCTTACATTGCACATAGGGATCCACGCCGGTGGTACCATTCTGAATCTGCTCTAGGGTAACGTCTTTACCGAAGAATCTGCGTATGAAGTTCGGCTGGACCTGCAGCGCGGCGATGAGACCTTGGCTGTAGCCGAACATGGCGTCGCCCAGGGAGGGCAATGCGGATGAAGATATGAGCAGCGGTCGCCCGACCATCCACCGCGGATAGCGGGGCGTGAAGGACGTCGGCCTGAACTGGTCTACGAAGGCTCCCATGGCTCCACAAGGGATGGCTGGTGTGCGGGGTTATGGATAACGCGACTAACATGGCAGACCCGTGTTTTTAGGGAGCAAGAGGCTGGGTGCGGCTGACATACGTCGTTCTTTGTGCAGTTACTCCGAACCCGCCTCCATGTAACAGAGGGCCTAGGCGAAATGACAATATTGCTGAACAGGCTTGCGGCTGACACGAACAGTATTGTTGGAGACTGTATTAACACAGGGTAGGTATCGGTGTAGCACGTATTCGTACATTTCTTACAACTCGCACTCTAAGCTACAAGGTATCTCTGATCGTACAACAGGGTAGTAAAAATGCCCGGGATCGACGTCCCCATAATATCACACGGTAGAAAACGACAGGCTAGAGCGCGGAACAGGTTATTGCGACAACGCGTGTGTTGCGTCCGCAAGTCCGTTTAGCAGCGCCTGAGCTTTGTCGGACCTGGGCGTCACCGTGAATCCGAAAGGAGCAGGATGGCTTCGGGTGGAATGTCAGCGACAGTGTTTTAATGGTGACTTAGAAAAGCTGTACCTTATGATAGAGCCTTGCCCTTCCATGAGCGGCTCGACGACTTTGCCGTTCTCGGTCGCCTTCGATATGTCATACACCGCGAGCACCATAGAGAACAGAGCAAACATGGACTCCTCGGCAAAGACGATTCCCGGGCATCTCCTAAACGCTCACTGTCAGAATCGGCCAAAGTGGAACGCCGCGCGCGACCTACCGCCTGCCGAAACCGAAGCAAAAGTCCCGCGGATCGCGCTCGGCCTCTTTGCTCTCCGTAGGCACAAATCGGTCCGGGTTGAACGTCATCGGATCCGCATAAGTTTGCGGGTCGTGCAGAAAATTCCTAGATATGGCAGCATGAACAAGGTGCCCCCGAACTATGACAAATGGACGTACCATATATTCGCAACGACGAGGGTGCCCTTCGGCAGGAAGTAACCCTCGAGAAAGTCGTCCTCACTGAGCTTGTGAGGGAACCCTAGATGAACATTTGCATCAGATCTCGCCACACTGAGCCGCAAACCGGTTCGGACTCACCCATGGGCGCCACGGGGATCCACCGGAGAACCTCGAGCATTAACGCGTTCAGGTAAGGAAGCGCGTCTCTGTCCTTGAGCGTCGGCAGTCGACCGTTGCCGATCAACGCGTCAATCTCTGCCTGTGCTTTCCGCTGCGCCTCGGGGAAACACGACATGGCGAGGAAGAAGGAGGTCATGGCAGCGACAGTCTGCGGCTCAACGTCAGTCACGAGAGAATCAAGCCCAATGCACGCCTTGCACACTCACGGTGTCTGCGCCACCTGCACGGAGCGCGCTCAGTATGTGTAAAGACACTCATTAAGAGGATGGCGTACCAGCATACAGGGAAGCCGACGCCATCTTGATTAGCTCCTCCTTCTCAGGGCCGTCAGAGCCCTCCAACAGCGCGGAGGCGACGCTGGGAAGAGCTGTCCCGGCATTCTAACGTGGAGATCTGTCAGCACTGTATTGTCCGGCTATGTGCGCCGCCTGCGCGCACCATTTGTGCCTTCACCCAGTTGAACGGGATGTCGGCCATTCGGTCAAAGTTCTTGCTCTGCTCCGCCACTTTCCTCCTCCACTGAGCGCCAGGAACCCATGAAGGAATGTGGCACACTGGTCCAACGCTATCAGCATTCATGCTACAGACACATCGCCGTCTGTCGACTCACGAAAGGGGAATATGTCGGCCAGGTAGGTCCCTGGTGCAGAGGCTTCGGTGAAGTCCGCCATAGCCTTGTCGACGATCTGGATGAGGTGGTCGTCATCGCCTCGGACCTTGTATCCATACGTGATCGCGACCATGCTGGATCCCGCCAACCTGCCGAACGCGGTCAGATTACATCCGCTGGGGGCGAACGATGTCCCGCACCTATGCAGATCGTGGACGAGCGAATCCGTCCGGGTCCGCAGCCCAAGGAGGAAGTGCTGCGTCTCCCCCTCGACCAGGGCGTGGAAGCGCTCGAAGCGCTGCCGGCTCGCGAGGACCTGTGCGAACATCTTGCGCATCTCCCGCAGGCGGTCGCCGTATGGAGCGAGCACCATGGCGCGCGACCAGCCTATCATGTCACCCGCGACCGGGAGTGAAGCTCGATCTGATGTGATTGCGCTCTTCTTCTCGAGGATGGCCATTGCATCTTTGGGCGAGTTGAGGATGACCATAGGCTGCCCGAGGATGGTGACGGACACGATGTCGCCTGCGGGTGGTGGTGCTTGTCAGTGGCGACGACTGTCAGATTGGGTTATGAACTTACCCCAACGTTGGCTCCAGTCTGAGAACGTGAGCCAGTGGTATGTGATCGGCATGTCGAGGAGGTTGCCGATGAGGGGCCATCCCTGGGGGCCAGGGGGCAGTGGCCCGAGACGCCGTTTTCGGGAACGGCGGTAGGCAAGTAAAATTGCGGCGAGAATAGCACAGAGGATGGACGTGAATGTAGACATGATTTGAGAAAGAAAAGGAAAGAAGGTGTGTACGCTCCAGGGGCCGTAGCAGAGAGACATATACTTGAGGGGGACCTGGAGAACACTCTACGATGAGCAGGGCTTTTATCCTCACGAACACGCTCCATACTGCTTGAGGACCAGTACCGAGCCGGACGGACGTCGAATGCAATCGGCGCGCTCCCCTCGGCACCTGAGTGCCACAGAATCACTCAGATTCTTGGATCTGCGCGCAATATATGGCAAGAGGCCGCCCGTACCCCTGACAGTTCAGGGAACGCGGCCATGCGACAACCACTCCATCGTACGGTAGAAAGAGGCTTGTGCTCCGCGGGACGCCTGCCATGCGGACCAAAGCATCATATTGGGGATAGTTCCCGGCCAGACGCCTCGATAGCTTGACTGTGCACTCTGACCACCGCCCACATGGAGGGAGTGCTACATGGTCAACCTACTGCCATACGGACCGAGGGGCTTTGGGCGGCTTCTTTCAGGCGCTGTAGCCGAAATGCGGGAGGTGTTTGGATACCGAACATTACCCCGAGTCCCTCGCACATCGTTTTAGGGCGAATGTCATCACAGTCCCTGCGCTCGAGCGGCCAGCTCGGGCATAGAGTATGAACACGCCCCGCGCACGGGGGCCGCTAGCGGGTTTCATACACGATGTCTCCCTCCATAGGTATCTAATAGAGTCACCGAACGATAAGAGGGCGGGGCGCTGGCTATTAGAACAAAATTCAGGTCCAAGCCGTCTAGTTATAACACTCACCTCCGCTGCAAAACGCGCAAAGCGGCGCTGGCGTAGCCGTATAACGCCGCACCCGCGTCAGCCGACGCCCGACAGACGGCAAGCTACCCCATTCCGCCATGCAATCGCTCTACATGGCCTTGATAGACACGAAGAATGGCGGCCACACTGACAGCAAAAGCTACCAGTGTGGTGGCCATCCTGCAAGAATGCAGGAAACAGATCCGAGGAGTGTTGGATCGAGTGGCGTCCCGGGCGCGATCCCAGGGTTCCCGAGCATCACCAGGGTGTTCCTTTCCCGCCGCTATGCACAATTCTAGACACGTTGCGCCAGCCGAAATGCAGAAAAGCCGTGTGGTGGGAGCGGAAACGGAAAGAAGGGGTCCATCCCGCGAAGCGCCGTGCACCCGAGGGCGTGGTGGCGGTACACGCGCCACACCACCTCCTCTACGGGCCCGAACGGCTCTCTGCACACACATTCGCGGGAGTAGCATTCCTCGCGTGGCACCGCAGCCCGTCGCTCGCCTCAGGCGTACCATCGCGGCTACCACGCCTAACCATCCTACGCTTAAATGGCTTCTTTCGGGGCGCCCGAGCCTCGCAAGTCACAAGTGAGCGTCCACGTCCCGAATTCGTAGAAAGACTGACCTAGCCGGTTTTTGCGCTCACAGGCCTCTCGTAAATTCAGTGGGTTTCCGAACTGTGGGTGCCCGGACTCCGCCGGGCTATTATCGCATTCATTTATACACAACAGGCCAGATGCGATGGTGGCTAGCTGCAGAGTGGTAAGGAACGACTGTCCGTGTGCGGATGCGAGTGGGTGGTGATCTATGCATGGGGACCATGGCGCGAGGGCCATGCCCTATAAAGTATGCGCCGAACGGGAACCAAGAAAAGCCCGATAGATGGAGAAACGAATATGGAGAGAGATCAGGATGGAGAGAGGGGGGAAAGGAGACAAGAACACGATTTTAGTTGTTCTTGTGCTCGATGAGCGAGTGCAGGAGCGCCTCAGCCTTTGCGGACCGGGGCTTGATCTCGCACTTGTACGGGGGCGGGTGGCTGGTGCGACGGACGGACGCGACGATGGTGAGCGCGCTGCGACGGAGTCGGGCGGGGAAAAAGGGACATACCTGACCGTGCCGGCGGTGTACTCGGTCGAGGGCTCGACGACCTCGCCGTTCTCGACCGGCTTCTCGATCTTGAATACCGCGAGCGACATCGCGACCGCCAAAAAGACGGACGAGTCCGCGAGCTGGAGGCCGGGGCAAATGCTGTGATAGGGAAGAGCCATCGGTTAGGCTCGCAGGCAGGCGCGCACGGGGGCACATCGAACACGTACCGACGTCCGAAGCCGAAGACCATGCCGCGGGGGTCGGTCTCAGGTTCCTTACCGGGCGCGGCAAGGAAGCGGTCGGGGTTGAAGGACATCGGGTCCGCGTAGGTCTCAGGGTCGTGCAGCATGCGCCTGTGATCGGGCGTTGGTGCGTGCGCGGGAGCGGAATCGGGCAGGTGGGGGTACGTACCAGACGTTCGCAATGACGATGCTGTCCTTGGGGATGAAGTAGCCGGCATGGAAGTCGTCCTCGATGACACGGTGGGGAATGGCTATCGAGTCCGGGGTCAGCACGTGTGCAGTGTTTGAACTTTTACGGAGAAATGCGTACCAAGGGGGGCGACGTTGTTCCAGCGGAGGACCTCGAGGAGGACGGCGTTCACGTAGGGCAGGTTCTCGCGGTCCTCGGTGGTAGGCAGACGGTCCGTTCCAATGACAGCTTCGATTTCAGCCTGTGCCTTCTTCTGCACCTCGGGGTTGAGGGTCATGGCGAGGTAGAACGTGTTGATCGCAGAGACCGTCTATTCTCCCGCGATCAGTGAGAGCCGAATACACGATTAAGCGGTACATACCGTGTCAGCACCGCCGGCGTAGAGCGATGAGGCAGCGTTCTTGACAAGCTCCTCACGCTCGGGGGTGATGTCGCCCTCGAGGTTAACCGACGTAAAGTTAGGGATGTCCGTGCCGTTAGCCTGCGAAGCGGTCAGACGGGCGCTCGGTCTGGTACAAACTTTGCGAACGTACCATGCGCTGCTTGACAAAGTCGTGGGGCTTGTCGCACATCTCGTCGAGGGTCCTGCGCCATGCCGCCGCAACCTTCCGGAAGCCGGCACCGGGAACCCAGGCGGGAATGTGAGCAACTGTTCAAATGTGAATCAGCCTCCGGTTACGTTTCAAAGTAAAGTTTATACGTACGAGCAGGGAAGATGTTGGCGAGGAAACCGGCCGGAGACGTGCAGATAGCGAACTGTTCCATAGCCTCGTCCACAGTGGCCACAAACGGATCGTTCTCAGCCTGAACCTCGTAGCCGTGGGACATCGTCAGGATAATCGCACCCGCTGACCTATCGGAAGTGACATCATCAGTCAGACATGTTCCCTGTGTGAAGCTGGCGAATGCGCTTACTTCCGGACGTGCTTAAGGAGTTCCGTGGGTTGCTGGTAGACCTCAACGACAAAGTCCCGGGTCTTCTCCTCGACGAGCGGAATGAAGCGTTCCATGTTCTTCTTGCTGCCGATCAACTGGAAGATGAGGCGGCGGTACTCGCGGAACTTGTTGCCATAAGGGAGCAGTGCGAGAGTGCGGTTCCACCCAACGAGCTCTCCTCCGACCGGGATGATGGGGCGCGAAGAATAGATAGAACTCTTCTTCTCGAGCATATCGAGCGCATGTTTCGCGGAGTTAAGGATGATGTACGGCTGGCCCAGGAAGGTCACCGAGACGATGTCGCCTGTCATGTGGGAACGGAAGGCGTCATGAATACACTGCGCATCAGAGCAAAGTAGCGCAGAAAAATCTCACCCCAGCGCTCGCCCCACTGGGCGAACGTCCGCCACTCGTGGCTCGCGGGCATGTCCAACATGTTGCCGATGAGCGGGAGGCCCTTGGGGCCCGGGGGGAGAGGACCCTGCCGCTTCTTGGCGAAGAGGCGGTTGAAAAGAATGACCGCCACCAAGACGGCGACGGCATCCAGGAGGGTCGGCGAGTATGCCATAGTATACAAGCGGAAGCAAGGGGAGGAAGTAAGGAGGGCGGGAGGGGGAGGTTGGAGCACTGTTCTCCTGGAGGAGCGTTAAATATCTGCGCTCAGGAACGCGCAGTGTTCACACCGGACCCGGCCCACACTGATCAGCTGGCGAAGCGGGGGGTTGGTTCTGGCCATGGCTGATAGCAGAACCCTCCTGAGCTTCTCTGCCTCGAAAGGGAATGCGTCTCCAGATCGCCTGAGGGGGGATCTATCATCCGCCAGACCATCAATGAAGCTGAGCCTTCGTGCTCACCTGCGCGCAGACGCCCGCCATCGAATTCGCGGAGGCACACCGTTGTAACACGCAACGTGGTGCGCCGCCCAGCTTCTTAGTGCGTCCGGGGTTGCGCCACCAATGGGCGCAGGTGCGGCACACGAGCTTCGCGGACCATTGCGCTGCGTCAGACCGCTTCAGACGGTGCTAGAGTGACAGACGAGGTCGGGAATGGCGGCTCGTCTAGCGTCGAATATGTCACCATGGATCTTCGAGGGCACGAAATCTGCAGGTCTAAAAGGTCCATCAGGAGGTCCCAGATTTCCAGAGATGTCGGTCTACGCCGAGTCGGGCACGGGCATGTCTCAGTGGTCGCCACCGTGATTCGGCGCGGGGGCATGCGTTAAGCCGCCGTCGGCCAGACCACAGGAGGAGTGCGAACGATGGTGCACGATACCTTGGCGGGGAGGAACGTGGACGGTGAGGGACGCTGCGGCCTCTCGGAGAGGCACGATTTCAGACGACCCTAGCCGCCATCACGATGAGATCTCTCGACCCCGGCTTTCGATCTCTGTCGATGCTGTGAAGACCGGACCCTTAGACTGGTTGGCGACGCGTCCTCCCGCGCGGGTTGAAAGCAAAGTACACAGGGTCGACGTTGTGAGGCGCGAGGCGCGAGCCTCGAGGCACCTGCCAGACTTGACCGCGCGCCTCAGTGACATTGCGGACGCTGGCTGCAATCTTTACGAACCGCACGGCGGGCCTTCGGGGAGCAGAAGGCGGCTTGAAACGATTCGACCGAGCGCGGAGATGCCGGTCTTTTTGCGAACCCGCGCTAGCTCTGATAGAAGCGGCAAGGCGAGGTGAGCAGCACGCACGACTGTCACGGCGGGGAACGACTCGGAAGGAAAATTCAAAATCACTCTCGGGAGTCGGGCGTCGCATCTCCGCGACTCGCACCCCAGCTCCCTGCAGGGTCGTCGGGGGCCCACGTATGGACAGATGGCGACCCTCCGCGTAATGGAGCTGACCGCGTCGGGCTGCGTAGCGAGCTCAGTGCAGTTCCTGGTGCCCTCTTCCCCCCTCGCGCGTACGAGCGAGGCACTCCCGATGCTCGTCCTGCGCGGGTTCCGAGGACGGTCGGCGCGTCCGCCCTTGCGCAGATCCCTCGTGGCGCCGCCTTCTCTCGTCGCCATCTGCCAATGGCGCGGCGCGTGATACGTATCGCGATCGTCGTGAGGGCGTTGTTTGAGCTTGTGTCATCGCGCACTGAATGCAAGGCCTAAACTATCAGGGTAAAAGCTTGTTTGAGACCAAGTATTTCGGGGGTGTCCTGAGGTCGTGGCCCGCAGCTGGTCAGTTCACACCCATAGATAGGCAAGCCTTAGCCTATCGTGGGCACAGCAGGTGTGTACGGGCGTATCGGTGCGGTGGGAGGACAGAGGGAAGCGGAGGGCGAGGTCGAGCTGCATATCGATGGTCGATGGGATGACTCCAGCCACAGTCATTTTGGCACTGACACAGCTGCTTATCGCGTCAAGCTGTAGCAGCTAGCTCGAACCTCTTGCGCACGCTACACACCTTGCTCCCTCTCGCCATCGCCCCCTGATCAAACGCACGCACCACCTCAAACATGTCTGGCAGAATTCAGCACAAGGTGGGAGCATACACACCCTCTCCATCTCGTGCACGCGATCTCACATGGCGTCATTTAGGCCGCTCTTGTTACCGGCGCCGGCTCGTGAGTACCTTTGCAGCAATAGCGCATCCATACCTGCCACGATGTCGAACTCAACCTTCGCGGCGCGCCATCCAGCGGGATCGGCCTCGAGTCCGCACTGCTCTTCGCGCAGGAGGGCGCGAACGTGCTGCTCGTGGACATCAACATCGAGGCCGCCGAGAAGGCGCTCGCGCTCGTCAAGCAGCGCTTCCCGAACGTCTCTGCGGCCGCGGTGAAGGCAGATGTGGGCAAGGAGGCGGACATCAAGGCCGCGGTCGACAAGGCGGTCGAGCTGTTCGGCCGTCTGGACATCATGGTGCGTCCTATCCCATCCGTCTTCCCCGGTACTGGTGCACCGGACGCTGATCAGGGGCCGCCGCCAGTTCAACAACGCAGGTACGTTACCGTAACCTGTGGTCTCTATTGAGAGGCGTGATAGCTGCCCCGCGTCGTATGGCCATGCTCACGCGCGCGCCGCCACAGGCATTATGCACCCCGCGGACGACACCGCGCTAAACACGGAGGAGCGCATCTGGGACCTCACGATGCAGATCAACGTCAAGGGCGTGTGGTGGGGCTGCAAGTACGCGATCCTCGCGATGCGCAACAACCCCACCGACGCCGCGCGCCGCCTGCACACCGGCGGCAGCATCATCAACACCGCGAGCTTCGTCGCGCTCATGGGCGCCGCGACGCCCCAGCTCGCCTGTACGTACACCTACCCCTTTACCCACACGCCCCCGGGCATTTTCTGACCCCGTCCGACGGCGCATTCAGATACGGCATCGAAGGTAGGCACTCACTCTGCCTTCTCCGGCCGCAGTCGCATCTGCAAGCGGATAGGGACACTGACTGTCCGCGAATGTATAGGGCGCCGTGCTCGCGATGACCCGCGAGCTGGCGATGGTCCACGCGCGCGAGGGCATCCGCCTCAACTCCATCTGCCCGTGCGTGCCCCGAGTTGCCTAGGCGTCGCGTACCGTATCGCTAACCGACTCCCCGAACCTCCGAACGACGGAACGGATTCGCGATTGCCCCGACGCGCAGCGGCCCGCTTAAGACCCGTACGTACCCCCTTCCCGCCCGCTCGATAAGGGGTCCCTGCTGACCGGCCGATGTCTTTGCTCACCCCGCTCGTTCGCGCGAATCCCGCTGTGATTCCTGTATGCAGCGCTCCTGATGGACTTCCTGAACACGCAGGAGAAGCGCGACCGCCGTATGGTGCACCTCCCCATGGGGCGTTTCGGCGAGGCGATCGAGGTCGCGAAGGGCGCGCTTTTCTGTACGCCCTTCACTTTGTTATTACCAAGCTGGGTTCCATGCTAATATTTCCCGGTCGTGTCCAGTGGCCAGCGACGACAGCAGCTACATGACGGTATGTTCTGGCGTCGAGCGTAGCATAACGAAATGCTGACCCCCATTGCCAGGGCACGGACTTCAAGGTCGACGGCGGCCTGACGTCGTGCTACGTGACCCCGATCGGGGAGCCGGTTCTCTCCCCTCCTTCGAGCCTCATCTGAGCGTCCGGATGAAAAACAGGGGTTGGCGAGGTCGTGCGTGCGCGAAAGGGATGCTTTAACAACATGTTGTACAAAATAAGTAAATTACAGACTAAGCACGAGCACAGCGGCGAATGCGTAGGGGTTTCGTGATGAAGTCCAGAATTCCAGAATCCAAACGGTGCGGGACGGGAAATTGAAAGCGTTCGTGTACACATCGAGGGTGCGCGTAGTGTTTGTGCCGAGCAGCGACACTTCCGGTAGTGGCAGAGTTTAAAGTTGCTTCTTCTTGGACTGAGCCTCTGACGTCTTGATGTCCGCGATCGTCTGCTTGACGCTCTGATGGATGTTCTCGCGCAGCTGGGGCTTGTAGCCGAGCTTGAAGAGGATCTCGAGGTGCACGAAGAACGGCGCGAGCACCAGAGCTATAGACGTGTTCGGGCGATGCATCAGCTACGCGTGTCTATCGCGCGGAGCGAACGCCCACTCACCCCCAAGCAGGTTATCGAGGAGCGCCGGCGAGCGGCCCTCCGCGAAGAAGTGCCCCGAGAACTGCGCGACCCAGGACGCGACGTGCAGAAGCAGCGCGTTCTTGAGGCCCTCGGGCTTGCGCGCGTACGCGGCGGCGTTGAGCCCGATGACGAGCCACTCGGGCGTGTAGATGAGCTGGGCGGGGTGCAGCGGATCAGAGGGCGGCAAGCGAGCAGTAGCAGTGTAGAAGACGCACGGCAGCGGTGGGCTCGAGGAGGTAGTAGTAGAGGCCGACGAAGACGACCCAGAGGCCGGACCAGTTGAGGTCGAACGCGAAGTAGTCGTTGAGGGTGAGGTGGAGTTGCGGGAAGAACTCGGGCCAGGGGGCATGCGAGCCGAGGATGAGAGCCGACCTTATGTGGATGGCTTTGAGCACCGGGTGAGGTGCTAGGTTTGGCGAACGTACCAGAGGATGGCAGGGACGAAGATCATATGAATTACGACGTTGATCGGATGGTCATGGTAGGCACCGTAGAACGTGAGCTGCAGGCAGGGAAGGGGTCCTAAATCTCCGAGTATAGAGGGGTTCAGGGTGTACGGACCTGGTGCTTGACGTCAACGAGGCTGGAGGCGGGCATGGCGCTGTGCAACGATCGGTGCTGGGCTACGCGCGACGGCTGGTGGTGGTTGGGGAAAGAAAAGCAAGCACAGCGCGATGTGCGCGTTCTGCAGAGACCCTCGTGAATCTGAGAGACCGTCGCGACTCTTCTCGGCTTCCGGCGTCCATCAGCAGAGCCGTGAGCGGTCCTGAGCGGGCAAGCCCCGGATTAGGGTTAGGGTCACTCCTCCACGTGCGGTGACACCACGTATCTCGCAGGAAGCGCCCGCACTCGCTACCTGGCACCGCACCTCCGCTCACTCCTACGCTCTACACTCGTTCAGCCACCGTACAATCATGGTCAAGTCCACACTCGTCGTCCGCACCACCGATGCTCTCCCACTCGCTGCCAGTGTCGACGACGAACAGGTCCGGTACGCGCCCTCGTCCTGCTCATCAACCGTGCTAACACCGAGCAGACAGAACAAGCTCTGTCCGAGCACAAGCAGCAGGCCAAGCTCATCTTCCGCAGGATAGGTGCAAACTCCGAACCACGATGCTCTATTGAGAGTGGTCAACATACCCTGCAGTGCGTGCGGCTTGCGCTCAAAATCCCACTCGTCGTGCTCATCTCCTGTGTCCTCGTCCTCCAGCTACCTCATAGCAGACAACGTTACCTACCTCGTCATCACCGACAAGTCATACCCCCGCAAGCTCGCCTTCTCATACCTCGACGAGATCTCGAAAGAGTTCCAAGTATCCTATGGCGCCAAGGTGGACACCGTCCGCAAACCCTACGCGTTCGTTGGCTTCGGTACGTACTCATTGCCCCACCTCTTGCTTGCCGCCCCGGCTTGACGACGGCCTCCGCAGACACCTTCATGTCCAAGACAACACGGCTATACCAGGACACCCGTACCGCAAGCGCGGCCGGCGCATCGCACATGGACCAGCTAAACGGCGAGCTGCAGGACGTCACCCGCATCATGACAAAGAACATGGAAGAGCTCTTGTGGAGAGGCGACTCGCTTGACCGTGAGTGCACACTCCGCGCGCACATCGTGTTCCGGCAAGCTCACATAGTACGTGATGGCGCCAGGGATGTCGCACTTGTCGACCTCTTTGCGGTCCGAGTCGGAGAAGTACCGCAAGGCCGCACGGAATATCAACTTCCAAGCGATGCTACGGCAGTATGCTCCCCTCGGCGGCGTGTTGTTTATTCTCATCATCCTCATCTGGTGGCGGTTCTCATGAGGCGGGGGTTCCACGGACTAGCTTCACTGTACTCTTCTTTATTTACGACTTTTAATGCCTTGTTCTCTTCGCCTCACTCTACTGAACTCTGCCTCGCCTCTGGAGAGGCTACAGAGTAATTACCGACGGGGCAGGCACCGGGGGTGCAGAGCGGTCGGGTATTAAGCACGACTTCGGCTAATCCGTCCTCCTGGATCTTGCCGTCCACCACGCTGCAGACACAATCGGGGCTTAAGCTCCCAAGTATATATACACAGATCATCGTACATCGCTGCGATAACCCCGTCCTTCGCCCGCTCACGCCTCTGCTCGAGTGCGGGCTGCACAATATCCACCGTTTGTCCCCGTGCAGCGCAAGAGCCCGCTCACCGATCTCAGCCAGCTGCTTCTTCGGATCGCCCGCCATCGACCCCGACCGCGCCCACCTCCTACCTCTTCCAGCCATGGCTTCTTACGGGCAGCCGTACGGGGCGACCTCGCCCCTCATGCAGCACGCTTCGCCCTCGCCGTTCCCGACGACGACCCCCCAGCAGGCCGCGAACATCCAGCCGGGCTCGATCACCTACACCACCACCGTCGGCAACGATGGCCAGGTCGTCTACCACCCATTCAAGTGCGTACACTTCCACATCTGCTCTCTTCGCGATCGTGTGCAGAGGGAACGTAACACTGACCGTGCTGTGCGGGGTGTAGAGCGGTCGCAGCAAGGTACGCTCAATGAACGACCGATCTGTGCACAGATATTAACGCAGATCTTGATCGCCAGCTACCAGACTCCCCAGGGCGTCGTGAACGGCATCCAGTGGATTCCCGCGGAGGCCACCTCGGTCGTGCCGTCCAATGCCACACCCGCCGGTGCAGTAAGTCCCTCCCCCGCGGAGGCCGTCTCCCTCGAGATCTGACGTTGCGCCATCGCGTGCAGGATCTCGCCGCCTCGTTCGGCCGCAACCCAGACGCCCGATCATACGGGTACGTCTGTCCCCCCGCGTCCCCGATCGCTCACTCACACCGGGCGGGAGCACAGAGCGCGCGACGACGACTACCGCCGCAAAAACGACCTCTCCCGCGGCTCCATCTACGACCGCGGCGACCGGCGCGACCGCGACCCCCGCGACCGCTACGACGACGAGCGCGACCGCGACGACGACTACTACCGCCGCCCAGTCGACCGCGAGCGCGAGCGCGACCGCGCCGAGCGCGAACGCGACCGTGCTGAACGCGAGAGGGACCGCCGCGGCAGCACGTACGGCGGCGCGCCAGTCGTCGGCGGGGCCTACGGGCAGTACGACAAGTACGACACCGCCACCGCGGAGCTCGAGCGGCGCATGCGCGACGTCGATCTCGACCGCCGCGAGCGCGAGCGCGACTACGAGCGCGATCGCGACCGCACCGCGCGCTCGCGCCGCAACTCCGTGTACGGCGGCGCGGACCGCCCGACGTCGACGTACCAGCCCGCCGCGGGGGGCGCCTACGGTGCCGCCCCATATGGGTCCTCCGCGCCGTACACTGCGGCGGCCGGGGGCGCGTACCCGACCTCTGCTGCGTACCACCCGCCCTCGCCGCGTCCTGGGGACATACTCCCGCGGGCGGCGTCCCCGTACCGCGTTGGGGGCGCCCTGCCGCGTCCTTCGTCTCCGTACCAGGTCCCGATCGCCCCACGGCCGGTGTCCCCGTACCAGTCTGGCGGTATTCCGCGGGCTGCGTCTCCCTTCCAGGCCGCGTCGATCCAGCGTGCGGCCTCTCCGTACGGCGGTGGCGGAATCCAACGTGCAGCCTCTCCCTACGGCTCTGGAGGCGGGATCCAGCGTGCGGCATCGCCCTACGGACCTGGGGGCGGGATCCAGCGCGCAGCATCGCCATACGGCAACGCGATGCGCCCAGGCGCATCTCCCTACGGCGGGGCAGCGCCGCTCCCCGGTGGCGGCAGCAGCGGCGTCTACCCCCCGGGGCACGTCCTCGAAGGCCAGCCGCTCCGCTCGCACTCGCGCGCCCCGAGCCCGAGCCCGTACGGCCAGCCCGGCGGGCCCGTCAACATCTACTCAAACCCGCAGACGTCGTCGATCTACGGCTCCGCCCAGCCCGGGGCGTACGGCGCATCGTCCGGGGCGTACGGCGCGTCGTCTGGCGCATACGGAGGGGGGTACGGAGGCGGGGGCGGAATCGCCGCGCACGCATCGCCGCGCATGGGGGGCGGGGCGGGCATGCCGATCCCGCCGCAGGAGCAGGCGGCGATGCTGACGGTGCCGGAGGGCTTTGCGCGCCCGCCGAACCGCGCGCAGCCGTACACGCACTTTGAGATCATGAAGATCCAGGATATGGATGACTTCCTGGACGTGATCCCGCGCATGCCTGCTGTGCTTGTCCCGCACGACGTGTATCACGAGGACTGGATCCGGCTCATGCAGGTGTGTACCCATTCCGCATTCTCTCTCTCATTTCACTGTAGCATATGTGGCTGACAAACTCTCCCTGCGCAGGACCTGGCCATGGCGTGGGCCGGCACGCTCCCCGTCCCGCAATACTCCGCCGACGGGCGCGCGCCGAAACGCTCGACGCTCGCGGCGGACGTGATCGACCTCTGGAACGCGTCCTTCTTCCGCGCGCGCGGCGTCGAGATGGTGCTGTACAAGGGCCGCGAGCGGCGCTCGGGGCGCATGGCGGGCACGGTCGACATGCAGCTGCCCGGGTTCGACGAGTACGACGTGTCGTCCCCGTCCGAGTCGTCCGACGGCGACGACTCCGCGGAGGAGCGCCTGCGCGACCGCGACCGCTACGGCGCCGCGGGCGCGTACGGCCGCCAGGCGGAGGCGGAGCTGCGCGAGGCGAGAAGGGCAAGGAGGGAGCGCAAGGCGGACCGCAAGAAGCGCAAGATGGAGAAGAAGGTGCGGAAGCGCGCGAAGGAGCTCGACAGGACGTATGCGGTGTTCCTGCATGCGGTCCAGCCTGAGGTTATGTAGGGCATGCATATTGGGGAGGGTCTGATCACATCTATGAGGGGGCGGGCAAGGAAAACAAGAAGTTGATTTCGACATATGTACTTATGATATAGACTCTGTCATGACTCGTGTATGGGATGGATAGCTGCTGTGTTATACCACATATTCCTGTTTCTCATCGCTGTCTCAATATATGTACGGCAACGTTGACCTGTTGAGGAGCTCACGCGGGCGCATTGGTCGAAGCAAAGATATGATGTACACCAGCGCATAAACATACAAGGGGCACATTATAAAGTACTACATATAGAAAAGGTCCGCAAGGGGCGAAACACACTCAGTAACGACCACCACGTCCCCGTCCCCGCCCACCACCGTTGTAACCGCCGCGTGCGTTACCATAAGAGCCACCTCCTCCATAGCCCCCGTTGCTTGCTGGAGCTTGGCCGTTCTGAGCACCGCCGTAACCACCGTAGCCCTGGCCGCCTCCGTTGTAGCCTCCGCCGCCCTGGCTGTAGCCACCCTGTCCACCGCCTTGGCTGTAACCAGCCTGACTGTAGCCGCCTTGACTTTGGCCGTTGTAGCCACCCCGGCCACCGCCGCCGTATCCGCCGCCTCCGCCACCGCCACCGCCTCCACCGTAGCCACCGTAAGAGTTGCCCTGCCCGCCGCCGTACCCGCCCCGGCCACGCGAAGGCGCGGCGGCGAAGTCGTTGTATTGACCTCTAGGTGCAGAGCTCGGCTGGGAGAACCCACCACGACCGCGTTGGTACGACTGGTACGATGAGGAGTATGACTGCTGGGTGTACGACTGCTGGTTGTTGTTGTAGGACTGGTTCTGAGAGCCTCCATTCTGCCAACCCCCGTTGGAACGATTTCCATAGTCGCCTCCGCCCTGACCGCCGCGGAAGCCACCACGGCCACCCCGGTCGTAGCCGCCGCCACCGCGTCCACGGCCGCTGGGGCCGCCGCGTCGTGCTGTCTCAAGATCGGACGAGTTGAGGATCGGCGCGGGTCGCCTCACCCCGGGGAGCAGTATTGAGCGATGCGGCGACAGCTGTTTGGGGAAGAGATAGAACGCGGACAGCGACCGGTCGTTCTTGATATCGGGGAGGTCTTGCGTCGGGAGCGGATTGAAGTATGTCGAATCAGGGATGCAATCTGGGTTGCGCAGCAAGAATCCACTGATGCCCTTGCTGACCTTCACATCGATCGGCATGGGCTGTAACATCCAATCAGCCAAAGCGACGACAAAACTAACGCTGTAAACTTACTTCATCCTTCTTCCGCTTGCCATACAAGGCCTCGAGGCTCGGGTACAACGCATTCGATTCGAAAGCAAAGAGCACGTCGTGGCCCATCGTGTTCCGCCGCTTCTCCTCCTCGGTCAAGTTGTCGTACCGGGTACCCATAGCTTCCAGCAGACGCTTCTCGTCAATGAAAGGGAGCAGAGCCACACCTTGCCAGGCCATCCGTTTGCCGTTCATGTCGATCTCGAAGGTAGAGGGATAGAAGTCAATGATTGGAGATGTCTCGTCCGTCATGAGATCATGGAACGTGGATGGAATATGCTGTCGACTGATTATTTCACAGGTCAGCTGCCGCAATTACGGTATGCATAGCGGAGAAGACGTACCTCGCGGCTGGGAAGACACCCATGAGCTGCTCGAACGGCTTGAACGGCTTCCCGAGGTTGAACTGGAGATCCATCTTATCGAGATCTTCAAAGTCGGCGGCGAATGGCGCGAAATGGTAGGGGTAGTACCATGTCCACGACGGCGTCTGTCAACGTGATGTTAGGATGCATCAAACTCGGCGATTTAGGCTACGTACGCCTTGGTAGTAGTATTGCAGCACCCATGCCATACCCTCGACGTATCTGCTTGTAACCCTGAGAAGTAACGTAAGAGACTGCACATGGAAAAAGCGGTGCCCAGAAGCTCACTCCTTCCTGAATGCTTTGTCGTCATATTCGACGCCGAACTTCTGGCGATAGTATCGCTCCCTGTACCCGGGCTCCCAGAGTCTGAAGTTCGACAGATTAACACCATATAATGTCACACAGGGAGACCACACGCACTTCACAATGTCCTCCTGCTCGACCGTGCCGTCAGGGTTGACTTTCAACTTCATGGACGTATTCGTAGGCGCGGGGTCGTCGTCATCATCTCCGATGTCAACGGTAGCATCTCCGTCGGCGTCAACATTGGCGTCCTCAGCTTCGACCTCATGAATGCTTCGCTTGCGACCGCGCGCGGTGGTACCGTCCATCACAACATCTTCAGCCTCGACAACAGGAGGTTCGGCCTCGCCGTTGGCTTTCGGAGCAGCGTCGTTCTCGACGTGCATCGGCTCAGACGGCGTGCTCGTCTCAACAGTGCCAGCAGAGGGCGTGGACGACATTCCACCCAATCCAGGGATTTCGAGCTCGTCGCCACTCGGGAAGGTCGCACTCGGAGCAGTCGCAGGTTCTACGGAGTTGTCCGTGGCAGGTGTAGCAGGTGTAGCGACAGTGGTAGAGAGTGAGTTTTTAGATGGCTTCACTGGAACAAGCGAAGCCATCTCGGCTTTGAGCATTTCTGCGGCACTCATGTTCGCTAGACGAATAGCATGTCGGTTCGCAACTATATCGCGGTTGGAACCGGCTAGAGCTCGAGCAGCCGCGGGAGCGTGTGCAGCGGTCTCGGACGTCTTCGGACCGCCCAGGCCAATGCTGTCCGCCTTCGCAGCAAAATCAGGCCGAGCAGGGAGGGATGATGGAGCAGTAGGGATGGCAGTGAGGTTCAAGGATGCAGAGGGGGCGATAGTTCCATTAGCAGTACCATCGCGAATCTCTTTCTCGAGTTTCCGACGTTTCGCAGATTGGTCCTGACGTTCCTCCGCTGCATGCATATTAGTATCATTAGCAATGATACGAGTGCTAGACACTCACATTCTCGCCGTCTTCTGAAGATCTCATCCTCGCGCTTCGCAAGTCCCTCAAGAATGATCTGTGCGCGCGTCAACTCCAACTGACCATGGTTCGTAATATAGCCGCCCATGCGGGGCAGCTCAGTACGCCATATCTTCAGCAGAGTGTCGATGGCACCTTCCCGAATCTCGAGAGACGGCAAATGAGGCAAGAAGTCGTTTCCGACGAAGAAGATCAGCAGCACCCAATCATCGATGGCCTGCTCGAAGCTGAACGGGAACGGAACCTGAGGAACATTCAGTTCGGCCTCGAGATACTCGCGCAATATGGCCACGTCGAGCCAAATGAACGGTTTCTTCTCGGCAGGAGGCTTCTTGATTTCTGCCTTTGTCCCGGTACATTGGGCGGCATAATGGCCTTCTTGCCCGCATATCCGGCATGCTGTGCGACTTCCCTCTTGGTGGAACACATCTTCACGCAACACACGGAAGTGTGGCTCGTGAGTCGCGAGTGAGAGCATGATAAGGTCGGCATCCTGATGCGAACGCGACGTTAGTCTACGGGAGGAATGAGGATAAGGTATGACTTACCAGGCCGTAGATTACATGCCGGGTGTTGGGGTCATGTCCAGGGTTGCTCCGCTGGCGCCGAATCCAATCCATGATCTTGTGTTCGCCCTCACCCGGGACGCTAGCGTCGGAAATGATGACTTGCATCTGCAACAGAGAAAGCGGATTAGCACAACTTTTCGGTAGCCAAATACTACACTGACATCTGCCCAGCCTGGGTCGGTGTTCATCTTCTGGACGACCCAATAACGCAAGGAGGCGGAAAGAATATCCATGAAAGGCGTGCCAGGGGTGATAGCATTGCTGTCCCACGGCTTCTTGCTCTTCTCATCTTCACTGAGGGTCTTACCCATGGCTGCATAGGTGGTGTCAGGTGGACATATCATAAAAACCCGCATACACACGTACCCTCCCACAGAATCACCGACTCCTTGTGCGCCTCTTCCTTCTCCTTGGCCTCTTGGGCCGTACGGAAACGGCGAGATCGTTGCTGGTTCATCTTGGCGCGCGGTGCGACGCCATCTGTGGCGCGTGAGTCACCGTCCTTGGAAGGCGAAGGGGGAACTCACCAATGGCCATGAAAAGCAGTTTCCGCGGGCGTACCATGTTGACGACCCGTTCCGTGTAGGTGAAAATCTCAATCATCATCTCCTCCTCGGTTTCAGGAGCGGGCTATACGCCAAACGTCAGTACTCCGTGCATCTTGATTCAAAATGTGCTTCTTACCTTGCCCTCCGGATGCGTACAAGGATGAACCTGTATATGTAATGTTAGAGGCGTCCATAACATGCATACGCACTGGAGCACATACGATACCGTTCATGTCCAAGTACAGGTTGTCAAACTCTTCTCCGTTGGGATTCGGGTCGGTCATAAGGACCGGAACGGTGACTTCATTGCCGTCTTCCCCGGGGACTTTCGTGGCTTCCGCCTCTACGACGGGAAGGACTGCAAGCATGTTGTGAATAAAAACCCCGACAGCCGAATAAACGCAGGACGCACTGATTTTGGGGTACTTTTTGCTGAGCCAGCGGAAGAGTGCCGGGACACCCTACAACGGATGTCAGCGGTTTCACCTTGCAAATATTGGTTGAGACGTACCATGGTTGCCTTCTACCACGTTCAGAAAGGAGCGAAGGAGAGAGAGATGCAAAAAACGATCTGCAGACGTCGTGGTTGTGTTGTAGAGCAGACTGTGCCCGCCGGCGTCGCACTCGGACACTTGACGCGGGGGCGCCACGGCTGATGTAAGCGGGTGCGAGTGAGCAGACGCCCGGTAGAAGCGGGCCGCCCGGTGATCCGTCCGGGCGCTTGTGGGACCTGACTCGATCCCAAATTATGTTGGCTCGCGTGCATAGACCGCTCCAAACAAGTTCCGCGCTCTTTACACCTCTTCCTCCTCCTTTCAGAGACACAACAAAAGCCATGGCGCCAGCCGCAACACTCGATGTGCATCCTCCGAACGGACCCCCAACTGCAGAGCCCTCCGCGGGTCAACCGAAGTCTCAGAAGACTATGTGAGTCCTCTGGCTAATGATCCGATCGGTGCAGTGGCTAATCAGGCCTGACTCGCAGGACCAAGGCCGAGCGACGTGAATTACAGGAGAAACAACGCGCAGCCAAAGCTGCCAAAACCGCAGTGAACGGAGTCAACGGCAAGACGCCTGGAAAGCCCAAGGACCAGGCTGCACCCACGGGAGGAGCGGCGAAACGCGCCCCAGAGGCTCAACTCAAACCCACTGCACCTGCTGCCGTACGAGCTGCTGAAAAGGCGAAAGCTGGTCAAGCTTCTACTATGACAGATCCAATGGGCAAGAACCAGGCCCGTGGCCTCCTCATCTTCTCGCATTTCGGCCTTCCGAAGCCCGTGAACGCCGCGAAAGGAGACATCCATCCCGCCATAGCCCGGCTCGCTTTACAATTCTCTACCTTCAAGATCACTGGAGCGAATGCGCGCTGCATAGCTACCTTGACCGCGTTCAAGACGGTATGTGCAATCACTGAAACAACTTCAATCTTGCTTAGCCACTGCCCTCAGATCATCCAAGACTACGTTACGCCACCCAACCACACACTCTCCCGCCATCTCATGACGTATCTTTCACCCCAAATCAACCACTTGGTCGCTGCACGGCCTATGTCGGTCACCATGGGTAATGCTATCCGTCAGCTCAAGCTAGACATTAGCGGAACGGACTTCGATCTCCCTGAGCAAGACGTAAGTGCTATTATTACGGATGGCCAGGAGTCCACGCCATTCACACCGTTCGCATCTAGGCCAAGGACGCGCTCTGCAGGCAAATCGATACGTATATCCACGAGCGGATTATTATTGCAGACCAGGTCATCCAAGAGACGGCGGGCAACAAGATCAAGGACGGAGACGTAATCCTCACATATGCTCGGTGCGCCGCACACGTTCCAGGCTTGAAATAGACGACTCATGTTTAGCACAGGTCATCTGTCGTGGAGAAGGTGTTGCTCGAGGCGCATGCGTCCGGCCGCAAATTCTCCGCCATTGTCGTTGACTCAAGACCGATGCTTGAGGGTCAGTCAGTCTCCAAAATTATAGACTACACGACTGACGGACGTGTGTCAGGCAAGCGGCTTGTAGCCATCCTCTCTGAAGCAGGCATTCAGTGCACCTATCTCCTACTTCCTGCTCTTGGCTCTGTCATGAGCGAGGTGTCTACCGTCTTCATTGGCGCTCATTCCATCCACTCCAACGGCGCGGTATACTCGCGCGCTGGTACGGCACTCGTCGCGATGATGGCGAAGCGGCACTCCGTTCCCGTTGTCGTGTGTTGCGAGACGTACAAGTTTTCGGAAACCATCCAGTTGGACAGTTTCACGAAGAACGAGCTCGGTGAGTAGCGCCTGGCCCGCGGCTCTTCGCTCTCGCTCATACCCGAACCTTCCAGCCCCACTCGGAGATCTCTTCTCGTCCTTCCCCAACAACAAGCCCCGAGAGTCCCTGACGCTCGAGAACCAGCCGAACCTCGAGATCCTGAACCCTCTCTATGACCTCACACCACCGACGTGCGTAACTGCTGTCGTCACCGAGGTCGGCGTCATTCCCCCGAATTCGATCAGCTCGATACCCGTCGCTCTCGGCCGGTTACTGTGAACGCTACTTGGCCTCCGGAATCCTTGCTCGTCGTGTTGCTTTCGTATTCGCCTCCTCGTCAGTCGACCTCGTATGCATCTCGCTCACATTACATCGCATCTGCATCTGTGTTCCGCACATCCTTCCCGGTGAATTATTCCATACGACTTACCCCATGCTCCCCCGCCTTTCCTCTTTTCTTATTCCCTGCTTCGAATAGCTTAGGTACACTAGTGGTCGGTGTTCGTTACGTAGTCATGAAGCGTCTGTACAATCGTGTAATACTAGACCTTCCGCAGCAACAAACTTTGTATTTGAGATCGTCTACCATGTACGCATGAGAGCGGAGAACTTGAATTGTATTGGGACAACTATACTTTATACCATACGTCTACGCGAGAATGTAGGTTCACAGTTCTGACTTGCCCTTGCCCTCGCTTTGTGAGCGAGCGATCTGTTTCTCGATCCATTCGAACGCAATGTCGGTGACATGTTCCACGGGCTTGTCGAAGAGGTACGGCAGCACAGGGACTATTGCCAGGCCGGTCACAGTGGGGCCCCACGTCTTCAAACGAGGATTCTGTACGTTTACGAACGCCTTCTTAGCTTGCTTGACAGCCGTGTGGATGGTGAAGGCGGGGAGGGCCCTAGGGGTGAACATGCAGATCAGCGTCATGGCCAGCGATGATCCTCCGAAATGACATACATCGAAGCGACCGACTGGAAGACCGCGCGTTTGACGGCGACCATCGACAAACGGGTTGGCTCCGAGAAAGTTGCGGCCTCAAGAGCGCTAGGTCCTTGTCGGTGTGCCTTGTACGTCTCGTATCCGACGTCTCTGGAGGTGAGAATGCTATATCAGGACACGCAGATACGGAGTACACAAGCACATGCTTCACGAACCCGGTGAGATAGAGCCATGAGACTCCGTAGGCTGCGGTCACCACGGCCGGGTGGACGACAGGGCGGAAGGCTTCGCCAACGTCACTAGTCTGTAGTAAATCTATCGCTGCTACAGCGACGAGCGTCCGGAGGGGCGTACGTAGGCGATGTATCTGGACCCGGCACGGAGGGCGGTCCTCAGCCGCGCACCGTAGGCCATGTACCGAAGGTCGGAGTCGGTGGAGTCGACATTGTGGTCGGCGAGGTCGTCGAGCTTTTGCTCCGCTTGGTCCTTGAGAGGCTCGGCCATGACGAGAACAGTCAGCTGAGGACGAGATAGGGAGGGAGAGAGAACGTGCGAGCGGTGGTAGCGGGAGAGAAGACAAGGCCGAATCGGTGATCGGGAGGGTGCCGGGGAGCGCCGAGGGAGGACGGAGCGGGAGAGCGTTTGTTGAGGGCGTCTTCTTGAACGTGCTCGGTCACCTCCATCGCCCCGCCCCACCCCGCCCCGCCACGCTATGGCCACAACTGCCCCCGCCCTCCTCCACGATACCCCCCAGGGCGCAGTCTTTCCCCACCACGACCCCCAGGACGCCCCTCAGGACAAGATCAGCGCGTACTACAGCCTTGCTTTCCCCAACTTCGTCTACTATCTCCAGACCCTCAATGTCACTATTGGCCGCCGCTGCGTTCCAGCGAACACCGCGTCTTCCTCGGACAGCCCTCAGGTCGACGTGGATCTTGGACCTCTCAAGAGCGTATCTCGTCTGCACGCGAAGATAGAGTATGACGAGGACGAGGAGCGCTTCGTTCTCATTGTCATCGGTCGTAACGGAGCTTGGGTGGACGGCGTATGGTCAGGAAGCGGCAGCAAAGTGCCTCTGGGCGACCGGTTCGTACTCTACAAACAACCACCTCTGTGTGATATTGTCTCTCATCGTGTGTGCAGGGCGCAGATTCAAATCGCGTCCAGGACGTTTTTCTTCGTTCTTCCGCCCTCACCCCCTCCTGAAGACTCTCCTTCGCCCAGCTCACAATCTTCGGGCCACCGAGCACGCTCCCCATCGGTCGACATTACCACCTATTCTCCACCCTCATCCATACCGTCCGAATCGCCTCCACCAGCGAGCATCCCTACCGCAGCCCCGAAGGTTCCACCACTACCGGAAATCTCTCTTCCGAACTCCAACGCTATCCCACATCTCAAGTCGAATTCCAAGAAGCGCAAGAAGTCCGATGCACCGCCGCCCCCACTACCTCCGCCCGAGGTTATGCCACCGAAGCCTCCTCTAACTTATGCACAACTATGTTATCGTGCTATTAAGGCTCTCGGTGGCAAGGCGTCGCTGCAAGAGATTTGCCAGTGGATCAAGGACTCGTACGACTGGTACAAGTACTGTAGCAAGGATTGGGAGGTACGTCTTTGATATTGTCGCACGCATATAGGGTCACACTGACTCATAGTCTATCAGAGTTCTGTGCGACATAATCTTTCGTCCAACGTAGGGTTCAAGAAGCACTTGCGAAGTAAGGAAGAGAAGGGAAAGGGGGCGCTCTGGATGGTCGATGACGCACATGAGCATACCTTTGAGGAACTCGATGCTCGCAAGCAGAACGTTCTGGTCGGCGGCGTGGTCACCAAAGATGGGAAAATCGGCGGGAAGAAGGGGAAAGCTGTCGTACCCCTCGAGCCTCCGCTGAGACGCAGCGTCAAGGGTGACTCGAAAGGCGTCCCACTACCACCACCACTCACATCTACGCCCCTCGCCTTGAAGTCCTCAACTCCAACATTTCCCTCTGGTTCTGCATCCTCCTCTTCACCTCCGCTCACAACGGCTCCTGCGCTTGTGAAGGCTGAGCCAGTGACCGTCTCGCATATCCCGTCTCCGCCCTCAAACATTCAAGCGTCTTTCCATGCTGCTGTGCCGGCCGCATCTACGCCCCTTTCCACTGGCGTTTTGCCCACTGGTCACGCCATCGGCAATGTGGCTCCATCCCAAGCCTCTTCATCTAGTTCCGCCGCTCCCGCTACCTCTGCATTCCCCACCATTCCAGCCTCCGTGCGTATACCCATCATTGTCGGACCCGTCCCCTCTACCACCGCCTCCGGAGGCGCCCCAGCGCCCCCGAAGCCGATCGTATTGCACGAGAATACGCTCATCCTCAACCCGGAGATCTTCTCCCACCTCACGCCACAACACCTACTAGACCTGGAAGCGCTCGGAGCGCAGAAGGCATTGGAGATCCTCCAAGCATACATCGTGCGCTACTACAAGGAGAAGCTGAAGGCCGAAGGCGGGCGTGGACGGGGCAGGGGCCGTCCAAGGCGCGGCCGCGGCGGTGCGACCGGACGTGGCTCGACGCCCGCTGGTTCAGTCGCGCGGACGGATACACCCATGAACGGACCATTTACGACGGCGCCTCTACCACCTCGTGTTTCGAAGCCGACCGTCCCGTCTCCCGCTGTTCCCGGGTCCATCCAAGACTTCTCCAGCGCTCCGCCCCCAGCGTCCTCCGAGCCACCTGCAGACGCACCGTCTCCGATTGTCGTCATCGACGACGAGGAGGACGACGCAGCCGAGCAGGAGCCCGTGGCGAAGCGCCGACGCCTGGACGAGCCAGTCATCGACCTCACGGGCGCATAGCACGCCGCACACCTGTGCACGCACGCACGTCCGCACACGCACGTTCATAGATCCGCGCCCACATCTCCGCATCGCACGCGGCGCATTCGTCGACGGCCTGTCCCGTCCGTCCATCCGTGTATTTGTCTTACATCGCCGGCACGCCGGAGCCGCACTGGCACACTGTACAGTTAAAGGCACATACGCTACATCGCTATATTCTCTCTGCGGTATCATAGGGGACGGTTATAATGACATTGTCTGGTTCTGAAGGTTCACATCTGCTGCGTGGCGTTCGGGGGCCCGTCTTCGTTGCGTGCGATCATGATCATGACGGACTTGAACATCGAGAAACGCGTCTTCCAGTGCTCGAGCACGTCGTAGGCGCGTGCGGCCGGCTCCAGCGGTTGGGTCCAGACGCGCTGGTCCGCGAGTTCCTTCAGCGGGTGCCAGAGCCGCGAGCGCTGTAGGGCCCAAGGTGAGTGCGCTGGCCCTTTTCATCGACGCAGCATCGTGCGGTGCTTACCAGGATGACCTCCACGTTCATCTCGTCTCGATGCGCCTCGATTTCTCCGAGCACCTGCCCGAGCTCTTGGGCGACAACGCGGGCCGGGAGCTGGGGCGGCGCCCCGTCCGGGCCCCTCTTGCTGAGCAGGAGAACGTCAGTCAAATACTTCGACCAGTCCGCTGCACGTTCGGCTGGGGTCATGTCCCGGCCGTGGGGGGCCGCTGGTGCTGCCGGCGGGTTAGTATTGTGTTGAGAGCAAATGCGAGAGTGGGGGTGCGCACCGGCAGGCGGGGCGCTCGTCGGAGGCGGGTTGCTCGTCGGAGGCGCGTGCCTCGACTTCGTGGTGCCCGCGGCATGCGTTGGCGGGTAGGGTGTCCCGGGGGCAGGGCGTGCATTGCGCGCATCGTCCGTGCGCGTGCTCCGCCCTTGCACAACTGCAGAGGACGGGCCTGCCTGCATATGATGCGACGGCCCTTGCTCCTGTTGACGAGGAGCAGGGTATGGTCCTGCTTGGGGTGCAGTTGCACGATGTGTATGTTCCTGCATGCCGGCTGTTGCAGAACCCAGAGCTATCTGAAGGTGGAGGGTAGCAGGGCTGTGACTCGGTGCTGCCGACGGTCCCATCGCGTATTGCGCTGCTGCTGTTGCTGCAGTCGGATTGCCAGGTGGGTGCTGTGTCCAGACAGCCCGCGGCGGGTAGCGCACCAAATCTTCCCGAGAGCCTGGGTAGCAGAGTATATGGTGCCCTGCGATGATCGACGGTTGGATCGGCATGAGCGTGTGCGTGCGCGCGTACGTGCTCGTTGGGACGTCTCTGATGGTCAGCGTCACTACTCCCGCTGTAAGGGCAATAATCGGTGTGCGATAGTCAGATCGCGGACAGCTAGTGGAACGTGAAGATAACGCTGGACGGCGCACCTGCGTTGATTCCGAGCCATGCTGTGTGTACCACGTTGCAGAGGACGCATTCGACGTATCTTGCGACCGTCGGGGCGCTATCGGTGGGTTGCACGAAGGGTGCCAGATGGCCAGCGTTCGGGTGGACCCACGCAATAGGCGCTGGGTGTTTATGAAGAGGAGATTTCTGTATGATCGATGTTTGAGATATAAACCTGCTTATAGGGATGTGTACTCACCAGTAGCATGGCGGGTACCTCTGATGAAGGCGCGGCCGCTGCATAAGATGCGTGTGGCGGCGGAGGAGGGATGTTAGACATGTTGGAGAGGTACTGACGACGCCATTTCTCGGGCTGACGAGAAGATATACGTATTTTACAATAGGCTTGGATGTCTATGCAACGACCTTGCAGCGATACGCACAGCACCAAGCGTTGGCCATGGCGGGACCTGGGGCCAAGCTGTGATAGTTCGCCATGACCAAAGGTCGCTCCTTTACGATGAGACTGGCCATCCAAGCTGCTAAGTGGGAACACAAACAGCACAAGACTGTGTGAACTCGCGGAGCAAGGGAGCAATGGCCGTCTCGTGCGCAAGGGCCGTAAGGTCCGAGGTCAGAAGGCATGACGTCCTGCTGCCTGGTGAGCCTGGCAGCAGATCGACATGTCAGGAAAACATAGCGAAGCGCGTGAGATCCGCGAGACCTGCTGGCGCCTCTGAAGACGCCGAGACGGCGGTTGGGAAAGCGCGACAGGACCGGAGCGCGCGAGTCGAGGCCGGCGGACGTACTAGGCACTAACGCTGATTGGGCGGGGCGAGGTAAACTGTAATGTTTACGTAGAACGCGGGACGACTCCGGTGGGAGGACCATATCGGTGCACGCACCGCGATAAATTGGCCGGGTGGGGACGATAGGGAAGCCTATCGGGTGGCCACATTGAGGGGATGTGCACCACTCGGATGCAGGCGTGTAGGTGCCGAACGCAGACAAGTAGGTTTGGGCAGAGGTACGGGACCTGGCGCGAAAGTTTGAGGTACGGGGAGGGCATGAGATATGCTCGACGATGCGCGGCGTTTAGAGCGGGTGTCTCGACCGAGAGGGCATGATCACCGTGCACGTCCTCATTCGCTGCTGGCTCGTGGTTTCCACGGTGCAAAGGCGGGGAGTCGTGCGAGCGCAACGCTATTCGTTTGGCAGATGACTACGGGAGTTATCATTGTGACCCCGCGCAGACTGTGGCCGGGCTTGTCCGACAGGGAAGCGAAGGGGCGAACGTGCGTGCTGTATGGCCGCTGAGCAGAAGAAGCAGGGCGATATGGGCGTTGGAGGCCGGGGCAGAATTCCCGCGCGAGGCGTTGTGCGATCCATTTGTGCATTTGGGGACGGTGCGGCGGGCGGTCTCGACCACCGACAAGGGCGCGGGGGAGAACAAGGGCGGGGGCGGACGGGGCGGGGGCCGGAAAGAGGAGGGCGGGGCTTTGTCAGCAGGCGGGGAGGGCCGCCCACGTGCATGAGGAAGACGGGCGGATATCGTCACTGGGCGTCGCAGAGTGCAAGGCAAAACCTGGCTGGTCTCTGCGCCCACAACGCTCGTCCCTCGCCCATCCCCTCCCTGCTGCCGTCCCTCCCGCGCTCCATTTCGGCCACAGCCAGATCCGCGCACCAGAAACGTTCCTTCGCGCCGTCTATATCTGCCTGCCCAAGCGGCCACCCCCGCCTCCTCCTTTTCTACCCCCTTTCGTCCCAATCCTCTTTCTTTTCACCCCCACCCCGCGCCTCTCTGCGACTGCCTCCCGTGAATGCCTTCCGCCTCCGAGAGCTCACGCTCCGAGAGGCAATCTCGCACCTACATCCCATCGCCTCCTAGCTCGGCCACTGCAACCGCCGTTCCGTCGCCCAATCCGTCGCCCCCCTCCTCTCGTAAAGCTCGCATCTTCGCTCTCCCACCCAAACCCTCTCGCACCCGCTCTGACAATATACGCCGCAAGCGCGCCCGCCACGGTGGCCTTGACAGCGACTCCGATGGCTCAGGGAATGAAACTCAACATGCCTCCCCAGGGCCGGCATCGCTCCGCGCCGCATACAAGAAGGCTTTCCGCCGAGCGTCAGAGCGCGCCCTAACGATGCCCTCCTCGCGTACGTCCAAAAAGTCTGAGCTTTTTCATCCTAGTTCGCCCGCTAGGCTCGTACGCGCACCATCGCGGAGATCTCCCTCACCCGCCTACTCCAGCTCTTCCTCCAGCCCGATCCGCGTCCCACTACCCTCCTCGGCTTCGGGGAGAGGCCGCAAGGTCGCCGCTTCTCTCGATCTCTTCAAGGAGACTGCGCCCAGTCCAACAGTAGAGAAGGATGAGGTCGAAGCGTTCGAGCTTCCCAGGCCAGACTCTCCCCGCGCGAAGCGCAGGGGTGGCGTCCCTGTGGAAGCGGTTGGCGAGGCCCAGTTCGAGTTCGTCAAGCGGTCGGATTGGCCTGACCGCGAAGCGGCCGCTGTTCGCAGGGAGAAGAGCACGACTGGGCTGGAACGTGTCCGGACGCGCGAGAGTACCAGTTCGCTTGTCAGCTTGCGCGAACAAGATTACAGGAGACGAAAGGAGCGGACATTGTCTCGACGCGATACGGTGCTCAATGACCTCGTACAATGGCGAGCAGCGGTTCAAGCCGGGCGCGACGAGGATGGCCGCGGCAGACCACGAGAGCGAAGCATGTGGATCGAAGACACGCCCCCGGATGGGGTCGCCGCTTCTCCTGGATCCGACTCGACTGTGTCCTCCGCCTCTACGCATTATCAAGAGAATGATGCTCTTCGATCACCTATCCGAGCTCGCTTTCCTCCCTCACCATCCTCCCATTCGCCTATCGCCGAGCTTCACCGACCACCACATCCACCGGCTCAGCGCACGGTCTCGCCTCTCGATCTCCATGAAGTTCCTCCACCTGTACGTCGCGGCCCGACACGGTCACGTTCCCGCCAGACGCCCATTGAGACGCCATTCGCGGTCCAACAAATCCCGCAGTATCCACATCCCCTCGATTCTCCATGGTCCACCGACGATGAATCAGCATGGGAGACTGCTTCGGTAACCACTACGACGTCGACGACATCCGCATCGTCACCCTTTCCTCTGTCTCCGTCGCGGACAAGCCCACATCCACAGCCCCATGTCCATCGAGGCAGTGATGAGGACGATGAACGTCACCATCCAGCACTGCTATCTCCTTATGAAGATATGAACTTTGGCTCAGATAGCGGAGACGGTGCTGCAGGCGGGGACATCGCTAGCAACCTCGATCTGTTTGGGTTCTCGCAAGAGAGCTTGCCGCATATTCCTTTGCGGCCCTTTCGAAATCAGGTGGGCGGCCACAGCGCCATTTACAAATTCACTAAGCGCGCTGTCTGCAAGGTCCGTAAGAATGATTGCTTGAGACTTACACAGCGGCTCACCTCTGTAATGTAGCCTCTGGTTTCTCGCGAGAATCTGTTTTACGAAGCGGTGGAACGCGAGGCTCCGCCGCTCCTCGAGTTCATTCCACGCTACCTCGGCGTCATGCTCGTGAGTTACCGCAAGGTCCCGAAGAGCTCCAGCGTCTCCCCCAAGATGTCGACCACCGAGAAGCCGCTGTCTATCAATGACGGCTTGAGAGCCCGTCGACCCCTCCTGGCCAAGGCTCAGAGCGACTTCGCGAAGTCAGGGTCTGGCGATCCGCAGAGCGAATCACCGGAACGTGCCGGGGGCGACACCGACGTCGAGGAGGCTGAGCTACCAGAGGTCGCCCTCGACTACAACCGGCACATTATCCCACAGTGGTTGTTGCGTGGTTCCCGGCACCGCTCCATGTCGCACTCCTTCGCGTCGCATCCAGGACGACCTGTGGACCTTCGTCTGGGGCGGCCGCACTTGTCCGCTATGACTGCGTCGAGCCCTGATCTCGGGCTCGCAACTTACCGTTCGCGCCAGTTCGGCTGCGGCTCTTCGTCCCAGCGCCATCCCACTAGCAGGCTGGCGTACTCTGCCAACATGGAAGAGGCCGACACACGAACCCCCACGAACTCCCCGCGCCAGTCTATCGTTCCTGTCGCACGGAGTATATCCGCGCAAGGATCAATGTCGCCCGTGAGCTCGTTCCAGAACGGGTTCTTCGGCGGGACCGGCTCCACCGTCGTCAACACGAGGTTCAAGGACCATGTCTTCAGCACGCTCTTGAAACGCTTGTCGAAGCGGGTCTCAGGGCGCGTTTCGATGAGCGCGAGGGTGGACGACGACGGGGACACTGCAGACGTCGAGGGCGATGGACCGTCGTTTAGCGACGGTATGCACTCTTGGCAACGGAAGAAGAAGCTCAGCAGGGTCGAGCGGCTGCGGCAGGAGGAGTGCAGTATTCTTGGGCAGCCGCTGCGGCGGGTGCAGAGCGAGCGGCAGATTAGCAACCTCGGACAGTACCCCACGCATCCACAGCAACAGCACGACGCACCGTCGGAAATCTTCGACTTCGAGTCTTCGCAGGACAATGGGCTGCCTCCTCTTTCGCCGTCGTCATCCTCGCGCGCGCCATCCCAGCAGTATGAAGACGGCCAGTCGTTCGCTGCCCGCTCGTACCGCCGGAGCCGCTCGCGCTCGCACGAGCCGTACCTCTCGAGCGTCCCGGAGCCGTTTCCGCTCGTCGAGCCGCACGCACCTTCGCAGTGCCGTGAGGCAGACCCGGCGGTTACGCGCCAGAACCACTTCATCTTGATGGAGGACCTCACAGGGCGGCTCAAGTACTCGTGCGTGCTCGACCTCAAGATGGGCACGCGCCAGTACGGCATGGATGCGACCCCGGCGAAGAAGAAGAGCCAGCGCAAGAAGTGCGACCGGACGACGAGCAGGCGGCTGGGAGTGCGTGTATGCGGGATGCAGGTGAGTCTCATTCCTTGAGCACGTCGCCCTGGGGTTTTTGTCTGCTGCGGGTGGACGCGTCCCTGCACTAAGTGTGCCTGGGCGGCGATAGGCTGGCAATATGCGTGTGAAGTGTATGACAGTTCGCTAACATGTCCGCTTGTGAAGGTTTGGAACCACGTCACCCAGTCGTACGTGACGCAGGACAAGTACAAGGGGCGCGAGGTCCGACCCGAGGACTTCCCCTCGGTGCTCGCGTCGTTCCTCCAGGATGGCGAGCGCCTGCTCGTGTACCAGATCCCCGTCATCCTGCGCAAGCTCTACGCGCTCGCGCGCATTGTCAACCGGCTGAAGGGCTTCCGCTTTTACGGCTGTTCGTTGCTCATGATCTACGACGGCGACCGCGAAGCGCAGGAGGCGTTCCGCGCATCCGTGCTCGAGAACCCGTCCGCGCGGAGCAAGCGCGGGGAGTCGCTCGAGCGCCAGCTCGACGTGCGCACGGCCGGCGACGGCAGCTCGCAACGGCCTGCGCTGCGCCGTTCGCACAGCGAGGACCTGCTCGTCGGGCCCGTCGCGGACCGCAGCAGTCGCCGGCGGAAGCGCGGCGAGGTGCAGATCCGGCTCGTCGACTTTGCGCACACGACGACGGGGCGCGACTGGCTGCCGCACCCGCCGCCGAGCGGGGACGTCGAGGAGGTGACGAGCGGGAAGGGCTACCAGGCGGACGTGGACCCGGAGACGGGGCTCATCTACGCGCGCTTCCCGCCGCACTACCCGGACACGCCAGACCGCGGCTTCCTGTTCGGGCTCATGAACCTCGCGGAGACGTTGGAGCGGATATGGAACGAGGAGCGGCTGCGGCGGATCAAGTGCTCGCGCGACGATCCCGCGGCGGTCGCGGACCAGCTGCCGCCGTTGTCGACGGACGGGAAGGAGATCTTTGACGAGATATTCAGGACGGAGGACGGCGAGGAGGATCTCGGGATGCTTTCGACTTGAGGGCTCTTCGGGTGTGCTTGTCCTCGGTTTCGCGCGCACATATGGCAGGGTCGGTTTGTACATGCACCCGCCTTTTTTCATCTATCGTTTCTTGTATGTTCTTGGGCATGCTTCTGCAGTCTCTGTCTCAGCCCCACACGTTCTACCCATCTCTCTCTCTCTCTCTCGTCCTGCCGCGCTCTTTTCCTTTATCGTTAAGCTGTCCCTCGTGTCATTGTGTCTGCATTGTTTTTTTGCGCATGCATCATCCATGAACGTTAGATAACACTCCCACTCTCCTCGTCCACGGTGTATATGTATCAGCACCCAGTACTTATGCTACCAACATCGTACATAATGTCCCCCGCAATCCTCCTTTCCTTCAATTTACTTATGTCCCGGTTTATGCCTCGAATGTCAGGAATAGAGCCGACTTTAGATGTGCAATGTCATCGAGATTTTCACCAGGACGGAAGGGTATGGTTGGGCTGGAGTCAAGTTTGTGCAAGCCGTGTCGAACGTATAAACCGCGTTGCATGATAGGCCTAGAGGCGGGCGTCACACTGCTGAGCACACCCGTAGCAAAGTAGTCGGCGACTAGTGATGATTTTATGGTAGGAATCTGGAGATACGACAGCAGGGGGGCGAGTCTACGACTCCTCCAGGTACTTGTCACGGAGGTCCTTCCATTGCTTCTGGAGGGCCGTCAGCAGCTCGCACATACGGAGGCGGTAGACGGCGCACATACCCCCTTGTTCCACTTGTCCCAGAAGCCTGTGATGCCGACGTCGAAGCCGATGCTGAACGCGAACGCACCGACGAAGATAGTCGGTACGAACACACCTGCGGGAAAGGGAGGCGGAGAGGGGAGGAGAGATGACGTTCAACTTCATTGGTATCTGGCAGGGTTACTCGTGAATACTCACTGTTGCGCCGGACAATAGTGTTGTAGAATGCGTTGGCCAGCTGTTTCCTACAGTGAGAAACACACAGCGGGTATCGAACGAGGCATACTCACAGACATGGCTGGTGGTCGGGAGGGTTCGTGGTGGATCGGGACGGCGGGCTAGGCGCCGTGTCCCTCTCTCGGCGGAGTCCGAAATTATCATAGGCGCTCGTGAGGTCCCTTTTCGCGCGTTTGGTGAGAGCACACAAGTCCGCACTGTGCTCTGGTCTCTCTCGACGTGGTCGTCGCTGTCGGTCTCGCTCGTGCTATGTCTCTCCTCAGAACACTACCTGCGCTCAGGTCGCGGGCGGCGCACCGCGCCTGGGCCGCTCCATTCTCATCTTCCGCCTCTACGTCTGCGAGCGCGACAAACAACACCATGGGGGTCACGGACATCTTCGACGCCCTCGGTGACGGCGCCAGCGCACCCAGCCCAGCCAGCACAAGCAGCATCCAGAGCTTCACCCGCCAAATCGGCGCCGTCGAGGAACCGGAGGCCGCACAGCAGGCGCAGGAGGACGGGCCGCCGCTGCCGTCGGCGGACAGCTACCCCCCAGGGGTGAACCCGGCGGCGGCGGCGAACGAGGCGGTCGCAAGGGCGCGGGCGGGGTTGAAGAAGCCGGTGTACGCGGTGTCGGTGAAGGCGACGCGGAACAACACGATCGTGACGTTCGCGCGGCCGAAGGGCGCGCAGCTCGTGACGCTCACGGGTGGGAAGCTCGGGTTCAAGAAGAGCAACCGGAACGGGTACGAGGCGGGCTACCAGTGCGCGGTGGGCATCATTGGCGCGATGGAGAAGGAGCTCGAGCGGACGGCGTTCGAGTGGGAGCTGAACTTGAAGGGCTTTGGGCAGGGCAGGGACGCGATGCTCACGGCGATCACGACCGCGGTGGGCGAGCGAGTGAAGCCGCTGCTGACGCGGGTGACGGACAGGACGCCGTTGAAGATTGGTGGAACGAGGGGTCAGAAGGCGAGGAGGATATAGTGTCGCAGGTGCGTAACATTCTGCTGCTATGTGTGCAGACGAGCCGACCGCCTTTGCAGACACTGTCTCTTCACCCTTCTCCATGGGCATGCCCTTAGGCACCCAGCCGTACGCGTGCGTTCGCGCAGTGCTCTCCCCCTCAACCATCTTTGCCCCTACCCGCTTTTAATCCGCTTGCCCAAGCTAGCGCACCGAAAAGCCCGCCGTGCGCTACCATTCGACGGAGACTGCAATCGCCGAATAGTGATGCGCGTTACTGTACAGACTGGACTAATGGAGACATTTTAAACAACTCCTCCGCCGAGACCACGTACAGCAGTATGAGTGTGTTGATCGTAAGCGTCGGACCCACAACCGTCACCAGCACGACGAGCTCCGGTCGGGATTCATGGAAATGTGTATGCTGCCGCTGCGGGTGCGTGGGTGTCTGGTGCGGCAGCGGAAGCAGGCGCGCCTATATCATGGCGCACGCGTACGATCGGCATGAGGCCTGCATTACTCACATTTAGCCCCGCCCTGCCATTGCCTCCACTCATCTCATCTTTCTTTCTCTCCGCCACTACCGCTCGCTTCCACCGCCGCTCTCTTCCATCCTGACTGCCTCGGTTCTTAGACCACTCCTTGCACGCACCAGGCTTGCCCAACTTACGCACATGACTAGTGGGAGCAGTGCATCTCTTGTGGACAGTCTCTCTCCCCCTCCGGCTAGAGAGATCCCCTCTACATTCCTCGCGAGTGTTAAGAGCTGGTGAGCATTAATGTCCAGCACACCATGCATGACCCCTCTGACGCACCCTGCGCCAGGTGGAACGCAGGAGACAAAGAATCAGCGGCCAGTGAAGAACGATTACTCAGGTACGCTCAGCCACACACCACTTCGGCCGGGTCTGACCGACTGCTTGCAGGAGACTCCCTTACTTCCAACCCGTCGGCTCTTCTCCCGCTACACCAGACCATGCTAGCCCCGTCGTAGCCCACAGTTCCCGGGTCGACCTCGATGACCCCAAGCATTATCTCAACACCCTTGCAATGACAGCCACCACGCCTTCCGCGGAGGCGCCGCCTCCCGCAGTCCTGCTGCACGGCTATGGTGCTGGTCTGGGCTTCTTCTTCCAGAACCTCCCCGCACTCGGAGATTGGGCGGGGAAGCGTGGCAGCTCCGTGTTCGCCGTCGACTGGCTAGGCATGGGCCGCTCTGCCCGCCCGCACTTCCACGTTAAGGCGAAACGGGAAGATATCGACGGCCGCGTGACCGAAGCGGAGACGTTCTTCATCGACTCGCTCGAGCAGTGGCGGAAGAAGATGGGCCTCGAGACGATGACGCTTATCGGGCACTCCCTCGGGGGCTACCTAAGCATCGCCTATGCGCTCCGTTATCCCACGCGCGTGCACAAGCTCATCCTCCTATCGCCCGCGGGCATCCCGCGCGACCCGAACAGCACCGTGCCCTCGCGGGAACTGGACCCACAAACCACGGGTGCCACCGACAAAGACCACCCTGAGCCCGCAAGCGCGGACCGCGTCAAAGAGCTGAAGACGAACCAGGAGGAGGCTCGGCGGGAGGAGTCCCGGGGCCGCAAGGTCCTGACCTATCTCTGGGAACAGGGCTGGAGTCCGTTCCAGGTCGTGCGCTCGACGCTGTTCTGGGGACCTATGCTCATTGGCAAGTACTCTACGCGGCGGTTTATCGGTCTCAGCGAAGACGAGACCCGTGCGATGCACGCCTACATCATGAACATCACGCTCGCAAAGGGTTCAGGGGAGTACTGTATATGTGAGTCTCATGACGTGCATAGTGCTCGGAATCAAGGGCTAACGATCGTGCTTCCCAGCACATCTGCTCGCTCCGGGAGCACACGCTAGACGGCCCATGGTAGATCGGATAGCCGCCTTGAAGATTCCAGTAACGTTTGTCTGTGAGTATCTTTAGTTAGTCATCTCTACAACAAACATGCTGAAAGAAGTTGCAGACGGAGACCACGACTGGATGGACCCAGAAGGTGGCAAGGAGTCCGTTGAGCGACTCCGCCAGGCGGGTAATGGTTTCGGAAGAATGTACATGATCCCCCACGCTGGCCATCACGGTACGCTACGTTGCATCTTTAAGTGCAACGTAGATCGCTGACGTATCCGCAGTATACCTGGACAACCCCAAAGCAATGAACGATCTGCTCGTAAAGGAGCTGGACCGTCCTGCTGGCTCGGGCCGCACATCTTACGCTGCATAAATGGACATTATCCAGGACCTGTTGTACATTGTTTTCTCTCCTTACTGATAGAGTGGGCTGTTGGTTGCTCTCATGTTACCCATTGTATTAATCCCAAGGACCGTAATCTGTTCCGCACAGCACTCGCACTCGTGGACGATCGAATGCCAGCCCAACGTCAGGCGCTTAATCTATTCACTCTTTCCATCCTACGCTGTTGTTCGTATAACTGCTCATACCTCCGTTTGCATACACGGGTATTTTCGATGCCTCTAGAAGCCGTAATACGCCCTTCTCGCACCCCACGAGGCTTTAAACAACGCCGAGTTCGACGGTTAAGGAAAGACATCGTCGGAGTCTCGTTACAAAGTCCGAGCCACCATGCTGCAGCACAGTGCCTTCGTGCCAGTGACGTTTGGCATCACTGTCGTTCAACTCTCTTCCTCTCTCCATATGCGCTAACATGGCGAAGAAGAAAGGCCCGCCGTACACAGACGACCCAGGCTGCAAGTACATCGTGATCGACGACCCTTGGCCCGGAGATGCGACCGGCAAGGCACGCAACCAAGTATTCTTCAACCGCCTCTGCACATGGGTGTACTTCATGCTTGGAAAGGCGCACCAGGCCGACGCAGTGTACTCTGTCAATACGGTATGTCGCACGCATGACCGTAGGTGCACCCGAATGAACACCCGAGGCCATTCCCCGACGACCTGCCATGCTTCCCCGTGCCATCGATTGCTCGTGCCACATTGACTTGCGCGCGCATGTAGCGGGACGAGATCATCGTGCAGCTCCCGCAGGACACGGACCTCACGCCCATACTCGGGGCGCACCCGTGGCGCAGATACCTCTCGCGCGGGAACCCGCGGGACAAGGACCGTGTGTCGTATGTGTTCGAGTACGACTACCGCAACAAAGGCGATCCCAGCAACCGTAGGTCATCATCGCCCGTACCATGCTTCGAAGACTCACTTGGGCTCTGGCGGCAGATAACTGGTTAGAGACGTTCCCAAGCGTACGTGGAGACCCGCCCGCGCACCTCCAGTTCCCTGTCGTATATCCGTACCCGCGCGTGAGCTGGGCTACGCCGAAGGGCAAGAACTGCGTCGATCTGGCGCTCCCGCTGCCGCCGACGCGCCAACCCACGCCGATTCCTGATACCGTGCGTCGCTGACCAACTCCATGGGCCGGGGAGAACTTGGGCGCTCACACTGGAGCGTTCTGTTTCAGAGTGGCTTTGAGCCGTATCAGCACCCGTCCGCGTTGTCTTCCCGCACGGTCGACAGCGCCCAAGCCAGGCTGGAGGAAGACGCTCGTGCTGAGCAAGCTGGTACGTAGGGACGAACGACGGATTATGCTACTGTTCATTCAAAACCTTAGCAGCGACAAGGAAACTTGGCAAAGTAGATCCGTATGACGCAGGTAGGTCCTAAACGCCGTCACTACATTGCGGCGATCTGACCAGTAGCCATCCCAGAAACAAACGCCCTCCGCTCCCTGAAGCGAGAGTTCTCAGATGTCCCCTTATCCGTCAAGAGAGAGGCTTCGGATGTCCGTGTCAAGCCAGACCCAGGCGGACCGTCAGTCAAGTCTGAGCCGGAGCTCTATGGCCCTTCGAAAGAATTCAGACACGCAGTCGAACGGCTGCAACAAGCTCGGGCTTCTGGATCAGAGGGCGGAAGTACAACCAGGGACCCTGTAGTACCCGAAGTTCAAGTCAAGTCAGAGCAGGCGGTCAAACATGAAGCCGAGCCCTACGGCCCGTCCAAGAACTTCCGGAGTGCTGTGGAGCGGCTGCAACAGGCTCGTGCTGCTGCAGGGCAGGAAGGGCCCGACAACGACTCGAGACGTGGGCAGTCTGATGTGCAGGAGGGTATGTCGCGGCTGAGCTCAGGATGTCGCATCTCTCTGATGGGGCATTTCCCAAGGTGTTCGCATTAAACAGGATGTATCTGAAGAGCCTATCTCGACGCCGTCGGACTCGTTCCTGGCTGCTTTCCAGAGAATACGGGGGCGTCAGGCGTCACAGTCTGAGAATACGGAGCCCCCGCAAGACAGAGGACGTCCTGCTCCCACCCACATCCAATCAGCTCCCAAACGAGTCAAGGAAGAGGACACACAGGACAATGGTGAGCCCTGCCCGTATGCCCAATATCACGGCGAACATAACCAAGTATATTCGATAGGACGGAAGAGATTCAAGAGCGAGAGCATGCATTGAACTATGACGGATGTACCTATCAGATCTAGCTGAACTCTACTCGATATATCACCAGTGCTGTATCAACGCCATACGTTGTACAACACTTCCTCGACGAGCGTCCTTTTGACTTCATCTCCTACAGCACGGAGCCGTGCGTCCATGCTCCTCTCAGGTACACATCACACTCGGGCCCGTCTGCTCGCGTGCGCGACCAGGATGCTGCCCGCCCCTGTCGCAAGCGCGCAGGAGCCGACGAACAGTTCCACAGCGCCGTAGCCTTCGCGTCCGAACACGCCACCGAACGACGATCCTTTGCCGGCCTCCAGGAGGACGCCGGACAGCGCGGGCCCGACCACCGCGGAGACACCCTTGAAGATCGCGGTGCTCGCGAGCGCGAGGCCTGCGTACTCGGGCTTGCCCCGTGCGCAGTCGGACGCTGCCCGCGGCCACGTCGACGAAAAGCCACCGCTCTATGATGTACGTGTGATCAGCATCTGGATGTACATGGCTGAGCAGGGCGTAGAGATCACTTACGAGAGCTCCGAAGATGATGGCGAAGAGATACAGCTGCGTGGCCGCGGTCGCGAAGCCCCAGAGCAGGAAGGCGACGAGGCCGCTGCCGAGTGCGCTCACGAACATGATCCACGGGTACGGGAATTTGTCGCTCAGATGGCCGAGCACGATCTGACCGACGACCGCGGACGAGTTGAAGACGGACAGGACGATCGTTGCCGTCAGTGGGGAGGATAGTGCGCGTGTGAAGCTCGCGATGTAGAGCGAGACGGGGAAGTAGGAGAGCCCTTGAAGCAACGTCGTGAAACCCTAAAAACGCGAGAACGGCGTGAGCGATCCACTGGCGTCCACGGTAAGCGTATGCACTCACCACGCTCCAGAAAATCGGGTTCCGCATGAACCCAAGGTGTGGGGGGATGAAGCGCGGACGACGCTGGTTGCCCGTAAACTTCGGAACGGGCAGTCGTGGGCGCATGCCCAAAAGCGCTATACCTGAGCAGACCGTAGAGCCAATGGCCCAGATACGCATGGTCCACTGCAAGCCTACCTTGTCCAATAGCGCGGTCAACGCGAAGGGGAAGACGAAGCCTGTAGAAAATCTCAGTTAGACAGGTTGACTAAAAAAGTTAAAAGTGCTTACCGCCTACACCTCCTCCTGCGAAAATGATACCGCCAGCCAACCCTCTCCGCTCGGAGAACCACTCGCTGAGGAGTTTGATGACGGGCACATACAGAAGTCCGCCGCCGATACCGAAGCCAACGCCTTGCAGCAGGATAAGCTGCCACACCTGTACACGGAATGAGTCCGCGTTGGAGACGTGTAGCCGTGTCATTGAACGTACCTCTGTAGCGAAACTACAGCAGAAGATGGATACAGAAGAGAGGGCTAGGCCACCCCACATGCCGATGTTCAGATACTCCGGGTATCGATCGAATATCAGGCAAAGCCAGAGCACCTGTATTGTACATTTAGTCTTTTATCTAAGTGTGCATCCGAGGTGGCGAAACTTACCTCGCAGTACTGCAAGGCGATGGACACAGTGCCCACCGCAGCAATCGACACTCCCGAAGCCTTGTTAAAGGGCGCATGCGTCGTGTAGTAATCTACATCAGTGTTAGTGGACTACATTCCTCTCGTACCAGGCAGCCGCCACATGTGGCGCACCTTGGAAGATACCATAACTGCAAACATCAGAGTGAGTACATATCTACACGTACTCGCACAAAAGTACGTACCTGAAGCAGAAGCCCCAGATCATCATCTCTAATACGAACGCGGAGAAGCAGAAAGTCCACGCGCGTATCCCGCGATCCATGGGCGCGAGCTCCTGCACAGTCACACCATCGTCCAATGCAGCCCGCAGAGCAGCCTGCGACGATTGCGCGGAGAATGTGCTCCCGGGGTTCACGCCAGAGGGCGTTTGCTGCCCCGAGCTGGGCTGCATGACCGACAGTTCGTACTCGACGTCATTAATTCGCGGATGGTGATCTGTCTCCATGCCGAATACCAGTTCTGCTGCTCAGGGGCGCCGCTCTCTTGCGGGGGCGTAGGTCGCTATGGCGCGACTTGGGGGAGGGAGAACTGCTGGATCGTTCATCTTTTCTCCGCACCGTTCTTAATAGTATTACGTTGCGGGGTCGGATGGCGACGGACCAAAGGGGCCCCTCGGCGCGCGGATCGATCGACAGCGTTGTGCCGCTTGCCGCAGTACCGCCCGTGCGTGCTCGTGGCTGATGTTGGCGTTATGACTCGAACGAGCCCGCAGCTCGCCAAATTTCTGCGCTTGCCATATTGAATAGCAACTGTGAGCATGTGACAACCTCTCCCATGCGCCCAACCTGAGTGAGTGAGCGAGAGCTGCAAAAATTGCAGGAGACAAACATATATCGATGCAGAGGGTTTACGCGCACCGGATCTTGGCAGCGTCATCGACAGGCACATATTGCTGGCCAGTTCTTTTGTCCGCTGTAACATGGTGCGATCGACCGGTGCTCGTCCGTCCGTTCGAACCGTTGCACACCAGAGAGCATTTGGGCGATATATGGTATACACATCAACACCTACGACTTCTTCATAGAAAGAGCTTTGGCGATTTTGAGCATCCGTATGTGCCATACTCTACCCCTGCTCACATCTTCTTGAGGACAGCGTTGAGTACATCGGTCGTGCTGCTGTTGCCGCCGAGGTCAGGAGTAAGAATCTGTCCTTCCCGAATGACCTGGTCGACCGCAACGACGATGCGGTCCGCCCCCTGGGCGTAGCCCAAGTGACGGAGCATGAGCGCTGCAGAGCGGATGGCCGCGATGGGGTTCGCGATGCCCTTGCCCTCGATGTCGGGCGCAGAGCCGTGTACGCTGTGGGCATGGCGTTGAGTACTTCGCGCGGGGGAGAATTGAAAGACGACCTACGGCTCGCCCATGACGAACTTGTCGCCTGCATTTACTGAGGGAACGAGGCCGAGCGAGCCAACCAGTGCGGCGGCGGCGTCAGAGATGATGTCGCCGTAGAGGTTGGGCGCGACCATGACGTCGTAGATCCTGTGGTATAGACTTAAGATACGCCTCCGACGCCGATGTCTTGTGGTGCTCACTCAGGTTCCCGGATGAGACTTTACCGCAGCGTCAGTTTGGGACAGACCGAGGCTATTTAAAGTGATACGTACCGGTACACGGCGCTGTCAACAATCTGCTCCTCGAGCTTCACGCTGTCGTACTGGCCAGGGTATTTTGCAGGGACCCCCCGAACGGTCTCCCTGAAGAGACCGTCGGTGACCGACAGGACGTTCGACTTGTGGATGATCGTGACTTGCTTGCGCGGCCGGCCAAGAGCAATGTCAAAAGCCATCTTGCCTATCCTGCGCGAAGCACGCTCGGTGATGAGACGGGTCGCGCGCGCCTCTTTTCCTTGCTCGGTGTGGGTGAGCACCTCCTGCTTGACATACTGTGTGGGAGGGGAATAAGAGCCCGGTTTGAAAGGGAGATACGCGGTACACGGACCAAGCACTCGGTGTTCTCGCGAACGACGACCAGGTCAACTGCGGGCTTCTCTTCGGGGGTGGCGGCGACCTATATTGATTCTCAACAAAAGGACGAGACACAAAGGCAGAGTACCGACCGACACAACGGGCCGGACGTTGGCGTAGAGGTCAAGCTGCTTGCGGAGCGCCACGATGGGGGAAGAGTACCCAGTGACACTACGGGACGGGGAGCTAAAAAACACCATAGGTTCACCATGATGTACACCTCATACCGTGCATGCACACATACCTGACAGCACCGAACAGCGCACCGTCACACTCCCGCAAAGTCCTTCATACCGTCCCCAGTCAATCCCAAGCCGCAGACCCACGCAAGGCACATTTACTCACTCGACCGTCTCCTCCGGCAGAGCCGTCCCACTACGAGCAAACACCTCCCAGCCAGCGAGGAGGTCGATGAACTCGGGCTTCGGGATGTCCGAACCGAGCGCCTCGAGGACCGTGCGGGCAGCGGGAATGACCTCCTTGCCGATACCGTCCGCGGGGATGAGGCCAATTTTGAGCGACTGGCGCGCGGCCGTGGCCATGCGGCGAATAGGCGTGCGGAACATTTTGGGTAGAGAGCAGGTGGGGACGAGGAGGACACTGGGGAGAACAGCAAGCCTGAGGAAGAGCGGAGTCAAGGGAAAGCGGCATAAATCGAAATTCCCCCAAAACGCGTGACCTACGCGATCACATGCCGCGAATCGCGTCTTCGACGCGTGTGTATGTCGCGTCGCGCATGGACTAGGTACAAAGTATGGTACATTGATATACAGTAGGGAAGATGTGTGAGATAGAGTATGATACATGTCGGACACCTCAAACGTTGCTGCGCATATAGGTGGACGCAGCATATGCTAACACGGGCACCGCAACCGTCAGCACGCCGCACAACTGCCTACGCGTACGCACTCTCCTGCGAAGATAATATCAACAACTGGCCCGTCCTCAAATAGATGGTACCGTACCGATTAATCTCAAGAATGGCGTTGTTGCGCTCGATGATCCGTTTGTAGTCACCGTCACAGCAGACCTCCCAGTGTTGGCCCCAATCTCTGCTGGAGGTCAGACAACTACCCAGGTTTCTGCGAGGGTTAACGTACCCCTCCATACAGATGGTAGAGCAATAGCGCGTTCCCTCGCATCTCTCCACGTGGCAGGGTGGACCGGTCGCAGGCTTCGCGCACCCGCGCCGTGCACATTGTCCCGAGCCGCCTAGCAGAGCCGTCAGCGACTCCACCATCTCCAATGCGCCATGCTTCCAGAGCCCACTCGGCGCGGCCGGTGACTGTTCGCCCGCGTCGATTTTCATAATCTCGCGCTGATAAATGAGCATAGGATCGCCCTCCGCGTTTCCAACGGCTTTCTTGAGCTGTGCTACGAGGCGAGGTCGAGGGAACTGGGCGCGTAGGGCTGTCGTGGTCTTCGCACTCAGCTTCGGGATGCTCTCTATGAGCTCGTGCAGGATCATCACAAGACCCACTGTGGCCATCGAAACGTTAGCGTTCATGATAAAAGAACATCGATTCACTCACATCCGCCACTCGTTTGGTCCACATAAAATTCCAAGGACTCTTCGAGTGCGTCCAACAGACCAGCAGTCGTCCAGGCATAGATGAGCTTGTCGACGGTCTTCGAACCCTCCTCTTGCACCCGTTTGGACGCCTTCGCACACCAGCTCAGCACTAACATGATCACATCGTAATCCTTCTCCTTGCGCTTCTTCGCCAGCGCGGCTCGTCGCATCCCCCGCACAACTCCCTCCCAGAGCGGTTCAGACTTGTACGCGGCGCGGGGAAGCGCGGGGAACGCCGTCTTCGCATGGTCGACGAGTGCGCGAACAAGATCGATTTCGAGGGAGAGGTCCAGCATGGTGAGCTCGGTCTCGGGCAGCGCGAGGTGCTTCGCGCTGGCGGCGACGACGGCTGCTGCAGTCTGTTCTGTGTTCCGCTTCTTCGCGCTCGCCTCGGGATGGCGGCTGGCGCCCTCGAGGATGCGGGGTAGTAGCACCTCTGCGGAGGGCATTGGGTGCTCTGCGAGGTAGGGCAGCCAGAACGGCGGTGTGTAAAGACGCGAGCCCTGTTCGAGGAATGGCAGCAGCACGCTGGCGTTGAGGTAGCAGTCCATGTGCCCTTCTGAGTATAGCCAGTTCCGCATGCAGACGGCAAACGTCCGGTCTTTCTTGTCCATAAGGACCCTGGCAATACACATTCAGGAAGCCATGAGTAAGAGCATATAATGGGAAACTTACTCTATGAACGACGGATCAACAGCGGTCAGCACGCGGACAACGATCTGGGCGGCGACTGAACGCTCGAATGTCGCTCTTGCCTCAAGACTGTTAGACGGATCGGACCACAACTGTGCCGTCCCCGTTAGACTCAGCTCAGACTAGAGTTGAACAGAGCATGACGCACACACTCAGTCACAGAGTGCCAGTGTTTCTTGAGGTCCTCTACAACCCGTAACTCTGTCGCGCCGGGCGGAGTGACACAGTTGACCAGGCCGGAGCAGATGACCGCCAGGGGGTAGTACCATGGCGATGGAAGCTATTGCAGTGATGTGTTGACCTTGAGTCACGATTGCACGAGACTACTGAATAAAGTGATTTGCCTACCTGCTTCTGAAGCCTTTGCAGCTCTTCCTTCGACGGGCGGGGAGCACTCGGGTCGTGCATAATCCCGACTTGACCCATCTTGACTGCGTTGTCGCACCTGCCGTCCCCCATAACAGACATAGAAGTAGCGGCGTCGACGAATCAGTAACCTCGTTGGCTTATATCCTACAAGCTAAACAGAGCATATGCCACACTCACAGTGCAGCGATGAGGCCCGCGTTCACGAGGCGCTTCCACACATCGCCCTTCGCATTCTTAGAGACGTCTTCAAGCTCCTGCAGGATGGGCAGCGCATCCCACGGCGTGTCGCCGTCAATCGACTCAGCGCTGAACCCAGTGAGCGTGAGTGCGCGCACGGTGCGGCGCGGATCGCTCTTGACCAGGCTCTTCCACTTGACGGAACGCTCGGCGCGTCCGGAGAGAAAGTTCTGGGCGGCGAGGATCTCGCTGTTCATCAGTGTCCTCACTTGGCGCGGTGAGATGGGGGAGAGGTATGCAAAGGAGAAGTGCAGGAGGTGAACGCAGTCTCCGTCTTTGTACTCCTTCGACTGGAGTGATGAGTGGCACTGGTCCTCTTGCCGACGTCTTCGAATTCGATCTGGACTTTCCGGCGCGGTCACGTGCCTCGCGACGCGCATACGGGCGCGCCTCGAGCATCTAGCTCGCGCTCCAGTGCTCCTCGCCTTTGCACGCGAATAAATGATGGCTGTGTCAGAAATTCACGACCTGGAACGAATTGAGCTGCGATGTATTCTTCGTGAAATGTACATGTTGAAAACGGATCATTCGTGAAATTGTTATGGTACAGCGCGAGTCGAGACGCGTTAATGTTGCACACAGCGAGAGCGGTCATCAGTCAATATCTTCTACCTGTAAAGACGCCATGTCAGGCATGCCTGAGGGCTCCTCGAGACCCATAGACTCGGCCTCCATGAAGCTTCGCGAAGACTCCTCGGCGACGGCGAACCAGCCTTTGCTACACATCTCTCGATGTTCGGGATCCCTATATCACAAACGCGTTCAGCAACATTAATATTGCCATTCTGCAGGTATCCGAAAAAGAGGCGGCATGCACTCACCCCTTCATACACGCCCTCGAGCAGTACCGTGTGCCGGTGCAAGCCCCGGCGCTGCACCACAGCCCACCCGCCGCCTTGTCACATCCACGACGCGCACAGTCCTCGGGGGAGCGCATCTTGTGCCCCAGTGCCGCGAGCGTTTCCCATGCACCCTGGCGCCACACCGGGTTCCGCGGGTCGGGCAGGCCCTTGGCCAAGAAGAACCCTGCGATGTTCCGTTTGTACTGCGCCACGTCCTCGTTTTCCCCGCTCGCAATGCCGGCCTTCAGGATCTTCCACACCATCCCCGTGCGCGGGAGCTGTGCGCGCAGTTCGGCGCGCGTTTTGGTGCTGAGGTAGGGGATGGACATGTCGATAGTATTCAGCATCAGCGTTAGGGCCACTGAGCGTGGCGCGTGAGTGTGTTGTTTGGGTCCGGAAGAACTGACAAGAGGGAGACGTACTGCACCCATCGGGGAGGTTCATGATCCGCACCAGGTGCTCCTCGAGCATGTCGAAGAGGCCACCGGCGACCCAGCAGTGGACGAGCGCGTCGGCGTACGTCTCAGGTCCGTCGTTGACTACGGTTTGTATCATCTTCCCGTACATTATGAGCACGTCCGAAACCACCCCTCTGCCCTCAGCGCGGGGCTCGGCCACGGCCCGCCGCACGACCCGCGGCAGCGCCGCCCACAGCGCTTCAGACCTGCAGACCGCAGGCGAGAAGGCGGGAAACTCCTTGCGCGCTACAGCCCAGAACGTCTTCAGGAACTCCACCTCTTGCAGCACTTCCGAGAATGTTAGTCCAGGCAGGGTGAGATGCTTGGCGAAGGCGGCGACGATGGTCCGGGCGGCTTGTGGGGGCGTGAGTTTCTTGTGCTCTGCTACGCCCATGCTGGCGCCCTGGATGAGGCGGCGGATGAGCTCGCTGTCGGACGGGGCCGGGTGTGCGGCGAAGTAGTCCCTCCAGGGCGACACGAAGGTGGAAGAACCGAAGATGGAGAGGATGAGGCTGTTATTGAGTACGGTGTCCTCGCGGGCCGTGGCGTACACCCAGCTGCGGAAGCAGACCGCCAGCGTCATGTCCGTCGGCTTGAAAATCACGCTGTAATCACATTGAGTACGATGGTAAGGAGCGGGAGGCGTATGGATGCGTACTCAAAGAACGTGGGGTCCAGGGAGCTCATGCGGAGGGCAATCGGGGCGATAATCGCTCGCTCCAGCACACTGTAGGGTTCCTGGTCAAGACTGTTGATTGGCTCAGAATAAATCTACAGCGGAGGAATACAAAGGAGGGACATGAGCTATGTTGAGAGATGCTGCGACAGAAAATAAAATACTCACCCTTCGGACAATGGCGGTCCAGTCTTGCTTGATCTCTTCGAAAATCTGCTTCTCCGTATTGGTGGGGGGCATGGCGCACCCGACCGCCGCGGTACATATGATCGCTAGCGGCTCATACCAAGGGGACGGGAGCTGCCAAGTACGCGACCATGTCAAGCACTTATACACCTCGCGAGGACACAACACACTGACCTCCTTTATCCTGGCCTTCTTCTCTTCTTCCGTGGGTGGCGGCGCATTATCCGGCATCAGCGTCCACATCTGCATCTTTATGCTGCACTTGCACCTATTGATGCCGCGTTAGCACAATAATCGAGCTTATGCTGATAGCGCCATCTTTCAATGTACGCACAGTGCAGTGATCAAGCCCGCCCTCACGAGCCGCCTCCAAACCGCGCTTTGCGGGCTCTTGGACGGATCCTGGAGGCAGTTCAGGATGCTGGGAATGTCCCACCACGTATCACCGTCAATCGTCTCCGGCGAGCACCCGGCCGCGGTCAAGACGCGCACAACGCGACGGGCGTCGGTCGATATGAGGACCTTCCAGCGCGTCCTCCTCTCCGTTTCCTCGGCAAGGTGTTTCTGTACAAAGTTTTGGCCATCCATGATGAGCCGTGCTGTATACGACGGTCGTGCTGGTGGGGTGTGGGAAGGAGGGGGGGGGACGAACGTGTGGAACGAGACGTGTGCCGGCGGGCATATACACACGCTCTATGTGGGGGATCTGCGACCTTCGTTCCTGCTTGGATCCACGTCTGCGCCACGCGGAAACGTCGACAGCTAGGCCCCTTCGTAGTCATATTGTTTCTGGGTATGGAGGTTGCGTTTCTGTTCAGGGACGGCGAGGCTTCGAATTCCCAAAAAGGATATTACAGCGTTCGAACCATTCACTGCAGCCGGAGCATCGCCATCCCGCTCGCGATGTCGGGCGCCGCCACGACCGACCCACTGGGCTCACGAATTACCGCTGGGCTTTCTCTGCGGCAGCTCTCTAGGACATGAACCCATCCACATATCTGCCCGTGTTCCTCTGCATCCCTATAAACCAAAGACTCGTTAGCGGTGGTTCGAACGCGTAGTAATATAGGGAGGAAAGGTGATCATACTTCTGCATGCAAACTTTCGAGCAGTACGACGTGTTCACGGTGACCTTGCACATCTCGCAAGTAGTGCCCGCCCCTTTACCCGCGCGCCGATCACAGCCGCGACGCGTGCATGCGCCCGTGTCCTGCACGGCGAATGTGATGGACTGGAGCAGCTGCCAAACACCCTGCAGCCACGCCCCGTTGTTCTCGTCCGGGCGCCCGCCGCCAAGCATCTGCTTCATGCCGCGCATCGTCTCGCGGCTCCGCGCCTCCGACTCGCGGTCGCCCGTCACGGTAGACCCGGCGACGATCATGCGCTTTACGATGCGCGGACGCGGGAGCTCGGCGCGCAGGGCTGCGAGCGTCTTCGTGCTGAGCGTCGCGACCTCGATGTGCGTCATGATCACGGACACGATGTTCGTGAGGATCACTGCGCGTATGCGTGAGCCGACATCATCTATGGCGCATAGCTGTGCGGGCACTCACTGGCGTTCCGCGGCCATGTGAGCAGGTCTACGATGTCGTCCAGCGCGCCTAGCAGGCCGCCAGAAATCCAGTTGTAAATGGTCGTGTCGACGTATTCCCGGCCCTCCTTTTCCATCGTATCGGAGCCGTTGACGTACAACTGCAGAAACAGGAAGGCAAGCATGCGTTGTTGGCTCTCCTGCGGTGCCTGCTTTGAGCGACGGAGGACGGAAGCGACCGCCGCCCAGAACTTGCTCGATTTGAGGAACGCGCGCACGAAGGGGCGATGCTCCTCCGCACAGACCACGCACAGCTTGAGGAAGAACTTGACCTCGGCTTCCAGCTCTGCGAACTCGAGCGTCTCGAAGTGCGTCGTGAAAGCGGAGATGATAGCGTCGGCGGCCTGTACGGGCGTGCGTTTCTTGGTGCCTTCTGCCCCCCTGCTTGCCCCGACGAGAATACGCGCGAACACTAGGCGGGGCGCGGGGAATGGATGCTCGGCGATGTATCCCGCCCACGGCTTAAGCAAAGGCCCTCCTAAGAAGGCAGTCAGGATGATCGTGTTGGCTGTGTGGTCGGACTTCGTCGTCGAGTGCATCCAGTTACGCATGATCACCGCGAGAGTCATGTCGCCAGGCTTCAGGAGCATTCTGTTAAACAGCGTTCAGCATAAATATGTCGATGCAGGACGCATGCGGCGTACTCCAGGAAAGACGCGTCAAAAGATGTGCACGTCATCACGAGCTGGGCGACGAGCACCCGCTCTATGATCGCCCTCGGCGACTTGTCAAGACTTCTGGCTGGCTCCGACCAAATCTACAGCTCGGTCAGCGTCATCACAGGCTTAAACATAGCGACGGCGTATACCCGTGTCATGAGAGCATTCCAGTGAAGTCGAAGGTCTGCTATGATTTTCTTTTCGGTAGAAGAAATAGGCTGCGGTGCAAACGCAATGCCCATGCAAACGATCTCAAGGGGTGCTTGGTACGGAGAATAGGGCTGTAAAGTAGGTTCGTGTCAGGATATACACTTTCGGGCTGAAGCGGGGAAACCGACCGGCTTGCTCGCACGCTCAATTTCTTCACTGGTCGGCTTGTGCCCAGGGTTATGATTCGGGTTATGCATGACCACCGCTTGAAAGTTGAGAGCGCATTTACAGCTGCATATCGCGGCTGTCAGCCAACTGCACTAGTACCGCGAACCGCATCAGCTCACAGTGCGTTGACGACGCCCGCGTCGACGAGTTTGACCCAGACATCGCGCGACTCTTTCTCCTTCACGATCTCCCCGAGCCTAGCGATGACATACGGCGTGTCGAGCGCGGTGTCTCCCTCGATGGACTCGGAAGACATCCCGCGGATGGTGAGCGTGCGGACTCCCCGACGGGGGTCAGACTGGAGGACGTCGCGCCAACGCTGAATGCGCTCTGCATGCGTTGCCATGTATTCGGGAGTTGCATCCACCATTGGAACGCCTTGCTTGCTTCTGTACATGGTGAAACTGGCGGTCGGGGAGCGAGTCGACTTCTTGGAGGAGGGTGGGTAGAAAGAAACGAGGGGAGCTGGAACGTTCGTGGATGAAAAGCCGCGCGATAGATAAGGTCCGCAAAAAGAGAGTTCGTCTGACACCCGGTGGCCCACGCACGACGGTGGCACTTGCAGAGGCAGTCGAGTGAGTACTGCGTATGCCGTAAATGGTCAGAAGTAACGCGGATCGTCGCGGCTTCTTTGCAGGTTTGACGTCATTCACACGCAGACGCGGTCACGTGCCCACCCTACATTCAACGCGTCGGCGCAGCAGGACGGTATAGCACTGTGACTAGCCTAGTACACTGGACACGTAGCCCGTAGCATACGTTCAAGAAATTCTTACATTGTTCGTACATTAGAGATATACAAGATAGGCGCAAGACGGAGTATCAGTACTGCTTTCAAGCACTGCTACTACTACTAGAGTCCTCCAGTAGCATCTCTTGCATCTTCTTCTGCAGCGTTGCTTCGCCCGGCGGTGGATCGTCCGCCTTCGCAGCCTGAGCCTCGTCCTTTACGTCTCGCAAGCTCAGCACCATCTGAATCTCCTCCTCGGTCATAGACCCCTCCTCCCGTACCCGCCTCAGCAGCTCTTCCCGCGACGGCAGGTCTGCGGGCGGCGGCGGCGCGACCCCGTCCCCGAGCAGTTTCGCAACCTCCTCCGGGTCCCGCTTCTGTAGCATTTCCACGATGATCAGCGTCGGCACCCACCGGCAGATGAACTTGTGGTCTTTGTCGCTGCATACCACCCCGTCAGTCGTCATGCCGAGTTCACACCAATTACACTCACAGTCTTATGCACTCCTGCCCGCAATACGCCGAGAGCTTGCACTTCCCGCATCCGCCCTTGTACGCAGGCTCGTCGCATCCGCGCCGCGTACACGTCCCCCGGAACGGCCGCAGCGTGTTCGTGAGCCGCAACAGCAGCCGCCACGCGTCGACCGCCCACTGCGGATGCCGCGGGTCCTGCCGTGGGACCGCGACGCTCTCGTCCGCCGCGACTGACGCGAGCAGGTCGTCCACGTTCTGGCTGCCCTTCGTGGAGAGCATGATGAGCATGATCATGAGGCGCGGGCGGGGGAGCTCTGCGCGCAGCTTTTCTCGCGTCTTCGGGTTGAAGTTGTGCAGGTTGTTATCCAGAAACTGGATCAATACGGAGAGGAACACTGAGGAGGGACTCCTGAGTCAGCAATGATCAAGGTGCACATATACACGACTCACTCGGTCCTCGGATGCTTCGGACGATGGTGGTGATCGCCGACTCCAGCGCGTCGAAGAGGCCGCCCGCGAACCAGCTACACAACAACTCGTCGATGTAGTTAAGCGCATCCCTACTGTCACCGTGCAGTACGTTGAAGTACACTTTGAGCGATACCATCGTCAACCCCTCAGGAATATGCCCAGTTTTAGGCGCATTCGGCCCCAGCGGCGCATATCGGGTGACGTTCTGAGCCATCGCGGTCCAAAAGGGCTCCGACCGGTACAGGGCTCGCCAGAAGGGCAGGAACTCTTTCTCGGTAGCATTGAGCAGCCCGTTGAAGAATATGATCTCCTCGAGTAGCTCCCTGGGGCCGAGCTGCCGGAAGTGCTTCGCGAATACGTCGACGATGAACTCTGCGGATTGATTGGGGGTGCGTTTCTTCTTGCCTGTGCCGCGGGACGCGCCAAGGAGTATGCGGGGCAAAAGCGCGTGCATGTCAGGCCGCGGGTGCTCCGCGAAGTAGCGATTCCAGTGGTCTGGGCCGACTCCGTCCAAGAGCGGCGTGATGAGGGTGCAGTTGATGATGTCGTCCCACTCGGAGGTGGAGTACAGCCAGTAGCGGAAGCATACGGCAAGAGTCAGATCGGACGGCTTCAAGATGATGCTACACTTTGGCATGAGTGCACATTCAACATGAGAGAATATATCGGCATACTCAAGGAATGTCGGGTCGAGGGAGGAAAGACGGTGGACGATCTGCGCAGGGGCGACACGTTCCCTCTCTCGGGCTTTCGCGTTGCCGCTGTGATCCAGTGTCCTAGACGGCTCGGACCAGAGCTAGGGAACTGATGAGCATATGTGCGCGCAATGGGTAAATGAGGGTCGCACCCGCTGCATAATGGAAGACCAATATTGCTTCATCTCCGCGACCATTTTCTGCTCTGTCGAGGTCGCGGGGCGGGCACAGGACATGGCGGCGTTACAGAGCACTTCCAACGCAGGGCTATAGGGAGCAGGAGCCTACCAATAAACACGTTCAGCAAACCGGGGAGTGCAGGGTTACGGGACAGTGCAGTACCGCACATTTTCTTGCGCCAAATCCATGCACTCCTGCGAGATTTCGGCGACGCCCTCATCATTCACGGTCGCGTATGCCAGTGTAAGGGTGGCTTGTGTGTTGATCGCGCACTTGCATCTGGGCTGCACGTCAGCATCCCTCCGCACAAGTCAGGGATCCCTTGATGCGCAGCGGACATGGACCCACAGCGCTGTAATCACTCCAGCGTCGACAAGGCCCTTCCAGGACTTGCTCGTCGACTCATTTGAAGCCTCCTTAAGCTGCTGGAAGAGGATCGGGACGTCGTCGTGCGAGTCGCCCTCGAGAGTTTCACCCCGCGGTGTATACAGGGCCAATGCACGGCAGACTCGGCGTGGGTCGTCCTTGATCAGGTCTGCCCATTTCTTGAATTGGGCGGCCTGGTGATCATGATAGTCTTCCATGGTGTAGATGGTGGATGGTCTGAGAGGCATGTTGGCGAGATGGTGGTCGATGTGCAAGGCACAACGGCGAGCAAATACTGTGTTTTCCCTGGAGGTTTCCGTTGGGACACGGTCGTTCGGCGGGATCGCTGGAACAATGAGGCGCCGCCACTCGCGTGTAGCGGAACGATCACGTGGGTACCTGAGATGTGTGGCTCGGAGTCGCCGAGCGCGCGTGTACTGCTCTCGCTCTACGGTCTACGCCATGACTGACGCTATGGCGTCCCCTGCTCTGGATCCTAGCCTCATCGACAGCACAAATGTTCTCTCTTCAGACCCGCGTACTCTTCCTATCGGTCTACCAACCCCGCCTTCGGAACGCAAACGCGTTAATCAGCTTGACCTCAAGGGCCCCGAGAGGAAACGCGTCAAGCTAGAGTGGCCGCTAAAGGGAAAGGAAAACGCTGGTGCCGATGTCTACTCAGACAGTGATAGCGAGGGGGAGGGCGATGTTTGTGGGCCTAGAGGGAGTGCAGCGCGATATTCTGTCTATGGTATAAGGAATCGAGCCATGCAAGCCGGTCCTTCCAGTGCGTCGCGAAGAGTAGACTGTGAGTGTCAACCTTTCATTGCGAACTTATTACTGATCATCGAGATTGCAGTGCCCACGCGGTCCATCTTGCAGACGTTTGTGTCGTCCAACAAGTCAGACGTGTTCAAGTGTCATTCGATCCACGAAAACCTGTCGGTCAATATCCCATACGCGTGCTCCTACTCAAATGGTGAGCTTCAACGGCATGATGCGATCGATTCAAGCGTGTTCATGCGAATGCATCTATAGCGGCGAAGCACGGCGGAGTCCCTCACCTAGCGATTGCGACTGAGCAAGGGACCGTGGACATTTTGAACACGTCCAAACGCGACGATTGGGATGTCGGTACGTCATATTCACCTGTTGCAACTGGCACCCTCACATACCTCTCGCGTACACGCAGAGCCACAGCGTGTTACTGTGCAACCCCATGAGAACGGCATCTTCGACGTGAAGTGGTCTCCTTCCGACACACTCATCGCCACGGCGTCGGGGGATCATAGCATCCGTATCTCGACCCTTGTGGATGGCCGCCTCCTGCATGTCCTCCGCGGGCACGAAGGCACTGTCAAGTCCGTCGCATGGGACCCGACCCATGACGGCGACGTGCTATGTTCTGGGAGCCGCGACGGTGGAATCTGTCTCTGGGATCTGAGGGTAGGCGAGCGCGGAGACTCTGGGGAGGTCATGCCTGTGCTCTCTATTGCGAAGGCGCACAATCTGCAAGGGAAGATGGCCAAGCCGAAGGCCCCTAGAGGCAAGCTCGTCCCGGGTGTGCCTCTGCAAAGCATCACTCATCTGCTGTATACGGACACGCACCCATACGGTGTCATCAGCAGTTGTGCGTCGGAAGGGTACGTTGTGAATTGTAGGAGCACCTGCCGCGTACTAACACCTGCGTAGAATTCTACACCTATGGGACGTCCGTCTACCATCGAGCAACGCCCGTCCAAAGGCCAAGAAGACGGCCAAGCAACTCCCCAAGCCACTCTTCTCATCGACAGACCCCACAACGTACGCAGGCGCACGCCGCGGCCGCGGTATCACCACGCTCGCACTCGGAACTGGCCCCACCACCGCGCTTGTCTTTGCACTTGGCATCGACTCGCGCGTACACACCTACACGCTCCCCTCGCTCGCGCCGCTCTCCGGGCACATGGACAGCACATCTGCACTCGGGATCCTGGACGACCCGCACGCGTATTCGGACGAGCGGATGAAGACGAACTCGTTCTACGTCCGAATGGCCACCTCGCCTTGTGGGCGCTGGCTCGCCACAGGCGGCGCCGCAGAGGGCCGGGCGTACCTGTACGACATCTCCGCGGCCGGGCGTGCAGGCGGGCACGGGCATTCGGGATATGGGTCAGGGGTTGAGTTGCGCGGACAGACGGGCGAGGTGGGTGCGGTCGACTGGGCGGACGGGATGCTCGCCACTTGTGCGGACGACGGGACGGTGCGAACATGGAGGCCGGACATCGACGTGTCGCGGCGGTGTAGGGATGACCCGCGCGAAATGGCATGGGAGTGGGCGTGGTCCACGAACGCCTAGATGTCTTGGAAGCTTTCGAGTGTATATATAGTCACCATCTGTAGCATAGTCTGTCTGGATTGGAAGCCTTTGCTGGCACTTATAACCCCAAAGAAAGGCATACGCAGGCGGGCATCTGTGGATATCGACAGCGAGGAAGATGCGCAATAATTATGGTGTACAGCGGGTATGTAAGTACGGTAGCGTCGTGTCCGTGCAGCGAGGCGCCCAAAAGAGCCCAGTAAAGGCCAACGACAAACAGAAAGCATCCGGTCCGAGTCGGAGAGGCTATCTACTTTTTCTGTATTGCATTGACCAACCTGATGCATTCGTGTTAGCTTATAGCTCGGACCGACAACCACTAGAGCGGGGACTAACCAGTCCAATCCGTCCTCCAAGCCCTCGCCCTTCGTCGCACAGCTCCCGCGCACGCTCCACTGCCGCTCCTTCTCGCCGCCGGCCAGCCCGAGCTTCTCGCTGACCGTCTCCGGCGGGAGCGCCCCAGTAACGTCTTGCTTGTTGCAGAACACGAGGAGCGGGACACCCGCGAGCTCCTCTTCTGAGAGCATCGTGAGCAGCTCCGAGCGCGACGTGTCGAGTCGGTCCACGTCGGACGCGTCGATGACGTAGATGATTGCCGACGTATTGGGGAAGTAACAACGCCAGTACGGCCTGCGTAGCAACGCTTGCGATTAGCGGGCGTGCGTGTGGAGGGAGGAGGGATAGTACGCACCGGATACTTGACTGGCCACCAAGGTCCCACACTTGGAACTTGATGTTCTTATACTGTGTCGCGTGCGTCAGCGCCAGGGCCTTCCAGGGAGAAGAGCACAGTTCAAAGACATACCTGCACAGTTTCTACGTTGAACCCAATGGCTGCGCGGGCGGCGTGTCAGCTTCACACGCCGAAGTCAGCGGCGAGACAAGTCATGCGCACTAGGGATAGTTGGTACGACTTCTCCAATCTAACGTCACGGCTTCGTTCAGCGAACGCGCGTGCACAGTCTACCACGTGCGACCCACCTGTAGACGGTACAGTATCGTAGTCTGCGGGGCCGCGTAGGGCGTCGTCAGCCATGTGGAAAGTTGCATTCCCTGCAGGTCTGACACACCTTGCCCGCGGCGTCCAAGCCGAGCATCAATATCCGGACATCCTGGTCCTTGCTCCAGCGCACCAGCGAGGAGAGCGACGTGAACAGCGAAGAGATGGTGAGGCCCATGCCGAGTGACCGAGCGAGCGAGAGAAAGCGCACAGGGAGAGCGCAACCGGGTGTGTAGGCGGACGGCGGACGGAGAGAGAGGTTCCCGTCAGCCTGTGAGCGGACGCGAGCCACTTTACACATCCGGCGCTTGCAGCGGGATTGCCACCGCGCCGGGGCGCGCGTACCTCGCCCACGTGGCGGTGTAGCGCGCCCCTGCAGCTTTTCGCGCGCGGGCGCGTCGGTGGCTGCACATCTCGTCCACATCGCTCGTACTCGCTATGGCTGCCGACGCTCCCGAAAAGTCCGCGCGAAAGCACAAGAAAACGAAGACCTTGGAGGGCGCTGAACCTGCCGGCGACGCCGCTGTAGCGCGCGCAGAGAAGCCAAGAAAGTCCAAGAAGGCACGGACGGACAACCCTGCAGCAGACGACGCGCAGGAGACCGCAGATAACCGCGCTGCCGTCAGCGGAGCGGAGGACATCCCCGCGCCCAAGAAGGAGAAGAAAAGCAAGAAGCGCAAGCACGCCGAAGCCGAGGTTCAGCTCGCGGAAGGCGATGCAGAGAAGCCCGAGAAGAAAAAGAAACGCGAGAAGGTCGAGACAGCGGTGGTTGAGGACGTAGAGCAGTCACCTGTAACCGAACCAAAGTCAAGCAAGAAGGCAAAAGGGAAGAAGAGGAAGGCAGAGGAGGCGAGCGAAGAGGTTGTTGGCGGAGGAAAGGCGGTGGCAGAGGACAGTGACGTCGATCCCGCTGTGCAATCCGAGCCACGGCCTCCCAAAAGAGAAAAGAGGGACAAGAAGAGAGTGAAAAACATCCAACGCGACGAGGTGGATGTCGGAGACGCGGCATCCAGCAGCAAGCCGCAGAAGAAACGCAAACGTCGCTCGGCCTCGGGTTTCCCAGATCCTACCGTGGACGAGGCCTTGAGCGAGCAGGCGCAGAAAGGTGCGTATTAATCTATTGTTATGAACATTGCATAGCTAATCACTGTGCGATGGTAGCGTTGGACTACGCGTTCACCCAATTCGAGGAGCCCGACAAGTGGAAATTTAACAAGGCTCGGCAAAACTGGATCATCCGCAATATGTGGTCGGAAGAAGCGGTATGTGCTACCGCGGGTGCACGCAACACATGGTCATTGAAGTCTAGTCACACTCGCACAGATCCCAGAAACCTACCTGCCACTCGCGTCCAAGTACCTGCAGGGTGTCCAAGGCGGCGCGCGAGAGGTACTTTCCTCCAATCATACTGTTGTTATATGTACTGACGGCTATATCTAGGCCCTCGTTAAATCGTGCCGGGAAGCTATTGAAGCCCCCCAACCTATCGCAGAACCTGCAGCACCGGAGGAGAGCAAAGCTGTCCCCATCGAGTCCGAATCTGTCAAGGACTCCCCTACAAAACGGACAGTGAAGTTCGAAGTCCCGGTCACCCAAAATAACACCACGAACGACACCAAGCGCAAGCGTGCGACAGATTTACTAGCCCTCCTCACGTCGAATACATGATGATCTTAGTGGAGTTCACGGATTCGCTCTCGAGATCACACAGTGCATGTAGACACATCTTCTCTTTTCATCTCCATTCTCCTCCACACTACAACTACTCTCCAAAACATGCGATGGACAGGGGACGACAGCTATGAACGTGTACGAAGCGATAGTAATGACAGCGAGTACCAGTGCAACCTCCAACAACATGCGACGATACATCACCTCCTAAGCACTGGCCGAGACCTCCGCCGTAACAGACGCAGCCGTCAACGGCGCGGGCGCGAGCGTGAGGTCCGCGTTCAGAGCGTCGACCTTCGCGAGCGGCTCGGTGTACGGGCCCAGGAGGTCGTTGAACTTCTCGCGGGTGATGCGTACCGCGCGGGGGTCGACGAAGCGCTTCTGGCCGGGGTGCAGAACTGCAGGCGCGGTGCCGTCCGTCAGACCGAGCTGCTCGTCCGACCAGATGGGCTCAACGGGCTTCGCGTCCGCGACGCCGACGCCGGCGTGGCCGCCGAGCTTGCGCCAGTCCGAGGTGCGTTTGATGCCAAGTTCGGTGAACGTCTGGTCAACGGCGCGCGAAAGGCGGGCGATCTGCTCGACGTTGTGGCCGGGGGTGACGGTGAACCGGAGACGCTCCTCGCCGCGGGCGACGGTCGGGTAGTTGATGGCCTGGACGTAGACGTTGTGCTCCGCAAGGAGCTTGTCTGACGCGAGACGCGTGAGCGTGGGGTCGCCAACAAGGACGGGGACGATGTGCGAGGGGCCGGGGATGACAGGGATGTCCATCGCAACGAAGCGGGACTTGAGGTCACGGACGTTGATCTGCTTCAGTTGACGGTCGCCATTGAACTCCTTCTGGTACGCAATGCTCGCGCGAGCACCGGCCATGTTCGCCGGGGGGAGCGAGGTCGTGAAGATGAAGCCGGAAGCGTAGGACCTGATCATGTCGACGAAGTCGTTCGAGCCAGCGATGTAGCCGCCAACAGCGCCGTAAGCCTTGCCAAGTGTGCCTACAGTACATGATCAGAATATGCGCAGTATGAGCGTACCGCAGAGGCACTTACCAGAGATGATGTCAACGCGGTCCATGATGGAGCGCGGGATGGGCTCGCCACTTTGGCCCGCCGCCTTGTGGGCCTCGTAATCGAGGTGCTCCGCGACACCCGCACCGCGGGGTCCGTACAAGCCGACGGCGTGGACCTCGTCGAGGAAGGTCAACGCGCCGTACTGCTCCGCCAAGTCGCAGATCTCCTTAATGGGGCCAACGCTGCCGCACATAGAGTAGACGCTCTCGAAAGCGATGATCTTAGGGGTCTCTTTGGGGTACTGAGCGAGCTTCATCTCCAAGTCCTGCAAGTCGTTGTGCTTGAAGAGAACGCGCTTAGCGGTCGAGTGACGCATGCCCTGAATCATGGACGCGTGGTTCATGGTGTCGGAAAAATACACGCAGCCCGGGAGTTTGGTGCCCAAAGTGGCCAACGTGGCATCGTTGGCGACGTAGCAGGACGAGAAGACGAGGGCAGCGGGCTTGCGGTGTAGAGTGGCGAGTTCCTCCTCGAGAGCAAGATGCATTCCGGTGTTTCCGGCGATGTTCCGGGTACCACCCGCACCGTGGCCGTAGGAATCCAGGGTGCGACTGCGGATCGAAAGAAGTTTCGCGTCAATAACTAAGTTTAGAACGGACAGAAGGCCAAAATTACGCACTGCATCGTCTCGAGAACCACGGGATTGTTGCCCATCCCGAGGTAGTCGTTGGCACACCATACCTCCACCTCGTCCTTCACGTTCCCCGTGTGAGCGATGGGGAACTTGTGTGCGAGGCGGTTGATGTTGTTGAAGTAGCGGTAAGACGCATCCTGGTGCTTCTTCTCCAGCTCGTCGGCGTAGAAACGCTCGTAGTCGAAACCGCCAGGGGTAGCGGCCTTCGGCTTGGCCTCGGAGGTGGAGGCGAAGGGGCAGCTGGCGGGAGCAGCAGCCGCGGGCTTAGCGGCGGCAGCGGCCTTCGCAGCCTTAGCCTTCTTTGCGTGAACGAGGTCCTCCGCCATGCGAGCGGCGGCGAGGGCCTTGGAAGCGTGGGGGCACTTCTGCGCGTCGGCAGGCGAGGGGTTGTTGATGCCCTGGTGCTCCGGGATCTTAGCGAACTCAGCAGAGCCCGCGAGGCTCGCGTATCCGGCGACCATCTGGGTCGAGCGGACGTGGAGGGCGGGACCCATGACGGGGCATTTCGTTGCCTTCTCGGTGAGCTTAGAGACCGCCGGGAAGCGGGGCGAGGCCGAGGTGCAGAGCGTGCGCAGGGTGGAGGTCTTGGTGCGGCCGAGGTAGGGGCAGGTGGCCTTGAACTTTGCGAGGTTGGCTAGCTTGTCCATGGCGAGCAAGCGGAGGGTGAGGGGGAGGGGATAGGGGGAAGAGGTGAAGTCAGAAAAGAGGAGGAGATGGCTGCCTCTTATGGGCATGGCCCCGCGCAGGCCTCCGCTCTGGCCCGGATAATCGCCAGCGCATGATTGGTCTCTCGAGGCGCTCTCACCGACTCTCACCGCTTTCGTCCTCGTCCGACTCCGGCTACGCGCGGGCCCGGGAATGCTTCTCATGACCGTACACGACTGACATCTACTCGCTCAACACACTCAAGCAGCTCTCTACCACCTCCATGGCCTCCCCAACCTCCCCCACACCGATGTTCAGGCTTGGCACCAATCGCACCGCGTCCGCTCCCGCCGTCAGCAATAGCACTCCTCGCTCCCGCGCAAGCTCCACCACCCGCCCAGGGTGGCTGCTGTCCTTGAACCCAAGTCCGCGGATGAGCCCCCTTCCCCGCACCTTCTCCTCCAGAATGTTCGGGAACCACTTCGTGAGCAGCGCCAGCCGCGCCTCCAGGTAGTCGCTCGTCTCCTTGACGTTCGCCACGAACGCCCTGTCCGACAGACGCGACATAACATGGTGGCCCAGCGCACAGGCAAGGGGCGACCCTCCGAAAGTGGTACCGTGTGTGCCTGTGAATCCCACCGTCGTGTATTAGCATCGCAGCATGCTATGCAGTCCGCTGAGAATTTACTCACCGGCGGTCATTACTTCCGCAATGTTGTCTCGCAGCAGCACAGCTCCGATTGGGTACCCATTGGCAAGCGGCTTAGCAGTGGTCACAATGTCCGGATGCGCGTCTGCTGGGACGGTTGAATGGGCCCAAAGGCTACCCGTCCGATATAGACCGCACTGTACACATCGCGTTTCAGTCAGCTCTAGCGCTCCCAAGCAACATTACGGCGGCAGCGGTGGCAGCGTCCCCTTTGCCACCGACTGAAATGAAGCCGGTTCGGGAACCTAACTCACCTGGATTTCATCATAAATCAACACCGCGCCGACCTCGTCGCATCGTTTCCGGAGCGCGCGCAACCAGTCCACCTCGGCGACATTGATGCCGCCCTCGCCCTGGATAGGCTCGACGATAACTGCGCACGTCTTCTCTCCCACCAAGCCCTCCAGCGCCGCGGTGTCGTTCAGCTGCCCGACCCGCACGCCCGGGATCAAGGGCGTGAACGGCTTCTGGTACTTCGGGTTCGAGGTGACGCTGAGCGCGCCCATGGATCGCCCGTGGAAGCCACGCTCGAAGCACACGATCTCGACCTTGTCGCACGCCGGATCGTCCCACGCTTTTCCGGTAGCCTTCGCCCAGCGCTCCTTGCCGACCTTGCGCGCGACCTTGAGCGCGCCCTCGTTTGCCTCCGTGCCCGAGTTGGAGAAGAACACCTTCGCGCCGCTCGTGCCATTCGTCACCGGGTGTGTGCTGCCGGGCGCCCACCCGAGCCCACCCTCGGCCTGGGTCAGCTGGATGAGCAGCTCGGCGAGCTTCCCCGCGTACTCATGGTGGTAGACGTTGCTCGTATGCAGCAGCGTTGACGCGGTCGTTCGCATGACCTATACATAATTGAAGCAAATTCGGTCAGCACCAATCGCCGGCCGCCGATTCGAACGCAACGAGTGCAGCGATGCACACTGTGTCATGACTGTGTGCGACCAGATCCCGGGAGCAGGCGTGGTGGCATCAGCATGCTCGGCACAGCACGCCCGACAGGATGTGTCGTTGCTTCCCACACCTGTTCCTGGGACGGGGAGACGTGTGCAATAAGATCAATCCGACGCACCTCTGCGACACCTTCGTCCCCATGCCCGAGTGCATTCACTGCAATACCCGCGCTGAAGTCGAGGTACTTGCGGCCTTGCACGTCCCAGAGGTATGCGCCCTTGCCCTTGGCCATGACAATGGGCGGCCGGGCGTAGACGGGCAGGATGTACGCATGCGAGCGGTCGAGCAGCTCCTTGACGGCCGGGGTGATCGAGGACGGGTCTTCTGGGTGCGTGACCGCGGTGTAGCGCTTGCTCGGCGCACTGGGCAATGACAGGCCGCTCCGAGATGAGGCCTGCAGACGCAGAATCCGTGTACAACGTCAGAGCTAGCACACGCCTGTATAGAGGATGCCTCACCTCAGTTCCCATGCATCGCACCCCAAGACCATGTTTGGTGGGCCGAACGAGCGTTCGCTGTGCTTGACGAGTGGCCGCGCGCATTTTTTCTGCTACCTAGCTCCGCCGGTTCGTGGGAGGTAGTCTGTTGGGTAGCCTGTGAGGTGGAAGAGCAGAGCACGGTGTGCGGTCCGCGGTGGTCGGCGAGTCATGGCTGCACATCCACAGAATTGCTTATAGCGGGCGCTAAAATAACGCGCCAGGCGAAAACGCCCGAGTGCAAATTCTTATCAGATAAGATCCAATATAGCCATTGGTCAATATATGTATGGCCACGATCTATCAATCCCCCTGTCGCTTTCAGGTCGTCGGACAAAGCATGAGGCGAATACATATCAAGCTCGGGTACAACCTAGAGCATATCGTACACGCATAGTACGGAAGGAGCCAAGGGCAAGATTCAAACACGGCTACATAAGCCACCTAACCCCTGCTCCGGCTGCGGCTCGATCCAGAGCTAACAGACATCGAAGAATCACTGGACGACGACTGAGCACGACGACGGGGGCCTCGTTCCCCAGCGGGAGGGGGCGAGACGGAACGCGTAGCCGACCTGCCGCGGCTCACCGGTGACCTCGACCGCGACGGGGACCTCGACTTCGTAGGCGAGCGACGGCGTGGCGACGGGCGATCCCTTCCATAGCGTGGCGGAGGAGACCTGGAACGGTCGTCCCTGCGGCCGATGTCCCGGGCGCGAGGGGGATGCGGGGAGGGGGAAACCTTTACACCCCGCTCACCTCTCGACGGTGGCTCGACAGAACCAGAACGCCGGTAACGAGGGGGAGGAGAGCGCACAGGAGAACGCGACTCGAAGCGGCGCCTGACGCGAGCCGGAGGAGATGAAGGTGACCGGGAAGCGGGTCGGCGGCGAGGTGGAGAGGGCGAACGTGAAATAGGACGGCGACGAAGTGGCGAAGGCGAGCGAGAGATAGGCCGGCGGCGAGGCGATGGCGAACGAGGCCGCCTCCTCTGGTCATCCCGAGCTACAGGCGAGTAGTCGCGACGCCGCACGGGGCTCCTGCTCCTGCTGCGGCGATCGTCGTAGTCCCGACCACGGTCCCGGTCGCGGGAAGGGGGTAGCGGAGGGGGTGGCATTCTCTCCGTGCGTTTCGCGCCTTCTTCCCTCTCTTTGCGCCGCCTGTCTTCCTCTCGCCTCCGCAGGCGGTCTCTCTCCTTGCGTTCTGCTTCCCACTTCTCCTTTTGCGCCAGCATCTTCGCACGTTCCTCGTCCCGCTGTCGGTCTCGCTCCTCCCTCTCCGCAGTCCGACGCACGCGCTGTTCCTCCTGCTTCTCCCTGTCGAACGCGTCTCCTTCGTGGTAGTCGCTGCGGGTGCCAAACGCCCGGGCCATCTTGCTAAGCTCTTCCTTTTTAGCGGCTGCAATGCCGTGGGTGTCCGAGGGCTTCAAGGCCTTCGCATTTTGGGTGAAGGAGGCCGCTTCAGCAAGAAGCTTCGTTCGAAGTTCGCTGACTTGCTCCTCGATCTTGTCTTCGTCCACCCTAGTAACATAGTGGTCAATCAACGGGACAATGGACGCTCAGCCAACATGAACGTACCCTTCGTCCTCCAACTGGAGCTGCAGTTCCAGGCATTTCACTTCCACCTTGCGCTTCCGCTCGTGCTCCAGAATCTCCGCGTCGGGTTCCCTGTGCTTGGGCGGCGCCACGTCCCATGCGCCAGCGCGGTCATGCACGCTTTGGTGCGAGCGGATGGCCGACAAGTTTCGTACTACATAGCCATTCGTTCCACTGCAGGCTGTTAGTATGGTGTATATGTCAGATTATGAAGGCTTGCTGACCTTCCACGAGGAGTGGTGAGTCCGATTCCGTTATACATGCTGCAGCGAGTTGGAGGAACTGGTCAAGGCGTTCGACACCACTCGAGCGCTCGTCGGCAGACGCGTTGGTGAGTTTCGGCAAGGCCCGTCCTTCGAGCGCTCGAGCTCCGGAGCGCCCGGGCCCCCTTCTCCGCTGGTCCTCCCGCCTCCTCCCGCCGGACGTCATCATGCCCGCCGACGTCTTCTTCAGCAGTCCAAGCCTTCGAGCTTCGTGTGCGAGGCAGCAGAGCACGTAAAAATCACACAGGATTTCATGCACATCCTACATAGTCAAGATGGTACATCTAATTGCCTTCTAATCCAAGTCGGAATCCGTACATTATAATATGTGATACATAGCCGTCCATCTCAAAGTCTAGGATGAGCAGTGGCCAAGTCGAGGAATGGATCCCACTGGTAGTCCTCATAAGCTCGCCGCGCCAAAGAGTTCAATGCCACTCGCTTGTCCATTTCTATGTCGTCGATCAAGCCCTCTGTGAAAGAAGCTATTAGTCAACAGGGCGAGCAAGTGCACATCACGATATACTGACCTCGTGTAGTGTAATCTAGTTCAGGGCGAATGTACCCGAGCACGATCGCTTTCATGTCGTGTCCGTAGAAATCTGTCTTGAAGTCGTGCATGATGTGGATCTCCTGCAACCGTTATAAGATTATGCCCCTGAAGATCATGTAACGTGTTGACTCACCGCAGTCATTCTCTCGTTCTTGTAGAACGGGTTCCAGCCCAGGCTCATGACCATGGGGAGCACTTTTCCGTCTTCTTCGGAGAGTATGACTTTCCCATCCTTCTCTCTTGATACTTGGGCATAACCGTAGTATACACCCGTATCCGTAACGGAGCTCATCGGGGCGATCGACTCGTCCGGCAGATTGGCTGCTACTGGTTCAGCAACCGGACATAGCTAGCAGCACAGAGACAAACTCACCCGTGGGGCAACCAAGATCTTTGCCTCCGCGGCCAAAACCTCGTTGGACTACACCCGAGAGGTGAATGGGGAATGGCTTCTGAGGGACTTCGGGGCCGACGATCTGCGGGCGAGTCTCGCGGAAGGACTCCGTGCGCACGGGCGCGGCTGCTCTGTCTTCGAGGCCCATGGTTCGGCGCAGGCGGTATAAGTTAACGGGGGATACGGGGGCGGGGGATGGCTACAGATTGGCTGGGTATCGCGACGATAAATAAAAGACGGGTGCAGGGAAGATGACTAGTGTGAGCATCCCGCTGCCTCAGCAGACGTCGCTGCCGAGATTACCGGAACCCTCGCGAGACTGCGAGACAGACAGGCGCCCGCGCGCGACTTGCTCTCCGCCACCATGGCCCACCACTACCCTGCCCACACCCAGAATCAGGCTTACCAGTCATACCCCGCCCCCGCCGCTTATGGATACTCCGCCCCCGGATACTACCCAGGATACCAGCCTCGCCCTGGTGGCGGCTACGCGTTCGACGGTGCCGTGGGGGGCACGTCTGCACAACCCCAGGTCGGGCCACACTCCGCGCCTGAACTGCCCGGCGTAACACCGCAGCTCGCATCGCACGTAATGGAACGTCTTGTCTCTTCGGAGCTCCGGGATGCCGGTTTTGAGTCCGCGGAGGCCGGCGCGTTAAGAAGGCTTGAGCGCGAAGTGGCGGAATGTGAGCTGTTCGCGCTGTGGCCAATTGCTGCCCGTATGTTAAACCCGCGTCGCCAGTCGTGCAGGAATTATATGAACGCGCGCACGACTATGCGAACCTCGCACACCGAGCGAACCCAATAGCGACAGACGTCTTCGCCGCGGCTAATGACTACGGCATGGAATCCAGTGCAATGCTCCATTTCAGCAAGAAATCTCGCAAGCATAAGAAGGGTATGTTTCGTTATGTTGCTGCAGATATCTGATATTGCTAACGGTGACCCCATGCAATAGATCCTTCGAAGGAACCTTTGCTTTTACTTCCACCACCGTCGCGTTCACCGTCCCCCGAGCTGCTCAGTTCTGATGATGAGAACGCCCCGCCTGCTATTCCCATGACATTGCGCCCCCTTCCGCACTACGTGCCACCTCTCCCTCCAAAGCATACGTATCTTCGCACACCGGTAAGTGCCGCGGGGACCTCTCGATCAAAGTCAAGAGTGCTCATGAAGGCGCCTCAGATTTCTCCCCCGAAGAAGGCTGCACTGCCTTCACTAGAGAAGAAGCTTAAGAACGCGGCGCTCGTACAAGACTCCCTGAAAAATCTGCTTCTAGCTACTGAGGACAACACCCAGGAAGACGCGGAACTGCTGGGTGCTACCGTGAACTGGGAGGCTACGACGCACCCTCGGAAGCGTTGGAAGCTGTCATAGTCGATGCATACTAGCATCGCCTGTTTGTTTGTATTTCACGGTATTTCGTTGTCGTGTAACATGATGTGTTTGTACAAGTTGCTGTTTGCTATCATGGACCCCTATTACTGAATCGATCTAGGGCCTCGCAGACTTGTTCGCCGCCCTCGCAGGCTGTCGCCTCGTTGGAAGCGGTGCAGGAGAGGCAACTGCCGTCTTGCCCGAACGAGCTGGGGTGAGCGATACTGCCGATGAACTGCCTTCAGGCTGCGACTCCCTCAACGGACCCGTGGCATCCATCGCGCTGTTTGGGTCCGAACCCTCTGCCGCCCCTTCTTGTTCGTTTGGTCCCACCGAAGACTCCCCCCGCGCACCGCCTCCACGGCCGCGACCACGGCCACGCCCTCGTGCCCGACCGCGACTTCTGGTTCCCCGCCCCCTTCCTCTACCGCGACCTCTTCCTCGGCTTGTCGGTGTCGGTTCGATGAGGGCGTCTTCGTCTGTGTCCGAGCTCTGCTCTTCTGGACGGGCTGGCTCAGGCACGGGTGCAGAGGGGACGGGTTCCTGTTGAGACGAAGTGGGCAGTTGAACCACTTCTGGAGTGCCCTCGCCCTGAGCAGCTGTCACTGTAGCCGTCTGTCCTTGCGGTGCAGAGTCCGTAGCCTCCGTAGTAGGTGTGGCATCCCCAGCCAGACCGTCAGAGTTTGTAGCCTCCAATGGTGATTTTGCGACACGTCTTCGCTTACTGGGCTGCGGGCCCGGACTGCCAGCCATTGCCCTGGACCTTTTCTGGGCAACCACCGTCGCATCCTCCGATGGAGGAGCAGGGATATCCGCGCTAGAGGTATTGTCGGGAGCGGACTCAAACGTCGAAGGTCCCGCTTGCTGCTCAGGGGGCACTGCTTCAGCAGTATCCGCGGTCGCAGGGGGTTTCTTCTTTCGCGGCCGTGGCCTAGGTTTGGGGTTTGCGCTCGGAACAGGAGTGCCGCCCGAAGAAGGGGCCACGTAGGACTCGGGATGGAGAATGAGGAACTGCGGTTGGCCCTCGTACGCAGGCGTCGACTCGTTTGCAGGCGTCGACGGGCCGGACGGCTGCTTCGTGCGAGCGCGCGATGAGGCCTTAGATGTACCCTTGGATGGCACCTCTGCAGTGGCTAGGCCGTCCGAGGGACCTGGCGACGTATTCTTGCTCGGCCTTTTGGGCCTCGTGAGCACACCATATCGCATCCGACACTAAGAGAGGCGGAGATAAATGACACATAGCCCGCATCGAGAGGGAATATGCCTCACCATGTTATCCGTACGCCCAGCATTGAGCACCTGGCTGACCTCCTTCCACTTGCCCATGCCTACCTGCTCGACCGCCTTCAACAGCGCAGCATCTTGCTCCTCTGTCCACTTGCCCTTGGCTACAGCTGGGTTCAGATACTCCTGATACCTGTCACGGCATTGCTCGTTGTTGCGGCCCTCCACGTAGGTGGCTACGTCGACCCAGACGTGCCCGCACACGGCGACGGCCTGCTTTACTCGCTCGTCTTCATCCGGCGTCCATGGACCCCTCCTGAGGGTCGGATCAAGAGTGCGCAGGTAGCGGTTCTGGCATTGAGAGGCGGTCGCGTCTTCTGAGACCCATCGTGCGACTTGAACATCGTTGTGAGCAACATGGTAATGCAGGGACTACGAGTCCACCCACCGAGAGCCCAACCATCAGTCCCGTAGATATTGACGGCTTCCAAAAGCCGCTTGTCTGCGTCCGGTGTCCACGAATGCGTCCTCCGAGGGATCGCATGGCGCATGCAATCTACTGGTGTACGTCCCGTCTATCTCATACGGTCAGCATATACCCATAGTCTAACGCAACAAAAAATTGTACCCCAAGCTTTTCGGCGATTTCAGACCAGTCGACCTCCCCTTCGTGCGCGCCGTCGACCAGTTCTCTGACCTTGGCGACCTCTGCCTGCGTCCACTGAGCATCATTGAATTGTGGGTGGCGGTCGCCCAACCAGCGAATCTCACATTCTTTAGCGGTCCTTTGGACGGAGGGGCCGGCGGAGGAGACCTCGAGAGGCTGTTAGTAAGGCGTCAGCTTATACATTTTGGGGGGCGCCTACCTTCTGTGCGACACGGTCCCAGTCGATGCCATGCTTGTTTGTGTTTATGAATCCTGGGGGTGGTTCCGCGAGCCCGGCATAAAATTGGAGGCCTCTATAAGACGACGTGAGTGGCTAGATCATCAGCAAATGGTAAGACACTGACTGAGCCTGGGCTTGCAGCGCATAGACTCGGTAGTTCTCGGAGCGTACAGCGTCTGCTAGTGCTTCCAGCTCCTGCGCCTTCACTGTAAAACTGGTTAGTACTACGAAGGCGACGTGACGTCGGGTATCACATACTGGGATGCACTACCGTAAGGTCTTCATAGCGCTGTCTTCTCAGTACATCGCTATAAAATGGGGAGGACTTGAATACAGTCAGGATGTGATGTTTGAACACTTATAGCGGACAAACAACGCACTTCTGCGACCAAGTCATTCAAAGGTATGATACTCCGTGGCCTCGCCGCACCGGGTACGAGCACGTTCCCTCCGGCGTTGGCAGTTTCATCCTCATCCACGTCTGAGACTTCCGCAGAAGCCTATCTATTGATCAGCGTGCTCGCAAGCGCTGTTGGCAGTCATGTACTTACCAGCAACTTGTCCAGATGCTCTAGCTCTGTCTCTAGACGCTCGGTGTAAACTTTGAGCGCGTACTGGTGCTCCTTGTTCGCCTGAACAGCTGGCTGGACCAGCTCCTTCGCATTTCTAGACGTACTCGCTAGCATTCTGCGGCACTTGTGCGGGGGCGTGGGCGACTGCTATGGTGATGGAGCCCACGGAGGAGTTCGTGTGATCGACGTCGGTGAGAGCATGGATCGGAGGCGGTAGACGCCCAAAAGTTCGTGTGCAAGCACGCGCGGCTGCCTCGAAGTCACTTCTCCACCACATCCGCCATGGCGAACGCCTCGGCCAAACGCACAGGTACGCCCCCGCGCCCGCTGCGCTCCTAACTTCACGGTCGCGCTGACGGCTAACGTGGCGCACTCCCCTCAGCGCAACAAAATGCGGAGTGCATAAAGAACCTCCGGCTCGGGCTGCTCGTCTCGGGCGCGCTCTCGATCCTCCTCCGCCTGCTCTTCCGCCGTGGCACGCTCTCGCCGACGCAGTTCTCGTTCTGGATCTACGTCTTCTCGCTCGGGCCCTCTGTCTTCCTCGCGCGCTACCTCGAGCGCATCGGCTCCCCGCGGCGCGACCCGACGACGGGCACGCTCATATCCGCTGGCGAGGACCTCAGCCGGCCCGGGATCATCGAGTGGTGCTTCGATGTCATCTACGTTACCTGTGAGTGCGTCTTCTTGAGTAGGTTGGGTGTGCGCTGACGCTGTGGGACAAGGGGCGTGTCAGGTCGGCAGCGGGGCATTCGGGCAATGGGTCTGGTGGCTGTATCTCATCGTGAGTGTGCTCCGTCGTTCTGCCTCGTCCTTTCTTCAACACATGTGCATTGCTGCTAGATTCCACTCTATGCGATATTCAAGCTATGGACCTCAGTCATCTCCCCGATGTTCTTTGGCCGCTCCGCTGCCCCGGCCGCAGAGGAGGCGGAGAGCGAGGCAAAGGAGCCGACGAGCAAACGACAAGAAAAGCTACGAAAACGCTCCGAGCGGGGCGATCCTCGTGTCCGCATGCAGTCGCGGTAACCAGGGACCTTTACCTTTGTATCCTATCTACTCTCGAAATGTACGCGATTAACTTGCATACCGCCGCCTTCCTCGTCAGCTCGTGTGCCTGTCAGTGAGGGAGTCCACTGCCCGCCGAAAACGTGTTACATTGATAAATAGTGCGTGTTACAGATATCCAAGACATCGATGGGAGTTGTAAGCCAATGTACGCCACAGGGTACGCAATACTTCGGAGAGGGTATATAACACATCGGACCGAACCACGCAACCCCAGGTTTACGCTCGGAGTCGGCCCGAAGACCACCACATCCCCTCTCATAACTCTGGGACACCTTTGTACGCCGCGGTGCTGTTTTGGCCGGCGGCGGGCTGGTAGGGACTGGGCGGAGTATAGGTATACGGCACAGTTGCCAGATGCGCATGCACTGGGCTGGCATACGCCGCGGAGTCGTGAGAGGATGGGGCCTGGGCGTCGGAGCTCTCAGGGAAAGTGCTCGGGTCATCGGGATCCTGGACTTCACATCAGCAGAGCGATCGCACGAGCGTCGCGGCAGCCACTCACATAGACCTTGGGGCTAGGGATGGGTGGAGGGATCGGGTGGCTGTACTCGGTGGTGGTGAGGGGACTCGCAGAGGGAACTTCGCTGTACACAATGGGCTGCGACTTGTCGGTGTACCCCGGCGAGTACTCGCCAGCCGTGAGATCGAGTGGACTTGTCGGCGCATAGCGCGCAGAGTTGCGCCGACGGCGCAGCCAGAAGAACAGTATGAGGATGGCTATCACGGCCACGACGCCTCCCACGACGCCGCCCACGATCGGCGCGATGTTGGTAGACTTCTTGGAGCTGGAGCTGGAGCCGTTGCCGGCGTCGCTATTGCTGCCGCTGGTGCCAGTGGATTGCGATGCCCCGGTCGTCGACGCGGAGCCCGTGGATAGTGCGGTCCGGGACCCAGTAGAAGTCGCAGTGGACCCCGACACCGCCGTTGACTCTGGCAAGTCTAGAGCGGTCAAATCAGAGAGGTTACTCCGTGCGAGCGGTAAGTTGCCTTACCTTCGTTTGCTACAGACTGAGCGGCAATAGAACTGAAGTCGTTGTTGGTCTGTGAACGCGGGGACATGAAGATGTAAGCGACGAACGCTGGCGCTTTAGGGACAGGATACAGACCCTGACGTCCACATACGCCCAGGCGGGGATTGCGGTTCCGTCCGGTATGGGCTCGGGAAACCTTTGTGCCACCATAGATGAGCTCTGGTTACCGTGTAGGATATTGAAGGAGTGCTTACTCTTGGATGTATACCGTCGCACAGTTTGTGGCATACGTCGACCAGCTATTCATAAGACATTCGTGAGCTTAGGGATGAACGGGATGGTCGAACCAATGACTCACAAAGGGACATTGATCCCTTCACCCTGGCAGGTAGCGCAGGCAGAGATGGTCGAGTAAAACACCGTGCTACACCTGCAGGGTGTCGCGCTAGTCGAACTGTTCTCCGGGGTCTGGTAATGGTACCCCGCGCTCAGAGGGAACACCCATGATACTGGGCGAGAACGTATCAGCGGAGACAATGGCCTGTGAGTTTTGACTCGTAGCTCACCTTCACCGGCCTCGGGGCACTGGGAGAGGAGGTATGATGAGACCAGACATGGACTTTGACCCAAGGAATTGTCCATCTATACTACGGTCAGATATGACGTCGCTCTGTGTGTGGTATAGAACGGTATTACCCATTCATAACTCTGCAGGCAAACTGCGCTCGTTCCTTGACCAGAGACCCTCGTCGGCAGCGCTATGAACGAGGCGACCACAGAGAAAAGCGACAGGGCGATCATCATGGCAGACTTCGAAGCACAGACTGCCTTCGTAGACCTGAGGGTCGAGCACAAGTGGGGGTGCAGAGGCAAGCCTGAGCACCGCGGCGGGGCGTGGCGAGATACGGAGGCCCCTTGCCAAGAGCCGTTCTCGCCGAGCGACCAGGCATGATGCAGGTGTGCGCAATACCTTTCATTTGGCTCTGGCAGGTTAGACTCGCGTAAACCGACAATTAACACGAGTACAAGGGAGGCGGAGTGGCGTTCTGTCAATCTGTCAATCTACTCAACCCTTTTCCGGCTGGCGTCCTTCCGAGTCCGTAAAGATCGACGCTCATGTAAGCAGATCCCACCAATCAGCGATGCGCCTCTCGGCGTCTGCTACAGGCTGCTGCAAGCTATTACCGCGTTCCTCCTCTTGACTTTGCTTTACTGATACGCAACCCATGCTGAGCTGGTACTATGCAGAGGCTTTTATGCAGAACGCAAACTCCCAGATCGCGGGATTCGAGCCTATCGCCCTTCTTGACGGCCCCGAGCCCCGACCCTCGCAATCAAGGCGGTGAATCTGCAAACCTACGAGTTTCTCGACGCAATCTGTAGAGCTGTATATCCTGTTCAGGGTCCAGTCATCTGCATGGATATTATGGCAAGCACTGCATAGTGTACAAACAAACTAACAACTCATCCGTATAGAACCTGCGAGCGTGAGCACCTGGAACGATAGTAAACCTTGGTAGCGAGGTAGGATCTCAGAAATCTCTATATCAGAGCTCCGGGACACCCTTGTATGCAGCAGTGCTAACTGTGCCAGCGGAGGGAGGCTGGAGAGGACTCGCCGCGGGATACGGTGCGACAAAGTTGTCAGGGAAAGTGCTCGGGTCATCGGGATCCTATAAATCACGCATTAGCCCGTTTCTCCAGCTCTCACAGTGACGACTACTCACGTAAACCTTGTGGCTCGCAGAAGCAAGCGGAGAGACGGGTTGCTTGTATTCCATAGCAGGGACGCCGTGGTCGTGAATTTGAAGGCCAGTGGGTTTGTCCGAGTACTGCTTGTCCTCGCCGGTGGTGAGATCGACGGGACCCGTCGGCGCGTCGCGCGTGGCATTGCGTCTGTGTCGCAGCCAGAAGAATATGGCGAGATTGATGGCGATGAGGCCGACCACGCCTCCAACGGCGCCTCCGACGATCGATGCGATGTCGGTGGACTTTTTGGAAGAAGCGTCATTGTTTGCCCCGTTGTTGCCATTAGGTGATCCGGTCGCCGACGCAGACCCTGACGTTGAGGGACGTCCCACCAGAGAGGATGTGGGTCCTGCTGAGGACAGCGCCGTCGACTCGGGCAAGTCTACAGTAGCCATTGAATTCAGCAAGCTTTCTCAAGGTGAGCCAGTTACCTTCTTACCTTCCTGTGCTACATCCTGTGCCGATGTCGGATCGAATGTGTCGAGCCCCTGTGAGGGCGAACGAAAAGCTTTTGAGTTCATAAATGTACTTAAGTGACGGGAGCGTACTGACCCTGACGTCCAGATACGCCCACGCGGGTACCGCAGTGTTTGGTGGTATATTCTCGGAATACCTTACGCCCGGGGAGGTCAGTCATGTATGGTGTATGCATTGTGCGAGATCTACACACCCCGAGATGGTCGGTGCAGTACAGTTAAAGGAGAAGGTAGACCATCTGTGGAGGTTTATTTGTTAAGCAATGCTGGGTTTCGAGTGAGCAATCGACGGACTCAGGGATAAATAGCTCTTGCCCTTGGCAGGTAGCACAAGCAGAGATGGTCGAGTAGTACACTGTGTTGCAAACACAGGGTGTATCGGAGAAAGCGTTGTCGAGCACAGTCTGGTAATGCTGCGCAGGACCCAAAGGGAAGACCCAGTATGCTAGGCAGTAATCAATGAGATACTTGATCGCATGTTGGTCCGAGTCTACGTTGCAACTCACAAGCCATATCGTGATAACATGGTGTTAGGAGGTATGAAGATAATAGGCACGGACTTTGACCTAAGGAATTGGACATCTGTAGGACACTTAAATGAGACACTTGCGATGAAGATGCAATGCAAACGAGAACATTACCCAGTCAAACGCGCCCGGTATGCACGTAGCATTCGTTCCTTGACCATTTATTATAGGTATCCACGCCAGGAGATGTAAGGCCAACGAGGCCACAGCTGGAGTGATCATGGTGGCCGACTCGGAGACTCAGACCGCCTTGGTGGATTGAGGACACCGGTGGAGGGGTGTCAAGAGGCGTGCTCCCGAATTCACAACGCCTTACGCCCGCATGTTATGCACATCTGCCATCTGAGTTTGTCAGCCTGCCCTGAGGCCGCTGATGGCGCCATGCACAACAAGCTGACAATCTATTCAGCTGCCAGGAGGGCCGTAGAGGGCGGAGAACTGGAATGACAGGCGACCTCACCGCAGGGTGTCCATCTGTCAACTACGTAAACCTTATTTGGCCGGCGCCCTTCCCCGGCAGGGACGTTGCTTGCGTAAGCAGAACCCTATTTGGTGTGTACAAACAACGCGTCAACAACGCGTCTCCGGCTTGCTTTCCTTCCTCTCTGTCGCGACCTGACCTCACATCGAAAACGCGCATCATGGTGGGCGAGCAGAACGTTTGCATGATTATCGTGGTTAGCTAATATTGCATTGGCCAGCTTCCCTCCAGCTTTCCACCCCACCGCGCTGAAGTAGCCGCTGAAGTGCCTGTCCACGCCTCCGACCGCCAGATGGCGGATGCGACCGCCATGGTGATTGACGGGACCCCATATATGCACTCTGCTTCTACCACAAATGCTGCGGAATCCGATGAAAAGGCTGTCGAAATGTTTCTTGTGGTGCGTCGAGATTTTGCACCACCTGCCCCCACGTCCTACTAGACCTATATGTAGCAGGGTCTTGAGGATCACAAAAGACATATTCCTATCACACGGCCTCTAGAGTCGCACATGCATCAATATACTGGTGCTGTAAATGACATCTACCCGTCCTCATACTCGTGCCATCATTCACACGCCATATGTAGCACACAGGACGCATGGACAGCACGGCGGACGTAGAGCGCTCAGGTCCCTCGACGTCTGATATCTCTATCAAGACGTTGCAGGGTCGTGCTCCTGAGGTAGCATCATGGGGCGCATATATGCTGCATACATCGTGCTGACTATGAATTGACCGTAGACCCTTACGCAAGGCGATACGTCTGACGGTCTTTTCCTTCTGAAGCGCTCGGCCCATTACACCCCTCGCTCGGCAGTGAACACCCTGGTCCGTTCCAATTTTCAAAAATGGAAGATCCGGAGCCTGACTAATAGATGCTCGGCGCATATATACAGTCTACCTCAGAGACGTCGCAGCTGAAGCGTGATATCGCTCTGTGGCGGATGGCCAAATCATCCAGTCCCCCAGTGGAACCCAGGCTCTCTCAGCTACCCCCTCCCCCTCCAGCACGGTCTCCCATATACCACCGTCCATCTCACACTCCGCCTGTACCCTCAACGATGTCCGAAAGTCTGAGCTCTACGGAGGAGCCGAAGGAGCCGACTGGCTTAGTCTGTCCCGGCATCGTACATCCGACTGTTTTCATGGCGTCTAGCTCAGAAATCCCGGCACCCATCGAAACGGCTGTAGTGGAAGACGTCGCCATGTCCATCGTATCCTCTAACCTCCCTGATGTCACTGTCCCGTGCCATGCTCAGTCTGCAAGCGTTGCTCAGCCGACTCCAACTATCCTCCACAGCGACCCTGCAGATGAAGAGCCGTCGATCGCGACAGGAACCGCCGTTCCCATATCATCCACAGCTGTGGACGGTCTAGTCGAGATCTCGGATTCCTCGTTGTGCCCCGACCCGACCGAAACCTTACCTACCGACGTGGTTGGCTCATTGGCGGATGCGCCGGATTGTGCTGCCCTGATCACGCCCTTTGACCTACCTCACGACATGCTCATCCCTCAAAGCACAAATGGTCTGGAGGCGACTTTCTATCTGGCTGCTCTCGACACAACTGTTATCGAGGAACCTGATTACGCTTTGATTTCCCTGCGCCCGGCTACATCCACTCCACGCCCTGTCGATGGAACTCAACCTGCTGAAAACACTCTGGAAACTGAATGCCCTCTCGCTGATGAAGCTCCTTTGCTGACTGACGATAACCCGGCTGTATCTACTGACACTCACGAGCCTTGCTATGCTGATGCTCAGTATTCGCCTCTGCCTACGTCTCCCCCTGGTTCTGTCTCCTTGCTTGCTCCCGTCATCGAAACCGCCCCCTTTAAAGAAAATACCGGAATCTCGGGCGGGGATGCTCACACATCCACTGACTCGCCTGCCTCGTCTACCCCGCTTCCCGAACTCTCAAATCATGCCGACTCTACCAGTCCTATCGACAAAGTTGAACCGACTGCGGAGGACGTTGCTCAACAAGACGTGACCTTCATTGTATGCGCACCTTCGGCCACTCAAGCCGGCCTCACTTCACCGGAAGAGATCGAGGTGGAACATTCTATCACTGCTGACGTTCTTGTCCCCATCCCCACTCCGGAGGCTTCCTTGCACTGTGTCGACGTTCTTGTACCAATTCCGCCTGTCATCTTGTCCCCTAGTGTTCTACCTCTATGTGCTGCTCCTAGCGAAGCTGAAGTGGTCTCTCCGGCGCCGCAGTCTCGCGAATGTTCGCCCATCCCAGATACCAAGATGGAGGTGGAGGTAGAGACCACTCATCTTGTGGCCAGCGATGACTCTGCGACGCTCTTGCCCGTCGGTCCTTCAGAAGATGTCGTCATGGAGGTCGACCCGATGGAATTTCACGACCTCGACGTAGCGGAGGCCACGACTATCGCAGAAGACATTCCGGAGTTTGCTGATGCGTATCTCGACCTACCCCCATCCTCTCCTCCCGCATCGTCAAGCCCTCCGTATATCTTTTCCTCGTCGCCGCCAAGGGACTTTGATGTTACCCCTCCTTCTTCCAGCCCTCCTACTGTGGACGTTCGCCAGTCCTATCTCGAAGAGCTGGAGACACGCAAGTCCGCTGGGGATACCAACAATGCCAGCGCCGACCATGGCTCACTTAAGCGCTCTGCTCCATCCCTGGACGGCTCGGAGGTCATACTCGAAGAGGAGAAGTCGACGAAACGAGTGGTACGTGTCAGCGTTTCCGCCTACGTGGTTTAGACGCGACGCTGACTATTTTGACAGAAAATTGAGTCGCTGGCGATGCCTACCGAGTCACCCCAGCCGAAGCGCCTTACCCAGGCCTCCGTGGCGAAGCAGCACAAGAAGCTTGCAGCACCGTTCCGCTCACCCGTGATCAAAGGACCCTTAGTGCAAGGCGGCCTACACGCCGTCTACGCTACCGGGCGCGTACTCATGCCACCCCCACTGCGCAAAGCCGCGGCCGACGACGCAATGATCATCTCTCCGCACGAGACAGCCAACGTCAGAGCAGAACGCACCACGGGGAGCAAGGACCACTCGGCCAGACCTGACCCCAACTCGGCGAACAAGGATCGCACGGTCAACGCAGCGAAACAGTTCAAATCCCCGCTTGTGGGCTGTAGCACGGCCGCGCCCGCCCCGGGCGCGCTGTTCTCGTCCGCAAAAGCGACGCCGACGATCCAGGCGCTGCAGGGCAAGTTGCAGACGCTGAAGCAGGCGATCCGGATCCGGAACTCGGGCAAGGAGGACCAGGGCGACGAGCTCGAGCGCCTCGTGACGAAGTGGACGACCGCCGGACGCGAGGTCGCGTGGGCGGTGTGGGACTACGTCAAGGACCTCGACCCGGGGACCGATGCGGCTGCCGGACTGAGCAAGGGTGGCTGGTCCTCGGACGGAGGCGACTTCTGGGGCGCGAAGACTGGGGAGAAGAGGGGCTTCGAGCCTGGCTGGGGATACGACGACGAGCACGCGCCGAAGAAGGCTAGGACGGACAGGGGCGTGGAGGAGGCTGCAGAAGAAGAGGAAGAGGCTCCGCCGGCGATGCAACATACGCTGGGCACGATGCTCCGGCACATGAGCATCGACCCGGCGACGCTAGGTTGGGATGAAGAAGAGGGCGACTTCGTGGATGTGTGATCGATTCCCAATGTTTCTTGCTGCTTTCTTTACGAAGACTGTTCTGCAATGGACCTCTCCCTAATGAAAATATATACACGGCAGCTTTGAGATGGGCTGGGCTGGGAGACCTTCAGTAGCGCGACGCTAAGTTCCATATCCTCAAGACTGAATATCTTTGAGGTCGCGACGAATACGATCCGCCCAGGACGTCGGCTTCCTGTCCAGGATCCACTTGACCGTGTTGGAGTTCCCTGGGATGCCCCTACATCCACCTGCATCAGTACCTCTACAAGACATCGAGACACCTACGAGCTCACCTCTTGTCATAATAGTATAACATCCTGTCCAGCCCCTCAACAGCATACGCGTTCTCCAGGCTAGCGCTGATGTGCGTCCCGCCCCGCCGCGCGACCTCCTCGCGCGGAATGCGCTCTATACGGATCTCCCTGCCCGTCTGCTTCTCGATCTCCTTTGCGACATCCTCGTATGTGCAGTTCTCGCCGACGAGCTCGTAGCGCGCGCGCCCGTGCGCCTCTGGATCGAGGATCGCCAGACGTGCTACGCGCGCAAGGTCGTCGAGGTCGAGGTAGCCCTGCAGGGTCGTGGGGGAGTAGAGCGCTTTGATCGTGCCGGTGGACATGACCTGCTGTAGGTCGATGTTCTGCATGAACGATGACGGCTGGGGTGCATGTCAGCTCGAGAAAGGAGCGGGCAGATGGCTGGACGCACCTGCAGGATGGTGTAGCTCAGCCCGGACTCGACAAGGTGTTCCTCGACGCTGCCCCAGAAGAATCAGACCGACGTCCACCCGTGCACATACAGGCGCCTGCGCCCACTCACGCGAGCTTCGCCTTATGGTTCAGCATCTTCGAGATCACAGGGAACAGCACACTGCAGTACACAAAGTGCCTTACGCCCGCCTGCGCGGCCGCGTCGATGAGCGCGATGCCCATCGCAGACTCGAGCGCGTGGAACGCGGGCCCGTTGTGGAACACGGTGTCGACGCCCGCGAGCGCGGGCGGGAGCGTGTGCGCCTCAAGGAGGTCCCCGACGGTGTACACCGCGTCCGCGAGCTGCGGGAAGCGCTCCTGGAGGCGTTTCGCGGACTCGTGGGAGCGCACGAAGAGGCGCAGGTCGGACGGCTGCACGTAGTTGGTCGCTTGGAGGAGCGCGCGGATGACGAACCCGGAGGTTCTGCCTGAGGCACCGGTGATGAGGATGGTTGGCATGCTTGGAGAGTTTGTGGGCACACGAATGAGTGGGTTGCAATTTACCTCTGGCGTTGTATCAGCGTGTAAGTATACGTAGGAAGGGAGCTTACTGCACGATGGAGTAGTCCAGGCTAAGACTCGTAGATGCCTCGTATGCGCTAGATAGACTCAGAATGGAAGCTCAGGTGCTCTCAGACTCGCAGACTCGGAAGCTCGAAGACGATGAGATGGGGATGGTGACTCCCCGATGCTGAATATGAAGCGCTCTCTGGCTCGATACATCGCTCTCTCCCTGCCGGCGCCTGCTGACTAAGCATCCTCGCACTCTCTCCTGCTCCTCCTCCCTGCCCTCGCCTAGTCCTCCCTCGCCTAGTCCTCCCTACTCCATGCGGCCCCCTCTAAACGGCGACGTCCGCGTCGCTGCCGTCCATCGCCACCTCGTGGATGTACCCGTCTTCCGTGAGGACCTCGATGGTGAACTCGTTCGGGTATTGCGCCAGGAGAGCACGGATCTCGCGGACGTCTGGGCTTTCGGGCTCGAAGAAGCGCCTGATGGACAACGGGGGGCGTACTTGACTGCGCAGTTGCGACGCCCACACACCGGGGTAGGGGATGGTCGCCACTCGCCAAGGCATGCTCCAGAGGAAACTCCACACCGGCCACCTTCCAAGTCGCGCGTACTCCCTTTGGACCTGGAGCAACACGTAGCGGGAGCGCGTCTCCCCGGTGACGGACGACTTGCGGTATGCGAGGAACTCAACCGCGTTGGGTTCCATAACCCTGATCCCGGTTATCTTGACTGACAGGGCGACCATGAGTCCGTTGGAGAGTTTCTTGATCGACAATGTCAGGTCATCGCCGACACCGATGGCCTCTCTCGGATCTTCGCCTTCCTTCAACTCGAAGATGGAGAGACCTCCCGGGTGCACCGCGCAGCTGACGTACTGGACGGCGATGGTGCGAGGGGAGCGTACGGGCGGGTAGAGTGCGCCAAAGGGGTTCATCTGGTAAAGACAGGTGGTGATGAGCGTAGTGAATGTGGGTGAAGGGAATCGTTGGGGATCGCAGTCTCCGGGATGTGTTGTTTTTGTTGTCCGAGCGGCGGAGCCTCGCACGCTCGCGTATTGGTACAGAAAATGTGATGGAAAAGGACTTAGCTGGTTGCCTGATAGATGGACGCTAAGCGTGCGCGCTTGTCCCTCCTTCCTGCGCACTAACAGCCGTGTCCGCCGTCGGCTCGTGTCGCTGACGTTCGTTCTCTGCTCTCGCCAGCTCGGTTCCTGGCCTTGGGATGAATTCGCGCAGCCGCCGTGCATGGTAGAGCCCCTTGATCTGTACGTCTCCTAGCGTAGCCAGTTCGTACGAATTCTGTATACGACGTACCACCCGGTAAGGTCTTGACCATTTGGGAAGAAGCTTGCGTTCGGATTTGAATGTGTAGTCTAGATCGTTGCGGTATACTTGGACTAGGACACCCGGCTTGAAAACACGTTCGCCCGCGTGTGATCCCAGTACGCGCTTGTCGAACGCTTTCTTCCTCTTGATAGCGTGCCTTACCGCTTCGTCGTACCCGTCCAGGTGCTGTTGCGCCACGTACGCAACATGTATGGCAACATCGTTGGCGGTAGTCGGCTGCTGGGCTATGTCGACAGGTGTGTTAGGCGTGTTGACCACCTTGCCTAGTAGCAGTTCCTTGGGCGAAAACTTCAGCGCAGGCAATATCCTGTAGTTGAGACACTTCACCGCAGTGTCCAGATGCTCCGGCCAGTTCCGTGGTAGGCTGTCCCAGTCTTCTTGCGTGACATCGGCATCCCAGTCTTCCTCTCCGACGTCTGGAGCGCATAAGCGCTTCAGAACGTGCAGCAGGAGCTTGTTAGTGCCTTCGACGAGTCCGTTGACCCACGGTGCATAAGCTGCGACCACTTGCGTTTTGACGTTCCATTGTTGACAGAAGTCTCGCACATCTTGATTGTCGAAATGCTTGCCGCCATCCGTCATGAACGTTTCCGGCGGTACAAATCCGTGGAAGATCTGTCGCAGTGCGTCGTTGGTCGTCTTCGCCGTGCCCGCCGTCTTGAGCTTGAATGCCCACACGTGCTGGGAGAACGTATCTAGGTAGACCCCGACGTTCTTGAACCCTCCCTTGCCATCTGGTAGTGACAGATAGTCGCCGACCAGTAGCTCGAATGGATGACGTCTGGTAATGGGGTCTAACAGTGAGTGTAGATGTGTGGCGCCGAAATTTTTGCACTTAGCGCAATGTTCTATCCCGTCCATAATGGATGCGTCCAACTTGGGGCTCCAGAACTTATCCAACATGGCGATCTTGATCGCGTCACGTCCCCAATGACCGTGTTGCGTGTGTTGTTCTCTCGCATGTTCGACCGCTTCAGCTCTTGTGATGCACTCGACGCGTGCTCTTGCCCGTGCCTTCGCGCCCCCTTTGGTTCGCCATAGCTTCCCTTCCTCGATTGAGTACTGCTCCGCTCGGTGCTTCGCACGTTTCGCTTTGCGTTCGTCTGTTGTAGCGGTCGTGTTCATGATAGCGTGGATGACCTCGACGAACAGGGGTTCCTCTCGGAACCTGTGCAGCAGTTTGTCAACGATGTCGTCGACGGATGAGCTGTCAGTCACCTGGAAGATGTCGTTCACTAGACCCGTGTTGGATTCCCAGTCTTCAGATACTGTCCACTCGCTGCCGTCTCCGTCGACCCGTTCGGCGTTCTCGCCAACGCGGCTGAGTCCGTCCGCTACCGTGTTCAACTTCCCTGGTATGTGACGGACGTCCACGATTTGATGCGCAAGGATGCCATCGCGCCATCTCGCGTGGGTGCTGGATAACTTGTCGTTGGATAGTACATCCTTGAGGGCTTTGCAGTCGGTTTCGATTTCCACCGGGAATCCCCAAATCACGTCTGTGAACTTGTCTAGCCCGAACTTCAGTGCAGCGAACTCTGATATGAACGAGTGGTACTTCTCTTCCGTTCTTGATGTTCGCTTCGACGCGAACGCAATCGGGTGCGTTCGGCGCACGACTTTCCCACTCGGGAGCACGTCGTTGAACCTCTGCGCTAGTACCGCTCCGAACCCGTCCTTGGAACCGTCGGTGGTGACGATGAACGGCCGTCCGTCCCAGTCTGGCCTATGTAGCACCGGGTCCGACGTGAGGATGGTCTTGAGCTTGAGGAACGCCTCGTCATGTTGTGGCTTCCATAGCTCGCCGAGCTTGTAGTTCTGCATGGCCCTTCGATACAGCCCCTTTTGTGCACCCTTTGGGATGTGTACGTCGCGTAGTAGGTCTCGCAGAGGTGCCTCTATCCGAGCGTAGTCCTTGATGAGGTCTCGGAAGTGACTTGTGAGACCTAGAAATGATCCTAGGTTTAGCGCATCCTCTGGTCTCTTCCAGTCGACGACTGCTGTCAACTTAGCTCTGTCTGGCGTAACCCCATTTGGTCCGACTAACGCTCCCGCAAACACGGCCTCTGTCATGAACCAGTGGCATTTTGTGGGTGAGAGCGACAGTCCACATTCGCGGATACGATCGAGGATTTTTCTGAGTTTCCCGAGAAGTTCCTCAAAGTCGTCGCCTGCGGTGCCTCCGTCGTCCACGAAGAGCTCCATGGTGTCGTCTATGAGCAGATCGTGTAGGTGCAGGGCCGTTTGATATGCGAACGTTGCTGGAGCCCCTGTGAGCCCGAACGGCATCTTAACGCATCTTAGGTATCCCCGCCCTTCGACGTAGAAGCATGCGTATGCTCTTGATTCTTCTGCGAGTACGACAGCGTAGAATCCGGACGCGAAGTCGAACGTGCACACCCACCTGTGTCCGCTTAGGTTTTGTTGCTTCTGACGGATGTCTCCTTGCGGCATCGGAGCGATCTCTGTGACTTTGTTGATCTCACCGAAGTTTTGACATATGCGCCATTTCCTGTCCGTTGGCGGCGGCTCGATGATCCGTTGCTCGCCGTCGGGCCGCTTGGGAACGTTGAACGGGTTTGGTAGGTCTGCTGCTTCGCACTCCTCGTTGACGCGCCTTCGCAGCTCTTCCATCGTCAGTCCCGCTCCTTCGTGGGCCTTGTGCGCCAGCGTGATCGGCGCGATGCATTTGACTTCGCTGGGCGAGCATGGTTCGATCGCCCCGGCTTCGATCAATTCATCGATCTTCTTGTGAACGTACGCTCGTTGCGGCGGCGTTAGCGGCTTCTGGTGTACCCTTTTCGAAAAGGTAGCGTCTGGCGGCACGTTCAAGGTATGGACCGCACCTGGTATCGGGGTAACCTCTTTTATTGATAGCGCAAAGCAATCGGCGTATTCTCGTATGAGTTGCTGGACGCGCGCGCGTTCTTCTGCACTGAGGTCGTCGCCGATTTGTACTGCATCGACTATTGCTTGCACCCGCTCCTTCTTGAATGGTTCTGTCGTTCTAGTGTAGATGTTGTTAGCATTGTCTGTCGCATCATGTACTGCGTTTACCGGGAATTCATATAGCTCGCTTAGTGCGCCTTCAAGCACCGTCGCATCCGGTCCAATGTACCACTCTGTCCCTTCGTTGCTGCTTGTACTTGCGTGTTTCTTGTCTTCGTCTCCACTCGCTTGTTGGTCTTGCGTGCTGGTACTTCTCGTCTTGTCGTCTTGTTGGTCAGTGCTGACGGTCGTGTTCTCTGTCGTATGTGTACTGCTCTCTTCTTGATCTGGGACGTCTTCGATGGTCTCGTTGTGTTCCTCATCTCGTGTCGGCGCTGTCTCGGGTTCTATCAGCTCGGAGTTTGTGCTCGGTGTAGATGCAAGCTGAGATGCGTGAGTCGAGGTGGGAAGCAGACACATTTTGGCGTCAACGGTGCACACGAGCCCTTTCGCTTTTAGCGCCCTATCCCCCCACGTGTTCCCACGCTGGTTGTGCACCACCGCGCTGCGTCCTCCCCCTCGCACTCGTATCGTGTCTGCTTCATAGTCATGTTGTGCTCGAAGAGCTTCTAACATTGGTTTCCCAATCAAAAACGACCATGCGCCTTTGCTCGGAAAGATTTCGAACGAACTCCTCACGTTGACACCTTCGAAGTCGAACTCTCCCGTCCACCTTCCTTGCGATGCCACGACGTGCCCATTCGCCATCCTCAGATTACGTGCGGACGCGCGTGCGTCCCCTAGGCGGTTCACGAGTTGGGGCCATAGGTCTGCATCGACTACGTTGACCATGGCTCCATCATCTATGAGCCCTTTGATTCGTACTGCCGTTCCTGTCTCGGGGTTTCTGACCGTGACATGATATATGAACGGCTGGGCTTCGTGCGAGCCTTCTGCGACTGCATTCACCGAGTACAGGCACACCGTATCATTCGATTCTGCGTTCTGTACATCCGTGCTGCTAACACTATCAGAGTCCGTCCTTGAGACAACCACTGTATGTTCTATGACTTCGTCGTTTCGGCTCGCACGTTCCTTGTCCCCGAACGCTGGCGAACTTCGCTCGGGGACCTGCGCTGTAGGATTAGGATCAAGCCTTGGGGCCGCCGTCGGATCCGACGAACATGCGGCCCCTAGTCTTTTCCCTGCTCTTGCCCAAGGTCGATCCCGTTACCCCCTCCTTGCACGAACGGGACCCATTGTCCGTTATAGAAAACCTGTCCGACCACCTGCCCATACGTGTCCGCGCTGTACCCTTCTCCAACCATCTGCACCGGCGCTGCTCTTGGCATCCGCTTTACGTCGCCTTCCACGAGCCCCGCGGTGACGCGCCAGGCGTTCTCCAGGTCTGGCACGTACGGGCCTTTGCACTCGCCGTCTGACACGTGGCGGCGCTGCCCACACTTCCAGCATTCGCTCGACGCGACGGGGAGCGTCCCCGGAGTCAACGGGTACGGCCGGTACTCGTTGGGTCTGTCGCTGCTGGGCCATTTGGTGTGCCACTCGGCCTTCTGCTTCTCATACACTGCTCGCCCTTCCTCCGTGTTCGGCTGGGGCGCGAGCGCGTTCTGTCTGATGACGACGATACGCTGTTCCGGCGGTAGCTTGGGTGCGGCGGCTATTTGAGGTCTTGCGCGCACCGCGTTGAGTGGAGGTCCGGTCCAACGCGGCGCCGCCGCCTGTGCATAGTACGAAGCGGGAGCTTGGACGTAGCTCACCGGGTGCGTGCCTCCCACGTTGAGGGCTTGCGCGGCGCGTATGAGGTCCTCCACCGAGACACTCGCGCGCGCTCCCTGGTCCCCTTGCGTCGCCGTACCCTTCTTCTCCTTCTCCTGCCCGGTCTCGCGCGTCGGTGTCGCGAAGAGCGCGACGCGCTCCTTGAGCTTGACAATGTTGACGGCTTGGATGGCGGCGTCGAACTCCTTCCAATCGCTAACCACCGGTAGGGCTTCCCGCAGCACGGTCGCTTTGAGGTTCGCGCGGAACCTCTCCGCGAGCGAGTCTGGAATGCGGTGCGTGAGGATCAAGTTGTTCGTCTTCCTCCACCAGCTGAGAAGTCTCGGAACCGGCTTGCCGCTCGTGATCGTAAACTCGACCATCTCCTGATCAGTCGGCGAGTCTTGCTGCAAGAGCTCGAGGAGGGTGGTTTCCGACAGTGTGTGCTTGCCTTTCTTGTTCCACTTCTCGTGAAATGCCTCCCTCAGGCTTGACCAGCTCGTCTTCGTCGTCTCCTCCAGGTCCTCATACCACACGTCCGCCGCCGAGTCCGCCCTCCACAGCCTCGCCACTCTCTTGCACTTCGCTCCCTCCTCACACCCTTCTAGGTACTCCTCGACGTCGTTCCAGAACTGTTTCGGGTTCTCGTCCCCTCCGAAGAGCGGTCGGGTGATGTTGGGATTGACTCCCGCCATCGTGATCGGCGACGCTCGAGCACTGGTCACCGTGCGGTCGGTTGTGTTTGTTTCCGCTCGCTCGCGCCTGCGTAGTTCTTCTTCGAGCACGTTGCTGACGTCGCCGAGGTTGTCTGACGTGACGTTGGGGTACCCGTAGAAATGACTCTGGCCGGTTTGCTCGCTCGAGTTCAGCTCTGGCTTTTCGGCTTCCGATGCGAAGGGCGATGCTGGCGTAGATGAGACCGCGCTAACGATGTGCGATGGGATAGATGATGGAGCGGAGAACTCGGAGTCTTCGAGTTCTGTAAAGTCGGGGATGACGACCTGATCGACCTCGTCCTCCGATGTACTTGCGATCGTTGATTTCTTCACGAATCTCCCACTGGAGTCTCGCGGGATATCCGTTTTTCCTCGGCGTTTGCTTGTGCTCGCCACGATGTGCGTCGATGACAGACGGTTGTTGGGTCGAGAACCGCTCTCGTCACCAGATGGAGTAGTCCAGGCTAAGACTCGTAGATGCCTCGTATGCGCTAGATAGACTCAGAATGGAAGCTCAGGTGCTCTCAGACTCGCAGACTCGGAAGCTCGAAGACGATGAGATGGGGATGGTGACTCCCCGATGCTGAATATGAAGCGCTCTCTGGCTCGATACATCGCTCTCTCCCTGCCGGCGCCTGCTGACTAAGCATCCTCGCACTCTCTCCTGCTCCTCCTCCCTGCCCTCGCCTAGTCCTCCCTCGCCTAGTCCTCCCTACTCCAACGACCGGGAGATCTAGCTTGCGAGCTCCTGTACTGGTGGACGAGCGATGTTCTGTAGGATGAGCGGCAACGTTTATACAGTAGGTTGGGAGCACGTCGACTAGGAATTAGGATATAGCACCTACTGCTGACTACAGCTGCATGCAGAGGGTGAACGTGATCAACGCGTCACTTACCCACGAATTGTTGCATTGTTAGCTTCGGATGTCACCTGAACTGCGAATCCAGAATCGAGAGGGTCGCCTCGATCTTGTCGAGAGCGTGGATGGTCAAGGAAGCCCGGCGGCTGATATACACACAACTTGCTTACAGGTACACATCACACGTCAGTACAGCGAGTGTCCGAGAGCGAGCAACGGCAGAGCTACGGTCCATGTCCGGGAAGCACGAAAGCAGATCGAGTCTGGAACAACCTCAGTATTCAACGTCCGGGCAAGTCGGGAGGCGGGTTCGGCAGTCTTTCCGGATACCTGCACGAGGATGTTCATCATTAGCCTCTTTGTCATTCCTACGCATGCAAAAATGCGACTGACCTTGCCTTGATCCTCACCCGTAGATCCTCCTCGTATATTTGGTCTGGCCCGAGCTGGTTGCCCAGAGTCAACCACCTAGTACCACACCATAATTAGGATAACCCCATCAGCTCGAAGCTCGCAACAGCACTCACCCAGGCCGCGTATTATGCTTCCGCCCGAAGATCTCAATCTTGCGGCCCCCAGGGCACATGCGCTCGATCATGCCGTACACCTCGTCCGGCTTCCTGCTCGTCTCGCGCACCTCGCTCACGACGACGTCCGTGTCGAGCCCGCGGTTCACCCACGCGGGGAACTTGAGGTTCCCGTCCGCGTCCGCGACCGTCTTCACGCCGACGAGCATGTGCTCCTTCGTGTGGTTCAGCCAGTGGCCGGTGCGCCCCGTGCGGATCACGCGCTGCAGCTGGTTCGTCTTCACCCACACGACCTCGTCTACGCGCGTGTACCCCCAGTGGCGCATGCACTCGCGCCCGACCTCCATCGCGCGCCCGGTCACCCATAGGAAGAGCAGGCCTTCGTCTTGGAGCGTCGGGATGGGCATCGCGCGCATCTCGTCGTCCGTCATGGTTCCGTAAGGCAACTACAGTTGTGCGAGTGTCAGCAGTGAGACGCGTTAGTCGAAGAGGAGTACATACGCTCATATGAATGTCCCATGGTGGGTCGGCCATGATGACATGGAATTTCCCTAGAACTGAGTAGTCAAACCTGCGCAAGTCGCAGTTGATCCACTGTGGTGGGAGGAGCTGGGACGGCGGGGTGAGGCCGTGAACAGGGTGAGAGTAGTGGTCCAAAACATACCGACATCATCTCCTTACCCCCAGGCCCTAAACCAAGCGGCAGCTTGTAAGGCTTCCTCTTCGCAACCTGTCTATGCTCCGCCATGCCTTGTCCGTCGTTGACATCCCAGTCTACCTCAAAGTGCAGGTACCTGCACGGCGCCTTCTCCTTGCCCCGTCCGCCCGCACCGAGCCCGCTCGGGAGGCTTACAGGGCCCTGGCCTTGTGCTCCGTACTGACTCTGTCGATGCGATGGAAGTGGAGGGATCGACGGCGACTGGGCGTACGTCGGCTCCGAGTAACATGTGTTCAGGTACGAGCAGTGTCCCAGTCCGGGGTCGGTGTGTGGCCGAAGGAGAGGGCGGAAGTGGATCCGGTCGCATATGACCGGCAGAGATTTGGAGGGACTGTGTTCAGGAAGGGCAGCACGACGCGCCTTCGCGCACTCGTCCTTGGTTATCTGCGCGCATATCGGCTCAAAGCCACCGCTGATGGAACGAAACTGGGACAGTCGCAGTATCAGACATGTTTTACGGACGGAAACGACGCGCTTACCTGCTCAGCGAGGAGACGGCCCTTGGCGGTAGCCTGCTGCATCAGATTGTACACCTCCTTCACGGTCTTGTTCAGGCTCTCAAGCGTGCTGGGGGGCGGCTTCCACGCTTCGGCACGCTCTGGTGTCTCCTCTTCCGCAGCGCGCTCAGCAGCGGAATCGTCGTCCTCATCCACCACGCGCCGCTTCCTCTTCTTGCCGACTGGTGTCGACTGTGCGCGCGGTGTCGGGCCCTCGCGCGCAGCACCCAGCAGCACCTCCATCACGGTGAGCTCGCCATCTGTTTCCTCCCTGGAGAGCGTGATCTTGCCGCCATCCCAGCTTTCAGATAACGCCTCCAAGATACGCTCGAAGCGCGATAGGTCGGTAAGTCGGAGTTTGGGTGTAGGCCCCGCGGCGGGAAAGAGACTGCGTGGGGAAAGACCCGAGGCGACGATACGGGTGAGGAGGTCGAAAGACGCGATGGGCGCGGTCACAGCATTAGTAGAGAAGAGAGACTGGATTGCGGTAGAGGCTAGTAGTTTGAGTTTGTCGTCGACCGTCATGTCATGGACCGGGAGCAAGAGCAGACGGAGGACGGTGCGCGGGAGTCGGAGGCAGGGAACGGTCTCCTCAAGCGCTCGTTCTGCGGCTACGCGACGCGACCGTGACCTCATCACTTGATGGGTAACCCGCGAATCAAGCAAAATGCATAAGTGCGCTATGGTGGTGATGCGTCCGCAACCTCCAGCTAGCGGCAGGAGGTGGTGCAACGAAACAACCCCCTCGCCTTTTACTAGGGGGTTCCGTGTTCTGCCTCCACATCAATGCCGCCTTCCCAATTTTTCAGCATTCAGCTCCGTTCGAGCCTCACTCCCCTTCGTGGGGACGATCCTTTTTCGCCATCTCACGCATCATGCATCATCTACCATCCGTCGTTTGAATAGCGGCCCCTCCTCGATGAACAATCTGCTCATTGATTAAGAACAACTCAACGGACTGGTGTGTTCATGTCAGTCTCGATCATAATGGCGTCCCCACTCCATTTGCTCGCCCGTCCCAAACAAAACCTGACAACCACAACCACAACCATAGATCGCACCAGGCAGCCCCAAGTTCGCTGTAACTCACAGAACAAGTGGTACAAGTATATTGCTCGCGCTAGGCTGTCAAGTTCACAATTCCTCCTCATAATTTAGACTCGTACAAGTATACTTCGGATACATTCATTGACGGCAGTCCCGCCCATTCAGCAGATCCATCCAAGTCCCGCGTAACCTCCGGGTTCGTTTACTTGGGGATGGTAACGCCCTCCTGGAAGGCAGGGCGCGCCGTGGAACGCTCGACCCAGTCCTGCACGCGAGAAGCAGTGCGATCAGCTCCTCGCGCTTCAGCTCACACGATAGCAAACTCAGGACTGACCTTCAGGCGCGGCCACTCGTCGAGGGACTCAATGCCCGCAATTTTGTGGAACCGGATCCAGGCAATAACGTTGATGTCTGCGATGCTGTAGGTCCCGCGCCCGGGGCCGACGAGGTAGTCGCGGTCCTGCAGACGGATCTCGAGCACGCCGTAGAGACGCTTGGTCTCCTCGGTGTAGCCTGCGCGCTCCGGGTGAGCATTCCTTCTTACAATGTCTCGCTGACGGGAGGACTTACGCTTCTTCGCGTAGGGGATGCTCTCCGGCGCGTACTTGTTGAAGTGGTTCGCCTGGCCCTGCATGGGGCCGACACCGCCGTGCTGCATAACGAACCGCGTAAGCAACTGGCACGTAGACGCAAGCTATACATGCGCGCGCGGCGTACCGCGAAGAAGATCCACTGGAGCAGCTCGCTGTAGTCGTTCGGGGCCTTGTCCTTGTCAAACCCGAACTTGTTCTCCTTGTCGTAGAACTGCTGGAGGTAGAGCAGGATCGCGGCCGTCTCGAACACGGTGAAGTTGTCGCGGTTGCGGTCGACGAGCACGGGGATGCGCCCGTTTGGGTTCAGCTTGATGAACCACGGCTCCTTCTGCGTGTTCTTCGAGATGTCGATCTTCTCGACACTGTGAACCGCGCGGGTCGATCAGCAATGCGCGAGTACGAGCGGGCGCAGTCATGAGAACGTACTCGTATTCGACGCCGTATGCGGCCTTGAGCTCCTCGAGGAACACGGAGACCTTGTGGCCGTTGGGCGTGGCCGTGGTGTAGAGCAAGAGTCCGGCGGGCATGGTTGGTGAGTGTTAAGTTGCTGTGGATGGGTGTAAGAGGGGATGGAGACGAGTTGGAGTGTCCATGTCCATCTCCACGCCTTATATAGTTCCGGCACATGCTGCTTTCACGGCGAGTGTGTGCGCGCAACGCTAACAGATGCATAAGTGCCAGACCGCGCGGCCGGTTGGGCGGGTGGGCCGAGCACGTCATCTACACCGAAGCTGGTGTGGATTGCTAAGCATTACCGCGAACGCTTGCTACTAAATGTCTCTCTCACCGCACGACCCACGCCATCTATCTGCTGACACATGCGAACCCCGATGGACGCCTCCGGTGCCAGTGCTGAGCAACGGTACGCCCTCGCTGAGTAACTTCATCGTAAGTTATCCAGGGATCGGTATGCTGTCCGAGCATGTAGAAACCAAGCACACTAAGTAGTACTCAGGAAGAAGTGTTTATTAATGTCTGCAAGCGTCCGAATATTGTCCTCGTAGCTATATGGGTATCCTGCAAGTACATCGGCGAGGTGGATAACGTTCTAGCTTAGAGCATTGCGTGTCGGCATTATATGGTCCGCATGACTGGTATAAGTAGCGAGGATAGAAGGCCAGGCGACCCTGATCATCTTTATGAACAGAGGAAAAGCGATGCAAGGGTCCCGAGCGTGACCACCTGCCACAAGATCGCTCGCTGAGAATCCGGTGAACTCGACGCTTGCGTGCCAGTGGGAGCGGCGACGCCAGAGCCGCCATGTACTACGCCGGGCTGGTAGTCGGAAGTCACGTTCGGCCTAGCTGCGCCGATGTACTGCTCGCCCAGGGATGTGATTGAACCCGAGGTGGACATCAGCGCGTTCTCCTAATTAAAAATCAGTATTTTAGTATAACGTCCTTCTAGGGAGATTCCCACCTGGTTCACGCCCTGCAGGTTTTCCATAGCGCCGAACCACGCGTAGCGTTCGACCCAGTCGGTGCTGTCCATGAACGACTGTGTAGCGTTCATGAAGCCCACAATATCATCCGACGAGCACTGGCGGTCCGCCTGGTTGAAGTTCTACACCAAAGCCGCGTCAGCACACGCGCTCGACATAGTCCGACCCCGGAAGACCCCTACTAACCTGACACGCCCACTCGGTGACCCAAATCGGCTTCTGGAACGTATCGTGGTAGTCCTCCAGGTACTCCATGAACGCCGTCGAGTTCACGTCGTACCAGTGCAGCGGCATGAAGTCGACCGTGCACCCGCCGTCGCACGCGCTCAGCCAGTCCGTGATCCACTGCTTGCCCGTCGGCGAGCCGCTGGGCGCGGGGGCCCCGAGCCGGACGTTCAGCCCCTTGAGCGGCTCGATGTGCGCCTTCCACTGCGTGGCGCCGTCGGCGGGCGAGAGGTTCGACTGGCCCTCGATCTCGGGCTCGTTGAACCCGAGGAGGCTCGTGACGTGCTGCGCGGCGATGGTGTTGTTGATGTTGCTGTCCCAGTCGTTGGCCTGCTTCAGCCCCCAGAGCATGGGCACGAACTCAATGTCCGTCTGGACCGGTTCTGGGCTCCAGGTGTAGTACCTGTGACAATGCAAAGGTGAGATAGAAGCGCGTGTGTGGCTTCGCGGTTGTTTGCTTACCATTGCACCTTACCGGTGCTGAGGTATTGCGTTATGTCATTAGCGTTGCCGTTCGCCCAGCCTAGGCCGGCTTTACTTGTGATTGCGCGGGGAGCGTGGTGCGAAGAAGGTGATCGTACTACTGCGGTAGCGGCACGGCGAGGGAACAGCGCGATGAGGATGAATAGGGCGGCGATTCGAGAAGTCATGGTGTTCGTGGCTAGAAGTCGTGGTTAGAAGTACAGACGTGGGGGGTATAAGCTCAGATGAAACGGCGTTCCTGGGTACCACAATTCAGAGCTCTTTGTAGGAGGGAGCTGTGGAGCCATCCAAGAACTGTGAACAGCGTTGGGTGGAGCAGGAACGCACGAGGCGAGGGCGTCTCTTGGCTCTGACGATAGTCATCCATCAATTTAGGCTATGACGGCGTCGAGGAACGAGTGCGCGTCGCTACTTGGCGGGCTGTGCACGCTCAAGCCCGCTCAAGCACTAGGTTTCCGTCGACGCAATCGAAGCGCCAGGTGAGCTAGTCAACTTCTCAGGTCTTCGCAGCGTCTTCTGCCGTTAGCGCAGTAGTCTTGAGCAGTGGTGCCATTGATAGAACGTGGGTGAAGAATACGAGTTCAATACAGTATCTGTGATCCCGCAGGAGTAAATACGGGGGTTGCAGATACGCGCCAGGATGCCACACTTACCAGAGCGGAAAACCGCGCCCATGTCCGAACTCTCCAAACTCTCAAACTGTACAATTCTGCCTCGCGGCGTTCATGGACCAACAACGCACGCGTTTGCGTAAGGTGGGTGTAGATGTGGTAATAGTAGATGCTGCGAGGTAGACAGGGTACATAGCCATATGACTGGCGTTATGTTGAAGGTGCAGGAGGTGTTGGTTGTTCGCGATTCTTCGGCGGTGGCGGCGGGAGGTCAACATTGTTCCCGCGGAAGCGTTTCCTCATGTCGAGCTGGATGGTTGGATAGGCGAGTGTCGGTTACGATGCCATGTATAAGCTGTAGAGCAGAAAAGCGTACCATGCCCCGCTTGCACTCGAACGTCGCCTGCCGGAGCGACTTGCACTCTTCCGGGAGCTCATTCAAGTGCTCCTTGAGGCATTCCGACGGCAGATGCCCCTGCTTCATCACACAGTCGGAGTGGAGGAGGCAGTCCTTGAGCGCATTTAGGAGGTGCGAGCAGGAGGACGACATGGATGTGGAGAGCGGTCAAGGAGGGCAGGCGGTCCGAAGGCGCCGACTCCGCCGTCCCGACTGGCGTTCCCCGCCCACTCCGATTTCGTCGGCTTTCGACGTCTCGTTCGCTCACTCATCCACTCGTTCTCCACGACGCGTACCAGCAGCCTCCGCGCACAACATGCCGCTGCCTCCCGTCTTGCGCTCACTTCTTCGAACGACACCCACGGTCGCGCCTGTACCACATAGGGCGGTTCTCTCAATCACTGGCTCCCAAGCTGCAGAGTTTCTGAATGGCTTGACGGCCGCGTCCCTTCCGCGACACCCACACAGTCATTTCTACTCTGCCTTCCTTCATGCCCAGGTGTGTCGTGCGCCTCATCTGAGAAGAACAACTACCAACCGCTGATGCGCACAGGGGAGAGTTCTGCATGACATCTTCATCTACGCGCACACCACGCCCACCGGCCGCACGGGATATCTAGTCGAGTACGATGGTCGTCCATCCGAGGCGCCTCCAATCCTCCCCGTACTCAAGCGTCATGTTCTTCGCTCGAAAGTCAAGCTGCGGGATGTCTCGGAAGAGTATGACGTATGGTCCGCCTGGGGCTCCGAGACGGAGAAGAGCTGGGAGACCGCTCGGCAATGGGAGTTCGCGCGCAGCGGCGTGATAGAGCCAGCATGGAGCCAAGACGGGGAGTGGCCATGGGGGTCCGCACCGGGGGTCTTGCGCGATAGGAGAGCGGTGGGAATGGGGCACCGGTTGCTGGTGCGGAAGGGCGAACGTCGTAAGTGGTCAGTTATCATGCGCCGCTTACCGCTTGGCTTCACGAAGCGCAGCGCAGGAAGCATCGACGCACGACGTGGCCCTGACGGACGACTACCTTCTGCATCGCATCTTGCACGGTGTTCCTGAAGGCGTGGACGATATCCCGCCCGCGCACGCCTTCCCTATGGACTCCAATCTGGACATAATGGGTGGACGTACGTGCATTCCGCCCGCTCAGCCGATATCATGTTGCTCACACCGCTACCTAGTTGACTTCCGCAAGGGCTGCTATGTTGGCCAGGAGCTCACAGTTCGAACATACCACACAGGACAGCTCCGCAAGCGCATTCTGCCGGTCGCGCTTCACAAACCGGACATAACGTATGTGTGCACATCACATCTACGAGGGAAGTAGGGACTGATTGCTCGCCAGGTTGACTGAGTTGGATAGGTTGCCCGACGAGTCCCCTAGCGTGGAACCTCAGCTGGAAATTCGCCCCCACGCTGTACAGAGTGGTGACGATAGTACACCTCGACCACGGCCGCGAGGAACGGGGAAGTTGCTCAGTTCGACGCGTGGGGTCGGTCTTGCACTCCTCCGCCTCGAGCAGGTAGAGGCGGTCGAGCAAGGGCGGGCGCGGTTTTCTCTGACCAACGGCGCGGGACAGGAATGGGGCGTCACCCCATACTGGCCGGATTGGTGGCCTCAGCCGCCCACGGAATCCGAGCAAAGCGAGGACGTACAGGAGTGAAGTTCTCTAGCAGCAGTAATGTATTGTATGTTCTTACCAGCCTTTTGGTGGTTAATATATCGCATCCCATTCATCGAATAAGCACGCCTTGGAAGAACACGTTCAAAGATGGCGCGGATTATGGTGCCTCAATGAGGACTGTTGCAAATACATATTCGCCGTCGTGGCTCACAGAGGTATGGATCGTCCACAGACGCGCAGCAAGGTCGTGCGTATGGTACTCCAGCATGGGCTTTCGAAGGCCGTCGGCGGAAAGCGAGTAGAAGGTGAAGTCTTTCCAAGTAGGCCGCGCAAGAGGATATACAGCCTTGTAAGCCGCCTCTTTCACGCTCCAGCTGAGGATTGCGTCAATACTGCGTATGGCATTCAATTGTAACATATCTTACCGCACGGCGAGGAACCTTGCACGTCTCGCCTCATCTGCGGGTGGGAGCCCGTCCCAAACACGAAGCTCTGTCTCGCTGAGAATCCTGTGAGCGAGCCGCGTTGGGGTCCTCCGCTCCATAAGACGAGTTATTCGAGGAAGATGGACAATGTCAACTCCTATCCCGAGGATCCCCATTCTTCCAGGGTGTCATCGGCAGAAGGCTAAGGTTTGGTCGAGGAGAAGGGGATGATAGACATGCATTATGGGCGCCTGCGGTGATCTACTAACCTTCCAGCGTCTATCGTAGTTGCGGATCTCGATCTACGATCTGCCCGGCTAACTGGCGTAAATCCCACTTTTCTCGCTTTCATCCTCCTCCGACGCACTTGCTCTTTTCATCTGTTAAACCAACGATCACTGAGGAATACAGACCTGTACTAGGACCTTGCGTTGAAGAATCACTTACCGCACAATGTCTCGAGCGGAAGTCATTTACACGGCCGCTTCTACAAACCGCTTCTTCCAGGCAGCCCATGTTTCGCCCGACGGCGTGGTCGCGTTTGGCTCATCCAAGCTGGTAGCTCTATGGGACACAGAGGTATCATTTGTGGACTGCTGCAGTGACACCCCATGCTCATACTAACCCACACAGGACTCCGACGACCGAGGAGTATACGAGACGCTTCCCGGGCACGAAGGCGCTGTGACCTGCGTATGCTTCGCCAGCAGCGATACGTTTGTGAGCGCAGACGAGAAGGGCGTTATGAGACTATGGAGGAAGCAGGCTGCCGGCACACAGGCACGCTTGATCTATCTATGTATTTAAGCGAAATGCCTTTAATGATGTCATTCACTCTGTAGTGGCGGACGTGTGCAACGCAACAAGCTCACAAGGGCGGAATCTCGAGCTTAGCGTTGCACGGGAGGTTTGTAGTCACTGGAGCATCTGACTCCTTGGTCAAAGTATGGTTGATGCCTGAGAAAGAGACAGGTACGTTCGCTAAATCTATAGCGGACAACGTCTGTGTACTGATTGTGTTTACATACAGACGCGTTCCAAGAGGTGCAAACTATAAACATCCGAAAGGGCTTCCCCATCTCATTGGCACTCGCGGAACTACCTGGAACGGAATGTAAGAGATAGTTTGAATGCCGGCCGTATATCTGCTGATCGCGCTTCTTCAGCCGTTCTTCTGGCTATCGGCAGTACTGACAGGAGCATCCATCTATGGACCGGCTCGGAGGGTACCGTGAGCTTACAACAGCACTGGATATACCAGTTACGCTGACAGAGGTCTCCCTCTAGTTTGTCCAAGCAGCTATTCTGTCGGGCCACGAAGACTGGGTCAAGAGCCTTGCCATCCGCCCACCCCAAATTGAAAGCGAGGTTTTGGTTCTGGCATCTGGCTCCCAAGACGCAACCATACGCCTGTGGAACATTGAACCGTTCACCAAGCCTAACTTCGCACCGTCTGGCGGGTCTACAAGTGATGTAACCGACGAATTGCTGGACGCATTTGAAGCCTCCCTCATTAGCTTGGAAGATACCGAGGATGGACGCCAGATCTCACTAAAACGTCATATACTGACCGTCAAAACCGCTCAAAATAGGTGAGACCCGTTGTTCCTGACCCTTGAACAAAATTATCTGATATTCTCTTAGCTCTCAGCTATTCTCCGTGACTTTCGATGCGCTGCTCATCGGGCATGAAGCGGGCGTCACATCCCTCACGTGGAGGACTCAAAACACCCCCAAAAGTCTTCCGACCCTCCTATCAACCTCGACGGATTCTTCTCTCATCCTCTGGTCCCCATCCACCGTTTTGACTTCTGCCACAGACGGTACCACTCTATGGATCAACCGACAACGCTTTGGCGATATCGGCGGGCAACGCCTCGGCGGCTTCGTAGGGGGACTTTGGGCGCGAGGCGGGTCCGATGCCCTCGCATGGGGCTGGAACGGCGGCTGGCGGAGATGGCGCTGCGAGTCGCCCGAGGCCGACAAAGAGAACACGATGGAAGACTGGACGGAGGTCGGCGCAATTACGGGGCATCGCGCCCCAGTGCGAAGCGTCGCATGGAGTCCAGGCGGCGAATATCTGATTTCTGCCAGGTAACTATACAGTATTTGCCGGACTGAGTGCCTTCGCTAATGCGTCGGACGGCTCTTCCAGCCTCGACCAAACAACGCGCATCCACGGTGCGATCCCCACCGCACGCCCCGACCGCACGTCCATCTTGGTATGGCATGAAATCGGACGACCGCAGGTGCACGGGTACGACCTCATCGGCGCAGCGTTCCTTGATCCGTTGCGGTTCGTGAGCATCGCGGACGAAAAGGTCGCGCGCGTGTTCGAAGCGCCTCGTGAATTTGTAGACGTCGTCAGCAATCTTCACATTGCTGACCTGGATTCGGGCGAGGTACAGATCGCATTGATTTATCCGCGGCCTCACGGTGCCCTGATCGCTACCGCTTGCTGACGGCAGATTATCGCAACAGGAGAACCGGCCCCGAGCTGCTGCTGTGCCCCCGCTTGGGCTATCGAACAAGGCGTTGACAGATGGTACCCTTCCCCTGTGTCTTCGATGATGGCAATTACTGAAATCCCTTTGTCGTGAAGTCAGTGCCGTGGCGGAGGTCAATGGTGATTCCGACGACGCGCGCACACGGCGGCGCCCGTTCGAGGGCGAGCTGGCCGCGGCGACGCTCTGGCCGGAGGTCGAGAAGGTGTTCGGTCATGGCTACGAGGTGCGTTCTGATCTGCTTTCATATCCGCCGTCTGACCTCCGAGCTCCGCGTAGTCCATCGCGCTTGCCGTGTCCAACAACAAAGAATACGTCGCGACGGCGTGCAAGGCGACCTCCGCGGACCACGCCGTTGTTCGCGTATACGAGACGCAGACATGGCAACCTGTGGGCGAGCCTCTTGCGGGACACAACCTTACGGTCACGCAGATCGCCTTCAGCCCGGATGATTCGCTCGTCCTATCCGTCTCCCGGGACCGGACATGGCGGTTGTTTGAGAAGAGCGAAGGTTTGACATCCTCGGACATGGTTGTTCACCACCTAACTGCGAACATTTTCAGAAGGCTACGTACCAGTCGCCGCGGATAAGTCCCACGGCCGAATCATTTGGGACTGTGCTTGGGCACCGGAAGGCGATGCCTTCGCTACAGCGTCGCGCGACAAGACGGTTGGTTGTTCGCTCGTCAAGTCTATGTTGACAAATCTTCACACTCGAAGCAGGTAAAAATCTGGAAACGTCAGAGCGAGAACAACAACACATCTTGGACAGCTGTCGCAACAATCGCAGTCAAGGCCGCTGCAACCGCAGTCGCCTTCGCACCTACCACACCAAATAGTCAATCGTATGTGACCAAGCTTCTGTCAAACAGTGGCACAGATGTTGATGACGTTTTCAGTCGGGCATTGGCAGTCGGTCTTGAATCCGGCGAGATCCTCTTGCACACATCTTCGCGGGACGATCCCTCCCAGTGGACGTGCACACTAACGATCGACACCTCGTAAGCACCCATCAGTACACAAAACGAACCCAACTCACCCTTTCGGTAGATCGGCGCACGTCGACCACATCCACCGTCTTGCATGGCGGCCCGTGGGCGATCACGGCGTGCAACAATTAGCGAGCTGCGGTGAAGATGGTACATTGAAGCTATTGACAGTCCATATCGCGGGCCAGGAGTGAGCGCGGCCGTCTGCGACATGCAGTAGAACTACGACGAGTGGGAGAGCTATGCAGTATACAGTGTAGGGGTCGGAGCGGGGCAGGGCAGGGCAAGCGGGATTAGACCCAAGAGCTGGCTAGTTAACGAGACAATCGGGGATAGATGTAGGAAGGGTATAACACAGTAGAATGCGCGGGCGGCGTACGTGCGGGGCAAATAGATATAGGCAGCATGAATGGCGGAGATAGCTTGGACCGAGAAAGCAGGCGTAGGGATACACAAACATCGGGGGACGGGGCGTCAAATCAAACAATATCGCGCAGGCTCATGGGAACTTCGGGCTGTTGAGCAGCGGGTGAGAGGGTGTTGCGCAGTATCATTATCGGTAACTTACGCATTTAATCCTGGAGTGGAGCGGTTAGTTAGATCAATTCGGAGCGAAATATAATAAAGACGTACTTGTAGAAGCATTCTATAGACCGCAGCATCTCGACGTCGCCACCGGTAGCGGTGACGAAGTTGACAACCACGCCAGCACGAGAATAGTTGGGAGCGATGGCCGGAGCCACGCTGCAACGCACAGAGTGAGTCATCGACACTAACGCAAGGTGTTTAGCAAACCGCCGCTCACCGGTGTGCGTATTCCTCGACTGCTTTGGGCAAATCGTAGTTTATAACCAGAGGCACCTGCTGCACATCCGGCGCCTTGACCCCGACATCGTACACAACCAGAACCTTGGTGGCAGTCGGCCGCACGATACCCGGAGCGGCCCTGAACTTGTTCAGCGCAGCTAGCTTTACGCCAGCATTCATATCGCCGTGCTGCATTTCACCACCCTTAGCGACTTGCACAAGCCAGAACGAAGAGGTTGCTTACCAGCGGTACCGCTTCCAAACCGCGGCTCGACAGCTTGTACACGACCGCGTCGAGCGCAGCCATGCCGCCGACGTGGATGATCGCCTGCGGGATATCGAGGTCGTCGAATAGGTCGGCGAGCGCGTCGAGCTTCCACTCGCGCGCCTGCGCCGTCTCCGCATTCGACGCACCGCGCCCCGAGCCGATTATGCCGAGCCCCGTCTGCGGGAGCGGCGCGTCCGAGCGCCCGCTCGCCGTGAACGCGAGGTACAGGTAAAACTGTCGCAGCCCGCGCGCGCCCTGGCTCGTGTCCGCGTGTGTAACGTTCCCGTCGCGCCGCACGAGCACGCGCACCGGCTCGCGCAGCTGGATCGCGGACGCCAGGTTCAGCACGTCTTGCGGGACCGTGTTCGAGAAGAGCGCGGTCTGTCGCTCGATCGCCTGGCCCTGGCCGTTCGATGCCTCAGCGGGGGGCGAGAGGCCGACCCCAGAGAACCGGCGTGTGAGGCTCTGCGTGGGCGCGAGCAGCGAGGAGGTGCTGCTGTTCGCCTCCCAGTTGGAGAACGGGTTCTGGTTCGCGGCGCCAGGGGTCGTAGCCCCAGGCGTGCTCGCACCATTGCCCAGTGTACGCGAACGCGGGGGCGGTAACAGCCTGATGATCCCGAAGACCGACTCGTGCAAGTTCCGCGCGATGAGCTGGTCGACCTCGTCCAACACCAAGAACCGCACATCAGCGCCGGACAGCCCACCCGGATTGGTGAACAGCGCATGGAGCTTCTGCGGTGTGCCGCAGATGATGTGTGGGACGTTCTGCTGCAGCAGGCGCATCTCCTGGCTGAGGTCGGTGTTCGCCGACGCAGAGCCCACGCCGAGCGCGGACTTCACGCCGATGGGGCCTCCCAGATCACGAATCATGCGCTGCGCCTGTGTAGCCTGATCCACGGTCGTCGAAATCATGACGACGAGAGGTCCGCGGAGGGGCGCGCGCGCGTTCGCCGCGTTCGTCACTGCGATGTGTATCGCCGGAATCACATAGGCGGCGATGCGTTCCTGGGTCGGCGGCGCCTGCGCAATGATGTCTGCCCCGCGTAGGAGGAACGGGAGGGCACGCTGCTGGATTTTGTTAGGGGGGCCGACGCTAGACAGACGCGATCAACATGTGGCGCGCTACCGATTCGCAGGGCGTGCTCACCCGAAGGTGCTCAAGGACCGCAAGAGCTCCGGCGCGAGGTTCAGCTGCTCCCATTTCGTTATCACGGGGCCTCCGTCCCGCGACGATCCACCGGACAAGCTTTCGCCCTAAAAATTTCTCGTGTCAGCCGTGTCCGTAAACGCGGGCGAAGCTAGCGGAGGCGAACGCACCCCCAAGGAGTCGCGGCGAAGCAGGCCGCTGACAGAGCGGCGCTTGTCGCGGAAGATAGAGTCCTGCCGACCCATGGATCCCGCAGGGGAGTCGGTGTTGCGCATGGGAAGATCCAGCGTGCCCGCGGACCACGTTCGCATGGGCGGCTGTGGCATCCGCTGCTGGCTCTGCCTAATGTCAGGGCGCCCGGGGAGTCCATGTCCGAGCGAGGCCGAGGCGTTCAGAATGGGCGCGAGCGCGGTAGACATGTCCGTTTGCGGGAGCATCTGTGCATTGTGCATCGCGCCATTGGTCGCTTGGATTTGCTGAGTCTGCAACGCGAGGAGCTGCCCGACGGACGTAGTCAGCGTGTTCAGCCGGCTAGAGATCGTGTTGATGTCGTCCGTAGGCGGGCTCTGGTTAGGCGCGATATTGGCGATAGATCCGCGTGGTCCATTGAGCCCGGGGTTCACGAAGCCTTGAGTGGGGTTGCCGGCGGGAGCGAACGGATTCTTGAACTCGATCGGAGCGTTCATGCCCGAGTTCTGGATACCCGAGTTCGCGTTCAGCGCGCGTTCGACAAGCAGGTCGACCTTGCGGTGGACATCGCCCAGGTCACGCGCAATCTCCCTGTTCGACATCTCCAACCGAGCGAGCCGATCAAAGACCTCGTTCATGAGGGGCGACGACTTCAGCTGCGCCTCGAAACTCGTTGACGTGCTGTACTCCAGGCTTGGCGCGAAGTGGCTGCCGGAGTCGAGTGAAGAGACAGGGGAGGACGAGACGAACTGTGGGTGCACAAAGGTCGTCGACCGCACGCTGTTGTTCTCCTGGGCGACCGGTGGCGTGCTCATACGCTCCCGACTGCGAACAGCCATCTGGTTGTAGAAGGACGACGAGGCGGCGAGCTGGCCGTTCATCGCAATAGGCCCCGAGAGCGGCCCTGGGGTCTCGTCACCATCCGCGAGGTGCTCAGGGTTCTGCTGGCCGTTCTGGTCGCGCACGGCGTTCTGGTACGCGGCGAACGCGCGCTCGGAGTCGGACTGGCGGATGGCCGGGGAGTGACGGGAGGTGTCTCCGGGGGACGGGACCTGCAGGCCGGTGTCGTTGGACCTCCGGGGTCGGTCGTCCTGCGGCGGGCTCGGGGAGGACCTTACGGAGCGGTAGTCCGAGGGCGAGATGGAGAAGGAGGATGATGTGCTGTACTGTTGGTCCCGGGAGATGGTCTGCCGGTAGGCAAGGCCGGGGTTCCCATCCTCGTCGCTGAGCCGCATCGCGCCCGGAAAGAAGGGGGTGGATGCAGGGTTGAGGGCCGGACTCCGCGAGGGAGGATCCATGGGAGGGTGGGGAATTACAGGAGGGGAGACGGATTCGAAAGCAAGAGGACACTGTCGCGGGGTGAGCCACAAGGGGCGGCGGAGTAGTTGGGACAGATCGCACCTCTGACGCCTGGAGAGGGACTAACAGGACGATGCCATGCGAAGGACAGAACGGGGGACGGGGGCGGGTGTCGAGCGGACAGCTCAGAAGCGAGCTGGCGGCGGCGGAGGGAGAGTCTGGAGAGCAAGGAGCGAGTCCACCGTCGTCGCAGCACCAGCGGCGCGTCGGCTGGGTTTGATTGGCCCCCACGCTTACGAAACATCAAACAACCTGATTGTTGATTCTGGAAACACAGCGTGCTTGTACGGTAATACACAAACGAGCGCAAAATCTAATACATCAAAGGAGCGTGCGGGGCGCGTGTGCAGCCTGCTGCACGGACGGGCGAGAGAGCGGGAGGAGTCAGAACATGCTACAGCAGATATACAGGAACAGCAGCCACGGGCGTCTACAGGCTGAGCAGGCCCCCCGGGAGGTGCAGGCCTGGCTTGGCGCGCTTCAGCGGGTGCCTGGCCGCCTTCTGATGCGCCCCCGCTGCGGCGGTGTTCCCCGCCGGTTCCACAAACCCGAGTCGCTCAGCGACGTTCGCCAGCGTCGCGACAACGCCCGAATTCGGGTCAGGGATGCGCTCGGTGCGCTGGATCGTCAGCCGTCTGCACATCGTCAGTATCGCCACAGCGACCCCGAGACAAGCCACGACTTACTTCAGCTGCCCGAACTTGGCCTTCCATGCCGCACGCTTCTCCTGGTGAGCGTCCTTCGTCGCGACAAACGTCTTCAGGATGTCGCACGTCTCGGGGAGGTCAGCGATATTGAACGTCACCTGGAACAACCGACGTTAGCCAGACCGCAACGTGGATGCTCATCTGCAAACATACGATAATCTGCCTGCCCTCGAGCACCCGTCTATCGAGTTCCATGGCCTTTCGAGACCCGTCGGAACTCTCGAACTCAACCGTCGCGTAGTGAACAGCTGTATCGACTTTGCCGAAACCGAAGTATGGCCTGGGTAGGTTAGCCGTAGGAACGCAAATCCCACCGCTAGCGCGGATCTGAATGCGGCGGATAGGCCCGCATGGCCCAAACAGCGCAGCAAGTTGCGCGTCCGTGACCGACGAAGACAACTGCACACAGATATCGTAAGCCTCACTCTTGCGCCATATAAAAAGGCTGACTTACGTTGCCGACGTAGACGAAGGACCACTGGACTTGAGACGGTTTGATGACCGGCTTAGCTTCCTTCTTCTTCTTGTATGCCATGCGGAGGCGCTCCTTTTCGCCGGCATTCATCTCGCCGCGGGACTTCGCCTTCCCTTTGCCCTTGTCGCGCTTTTGCGCGGGCTGCGGTTGAGCGCTGGCCCGCGCGTGCGTGGATGGGCCGGCGACGGGTCCTCGGTCCTCTCTAACCGTGGACATATTGTTCGTCCACTGCAAGTCGTTCGGCGTAAATGCCACGGCGGGAACACGCGTACCAATCTGCACACGCACCTTCTGCTGCTTGTGGCCTGAGGATAGAATGGTAGCGTGCGACGCCTGCGAGCAGTTCGACGACGACACGGTGGTGCACGACGGGGCGCGGTAAGTACCCATAATGTATGGTCTTGAGGTCTGTAACGGGAGTAAAAATGTGAGTAGTGTCTTGCGGAGTCTTCTCGCCGCGGCTATTGAGCCTCTTGACGGGCCTGAACGGGGAGTCTTGAGGGAAAGGAAAGGTGGTGGACGGGTCGACCCGCGGAGGTGATGGTCTTATAACAGGTTGGACTGATGTCCAAGCGCGAGGACGCGTACGCTTCAGCTTGGCCTGCATTTTAGCCACCACATAGACGCCCCGGCTATGTTCCCCTCGCTCGCGGAGCTGAACGAGCGGGAGGTGGGACAATGGTAAGCGCTGCGCAACCATGCTCGCGTTCCATACACGGCGGACAAAACCAAAGTGGTGTGGCGCACGTGATGGCGTCTCGGAGGACGGATCAATCTTTCCGGGCCCGCCCCAAGCAGGCCAAGCGCCCGCCCTGCAAAGACGCTCCGCTCGCTCACACCCAGTCGCGACGCTCACTGCGAGTCCACTTCGCTGTCTTCACCGCAGAAACGCACTTTGCGACCACGACGCTATGGCGACTGCTCAGCACAGGTCCGCGTACCGCGCCATTGTGCGCGAAACCAACCTCGCTGTGCGTTTACGCCGTTTGTCCAACTAGTGTTCTGCCGCTCACCCACGACTTGCGACCAGTCCATCCACGCTCGCGCCGCGCGGCCAAAACAGATAGCTACGCACATACGAACCATCTTTGAGGAGCGTCGGGATGGAAACGACAGCGTGCGGTTCTACCACGAGATGCGCAACGCGGCGACGTTTATGCGCGCACAACGGACGCACAAGGTACGTTACGCGAGATACACCCGCAAAAGCTACGCTTTCTGACACCCGAGGCTACTAACTATTACGCAGGCGCTGCTCGAGCGGTATCAGCCCTTGGCAGGCATATCGACAGAGGAGCGAAATGAGAGGACAGCACATCGCGTGGGCTTGAACATGCCCCTGCCCGTCAAGCCCAATGGCGAAGAGTGATCCATTGACGACCTGTCGACGACTCTTCCTGACCATCATATCTTTCGACTCACTCTACGCCGAGACTGTTCTCACCCCAAGTACATCTGAGCAGACGGATCTATGGCTCACATAGTGCCATAGCCTGTACGAGACATGCGAGAAGTACATGTTTTTGGGCCCGCAAAGCGGCAAATCCGACAAGATAGAATACAGGAGTGCGTGGGCACGAGAGAGCAGAGACAGCGGAGCAAATGCGAGGGAGGGATGTCCGCGGATAGTGGAGGAGCACCGTGGATCAGTCCTTTGCCTCTCTGTATATACAGCCTGCATCAGTTATAATGTCCAATGAGAGCGAAGAGAGACGACACTTATTATATATAGGACATTGTTACACCTGCAGGCAGGACGTTCGCTCGTCAAGAGACAGAATCGGATTGAAATGCAAAAACACCACTCACCGAATGAACACCTCGCCGAGCGCGCCGTTCGACTTGCCATCCTGGAACTCCTCCGTGTTCGCGAGCTACCCGCGCGATCAGCTCCGGCACATCCCCGCACATCGACCCTGGACTCACCTGCAGGTTCATGTACCCGTCCGTGCTCACCAAGAAGCCCTTGTACTCGAGCCCCCATTTTAGGCGCACGTAGACAGGCTTGCCAGTGAGCTCCTGCATGTAAGGCTTCGGGTTGACGGGGTTGACCTGCACGACACAGTCAGCACGCGCCCACAGCGTATCGGATGATAACGGACGGAAGGGCACGTACTGCAGACATGGTGGCACGAGCAGGTGGAGGTCGGGCGCAAGGCGGCGAGCGAGCGCGCGCCCGGCGCTGAACACGTGCGGACTTCCAAAACCGCGGACGCACTGGCTCGCAGATCGACGCGCATATAAAGCTGCAGCGTCTCTCCGCTGGGGCCCGCCACCCGCGCCCCCAGCTGCCCGCCTCTGCCTCCCCCGCGCCTGCTCTCCCCGCCCCGCGCCCGCTGCTTGCCCTAACGATGTCCGACCACGAGACGGGCGGAATGCCCTCGGACGAGGATCTGTCGCTCCCGAAGGCGACGGTCACGAAAATGATCGCAGGTGCGCACCCGGCGCGGACGGCATATGCCCGTGCGCACCCCTGTTGACCCGCCGGCCGCAGAGCTCCTTCCGAATGACGTGACGTGCGCGAAGGAGACGCGAGACCTGATCATCGAGTGCTGTGTAGGTGAAGGCGAACTCTTGCGCTCTCGACGCGCGCAGGCGGGCTAACGCGCCACTCGGGGCTAGAATTCATACACCTGATATCCTCGGAGGCGAACGAGATATGTGAGCAGGAGTCCAAGAAGACCATCGCACCCGAGCATATCATCTCCGCGCTCAAGGTACGTCTGTGCATCTTGTTAATGCGTGTATGCGGCTCATGGCACCTCTGCGCCGGCGTTTCAGCGACTAGGCTTTGAGACCTTCACCGAGGAGGTGGAGAGTGTGTTGAAAGACCACAAACAGCAACAGAAGGTGCGCATGCGTGTGTATGCATCATCATTGAAGGTGTCTCACCCGTACCGCAGGACCGGGAGCGGAAGGTTAACAAGATGGTCGAGTGTGGCCTCTCGGAGGCGGAGCTGCTCGCCCAGCAAGAAGCACTCTTTGCGCAGAGCCGCGAAAAGTTCCGCACGGCCCAGCAGTGATCTTCCGCTCTTCTTGCCGTTCTCGTCCCTTCCCCTTGTCGCGCCGGCAGTACGCCCGCCTAGACGCGGGGCCCTCCCGTTCGCATTCGCATTCGCTCCAGTCAGTATGGGATATGGACGATCGCTCCCTCGCTTCGTGTATTATGGCATCAGCAAATGGTGCGCTCGTGTGTCGTATACAGGTCCCCGCTACTCTCCGTACCCCCGTGTAATTTGTGCATGATTTATTCACTTTGTACCTTCCGCCGTCGCTAGACGGCGCTGTAGCTCTTCCACCCGCCGCAACGGCGAGTCCCCGTTCCACTGCTCGGCCCGCGCGCGGCCGTCGGCAGCGTCTCCGTCGACCTGCGTGAGACGCGGCAGGCCCTCCTGCTCGATGACGAACGATGCCGAGACGGTGGCATACAGCGTGGCTAGACGGTGAGAGTCAGCATAGCGTTTTGGCCCGCGCGTCTCACGCCTCACCTTCGCGCACGTCGCCATTCGACAGGACGAGCCCGGCCGCGAGGCCTCCGAGAAAGCTGTTCCCAGCACCTGTTGGGCGGATTTCAGACTCAACTGCGCGCGCCATGCGTCTGTTCTGCGATGGGCACCTGTGACGTCCACCACCTTGCTCGCGCCTTCCAGTCCGCTCCAGTACGCGTCAATCCAGGAAAAGGGCTGCCCGCGCTGCGCAATGCATGCGCCCAAGGCGCCGCTGCGGACGATAACGTGGCCGGTGCCGTTGGGGCCGACGCCCATTTCGAGGAATCGGCAGCAGGCCTCCTCGACGAGCTCCTTTGTTGTGATGAGCGGCATTGACAAGAGCGAGAAGGCTTCCTCCGCGTTCGGGCTACACGATGCCGGTCAAGACCATCAGCCTCAAGACGCGGAGCCATGGCCTACGTACCTCAAGACCGAGATGTCAGACAGCACCTTCTGGAGGGCGGGCAGCTCCTCGGGCACACATCGAAACTGGCTTCCCGGCGTCAGAGGGCGGGACATTTGAGAAGCACGGACGCGTACGGGTATGGGCTCGTACACCGTGATAGGGTACCAGTCGCGTTCCTCCTTAACCTCCGCCATGATCGCGCTCGCGCGCTCCGGGGAACAGATGAAGTGGATGATGCGCGGGCGTGCCAGCCTTGTCCCCACAAGATCGCGGGGTGTGATTCGTATCCTCGGCGTGAGGTACTCAAATCTGTGCGGAAAATCGCGGGTGGTGAGTTACTATGTCAATGGAAAAGTTGTGGGACTGCTGTAGTTGTTGCATACCCGCGCGATTCGCCTTGGTAAGAATTCCTCGCCCTTGCCGTTCCGCGATCAGGGTTGTCCCTGAAGAGCCACATGTCCGAGCCAAATGCATCCAAGACTCCCTGTATATGCGATGGGAAGTCATTGCCTCTGTCGATGATCATGCCTAATTTTGAAGGCGGAAGCCTAGGAGGGGATCAAGAGTCAGTCTCATCGCTGGTTCGGACGTGTCCTGCGCGGTACGGCACCATATGCGTGCGCCGATGGCGGCGTAGGTACCTCCACCTCCAATCTGACCGTCGCAAGGAGGTTTAGAATTGTAGATTCGAAAGGAACATATGGATAGGGCTCTCACCTGAGGTGGGAGTGTCTGCCCCGTAGGCTCGCCCTTGTCATCCACGAACGTGAACTCGTCGATAATGAACATGCCGAGCGAGACAAACTCGCGGGTGTCATTTGTTGAACTCATGGTTGCGTAGTGTACGACGATGCTAACTTCGTGTGCTGGTGGGTGCTAAGTGGTACACTGGCTGCAAATTGACTCGGTGGTGGTGAATTAAGCTGCTTGCATGCGATAAGATAAAGCGTCGTCCGGGATTCACGGACTTCGACCAGGTTCGTCGGATGATCTAATTTTCATATCTGGATTCACGCCGTGGCTGGGTCGTAAACGTTCTGCTAGCATTCACCGGAGAGCACTACATGGACTATGCTACAGATTGCATTCTTACAACACACTGCGCCCTCATTCATAATCGAAAAAACTGATCGCGAGGAATAGTGCGTATTCAAGGCTTGAAGCCCTTGGCCTTGAAGTTCCAGGACACCTGGACGACACCTTGGTCAAGAGTCGCACCGAGAGCCTGGAAGAGGGACGGGCTCATGTCTGAAATTTGCGCCTTCAGTGACCCGGTCGATATGGAAGATACACGACATAAATGCGCTCACCAATATCGCCCGCGCCGCATCCTGGACATTCGTCCCGGACAAGACCGAACGCCTTCTTGCCGTTCGCCTTGTTGGTGATTTCCATGAACTGTAAGGGAGACGACCGCGATGAGCAACTAGGTCGGAATAGCGCATAGAGCCGATCGAACCTGCTCGCAGTTGCCACCCGATCCGAAAATGGCGGACGAAATGGCGACGATGTGGTCACTGTTCACGTTGTTCTTGCCGCAAGCCCCGAGGCCGACGTTGAAGAACGTACCCTGCAAAAGTATTAGGGAAATACATGCGCGTATAGTCGGCGGGCGACGCACCCTTCCGCTGTGCGTGACACGCTTCTCAAGGTTGGTGATCTCAGAAACCCCGGTGGGAGCAGCAACAACGGAGCTGAGAACAGTAAGGGCGAGGGCGACGTAGGTGAGGGGAGTCATGGCTGAAGATGTCGTCGAAAAATACGCAAGGATCCTGCCGCACAGCGGTAATGAATGAGGGGAGAGAAGAGGGGTTGTTGTACAGGAAGAGGTGAATCGCTAGACGTTCTACGTCCGAGTGAGCTAACCGCGCTGCGAGACTGGCTGGGGAGCCCCGCAGCAGAACGGTCCCTTTTATACAACCTGTGCGCTCGGCTTCGGTCAGAGCGGCGGCAGCGCGGTGGTCTCATGGATACTCAACGCCGGCCGGTCTACGCCCTGTCCACGGCACAATGCAACAGGAACGAACAAGACCTGTTCAAGCACGCATGGAAGACCACCTCGGCCCCCTGAGGCTGCGCCGAAACATGGATGAAATCAGCGCTCCGAGTTGTGCCCGTATTGCAGAGCGGCCAGCGGGCGTGATGCTTTTGCGCCCGGATTTAGTCGCTTGTCGATAGATCCGAGACTCAAGAGGCTATGCGGAAGCCTGAGGGGGTTCGAGGGTCAAGGCAGAGGTACACCTGACACACGACAGCTGTGGGATTGCCATGTATTGAACAAGATCTGTGTGGCTGAATGAGTCCCTCTATGCCGTATTCGCATGTAGCTATGCTGCTCACCAGGTCAAAGCCTCGGCCAAGAGTCGACAACATCGCTGGAACAGAACAAGATGAGAAATCTCGATCAAGTGTGTTTGGCGCCTGAGTGGGCGTTTGTTCGATATTCAACACCTTGGGCCGATCGGATCTGGCGTCTCCATTCATGCACAGCCTGCCCCAAGGCCACCAAGTGCAGCTAGCCTGCACGCTTACCCGTCGAACCCCGACTAGGCCACCTCAATCATCGAGCCAGGCTTTGCTGTGACCTCACCCCTTACTACAGCATTGCCCGGCGTATGCCAATCAACCGGTGTTTTTACACGTCCTAGTTAACGCTAGGTCCGAACCGGACTCCAGAGATCTATGTGAGCATGGAGGTGTGGGCAGTAACATTGGATGCCTCCGCTGTGGGCGAGCTGGAAGAGGTGAGCAAATTACTTTGCACTGAGGCCGGCCGCAATCTTAACCGGGGACGTCAGTTGTATCAGAAAGGATTGCTCGTGGTCGACGAAGCGTCCAAGACACAGCTCAAGAAGTATTATCATCGCATAGACAGCGTCCGTAAGTCACCGGGTGCATCACCCACTTCAGTATCCGGACAGCCTTTGAAACTCACGTACAGGTGGCTTGATTGGGCGCTGCCTCCCTCGGCTGCTCCTCAAGGAGCGCAACATTCCTGTGGCTTCTGCGCGATTTTCCAAGACACCCGCCAACAAACCCTATATAGTGAGCGAAACAAGCATTTATTTGTTTTTGCCCCTTTCTCACGATGCAGTACCACTTAGAGCTCGCAGCTCGACACACCAATCGGCTATAATATTACTCACGACAACGGCGTGGTCGCGATGGCGTTTTGCAGCGGCTCGGACCTCTATCCCGATCCCCCGGCCTATAGAATTGGCATAGACGTCATGCTCCTCCATCTACCGAAGCGCGACACTTTCCCCGGATTTGTTGAGATATTCAGTGACCAGGCATGTGTACTGCGGGACGGTGACAGCTGAGTACTGAAGAGTGTGGATATAGCTCACCACGTTGGAGCGCAAAATCCTACTGCCTCCTGCAACAGCCCCATCGCTACCTCCCCGCGAACAGCTCCGTCTATTTTTCCTCATTTGGACGCTCAAAGAGGCATATACGAAGGCGCTGGGTCTCGGCATGGGCTTCGACTTCAGTCGTATCGAGTACGATGTCCCGAACGACGTCGTACGCATCGATAGCAAGGTTCCTCTTGGGTGGGAGTTCATTCGCTTTGAGCTGGAGAACACGGTCAAGGATGGTGCTATTGAGGAGTATGTTGGAGTCACTGCCAGGTTTGTCGGCGAAGAGGCTGGTTCTGAATGCAAAGTCAGGACGGTGTCATCTCCAGGCTGGATACGGGTGCTGGATGCGAGGAAGTTTTTGAACACAGTGATTGAAGAGCTGACTGTATGAGCTTGTAGAAATTCCGTACAAGTATGATGTGTATGTATTTGTTCTCCGAAGCCTATAAAACGTCCCTGAAAGTTATCAGGCCTTTGGGTCACCGATGTGGCCGTGAGGTTCGAACCTAGTTAGCGCCTTCCAAATTTGGACGCGCACGGCTGCTGAAGAACATGTGATGCTGCGCTGCCGCGAGCTTGCCTGAGTGCCTGGGGCAACTCGCTCAGTCGCAATCCTCACCCTCGCTTGTCCGCAATCTCTCATCTCCGTCTTTACGGGCAACATCACCGCGGCTTTTTGTCTCTGGTCCAGCTGACAGGCCCGCCATGCCTCGTGTACGCTCCCTACGAACTCAGACCCTCTCTCCCAAACGCGATATCTCCCCTGGGCCCCCTTCACCAACATTCACCGAGACGACGAACGCTTCTGTCCTTAACTTCGGGCCCGATGGCCCCCGGAAGATCATCACCCGCGCGAACCTCAAAGTTAGCGTGCAATCGTATGAAGAAGTGAGTGATACCGCGCGGCCGAGCAGAGGACCGACGTTAACGAGCGCCTTATCGCGCAGCTCTTGAACAGATGTGCAACCTACCGCGCAGCCTTGCTCACGATGTCAAGAGCAGCGGCGGGATTTGCAGATGCAATGGAGGCATGCTCAGGGTATGTGCGGCTCTATATGTATCTCTGCTGAAGCTCATCTCGTCAAGACTCAAGGGCCCGGACTACGAATCGGGGACGAGGATGCAGGTAGCGGCGGGTTTGCATCACCTTATGAGCAACCACTTTCATGTCATGGTCAGTCATCCAGTCGGAGTGTTCGGGGAATCTTTGTTAACCTTCGAGATAGGCCGAGACTTTGGACAAGCAGTTCGAGAAACCACTTCGGCAGCACCTGGAGAACTATCGCACTGTGGTCAATGTATGTCGCCGTGCGCTCCACCACAACACTTCCGGGACTGACAACTCCCCGCGCCCAGGAACGATCTAATTCCTATGAGAGAGCGTTACGAGAGAAGAGCAGAATCATCCGACAGACTGAGATGGGCAACATGAAGCAGAAGGGCAGAAGTAAGAAATTTTGCTAACAACTCCTCGCGTCCGCTCTAACGCATTGTAGATCTGCAATCATTCCGGGAGGCGCTATCTGTCTTGCAAAAGCAGGTTGATGACCTGGATGAACTGAAGGCTCGGCACTACGAAGAGATTGTCGAGCACGAGGAGGAGGTATGGGACTTCGTCCAAGGCAAGGTCTGCCTAGTGGTCCGGACCACCATGGACGTCTTCGACAGGGTCACCTCGAAAGCGTAAGTCTCTATCCTTTCGACATGGCTGTAGTCCTAACTTCCGTCACTATACAGTTCAGATCCTGTAATTGAGCCCATGCTCCAGACCGTACCCGACCCCTTTGACTCCTACGGCCCGCCGCCCTCCGAGGACCAGATTTTCAGCATTCTTCCCCCACTCTCTGTCATCGCCAATGCACCATCTTCCACCGCTAGCCCGATGGCCTCCACGCCCGACCTCGAGAGCAGTGACAGTGCCTCCTCAGCAAAGAACTCCTGGTCAGCTGCCACGGGTGGCTTCTTCCCCGACACTGCTGCATGGGCGGACGCCCCCTCCAGCTCCACTCCCCCAGGATCTGCCCCCGGTTCGGGGCTCACATCGCCAGCCAGGTCCATATCGCCAACTGGGATAGGCAAAACTGCTACTACCGCTAGTGTCAATCGGCGGCATTCTCATCCTGTCGCATCTCCGTCCTCATCAATACCCCACCCACGCAAGTCCGAATCGAAGCTCCGCAGTGTGCTCTCTGTCATCGACGAGAGCCGCTCACGGGCGAATGGCGATAGCGACGACGGACACTCTCGCAGCATGTCAGTGGGCACCAGCGCAAACCCACCACCGGCCGCCAACGGCAGGAGTACGACCCCGGACCTAGGCGTGGTGGACGCGACCGTGTGGGGTCGCGGTCTTCACGACATGAACGGCGCAGGCCGCAGCGCCGAAGACGACACGACACCACGCAACACCCTGCGGGCGAGGGCGCAATCGCCGGCGTCGCCCTCGTTCGAGGCGTTCGAGGGCACGCCATATGCGGAGCGCAGCCGCAGCCCCCAGTCGGATGACACGGCGACAGCTGTAGCCATCTCCTGAAATACCCCATGCACACTTTCGTAGACACGCGCGGCTCCTTTCGCCACGTTCGCCCTTCGCCATTCTTCCACGCGTGTGTCCCCCGTACCTAGTTAGGTCCACTTCTGAGCTACGTCGTGTATGCCCCGCCTCCCCTTTGCAACCTCTGAACGTTCACTTTTGGCGTCGTCCACCCCGCATTCGCAGACCGTCCCTTGAGCGGTGTATGTTGTATATATGCGCGCTATAATCTACGATCTAGTGCAACCCCCTATTAACTTGTATTATATCCGGACATTCGAAGATTCCCATAGCCGTGTCAGTCACGCCCTAATGGGCGGAGTGCGTATTGCGCGAGCACTTCGGCGGTAGATGGCGACGGGCTCTTGAAGAGCAGGTCTGACCCCGCGGCGGTCTTGGGGAAGGCAATGACGTCCCGGATAGACGTAGTCTTGCAGAGGATGGCCATGAGGCGATCGAAGCCTAAGCACCGCTCGTCAGCGCAGTCATATGAGCTCCGGGGTTATGACATTCACCGAACGCGAACCCGCCATGAGGAGGCGCACCACAGCGTAGAGCATGCAGGAGATGATTGAAAGAAGCTTTCTCCTTCTCGTCCAACTGTCGCACACGCCCATTTAGGTCCCACGTGGCCGCAAAAACGCACTGCACGTACCTGAAGAATGTTGGTGAAGATGTAGTCTTGCATCGCTGCATCGTGCACCCTTACGGACCCGCCGCCAATCTCGACCCCATTCAGCACGAGGTCGTAGTGTTGTCCGCGAACCTAGCGCGTATAATGGGTGAGCACGATAGCAAATGTCTGAGCTAGCACACGCACCTCCTCGACCTGTCCCGCGTACATCTTCTCTATGTCTTCCCACATCGGCGCCGTGAAAGGGTGATGGGAGCTACTCCAGCGTCCGTGCGCTAGGAAGTCCTTGTCCTCGTCTGCGCGGGTGAAGAGCGGGAACTCTGTCACCCATAGGAACTTGGGGTCGTCGCTAAGAACGAGATCGCCGTTACGCTGTGCGGTTTCCGATAGTGCGAGCCGCAGACGGCCGAGAGGCGTCCACCCTCCCTAGGCGCAAATGTGAGGGGATGCACGATGCCATTGGCGCGTAGACGTACCTCGCCTCGTTGAGGCCGCTTAGCCAGCCAGATGGTGCCTCCTTCGGTCAGCCCCAGAGCAGCATTCAGTTCTGACACGTCAAAGGTAGACTGAGCAGGGCCGAGGACGTCTTGCGCGACCCGGCTTTGGTTTAACCATGCCGAGGAAGCACTGGGCCCGAGTTGCAAGCGCTCGACAACCTTGTCGTACTCTACATCTTCAGCCGCACGGGCGAACGAGGCATGACTTAGGTGAGGAGAGACCACGAGGGCCTCTATGATCTCGCCGCGAGCCTGCAGAGCCGAACGCAGGGGTTCCGGCAGCTGAGACGTAATGTCTTGGATCTGGACAGACAAGTGTAAAGGTATGCAACGTGGGGCAGTGGAAGAGATTTTACGTACCTCAAGACCAAACCGCAAATCCGGCTTGTCAGACCCGTACTTTGCCATAGCTTCGGCATAGGTCATGACCCTGAACCGGTCCTCGAGCTCTACGTTCTCGACCTTCTTCCAAATCTTGCGGATGATACTCTCAACCACGTCCCGGACCTCGGGGCCGCCGATCCTCCATGGATCGGCGTCCGTCGAAAGACCTTCCCCGATCTGCTTACCCCAGCTCACCCATGCCATCTCCAGATCGACTTGTGTGAACTCTGGCTGCCGGTCCTTGCGCCCGTCTTCGTCGCGGAAGCAGCGCGCGAGCTGGAAGTACCGGTCCACGGCGCCGGACGCGATCAGCAACTGTTTCGGCTGCTGTGGAGATTGCGAGAGGGCGTAGAACTGTGGTTGAGGGGACGCATCCGAGGATGACTGCTTTACCCGGGTGGGCACGAGGTATTCTCGAGCACCCTCTGGGGTAGAATTGAGAAGCATCGGCGTTTCTACTTCCGTGAAGCCTGGGACAACGTCAGTGCCTTTCCCCGGGCATGCATACACTATGAGCCAACCTTGGTCGTGGAGGGTAGACCTGACGAGGAAAGCGACATCGCTGCGTTTCTTCAGGTTAGAGGTCAACTCTGCGCGGCGGAGATCCAGATAGCGGTAACGCAATCTCAGGTCCTCGTTTGCCTAGGAGAATATGTCAGCTAAAAGTCGACTGGATAAGAGGGGGAATCCCTACTGAGCTCGCGTACCAGGTTCTGAGTGTCAAACGGCATAAACGGCATGTTTCGGTCCGCTGGGTTCAGTAGCTTGAAGGACGTCACAATCACTTCAACACCTCCTGCGGGAACCTACTTGTATGCTGGGTATATGTATGCATGATTGATTTTGAGGGGACGTACATCTCGCTGTTGTGCTGTCGGTCGCCGTCGAACGGAACCCTCCACTAGCACGGTGGATTCCTCAGGTACATTCCGCATCTCAGAAAGCACATCCACACCACAGGATCGCGAGTCGACAACCAGTTGAGTGGTGCCATGGGAGTCGCGAATGTCGAAGAAGGACAGCTTCTTGCTCACTTTCCTGTCATATATCATGAAGCTCACATACGTTCCGCGAGGTAGCGATTAGCCGGACGTACCCCTTCGGAACGAGCCATCCCATCAATACCGCTTTACTGTCCACATCTTTGAAAGAAAGGGAACCGCACGTATGTGTGCGCTTTTCGAAAGGAGCTGTGTTGACCTGCTCGTTGAAGTTCATGACGGCGACGGTAACATGTATCACATACCGCAATGAGCTACATGCAAATGTGCCGGCTTGGTCTCACCCAGTTGTGTACCATGTGAGTGGGTGGACTGTGTTGATGACTGTCGTGTTGCGTGGCTCAATGCCGCTGCAGAGGAACGTCCAGCTTGGCATCTGAGCGCAGAAGTAGAGCCGCGGCGGGCGACGAGAGTGCAGGTCTGTTTCAGCATATCCTTGAGCTAGAATAGAGTTGCCGTGTACAGAAGCTATGTGTGCCTCATACTAGTGCTACCAAAGTCAACACAGGCAAGAACAGACGCGACGAGAGCAGAGCGAGAAAGCGCGTCCAGAGCGAATTCGTCCGGACGCGCTTTACACTGCCAGATCTAGATCGGCTAGGTGGCGCGGCAGGCGCCGAAGCGAGTGCTTCTTCGGAAGAGGACAAGCAAGAACAAGCAAACCACACATGTACAGGGCGGGCGACCAACGCGCGACACAACGCAAACTTGTACTCCTCCGACCACCCCGGAGGCTGCAGTTTCGCCGGCGGTCACTATCAACTCTCGCTGCCAGGAAACCATCATGGACACATTGCTTGGTGGGAGCTTACACGGCTAAGCTCCGTGCAGGACACCGTGAAGCCTTCTCTTTCAAAATTGAGGTACGTGCTACCAATCTAAGTACTGGCAGGGCCAGCGTTGGGCTGTATCGAGGAACTCGCTGACATAATTGGAACAGAAAGCTGCCGTCGCGGTCGCAGATTTGACCTGCGTATGTGCTTACCATACGCCCGAAAGCTCATCCCGTCATAAGGCTCCCGGCACACATCGGGGACTGCAATATCTGTTTCGACACACGTCCGACGTCTTTCGGCGAACCACAATGCTATGGTGCGTCGTACCGCAGTGTAGCCCCGCTTCGCACAGGGTCCTACAGCCGACGTCGCCAACTCGCCACCACCACACTCAGCAGATGTCAGTTCCCATATCACCACCAGTTGGCACCGCCTTGCAGGATGGGCGAAACGCCCATGTACCAGGTCCGGATCCCAGTCGGGCTGCAACTCAGTAGGGTGATCGCCAATGTTTCTGTTCCGATAGCATGTCCCGTCAATGCGACTCCATGCCTGCTTGCAGCCTGCGCATGCACACTCGATGTCGTTGCAGCCCTGGTGGGTCCCGCTCCAAACGGAGATCTCACAAACGTTGCCACGATCAGTGACGGCGTGCGGGTAACCAACGCCACGGACACCAGTGATCATTCCGGTGGCTACGGCCCAGGCACGCCAGAGTTCAAAAGGATCTTGGACCTAGGTGCGCTCCAGTAGCCGCGACTATCTAAGTGCAGCCAGTCGCGTTTCCCCTCATGACCACCGGGCTATGTTCGAGACAGGACAACTCTTCTTCTTGCGTAGATTCCCCCGGTCCGGTCTACAGACAAGACGCCCTAGACTAGTCATGGTAAGTTGAACTCTCTAGCCCCCATGTCCGCAGCTGCGTGTTCGCCCTGTTCGAAAGCGCCTTCTGCGGAACCTACCATCCAGTGGCGTTTTACGTACTGCGCGCTCTGCTGTCAGTCGGTCGCCTGTGGCTATGTATATCACCCCCCGCGTCGTCCCAACGAACTGTCCACGACACATTGTACACTTCGTGAGTGGTCTACTGCCTCGATGTGGGCATTTAATGTGAGAATATATCTCACAGGCGGCGCAGTCCCCCCCACCGGCCAGTCCCCATCGTACGGTAAGTTCGAGATGCGATGATTCCATGAATGCAGTTTGACAGTCGAGACGCAGGGTGGCCTCGGGGCACCGCGCCATTTAAGCATGAGGCAGGCGCAAGCGCTGCACCCAATCGACCCCATCCACTCTTTATCCACTTCTATGAACTCCGCAGCAGAGGCTTCGAGCGAGTTGTTACCACAACGTGTTGGCCTGGGACCCGCCTACGGCGCGCTCCTCATCTGTACGTTCATAAGTCTCATGTAAGCCGAGCTTCCAAGCCGTGTCGACAAACATCAGATCTGATTTATGTTCTCCGACAGGCTTTATGGCGTGGCGCTGCACCAGGTGTACCAATTTACCTTTCTTGACGGCTCGAACAGTCGACTGGTCAACTACTACGTGAGTCGAAACATTTATCTCCTTGTGCAGCAATGTTAAAATGCTGGCTCCCTAGGTCGCGGTACTCGTGTGAGCATTCAAATCCAGCCGCATGGTGCAAAAGGGTGGCATGCGCTAATCACAAGACTGCTAGCGTGCTCGATGCCCTGCATACGGTCTTAGCAATACATACGAAGTACGTCCTGATCCTGCACGCCAAGAATGCCACTCTGACCCAGCGGAAGCTATCGAAATTTTATCTCAAAGTATTTTACGCCTGATAGTCTCGCGGACCCCCTCTGGTATGCTCGCATGCTTAGCCCCTCGTATCTCGTATCGAAATGAACTGAGCCCTTCGCAGGTCCCTGAACGTGCGCGGTACTAACCAATACATACGGTTGAGTATTACTGACTCTCAAGTTCTCTCAGCTGCAGCCAGTCATAACGGTATTAGAGCTGGTTCCCCAGATTTTTCGCGGAACCCTCAACTGACTACATGCTTCACAGGGGACCATCATAGTGACATGCCAAATGTAAGCTTCCTGCTGGCTGACTCATGTGTATGTGCTGAGCGTGCTGTGCAGGTTCTTCGCTCGGCGTGTATATATGGGCAAGTACTGCAAACAACACGATGGACTCGAAGTCTGACCCTCCAAGCAGTTGGCAAAATGTATCAGCCGCTTGTCAAATATACGGTAGGTCTTTACGTATCTTTATTGATCCATCACGGGCATCTGACGATGAGATTGTAGGGCGGGATGTTCGTCGTGGAGCTCGGTAGGTTTATTTTGTGTCTGGATAGTTCCATGTATTCACCTTGACCTCGTCGTTGCTCCCGTGTCCCGCGTTTACTACTAGCTGCTGCGATAGGTCGGTTACAAGTATACGAGACCACAATGAAATCTGCGACTGACATTGCTCATGATAGCATTCACCTGGATAGCGTAAGCCTCTTGATTATATTCGACATGGATATATAGAACTTACCGCATCACCACCGCCAGCTTCAAACAGGACAGTGTGCATGATCTGAACAACTTCTCGGTGCGCTTCTATCCGCCCTGCCCTAGCAATTCCCTCATTATAGCACTGCATTCAGTGGTTACAATCCGGAGGTTACGGCGTCGTCATCACCGCCGACGCTATCATGACTACCGTGCTCGTGGTGGCTCTGCATCGCAGCCGGAATGGATTCAAGCGGTGGGTACCTTCACAAATCATCTTACAACTCATGCCACTTAACGGAACGCACGCAGGACGAACTCTGTACTCGACCTCCTAACGGCATATGCGATCTGCACAGGTGAGTGCTCCTGCTGCCTGCACTATTGCTGCGCATGACCATACCCTCCATCGACTGTCACAGGTTTGATCACTCTGTGAGTTTGACAGATTACATATCTCGGTCTGTCTCTAACGGCTGCGGGGTTGCGTGATAAGCGTATTTGCGACTATGTGCTTCGGCAGTGTAAGTCATTGACTGATGTTGTCCAGGACGACCATTTGACAGATCACGTAGGCTGTCATTTCTCCGAATAATCTGCTCTTCGGCGCCCTCGACCTAGTCTGCGTAAAAAGTAGGAAACTCTCTCACCAAGCTTCCCAATGACGAGCATGCCAGTACTGACCACGTTTATCTAGTCTATATCAATTCCGTCCTGGCCGCGTGAGTTGTCATCGACCCATTCCACGAGCTCCCGCTTGGGCTGAACATACATGTCCTGACAGACTGAATGCCCGGTCGACCCTTGCGGCGCTCGACGCCGGGTTCCAAGACCAAAGCACGCGGGACATCTTCCTCGGCGTCATGCCGCGGCACTCGTCTCATACCATCGTAAATGGATACGGTTCACCGGTGCGTTGGCACTCGGGGGAGGACCCTGCGGAAGCCGAGAGCGCTGCGCCCACCGCAAAGCCCGACACCGAGACCGAGACTGCGGACTCGGTCATCGATATCATGGCGGCCACGAAGGTTATGACATGGTAAACCTAGGAATAACGAGGGAATTGTGATTTATGTTGTACTTGTAGCAGAACCTCGGACTGGTGCGCTTGGATATGCACGACATGTATTGCGGCTAATGGGCTACCTGTAAATAGTATTAATGTACGTGTTTCGTAGTGTTCGTGCAGCCAGGGCGAGACGACTCAATAGGAATGGAAGTTTGGGACCCGGAGAAGATATGCTCGGACGTTCCAGACACCTAATGGGGTCGCGAATGACATCACCTGCTTGCAAATGCATACGGACTTTCCGAGGACGGCGTCGATAAGTTCGCTCGAGGCGTTGTCGGTAGTTCAGTACGCACAGGCAATCATACTTGGATGAACATACGGTCAAGACAGAGCGCATAAGATCGTTTGGGGTGCTGTTAGAGATAGGAGGCAAACAGAGTACGTTCTACCTGTGGAACGGGAGTAGATGTATCGGCAACTTCTATGGTGGGCCAAGAACGGGGATTTGGAGGCAGGGGCATTTTTGGCAGTCGAGCACGACATAGTACACATGGAAAAATATGAACAGTATCAGAAAGTGCGTCAGAAAATAGGAAGGCGTACCGCCCAAGGTTACAATCATAGATAATAAGTACAGAGCAGAGCGAGAACATGCATCCACAGTCCATTTTGCGAGTCTTCAGAAGCCTCGGCCTCGTCCCCTGCGCACGCAGCCCTACGTCAGCCCGAGCACATCCAACCTTCAACATGCACACTCACCTGCCGCGCGCACGGTACGGCTGGTAGCCCCCGCCTCCTCCCCGGAAGCCGCCCCGGTAGCCCCCTCGGTAGCCGCCCCGTCCCCGCCCGCGGGCGTTGAACCCGGGGATGTTCGTCCGCTTTGCGGTGACCTATGCAGGGGCCCACCGTCAGATGTGCGCCTCGTCGGACGTGGATGCGTAACGAACCTTAATGAGACGCCCGCGGAAGAGGGAGTTGTCCATGGAGAGGGCGGCATCCACATGTTCTGTCTCAGAAAACTCGACGTATGCGTAGCTAGCGGGTCCTGGTCTCAGTTTGGCGGAAGCAGAAGTGAAGCTGGTAACTCACCCCTTCGGATGCCCGGTGAACTTGTCGCAGAGAATGGTCACCCGGTTGATGGTGCCGCACGCTTGGAAGTGCTGCTGGATCTCTTCTGGCGTAGCAGAGTAGTCCACCTGTTCCCTCTGCTTCAGCAACCAAAGTCTGTCACCGCACGTTTGAATACACGTACGTTCCCAACGTATATGCTCCGACTGTCCGTAGCCGCCTTCTCCTCCTCAGTTTCCATCGGCTGGTCCCCCGTGGGCGTACTCCGTTCCGCCTTCTCCGCCGCGGCCTGCAGTTCCCTCAGCTTTGTCGCCTCGCGCTCCATCTCCTCCACGCGCTGCTTCATGAGCAAGATTTCCTAGAGCGGCCGCAAACCCGACTTCAGCACCACGTCCCCACACGGCTATAAACATGCACTGTGACGTACCGGGTCATCCTCCTCTGCATTGTCTATGACGGTGTCCTCATTGAGGGTGGGCGTCGTGGCGTCGACGTCGGTCATTGTGAATGGGAAAGCAAAGAGAGAGCTGGAGCAGAGCTAGAGAGCACGACTACGGTCGGCGTGTGTGGCGAGCGAGAGGAAGTTGCGCTTGAGCCGTGGCAGGCTCACGCAGGCTCACGCGAAAGTTTCCGCGTGCTGTGACCCGGGGCTTGTGACGTAGAGCGCACGTGCCACGCGCGTCTCGTCACGCAGCGCCATCTGCAACGGTCCATACTTAGATCCCTCGGAGCTTTTCTTGCCATCTCCCTGGTAGTATATCGGTTAGTACACGCGCCTGTCACGCGCGAAAGCGGGGTTCGACTCCCCGCCAGGGAGTTGTTTTTTTTTGGATTGTTCGGGGTCATATACATACGTCCACAGTACTTACACGTTACGGAAAATAAGGGAGAGAATCATCGAGGCAAGACGGTATGTTTGGACGGAAGCATGAAAGCGAACACTGGGTATGTATTGCGTATATGCAGATTCAAGTACACTGTTACAGACATTCCGAGGCCATCCGAGCTATCAGTCCGCAAACAAAACGTCCACCACAACAACAGCAGAAAGTTCGTGTCCTTATGACATCAAGTTTCAAAGCCAACACATCAATGTTCCATCATCCTACAGCAACCTCTCAAATGACATCGACACGGCACCGATTGGTTCGAGTACCGCTCAGTCGTCGCGCTGCGCTAGCCCGACGGTCTTCTCGCCCTGGTTAACTGAACGTCCGATAGTTGTCAGTCACTCGTCGCTCTAACGGCGCACTAGTACTGGTGTAGACTTACAGACGACATAAACAGACTTGAGGAACACGTCTCCGAAGATATCGAAATCGAGGTCGCCGCGGCTCTGGATGCCGCCAAAGGTGAACCCGTCGCCGGCGTCACCAAAGGCGATGTCCTTAGCGTTCACCTACGCGTATGTCGTTTTAGCAGTGGTCGTGGAGAAACGTAGCACTGGTAATGTGCGGTACAACATACCTTGTAGAGCGTGTCGCCGACGGCAAAGGAAACGTCGGGTACAGTGGCGTCTGAGGGGAACTTGTATCCACCCTGCTGGTTGTCGAAAACAGCACCCTTGATGCCGCCTATGGATAGAGATCAGAACAAGGCAGCGGAGAAGTCGGCTTAAAGGAAACTTGCCGTAGAGTGCATCGACGACGTCGTCAGAAACGAGGAGAAGGGTGGTGCCGGTGTCGAGGATGGTCGTGTTTCCCGAACGCTCCTTCGTCTCGCCGTTCAGCGACCAGCTAGTGGACGCGACTTGCCAGAATCCCTGAGAGCTGTCGTTCAAGCAATATCAGCTGCGGTCCCGGGGCGCCGTAAGGCACAACTGGGAGCATACGTACTTGTCCACGGGAGTGTATGTGATCGGGTTGGGCGTCACAGAGGTGTCAATGAATCCTGAATGACAGTTTTAGCGTCATGCCATATGGCAAAGCGGAACATGGCACGAACCAAAGGAGTAGAATCCAGCCTCGTCTCCGCGGCCAAGCTTGACGGTGAACACGGACTGATAATAATCCATATGATGTCAGTGCCGTGCTCGCTGTAGAAGGTGGTGAAATTTACGGACGGGGTTAATCAGCTTCTTAGTGATCATGTTCTCCACCGGGGTGGGTACAGGCTTGGGCGAGACGGTGTTGATCTGCGGCCAAGCGAGACCAAGCAGTCCGTCGTTCCCTCCGTCCTGGAGGAAACTCGCACTGAGCTTCTCGGCGAGCTCGATGGCCTGGCCCGGGATAGTAACGTCCGCAACGGTCACATTGTCCGTGTACACGTTGCCAGAAGCTGAGGAGCCATCGCCGTAGCTGATATTCCACGTGCCAGATGCCTTCTTGGCCGTGGAGGACTTGGAGGGATTGTAGATGGTGTGGCCCTTGGTCGACGAGGCACGCGAAAGTTCGGAGCTGCAAGGTACATGTGAGTTTTGTTCCGGAATACGTCAGAGGTGTCGAGATAACGGACCTCCAGACCCATAGGTCAGAGGAACCAGTGTCGAAGTCGAGGTTGAGCGTGACGCCCGGGGTGCCAATCTTGACGGGCACGACATACTCGAGGCTGACAGACGGCGAGAATATGTTCAGACATCGTCATTGGGCGCTACAGGAGGAGCAGGCACTCACTCTGAATAAATGATGTTCCCGGACACGCTGTGATGAGCACCACTGCGGGCCGGAGTCGTGAACGAAACGCACCGTTCTGGATGGACTCGGCGGGGACCTCGTGGTCGGTGTCCTGGTCGTGCTTGCTCTTGACCTTCACGACAACATTGTTACGCTTCGCGAAGCCGGCGTTGCGTCCGGTCTCGAAACCGTAACGACGAGCGGCACGAGCGTAGGCGGCAGAGAAAGCCGGCCGCTTTCCGTTCTTGTAGATTTCGGGGCGAACGAGTTGATGAAGCTTCATGGTAGAGGGTGCTGGGGTGGACTGGGAGGCGGATTTGGACGGGATGCAGCCCATGGCGAATGCTTATATAGGGATTGCTAGAGGACGAGAGTGGCGTCTGTGATATCACAGGTTGACAGTAGAACGATTACCCGAGGAAGGCGGACAGGCACACGATGTGACGCGGACGAGGAGGACGGAAGTATATGGGACAGGCACGCTCGGAGGTCGGACGCTACGGTGAAGGTGGACAGAGCGGTGGAGAGCAGGGCGCCACAGTGACTGCAGGACGAGCGGGCGGACGTCCACCGTAAGCACGCTCTTATCAGTGCGGAGCGCAAGGGGCCCTTCGTCTTCTCCGCAACTGTTCCTCGCGACGGGCTCCCGTTTCTGACGGAACTTCCCCAGAATCGGCCCCTTCGAGCATCCTCACCAAGCTTGCTGTCACATACGGGCAGGAGCGACCATAGTCGGAGGGGTCTGAGAGGGCGGCCAGGATAAGCCGAGGCGTGTGGTGATATCCTGGAGCTCAGGCGATGTACTTTGGTAGAAGGACTGTGTGCATAAGACGGATGAGATGAGAAGCAGCTATCAAATGAAGTGAACGTGAGATCATCATATGCGTTCATGGCGATCACAAACTCGGCGGGCGCTTGATCTAAAGATACACCCTGCTTCTTTCTTCCTTACCTTTTTGGGAGTGTATCCGCAGCGGGTCCGATGCGCGCTTAGCTCCGCAGCCCTGAGTACGCTGCTGTTGTCAATGACATCAAGCTTACAATATTCCACAACATACTCGAGTTGTTGGGCTACATCATCACACGTCATGAATGCATGAAGACGTGCATACGGTCCAGCCCGGGGCTGTCCTTCTGTCCCTGGGTCGAGGCACCGCTGGTCACTTGCTATCTGGTTCTGTTTCGCTTCATGGAAGACCTATATCTTGCTGTCGCTCCGGATCCGTTCCAGCCCGATCTTGCAGAAGTGAGCTTATGGCTGTCTTACGACTTGCAGCATTCGTGGCACTCGTGCTTCCAATCATTCAGTCAGTCACGCCCTACGCGGCAAGTATACGGAAGATACCTATCGCCGATGTATACATGTTGATGCGGACGGTCCGAGTCTCCAAGTACATCGTCTCGAGCGGGTCCGCCGTCGATGATTTCGCTCATGTTCCTTGATGGCGTGACTCTGCGTCGAGTCTACGAGCACGGGACAGCATGCCTTCGACACGAATTAGTTCTTCACTGGAATGCACCGTGCATCATTGACGTCCTCGCCACACTTGCGATGCGTTCTCTAACGACGAACGGCGCAAACCCTAGCAAACCTTCATATGGCTTGATATCATCGCAAAGGTCGACCGCGGGATACGACTGAATATTGAATCCTTGGGCTTCACTGTAAAACAGCGGGTAAGATATCCCGTTGCGACGTTGCAACATCTCAGGCCGATCTGGGCCTTCTTTTGACGTGTCGGTGTCCGCTCATGACGGTGACGGTAGGGTCTGGCAGAGGATTGACGAAGACGGCTACGAATGCGGTAAGTGATATGCCCCATTGAGAAACGCTCTCAGCCGCCACAGTGGCCGATCGCGCGTCGCAGCGTTGTTCGTGCCCGAGGCATTCCTCCGCAGACATATACCCGCTCTTGGCACAGAAAAGGCCTGTCAAAAAATCAATGACGCAATTACCAGCCAGCTGTGTCGGGCCCACATATAAGCCAACGCTAGTCGTTTCCTCGCGGCGTCCGTCCTTGGTCCCCTCCTCCGCTAGCTGACTATGAGAACTCTGGCGTCGTCCATACGTTGTTGCCGCACTATCTGCCCTATGCATGCTTCGTAGTTTGTGCGGCCGACTCCATTTTCCACGTCGCTCCGATGGGGCACGCGGCTTGCGTCGAATGGCTAGACGTGAGTTCACGCCCTTATCTATATACACTATGTGTTGCGCGTGTCGGACGGTGCTAGAACAGTGAGCCCAAGTCGCATGAGAGTCGAGAGGGACGCGGTTAGGCGGACGCGTTTGCGAATCGCGTCGCGCTCTCGTGACTCGGGCCACGTGGCCGCCTTGAGGTTTCGATTCGCCTCTGCGATCGTGAACGCGGTACCAATCTCGGGCTTTGTCCTCCCACTTACGACGGTCCTCCATGAGACTCCCTCGTGCCATCTTCTCCCGCTGATACCCTCTCATCTTTCATTTCCTCCGCGATACCTATCGTCTCTCATTTCTTGCACGCTAGCATCTCATGGGCAACAACCCTAGCCGCCCGTCAGGAACTTCACGCTCACGATCGCATTTTCCTCAAGACCGCTCGTACTCGAAAAATACATGGTCTAGTCGCCCGCGGAGGGGCTATGGCGCGGAAGAAGACATGTATGACGCGGAGCCTATGGCGCTGAGAGAGGAGCAGGCGCGCCAGCAGCCTTACGGCTCTCCATTTCCCAATATGCCACAGCAGGGTTATTACGGCCGTGCGTGTTGTTTGTGCCTCGCAATGAAGACCCTTTCACCCATACCATTGCGTGTGCATCGTACACAGAGCCTCAATCTATGCCAGGGCAACCCCTCGTATTCCCTCAGCCCCAGATGCATATCGGAGGCAACCCAGTCATCCCGCCCATTCCCACTATGTCAGGCGCTATGCCCACGGCTGGCAACCCGTTCCCCGCTCCTCCGATGAACACAGGCATGGGTATGGGCATGGGCCTTGATCACAATTCGCACATGGGTATGCCCCAACCAGTTATCCCCGGGCAAGGGCAAAACCCCGAAGCACCCGTCATCCCTCCCATGCCATCTAACTTTGGAAGAGCCGGCGGGACGCCATACCATGCTGCTGGCGCATATCCGGACTCGGAGGACTCTGAAAGCTACGATGATGAGCTGAGTCCCCAAACACGCGAGCGGCTCCAGCCTCCCCTCGCACCTGGGCAATACGGTCCGTTCGATCGAAATCGCGAGAGGAGGGGCACGCCCGCGCCCGCGCTTAGACGAGGTCAACACCGTAGGGCGGAGTCCTCCCCCGTGTTCGTACAGCAGCTGCCTCCTGGGTTTGTCCCGCAGGAGCAGCCCCCGGTTATTCCCCCGCCAGGCGTCGCGTTTGGCCCCGGCCAGCAGCCCTTTCCTCAATTCCAGAACCAGGGCGCGCCCATGTACCAGGAAGAGGAACGCTTTCGCCGCGAGCCTCCGATGGACTTTCGACCGCGGCCGTGGACTCCGCTCCGTCACACCCACAATCCTTTGCCCCCGCCGCCCAAAGACATCTTCCAGCACTCCCCATACGCCCAGATCCTGCGCGAGCTCCGCAAGCCGATAGACGCGGAGGAGATCAAGGCGAAGCTCGCGCAGGCGCCCGCGTTCACGACCATAAACGCCATTCCGATCCCGAACGTGCAGCCCGGGCACCACCAGGGTTCGCGCTCGAGCAAGGAGAAGAAGCGCAAGGGCCTCTTCCGGTCACTCAGCGCGCGCCTGGGGGGTTCGCGCAGGGACGACGAGAGCTTCTCGGACGTCATGAGCCCCCCTCAGCAGGCATTCGTCGGCGGTCAGTCTATCACGATACTCCCCACGGTCGAACACCTCCCGGATGGGACCACTACGTTGACGTACCACCATCCTAATGCGCCGATGGCTGCGGGAGCGAACACTGGCGGTATACCCATGGCTGGAGGCGGCGGACAGCCGCCAGTCATGCCATCCGGAGTTATGCCAGGGTATGTGCCCGGAGTCGCCCCAGCAGTCTCGCCCGCATTCGGGAACTCCGCGGCACAACAGCAACATCAACAACAGCAGCAACAACAGTACCCTCAGTCTCCTGGCCCACAACGCATGCCGACCCCGCAGCCTGCGCCGCCTCCGCCTCCGCGCCCTATCCGGATCGACCGCTCGAACCGGTACCACGGGCTGCTGCACATGTCGCCGCACAAGGTGCACTACGGGAACAAGTCGTACCCTACGGTACTGCACCTCATCGAAGCGCTCCGTTTTTTGCCCGGACACCCTGAGTCCGCGGAGGAGGTGCGGCGGTGCGGCACGGCGGAGGAGGCGGCTGTGATTTCGGACAGCATGCGCTCGCGGTGGCGCGGAGACCTGCAGGAGAAGTTCTCGGAGCTGGTGAGTACGGCCTATCGTCGTGTGTTGGCGCGCGCCTTCGATGTGAATGTTGACTGTTGACACGATGCTTGCAGGTGGAAGAGGCGCTGTACCAGAAGTTCATCCAGCACGAGCGCCTACGCGAGCTACTCCTCGAGACGGGCGACGCGGAGCTGATATACACGGACCCGAACGACGATTTCTGGGGCGATGGTCCCGTGGGGCAGGGCATGAACGCCCTCGGGCAGGCGCTCTGCCGCGTGCGCGACCGGCTTCGCAGGGAGCTCGAGACGTAATACGCCCTCGGCGGGCCCCCTTCCCTATCCCTACCCTCATCGGATCTCCAATACCATACCATACGACCTGCGATACCTAACCTACTGCGACACCTCTATCTCCACACATCCCTACCCTCCTCCGGCTCTCCTCGTCTTTCCTCCTCTCTTCTTTTGGCGGTCTCTTGTGTGTGTCAGTGTACCCTTTGTTCCCTCCCTCTTCACGCTCTCGATGATGCTCTCCCCGACGACCATCCCTCGCTTTCTTAGTCTAACCTTATCCTGCCACGACTGCTGTGTTTGTTGCGCCACTATGTGTTTGGGTGTTCACGACTATAGGCACGATATTATGGGATGTACTGTATCATAAGTAGTAGAGTATGCATGATGCATTATTTGCTGTTCTGAACGATGGAAGCGAGCAAGCACTAGCGTGAATATGAATGGTCGTGAGGACATAATGCGGAGCCCGAGGTGGTGAGTACGCGGACGTATGTAGTGCTCTCGAGGACTATCACGCCTTCCTGCGACGCTTCCTCTTACGCTTGCCTTCCTGCTCTCCCGTGTCCTCTTCCTGTACCGCGTCTACATGCTCCTTAGCATCGCCGCCCTTCCCTCCCGCAGACGATGCCTGCGCGATGGCCCTCCGCACGGCCTCACGTCGTATCTTTTCTGGCACTTTACTCCAGTACAGTTCTTCTCGCGCGCCCTCGACGACCTCCATCGAGATCGGCTTGATTTCCCCGCCTTCAGCATCTCCCTCTGTCCCAGTGCTGTCGAGGCCCTGGCGCTGCACGAGAGGAAGGGTATGGAACGCGGTCACGAGCGCCTGTGCGTGGTGAGGCGCAGACAAGCGCAGGTGGCACTGCGGGTGGGCGCGAAAAGGTCAGCATCTGTGCTCGCGCATACGAGGAAAGAGCGGGTACGCACCGTGCCCATGCCCTTGCTGTAGTCGACGTAGTCGAGCGCGTCCGGCCCAAAGCCGCGCGCGGCGAAGAGTGCCTTGAGCGTCGTCCGGTTCGTCTCCGGGTGCACGCCCCGCACGTACACCAGGCACCCAGGCGGGAACGGCGCATCTGGGTCCGCATGCTCGTGCGCGGGCGCAGGCGCTGGGGGCGCGTGCGTAGGGGGCTCCCCGTTGCCCCAGCCCTGGTCGCGGTCGCGGTAGCCGTCTGCGTCGTAGCTGGGGTCCGCAGGCCCAGCCTCTGGTTCGGGCTCTGACTGGGCGATTTGGTCGAGGAGCCGCTGGCGGTGCGCGAGGTACTCCTCCTTGAGCGCGTCCCAGCGCGCCTTCGGAAGTGCGCGAAACCCGAATTTGACCGCCTCGCGTGCGGGGGCGCCCGTCTCCTCGTTCTCGTCTTCGCATGGCGGGATGTCATTGCGCCGGGGCCGCCATGGCCAGTCCGCGACGAGGCGTGATGCGTCGTCTTCGCTCGCGAATGTGACGAGCGCGAAGCCCTTGGGTTTCGGGACGTCCCCGGGGCGGTCGAGGTGGTGCACGGGGAGGGTGATACTTTGGACGCCTGTGGAAAGCACTTGTCCGGAGCTAGGCAGGCCGAGGAGAGCGGAGATGAAGGCGTAGATCTTGGGCACGCTGCGGTGCGCGAGGGGAAGGCATTCCTATATGGCAGCGCAACGGATGAGTTCATGCCCAGCGTCACCACGGCATGCAGGGCGGGGTGGAACGCACCATGTACACCGTGCTCTTCTCCCACTCTTGCCGGGTGGTGTTGCGCGCGCTCAGCAGCGCATCGCGCCAGTCCCTCCTCCGCACCTCGTACCCGCCTGGGTCGCTCGATGTGGACGCGTCCGTGCCCTGCCAGTCTGTCCGCGACGGCGCGGTGACGCGCATGCGCACCTCAAAGATGTCGGCGGCGTGGGTGCGAATTGCTTTGACGTACGCAGATTCTGGGGGCCGCGAGCTCAGATGGGAGAAGTACGCGGAGTTGCGGAGGAGCGCGCTGAGGGGGAGCCCTAGAAGATGAAGCTCAGCTCTCACTGCTGGGAGCGCGGGAGGGTACGTACAGCCTTCGTCCGCGGTGGCGAGCGCTCTGCGGAGTTCGACATTCGCCCAGAGAGAGTGGTCGGAAAGTGAGAGCGAGAGGAGTGCAATGAGGTCTTCGTCGGGTATAGCTGGTTCCGAGTGTTTTTGTTTGCCCTTCGTGGTGCTTGCGGAGTTTTGGATGGGTGTTGCCTTCGAAGGCCCAGCTCGGACTTCTGGGTGAGTCGCAGCCGGAGCGACTGCATTTCCTGTTGCTGTATGATGAGGTTTTGATTTCTGGGCAACTTTGCGAGGGACGAAGGCGAACATGACGGCAAGGAGCAGGAGGTGCCTCAAGCGCGTAGACTCGACGTCGACGCGTCGGGTAAACGCCCACATGTCACGATCACATGGGACGCGTCACGGCGCCCACAAGCGTGACTGCCGCGGGAAGTGGGGGCTCTGTGCCGCGGTGAGCCTGAGAGAGCTCGTCCAAAAACCGCCATGAGTGGACCTGGCCCTCGGATGACCCACTCTGCAGTCCACATGCGCCGCGACATGCGTACGTCGCTGAGAAAATACGGGCCTGTCCGCCGAGGCCGGGACGCACCCCACCCGGACGTCCCCATCGACGACCACCGCCGCCGTTCTGAGCTCTCCGCCGCTGCAGATCGCGTCGGACTCTATTGCACCGGAGCGGGAAGTCGAAGCGAGGTGGGTGCGATCGCAGCAGGCGGGGCCAGCTGCGCTCCAGGCAGTGTCTCCCCTCGCCACCGTATACTTACCTGGCACTCCTCGCCATCTAGAAAGGAAGCACGGCTGCTTGTCTGTCCATCGAGATCGACGATTCGCGCTGCTGAAGCGAGTGACGTACGTATAGGTGCACCTGCTACCTCTTCCTCCCTCGTACAGCGTCAAGTGCACTCCGGAGCGATGATCTCCGTCTCGGCAGCCTCTCGCTCCGCCTTCAATCGCTCCCCCGTTCCAATCTCCCAGTCGCGGACTTACTTTCGCTCTTCATCTCATCTCTGCATACCCATCGTTCGTTCAACCGCGACTGACCCACACCTCCAGATACTTGTCGGAACCAATCGCGTGTCTACCAACTTAGACTTGGCATAATGACCTCTCTCGACGTGACGCCTGGGCAATTCCTGGCTACCCTTGCGGTCGTATGGCTAGTGGGGTACTTCATCCAACACCGTCTCAACCCAGTCAGTCTTTCGAAGACCTCACACGGAACACGGCTAACTAGTCCTCGCAGCTGAACTCTATCCCCACTATCGGCCCTTCCGCGCCGCTCCTCTCCTACATCGGGGCCATTCGCTACTTACGCGATGCCGAGAGTCTTTTACGAGAGGGCCATGAGAAGGTACGCTTATTTTACCGGCGTATACGAATAATGCTGACGCGTACACATGTCCTTAGTATGACGGCCGTGTCTACAAGGTCGCCATGCTCGACGGCTGGCTCGCTATCTTCACCGGCCCGAAACTCATCGACGAGCTTCGCAGGTGCTCAGATGACGAGCTGTCCGCAGTCGAAGGCGCCTCACAGGTAACCCACCTCTTACAAACCATGGATTTAGTAGAACTTATCACCGCGTTCACGTCTACTAGGTGCTCCAGCTAAGGCACACGCTCGGCCCGGGCGTGGACGACCAATTTCACGTCGCAGTCGTACGCGACAAACTCACGCGCAGCCTACAAGCGCTTTGCCCAGACGTGGTCGACGAGATCTCTGCTGCTTTCCAGGAGTACATTCCCGCTACAGGGAGTGGTAAGTGTTCTTATGCAGCGGTGCGCCTACGGATTCGCCGTTTACTCACCGGTCTTGCGTCCTTTCTTTCCTGCCAGAATGGGTCGGAGTGCGTGCATTCCCTATCGTCCAGCAAGTGATTGCGCGAGCGAGCAACCGCGTAATCGTCGGCCTGCCCAAATGCACGTCCATCGTTTACTGCAGATAGTAGGCCGGAATTTAACGGCCTTGCTTTGTAGGCCGTGACCCGGAGTACCTCAAAGTGGCCGTCACCTTTACGAACGACGTGTTCATCACGTCCTTCCTCATCAACCTATTCCCCGACTTCCTTAAACCGTAAGCACATATACCATCACGTCCCAGATGTGTGAGGGCTGAACATGAATCATCCGACCGTGCAGTGTTATAGGGCGCATGACAACCATGGTCTCAAAGAACAAGCGGGCTCTCATGCCTATGGTCGTACCCATGCTGCAAGAACGGCAGAAAATGTACGAAAAGTATGGAGACGATTGGGCGGACAAGCCCGTACGTGTACACCTTCCCGAGTAACCCCTTAGCCACCAGGACTGACCGACATCATTGCCTACATAGCGCGACTTGCTCCAGTGGCTACTTGACGAGGGACGCGACAAGGGCACGCCGTTCGACAACATTGTCGAGAAGGTCCTCCTCGTCAACTTCGGCGCGATCCACACCTCCAGCGGCGTAAGCATCATGCTCCCTTTAACGTTAACCCGTCCGCCTTGTCTGACTCGCCAGGCCCGCCATGCAGACGTTCACACATGCGCTCTACAACCTCGCCGCGTACCCCGAGTACATCCAGCCGCTCCGCGAAGAAGTCGAGGGCATCATCGCCGAAGAGGGCTGGACGAAGACCTCGCTCGGGAAGATGCGCAAGGTCGACAGCTTCCTCAAAGAGTCCATGCGCCTCGCTGACGGCTCCCTCCGTACGTCCCCTCCCCTCCCCCCATGCTCCCTTCCCCCTGCCCTCCTTGCCTTTGTTACATCATACTGACCTAGGCATGCGCACCGCGACAGTGGCGATGTTCCGCAAGGCGATGAAGGACGTCACGCTCTCGGACGGGACGCGCATCCCGCGCGGGACGCTCGTCGCCGCGGCGAGCGCGACCGCGCACCGCGGCGACGACACGCGCTACGCGGCCCCAGACGCGTTCGACCCGTTCCGCTTCGCGCGCATGCGCGAGGGCGGCGCGGACGCGGCCGTCAAGCACCAGCTCGTGAACACCTCCGTCGACTTCCTTACGTTTGGACATGGGAAGCATGCGTGGTGAGTAACTTTCTGGGCTCGGACGTCCCTCGACCCCTTGGGCACTCGGTAGGACGACCGCTGACGATGGGTGAACTATGCATACAGCCCGGGCCGGTTTTTCGCGGCGAACGAGCTGAAGACGATGCTCGCGTATGTTGTGCTCACGTACGACGTCAAGTTCGAGAGGGAGGGCGTGCGGCCCGCCAACTTCCGCTTCGGCCCTGCTGACCTCCCTGCGCCGAACGCGACGGTGCTGTTCAGGAAGCGGCAGGATGTGTCGGGGGCGAGGAAGGTCGTAGTCTAGAATGAGTGTTGTTGGCTCTGCGTGTACATGTGGATGGATCGGATGGATATGTGTTGCCCCTAGGGCGGCGAATGTACAGTGTCGCAAAAAAGTAGTGATATGCTCAGGAGTGCTCGAACGCAGAAAGCACAGCACTCGAATAAGCGTCATCGACGACCCCTTGCACTCACCTCCAGCTATCAATCGACCGTACAACAATTTAGGCGGACTAGTTGGTGGTGCAATTAAAAGATGTGATCGAAAGTATAGCCACCTATCCAACAATCCGCGAAGAGACCTCCAAGCGATACACAGTATCACTTCTTAGGCTTTCCGAAGAAATCCTTCAGGCTGCCCTGCGCCGCAGCGGGCTGCTTCTTGGTCTTCGTCGTGCTGGGTGCCCGCGCGACCGGCTTCTTCTTGACCACGGGCTCCTCGGCATCGGAGGCGTCCACGTCGATGCTCGCTGGTTTCTTCGCTTTCGCAGCGGACGAGGACGTCGACGTGCTCGCCTTCTTGCCCTTGCCCTTCTTCGGCGCTGCCTCCTCTGCTTCCTCTTCGTCGACGGACTCGTAAGACGAGTAGTCCTCCGTCACTAGCACACATCACCAGCATGAGATCTAGGCTGGACGCTATGCAAGGCGGCACGCACCCATGTAGCCCTTCGCGTCGACGGTCATGCGCGACTTCATGATCCGCTTCTTCTTGAGGCCGTTGCGTCCCACAGGCACGACCTTCTTCTGTGCCTTCTTCCGTGGCTTTGGTTTCGGCGCGGCATCCTCGTCCTCTGACGCCTGCTGCGTCTCTGCTGCAGGTTCCGGCGCCATCTCGACGTCTTCGTCTTCGTCGTCTGCAGGCTCCGGCTTAACGGGTACTGGGCGCGAGGAAGATGCTTTCTCCACGAGAGCTGCAGGGGAGAGCAAGCCATTTAGCCTGCGAAGCTGTGCTCCAGTCCGCATGGCACTCACCGTCGTCGATGTCCATCATCGCCCGTAGGCTGTTCTCGGCATCGGAGTCGAGTGCATCCGCTGCCATGGACGAACGCGCCTTGGTCTTTGTGATGCGCCTGGGCGGCGGAGGCGTGTCTTCCTCGTCGTCAGACACGATGCGGTTCTTGCGGAGCTTGATGTCGGCGGGCGCAGGCACGGGCGTAGACTTTTTCTCCTTCTCCTTCGCGCGGGGTGTGGGCTTGTCCTCGGCATCTGAGACTGCGGGTGGGGCGACTTTGCGCTTGACTCCACGCTGTAGACGTAGTGAGTATGGAGGCTTTCGCAATGAGGTGGACAGCAACAGACCTTGCCATCGTCCTTGGGCGACTCGTCATTGATCTCGAGTTTGGCGGTCTTCTTGACTGCCTTCTCTACAGGAGAAACGCTCTCCTCTTTCTTGACCTCCTTCTCTTTCTTCTTACTCTTGTCGCTCTCCGGCGTCTTCTTCGCCTTACTCCAGTCGAGTTTACCGGTTGCTTTAGGCTTCGCAGCACTGACGTTCGCCTTGTCCTTTTCTTTCTCGGCGCTGGAGATGGACGCAGACCCTGACTTGGTGACTGGAGTCTTGTCTTCCGGCTTCTCTGTCTTCACTTTCAAAGTCGGTTTGCGGGAGATCGACTCTGCCGCTGCCTTCGACGATGAGGCCACAGGCGGCAGCGCCTTGCCGATCTGCTGCGCATGAGGAAACACGGTGGTGATGCAGAGCAAGGTGGAACTCACCCGGACGTCTGGGCCGACGACTCTCCCGAGGGCAATAGAGGAAGTTGGGGCGTCTTTAGCGTCGGCTTTGTAGACTATGGCGGAGGGATCACAAATGAGACCGGCGTCCTAGCGAGATTGTTCATACATGTAATCTCAAGTCAATGGGAGTGCTTCGTACCGTGAGGGGCGAGGGGCTGAGACAGTAGACGTGTACTGAGAATATGCGCGCATATGTCGACTTTGCGTCTATGTCAAAGAGAGGGGATTGTTGAGGGCAAAGTAGGAAGTACAGGGTATGACAGGCGTACGTTCGAGGTCTTGTTCGCCCACAAGCGTCAGCGTGGTAGTCGGCACCTCCTCCTCTGTAGATTGGGATTCTGTGGGCTCTGAGTCTACATCCATCCCATCTTCGGTCTGCGTTGAAGTGCTATCCTGCGTTTGGGGAGCAGTGGGGAACAGTTCGCCGGAGACCAAATATGTGGCGAAAGCACGCGTCGGGCTGTCGACAGATGTTTCATGGAACTTTGAGAGCTCTCTGTGCACATGCTCTTCAGGTTTCAAGTCATTGTTAGAACACCTCGCGACATACGTTTTGGCAGCATTGACGTGAATACCGAGCTGGCGACTGAGAGAACGGTATGTGACCTTACGAGGTGAACAATCAGAGCTGCAACCCTCGGCTGGTCAGATCAACATCAACATACGACGTTCTTCTCAATAAAGAGTTGTTTTGTGAGATAGTCGTCGAGAGCAGGCATCGTGTGCGTGGTAGAGAGAGGTTGAGGGAGAGGACGAGACGCGTCGGCGTCGCTCTCATGAGATTCGCGACACACGTGACCGCACAACGCGTCTGTGGCTGAATATTTGTAGGCGCCCGGGGCCGTATCCCATCCGCCTCTTGCTCTTAGCCACGACGCGCTGTTCTGCGAAACGGATATCAGTTGGTATGCACGTATGCCCATAATCATAGAAATTTTTGATTTATTATGCATGGGGGTAGCTGCTCTAGAATCTTGGGCTCGAGTCTTGCTCTCTCAATGCCTCCACCACCTCCCTCAGATCACCCCTCATTCCGTCTCTGTATGCTCGAACGGCCCTTCAAAGTTGTCCAGCTCAAACCCGATGACCCGATCCCAGAAATTTACATCCGCATGTTGACGGAGCAAGTCACGGCGGAGGGTCGCTTCATCTCCCTTACGCGCACCAACGAGGAAGTGTCGATTGTCAGGGAGTGCTCTAACGTCGAAGAGGCAGACGCAGCCTGGCGCTGCATCAAGATCGCCGGACCCATGGACTTTGGTAAGCTTTCTGCGACCCTCACGAAAACAACTTCGATAGCGATGGGTCCTCTCATAGGCGTCACGGGAGTGATGTGCAACTTCACTCTACCCTTGAAGGCTGCCGGGATACCGATCTTCGCGGTATCGACATGGTAGGGGTTCCCCGGTGTGCAGATATTGCGCATTGATCAACAAAGTTATAGGAATACTGATTACGTGCTGGTGCCGAAAGAGTCGGCAGAGGGCGCAGTGAACGCCCTCACCCAGGACGGTTGGCAGTTCGTTCAAGGCGGCCGGCAATAAAGATGGGACATACTCAACATTGACAAACGACTGGATAGCAGCATGGACTATGAGAACCTTACGATCGGCCACGACGCGGACGTCTGAGACAGATACGAATACAAAGCAGACACACTTGAGTAAACCAGAGCAGTGTACATGGTATACATCGACAGGACGAGACGATCGCCTCTAATCGCTCGACAGTCCATCGGACTCACTATCCGCATAGCTGCCCGCGCTCCCCGTAAACTCCGTATCCATACTCTCGCTCCCAAACTCGAAACTCATCGCGTCGTCATCGTCATCCACCCCGCTCTCGTACTCCGGCCCCTCCGCATCCGCCTCTGTCCGGTCCGCCGCAGCGACACCCTCCGCGCACCGCAGGCACTTCCACTGCGTGCCCTTGGGGCCGACGCCCGACCGCTCGTCCGCCGTGCGCATCATGCGGTCCGTCACGCAGTAATAGCAGTAGACGTGCCCGCAGGACGTGACGTATGGCGTGTGGATCGGGTGTTGCGGAACCTGCTCGGGGTCGCTGGATTCTGCTGGGCCGTCGGATCCGGTGGTGGCATATGGGGAAAAAGACGTGAGGGACGATAGGGCAGCGGCAGGGTCTGCGAGGTTCGTAGACGCGTTCTCGGCGCAGATCGCGCATTGGTCCTCAGGAAGCGTCCAGAACTTCCCTCTTCGCGTCTTCTTCTCGGTTTGCGCCGCACCACTACGCGAGGGCATGATAGAGTGGACGGTAAGGCATGAAGTGATGGATGTGAACTGCCGACGAAGAGCTCGGGTATTGACTAGAGGTAGGAGGAAGAGCAGGAATTCCTGGGACGAAGTCAGAGGACGAAGACGAGATAATCCTTGCCACCAGACTTACTGTGAACGCGTGCCAAACCATCTGCCGGTTCATGAACTCATAGGACACTTCCCGCTGGAAGTGTCGGCGCGCAGAGACCAGCCGCAAACGGAGCACCCTATCTGCTAATGTCCGGTACCTAAATGAATGTTATCAGCTCTGGTGAAGCAATTGTCATCGCTCGTTAGACCGACCTTCCGTTCCAAAGGAAGAAGACAAAGTTCAGCAAGCCAGCCGCGCTGTGTATTGACTCCAGGCGCGTCAAAAGCTCCCAGGATTTCCGCCGTCTGTCTGACGAAGGCGCGTCCGGCCACGCGTTGGATAGGGCATGGGAGCGGAGGCGGTTGTGAAGATATGGCACGAATATCGTCGCGACGATATGCACCGCCAACGTCGACCCAGGCAATCCGGAAGCTGTCACCTCCGGTCAAGAATACCACTACGCGCAGGGGGTGAGGGCGCACCGATACGAGAACGAGACCCTGGCGGAGGAGCGTACTTCAGGCCTTGCAGCTTCGCGCCATAGCTCGACCCCTGGTCCCAAACGGAGAACTTGTACAGCACGAGCTGGATGAGCAGGCCGAGCTCGGGCTCGAACTGTGCCTTCCACGCAGACTGTAGCAAACATCGCGTTGGGAGCACGTCGCAAAGAGAGACAACAGACCGCGTACATTGACCAAGCTCAGTGCCTTCGTGAGCGGCTCCTTCAGCAGCTGCACGAGCTCCGCGTCCAGGAGTTCCGCGTCGACCTTCCCCACACGCGTGATGCGGGGGTGCGGAGATGGCGAGGCCGCTACGTCCGCGCGGATTCGCGATATTCTGTCCTGGGCGTCGCTCCAGGCGTTCTGCCAGGACTGATCATGAGCCAGAGGGTGCCGGGCGGACATGGGGTGAGTGGGACGAGGATGACATCGCCGACGCTTGAGCGCCGCCGGCACCCTGGGTCGAGTGTCAAGACCACTTGGGTCGCACGTGATTGCTATCCGCTATGCCTCGCAATAGTTCGCGATGTCGGCGTGAGCTTCGCAGACGTCCCGGAGCTCTATATGCATGTGTTTCAAGAACACTGGGATGGTACAGTACTTAGCTAGAGCAAGAGCGGACAGTGGAAGTGTGCCCGGTCTATAGATGTGTCGCAGCGAGTACGCAGCGTCTTTCTCAGACAGTTTAATGATCGCTCACACAACTCATAAGGCTAGGGCCGTCGACCTGTGTCGGCTGAAACCTTGCTCGACTGGTCACTACACGTGGGGTGCGTCATTGCCATGAGAAATATATTTGACCACGGCTACATGCTATGCAGCCGATGCGGCCACTGCATGCATAGACAGTGTGTAGAAGCGCCTCCACCCTCCTGCTCGTGGCACTCTTCGCTGAGCCCTCTAGATCTACTGAGCAAGCACTCCTGTAGCCACTAGGAACCCTTCCGTACAGCAAAAATATAGCTCTCCTTGCCGTCGTCGACCCGTGACCGTGCACACCCACCCCCGCCGACTCATAACCTCGTCATATCATCATGGAGAAGGGCGAAGGCCTAGGGTCGTCGACTCCTCGTAGAACAGGATGACGACGGCATCGCCGGCAGCTTCCATCCCACAGTACGCTAGGGAATGATGCACCTGTCCTTCTTGCAGACGACAGGTGGCTCGAGCGCCGCCGCAATCGCCTGGATGATATATTGAGCATATGCCGCTGCATGCACAGAGGCGGACGACTCACCTTATCAAACACGTTCTTCAGGCCCTCCCGCGTCAGCGCAGAGCATTCCATGTACTTCACTGCTCCCAATTCCCGAGCGAGCCGCTCGCCTTGAACGGAAGTGATGGGCCGTTGTTTCTGCCTTACGAGCTTCTCCAGCACCTGACGGTCGTCCCGGAGATCAATTTGGGTGCCGACAATAATGCACGGGACACCCGGGCAGTGATGGCGCACTTCCGGGAACCACTTCTCCTTTACGTTTTCGAACGAGGCAGGGGACGTTACACTGAAGCAGACAAGGAACACGTCTGTTTGGGGGTATGACAGGGAACGCGGATGGTTGTTGTATTTTTCATCTATGAGTACGATCTATTCAGCACGGACTGTGTGTGCGTTAGACCGCAACGCATTTACTTGCTGTGTCGAACAGTCCGAGGGTATACGGGTCGTCACCGATCATAACCGTGACAGCACAGTCGTACACCTGCATGTAGGGATGAATTAGACACATGGACGAGACGGTGTAGGTCATCAATCACGCACGGCCGGAACATATTCGGTGGGGAATTCGTTGGCCGCGTACGAAATCAACAGACATGTCTACAACACATATCGCTCCCGTTAAGTGCTGTAGTGGGCTCGTGAGCAGAGGACGACGCACCTTGCCGACCACACTATCGCCCACGACAACGCACTTGATCGTCTGCATGGTTCTCCGAGGCAACTAGTGGACTGAATATACGTCGCAAGGATACCTGGTGGTAAACAAGATGGGCGGAGTGCGCAAGAGCACGCTGCGGCTCGCTTCGCTGCGGTCGCGACCATGTGGACGCTTAATATTGTTTGGATTTATTTGCCAAAAAGGACGGATTTTGACCTCACTTATGACGGTAGAGTAACCTTGTCAAGCAAGGTGTATCGAAGACAGAGCTAGACATGGGTGTATTACCTCGCGCACGCCCACCAAACGAGCGCGGCGAAAGATACAGTATCGAAGGTGTGTAGACGACTACGCGGCAGCAGGCGCCTTCGGCAACACCTGGTTCGGGGCGTCCTCGAGCACCAGGTTGGCCAGCTTCTGCTCGCGCTTCGCCGCCTTGCGGCTCTTGCGCTTGTTCGTGCGGATCTGAGCCGCCTCCGCGCCGCGGTTGCGCCAGCGGCGCTTCAGCTCCGCCTTGCGCTCCTCCTGCAGGTGGTTCTGCCACTTCCACATCGCCTCCGCGCGCGCCTCGCTGCGCGTGCGCCCGTTCAGGTTCGCGCACTCGGTCGCGATGAACTCCGTGAGCAGCGACTTCTGGCGCGCCTGGAACGCCTGCCAGCGTGCCTGCTTCTTCGCGCGACTGTGCGGGTTCGAGAGCTCCTTAGAGAGGTGCACTTCGACGGGGGCGGAGGTGGGGAGAGCGGGCTTGCCGGGCTTGAAGGAGGTGATGTACTCCTGCTCGGTCGGTATCCTCGGTGCGGGAGAAAGGAGGGTCGAGGGGAGGGCAGGTGCGGTGTATGTCACCTCATTCACGGCGTCCGCGGTGGTGTCATACAGACTCGCTGTTCGGTAGTTAGATATTTATGTGTTGAGGAGCATATGAGTGTTCACGTACGCTCCGGTTTCGAGACCGCGGTCACTTTTGGCCAAGGGATCCGAATCGACACAGACGACTGTTCCGAGAACTTGGGCAAACGTGGTGTAGTGTTCACGGCATACCGCCGCCAGATCCAGTAGCCTCCCTTCGCGTACCAGTAGGGTTCTGACATGGTGAGACGCGACGCGAACACACTGAAGGTACTGGTCAGCAGAAAGCAAAGCAGGTGACACAGCGCAATACATACGGCTTGACCTGCGGCTCCGTTGCCTCACCCTCCGGCGGATACTCGTACCGGCCGATGAGCAGCTGGCATTGCGAGTACGGCACGGACACGCCCACACCGTTCTGTCCCTCCGGCACATATCCCTACAAACATCGTGTTCAGGATACCCGCAACCTCCCCTCTTTTCTTCTACGCACCGCCTTGTTAATCTCCTTCTTCAGCAGCACCCTGTTGCTGATCTTGTTCACCCTGAACACCTCGTGGATAGCCCCCTTCGTGTCTCCTCGGAGGCGGACGAAGTCTCCAGGGACGATGTTCCAGTGTTTGATCCTGTCCTTCAGCTTCGTGTCCTTCGGCTTCGTCTGCCCAGGGAGGAACGGGCCGCGAACGAGGAAGCGCGGTACAGGGAGGAGGTGGCGGAAGTTGCGCGTGAAGGCCGATGTCGTGGCCGCGTAGGCCAGCTCCTTGGCCGATATAGACATGGCGCGGTGAGTCCCGGCTCTCGAAGAGCGATGAGAGGAAGAGAGAAAGGCGGCCGCGGCGAGTCCTGCGCACAAGTACTGTCGCAGTCGTTCCGGTCGAGCTTCCAGCGCGACTGCGTTCCAAGAATTTCAGGCGCCAACTTACGTAAGCCGTAGGACGCGCGCACGCGACCGCGTTTTCCGCCGGGTCGCGCTCTGTGTCGCGTCGCGACTCCCTCACAAAGCAGAGAAAATGAACAGGCGGAAAGACTGTACGGAGCGAGATACATCGATAGCAAGCGAGACCGTTCCAAGTAATACAAAATAAAGGTAAGACTACAACAGAGGTCTGCATGCTACACTCAGCTGCCAGCCGGCAACCCCGCGCCCGTACGCGCCGCCGCTCCATTCCACGCCGCGGATGAACTCGGTGGTTCCTCCGACTCCAATGTCTATGGCCAAGTCAACGCCGAGTATGCTGGAGCCTTTCGAGACACGTACCTCCAATAACATCCCAACCACGCCGTCGACGTCCTCTGGGGGGATGCCTCCACAGCCTGCGCTGATGAGTCGCCGGTACTCCGTCATCCGCCCGTCCGTCCCCGTCTCCGCCTGGAACTTCACGAGCTTGTCGAACATGTCCTTCCGTCGTGTCCGGTGCCCGCCCAGCTCCTCCCTCAGCTTCTCGCACTCCTTCCGCAGCTCCTCCGGGTCGGTGGGTATATCCGCATGCAGCGCAAGCAGATCCGACACGGGCTCGCCGTTGAACGAGATGAGCTGCCCGCCCGCGGCATCCCGCACCCCGCGCTCACGCTCCTCCTCATCCTTGACCCACTTCTCCCACCCAAGCCGGAAGCGCTTGCCCATCTTCCCGCGCAGCTCGTCCTCGAACTGCGCGACGGACTGCTGTGCGACCGGGAGGCCCTGCGCCTGAGTCTTCAGGTGCGCCACGGTCCGCTGGCTCTCGAGGATCTCGGTCTGGATGTTGCTGAGCAGCGCGTTCGCCTGCGTGAGGTCCCGGTCCTTCTCCTTCAGCTCCTGGTCGAAGGACGCCGCGAGGCTGTCGAGCATCATCGTGACGTCGCTAACGCAGCGGGACGCGACCTTCTGACCAGTCACGGAGTAGTGCAGCGATGGCCGGTCGCCGCTCGAGGGGAGGAAGGAAAAGGACGCGGGGCCGTTTAGCGAGGGACCATCTGCGGCGCGGAAGGGGAGCGGGCGGGAGGGGAGGAGTGGGGACGACCGGAACCGCTCGTCCTCGAGAATGTAATCCTCGGTCGTCTTCCCGTCGCGGTTCGCGATCTTGGGGTCGGCGCCGTGGTCGAGCAAGAGCTTCACCAGCCGTTTGCTTCGACAGCGCGCTGCCATGGTGAGCGCCGTTTCGCCGTCCTCGTCCTGGAAGTTGATGATATCCGCGAGTTCTTGGGGGAAGTCCGCAAGGCGCTGAAGTACGGTCTCCATGTAATACCGCGCGGCGTGGGTCTTCCCCTTCGACATTGCGACGTCGACTATGTGATGGAAGACGGTGCGGTTGCTGTTGTCGATATTTAGGGTGGACTTGTGGAGCAGCTCGTAGAGTTCAGGGAATTTCCGGACGTCGTAGTTGTTTGCGAACATGACGCTTCGCATGAGCGCTGTCTGGCCGGCCTTGTTCACCTTGTAGATGTCCGCGCCCGCCGTAAGAAGCAACTTCACTATCCGAATGCGACCCATGGCGCTCGCCCAGTGCACCGCTGTATGGCCGTCGTCGTCTATTGCCATGTTCGGGTCGAAGTCCGGAGGAGGATTTATGAGAATCTCGGGGATCTGGTTGGAGTCGGATATGAAGTATTCGAGGATCTGGTCGCCGTAGACGGACTGGTTAGCGCCGTTTGCTCCGAACGCGTCGTCTATTGAGTCGTCGTCCTCGGTGGGTCTGTGCTTCCGTTTGCGGCTGGGTTCTGGAGTGGGAGAAGGGAAGTCCTCGTCCATGGCATGCGAAGTAGATGCAGGGGCTCCGGGGCTGCTTCGGATGGGAGAAGGAGTACGGGAGCTGGTGGTGGCTTCGGAGGGTGAAGGGGTCATAGTACCGTCTTCCGACCCGCGAATCGAAGCCGTCTCGATGTCGGAGGCGTCGCCATCCTGTCCTACGCGTTTTGAGGACCGGGTGCTGATGACCGAGGCAGCCGGTAGCTCACCACCACGACGTACGCTCGCCTTGGAGGACTGCGCAGATACAAGGTGCTTCGGCGCGAGAGGGGGACTCTTGGCCTCGGGAGTGAAGTCGATTATGGGGCGAAGGATGACCTCGCATCCGTACTGCTTGGAGAGGGAGAGGCCTCTTTCGAGGGGTATCCATGTACCTTCAGTGGAGCGGAGGTGAGACGCGGAAAGATTGATCATTGTGCGGCGCACCTTGGTATTTGCCGTACCCGCCCTGGACTTTCTCGTGTTCGCCCTTTTGGACTTCTCTTTCGAGGATACGCGTCCGCTGCGGCTTGTCGAATCCGGCTACCTTGAGGATCTGAGTCGCGTTGAGCCACGAGTCGGCCCGTCTGCGCATGACGGCGACTCCTTTGCACATCCTGCGGGTACTTTTAGCGGCGCCACGACGCGTAACACGCGTCAAATACATACATCTCGTAAACAGGTATGCCGCTGTAAGTGGCCTTGGAATAGCAGGGCGGCGTCGTGTTTAGGACGGCGATATAAGGTGTGAAGACTGAGATAGCTTCACCTTGAAGATCTGATTGTCCGGCATGGTCAACCTCTTCGTCGCAGCAGATTGTCCACCTGTGTTTGTCGCTCTTGTTGCCGGGGGGTCTGAGGTGAAACGACGAGGGCGCAGACTTGGAGGCGGAGGCAGGGATGGGAGCGGAGAGCGAGTGTCCGCCTGACGCGCCCAGACGCGTTAGCGCCAGCGTCTCTCACGCGTCACGCGTCCATCGTTGCGGAGGCTGTATCTGGCTGTATAAAGTTACTTGACGCACGACTTATCCGTGCGTGAGTCCGCCTAAATTCAAGGCTAATTGCTTGGGCTTGCGTGACGGCGCTTGGCAGCGTGCGTGGGCGTTAATAACTTTCGCTCGCTGCCTGCGGCGGTCTAGGCGCCGTGAACGCCACCGAGCTCGTCGTGTCTACATCGCTCGTCATCGCTTTTCTGCTCGCCGTCAACGTCTGCGCAGCAACCCTTCATTTATCGCTCCAACTTCGCCAATATCAGCTCAAATTCTTTCAGGATATACTCGCTTCCCTTTGGTGTCTTAATAAGTACTACCTTACAAGTTACATTGATATATTTTAGATCCATACGCGCCGCGGCGCTATGTTTACTTCCTAAGTCTTTCATCAATGTTAGTTACAGTAAAATGTAAGATGTTCGTGTAATGCCGATGGGCCTCCAACTGCTTACAGTCTTCTTGATTATATGTTAAAGTGCTCGGGCTATAGTATACGCATACCGAAAGCCTCCTGCACGGTGCACGTAAGTACACGCAAGGAACTTGGGCGCCTAGTATGATGCTGCGACGTGAACAAGGTCTCGGACGCCCTCCCACTCTCATCTATATGTACTTCGAATATACAGCTGGGTTCATTAGCATGGCATATATTATCTAGAGGCTTTAATTTGCCTTCAGAGTCGGAGGATGAGCTGCTACAAGCCCACGCAAGTTCACGCAAGTCACGCAGAGTCACGCTAACTTGGCGTCAAATTAACTTGTCCTGCCAAAACGCTAGTCCACGCAACGCTACGCTAGTTTTGTAAGGGCCACGCACGTAACTCAAGTTAAATTGTGAACCGTCATCGTTGCGACAGGGCTCGACAGGGAGCCATCGACACGCTGTTCTCGATGTCCCCATCTCCCGCCTGTGCATCTACCGTGCCATCCTCACAGCAGATATCCACCTAAAAGTTGTTGAATCATCGACACAGACGTCCGGCAGGGGCGCGTATGCACTGGCCGCCAATCAGCCACCGGCGCGTGGCTGTGGCTGAAGATGACCGCCGGTGCGCGTTCGTGCGCATGAAACGGCTGTTGTCTGGAGGCAGCAAAAGCGCGTTTGGAAGGCTAATTTGCGCGGATATGACTGGAGCTCGCTGCGTGCGAAGGCTCCGACAATGCCCCAATGAGCGCAGGAAGCCTTGCGGAGACCCTGCGCGGCGGACGATGCGAATCCCGCGCGCAGAAGGGTAGGCGACCGCATGTCGGTCACATGACCTGGCATGCTACACGAACTCAACTGACCCGTTCAGTCGCGCGACTCTTCCTCGCTTTCGACCGCCACCCGCTCTTCCCGTCCTCTCCGCCCCCCTTCCTGCGCGGTCGTCGTCTCCCCCATCGAGCGCACCGCCCCCATGACTTTCCCCTGCGAGCCATTATGCCATTTCGGCGGGAGGTCAGTGGCTCGCGTTCCCACCCATCTTGTCGACCTCGGACGTATTAACGAGGTGGCTAATCTCCAGGCTATTCTTCACCTCGTTCCCGCATCCGCCGCCGCGGCCAGATGTCTTGAATCATCTCGCGCAGGACCCTGAGAACGTCCCAGATATTCGCGGAACCTCCAAAGCATCATCCTCAACCACCCCCGATGACGATGCGAAGTACTACTACTTCACCATCGACGACCAGTTGCTCTATCTGTCCTTCTTTCAAGACTGGGGACCGCTCAACCTTGCGATGGTGTACAAGGCCTGCATCTTGATTCACGAGCTCCTTCAGGTATGTTCGATCTCGCTTCCCAGGTGAGGGTCCTTTATGAACTGCGCCCCCAGGACCCCGCGATTGCCACGCATCGTCTCGTATTCTACTCCTCGAGCGATCCACGAAAGAAGGCCAACGCCGCGCTGCTCATGGCGTTATACGTGGTAAGTCTCCCGATTCAGTGAGCATAGACCTATCGCGCTCCCGCTCATGCATCACAGATGATTGTACAGCAACGTCCTCCATGGGAGGCCTTCCACCCTATCGCAGAGCTCGAATTCATGCCTTTCCGTGACGCCGGCCGTGGGCGCTCAGATTTCAACCTCAGCATACAGGACTGTCTATGGGGCATCTACAAGGCGATGCAGAACGGCTTGTGCGACATGAACGAGTTCGACGTCGAGGACTACGAGTACTACGAGAAAGTGGAGAACGGAGATTGGAATTGGCTCACGCCCAACTTCATCGCGTTTGCCTCCCCCGTGGACCCAACGTGGATCAAGCGAGAGAAGGACAAGAGGGAGCAGGAGAACCAGGCCATCCTGCCCCCCAGCTCACCCGTCAAGACGGGCGGACACGCCCTACAACGGAAGCTTCCCACGCCGTTCGTGAACTGCTTGGACTACTTTGAGCGCCAGAACGTCAAGCTCGTTGTGCGGCTCAACAATCCGCTGTACGACGCCCAGGTATTCCGAGAGCGCGGTATCGACCATCTGGAGATGTACTTCGACGACGGCACGAACCCCACAGATGATATTGTACGAAAGTTCATTGACATGGCTGACGAGGTCATTGAGGGTGGTGGAGTGGTAGCAGTACACGTAAGTGGACCCGGCGGACGTGTTCCCATTTTACTCACGCCGGTCTACTACAGTGCAAAGCCGGCTTGGGGCGCACTGGCACCCTCATCGGAGCGTATTTGATATGGAAGTACGGCTTCACCGCAACAGAAGCGATCGCCTTCATGCGTATCGTACGCCCAGGAAGTGTGGTCGGGCCGCAACAGCAATACATGTACCTGAAGCAGCTCGAGTGGACGAAATGGGCAGCAGTCGACGAGATGCGCAAGCTGCAGCAAGCCTCCACGTTCGCGGCGACCGCCCTTGTGGCACCTGTCACACCACCCGCGGAGCAGGATGAGGAGATGGACGTGTTCACGGACGCGACCACGGCAACGGTCGTAATGACGTCGTCCACCGCGCCTGTGCCCCCAGTAACTCCCAGCAAACATGTCGCCGCTGCCGCAGCCAAGGCATATGCCATCGCCCCGCCCGGACAGCCACGCAAGACGCCGGCGGCGAAGAGGGTTGCGTCCGACTCCGATGGCGACGAGGACGGCGACGTTCTCCCTGCGCTCGGAGCTGGTCCTGCCGCATCTAGACGAACATCGAAGACTAAGCCTGCATCTGCGCGGAGCTCGTCTCAGCGCGTGCCAGCCTCGGAGCAGCGTCCGGCTCGGATTACACGCTCGGCGGCGAACGCTGCGGTGAAGAAGGTCAGCACGATCCTAAGTACGTCGAAGACAACGAAGGCGAACGGTCAGCTTCCGAACAAGATTCCTCGACTGGCAAACGGCACATCCGCTCGAGGCACTGCAACGGGCTCCAAAGATATCACCGCCGCAGCGATACCGACAACGACCCGCCCACTCCGACCCAGGCAGCCTCCAGGATCTCCGACGCCTTCTCGTCTTCCGACCCTCGTTGGGAAGCGTACGCATCATAATTCCACCGGGTCCGTGCAGGAGTCGGCTACTACGGCGGCGGCCATCGCTAAGTCTGCGCTCGCAGCTGCTGGGACGTGGGTAGCGACGAACACGTCGTCGGTCGTCGTGCCCGCGTCAAAATCGGAACGCCCGGGTCTGCGCAACGTGCGCCGTAGACGGAGTAGCTTCAGCGCGGCGGACGTCGTCGCGTGAGCAACTCAGGCAGTCCGAGCAGGTCCCGACTGCCCTCTTCCCATCGTCCCTCCTCATCTTCTTGTCCATCTCCCACTATCTCTCTCAAACATCTGCTCTCCTCCCGCTGACACCTCACCACTGTTTTACATTCCTTCATCTTGTGAATATTTATAACCCTCTTTCCCTCCTTTGCCCTTCCTGGTTATTCTCGCGGTCGCCTTTCCTTTGCACCCCCTTCCCGCAACCCCACCCACCTCAATTACCCCCGTCTGTCCATCACGCCCTCACGCCCCCCACCCATCGCTGTCATGTTCTCACGAGATGATCTAGTTTGATTTACGAGGACTGTCTATGACCATCGCACTACCTGTATATCACCGTCGCACACAATTTAGCAATCATTATCAGTGTTTCACCGTGTGCATTGTACATGACCTGGATACAGCAAGCATTTCGTCTAAATGTACTACTGGTACACCCTTAGTTCTGAGCTTCTCTCCTACTACACTCTGACCCTCACGCAGTTGACGACGCTGAGTGCTTGTGCACGCACTCGAAGAACCACTTCAGGTCATCCGGGTTCACCCCAGGTGTGATCCCATGCCCCAGGTTAGCAATCCACGCCTTCGTGCCCTTCCCGCCCTTGAAGCCCTCCGCCATGCGCTTCACCTCGCGCTCGATCGCCTCCCGGCCGCCGTACAGCACCCCCGGGTCCATGTTGCCCTGCAGCGCGACCTTGTCGCCCACCGCCGCCCGCGCGTCCGCAGGGGAGATGCACCAGTCGATGCCGATCACGTCGTACCCCGCGTTCTCGGCGAGCGTCGCGAGCGCGAGGTTCGCGCCCTTCGGGAAGAGCGTCATGGGCACCGCGGGGATGTTCGCGGCGGCGAGCTTGGCGCGCACCCCAGCGGAGATGCGCTTGAGGGAGGGGAGCGAGAACTCGGCGAAGTCGTGCGGGGCGAGCTCGCCCGCCCACGAGTCGAAGACCTGCACGAGCTGAAGGTGATCGCAATAATAAGTATCGGGAAAGGCGGTCAGGGCGGGCGGGCCAGGGGCGTACCTGCGCGCCGGCCTTGATCTGGCCGACGAGGAAGTCGATGCAGACGTCCGCGATCCTGTCGAGGAGCGCCTTGGACTCCTCGGGGTACTTGAAGAGCCACGTCTTGCACTTCTGGAACGTCTTCGTCCCGCCGCCCTCGATCATGTACGAGAAGAGCGTCCAGGGCGCGCCGCAGAAGCCGATGAGGGGCACCTCCCCGTCGAGCGCCTGGCGCGTCTGCGTGATCGCCTCGTACACGTACCCGAGCTCCTTGTCGACGTCGACGTCCTGCGTGAGCCGCGCGACGTCCGCAGGCACGTTGAGCGGGTCCGGGAAGTGCGGGCCCGGGTTCATCTGCACCTCCATGCCGAGCGCCTGGGGGACGACGAGGATGTCGCTGAAGATGATGGCGGCATCGATCAGCCCGGAGTAGCGGCGGATGGGCTGCAGGGTGAGCTCCTTTGCGAGCGCCGGGGTGCGGCAGATCTCGAAGAAACTGTGGTGCGCGCGCAGGGCCATGAATTCTGGGATGCACGCGATCTGCTCAGCGCCCGCCTCCGCCATATATACATGCGATCGCTGAGCTCACCTGGGAGGTATCGCCCCGCCTGACGCATGACCCACACCGGGGCGCGTTCGGTCTCCTCACCTGTAGGACATGATGTTCACTGAGTGTTCTCGAGATCGCGCAGAGTGACCTACCACGCGCCGCGCGCAGGATGAGGTCGTTTTTGAGAGCGGGGAAGGTGCCCATGGTCAGAGATGCGAGTGGGGAGAGAGCAAGAGTGGAATGCGCTGTGCGTGTGCGGGCTGGTTGAGCGTGTCCTGCCCAAATAAGTGCCTGGGTACGTGTCCGCTGCTGGGCGCGGCGGCGTGGAAGACAAGTCGCGATCCGGCGCGGGCTATGGGAGTGTGAAGGGCGCGCATCGTGGAGGCGCGACAGTAAGCTGTCCGGCGTGGGACTCGGCCTTGCCTCTTGCTCTCATCCTCCGGCCCCTGCGCTGCCACTCCCGATGCCCCCGTGGCTCCCTCTGTTGTACTAGTATATCATGTCTATCACGAATCCGACCCAGCTCGTGGAAGAGTGCGCCTGCAGCCGCTTCGGACGATACACAGAGGTCTAATGCCGCTCTCAGGTTCAAGAAGTCGGGCGAGTTCGATCGTCTCCGCAGAGATCTCCTGAAGGACTTCAGGCAGGGTGTACGTCCCCGCTTCATGTGGACGGTAAGCGCATCCATTCATCTCATCCCCGTTCGCAGGAAGGAGTGCCAGCCTTCCTGGCCCGTGTGGAGGACATCGCGAAGCAGAAACTGGCCTCCGACCCAAAGCTGCAGTACATGCCAGAAGCGACGGTGACCAGAGAGATCATGCAAGAGCTCGAGAGGTGCGTCGTCTCTTCTAGCCACGAGGCTCTGAAGTTGATGTCGCAATGCCAGGTATCCTATCGTGGAACGGGCTGTGGCTGATGCCCCTTCCCTGGCTAGTCCTGCCTTCGTCTCCGACGTGAGAGGCTCTGTGCAGAAGATCCTGCAGGAAGATCGCAAGTCTAACGGACAAGGTGCGTCCACCACCTTCGCAATTGGAACGGTATGTATCGACCGCTATATTCCAAGGAGCTGTCAACGGTGCATCGCAGGCCACCGCTGCTCGCAAGGCGAATGGGACGGGCGGCAACGAGTCCGATGGCGAAAGCAGCGCGGAAAGTATGGACCTGGAAGACGACGACGATAGCGATTGAACGTATGAGTTACCTCGGCTCTTCAAGTCATAGTGCAACACCACCATATCGCATGAAGTGGATGGATCCTGACGACATTATCGCATCCGAGTATGTCAGCGGTCAGAGTGGTTCACGCACCTCCACTCATAGGGTCCATTGATTGGGTTGTAGCCAATAAACTACGTCCCTGTCAATCGATACCTGTTTTCATCCCTCCCGCATGTCCCCAGGCTGAAAAGACTCTCAAGAAGTATGGGTACACAACACAGAAACATGCTCGCGACCTCTTACCTATCACTGTCAGCGGGTCAGAACAACCCTTCAGCACCCGGCACGAACGGCCTTCTCGGTCCGCGAGAGCTCAGCCCCGTTACGTGGGGTAACGGCCAATGCCATCCAACCACTCGCGGGATCATCGCGAGTGGACGCTTCGGTAGGTTAAACGTTGGAGTGCACCGCATGCGCCACCACCACCAGGGCCCAGTCCCCGTTCTCCCGTCGCTGATGCGAGACCGCTTCCGCCGACAGCGTCGATCGGCTTCGCCCGTCTGTCGCAACGATGTTCCTGGCGGAACGACAATCATTGATACACCGTTGGCGAGCATGTACGCGAGATATCAGGAGGAGCTGCAGCGAGATCTGACCAGTCGAGAAGCACGACCCTGAGATGCTGCACGAGCACGGGCTGGCGCAGCACGGCGGGTGCCCCGAATGGCCTCAACGATTGAGCCTCGCAGTCGCGAGGGCCTCGGAAGGAATTCATGCGGAGGTGCGTATGCAGTCTGGACTCTGCAGGGTGCAGGCCCTGTGGGATAGCAGGAGTTCGTCAAACCAGTCTCCTCACTCGAGCTCGCCTCCTCCAATCCATTCCCCGCTATTCGCTTCGCAGCTGGCAGCTTGTTTGCGCCTGCCATCCGCGGGAAAAGAAGCCGTATGATTTGCTCCAGTTTGCCTCGGTTTGTGGGTCTCTTCGCGCACGGCGCAGTGCCTTCGAATTCTCAGATCTCAGCATCGACGCGTTAGCCGACGCACAGTGATGGACACAACCCCCGCAGTTCCCGCTTCTACGCCGTCCTCGTGCGGGTCAAATTCGCATATTTGCATCGGTTACGTCGGTCCTGGGTCGGCGCCGCGGTAGACGTGCCATTCGGCTACAGAGTAAGAGAGGACAGGCCAGACCAGGGCCAGGGACACTGTCCTGCAACAATAGGAGCAGGCACTCACCTTCGTGGTGGCCCTGTTTCGAGACGTCGTGTACCGATAATACCGTCCATATCCACCTGAAGACCGACATGACGTCGACGGATGGGCATGCACCCAATGCACGTTTGCGTGTATAGGTCCAGGCGGCCTGTAGGCTGCATCTCGCCCAATAGTAGCTCCCACAGATGCACAAGTTTCCTTCCAAAGGCCCAACCGGGACCCGTCCTGAAATTCTAAGCAAGCGCGACGGGGACGGGGCGCGTACACGGTAGCAACAGCGCCATACACGACAGACAGCGGGTTAAGTAGCAATAAGCAAGAGCGACCGGCCGCCCCACGGGGGGCAGCCCGCATCAGTATCCTAGGTTTTACACAGTCCGACGAGGCGCGAGCGAGACAGAATGCACGGAAAGAAAAACGGGAACGGGCGCGGACGAAGGGGGTGCATCTAGACCTCCTCGACGGGGCGCTTGTCCGAGCTCGAGTCGTACTGCGACTGCTGCCAGTACGCGTCCGGGGACGGGGACGTGGAGTAGGAGGGAGAGAGGGAGGGGAGGGAGGGGGCGTCGGTCAGCCGCGGCCGCGGATCGTAGAAGAGCGGGGACGGGGACCGACGCACCTCCTCGCCGTCGTGCTTCGTGTCCTTGGTGGTGTCGATGCGGATCGCGATGCCGTCCGCGCGGCGCGAGGCGTACGGCGCGATGTTGCTGAGGTTCGCCGACGCGGCGGGTTGCATGTCGCGCAGCGAGACGGAGACGTCGTGCGTGGACGCGTCGCGGAGGGACTTGCGCGCGTTCAGCGTCGCCATCAGCGAGTTGGAGTACACTGCGGCCGGGCAGCGCGGCGAAGAGGGAGGGAAGGGAGAGGGGTCAGCTCATGTCCGCTCGCGAGAAGAGGCGGAGAGCAGGGGGGCGGGACTTACTGCGGCCGACGAGGAAGAAGAAGGTGATGTAAACGAACGTGTTCGGCAGAGCTACGATAGTAATCAAGGAGAGGCATGCGCAGACGCTGCAGAAGTGTTTCATATGTTAACTCAATAATAGAAGTCCCTGGAGGAAGCGCGACGTACCTGGTGAGCAAGCCAGTGTTAACAGCGAAGACCATCTACAAGAAGAGCGGTCGTCAAAATGAAGGTCCAGGTGCGGTCAGTCAACGCGGGGCGGACGTACCAGCCTGTTGATCAGCGTGTTGGATCTGTGGCAACAGTCAGCGTCTGTAAACTGCAGAGGATGGAAGGAGACGTACTTTGAGAACCCGGTACGGGAGTAGTGCAGGATCGTGCAGAGGATCGCGGCGATCGTCACGTCGCCAGCGGCGGCGAATGCGTTGATGCTGATTGAAAGGCCCTTGATCTGCACGAGGTCGACGAACGTCTCCATCTGCAGACTGTATCGCACAAGGGTGTGAGCATCCTGCCTTGTCGCACTGCGTTCAGATGAGGGTACGATGACTTACGCCTTGATGCTGTACGCTAGACAAACACGCGCGCAGTTAGCATCGTCGATTATGCTGTTCGACCGGATAAAACACGACTCACCCATTGCCACAGCTGTGTCGCGAGTTAAACCGCAATTAACATCCCGCCGCCATCGCCCCAAAACTGTGGTACGTACCGAACTCGCCAGCGATGAGCATCGCCTACAGGGATAGATAGGTGTCAATGGAACGATCTCTCGGGAACAAGCGGTAGAAGGAACGTACAACAGGGATCACCAGGTAGAGTTTGTTTCCGCTCAACTTCCAGATGCGAGCGGCGAAGAAACTCTGGACGAACAACCCGGTGAAAGCATTGAAGAACACCTCGACAATGATGGTCCTATACGCGACTGTTAGCGGCAATACGCTATACGCGGAAGAGCGGTGGACGTACTTTGACAACAGCGTCAACGCAGTGGGGTTCCCGTATTCGGTGATCAGGTACCAATACACTGAAGGACAGACGGTCTTAGACGGAGATCGCGGATGGATTGGGAATCGCATTACCAGTATGTGATATCAATGCCTGAAAACGCGTCAATTAGCGGCTGGCGTGGGGCGCGCTCAAGGAAAACGTACCTGATGGATGGAGTCTGTTGTCCACACGGCGATAACCTTGGCACAGCGTTCAGGGGACAAATAGCGGGCAGGAATGGGCAGGGACTCACAAGGAACTTGATGCTCCAGGGGTCGCGCGAGTAGCGAGTGAAGTAGTAGTACATCTGCGAACAGGACACTGGACCAGGTTCAGCGGCGATGCGATGCTGAAGACGCGTTCCGCTCACCTCCGTACATGCTAAACGCGTCCAAATGTATGAGCATTATCGCGCGTGTTGCAATGGCAGTCACTTACACGGCAGCGAGGATCACTCCGATGAGCAGAGGACCCATGCTAAGAAAGGGGCGATTAGACAGGGTCCAGATACACGGCAGAGAGCACGAACGTTGCGTCGAGGATAGTCATGGTGTCAAAGAGCCGGGTGGGAGGGGGGCCGGAGGTGGGAGGGTAATGGACAGAAGGAGGAGCCCAGCGTGGGTAGTCGCGCAGCGAACCGCTCGGGTTTTAATGGCTTGGGGGAAGAGGCCGGCGGAGGTACGCGCAGAGAGAGAAGCCGGGGAGTCGATCAAAGAGGGAGGGGGCAGGCGCGGAGAGTTGCCGAAGATTCAGAATCGGGGGCAGAAATCAGATTCGCGGAAGACGCCAAAATCCCAGGGGGGCGTTCGGGACCTGCTGAGCGGAGCAGGGGGGAGCACCGTCGGCTGGCTCGATCTCTAGCCTAAAAGGAGGATGATGGTCGCTACATTGAGGTGAGACTCGGGGTGGCAAGTGGGCGCCTGGCGGGCGATGCGGCATGGGGGGTGTGTTCTGGGCGGAACACGCGAGCCTCTTCGACGGGAGAACGATTCAAGGCCGAGAGGGAAAGGGTCGACGCTGGACGTTCTGACGGGAACAGCCCGCAGCGGGCACGAGACGAGCGTCGGGCACGGCGTTGCGCGTAAGGCAGCGCGCGTACCGTCGCAGCGCACGGCGGGTGCCTTGTCGCGCACAAGAGCGCGACAGACGCCCACGCGCCCTTGGTACCTGGGTATGCTGCCTGCGTATCGACCAGTCGCGCTCCAGCTTCGCGCAATTTTCGACGCACTTCTTACGCCCATACTGCCTGGGCCTCCTTCACGCTCTGCGACGCGCAGAAATGCCGCCGCAAAGTCACACCGGCCGAGGCGGGGAACAATAGATCTAGCACGACGGCGAACAGAGGTTGTGAGCTTCTGGTAGCGTCCGCCAACTTCCGACGACAGATGAGAGGGTGTCTCACATTGCAACACAAATGGATTACAGATGACGGAGGTGATAAGTGGAAAGGAATACCGACGGACGGATGCAGATACCGAATATAGTTAGCGCGACTGGCCGTCGTCAAACGCTACTGAGCAGTGCGGTTGCGGGGCGGAATCCGAAGGGCACTGGCGGCGCAAGGGCCAGCAGGACTTGACGTGGAGACGGCGAGCAACAGAGCGCAGACGATTGCCAGGACCACCACCGCCAACCCCACGATGCCGCCACCAACCCAGGCGCTGTCACTCGCTCCCCGGCCCGTCCTTCCGTCCACCGTCCGCATCGGGCCACGGCGCCTAACAAGCGGCGCGTCGGGCGCACGTGGCCGACCGCTGCCCGGATTTTCCAGCGAGGCATCCGCCGTCGTCCGAGTCCTCCAGCAGCAGCAGCGCCCTCCAGCCCACCCCTCCTCACTCCCATCCAATGGCGGTCAGTGGCTCTTCCTCTCTCTCCAGCTGCCCTGCTCACACCCCCTGCAGTCCCGGTCCTCCTCAGCTCTTCGCTCCTTCTCCCGCTCATGTCGCGCGACTCGGTCAGTCTCTACCTCCCAGCTGTTATGTCTCCGTACTCACTAGATCCCACAGCAGCCCCCGTGCGTTGGCAAACGCGTCGCGCTATGCGTCCACCGAGGCCGCCGCTGCGTCGTCCTCCGCGCCCGCACCCCCGCTGTCAACGGACCCCAAGCTGAACAAAATCGTCGATGACATCTCCGGCCTCACCCTGCTCCAGGCCGCGGACCTCGTTACGTTGCTCAAGGTGCGCGTCCTAAGCGTTCTTTAAACCTATGCACAGGATTGCTGACCTGTGGGGTACTCGCCCGCGCGTGCACAGTCCAGACTGAACATCCAGGAGATTGCCATGCCCTCCGCCGCGCCAGCAGCGGCTCCGGCTGCGTCAGAGGAGGCTGAGGTAGTACGTTACGCAGTTGTGTGTGCATCAGAGAGTGCGTTGTTGACCCAAGGGTTCACGCTGTAGGAGAAGCCCAAGGAGAAGACCGTCTTCAACGTGAAGCTCGACGCCTTCGAGGCGACCGCGAAGCCCAAGATCATCCGCGAGGTCAAGGCGATGGTCCCGAACCTGACTCTCATCGAAGTACGTCTTTTCCCGCGTCATACCCCCTCCCCAAACCTGCTCGCTTCTGTGGTAGCTAACGCCGGCCCCTCTTTCCACCCTCCTACAGGCGAAGAAGTTCGTGGAGTCGCTACCGAAGGTGCTCAAGGAGGGCCTCTCGAAGGAGGACGCCGAGAAGCTCAAAAAGACGTTCACGGACCTCGGCGCGACCGTCACGCTCGAGTGATCTGCGCCCGCCCGCCCACATTAGAGCACGCATGCACACGCACATGTCATCATCGTACATCTTACACTAATGGTCACGCTACTGCCTCCGCTCCCTGTGTGCGCATGTGTGGCGGCCAGTAGCATACCTGCGTGCCTGAGTGCAGGAGGATGGAGCATTCCGCTGCGCGAATGCAGCTGGTAGACGGCCCCACAATGATGGGAGAAGGCGGGAGGAATACAACGATTATAGCAGTTCATATACAGGCGCGGTAGCCGCAGATCAAGACGGGGACTGGTAGTACTATGCCAGGCTAGCGCGTGGTGCTAAGAGGACGAAGAAAAGAGAGAGAGACGCGGGGTCGAGTGTTCTGCGGAACAGTCTCAAGGAAACGACAACTGGGCAGCAGCGTGGATAAAAGAGCGAGGAAAGAAGGGGCACGGAAAACGAAGCACCGGCGTCGAAAGGGTCCGCGTGCGCCCCCGTGCAGGAGGGGCAGCGCTCAGTCCTCGGAGAGGTAACGGTACTCGAAGCGGAAGTCGCTCTTCTTCCGCTGGCACCACGAGCCCTCCCAGTCGAAGTAGACGTACACGCCCTGCTCGTACTCCTCCGTGATCGCCTGCGGCTCGGAGTGACGCTGGAACCACGTCAGGTACTTCACGTGGAACCGCCATGACTGGCGTTTGAGCTCCTTCGCCGCGAGGTATCTGTATCCGCGTGGTCAGCACGCGTGCCGGAAAAAAGAACGCGAGTATGCACGTACTGCTGGTACGTGCCCGGGTGGTAGTAGAACACGTAGAAGAGCGTCTCGACGTCGAGTTGCGAGAAGATGCCTGGCGAGCTCAGGATGGGGTTCGGTACCTGCGGGTAGTACGCAGGCGTCTGGATGGGGTTCCGCGGTACGTAGTACTTCGGCCTAGGACGCGACGTCAATATAGTCATTTATATTGAGCGACGGCTCAAACACTCACTTCTCCGTGTCCTGTGGTTGCGGCATGCTCGAGTAGCTGCCCTGCAGCAGCTTGTGCACCTGGTCGAGGTTTGACATCCGGTGTGGCGCTGCGAAGCGTATATGTAAGTAAACACACAAAGCCCGTGCCACCTCGCCCGCGTACAAAGGGGCGCGGCAAAGACGCGAAGACACGCACCCTTTTGCTTCACACTCTCAAACGACATCACCAAGTCAGAAAGCGAGCCGGGGAACGCGTTCTGGCGCTGTTGCTGCTGGGGCAGCTGCGCACCAGGCGGCAGCTGCGACGCGGCGGCAGAGGGCGGACGCGCAGAACCCGGCGCTGCCTGTGCGAGCTTCGTCTGGTCCGCAGGCCCGAGCGCGACCCCGGGCGGGAATTGGGGCACTTGCTGCGCGGGCGCGGGCATTGGGGACACGGCGAGCGGGTTGACCGAGGGCGACGCAGCGGGGTACGTACGCCCCTCTTGCGGGAGTGGCGAGAGCCCGGCGGGTGCTGGTGGTTGCTGGCCGATGACTTGCGTTGACGGTGACGAGCTGCCGTTGAGTGGCGAGACCGCTGTCGCTTGCGAGTCCGGTAGTGCGTGGTGCTGTGTCAAAGAGGTTGAGTAGGTGAGACGTGTGGTGACACGCGCATAAGGCACGTTAGACACGCACAGGGATGCCGGGTGGTTGCAACGATGTTGGTGAGGGTAGAGACGCTGTGGAGATACGTCATCAGTGCGGGAGAAGTGGCGAGCCGTCAGGTAGTTCGGTACCCACCTTTGCGAGCTGTTTGCCGTTGTGGGGACGATGTCGCAGCAGGGCCACCGATCGCACTGGGTACCGTGTTAAGAAGCGCAGGAGAGCCGTAGGCAGAATGCAAGGAGTCGTCTGGTCGATGTGATAGTGACGCAGAGGAGAGCATTGGGCTTGTTATTGAAGGATGTGTCAGGCTTGGCGAAGAGGTCACTGCAGACTGCTGGTCCAACGCTGCCGAGCTCGACGCCGTCGTCACCGAAGGTGTTGATGGTACAGCAGTCACATTCGACGTTACTGATGTCGATGGTGTTGTTGATAGTGCAAGTGGTGCCACTGCCGCAGCTGCGACTTTCGCATATCCCGTTTGAGGATTTCGTGGTGGTACAGGCGCCTTCACCATACTTGCTACTGACTGTTGGGCGAAGTTGGCGGGTGGTGGAGGTTTCGCGGCTGAACAGAATGTTAGTAGTTACAACATAGGAGGCCAAAAGTAGCGCACTTTCTGTTGCTATTGATTGTTCTGACGCGTGTGAATGTCAACCAAGTTCAGGAATAAAACATCAGACTGCTCACTTCGTTGTGTTAATGTTACCGCTGCCTTCTTCAATACTGGACTGCTATCTCGTTTGTGACTGCTTGCAACACTCTCCTCATCGTGTTTCTTCGCAGGCGTGCGTATTGGCAAGTCTGCGAGCGTTGTGAATGATGTAGCCAACGATAGAATGCTAGTGACAGTACCTTCACTTGGCTCCTCGGACACCTCGCTCTCGCTATCATCTGCCGGTAACCTGAACTTCTCCTCCTCTTCGTCCAGGTTGAGGTCGTCATATACTTCCTCATACTCCTCGAACTCCTCCTCCTGCACTCAGCGTTAGAAAGCCACATACAGCAACCGATGTGAAAGTACATGCCATATTGCTGTCCACGAAGTACTTGACGTCGTCTTGCAATGCGATGATCCTGTCCGTGGCGAGAGAACCATTGTCGAGTAACCGGAGGATGATCTCGAGGCGGCTTATATGCCACTTTCTCCTCTCGTTCAACCTCTCCAGAGACTCTAGCCGTTCTGCTTGTGCGCCCCCAGATTTGTTCTTCTTCTTACCGCCCCCTTGCAATGTCTCAATTTCCGCCTCCGCAGACTCGACTTGGACCATCAGGTCGTCCATCATCGTCTGGACCCATGCCATGGTGTCCACTTTCTCTTGCTGCTTCGGGTCGAGCTTGGACGCTTGTGTAAGGCCCTCTTTCGAGAAAGCCTTCGTCTTCATCTCCTTCTCGCATGCTTTGAACTTCTCCATTTGCTGAATACGCGTAGGGCGTTACAGGAATTGGGACACACCACGGGACAACCGACACGACAAAGTAGTCAGCATACGTAGTCCTCGCGGAACAGTGTCCGTCGCCATCTGCACGCGTCCTTCTCCCTGCGGGTACGCACGGCGGCGCCCCGGACCCCGTATGCAGATGCGCAGCGGTGCTTACCGTCTCAATCAGCTTGCGGTTGTCGAGCAATGAACTCTTGTCCTTGATGTCATTGCTCGCGACCCACGTCTTGATTTGGTCTCGTAGTCGCTGCAGCTTCTTGATTTGTGTCTTCAGATCCGTCTCCAGCTTCTCCTTTTGTGTCTGGTTTGTGGAGGCCTGCATCTTGTCGTATATGCTCTCGAAGACCTCGACGCCCTCCGAGACCTTCTTCAAGGTGCGGTCTATCTCGGCTGCGTGACAGAGATGTAAGTGTCTTGGAGGATATATGCTGCAACATGTGGCTTACTTTGCAGCTTCCGTGCTGCCATGATGTGCAACCAGTGGGGTTGAGGTGTTCAGAGGGGTGTACGAGCGTACGAGCGAGAGTTGCTAGGCGCCCAACGACGGACGGATGATGCAGTATATTTGTGCCCCAATTTAGGTTATAGCCACGTGCACATTCCATAAATGGACTTGATATTCACCGCCAACATCCTGCAAAGGCGCGCAGCCACTTGCCTGCAGTCCTCCGATGGGTGTTTCCACCATGAACGAGGTAGAGATGGCCTGTGTGGCAGGTTCAAGGGGTTTATGCTAGCAAGAACATTCTCATCGTGTTCACACAGGTACGGCCGGGTTATAACCGTGTTCCCGAGCCGAGGCAGTTGACGATCTCCCACATCCAGCAACTAAGGGAATCGGTAACGCGTAGTACATGCAACAGGGATCGGTTGCCGTGGTGGGATAGGAAACCAGTTGGTAGGTGCGTCACGCGAGCAATGCGCAGTCCACTGCCTCCGAACTCGGAACTAGAAGCCTGGACAAGAACACCGGCATCTCCAACAGTGAATGGTCGCAACTGCGGATCAGAGGGCAGCGCAGAAGGATGTCCACAGATAGCAGGCAAGTGAGGCGAGTACAGCATGCGTGGAGGTGGTGAGCGTACATATCACGACATCCAGAAACCGTCGGACGCGGAAGGCTGATGGGATCATGGCCGTGCATGTGGAAATGCGTGTTCAGCATTGGACAGACCTACTGAGAGCCGACGAACGCGCGAGCACGAGGCCAGAGCGGTGGCCACAAAGGCAGCGACGAGGATGTGGTGAGAGGAAGAAGAGAGCGAGAATCCGAGAACGAGGATGGGGAGTGTACAGGCTGCGTCGATTGTGGCCACGATGAGACCGGGGGCTGTGATTGGCCGGGAGGTGCGCAGACTTCCCGATATGGCGGGACAACAATTGGAAGGAGGCGTGGGAAAGGTTGGACACTGGACTCGAGCGGGAGAGGGAAGCGCATAGGTCTTACAGATAATACACCCTGCGGGTTCTGTCCTCGTCCTCTCCTTCTCCTCACGCCTCCTCACGACACCCCACTATCCTTTCCGATTATGAAGTCCCTCCGCAAGTCATTGAATGGCAACAAGGACCACCACCACCACATCTCTACCCCCGCCCCCCTCCCGGCCCTCTCCAAGCCATCGACAGCGATCATCCCGCCCAAGAAAGTCATTAAGGCAATCAGTGCCTACAAGTCAAACACACCACAGGAGCTCTCATTCGAGAAGGGGGACTTCTTCCATGTCCTGAACGACAACGGCGGCCTATGGTACGAAGCCCATAACCCCATTACCGGCGCGCGAGGGCTTGTCCCCTCGCGTATGTTCGAAGAATTCACGAAGGGGGCTCCTACGTAAGTCCGCCAGTTTTTTCTCGCACCCGGCTCGGTCCAAACTCGCCTTGGCAGGCCCCGTTCACCGAAGAGCTTCAATCCCATGGACCGCTTGTCCAGCATCCCAAGTGCGAAGGCCTCGCCCACCTCGCCCAAGCACAAGACGTACTATGCTATCGTCCTCCACGATTTTGCCGCTGAGCGCGCAGACGAGCTTGATGCCAAAGCCGGGGACCCCATCACCGTCGTCGCTCAATCCAACCGGGAATGGTTCGTGGCGAAACCGATAGGTCGTCTCGGACGACCGGGTCTCATTCCTGTCTCCTTCGTCGAAATCCGTGACCCTGGGACGGCCCAACCGATCAAGGATGTCATGGCCCTCATCGACAACGGCGACCTGCCCCGCGTCGAGGAATGGAAACAGGCGGTGCTCAACTACAAGGCCAATAGCATCTCCTTGGGCGTCTTGGACGACGCATCACCGCAGACCTCCGCAACCTACACAGTCAACTCCGCGAGTATGGAACCCACTATCACTGTCCAGGGCGCAACTCCCCTACCTACCCAGTCCCAACCCCCAGTACCCGAAGAGCCGCCTCGTCCTCCCACGCCGAAAATGCTGCCCGAGGGCGTCCTCCTAACCGCCGAGATTAAGTCCTACCATTTCGAGGCCGATGAATACTGGTTCCGCGTCCACGCCATCTACCAGCCGTACAACACGGCGCGATCGCATTCACTCCCCCCCGCCAAGGAGCTGGTTCTATTCCGTTCCTACAACGACTTCTACGACTTCCAAGTGGAACTCCTTGACACCTTCCCCCACGAAGCTGGTCGCCCCGACTCCAGTACGCGGATATTGCCATATATGCCCGGACCGGTGGACTTTGTCGACAACGAGATCACCATGAGCAGGCGGGCGGAGTTGGACGAGTATCTCCAGAAACTGTGCGCCCTGAAGACCTATGCGCGGTACATTCTCGAACATGCACTCGTCCGCCAGTTCTGTGCACTGAAGCCTGGTGACGGCGAGGTGAACGTCGAGGCCCGGCGGAGTGAGATTGAGTCTTTGCGCAGATCATACGAGGAGGACCGCCATAGCTACGCAGCTAACAACGGCACCACCGCAGATCAGATGGCTCGCCTCCAAGTATCTCAGCATCCCGATCACCGCCTCAGCGACGCGTCCGCATACGAGGACGAGGGAGACGTTGGCACGGAGCTGCAGGCAGATTCCTACTACACGAACGGGAACTCGTACAGCTATGATTCACCAGGGCGGTCGTCTCTGCAAGCTCAGTCACATCCAGCCAGTCACCAACGCGCTGGCTCCGCCGCCTCCTTCCGCCGACCATCCGATGCTGTACCATCGCGCGCTCAATCCCCTCAGGTCCTCTCGCAATCCTTCTCCCGTGGGCACTCGCCGGCACCCAGTCGTTCCGAGGGTATCGGCCGCAGTCGTTCACCACTTGAAATCGATCCGTATGAGGCGAACACGCACTCGCGCTCCTCCCTCGCATCCTCACATGATCCCTCCCCCGTCTCCATGCGGTCGTCCCAGGCCGGCTCCGTCCACACAGCGGCAACCTCGGCGTCTGGGCGCTCGCGCTCTGCCTCAAACGCGGCGTATACGCCACCAATCTCCGCGACGAACCAGAACGCGGCGTTCGTGAAGGTCAAGATCTTTGACCGCGCACGAGACGATCTCGTCGCGATTCGCGTACATCCGCGCGTAACGCACGCACAGCTCATGGACAAGGTGCAGGCGCGCCTTGGCGGGGACGTGTCGACTCTGCGTTTCCGCGACAGCCTAAGCAACGAGCTCCTGCTGATCGACAACGACTCGGAGCTACGGAACTGGCTGGAGAGCACAGAACGGCTCGTGCTCTATGCGGAGTGAGCGCGGCTGCGCGCGGTGTTCCCGGACTACCATATGGGCTTGGAGGAGGTATAGTACATACCAGTACATAATGGCTTCTTGCTTCCGTTTCGTTTCGTTTTGTTTGCCATTGTACGCCCCGTTGCTTGACACTTATCTTATTATCCTACGCTTTTCTCGTTCTTGTGTAGTGACACTTTCCACTCCGTCTCGTTCTCTGCGATTTATTCTCCGGTTCCACTAGCTAGTATGCGTTATGTAGCCCCTGTACTGCGATGCTGTGTACTTCCACATCACTATCTGCACGCTCTTTCCTCTTCGACTGCGTCTTCCATACGCATGTCTACTTACGACGCCTGAATGATCCACCTCGCCGTTCGCTGCGAGAAGCTTGTCAGCTTCCTACATACCATGATGCGCCTCCGCGGATGGGAAATATGGTATAATTCCGTGTCTGTCGTCTATTCATGCTGCGAACGCACCAATTTCCGTACTGTTAACAAATCTGAAGGTGTTTCCGGGTGAACGGACTGCGGAGATTCTAAGTGCGCGACACCACACGTACGGCCTAGTTTGGCAAGTGTTCAAGTTGACGATCCTTTGCAGAAGCCTGCAGCGATTTAGCGAGCCATAATACGTCCCTCAGACTTCAGATGACAGACATTTGTATCCAGATTGCAATTAAAGGCCTGGAAGCATGAGAATGGCTGGTTGCAGTCACATTCGCTGTGGTGATATGCATGCACATGTCATACAGAGCGCGATGCCTGCCTTAGAGGCTAAAATTCTGCATGATAAACGTTGAACGGACAAGTAGAAGGGTGTAATGACGGATTCCGCACGAATCTCGACAATTTACGTGCAATGTCGCTGCTGAATATGCAGTGGGTATACCTGCTGCAGCGCTGTCTTGACTGTGAACGGTTCTTCAAGGAATGCTCGATGCGTACCAGCTCGATAATTCATATTGGCACTACGTTGAGGTTGGACATGCATGCCGTAGCATATATATGCTACCATGAGCTATCCAATGGCGGAACGTTGGAGGACGATCGCTAGGATTATTGCAGCGTCGCCGTTTCTACAGTACAGTGCAGAAAAATCAAAGGTTGACGTGTTAGCACGCTCCGTCCGCAATCGTTTGGCTGGTACTGCATAATTCTGCATTATGCCGAGTCATCTGTAAGCATTAGAAGATGAAACGGAAGTTAAACGCGACGGTGTAATTGCAGGATGGGAAGCCTCCGTTCCGATCCGCCCTCCCTCCGAATGACACTCTCAGGAAAGCCCGGGTGACTCAAACGCCGTGTGATTCGCAAAGCTTACCATTATGCGATGCTGTCACCGGCGACATCGTGGATGGTCAGCATGAGAATGCGAGGTCCGAGGATGCCGTCCACAGAAAGCGCTCCCAAGAATTAAGCGTAACGGCTACAAGTTCTGGGAACGGTTCACACCGACGGTGCGCGGCAAGCGAGTCAGATCACAGATATTGCTTTGGTCTCCGGCCGGGAAGGGGTTGCCATAGCTCCAGCACGCCGAGCGAGGGAGGGACGGAAGCGAGTCGGGTGTAAAGAGCACAACGGAGGAGACGCTGGTTCCGTCACCTGTACGGCCACCGCCCGCGGCGCCGCAACCTCGTTGCAAACCGCCTCCACGCTCCCGAAACCGCTCGTCCCGTAATCTCGCCACGACTGCGCAGCATGCTCTGAACGCTTTCTATGACCTCCCCTCGCCGCCTGACAGACGATAACAGCTACGGTTGACCAGTACTAGACCCTTGTCTTGCCGCTCGCGGAGAATGTCTGAGGCAACCGACGCCTCAGCCTCTTCGGGTACTCTGCCGCACGCGCCCATCCATCCTGCTTCTGGCGACCCCGCTGTTCCTGATATCCTTGCTGTTGCGGACCGAGTCCTATCCCTAGAACGTCAGCGGGCTGCGCAGAATCCTGAGAATGATGAAGCTTTGGAGTGGCACGAGGTGATCGAGCTCAAAGCGTTCAGCGAGAGAAAGGTCTGGATAGAGGAGAAGACCAAGGTGCGTCCCGTTCCTGTGGCGCGCAGAATGGAGCACCCTCTCAGCAATGTACTAGTTTCTGGAGCAACTCCCTCCCATCGAAGTGTTCACTGGACTCGATGCAGTCCGGCAGTCAGCGGCGGAGGTGCCTGGGCTCCCCACGCGCGAGCAGCTGAAGCAGTGGATGGTGGAGCACGATAAAATCGAGAAGGAAACAGAGGTCTTCGACTCTGGTGAGCTCCGGAAACTGAAGAAGTTCACGAAAGGTCAGTTGAGCATAATGCCTCTCATTCTATCTTTCTGAAGACCCGAACGGCACCAAGCTGCCGCTCAGCGCAACCTGTCCCCGGCGGACACGGACCTAATTGAAATCACCCTCACAACCATCTATGCATTGGACAAGCTGCTACACCTTCTACGAGATCGCTCAGACAACCTCGAACTTCTTAACATCAGGCTGACCTGGGAGGAGCGTCGTATCGCCGCCTGGGCCGACGTCCACAAACTGCTTGACGACCTTCGGGAGTTCCTGGCGAACCGTGCGAGATGGTCCTCATCCGTGTACGAGAATCTAGACGATGAGGAGGCTACCCCTCCATTACCGGGGGAGCATACTCTGAGAAGACGAAATTCCGTCGTATCCATGGCTTCGGAGGCCTCCTCCGCCTCTCTAGCCGGGTTCTCTCGTGGGGCACGCTACAAGCTTGCGGAATCCCTGTCTCGCGAAGCTGCGCTGTTCTCCAGTCGAGTTTCATCCCTCAGGCACACAAAGATCGCCCTGGCGGGGAAAGCTTTGGACAAGTTAATCGATGAGAGCCGTAAAGCGGTTCCAGACGAGCTGCTAGACGAACAAGACAAGCTAGAGAACGAGGGTATCACCGAGTTAGAAGACATTGGCAAGTTCGTTATGCAGGTCGTTATGCAGTGGAAGAAGTAAGGCGTGAGTTTGGCCTTGCAGCGTTACGGGTCAACTGACGCCCACACAGAGCTGATGAGTTCTACGTCGAGACCCTCAAGGACAAGTCCACCGCCGAGAATTTGCTGGAGGAAATAGAGGTAGCCAAGCTCAACCATCCAACTTCCCGCCAAGACGCCAGCTTCCTCTCCCGCACCAATGCTCTCAACAAGCGGCTGCTGCTCCGAGGCAATCCGTCCACATCCCTCACCTTCCCCAAACCCCTCCACCGGCTTTTCCCAGAACAAGCAGGGTATACTACGACCATCATTCAGCAGCTCTCAGAAGACATGACATCTGCGCTTCAAGATACGCGTAAAGCGGAGAATTGTGCGAAGGAGTATCACGCTGCCGCAGAAGCGGTCAAGCAGGTCGATGCAGTGCGAAAGGCCGCCGCGAGTCTTTCCGCCAGATACCTCACCCTCGTTGAGCGTATGGAGAATGGGATCGCCACAGCTAACGGCGACGGTACTCCCCCAGACTTGTCCTCCGAAACTTGTCTCGACGGCGCTCGCCATTCTGTCTTCCTGTCATTGTTCCCGTCTGTTCTCGAGGAACTTGGGCAGACGGATAAGGAAGCCAGCTCTCTTCTGGTCACGGCTCGCGCTTCCCTCTTGCACCTAGACTTCCCCGGCATCGACGCCCAGTACAAGGCTGACTCGGCGGCAGCTATGGACGAACTAGAAGCAAGGCGGAGTGCGGCGGCTCGCGCCAAGGAGCTGGTAGCCTCTCGCACCGCAAGCCTCACGCAGGTGCGCAAGGTTTGGTCCACCACCGATCAACTATTCCAGGAGACAGAGGAACTGCGTAGCGAAATTGTCGACGCCATGTCCCGTCAGATGTGGCGACAGCAAGTTCGCCACGATGCCCCGCCAACGCCTGAGTCTCCTACCGCTACTCTTCCTGCCGTGACGCTCTCCCCCTCCGAGGTGGTTCAGCGGTTGGTCGAGCTCCGCGCTCGCCTGGCAGCTAATGTCTCCTCTCCTCTCGCTACTCTATCCCCATCACTAGGCCCGGCTCTTCGCGACTATCTCATCCACGCCTCATCTGCTCTGGAGTCCGTCCTTAGTGCGACCGGAGACACCGCGCGTTTCTGGGAGGCGGTCCAGCAGCAGGCCGCTATGATGGGCACGGTCCGCGACGAAGTCCACTCACTGCAGATCCGCATCGAGGATCTCAGAGTCCGCTTCGAGAAGGGTGCACAAGACGTATTCGCTGATGCTCTGGACGCAGATACCCAAACGCGGACGGAAGAGGCACTTTCTAATGAGTTAGTCTCTACCAGAAGCGCGATACAGAACTTCTTGGAGGACCTACCCCGCCGCGTACCGTTCGTTAGCGAGGTCAAGATCGCCGGGTCCCACGAACATGCCTCCCCGAAACGCAGGTCCTCGATGTCAGGCGCTACCACGCTGGACGCCATCCTGCAGGCTACTCAGCCCAATATTCCTTTCGACCCTGCAGCGTTAGACAAGGGCGTTCGCACTGACTCGAACACTTACAGTATGATGCTTTCAGGCGCTCTGAAGACGCTCGAGTCGAAGGCGGATTACTTCCAACTAGCGAAGAAGGCGCACACGTTAGACATCGCGCTCGCGTCCCTTGTCAACGCGCTAGGCGACGCAGAGGACCCCGTAGGGCGCGTACACGCCTCTCTCACCGAGACGGAAGAGCGGTTGTCCGCAGATCGTTTGGCAGAGCTCTCCGCCGAGTTGGACACAGCCTCGCAGTCGCATGCTGCCTTAATTGAGCGGGCGCTGTCGCCCGTACGCGACGCCCTGCAACGTCTACGTTCAACTTCTATCAAGCACGACGTAGGCTCTCGAGATGCCGTCGTCTCCGCTCGTCAGAAAGCCGTCGAGAACGCGGACTCCCACTATTCCTCGTGGAAGAAGAGTGTCGCTGGGCTCAAGCAGCAGCTTGCGGACGCGCACAAAACCGAACTCCATCGCGTCGCGGAGGAGGCTCGTCTGAAGGAGGAACAGGAGCGCCTCGAGGCAGAGACACTAGCCGTCCGCGCGCGCGAAGAGGCCGCAGCCGCTGAGGCGGAACGTTTAGAGGCCCTAGAACAGGCGCGGCTCGAGCGCGAGAAGGCCGAGGCCGAGGAGAGAGAGCGAAGAGAGCGGCAAGAGGCCCTTGAACGGGCCGAACGCGAGGAACAGGAGAGGCTCAGGGCGGCGGAGGAAGAGCGCCGTAGAGCGGAAGAGGAAGAGAGACGCAGGGCGGAGGAAGAAGAGAGAGGTAGGGCGGAGGAGGAAGAGCGCCGCCGATTGGAGGAGGAGCGACGCCGGGCAGAAGAGGAAGAGCAGCGTAGGTTGGCCGAAGAGCAACGCCGCAAGGCGGAAGAAGAGGAACGACGGCTGGCTGAGGAAGCAGAGGCGCGTCGGTTGGCCGAAGAGGCAGAGGCACGCCGGTTAGCTGAAGTAGAGGCACGCCAATTGGCCGAAGAAGCAGAGCGACGGAGGTTAGAGGAAGAAGAACGGGCTCGACAGGAGGCCCAGCAGGTCTCTCTCTTGGACACCGTCGACGAAGTTAGTTTCGGCGTAATTGCCGAGGATGGTAAGTGTCCTTGGATCCGCGTCCGCTCTCTGGTACTGAAAATATTTTAGACATATTCAGCGTGCGAGACAGCCCGACCAAGGGAGCTGGCATGACGCCCGCACTGAACGAGCTGAGCACGCGTATATTCAACTTCAGGAAACGTCTGCGCTCCCTGGGCATAAACGACGTCGCTAGACCCAGTGCTCGTTCGACTACCGGTCTCCCTGAAGACGACGCCCGGAATGCCATGGCCAAGGCGCTCAACACGCTTGTGGACGAAGTCGGACAACTGCCAGCATCTGTCCCCGACAACCTGAACATCGACGCAGACCTACGCTCTCTCCGTAGCGAGCTGGAGGCCTCTGTTGACTTGATGAGCCGTGTCGACCAGCTTGCCGACTTCTCGTTGTCGTTGCGGGCGTGCGACGAAGCGCTGAGCGATCTTCTTGAGCACATCGACAGCTATCCGTCCCCGCCATTCGGACCTCTTTCTGCGCCGCATGTCTCTGATCATGCACTTGCCCCCGAGGAACAGTTGGGCGCTCGCCTCGCCTTCACCCGCGATGTCCTGAACCGCATGAAGATCCTTGCTCGCCCCCTCCTCAACGATCCGCGGGTCCTCCCCGAGAAGGAGCGCATTATCCAGACATGGACCGAGCTCGAAGCGATGGCGCTCGACCGCATCAGCGGCCAGAAGTCGCGCCCTGCAAGCGTCGTCAGCTCGGGGCGAAGCAGTCGCTCGTCTGTGATCAAGAGCTCGTCGCACCTGGCGCGTTCCGACAGCCCACGCACGCGGGGCAGCCTCGATGTCCCCCACCCTCGCCAGAGCCTCGACAAGAAGAGCAGCTTTTCGAAGCTGTCTGCGTCGCCAGGTGGAAAGTTCCTCGCACCGCCGTCACCTCTTGCGGGTCCACGGCGCGCCGCGTCCGGGTCATCTGTGACCACAGCGGCGCAGTCGCGGAGCTCTAGCAGGATGTCGATCTCGTCGACGCGCTCGATCTCTGGGCCCATGATGGCATCGTCAAGTTCAAGCTCCACGAACTTGTTTGGCTCTACGTTTTCGTCGAGGCAAAGGACGAACAGCACGACGTCGAATGGGTCGCCCTCGTTCGCTACGCCGATCAGGCGCACGCCGGCGCTGTCGACGACGTCGCGGCCGCGAGCGCAGACGGGTACTACACGCACAAGCTCCCCTGCTCTGTCGGATGCATCCTTCTCTCAGGGACGCTCAAGCCTCAATCTCTCCCGACCTCCAACATCACTTTCCACCTGGTCTCGCGCGCCGCGAACGTCGTTCTCCGCGTTACCGAAATCGCCGCCGTCATCGCGCAACCAGCCGACGAAACCCGCAAGGAAGCCATACGTCGCGAACCCGAAGAATAAGCTCGACATGGCCGTTGGCGACGTCATGAACCAGCTCCCGGTCGACATCAAGATCGAGCTTGTTCCAGATACGTGGAAGGACCAGAGCGGCAAGTACTGGATTGGAGACAGCGACCCGAAACTGTGCTTCTGCCGGATCCTGCGATCGCAAACGGTCATGGTGCGCGTCGGTGGTGGTTGGTCCGAACTGTCAAAGTATGTTCTTCAGTGTCTCTCGTTGTGATCATCTCTAAATATCATCACGTACGCCAGGTTCATCAAGGACCACTTTGCAGACGCATTTAGGCTGCTTCCTGACTCGTCGCCGCCTCGCATGGGTACACGCGAAGAGAAGTGGATCACGTCCGCATCTTTGGCGCAAGCGGTCGAGCATCTGACACCGCCGAGGCCACCACGCACGCCCGAGCCGAAGGAGGGCTACATACCCTCGTTCGCGATCTCGACACCGAATGGGACCAGCCCCAAGTCGTTACACGGATCACCATCTCCCGGCTCTCCTCTGCACGCCCTACAATTCATCCGACGCGCCGAGCGGGAAGCTCCGTCTTACCGCCCGGAGACACCGACACGGTCGTCGCGGAGTACGGGCGTGTCGTCTGTGCTCAGCACTCCCAGCGGGCGTCAGCCTGCGTGGCGTCCGTGAACGCCCTGGGCTGCCCCCTGCTATGATCACACACACTGTTATATTGCTGTGCACTATTGGTTCGTACATCTACGCGCATGGACAGACTTGGTTCAGACTGTGAATAGACACCGAATGCACACGACGGTCGCCGTTTGGATCGGCACAACGGTATTTAATGACATTGATGTTGTTCACGCTGTATACGTCTCTCTTGGATACTTACCTACTCACACCACCAGTATTGTCGCAGGTCTTACTACGCTACCTAGTTGTCTCTTGAACAAATATCCGAAGCATTCGTTCTGCACCGCGTACCGGGCGCCTGTACTCTGTACTGTCACGATCACGTGGGTAATACGACGCGTCTTGACGCGCCTTCCTGCAGTGTCCTTTTTCGGCCCTGTCTGCCTTGGACTTGTACCACCACCACCACCTGCCTCACTCTCCTCTGCTTCTCGTCCAGTTATCTGCTATGGACAACCTTCGATGCAACAGACTGACCTGCAGACGATCGCTGGGCGACAAAGCTGTAGTGGTGAGTGTATGCGTTCTCATCCCACCGAGCGCTGCTAATGATCTATAGACTACTTGTAGGTCATATATCATTGACGAATCGCTCGGTGGTGCTGAGGATCCTGAAATGGGATGCAGGTTCTCATATATTCTGTGGTGAGTGAGGGCGGACGTTTAGGACGACTGACCGCCGACCAGCTACTTTGCAGTCGACTGTGCGAACGAACTATTCAATGCATCTAGGCTATGTCCAGGTACGTTTACGGAGGCACGAGTGCTAGTGAGTATATGACTAACTTCACCATCAGCATGCGAGACGTCCTTAACCGAGCCGCAAGTGTTTCTCCAACTCCGCGTAGCCCAGACCTGCTAACTTCCGCACAGCGACGATGTCGTCGTACGTTTCTCCACGAGGACTATGGGAGCGGTATGATGAATATGACGATCAGGTGTGCTCCCTACATCCATCCAATGACTATAAAACCGTACGTCTATGCGCATATACCCACCTTTTGAGACTGATCATTTGCATATTCACAGTCTGTCCTGTCAGGCCTGAATCCCACCATCATTCTCGAGATTTGTAGCAGGCAAGTCCTGCCTTCTTCAACTGCCGCTGAAGCCAGATGCCACCGCGGTCCTTAGAGCACTATCATTCTGGCAATACCAGATTCATCAAGAGCAGTGAGTCCAGCGGAATGCCCTTAACGCCCTTCGCCTCACCTCCCATACAGATCATTCCAGCAGGCATTATATAGGAATGTTTCCGAGAAGAATGCTCAATTGGAGAAGCGGCTTGAGAACGTGATAAGGGAAGGTTAGTCGTTGCCTTCAAGGTGCCTAGTCGCGCGTGTTGAAATACTGACTTTGCGGATCTTCAAAGCAAATGGAGAAATCAGCCTCCTCACAAACAAGCTGTCAGGTATACAAAAGTCGTAGCTCTACCAGGATGAGTGCCACTAATCCAGTGACACTCAGATTTCGAAAGGGATCTCGAAGCAGAACGGCGGAAGACGGCGGCTTTGCAAGATTCAGTGAAGGAGAGCGAGAAGGAGTATCATAAGCTGAAGGCATGCACACACCAAGGTCCCTCTCAAGCCTGTTACCCTGATCACCGTTTGCTGCAGGCGCAATATGACAGACTCAAGCGCAAAGCGCTCCTTGGAGGAGATAGCAAAGAGGGGAACCAGTCCTTTAACATCCAAGAGCGACAGAACGATGCAGGCGCAAGAATGAAACAGGGTATGGCCTTCGGCGCCGGCATTGGCGGCGCAGGGGGAGTGGACGTAGGCGCAGTTGTCGGGAACATGGAAGCCACAGGGGTATGTTCTCCAAACAAAGGCCCCATGCTTTCTATAACCTCCTGATTTTCCGCGCAGGTACAGCGCACGCCTATCGTGAATCGCACGATGGCGGGCGGGATGCAGCCGGGAGGCGGCGCGACATGGCGCCAGCCTCAAGCTCCCGTCGCGCGGCACGCTGCACAGCGCCAGCCGTTCAGCGCGATGGACATGCGTTCATTCCGCACGAGCGCGAGCACCGCGCGTTCAGAGCATTCGGACAGCACGGCCGAGGTGGAGGGGTTGGTCAACCAAACCGGGGGACGGTCGCGTCACGGCCGAAGCAACGACCAGGGCCAATGGTCTGCGCCACAACAGCAGCGAGGCATGACTGCTCAAACGCAATCATCCCGAGGTGAGCGGCGTTTCATGAAGTTTGGGAGCTGAACATGACATGTCTCCGTAGGATTTGCCCAGCCACATGCCAGGCGCACAGGGCCCAAGTTTAAGCCGTCTGGCTGAGCGTTAATGCCGCAGGAGGACGTGGCCCGGAGCTACAGGTACCTTCCTGGCAATACGTTGACATCTCACGGGGTTCCGCATTTCTTACGATTGCCATTTCCGACTGTATTTCTTATCCTCAGTCAGTCTATGCATTTTGAGAGCCTATAAGTACAAGGAAACGAGCGGTATACGTACATTACGTGGTGTGACTGCTGTGTATCGTAAATAAAACGCGGGCGTGAGTCCGTGGTGCTAACATGTACGGCATAAAGAGAACGTCAAGCGTCGGACAAACGTAAACGAGGGGGAGGACTGCAGCCCAGCGGCGCCGGCGGCTACATGCATGCATGAGATGTGAACGAACCAAAACCTGGATTCGCGAGAACAAGAAGGAAATAAGGAAGAGATCAGACCTCCATTGGCGGTGGGCGGGTAGTGTACGGTATGCAAGTCGAATATGCGTGGATGGGATCATGAACGAAACAAGACAAAGGCCTTGGGGGGGGTTACTCCCTCTGCAACGTCCCGTTCTTCTCGTCTTCGAGGTACTGCCCGATCGCGAGGATATCCTCACCTGCCCGGCGCAGATATCCTGCCAAAATCCCGCGGTCCGCATGCGGTAAAATCGCCGCAAGCTTGTCGACCTGTCGCTGGAACGCCGGGTCCATCACGTTCGGCGCCGGAGACCCGACTGACGAGTGCCCCGGACGGGCACGCGCAAACAGCGACGGCCGGCGCGGGATCGCACTCTGCCTCTGGATGCTCTGCGGGCTCGTCGGCGATTGTATTGGAGGGTGAGGGTTCTCCGGGGGCGACGGCTGGGGCGGGCTCGCGGAGACGGAGTACGTCTTCGAGCGCTGAATGCGCCCCGGGGCAGCGCGTGGCCCCCCAGGGATCGCGGGCGCGGTCGGGAGAGGCGCGTCGCGCGGCGAGGTAGAGTTTGAAGGATTCGAACGGGATGCGGCCATAGGGGGAGGCCGCTTCGTGAGCAGCTTGGTAGGCGACTGGGGGCTAGATAGGCCGGAGAGTCCCTTCTCCCTGCGGACGCTCGTCTTGCGGCCGAGAGAGGCGAAGAAACCTGTTCCGGAGCCTTTCGCTCCAGGGAGGAGCGTAAGGGGAGATTTGGTAGGGGAGGAGAGGAGCGTGGATGAGCGCATCTGGGCGCGAGATAGGTTGGCTTGTGCCAAGGAGGGATAGGGAAGTGTTGTTGGCGGTGAGGAGGAGGGAATGATATCAATGGAGCGGGTAGAGAGGTCCGTCGCGGTGTATGCGTCTGCACGGATGGGGAACGTCGCCTGCGAGGCCAGCGAGCCGTGCGAGACGTGTCGATTCGTGTGGGCCATGCCGCCGAGCTCTGCAGGCAAAGCGAGCTGATTCGGTTGCAGCGCTGTGCGCTGCGACTGTGTTCGTGGGTGGGATCCTTGATATGCATCGTCAGTACGGCCGCCAAGGCTGACGAGTATCGTTTATCGCGAGCACTCACCTGGCCGTTGTGATGCCATCCAGTCCCGCAACCCACAATCATACTCAGCCAGCTCGTTGATCTTCTCCGCATACATCTTTGCGCGTTCCCGCGCGCTCCGCAGCATCGTGACGTCCCGAGTGACCATCGCCTGCGGCCACGACGAAATCTTCGTTGGTCGAGGGGTCATCCGCCGTCGGGGTGGGAGCTCGACATGGATAGGTTCTATCGACGGCGAAAGCGACCTACGCGCCTCCGGGCTAGTCGAGCGTTTGCTAGAGCGCGAGGAGCGCGACGGCGTACGAGGCAGCGACGAGAACCGCTTGAGGTTTGTGAGTGTCGCGCGGAACGAGCTGGGCGCGAGCGAGTTCTGCTGTCGCTCGTCGTCGGATCCGCTCCGGCCGTTCTTCGGTGGGGGCACGGGTAACCGTGACGACCCCGAGCTGGAGGACGAGGACGACCCGCCCGAGACGGAGGACGCGGACCGGGAGATGGGCGGTGGTTTGGGCAGCGCCGCGGACTTGCCGTTGGGTGAACTGAGAAGCTCAGTCGCCTCCTCGCTGAGACTCACCCAGCTGCTCTTCCGCAGTAGCTCGATCCCTGAACGACGTTCAGAGTCCTTGCGCTCGCGTGCGGGAGTGTCTTCATCCGCGTCCTCTTCCCGCTCGGGTTCGATTGCTACAACTGGACTGCTGACCATATGTGACGATGTTGACTGTTCTTCGCCCACACGCCCAGGAGGAGAGGTCATGATAGTCGAAGGCGGGAACGCGCCCTCGCGCCTGTGAACGCTACTGGCAGGCACCAGCTTGACAGATGTTCTACAAGGGCAAAGATGAACAAGGAAAGAACAAGGATTCAGATGGGAGACGCACTCATTGTCCTGACTATATGTGGACTCCTCACTGTCCCTGGTGTCGGACCTTGACGGCGAGGGATTGTGGCCCAGACGTCGGTTGGCCTCGGGGGGTGTCCTGGCGGCGAGAACAGCAGAAACAGACTGCGGCAGCTGTAGCTTCTCCTTAATAGCTTCGATCTCCCGCTTTGTATTGGCAGGTACCGGCCTGTTATTGGTAGGCACAGGGGTGTGGAAACGAGGCGGACGAGGGGGCGCGGCCGCAGTGTTGTCAAAAATAGAACGCGGCGGGGGCGGGAGGGGTCCGGCTGTTGCGTGGACGCCCGGCTGGTAATGCAGGTATGGCGACGATGCCGGAGAGGATGAGTGCGAACTCTGATAGTTGGGAGATCTTGACGTCGGCGACTGCACGGATGAAGAAGGTTGGGAGTGCGAGTGTTGCGGGGGCGCTGCGGATGCTGGTCGTCGCGGCTGCGTGCGCTGCATCATCTCAGGCGGCAGGCCGACGATCACTGGGCCAACGACGGGCTGCTGGATGTCCTTCCACTCACCAATCCCCGGCGTCACGATACCATCCTCCATACCAAAGATCGGTGTTGAGAGCAGCCGCTGCTCGAGGGAGCGGTGGTGCGCGCTTGCGCTGCTCGTGTCAGAGAGATCGGGAGTGCCACCACAGGGTGAAGGCGAGCGGGATTTGGCCGGGGTTTGGAAGACGGGGACGCCGAGACCCTCGGTGTGGACGTAGCTGTGGTAGTCGTCGCTGGTCGGGCTCGCTGGACTCAAGCTGTCCGACGCCGTGGAGGCGGAGCTGAGGCCGACAATGCCAACGTCACGGGATGACTTGTGATGGAGGCGACGCGCGCGGCCGCCAGCGTCCACCGCTTCAGACGCTGAGCGCGCGTGCGCGTGATAGTGTGAAGAGGACGAGGGTGGTGGATGGGAGGCACGGTCCGCCGGCGCCGTCGACGGCGGGGTCAGGTCGGTGTATGCCTTCCGCGCCGCGTCTGGCGGGGCTACGAGGGCGAGCCCACCGATGTTCACGCCGCGCCGCGAGAAGAGCGTGCTGCCGGACATAGAGGAGGAAGAGGAGGACTTGGCATCCGAGAGACCCTTGCTCCTTTTACGGCTCACCGAGCGCTGTGCCGCCGCGTCCATCTCCACAATGGCGACCCTTCGCCTGTCTGCACCGCCCTCGGAGGGCACGCTTGGTCGGCGTGAGTGTCGGGCTGCGCCTCCGTGTGCGGGTGGGTGCTCTGGCTCCTCTGATGGCAGTGCGAAGTCGGCGCGCACAGGAGTAGTCGTCTGCGAGGTAGATGCGGGAGGAGGCTCAAGTCCAGCAAGAGATTCAGACGAATATTCAGACGAGTAGTCGGAAGAAGAAGAGGCCGTAGACCCCTTTCGGGAGTGGGTGGTCGTGGATAGGCGTTGGGAGTCCATGTCCGCAGCCGTCGCGTAGGGCCGCCCAGCGAGGTCGGACTGGTAGTACGAGAGGATCTGATCCGTTTCCCGGCGCACATAGTTGGGGCGCGGTGCTGGGGAAAGTGCGGCTACGCTCGGCCGTTTCGTCTATGAACGGCCATCGTCTCATGGTCAGAGGTAGACGCACCGGTGCTGCCGCTGGGGCCCGCCATACTCTGATATGAAACTCCGTCTGTGGCTGGGAGGGGATAGGAGGCGCTCGGCTTTGCAGGAGCCACAACCGAGCTCATCGTAGCTGGCGAAGAGGGGGAAGAGAGGAGGGAGATGGTGGCAGCATTCAAGAGGGTTGAGGTGAGACTAGCGTGGATGGGAGCAGACCGTTGTCAACATAACCAAGCCCGACAGCGGAGGAGACGAGCGGCGGAGCCTCTCTCAGCAGCCCGGCCAGGCCTCACGTCACTCTCAGGGCCGCCGTTTCCTGTCATTTCCACGTGCGCAGCAGCTCCTCGAGTCCCCATTCGTCCACTCTCGCCGAATCACCGTCGCGTCGCGAGCAACCCGCCGCGAGGCTCGCAAGCTCCTTCGCATCGCAAGAGGATGGCGACCGGTATCATTCGCACGATGCCCACCCGACTTTCCCGACAAACATGACAAACAAACAGACATGATACATATCCTACACCGACTGATACATTCATCCCGCCCGCTCCGGCTACTTTCATTGACACCCGGCGCAACTGCATGCAGGCACACGAGCATCCTCCGTCTTTCCCTCGGTTCCTCGTATAACGGTGCCCCACGCTCGCGGAGCTCACCAGTCCATCTTCGGCTTCCCGCCCGTGAGCGGGATACGCTTGCCCTTGTACCCGAACCCGTCCAGCCACGGCCACACCTGCGTCCTCCGCGTCTCAAACTCCTCGATCAGCGGAGCGCGCTGCAGGGTCAGCGCGATGTCGTCCAGCCCGTTCAGCAGGCAGTGCCGGCGGAACGTGTCGACGGTGAACGAGAACGCGGGCTTCCCGCTCGCGCGCCGCACTTCGCGCTTCTCCAGGTCGACCTCGAGCTCCAAGCCTGCCTCCGCCTCCGCCGCAAGCTCTTGGCACTGCTCTTCGGATAGCACGATTGGCAGCATGCCATTTTGGAACGTGTTGTTCTTAAAGATGTCTGCGAAGCTCGGCGCGATGATGCACATGATTCCGAAGTCCTTCCTGTGGATCGCAAACAAGCATGGTCAGCGTCGATCCCATACAAACCGGTGAGCATAGCAAGACGGGGTACGCACAGGGCCCAAGGTGCGTGCTCGCGCGAGGATCCGCAACCAAAGTTGTGCTTGTCGCAAACGAGAATGCGCGCGTGCGTGTACGGTTCGCGGTTCAGCACGAAGTCCGTCGGCTGCCCGTCGGGACCCCAGCGCAGGTTCGCGAACAGCGCGATCTTGAGACCCGTGCGCTTCAACACCTTCAGGAACCGCGCGGGGGTGATCATGTCCGTGTCGATGTTCTCGATGTGCAGCGGCGCCGCGATGCCCTTCAGCACCGTGAACTTCTCGACCTTCGATGGCGCGTCGGTCTTCGGCAGCACAGGCTCGACCGCGGGCGCCGTTGCGTCGCGTGCCTCGGTCGGCTCGGGCGGGGGCAGCACGGGGTCGTTGAGGAATTCGTGGAAGTTCGCGAGCTTCAGCTTCGGGCCTGCTGCGAGCTGCGCCTCCGCTTCCGCGCCCAGGAACTTGCGGACGTCCGTGAGCTTGCCAGTGAGAGCGGCCGCCGCTGCCATGGCCGGGCTAACCAGATGGGTGCGTCCTCCAGGTCCTTGACGACCCTCGAAGTTGCGGTTACTTGTGCTTGCGCAGCGCTCCTGGGGCGCAAGCTGGTCCTCGTTCATGCCCAAGCACATCGAGCAGCCCGCCTCGCGCCAGTCGAACCCGGCACGTTTGAAGATGGTGTCGAGGCCCTCTGCCTCAGCCTGCTGCTTGATAAGGCCTGACCCGGGAACGATCATGGCGTACACGCCGTCCGCGATCTTAGCCTCAGGACCCACAGACAGGACGATCTTCGCGGCGGAGCGTAGGTCCTCGATACGTGAGTTTGTGCACGAGCCGATGAAGACCTTGTCGATCTTGACCTCCTCCATAGGCGTGTTGGGCGTGAGGCCCATGTACTTGAGCGCACGCTCGACCGCCGCGCGCTTGCTGGCGTCCGAAAACGCCGCGGGATCGGGCACCTTGCCCGTAATCGGCACGACGTCCTGCGGCGACGTACCCCAGGTGACAGTCGGGATGATGTCCTCGCCGCGGATGTTGACCTCGATGTCGAACTTCGCGCCCTCGTCCGACTTAAGCGTGCGCCAGTACGCCTCCGCGCGCTCCCAGGTCTCACCCTTCGGTGCGAGCGGCCGCTTGCGGAGGTAGTCGAACGTGATGTCGTCGGGGGCGATCATGCCCGCCCGCGCGCCACCCTCGATGGACATGTTGCACATGCTCATGCGTGCCTCCATGCTGAACCCGCGCACGACCGAGCCCGCGAACTCCATGACGCAGCCCGTGCCGCCGGCGGTGCCGATGACACCGATGATGTGGAGGACGACGTCCTTGGAGGTGACGCCCTCGTTGAGAGTGCCCTCGACGGTAACGCGCATGTTCTTGGCTTTCCGCTGCAGGAGAGTTTGTGTGGCCAGAACGTGCTCGACCTCGGAGGTACCGATACCGAACGCAAGGGCGCCGAACGCGCCGTGAGCTAAGACGGCAGTCAGCGACGTTACGAGGACATGCAGATGCAAATGGTCTTACTCGATGTATGTGAGTCTCCGCATACACAGGTGATACCCGGCAGCTGGGAAAATTTAGGGGCGTCCTCGCCGGAAATAGGAGACGCTGACTTACTGTGAAACCCTCTTCAGGCCCGATAACATGGACGATGCCTTGCCGCCTATCCGTCATGCCGAAGTAGGTCAGGCCAAATGCCTTGACGTTCTCCTCGAGGGAGGTGCATTGCGCGCGCGACTCGGGTTGCGAAACGAAATCCTCGACAGTCGTGAAGTTCTTGCGAGAAACAGTGCTGAAGATATTTCAAGGTTAAAATTTGCGGACGTACACGGGGAACTAGAATATGAAACGGCCCGCGCGTCCATGTATTCGGCAGAAGTCTGCGATAGGGGACAGGACGATCGTTTGCGGCGCCATGCTCGCGGCGATGGTCAAAGATTGCACACAACGACACGGAGCCCACCACGCGCGAATGCACTATGAGCGATATGGCGGTAGAGGCTACTCACGGAATATTGTGGTCGACCGTCGCGAGAGTGCAGTCCGGACGGCGAACGGGACGGCCTGCGGTGCGCCTGTACACATCGATACAAATAAGTAGACCGCTCGCCCACTAGGCAGTGATTACACTCACAGTCCCTCGAAGGCTTGTGGGCTCGTCACTTCATGGACCAAGTGGCTGCAACCCGACGTTGCGTGAGCGTTCCGCAGGGCGCACGCGAGATCAGCAGCATATGGACGCACCGATCAATGTAAATCAGGCCCTGGCCGTTCTCATCGACGTCGCTGCAAACGCGCGGAGGCGCATTGGTCAGTCTCGGTACACGCGCGACAGGTGCGCATGAGGCCGCAAGAACGCTGCGCGCGGGACGTACATGAGATGGTCGTCCCAGATTTTATCGTACAGCGTCCTCGGCTGGCTGACGGGTGCGGGCATCTTCGCTTTTTCTGCTAGGCAGAGATGGGTGTGGGATGCGGTAGGATGTGGGTGTAGAGACCAGTAGAGTCGGAGAAGTGGAGAGAGATGAAAAGGGTCTATATAACAGCGCCTGGGCTGCTTTAGCTGACTCGACGCACTGAACTGTGGGGTCGTCACTATATTATTGACCATCCGGCCGAAACGGCCGATAGTCACGCTTGAATCCGAGCATTTTCATTGGCTACGCGGAGCAGACATTTTGACTGTGCACCATTAAGTAAAGCCGCCGGCTCGATCGCGCGGCAACAGTTTTAGCGACGATACACACTGGTGCTGCAGCGATGAGGGCAGTGAGCCTCAGTGAGCTCGGTGAACTTCAAAGGTGAAGCTTTCGGCCATCATGAGCGAGAGACTGGTAAGGAATGTGTTTATAAACGAGGGGTATCATCCGTACAAGGATGTGTACAGTACAGCGTACAGTACAATCAGACCAATTATTAGTACCTAATTAATAGTTAACTACTGCGAGTAGATCCATCCAAGCTGGTCCATCTCGTCCCCGTCCTGCCCGTACGCACCGACGATGCCAAACCCGCTCGGCGCGGTGACAGTGGCGCAGTTCGCCGTCGTGGCGCCAGCTGCAACCGTACGGCCCGTGCTCGTCGTGAGCTGCGCGTAGAAGTTGCGCGTCTCGCTGTTGTACTTGTCCCAGCAGAGCTTCGCGGTCGTGATGGTCTCCCCAGATGCGAGCGTGAGCGTGTTCGCGTTGCCACCGGTACCGCCGTGCGAGAAGGTCGCGCCCGAGGTGAGGGTGAAGGAGACGGCATCGAGACGGCTGCCGCCGCGGAGCGTGACGGAGGCGACCTTAGGGGAAGAGGGGAGCGAGGGGAGGTCGTTGAAGTACGTGCCGTGGGGGCCACCGAAGAGGTCGCTCTGGCGGAGGGAGGAGGTGAGGGACCAGCTGAACTCGATGCGGACGGGGTTGTGGTCCGTCAGGAGCGCGAGGTCCGACGAGAGGAAGCGAGCGGTGTCATAGAAGAAGTCCGTTGACGAGAGGTTAATAAGCTTCGAGCCACGGTAGCTAGGAAGAGGGTAACATGAGCCGTTGTTTCAATCGCTGCAAATCCCGGCAAACTTACAAGACCTTGTCGACCGTCTCGCAAGAGATGTTGGTCGGGACACCGTCAGGGCAGACGATAGCGTCGGCACCGGCAGCGGGAGGGGAGCCGTTGCGGGCGTGCTTGACCCATGCGTCGGTCATGCCCTCCTGGGAGACGAGGGTGCGAATGCCGGTGTCCACAGCGCGCGTGTAGCGGGAGTTGGTGTCGCCGAACACAAGCACTGCGTTTCCGACGGAGTTGGCAGCAATGAAGTCCGCGACCTAGACGCACATGAAATCAGTACAGCAGACCTATGGCAAAGTCAGTGTCAAACTGTACCTGCTGGATGTTCGCAGTACGCGCGACGTTGTCGCCGTCCTCGGTACCGGCGTCCGCGTGCAGGTTGATGGCGTCAATGTAGACACCCTCATCGACACGGACGCGCATGAACGTGAAGCCCTTCGGGGTGAGGCAGTCGGACTCCGATGCGTCCGAGCACGTCGCCCACTTGGTGCGCGAGAAGTCGACCCAATCGAAGTTGGAAAGGGTGTTCAAGCCGCTACCGAAAGGCACACCCCCGCTAGTGGCGGTGCGGAAGGGGTGGGTGTCATACGCGTACAGCGTCGCGTGGTAGTTGAAGTCCTACGAAAGGTCAGCACAACATTCCCCCGTAAACTACCCGCAATAAATTACGAACCTCCTGAACATGGATGAGACTGTAGCTGTACGCCGACATGTCCTGAATAGATCAAACGCGACATGAGTTGATGTAGCCATGCAAGCAATCACACAAACATACCTGGCCGATCACCATCGTGTTCGACGTCTTGTCGCCCGATTCCCCGTTGGAGTTCAAGATCTCCGGCAGGCCCGCGACGTTCATTGACAAGACATTGAACGTCCCCGACGCTGCGGACGCCGCGAGGGCAGGCGACGCGATCGCAAGAAGGAGTGTAAGTGCGGAGAGCATGATCGACGAGCGGGGGTGGGGGTTGCCTCCAGCGTCCGCCGCCGGCAAGCTTTATGTACAGACTATCGAACTTCGGTGACGTCCAATGGCCCATGCGTGCACATGGCGATGAGGTACGTCCGGCTCTCAACGTTCGTCCGTTGCTGCTACCGTTGCTTAGGACCGTCCGACGACCGCCATGCATACGGCTGCGGGGGACGGGGATGCGGTAGCGTGAGACGCCGGTGGACGGTCCGCCCAGGGCAACTGTGGCACGTTTAAGGCACCGTGGTTCTCCGGTCGGTAGCGCATGAGGTCGGCGGGCTTTCGGGTGCGTTTATGATCACAAGAGAGGGCTTCGCGGTGAGGATCGCTTGATATCTTCAGCAAGTTGGTCTAACAGGACATACATACCCAGGCAAAATATACAGCACAACGCACGTTCTATTACCCAGCAATTCAGCATCGTACCACAGCAAAGACCAAGAACATACTACAGCAAGATGATACACAGCGACGAATGAGAGCTAATCGTACACACCCGTGGTTGGAGAGAGGAAGCACGTGGAGCGCAACCGAGCGAAGGGACTATGTACGGCATCAGTAGATAGAGCGCAGTGCGCGGGTAGATCGCTTTTCACAAGGATTCCGCAGGAGTTCCATTGACGTTTCGCGTTGATGCAAACGGTAGCATGGGGGGCGCGAATCAACCGGCCAGGGGGCGACCGGTGGTGAAGATGCGCTAGCTACCTCCTGCGGATGAGGCGAAGGAGGGATATCGCGTCTCGTGAGTACACCTCTCGTTGGGGGTCGTCGGAGATGTCCTCCCATGTGAACTCTTTCTTCAGCAACGTGAAGAAACGCTTGTCTGCCTGCGAAATATGAGCCTCACATGAAACTCAGTAATTGGTGCGCATACCTTTCTACGCTTCTTGTAGCAGAACAGGATTTGTGTTGACGGGTCGTGAACCAGGTCGGCTAGTGTCCGCACAAGAAGTGGGAACGCCGGCTCGAAGTAGACGCAGTCCGCAGCCAGAATCAGGTCGGGCCGAGGTAGATCCAGAGGCAGCGGTTCTCCCCTAGCCAGCCAACAAGACGTTTAGATGATGTCGAGTGATCAAGAGCAGACGGATAGAGCGGACCAGTTGAGTTCCGCGACAGATACACAGGACTCCAGCTGGTTGAGTGATACGTTCTGCTTCATGATACCCAGGAGCGGACTGCGGAGAGATAGACGAGGTTGGCCACGAAATCATCGTGCAATGCTGAGGGGAGTGAACGAACGCTTGGTCTGTGATACAGACGCGTGCCCCGAGCTTCCCAGCGACGAGTCCCACAAGGCCAGTTCCACTCCCCAGTTCAAGGACGTTCTTGCCTTCAAGATTTCCGCTTCTCGTGATGTAGCCTGCCAGGACCTACACCATCAAGACGGCGCGTTCAGACAGACGTTAACGCCACGGACAGCAAGAATGCAACTCACCTCTCCCGCCGGCCAGGCGATCCCTCCGCATCCCGGCGATGCGTCCACTGCGAGCCTGATCGCGACGCTTCCAGTGTCCGGGGCAGCGGCGAACGCAAGCTCTATAGTCTGATTGCGGACAGAAGGGGGCTGGACGGGAACGATGGTGCCTGCGCTGTCTTCGTCGGACCCAGCGTCCTCGCGGAAGTGGCGAAGCGGGTCGAGGTCATCGAGCCTCTCTTCGAGCGCGAGGTCAATCATGGTGTGCGAGCCGTGCAGCCGCTATGGATAAGCTGAGTCGTCCGGCGTGAAACGTGGATTGCGCGAGGCTGGGGATATCAGGAAGAGGTGGTGGAGGCAATAGAGATAGAGGCGGGAGCCCAGACGCGCCGGTGAATGAGCTCATTCCCCGTTCGACTCGTGCGCGTCGTGGCCAACGTTGACCTAAGACCTCGCCTGCGCCCTCCCTCCTCGATCCTCGCTCTCACGCGCACGCTTTATCTCCCCTCTCGCTGCCTCGCATCTGCCTCTCGTCCCTCCAAACGACCACTTCGTCCAACGGTGAGTATTCCCTCTTCCTCTCTTGGCAGCGCGCGCGGATGACTGACGGCCCCGATCACTGGCGCGGCTATCTGCGCTCTCTGAATCGACTGCCGATGGCATTGATCGCTTCCCCTCCCGCTCATATTTCACCCTCGACCTCCCGCCAGCAGCGCTACCCTCCCCGCTTCAACCACACACCCTCGCCCCTGTCTCCCTTCCTCTCCTTTACTTACGACCCATAATGTCCGAGTCATACGAAGCCACCTTCCGCTGGTGAGTGGTCTTTTTAGCGTGCGCGCGCCAACGCGCGGCGCATGTTCATAACTTGCGAATGCTGACCCAACCACGTAGGCCACATGCCGGAGCCTCCGACGTAATTGTCACCGGCACTTTCGACGGTGTACGTGCATCTGCTTTTACTCTGCGTATATCATGTACTGCGCGCTGACGCAGCCCACAGTGGTCGTGCTCACACCACCTCACCAAAACGCCTTCTGGCTTCTTCCACGGCGCGTTTAGCGTCCCCTGGGGTGACGTCGTCCAGTACAAGTACATCGTCGACGGCCGCTGGACGACTACCGATGATCAGGCCACCGAGCTTGACCCCATGGGCAACCTCAACAACGTCCTCCGCGCCCCCGCGCGCCCTCCGACGCCCAAGTCGGCGTCACCCCCGCCTTCCCCTCAAGCTGAGACGACCCTAGGCAGGGTGAATGGCTTTGTTGAGACCGCGAGGCAGGCCGTGGTCGGCATGGTCGAAGCCCTCGCGCCGGGAACGACCGAGACTCCCGCTGCGACTCCTGTTGCAGAGGTAAGCCCGCTATGACGTATTCGGCCTCTGTCCACACTTGCTAAGACATCCTTCCGCCCGTTAGAAATTCGACCCAACTCCTGAGCCGGTTTCTGCTCCCGAAGAACCCTTGCCTGAGCCCTCTGCGCCCGAGGCTAGCGCTCCGGAGATCACGAGTGAAGCCGTTCTGCCCTCCGAGCCCGCTCCCGTCGCGCCAGAAGTGCCCGTGCCCGTCCTCCCGCTGAGCACCGAGCCCGCGCTCGAGACGCTCAGCGTCCCCATCGCGGACGTATCTGAGAGCAAGCCGCTCGAGACGACGATTGTCGAAGGCAGCACCACCGCTGAAACGGCCGTCGAGCCCACTCCCGTCATTCCCGTCGAGGCTCCGGCCGTCGTCGCACCCGAGCCTACTGTGGATGTATCCGCAAGCGCGCCCATCGAGACGACTATCGTCGAGGGCAGCACGACCGCCGAAGCCGCTGCGCCCGCGCCTACTGCCGCAGCCGAGCCCGCCGTGGAGCCGTCCACGCACACACCCGCTGGCGCGAACGGCGTGTCAGAAGAGAAGCCCGCGACAAATGGCACTACGCCCGCGGTGAACGGCACTAACGGCACTGCCACGCCCAAGCCCACCGCTGCTCGCACAACAAGTACGAACGGCGCATCCACGAAGACCGTGACGCCGCCCGGCTCAACGGGTACTTCGCCCGCGACGACGCCTGCGAAGGAGAAGCGGATGCGTTTCCCCTCGCTCTCTTCGCGCTCTCTGCACTCGCGCTCCCGCTCTAGCGTCGAGACCCCAAGTGAACTCGGGGAGACCAAGGAGAAGAACGGGACTATCGCGAGCCGCCTAGGGAGCTCGGAACGCGTCAAGCGACGCACGAGCCTGTTCGGGAAGCTCAAGGACGTCTTCCACCCGAAGCATGAGACGAAGCCCGAGGCATCGTCGTAAAGTGTGCGCGGGTGGGTGTGTGGAAGGCATGCACTGGGGATTTCCACGGTGCATGTGTGCGGGGCAGAGATGGGGACGATTTGTGGCTTGCTTCACGATATAGACTTCTCATGATCGGCTACGAGTATCTCTTGCGCAGGATATCTTTTTTCTGTCTTAGTGTTTCGCGTTCTCTTTTGTAGACCGTAGTTTTCTTCTTCTGTATTATAATTTGTACTTGGTAGCAGCGATATCCTTTTTTCTCCCTCTCCTGTCGCCGTTCCGGGCTCGTAATACATGTTACCTGATCAAATGGACGGCGACATTTTGAACCCGCATGAAACACTGAATAGAGTTCAAGAGACAAGAAAGAAATGATTTTTCGAGGCTTGGAGGCAGGAGATGTTCGCGAGGTGCATACAACGTACAAAAGCCCAAACGGCGCCATCGCACAAGTACTGTCAAAACCCGCAATCAGGCCGGCGGTCTGCTGCCGCCCTTTTTCTCCACCCTCCACTCCTTGAAGATGCCGTCGAGACTCTTGTAGACGAGGTGCGACGGCAGGCTGCGGATAATCTCGCCGACGTGTTCCTCCGCCTCCGCCTTGCCCTTGTCGCCCGCGGCCTTGCTCGCGAAGTCTACCGCGAGGCGGAACATCGCGAGCACGGCGAGCGAGACGTGCGTCTGCTGCGCGCCGTGCGCGGAGCCCTGAGTGAGCGCGGAGAGCAGCGGGCCCGACACGGACGGGGGCGCGAGCGGCGCGTTCTGCGTGAACGTCGAGCGCTCGCCGCGCACGAGGCGGAGGAGGATCTCGAGGATGTTGTCCGTCTCGGTCATGTGCGTGCGCAAGAAGCGCTTGCGCTCCGTCTCCTGCCCGATGTTCGAGTTGCTCGCCCAGGACTCGAGGACCGTCCAGATCGTCGGTGCCTGCGATCGCGAGTGACGTTAGTCGGGATGTGTATCAGGGGCACTGCACGATCTGCTGTACGTACCGGATCGGGATCGGCGACCTCGATCCGCCTCTCCCACCCGTCGGCTGCGTCGCCGGCGACCCAGAACATGCGCCCGAACATGCTGCGTAGCCACTCCTGCACGTCGCCGGTCTTCACCCAGCGTGGCTCGGAAAGCGGTTTCTCTTTGTCGAGGTACAAGATCAGCGAGATTTCTGACGGGACCTTGGCCTTGGAGAACGGTGGGACGGTTGGGTCTTCGCTCTCGAGCTGTTCCGAGATGTCGAGGGCAACATAGGTAGTTTCCTCTGAGCAGCCTTCCATCTGCAAATAAAAATTAGTATCAGATCTCCACAGTCCGTTGTGTACTTACCGCGATGCCCTTGAGTCCGCCACGCTCGTCTTCCTGGAGCTGCAGGGTGACTTCGATGCGGCCTTCGGCCCTGAAGACCTTGAGCTTCGGCACCACCTCTGCATCAACAACAAGACGCTTCGTCGCGCCCGCGTAGGACACGGACAAGCGACTAGCGGATGGAACCTTATCGCCGAGCAAAGCGGGGTTCGCAGAGGCGTCTTCCGCAGGGGCGTTGGGATCGTGAGAGGCAGACGGGTCGTACGGGTGTTCTGGATCGTATGCGGGCTGAGTGGCCTCGTATTCGTGCTCGTTGTGTTCGGCGCCGTCGCCACCATCGATGACCGTAGAAGCATAGGGAGAACCTTGACCACCGTCTTGATTTGTATCGGGTACAGTGGAGGCAATAGAGTCCATCGCCTGCAAAGGCACGGTTCGGGGAGCAGGAGGGGGGGCAGCCTGTGCGTCAGTGGACTGCGAAGCAACAGCATTCGGACCCTGGTTCTCGACCACAGTGGACGCCGCAGCGGCAGAAGCATCCGCTGGGGGAGCGGTCCCGCCTTGAGCGGGTAACTGGACAGAAGGAGTAGAGGCAATCGTATCCTGCGAGCTCTGGTTTGAGTTCCCCTGCTGCGTAGCGGGGTTAGTGCCGCCGTCACGCTGCTCCTGAGAGGAGGGTGACGGATCATTGGCCTGGCTGTTGCCATTGACCTGAAGATGATGCCCGGCGAGGTCATTTGGCCCATTGGCATTGAAGCTCGCGAACGTCTCGTCATCAGGGTCCACTTCCGAGCCCTGCGCATCCTCGTCGCCCATGACGTGGTCACCGTCGTGCCCGTCCCCTTGGTCATACTCATTGCCTTTAAACGATAAAAGAGCCAGATTAGTGGTGCGAACGAGGTTGTGTGAACGAGACTCATCCACACATGCGCAGTCTCGGGAATAGACGGACGCTTACCAAATTCACCGGCATCGCCGTTATCCAGGTAATGTTCGACTTCGCTGACGTGAAGGTTCTCCCCTCCGTCGCCGTCACCCTCCTCTTCGCCAATTGCAGCCATGAGCCAATCGCCCTCGCTGGTGGTCTCAGCGACACTCGGGGCTACGCTGTCGCGGCCTGCCCCTTCATAATCCGCAGAAGAATCCAAACCAGAACCATGAGGCGGGGGTGGAGGGGCTCCCCGACCCTCCTCGTAGTCGCCATCATCATCCTCGAGCTTCTTGCGCTTCCCCTTCCGCGCATTGGAGGAGTTAAGACCTGAAGACTGGGACGAGATAGGGTGCGCATCGTCAGGGGTGACAGGAGTGTGGAAATAGATCCGAACGCGTGACGGAGGCGGACCGAGCAAAGCTGCGATGTCCTTTACGCCTGCAGCCTCAAGAACAGGAGCCGCGGCGGCAGCAACGGCAGCAACAGCGGCAGCGTCTAGCCCAGTGGTAGCACCCTCAGCCGGAGCTGGAGTGGCGCTATCAGCGGTTTCAACGACTGCTGGTGTTTCAGAGGGAATAGCGGTGGCAATAGGCTCCTCCTTGACCACGGTGGTCGCAGTCTCCGGAGACAGTCCCCAACTCCAATCCAGCTCGGGGATCTTGAGCCCAATGATCTTAAAGTCCGTCAGTGTCCGCTTGTTCTCATCCTTCTTACCAGAAGAGAAGCTCGCGGACGTCGCGCCGACACTTTCACGACCACTGGCGGACCCCGCTCCATCATGCCGGCCACCTCGGCTGGAGTAGCTGTAGCCCTGACCTCTCCCGCGGAAGGAGGAGTTGTTCTGGTGATGGCCGTAGCTCTGCTGCTGCTGATGTTGACCGTGAGAGTAGCCCTGGTTGGTGAAAGAGCCGCCTCTCCGCGTGTCCCTATTGTTAAATCCGCGGTTCGAGTTGTGTCCACGGAAACTGCCAGTTTGTGGTGCGCCGCCCCGTGTTCCCATGTTATTGTAGCTTCCACCGCCGCGACCGCGGGTCCCTCCTCTCTGTATGTTCATCGACCCACCGCGTCCACGCGGGTTCATATTGCCGCCCCCGCGTCCCCCATTGTACCCGCCGCGTCCGCCAGCTGGGTTCATGCCCGGCGCACCACCCCTCGTATATTGGCCTGGACCCGGACCCGGACCCGGGCCCTGGTTTTGGTTATACATCCCGCCCTGCTGCTGCATAGGCGGAGGGGGAGGCGGCTGGAACTGCGGCTGAACAGGCGGCCCGCGATGCTGGTTTGGCCCATCGAAGCGTTGCCGCTTAGCGGGTGGGAACTGTTGTGGAGAAGTATGATGAGCGATGGGCGGTCGGTTCTGTCGATGTTGCTGTTGCTGCTGCTGTTGCGGGAAGAACTGCTGAGGTTGCTGGAAGGGTTGCGCGGGGGGCTGCTGGTATGCGGCCTGAGGTATCGCTTGAGGAACCGCCTGAGGGGTCGCTTGGGGGACGTAAGGCTGCTGGTACGCGGCTTGCTGTGGCTGGTACGGGCTGTATTGGGGTTGGGCCGGGGGAGGTGGGGCCTGAACAACAGGGGCCGGAGGCTGCTGGTAAGCCTGCTGGGGTTGCTGGTGCTGTTGGCGCTGTTGCTGCGCCTGCCAATTCGCTCCATAGCCGTAGTTTGCGTAGAGGTGCGCCTGGTCAGCGGGACGAGCGGCGGCGGCGGCGGCGGCAGTAGCGGCCTGCTGAGCTGGCTGAGCCGCGTTCCATTGCGCCGCGTATGCAGCAGCGGCCGCAGCCGCACCGGGTTGCTGCTGAGCCTGTTGTGCGGCCGCGGCGGCTGCCCAATATGCAGAGTAATCAGGTTGTGCAGGCTGAGGAGGAGGCGGCCCAGGAGGAAGCGGAGGTTGCTGAGTATAGGCCGCAGTCGCAAAGGGGTTCTTGTTCATCGTCGTAGTCTAGAGAGAGAGACGGAAGAGACGAGCCACTAGAGGAGCAGAAAAAGCGAGAGCAATAGGACGGGAATACAGTAACGGCCGTTTTGTTCGACGTAGGGGTCGGCGAGAACAAATGAGACACGGCCGGGGACCCGTCGCGGCGCGCGCACATGGCGGGCATCGTGACAGCGCGGGCCGTCACAAAGTAACACCCCCGTTGACTCATCGATTCGCGAAGTTTTCCCTCGAGATCAATCTCGGCGACACAAAGGACGTGTAAAATAGCTAGCGGATAGATGTACAAAAGATACGACATGCGAGAAGAGTGAAAGATGGTGCAGGAGATGAGAGAAGCAACCATTAAGTGCGGCAGTCCTCATGAATCCTCGTCGTCCGCCCGCTTCTTCTTTTTCTTCTTCTTGGACTTCTCGTCATGTCCCTCGGTATCCTGGTCGACAGACTGCTCTTGTGTACGGTCGCGCTTGCGCTTGCGCTTCTCGTCAATTGTCGGTGCGGCCTCTTCCTCTGGTGCAACAAACACCTCTGCGCGCTTGGCGCGTCGCTCGGCAGTAACTTCCTCTTGCTGCAGGACATAGGTTAGTTGCTGATGGTGCGACGTAGTAATCCAATGTCTTACCTTCTCTTTCCTCTTCCGGTTTTCGCGAGCCTCCTTCTCGTGTGCTTTGAGGAAGTATTCTCCGGACTCCAGCTGGAGATCGACCTTCCGAGGCTGCTGAGGTGGCGGGAAAGGCGTGTACACCTTCTTCTCCTTCTTTTCTTTCTTGGCCTCTTCGACTGTCGGCAAGCCCGCAGCTTTCCGCGACTCGTCCTTTTCTTGTATCCGCTCGTTCTTCTTCGCGGTTTTCTCGGAAGTCTTGAGGTGACGCTTGCGGAACTTGGGCAAGAAGCGATCCCACGACTCCGTCGCGAGTTGCGGGTCCTTTGCCAGCTCACGCTTGATCATGAGCTCCTACAAGCTTGTCAGGTAATTATCACGGATACGAGAAGTTCGATGTGCGAACCTTGATCCGGTATATGGGGTGGATATTCTTCATGCAGTCGAGCACGATCCGCCGTACCTCCTTAAGCCCCTTGTACGGACCCATGACGCTGACAGTGTTTCCTTGTACAAGGACGTAACACTGCGTGAGCAATTCGATAGCCTGATATATTGTTAATCTATCTGCGTGCATGCTCCAATAGATATCCGTAAAGCGTACCTTCAGCGTGCTGCCGTCCGGCCCAATGATTCTCTGCCGCCGCTTGATGAACCGCTCCTTATTCCGCACAACATTCCCAATCTTGATGATGTCACACGCAATGTCGTCGCTCATGATTTTGACCGCCTGCCCGATCGCGACACCTCGTGCAAGCAGCTTGATCATGTCGCGCGCCTTGAGGATGATGTAGGGGTCGTACGTTTTGCGTGTTGTCCGGACCGACATAGAACCATGGATCAGGTCAAGCGTGCAAGAGATGCCCTAGAGTCCGCACATGACTTTGTGAGCCAGTCTGATCATTGCTAGCGAGCGGAAGGACATACATGTGTGTCAAGGGCTTGGGTTACGGCGCTCCATACTTCGCGCAAGTACTTTTCGCGGTATTTGGGGAAGAGGGTCGCGAATGAAGATTCTTCCGTGAACGGTCCGGCTTTGTTGTCCTCGGGCTTGAACTGGTCGATCTTCCACTACGCATAGAGTTACAACTAACCGTGAACGGAACTCTGTGAAAGATGCTTACACTTGCAGCGCGTCGTGAGTACATGCACAAGAATTACAATATTGATGATGTAAGCTTACTGGTCAATGTCATCGGTATCCCAAGCTGCCCGGTAGTTTAGTTTGGACTGTATGGCTATGTACGAAGGCTGCAAACGCACGCTTCTCCTTCCTATGCCTCTTGTTTTTGTTGACCACAGGCGCGCTCTCCGAGCCTTCCACTGACATCTTGATATTAGGCTATCCCAGCTGATGACAAGAAAGACGAAGTAGTGTAGACAAGTCAAGCAAGAACAGACGCAATAGCAGGAGGACCAGAGAAGAAAGTTGCTGAGCCCTGGGCAGGAAGCGCCAGACTTCTTACACCGGTCACGTGCAGCGCATAGACGCCCACCGTAGGATGCTTCGAAGCTGGGCTCATCTGGCTTGCCACACAAACGCCACCATGGACACTGCTCCAGGACTCTTTGAGGCCTCCTCTTCTACCTCTGCACTACCCTACGACGACACAGTACCATACGAAGACCAAGTATCCGCTGCTCCAGATGTCCTCGAGCCCAGCGACTCCGGCCGGTCTCTTGCCGACCGTATTGGCACTACCAAGGTCTACCTGCTCTCCGATGCGTCCAAATCGCGGGTCGGAAAGGTGCGCTGGCAGCATGTTTTGTAAAGGAGGACGGAGGACTTAATTTGGGAGTCATTGCTGCCTACCTTTTTCCGCCCCGGGCTATTGTTCTATGGTCCCATCTCGACCTATGTACCCTTCGGCTCGGGACGTTTCTTAGCGTAAACACGGAGCCTCAGACGATGAAGAATCGGGAAACGATGTAGACATGGCCGAACTAGGTTGGTCACAAATTTAATGAGCTCCATTATGTGCTCATTCGCCGCAGAACACTCGGCTATACGGGACAATGCAATCCTCTTGCACGGCAGCCCAATCTCTCACCTGCCCACCTCCAACATCTTTGCATACGCGACAAACTTCGATGCGCACCCGCTCGGGCTCGAATGGATCGATGACACAACATGTGTACTGGTCTTCGAGTCAAAGAGCGCCGCTCGCTCCGCCTTCCGCACCCTGCAGAAGTCCGTGGCGGAGGAACCCTCTCTAGACGACGGTTCTATCACCGCAAAGCCGATCCCCGTCACCATATGGCCCGCGGAGTATCGCATAAGCGCGACGCTCGGGAAAGGCGACGGCCTCAAGGGCATCTTGCGCATGCGGTGGGCAAAGGTGGAGGACGTGAAGAAGAAGGGCGCGCGGGACCAGAGCCAGTTTTACAAGAAGTACGGACAGGAGGCGGGAAAGAGCTTGGAAGAGGGTCCACGGCCGGCAAAGAGACGCCGCGGCCCCCTGGAGTCCGATGCTCTGAAGAAGGCGATCCTAGACGAGGAGCTGGACCGATTCCTCGCCTCAGACGAAGAAGCACAACGACCAACCACCCCACCCTCACGGATGCGCTCCGACTTCATTGGAGATCGCGGAAAGACGCTCCTCGAACGAACGGAGGGAGGGCTAGCCTCGAGGTTGATCGCACCTCTTCCCCGGCGGGGACGCTCGCAGCGAGACGGGGATCACCGGTCTTGGGACAGAGGGAAGGAGGTCGAGGGTTACGAGGAAACCTTCGAGCCACGATCGCGACGCGGTCCAAGACGTGAGGAAGGGAGGCGTTCGAGGAGGGAGCCCCGCGCGAGGGCTACTCAAGCGGACTTGGATGCAGAGCTGGATGCTTTCTTGAACGAGAAGCTGTAACTATTACACGCACTGTGGTGATTATGCCTGGATGCTCTATGTACTGTAAGATGGTCTGTACTGTATTCCCCACTCAGATGCTTCATAAACCCCGAGGGTTTATTTCTTGTATCCACGACGCACCTGAGAATGAGTTTAACGTCCGAGCTCATAGGTAAGGCTGCAAACATACAAGCACGTATGACGTAACGGCTCAGGTTATCTACTTCGGCGCAATGGTTTTGAGCTGCAATACACGTGAGTTTCTGTTATATAGGATAGTGTGATGCAGCATACTTGTAGACCATGAATGCCCTGGATCTCTTCCTTGAGGGTCTGGTTCACGAGCCGCTGTTGTTTGACCAGAGGCAAGCCCTTGAACTCCTCGCTGGCTATGATGATCTGGTAGAACGTCCCGCAACCTCCTGTACGGCGACAGAGTGTTCAGCAAAGTGATTCCAATCCCAGCAGTACAAGTCTCACCGGAGACATCCTCCACCACCAGCTCGGAGGGCTTGAACTTCTCCGTCAGCTTCTCGTGTATAACGCGCTCCCCGTCCGTCGAGAACTTCGTCTGGGCGGACGAGTACCACCGCGCCACCGCAGGAAGGCGCACAGCCAATTGCGGCCGCGCTATTCGTCGAGTCAGAGCGAGAGCGAGCATCTGGAACGCAGCTGGAACGCGTCCGGGTGAGGGCAGAGGAGAGGGACGCGGATGATTTGGAGTCCAGGCCGTCTGTACGCGCGCGCCTCGCGTGCCGCCGATCGAGATCCCGCCCCGGCCCATGTATTCCCGCTAGCTGTCTCCCGAACGTCCTCAACGTCCTCCACATCCTCCTGCTTGCCTCCGATCCCACTCTACGACGAACGGGATGTTAGCTGGCCTGTGGGCGCGCGGTGTCGCCCTCGAGTGCCGTTTGGCGACCCTCACCAAGCTTCCGCGCCAAAGTTCGATCCGGGCTCTCCACCAAGCCACCTCGAGGCCTTCCGCCCTCTTGACTGCTGCCGCTGCTGCACCGCGGACATGGAACAAGCCATCCAGTCTGCTGAGCTCTGCGAGAGCATTTACTCGTAAAGCAGCTGGTCCTCGCCGCCTCTTTGACCCTCGGTTCTTCTCCGCGAACGCTGCTCAGGCGGAAGCAGCCGCGGAGCTCCCGGTGCTCTCCCCTCCAGCGGTCGGAGGGTGGTTGCTCGGCTCGGCGGGCCTGGTATTTGCTATCATCGTTGTCGGAGGGATTACCCGCCTCACCGAGTCTGGCCTGAGCATAACGGAATGGCGTCCGATAACTGGTGTGCTCCCTCCCCTGTCCCGCGCGCAGTGGGAGGAAGAGTTCGACAAGTACAAACTTACGCCGGAGTTCAAGCTGTATGTCTCCCTATATTATTTGCTAGCGTTAGCATGTTGATGATCATTTCAGGATGAACCATTCGATATCGCTCGAGGAGTTCAAGGGCATCTTCTTCTGGGAATGGTCACACCGTGTCCTCGGCCGCATCATCGGTGTCGGCTTCGTCGTACCTCTGGCCTACTTCGCCCTCCGGAAACGTCTCACTGCGACCCTACCCAAGCACTTGACCGCCATGGCCTTCCTCATCGGCGCTCAAGGCGCCCTCGGGTGGTACATGGTCAAGTCCGGTCTGGAGGATTCGCTCATGGACACCCCAGGAGCCGTCCCGCGCGTGTCGCAGTACCGGCTCGCCGCCCACCTGGGCACGGCGTTCGTGCTGTACGCAGGCATGTTCGGTACAGGTCTCTCAGCGATCATGGATTGGCGGTATGCGAACAAGGGTGTATGGAGCGGCTTCAAGGAGAACGGTGCTAAGTGGCAGGAAGTGCTTCAGAACCCCCACGTTAAGAGGTTCTCGCGGGGTGCCAAGGGCTTGACCGCGCTCGTCTTCCTTACCGCACTCTCCGGTATGTGATTCCATGCCTGCACATCAGGTAGCATGCTGACAGACCTTTGTAGGCGCGTTCGTTGCAGGCCTCGACGCTGGTCTTCTCTACAACGAGTTCCCGCTAATGGGCGGTCGCCTTGCTCCTCCGGCAGACGAACTTCTCAACCCGGCCTACTCTAAGAGCGCAGACCAATCCGACATCTGGTGGCGCAATATTTTCGAGAACCCGACGACCGTGCAATTCGACCACAGATGTCTGGTGAGTTCCTGACCGCAAGACTATCGGCCGAGTAGCGTGCTCATGCTTGTGACAGGCAATCACGACCTACGTCGCTACTGGACTCATGTATGCGGCGACATTCAACCCCGCATTGCGGGCCGTCCTCCCTCCTTTGACGAAGCGGATGGCGACCTCCGCGTTCGCGATGGCCAACATCCAGGTTCTGCTCGGCATCTCTACGCTCCTATACCTGGTACCTATACCTCTCGCGGCGGCGCATCAGGCCGGCAGTGTAGCGCTGTTGACCACCATGATCCATATTCTTGTCTCCTTGCGGAGACCGGGGGCTGCTGCAAGGGCATGGAGACAGGCCTTGCAACGGGCCAAGAAAACTGCGTAGATTTATACATCAAATTCCAGGGACATATCCTTAGAGCACATATAATTATCGCTATACTCGCTTTGCTTTGCCATACACTCAACTCAATCATTACATACGACCCCTGTACTTGCAGCTTACTCTTTTGAGGGACCATCCTGGCAAGAAACATAAACGCAGATGTTGCAACCGTTCTACTTTTACAAAGACAAACACACGTCCGTACGTATCCTCTGCTCAATCTGCCATCTGTACGTCCTCGTCGCCCGCCGCCGCCTCAGGTGCCGCCGCAGGGGCCGCTGGTGCATCACCGGTGTCCTTGGGCGTCATACTCTGGAGGTACACCTCGATGATCTCGCCCTCGAGGATGCGGAAGTCACCCTCTGCAGTCACTCCCGTCTCGTGCGGGCCTCCAGGGCCAACAATGCCAATGGACGTGTTGTTGATCGTGAGCTCCTTGTCCTGCTGCAGGGTCTCCCGAAGCGCGTGCAGGCCATGCTTGATCAGCTCCTCGAGTGTGCCTGGGTGGCGGAATAAAGAAAGACAGTCAGCGGGTTGTGCGGGGAGAAAGCGAGGGCGCACAAAGGACGCACAGTCCGCGAAGCTCTCGTAGTGCTTCTCGAGGTATGTCTTCGCGCTTTGTGAGCGCGCGCCGATCGACATCGCGTAGTACTCGTACGAGTTGCCGGATGGGGAGAATTCGTACAGGTGGGGCCCCTGCTTGTCTTGGCCGATCACGAGCAGACCGACACCGTATGGGCGGCGACCGTATTCCTGGGTGTTTACTTGTGCCTCTGTACAAGGTATCAGTAACGGTGATGCTTGGAACGTGCGCGAGAGACGTACTATCGGCGATGGCGGAGACGAGACGGTTTACGGGTGCGGGGCGGTTGAAAAGCATGCGGGAGGACATGGCTTGCTGCCTCATGAAGTTGCTGCAGACGCGTTTGAGACACCCTCCCAGACATAGCAGTGACGTATACACACCTCAAGACACGCGCGTCGGATGTCAGTCCAGCGATCGCAATGCCGACATGGTCATCTATTCGGTACATCTTCTGTTGGTACGAGGCAAGTTCTCCGAACGAACGCTAACAGAAACTTTCGGTCAGCACGACAGCAAATGGGTAGAACAGATCCCAGCGCACCTTCAAAGCCAGCAGAATCGCATGTGTCTTCGACCGCAAACCCACCGCGGCCGATCCCTGCTTCACGGCCTCGAGCGCATACTCAACCTGGTGGAGACGCCCCTGGGGCGAGAAGACGGTGTTGTCCGAGTCGTATGTGTTCCTGAACTATTCAGACGCGTTAGCGGGAGCATATTGAGGTAGCTTTGAAGCGTACCATGGTGGTGAGGAGGGAGGATGAGTGCAAGAGTACGAAGCGCCTCCGTGCGTTTCGCTGAAGGTGACGCGTCGCGGGCGACGCGCAAGATTACCTTTTCGGGAGGGTCATCGAGACGTGCAAGAGGCGCCCATTACTTGTCCTCGAACCATCACGTCCAGGTCATGAAGGATGCATACACCGACAGCAGCTAAATCTGCACAGGTCTAGCGATTAATGGTAGCGCAAAACTCACAAGCATTCCTTGGAACTGGTCATGTTTGACTGGTACTAGTAGGTAGGTCGACGATGCATGTCGAACACTCATTACTCAGTACCTCCACCAGAGTATGACACGAGCGCATATATATGGCCAAGTATCATGCCGACTTGTATACAGAAGCCTGGGTACACGAAGTATATATTGGGATCGCCCGGCGTACCTTGCGGCGGCTTGCAACGACGGTCCTTGAAGACATGCCTCGTGTAGCCTCATGGCTTTGAATATACACCGCACAAGCGTCCGGCGATAAATCGTCTTTCATCTTCGAACGCGAGATTATCTCACGAGCATATGGCAGATCTACTCAAGCAAGTTATTCCACAACCGATGTCTCCACGTTGTCGGAGTCAGGCTCCTCGAAGCGATAACTCCGTGCAAGAGGGCCGGATTGAGGCTTCGCATGGTTGTGCCGCCGGCCGTACTGTATGTTCGTGCCTTGGCTGGACTGCCTCACAAGTTGCTGCCGCCGCGGCACAATCCAGCTTGTGATGTCATGGGTACGCATATACGCGTCAGAAGTCGTTGTATACTGACATGATAGTAAGGTAAGTGACGCTTTGAGACTAAAGGCAATTGATGTCGTCACCGCCCGTGCGCTGTATAAGAACCTCGCTCCACGCACGCGCGTCGTTTTACTTCCCCGCCATCTCCTGCGAGAGTCGCTATCATGCCCCCCGAACTCACCGCCCTGACGTACAGGTAAGTGCGCCCTCAAACTATGCTGGAGGCTTCACAGCTCCCCCGATGTCTTGCTCTAGTCCATCGCTGGGTTGTAGTGGTCCATACGATTCCCTACTATGCAGCGAGAGTCCCCGCGACGGCTGTCACGGACCGTACTTCTCTTCACTGAACCGGTACCTACGCCGACTCGTATGCGTCGATGCTATAGCAGCTGTTCTTGCAGTTTGCGGTCCAAACCATTGCTTCAGTAGCTGGATGCCGACTACGCAACGCATCAAGCAATCAGACTTACGCCTCATGCATTGCCATGCCAGTATACACGTATGTTGTAAGGTATCTTCAGAAATCTTAGTGGCGTGTCTACATGCTGAACGTTTTCCATTTGACAGTTCGCAGTACTTTTTTGCCAAGTCCCCTTCACAACCTTTCATCAGACGCAGTACATGTCACGACAGCGCCAGGGCCACCTACGTTGCGCTCTGGGCTTGTAAGGGCGCACTATCAGTGATTCAGCCAGCGTCGCAGTACTTGCTGGCTACCTCATCACGCGCGTCATCGAGTTGGACGAGGTCGCCCGAAGCGGTCCAATGACGTCGCAGCCACAATATGACACAACAAAGGTCCAGGTGCAGTAATATTCCCAATTGATTGGTTTCCTTTGCAACTCGATGATCGCTGTTGAATTCAAGATGTCAGGGCACACGTCCGCGTTGGGACGGTATACCTACGTCGGGAGATTGTCGGACTCCCAACGAGACTTTGACTTTCCGCTCGCCCTGGTTCGCAACTGGGTGCGTACATCCTCGTCATGACACTATGTACGCCTCTACATCATGAAGCAGGCCTCAGACTAGGGCCACAGCGGCCTAGTTAGGTTCTTCGTCAGTGGACAGAGCCGTTTAGGTTGCCGGCTATCCTTAGCGCGTCATGACGCCCTTTTCCAGTGTCGGTCTCTTCTCTACCTGCACAAGCGAAGCTGCTCGATACACGTCCCCGAAACCAAGGAGACTGCTCGCGCCAGGAACAGGCAGCGATGGAAGGCATCCAAAGGCTCCGACGTCTTCAGAATTCGCACTCTCCTCGGCAGCTCTTAGCGTCTTCGCGGTGCCCTGGGGACGTCGCATGCCCGTGTCAGGCTCTCATCTTAGTAGACCGCAGGCGCACTTAAGTTCTAGGGCGACAGTGCCGCGCCTTCCCTCGCTCGCGGCTTCTCACGCGCACGACCCATCTGGCAATACCTCCTCCACTCCCAGCCTACCGCGCCCCACTGACCGCCCCACGCTGTGCTGATGGTGCGACGCGACGCCGGATTGCGGCCCTCTTCGCCCCCCAGCTGGCTTCCCGGGCCTCGCGGACACCCTTACGTCTCGGCGCGGGCGTGCGTCTCCCGGCAGGCCTAGGGCAGCTGCTTCGCCCAAGCGCACCAAGCCCGCTGCAGTGCAACCGTGCGCCCCTGCTGACGATGATGATCTCAGGCCTGACGTAGCGAGCGCCTCCCGCGGCCGAGTCCCCTTCCTGAAAGAATCAAGTCGCCGCGAGTCGCTCGTGCCTCGCGGACTGCAGATGTTGTACAGGAACCTCTTGCGCGGTTTTCGCGACGTGCTTCTCCGGACCCGAGTCGGCCACGCACCGGGAATCGCGTCTCGTCGCCAAAAGCTGGTACAGAAACATGTGTAAGAGCGTCCGATTCACCTCTCATGAATTTTCGGATGATCCGATGTACTTCGCGGCTAGCGATAGTTCCTCATGGTCACCGATCCGACCCCTGCCAGCGGTACAAAGCACGTTGCAGGAGTGCGATGCAGTATACCACCGGGATCTCAAGCGTCTCACCAAACCTACCGCAGACAGCTCGCGGATCTTGGACCATGGAAGCGGATACAGTTATATATACTCGACCCATAATGCGTCATGACTGGCAGTAATAGACTAGGTATATGATACATGTGGGTGCAGACACCGCGGAACAATACGCGTGTGTTATGTAGTGTGACTGAGTGCCTGACCGCGAGCGTGCAACGTTCGCAGAAACAATTTCCGTACCCGCACGGGAAGGGGAGCAGGAGAGGGATGCGGGAAGCATGCGAGGAGACGGGTCACTAAATAGAGAAGGGGTAGCCAGTGTGCGCGAAACAGAATGTACCAAGTACGGGATGCGAGACAAAACGAGGACCAGGACAGAACGAGCGGGGCGCGACCGACCGTCTATTCGACCACAGCCCTGCGGCGAAAAGGAGACCACAACGGCGCTTCTGGGGTAGGAATACGATAGCAGACGACTACTGATATGCCCGGGAGAGAAAGAACCGCTGGAAAACAGGAAGGAGCCAATGTGAATGAACAGATGCGCATGCGAACGGGGAGATAGATGATGTGCGGGGTGGGGTTTATGCGAATGTGCGGGCATGGGTCGAGTGTGTGTATGTGCGGATCCGATGCAGGGGTCGATGTCGCGATGGATGCGGACAAGGTGGGAGGGCGACGAATGGATGCAGGTAAGGGGTCGTGAACGGAAGTGGGGAACCGGGCACCGTCAATGTTCAGACAGTGCGGAATAGTCGTAAATGCGAGAGTAGCATGCAACAGCGGAAAACGGGAAGGATATGCAGAGAGGCGGGAGGTGAGGGGCATGGGACAGGAATATGAAGACACAGTCCATGGGTCTATCGTGCAGTGGTGGTACAGGGCAGCCTCCTGGAAGCTGCTGGTCGTTGAATACGTCATGGCTGAGATTCCGGACGCGGCCTGGCGACGGGCGGGGCAGCCTGGGCTCCCTGCGCCCGAGCAATTATGCGTGGATATGATACTGGTCGAGGGCAACGATCTGCAGGGTGGAATCGAACGCTGTCGATGAGGAGCTCAGTCAATGGACTTCACGGTGGTGAAGGGCTGCTCGACCATGGTCGACTCGGACTCGCTCGGGCCGTCGTAGGGGAGGGGGTCCCCGCGGAGCTTGCGGTGGGCGCGTTGTTTCTGCGCCGCGACCGGTCAGCGTAAGCCATGACGTAATTGCGGGCCCTTACCTGCTTCACAAGCGTCTCGCGGTCGGCGGCGACATGACGCGCATACTCGCGGTCGCGCTCTCGATGCGCGAACACGGCCGCCGTCAGACCCTGTCTGGCCTGCTCAAGCGCGGGCTCCGACCTTGCGGCAGCCCGCTCCTCCTCCGTCTCCGACGCGCCGAGGGACTTCCCTCGCGTGTCTCGGCCCCGAGCCCGCATCCCGGTCCCACCATCGGCGGACTCCTGTCTGCGCGACTTCGAGTCCGCCGCGGCGACACCATCGCTCCACCGGTGAATTTCGGCACCTCCCGCGCGTGAAGAGACGTCCTTCGCCAGATCCTGCTTCCCTCCTCGGCTCGCCTTCGTCTCGCCACTGTCCTGATCGGAAGACACGGAGACGTGTTTCGAAGGGATCGAGTGGTGTCGTAATGGGGCGCTGGGGATTCTGTGATGACGCTCGGTCGTTGACGCAAGGGTAGGGACAGCGTCCGGAGCCGTGGCATGTCGGCTATGAGGCGGTGCTTCTACAGCAGGCCGTGGTCGTGACGCTGAGATGGACAGTGAGGACGGAGCGATGCTGGATGCCCGGATTGGCGACCGCGCGATGGGTGCAGGAGGCACAAAGATGTCCGGCGTGGTCAGCCAGACCAAGGGCGACGCATCGCACAGCTCGGTCAAACTGTACTGGCGCTGTGTCTTTGCTGGTTTGGCCGTTCTGAAGGAGCGGGTGGCTGGCTGGCTCGGTTTGTCCGATGCCTGAGGCCTCTCATGCTGTTCTTCCAATGCAGGAGAAGGAAGCAGAGGCGGGGGCGGCCTCGTGATGCGAAGGTCCTGCTGATGTGTCGATGGTGAGGATGCAGTGAAGAACTGGACAGACGAGAAAGACCGTGTAGCCGGCCCAGGACCGGCGTAGATCGTGGGGGACGCCGTAACGCTCGACGCACGCGATCCGTGGGATCTGACCGACTTCGGAGACTGGGGAGGCTCGTACGCCGGAGGGAAGGGAAACTCGGAGGGCTCGAGCTCCTTGGCTCTTGACTTGCCTTTGTGACATACCTCGGACTCCTCCTCGTCGGTCTCTTCCACTGACGTCAATCCCATGGAGGGAGACGACTGCAATGAAAACAGCGTGGACGAAGAGCCTGAAGATGAGAGCAACCCAGAGGACTCGGATCCCGAAGACCCAGACGATCCTGGCATGTTATCCCGGTGGAGAGGAGGCGGGGCCGGCGGCGGGCGAGGCAACGAGACCAACGCCGGAACTGCGCCGGGAGTAGGCTCATCCGAGGCCGTCTCAGAGCTAGGTCGTCCAGATGGCTCAGTCGCGCGGTTTGTCGAAGGATAAGACCAGGGTACTTCCCTCTGATATTCCCATGGCAAGGTGGCCGCGACGGATGGGTTGACGAAGAGGATCGGCGGGAAATTCGGTGGGTCGCTCGGGGTAAGCGGGAAGTGGCAACTTACTGGAAACGTCTGGGACAACGCGCCCGGAAAGCCGGCCTCGGACCGCGAGGCGAAAGTGTGAGGAAGGTTTACGAACCCGGCAGCACGCATTTTGGGGCCAATGAGCGCGCGCGCGTCAATCGCCCCTTCGGAGTGTTTCGTAAGTTGTGTGATAGTGAGCTGCGCGCGGTGCCTGCTTGCGCACGACGAGGAGGTCGAGGGCGTTGGAGGAGTGGCGGGTGAGGGCACTGGGGGAGAGCCAGGAGATGCTCTGCGATCCTCCTGGTCTTGGAGAGCGCGTAGGGTGCGCGACGACGTGAAGACGAATGCTGTCGTTCCACGGTTGCTCGAGTTCGTGCTCGTGTTTGTGGTCGTGGTCGCGGTCGCGAGGATCGGCTTGCAGTCGTCAAGGTTGATGAACGTGGGTGGAGGCGACTTTCGTCTTGGCATCGTTCGCGACGTACTTTGCACGCGAAGGAAACACGATGAGCACGGCGACGCGAGGGCGTTGCAGGAAGAACTTACCTGGGACGCTGCTCCGGGAAAGATTTGTTGGAGTCCATTATGTGGGGGATGTGGTGGGTGCAGGGGGCATGTCCAGCAGGATATGCTCGAGTTCGGGAAAGGTGGGGAGGGGGAGGGGGAAGGAGAGGGCGCGTCGGATCGTAAATAGTCGTCTCTGCGTGGGTAATTGAGGGAACGATCGTGGGGGCGCACCCGCGTTCATCCCAACCCCAGACTAGGGTATGGAGACGCGGGCGAGTTAATCTTATCAGCCGGGTCGGCCGTCGGCGTCTGCTATCGCGCCCCCCGCAGTTCGCACAGAGTCTGGTGATCGCGCCTTCCGCCATGGTCCTTCCCGGGCGAATCCATGCTCGCCCCGGCTTTCTATCTCTGCGCTCGAGTCAGGCTGCACCTATCTGCACCTTATCGAGCCAGGGCTATCGACCAGTGGCTGCGACCGTCCCACGCACGTTATTTACGAGGGCAAACCGCTCTTTCTCCCATACCACCATCTCCCCACCCACCCGCCGTCTGCAGCACACCATGGCCCAGTCAGTCACCATCAGCGTAGCGAGCACGGGCCGCAAGATCACAGTCCCTACCGGCCTCTTCATCAACAACGAATTCGTGCCTTCTGTTGACTCAAAGGAGACGATTGAGTACGTCCGCATGCACCGAAAACACCCCGCATCTCGCGGGATCTGCGGGCTAGTCGTTCTCGAATGCTGACGTAGACTACGTCGTACAGGTGCATCAACCCCGCCACGGAAGAGGTGATATGCTCCATCATCGCAGGTAGGTATCGCGTCCCTCTGCGGTTCACGCTGTCGGATACACGCCGCTGCTCGCGCGTCGGGGCAAACGCCGGTGTCCTTTGCGTGCGGCGACGCGCCAGATCTGGGCGCTCGATCGATCTACAGGCGTGTCGACGATCTGCGTGACATGCAGCTGCTGTACTAAATCCGACTGAGCATCCTCTGGTTCCGTGTTATGAATAGGTTCCGAGAAGGACATCGACATCGCCGTCGCCGCTGCTCGCAAGGCGTTCAAGACCACTTGGGGCAAGAACGTCACCGGCTTTGAGCGTTCGCGCCTCATCAACAAGCTCGCCGACCTCATCGAGCGCGATGCACAGGAACTTGCCGAGCTCGAGGCCCTGAACAACGGGAAGCCCGTCAAAATCGCCCGGTACGTCACTGAAATGTAATATCATAGTGAGCCAGCTAACATGTCCCGTTTACAGCGACTTCGACATCGGCGACAGCGTTGCGTGTCTGCGCTACTACGCCGGGTGGGCGGACAAAATCCTCGGACAGGTACGTCATTGCCTGAAGCGCGCGAACAGTGCTGCGCGTGTCGCGGACCCGGTCGAGAGCGCATGCGCGGAAGCGAGCAGCGTCGCGATCGCGTGGAGCGTGTTGACAGTGTGAAGAGAGACGCCGACTGACACAAACTCTAGTCGCTCGAGGTCGACAACAAGACCAAATTCGCGTTCACCCGCCACGACCCGATTGGTGTCTGCGGCCAGATGTGCGTGTCTGCGCTCGAACCACCACCACGCGCCGTGCCCTCGGCTGACGCCCCCTTTCTCCGCCAACAGCATCCCATGGAACTACCCTATCAACATGTGGTACGTCCCCGTCGCTGTCGTCGCCGTGCCCAACAGAGTTTCTGATCACCATCTCCAGGTCATGGAAGGTCGCGCCCGCCCTCGCTTGCGGCTGCACCATTGTCATGAAGCCGTCGGAAATTACGCCGCTCACCGCTCTCGTATGTTCTCTCTATCCGCCTCACTTTCTCTCTACCATGTGCCACCAGTTTGTGCACGACTTCGCCGCTTGCCTCTGTGGGCATCGTTTACGTGCACAGGCTGTGCAGAGCGCATTATAGCTTGTGTAATTCACAGCTAAGCGGGGGGCCAAGCCTGAGTTTGAGACGTAACAGACGTCGATGTCGCGTTCAAAGACGTGCGGACTTCCTAAATTAGATGTCTGCACACTTATGTCCCCTCCAACCCGCGAAGCGCCCCTCCGTCGCTGCTATTCGTCCCCGCATCCCTGTGCTCGACGGAGGCACTGCCTCCCACGCATCCCTCTCAGGCATCTCCGCCCCGTTTCTATTTTTGCACACGTGCGGACTTCCGCCCGTGCTACGATGCCTTACTCGGGTCCTTGGAGAGGCGTGGCCAAGTTCTCATCCGTATATTCCTGGTCTTTGGCGAGACGACGTACGTGGTCTCGACACGTCCCTGATCACCGATCATCCGGTCCTGCACGTTTTCCTTGCCCTCGTTGTGTCGGCGGTAATCGAGGCTCCCGGCTCTTGTGCGTAGCGCCGGCTTCGGTGAAGCGGACGCTATATGTGCCCTGTCGAGGGCTTTCGCCGTTACCACATACGAGCGCGGGCGCACATGTGCTTCGTCGCTCGGATAAGCACTACGTCGCCAGGTCGCCGTTGACCGTGTAGTCCCAGTATAATTAAACTGGACGATGCTGCCGTTGCAGCGTTCTGTGCTGCAAGCTCTCCGTCTTCAGGTCCCGTGTACACGTGAGAAGCACAAGCTTACTGACAATACTTCCATCAGAAACTCTCCGAGCTGGTCGTTGAGGCTGGGTATGTCTACCTGCCATTCCCTTCGCAGAAGTGCCCTGTCTGACACGACCGCATGATCATCGTAGATTCCCTCCCGGTGTCATCAACACCGTCCCTTCACTTGGATCGGTCGGCGGCGCTGCGCTCTCGTCGCACCAGGACGTCGACAAGGTCGCCTTCACGGGCAGCACCGTCACCGGCCGCAGGATCATGGAGGCCGCAGCGAAGAGCAACCTCAAGAAGGTATGGCCCCGGCGCTCCCCGTCCCGTCGCAGAGCCTAGTCTAACCCCTGTGCCGTCCGAAACAGGTCAGCTTGGAGCTCGGTGGCAAGTCCCCCAACATCGTCTTCGAGTCTGCGGACCTTGACCAAGGTAAGAAAACGCCCCGCAATTAACTTTGGGATAGCGTGCCTGTGCGAAGTGACAGTGGCTGACTGCGTCTGTGATGGGTGTAGCTGCGAACTGGGTCGGTCTCGGCATCCTGTACAACACTGGCCAGGACTGCACGGCGGGCTCGCGTCTCTTCGTCCAGGACACGATTTACGACAAGTTCATCGCGGTATGTGGCGTGGAGCGTTTCGGAGTTAGGACGAGCTTGACCTTTTGAATTTTCACAGATTGTCGTGGAGAAGTTCAAGCAGATGAAGATCGGAGACGGCTTCGACGAAGCGTCAGGTGGAGGCCCTGTCGTAAGTTCTTTGCGTTATTCTCCCTCAAACGAGGACTCACAGTGTTGCAGGTTTCGAAGATGCAGTACGACAAGATCTTCTCGTTCATCGAGTCAGGAAAGCAGGAGGGCGCCAAGGCGATCCTCGGTGGCGAGAAGCGTCCTGGAAAGGGCTACTTCGTCGACCCGACTAGTAAGCCACTACCATCTCAAACATACATTTTGCAATTGCTTACACGGTTCTCATGGCGCGCAGTCTTCGTCGACGTTACCCCCGATATGAAAATCGTGCGTTTCACTGGCTGTGTTTCGTCTCATGAGTCATGCTGACGGATTATCCGCGCCTATAACAGGTTCGCGAGGAGATCTTCGGGCCTGTGCTCTCGGTCGCGAAGTTCAAGACGGAGGAGGAGGTGATCGAAATTGCGAACGACACAGCGTACGGTCTCGGGGCTGGCCTGCACTCGAGTACGTCTCGCCTGATTCCGTCGCATCATAGTGCGATCCGTCTCCATCGGCCAAAACGTCCAACGGTGTTGCTCTGGAAGCTAGAGTTCACCAGCGCCTGTGGACGTCGGTTGTCGATGGAGACGGCTCCGCGCGTGTGCACTGATGGAGCGACGCAACACATTTCTAACTATCACTTGTTCTGCCCACAGATGATGCGAACCAGTGCATGCGCGTCTCGCAGGCGCTCGAGGCCGGTACGGTGAGTACTGCGTGATCCACATTGCGCTCTGGCCCACAAACGCCTATGACAAGCTATGCTGCGGCGGTGCACCCACGCCCGCGCATTTCCAACCTGACTATGGCTTGTGATACTGGATGGTGGCTGATCATGTGCGTTGATGTCCGATTTGCAGGTCTGGGTGAATCAGTACAACCTCCTCAACAACAACGTGCCCTTTGGCGGCAAGAAGCAGAGCGGTATCGGTGAGTGCATCCGGCCGGGCGGCGACGCTTCCCTTCCGCCGTCTCCGCCCTGTGATGGGCAGAACTGGCGCTGATTGTGGGTCGGGGACTGCGCACAGGCCGCGAGCTGGGCAGCTACGCGCTCGAGGAGTACACGTCCGTCAAGGCCATCCACTGGAACTACGGCGAGAAGCTTGACTGGCCGCTGTAAACGCCGCCTCCCCATCTTGAGAAGACGCCGCGAGCCGTGCTCCGACGGCGGTGATCATTGTCGAGGGATGAAAGAAGCTGAAGGCAGCTGCGAAGCAAAGAGAAGAAGTGTACGAGTACTTGGGTGGCACTGTGTCAACAACGTGCTTAAGAATACCACGGGGTCGAATCTCCAACGCACGAACGTGTTCCGACGGTCTACATATTCCATGGCCCCGTCGAGATGTCGCCTCGATAACGCTGCAAATTCCTGTTGGTCGCGACGCACGCCCACGATCTTCCTCCACACACCGGCGACGGGGGTGATGACAAGGTCAGGGGATCGAGTGCGTTATCGCCGGACGCCCACCGTTAGGCTCAGCGCTCAGCAAGGTTCCGCTGCACCCCCGCCGCTCGACGTCGCCTTCACACGTTACACGGTGCCCGAACGACCGCAGCTTGCAGCAATAAATCTAGATCGCGCAATGAAGACTGCCACACCACCGCCACTCCCGCTCCGAGCCGCCGGCGACCACGAAAGATGAATGATTCGAAAGGCGGATCCTTTGCATGCGAACTCAATCTGTCTGACGGTCAGTGGCTGACCCATCCCCACCTCGACTGTGGCTGCATCAGGTGCGATTGCCTGTGGTCAGCGCCGTCGGATCTATCAGTCTATTTGCGACGTTCATCAGCACACAAAGCTCATTTTTCGGATGATTGCCAGGCGGAGGCGTTTGGCTGAAGTCTCTGAGCGCCGTACGCAGATAGCGCTTCCGTGTCGAGCTGTCCGCCGGCCTGTTCACAAAGGAAGGGCGGGCGGGCTTCCGCCGCCGGCTTTTTCTTCTCTTCGTCTGCCACAAGCATATCTCCGTGTCTTCCGCAGACTGGGACCTAGCACTGGGGCTAGGGCTCTTACTTGTACGCCGGTTGCCACATGCAGCGCTACAGCTGCAGCGCTGGCGTGATACCGCCGACCTCACACGTTCCTGCGCATTACTAGGGCTAGGCAGGGAAGATGCGAATGTTATAATCTTGGTATCGGGCAGTTCTGTTTCTGCGGTTCTATTGCATACCGCTTCTACGCCACTAAAAACGCTGTAGCTAAATAGGGAGGTGCGTTGTCACTGCATGCAGCTTGCCTGGTGTGAATATTTGCTGCATGTAGTGGCCTGCCAGCCTGAGTTCACCGATCACGAAGTTGAACACCTTAGTTAGGTGATTGTCAGGTTCTGCAAAGCTGGAGATCATGACCATCACCTAGCCCTTCCCGTATATTCTGTACGCCTTGTTATACAGTATGAACTTCTTTCAGCTGCGTTGAAAGTCGGAGGAAACACGAAGTCTGAACAACTAGGAGATGGTGTACCGGGCGTCCGAACTAGCGCCGGATCGCGATAGTGAATCTACGAACCCCGCCGGAATTATCCGGGAGCTCCATCCAACCAACCACCGACGATATTGCACAGGAGTCGTCCACAACCGCATATCATATGCCTGAAAGAGCTTTTAGGTCCTTAAAATGCGAATAACCTTGCTATCCAACATCTGATTCCTACGACAAGCGACAAAAAAGCTGTTACAACACCGAGCTATGGCGTTTGATGGGAGACGCCGCGACTGTGAGTTTCATCGGCTCCTCTACCGATAGTAATACGTTTCAACTGATGTTCATGGGCACTATTGGCCGTACCGCCAATCCGATAATGAAGATTTAGACCGGTACGCACTTCTCAGACTCGCCTTGCCAAGGCAAACGTGGCAGGACCCTAATAGGACGCGGTACGATGTTTGACTGCGCCTCGCCTACGTCTGCGCATTCTTACCCGTGTTCCGTTCATGCCGGGGGATCTCGATATGGGGCACTCGTACCAGACGCTCTCGGAACGAACAGCACAGAACAACCGTTTCATCTACGTTGAACATATTGGCGATCTTACGTCGTCTTGGCCAATGCTTGCTCCTCAGCGCGCTCCTCCGAGCGTGCATGACAAAATTCTCATTGTCAGCCTGTCCGACCACCCTTCACGGGTGCAGATTTGTGAATACGGTCTGACCAACTTCATCACGTTGCCGCAGACCACCCCAACACATTTGTGGACTCTGTGTCCGCTGCGCACGCCCGATGGCTGCAATATTGCTTACGGTCAGTTACACCGAAGATACCCTCGTGCTCGATGACATCGGTCATCCCTACGTAAGGATATCACGCCCTGATCTACAAAATGGCCATGGCAATCGCACATCCAGCAAGCTGTGCCGCCGCTGTGCAAAGTACGCGGCGCTTGCACTCGTGTCTCCGGCGACAATCAACCCATCTCTGTTCGGTGATCTCCCCGCTCCCGATGCGACTGCGCAATGCACGGCGGAAGCGCTGACCTCTCTCACCTGCAGATATGTCCGGGCGAGTCTCAGTGCTCAGTGCGACCGGCTCCTCTTTCTAAGCAGGATCGGGGGGCCTCTGGCCGCCCCCTCGGGCGGCAGCCCTTCCGCGTTCCTCTCGCATCGACCAAACCGCCCCGATTGTTGCTATTGTTGGCATCGAGCCAACAGCGGGATTGCCTAAGGGCGGCTGTGATGCTCGTGCGACGCTTGCGTCAGTGACGCCGATACTCTTTTCCCCTCCACTTGTTTTGGTCCCCGCAGTCCCCAGCAGGCGTCTCGGGGAACGGCACAGCAAAAGTCGCGGACACAAGTTCCTGGTCGCAGCCTTCCGTAACATCGCGATGATCTTTCCTCCGCGCCCACTGGGGTCTTGGAGTGGCGGCGGATGGCGAAGGCGTACCGGTGGATATCGAGACATGTTTCTTGGGTGTCGCGCCCACAATCACCAGGCACTGTCGTGTGTTCTGGCACGGCGGTGAGGCGCAGTCTCAACTTCCGCTGCGCAAGGCTTCTGGTGGGCGTGGTGGGTGTATCGGCGACCGAATTCGCCTCTCCTGGAGCGCGCGGACGTGTTCCTCGGGGCCAAGCCATAACCGGTCCTTTAATCCGGCGATGACCATCGAGCGAAAGGAGCCAGAACGGACACTTCGGCATGGGTACCGAGCACGGCCGCATAGACATAGGCCACGTTCGGTGAGCCTTCAGAGCGCACAGAAAACGGCTCATTGATTGATCCTCCAAGGCTCTCTGGGCACGCCAATCGGGCGTGCGCATCGGCAGGAGGCCGCTAGTGAGACATATCGGGCGGCATAGCGCACTCCGACACCCACGATCGTACGATGAGGGCGTAGCGATTTAGGTGGGTCTGTTCTTCCGCGTTCCCCCGATCCACACCGCATGAGACGCCCCCACAGCTTTCTGGGCTGGTCGAGATTCAAACGTTCAAGCGCAATCCGCGCACTGTGCATTGAAATCAGGCGCTGTTCTCGCTGTTAACTGAAGGATCTATCTATTTCATCGCCACCATCCTTAGGCGTCGGATGGTCTCACCAGTTCTCTCTGAGGCGGCCGGAACATGAGCACGACAATTCGGAATACCGGTCGGCGGATGTTTCAAGGTGTGCCGAATAATTTCTAGTTTACATGTTCCATCGTTAGTTTAACCCTTTATTCGATAGCCGTACTGTCGTAAATCTGAGCTTAAAGCACGGTTGGCTGGGCCAAGAAAATGCGATGGGAATCATGGATTGGGTTGCCAGTTAGTGCACCCGTCCGATATCGTAATCCCGACCACCCGCAGTCACATTACCTTTTCCCCTCCTGATGTCGCGAGCTCGGTATAATGGCCCCCTTCACCACCGAGGTCCAACGCTAAATTGGATGTCGTTTCTTTGGCACCCGGGTGCCATATATTCCGGTGACTGCACGGTCTTCCGAAATTGCATTCCTACGGAGGTCTACACCTCCGCGAGCAGGAAATCAACGTGACTGGCGAGGCCGAATGAGACGGGGCGATAGGCTTTAGGCTCACACACGGCGACATACAATGCACGGGATGTATTCGAGACGTGTATTCTATACATACGGACCAGGGAGAAAATAGGCATAGGTGAGACTGAGCAAGGTGGCTACTAAATACAAGATCGCAAGAGAGGAGGGGCATTACGAGCTGGGTACGCCTAATAATACAACGCGGAACACTTTGCCACAAGGGCCCAAACCAGACACGTTAAATATGCGCTACACGACCGGGTGGAGAAATCAAGCCAATACGAGACCGCTGCCAGTGAAGCTCGTTCGGGAAGTCCGGAGATTAGGACATTAGGAGGGTAGATCAACCGCCGCACAACTCTATTGCCCAGGGAAGCCGTGGCCTTGGTAGCCCTGCGTTACGGGAAGAACATATGAGCGATGCAGCGCCCTTCGTGAAACAGAGATCGACACGGCAGCAGACAACGCACCTGGGTGTTGCCGGCCCACTGCTGTGCCGCGGCGGCATCGGCGGACATCATCTGGACCGCGTTCTGGTCGAAGTACATCTGCGAGGCGTACTGGCCGCCGTACGGCGCACTGGCAGGCCGCAGCGTGTCAGCATCTTTGGCGATTCGGAGAAGGGCGTGGAGCTCATCGCCTACCCTTGTTGGTCAACGCCGGGCAGCCCCGCTCCCATCTGCGAAGCCTGGTATGCGTACGCCGGATCCATGTTGGGTACGCCATGACCGTAGGCGTTGTACGTCGTCCCGCTCGCGTAGCCTTGCTGAGGAGCCATGCCATACCCTTGCGCGAACAGGTCCGCGCCGCCACCGGGCACGGCGACGCCGCCCTGGGATTGAGCATAGGCTGCTGCCTGTTGTTCAGAGTATCCTTGAGGATAAACCATCTGCGTATTGGGGTAGCCCTGCCCTGACTGCGCATGTGCGTACTGGCCGCCCGCGGAGGACCCTTGCATGGGAGTCGGGCCCTGCCAGCCCTGCGGCGCGGCGTATGTTGTGCCCGTCGGTAGTGCTTGCGCGTCCTGCGACCACTGGGCTTGGTACGCGAGGCGGGTGCTTTGCTGCTGTTGCGCCTGGCCGGACGCGCCGGCGGCTTGGGGGGTGCCAGATCGGGAGATGGAACCGCCGGTCGAGCGCTGCTCGCTTAGCGACATGTACGCGCACTCGATGCCTTTTTTCTTGCAGCGCTCGCAGCGCGGGGTCGTGCCAGAGCACTGTGCGGGGCGCTCGCGGCGTGAGCACTATTGGACGCATCAATAATAGCTGGCTGGACGCACCTTCACTTGGCGCCGGCGACACTCGAGACACGCCATGGGCGTGCGCTTAGGCCGCACAATGGGCTGCAAGAGACTCGGATCAAAGAGGGGCGGGAGTCGGCCGCCGCCAGCTGCAGAAGGAGAGCAAAGACGAATGTAAGATGCGCAGTGCGCGGCGAAAGGAGGAGTAAAAGGACGTACAAGGAGGGTTTCCGGAGCTGCTAGACATTATGAAAGAGGATTATGGTGTGCACCGGGGCGAGGTCGAGTCTATGGAGACCGGACACAGCACAGTCTATAAGGAGACACAAGCCGAGATGAGGGGGGAGTAGGATGAGGACGGGGGAGGCGGAGGGGCGAGGATTTATACATCCTGACGTCCGGCTGGGGGAGAGGCACATGCTGCCCGCCTGCAACAGCTCAAGCATCGAGCGAACGCAGTCGCCTCCCCGCGGAGGAACGCTTGTGCCTGTGTGCCGCGCAACGTAACAGAATGATTTTCAGCTCGCATCGGGCAAGGGCCGCCAGAGCGGAGAGTCACGTCCTCGCTGTGCCCAGCGCGGTCGAGCGTCCCGCGGTGCTGTGCGTTTAGCAGGGGGCCATGACACATTGCAGTATCACGCTCGCGCGACCGCCTAGCCGGGTTGGGGGGATCGGAGATGCGGGGACGAGGTATGGCGACGGCGCCGACCGCATTGCAGCTGCTGCACGGGGCCGGCGTCGACCATCAGCTCGCCCCTCGGAGGGTGATAATCAACGGACGCGGGCGGTGCCAGATCTGTGGGACGCGTTGTGGACGCTTCCTCGACAAGTGTTTCGCGAAGCGGCTGGGGCTCGCTGACGCGGTGGCTCTGCTCGAATGTAACGAAGTCAGTAGCACGCGGCGCGTGGCCGCCGACCCGCGAACATTTCCCTAAAACATCCTCGGCACGCACCATGCGAGCTGATCCTGGGACATCGGGCGGACCGTCAGCCCCACTGGGGGTGTGCTGTTCATTCGGAATGCGTCCATGGCCAAGCCCGACGATTCCGACCTCGCACACCAGCAGGCGCACATCCGACGGCCCTTTCTCAGCGCCGTACAGCCGTATCACGCACCGAGCTCTGCTATCGAACCTTCGTCGTGGTTTCACCGGGCCGTCAGACATGCTTACCACACAACACCCCGCTTCGTCAGTGCTGGATATCCGGCTCAGAATCAATGGCCTGTTTCACAACGCCATCTTCAACGGAGCTGTGCCTGCTCATGTCCGTGCTTCCCGAGGACAAACAGCGATTGGGGCCACCCAGAAGCATCCCTTCGCAGCGAGACGTCAAACAGTCACCTCGAAGCACACTAGCCTGCTACTACGACAGAGGCGCGCCGTTCCGTGTGGCGCACGGGTGTTTCGGAGGAAAAGTCTATGACAACTTACTTGAGTCCCTGGTGCTGACTGCGTGCAGAGCGCTCTTGCGAGCGGTCTTAGTGGTCCTTCCTGCAGAGAATGTCATCCCGTATCCAGTAACTTACAGCGCGACGCACAGCATGCAAAACGAAAATACAACGGTGATAGCAGCGCGTCCGTTACATTGCCAGATAGTCCCGCACCTCCTCCTCCGAGAGCTTGCGGAACGTGGGCTTTACTCGCCCTGTGCCTTCGATCTTGCCCGTCTCGAGCTCTGCCTGGCTGGGCACAGTGACGATGCCGATATCGATCGTCTTCTCCGTCATGTGCCCTTCGAAACCCTCTTTGAGAGTGAGAAGCGCAGTATGGATCGCGTCTTCCAAGCTGATGTCGTCGTTGTAGCTGCGCGCGAAGGCAGGTGAGATCGCAGTGAGCGTCGAGTTTCACTAGCGGACGTAACGTGCGAAGGGCGTACCGCTTCTCCAAGAACGTCTTCGCGTTTACCATGTTCTTTCCGATCGCGCTCGCCTTCCACGCCCAATACGAACCTGAAGGGTCAACCTGGTACAAGCACGGCCCTCGGGTTATGTCCCATCCCGCAACCAAGAGGGATACGCCGTATGGCCGCACTCCGCTGTTTCAAATTATGTGTCAGACCGCCTGTCGTGCCTTCATCCATGAAAGGCAACCACAGAAGACGTACCCGGAATGTGTCGCTTGCTGCATGATGGTGGCAATCTCCTGCGTGAGGACCTTCGTCGGCGGATATTCGCCGTACACCTTCCAATACGCCTGCGCGCTCTTGCGCGCCTTCGCGACGAGCACCCGGAAGTCCGGGCCCATTCCAGAGTACACGATGCCGATGTTGGGACAGATGACGGACACCTTGTCTATCATCGAGTCGTCGATGAGGATGGACGAGGACTTCTTCTCGGTGGCGATGACGATGCCATTGGACGCTACATGCCGAGCTCAGCACGCGTGCACGTCCATGGGAATGGGCGTGAAACACGCACCCTTGATCCCCAGACTTGTCGTTCCCGAGGAGACAGCAGCGAGGGCGTGTTCTATCTGCACGAGCTTGCCGCTCGGAGAGAAGACCGTGAGCGAGTAGCTACGGAGTAAGTGAGCACACCATGTCGAGAAGAAGCCGGCTCGTACGTACCTGTATGCACCTCCTTCTGCGCTGGCCATGTGGACGAATGGGGGGAGATGCGGGATGAGGGGGAGGAGGGTGTATGAGATCGGGAAACCGAGCTGTGGACGCGTAATGGGCCCTCCACTGAGCTGAACGCGCGTCCGTCCCCACGTGGCCCAGCCTCTTCGGACGCGTCCCTCGCGTGCGCGCCACGTGGGCCGCGACTCCTCCATCGACCCAACTGCGGTCCCCCCGCGCCGGGGCCCCCTCCTCCGGTATCCGCGTCCTCTCCCTGCGTCCCTCCAAACGTAAACACTGATTGAAATTCCACCACGACCTACGCTGCGGCTGCGCCATCAAACCACCCAAAAACTTAAGCTACGTCGGATATCGCGGCCAGCCACGCCTGCTGGCTTGCAGCCATCCTGATGCACGGTCGACAATGTACGTATCGTGTTCCGAAACCTTCTCAGCGCGACGATCATCAACAGAGGTGTGAAGCACGTCGGAAGCTGACCTCGTCCGTGTTTTTGCACTCGAGCTGTCTGAGCTGCATGGAAAAGGACAGTCACATTTGTCTTCTCCGGCCGAGCAGGCCATTCGCTTCCCGTCGAGAGGTATACAGCAGTTCAACATTACACACGCGCACGACAATAATACACGACATTCTTTGCTTCCGTCCGCCCATCCGACGCCTAGGCTCAATCGACCTTGAGCGGGGTGGTCCGCAGGTACGGCTGCAAGCGTAAAACAGGTCAGCACCGCTTCGACCCATCCTTTCCCGCGGCGCCGTCTCCGGCGGGCGTGCTTGTACTCACCTTGTGAATCTTGAACTCGGGGAAGAGCGTCTTGGCCTCCTCGTTCGACACCGTCGGGTGCACGATCACGTCGTCGCCCTTCTTCCAGTTCACGGGCGTCGTCACGCGGTACTTGTCGCCGATCTGGAGAGCTATTTTGAACGCAGAGGCCGTCAGCGCACCGCCCACGAACCACACAACCGTCGGCGAGCAGAATAGACGCACAATCGACGACCCTGAGGAAAACACCCGTGTCGGCGTCAGCGCGGTCTGCCGGATGAGAAGCACGGCGGTGCAGGCTGGGGAACGCACCGAAGGATCTCGTCAAAGTTGCGCCCGGTCGATGCGGGGTAGGAGAGAGTCAGACGGATGACCTTCTTCGGGTCGATGATGAACACAGTGCGGATCTGTCCCCAACGCGGTGCAGGTCAGCGTCCGGCTCTGCATCCGACGGAGCCCCGCCGATTTGCAAACGGCATGGAGGGGCGGCACGCACGGTGAAGGGGAGACCCTTAGCGTCACGGTTGGTAGCATCCTGCGCGTCGAGCATGTCGTAAACCGTGGAGATCTTGCGGTCGGCATCCGCGATCTGTCGGACGCATTCAGTCATGCCGTTTACAAACCACTCGGACACAGAGACTTACGATGGGGTACTGGACGTCGGTGGAGCCATACTCGTTGATGTCCTCGATCCACTTGTTGTGGTCGGCGAGGCCGTTGGCGGAGATACCAATGAGCTTCACGTTGCGCTTCGCGAAGTCAGGCGCCCTGATCCAAAGCTCCTCGTTAGATTACGTGCTGGAGTATACAACGCATGGTGTGCTTACCTCCGGGCAACTTCAGCGAGCTCAGTGGTGCACACGGGGGTGAAGTCACCAGGGTGGGAGAACAGGATCGCCTGACATGTGCATTAGAACCAGCATCCCCGCGTATACCGACTGCATGTATGCGCACCCACGAGTCACCGATCCACTCATGGAACTTGATCGCGCCCTTCGTCGTCTCGGCCTCGAAGTCCGGGGCAGTATCACCAAGGCGGAGACCCATTGCAGCGGTTCGGATGTGGGAATGGAGGTGCGGGAGGTGGTGGTATCAGCGAGAAGACAGGTCGTATCGGATCCGAATTCACAGACAGCCCGCTACTTTATATACGCAGCGCGAGAGTCGCGAGCTGGGCACACCTTCGCGCTGAGAGCGCGAGCACGCGCGCATGAGAGCATGATTGCATTGCGCCAGAGCCCGCCATGACATGCGCGGGGTGATTATCGCGCCTTCGGTTCGCACGCCTGTCTAGCAGGCCATAATGACGACTAGTCCTGCGTCCGCCCAGCACTAGTACTTTCGCGGCAGCGTCAGGGCGCGCGGGAGGGCCGGGATGGCGGGTGGCTATGGGATCTAGCACGCCGCCGCGTTCCGCACCCATAATGAAGAGCACTGCCGGAACGAGCGCGACGATCAGCAAAGATGTGTATACGCGATCACGAGACTCTGACGCGCTCTGTAGCGCCTCAAATTGGGATCGGATGAGTTCGGCGATGTATGCAGCACTGAGGATAGCTGCGCCGACGGAGGGGACGTGTGCGAGCTAAATACGAGCGAAGAGAGCAAGGGGTGGTTCCCAATGTCGCCACTGCAGAGCTTGGGAATGTCGACACCAGACCCGGTATGCCGGACGCTCGCTTTCCCAGCGGGAACATGCTAAGCCTGAACCCTGTCCGCGATTGCACTAGTTTGTGTAGATGCCATCGCGAACAGTCCTTCAGAAGACCGGTCTCCAGGCTATCGATGCGCGCGTCCGAAGCAAAGTATTGCGCCATCCAGCGCAGGTGCAGATGTCGATGAATACAGTGGTGCGCTACAGTACCTATGACGGGGAGCCGCTTCCCCCAAATCTGTGGCCTATATAGATACAAGAGTGGTTGTGCATACCGGGCAAGCAAATCTCAGTAGTACGCAACGGCGTGCAGGATGCTGTGCGGGTGCTTCTCCTGGTGCGCCTGGAGGATGTCATTGATCTCTTCGTCAATGTCTTTCGCATTTTCAATCTAGACCACAGAGCGTTAGTGGGCGAAGAACGAACGGATCGTAAAACGAAATCGGACTCACTGCTGTTGCAAGATCGACCATGGCCTTCCCTGCAATATGAGCCTCTTCGTGGTTGTCCTTGATCTCAAGGTTGATGATATGCACTGGCTTATTGAAATCTCCGCCTCTCGTGAGTAGGTCTATGCAAAAACTAGTAAGCATCAAGTGACACTGTTGAACGGAAGCGCACTCACCATCGCAGACCGCATCGAAACACCGCTCTTCGCAAGTGATGACGACGTCGGCCACCGTCTTGGTCTCCTGCCATCGCTCAGGCGCAAGCTTCAATCGACGATTCCTGTCTAGCATCTGCAGGAGACCATTCGCAGAGTACCTGTCTCTCTAAGTTAGTGTTCCGAACTTCTGCAAAATAACACCCTACTCACAATCTCGCATCCTGCGACGACAGCTGCTCATATATGTCGTTGTACGGCGTGCCAAAGGGGTATATGTTAGGTTTGTCGATCGCAGGCCCCGGCAGTCGCACCGCTGACCCGGTCCCCGACGAGCACACCCGGAAGCCCGCCTTACTGCAAAACACACGCACGTTCGTCAACTCTGACCAGACGCCAACGCAGATAACCAGCACTCACGCTAGAACAAAATGCCCCTCCATCGACCGATTCTACTGCCGCGCATTGGAAGCTGCTCGGGAGCGATGGGCCGGGGGGACGCGTCACTCACCTGGTTGCTCGCACACACCACGCAAAACAGCGGTCGGGGCTTGTACCCGGAGCTCGGCTCCTGCAGCTGCTCTTGTGGGGGGTCGTGCGGGAGGGTAGCAGCCCCCTGCGCCTCCTGCGAGAGCTGCTGGTTCGAGATGTCGTGCGTAGGGTACTGCGGCGGGGTGGCTGTTGGGTACGCGGGATACGCGTTCTGCGGACCAGGCGGAGGGTAACCTTGAGACGTCGACGCTTGCATCTGCGGTGCTTGAGGTGGAGGTGCCTGATATTGATATCCCTGCTGGTAGGGAGGCCCTTGTGGGGGCGGCCCCGTGTGAGTGCCGGACTGAGGACGCTGCTGCAGGCGGGGGTCTTGACGCGCCAGACGCGGATCGCGCGCTCTTCTGGGGTCCATGGTGCAGTTTGTGGTATGTTACCGACGGCTAGCAGACATAGACGCGTCAATAAAGCAGAAACAGGGCAAACGACGCGCAGAAGAAGGGTAAAATAGCCTCAGCAGTATCTAGAACATAACAAGTCGTCGTCTTGACCCAGCACACTTTTGTGTATTTTTGCGGGTCGAGGATACGATTCCACTCTGAATCATCTCTGGCTTGGCATATGGAGTATCTCACTGACCTAAAATGCGAGAAGACAGGGACGATGGCCAGCACAGGGATGTGTGCGGAGGGAGAGATGCAGAATGTGGCGCGCTGCCGCAGCCCAAGGCTGCTGGATGTCAGCGGCACCTGTTGGTCCAGACGCCCAGTCCGGGTTCTTCCGGGAGACTCGGATCACACACAAGGGCGCGCACAGGCGCTAGTTAACGCACCACGTCCCTCCCTCTTCCACTAACACATATAGCTGAGCTGGACGTGCATCTTATTCATCTATTGCAGGCATTCCAACTGCGTTTTACGCCGGCTTGCGCACTCTCTCCGGAGCCATGTCTTTGCAATTACTTCAATCTGAAACAGCCTCTGGCGCCCGTACACTCTGAACGTCAACGCGTCAACTCTTTGAGATGCGAATCCATGATATACAGCTGGCCACTTCTACGCGATTCTCGTAAGGAAACACAACTACCCTATTCCTATCTTACAATTTGCAGTTACAGTTCGTCCGAGTGACTACTCGAGACGTTCTCCGAGAAGCTCTTCTGTGAGGCTGGCACACAAGGTCCAGAGGTTCTTGGCAACCATCTCGTCCTTCGCATGGTCCGTCTCTGTGTCGGGTTTCCCGTACGGCTCAGTATAGTATTTGGCCTTGTGATCACAAAGGTGGGTGAGCTGCGCACCACGGCCAATCGGGCATATCCTGCATACCTGGTAGTCCTTCCAGTTACCCTCGTTGATATCTGTGCTCGTTGCAGCCCATAGGCTCGCCTCCGCGCCCTCTTCGGCGCTCTTTCCTGCGGCACGGCTCAACGTGTCGATCACATCGCCAACTTTACCGTAGGACTGGCCCCAGGCCTTTTGCACCTCGGTGTCGACCATCCCAGGATGAACGGATATAGCCAGAATTGGCTTCGACGAGTCCGCCAGCTTGCGACGCACCAGCTCAGCAGCGAAGAGGATCATCGCGGCCTTCGTCCGGCCGTATCTGGATGTCGCACAGTCAGCAGCTGTTTGAACATGCAACTAGTCATCCTTACAGCCGCACTCCGTCTGCCTCTTGGTTGATCTCTTCCTTGGAAGTGAAGCGGTCGGTGGGTGAAAAACGATGCATCTCAGAGCTTTGCATGACGATGCGAACGGTCGCTGGGGGAGCCGACTGTGCCGTTTTCTTCAGGACGTCCAAGAGTCTCAGGACTATCACGTAGTGCGAGAGGTTGTTGACCTGTGTATATGCGGTTAGTTACTGAGCCATTCGCTCTCTAGTCCTGATTCACTTCGAAGTGTCTTTCCAGGCCATCGTCCGTCATACCGAACGGCGCCTGCCCGATGCCGGCGTTGGCGATGAGTATGTCCAGGCGGTCCACCTCTTGCGCGAAGCTTTTCGCCCACTTATCGACGTTCTTCAGGTGCATGAGGTCAAGCTGGTGCCATTTGATGGACCCCTTCGAGCCGCTCTGCTTCAGGAGTTTGTTGATGCTTGCCTCTGCCTCCTTCCCGTGCTCGGGGTTGGCAGAGACGATGTGGACTGTCGCATTGTGTTGCGCGAGTGCGGCGGCGTCCCAGTACCCAATGCCAGCGGAGCCGCCAGTGACGAGAGCGGTGCGCCCGGTGAGGTCTGGGATTTGATCAGGCCTGTAACGCTTGCTGAGAAGCGTGGCAAGGTTGGTGGTATCGGGGAGGAAGGAGGTCATGGTCACGGTGCGAGAGCGAGGAGCGATGGCAAGGGTGCGGGAGTGGGCGCGGATGGGGATTTGTCTGAGGTGGGTGAGGACAAGGGACATGTAACTCTCCCCACCGACGTCGATGACGTCCGTATATATAGGGTCCTCCTCGGTCCATGACGCACAAGTGCGCTGCGTCGTAGCCTCCATATCGAGTGCGTCGCACACCAATTTGGGCGACAGCACGGCACCGCCACCGTCAAGCTTCTCATCGCTCGCCGTCTGGTGGAGACTTCCATGCCGGACACATGTCGTCAGGGATGTCGCCCTCATTCGATGTCCCCCCATATGCTTTAACCATCAACGCTACATCATTAATGCAAATCCTGCAGTGCTCCCAGAGAAAGTTTGTTTGCCTTGCAGAAGGCTAAGACATGGAGAAACACTGTGCGATACAGGTGAGCAATATCGAGCCTCGAGGTGTTCCGAAAAAAATGGTGGGTATTCCTGCGCTCTACATTGGTGCACATCGCTGCTGCATTGAAGCAAACTGCCTCAAACCGTTCGACCCTGCCAAGAGTCGCAAAATCAGAGAAATCCGAAGGATGCATAAGAATGTTCTGAGTATAGGATATACAAGATTTTAGTGGAGCTACTTCGCGAGTGCAGTGTACCAGCAATCAGTCCGCACGCGTCCTCAAATGCTTCACCGAAGCTCCGTTCCAAACTGTTCCTTCGTACAAGCTGCACACAGCTCCCAGAAATTGTCTGAAATCTCCTCGTCCTTGGCCAAGTTACTCTCGCTGTCGGATCTGCCGTACGCTTCGGCGAAGTACTTGCCCTATTCACGACTCGTCAGCTTGTATCGCACGTAAGGTTCGCCCGACTAACCTGGTATTGTTTCCAGTTGCTTTTGTTAATGTCCGTGCACGTCGCAGCCCACAAGCATGCCTCAGCGCCCCGTTCGTCGCTCTTCGTGTTGAGCCGCGCGAAGAGTCTCTTGGCCTTGGCAATCGGCCCACTCTCGCAGTTCTTCTGGATCTCGGTGTCCACGCTCCCAGGATGGACGGCCACGATGAGCACCGGAACAGTGCCCGGCGGGTACGTCGCGAGTTTGCGCTGAGCCAGCTCGCGCGCGAGGTATATTATGCCCAGCTTCGCACGACCGTACCTGTCGAAGAGAATCAGCCACAGAACGCAAGGAAGTATAACATGAGAACGCACATCTGAGTCTCCTCCGTGATCGTGTTCACCTCGGCCTTCGACTCGAACCTCGTCGACGCAGGCGCCATCCGGTGCAGTTCCGAGCTCTGCATGACGATGCGTACGGTTCCGGGCGGAGCATACGCAGCCGTCCGCTGCATCAGGGGGAGGAGCCGCATGGCGAAGACGTAGTGCGCAAGGGTATTGATCTGACGATGCGGAGTCAGCCCGAAGTCAAGTCCGGGCCGCGAGCGACATACCTCAAAGTGCTTCTCCAGTCCATCGCCGCTCATTACGAACGCCGACTGCCCCATGCCCGCGTTGCACATGAGGATGTCGAGGCGCGACTCCTCCGCGACGACTTTTTGGGCGAGGGCGTCGACAGCCTTCAAGCAGCTCATGTCGATGGCGTGCCATACGACCGAGCCGGTCGAGTCGCATTCCTTTAGGGCGGCGTTGATGTCGATCTCCGCCTGCTTACCGTGCCATGAGGCGGTGGTCGAGACGAGGATGACCTTCGCCCCGGCCAACGCGAGCTCGAGTGCGTCGAAGTACCCAACCCCAGAAGTGCCTCCTGTGACGAGGGCGGTGCGGCCGCTGAGGTCGGGGATGTTCTCGGGCTTGAAGCGCTTTCCGAGGATCTTGTTGACGCCGTCAGGGAGTGCGGGGGCGGGGACGGGGAGGGTGTATGCGCCGATGCTCATGCGCCGGGAGCCTGAGGTACTCATGCGACGGGCTTCAGGGGACTGAGCGCCGATGCTCATGCGCCGTTGGGCGGCCTGGCTGCTCGAGCTCATCCGATGCTGCTTGAGGTCCTTGAAGTCAGGGACCACCGGGCCCTGGCTTGCGCTCATGCGCCGCTGGCGGACGCCTTCGCTGATGCTCTGTCGACGTTGCTGGATGGGCATGGTGAGTGATGGTGGTGGGGAGAAGTGGAGGAAGTTTGCTCGCTGCTCACGATATTTTCGACATTCTTGTACTAGAGAGTTTGCATCCGCGACCAGGTGAACATGGCATGCAGCAGTACAGTGCGGAACGGACGATCGCGATCGGAGGCGGCGTTAACTCGATCGGCCGGCGGTTCAATGCAGCTGCGTCATATCAGTCTCGTGGGTCTGACTCGCTTGCATCAATGTCTTTCCCAACCATTGGCCGGCTAGCTCAGTTGGTTAGAGCGTGGTGCTAATAACGCCAAGGTCGTCGGTTCGATCCCGGCGTTGGCCAGTCCGTCAGGAACATCAGGTTTTTTTTTTACCACAACATCCTTCCAAAAATCCTGCTGTTTTTTTCCAATAAAAATCATGCTCTCAGTCTCACATTCACAGCTTGCTCTTACAATTTAGATACATGTAGACGCTACCAACTGATTTGCGCGGCACTTCGCCTTACCTTGAAATGATAAGCGCTGAGAGCAACTGCATAGTTCTTCAGCCACAATCTTTGCAGGTTCCCACGGACCTGGAGCACTGAACGAGCGCCGGCGGGAATAGCAGCACCTGCATCCCTCAAGACCTGCTCGACGTCGCCATGGCCAAATCTAAGAAGTGCGTGCCTCTTCATTACGGGGAATCTATGCAGGAGGAAGAGGGAACGATGTTAATGGACGAATCTACGCATGCAGCCATACCAACCACAACCAGAGCAAGAAGGCTCACCGTAACGGTATCAAGACGCCTAAGAGCCATAGGACGCGTTCGATGAAGGGTGTATGTGCTCATTTTGCGTTCCCCGACGTTTGAGGTGCTAACAGAGGATTTGTGCGGCCCTGTAGGTTGACCCCAAGGTACGATGAGATATGCGAGCGCGGAGAACGCTTTAACCAACCCCATCCCCCTCAGTTCCGCCGCAACTCTCGGTTCGCGCTGGTTGGCTCGGTGCGTCACTTGATTTTGCATCATCGCCATGTCCTTATATCTGTTCGCACTGTAGAGAAAAGCTCGCACCGAGCAGAAGGCCGAGTCGACATGATCCTCCTTCCCCACAACCGAGCAGAGGACTCCGAGCGCCGGTGCCATTCCCTTACGATGAGGAGGGAGAGGGGGGCTTGTATGCATACGCCAGCCGGCCCCGGCTCGCGCGCAAGGCGACGTCGATCCATGTAAAACACCCACCACGATCATGCTGTGTATGCACCCCCGCTATGCTTAGGACTCGCCGAGCAGAAATGGAAAAGCCCCAAAACATGTAGAGTCTTGTGCGTGATCCAATGGAACCAAGCACCGCTACTAAGCACAGTCTGGGTGGTATTCGACAAGTATGAACACGCAGCAACTCATTCGGGCGGTTATTGGTTATTATACGCGAATAGACGACATCGAGATGTCCTCGCAGCCCATCGACTATGAGCTAGCCTGACCCCGCGTTGGGAACGTCTTCCTCTGCTGCTCGAGCGTCGTCATTAGTCGATGCGCCTGTAAGAGCACGGAGCACGTTAGTATTAAGACCACAGGAATTGTGTACAGTGCACTGACCGCAGCATCTTCGGGAGGTAGCGCGCCCTTCGCCATGTTATGCTTCCCGAACTTGAGTCTATGCCGATGTCTCTGCGGGAGCTTCTCCGTGCCCTCATCCGGGACGAGCAGCCTCTCGCACTCCTCGCGCGTCGCGATGTGCCCCAAGAGCAGCGAGAAGAACTTGTGGCGGAGGACGGCCTTGATGCGCTCGAGCGCGTGCGTGGTGTACCACCCGTCGCGCTCGCTGCACGTCTCGCGCAGCGCGTCCTCGTCCTCGATCATCTCCTTCAGCATCGCGTCCGTGATGTCGCACAACTGGAAGGCGGCCGTCTCGGACGTCACCGTCTCGCCGTCGAAGATGTGCGAGCGGCGGTCGTCGACGCCGGAGAAACGCGCCTGGGCGAACTCGTTCCGCTGTTCCTGCCGACGGGAGACGACGGAGGGGCGCGAGATGGGGTGGTTGATGTTGCGGAAGTAGAGGCGTTGGTAGCTGCAAGCATACGGATGTGAGAAATGCAACTGTGACGACGGAGAGATATGCATACAACCGTGCCTCTGGGTCTTTGCGGGGATCGTAGCCTAGACGGACATATGTATCCCGCCAGGGGCCGTCTTCGAAGACGTATGAGACTAGTGGAAGCAAGTACTTCGAGCTTGGGAGAGAAACATAAGCGACTGGACAGAATGTACAGAGGGTAACATACTTGATGATGTCTCGCACTTCCATAGGTGTGAACTGGTTGAAGATCGCGGCGCGTGTCCATACTGGACGCTCCTGAAAAAGCTGCGCAGGGTACGTATGAGACTGCCAGGGGATGCTGCGAGAGGAGGTCGGCGCACTTCATCCAGCCTTGTGAGAATCTTCTTGTCCGCTTGTCCACGTTGCTCCGCAACAGCGGCGGAGGGCTTGTCTGGCACCTGAGAGGCTATTGTGAGAGGTCGCCTCATACTAGCACAAGTAGACCTACCGTTTTATCCGCGTAGGATATAGCGATAGGGCCGAAGCCTTTCCAACGCATACGGTTGATCAACCGCTTTTTCTCCTCGCCGGTCTCCTCGTCTACGACGATGGTCTCGACGGAAGCCGTATTGGCTTTATAACTGCACTCGGGATTAGCACTCGCTCTCATAAATGAAAGATACGGTGTAAGCGCGAGACGCACTTATAATTCTGGGGCACACCCTGTCGACTGAAAAGCGGTGGGGTAAACAGTCGGAGATTACTCCTAGTCTTCGCGGGTCCACTGGATGGTGCGCTTTCCCCTTCTCCCAAAAGCTGCGGGTCGATGTCCATGGCAGCAGGATCCACTTCTACAACAGTATAGTCCTCCTTCTCAGGTCCGATATGATATTGCAGAATGCCATCCACTGTAGATGCTTGGGTGAGCATCCAGCCTTGCCCAACGTTTGCGGAGTCCCTCACCGTCCATTGTATCCATCGCTTTCCGGAGGTGCGCGAGTGGGTCAGACATGTCAGGCTGATACTGAAAGTCCGCCATGCCTAGTACGCAACACATTAGTCCATGTGTCTCGGAGCCAATTCACGAGCACCTACTGCGAAACCGCGCCGTCTTAGGTACCACACCGACGGCCTCGACCGTATACTCACCCACCGCGCCCTCCTCAGGCGCGGCTTCTCCATCCTTGCGCTTTCGCCGCCGCTTGACGACCTTCAGCACAATATTGCTTGTGGGCACGATCTCCCCTGGGATCGGGTGCGCGTACGGGTTGCCCGGACGGAGCCGAAGCTCGAGGAGGGACTCAACTTTGTCGCGCCCGCTCGCGCGGCGGAACGCGCTCTCAATAGTGCGCTCGCCGCCCAGACGTTCTACCGCGAGCGGGACGGATGTCGGACGGACGTAGCCCGGGTACTCGACGGAGTAAAAGTGCGCGGTTGGAAGAGGCCGCTCCGGGGCCGCGGTTGGGAGTAGCTGAGCAGCGGCCGGGCCAGGCGTGGAAGAGGGGCCCGCGATTAGTCGAGAAGGACCAGCTTCTGGCTGTTCCATAGTGTTTCGCCGAGGTGCGACAAGATGGTCGGGGGCAAGACGCAAGGTACGCGGAGCGGCGTGAGCGCGATCGACTCGGAAGGGTCGCGTCAATCACGTGCGTCATTTCACCCCGACTCGAGCGCAGCGGCTGTCTCTTGCGCACGTACGACGACCAAGGCTCGATGGACAGCGACGACAACTCCTCTACGGTGCCGGCAGCTGCACAAGAAGGCGATGAACGGGATGGGTTTCTCGACAACATCCTCACGCCTGGCTCCTCGCTGAACCCGACCTTCCTCTTCATCGTAGACGGTGCACTCGGCTTGCTCCTGGTCGTGCTGCTCTCGCTCTTTATACTCACTCGCGGCAACATGCATTTACTGTTCTTGATGATTATCGAGTGCTGTTTATGGGCAAGCATCAAGTGGTGTGTGGAGATGGTGAACGCGGTAGAAGATATTGCTCATGGGGTTTCTTCCAGGTTTGTGCACGAGCTACAGCAAGCTCCATCGTAGGACCAAATACTAGGCGCGGACGGGGGCTCTCAACCGGAACCTAAACTTAAGGACGAATGATACGCGGGGCCTTTTACTTTAATACACCATCGTCAAGGTGTCGGGTCATCCAATGTCATACGCGGATTATATCCTACATCCCCCACCCATCGAGGAATCCTTCCCAATATACTCACCTCCTACCCCGCTCGCTCGTCTCGTACCACCCCTTGGTCTTCCTCGCACTCTCTTGCGCTAGTTGGAACACTATCACGGTCTACGTCAGACGCAGCATACCCAAGATGTCGGGGCTAGGAGGAAGACGTACGTTCTCGCTCAGTTCCGTCCATGCCCTCGCGGAAGGCCGCTGCACCAGCGTCGCCTCGGGAGGTCCCCGCGCCCGACTGAAGAGAGGCGAAGTGTTGCGCTTGGTCGACGACTTCTGGGAGGCGAGCGCGGAAGGTCTAAGGGTGATGAGGGGTATGGGGATGGGTTATGGAATGGTGATATGAGTGGCGGGGCAGGGACACACCTTGGTCAGGACCTCGGAGATCTCTTGTGCGGGCACATCGTTCAATCTACGTGCAGCGCATGTGTCAACTAGTGGACGGTTCGTAGGTATAGACGGCTCACAAGCGCATGATCATCCGGCCAAATCCATACCACCAGCCTCCTTGCCCGACGAGAGCAGATAACCGCACGCTTCGTGGTTCAGCATTGAGCGCGTTTCGGACGCGTGCGGCGAATGGTGGTGGGATCGTGAAGTCTGCGTGATCTCTGGCATGCATGGATCATTTGGTGTGGGGTGATATAGTGGATGGCGAGGAGAGACTGACGAGTAGATGAGAATGTAGGCCATCCACAGCGGGATTTGCACTTTGCTCAGTGCTTTTATCTGTCACAGCTCACAAATTCACGACTCTCCGAAGTAGCGAGCATAAGTAACACGTACATCTCCAGCTTTGCCGCCGTCAAGATGACCCATGTCGGGGACATCGACTTTGAACGTGCATTGGATCTTCTGGTTCTCAGCCAGAATGGACTCGATAGAATAGTAGTCGTCATCCATCTTCACGCGCTACTAGGAGATATACTGGGTGATGACGCTGAGTAAGGGAGTATGTGCGGGTAGAGAGAGACGGGTCAGAGGCCGTGGTGGCTGAGGAGGTGAGGGAGGCCGACGCGACGCGTCGCGCGTACGGAACGCGACCACGCGCCGGTTCCCACGCCTCCTGCGCCCTCTGCTCTCTCACCCTTGCCGTCCGACGACGTCCACTCCACTCTGCGTCTCCTCCCCTGTCTCCCCCTCCATCGTCTTGTACACCTCTTGCACCCACCCCTCCTGAAATGATTCGTACCGCCCTCTACCACGCCCCTCTAGTCCGCTCGCTAGTCACGCCCGCGCTCCGGCTCGCACACACCACCGCGCTGCGTCACCCCTCGCTCTCGCTCCTGCGCTTCACCCCCTCGAATTCGCCCGCGCGCGACGCCCTCCATACCCGCCATTTCTCGTCGTCCCCGCAGCGGAGAGCGGAGGAGGACCCGGAGCGCAATGCGCAGCTGCAGAACGTGTTCACGCAGCAGCAGAAGCTGCTGAAGCTCCTGCAGGAGAAGCCGGAGACGCTTGAGCACATCAAGAAGTTCGTCGAGCAGCTGGAGAGCAACGGTGCGTAGCTTGTTCGTTTGTGCGCGATCGTGGTGCGGGGCTGACGAAGCGAGTGCGGCTGCGCAGGTATCGACGTATATTCGGGAAAGCTGCCGGGCAAGATGGACATGCTTCGGCTGCTCATGAACCCAGCCATCCGGGATAGTGCGACAAAGATGGCGGCGGCTTTCCAAGAAGCGGGGATTGACATGTCGAAAGTACGTGCCTTAGTCGTATGTCGGATGAATATACACTTACCGTCGTCTATGATGCCACTAGGACATGGTACAGTCACTCATGACGGTGGACCTCAAGAAACATCTCGGGGACAAGTAGCACATCGCAAGGGACTACACATCTGATACGTTCTGCTCTCGCTATCTGTTTGTTTATTGTACTCGCACGCTATCATACGGACTTCTATATAGTCACTCACTGTTCTCCGAACATCCAGAAGTCTCCCAGAACCGAGTGCTGTGCAGAGTCGCCGCACAAGCTGCGTGTTGTCCCGCATTCACGTATGTGCGGTCGATTTGTATGACGCGTTCTGCCCACTAGAGGGAGATGGTCATGATGCGTGCTGCCCACTTGAGGGAGATGGTCACGGTGTGTGGTAGCACTGGTACGCCCGAGAAGAAAGAGCTGCTATAGACCAGGTAGGAACATCGCAGGTGATGCAGAGTAATTATGGAAGAGGACACGATCGGGCCAGGCTGCCTGAGAAGGAACGCAGATCACCTGGTTAGGGCCGAGGGAGGAGAAGAGAAGACGTAGACGACCGGAAGCAGCACCCATACTTCCCAGACGGTGCCGGACAGGGCGAAGGACGAAACGCCGAGAAGCTTGGATTCGCTCGTCTGGATCCATATAGGCGTCCCGTCGTCATTGGGCCTAGAGCGTGCGCAGGAACAGACATAAATTAGACATGGATGGAGCGGTAGTCGACGGGTGATGGTGGTCGGCGGCGGGAGGAGCAGGAGGGCCAAGGATCGTCCGGCACGGAGGGGACGCTGCGGGCGAGCTTGAGCAGAGTGCAGACGCCAGTGGAGAGGACGAGATAGCGATGGGTGTGGCGGCGTGAGGCGCCCGGCGCAGGCTGACCGAGGTGTCAATGACGTACATCGCCTAATGACGCCATGGAGCGTCCGCCCTCCTCCCTCGCCTTCAAATCTTCTTTCCTCCTTCGCCCGTCCCCCGCACACCTCCAATTTCCCACTCTCCCCCCTCCCTCCCCCAAATCACCCTACAGCCATGCCGTCCGGCACCGGCGTCGTCGACGCGTTCAAGAGTGAGCACATCGTCTGCATCGTCCGCTCGCCCCGCCGTTGATTTCCTGGATTCTAATTAGATCTCATTCGTCACGGACGAAACCACAACTCCGCTGCGCGGCAGCAGGAGGAAGCTGCCTCCCAGCAGGCGTCTCTACAGCAGGCCCAGCAGCGCGTCGCAGATGAACAGTCTCGGCAATCGCGAGAAGCCGCGACACAGGCCCAACAGCAGCAAACACAGAAGCAAGCATCCCCCAAATACAAGGAGCACGTCGAGCAAATCGTTCAGGAGGAACGCGAGGCCAAGGGCAAGATGCCCGTTTACAAGGGCCTCGAGAACTACAAGCTAGTCGAGAAGATGGGCGAGTGAGTGCGCCCTCCTCTGCTCTGTTTACCGCGGCCCGCCGTGACGGTGGTGGGTTCACGACGAGGCCCAGGTGTTGGCCCCCAACCGTCATTTCAGACGTTGTTGCACTTGGTGGCAGGCGGTGCCCCCATGAGCGCCTCGCACTGCCGCTAGATTTTGGTCAGATCGTCAATGAATGCGGCGGCAATCCGATCTCGTCAATCCACATGCATCTCACCTACGATGTTACTTCTACCTTGCGTACGGGTTAGCTGACAGATTTCATTAGTGGTGCCTTCTCGAACGTATACAAGGCCATCGATCTCCGATCCGGGCAGAAGATTGCAGGTACGCCTTAATTAATTCCGTCATAGTATGCGCGTACTCATATCAATCATAGTCAAAGTTGTTCGCAAATATGAGTTGAGCGCGTCCCAGGTTAGTGTTTTTGTCCATCCCTCTCTATCTTCATTCATTATGTACCTGTATCCCCTCCGCTTCGCTTGCTCCAGGCTGGCGACAAGCACCTCAACCGCGAGTTCAAAAAGAAGCCGCGGGTCACTGAGGTGCTCTCCACTGCTGGCGGTTTGGTCCCCAGGCTAACCTTGTTTTCCACCCATCTGTAGAGGGCGAACATCCTCAAGGGTACGTCACGCGCCGCGGGTACACTCGAGCAAGGTTCTGACTTCATCATCAGAGGTCCAGATCATGCGGGGCATCACACATCCAACGATAGTGAAGCTCCTAGCCTTCTTCGAATCGCCGGAGCACTATTTCTTGGTACTCGAACGTACGTGCTCACTATGACGTCGTGGCAGGGTGATAACCATGTGCACACTCCGCAGTGATGGAGGGCGGCGAGCTATTCCACCAGATTGTCAAGTTGACATACTTCAGCGAGAATCTCGCACGGCACGTCATCGTACAGGTCGCGCAAGGCATACGATACCTGCACGAAGAGCGCGGCGTCGTACACCGTGATATCAAGCCCGAGAACCTCCTCTTCGAGAGGATACCTATCGTCCCCTCCAAGAACCCCGTTCCCAAGCAGTTCGAAGAGGATAAGGAGGACGAAGGCGAGTTCATTCCCGGCATCGGCGGAGGCGGCATCGGGAGGGTCAAAATCGCAGATTTTGGCCTGAGCAAGGTTGTCTGGGACGAGCAGACGATGACGCCATGCGGTACGGTGGGGTATACTGCACCCGAGATCGTGAAGGACGAGCGGTATTCTAAGAGTGTGGACATGTGGGCCATGGGTTGCGTGCTCTACACGTTGCTCTGCGGCTTCCCACCATTCTATGACGAGAGCATCAACGTGCTGACGGAGAAGGTCGCCCGCGGGTACTACACCTTCCTGAGCCCTTGGTGGGACAACATCAGCTCTGATGGTGCGTGACTTCGGCGTCCCCTCCCATCATCCTGTGCTAACTTGTTTCTCAGCCAAGGACCTCATCACCCACCTCCTGTGCGTGGACCCCGCTCAACGATACACCATCGATGAGTTCCTGGCACACCCATGGATCACCGCTGCTCCTGCCCCTCCGCAGGCCACACCTTTCTCGAGGTCGCGTGCACCATTAGATTCGCCGCTTCTCGCCGACGCTCGCGGCGGAACCAGGGAGGCTCGTTCGCCCGGTGTCGCTCAACTCAAGGAGGCGTTCGACATCACTTATGCGGTACATCGAATGGAAGAGGAAGGCGCCCGACGGAGAGCTCAGAAAGGTGGCGCGAATCGCGGCTTCCTCCAGAATCTCAACGAGAGCGACGAGGAGGAAGACATCCCTAAGCAGGCACCCACCGGCACCGCGGCGAAGGTCGTGGCGAAGCGTGCGGTGCAGGGTGGTGACGCGTACGATGGCCGTGCCGGCCAGCGTGATCGGGGACGGCGAACGGGTGGCGGGCCGAAACCATTCGAACTTGACCTCGACGGCGCGACGCTATTGGGCCGAAGACATAAGCGCGGCGTCGATGGAGGGGTTGGCACCTACGGCGGGAGCCCGCTCGCCCTGGGCACTACCAGCTCGCCAGAAGACCACCCGATGGAGACGCCAATGAGTCCCATGCGAGTCGACTAGACCCGGCCGGCGATTTCCTCTTCCCCTCCTTCGACCCGCCATTCACCCCTGGCAGTCTCCGGCGCTCTCCATCTCCGGCCGATTACCCCACTCTGCTCTCCGTTACCCCGCGCCCGCCTTCCCCGCCTCCCATATCACCTAGACCCGTCTCGCGCTCTGACCATCGTGTCCCACTGGTCCTCTCATGTGTGTACTATCATCGCAAACAGGATACGTTACGGTGTATATCTTATTCCAGCCCCGGTTTCCCGCTGACCCCCCGCAACCCTCTGAACACGACTTTGCAAGCGCTCTCTCTCTTGTCGTACGCTATGCCGTGCCGCCTATACACGTACACGTCGTTTGCAGCATACGGACACGTGTTCTCCACGCCTCGTTCATCCAATGTATCGCTCGGCAGTCTCGCCACGGCCTGAGGCCCGCAGTCCTGTTTTTCATATCGGTTATCGATATATATCGTGCAATTATGGAAGGCGGTGGGTGCGCGCGATACTGTACACCGTCAGCGGCATACTCGCGGGCCTGGTGCATGATAGAGGGCTCCGCGGATATAGGAACATCGCCGCGCCCCAGCATGTTCCTCAGCTCAAACGCCGTGGGCGCCTCCCGCTGTGGACCCTTGTGTACAGCGGGAGACAGCAGGGTCGTGGGCGCCTCGGGCCGTCCCGAAGATCGGTCGCAGTCAGGTTGGCGACGCACCTCCTTCGAGACATACCACCGCTTACCTTGTACCCGGGCCATGGATGACTTGTATCCTGCTCTGTAATGGGAGGCGGATTCTGTACAAGCAGCCATCCGAGGATGAGTCAAAGGTAAGTCGCTGGCTAAATTGCGATTGGGCACCGAACGTTGAACTCTGGCTTCTTGCACAACTAGTGGCGCTGCAACTATAACAACGCTGAAAGGGGTATCAGTGAAATATAGGTCAGTCCATGTACAAGTATGTGGCAGGTATCACCGCCATCCGCGTCGGGCATGCTGACTCACGCTGCCAGGTGTTTGTCACGGTTCAATGCTGGCAGCGCCTAGAGGCCCGGATCTGGCTGACCGCCCTCCCTGAATACCGCAATGAGCTCGCTAGGTGAACATGGCTTGCAAATTCCGAACGACAAGGACGGCCTCTCCTGAACGAAGACACGAGGTCGAACGTCTTCAGCCTCAGGCCTCAGTGTGGGCATGCCTCTTGCGCAGACACCACCACGATTGGTTCATGGCGATGACCTACTGGCAGGAACGGGTATATAAGGTAGGCGTAGAGCGCGCACGATCCTCATTCGGGTGTGCCCGTATAGCAGGACTCGGCCATGTCAATCACACTACTGCCCTCCCCGCTTTTGACCCCCAGGCTTTCATCCCAACCTGAACCCGTCCGGGCACACTCCCCGTCCCTGCGAAAGATTCCCCAACCGCCGCAAGGTCGTAAGCGCAGTTTTATTGCATGGGTGCGCTCCCATGACAAAGCCGATTATCAATGTGCGAAGGTATGTTGGGGCAGAGACTCCGAGGATGTGGCTCGCATGCCGTGCCAGCAGTGTCTAATTAACGATTCCTTCTAGGCGTTGATAAGAGACCTCCTTCCTCGAGAACTCGACATCCTGCGTTCATGGGGTCAACAGGCCGAGGGCAACACGGAGCGACTGATTAGCAAGGTACCAGGTCCCGATGCTAGAAGTCGTCTTTTATGTACTCACGTTTCAATCACAGGTGGTGGAGGCCTACCCGACTTTTGCGAAGTACGACCAGGCGTGGCCGATCCTGTACTACTGCATCCAATATCACGGAGACATCCGAAGGCCTGTCAGCAGCGCCTTCAAACGGCCGCGCCGCGGCTCAATCACGGTTGACGCCGACTTCATACCGCCGTCTCGTATTGAGGGGCTCTGTGGGCACCGCCATAGTGCTCGTATCAATCTCGCGGTAAGTATAACACTCGTTCAAGGGGGGCTGATGAATTGTCAGGACCCAGTACTGATATTTCTAGCTCGCTCTCAAGCAACTGTTAGCGGAAAGGGAGAGACTCTCCAGCCAGCCGACCGGGCCTTGTCCAATACCACGCAATCGCCCCACCGCTGTGAGCGAGGAAGTACGTTTCACAGTCTGTTACGGTGTCTCTAGCCCTCCCTGATTAGCCAACCCATCCGTTTCAGCGTGATCATTCCAGCGCAGCGCCTGTTTCTGAAGACACCGCGCGGGTCGTCAACGTAGAGCCGGATGTCCAAAGTCAAGGCAAGCAGGAAGTGCTCAGCTTCCTCCTGTTCGTGAACGGCACCTTCGCCTGCCTGCTAGACAGGTTCTGGTATGCTGGAATAACTAGCAAGGCACGCCTGCTGGCCATGGCCGTCGAATGGACCGATGTTGAAAAGGAAGACTTTCTGCTCAAGCAGGTCCATGCCGACCCATTCGAGCGGAAAATGCTAAGCACTGGGTTAGCTAAGCTGGCGGGCGGGAACGTATAGGCTTGATATAACTGTTGCGACTTGCGTGTACTGTCAAGTTCTGGTGTTAACCTTGTACTCTGCTATGAAAACGAATCAACGATGAAGCATTGTATCGTTAGTCTGTTCACTTTCAGAACGCCTGCTAGGTAATCACGTCTGATGTTATCCCTCGCTCGCTGTTTCGTAGCATCATTTCATGTGTTTACATAGCTATATCAGTGCAGAACACACTGATACTGGGATCAAAAAGCTGGCCAACGCCGGGATCGAACCGACGACCTTGGCGTTATTAGCACCACGCTCTAACCAACTGAGCTAGTCGGCCATTAGTTTTCCCAATTGTGCGGCGGTATGGAATGAGCGCTTAGAAGCCGCAGAGGAGTGCTATTGTTAGCTCGGTAGCCGCCACAGCATGGGCCGGGGTTAGCTGACGCCCTGGCCCGCGCGTCTGTACCACCGACTGTGGTTATAGTCTCCCCGTTGTCTCTCGCTCCCACTCTCCCTCTCTCTCCTCACCACTATGACCTCGACTGCGTCAAACGCCTGGATGCCGACCGGACGACACGAGATCAACATTGGAACGTCCCTTATGCGCTCGCTGAAGGCGCGTAAGGGCGGTCCGGTCAAGAACAGCAAGGCGAAGCCTGATCGCGAATTCTACTCCTTCCGTTGTGCGTGAGCTTCTGTTGGCATCTACGCGGCGAGCGCAGGTGCTGAGGCCTACTCGTGCAGACAATTTCAAGCCCGAGTCGGTCGACCCGACAAAGCCTGGCTCCATTGAGATCAAGAAGGCTAAGGAGGAAGGAGGTCCTTCAAGCGTTAATGTAACGCGCCCCAGCACGCAGGTGTGTTGTGGCCGTCTACGTCAGACACTGCAGGGTTCTTACGACGTCCAACGAAGAATGAGACCGGTGTCAACTACGTTGGCCAAGAACGGTCGGCGAGAGACGTAGACTGCGTTCTCATCTACGACGAGGAACTGCAGGTCAGCTCTCTGTTCTTCGCCTAACCCCTGGCTCCTCACGAAGTTCTCGCAGACATTCACATTAGAGAAGATCGAAACATATCTGACACTTCAACACGACCCGCGTACGGTACATGCCCCCCGCCTTGCCAACTCCCGTACGTCATTATCGTTATGCTCTCCTGCCTCTCTTGTGCTCATAGGCGCCCATTTACATCAGCCGTGCCGCCTGCGGCGCAACGCGCACCCGCCGCCGCCGTTCGGGAGGAGGAAGAGGAGAGCGAGGGAGAGATCCCGGAGCCAGCAAAGTCAAAGCCCCCATCCCGCCTGAATGCCTCCGTGGTGCTGCCGAAGACCAAGCCGACCACACCGGTCCCTCAACCGGCGCCCCGTGCCCTCCCTCCGAGCTTGCCCCCGAAGCCAGTGAAGTCGACCCCCACACCGAAACCCGTACAGGCCCCAGTACCTGCAAAGCCCGCCCCCGTTGCAGCCTCATCCAAGTCTGCGCCGGCAACAGCTCCACCCAAGCCGAGGCCCAGACCCATCGGGACCTCTGCATTCCCTTTCAAGGGCACCAACAAGCGCGAGCTCCCCGCGGATACGGAGGAGACGCCGGCGACGGTTCGCCGGGCTGTCCAACCTCCTCCGTTCAAGAAGGCGAAAGTTGTGCCAGAGAAGAAAGAGCAGCCAGTGGCGCTCGCGTTGCCTGGGGCAGGCGCATCGCCCGCACTCGCGCTACCGTCTGCATCGAGCGCTTCCGCATCTACGCAGCCTCCATCTTTGTCGCTTCCAACGTCCTCCTCGATCGTCACCTTGCCCCCCGCACCCGCGGCGACCATCTCGGCGCTCGACCCTGCTGTGGCTGCAATCGCCGACTCGGACGATGATGACGATGATTGGGAAGAAACGATTGTTCCCCCGCTCGTGCCCGCGGCGGCGGCGGCACCAACACTACCCCCAGTCATCGTCATGGAGGAAATCGAGCCGAGCGCGTTCACGCCCGCTGCGCCCGCGGACGGTGGGGAGGACCTTGATGACTTCATGGACCAGTTTGAGCAGGAGCTGCTCGCCGACCCTGATGCGGACATGGACGCGGACGGTGACGCGGACGGCGACGCGGAGGCGGACGACGACGACTTCCTCGCGGGCGCGATGTCGCCCGCGGAGCGGCAGCCCGTGGCTGATGTAGAATTCGTGGACGAGGACTACTCAAGCAGCGACTCCAGCGACGAGGATTGAGCATGGAGTGAGCGGTGGGGCCGCGAGGGTGCGCTGCGAAACAAGTGGTGCGCGCAAATACCCGGGCGAGCGAAGAATACCGGTGCGGAGGGTCTCTGCTGTACTTATACCTTATATAATACCCTGTACCATATACCTGTCGAACGTGTCGTCCTGCATACTGTTATAGAAGTCCTGTTCTGCTTCCTCACCTGCTGTCGTCAGCTTCTTAGACACCGATCACCACAGCACGAACCTACCGTGATGTCGAGAACCCACACCGCAACCACTCACACGCAAGAGAAGCACGACGGGTAGAAGGATGGTGACTTCCTCGATCAAAAGCCGTACCATACACTGGAGAACGCAGCAGCATAGGTACGAAAACTTGGGACCGGCACAACCCTCGGGGTCTCTCGTCGGTCAACAGCAGCAGCGGCAGTGGTGGGGGGTGGGTGGGTATCGTATCGCGTCGCGACGACAGCAAAAAAGGTGCGCGTGGAAAGCGAAGCGAACGAACGAAGAGAGGGAGATTAAGAAGAAGCAATCCAGTAGCGATGGCCTACGCCTATCTATCGGAGAACGGTAACCTGCGTCAACAATGATAGTCCATGGGCCCAGTCCGTGTTAGTGTGAGGGGGAGGAAGGTCCGTGTCCTGCCTCGCGCCCGGCCCAGCAGCAGTCAAACAACAACACCTATACACACATCATGCCCAGCAGGAACAACAAGCGGAATCACAGCGCGGGGGGAGCGGCGGGCTTAGGTCGACACCCAGCCGTTCACGGTGATCGCGCCGTTCGCCGTCGTGCCCGTCGCGGTGTTGCGCGTGCCGGGTGCGTCGACGGTCGTCTTGTCGGACTCGGGCAGCGCGGAGGCAGTCGCGCTCGCGGCCGCTGCGGAGGCAGAGTCGCTCGGCGACGCGGCGCCGTTGCCCGCGCTCACGCTCGCACCGTCGGTGGAGCTCGCGGACGCGGCGCTGTCAGTCGCGCTCGCGGAGGACGCGCCGTCGGTCGCAGACGCGGCGGCGGTCGCGGAGGCGGCGGATGCGCTGGAGATGATGGAAGTCGCGTCCGCGGGCGAGATCGTGGTGGTCGACGTGCTCGCGGAGCCGCTCGCGCTGGACCCGGCGAGCACGAGCTGGCCGAGGAGCTGCTTCGTGGTGTCGATGAACGCCATCGTGGGGCCGGCGATGACGGCCTGGGTGGCGCGGTCGCGGACGTTGTTGTTCAGCGGCTGGTCGTCGGGGGTGACGAAGATCGCAACGGGGCCCTCGATGCCCTCGGGCACGACGCACGAGTCGAGCGGGAGCGAGATGGAGCTGGGCATGCCGCCGACGAGCATCTGGCAGTGGAAGTTGTCGGTCGAGCCGTTGATGGCGGGCGAGGAGAACGTGAGGGACGTGCCGGGCCCGACGGAGCCGGTGTTCGTGATCGTCAGGGGCGCGTTGGCAGTGATGCCGGTGTCGCAGCCGGAGATGAACGCGCTGGCGACGGCGAGGACCTCGTTCGGGAGGAGACCAACGTCAAACGCCTGGGGAATGGAGACACCATTCGCGAGGACGTTGAGGATCGTCTGGTGGCGGGCTTCGACAGTCAAGATCGAGCCGGCCGCGGTGAGGATGACGGGGTCGGTGATCAAGTGCGCGGCGCCGAGGTATGCGCCGACACCGAGGTTCTCCACCACACGCGCGGTCGCGGCCATGGTGGGGACGTCGTTCAGCGCAGCGCCGAAGTCGAACTTGCAGTCCCCGCTGATGGCCTTGTCGCCGAGAGACGTGATGGTGGACTCGAGCACGGAGGCGTGTGTTGCCTCATCTGCCTGGATCTGGATGAACTGCTGGACGGGGACCTGGGCGTCGACGAAGCCCGCGGCGGTGAAGTCTGAGGACTGGAACTTCGCAAGGGCCTGCTGGTAGAAGGTGGACTCGAACTGCTCAAGCACATCCGCGAACTCTGCAGGAGGAAGTCGGCGATCAGGAACGTGGGCCGGAAGCGGACCGATTAGGCGTTGCGAAGGAGAAGTACGCACTGAGAACGAGGAGATCGGTGGGGTTTGCCTGCCGCCTGAGCGGGGCACCGTAGACCATCAAGGGAGCCGCAAGGGCGAAGAGGGAGGCGAGGGAAGGCATTACGACGGGAATCTGGATTGCTTACTGCCGGAGTTGAAAGCCTGCTGGAGGACGAGTTGGGCGATGCCGAAACGAATGGAAGTGGTCCAGGGGCGCTACCGGGCAGCCCGAAGTGACTGTGTGCATCGCGAGATTGTCAGAACAGAGTGCGGGTGTGGGTGTGGGCGGGAGCAGAGCGCACTGACCTTGGCACCGAAAAAAAGACGGAGGAAGGAAGGGAGGGGGTGGGAGGAGAGCATCCTCCGCCGTCGCCTTTAACAGGCCCACAGCTGATTCGCCCGGAGCGGATACCATAAATCTGGGTCGGGGAAACCGGCAGATTGCTTATTCCCATAGTAACCACTCGATCCTCCCAGGAATATGTCCCTCTCCCCTCTCCCCCTCCGTCCCTCTATCGATTGCACTCGACCCCGGCGACAACCACGGCCTGGGCCACGCCATTCGAGTGCGAGAACTTATTCGCCCTCGAAGACTCGCCAGCTTCGACGTCGCGCGCCGCCCCCACATACATATCAATGTCGAGTGATACGGCCCAATCAGAACGCACAGGCAAGCACCTGAAAGTGTGCGCGGGCGCTACGCCTGCATCAGCCCATCCGCCATCGCATGAGCTGCGCGCACGATTGTTGACATCTCCGACAGGCATTAATAGACGGCGATGCGGCACGCCTGCACAGCACTTTACTATAGCAGCCCCGCGCCGTCGTTCAGTACGCTGGCAGCCTGTCGATCTTCGATGGACGAGTGTTCGTCATCAACACCCCTTCGTTCTCGGACAGGTCGGTCGCAAGCCCGCGTTCTTCAGCAAATAGCGTGCATTACGTGCTTGTCGTGAGAGCCGGTGTCACCGCCGTCTCTCTTCCACGTCCGCGCGTGATAGCCTTCGCCATCATTCACACCGCCCGCTAACCTACGTGCACTGTCGTGCGCACGCCTCCATGTCTAAACCCGCAAACTCAGAGCTCCAGCACCGAACGAGCATTGCAAGTTGATTGCAAGAGGCCCGGCTCGGCAGCTGCGAGGCACACCGAAACACGCCACGCATACCACATGCAGCGGTGCACCCACAACGGTAACCAATCGCAGCGCGCGCACAACGATCGCCTTCCCCTGTCGTGCATCTGATCTCGACGCACCCGCATCATGATTCCAAATTTCCACCGCCCAACCCGGCAACTGCGAGCAGAGCGGGACGGCTCAGCGCGCGTCGTTCCTGGAGGCTGGCCGCTTGGCCCCCCCGCGGCACGCGACCGCCCCGACGCAAAGTTGACCCCGCCAGCCCGACGCCGTGGCGGCGGGACAGACGTCGTTGTCGGGGGGCGGTTGGAAAAACAAGACAGCATCCTGGCGGCGCGCATGACCAATCGCGTACTTATCGCCGTGCATACGGCATGCATTTCGAGGACCCCCCAAGCGCAGGCCGAGCCCGACTTGCCCGACGACCCCGGCTGCCTTCTTCGATATCCCACCTCCGCACCCCCCGCGCTGACGTTACGTTCACAACTCCTTCTGCGCGAGCCAGCGCGAAACCATCGCCTGCGCCTCGGCGGGCTTGTCGAACGGTACGTGCTGGCGGGCAGGCAAGTCAGCACCGAGCCACCCGCAGAAGAACCACGGTGGACACTCATCATATGTCCCGCCCCGCGCACGGTCGCAAACGTCAGCGGGCCCGCGCTCTTCGTCTCCCCAGCTTTGTGCCCGTCGACCGTCCAGTCGCGGAACGCGTCCGCGGTGTAGACCAGGCCGCCGGACCAGTCGAGTTTCTCGAGCCAGAGCTTGTTCGCGACCCAGTTGCACTGCCAGTCGTACGTGCCCGCGTAGATGAGCACGCGCACTCCGCGCTCGAGCAGGCCGGCGACGTGGAAGTGCGCGGGCACAGCGTACTTGTCGAGGTGCGAGTTGAAGGCGCGGCCTACTTCTGAGCTGCAGGACGTGAAGTTGTTGGGCGACTCGACGCCGAGAAGTGCGCGTGTCTCGGGCGCATTGAGGTAATCTTTGATTTTCGCCGCTTCGAGGTAGCAGAGGTCGCCGAGGCAGGGCTGCAGGGATCTCAGCTGTGGTTTACAGGGGTGAGTGTTTGTTGACTTACCTTGGAGATGTCGTAGAAGTTGCGTCCTGCGAATGATGCCCGTAGTGTCAGAATTTGACGTTTTGATTTCAAAATCACGCTACGTAAACTTACCGCTCGCCTCGAACGCTGAGCTCATCGTAGAGTCGCAGAAGTTCACCGCAGCCCGACAATCGATAGCATCGAAGCGATCTATGCAGCTCTCCTGCATACGCTTCTCGCAGCGCGGTAACTGGAACACACTGCGATCAGCAACTATTCTCGTAGTTTGTGCGGCCACGATACTCACAGCGGTCTTCATCTTCACGCACGTGCTGATCGTTTGGAACGGTACGTCTAAGGACGCCGACCCAACCGCAGATCACCCCCAAATATGTTCCTCGCACAATCCTTGTAAATCCTAGATTTATGGCCATTGTGTCGTTTGTACATTTGAGGATGCCTTTTGTTGGAGATACGGCGCAAATACATTCGAGTTTGGCACGTGAGAGGCCTAATCAGGCAGCTGAGGTCGAATTATGGTGCGACTGAGTAGGCGCCCACATCTCGCCTTCAGCCCTCGTTCACGCTACCAGCTCAGTCGACAAACTCGCTTCACCTCGTTCCTCCCTCTCAAGCACAGTCCAATGCCCAAAGTTGCTCGCCCCGACTCTTTCTTTCGACGACCTTGCCCGTGTCCACCCTGTGCCGCATCAACAATCCCGCAGTTTCACACCGAGGAGCTCATCGTGAAGCACCTCAAACTAGAACAGCGCCTGGCATCAAGGCGAGCTCGCGTACCATCTCCCATTCATCACGGAGAACAGGCTTTGCCAGAGGATGGCTATCAGGATGATTCTGGTGTGTTCTTCCCGCCTGCCGCTTCACTGGACACTGGCAACTCGCCACCACCTGATCTCCCTGATGCTCACCTGAACGCCCGCCTTGGATCGCCTTTCGCCGCTGGCCCGAGTGCGGGATCTGTTTCTTACGCTGGATCGCCAGAACCCGCTCGCGGACGGTCTCGTTCGGTCCGCTCTCTGTCGGGGTCTCGCTGGGGGTCACCGTCTCGGCCGCGCTCGCGCTCGCGCTCTCGATCTTGGGCTCGCTCTCTCTCATATGCATCGCCTGTCGGCCGCGCTCGCTCTCACTCGAACTCTCGTGGGCAGTCTATCTCCCCAGACCGTGCGGCTGCTGGACAGCAGGTCCTCCCATCGCGCGAGCCTAGCCCTGTGCCATCTGTGGACGATGACGGCATTGATATCTCTGGGGATCCGCTAGCTGCGAGCAACGAGGAGATTTTCGACAAGATCCTGGAGGATGCGGAAGACGATGCCACCACCTACAATCACGCAGGGGGCCGACCTCCGGCTCTCACAGAACACCCCCTCATACGTAACGCATACGTCCATGTGTACATAGCCTCAACCGTGCACGGTGCTACAAAGGAACTGTGTAAGCAAATGCTCGATGGGTATCATTCAACTTTCTCGGCACTCCCGCAGACGGCACAGTACGAGGTTGCTGGACTCGACAAGATGGCGCGAACCCTCCGAACGGTCGTGCGGCGGCTGGGGGTCGACCCGGACCGGTACATCACCTTCTATTTCGTCTGCAACGTCTGCTGGGACCACCACCACCCATCCGAGCTCTATCATCTCGACGGGCCCGGTTGTAATACACGGGCTGATTGCCCAGGGGTCCTCTACGCCTGCAAGACCACATCGGAAGGAAAACTGAAGAGAATTCCGGTGAAGGTTCTCCCTACGACCGCCCTGATAGACTCGCTCTTCCGCATCGCATCGCGACCCGGTAAAATGAAGGACTGGAACGCTTGGCGAGGTGATGATGACGAGCCAGGTCGAACGCCACCTGCGGCACGCGAGGACTGGCCTGGGTGGCAGGATGGAAGCCATCGCATGTACGACATCATGGACGGCTGGGGGTGGCGTACGGTCGCCGCTGGCTTGCAGCGTCGGCGCGCAGGACCATGGGGCGTTGAGGACACGGACATTGAGGAGCTCAATCAACGGTTTGTATCATTGCCAAATGGTCTCCTGCTACAAATCAACATCGATTGGTACGTTTTCTTGTGTGTACGAGACTCCGCTTACGCCCACGCATGCATAGGTTTCGTGCAATGAAGCGCGGCGCGTACTCAGTTGGTGCTGTGTATATCACAATCTGCAACAATCCTCGCGGCGTCAGGTTTCGCCGCGAGGAGACCATTCTTTATTGCGTCCTACCGGGTCCAACTGAACCGACCACGGAGCAATTGAACAGCATCTTGCGCCCACTCATCGCAGAGCTGCACAAGCTGTACCGTGGTAAGTCCCCATCCTTCCTTCTGGGAATTCCGGAGTCTCACAGCACATCACTCTCGTAGGGGTGCTGATCAAGGTCTCCGAAGAGTCCGAACCGGAGCTCATGCACGCGCATCTAAACAACATGTCGTCTGATCTACCCGCCGCCCACAAAATGAATGGTCTCCGTGGCCATACGAGCGAGCTGCACATGTGTGACATGTGCGAGGCCAGATTCACCTCGCTCGTCACCCCAGAGTGCTATGATCCTGATTGTACGTGTTTCTCTTCTCTATTGCTCCATTCTCACTATCCCATTACAGGTTGTTCCTACCGCGACGACTGGCGGTTCCTCAAATACGCATACTTGGCACGCGACGCGGACGCAGAAATGCGCGACAGCATCCTCGAGAAACGCGGCTGCCAGTGGTCCATACTAAACACACTGCCCGACTGGCTCCCCGGACGCGACTCGCCTCCTGATTTCATGCATGCGGCCTATCTGGGTATATTTACACAGTACATACACATCCATTGGACACTGATGCACTCTTTCAAAGGAGAAACAAAACACGTCATTCAAAACATCCTCCACAAGGGTGGGATGTTTACACAGCGCAGCCGCAGGGACAAACCTCTGGAGAAGATCGAGGGGTTTCTTGCAGAGATCTGGTGGCCCGCCTTAGTCTCCAGGCCTCCTGACAGCGTAAGTCCAGCCGCTACACATTTGGCGATGACTGATGACTCGCACAGCTGATCACCGGGGGTGCTGGCAAAGCAGACCAGTGGCGGAACTTTGTGAGTGTACTTATGGTTGCCCTATACGTAGCGTGGCAGATCGACGGCAACATCCCCGACTGTAACGCACCGCTCCCACGTGCGGCCACTAAGGCTGCGAAGGCACGGCAGCGCGTCGAAGAGCTGTTGAATAAGCGCCGCCGTGCGGGCGTAGCTGCAAACCCGGAGACAACCGCGGCCGACATGGAAGAACTCGCACAACTGCGCATGAACCGTAACTACCGACTGCACTACGAGACAACCATGGAATGGGCGACCGCTATCCGCATCTATGGGTCCCAGTCCATCACTGTCGAGGAAACGATGCGAGCGTCCGAGTGCCACGCGCGCGCATGCCAGTCATGGGCTAGTGCATTCTGCCATCTGGTCCCATACTTCCACATCATGACCCACTTCTGGCTCTGGGTTCTACTCTTGGGGCCAGTGTATGCCTGGTGGTGCTACGCCTACGAGCGCAACAATGGCTTCCTGTCAAGACTCCGACACAACGGGCACACGGGGGGTGAACTCGAAGGCACAATGATGCGGGGATGGACTAAGGTGTCGCTCCTTTACGAGCTGGTATGTCCCCTGATTCCTGGGCATGTCTCTGTCTGCATCTCACTGATCTACACATAGATTCAACACCTCGAGGACCTCGGGGAGGACATGACAGAACAAGACACCGACGCGGTCGAGAAACTGCGTGCGCTACTCAAAGGCGATACCACCAGTGCGGCACACCGTGGGACACTACTAACGATGATCGCGACGATGTGTGCTGCTCGCGACCAAGGTGAGTCGCGCAGCAGACGTACTCCTACCAAGCGGCTAAATGTTATTGTTCAGCTACTGTCCAGCTTGCCCGGCAGTCTCGCAAGGTCAATCTACGTGAGCTCAATCTCTACGTGCTTGTGTATAAGCACGTGAGTGCACTGTGGTCCGGGCACTGCTCTCTCAAACCCGATACTGCCACAAACCTTGCCGGGGAAGCATTTGTAGCAGTCGCCGTCAAGTCTTACTCGACGATTCACATCTGTGGGCTGCGATACGGAGCTTCGACCACCACGCGCGGCGCCAAGTCATGCTATGCATACATGAAGGGTCGGCATGCCGTCAAGATCGAGTATATCTTCCATGTGGTCCACACCCGCAACGACGACACTCTCCCGCCGCTGACCACTACCTGTGCGATCATTCGTCCATTCCAACGCGATGCGAATCTGCCGGAGATGCCCTGGGCGCTGCGGTACGTGCTCTTTGTGCCTTGTTACATGATGCTGACAGTTACAATCACAGCGCAAGCGACTTGGGCATCGCATGCTGGTCCTATGAGTCCCTCGGTAGCCAGGTAGTTATCGATGTTCGTGAACTCTCAGGACATCTTGCGCTCGCACATGTGGTCCATCGTGATACAGACCTCTGGGTTACAATGTCTCTTGACCACGTACGTCCTCGTCCCCGCTTACATGCTTGCCACTCATCCCTTTTCCAGACATCACAAGAACCAGACCTTGACGACGACGATGACATGATGGATGTATGATCATCAACACATCTCAATTACATCCCAGCCGAATGCTGCGCGCACGCGGGTATGACTACATCTGCCTCGAGACTCTCCTTATCTTCTTCGCCGCCATATGTCCGACCCCTCTCCTATCCTTCCTCATCCTCATCGCCGCCATCCGACCCCCCGTCTAAGTCCCCGGCACCTTCTCCCGCTGCCCAGTCAGCAATGTAGCGCGTGCTGGCAAACCTACGACCATGTTCCCCGTCGATCCACTGGGTACTGAGCATTGCACGCGGGATCTTCGTGGTGGGGATATCCCCATCCTTCTGATTCTTACGCTTACGCACAATGGGCAGCACAGAGTTGAGCTCCGCGCGCACCTGACCGCGGACGTGCGCATGGTGCGCTGTCCCGTTTGTGTTCTCCTTTTCGGCCTCGGCCTGAGCAGCCTCAACGTGAGTGTCCACTTCGTCGAGGAGCAGCGTGATCTGACAGCCCGTCCATTAGTGCCAGTATTGTGTGTACGAGGTACGAGGTACGTACTCCATCTACGCGGTATGCCGGAGACCGACTGATCCACGGCCGCGCCTTGGACCTCAGCATGAAGACGACTGGTGGGGCCGATTCGTCTTCGGTCGACGGGTCCTCCTCGGCGCCTGCCGGGGAGTTGTCAGATTCGTCCGTCGACTGGTACTGCCACAGGAAGAGCCAGTCGAAGTGGCTGCCTGCTACGCCGGGAACCTTGTGACGCCAAGCCAGACGCTCGCTGGCTTTCTGCGGAGTCCGGGGACTGAGGTGAGTGTATATCCTCGCCTGCTGAAATATAACTCACAGTTTGTTTACGGGCGCGGCGCCGGGCGAGCACGCGCGACTTGGCGCGTGTTTCCTCGTCCTTGTCACGGAGGTCGCGGAACCGCTTGCTCCAAGTGGCGAAGCTCGTGGCCAGCCCGCTCTCGATGACGTCCTCAGGCAGAACATCCAGCATGTGCTGGGAAAGTGCGCTCGACCACCGGCGCGCGTCTTGCTTCACGATCTGTACGACCTCGTGAGCCCACCCCTGGCGGTTAGCCTCCCATCCGTCATCCCATCGCGGACGCAAGAGCCGCGCAGGATCAGCGGGATCCGCGACCGTCCAGAATCCCTGTTTGGCCGGTGCAGGTGGTTTGCCACCCTTGGTGTTGCCAAGCAGGCCGATGAACACCGCGCGAATGCACGCCTATCGCGAAGGTTTGAGTGAGTTGATCAGTACACACACTTGTGCATGCGCAACACTCACGAAGAACGCCGAGCTTTTTAGCTCGGAAGCCGTGGCAGATGCCACGGCCGCTTGCAGATCGAGTGCACCGCCCGCTGGCCCCGCCGCAGCCTGTGCTGCGGGGCCAGCTGGCTCCTCAGGACGATCCCTCCACACCGCCCCGAGTATCTCACCACTCTCCACGGCCTCCTCCATGGCAATCAAGCGCTTCCCTTGGGTCTCCGTGCGCTGCGCGATCATCTCGATGTCTTCGCGGATCTCCGCAGCTTCAATCTCACCCTTGCTTGTCTTGGTCAGCATCTCTGCATTCTCGACCTGGAGCCGCTTCATGGCGATGTGCATGCCCTGGACGGTCCCCTCGAGCTTCTGAACGTTCGTCCGCAGCTGCATGACCATGTCCACGAGGCGGCGGTCTATATCACCAAGTAAGTCGATTGGTTGCACACAACAAGCGTGGGCGTGGACACTTACTGCTTACTCCTGCAAGATCAGCAACTGCGGGGCCTTGGTCGTCGGCTGGCGTATCAGCTACGCCAGCAGATGTAGCAGCGCGCCGGCGCGTGGTCGTAAGCGGGGGCAAAGCGGAGGCCGCGCGGTTGGACACGACAGGGCGCTCTCCGAGCGTCGATGCCCACGCGGATGCGGGCGTCGTCCCTCTAGTGACCTCCTCGGGAGGCATGGACGCACGCGGAGTAGCTCCCCCCGAACTGGTGCGGTCAGCGGTACTAGCGGCGCCTGCAAAACTGGCCGGCATCTTGAAGAGCATCTTACCTCCCTGAACGGTCACGGTCTTCTGTTTCTTGGATGCGGGCACGTTGGTAGGGGAGGGGGGGACGTGAGGGATGGACGAAAGCGCGATGCGAGACGAGGACTGGGACATGGTTCGTGTGCGGGGAGCGGGGGCGGGGATGTTCTCGGACTTGGGGGTTGGGAACTGGGTGAGTTAGGACGAGCCCGCTGCGACCTTATACCTCGCTGACGACCTTCCTGCCTTCTAGACAGCTTCATGTCATGTCGCGGCGCTCTCGGAGACCGGTCGGCCTGCTGTCAATCGACGTCGCGCGAGCGAGCGCAGGGGGCGCGCGCAGGGGGCGCGATCGTCAGTATGGTGGATTAAGCACCGTCTCCGCGCTGCATGTAGCGGGCCAATGCGGGCTTCGTGATATCCAGGTTGTTGTGTACAGGTGTCGCATGCATTTACCGTGAAATATAGACTAGTTACAGTGTGCATACGGTGTGCTAGCGAGGGCGAGGGGGCAGCGGGGATCCCAAAGGGGACGGGAGGCGGGGGTCAAGAGGCGCCGGCACGGACAAAAGCGGCGCGTATTGATCGCCAATGCCGGTTCTGTGACCGATTAGCCCCACTTTTGTGTGAAGACGATTTGGCCAGACATCGCCAAGAAAAGTCAGTTTTGGAGCGAATGCGGCGCGAACATATCTGGCTTGCGCGGGCGGCGCGCGACGACGCGCGACGGTGCGCGACGATGCGAGAACGAGAAATACGAGAATTCGGAGGCGCCCCGAGTTGATGGCCCACCAAATGGGGACGGATGCGGGCGCTACATCACCGAGGCCCGTTATTTACTCGTGTTTGGTGCCAGCCGCTGCTGAGAGGGAGGGGGAAATAAGGTTGGAGTAGAGTGCACGTGATGGATTTTGTACGGTAAGCGCTGGTGTAGATATGTCGGATTTAACATTGTCTACGCTACTTGAATTCGCCCCCTCCCTCGAAGCAGGCGGGTGAGTAGGAGCCTGACGCCGACCCACATTCCACTTCGTACCTTCCAGCATAGAGACTATCGAACGGATGTTAGGATGAAAGCGGCGGTAGGTCTCCTGTGCAGTTATAACGCACGTAGAGATGTCAGTGATACCGTTGCCGATAATGACACTGGTCAGGTTGAGCGTGTCTCGTCCTTCGGCCTTAGCGACCTGATTCTGGTCATAGACATAGCTCGCAAAAGTCGGGAGATAGCGGCCCTAAATGATTTAGCATTGAGCGTCGGTTGACTAGCCACTAGAATGTGTACCGGTGCTTACGCCGTAAGATTCGCCGGAAAGATGCAGCGGGCGGCCCTTGAAGTCAGAGAACGTCTCGAAGAAGATCGTCAGGAACGCGTGAATGTTCTTCGCTGCGTCCTCGGTCGTCTCGACGGTCTCGCCGAAGTCAGCGTATGAGAAGCCAACACCGACACTGCCGTGACGAGCATTAGCGTAGCGCTACAGCCTGTGCAAGTCAGATGAAGCTCACGGTTGATCGAGGAAAAATATGTTGGCTTCCGCGTTCCAGGAGTACGGGTTCCACACCGTGCCGTTTGTGGACTTGTTTTGCGTGTCGATGCTGCAAGGGCCGAGCTCCATGAGCAGGCCCATGGAGGACGAGCAACCGGGACCTCCATTGATCCACATCATAACATCGTCTACACATGATAGAGGTCAGCTCCACAGACTTTGTAATTCCTAGTGGGGTGCTCACCGTTGGCAGGGTCGCGGCGACTCTCAAAGAAATAGAAGAACAGGTGCTTTGCGCCATCGTCAACGTCCAAGTATCCTGTATACACGCTAGAATATATTCAGCACGATATACTTCGCCCGCCAGCGTAGTGTGAAATCGAGTCCGGTATTGGTACTTACTTGACGGTAGGGTCACAGAACTCAGTCTGCTTGATCCGGACACGATGAGCAGGGTACCGAGGGTGCGCGAACGCGGTGTACTCGTCGCGAGAAGCGATAGACGATAGAGTGAGGTTTCCCGGAGAGCTGTAAGTTCCTACCGACAGCGGATTCGCTGCGCTCCCAGCTGCCGCGGCAGTCGCGTCGAAATGAAACGGTGCTTGCGAGCTAGCCAACGCGCCGCACGCCAGCACCGCTAATGCAGCTAGAGTGGAGAACATGGCGGGCGATATGAACGAGGAAGTTCGTGAGATTCCCCCAGACTGACTCTAATATAGCGGTGGGTATGACCAGCGTCGGGGCCGGCGCGGGAGGGTGGTGACCGCGCGGTACGCATTTCACAGGCGCCCATCCTCCCAGGGCGCATAGACGCCTGTGCGCGTTCCCACGGTAAGCCCGCTCAAAATTTCGGACTTTGCGGGAGTGCGCCAAAATCTGGTGGACACGCCCCGCTTGCTGCTTTCGTCTTCGGTCTCCTCCTCCTCTCCGACGTTTCCTGGTTGGACACCTACTGGGGCGCGTGCAAAAATGCTTGTTCTCTACGAGACCTCTCTGGGCTACTGTCTGTTCAAGCTCACGGACGATGCGAAGCTTGAGAGCGACGACCTCTGGGAGGAGTTCGAGACTCCGGAGAAGGCGAGCAAACTGTGAGGCTTTTGCAATGTGCTGCTGGTCGGGATGCTCACCGTGCTCGCGTGTGTCTGTCCTTCTTGTTCGTTTTATTGGTTGCCGCGCGCAGTCTGAAGCTCAAGGCCATTCACCGGTTTACCTCGACCGCTGATGCGGTAGAGGAGATCACTGCTCTCCAGGAGCACAAGGTCACCAAGGGCCTGAAGAAGTTCCTCTCTGAGGAGATTTCTGGCAAGGGGAAGGGGAAGGAGACGTTGGCCGTTTTCGAGAAGGAGTTCGGTACGTGACCCGTTGTGCAAATGCCATGCGCACCTTTGCTCAGTCCAAAATACAGGCAGGGCTCTCAAGGAGAAACTTAACATCAAGGTCGTCTCCCCCAAAATGACGGAGCTGTTCCACGGGATCCGCTCCCAGCTCACCACCCTCCTGGACGGCCTCGACCCGAAGGACCTTGCCACCATGAACCTGGGTCTGAGCCATTCATTATCCCGGTTCGTACCTGGCAGTCCTCGGAAAATGTTGAAGCACATTCTAATATTAGAGCAGCTTCAAGTTGAAGTTCTCTCCGGATAAGGTGGACACGATGATCGTTCAGGCCGTCGCTCTTCTCGATGACCTCGACAAGGAGATCAACATTTACGCCATGCGCGTCAAGGTTTGTGACACGCGGACACCGTTTTACGTATGTACAGTATTGACCTCTCTTGCAGGAATGGTACGGCTGGCATTTTCCCGAGATGGCGAAAATCATCGTCGACAACATCGCGTACGCGAAAGTCATCAAGCACATGAGTATGTACACTTGCAACGCTGCCGCTCACTCCGTCCGTACTAACCAGGTGCCATCCTTCAGGCTTCCGGACAAATGCTGCCGCCAGCGACTTCGCCGCCATCCTCCCCGAGGACCTGGAGGCGACCCTGAAGGCGGCCGCCGTCATCTCTATGGGTACCGACGTTTCCGAATCCGACATGGCGCACATCCTTTCCCTGTGCGACCAGGTCATCGCCATCTCCTCCTACCGCACCCAGCTTGCGGAGTACCTGCGCAACCGCATGAACGCGATCGCGCCCAACCTGACCGCGCTCGTCGGTGACCTCGTCGGCGCGCGGCTCATCAGCCACGCCGGCAGCTTGCTCAGCTTGGCGAAGCACCCAGCAAGTACTATCCAGATTCTTGGTGCCGAGAAGGCGCTGTTCCGTGCGCTGAAGACGAAGCACGACACACCGAAGTACGGTCTCATCTACCATGTATGTCGTCCAGGTCTGTTATCATCACTCGTTGCAAGTCTTGACGTATTCGATAGGCATCGCTTATTGGCCAAGCACCACCAAAGCTCAAGGGCAAGGTATGTCCATGATTTAACCCATGTTTTATATCCGCTGACATATATTTCCAGATGGCGCGTATGGTCGCAACCAAGGCTGCGCTGTCGATCCGTGTCGACGCCCTGACCGACGTCGACGAGAAGTCGGAGCCCCAGGCGCCGTCAATAGGCATCGAGAACCGCGCGAAGCTCGAGGCGCGGCTGCACGCGCTCGAGCAGCAGGGCGACGGCTCCGCGGTGCGCTCCGCGTTCGCGGGCAAGAAGCAGGCGCGCTTCCAGATGACGGGCGAGACGAAGACGTACAACACCGCGGCGGACGCGGTCGACCTCGTGCCCACGCAGCGCGAGCCGATGGAGGCCGCCGTGCAGGCCGTGCTGGACGTCAAGGCGGAGAAGAAGCGCGCGAAGGAGGAGCGCCGGGCGAAGAAACGCGCGGAGAAGGGCGGCGCGAGCAGCGACGTGGAGATGGACGTCGACGGCCAGGAGGACAAGAAGGAGGACAAGAAGAAGCGGAAGCGGAGAGAGAGCGAGGCGAACGGGGACGCGGAGAAGGTACGTCGCGCGGCGCTGCGTGTTTTGCGTGCGGATTGACTGACCGGTATTGCAGCCCGCAGGGGAGACCGAGGAGGAGCGCAAGGCACGGAAAAAGGCCCGCAAGGCGGAGAAGGCGGCCGCTGCGGGCTCGGGCGCGGACGAGGCGGTCGACGACGGCTCGAAGAAGAAGAAAAAGAGAAAGTCAGAGGCATAGCCGTGTGTGCTTACCTACTTACCCCCTTGTCGTCCCGCCTGCTCTGTCCTGTTGATTTCGCTGCATATAGTACTGTATTGTCACACATTAGCTGCATTGTGCCACAAAATGCCAAGCTCCATGTTGTTTTTTGGGCAGCTATGAGTGGTCAGCCACGCCAATACGTACAGAGTACGGAGGACCCTAGTGGACCCAGTCTTGTGATCTCGATGCACTTACCGCGAATCACAGCGCTGGTCACAATGCTCAGGCGCGTCAACGGTCTGGCGACAGGTGGAGTAAAAATGGTGGTTGCTGTGGTACATTCATGGTACAAGTTACTCCATCAGTTATTAACTACACGACCACGGATTCAAGTAGAAAACAATATCGCGGCACTCACGGCCATCCTTGTAGTCTAAAGACCTTCACTATAGTATCATCATCCAAGAACTTGGTCTCGCTTGCGAGATGCACTAGTACGGCTCGACCTCGACCCCGTCCTCCCAAAGATCAGACAAGTCCGAGCTGTCATCGCTGGTGTCGAGCGTCATCGCGTGCAAGGCTGCCGGATTGTTCAAAAAGGCCGACGTCGCGAATACCGGCGAATCCGGACGTGCAGGGGGCGCGTTCGCCTGTCGACAAGCTGCGGTTTACGGTAGTGAGCTATCGGCACGACTCGCCCAGAACAGACTGCGCCGCTCACCCTGCCTGTGGGCTTGCCAGTCTTCCCGCTGGCACTCCGGCCCGCAGTAGAACGCCTGCCTGCAGCCGCCGCACTTCTTGAAGTCGAGCGGGCGCATCTCGCGGCGGCCGCAGCCCTCCCGTGTGCATGTCTTGACCACGATGTCGATGAGGTCCCGGTTGGTGTTGATCCAGACCCATGCCTCAGGCTCCGCCCACAGGTCCTGCGTGAGCCAGCGGTAGTCGTGCGCCTCGTCCGAGCCGTTGGTCGTACGCGGTCTCGAATAAGGACCGTCTGGAGCAGAATGAAGTTCAGACCGCATACGCGTAAAGGTGGCGCGAATAGACTTACCTGGCTTCTCGCGCCTCGCGAGCACCTTGACAAAGATGCCGGGGTTCGCGCGGGTGCCCAGGACGAGGTACTGCCTGGCGAGCTCGCAATCGCCCCACAGGGCGAATGCTGCATATGCTGCGTTGAGTAACAGGTTTCCGGGCGACCATGGCTTGCTGTGCCACTCGACGAGGCGCGGCGTGAGGGGTTCTGGATTAGGCGGGTCGAATGTGCATCCCCCGCGGGGACGGTTCAGTCCATCATATTGCGGGTCGAGCCAGACCTGGCAAAAGGAGAGCGCGTCGGCGAAACGTCCTGCCTTCAGGAGGATGCTGCTAAGAATGTATCGTTGGCCCATGTTGTCTCCGTGACAGAGGCGGAGTGCTTCTGTGCTCGCGGCGCTGCGACAAACCTGATGAGCCATGCAGCGTAGATTTCGACGTGGACAAAGCTCACATAGATTTGTCGTAGTCGCCAAGACGGTGGGCCAGGTGGGCGATGGCGCCCAAGGCGCGCATGTAGGGCCGTGTGTCCGAGAGGCCCCAGAATTCTCCGTACCCATAGTAAGATTCGCCAAAGCAGTCCGAGCCGAGCGCCTGCAGTAGGTGTGCCCGCGCTGATAAAGAAAATGATTTGTGAGCCACTAGACCAACTACTTGAACAGGGCTGTCTACCTTTTGCCTCAGTTATCTCGGTGAGCTGAAGAGCGAGCTCCTTGTTGGGGAACCGCCACGCCCATTGCAGGACTGCGTCTACGGTCCAGTAATCTTGGAGGGCGTCCACGAAATAGGGGACAGAGCGTTCGTATTGCTGGATTTTGACGAGCTCGGTGGCCTTGCGCAAGCTTTACGGGGGTGGCGCTACATTATGCTCACCGACTTACAAAGGCTGATATAGAAGAACTGACGCACCTCCGACTCGCAGCACGTTGGGTTGCGATGTCGGCGGGATCCACTCCACCAAGGAAGCTCATTGCGGATTGTACGAGGAGGCTGAAAGATGAACGAGTTCTGGCGTCGGCTTTGGTTGAGCACAGGGATGGTGGACGAAGGAGAACAAGGACAAGGATCGACACTCAATTTCCCGCCACTTGCCCCGCCACGGCCCGTAATCGGCGCCAATTACAGGACGCGGTCAGCTGACTTTATGGCCAAAAGTCTCATCGCGTGGCGCATGGTGCCTGCGAGTCAAACCTTGCGCGATTCTAAGCACTCATGATCAGCAATACACGTATATATAATGTGGAAAAATATAGGAAAGTGTAACCTAATTAAAGACGCTATCTATCAGAAGCTATGTAGATTGGAGGTCCATTCTAAGGTCCAGGTTCGAGAGGCAACACTAGCTCCTCATCCCAAAATACCTCCGGTACTACACCAGCCAACTGCCTGATTAGCCCCAGATCTCCGCACGAGCACTCCTCGAAGTCTACGTGCACAATAGGGGACGCGCGCTGTTCCTCACGAACGCGCAGGCACTTGAGCAGCTTGGAGATGCTGAGGCCGTACTTGGCCCCAGCGGAGCTGAATCGCGCGACGACCGTGTGAGAGGCGCGAGGATAGCATGTGCACTCCCCGTAGGGTAGAAAGTCCAGAGGCTTCTGGGGAAGGTGAATGTCGACGTCCAGGATATCGAGGGAGTGCAGCTTGGGGAAGATCGCCGGACCTGGGCCAGAAATGGCGTTGTCGGGTTGCGGGGCAGTATCATCCTCCACGGTGTCGGCTTCCTCCACGTCCATATGTTCCACAGGTGGCGGGTCTTCATCAAAAGCGGTCCAGTGCCACTCGTCCGCGTTCGCAACATCGTTGTCGAGGCAGATCTGCCAGTCCTCCTCCGGGTCCTCGGGAACTCCCCCGGCGAGCACTGCCGGGAGGGCGAAGGCGGCCGTGCCCGAGATACTGAGCCTCTGGACGTTCACCGCTTTCTTCAGCGCGCGCGCCCAGCTCCGGGAGGGCGTGTAGCCCACGACTTGGATCAGCTCGACGCTCGAGAGGTCGAGTGCCTGGAGGACGGCGGGCGTGACGACGTCAAGAGAGGGGCGGAACCCAGTTTGAAGGACGAGTCTTGGGGATGTGGTTCCTACTATGGCGTCCAAGGATAGGCCACTCCCTTGTTGGCGCACACCACGCCCCTGCACAGCCCAGATCTGGCACGTTGTGGTGATGTCGCCACCGGTCTGGTCGACGAGAGGTGCTCCCCAACCCACGACGTTGATCGTCATCTTCTCGAACAGACGAGCAAGTACCGCTTGGAATGGCTTGCGTTCGCGTTCGTTGAAGAAGGAATCCAGGACAGTACAGCGGACGGAGGTGGTAAGGGGCAGTTGGAGGCAGGATAGTATGGACCCTATGCGTTCGTTGGAGCCCTTTAGATGGATGGATCTCAGTCGGGGGAGGGATACGGGCTTGCAGTTCGCCTCGGTTATGTCGGTAAACAGGGGCCAGTCCAGTTCAAGAGTCTCGAGGTTGGAGAGCGGCCGCAGGGCGTCGAGGAAAGCGACCATGTCTGCAGCGTTTGGTGATTCGAGGATTTGGCAGTTCGTCAACTCCAGATGCCGCAAGGACGGCCGCAGCAACGTTTCCGACCAGCTGCACCCGACACCGGAAAAGGAAAGCGATCGGAGGTTGGGAGGTGGGACCACAAAGAGCGGCTCTGTGATGCTGACGTTCGGCCCGCGAGGAGGGATGGCTAGCTGGTTGTACCGCGACTTTCCAAAGGCCTCGATGCGAAGTACCTCGAGGACGTCGCTCTCTGCACTGAACATGTCTTCCCAGCACTCTTCGAAACCGGAACGGTCGATAAGGACGAGGAGCTCACGAATGCGCGGAACCAGAAAGCAGATCTCCGCGGTCTGGTCGTGGAAGTTGTCGTAGAACCAGTCCCGGTCTATACATCCCTCGCAGTGGCCCATGGTATCCGAGATGATGAAGGTGACGGTCAGAGGGAGCTCGCGGGCGCGTTCCAGCAGCATCTCGGGGTAGGAGATAGGAATGCGCTGGTCGTAGGCGACCCAGGTCCAGAGGTTCGCACAGTTGAGCGCGATCTCGCGCCAGTGCCGGCAGACATGGGAGACCTTGATCCATTTGTACAGGGACTGATGGAGTACGTCGTCTTCGTCGTGGAAGAAGCCGTGGAGCGCGTCCCTTCGCAGGACGGCGGCTTGTATCAGGAACACCTCGGAAAGGATTTCGGGGGGAAGTCTGGCGATAGGGGCATGCGTGTTGTAGAGGCTCTGGAGCTCCGAGGTCTTCTTCGCGTGGAACGCTATGCGCTCCTTGAGAGCGCTGCAACCACGGCAGCGTCGTAAAAATGATCAGTCAAGGATTGCTTACGGCTCTCGAGGGGTATACATACCCGATACTTTCGTCGTTGGGCATTGTCCGGTGGCGACCTAACGCAATTTGGGTTCGATTAAAACGATGAGAAGTAGAGAATTGGTGTCCTGAGAGCAATCGCCGCAAGCAAGCTCGTCTGGGAAGAGAGGGTTGTGGTAGTAGAAGTAAGACACTCAGGAGAGTGGCACTGCGATAGCTCAAGCGCGCGACATATTCGCGATCACGCGACCTCATATCCGACGCGTATATGCACCCCACGCGACTTGCGCCAGTACATGTTACAGCACTAAGATGGATTGTCGTGTACAGGAGAATGAGTGGGGATCACGTACGCATCTACGCATCTAGTACACTGTATCTGGAATTTACGAACCCCGGTCGCATCGGTCGCACTCAATGACCCACCGAGACCTCCGCGTTCAGCACGACTCCATCGAAAACCACAGTGGACCTCTCCCTCAGCAACGGCTGCATGTGCGACATCTTCATAAATCGACAGCCCAGGAAGCTGATCCGCTCGACGTCCTGCGCCCCCTGCGCCCGACGGCCCCGGAGCCCGCGGACCAAGTCCCGCACATCGATGCCTCGTTTGCCCCAACGGTTGTGAGAATACTCGCAGTCATCGCAGCAGCACACTTCGGCGTACTGATAGTCGTCGGGGTCAAGCGGTGGCGGGAACCGCACGTTGGCGAACTCGAGCGCGCGCAGGCGGGGCATGGCCACGCCCACACGGTCGACTACCCGACTGAGGGCGGTGCCCAGCTGGTACCCAACGCGCCCGGTGACCCGTAAAAGACGGAGATCCGATGCTGCCGCGAAATGTTGCGTCCAGTGTTCGCTCGAGGGCATCGGGCCGATGACGTGCAGCGCCTCGAGACGGGTGAGCGGAACGTGGTGTAACAAACGGATGACGTCCTTCGTGCCTCGCAGCTTGAGCGATAGACGTGGGGCTATATCCGGGTTCTGGACCCACAGGTCCTGGGGGGCGGCGACAGTCTTGCCCCACGTCTTGAGACGTGAGCCCTGGTCACTTATTTGCGGAAATTCGCCAGCGTATCCGGTATCGGGGATCGACCACGACATGGTGTGGGGTGGCGTTTCCTTGAAGAGCTTCGACACCTCTTGTGCGAACGTGCCGAATGCGGTGGGCGTGTTCACTTGGTGAATGTCAAGGGTCATGGAGACCGACGTAGACGGAGGAAGGCGCAGATGCGACAGTAGAAACGTGACGCGATCCATCACCGAGGTAACTTGTAGGAGACGGAGACGTGGGAGGTGAGCAACAGCGTCTATGGATGGTCCCATGTCCGGCAGGGAGTCAAGGACGAGCGACTCGAGAAGGGGAAGAGTCGTCAGCGCAGATATGAACTCTGCAAAATCTGTGCTAGGGCTATACCCTGGATGGGCCGTGACCTCGAGGTGCTGAAGAGAGGGACAGAGCAGCGTGTTCGTCCAGCTGAAGCTCACGTAGGATGTCGAGAGCGACCGCAGCCGAGGGGTGCTAGACGCGAACAGCTCGTCGGGGATAGTGAGCATTGACGCGCGATCCGCCGTGTGGTAGGTCCACGCCTCTCCGCGGAGTCCAATACGCAGCGTCTCCAGCGACTCAGCCGGGCGCCTGGCCAGTCTTTTCCACAAGTCAAGCGTGCCGAAGTCGCTCTCGATGATGATGGCGAGGTGCTTGATGCGCCGGGCTAGGAGTCCTCGCATACGGTCGAGTGCGATCGAAGAGACGTGCCGGGGGTCGCGGCATCGTGGGCAGCGGGGAGTGAACCAGTCGTTTTGGTGGTACACGACCGTGAGCGGATATGGCCCCCAGAGTTTCAGGTCTGAGTCGAAAAGCTTGTAATCCGGCACCGTCCACGACTCGAACACGGCGAACGCCTTGAATTCCGCGCAGGAGAGTGCGACCTCCCGCCAGTGACGGCATACGTGCGCGACGTAGATCCATTTGTAGTACGACCGGACCTTGGCCGCGAAGTCGCGATCACTCAGGATACTGTCGAGATGGGCCTGTTGGACGCGAACGGCATGCGTGAGGAAGATCTCTGAGAGAATTTCCGGGGGAAGTTTCGCAGGTAACGACAGCGCGTTGAAGGCACGGCTTATCTCGAGCGCCTGGGCGTTGAGTATGGCGAGCTGCGCAGAAAGCGCGGCTTGAGCCCTGCGTAATTAGTCAGTTACGACTTTGGTGTTGTAGGAGACAAATGTAAACCGACTGGTTGGGGGGTGGGACTACGCTCAACGGGCTGGGTTGGTACATTGGCCTGTCCATGGTGGGCGAATGCAAAGGGGGCATGCACGGGTTGGGGGGCTCAAAAAGGCCACAAGTGAGAACCCCGACACACGAGCTTGTCAGTTCACGTAAACGCGTACGTGAATGGCACGCTGGCAATATAATTGCTGAACGCCAGGCCATGTACAGCAGGTGTCGTCATGCTGAGTTTTCGATAGGTAAACGCCTTGCGCATCAAGCGGAGATTGGACACGCTACCACGACGCTAGATAGAAGCACCATCACGGGCTCAACATTGCGCATAACTCTATGTAGGGTACTGCCGAGTTTGTTCAGCAGGCGGTTGCAGGGAAGGCCGGCGAACATACCGAGTGTAGCCCCCTACCGCCGCTTGTATTCACAAGGTTTGAGGATGGCCCCACGTGCCATCAGCTTCTTCCACTCTTTCTCGCTCTTCAGCTTACGGGATGCCTTCTCGAACTCAAAAAGCGTGAAGTGCGTGTTCCGGTCGTCCTGGCAGATGTGTGTCAGGGCGGAATATTGATTACATACAAGGGCACGACCCACCTTGGACTTGAGCGTGAACCCAAATGAGCAGACGAAGGATGTGAACTCGTCCACGCTGGAGAACCGACTAGCGACCTCAGCGACCTTGAGCTCACCGCTATGCGGCAGATATGTCAGAGAGAACACGTTCTAAGGAGGCAGTACGAAACATACCCAGCTTTCAGTATCCGCCAGGCCTCGCGGATGCAGCCAGGCCAGTTCGTCCCCATGAGACTGAGGGCACAGACAACGACGTCCACCACTTGGCCTTCGCCAACTTGTTCGTCGCTAGCGTCGTCTGCGGACTCCTCGGGTGGTCCTTCGGACCCAGGTAAGGGAACGCGGTCGCATGTGTCCGCCTCGATCACATATGCGCTATCCGAAACCAGGTCGAACGACAAAACTGTAAACCCCTTCGGAAGTAGAGCGCGTGCGAGGGCAGCGTCGCCACACCCAAGATCTGCAATGACCGTCTTTTTCGGATACGAAGAAAGCGTCGAGATGTAGTGCGACACTGGGTTCGTGGGCCATGATTCCACCTGGTGGCGGAAGCCGGTGTGGTACTACACAACCGGGACTGGATCAACGGCGGAAGAGCAGTAGCCAAGAGGTGACATACATCGGCGAAAACAGCGGGATCTGAGCGCATAAGTTCGTGTGCCTTTGTGCTATCCGACTTGTACAGTGTTTCGTTGATCAACCTGCGCAGCATAAATGAGTAATATATCTCAGCATTTGACTAGACACATACCGGAACCGAGCACCGTCCAGACTTTTCTTCATGGTTGCCTGCAGCGGCGTGAGGCCCTGCGGCTTCTCGGCATTACTGGACTTGCTCGACTTCTTCGGCTTGGGCTGCTCAGAGTCACGAGATTTTGGAGACACGGGATGGTTGGGAACTTCTGCGGACGAACCCGCTGCTGGGTTGACTGCAGTGGGGTCGGCGTGCTTGGCCTTCTGCTTGTCTTTTTGCTTCGCTTTCTGCTTCTTCTGCGTCGGTGCTGCCTTCTCCTCAGGTACTCCCGCCGACGCGTCTGCCTTGGACCCCTTCGTAACCTGCTTGCTCTTGCTCTCTGCCTTCTGTTCTCTGATCTTCTTCCCGTCGCGCTCTGGTCCCCGCCCCCTCTCTGGCTCCGCCGCTGCCTCTGTCTCCTTCCTCTCTTTCCCCGTGCGCTTCTTCTTGCTCGGTTTTGGGTCATCTTCAACGTCCAGCGCATCTGAGGTAGTTCCAAGCGACTGCATGAGCTTCTCGATGTTTTTCTGTGCCGCCTTGATCATCTGAGCTTCGTCGACCTCGTCGACCTCCTTCTCCTTTTTAGAGGGGCGCTTGCGCTTCTTGCTTTGCGGGGCAACAGGCGCAGCACCTACGCTCCATCCTGGAACTTCGAAGAGAGACATGGTGTTGAGTAGAGATGAGAAAGGGTGGGAGCACACGCTGCAGTAGGGTCCGGGAAAGGAAGAGAAGCGGTCAGGTGATCATAAAGACGCGACGCGACTCAAATCAAGCGCCCGTAGCATGCAGACGTCCGAGTCGCCGCCCAGCATCCCTCGCCTTTTCCTTCTCACCTCGACCTCTTCTAATCCCGTATCGGAGACATACCATGAACAAAAAAAGGACAGAAACTACAGCTGCTAAGCGGCTATCTGGAATCACGAAACCAACCGCAATTGCGCGGGGTACGACTACCACGAGACCGGTGACGAGCAGGCCCGCGGCGGCGACATCGACACCGTCCTCAAGTAGTAGCTCCTCAAGTAGCAGCGTGAGATATATTTGACAACTAGGTCTAGGATGATGTTTAACATTGACAGACTCAGAATAGCGATGCTTCGGATTCTTCTGACGAGGTACGCCATCCCCCTCAGTGGCACTTAGCGAGTGAATTCATGCCCTCGTTTGCCCAGGAACTTGCTCTGCTGTTCGATGATTGTAAAATCAGAGATTCTTTAGAAAAGCATGAAGCAATCACGGCACCTGTGTTCACACGCGATGCGTACTTGGCCTCTGGAATAGCGGAAGGGCCTTCTCAATATGGCGTGTTGGGCCGCGTTCTTTCAGTCAAGTAAGATATATGAATATGAATTTGTGCTGCACGTCCTCATAATGCCGTCCAGCCCCGCACCACAGTCTAGCAATCAGACTCCTCAAGATTCTCGCATTTATGTGAACACTGTAAGTGACCCCCTTATCACTTGCTCCCCGATCTCATCGTGTGGAAATGTAGAACGCTCCATTCTCTGCCCTGGTCTGCGGCGTCCAGGGTTCGGGGAAATCGCACACGGTATCCGTGTTGCTTGAGTCCATGATGATACCCGGGTACTCCCCGATCGGCCTGTGCGAGAACCCCCTCTCTGGACTGGTTCTGCACTTCAGCGAAGGCGGTCAAGGCACTCTACCTTGCGAAGCAGCTTGGCTCGGATGCGCCAAAGCTGACGACGACTTCGATCCACCCTCTGTAAGAGTATACGTCTCCAAATCTGCTCTATCGACCATGAAGAAAGTCTATGCACCTCTCGGGGAGCATGTCATCGTCCGCCCTCTGACGTTTTCGCATTCAGAGTTGGATGCGCAAGCAATTCTGTCGATGATGGCGGTCGGCTCTTCCGACTCGGCACCGCTCTACATGCAATCTGTTTTGGTTCGTCGCTTTCAAATACTCCTAAATCGTGGCATGGTTTTGTTTACTCCCAGCCCAGTCCATATTGCGCGAGCTTGGTGAAAACTTCACCTATACCGCCTTCTTGGATCGGGTTAGGGACGCCCAAGAGCTCATGAATCCTCACCAAAAGGGGGCGCTCGATCAACGTCTGGCCCTGCTGGCCTCCTTTGTTGATGCTGCGAAAAGCCGGAAAGGCTCCCTGTTCAAGGCCGGACGGTTGACTATCATCGACCTGTCGGACCCGTTCATCGATCCCGCCAGTGCATGCTCATTGTTCGAGATTGTCACGCGGCTATTTGTTCGAGCAGACCTGGACACAGGAAAAGTCCTAGTCGTCGACGAGGCGCATAAGGTGACTTTCATTCGCTCAACCTTGGGCGCTGCACGAGCTGACCGCATGTCTAGTACCTTTCTGCGAATAACGGAAACTCCGGCCTGACCAAGGGTCTGACCTCGCTTATCCGGCAGCAGCGCCATCTCTCTATGCGTGTGGTGATCAGTACCCAAGGTAAGCACCGTATTCGTGCCATATTTAGCCATCGATTCGACCATTTCCACCACGTGTTCCAGAACCCACTGCCGTGCCCACTGTCTTAATAGACCTGTGTAGCATCGCGATTTTTCACCGCTTCTCTTCTCCCGCCTGGTGGGACGCGGTGGCCAAGCGTGTGTGCGTGGATGTCTCGAATGAGCAGGGCTTCAACCAAGTCGTCAAACTGAAGGTGATATAGATCCTCATCATTTGTAAAGCAAAAAACATACTAACGCTGCGATCCGCACAACCTAGACAGGACAGGCTCTCGTTCTATGTCCGAGCGGCTTAGGGCTCTTCCCTACGGTACGGAAGACCGCAACGGGCACGCTCCTCCCAGGGAAGCCGAAGGTCTCCCATATCGGGCGGAGGTACCTCATAATCAAAACGCGAAAGCGCGTCACCCTGGACGGTGGCGCTTCGCGAATGGCGCTCAACTAGTCGGGTCGTCGATATCCTACAAATGGCACCATCCACGACTCACATACACCCTCCGTAAATATGCCGTCCACAGTATGCAATATATGCCGCCTCGACACGTCCTATGGCTACTCGGGAGCGCCTACGATACAATCTACTTAGACTGCTCTACGTTACATCGCTACTATAATTCAGGTTGTGCCCTCGGACCCCGCGCCCGCGCGCGTGGACCAGTATCGGAAACAGCGCCACCAGGTGAAGTATGGCCGTTCATCTACCTAATGTGCACCGCAGGAACCGCAGGGGCCCTCTTCCTCTACCGCATTACATTTTTCGGTTGCTGCGGTAAGTGATCGTTACCTCGTGTCCGAACGGCTTCTCATGCCCCCACCTTCAGTGTGTGCGTCGTCGACGTGAAGGGAAACGAGCGGGCCGTTTCGAGCAGCGTTCGCCCTGAGCGGCGCAACCGGATTGATAGCATTTCCGCAAGAAGACGATGCGCCGTCCGATCGGCAGTACCACTGTGCTGCTCTCAGCGTCGCGTCGTCGACCCTGCTACGACGACTGTCCGCCGCGCGCTGAGCGCGTTCGGGGTCAACGGTCATTTATGCTTTGTCCCGTAAAGGGGCCGTTCATGGCGTTTTTGCAGCACGCCTCTCGGGCCTGCAGGGTCACCGCAGCACGCCTCGCTGCTACGCTTTGACCCGGTGCGGTTCTTAAAGACGAGCGGACTCGTAGACCCGCTTTCCATATCCCCCACTCCTTGCTCTCCTGTTTTTCTTCGCGCCACTCCCGCCAACCGTGAGCACTACGCAAACGCGTCCCAACTACACTACCCAAACTAGACCGGACGAAATGCAGGTACGAGGGGATGCCGTTCTCGCATCCTTCAGCGCTGAATACCTGCGGCAGGACGAAGTACCGAAGACCAGCCAGGAGATGCGAGCAATCTCGCCATCGTCTACTGGTACCGGGTCGTCAGACACATGTGCCTCTGTAAGTCTTTTCCGGGCGTTGCATGTTTGGGTCCGTGGTAACCTGTCTCATTGGGATATTCAGTCCTGCGTGGAGGCTCCTTTGGTACGTCCTTCCGAACTGTATCAGTCCTTACTTGGTTACCTGACTTGTTCCTCTTCAGGAGTTGACTCTCCTCAACCTGGACTCATCCCTAGATGACGTCGCAGGCGAACACGAAATCATCACCGCGCCGCTGTTGGCTCGCGACGCATACGTCGCAGCTGGCATGCAGCAGAAACAATCTCAGTACGGCGTGTTTGGGAGCCTGACAGCTATACGGTACGCGAATATCTACATTGCTCTGAATTGTTCTAGCTATTGACAGTGTGATGCAGAGAACGAAGTGCGAGCTATGCTCCACATGACCCTCGTCTCTACGTCAATACGGTTGGTTACTAGCCTGTCTCTTGTTGGGTCGAAGCTGAGCAGTGGCCATTCGCAGAATGCCCCCTTCTCCGCCATCGTCTGCGGCGTACAGGGCTCTGGCAAATCCCACACCGTGTCCGTCCTGCTAGAAAACATGCTCGTCACTGGACACGAAGCGATCGGTATCTCCCACAAAGCACTCAGTGGCCTCGTCCTCCACTTCGGTGAGGGCGGCACGGGCTCGCGTCCTTGCGAGGCCGCTTGGCTCGGACAGTCGGACGTCAACGGCGTCCGCCCACCCGCCATCAAGGTCTACGTTTCTCGATCGTCTCTGTCCACCATGCGTGCGACGTACGCTCCCCTGGGCAAGGCCGTTACCGTGCAACCTCTTCTGTTTTCTGAGAAAGAGCTTGATGCGGAGGCCGTCTTGTCGATGATGGCGGTGGGATCTTCGGACAACGCGCCGCTCTACATTCAGCGGATCCTGGTGAGTACCTTTAAATAAATGCTCCAAACCGAGGCCCAAGACTGACACGTCCGGCCATTTTCGTAGACCATCTTGCGCGATCTTGGGGAGAAATTCACCTACTCCACGTTTTTGCGAAAGGTCGAGGAGGCGAAGAGAGAATTAAGCCCTCCGCAAGTCGGCTTCCTCGAACAACGAATGCTACTCCTCAAGACTTTCGTCGACTCGGACAAGGACCAGTCCAAGAGCCGGTTTGCAGCGGGACAGCTCACTATAGTGGATCTCTCCGACCCATTCATGGACGCAGGCAGCGCGTGCGCGCTCTTCGAGATAGTGACGCGCCTTTTCGTTCGAGCCCAGGTCAACACAGGCAAGGTTCTCGTCGTAGACGAGGCACATAAGGTACGCTGCCCATGCCGATAGCTATAGAGTAGGTCAACATCTAATACGGTTACATACCATGCAGTACTTGTCCGTCAACAAGGGCATGTCCGGGCTCACGAAAGCGCTGACGGCGCTGACACGACAACAGCGGCACCTCGCAATGAGGGTCATCATCAGCACCCAAGGTGAGCTACTCCGCTCACTCCAGTTCGAAATAGCGCCTGATGAGATGTAGAACCGACCGCGCTCCCCCCGGTCCTCATCGACCTGTGTAGTGTCGCAATTCTGCACAGGTTCTCCTCGCCAGCGTGGTGGGAAGCCATCGTGAAGCACGTATCGGCAGACTTCACAGACTATGACGCGTTCGATCACGTCGTCCGCCTCAAGGTGGGTGGCATGAGCTGGCGTCGAAGTGGCACAGCTGACGCGCAGATTTACAGACTGGCGAAGCGGTGATCCTCGCCCCCGCCGGATTGGGCAAGTTCCCTGCGTCCCTCAAGAACTCCGACGAGGGTGTCAAGCTCTCTAGCTTTGGACGCCGCTATCTGCTCGCGCGCACTCGGCGGCGCGTCACGAAGGACGGCGGTGCGTCGCGGCTGGTCATAGACAGCGCTTGAGGGCCCTTGCTGCGGCAGCCGACCCTGAGTACGCGTATCCAGCTGGTTTCTTGTTTGTCCGCTTTAAAATATATGGTTTGTCATGCGTCATCTGCCTCCGAAGCTATGTTTGATTGAATCCTCGCCGAGTGCCATTGTGTGGACCGCGCATCATCGAGCGACTCCAAGTTAGGCTCAGGCCCACTTGGGTGGAAGTGGAACGTCAGATTGGCTACTAAGCTGTAACTGTCTGAATGTGTGGATGTTGTCATTCGCGTGGGGCGAGTGCGGAGACAGGGGCGGCCCTCGGGTCCAGTAAGGCAAACTGGCAGTCCGACGTACCTCGTAGGAGGGAAGATCGATATCGAGGAGTGGTTCAGGAGTACCTACGGGCGTCTATATTGCCGGAAACGGCAAGCGGTGCAAGAAGTTCGGACTCAGCGGCGAGCGTCCGAGCGGGCGTCTGCTACTCTAACTGAAGGCTTGGATACTGCAACTTGGAGAGGAACGCCATCGACCCCGCATCCTGCTCCCATAATTCAGCTTTAATGTGCACCTGTGCTATCTCTGTGCGTATAAATCATGCATGAGTCTGCGCAGTCTCCAGCAGCTCCCACTCGACATCACTCAGGCTCGCTGGGGGACATCGCCTGTACGTCGCAAGCTTGACGATGGTTGGGTGTCCCTCGGGTCGGACGGCCGCCACGACGTAGCGGTCGATGTCGTGAGTTCTAGATGCAGGTTATTCATGCATTGCTTGAACTTACGGACGAGGTCCGACCCGAACGTCGCCCAAACCCCGCGGACCACCATTGCTATCCGTTATTCCGGGCGGTTTGAAACTCGCGCAATCCGCCGCAGAAGACAGAAGAAGGCACGTAAGTTCCCTGTAACTCGACATCAATACCTGACACGTCGTCGCAGCTGACCCCCCGTGAACAGTGCTCGGGTCCTGCCTTAGGGGCGGGTTTTACCGTGGAATCACGTCTTGCGCCGTTATGCCGTCGGAGTCGTTCGACGCTAGATGCCAGTTTGTCTTGCGGCCCATCGACTGTTTTGGACGTCAAGTACCACGGTGACGTACCTCTGCATATGCTAGACGAACTGTTGACGAAGTAGATGCGCCAGTTGCAGGATCTTTAAGCCGCTTAGATGCGCCTTAACCCAGCATGTTCTCGCGGTCCGTGGGCGTTTGTTCGCTTGTCAAGTTCTCGAATTCCATGCGATGCACAGTCCGCCTCAGGTCTTTGTCTGTCAGGCACTCTCACGGTGTACGGAAGGCTTACGTGTTTTCACCGTACTCAATGTTCGAACCCCTCCTCCAGCCTTCTTATAATGCATCGAACATAACCCCTTTGTCAAACACGGCAGTCAAACAGACGCATATAGTACGAGCTCCACACCTCTTCTGCCGCCGTTCATCTAACCAAAGCGCTGCCCCCGCGTTCCGCGCCGATATCTAGCCGCTCGAAGTCTCGTAATGATCACGCAGCGGACCTCCGAGCGAGAGGGTTCGCGCGCAACGTCGACGCACACACGGCCCCAAAAGCGGACGATCGTCGTCCCACTTCTCGCTGACACAATGCCGGTGACGGATGCTAGGACATGGGCGCACGCCGCGGACGAAGAGCGCGCCCGCGCCCGGTCAACCTGCAGCATCCCTATCGACCTGCCTGCATTCCCAGCCCCCGCCATGCTCGCGAAACTTGGGCTCCAATGAACCCTGCCAAGCCGCAGGCGGCGCGGCGGCACATGCGGTCGCTGCCAGGTGGGGGCCCAGGACCACGGCGCAAGCATCAGACCTTCCGCGTCGGGGCGGGCACGGCACAGGCGTCCGTGTACCCGGGCGTGCGCATCCCGCGAGGTCGCCAGGCCGCGGGCGACTCCGTCATGCCGCCAGACACGAGGAACGGCCGCTAGAGAAGGGGGGGAAGGCCAGAAGGAGCTCCCCGACCCTGTGCCTACGGTGCTCTCGCGGGACAATTTCCGCGCCCCATGTGACGCGTTAATTAGTCCCTTCCCAGTGGTGCGAAGCCCCACCGCGCGCGGCGTGCGCACAGACGCGTCCCGAAGCCTGCGGGGAAGGTTCGTGCGCGGCCGTCGACGTCGACGCTGCCCGGGCGCGGACGCGGACGCACCGCTGCGACGCCCAAAGGCCGCCCGGTCTCCCGCAGAACGCTTCTAGTCCGTGCCGAGCGAGTGATGATCTCTCATACGTCAAGCCCAAGCGCGTCAGAACGCTGGCACGACGCTGTCGGCTGCTGCTGCCTGCGGGGCTGCCCCGACCGCAGATGGACGGAGTGTGAACTTCGTCGCCTCGAGGCCCGTGGTGCACACCGTTCCAACTTCCGCGCGCCTCCACCATGCCACCACGCCCGCATCGATCGGCGCGCGGCGCGAGCGTCCATGCCTGTCCGTCCTCGGTCCTCGCCCACGATTTGTCGGATGGCGGCCGCGGGCAGTCAGGCATACATGGTATTCACGGAGGACAGGTACACGCCGTAAATTAGACTCCGCCGTTGTCCATCGATCGCGTCGTGCTTCCTCGTTCCTACGCCGCCGCCCATCCAGGCGGCTGGCATGCCCAGGTTGTGTGCGAGTACATGCGAATGTCCAAACGCGTCCGAAAGCAGTCCCGCCACCTGCGGCCGGCGCGGGCGCCTCGCAGACGGCGCTGAAGTCCAAATATGCAGCCGCGGTCGTGCAGCGGCGGCAGCGTCTGATAACCCGGTAGCTTGGGCCGCGATCGTCAACCTCGGCCGTCTCCTGTGGCCGCCGATGGCATTCAGTTCGCGGGAAGGGGTTGCGCGAGCCGTGATGCGCGCCGACCATACAGGGGCAGCGAGCCTGCTTGACATATGTGGCTTTGTCGCGCGCCGCCCGCCCGCTCGCTGGGCTCCAACCCCGGACGCGTGCATCAGCGCGCGTTACGGCAAGCAGGCCCTCGGGTGCGTACGTGCCCAGGACCACAGTGCGTGTATTACACGTACAACTACGCCAATACATACTGTATACATCATCGGCTGACGCACTGCGGTCGCGATAGGGTGCATGTACAAGTATAGACTAGCTAGACGGGGTGCCACGGGGATAGTCGGGGAGGCGTACGGCCTACTAGGGGGATTACATGGAGCGCGGGCGGGGAGCGTGAGCAAGCGGTATGTGGTACACGGAAGGGCATTGCAAAGATGTATCGTATCGTAGCGGGGCAGGAGTAATTCGGAGACCAAGACCAGGGGAGGGGCAATGACGACGGCGCAGCACATCAGTTAGTCAAGAACAGTACATAGCAAGGCGGAAGCATGAGGACACGGACTCGATCGATCCAAGGCGAGGGGGAACGCGCGGACAAACAGGGAAGGGGGCGGGGCAAAATGCACACGCAAGAGCGATAGAAGCGTCCCGGCAGCAGCGAAGCGACGGCAGAATGTACAACACAGCGCATGGGCAGCCTACCCTTCGAGCATCTCCTTCTCTTGGCGGACGCACGACAGCCACGAGAACCACATCATCGTGCGCAGCTGCAGCACGTCCTCCTTCCACGCCATCGACTGGTTCTGCTCGCGGAACTCGCTTGTGAGGTTCTCGCACCGGTCGATGTTCTCAGGGCTAACAAAGTCGCACGCGACCTTGATGCAGTCCGCGAGGTTGCACACCTGTCGCACACACACAACAAGGGTCAGCATGGTCGGAACCGACGCCGTCATGTCGCGATAACGTCTGGGACTCACCTGGTGCGCACATCCGGCGGGAATGAACACCGCGTCACCTGGACGCTGGTAGACGCGGTGGCTCATCACACCATGGTCCTTGTACAGCTCCTGCCGGAGGCTCGAGTCGAGGTAGAACTGCTGCGAGTGGATAGGGTCGTGCTGGTACTGGCCCTTGAACTTCTTCTTGAGGAACTTCCGCAGCTTGCTCGTGTCCTCTGCCCTGAAGATGTCCCAAGCCGCGCACCCGGGTCTACCGGAGGGCGTGAGGGAGGCGTAGGTCATGATGTTGATCGCGTCAGCCATGTCCATATGCAACCGCGTCGAACCCTTGCTGCCTTGCGACTCAAACGACGCCATGGCGTTGTACATCTTAGGGCCTATTGGAAACCGCCATATTAGCCGTCGTCACAGCAACATCAGAACATCCCATGCAGGGGATCCCACGGACTTACCGAGGTCAGGGGCGATCGTGTTGCTTGGGAAGTGCGACGCAATGTTCAACACACCGTCGCGGCGGACATAGTTGGGAACCGGCGTCGCGCGGCTGAAGTCGTCGTACAGCTCAGGGAACGCCGTCTTGAAGTCTGTCGAGGGCGGCCAGTCCTGCAATTTGTGCCGCGCGAGAATTAGCGGTGGATTGTCGGCGCAAGCGAGACGATAGCATACCTTGAGCTTCCAGCAGTCGCGGCGGCCCTCATACTTGCCAAACAGCGCGAAGAAGTCGCCGACCGTGACCCGCTTGTTCTGCTCGGTCTGGCATTCCAGGATCAAACAGCTCTGCGTGCCGTACTTCGTGCTGAAGTACTCGGGCGTCCATTGGATGTGGAATTTGTGCGAGAGCCCGGTGACAACGACGGGCAAGCCCTTCTCCCAGACTCGCCGGAACTTCTCCTCGGTGAGGTCAGCGTCCGCAAACGCTGCTGTGTCGTGGCCAGGGAGTGGCGGATCGGTTGAGGCTGCCGAGGATGCCGAGGCGCTCGCGAAGGAAGAAGGCTCCGGAGGTGTCGCCGGCGACTTCACGACGTCAAGTGCGGTGGCGCTCGAACCCACGCCAAGGGGCAGAACGTCTCTAGACAGCTTGGGAGAGGAATGCAAGCCCGGGTCGCGAGACTCCTTGTCTGGAGGGAGCAGGTCGAGGTTCGGCGACTTGAGCAGCGCCTCCATCTGGTCAATGGCCTCATTAAGCTCAGTCTTGCAGAAGCGAGACATGGGCGAGAAGTCTTTCGCCTGGTGCTCGTTCCGTCGTGTGCAGGACAGGAAGAACGGGTTAATGTGTGCGTGCCGCTCGCGTCGAGCCTGAAGGGCCGCAATCTCGGCCTCGGGCGCACCGATCCTGTCGGTAGTGAGCTCTTTCACCTGTTCGAAGCACTCGGCGCAAGCCTCACGACCACACAAGCGACACATCCAGCTACTCGAGAAGATGGACGTCATGCAAGTATCTAGGGACGGTTAAGTTACGCCAAGATTGCAGAAACGTACATCACTCACCACAAGTCGCGCGTACCTCGCTCTCACGCGGCCGGCGAATGATCTCCGGCAGCCCCAGGTGCGACTGTTCCAGCTTCAGAATTGGTAGCAGTGCCTCCGCTACCGTGCGCTACAACATGTTCGTCAGCAGGAACATGAGCGCATACCCGACGTAATTGCAAACCTTGACGCGACGGATATGTTCCATCTGAAGGTCAATATTCCACTTGTTCGGGAAGTTCATGGTCGGCGCGTCCGGCTTCTGGCTCTCCACAAAGCTAATGCCGACGATATCACGATTCTGGTTCTTGAGGAAGAATCGGATACCCTGGAACCTGCAAGTATCCCCAGCCCACCGACGAGTGCACGACACACATCGGGGGAACTCTTCCGAACGATAACGGTTGGACATACACCGCGCAAACTGGAGTTCGGGCTGCAGGGGGCCTGACGCCTCTGGGTTGCTCGAACCGTCTTCGGTGACGACCCTCATGGCGGTGTACGCCGGAGCTGCGGCGATATGAGCGATGGTGACGATAACACGTAAACCTAACTTACCGCTTGAGCTCGAAGCCTTCTCCTTGCCTTTGGTGGAGGGCACGTGGGTACTTAAGATTAGTTGTGCTGGGGCCAGGTAGCGTCGGCTCGTCGCCTCATGCACAGACGAAGCGACGGCCAGACTCACCATTCTGGGTAGACATCTGGGAAGAATCACCCCGTTTCTTGGTACCCCGTCGAGAGGGTGCTATACGCGTATTAATATCGGAAACTAAGAGGATAGATCCGGGAGACGAACCTGTTGAGTCGGCTGCCTTGGCCTTGGACCCTCTTGCCTTTTTGGCTTTAGGGCCCCCTTGGTCTTCTTCGACAGATTCCGACGTGCGCTTCTGTTGAAGCGTCGGCGGAGGAGGGATGGGAATGGCAGCATACGCCATGTTCATGGGGGCGGGGTAGTAGCCTGGGTGCGCGGGGGGACCGGCACGGTGGGCTGGTGGTGGGTGCATAGGATGCGATGGTGCACCACGCGCTGCGAAGCGAACAGAAGCCAGTTAGACGCGATGGCACGAGGAGGACGATGGAGATTGACTTACGGGGTGCGTGTGGGTGTGCATATGGATAGGGCATGTAATTCGGGACGTATGACGGATGCTGTGGCGGCGGTGGCGGCAGACGGGAAATGTCGTGCTCGTAATGAGGATGTTGTGGGTGCGCCTGAGGAGCATAGTCTATGTCGGGAGTATTTCGTTTAATTAAGCCAAATGGACACGACGGCGCTGCACTCACTTCTCTGCAGGGCTTCTCCAGAAGCCGCTGGGGAAGCGTGTGTTCGCGACACGGGGATTATGTGATATTGATGATGAAACTCACCTGTCCGCTCGTCAGAATAGACAGGCGACATCATCGGGGGTGCGTAGGATGCACTGGGCGTTTCGTGAGAAGATGTCCATGTTGGGACTTCCATGCTGTAAGGAGGCGCCTCTCCGCCTGGGCGAGCGTGTCGCGCGTAGTTATCGACATAGGCGGGGTGTTGCTGCTGGGGGGCGGGCGGATAGCGGCAGGGCGCGGCCGCCTCTGGCTCCATACGCCTTGGACCCTGCTCGTCTTTTGAGGAGTCCCAGCTCGCGGCGCGGAGACTGTACTGGGTGCCGGCATTGACCTGGGACTGCTGTGGGAGCGGAGGGTACTGCGGCGGGGCCTGGGCGTGGTGGTGGGGATGCGGTGGCGGCACATACTGGAGGGCAGTGGAGATGCTGGGGAGCTGCTGGTGGCCGTACGCAGAGGAGGAGGAGGTCGCGCCGACGGGGTTGAGGAGCTCGTTGATCGAGGTGCGCTTGTTGTGTACGCTGGCGTCGTGCATGTTGTTCATGGCTGTGGCGGACGCCTGGGCACACAAGGGTGCGCGGGACGGCTTGCGAGGGTCGGACGCGGAGAGAGGAGGAGGTGGAGGAGCGGACGAGAAAGGTGACCCTCGTGCGGGCTGAAGAGAGAGGGCCTTTGCCCCGGGTCCGACACGCTCCGCCAGATTGTGCAGCCGATAATGGGGATGCGATCAGGCCGAGGCGTGCGATCAGATTAGATCTCCGACCCGGACTCAGACTCAGACCCCGGGCGCTTCGCCGCATCCTCCGCGAACATTTGCTGAACCTGCGCAGATCACCCGCCCAGTCCGCGCGCCCCCCTAGCCCCATCCACCCCATCCGCGATCCTTTCGTCGACTCTGTGCGACCTCCCGCGAGGACACACCGGCGGCGCTGTATTCCACCCAGCAGCGCGCATCGCGTATTACGCACACCCCCTTATACCCCGCTTTGTTCCTGTTTAGGCACACCGCCTCGTGCGTCTGCCTCGCAACCCCGGCTTCCGACCCTTTGATTTCACATCGGGGCGCGCCCACTGCGCCTCGCACGCGCGCGGTTCGCCAGCCTCTCTGACAGCGACCACAGCCGCGCGCATCCCACCCCCTCGAGATGCACGCACATCATCCCGCGAAGGACGGCGACAGTCTTCGCAGAATCGCACACATCCCTCCCGCGCACGCGTCCCCGCACCACCCCATTCTCGCGTCTCCTTCTGCTCGAAGCCCTCCTGCGCGCCCGCGCTCCCAAGCTCGCGCGTCCTCACGCCCGCGTTCATCACCGCTGACCGCCGCGATAGGCAGCCCGGACGCCCTGCGCGTCCTGCGCGACCCACGAGACCCCGCGCAGCACAGCCGCTTCCCCCGCCGTGATATCCCCAGCCACGCGACGTGCCGGGGGGCCGAGCGCGCGCGCTCCCAGGCTCGCACCTCGATTCCCGCGAGCATTGCGCCCGCTGGTCAGCGCGCTGACTCATCGCTCTACCCCGCCATCTCGCAAATGCACCCTTCGTGCCCCATCCGTCCCGCCTGAATCCCGCCAGTGCAGCGCGAGGCTGCGCGTCGTTCCCCAACCCCGCTCTCCCTCTAGACCGCGCTCCACAGTCCCAGGCTCGCCACCCGCTCCGGACAAATGCATGCCTTCATACAGCCTAACGCCGCGGAGATCCCACCTGCGCTTCTTCCGCGCTTGCTGATCCCTGTTTCCTGTCAATCAGGTTCCTCGATGTCCGGACATCGAGGAGCTCCAACGGCCGTGCAACGCCAGGTGTATTCGGCAATAACAGGTACGGATACGGATATATCTTCGTGTATCGATATATGTGTCTAGTAGACGTGAATATGCTATGTAAGCGGCCTCGTATGATACAGCATATCATCACAACGGGATGACCATGGGGGGAGATGGGAGGGGAGGTGGAGCTCGACAACACCGCCACAGGCGGAATGCGTCGCCAGGGGCGGTCGAGCGGGAAACGGCATGGGGTTTCGTTAATGGGAGGCGGGGGAAGGGGGGCGGGAGAGATGGCATGCGTAGCAAGATCGTGAATGTTGTTGCTCAATACACTAAGGAAGCGGAGGATGCGAGGTATACGAAAATTGCGGACTGGAACACACGTATAGCACCAGCGGAGCACGTACGGTACGGCGCACAGAACCCAGATCGACACACGTTAACCCAAGAGAAAACGCCCGAGGGAGGAGACGGACACGAAAAGACGACAGAGTACCCCGTGAGACGACAGTTCGACACCAAATAAGAAGTATGAAAAGGAAGGCAATGTCAGAAGAATTTGCGCAGGAACCCGGCGACCTTTGGCAAGAAAGGTATCACAAATGGGAGTGCAAACCATGCAAACAGCCCAAAGGTCGCCCCGTACCGTCATTGCGGCTCTGGCGGTGGGGCTGGGTCGTTTGCATGGCCAGGCTCGTTTGCGCCGCCAGCAGTGGATGGAGTGTCGTCTGTCGGGGCGGGTCGATCGTCGGGATCTGCAGCAGGGCTGCTCGTCGAGGATGCTGCTGGCTCGGGCACCGCGCCCGACCCCCGATCATCTGACAATGCCGAGCTCGAGGGTTGCTGGGCCGCGGAAGCGTAGTCCACGACTCGTGCTGGATGTGACGGGTCAATAACGACCCGTGGGTATGACACGCTGGCTACGTACGGGCATCGTGGACCACGGGGCGGGCCTCGGGAAGCGCTTCACTTTGTGCGTCGGGTGCAGTAGCAGACACTGTAAATGGCAACGTTATCTCCAGCGCAAATGCCTCAAGCTCCGCACTATTCTTACCAGCAAGGATCGGGCCTGACTCGGTGTGTCCATTCGTCGCCGGGGGCGACACCCTCGGTGAGTTATCGCTCACCGGCGTCGCAGAACCACGGTCGGCCCGCGACAAAGACTCGGCCGCAGCCTTCGCAGCGTCCAGGGGAGACTTGCGTGCTTGCGACGGCGAGCGACTCCGCGGGGCAAGAGGGGTCGAGCGCCCCTCCGGTACGTGCAGCCGGCTGGCTACTGTCCGGGCCTGAGCTGCCTGCCCTGTGGTGATGCTCCTTACCACTTCCGGCCGGATGTCTGCCCACATCTGTAGCGCCTTGATCGAACCCCATTCGATGATCTTGTTGTTCAACCAATGAAGCGACACCGGCTTGGTCAGGAAGTCGTTGCACCCAGCTGCGAGCGCCGCTACACGATCGCTCTGCAGCGAAGACGCGGTCAAGGCGACGATGATAACCGAGGATCTGTACGATGGCGTCGACGATGACCGTGTATCCGAAGTCGACGCCTCCGATGGTGTCTGCTGACCCTCGGATTGGGGCGTAGACGGGAAGCCTCCCACGCCGTTGTTTTTCTCAAACCGCCGGATCTCCTTCGTGGCCTGTATACCGTCCATGACTGGCATTTGGATGTCCATCTGCTCCCGCAATCGTTAGCTCGAGGGACGTCTCGAGCATGTTTGACACCCACCAAGATGAGATGGAAGCCGCCCGACCGCCACTTCTGGACCGCTTCCTCGCCATTCTTCGCGACGTCGTACTTGATCTTTTTCTTCTTCATGAACGTAGACAGAATGGTTTGGTTGATAGGATTATCTGGGAACAGAGTGTAAACGACGTGCGTAGAAAGAAGCAGCGAGCGAACGTACCGTCGACGATGAGAACGCTTATAGGAGGCACGATATTGTTTTCCGAGCCCCGCGTGCCTTTCTTCGGAATGGCTGCGGGCGCGGACGCAGAAGACTCCGCCGTCGGTCGCTTGGACGGCCGACGCGTGGTGGAGGCGCCAGGTGTCCGAGTCTGCGGCGAGAGTGGGGGACTGTGTCGCGGATCTTGGCTTGTCCTCCTAGACAGCTTGGGCGCTGTTGGAGAGGGCGCTTGCTCGGCGGATGTCGTTGCCGCAGGCTGGGCTTCGAGTGAGACGGCCTCGCTGATCGACGAGGCACGAGGCTTGCCCTTGACGGCCGCGTTAGGTGTCCCGACTTCATAGACAGGCTCTTGTGGCGGCGCCTCCGGCGTCGGGGGAAGACGTGTCCCGCGACGATGCGATTCGCCGCCTTGAGGGATGGAAAGACCCCTCCTCGACTCGGCGTCGGACAACCGGCGGTAGCTAGAGCCCCTGGGTCGTGAAATTGAGCCCGATGATTCTGCCTGGGGACGATCGACGACGTTGCTCTTGCCCTTGGATTTCGGGTGGAAGAAGATGCCGGCCGGCTGACCGTCGGGACTCTGGATGACTAGACCCGAGGCAGGAGAGCTGCCGAGCTTGGACGCCGCGTCAGAGAAATACTCAATATTGTCTGACATGCCGAGAGGCGACGATGGCGCGAGGTTGACAGTTTCCAGGACATCCTTTGGAGACCTTGTCGAACGATCGGAACCTGTCCGGAGGCTCCCAGTCGATCGGCCGCCCGGGGAACGTTGCGCGGAAGGCATAGAGAAAAGCGGGGACATAGGATGGAAACTCGGGCTGACCGGGGACGTCGCAATGGGTGCGAAGAAGGGGTCCACCACGGGCTTGGTCACAGCCGTGTGTAACGCCGTCAGTATGCGACGGGGACCCGCGGGCTTGGGGACAACGATGACCTCTGGTAACCGCGTCCAGGAGTTGCCGGGCACCATCATCGACTGGACGGCATCCTTGACCAGCTTGAAGTTGGCTAGGGACGTGAAGTGAACGATGACGACCTGAGGGGCGAGCTGCGTCGTCTGAGAAGACAAGCCTATGACGCGAGTGACTTGAGGAGACGATCGTGGCCTGTGGTTTGATGCAAGCGACGGTCGTTTACGTGTGTGCAAGTTGAGGGGATAAGCCTGTTCAGTGCGCAGCTTCTGCAAGCGTGTACGAAGCGCTGGAACGTCGTCGTCGATCAAGATAAAAGGGTCGGCCGTCGGAGGTGAGCCAGGTGTAGGAGACGTCGGTGCAGTAGTGGCCTCCGGGATTGTTGAAGGGACTCCCTCCCGTGTAGCACTCGGCTTGTGGTCCGGACTCGCCTCTCCAGCTTCTGAAAGACCATCTGCGTCTGACTCCGTAGAGACGTGGCTGACATCCATGCCCCAAGCGGTGAGATAGCTTGTTAGATGCTGGGCGAAAGACCCTTTGGAATGAGCGATCAGCGTAACCTTCCGACCTTTCAGCGATTCAGCGAACTGTGTCAACTGCTCCAAGGTGGGCTCATGGGATATGCGCATGTCGGCGGGGTAGCCTATATAGGAAGCCTCTTCGGGTGAGAGGTGAACGGCAGGATCGACCACTGAAGGGGACCCTCGATCAAGCGTCGTGGCAAGCACACAGCAGCGCCCTACAAAAGATCCCTTGGTGGGGACGTCATCCAGTTGTGCGTCAACGTGTTGCAGGAGACGACGGAGGATGAGCGACTTGAAGGAAGGCTGATTGCGCGAAGGGGGGACGTGCGCGTCTTTGGGATCTAGTGTGCCTGAATCGACCATGGGGGAAGGAGCATCGGCCATGCCGAATCGATGCGCAATGTGGAAGCTGCAGCGTAGAGGTCCCGTTTCGAAGTCGGAAGATGGTGAATTTGACCTCGGTGACAAGCCTGGAGAGGGGGAACGAAGAGGACCCTTGACACTGTCGATATAAAGGCCAACCTCTATGCTGTCGCCGTGATTCGCGACGCTGATGATTTGGCGAAGAACCTAGCACCATGATGATCTGAGCACTTGTTCAGCACGCACGGCGCGAGTTCTGTGCTTACATGGGAAAGGGTATAGGATAGGCCGCTTTCGTCTCCCTTCACAGCGATATGTCGCATGCCAAGGTCGTCGTGGAACAGAACCAAGTCCACGCCCGCCTGTGCCGCGACCCCGCTGAGCGCGTCTCCAACGCTCTGCAGCATCTCCGCGACATCGAAGTCGACATAGGTGGCCGAGCCACTTTCGTTTTTAGGCCGCCCGATGCTGGCCATCTGCGCAGATGCAGACGGGTCTACGCTGAAAGTGGACATGTTGGCCGACATGTAGTTTAGGTTCTTCATGGAGGTGAACATAGCGGACACCGAAGGCGTGGGGATGGACAGCGAACACGCGGAGAACTGCTCCTTCGCAGGATCGAGCACTTGGGGAGGAGAGAGCTGAAGCAGAGTCTGGATGACCATCTGAACAGAGTCAGCGAGTTCCAGCGAGAGCTCCTCGAGGTGAGCTGGTTCTCGCGCTGGCTCGGTCACGAACGACGCGCCTCTGGGACTTGTATATGCGAGTCGTCGTGGATGCTGGAACGGACCTAGCTGCGATGGAAGCGGCATGGATAGCGCCCTCGAGATCCTCGGGACAGCAGGGGTCTCGCCAGCCTGCTCCATCGGATCCCGGTCAGAGTTCAAGTGGTTTGTCGGAGTGATGAACTCCGAATCGTCGCTCTCCTCCGTTCGCGCAGGCTTCTTCTCCGTGTCGTTGGGCTCCTCCTCCGAGATGTCCGTCTCGCCCTCTGAAGAGCTGAGCGGCACCGTAGCGGGGCGTTCCGAGGGCGCAGACATGTGCGGGGGAGGTTCAGCGGGCCATGCGATGCCAAACCTGTTTGACGAGGAGAGCTCCACTACAACAGCCTCTGCGCCATCCTCATCCACACCTTGGCCTGCAACGAGCGCGGGGAGGCGAACTGTGGGCAGCCTCGTTCCGGACATGAGCGGCGGCCACGAGGAAGGCGGGACCGTCCAGCAGGCTCCTAGGAAGCAGAAACGCGGGTGAAGAGAGACAAGCCAAGCAACACCGACAGCGAGGACAACAGAGAGAAGAAAAGAGGAGACGGGGGAGACGTGGTCGGCAAGGAGGCCGCAGGAGAGAGCGGGGACCTGGTAGACGGAGAGTCCGTGACCGTTGCTTGCGCTCCGAAGCGGCTTTGCGCGTCACAACAGGCCACAACAGCGCGGAACGGTGGTGTCGCCGCTCGACCAACTCCTCGAACCGGACCCCGCAAGTACTGTTCTCCACGAACACGGCCGCTCAGGTACAGCACGCAGCAGCGGTGAAAAATGACTGTTTCATCGAGGGACACCCTCGGGGCCTGGCCACCCCCGTCCGTATATAAAACTCCTCACCGCCGGCCCAGAAGCTTGCCACGCTCGATCGTCGCTATCCCACACGCCGAAGCAACGTGCCGGGGCGGAAATGAGGCCGGGAGCATAAACCACTCGCGATTATTAAGGGGTAAGCGGGGTGTCCATTGTGGCAATACGATAACAGGGGGGTTCGGGGTGCGCAGAAGGATGGATGCAGGACAGGTTGGAGAGCCTAACAAAAAAGCGAGTGCACATACATAGCGACAATATTACAAGAACTAGTACGTCAACTCCACGTCGCCCTCCGCGACCCGGTCGACGTCGATGTAGCTAACCTTCTTGCCCGCCTGCGCCCTGGGATCTTCCTTGACGTCCGGAGGCGGTGGAGGGGAAGGCCCGCCAGGGCCTCCACGACCACGCCGCGCTCCGAGTCCAAGGTCCATCGAGACCGCGGGCTTCGCAGGAAGCCCCGCAGACGCGGGAACTAAGGGTGCCTCGAGAGGCTGATCGAACCCAGGAGCAAGACCGCTGATTCTGTCGCTGAGGCGGCGCCCAGAAACACTCTCGTCCCGACGGGGAGGAGGTGGTGGGTATTGACCGCCACCGTACTGCTGCTGCTGATACGCGTAGGGGTCCCAGTAACCCGCATGGGGCGGGTAGCCAGAGTATGCGTGATACGGGGGAGGTCGAGCGAAGTCGGTAGCGTACGCAGGCCCTTGAAGACCGTACGCTTGGGGAGGGGGAGGTTGGCTCGAGCCAACGGGTTGAGGGGGGTGCGCGAATGGTTGTATTCGGTGAGGATCAAGCGCGAAGTTGTTGAAGAACGGAATCTACCCAACAGTGTAAGCATTCTCGAAGTCTGGACAGATGAAATGTATATACCTCGTCGAGCTGCTTGATCAGGTCACTATGCTTGTTGGCGATGTGCTTTTCAACGAAAGAGGTCGCCTTGAACAACTTCTGACACGTCTTGCAGCGGAACTTGCCCTCGTCCTCTTGCTTGATGTGTGCCTCGCAAGCACGAGACAGTTCCCTATGGTGGTGATCAGCAAAGCTAATTGAAGACACGAGGCAAAACACATACTCTTCGTAGCTCTTGCCACCGTAGTCACGGGGATCGACGCCATCGCGGTTGATCAGCAAGGCTACTTTTGAGTCAAGCCACTCAAGCCAGCGCTCGTCTAAAAACGGTCAGTTTAACTTGTGGCGAGAGGAAAAACCTTCGTACCATTCCGCTTCCAATCCCGGTTTTCAGCAGGCCGCTCTCTGATGGTAACATCCCTCTCCTTCGCGACCTCGGTACCCTCCTCAGCCTTCGGGTCTTTCTCAGCCTTCTGAGCCTCAGCTTGCACCTCTTGCAGCAACATCTTCGACAAGGGCTTTCTCACGTGCTTCACACACTTCCGCTGCAATTCTTCTACATGGTCTGTAACAACTGCGCAGTAGTAGCATGTGTTGAACGCAGCTCGAAGATAGGCCAGGTACAAGTCCAACGCTATCACCGTCTGCGAAAAGCGTTTGTGAGTGGTTGTGTGCGGTTATGTGGCCACGGACGTACCCTCTTCGCTTCCAAGCTCTTCTCGTCGCTGGTATCCACAGCTCCCTGTTCGTGGAGATCTGCCAAAACCTTCTCGACGCGTCTTTCTACCGCCTCGCTACCCATTTCCCGGGGCTCCGGATCATCCGCGTCCGCGGTGGCGTCGGTCATAGTGGCGTCCTCGACGGGCGCCTCAGGCTTGTCGCCATTCGCATTAGTAGACGGCTCGCCGTTGTCCTGCGGCTTTTCGTCGACCCTAGTCTTGCGGAGCCGCATGTACTCTTCCTCGAGCAAAGCGGCCAGCTTCTTGGCGTTCTCGAGATCCTTCGCCAAACGGTCGGGCTTGCTGGCCACCTCAGGCGTGTAGCGCACTCGTGTGACGAACGGCTTAGTGATGTGAGAGACATGCAACTTGAAACCTTCGATCTACGTTGCGGTGAGCGGGTGTATAACATGCTCCGACATCTGAAGGCGTACCTTCTTCTCCGACAGGTCTGCCATGATGGACGGCATGTCGGCATCCTCCCCGAACTTGATCCAGCCTGCGCGATAGTAGTTCCTCTTCTGAAGAGGGTCTCCAAGGGCGAGGTAGATGAAGCCAGGGAACTTGCGGATAGACTACATTTCCAAGTCAGCACGGCGCAGCGAAACAGAGCATTTTAATACATACCTCCTCGAGCTTCGCACGCCCGATGTCAGGAGGAATGGTGCGGATCATGATTTGGTTGCCCTCAGGGGGAACTGCGATTTCCTCCCCGCGGTTAGCAACGGGACGCCTGTTCTTGTCGCCACCGCGGTTCGCGTCGTTGTCTCCGGCGTCTTCCTCAGCCTCGACGTTGAACTGCATATCCTCCTCACCGGAGGCGGGGACAGCAGGTTTGGTCTCTTCGACGCCACCTGCCTCTGCTGATGCGCCATTCGCTGAAGTCGCCTCACCGTTGGCGTTCTCCTTAGCAGGGGACGACGTCTCCGGGGCATGCTCGGTGAAGTCAGGATCGAAGTTGCCAGACTCCAACTCCGAGATGAAGACATCCATCCTCCCACGCCAACCGAACTTCCTCACACGCGTGCGCATGCCTTGGAATTCAGGGGCAGGATCATACTTCTCAGAGAACCACGGCGACTTCCTGTGGTGCTCAAACATGCGCTGCAGCTGCACGGTGGCGTCAGTGGCACCGCCATATGCGCAGAAAATCTGAGATGCACGCACCTGCTGGGCGGCAAAGTCCTTCTTGTACTTCTCCCAACGAGACCTGATACCGTTGCGAGGCTTGCTGCCATCACCTGCCTCCTGCTCTGCGGCCTTGTCTGCATTATCCTCCTCCATAGCTTGTTGGGGGTAGTAGTAACGGAACCACTCCGCATACTGCTTCAAGGTTGCAGGATAGTCAAAGGTGTGAGGGTCTGGCGGAGCGCGCCGGTTCGAGCCATACGGCGGAGGTGGCGGGTACTGCCCGCCACGATCGTGCCCATACCCTCGCGAGTGCGCATCTGCCGCCAGATGAGTTTGTTTGTAATCAAACAGATAGGAAGCACCCACCGTAGTCATCATTATACCGGGGTCTGGGCTCGTACCGGTCTCGCTCCCAGGGTGACACTGAGCGTGGGCGCTTCCTAGGGCCTGCAGCAACACGAAGGCTCAGCGGGCAAGAACGCGAGTTAGTGAGGGTGAGTGCACGTACCTTCACCAGGAGGGGGACTACGACTCCGTGGACGTCGTCCATACTCGTATGCGGCTCTCTCCCGCTCGTAGTTGGCCCACGCCCTGTCCCTATCGTACGCCTCCCAATCAGCGCGGTAGGGATCCTGTGGGTAACCTCCTTCTGGGTAAGACGAGCGAGGGGGATAACCGCCGCCTCGGTAAGGGGAGCGAGAACGCGACCGCCCGCGAGGCGGGGGAGGAGGATAAGCAGAGGACCAAGACGACATGTTCAGAGGATAGAAGCTGAAGAGAGAGAGAAAAGAGAAGCGGTTGAGCGAAGGCTGGTCATGAAAGCGGTAAAGAGAGAGCAGCCGGGCATGATGGAGACACAGACCTCTTGAGATCGCGACAAACGACGAGCACCGGGTTCTCAGTGCTCGCTGAGGCAGGCTCACTGTGTTCGCGCTGTCCAACAGCGACTAGCGCTTTCGCGGCCTCCTGCCCCGCTTTTGGGCTCCGCTTAAAATGCTTGATCTGAGACATTTCCTGCAGGCAGCACAACGTACTGTGTACAAGGTCATCCCAAGACTACAACGCATCCTGCTTTCATCGCAAACATGCCATATTCCTAGCTATACAAGGCTAGAATATACTACCCAACACCGACTTCAACTGCGCCTCCGCGTCTGGTCGCGGTTCGACGGGCTTGGGCTTTTTCAGCTTCTCTTTCGCAGGCGCGCTCTGAGATCCACTCTCCTGCTTCGACACCTTCTGCGGCCTTCGCTCCGTAGATGTCCCTGCCTGCGCCTCCTCTCCCCCGTCAGCGGCCTTCCGTTTCCGTCCTGCACGCTTATCCAAAACGCGCGCAAGCTCGACGTTCTTGAGATATTCACGTTGCTCCTTCCGTGATTGAGAGAGCTCGGCGCGCAGCTGTGCCTGGTGCACGGCGGCTTCGTGTGCTGTTATGCATGTTTATTAGAGACCAAGGAGAGGGGAGACGGAGTCTGGGTACGCACCAATTTGTTCGGTCAGCATATTCCACTTGAACTTCGGCAAATATTTCATCGTCCAGACGTCATCCCGCCATCTTGTCCCCTTCTTGCCTCCAATCGGTTGCGCGTTCAGCATCTCTGCGACCGACCGTCCGACACGCTTGTCCTTGAACTCTACCCATCCTTCAGTGTAGTGAGCCTTCTTCGTCGCGGTGTACTTGCGGCGGAGGTACGCCCGCTTCGCATCTGGTGCACCAATATATGTTAACCGCCTCCACGGGAGTATTAAAATTGAACTACGTACCTTCTTGCTGCAAATACACCCGACCGATTTCACCAAACGCACTCATGAGATGGCGCACCTTCGCAGGTCGCATCCCCGGTGGTATGCGGGATATGTAAACGACGCCCGCCTTGTCTTGCGCAGCCTTGAACGCCGCGAGAGCTTCGTGTGTAAGGGGTTTGACAATCTTGCTGGATGGCCCCGCAAAGCCGCTGGGGTCCATGCCCTTCCCTATGCCGTTCCCCTCGTCCTCCTCATCCTCTCCTTCCTCGTCCTCCGATCCCGAGGCACCGCTCTCTGCGTCCGAACCCTGTTCGTCCTCGGATCCAGACTCGGAGACACCGTCGTCGTGAGAATGAAGACCAGAGGGACCACCGTTGTCTTCCTCTGCAAACTCAGGGTCGTCGAAGGCAGCGAAACGAGAGTCAGTCTTCGGCATTTTGTGGAGGTAGACACTCAAGATCACAGTGAGCGCTAAATGAGCGCGTGCGCCTGCAACAAATCTCGGTGGCTGTGCTTGGGTCCGCACCTACGCGCTTAGCAGCGTTGGGTCGTTCATCGCACCTACGCGCTTAGCAGCGTTGGGTCGTTCATCGCACCCACCATCATGCACCGACGCTGAAGCTGTCTTCCAAGTCCTAGTTTCGGGCCAGAACGACTACGTTGAGTCTACATATCAATTTAATGATTTTTTGTAATCAAGCGGCTTCTTCTTTAAGCACCGGATACATTTCGCGACCTGCTCGCGGTTCGACAATGAGTGAGATGCTCATGGCCATCCACACACCTTCGCTAACATCGTCCGAGAGCAGTGAGCTTAGATTTGCCTCATGCATTTCTCTATTTTTTCCGCCATCGACATGGGAGTTTGTACTTTGCCAAATGGTTCACCCCAAGCCTGGCACAGGGCGTGCGGTGAACGCATCACGGAAGAGAAGGAAACCGTAAACGAAGTACCCCTCCGTGCGCCCGCGGTCCCTCCACTCACGGCGCTGGTCGAAAAGGGGCAACCCCGGTGGCGTCGATCCAATTACACGGAGGCATCAAACACACTACCGCCGCCATGAGCGTTCCGCACGTTCTTCCGCCTAAATGTGCGGAACGACGGCGTTCTACGCATATTGACAAGATCTCACACCGGCTCGAGACCGTGATGCCGACGGAGCGAAAGAACCAAAGAACCAAAGTTGAAGAAGAATCCTAAACCCCAGATGAATATTCCCAAGCAGAAACCCCAGATCTACGCCCAACTCGCCCGGCCCGTCACAAACGCGACGCCAACTGCGCGGACGTCGGCACCACCGCGTCCCCCTCTCCGAAATGCCCCAGGACCTCCGCCAGGCGCGACTCGCGCTCCTTCTGTGAACCCGTCCTCGCCGTCAGTGCCTGGCATCGCACGATCAACGGCGCGCTCTTCACTCACGGCATTGCCCCCCAGGGTCATCTGCATGCTCTCGAGCTCTGCGCGCGTCTGCTGCACGCCACGGTCCGCCTCGACCTCCTTCTCGCGCTGTGCCTGCATGTCGCGATACGCGTCGGGCCGTCAGCCCAGAAGCCCACTATACACGGAGAAGGGGAAGGAAGAAGGCACGCGCAACGTACCGCGGCTGCTGCCTCCGCCTTTGCCTCGCCCTCGAGCACGTCGGCGTGCTTGTGCTTCGCCTTGGTAAGGGCCTTCACCGTCGAGTGCTCGGTCTTCAGCACCTTCTGCTTCTTCTTCTCCGCCTTCTCCACCGCCTGTGGGCCCAGACCCGTATTAGTATCGGCACTACGCGGCGGACGCAGCGCGGGACTGGCAGGGGCGCGAACCAGGGCCCGCACGCACCTTCACGCTCTTCTTGACGGCCTTCTCCGCCTTCTTCACGTCCTTGAGCGCGTGCTTGATGTTCTGCTCCTCCGCCTTGGCCTCCTTCGCCATGAGCTTCTCCAGCTTCTTCGCCGCGTGGTCGCCGATCACGGACATCGCGCGGCAGGCTAGTAGCAGGGGGTGATGTGGCTAGAAGGGGTATAGGCCGTGTCAAACGGAGGGGTGTGTGAAAACACGCGGTGGGATGTGAGAGGTGAGAGATGAGTGGAGGAGGCCTTGGCGAGCGGAGGGGAGATGTGGGAGCGCGGCGCGCGTGCGGCTGACAGTGGGCAGCCGCATGCCCGCTTCGGTGGGCCTGGCCTGCCAGGGTCCGAGTGGGAGATGCCCTGACAGCGAGAGGCTGCCAGGGGATCGGGGGTGTCAGCCGCACGACAGCGGGGGCGGAAGGGTCCGTCGTGACACTTCACGCCCTGCTTCCGTGGCGCACATGAAAACGACCAGCGTCCTGGATAGCATATTAGATAGATGGGAGAAGTTGCCTGCGTGATATACAAATGGGAGCTGTCAATTATGAGCGTGTACAGTAAGGATGCGACCAAGATAACCCGCCGTCCTCATGAGAACGGTGCCTGCGAGGACGAGGGTTGACTCTCGGGAAACATGCCCAGGAAGCTGCGCACTGGACTGGGAAGCTCGTGGGGAAAGGAGGACGCCGAGCTGTAGTCCGAGTCTCCTATGTAGCTTTGCGATTGGGACGACTCCATGACGACGTCGAGGATGTCCTGGCTATCCTCGAGATCGTGCTGCCCTGAATGCGGGGAACCGTGCGTGTGCGAAGCGGGCGACGATTCCCTACTGGGACCATCCAGCCGCGCAATCTGTCTGGAGGCTGGCGACGGTGAGACCGATCGCGATCGGCCTGCAGTATGGCCGACTCCGCCGTCGGCTACAGGCAACTCGTTCCCGAACTCGTCCCGGTTGTCAAACATAGTCAAGAACTCTCGGAATTGTGAGGGGGTTTGAGCGTACGGTGGGAGTGAAGATGAACTCGAGGCGTCTGTGTACTGAGAGCAGACACGGAGGGGAGACGTCCGCGGGTCGGGAGATGCGAAGGTGGACGGTTGAGAGTATGCGTCTTGAGACTGCGAATATTCATCCTGTGCGTCATAGTCCTGACTTTGCGCCGGCTGCGGAGGAGATGATGGTGGCAAGTCGATCGGGTCACTCTGTTTAGCCCTATGAACACCATTAGCCCAAAGTAGGGTAAGAATTCAAAATCGATAGAGCGTACCATGATAGGGCAGCTTGCCTGGTACCCAGCATTTCCGCCCACGAAGATGTCAGATCGTGCTCTGACTGGCTTTGAGAGCTTTGCACAACACGCGGCGAAGACTGTCCCGCAGCAAAATAGCCCGTGGGTGGATGAACACCCTCATCCGAATCCGGTAGTAGCGGAGACACTGGCGAGCTAGTCCGTTTGAGAGGTGAAGCGGGCGTCTTGTAAATGTCCGACATGGGCGGAAGAACGTCTGAAATCCGCATTTCTCGCTCGTGGCTCTGTGAGCTGGGCACGACCTGAGTCTTCTGATCCACCGGAGTATGTGGCACGTCTGCGTGCTTCTGGCTCTCCCGAGGAATCGACAGCTCTTGAGTCTGCGACGAAGGCACCCATCTATCGGATGAAGATGAGTGGGGACGTCGAAGTGATGGGCGTGTAGGCATGGTCGACGAGGACGCTTTGGGCGGCAAGGGTGGAGGCAACATGGTGGCTCCGCGTCCTCTTTGAGGAGACCGAAGTACAATGGCATCTTTGTTTCCTACGACCTGCGCAGTTATGCTCTCCGGCGTGACTGAGGATGAGTGGTGATATGTTAGATAATTACACAGACGAGTAATATAACGTGTAGCTACCGTCTGCATGCAGGGAGGACCCACGGTCGGATTGGCTGACATGCGTGCCAACAAGATTTGGATCGTTTGTCTCCTTGGTGTCATCGCGAACCCTTCTGACACGCTTAGCCGATGGCGCCGTGGGTGGTGGCGAAGGGAGAGACGCTGCAGCAAGTGTAGCACGAGATCGGACGTGTGCTACAGGTGTCGCTGGGGGCAGTTCCAGCGACGTTGGTGCCATTGGACGGACGTTAGAAAAATGGTGTGATGAGTCGTCCTTGTGTAGATGAACATCATCGAAACCACTGTCTTGTTCCTCGGAATCTCTCGTCGAGTCTATCGCCGCCGTCTCTCCTTGAACACGAGAAGATGTGCTTTGAGATTGTCCTGCTTTGCGAGAGCTACTAGCCCGCGGCGTGTGGTTCTCCTTCTGCCTCTTCCTCTTCGTGGATGGTCCTGCCTCGCGTCTCGACTCTGAAGGGTCTTTGTGCGTCGCAGCAACCCTAGGCTCGGTAGATTTGCGCTTCTGGGCAGACCGAGAGCCGAAGTAGACAGTGAGGGGAAGCTGACCGCCAGAGATTGAGAAAGACATCGTTGCAAGACCTTTCGCACAGAGAAAGAGAGAGAAAGAGGTCAAGGAGAGGGCATGACGATTCGGGGAAGAGTCTGATCAAACGCGTGGAAGGCGCGTGACCGTGTGCGTCGGAGTTGACACGCCTTTGCACTCCGCCGACGCGTCCTATGCACGCTGCCTCGCTCGCTGTGCCACCTCAGTCCACCCATGTCCGACGCCACCCAGCTCAAGAAACGCAAGATGTCTCCCGCACCCGAGAACGAAAAGTCCGAGCTCGCGCCCGTCGCTGGCCTCCTCATCAAGCGTCACTCAGACAAGGCTCGACTCCCTACGCGTGGCTCTGCCCTCGCGGCAGGCTACGACCTCTACAGGTACGTACCCGACGCGTCTAATCGCATCGCAGGCTGCTCACAGACAGGCAGTGCGGAGACCAAAGTCATCCCGGCCCATGGCAAGGCTCTCGTGGATACTCAGATCTCTGTCGCGGTTCCCGCGGGAACGTATGGTCGCGTCGCGCCCCGCAGTGGCCTCGGTGCGTAGTGTCACAAACCATCGACGCCTGCCAGAGGGTTTAACGTCAGACTGCAGCATCCAAGTTCATGATTGACACCGGCGCTGGTGTCATCGACGCCGACTACAGGGGCGTAGTCTTTGTCCTCCTCTTCAATCTCTCGGACAAGGACTTCACGGGTGCGTGAACCTTATCCCACATGTCTCTAACGCGTATTGACCAATGCACTTCTTAGTGAACGAAGGCGACCGCGTCGCTCAGCTCATCCTTGAGCGCATTGTCACCCCCGACGTCGTAGAGGTGGCGGTATGTAGCGTAATTATATCCTTTACCATTACTCCTCTAATATTCTACACACAGGATTTGGACGCAACCCTACGCGGTGCAGGAGGATTCGGCTCCACCGGTGGTCACACAGCGTTGTGAAGAAAAGCATGCCCTAGGCGTGTATTGTATCACATGTACAAAAATGTAACAAAATGATCATTGCTTCCTCGCCCTGTTTTTCCCTCTCTCGTTCGCTGTTCACCTCCCCACCTTAGATGGTGATGCCGCGGTAGGTGCGGAGCTGGGAAGCGAGACGCGTGCCCTGGCCAGCGGTGAAGCCAGTCATGCAGCTATCGATAATTTATCAGTGTCTCTCACTTACGTCAACGAAGGATGACGACTCACCTATCGTACGAGTAGTCCATGTAGTTGTGGATGGGGTCGACGCCGCCGCCGGAGCAGGTGTCACGGCCGGTAGGGCAGCCGCTCGCCGAGGAAGCCTCAGGGGGGGTGTCCGACACCAGGTCGCCGGAGCCGCTGCAGCCACCCTGGAAGGTGTGGTAGAGGCCGACCCAGTGGCCCGCCTCGTGCGTCAGAGTCTACAGTGCGCACCATCAGCCACCGCACACTTCCCACACCCACACAGGTACGCACCTTGCCCTCGTTGTAGTTCGCCGTGCTGCCGCCCGGGAGGGACGAGAACAGAATAACAACACCGTCGTCCGTCGGGTCGCTCGCGTAGTCGGACGGGAACGTCGAGTACCCGAGCAGGCCCTGCCCAGAGCCGGACGTGAAGCCGACGGTGTACACGTTCAGCGCGGCCGCGCCGCCCTTGCGCAGGCTCTTCTTCATCGTCGTCTGCAGCGACGAGTCCGGGCCGACCTGCGCGAACCACTGCGAGTTCACCGTGCGCGACGTGTTCGCGAGCGCGAACGCGAGCCCCGAGGACGCGTAGTGCGTGTTCAGCGCGGAGATCTGCGACGCGATCTGCGAGTCGCTGGAGCCCCCAAGGTGATTAGCGAGGAGAGGAGAGAATGGAGGAGGAGGCCGTACGGGATGTTACCACCGGCGGTGGTGGAGTCCTTGCTGATGACATGGAAGTAGACGGACACCGTGGGGGTCGCGGCGGCGACGAGCGCGGTGGGGGGCGGCGGGACGAAGTTCGCGTGGAAGTGCGCCTCAGCCGCGGCCTTCTTCTCCTCCGAGATGCTTGAACCGCACACCCTGCGCACGCAAAGAGCTCGTCATGAGCACAAGAAGACTCCGGACGACTTGGGTGCTTACCGAACGTCGCTGACGGCGCGGTCGCTGAACGACGCGCCGAGGACGGCGGACGCGGCGGACAGGAGGAGCACAACAGCAGTGGCAGGCTTGAACATGGTGGATCCAAGGGCGAGCTCTGGGAGTGGGTGAACCGAGGGTAGATCGGTGCAGACTGCCTGTCCGCCCACCCGCCCCCTGCTTTATACTCTCCGCCGTTTCCGGTACTCCTGCTTTGCACAATGCGGGAGAGGTACGAAGTTCGCGCATGCACATCTTCTGCCGCCCGCCAAGACGTGTAGAACATGCTGCTCAGTCGTCCATCGTGCCGCGGCCTACAGCAAGCCCGAGCGCTCCTGGCCATGGGCCGCGGCGGCCCATGTGCTAGGTGGACTGCACCACACGGAGGCTGCAGTGGATAACGCAGCAGCGCGATGTAACGCCGTCGTTAATGGGGCACATGTTGCCGTGCAGAGCGCGCATCGCGTGCTGCTACAGCCACCCGCGACGAGCTCGGCAGGACGCGATCTACGCCAGGCTACAGCCGCATTGGGATTGTGCCATTATGGCAACATGGAGAGCCCAGCGGAAGATAACCACGGAGCACGATAACGGACGAGATCAACGACCGACCGTTGAAGGAAGGGCAGCGTTGTATCAATGCTTCCGCAAGGACACTGATGGTGCGGCAGGCTTGGCGCTGTGGATGAGTGTGGGCGCTCCCATTTCAGCATGCGGCGTCGGTCGGCACGAGCGAGATAGCGAGAGCTCTATGAAAGCGCCCTGAGCGTGATATTCCGTTCGGAGACTCGACGACGATACAACGGAACAAGTAGACGTTACACTGGACCAGCCGCGAGCAGCCTATCTTCCTCGAGGCGCATGCGTTCGAAGAGAGCTTTGGCTTGGCACGCTCAGATGTCGATGCCGCGATACGTGCGAAGCTGGTCGGCCATGCGTGCACCTTGGTCGGGCGTAAATTGGGTCATGCAGCTGCCATACGTATCAGTACATGTCGAACATGTATAAATCAGACTAGCGTTGCCCCACCTGTCGTCTGAGTAGTCCATGTAGTTGTTGATAGGGTCCAGGCCAGCGCTGGAGCAGGTGTCACGCCCAGTGGGGCACCCGCTCGCAGGGGACGCCTCCGGAGGGGTGTCGTCGACCATGTCGCCGACGCCTGTGCAGCCGCCCATGAAGGTGTGATAGAGCCCGACCCAGTGACCGGTCTCATGAGTCAAGGTCTACATAGCAGGAGTGTACATTAGCGGCAAGATTATTTTCCTAATGCCTCCGCGGTGTACCTTGCCCTCGTTGAAGTCTACGGTACTGCCGCCCGGGAGGGACGAGAATAGAATAACAGAACCATCGTCCATCGGGTTGCCGGCGTAGTCTGCCGGGAAGGTAGAGTATCCCAGGAGACCTGCGAACTGCGCGGCCGTGAATCTGTAAGTAGCGTCAATGTCGACGGTGCGCGTATGTCGATCTGTATAAAGCATGCTCACCCAACGGTGTACACGTTGAAATCGGCAGCACCTCCTTTCCGGAGCTAAAGTAGAGCTCTGTCAGCGTGATGCGTAGGACCTTGGGGAGGATATGGTTACCTGTTGCTTCATCTGCGTCTGGGCATCGGAGTTAGGGCCGGCGTCGTTGAACCAATACCAATTGGTCGTGCGATCCGTCTCCTTCAAGACGAACTGGAGGCCGGACGGCGCGTAGTCCTGGTTGAGAACGGTGATCTGGTCTGCAATTTGCGAGTCGCTGCAACCGCACGAATGAGGCTTAGCTGTGCGTGTGGTTAGTGGATTTGCCTACGGAATGTTTCCGCCCTCAAGAGTGGTATCCTGGGATTTGCTTTAGTAGTGCGACTCGATTGAAAGTATTATCAGGAACATGCATACCTGGGTAACGACATGCCAGTAGAGGTTCACTGTGGCCGTTGCAGTAGCATTGGACTTGATCTCTTTGGAGACCTTGTTGGCTCGAAAATGTGCCTCTTGATCAAGCAGCTTTTCTTCGGATATCGTGGTTCCGCATGTCCTGAGCAGCAAGTGAGGTAAGTGAATCATTGTTTGAGGGGCAAAGACTCGGGAGATATGCACCTGATAGCAAAGACAGATCCACCGGAGAAAGTGAAAGCTGTCAACAGCAAAGAGAAAACGGCGAAGCTGTACATGGCTTGCAAGCTTGAAGGCACAAGTGGAATGGAGGGTGAAGCCTGCAGCCGAGGCCCCCGTCTGCGTCCTTATAGCACAACGGCCGCGGGCCTGACCCGCACTATGTGCTGGCACAACTAGGGAAGGCACTCTGCACGGCATCCTGTCGCGCATGGACGAGTGGCGAGAAGCTGAGGGCAGTCCAATGTATCGCCGAAGGAACGCTGTCCCATGACGTCCAATGAGTTCGATAAGAGTCGCGCTGACCTCACTCGACTTCTCGAGAGCTCGGGTGACCACGTTCGCGAGGCCGTATGGTCGAGGTGTAAATTTGGAGAAACGCTCAGTATCTGCAGCGTCATTACCGTATCACGAGACTGCAGCAATCCCCGCCTCTGCGACGCGTGAGAGGAGTAGACTCAAAAGAGGAAGGGGACCTGATCCAGACGGAGAAAACAACAAAGATATATCTTGACCGGGTGCATGTCATCCAGTAGGTTCATCAGACATGGCGGGTGTACAATGGCTCCTGTAGCAGCCTGATGAGTCGTGATCCGCTGCAACAAAATAATTCACCGCACACTATATGTGGGTTGTGGGCGCATGTTGTGCTCCATTGAGTGCCAGTCTATGGGGAAAGCGAGCAGAAGGCATGCTTCAGTTCGATATGGCGAACAGCGCGTATCCGGACCCTTGGTGCCCAGGTTGACAGGGCCGGGTGATTGACAAGCTCTGGTCTAGGGCTAGATATTTCCAGTTACACTTATCTGTCTACTATTTGCAGCGAGCTGCGCGAAGCTCTCACCTGTACATGTACATGTCGTCAATTCCGAGGCTTGTCCGCTTCGACCTGGTAGAGATCATCGAGAGTGAACTGAGCGTGAGCTATAAGGCCACGCCCGCTGGTAGCTTCAGGGTCTTCGGTGTCCGCGAAATTCGTATCCAAGTTGATCCCTTCTCCCTCCGCCCATATCCTGCCGTCCGGGACGGCATGCTCCAAGTCTTCGGCCACTTCGCTCACATCGACAAGCTTGACGGCCTCCACAAGCTTCACCAAGTCCTCAATCTCTTGTGTCAGCCGGACGTGCTCGGGCGTACCCTCCTCTGGAGGAATGAGTGCAGAGAGCTCGTGAAGTCGCTTCAGGGTAGCGGGGGCGACCGTTGGGCGAGGATACGACGAAAGCAGTTCATTGACCGACCAGGTCGCCTTAAGGGGGATGCCGGTAGAATCAACATCTGGCAAAGTGGATTTCAGGCGAATTTGAGCGGGTCTACGCAGCCGCAGGAGTGTCGGCCGGCACCGTCGTAGAGAGAGCATGAAGGTGCGGAGAGAGAGGGCGTGTAAGAGCGGGCCGGCACAGCGAGCATGTCCCAAATTTCCTGTTTGGGAATCGGTGGTCTCTCCGCGTCCACCACCTCACCCGTCCACCTCACCCCTACCAACCTCCGCCACCACGTTCATTGTCCTCATCCTATTATAGGCGCATTACCGCTTCATTGGACGTCGCAATAAACCACCATGGCGTCTACAGTGCAAACAGCACTGCGCAAGCTCCTCCCTTCGAAACTCCCGCCCTCACTCTCTCCTCATCCCGGCAGTCTCTACGAGGTCCTATCGCGATACCCGCAAGATGGTGTTGGCCAGCGTGTATACCAGACACGTTGGGGTGCTAAAGGGATCGAGGGGAGTTACTGGGAGGTTACGCGGACGAAGCTGAAGGCCGAGGGTCAGCACGGAAAAGCGTGGGGCGTCTTGGTCTGGAAAGGTGAGCACCAACTCCACCAAACTACGTCCAGGAAGAAGAAAACCTTACACGACTTCATTCACAGGCAAGCGTGTAGGCGAGCAGGACGAACAGATCCGTGGAGGACTCAAGTACAGATGGGCTGTCGGCGCGTCACAAACGAAGCCGGGTTTCAAGCCTCTACCCCCGTCTACATCATGATACTACACCGCTCTTCCTTTTGTACGCATCCTATGTCGCCTAATCACCATGCGTTGGCACGCTTTTCGAATCATCCGTACGACCTAGTGTGAGCCTGTGAGGCATGCGCCGCGGACGTTGGTGTATTGAGTTAGGATGCTGCCGTCGCGACCCAAGAAATGCTTCGTCCGCGCTCCTTGTTCTTCAGGCAGCTTCTTCCGCTGATGCGCGCACATATATGTCTTGTGCGCAGGCAGAGATGCAGGCGAGCGGTGTTCTGTTACACCAAGACGAAACATACGTGAGAACGCCGACCGAATGCGGTAATCCACTCAGCCCAGATGAGTGCGGGGATCCGTCGCGCCTCCCGACCCATCCTGTCATACGACTTCCCCGGCGGTTCCTTCGTCCTCTCGCTTTGACGCACCACATCCCCTCTTCTCATCTCGCAACCTGACGCGACTATTGCGAGGCTAGATATCCTCTCACTACGCGTGCTCGCCGGCCAGGATGGACATGGACTCCCGCCAGCTCATTGATGCCCAATTCGACCGCGCCGTGGAGATTGTGCAGAGTCTCCCGAAGACGGGCCCCATTCAGACGGCATATGAGGACAAACTAAACATGTACAGGTACGTCCGCACAATCCTGTGGGTCTTACAGAAAGATTCACCGCGTGCTGCAGCTTGTACAAGCAAGGTACTTCCCCCGCATTCAGCCACCCGCATTACGCCGCTTCTTACGCCGCCGCTTCTTCTGTCATCTATCAGCGACTGTTGGGAATGTCCAGGGTCCTCGTCCGAGTGTCTGGGATATGCTGGGTAGGGCGAAATGGTGAGGTCGGACGTGTCCTCTCGGAATCACATGTTAATTGACCAACAGGGATGCATGGGCGAAACACAAAGATCTCGACTCTTACGAGGCCAAGTGGTTATATGTCGACGCCCTACTCAAGGTGTGTAGCATATATAGATGTAGAGGGAGTATATTCATGGATGCCGGTGCAACAGGTCCTGCGGAAATACCCTGACAAGACGGTGGCGAGGGATTTAGTGCGGGAGCTGGAATCGTATAATGGCGATCCTTCAAATCTGGTAATGAGCGGTGAGTCCGACTCGAAAACTTCTGCTCATCGATACGCCTATGGGTTCTGGTCCTAACACATGCGTGCGTTAGGAATATCCTCAAGACCTCCTGCCTCCGCTTCGTCTGGGTCCTCTGCCTCCGGCGAAATTCCCCCCATATCCCAACGTCCATCTGAGTACATGTCTGCTCAAGCCCGCGTCAACCAGCCGCCACCACCACCTGGGGACCCAGGTGTCCTAGACTCAGAAACGGACGAGAGTACGTCCGACGAGGAAGACGAAGCTGCCGACGTGGTCCCTCCCGCAATCACATCCCCGCTGCAAGTACCTGGCCAGCTGAACCGCCCCCAGTCGTCCCTTTCCTCACGCCGCTACCGAACTCCAATGGCAGGCTCTCTCCTGATTCCATCCTCGCCACCGATGAACGTCCCTGCCACACAGCCGCACCCAGGCTTCCAGACGCAATCCGCGTTTGGCGAGTCTGCCGCCTCTTTGCCCTCCTCCGCATATCCTACCACATCGGTCTCGTACCCCGAGCAAATACCCCATTCGTCTTCAGTCGATCCCCAGGACTTTGTGCGCGGTGGATACCGGCCCCCAAGTCAGCCCCAATACCGCACATATGGAGGTTCAACCGTCCCCCCTCCGCGTCCAGCGTCTTTACCCTTGCTCGAACGCGCCGTCGAGAGCGTGCAGGTCCACCTCGCCGCCATCACAGAACGGCTCGAAACGCTCGAGAGCCTGCTGCACCACTCGACCGCCTCACTCTCGCCAGCCGGTCCGGGTCCGCGCTCGCCCGGACTGCTCGCGGGGCGCGGGTCCCCATCCGGCGGCGGCGCACGCGGTGGCGGTGTGCGCTGGGACGTCGACGACATGGGCATGTGGACGCTCGTGCTGCACCCGCTCGCGCGTGCGCTGCGCCTGTTCAAACAGCTCGCGGCGTTCCTCGCCAACGGCGAGGGCCGCTCGCCAACGTTTGTCGTCGTACGGCGGCTCTTCCTCGACATCTCATTCGTGCTCTGCTTCCTCGCGCTCGTGAAGGCGGGGTGGCGCCGGAGCGGGGTGAGGCGGAAGGAGGTCGTCGCGGCGCTGCGCGGGCTGTGGCGCGCGATTCTGGGCCAGCAGGGCAGGCGGCATATGGTAGAGCGCGGGGTGTAATAGTACTGGTACGGATGCTAGTGTATATTTTTCTGGATGCTTCTTGCTTCTTATTATTCGGCGGATAATATGTCTGACGCGGATCACGACATCGCTTGCCCGGTACGCGCTATTATGTGGCGAGCGACAACATTCCTATTGGGAAGACGTATGTGATACAATGCTCGTTCTGCTGATCCTCTTAATACACCGTGGGTTTACTTCGTCTACTGTTGCGCGTCCCCTGAAAACACAGACACTGTCCATATAAGCCGATATTTGCTCAAGACATGTCGACGACGCAGCGGATGCAGTCACCGGCCTGCATTTATTACGTGAGCATCTGGTGCGGACGGTGCGCCGAATAGCTGTACTTACGTGCATGTCGTGGAAGCCAGCGTTGATCTCAGCCAGGGTGCGGTGGTGGGTGACGTACTCGTCGACCTTGACCTTGCCCTCGAGGTAGTCTGAGAGGCGATTAGCTGAATGCTCTTTTGATATAGTGCATATGAGTGCATACCCTCGACGAGGCCGGGGAGCTCAGTGCGTCCCTTAACGCCACCGAAGGCAGATCCGCGCCAGGTGCGACCAGTTACCAGCTGGAATCTGAGGTGTACAATGTCAATAATCTGGGCCTGGGTGATGCAGACTAGCCAGAAGATACTCACGGGCGAGTAGAGATCTCCTGACCAGCAGCCGCAACACCGATGATAGTGCTGATACCCCAGCCCTTGTGGCATGACTCAAGGGCAGCGCGCATGACATGCACATTACCTGTGCAGTCAAAGGTGTAGTCGAGGCCACCGTCAGTGATCTCAATCAGGTGGTCCTGGATCTTCTTGCCCTCGGGCAGCTTTGCGGGGTTCACGAACTCAGTCGCGCCGAACTTGCGCGCCCACTCCTCCTTGTTGGGGTTGGTGTCGACCGCGATGACGCGCGACGCCTTGACGAGGGAGGAAGTTGCGACAACGCCGAGACCGATGGCACCGCAGCCGAAGACAGCGACGGTGGAGTTCTCTGAGAGTTGGCGTCAGCAGTGGCCATCGTGAGACGATCTTGAATGACGTACGGATACCGGGCTGCTTGACGACTGCGCCCCAGGCCGTGGTAATACCACAGCCGAGGAGGCAGACACGGTCGAGAGGAGCCTTGGGGTTAACGGCCACAACCGAGACGTCCGCGACGACGGTGTACTGGGAGAAGGTAGAGGTGCCCATCTGCGATGACAGAGTAAGGACGAGCTGAACGGTCACGCTTTTTGCGCTGGTACGTACGAAGTGGAAGAGGGACTGGCCCTTGCAGGTGAAGCGGGAAGACGAGTCGGGCATCAAACCCTGGCCCTGGGTGGCACGGACTGTATGCACCGTCAGAAAACGTCCAGACCACGGAGGGGATACACGAACCTGAGCCACACAGGTTGGTCTTGCCGCTCTTGCAGAACTTGCACTCCCGGCACTCTAACGCGTACAATATTATTAGCATATGACGCCATCGATGGAGTGCAAGAATACGCACCGGCAGTGTAGAGGGGAATAACATGGTCGCCGACCTTAACGTTGGTGACGCCCTCGCCGACAGACTCGACCTGTGCGGTCCTCAGTACCTCATTCTTGCCGATCAAGAGGACACACAACTCACAACTCCTCCACCCTCGTGGCCGAGAATCACGGGGAAGGCACCCTGCCGAAGCAATGCATTCAATATCGGCTATTTGAGTAGCATATATGGACACTCACCTCGGGATCCTTGCCGCTGCGGGTGTACTCGTCCGTGTGGCAGATACCTTGAAGCGGGGCCGCCTCAGCTATCGTCCCCTCCTGCTCGATCGCCGCTGCGGCACTTACCAGTGTGGAGGATGTGAATGCGGACTTCGTGGGCGCGCGGGGGCGCGACCTCGACGTCCTCGATCTTGAGCTCCTCGCCGGCGGCCCAGCAGACGGCGGCCTTGCACGTAATGACTTTTCCTGCGGTGTCGGACATGGTTGCTGGTGGTAGAAGGGAAGAAAGAGACTAGGAGAGCAGGAGAAAGGAGGCGTGGCTCCCGTACTCCCACCCGACGTACATAGATATACTCGCGGCTCCCCTGATCACCCGGTTTATCACTTGATCAATCGCATCCGGGAAGACTCTCCTGGGACCCGAAGCTCGACGACACTCAGTTGCTGAGCAAGCTGCCCCTGCACACCACAGGCCAAGGCCGCCGCGGGCGCGCGCGGAAGCCTCCCGCACCGCGGCGCGCATCCCTGGGTCATCTGCCGGCCCGTGTGAGGCGTGCGCGATTCAGCACGGCTTCGCCTCCTCCCACCATGTCGTTCACGAATATGTACTACAAACGCGTGCGTCGAGCAATCGCATAGTTGGCACGATGTGGTACTGAGAGTATGGGGTCGATTGGCAGGCGGTGGGCACGCCGAAGGCCTGCTACGTCTGCCACAAGCCGACCACGACGGTGCTCGCCACGATCAACACCGTCGACTTTCTCTACTCCTGCGATTCCCATCTCTCGGATCCAGGGTTCGCGAGTCAGGTGGGCACAAGCAATGACGGCGTGGGTGCGGGTGCAGCGCAGAAGATGGGACTTAGCCCGGAGGAAATCGCGAAAGTGAAGGCGGAGTGGGAAGAGCGCCAGAAGAAGAAAACCGAGAAAGCTAAGGAGAAGGAGAAAGAAAAGGACGCGGATAAGGATAAGGACGCAAAGGACACCGACGACAAGGAGAAGAAAGAGACTAAGAAGGTCCCGGGATCCCTCTCCCCGCCGTCGACGACGCCTGCACCCCCGACGCCGACCCACCAGCGGTACACGCTGCACCGCGACATGTTCGCTCTACGCCTTGCAGAGCATCGCAGACGTCGTCAGACAGTCCAGGCCAAGGAGCTCGCGCCCCGACTCCCGGGAGCCCCAATGACGATGCCCAAGCTGCCTCCTGCTTGACCCGTGGTCAAAAACCGGTCACCGCGCGCTTTCATATGTCCCCGTGTCGTCGTGCTCTCCATGCTATGTTGAATCGGATCGTAGTCCCTGTTTTCTGCGGAACATATCGGTGGGTGCTCTCACCTGCGGAGGTCGGATGACCAGTCACCTGAAGCATTTGGCAGGAGTTAGAACCTTGTATATCAGTTTACGAGATGTCACGAAAAAAACCTGCTTGGATGTATGTCCTAACTGACCCGAGATGGTCAAGACAAGCTCAATGCCGGCAGACTTCGGGTGGTGATAGGGGTAGTGAGCACCCGGGCGCAACCTCCTGTCAAGGTGACTCAATTGCTGTGCGGGTCCCGGTACAGCTTGAAGCGTTCTGATAGGTCGGTTCATACGATCCACCATCCTGCTTTCTCCGTCCCGGGATATACATGCGGGGAGGACAAATGCCGCCGCCAATAGTAATTAGTAGGTTCACGCACGGACATAGCCGTTACAGTACATATACATACACACCAATCAGCCAAGCACTCCGGGACTATGCGATGAATGGGTTGCAGTCGCACACGACTGCTCTCACCCCGAAGCTCAGCATTGCGCCCAAGGCCAGGCCTGTCACGAGGCAGAAGCTCGCGACGGTCGCCGCCACGTCCACGTCCTCCGCGCGGCCCTTCAGCCTGGGGTTGTGCGCCAGAGAAGGCGCGGCCATCATACACATGCTTGAGACGTAGCCGTTTGACACGCCGAAGAGCAGCACGATGAGCATGAAGAGGAAGTCGGAATTGATGAGGGGCCCGTGAGATGAAGAGGAGACGGATGCCCACTGAACGTTGCACATGAGGAAGACTGGGATAAAGAGCGTCCGGAGGAGGGAGAGGCTGAGCAGACGGCGAGCCGACCAAACATGCAGCCTGGGAAGCGAGCAGATAGAGCGTCCGGTGAAGTCGCCGATGTTGAACATGAGAAAATGGACCGCACTGAACACGAGCGGGTGGACGAGAGGACTTGTGGGCTGGACAGAGATGGTGATAGGGGGGAAGACGGCCTACAAAAGTGCAAGTTAGTGTGCAGCTCGCATGGTTGAATCCCGCAGCACGTACCAGAGTCACCACAAAGACATATGAGACCGCGATCTCGTAGACCTTGTTCGTCTTGGCTATCCGTATAACGTGGTGCTTCTCATCCTCCTTCCGGAAGGAACGGTCATCGGGGTCGGTACTAGACGCTTCGAGCAGTGCGCTTTCCTCCGGTGTATCGAGTCCACGCGTGGCCCCTTGTGCTACGACGCTCTTGTACGCGGGAAGGCTGACGAGCCACATCTGCACCGCCGCACAGACGATGAGGAAGGCCGTCGAGAGGCCAAAGAATATGAACGCGGATCGTTCTGCAGGCTCGGAGGACAGCACGACCTGCTGCGGACTTACGCCTCGGACGGAGGCCAAAGCGCTCATGACCTGCACCCCGCTGATAGCGACGGCGACGGCGGCTTGTCCGGACATGACGGCTTGCATCGCTACGGGCCCAAACTGCGAGGCAACGGCCACCACGGCCGTTTGGAGGTACGAGCCTGCGGCGGCCTGTCCCACTGCATTGAGGAGTACGAACGCGGTGAAGCCTCCTGCCGCCGGGTGCATGTATGTGCTCAGCGTGAGCATAAATGACAGGGCCGCCAGGAAGCCGAGCGCGGAGAGTACACGGCGCGTATTAGAAGCCTGGCACCTGGTCAGCACGCGTCTGGAGACCGTAGAGCGAGACGTGACGCACCTTCTTCGACGTAGCCGTAGCATGCGCAAGAAAGAGCAAGTTCGGGATTGTGAAGGCCGTAGAGAGGTAGGAGGAGAAAGTGCCCTTCACCGAGGACCCCTCTAAGCGAGATAGAAAGTATGGCGTTGCAGTTATCATAACTATTGCGATAGGAGGGACGAGGTGAACATTCTGTGATCACTCGGGAGCAGCTGACGTACCATTCCAAGGTAGAAGGACCGCGCAGCCCAGAAGGAAGTGTATCCACCGTATCCTTGAATCTACCGTCACATGGCTGTGCACAATGCTAGGACCGAAGCCTTCGTCTACTTCTATGTCAGGCGAACTGGGTGGGATCGTATTGGACGCGACCGGGGCCTGGGGGATGGGATGGTAGACAGCCTCGGAGGTGGAATGGCGTTCCGGCATTGTAAGAGAGCGGCAGCGTGGTCCCTTGGAGGTGACCTGGTTGGTATATTGCTGCGAGAGGTCAAGACAGACGATGGCAGGGGGTGTCCGACGTGGTAGGTTCAAGTAGATATGCTATAAGCTTAGCTGCGGTGCATGGCGTGAGTGGTCAAGCGGAGGCGGCGGACGCGCCCTCGGAACGTGTGGCGGAGGCGCTCATGACTGTGGCACCGAGAACGCCAAATGCGGCTCGGGTGCGTATGTGGCAGCAGGCTCGTAAAGGAGAGCTGCTGAGTACTCGTGCAGCACATCAAAGGACCACGACGCAATGTGGATGGCTCAGCAGAAATGACGATGACTTTCTTTCACATAACTTGTGCTACATTCGTTGTATTGATACAGGTAGAGATTTCCAAGAAGCAAACTTGGGTACGATTCCTTTCATCCTTCCGCGTCCTCCGGGATTCTTCTACCCCGAACTTCACGCGAGCAGCTCCGTCACGACACCTACCAGCCTTTGTTAGGCGCATGGCAGGAAACTGATGAGAATGTGACTTACCAGCTCCGATCGTCTCACCACCTCGTCGGACCAGAATCCTGCCCATCTCCTTGTTGGCTGAGAAAGCCTCGATAGGGATTGGCAAGGCTCTCGACGCTGGGCCGGAGTACGTCGAGCCGCGCAGGGTGATCTCAACCTCGGCCGACATGTTCTTCGTAAGAACTCTGCAGGATTGTCGAAGTGTGAGTTTAAGTAATAGGAGAGAGCGGTGCATACGGACCTCGGCTTGTTCTTGACTATACTTCCATTTGCTCGGTCCAAAACGGATATCAAGCGCGATATGGAAGCTGGAACGTCTCGAGAGTGGTGGAAGAGTTCCACCTAACAAGGTTGGTGTGAGATGTCTGAGGCCGAAAAGTGCGGGGTGTACTTACCGAGGCTCCAGCAGTGATGGGCATTTGAATATCGAACACGATAATCCTGGCAGTGAACGTCGACGACAGAGGTACGACATGGCTCGGTCGACACAGCACACTTCCGATATTCAACGATATAGGGTCGACCCCAGTCAGGGTCAAGTTGACGTTTGAGCCTGCTCCAGCCCAAGGGAGACCGTCGCCGTCACTGTCAATAGCTAGAAGTGTCCTTGATGTTAGCTCTGTGCTGAGCGGGAATGCGCGCGCAGGCAACTCACCCCTGACTGTGGCTGATTCGTCCCCAGGGACGATCCGCAAGCGTTCACCGGCGACGATGATACCGCCGCATACACGCCCCGACACGGAGATGCCAGATGTCTGTCCCTTGAAGACATTCGAAATGGGGAAGCGCAAAGGGGCATTGATGTCGCGAGTCGGAGGATCCAAGGTGTCTATTGAGCAACTACTGTGAGCATGCCTCTCCGGTACCATCGGCCAATAAGGCTCACCGAGTAGGTTCACAAGAGTGGGACCCTTGTACCATTGATTGAGTGGAGAGCCCTTCGGTGCAGCTTGTGCGAGGTTGATACCCTCCATGGCCGCAACAGGAACGAAACGGGTCTTGTTTGGGTGGAAACCCGATTGCAGCAGGAATGGCCGCATAAGCTCACAGATTTCCTCGTAACGCGCTTTCGACCATTCGACCTGCGCGAAGTTAGTGGTCAATGCCAAAGAGTTACCGAATTTTGACGCACCTGATCCAACTTGTTGACGGCTACGATGACTTGGCTGACACCAAGACTCCGGACGAGAAGCAGATGCTCTCGTGTCTGACCGCCGCGCTCAAAACCAGCTTCGAACTCCCCAACCGCTGCGTCCACAACCATGAGGGCAGAGTCCGCCTGGGATGCGCCGGAAATCATGTTCGGAATGAAATCCTTGTGTCCGGGAGCGTCGAGGATGGTGATCACCCGATGGGGCGTGACCAGTGTCTGCAGCGCAATGTCCATGGTGATGCCTCTGTCGAACTGTGAGCACAAACGCAGTAAATAGCCTCAATGACACCTACCGCTCGCGCTCCTCCTGGGTGCCGTCGAGCTCCCAGGCCCAGCTGAAACTACTTTTACCCATCTTGCTGCTTCCGCGCTCATTCGCTATGCGCTTCTTCTCATCCACACGCCCTAGCTCGTATAACAGCCGGCCCATCAAGGTCGACTTGCCCGCATCGACATGGCCTACGTGGTGTCGAATCAGTTCGCCGACCCAAGTACGCAAGACCTGTGGACTTACCGATCACTACCAGGCTCAACGACCGCTTGTCGCCCTGTTCCTGCGCGGTGAGTGCAGTCTTCGCTTCCTCAATCAGTTTCTCAATGGCCGCAGGCGGCTTGGCCGGCTCGTCAGGAATAAGTCCGACGGCCTCCTCGTCGTAAAGGTTGAGTCCGGCCATATCGATCTCGCTTTGGTTCATGGCAGGATCCTTGCGCGCGGGAGGTATTGCTGCTGTCTTGGGGCCTGCAGTCGACTTCTTAACTGGTGTGGATGCGGGCGTTTTCTTGCCTGGTGTCTGTTTGCCCGGTGTCTGTGCTTGTGCCTTTGCAGCTTTCTCGCGTTCTTTGGCAGCTACATTTTATTGAAAACTACATGTTAGTACATGGGGACCGTCCATGTGTGATGTGATAAAGAGAGAATAAGAATGGAAAGGGAGACAAATGAAGGAAGAGAAAAGGCCGGTTATCGCGTGGACCCGACAGATAGTGACGACTGGGTGGAGGCTGGGCGCTGGCCCAAAGCGGTTCCCCTCCGTGCGTTGAAGACGATGTCGTCCGGACTTGGTACATCGAACGCGAATCCGCGCAAAGAGGGGAGGGGCGCAGGTGGAAGTGGGACTACGTCGCGTTCCTTGTGCTTGTGTCGCTTGACCTTCTCCGGGTCACCGCGCTCTTTGCGGTGCTTGTGCTCTCGTTCGGCCTTGCTGCGATGACGATGCGGAGGCGAAAAATCGCCGACTTGAGGGAGAGGGAGGTCGTCATCGGTGAGCACGGAGGCAAAGGCCGACGGCGACGCACGCGAACGAGTTGTCTTGGGCGAGAATATCGGCACATCCACAACTGGGGATAGCGTTGTGTAAAACTCTGACTCTGGCTCCACCTTCGTACGCGCTGACTTGCTCTTCATGGCGAGCTTGGACTGTTTGGGCTCCGACGGCTTCTTGGGACTTGAAGACGTCGGGTATTGCATCGATGGAGGAAGTTTAGACTGATCCTTCGTGAGCAAACTGCCCAGTGACTGGTACGAGGTGGTAATGGCCGTGGTCGCCGAGGACCCGTTGGCAGTAGGAATGAGGTACTCCGTATGAGAGCGAGGCAGTATGAGGGCAGGCGGGGAGTACGCCGGAACAGCAGACTGGACAGTCTGACTCTGCTCCTGAGCCTTGGCCTGTGCGAGGCGCGCTAGCTTGGACAATTGACGAGGCTGTCCAGGTGATGTAGATGGAGCCGCGGGGTGTGGCATGGGGCTACCGGACGGCGATGAACGGCGTGCAGAGGGTGGAGGGGATGCATGGGCAAGTCCTTTGAGGGATATGGGTTTCGAAGGAGGCCTAGTCGTTTCCGTCGAGGTGCTGGACAGTTCAGAGAGCGGGCGCGAGGTTGGAATAGATAGAGTGGTTGGCTCCTTCGGTGTAGGTGGTTCTCGATCCATAGCCTCCATTGCGAGTGCCGACTGGAGCGCCGCGTTTACGACCCTTGACATGGACGACCGGTGGGTAGAGTCCGACTCTTCTGAGATGGTGGATGGCCGGGATGGCAGCCGCTTCTCCGATTTCAGCGACATCATGGACGCAGCAGACGGTCGCAGAGCCGGGTAGGTCACATCGGAAGCTGTCTCCGTGTTGTATGACTGCGCGCTCACTGAGCTTATGCTGGATCTGGCGCTGGACCTTGAGCTAGCTAGGGCCGACAACTTCGACTTCTTCTCACTGCCCGCATTCTCCGTAGTCCGCTGCGAAGACTTGCTCAGAAGCGACATCTGAGACGGATCTAGTGGCCGTTGCAAGCTGGACTTCGACTTGAGATCAGGAATGTCTGGCAAATTCTCAAATGTGGGGACGACGCCCGAAGCACTTGGAGCGGGGATGGTATCGGTAGAGGAGGATGGTGTACGCCTGGGTGTGGGGGTCGCAGAGCCCTCCTCAAACGAGAGTCGTTGAAGAGCAGAGAGCGATGGAGTCGCGGCTAGTTCTTCAGGGTGCGGCGGACGTTCTAGCAATAAAGGTAAGGTCCTAGACTGAAGTTCTATTTCTTGTAGATGAGGCTCACCGATGAGCTGCCCATAATCAGTGGTTACGGATGACATTAGGGTCGCGCGAGAGCCTCCAGGGTGCAGGTAGGGATTGGTAGCGGCCTGCGTATGTTGCGAGACAGGACGCCAACCCCTAGGATCCTCCGTAAGCTCCGTGAGTTCGGTGATAGTGTAGAGGGTGCCCGGGCGCACGGAGGCCCTCGTGGTTTCTTGGTCCGAAGAAGAGAAGTAGTCGCTCTGCGTTAGACGCACGAATGGGACGTTGTGACGGCCCGAGGTGCTGTCCGTCGTAGAAGACCAGTCGCCGTCGTCGTCCTGGGGCGGAAGTGGAAGCGGCTTCCCGTCCGCATCTGAAGATGCCCATCCCCGGTTAGTTCATCGCCGTGCGTGATTCTTCAGGCAGGACAGGACGTGCACCTTCTCGCCGGCACATCTTTTGGAGTAGCAAGGGTGCCAGCCCGCGACGCCGCAGAGACCACAGGCAGAGAGAAGGAAGGACGCAGAATGCAGGCAAAGGGCAAGGGCAAAGGGTCAACCGGTATGAAGCTTACCTTGACGTTCTCGTGCAACAAACTTTCGCTCTTGTTTCTCTGCGGGCCGGTGAGCAGGAATGCCATGTGACTATGAGTGAACATACCTAACAAGACCGCTATCGCTTGCTCGACATCGAAGTAAGCTTCATACAACGCGTCCTTGATTTCTTGGTCTGTGAGCGCGGACTGCCGTTCGTCTCCCAAGGTTGCGCGGATATGCTCCAAGCCATCTATCATTCGATCTAATACACGGTCAGCCCACACAAGCGACAGAAGATGGCGAAATGCGCACCATAATCCTCAGGACTGAGATCATCTTCCCCTCCGTCTGAGATATAATCGTCGTCCATTTCCTCTGCACACTGGTAAGAACCCCGCACTTCACATCCCGGAATATTGCTCACCATTGACATCAATGTTCCGTACAAATCTGTGTCGCGACATGGCAGGTAGAATACAGACGAGCGATAGTGTACAGCTGCGATATATGCGGGTGGGGGTTGGACGGAATGAGGTCAACCGATATGGGCGCCTCTATGGCGATCACTGCCGCGTGACGTTACGCGACGCGTGACAGGCGTTACCATTCGCTCCGTCGCGCCAGTGAGAGTCGCGCTGTTCGCCCTGACAGTCACCACCACCCCCTCCTGCTGCCTGCCATGCTCTCTCTCTCCCGGGGCGCGGCTTCGCGCGCGTCGTTGCGCGTGAGTACTCACAATCTGGCGCATAGCCAACTCAGTTCTCAACGTGTCTTTTGTACAGGCATTTTCGACCACCTCTTCGCGTTCTGCCGACATGGCAAAGCTGCTTCTTATCGGCCGTCTAGGCAAGGACCCTGAGGTTCGGTACACCAAGACGGAGAAAGAGTACATCTCGTAAGTCACATCCAGCTTCATGCCGCGAACGTGCACATTCATAGTGCAATCCAGTTACACCATCGCTACCTCCAACCAGGGACCGGTTCCAGAGGGTATGCCACCCTCCTTTTCGCTATCGAGCAGGAGCTCATCTTGAGACAGGAGCGCAACCTACGACCACGTGGCACCATGTTCTGTCCTTCAACCCGGGTGCGAACAACTACCTTCGCACGCTGAAGCGCGGGTCTCTCGTGTTCGCAGAGGCCAACTTCGAGCTGCGCCAGCCCGACCCCAACGCCGACCCGGATTCGCCTGAGGGACAGCGTCAGATCTTCTTGCGACATGGTACGCCGTCTCGTACCCGCGAATTTTACTATGCTCACATGATTACAGAGAGCATCAGGGTCCTCCGCGTTCCGCGCGGAGAGGCAGAAGAGAACGTGTCCGAGTGATCTTTGCCACGCCTTCCTAGTGCTACCTCTATCTATCGTAGGCTACCCCCACTCCGGTTAATTATGATATTCAGGATCCTCGTGTCTGTCGTAGTCATCTTGTCCGTCATGCAAACCCCGAGCCGCCGGATCCGCCACCCATTCCTGCGAATCCCTGTAAGTTGAGCCGTACGAACGTGAGTCGCGGTATCTTCTGCCTACCGTGCTTGGAGGACGACCTGTGCTTTGGTATGTCATCGGCCTCAAAGTAGGAGGGACGCTGGGTGCCATGGTAGAAGGAGGTGGAAGTATCCCGTTGTCCCTTCCTATCTTCTTGAGGTAGTCTCGCACCGCTGTTGCTACCATCTACGTTGCGCCCGGAGCAAGGTTAGCGTGGGCTGCCAGCGCGCATTTCCGTACTCACATGGTGGTCGTCTTGGCTTGATCCTGAATAACAAGCTACCACGGCAATTGGACAGCAAGGCGCGTTCTAGTAAGATCGCCAGCCTCAGCATCCGCAACCATATCTGACCCAATCGCTTCATTCACCTCGAGCCAGACGGGAAAAGCTAGAATGCCAGAGTAACGTTTATTGACAGATGGTCGATCCATCTGCACAGGCACTCACCTCCACCATTGATTTTGTATTCCCCCTGTATACCGAGCTGCTTTGGTGTCTTCCCCATCGCATTCATGCCCTTCTCAACGTAGTAGCTTGAATGACCCGTCTTCCGCACGACTGCAATCATGCCCTTCGTCCCATAGCATACAGTCACTCACACGACCTCAGTGCACTCCCACAATGGCACATACCTCCAAACACGACCAGCTGTCCAAGCTCACGTCACCCCCTCCTTCAACCCCGCCGAGATTGCCCACGGTGCATGAGAACAAGGTATGTCCGGCGATAGTTTGTATGGAAATGATCATGCCGCGGACTTTTACGTGTCGGGACGAGGCGCGAAAGCGTTTGCGTATCGACAGGCCGAGCATAACCGCGGCGTCGGCGTCGAATGAGGGGAACCGATACATAGTCTCCTCCTGCAGGGCCTGGGAGGCCAACTCTGCTTCGTTCGGAGGCATTTGTGCGTTGAAGCCGCTGAACATGGGTATCTGTGTCGAGGCCGCGTACGACATGTTGGGTATGTAGTCCTGTGTATAGTGCAGCCAGTGAAGTGTCCAGTGAGAGAGGGGTACAAAGGGCGGTGTCTGAGGTTATTGGAGGGCAGCAGCGTCTTTGAGGGACGTGAAGAGTGGGGAGCCACGAGGAGGTGTGCGTGCCGAGAGGCATGAGGCCTTTCTGTGTGTTTGCGCGTTCGAAGCACAACTGCCATTGTCTGCAACCGCGTGTTTCAATATCATAGCTTAAACACGAGTATCCAGCCTGCTGGCTGCTGGAATTGCAGCGTTGCGGACAGTGCATGGCGGCGGCTTCTGAGAGATGAGCGGCCAGATCCCGGAGCCGATCGCCCCACGGAACAAATCGCCACGTGCGCCGCCTGTGACGACTTTCGGTTCGTTGGGTTTGGAAGCGCTGCCAACTCTGCTTGTGTTCGTGTGCACATCAACCGGCGGAGGCCCCCTCTTTCCACAGCGACGGCTGGATATTAGTGGTAAACTTACAGAAGAAATATTCCCGTGTGTGCTGACGCTGACAAGTTCGGCCCACAGGTGTACAAACAGACCAAACAGCCGTGTCGTCATCATGGACGCGTTCTTCGAGCCGGTGGCGGATGCTACAGGTGCATCCATCGACCAAATCAAGGTACTTAGTAGAATGTAACCGATCTTAGTGTCCCAATACTGACTTATACACTACCAGCTGATTTTTTGTCTCTTGTTTTCATATCCGCTCGGGAGCGTATACATCCGCCTACCAACCTCGCGGCCGGAATTCAAGCACATATTCAGCATTGCGATAGCCTTCTTCTACCTCGTACCAGTGCTCCAACTGTATTTTGGGGTGATTCAGCTGCTTATCAGCGTAGGTGGGACCTACTACATAACCCAGAAAGTCCAGACTTCGCGAATGCCATGGATCGTGTTCCTGTAAGGATAGTCCTTGCCTACATTACTTACGTGTCGCTGATCCAACCTCTTTGTATAGGTTTACCATGGGACATCTTACGATCAAGTAGGCGATTATCTTGACGTATATGCATGCTGATACTGACAATTCGCAGCCACATCGTACGAACACTTGACGACTCAGGCTATGACACAATAGAGATATCTGGGCCCCAAATGGTCCTCACAATGAAGTTGACGACGTTTGCGTGGAACGTCGTTGATGGGCGACGCGCTGCTGAGGTTTGCCTTGCAAACACGACCCCTTGACCACAGAATGCGCTGACGATCCTCATACAGGAACTCGATAAGTGGCAAGCCGAACACCGCGTTGTAGAATATCCTTCCATACTCGAGTTCCTCGGATACACGTAGGTTCGAACCATTACGTATCGGCGTTTGGCCGCTGATTGCTCCGTAGATTCTATTTCCCCGGGTTCCTCGTCGGGCCATTCCTGACTTTCAACGAGTACCGCGCCCTCGTATCGGGCTCGCTGTACAAAGCAGCGGAAAAGAGCGAGGAAGAGCGCCGCGCAATGGACACCCTCCCGCGCAGACTGGTGCCTCGTGGTCGCAAGCGGGTTGCTTTCCGCAAGATGTTGGTTGGACTCGCGTTCCTCGGGGCCTACGTCACTTTCTATCCAGAGTTCAACTTCCAGCTCACGGTCGAAGATGAGTTCGAGAAGAAGCGTTTGCTCTCTCGGTAGGTTTATGGCTGTCTCGTGGCTTACACTTGCCAGCAAACTGACGTCGGTCGGCAGAATCATTTTCCTGCAATTCTGCGGCTTCTTCGAGCGGGTCAAGTACTACGCCATCTGGACACTAACAGAGGTCAGTGTTTGTTCAGCGCAATTTTTTGAGCAAAACTGACCGCTTTGAAGGGCGCATCCATCCAAACCGGGCTGGGCTTCACAGGATACACAAAGACCGGCGGTACCCTATGGGAGGGTGCTGCGAACGTTGATATCTGGAACATCGAGTTCTCACCCAATTGCAAAGTCCTCTTGGACTCGTGGAATATGAAGACGAACGTCTGGCTGCGCGAGTGCGTCTACAAGCGGGTTACGCCAAAAGGCAAGAAGCCTGGCTTCAAGAGCAGTCTCGCGACGTTCGCGACAAGCGCTTTCTGGGTGAGTGTCTTCGGAGCGTCGGGATTCATCCAGGTAGCAGTGCTAACCGTCATACAGCACGGAATTGCACCAGGTTACTACCTCACGTTCTTCTTCTTCGCCTTTGTGCAGACCACGGCCCGCTTGGCGCGCACCTACCTCCGTCCCATCGTCCTCCCAGCCAACTACGTTTCTCGACGAGACGCGCCGCCCCCACCGCAAACGACCGCGAAGCAGATCTACGACTACCTCGGGATCATCGCCACCGTGTCGCTCACGAACTACGGCACGCTTCCATTCATGCTGCTCGGGATCGACGACTCCTTCGTGGGGTGGAACAACGTCGCGTGGTACGGCCACTTCCTCGTCGGCGGCGGGCTCGTGTTCTTCTACTGCGGCGGGTGTATCATCATCCAGGAGATCCAGGAAGTCCGGATAAAGGAGGCTGGGATCAAGAAACAGCGGGAGGAGCTCAACCGGTTGGTGCAGACGGGCTCTATCACACCGACGAGTTTCTCGAGGGCGCCAACACTTCCGCCGCTGGACGAGGCGGCGCAGGAGCTGGAGAGAGAGCTAAGGGGAGATAAGTCGGAGTAGAGGTGTCAGATAGCCTGCTGGGGCTCTCTCTAGCTGCAATCGTTTTCCATGCTTTCATATACGGTATGAATGTCCTTGGGGAGCACAGTATCTAGTTACTTACAAAGTAGTACAGTTACTCTTATTCATTGCCCACGATGCTCTCATCTATATAAACGTGTGATACCTTGGAACGTCACTTCTGCTAAGTCTGTACATACGCAGTACTGCACAACGACATGCGCATCGGCCGGTACGGATAATTGCCTAAATGGTGGGCAAAGCTCGGAGTACGGTAGCCACATGTTAGAGCGCTTAAATCAATGTACCTTCCCTGAGTGCCACCATCTCAGTCTGGCATCTCGCGCGCCGACCATAACTGAACCGTGTGCACCGTGGTCACCACTTCGCCTCAACTCAGACCACTTGCAGGCACCCGCGACGCCGTTGTAGCACTTCGCACCTGCCACCACACTACCTGGCACACGTACTCGGGAAGTCAATGTCAAGAAGCAACGTCGCCGACACGATCCCCGCCTCCGCGCGCGGCATCGCGCTCCTCATCGCGTCCACCCCGACCGTACAGGACGCGCAGCCCGGCGTGCTGCACCAAATACTCGAGTTCTCGAATAGATACACCGCGCAGGTCCTCTCAGATGCAATCGTATACGCGGAGCATGGCGGACGGACAGGCAAGGTTGAAATGGAGGATGTTGTACTCGCAGTACAGGCCCGCGTCGGATGGGAGTTCGGCGGGCGCGTCCCGAAAGAAGTACGTCGTTGTCCCACCCTGCCGTGAATGTACGATACTGAACACATTCGCGTTGCGTGCAGTACGTGATGTCACTGGCGACGCAGACGAACGCGGTCCCGCTGCCCGCAGTGCCTGAGGTGTTCGGGGTGCGGCTCCCGCCCGCGACGGAGTGTCTGACCGCGGTCGACTTCGACCTCGTGCCGAACCGCGCGCCCCCGGGCGTGAAGCAGTATGATGAGGAAATTGAGGAGGTAGAGGAGTCCGACGAGGAAGACGAAGAGGACATGGAGCCCGCTCCGCTGCCACAGACTACCTCCGCCGCCGCCCGCCACAACGCACACCTGGGGCCCGTCGCGGCTCCTATTGCAGCGCTACATACCCCGTCGGACGTGGACATGCTCACACCCGGAGCTGTGCATGCGGAGGAAGGGAGCGAAGGGGAGGAAGACGATGGGTTGTTTGCGGGCGGAGACGAGGAAGAGGAGGAGAGCGGGGACGAGGCTATGGAGGATGTTACTGCATCTGGCCCCGGGACGGAAGCGGCGACCACTAACGGCGTGAAGCGGAAGTTGGTGGAGGAAGAGGACTACGACTAGACTGTACCCGTGCTGGCTTTGGTCGAGCTCGACGTTTGGCTCTCGCGCAGGATGGACGCTGTATAATTTGTCATGTTGTAACATTATAAGTAATGCTGGTGAATCTAGGTACATAGAAACATAGAATCCCGTCCAGAAGTATAAGCGTGAAGGAGACATATCCGGACCTCCGTGACATAACAAGAGTACCGTACAACAATGCAACGCGAGCTATTGCATCTGTTGCGCCAGAACAGCGAAGAGCGCGATAAGTAGCGCGACCACAACCAAAATCCAAGTACTCCACGCTACATGATGGTATGAGCACCAGCGCACGGAAGAGAACACAGCACTTACAGGTCGCTCCAAGGTTCGACGGTATTGCAACAATGCGGACGGTGTTATCCGCACTACCAGATATCAGCATGTCGGATGTTGGGTTGAACCTCAAAGTAGTCGGTGGGAAGTCGTGCGACTTTAGGATTGTCAACAATGGCTGAGGGGGAGACGTCGCCGTTGAGTTCGGGGGAAGCGCTGTTGACGATCTCAAACACTTACAGCGAACGTGTGGGCATCCACTACGCCCACAGTGAGGTCTGACGAGCCGAACGCGATGAGCTTCCCGTCAGGGCTATTGAAATGTAAAAGATTAATTCTAGTCCAGATGACATGCACACAACGGTACTGACCTGATGTCAAAGCACGTCACTTGTCGATCGCTAATCTTGCGCTTAAAAGTCACTTTCCACGTCTCAGTGTCCCACTTGCAAAGGAAAGCGCGTCGAGGAGATGACTTCGTGCGGGTACGAGGTGGAACTGTGTTCACGATCGTATACAAGACCTTCTCGTCCTGAGGGTGGTACCTGGAATGAATCGCTTAGTCTCGCGACAGACGACTGCTCAGGAAATTAGCTCACCTCACGGCACGGAAACTGCCTCCCGCATCATCTCCAGGTAGCTCTGGGCGGTCAATCGTCTTCACCAGGTCGAGTGCAGCAGGCTTTCCCTCTTTCTTCGCCCCCGCATCACCATCTTCGTCCGAAGGCAAAGCGTATGCGAACAAATTGACCGTGGATGCCACGACAAGCTACGTCATTGTCAGCACCAGGTGCAACTCAACTAGAGGTACACTAACTGTCTTAGACGAAAACGTCGCGTCGAATATCTCGCCCTTGTCGAGATGGATGGACGACCCGACGGGCTCTAGTGTAGGGTAGTCCAAAACGGATAGCTGCAAACCGTTGAGCTAAATACACTAGTCGGGAAAATGAGAGGCTTACATCGCGTGTGCCGGCCACGGCCAGGTACTTGCCGTCTGGAGAGAACACACTAACCCTCTGGAGGAGACTTGAGTTTCATTTATAACATGGTGCGGACCTAGCGACTAACCTGATAGTCGTCATCCTCGCCCTTCAACTCCAGTGTGCTTCGCGTCGTCGATAGGGATATTCTAAGATGGCGTGTCTGAGAAACGCGTAAAAGAATGGCGGACGCGTCACTGACTTGTTGTCCTTGACATTGTATACACGGCAATTCTGGTTCTGCCCGCTGTGTAACGCGTCCTGGGAGCTGTTCACACCGCACACAATTTCCTCTCTTTGAGGGTGTGCTGCTATGCTCATAGGCGCGTCTTCCCCAGATGCCAGCTCTAGTTCATGTAGGAGCTCGAGTTTCTTATCACCCTCGGCATGGTATAGTCGCTACGGAGGCAAGATTTCTGTGTCGGTCACACATGGTATTGCAGTAGAAATACATGGCGTACTATCTTGTTCTTGATGCCAGTCTTAGACTGACCCCCGCCTCCGCCAAGTACAAACTCGTTCGGTGATACGAACGCGCTAGAGTAGACAGGGAACGCAGGCAAGGAGTGTGCCGTGTGTTGAGTGCGCATGATGGGTGGCGCGAGTATTCCAGTGGGTCCGTGGGCTCAGCGCGGATGTCCAGCCACCAGAAAGAATGAGAGGGACGAAAAGAGGACGGAGTGGCAGGAGCGGTCAAACGTGCATCCCGCCGCGGTCGCCCACATACGGAACCACGTCTACAAAGCGGGACGCCGGGCCGGCTGCGTCTCCGGACGATGAAGGACTTGTGGATCCCGGCCGTCTTCCTGCTCTCTCGCTCGTCCCTGGGCCATGCCTCTCCCGCCTCGCCGCTAACTCCAAATGCTCGCGCGTCCTGCGCTCTCTCCCGCCAGCTGTTCTTGTACCTCTCTGTAGACGACCCGCACAAATACCCGTGTCACGTTAATCATGCTCATACCTGCCAACCTATCTGCACTCCCCGACATGCCAGGCGGGATTGATCTACCCCGGATCACAAGCCCAGCTGCAGCAGGCATCGCCGTTGCCATTACGGGGAACATCCTCATCTCTCTTGCGCTCAACTGCCAGAAGCTCGCGCACAGACGGCTCGAGAGCGAACGCAAAGCAGTGGGCCAGGAATTACGGAGACCGCCACCCCATCGAAGCACCTCAGCTCCCCATGGCCCCGCCCTACGACGCCCTACGCAGTCTCTCAACACTACGCACTCAACTCCTGTTGCCGCCGTTGCTATCCTTGTGAACGAAGAGACCGAACCTTTGCTTGAGCCAGCGGATGGCGTGCAGTCCGGGGATGGTTCACAGACGTCTAAACCTTCACGAAGATGGTTATTCTCGCATCGCAATCCCGCTAGAGATGCAGACAGCTCTCACCTGGCCAGCACACATGCGCTCATGCCTGTGGACATACTCCCCGTTCACTCAGAGGATAACGAAGACCAATCTGGTCCTCTGCAGAAGGAGGATTCGGAAGACGCAAACGAAGGCGACTACCTCAAGTCGAAGCTATGGTGCGTCGACTTTCCTGCTCCTCCGTTTATCTACTGAATGAGGTTCCCCAGGTGGTTCGGCTTTCTTTTGATGAATGTGGGCGAATGCGGTAACTTTATATCATACGCGTTTGCTCCAGCATCCGTAGTGGCACCACTCGGCACGGTGCGTTAACTCTTATCGCTAAGCTGTACTTCAGCAAACTCACATAACATTGTCTAGTTCGCCCTGATTGCGAATTGTATTTTCGCGCCGCTCATGCTAGGTGAGCGGTTCAGGAAGGTCGGTCTTGGTTCATAGCGGACAGGATCCCGGCTGATGTTCTCTCAGCGAGACTTCCTTGGTATCATCATAGCCATCGTCGGAGCTGTCACCGTAGTACTCTCCGCCAACGCCTCAGATACAAGGCTGGATCCTAAATCGCTATTGGAGGCAATTAGTCAACGAGCCTTCCAAGTCTACACAATCGTGTATGTCGTGGGGATGTTCATCTTGTCTGGCCTCTCTGAGGGACCTGCCGGGAGACGTTGGGTATATGTTGACATCGGACTGTGTGCCCTGTTCGGTGAGGCCTTCCACAGTCTACGTGTCTCCCAGAAGCTAATAGACCACGCAGGTGGCTTCACGGTTCTTTCCACAAAAGCGGTGTCTACACTGCTCACCCTAGAGTGGTTCGAGATATTCAAGGAATGGATTACATATCCCGTCATTGCCGTAAGTCTACTCGTCAAATTTGCAGCGCATACAATCGGCTGACTTGACCAGGTGCTAATCATAACCGGTGTGGGCCAAATCCGCTATCTCAACCGTGCGCTCATGCGGTTCGACAGCAAGGTACGTCGGAATCGCCCATGGTTCTTGTCGCACGCAACCGCCTTCTGACATCGGGCTCCGTCAGCTGGTGGTACCGACGCAGTTCGTGATGTTCAACCTCTCGGCCATCGTCGGCTCTGCTATCTTGTATGGCGACTTCAAGCAGGCCACCTTCCATCAGCTTGTCACCTTCCTCTACGGCTGCGCCGCGACCTTCGCCGGCGTGTTCATCATAGCATGGGCGCCCTCTAACCCAGAGCGCGATCCTGTAGAAGACAGCGACGAGCGCACGCTCCCGGGCAGCAGGAGCAGCGAAAACGAGACGATCTCGGACCTCCCCTCCAGCGACCGCACCGTCAAGCTCGGCAGCCTCGCACGGCGCCAGCGGCCGACGCTCATCCTCCCTGAGGGCGCCACCAGCCTCAGCGCGAATGCGACCCCGATCCTCCGGAGCCGGCAGAGCCTCGTCAGCCTGTACGGCTTCTCCCCCGCCCAGGTAAGCGCCGCGCCGTCATAACCCGTCTCAGACTCAGAGCGCATCTGTTGACCACATGGCGTGCCGTTCTCCGACAGCGCGTGCTCCTGATGAACGCGTCCCCTCGCGACGAGTTCGTCCGGCCGAGCCTGCAGGATCCCGAGCGCGACCCGGCGACGCCACCAGAGTCGGTCGGCCGCCGCAGGGCGGTGAGTTGGCTCGACGGCGACGCGAGCAGGCAGACGAGCCTCGCGCGGTACGGCGCGACGTCCACGACGGCGTCGAGGGACCACAGTCGGCTGGGCGACCGCGTGGGGTCCCGCAGTATAAGCCGGAGCCGTAGCGCGAGCCCGGGAGCCGGGTAGAGATCGAAAGGACACTGTCGAGGTGGCGGTTGTGTAAGTTTTGGTATTGGACTAGGAATCTTACAGTAATCTATATCCTATGCGCCTCACTTCGCCGGGTATAGGTATCGCAGGGTGCCTATGGGTGCGCGCAGCCTCGAGCTCGGTCGATGCAGGAAATAACCGATCATCGACAAGTAAAAGCCCGGGAATCTACGTAAGGTAACACACCGAATGCCGCAGCGAAATAGTTACAAAATAATCCAAAGGTGACGTGAAGAAAGCTGGATGCGTGGGGGTAGGAATATGTTGGCAGCGACAGAAGTGCGAAAGCATGAAGCACGTCCGCGCCGGGGGCCGGCCCACATTGAATAGTCGGGCCCAGCGCGTAATAAATACACTCGCTCACACAAAGCCCGATGAATCCTCCTTCGCCCAACTGAGGCCGCCCTAATCAACAAGCCCCGAGCGGAAACGGAAAGCGGCACCATCGTTAATAGCTCCGGCAGTGGCAACGTACACGACGACGGAAGTCTATGCATGTGGGTGGTGGTGACGTGATGACGGCGACGAGGCCGGAGCCTGAGCGGCGGCCTGAGGGCGGTCCTACGCGTTATCGTGATCATTACTGTGCTCTTCTCCAGCGGCAGGAGATTCGACGACGACGAAGTCCTTGGGCGAGCGTGTGTTCGTGGCAGGCGCAGCGGCCCAGAGCGCGTTGAAATCGAACCAGGCGGCCGTAGAGGGGGTGGGCGTGTCTTGCTGGACCTGCTCCACGTCATTCGCGTCCACCCTTACGCCGAACACGTCCATCTCTCCAGGGCGCGATAGCGCGGCAAGGCCGGTGTCGTGATCAGGCGTCACGTCAAAGTCGAGATGAGGGTGGTTGGTGGCGAGCCGGTGCATGACGAGGTGCGAGCCCATGATGAAGAGCAGGACCAGGAGGAGGATGGCAGTGCGCACAAAGCCCCGGGCGGAGGTGCTCCGCTCCTCGAACGAGGTTTTGAACGGCGTGGTGGGGAGCTGTATCTGGGACGGCAGATACGAATGCAGCGAGGGGAGCGAGGGGACCAATGTGGTCAACCGTTGCGAGAACGTGGGCGACGGGGGTGGGGCAATGAAAGCGATGAAGAACTCGCTCTCGCCGAACCCGGGTGACGAGGGCGTCACAATGATGGCAGGAAGGTCTGCTTTCTCATCGACGAGCGGCAGCGACAGGTCTATGACAACGCATGGTGAGCGAGTTATTCGGCCTTCACGACAGACCGTTCCACATACCCAGTGGTGCTGGGATCAGCGTGTAGTCGAGACGCTGAGGCAGACGGTTGAGACGGGGGGCTATACCGGCAAAGTCATCGCAAGGGACGAGGTGGCGAGCATGAGCACTCGACTTCCTACGTTGATGCATAGAAAGAGGGGCGAGAAGGACTCACGAGCGCGACGCATATTTGAAGACGATGAGCTATAAGTAATACACGTCCTAGAAGTCGAAGACGGCGAACTCTATACGAGGGCGGTTTTGCGGAGCTACGAAGAAGAGCTCTAAAGCCGGTAGACCGATGAGGTATGGGCTGGGGCGACCGTGGTGGGGTCGAAAAGAACGTGTGGTAAAAGAGAGTGGGGAGCACGAGGCTGCGCTAGGAGGCTGGCGGCGTCGTAGACAGCGAAGGCGACGACGAGGGCAGCAGAGGCGACGATGAGAGAGACAGGAATGAGAGAAGACAAGGCAGCGCGGGGTCCGTACCCATGCCCGCCAAGCGCCCGTCGCTACCGCCCTTACATAAGCTATTATGTCCTGATCTGGATCTCCGATCAGGCAAGGAAATTTCAACGGCGCGCCCCCGTCGACGCGCGCCAAGCCTTCCGCCCAGGCACTCCTCCGCCTCGACCGCCTCCTCGCCGTTGTACGCGTCCTGCTCGCCATGTCTCTCGTCGACGCGCCTGCATTCAAGGCGTCCTCGACGCCGATCAGGTCTGCGATTCTGCCTGCCGGGGCATATGTCCTCGCGATCGCGTCTACGCCGTCTTACTATGCCGCATCTGCCTCATCGCCATCGAATGCTATCCATGTTTTCGACAAGGCGCGACTGCAAAATGTGCAGACCTTCTCCGGGCACGACTCGTCCATTACTGCGCTCAGATCTGTCCCCAACGTCGCAAATACTGTCGCTCATGCACTGCTCTCTTCCGGGAAAGATGGCGCGGTCAAAGTGTGGGACGAGCGCTCGGGATCCGTTGCACTGCGCAGTGAGCATCAGCTGTGTTTCCCTTCGTAATGCAAGGCTAAAACTCAATGCGAGATCGCGATGTTTGGTTCTAAATAGTGACCGCGTCCACTGCTGGAAAAGCGTCGGGACTGCTCTCTTGCGATGTGTCCGCCGATGGGCTGACAATTGCGGCTGGCACCGAGTTGCAAGGAGATGATGCCTCCATCCTGTACTGGTACGGGTCCAGAGTTTCGTCATATGAAACAGCAAAGCATATTGACGCGTGCTCGCAGGGACCCTCGCAACCCAGCAGCGCCGCTACGCGTCCATTCTTCTACACACTCGGAAGACATCACGGCTCTCCATTTCTTGTGTTCAGCCGCCTCGCCTGTTCCGAACACCGGAAACCTGCTCCTTTCCGCCTCTTCGGACGGACTTGTCTGCACGTCGAACGCAGATGAGGCTGACGAGGACGAGGCTGGTCTTCATGTCGGGAACTGGGGCTGCAGCATAGCGCAAGCCGGTTGGCTCCATGATCGGTCAGGCCGCCCAGCCGCATGGGCTTCCAGCGACATGGAGACGTTCAGCGTGTGGACGACTGAGGTCAGCACAGATACACGCGCACGTCGCGTAGTAGCTGACCTTAAGACCACAGCTCGACCGCGTACAAGATGCTGACATTAGGCAGCCGTCGGTGCACAGACAAGACCTGACGTGGGTCACGGACTATCTGATCGGGTGCCACAATGCATCCAGCCCCATTGGCGATGCTGACAACGATCTCTGCTTGTTTGCTGGATCGAATGAGTACGTTCCCTGACACTAAGAAATCCCTCTCATAATAGCTCATGTTATCATCGTACAGGGGCGATGTTGCGCTTATAACAAAGCAGACGTTCTCCGATCCGAATGCTCCGTGGATTCTGCAGCGTACCTGGACTACCGGGCACATGGGTATCGTGCGCGCAGCTTTGTGGGATGAGAGTGTATGTCTTCATGCCTCATTCCTAAGGATGTCGCTGACATGCTGAATGTGATCCGTTTTAGAACAACATACTACTCACAGGCGGTGAAGATGCAAAGCTAAATGCTTGGGTAGCGCAACAGCCCGGTGCCGTCATTTCGCCTGGCAAACCCAAGCGCGGGAGCGAAGTTGACTCCATGGATGTCGACGAAGACGTAGATGTCTCCGCGCGTAAAAGGAGGCGTGCATGATCTTGCCGCGAGAATATCGGAGGGACGAAGAAGAGCAAAACAGTTGTACTACGCCGTTGCAGATACATATGGTAATATACATCCGAAGTCCACTGGGTCTGCCGTGTGGCTATCGCGGGTCCTGTGCTCGTCTAAGCTTACATCCTGAACACACCGAAACCCTTGCCGTCTCCGTCCCATGTCGTACCGGAGCGACTCGGTGCTCCCCTTCCACCGCGTTCCCGCGCAGCCAATGCTAGCGCGAGACCGAGCGTGTCCCTCGTATCCGTCGGCTTGATGATGCCGTCGTCCCAGAGGCGTGCGGACGCGTAGAGGGCAGTCGATTGCTCCTCGATTTCATCCTTGAGCGTACTGTGCTTCGTTGGATCCCTGCAGATTATGTGAGTATGATATGCCCGCAATATCTGAGGACGTTCTCACTTCGATACAGTCGCCATGACTTGTGAGAGTTGTCCAGGTCCCATAACAGACACCTTGGCGTTCTACGAAACATGTCAGCTCAAATACAAAGCTCATATACGGTATGCGAACGTACCGGCCACATCCACAGGAACCTCGGGGAATATGCACGACCGCACATGCCTACCGCCCGAATAAGCACTCACGCATATATACAGAGCAGACCAACATACCGTAGTTTCCAGCGCCATAGCTACCTCCGACGATGACGGTGAGTTTCGGCACATCCGCGGTCGCGACTGCGCGAACCATCTTGGCGCCGTCCTTCGCGATGCCGCCCTTCTCCGCCTTCGAGCCGACCATGTAGCCGGTGACGTTGACGAGGAAGAGCAGTGGTATCTGGCGCTGCGAGCATAGTTCGATGAAGTGCGTCGCCTTGAGCGCAGACTGCGAGAACAGGATGCCATTGTTCGCTATGATTCCGACGGGGTATCCGTGCAGGTGCGCAAAGCCCTGCAGAATCAGGATTGTCAAGATGCGTTTATGGGAGAAGGTGGTAGATGCATACAGTGACGATGGTCGTCCCGTATTCCTTCTTGAATTCACGGAAGCGGCTGCCATCGACTATGCGTGCGATGACATCTCGCATGTCGAAAGCTTGTCGGAGGTCTGTTCCGACAATACCATGAAGTTCGGAGGCGGAATATAGCGGATCCTCTGGGACTGCTGGAGGCTGCTCTGATCCTCAGTGCGGAAAATGAACCCGGAGCTCGATGTGACTTACGGAAACCTCTCGTCCGCCCGCTTTGCCGAGGTCGCTTACGATACCTCTTGCAATAGCAATGGCGTGCTCGTCATCCCGAGCAAGATGGTCGGTCACTCCACTTTCCGAGGAGTGCATCTGGCCACCGCCGAGGGTCTCCTCGTCAACCTCTTCACCTGTCGCGGCTTTGACGAGGGGCGGACCTGCGAGGAAGATACGCCCTTGCTCTCGTACAATGATGTTCTCATCTGCCATCGCCGGCACATATGCACCACCTTCGCTACTTGTTAGTTTCGCACTCGGATATGGCCGCTTGTAGCCGTACCTGCGACTGATATGCCGTGAACAATGGCAATCTGTGGGATGCCCAGAGCAGACATCTGGGCCATGTTGTAAAATATACGACCAAAGTGCTCCTTGTCTGGGAAGACCTGGACCAGTGGGTTAGTCTCTTGAACCCGGTTTGTGAAAGACAGTCCTCACATTTGCTTGATGAGGCAACGCAGCTCCTCCAGATTCCACTACGCGGATGCATGCATTTAGTTGCATAGCCGTGAAGCTTACAAACCCACGCACCAACATAAACACATGGTAGGCCATGCTCTCTAGCGACTTCCTGAGCGCGGAGGTGCTTCTTAACCTACGCCATTGGATGGTGTGTAAGTGTATTTGCGATATGTCCGTATCGCACGTACTGTTAGCGGGTAATATGAGCCACCCTTTACGGTGGCATCGTTGACCACCACCACGCACTCCCGGCCGGATATACGACCAATGCCTGTGATGATCCCTGCTGCCGGAACATGTTCTCTGTACACTTCATGCGCCGCAAGCGGTGATAGCTCAAGAAATGGTGTATGGGGGTCCAATAGCAGAGCTAGCCTGACGTTCTCCTAAGCTTCAGACCATGACGAGAGATGGGGTATAGCACTAACCTTTCACGCGGTAGCTTCTTCCCTTTACTCCTCATGCGATCCGCCGCTTTCGATCCACCACCTTCTCTAACCTTGGCCAAGTTACCCTCAAGTTCGGCCACCAGAGAGTCCATAGACTCGGCCTTGGCCTTGAACTCCGGCGAGGCAGTCGAGATGAGCGAGGGGAGCACAGCGGGATGGTAGGACCTCCTCCCAACCGCTGCCAAGCTCCTCTGTGCGACTCGGATGGAGCCTGTCGCGAATCGCATGTTGTGAGCAGATCTCTAGAGCAAGCGGGCCAGTCCGAGCGCGATGAACAGTGTGCGGTACGTGGTCAGTGGAAGGGGTTTATATGTGCGTCCGCCCGGAACATGGACGCGGACGCGAGCCCGGAAGGTCAGCTGAGCAGACGCGACCCTGCGCGTCTCTTTCCCCCGCAATTCTGTGACGACATCGTCCTCAGCCAGTGTGTGTGATCGACCTCTGTCAGATTTATGGCGTTTGCACAAGCGTACAGAAACATCTCAAGGTGCTGCTGGACAATTCGCTCGAGTCTCATCGCGTCTCGAGAGTCGTCGCCGAGACCGTTCGAATGCGGGGTAAAGTGATCGGTGAAACCCATCCCGAAAAGGCAGGACATGAGTTTGGCGACGGCCGGCGCCTACACGCCAACTACCTCTCTGCTTGACGTCCATCTTCCCTATGAGTTCTCTTGCGGACGAGTTGCTCGCTGATCTCGAAGGTCTCTCCGAAGGCGAGGAAGAATTTGAGGACAATGCCGAGCAAAAGGAACCACAGCCCGAGGCGAGCGGGTCGTCTGCGGCAGCAGGCGTGAAGCGCAAGGCATCTGCATCGGACGACGAGATGTCCGACGTCGAAGGCGAGGAAGGCGAGGGCGAGGACCAAGAGGGTGCAATTGGAAGTTTAGTCTTGGAAGGAGGCATCAAGCCCGCAGAAGAATTGGACGCGGATGAGGTGCAGCGCATGGAACTGGGCAAGGTGGATGATGTCCGGAAAGTGGCCAGGTTGGAAGGAAGCAAGCGTATGAACGACATCCTCAAGGTATGTGGAAACGCGCCCTTTCAAAGCACTCTGCTCATAGCTCTACAGGAAATAGAGAAGTACCAGGCCAACCCCAGCACCACGGAGCAGATGTCTATGCCCACACATTCCAACCCCGAGTACAACCTCATTGTGCAGGCCAACAACCTGTCAGTAGATGTGGACAACGAGATCATGGTCGTGCACAAGGTATGTTCGTATGCTATATAACGTTCACCAAGCCGACCGCCGCTCCAAGTTCATTCGCGACCACTACGCACCAAAGTTCCCCGAGTTGGAACAATTGGTGACCGACCCTCCAATGTACATTCGCTCCGTCCGAGCACTGGCCAACTCCGAGGACCCGACAAAAGTCAACCTACAAGGCGTCCTGCCCCCTGCTATCATCATGAGTGTTCTCGTTACCGCGACTACGACCTCGGGACAGCAACTCCCCGACTCGGAGTGGCAAGCTGTCGGACGCGCGTGTGATCTCGCCGACCGCCTGGAGGAGGCGCGGAAGAAGGTATGTGGCCGCCCGCTAGTGCTGTGCTTTATTCTGACAATGACTGCACAGATTTTCATGTACGTCAGCTCACGAATGAATATTCTTGCACCCAACCTATCCGCTATCGTCGGTACCACCACAGCTGCGAAACTGCTCGGTGTTGCTGGCGGGCTGTCGGGGCTTGCCAAGATGCCTGCGTGTAACGTCCATGTACGTCCATTGTCTCAAACCTGAAACGCACTCGCGTTAACTGAATTCCGATTTATAGCTGCTTGGAGCGCAGAAGAAGATCGCTGCCGGATTCTCCTCAGTAACTCAACGGCGACACACAGGCTTCGTTTTCCAATCCGAGCCTGTGCAACAGACACCACCGGAATATCGCATGAAGGTGCAACGTACGGTCGGAGCAAAATGCGCTTTGGCTGCGCGAATGGACCTGGAGAGGTCGCGTAGAGATGGTACGTCGCGTTCCGCGTGTTCCACGTCTGAGACTCACACCCGTGCGTCTTCTAGGTGCCTACGGTCAACAACTCCGAGAAAAGATTGAGAAGCACATCGACCGGCTCGCCGCACCACCTCCGGGCAAGATTGTGAAGGCGCTGCCGATTCCCAATGACGGCCCGAAGAAGCGCCGTGGAGGAAAGCGGTATGCACGTTCCTCATTCCATGCTGTTGTCTCGATAATGACGCATACTTCTCCAGCGCACGCAAAGCCAAGGAGGCATACGCCCAAACTGAACTGCGGAAGCTCCAGAACCGTATGGCGTTCGGAGAGGCGGAAGAGGAAGTCGGCGCGTTCGACCAGACCAAGGGTCTCGGCATGATTGGCACTGGCAAGGTCCGGGCAGGCGTTGGCGAGGCCAAGAGTCGTGGTATGTACCGCTTCTCCGATCGTCGCTCTGTATGCGTGTGCTGATGACTGCCGTCCGCAGCGAAGTTGTCCAAGGCGAACAAGTTGCGCGTCGCCGCGCTCACAAAGGCTGCGCAGAGCGGCACGGCGACGTCGTCAGGAACGGCGACATCATTGACCGTTACTCCTGTTCAAGGTATGTTTTATCGTAATCTTGGGCTTGCTAATACTGACATCTCATGACAGGATTCGAGTTGACGAACCGGTCAGCCGCTGCGCAACGTGTGAAGGAAGCCAACGAGCGCTGGTTCTCGAATGGCACATTCTCCTTCGTTGGACAGAAGGGCACCAGCACACAGAAGTAGACATTCCTGCTCCACATTCTGTTCTATCCACGCGAACACAAGCAGGCTTCTTTATCATGACGCTAGTTAAGCTTTTAGAGGTGTATAATGCAAGACGGATACGATATGCGGGGTGCGTGAATAGAAGTACAGGGTGTCGTGAGGAAAGCATGCAACGGAAAAAATACGGGCTACTAGACTACTTTATGATGAGGGAGGATGGGCCGTGGCGACTGTTTCGCCCGTCGCTGCGCTCTGGGACACGTCGATGAAGCCAGCCTTCTTGGGGTCTCCGGCCTTGGTGCGCTTTGTCCGGTAATCCCGGATGGCAGAGCGGATGGCGTCCTCAGCAAGCACTGCGATGTACGGTGAGCATCTGGGGAGCAACATCATGGAGAGATAACGCACTGGAGCAGTGGAGCTTGACGGGCGGCAAGCACAACTCCTTGGCAATCTCAGTGTTCTTGATTTTTTCGGCCTCCTCCAGCGACAAGCCCTTGACGCGCTCGGTCATGTATGAGCTCGACGCGATGGCACTCCCGCATCCGAACGTCTTGAACTTGACGTCGGAGATGATGCCGTTTTCATCGACCCGAATCTGCAATTTCATGACATCGCCGCATCTGATGACGCGAATAGGGGTCAGCCCAACAGCGACGACGACAAAGGGAACAACGGCGAGGAACGTACGCAGGAGCACCGACGAGGCCCGTGCCGACCATAGGGTCGTTCTTGTTGAGCGAGCCGACCTGGAGGAGGGGGGCAGGTGAGTTATCTGATAACCCGAAAACATACGAGAGTCGAGGCTGGTCGAGACGTACGTTTCTGGGCTGCTCGTAGTGCGAGATGACTTTCTCGTGATATGCGCGGGCCAGAACAGGCCTGGCGGCGAGCCTGCTCGCGCGGGGGGACGCGTTAACGAGGGACTTTGCGATTGTCGAGCGGAACATGGTCGTTGGTGGTGAAGGGGTGGTGGGAGCTGGGGGCGACTGCGAGTGGGAGTTGACTCCGGCCGTGCGTCCGCGTCGGCCGTGTATAAGCACGGCTCCTCTCCGCCAATCCGCCCACGTGGCGCCACCACCGTAACGTCACGGGTCACGTGTGCGGCGTGACGGCGCTAGACCGATCGCGGTCGCGACTCGCGCGTGCGTCACCGCTGCTTAGCTAAGCCGAATTTCCGGATTGGAGGTGTCGTCACTGTTGCCACTCTGGGGCGTGTCGCACTTGCGTCCTCCTCTCTCCCTTCCGCTTTGACCTCTGCGCACCTTCTTCATTGTCCTCGACCGCAGCGCCCGCGAACACAATGGCTACCCCCACGCCCTCGAGGCCACCATCTCCGCCGACCATGCGCCGGAGCGACAGCAGCTCCGGCGTGTTCTCCATCCCATTCGAACGGTTCAAACGCGACGACATATCAGACTGGGCGAGCGGGTTCACGCTGCTAGGTGTGTGGCCACCGCTTTGATGTATAGACTGCATTTTGACGCGTCGAAACAGACACCATGGAGACCTACTTTGACTCCCACCTCGATCTCCTTCAGCGGAATCTCGCTAAGACCAGTGACCGCCTCAAGATGCGCGCGGAGGAAACGCTGAACGACATCAAGAAAGACGTGTTAAAGGATGGCAGGTTCAAGATCATGCCCTCATCTAGCGTGCAACTCGAGCGCGACCTTCAGAGATACAAGTTGAAGGTACGAACGTGCGAGCGGACACGTTCGGGCCCTGTTCCTGACACATATGCTCTGTACAGGTTTCTCAACGGCTGCTCACAATAACACAGACGTGGCACTCCGCAAAGGTCATCCGCACTCGGGAGAAGGTCACGTTCTTCCTGGCGGTCATGTCTCTCCTTGTCACAGCCCTACTCTTTGCGATGGCTCCCGAGTATGTTCATATTCAAGCTCCACTGTATACCCTCTTATCAAGGTGTTCATAGATGGATTCACGTCGCGTATTCCGTCCAAGCCGCATACTATCTGCCTCTACGCGTATACATGTACAAGAAACGTGCCTGGCACTATTTCCTCTTCGACCTGTGCTACTACTGCAGCGTCCTCGACTTGGTCTTTATCTGGGTCATGCCCGACAGCTCCGCGCTCTTCGTCGCATGCTACTGCCTATCTCTCGGGTCACTCGCCAGCGCAGTAATCACATGGAGAAATAGTCTTGTCTTCCATGATTGGGATAAGGTTACATCGCTGTTCATCCATATCTATCCGCCTCTCGTCTTCTCCGTCATCCGGTGAGCTTTGCTGCATGTTTGCGCGCCGGACTCAACTCACATCATGACAAGGCATTGGTACCCTGGCGCTCAGGAACGTTTCCCAGCGCTTCGAGACGTGCCAAAGCTGCAACCCTTCAAGGCACTGCTGCTGAGCGCTATACTTTGTACGGCGTCCCTATCATTCACACTGTATCATGTGTTAATCTGACTCTCGCCTTGTAGACCTCATCTGGCAACTTCTTTACTGGAAGGTGTGCTACTTTTGATTGGCGCATCGGCGATTATGCTCACTCAATCTCTAGTATGTATTGATCGACCGCCGTGCGAAGGTCCAGTCTGGACAAAGAATCACGTCCTTCACCTTCCTCCTCAACGATAAGCGAGGTGCCATCGGCCGTGCCCTTTCAAGAGTACCGCCACAGTATCGCGAAGCTTCATTCATGCTTGGACAGTTGGGTATGTATAACCTTTGCAACGAACACTGGCACCCCATTTATCCTTGTGTTTCACAGCCTACTCAGTCATCACTGAGCTGCCTGCCGTCTTCGTCTTGTACGACAGCGCCTTCTGGAGCGCCGCATATATTCTCCTGCTCTTTGCGGTGAGCGTGTGGAACGGCGGAGGGTTCTACATCGAAGTTTTTGGTCGCAAGTGAGTGTCATGTGAGGACAATGTACAACAATCAGCACTAACCACATCGTGCAGGTTCGAGCGGGAGCTTGAGGCTTTGCGCAAGGAGCTCGCGGAAGTCACTGCAAGATCGGAGCGGTCAAGCCCAACGTTCGGCCCACAGAGTGACGACGATCTGACCGCTGTGTCTGTGTCACCCAACCTTACCCACAAGACTCTGTCTCCTTCCCTCTCTGAGGTCGAGCTCCCACAACAGGCCACGGGCGAGCAGCAGACGCATAACGGCGATGCTCACTAACACGCGGCCGCCTCTGATGACTACGACTATCTTCACGACTATTGGCTGTATCACGAAGTTTACGACTTGTACTGCACTCCTCGATTTATTATTACCTCTATCTCCCCCTCCATATACGCACCTTCTCCCGCCGCCCTGGCGACTCCCGTTACGACGGAAACTCGTTCCACATATGCCTCCTTAACGCAACTTACGGTACCGTGTTGTATAGTTACCCATACCTCTCTAGTCCCTTGCTCGTCAGAGCAAGGATCTCCACCCTCATACGAGGGCCTCAAAACCGTGCGCTACGTCATTGCTGACCAACTTGTGCGCCAGGCTTCTCGGCCCGCGCGCCAGGTGCGTTATTGCGGCCCGAGCCTCTTCATGCTCATTCCTCCGACACCACAACTCTGTTTACCGCTCTACAGTGTCGGACGTATAGTCTGTACGTTCACGTCTACGAGACACGACCTCGCGTGGTCACCAGGGACACTCATCATACAAGGAACGAGCCGTAAGGTTTCTAGTACTTGCTTAATGGTGATTAATTATACGCCGTCCATACCGCCATATATGATCAAACTTTCGTAGATCGACTGGCAGAAAACGGTGGGTTTCTGAGACTATCTACAATGAAATTGCACGCGCCGTCTTCGAGGTGCGTCAGTCCTCAAATGCCGAGATTGATCACAATTTATGAACTAACAAGCACCCCGTATGTATAGCGAATCAACAAGGACATTTGAATCACCGATGCGGCTGTCGATAGTAGAATGCAGACGGGATGCCGCAAGTATACCGTGCCATTTGATACCATTCGTGCCGAATGCGCCGGCAGTGAGTGTGCAGACGACGACGATGGTAAATGACCACGGCGTCTTTACGACACTTCTCTATGCCCATCCATCACTGTGTCTTACGACTTGTACACTAACGGCGAGCCCAAGTACGTTATCTGCCCATCTTCTACACCCCAAGTCATGTGCTAATACGTATGTTCAGTAGCAAGATCACCGACCAGTATCACTCAGTGAGGGGAAACGTCACCGAGACGACGGACGACCGACAAGCCAACGGTCGTTGCCCCTTCGACGCAGTCCGACAAGGGGAACATCTTGAGTAAGGCCGAGCACAAGGCCGCCAAGGCCAATGGATCTGTGCATCGCACTAGGGACTGCATTGGAGGACAGAAGCCGTTCGTCGCCGGGGCCGTCACCGGCGGCCGCTGGCAAGAGACAAAGGTATGTACTAGTGCTTCTCGAATACCGTTGCTGACACATATATATTCCTCCAGGCACCAAACATCATCTCGAGGCGAGGCAAGGCCTAGCGCGAATTCGGCGAGAATATCTACCAGGTGGCCTGAAACCACAATCCGTCAGCTAAGACACCCGTCAGGCTTGCTGAGGAAGAACTGGTTTGTCGTCCTCGTGAGCTGTAGAATACGGTCCTCGCTTATCCAACGCCGCCACCCCGCTACATCCTCTCAGAAAAGACATCAACACGGGAATTTTAAGCACAAGAACATGCCGAAAGCAAAAGCGTCAGTGTCGCAGCGTCAGCAAGTATCAGATCCTCCATCTCTGCAGAATATAGCTAAGTAATGATCTCTCGTACTACCGCTAACAATCAACAAAAAAGTATAAGTATTTACACCCTCATACTTGCGAGTTTATCTCTTCAGTTATTCTTCTATCATAAATAAAATCAACCAGCGACGAGCAAGGGAAGCGCCACTGCAGGCGCCGTTCGAGTTAGACATACCGCCCCTTGACGCGGCCGGCCAGTTATCCGCATGTCCCCCTGGGCCGACGATGTTGATGCACGAGGGTTTATGTCCATCCGCCTACTGCGACCCCACCATTACCTGAAAGGTTTGAGCGAGAGACGCAACGGGTCGAACCTCGTCCATCGCGTTCCGTCCTTATCCGCAAACGCGATGTCCAGCTCATGCAAGTCTAGCGCGAGCTGCGTATACCGAGATACGTGATAGGCAGACCTAGAGGGCGTGAGCATCTCGACGAAAGCTTCGCGACTGCACAAGGCGCGCAAGGTACTCACTCGTGCATGGGCCATTTCATGTCGAAGATGCGAAACTCCTCCAGCGCAGGAAGCTTGTGCCTGAAAACTTTGAGGAAGCCGACGAAGGCGTTCCATTGTTTCCACTCCTCTTGGGGCTTCCCCGGGATGCTGAAACAGAGCCGGTGAGCATGCTCTGAAGCGCTCCAATATGACACGACATACCCGATTATGAACGATGGACACACTACTCTTTTGAGGGCTGCATGTGGTGCGGATTCTGCGACGAACGGCACGTTCTCAGGCTGCACCAAAGTTTCAGACACGTATGAAGAGCGGCGGCACGCCAGTACGCCACTCACCAAATCGACAGAGCATAGCTGCAGCTCCGTGATGTTGGGACAGAGAGACAGCAGAGGCGGGAATTCGCCACCGCTTTGCCCATGCGGCGCAAGAACGTTCAGATTCGTACCGTGGATTTCTAGGAATGCAGATACATCCTCGGCGTGTTCGGTGCTGAAGGCAAGCTCGCGCAAGCGGGGCAGCCTATGGGAATGATGGTCAGTGAGCATCTCATGCGGTAGGGTCGGCAACGGCGTACCCCATAGAACCGAAAAGCTGAAACAGTTCTGGGTCTGCGCTGACCAGATTCAAGTACTCGAGCTGTGGCAGTGCATCGTGGTGCGTATCGTCGAGGTCTGCGCCACGTCCTCCTTGGATGGCGAGCTTCCGCAAGTGCGGGAAGTTACGGAAGTGCGAAGGTGCGATGCAGAGTGTGCTAGGGAAGGACTGCACCGCGTCCTCCAGCCAGGCCGTCTCTTTGGCGGGGATACGCTCGTGGATGCCCAATAAGACGTGTATACGAATGTCCGTTGCGTGCACGAGGTTGACGAGGGGAGCGGAGATATTTAATATACCCGGAACAGGGACGTCTCTCCGGAAACATAGCACGCGAACCAGCTTCGCAAGCTCGGGGAACGATTCAACTTGAGCTGCGAATGCGGATGCCGCCTCGTAGGTCGATAAATGGGGAGAAGAGTAAAGGTGTGGGAGACCTAAGCGCTGGGTACAACCGTTGAGCTTGAAAGCGAAGTCGTGTAACACATGACTGCTCACATAGAACCGCTTGCTAACAAGCACGACGTGCCGGCGCGTCACATTAACGTGCTCCTGTTCCGATAGACTCACTAGCTCGCCGTCCATGTCGAGATAGTTGTACCCGTGCACGTGGGTGGCATACCCGAGAACCCGAGACCAAATATCATCTGGGAGCGCCAGGAGGGCACCATTGGGAGGCGATTGATTCGCGTGCGGTATCGAAAGGTCTATCCATGGCGTCATACTAGAACAAAGGCAAACGCGTCAGCGAAGGTCCTCAAGCCAGATAAGTGTCGTACTGACTTGTTTCCCTCCCCGAGGACGAACTTCTCGCGAGGATAAGGGGGTCTGTTTAGCTTCCAGTTCAACCATTTGACGCCATCTCGGATCTGAATCACTTTGACGGAAGGATTCTTGATCACGTAGTCGAGGGTGATGCTTTGGATGTTGTGCGTGGCCGTGTAAGTGGTCATGCTGACTTTTCCCAGGGCGGGCACGTCTTTCAGCGGCAACACCATAGGGTTCCAGAATATGAACTCCGGACTGGCGACGATTTGTGTCTGCGACAGCGGAGGTCCGTCGTCATTAGACACTGTCGAGAGAGTGCCGCCATGATGAGCCTACCAGATTTGTCCAGCTTGTCACCGCCCCGCCGACCGCCGCGTACAACGACTGCGTGTTGTCTTGGGTCGCATGCCCGCCGGGGGTAGATTGCAGGAAGAGGCAGATGGGATTTATCCGTTGCAGCGCGCGCTTGAAACGGGCGGAGGTATCGTCGAGAGAGATGTCGAACCCGAGGAATAAACTGACGATACCCGGAGAGTCCCCAAGGATTTGGTGGAGGTGGTGGTGGTACCCGCCTTCGACACGCAGACGACGGAGGTACGCGCCTCGCTTTATGCCCCTCTCGTTGGTCTTGTGTACCGAGCGAGCAAGCCCTCGCACCTGTGCTTTGGTGCGCAAGATGGCGGCCTCGTAGAGTGCAGGTATGGCGAGTTCGCACCAACGTTTGGAGACCAGCAAGACGTTCATCGCGGTCGAGCGAGTGTTCCCTGCAAAAGCCGCTGGGGTACTCCATGACTCGAATGTATTCGCCGACATTGTGACAGCCTGATGCAAGATAGCTTCTAGGATTTCGTTCGGGATGTTTTCTGTCATGACGGAAGGTCTGTCGTAATGGCTGTGGGCAGCTGTAGCACGGGGAGGAGAAACTGCCCAGTAGAAGATGTGGAGTTCGCGGTGTCTGTTGTTCTCATGCGACGACAGAGATGCTGGAGTGAGTCGGGATTAGTATCGCTGGAGTCGCAGAAATGGCGATAGTCCTGTACGTACATGCAGTCAAAGCCCCGTGATTGAACCCTTGAGTCTCTCGGTCGCCGTGTGTTGGCCGCTCAGTGTGGATATCCTCAAAGTTCTTTGCGATGAGTAGATAAGTCATAGAAGACGCATAATGCTATATTCTCTTATAGCCGCACAATCGACGGCAGCCTGCAGCTGTCCAAGACTTACCTCGATCAAGAAAACCCGTAAATGACAATAACGCCGCCAATACTGAGAATGGTTGAGAGTTGAGTTGATTGAGCATACATGTTAGTGCACTGTACAGAGGCAACTACGGATGCTTCGTACCTGAGCACAGACGTCTGCCGGGAAGAGACGGAGGAGCGCTCGGCCGTCGGTGATGAGCGGGTCCGAGGAGCTGTGGTGATTGGCCCGGATAGACGCCTGATACGCAAAACGCAGCGATTGGGCAGACGGGAGCGGTGCTGTGCCAGACGCTCTGGTCTGTGATTGGCCGCTTGCGTGGTTCGCCTGTCCGTCGCGCGGCGCAACAGCGAAGACGGAGCACGCAAATTTCCCGTTCCGTCCGCGATCGAAAACATATCTCCCTCCTCGGCCCTGGCGCGTTCTTCCCACGCTGCTCTCTCCCCCGACCACCACCACTCCTCCGCCGTCCCGCCTGCCCGCCGTCATGTCTCTCCTCGCCCGCTCTGCTGCTCCCCTCCGCCAGGTCGCTGTCCGCGCGCGTGCGGCGCCTGTGCGTTCCATGCACGGCGAGTACAAGGTACGCTCGCTCAGACGCGCTATGACGTGGACGAACCGCTGATGCGGCACACAGCACATTCCTTTCAACTACGACAAGAAGGGTGTGTTCGGCGCCAAGGTCGTCAGCTACCTTGTCTTCGGCTTCAGCATCCCCTTCGTTGCTGCCTACTACCAGCTGTACGTCTTCCGTATCCTCCCGATGATCATATCTTTGGGCGCTGACGGCAAATGTGCAGGAGCAAGTCTTCCGGCTCGGCATAGAGTCCCATGGTTATGCACATACCATAGACTTAATCTGCTACCCCCGCATTGTCCTAGAAATAGACGACATCCACTTGTAGAAACATCATTCGGCGGGCGTGGTCCCGTTCTCATTGAAGCAAACGCAAGAATACCGCACACGAGCACTCTACTCCGTCGTCTCGGTTGTGTCCATCGTCTCCTCTACTTCCCCGGCCCCATCCTCTCCTTCGGTCGCCTTGCGGGCTTGCTTCTTGGTGGATTCTCCGGATACACAGTCGCAGATGCGCCATAGTAGCTCCGGGTTGTTCCCCAATGCATCGAGCGCCGCCAGTGACACTTTGCGCGTTGCAATAGCGGCAGTCGGGTCTGTCGCACTCGCAATGACCTGTCCGTGCACATGGACTACGCTCTGCAATCAGCCGCACGCCTTGCCATTGACCAAGAACGGTACTCACCCTCCATATGCACAAGCGCATTCTGGCGGTCCTGAGGCAACTTCACCACCGCATGCTGCCGACAGCCCTCAGCCTGCAGGAGCTCAAGCAGCGTCACCTTCGGGTTCGTCGAGAGCGTCTGCAGCCGGACGTGCGCGTCCATGAACGGCTTGAACACCGCGTCGAAGAAGCGGCCGACCCCGACCTCGAAGAAGCCGTCACACACATACAGCGCGCCGAGGATGCTCTCGACGAGGTCCGACAGGCACTTGGGCGGCTCGAGCGGCAGGTCGAGCCAGTACTGGCCCGGGAGCCGCTGCTCGCGCGCGACGGCCTCGTACTCCTTCTCGCGCAGCTCGGTGAGCGAGGTCACGTAGCGCTGGATCGAGTCGGCGAGCTGGTCGGACGCGAAGTGCAGGTGCCGGTGTAGACCTGTGGTGACGCAGAAGGCGGCGAGCGCGCGGTTCGAGACCATGCCGCCTTTCAGTAGCGTCAGTCCGCCTGGGGAGAGGTGCGGGTGGCGCTGGAAGATGTGTCGCGCGACAACTGAGGGAGAGAGAGAGTCAGTTTGCACCATTGACCTTTGGATAGACAGACGTACGGAAGTCGAGGATCGCATCGCCGATGAACTCGAGTCTTTCGTAGCTGGCGCCCTCACTACTTCCGAACGCCGATCCGTGAGTCTGCAGGAAGGCTTGTGAGTGTCACTGCGCAGAGCACGAGTGGAGACGACGTACGAGGGCCTGAGCGAGCAGCTCGGGCTTGCTGAACACCGACCCGACGATGGCCTGCACGGCCTCGACCGTATCATCCAGTACGAACGCCCCCGCCGCGCCCGCGCCCGCGTCCTGCTCACCCTGCTGCGCGCCGATGCGCGTGAAGTCCGTCCATTGCGCGATGTTCGGCAGCGGGATCTGCAGCCGACGCGCCGCCTGCAATGCGCCCTCGTGTCCCCCAGACAGGAACGCGGCGGCGAGGATGGCCTCCACAACATCCGCGACGACCTGTGGCGCGTCCCTGCGTGAGCGCCAGCGAGTGTGCGGGGAGCTCTCGGTCGGGGTACGCACCTTGTCGCCCATCCAGAGCCTGTTTTGCGCGGAGAGCTGGCGCTCCTTCTTGCTCTTCTTCCGGTTGCCCTTTCCTTCCCCGCCGTCACCTGTACCTTCACCGTCTGCCATCTCGACATCCTCATTCGGCTCCGTGGCGGTAGGTGCGGGGATGTGCGGTGGCTGCCAGAGCTTTGCGACGAAGCGCTTGTGCTGGACGAACGGGCAGATGCCGACGCGCATCGCGCACTCGTGCAGGACCTTGTTCCCGATGATGCTTTGCCGCACGTTGTGCAGCGTGCCCTCCCCGGCGGTCGGCATCGTCACGTACAGGAAGTTGGAGGCGATAACCTTCAAGAATGCGTCACCTGGGATAGCATGTTTCAATGAGTATGAGTTTCACATATAGCTAGAAGAGATTGCATATAGACATAGGCATGGGATGAAATGGCTCACCGAGGAACTCAAGCCGCTCGTAGTTGAACTCGGTCCACGCGGCACGGGTGGAGAGCGCGATGAGGAGTTGCTGTTCAGATATACTGTGGTGGAAGAGCTTCGCATCGAGCTCCTTGACAAGTAAACAGCTGTCGACCTTCGTCATGACGGATGGCAAGAGCCACAATGTGCGGAAGGTGCTGCACCAAGAGTTAGCATATAGCCTGGGTCTACTACCTGTATGGAGCGACGTGCCTAGCGGGGATTGTGAACTTATATGTAAGTTCAGGAATGAGATCTGTACATGCATTAGCTCAACCCGTTTGATGGGAAACCGCAGATACTCACACTTCAGCGGAGCCTTGGCGGGAGGTGTCGGAGGCGTAGACATGGGGTGCAGGTTGTTGATCACCGCAGGAACTGCCGACACCTCGATCATGGGCTGTTTCTCATCTTCCAAGCCTGGGAAGTCCTTTCTGCGCGCTTTGCAGTATTCGAGGAAACTTGGGAACTCAGCTTCGCGCTATACCCCAGCATCAGCAAACTATCCTGACGAGGTCCAGTATGTGAAAGTGGGACGAACCGGACTGTCCTCGGCTTTGCTCAAGGGCGTCAGGTCGTGCCGGACCGTGACAAGGAAATGCCGCATCGTGAACTCCACGTTTCGGTCCTGAACGATCGCATCCCGAGCATTGTCATCCAGAGCAGTCAGGCTGTTGAACAAGGGCACCGCGTAGTAGTCCGCAGCGAGCTGTACAGCGTCCCAGGGAATATGTTTCGCTACAGGCTGCAGGCCTTGCACACCAGGGAGTGGCTGCCACGGTGCGTTGAGAGGGGCGAAGAAGGACAGCAGACTCTCCGACGTGCACTCAAAGGGCTTGTTGGTCAGGGAGCGTACGACGCGGACAGTGTAGCCGCGCAGCGCGTGGAGCTGTCCCGAGTTGACTTCAAAGGGTGCGCCTGGGTAGAAGCGGACTGTCGCTCGCGCGCCGCTGAAGAAAAGCAGGAACTCTGACATTTGAGGGAGGGGCGCCCGCGTGAGGATCGCAACTGGGGCGTGAGGCTCGCCACCGAGGTTCTCTGGCACGACCACCGTGGGGTACAGCGTCGTTACGGGATATTTCGACGAGTTGGTCCAGAAGTCGGGCGATTTGCGTGGGTAGCCATGGATCGCAGCAGAGCTGTTCGCAGTCTTGACATCTTGGGGTGCGTCGCTGTCCGCCACTTGAGTGGCGTCGGGTGGCTGCCATAGGGGTTGAGGAAAGTGCTGGTAGCTCATGAGTCCGCTCCGGACGCTTTCTTCGCAAGCCTTGTAGAAGGCTTCGCGTCGGGCCTGCGTCTTCGTTGGGCAGTACGGTCCAACCACGCCAGGAATACCAAAGCTCGTTGGTAGTGAGATGGTGTAGCGGTAACTCTGTGCACCTTGCCCAGGTTTCCGTTCAAGGGATACTGAGGGCAAGTCTTGCGTCGCGCCAGTGGGATCCTCGAAACCAGCAACTAGTCGATGTATGGCTGCTTCTGCCTCGGACTTGTGGAGATGGGCACTTGTTGTTGGGTCCAGCACGAACTCTCCATCCTCTTCTTCGCCGTCGCTATCAGAGAGACACGGTTCCAAAGTGGTGTGCGTAGTGCTGGGCGGCATGTGTTTGCTATCCCCACCAACGAAGCCCGCAATCCAGCCCCGCAAGTCTGCGTCAACCATTTGTACACGTGTCAAGATTTTCCGCTGCTCGTTGTTGCCTTTTTCGATGAGGAAGAGCATATGACTGTGTCTGCCTTTGCCGCGGGCGTGACAGTGTGCGTAAGTCAGTTGATCCTCGAAGAGGTCAAAACTGTACATCCAGAGCATCATTAGTGTGGAGCATTATACTTACGCTTTGATTGCAAATCATACCTGATAACCGTGGAAGCGGGTGGAAATTCGATATCCGCTGTCGTTCGGGTCAATACGAGGAGGTTGTACTGACCACCGCCGAACGCGCGAGTCAGGTTGAGCTACGATCAAGTTAGACGTCGCGTTCGATTAGCACGCGGAAATAAATTATCCCACCTGGTAGCTAGGGTCACTTGCGGCAGCATGTTCGACTTCGACTGCTCGAATGAACGGGAGCCCAATTTCTTGTCTTTGCAACAACTTCGACAAGGTCCTCGCAATCGCCCTGTCCTTGACTAGTGAATGGAGCCTATATAGGTCTTCGAGCTTGGACACCATGCACGGACAGACTTACCGAGAACAACGCCGCGGAAGCCGCTTCCGGATCCATCATAGCTTGACAGTACTTCGACGAGCTTTGCCAGTTTCGGGGTGATGTTACACGCGGGTGAGCTCAGAGACACGACCAAGGTACCGTCAGACCAGTGTTTCCGTAGCTCAGCCAACTTTTGCCGGATTGAATTGTTGCTGTCGAAACCAATGCCGCCTCTACCTGTCGAAATTTCCAATTCGTCGACAGTGTTCCTCCAAAACATGTTGCAGGCGTAAGGACCAAGCTGCTGAAGAACCCGGCGTGCCCTCCGGAAGACACTGGGTCGCAGCAGCAGACCATCCGGATCAGCATCCCGCATGCTCATAGCCACAGAGTCAGGCACAGCTGGGCTGTATGCGTCGTACTCAAGCACAAGCTCTAGAGGACCAGACCAAGCATCGACAGTTCTCGACGCAAGGAAATATGAACTGGCGTTGAATGAGATCTCCAGCCGTACGAGATCCAAAGAGGCCCAGCGGTCGGGGGCGCTAGTGAGTGTCGCCAGAACCCGGGGAGCGTCCATTATTTTCGCGTAATAGTCAGTCATGATTCGCATGACGGGGTGAGGGATCTGTAATGGCATCAACCTCTGTGCATCGCTGACGACTATCATGTGGGCTTGAGGTATCTTGACGTTGCCGTCCGCGAGGGAGTCGAGTAGCAGCTGCCAAATGTTCAGCTGTAGCGTTTTGTGGAGGATGAGTAGACGAACATACATTAGCAGCGACGATGATCACATCGTTGTAGACGACGCTCGGCCACTCATTCACGCTCGAGGTGTGCAATGCAACCGTATAAGCCGCTACCGTGAAGTCTTCGTTCTCTAGCTCAGCGGAATACTCCGCAATAGAGGTGTTGTCACTAGGGGCACCATCAGACCTCGGATGTCGTGCATATATGGAAAAGTTCTCACTCAACAACGAATAGGACGAAGCGGTGACTCTGTGTCCCGTCGGCTCCCCGTTGAGCCTTGTGTGTGGCGACACTTTGTCCAATGAGATTGCGCAGAACATTCCGCTTTTCTGTAAGCATTGTTGGTATGAGCCGGTCAAAATAATCACGCATGACGTACGTTCTTGGCTCTCTACGACGGCAATGACTGGAGGTGGGCGAAAGTGAATGAGAGATTCACGCTATCCCATACTAGCCAACACGTACCATTCTGTTCACCGAGTTTGGCAAAGGCCTCTTCTGGTGATATCACTGGGCGTGGAAGATCACTCATGGCTTGCGCAGAGAGAGACATGCCGCCGGTGGCTGCGGCAGCGGGGTGGCCAACTTGAAGAATCTCGAACTTTCGCTTTTTAGCGGGATGTTCGCTGTCTTCCGATAGCCTTTTGCTCCCGTTCACAGTAGGTGTATCTGCGCTACCCTGTGATCCAGAGCCAGTTTTTTCGGATGCTTGTTTCCAGATATTCAGCATAGGATGACCGGAGTACGCGTTGTGGCTGCAACGGCCCGTTATGATCCTGTCAGAGACTCTGGGGCACGGGCGAGTCTATTTTTGAGGTCAAATTTGGCATATCTGTTAGTGGATATACTTCTCTCGTAATCTTGGAGGTCCGTATCACGTACAGAAACGTACGGTGTCCAGCACACTGTTGGACGGGTGCTTCAAGGTGCAAGCGTGGACGTTCGAACAGGCGCTCATACCGCCACCTTCGAAGTACTTGTACACGCTGATGGCGCTTAATTGGTCTCGCAGCTCGACACAAATAGTACTGGCGGGAATAGCACCTCTTGTACTACGAGAATAGCTTTGCCTACGCAACGAGGTGGGACAGACATAATATTTCAATGTGACGGGAATAGGATAGGATAGTGTTTCAAGACGTAGGTGGTTGCTCTTGGAGGAGGAGATTAGATACACACACGGTACCGTGAATACATAAAATATCTGTACGAGCATGTCGTGCGACATATCAACACGGAGGCTACTCGGACATAGCTTCCTCCAACAGCTCTTCTTGATGGCGTTGCTGCAGGGCACTGATAAAATCCTGCAGCCCGTCGCCCTCCATAACCATAGAAAGGTTATTGACAGACATGCCTATCCTGTGGTCAGTCACTCGGTCCTGTAATACGTGAGTAGTGTTCGCAGTCGATAAAGTAGTATTGAAGTCCTACCTGAGCGTAGTTATATGTCCGGATTTTCTCGCTCCGGTCTGCACTGCGGACGAGGTTCCGCCGGAGAGCTCGTCGGTCGAGCATCTCCTGATTGAGCTTGCGGTCCATAAGACGTGCCCTGAGGATTTGAAAGGCTCGCCGTCGATTCTGCGCCGTATATAAGAACCCCGTCAGGGCATTTGACAAGCAAGAAACGTACCTGGTGCTGGCTGCGTTCGTCTTGCATTGATACGCTGATACCCGTCGGTATATGTGTCAACCGGACAGCAGATTCTGTTTTGTTAACGTGCTGTGGAAATACAGGTCAATTCTCGTACGCATGCTCGTGCAGAACATAACTCACCTGGCCGCCGGCGCCTCTCGCTCGCATCACTTCCAGCTTGATGTCTGCCATACTGAACAAGTCGTCCTCCGCAGAGCTTGACTCGGCTTCTTCAGTCAGCGGGAGCACCTATGTATCGCGTGAGCTCCCACAAAAATTGTAAAAGCGGCGGCGGCACCTCACCATGACCCCAACCGTGCTCGTGTGCACCCGGCCTTTTGCCTCTGTCGCAGGTACTCGCTGCACTCGATGCACGCCGCTCTCGAACTGCAATGCGTCATATACGCCCTTTCCCTTGATCTCCATGATCGCATCCTTGGTCCCCCCAGCCTCCAAGTTGTTGCTGCTGATCATGCTGACGTCCCACCCATTTGCCTGTGCAGCGCGGGTATACATTCGCACAAGGTCCGCCGTGAAGAGTGCAGACTCCGAGCCGCCGACGCCTGCTCGGAGCTCAATGATGGCGGAGAGGTGTGCGGTTTCGGAGGTGTGGACGAGGAGTGATGGGAACGTAGTTTCGACCAGGGTGTTAAGGCTGTCGGACAGCATGGCGTAGTCCTCCTCTGCCATACTTCGCATATCCGGGTCCTCGGTTTTGAGTAGGTCTCCAGTTTCCTCTAGAGCCTACTGCCAACCACGTGGTCAGAACACGGCGGAGGCAGTATAAGTCCGTACAGACCTGTTTGGTTTTGTTCCATTCCATCCAGGCATTCTGCAACGGTTCTAGCTCTCTGATCTTTCGGACGCGACTGATGTCCTCCGCGGATAGCGCGTCTTGCGAAAGCTTGAAAAGACTATAAGCAAACACTACCTAAGGAGAACATAAAGGCGGCGTACTTCAGACTGCAACTTGTGCCGTTCCTCGACCTTTCTCTTAACATATTGCACTATTGGCGGATCTTGTGTATTTGACGTTGATGCTACCTGTGACGGCGCGTTCGCAAGGATGATCTTGCTCGTCTGAAAGCCTCTCGCTGTTCCAACTTGTCGTAGCGCGTGCAGCCTAGAGATGGACCGGAACATAGAGTAGAGGAGAAACTTGTGGTGATGGAGGCAAGCTCGAAGGAGGTGGCACGAAAGTTCGGACGCGCCGTCAGTCCGGCATCCGGCGCGCTTTCTCCGAGACACGAGCGCCTATGGATTGCCCTGCGCAGCGACCACCGCCCGAATGGGCCACTTGGGGTAAGTGGCGGTCTAAGACCGCAACGCCGATTCCACCTCTGACAATGTTATTGTCTTTGTGATCGTTTGTTACTCAATTGTTGTTACTTATAGTCGGCTTTCACATTATTGACTTCTTCGTAACGGGCTCAAGCTCGGCAGTACAGAAGTGTAAGGACGGATCATCAAAGTGTATAGCGGCGATAAGCGAACGATAACAACAGGGCACACAGCACGAAAGCGATTACAAACACTCGAGCACGTCACGTAGTAAGTAGCTACCGAACAGGCGTACGCGTAGCACGATACGGGGCGTACATGCGGGTCTCCATTTGGACGAATGGCTTGGAAGGAGGCGGAAGAAGGCTAAGAAGGTACGGAATGTGAACGCAAGGTTGGGGAATGTGAGCGCGTGAGCGGCGTAGACCGTGGTAGGCGTTCTGTTAATCATGCGAGTGAGATTCATAGGGCGCGACTGATAACAGGATCAAGGTACGCACATTCTATACCATTGCCAAGTTCGGAAGCTTGATCTCCTCGTCGGTGCGAACCTCCTCCACATCGACGTGAATCTCCATGCTACTGTCCCTGACGTCATCGCTGCTGACAGCGGCGGGAAGAGCTATCGGTCGCGCGCTTCTCACGTATCGATCCGGGATCGGGTCGACGCGCGAGTATAGACCGCGGATGAAGTCGACGAGAGCGAACTTGTTGACCTTGGCGCGATGAATAGGGATTTGGACGTAGCACACCCCGTGCACGAAGCTCTTGCCGAAAGCTAGGTACTCGACCACGACGTCGCCACGGACGCGGACGGGGCCGAGGGTGATGGCGTACATGGATTGGTGCGACTCGTTCCCGAAATGAAGAAGCAGACGTGCGCCTGTTCCAACCTTTTCCACGTGAGCGGGAATGAAGGTGACGTAGAACGTGTCGGGCAGGTCGTCGTATCCACTGGCGCGGAGGGATACCGTGACTGACAGGCGTCTGGGAGTGAAGGGGCTGGATTGGCTGACGGCAAACTGCATGGTAGGAGCGCGTAATGAAGGAGGGAGAGAGCGGACTGGAGTGGAGAGTGAGGTGGTCGGCGAGATGGAACTGAAGGTCGCGTATCTTTTATAGTTGGATATGCACAGCGGACATGGTGGCCAAGCTAGTGTGGGAGACTCCTCAGAGAACTACGCGCAAGGATACGCGCCATTATGCGATATTTGTAACCGACATACAGGGCGTCGAGGTGCGACGGGGCATCGTAAGTGTCAAGATCGTAATACACATCGTCGGGGTGAACACCGAAATGATTATCCGACGCGATGGCTGCCGGATCGGGCGCCCGGCGACTGCCGCCCGCGCACAAGCGCCAAAGCCAATACATCATCTGCACTCATGGCTGTGTGACTGAGTTTGAAATCTCATGCAGCAGACATTATCATGCGGGGGCGGCGACCAAATATCAAAATCAGGAACACTGACTCTGCCTCCGACGTACTTCATTGCTGCATACGTATCTCAAGTTGATCAATCATTATACCCTGAACGATACCCAGCGCGAGCGATAAGTAGATTACAGCGCGACGTGCAGACGCGGATCGGTATCAGAAACAGAGTAAAACAGGCCGGTCTGGGGTGGCGTGCTATTCTATCTACCCGTTCGGGGGCGCAAGACATACGGAATGGTTGCGGGTTATGTAAGCCGATATATATAAGGGCATGCTGTACGGCAACGCCATCAAACCCCCGTACGCAGCATGCTTCTGAACTCTATGGTGTGTAGTACCGATTTCTTTCTGTCCACAATGGACAATAAACTGAGCAAATCACGACAGAACACTGCCACGCCTACGCCTGCAATAAATGAATCTTGTACACACTCAATTACAGCAAATAAAGGCTTCCGTATGCCTGCAATAAATGACTCTTGTATAGAGGTGAGGCAATCATGCATCGGCTATTCACGTAAGCAATCCCTGAATAATTTTACCCAGTTAGGATGCGAACTGATCGCAGCTATTCAATACAAATCGCACTGAAGCGGCATGTTTTTAATATAACTGCAGTAGTCCAGCCAGATCGGCCATGCTGACTCACTTTTGACAGATCCGCACCCCAATTGTGCTAACCAGAAATGTGATGGCTTCCATTGCCAATCGTGGGGGATCGGATTACGCAATGATGCGCGCACGATTATCCGTGTTGTAAAAGAAGATATAGACCCTGACCGCTGATCGGAACCTAAAACAAATACACGTAAACGGTGCATGAATTGCGGGCGGAGCTTTCAGCGCAATATAAACAGTTATAGGAAATGGTCACACCATCTCCCACACGGAATTTTATTAAAGTAAAGTGAGCGTGTAATACCAACTGCATTGTCAGTATAAGAATGCCACCTGCAGCCATCCCCTTTACGGTATTATCCAATCATTATGTTTTAAACAGCGCATACATCTGATATCACGACAGCCTAATGAACACGTCTTTTTTATGGAAAATGGGAAAGTGCGTACAGGCACAGTTGTTGAAACAGAGCAGATTGAGGTATGAAGTCACCACAATGGCTGTAACATCCATTTATGAATTTATTACAGGGCGTGTGGATGGTTATCCTGGTCATTGATGGACACAGGTCTGAAGAGCGAGTGAAGATATTGTACGTTTATATTTCGAGGGAATTACAAATGCCCCATTGCTTACGAAGGTACAGGGCCGACGCGGTATACCGCCTACCTCGTACCTTGTGAGATTTGCAGCGGTGTCACAGCAGGGGACAAGATTGGCGCCGCTCTCAGTATGCCGTAGAACTAGACGCCATTAACATGAGCCAGAGCAAAGCTCCGCAATCGAAAAACGCGTGCTGGAACCGGATAAGGGTAATATAGTTACGTAACCGCGGGGGGGCATATGAATATAAGTGCTACAGCGCAGGCTCCCTCCGTACACCGTACACCCCTGATCGCCCACGCCGCCGTAATGCAGTCTACATTCACGGAACTCACTCTTTCCGAGCCCACCGCACCACCCGTGCACATGTGCGTCGTCTGCTCGGCGCCCAGCTTGCTCAGTTGCACGTACTGCCTAAATGGGCCCGCATATTGCTCGTCAGAGCACTGCCGCGAGGTGAGTGTGCATTGCTGTCTGCACTTATCCGTACTCCCAGTAAACGCGGAATACAGCATTGGAGCGCCCACGTTTCCGTATGCGACGGCTCCAGGAGCCCCGAAAGCTTAAGGAGCTCTAGCAGCATATCGCTCTCCGCGATGTTGGCCGGCACTCCTCGAAACTCCGCGTCGAATCGTCGCTCCGCCGTAGTCGCGGTGCACGAGAGCCAGGTGGTAGGTTACGTGCTCGGGTCTAATGCGCGTACGTCCTGCTGCCCTCTTACACAAATGGTCGCCGCTTACGATGTGGTTACTACACAGCTGCACCCAAGTTTACTCGTGTAACGTGCCACACAGCGGCCCTCAACGGCCGACGCTCTGTGACGGTGCCCGATGTCTGGCCCTACTTCGAACAGGGGTTCGGCTTCCTCGTACAGCACTACGACCGGTACAAGTATCCCCTGCCGCAGCCGCTGCACTACTTCTACTGCGCGGCCTCTTACAGAGCGCGGGCGAACTTCAATCGCGCGGCCGCAGCGCTCTTTGTGCAACACAAAGACGGTCCGCTCATCAGATGGACTAACTGGCCGGGCACGCTCCTTATCCTCAAGTTCGTGGACGCCAGCTGCGACAGCTACGCGGATGTTACGGAGGAGGACATTGAGAACGTACGGGCGTTCTTCCAGATCCTTTGATCGTGGGGGTCGACGAGTAATGCGGAGAGGCGCTTTCACTGTTTCGGTACCGGCGTCAGTATCCCATTTCGTGGTCCAAGTATGATGTATTCCGTTTACGAAAGCGTACCTTATGCGAACGTTTGCGCTACGCCGGAGATGTGGTGAGGTTTCGAAGTAGAGATTGTCGGGGAACCGAAAGCGCTGCTGGCCTCAAGCTCAAGACTCGAAGGTTTGCCGCCACGTGAGCGGAGTGTCAATCGGAGACACAATATGTAGCGCACGGCGATTTTGGCCTTGTAGTGCTTCTTTACACGCTGTGATACTGGCTTTCTTACCATGCTCGTGCGGTTCGCGTTGTCGACATATACTCGTCGTGATACTAGCAGGATGACTGGCTGTACGAGACTTGTATGGTGCGCCCATGCCATTATCAATGCCTGGTTTGAAAGCTGATTCACGATCACCGCGACAGATTTGGCACCCGCGTATGCGTGCTCGCCCTTCACCAAGACGCGTCCGGGGCATACCGCACAAGTCAACAAGACATCGCGCCTTATAATGTGGTACGTCCGACTCCTCTGCGTTCATTAAAACATGGGCAGCTTTCATCCCTGCCTCTCCGCTTCTCTCATCACGGTGTCTACTAATATATCGCGCACGACCCCGGTCAGCCTGGCAGCTATGCTTCTCTCCAGCCACCTCGTTCGCTCCAGCCACGCCTCGCGAAGCGCGCCTTCATGTTCGAGGTATTCGCGCTCGTGAAACACGTGCACGGACACGCCAGGTAACGGCTGGTCTCCGACTCCGATACAGATCGTCATTCTGAGCTATATGTCCTTATTAGACCGATATCATCGTCACGAGAGCACATGGCACGTACAGGTCTTTCCATGTAGGAGAAGATGTATCCGAAGCTGTCGATGCCGTCTTCGTCGCGAACATTGGATGGCGGAGTAGCGTTGTGTTCCAACATATCTGCACATGGACGCAAAAGTACGGGTAAGTACGCGCTCGCACCGGAATGCACGTACGCTGTAACTCACTGCGATGTCGAAGCTGTGGATAGGTTGTGGGTTGTCGCCACGTCTGGGGTGGGGGGGGGGTTTTATACAGGTCTACTCATTGATGCCGGACGATGTCGTGCCTGGAAGACGGATTGAGACGCGCTTTGCGCTCTGGATCGATCACAACATGGCGTCTACGAGAAATCGAGCTTGCGATGTAAGCATTACGGATTACGATGGCGGCGTGAGCTGAACTGTGCCGATATAGGGCGTTAGCCTTTTTACAGGGACATTACGCGCATTTGCGCCACGCGATACTCGTGCTAGGGGCAAGGGCGAGATCGGTGCACTGATTCGCGTTACAGGTCGCTGTGTGTATCAGCATCGCCATTGGGGCTAGGACTGGGCGGCATGTAGCAACACTCGTATGGTGCAAACCCCTTGCTGACATATCCTTCAGGCAAAGCATCGCGCGCGAGCCGTGCATCGATACTTGGTCAGATCCCCGTTCGGCGCGTCGGGGTTGCACGGTACGCGCGTTGTGTGCGCCACTATGTCCGTGCGTGTGCGACGGCTTGCACCCATCATAAAGCTATGCGACAGCTGACCTTTCTCACTCATGTAGGCGCCTATCGAGGCAATTGACGCCATACGCTGCGAACGCGCTGAAGGCGCCGGAATAGTTTCTGTCGCGATCGGATATAAGCCTTCGGCTCACGCGTAGCAGCACCTCATACAACAACTACCAACCAGAAGGTGAGCAGACGTGTACCGCTGGTGCTAAAACGTACATGTCCGCTGAACACTTACCCGGTTCCAGCTCTACGCCCCCTACCAACGCAGCATTATGGACAACGCCTTGCCGGCCGTCACCACAACTACGCCGCCTCACAGTATGGCGGTGGAAGGACTGGCTACCCCGCCCCCGACGTCCGAGTTCAGCGGCGTCACACACGACATACTAGCCCTCCCAATCTATCTGCACCTTCCCACCAACGGCCTGCGCCAGACCCACCTCCTCGTCTCTGTCACCCTCCGCGCGAACGAGGAGATCACTGTCGTCAAAGCCATCGTCACGTGCGTAGAATTAACCCCTCCATTTGCGCGCCCGGGCCGCAGTGCAAGCGCGTTCGTCGTACCAGGTGTGGCCGTGTTCATACCCAACGACATACTAGCCAGCCCGGTGTACATAGTCCTAGAGAAGTTGCGAGGCATAAGGCTGAAGGTGCGTACAACAATCGGCTCATGGACTGCGAAACTTACAGTCGTAATAGAAGCAATTGGTCGTCGCACTGACCTTTATTGAATGGCTGCCGGGAGACCACTCTACGTTCGAAGTCATCGCGGACCTCAAGCTCGTCGACGAGGCAATCGAGTCCGCAACGCAGCCCCTGTACATAGCCGAGGCTTTTCCCGGAGCGATCGTGTGAGTAGGAGTACTATGCTCGAGAATGTAATGCGAGTCTCGTTATTCGTCAGAACCCAGACGCGTCTAAGAGACCCGGGAATGCAATGCGAGCCCTATCATTCGCCATAGCTCAGACGATGCTGGACACCTGACGCGTCTGCCGCCCACAGGGCCGCTGGGTCACTAAGGAATGGAAGCTGTCAAGATCTAGGATACCTTTCATCACAGTGTCCAGGCCCTGCCAAATGTACTGATATTAGTGCGAATCGTAGCCGAAGCGTACTGCGCGGCGCCACGCCTGTAGAGACGGGCGCCCCGAACATGTATCTCCCCGGAGCGCGACCGTTAGTCTCGTGTATGTAATATATAGATGGGATCAGAATGTCAGTCGGCGCAGCCATCGTTACAGAACAGACCTGAGGTGCACACTCGCGCGCCGGGCTGTCAAAATTCGTAGCCGTACGTGCCGCCTCCGCTCAATCGACGCCGTTGGGGACCCGTGGCGTGGGGACGGCAAAGGCGGCACGATCGCAATAGGTTACCTCGAACATGCGCTTGACTGAGCCGCGGCGGGCGATGTTACGGTAGCGACGATCACGGAGAATATAAGTTCAATTGGCGAAGCAAATGGTCGGCGGGCAGGACAATAACTACATTAGGTGCGAATCAGACTCCCCGGCGGCACAACGCTTCTGTAAGAAGTCTGTATCGCGCCCTCGGTCGGCGGCGCGTGGTCTTCGGCGGGTAAGATCAGCACCATGTCCCCGGTGCTGCGACTGGGGCGGTAGATGAGCTGCGTTACTTCTCCGTCCACTATAACGTTCCCCTGCCAATCATTAAAGAGGTGTATGGTGATGGACATATAGAACTACTCGTCGCAGTCAGTTAGCCTACGGCCGATCATAATGCGCGTCGACTGGGGTGATACGTACCGGCACGCCGTTTAACCCACGATGAGTGGAGAACAGGTACATCGGCCGCACGAACGGATCGTGGGGTACGAAAAGATCGGTGCCCGGAGGACGCGGTGCGTCGACGGTGACGACGGTTTGCAGAGTGGGCAGTTGCGACCTCGACGACATCTGCTGCCAAGAGATATTGACGCGAATGGAGGTGCCGTTCTTGAGATACATCCTAACGCATACGAGGACGTGGCGCTGGCAAGACCTTAGCGCGCTTGCTCTCCTGCTCGCACTGCCACAAATAAAACGACTCACCATCGCGTGAGGGTCTGCCGTGTCCACCGGTCGTTGTATATACAACAGAAGGTCGAGAATGCACTCTTCTTTTACAGCGGGCTGCGGCGCGGTGGGTAGAGACGTGTAAGAAGGGGGTACGTTGGAGGAAGGGGGGTTGTTCGGCGACCGGTCAGGCGGAGCCATGTCGAAGGGAGGCGTCCCGCGATAAGGTTCGTTAGGAGGGTGGGCGGTGTGAGGGGCCATGGTATTGCTCTCTAGAGGGGAGGGCTAGCGGAGAACGCTGCACACATGCCACGGTCGTCGTCGTGCTTTATACTGGAAGGAAGTGAGCAGAGCGAAGCGACATGACATTGTGTGCGTACCTTGCGAAACGATCACGCGATAGGAGCGTGCGGAATCGGGGCTACATCGAACAGCGATGAGTTGTGAGTACCCCTCGGTTACCATCTAGTGCAGACAGACATCGAGCGGATACCGTAAAGGCCACCAGCGGTAAGCATCGGGAGCAGTTTAAAGTTCAATAACAGTCGATATTCGCGTGATAATCGCCAAGCTACTACGGGGGAGGCGACAGAGGACCTAACTGGGAAGGTCTCGTAATCACGCAGTGCGCGACGTCGGGCGGCCCGTCCGTCTACGTACGGCGACGGTTCGGGGCGCTCAATCTGAATGCGATAGATCTGACGATGCTGAAGACTCGCGTGTGTCAGAAATTGTGATTGCGATTGAACAAGGTTAGCAGACGTACCTCCCGGCGATGGTGTTTGAGCGCTGACGGTCTCCTTTGCGCATGTTCACGAACCCTTGCTTATTAAGAGAACGGCGGAAGATCACCAGATCACCGTCCCAAATGAGGTTTCCGTATCGCCTCCTGAGCAGACGAGTTTGGCGATCGAGCATGGGCTTCGTAGCGACGAAAACGAGGTAGTCCGCCATACTACTACTAAGCTTGAGTACGTGACGCTCGACGTGTGCGGATCCATGAAGTATGCCGTCCAGCAGCGGTTGCTCGAAGCCGTCGTCGAAGTTGAAGTGTTGGACTGGGACAGATATCAGCCGGATGGGTGCGCCGGGAGTGTAGTACGCCGCGGTGACGTTCCTGGTCTACTCGTCTCCACGCTGTCAGGCACAGACTGATAAAAACACGTAAGGATGCGAATACTCACGGATGTGATCATGAGTAGGACTTGAAAGAGTCTGATATGTGCGTGAAGGGCACTAGCACGTCGTTTGTCGCGTTGCAGGTTGTAAGCCTATGACGGTCCACGACAGGAGCAAGACGGATGAGCTATTTATACCGCAAGAGAAGAGCCCTCATCTCTAGATACACATGACGCGGCCTCGATGCGGCACGGGGATGAGGTGCGCACGACAAGACCATTAGCTTAGACGAGCGGCGAAAAGGCGCGTGTTTGGTAATATTTGTATATGTGGTTGGGCGCGTGCCCCTTATACAATTACCCGATCTCAAGAGGCATTCTCACACGCGCTCTCTCCAGCTCCGTGACGTGCGCTCAATCAGCCATCTGATCTCTCGCTCGAGCGCATTATTGCACGCCCTCTGTTCTGCTTACTGGTGGTGGACGCTTGAATACATACTCGATGTTCAGCTGGCAAACTCACGCGTCCTCGCCTTTGCTCCACGAATAACCCGGGGGCACGAAGCCAGCCAATGAAAAATCGATTGCAGCACATTTCATTGTGATTCCCGTACGCCGATATCATCGGCGTCGAGCGAGGGAACAGGATCGGCGGCGGACAGAATTACAAACAGCCGCTGAAGCTATCCGGTACGTACGGGAAAGGCAGGCGAGGTCCTTTAACCAAAAGGGATATAGCGCTGAGCTCAAACCATACCCTCCAGGTTGCAGGCTTGACGGCGCGCCCGCCCGTAACCTCCAGAGTCCTGATACAGTAACACTCCGCCAATACAACGTCGCCAAGTACCACGTCCGATAACGGGAGGCGCTCCATCAGGCTCTTGGCCCGGAAATATTGCGTGGCGTCGTACACACCCGCGAACATATGCTACAAGGAGAATAGTCAGCCGCCGCTGCGAAGTAAGTGCGTAATTTTGCAAGTGGAGTATTCACCTGGTTATCCCAAACAGCCTTGTTCATATTTCCGCACTCGAAAATGTCTCCGTCGAACCCTATACCAGGTATCAGTGCGAGTCCGGTAAGCCCCCGCGACGTACTTACACGGCTTACGACGACCCAAACAGATGAGACGCGCCATATGGCCGCTGTCAACTGTTCGCAGCAATCGGACGCGCAGCACCGTGGCTGAATAGGGACCGGGCCGCCCTACGAGAACCCCGCCCGTAACGTTAGCCGATAGGTCAACTACGGTACCGACGATCCAGATCTTGATGGGTAGGCCGACCGTAGGGTCGTGCAACACGTGCGACGCGGACGCCGGACCCCACATGACGCTAGCAGGGACCTGGGCCAGCGAATATATGGCACTGACGCTGTGCGCGAAATCCAGGAAGCGCCGCAACCGCCTATCAGGTGCGTTCAGCATCGGTCTATGTCCATACTGCGTCCGCTCACCTGTGCGTATCAAATGAAGCCAAATACGGCAGTCGAGTCGCGTAAATCTCGCCTTCGAGCTGCGGGCTCTCTTTAGAAGGTTCGGAATTGTCGTGTCCTTCTTCGGAGATACGGTCTCGACTTGCGGAATCAAGGGTCAGTGTCTGGTATCCGCTGTCGTACACGTCGAACCTTACCCGCGGCTGTCATCAGGCATACCGTACGGTGGAGGAGTCGACATGGACATGCTTGGCGTGGATTGATGTGCAGAGTGAAGATGGGTACTTGGGTAGCGACCGTTTGGTTCAGCTCCTTTTTATCGCGAGAGCAAGAGTACCAGGTGCGTCTGTGCGCGTTCAGGTCCGAGCGGGCGATCGCAATGGGGCTGATTATCCGACGGCTTCGAGAGGATGTCCGGTAGGCCAAGACCCACACGTAAGCGGGGCGGGGCGATACTGAAGCGCCGCATTGTGAGGATGTACACTTGCTATTCTCTGACTTGTCAGCAAACGCGATCGCGCGGGATTCGTATTGTGAGTGCGAGCCACGCGGACATCGCTGGGTACTAACCATATTCTTATAAATTGATCTCAGCGGCGTTGCTACAGCGCTCCTGGTGGCCGCTGATCTTGATGTACTGCCGGGGAATACAAAACTGAAGACAGCGGCTCACCGATCGATCGGCCCCCGCTGTCAATGTTACTACCCACGCTTACCCGCGGCACTCCGTTCGGCGCTGGATGACCCCATACATCCGGTACTATCAGGCGCGGGTCATGCTCGATGTGGTATCCGATGTGGTATGTTCATATTTACAATCATTGGCGTTTCCGCACACCGATCGCTGAAGTAATTCGGCTTCTATCACTAGACTACGGGGACAATGCGTCTCTAGTAGCGGAGCGCTCTCTACGCGGAAGTCCCCACCCCTCTGGACACGACGCGCCTGACGCGCCTGGACCAATGCACGGAGCGAGCGCCATTGGCATCCCGGAGCGTGACGAATATGATGGCTACGAACTGCGGGATAGGTGAGTGATCACGAGATGCTAGCATCAGGAATACAGCTGACACACGACTCACCCCTTCACCGTTCTCGTTCAGCCTTTGCACCTTGACGCGGACGGGATGGCCGTTGAGGTTGGCCGGGATTCGGATTTGGATGTGATAGTCCACACGCCCTTCGATCTGGCTGGCTGGTACCGCCAAGTGGATACGACAGACTCTGGTGGGCCCGTATCGCTGAGACACGTATTCTGACCACCTGTACGTCCCAGGTCGGCCATCCTGCTGATAGTGCGTCAGTCTATCAGGCCACGCGGGCAGCTGGGATGTCTCACTAAATCGGGCATGTTCCTTCTGTCGGAGGGCAGTGCGGCGTGTACCAATATGAGCGTGACGCGTATCGGCTTGGGCTTCGGTCTCGGCACTGTAGCATTATAAACACTTCCGAGGCCGCCATCGGACCATATTTCCGTCGCTATGAACGCTCAGAAGGGGCCCACGTCGTACTTGCCGACTGCGACGGCCGATCTGGTGCGTACGTGTACTGGTATTGTCCTCCCTCGCTGATCCCAGTCGTATCGACAGCTTGTCACTGTCTTCGTCATCTTGGCGGATGCCGACCCCTATTTCGCCGTGGTCCCGTCTAGCCAATTACATCTAGACGCGACGGACGGGATCGTGCACGATATCCACGCCACGTCGTGTTCCGTACTCTCAGTGTGCAGAATTGGAGGGTGTCGCGATGTGGTGCACTTCTCGCTCTGGACCGCTGAGCAAGACGCTTCCCTCCCACCGAACCAGTGGGTACGCGGACTTTTCGGCAGTCCTACTTTCAAAGGCGGCATCGTAGTTGCCCGAGTCGACGGAGATTACGAGTATACGTCAATTGCGCCGGAGGACACGCCGGTAATCATACGCTCTATACATAAGTGAGTCGACCAGCACATGATTTGAGTGGCTCTCGCTGATCCATATCCCGCACACTCCATAGACTGCTTGCGAGTATTCCGGGGTCAGTCTGAGCCCGCGTCCGCGTTGACTGTGTGGCGGGGCGCGCGTATGGTTAGCGACGCGATGTAACGATCAGCACAATACGAGCCGTACCGTTATCTCGCTCGTCGGCGAAGACGTAGTTAAGAACCCTCATCATCTCGCCCATGTCACGCACGACGACTCCAACGAGACATAAGTCCATCGTGTTGACACGGTCCTCAAGTATGACCATCTCGGCCATTATGAGTAGGTGAACAAGTCGCTGCAGGACACGCGCGTGAAGACAGGATCGCTCGCGATACAAGATCACTCACTGGCTGACCGGTAGCAGGGTCAGTGCAGGGGAGGTGCATGACCGTCGCAACCGTGTTTCCGTTGTTCTCCATGGCAAGTAGTAGTCGCGACAGTAGTTCTGGTGGGTGCGGTAGGGGTGTGGTAGGGGTGCGGTAGGGGTGCCCTCATTAGGTGTACATTTATACGCTCGCGCGGCATCGCAGTGGCTTCACACGCAGCTCATTGCACCATCATCATCGCAATGGGGCGCGATCGCGGCGCTCGCGAGAGAACCTGTGTCGGTATTTGTAACGCGGACTGATCGTGCGGGCGGTATGAAGCATAACACGAACATCATAGCATAAACCATAGAGCAGCATACGTATGGACCACATACAACGAGACGCGTGATACAAGGTTCCACGTTTCACGGATGAGCTCCCGGCGAGACTAGACGACCGGAACGTCCTCGTCGTCAGACGGCCCCGCGGACTGCACATCGTCCCCACACTCGCACATCCTGCAGACGCTGACGATATCGAAGCGCACCCTCCAGCTCGTCCAGTTGCTGTTATAGTAGCTTGCCTTGCCGGTCTCGGAGTCGACGCGGAATCTGACGACTTTGCACTCGACAATCACGAGGTCGCGGTAGCCTATCTCCTGAGCACGGATCTTTGGCATGATCGACTTGGGGCCGTATTGGTCGGACGCGTCGTAACCATGCCTGAACTCGTAGGCCTATGCAGCCCGTAAAAGTTAGCGGCCATCGGCGGTGTATCGCGCGGAATGTGGGAGAAACGGCGTACCACAGTGTTCCTGCCTTTCTTTTCACGGCGTGCCTGGCGTCTGCCGGTTTCAACGATGTTAACCTGAAGCTCCTCCTCTGGCGCGATCATCAGCGACGTCGCAACGTAATCAGAACGGAGCGCTCACCTTTCTTCACCTTGCCAGACAGCTGCTTTATCATCTTGTGCGCCATGACCACATCCGCGTGATACATGGGCTGCACAGAAACGCGAACGAACTTGAGGGGCTGGCCTATCTCATTGAAGAAGGAGGCGTTGTCGATCTCGCCGATGATCAGCGCAATAAGGGGACGGCCGTCGGCGCACAAAACGTCGTCGAGTTTGTCATCCGCTTCGCCCCAGGTTGCTCCCTTGGGGATTCTCGTTAACCCGTATCTGTTTGACTTGAGATCGCACAGGTTGGTCAACGACCGGACTCGACTACATCAAGGGTCAGCGAACGAGTTGTACGAGACGTGTTTGAACTCACTCCAGAACTTCGAGCTCGTACGTTAGTCCAAAGGGGCTCGAAGGCCAGTCAGGCGACTGGGGCCTCTTCGCCTTCTTTCCGATCTGGCGAGTCGTACCGGTGGAATCTTCGTCATCAGCTGGCTCTTCCATGGTGGAGGTAGGAGAGTCCGAGCTGGGAGGCGACGCAGGTGTTCTGGGCTCGGTGCTCTTACCCCCAGCACTCGACTCCTTGGCGCCAGCGCTGCTGTCGTTGACAAGTCACATCGTAGTAGGCCAAGACGAGTTCGCGCCGAAATAGCGCGTCAGCATCCGAGAACGACCTGCTCGTGTACAGCATACGCACTCATGGGTGGCATTAGCACTAACGGAAAGAATCAGTGTCACGCTCGCTCGGACAAGGCCGACATATCAAGGTACATACCTCTTGGCCTTAGTAGCGGCACTAGAGGCTACACCGCGAATCAGCGACGTTGTACGCGTGTCGTTGTCGTTGTCAGAAATGTTGTTGGTGTTAGAACCCATTGTGTGAGCAGGTGAGGAGGTCGATGATTTAAAGGCGAGGGATAGCTGATAGGCAAAGAGTAAAAGTGGATAACTGGCTGGTTGGATGGTCGGGTGGGACGTGGAGGCCTTTTATAAGTTTCGGCGGGCGCGTTCCTACGATAGCTCTAGAGGCGTGTCAGCAGCCACGACCGCAGATGATCATGATGCAAGCACGGCCGCATAGGATCGAGGAGTTGTGCATACTAAACGGCTGACCAATGACGCGACGTGTCGCGGCGGGTTGAAACGCGGCGGCGTGAGCAGGGCTTGCACACGAAACATAAAAATAAATTGCCAATACACGCCACACTCAGCGCGATGCGGCACTATGGCGATACCTGCACGACGCCACAATAAGTAGTAAGTGGACAAACTACATCTTCGACGCAGATAGGTCACCCACCGGGTGCATGCTCCGATCCTGCGGGCCGACGGCGCACGGTGTTTCACAACACGTAAGTCTAGACTAGACTTGATCGTCCCCGACGTGTCAGAGGGACGCATACTTATACTCGAGAGCGGAAGAGTAGATCCACTGCGAACTTCATCGGCAACCTCTACAAGTCGCGCATTCTTCCGTATACTCACATGTCACTGTTTAAAGGTTAATGCATTCAGACCATAGTCGCAGACTGCACGTCGCTAACCGCACTCACAACAGCTGGCCCCGACACCTTTGCTAGGAGGATGTGGTTGGCTATTATGATGATGCGGTTGCCCGCTGACCCGAAGATGTCCCAGCTTGCGACTTGGCAGATCGTACCCAACGAGTACGACGAAATATGCTCGTGGCTCGCTATAGATCGCTCCGAAGAGGGGGCAAAGGCGACTCACCCATTCGTGCTGCTGTATGCGCCCGATATATCCCCCATCAAGGACGAGCCGGTGAAGGTCTCCCTGCGTGTATACGGGGTCGTGGAGTCTCTCAGCATCAGCCCCACTGGGAACTATACCGGGTAAGTAAGTGCGTATCTTGCACATACACAAGACTCTAAGATGGTCATTTAGACGCAAAGAGTCCGCTCCACGCGCCGTGCAGTTCGTCTCGCTCACCGCGGGATCGTTCCCGGACGCGTTCCGAGTTCAGTTGGAATCGATACGGGACATCCGGTCGTACGTCGGCACTGTTCTTGGTTGCACTGTGGAAGACAGTACTCGGAAGCCTGGAACGATATATATTCAGCGCATGGTTTTCACAAAGGTCAGGAACAGGGGTGCACCTATGGAGCTCGTGCGGTCGGTTCACACAAGCTTGCGCGATATGTAGGTTCGACGGGATGCCGCAACTAAACCGAAATCCGCCATTAATTTCGGAGATGACCCTCACGGGTGGACGTCCGAGATCAAGAACGATTGGGTCGTGACCCACAAGCTATCGACTGGCGTTTACCTCGAGGGCGGACGCGCTGTCAAGAAACCCTATTCGGTGATACGACCCGGCGACTTCGTGGAGGTAGTTTGCACGGTCGAGATAACCAAGTTCCGCAAGCGCAGCGGGTGGGGTACAGAGGCCCGCCTGATTTTGCAAGAGGTCTTGCGCGTGTGCGACAAGGACGTGGTCCAGGTACGCTCGCTGCGCTGTGAAAGCTATAAATGTCTTACATTTCGTTAGATCGCTCAGCCCCCTGCTCCGGAGCCGGAGCCCGTCAATGGCGATGAGGCGTTTGTGAACTCCCTCTTCCGGCTCTGGGCGGACGCCGATACGGTGGATCCTAACGCGATGGAGGGTTAGCTCAATATAGTTATGCGGCTTGTCGTACGCGTACTCCCTAGTGCTCCCTATCATCAGTTATTGCATGTGATCTCCGAGTGCCCGGGTATCGAAGCGTAAGAGGTCCGCGAGCACGGACTAGCAGAAGTGCCGCGAGATGTGAGCTAAGCACGCTGCCGGAAGTAGTTCTGATATTGACGTACAAATTCATAGAGATACCAATTGTGGCGAAAGGTCCAGACGACGTGCAGGCTACAGGAAGTAGCAGCAAGGCCGACATATTCCCTTCAGCTTTCTAGCACAAATATCGCGTGAGTGAGGGCGCATTGTCCTAAATGGAGCAAATCCGGCGGGTCAACATCAGAAGTGGTTTCGAGTACGCATTGGCTCCCGGTTGATATGCCATCATGAAACCACACACGCCCCTCGCCGTCAATGAATCTGGAAGTGAAATGATCAGCTCCCCAGTATATTAGACCACGTAGGCACCAAACGCGCACGCGACCATTCACTTCCAACCTCAAGCTCCTTTCCACTGAGTGATTCGGAAGACCACCCACTGTATACACTTCGGCGCACAGAAGTGGCGGGATGACCTCAAGTACTAACTTAGAATTTGCGGGGAAGCCGCACCGTCTGCAAGGCTGTGCCGCCCCACCCATAAGAGCATCAACAACAAGCTTCGACAGCAATACGGGTTCTGCGGGATCATCAGCCTGAGATCGTCCGGCATCAACGTAGACCAGGCCTGAACCAACTGGCTGTCCGCCTGCGCCGCCGCGACCTATATCGACTCGCGCGCATGACGCGCAAGTTCGGACACGATAACCATAACCCGTACTACTCCTTACTAGCTGCTCTATGACGTCCGCTACGGCCGTCAAAGCGGCTCCCCGTCGAGGGAAACGTGTTGAGTCCATAGAATACAAGAAGTCTCTGAAGCAGTTGCGACCTCCCTCCATCGAATCAGAACCAGCATCAACCATCTCGAAGCATCTGTGCAGCTCGTCCATGGCGGGAGACAAACCCTTAGTTGTATCAACGAAGGCACTCGAATAATCCAACCGGACGTTCCACAGAATAGTCAACAAGCTGTCGTACGCGCAGCTATAATTTGCGGAGTCCCATATAAACCCGCGGCGAGGCTGCAATTCCTTCGTACCCGAGGCCGCCGAGGCTGATGCTGGATTGACCTTTTTACGCTGCTTAGGGGGACGTTCTTGTAATGAAATCCCGTTCCGCTTACGCTTGCCCGGACGAGCATGCCCATCCGCAGCGTTTGAGGAAGCTGGTTCGAGTTGTACATCTCCCTTGCCTACTTTCCGCTTTTTCGGTGCTCGATTATCTTCCGTATCCACATCGGGAATGGGCCTTTTCTTAGCCTTGGTCTTAGCACCAGAGGGACGGGACTTGGATAGCAGACGCCATTCCAAGGGTCGCCCCTCTGGGACAACTGTCCGGTACGATGACCAATCCAACGCGCTGTGCATATGAGGCGGCTGATATGGTGTACTCACTGTGCTCATGAACGCAGCAATCGTCTCGGATCGGTAAGAGCGTGGTACCGTTTTTGCCAGCTTTCCCTCGAAGTCTAATCTTGTGACATCGTCTAGCACCTCGAAATCGATGAATTCGCGCATCAGCGGTCCGGGTAAACCACCAGACATTTTGCTATCGTCAAACTCACCGATAATAACTGTCCCTTCCAGAGACGCACTGCGTGACAAGCACGTATAAAGAGATTGCGATGTTCTGCAGTACTTCAAATGGCAAGGATTAAAGGGGCGAGTTCGTCCTTGCGACGCGAAGTCAGACATACCAAAATTTGGGAGGACCATAACTTGCTCCCGGTCCACGTATATGTGGCGGGCTCCAGTGGGAACCACGCACTTGACACGCTTCTTGGTACTTGGTATAGGAACCACATTCTGCGGTAGTCCCTCAATCTGCACGTTCTTCGGCGGGTTGATAAGCCGCACAAACAGTACATCAATATGCTTCTCACCATTGGGCAGAGAAGAAGCTTGCCAGTCGTATACGACGCCCTCTGCACCGTTGGTCGCGCACAGTTCCGTAGCCTCGTTGTTTTTCAACAGCACCGGCATCCCTAGACAGAGCCTGAGCGTCCCAGCATGATGCTCAGTCATACAGGGCGGTATGTCCCACAGCATTTCCTGTATGGTCCGATGAATCGTATTAGTACTACGTACGGGGTTTACGGAATTGTCATAGTCTCGCTGACCTCGGCGCACCGAGCGGTTTGTGCGCTCTGAACTCCATGTGTCGACCGATCGGAAGGTGTGTAGCTTCTGTCCGCGGTGAGCTGCAAACATTCGAGACCCTAGGTTGTTGATAGCGTCACGGTGCGAATTGCGCGCTGTTATGATAGAGGTCCCCCCGATGGTCGTGAAATTGACGTGAGGAGACCGACGGATAATCCTGGAACGGAACAGCGCACGATCAGCCTCGGTGCAGCACTTCACTCGGAGGTTCTCAAGCGCGCGCCTAAACAATCTATCGTTATCAGATAAGCCTCTCTGCCTCATGTTCTGCCTGAGCAGCACCACTGTTGTGAACTGCCTCCATAGCGCTTGACCCATTGCGTTCATCTGCCCCGCGTTGGTCTGCGACGAACTTCTGCTATCTACTTTGTCGCTATACAACGGTATCTGCCCAATTCCCGGCGGAGGTAGCTGTCCGAAGTCGCCTGCAACGATGACGTGACAGCCGCCGAATGCCTGCGTCGGATGATTTAACGCGGCAGCCAACGACGCGCTCACGACATAGAAAGACACGCACGAAACCATCGAGATTTCGTCTAAGAACACCACGTCTACACCCTCGAAGTTGTCACGAAGCCTAGCCAGCTTGTTGTGATCCATTTCCGTTAGAGGATCAAAGTCTCGACCCAGACACAGCGCGGAGTGGTACGTGCTGCCATCCACATTGCAGGCGGAAGACCCGGTAGGAGCTAAAACCATCAGGCGATAGGATTCGTTGCGCAACTCCATGAATTTGGTCAGCGCTTTCAAAACCTGGGACTTCCCGGTCCCAGCCATTCCGCCCAAGTACATCTTCATCTGCGGTGAGTCTCTATGATGCACTGCCTTGGCTATCAACACGAACGCACGCTGCTGATCCGTGTTCAAGGTAAACATGGTCAGCGTATCGGTCAACGTCCGAATATTCGCGTCCTGCAAAGACACGTCAATCTTCCCTGAATCGAGCAGCTCTTGAGCTGTCACGACGCGCACCTCGTCAGGCGCACCGCGACTAATGGAGCCGTCAACCACTACGACGTCTCCCGCGTCCCCTGGAGCTACGTCTACACGGCTTTGGCGGCTGCGTTTCATTTCCTGAACCTTCTCCTTCGCTCTGACCATCCTGTCTTTCCACGCGCTGATAGGTGCAAATGTGGCACTCGGGCCAACCTCCGCCTGCGATGTCGATACCGAGGCCTCAAATGAAGCATACCCGCACTCTGTTAATAAATCCGTCATCTGTTCCATTTCCATACGTTTCCGGCTACTCTCCGGATTAGCATCGACATCGCCCAACGCGAGCATGTCTAATATGTCGTGTTCCGTTTCATTCATATCTACACAAGGTGGTAAGTCTGCTTCTAGCGAGCCGTTACCATTGGAGGGGCGAGTATATTCACCTTCTGCCAGAGTTTTTCTTTGGTTCGAATAATCGTCCCTAGCGTCCAGGCATTCATACAGCACATTCATGTTCTTCATAACTTGTACGTGATCACTTTCAAAGTTCTCGGACTCAAATGCTTCATTCCAGGACTTACATGCACCCAAAAGGTCTCCGCCCACGCGCCACCCTCGGGGGCAAAATAGTGCTAGCATAGTCGCGGAATACAGTTCCTTATCCCCACGATCTTTGCGCGGAAGAACGCCCCCTGAAAAATTCAATACGTAGTGCATCTTCGATGGGAGTTTGCGAACTGCATGCGTCATTCGTAACGGATGTCCCAGTAGTAAGTTGAACGTCTTCGAGCCCTCGGCAAAATTTGGCTGATTTTCAGCATCATCATCAGAGCCGTTGTCGGCGTCATCTTCCGCTCCCGACTCCTCATCGTCGCTATCGGCACGTTGCGCCGGCTTCGGCATTCGATACACATCAGTGGATCTCAGGTAATCGTACAGAGACATGCTCTCAAACTCTTTAGGACGATACACGTAATCGTTTACCTTACTCAGCCCTACAACTTTGTTTGAGTTCAGAGCGACGACTACCCTCTCTTCGTCACCTCTGTCCTCCGACAAGACATCGCAGGTCGAACGAGTATCGAGTAACGCGCGCTTGACGTACGCATACCAGAAGAATACCTTGAAGACGCGGTTTGTGTACCTGTCTGGGTTGCCGAGTAAGTAACTGCAGACTGCAGGACCACCCATCTCCCTGCGCGCGCTAAGAATGTTCACCACCTTAGTGATGACGCGGCGCCCTGCCTCTTCGGCCGACGCTGAATTTTTTTCGATTTCTGTCCGCCTTTCCAGCACCGCCTTCACCGCCTCGAACACCGAGTATGTCTTGAGAGGCGTCTTGGTGATATAATCGGTGATGTATGCGACGACGGCTCTGACCTGAGTACCAGACAGGAGACTCGTCACGTCCGTATTGCCACGAAGCACGAAGGACAGAATAATATTGAAGGTATTTATCCACTCTTCCAGCTTTTTGAATTTTAACGCCCCTGTTTCGAGATCTACAGTTGTTTCAGCCTCCATCTGTCGAGGGAAGCGAGCCTTGCAATATGGTGGATTGCCTCGAAGACACCCGCGGCGATGCTTGTGGTCGTGTCTGTTCGAAAGGTAAACAATATCGTCCACCTCCTCACAGAGGTCCTTCCACCAACGCGATTGGGAAGCGGTTGACCTGTCCGCGGGCGGTACGGCGGGCAGCACGGTGCATGGGTCGCGGAATTCCTTCTCCGTAGCCTCTTTGTCCGGCGCGTCTTCCATATCCGCTGCGATGTCCGTCTCTATGTGGCGTCTCTCGCGCACGCGCTGCGCGACGTCGCTCTGCGTACCGTTTGTGTATTCGCCCTGTTGACACTGTTCTAACCACAGTATCAGCTCGTTCCGAAACGATTCGTCCGACAACACACGATCACGGATGTCCTGGGGACTCAAGCTTCCCTGGATCCACAGAAGAGCGTGAAGGTGTAGAGTGAGCCTCCCCTGCTCCTCTACGGTCCCGTAGTAAGTGGACGTTTTACCAAACAGCCCGGCACGGTCATCTGGATCGTCGACCCTCAATATCTGAGTAACAAAACTGCGTACCATCAGATCAAAGAAGCGAGCACACGCTACAGGATTTGACGCGATAGCTCTGAGCCTGTGTGCGCAATCAGGTAGATCAGGCATCCGCTCTGTCAGGTCGATCTCTTCCCCACAGTAATACAAGCAAATGGGATGCTTAAAGTCTACAGGCGCGAACGTTATAAAAAACATAGGTACGTTGTACGCGATTATCAGAGACTTTATCTCACTCCGCTGGTTTCTGCGCTGGGTCATAGACCCAGGTACCTTCGCAGCAACAAAATCGACCAAGGCCAACAGCTCACGGCACTGCTTCTCTTCGGGCGTCGCCATCTCGCTCGACCACCCCGATTTGCCCTTATCGATCAATCCCTGCAAAACCTCTTTATCCGTACTCAATATCTTGGCCGCCACATCCTTGAAGTGCGCCCGTTCTGTAAGTAGAAACCCCCCTGTCGTGCTCGCTCTGATCTGCTCCTGATTGAAGGCTACAAAAGGAAAATATCGGTCAACTTGAAAGCGTCGATCGGCATACATGAGGCGATGCTGAATCTGCTTCGCCCTTCCCAGCTTGCACAACATCTTCGCATTGTCGAAACCCCCCAGACCATAAGGGTACAACCAGGGAAATAGGCGAGGGTATAGTTGTGGATTATGGTACATAGACGATGGCTTCGCCGCATGACCGTAAGCTAACGCCCCGCCTCCCGCATCAAAATGTTTAATAGCTGCAGCAACTCTCTGATCACGGCTGAGCTCGACGTAGTCTGACTCCGTCAAGCCGTGTACAGCGAACGTGCATTCACCGTCTTTAACATCCTCGTTTTCCCTTCCGCCATATCCAGGCTGACTCTCCACGGGAATTTCGCCGTCGCCCACTCGGTAAATCACATTAACAGGAGGCTCTTCGTCCCCGTAAGCCGCCAAGTTCTCATACGACACGCTGACGCCCTCATAGTCCCGATGGTTCAATATTAACCACCTCAACGCCGCCAGTACTATCCTACGACGCACAATGAAGGGCGTACGCTTCAAGTCCGCAGGAAGCGGTTTGCACGGCCCTACGAAAAGTATGGTGAGACACTCCGCCAAGTCATCTGGTCTAGGAGGTAACGCAGTGTAAAACTTGCCAACAGGTTGAGCGTACACGACCGCGTTCGCGGTCATTTTGTATTGGCCTTTAGTTACCTTGCCGATACACACATTGTGTCTTTCAACTGCAACCAGCAGCTTCTCCACGAAGTTTAACTTGTGTAACACTTCAGGTATGTCTCCCGTCCATAAACCATTTGCCAAAGCGTGACGCGGCAAGCGATGATGTCTCAAAGCTTGTAAACACTCTGCACAGGCTCGCAGCTGCTCGTTTTCGCCTCGCGCGTCCCTATACAATATTGGGCCTTCAAGTTCCTGTATAGGCTCATCGGCATGTATCCTCTCGCGCCTAGTGACCCCACATCCAGGTCTGCACAGCGGCTTCAGATCTACAGACGTTCTGTCGACACTAAACAAGGCCGATAGCTCGGTCAACCTGCCGCATACGAGACAGGGATTCTCGTACACGCGCGCGGCACTTGTAAAGTCACACCAGCCGTCCACGAAGGACATGAGCTCCTCCCGATTGTGAACAGGTGGGGGAAACACGGTTTCCCGGGAATCCTGTACAGTATGTACAGGTGCAGTCTGCAGGGGCAACTCCGATGAGCCCTTCGGTAGCCCCGTGCAACTAAACACAACAACGAGTTCTGAGCACGCCATCCCTTGACAGGAGTGTCTTACCACCGCTGTGACAATTCCCTGCATGGACTCATCTTGTACGTCCACTCCATGAGCCGTAAGCACACTCAGAAAATCTTGACGAGGCAACTCTATCATCAGATCGCGTAGTGGTATGCTATACGCCACGATTCGCGGGTCGGATGCCACAAGAGCGCACGCGTCCGTTTTCGACACGGCGGATACATACTGAGCTCGCTCTGCGCAGCCCAAGATACTGAAGTTCCCTTCTACACATTTAAACCAGCTCAACCACTTCGTACTAACACTCGCGCTTTTAGGAGGGAGAAGGTCCGCGCTCTCCTGAACTCGCGCTACCGGCTTAGCAGGTAGTTCGAACTGACTCCAAATGGACGAGCAGTACATGTTACACCTGTGCGACTTCAAAAGATCGCAAAGGCCCGCCAGAGAGCGTTGCACACGAGAAACGTGTAAGTTATGAAGCTTCGCGAGTGCCACCAGCTGCTTATACGGCAGCCAGACCACCAGGGTCGCGACAGGTACATCTACCACCAGTGTTCGCTCGTCCTGCCCCGCACTCACATCCTCGGGACGCACAAAACGGCTGAACGTTACATATGTCGATGGCTCTAGACGTAGGCCGCCTCCGGATATCACACGGAAACTCTCGAGTTCGCTCATAGAGAGTACCATACGGCGGCGCTGCGCGCCGCCCCCACGAAATGTGACTCGTTCGCATACACGACGGTGTATTAGATAGGGTTTTAACAAGGGTACAAAAACAATTAACGCGATTGAAATCGCCAAAAACGCAACGACAGCGGCGTACATTGCAGGAACATATGGCATCGGCGCCTCGCGCTTAGCCCAAAATAACAAAACGACGCGAAACGACAATGGCATGGCTGACTGACGACCAGAGGGATTCAAGCAAGGGTTTGGCTGGACTGTGAAAGGATACACGAGGAGAGTGGACTGCGATTGCGAGAGGTACGATGATACGAAGAAACGAAACGCACACGAGCCCCAAAAGGATATTGCCACGCGTACGGATATATATATATAGCAAGAGGCACTTGCTGACTAATAGCTATACAGTTCCACTCCAAATACGGACACTCATCAAAGGGCGCTTCCTCTATTCCCATATATGGTATCTATCAATCGGTGTAGCTTGAGGTTTACATAAGCCCCCCAAACCTCCATGCAATGATACCCGATTCCTTCGGTGGAATCGGAACCCGATTCCTTCGGTGGAATCGGAATGGCGGCTTCCTCTTGACCGCCAGACACAAGGATGACACTGCCCTGCAGCATTTCTCTGTGCAACTGCCGCTGCTCTTGACGTTTATATCTGGCTCATGCTGCGTGGACCAAGCGGACTGTTGTCATAAAGCGGTGGTATCCGCCCAGCCGACGTATATACCGCCGCCACGAAGGGTGTCTGGGTGTCTGAACCGTCTGCCTCCTCGCTTCCTGCAGCTTCACAAATCGCCATGTTCAACAACGCATACATGGTGTCCAATGTAGCCGCGAAGGATTTTGGGGACGATGCAGGTACAAGCACCCCGTCCGGACCAGCGCGCGAGCGACCGCCGTCCGACCCGTGTCTGCCTGCTCGTCTGCCCACCTCCGGTAAGCAGCGCCCTTACTCCGCATTACCCATTACCGACATCTGTTAAGGCTTCATTCAGCGTGAAGCGAGTCAGGTCGCCCCTAAATCCCTCGAAGCTGAGCTTGAGCGCATTCGTAAGGCGTTGGAGATACCGCCAGCGCCAACTCTCCAGGAGGCAGAGAAGTCAGCACCGAGCTCGCCGACTGCCAGTCCGAAAGCGAAGCGGAAGTCCTTTCTGGAGGCTCTGCCATCCGCGTTTGCAGCGGCGAAGATGCTCCGGACGGCTTCGCAAAGCAAGGGAAACCATGCTTGGAAGGCTCCCGAGGTTAGTGCGCGGACGATTGGGGATGCGTTATGACGCTCATTTTCCGTATTTCGTGCAGCCTTACGAAATCATGCGCGCCATTGAGAGGCGGGATATCATGTTTATCATGGAGGTCCGCGACCGCTCGTTCGAGGTCAGCGCAATACCCGCCACATTGCAGTTCGTCCGCTCACCCTTTTCACAGAGTTTGATCGTGAAATCCGGAGATGTGACGCCGCTCATACACGCCATGCGAATAGAGCACACGGACATGGCCATCATCTTGCTAGGCGCTTTCTCCCGATATATCAACAACCTGCAAGACGAGGACGTCGAGAAACCGGAGACGAAGAAGTTCCTCAAGATGCTGCGTAAGCGTCGTTTTATCCCATTGGACAGGAGGAATTTTGACATCTGCTTAGGATTTAATCTCAAGACCGCGATCGACTACGGCCTCCAGAAGCAACAGAAGGACCTCATCGCGTCGTTCTTGCAGACCCTCATCATGAGCGAGGGTGACTCGTGGGTTAAGCTGCAGACCGCGGACGTCGCTGTCGCCTTGCGGGAAGGAACGGCGGGCAAGCCGGTGCACACGGCGGCAGACGCTGTGCGAAGCTTCGCCACGAAGAGTCTCGGCCAGGCCCACTTCATTGCGTCGTTAGAAGACTAGTGAGTAGTTTAACCCCTTCAAGTGTAGGACATCTATCTGACCGCTGATCATAGTGTCGCCAACGCCACCGCAGACCTTGTGATGATGGCAGCGTGGTCGTCAGCCCTGCAGTTTATACAGGGAGAGCCGTTACCGGTATGTAGTCCCCCACAAGCGATTTTCGCCCTGCGCTGATGGATTGTTAGTCATACTACTTTGCGAGAGACGATCGTGTCTATAGGGCGCTCGTCGAACGGTTAGACAAGCATAATGATGCCATTCAGTCGAAGGTGGGACGGCGGTTACGGTGGCAGTTGAGGGTGCTGCGGACCCAGCTGGAGGGGCGGGCAAGAACTTACCGTGTCAGTCTTTTCCTGCACTATCCTCTGTGTCGCCACTCACTTTTTGTCGGCTCACAGAGTAAGGTCGAGTCTTTGGCCAAAGAGCTTGACGAAGGCGAAGGCATTTGAAGCTCCGGACATTCTACACACTGTATCGGTATATTCTGGCTTGTAGACTAACATGTATCAACAGATTGCCAGCTTCCTGCCATCGTGGGGTCGTCGTCTTGTTTTCACAACTTTCTGGGTGTAGTGGATACGTTCGTGCCGTACGTACATTTTTGCTCATATAAGGTGCCCTACGGGTCAAAGACCACACCCGCTTAGTGGCGTATTGTTGAGCATATAGCAAACACCACGGCAGGGGGTGCTTGCGCCCCCCACTGTTGGGCTCGTATAAGGTGCCGCGCGTGTACAAGGACGCAATACGTTATGCGGCGTATTATCGAGTAGACATTTCCCTATACTATAGTCCATCTGTGCGTGACCCTCATTGTCCATACACGAGTAGTTAGAAATATAGTATTGTCCAAGTCCGAAATAATGTGTGTGATGCAGTCTGTAGTTCAGATGTTGAGTTTGTAGCCCTTGTACCAGGTAAACGTCGCAGCGACGACCAGACTGAGCACTGCGGGGGCAAGGTTCAGCTGAACCACTGCGTAAATCCAAGCCGTCGCTATTGGTGGGCACTGATGGTACGAACACCTCAGCACGTACTCGTAACTGTGAGGCGGTCGAGGGGTTACTCACTTGCCGCATTACCACAAGCCAGTTGCCGCGATTCATCAGCCAGATCAAACGCGTGCCAGCTATGCAAGAAAGCCAAAAGAACGCGGCCTGCATCCGCTTGTCGGTCTTGTATCGGTTGGCTTATGGACACAAAACATAAGAGACAACTTGTTGCAGGCGTATCAGTTCGTTGGTGTAACTCACTGTAGAACACGAACACGAAGATGACTGCCATTGCGTGGGTCGTTAGCGGGGCTTCCCGGAATACGCGGATTTGTACGCACTGGGCATGCCCGAGAGCATTCGGTCTCGCAGAGCATCAAAGGTCGCATGCCTCCCGTACTGATTGTGCACAAGTCTATGCGGAACCCCTTGTGAGACATACCGATACGCGCTTGCAGGAATAAACACATACATCTCCATGAGAAGCAGCATGAATGACATGGGTATCGCGAGATACAGCGCGCGGAATATCTCGTCCGCGAGAGGGGATATCTCGTAATCCTCCTCATCGTCTCCTTCTGCCGGCACTTTGCTGCCTGAGGTACCCGCTTGCTTCAATATGCCGGTCTGCTCGATGATGCGCCATTGCTCGTCCTCGGGGATGTCAATTGCACTCGACTTGCTAGCAGAGGCGGCGCTGGCCTGTTGTTTAGCGCGAATGTCTTTGCGGTTTTTGCCCATGCTGCCGGTGCGCGTATGTGTGTACAGAAGATGATACCGGGGACGCAGATGCTGGTGGTACGCTGGAAAGTGAGGTACACCGTTATGCGGCGCTCTCGGCACGCGTCGGCGTGTCCAGCGCCACCGCGATCGCTCGCGACTTTGTAGACCCTAACCCCAAATTGGGAGCAGGGTCCCCTCCGAAGGTCCGCGCAACTTTCTTGTCAAACTCGCTCAGTCTTGACTTTAGGACTTCAAAACGTGCTGCAGCACTCTACTGGATCTCTTCTTGGAACCCATTCCTCTAGATCTCTACTCATTCTCGTGTTACTGTCATCACTAGAAGGCCTACTATGGCAAGCGAAGATTTGCTCAAACTTCTGGAGGCCCATGGCCAGCAATTCCTCCATTCCTTTGACTCTCCGGTGGTCATCGGAAAGCGCAAGGATACGAGCCAGTTCGGCTCAGACCGGAAGCAAAAGAAGTCGAAGAAAGCGAAGGTCGTGGAGGAGTCTGAAGAGGAAGCGGAGGAGGAAGAGTGGACTGGGTTCGGAAACGACTCGAGCAGCGGAGAAGAGGAGAGCGAGGATCCCTCATCCGGGGAGAGTGATGGGGAGAGTGACGAGCAGGACGCGGAAGGCTCAGGGCCGGAAGATGGTATGTGTACTAGGCCGGGCACACCACTTCCAGCACCTCACCTTAGCACAGACGACGATGGCTTCCGGTACGACAACCAGACACAGAGTTCACGCCGACTGCCGGACGTTGTGGTGTTCTCGGAAGCAGGGGGATCTGCTCTGATACCGAAGAAATCCAAGTCAGGTTTCATGGTGGGTGAGCATCAGAACCATTGAGTGGATCCCAGCCACGCTGGAACTCATCGTGCGCCTCTAGTCGTCCAAGGTATCCAAACTGACCGAAGACGTCGCACAACCACAAAAGAAGAAAAGCGGCACCGCTGAAGAGGAAGATGACATGTACGTTTCTTGCCCTCTCAGATGCGCCAGCGCGGACCGTAACCCGCATGCACTGCAGGACGAATGCGCAAAACGACGCGCTCCTGCACCGCCTAGTGCACACCAAGCTGCTCTCCGGGTCGCTCAACCCCGACCTCGATCTAAAGCCCGCACAGCGCAAGAAGGCGCTCGAGGGCCGTGTCCTCGAGGCAGCGGGCAAGGCGAAGCTCGGGAAGGGTGAGGCGATCGTCCGGCACGCGGAGCGAAACCGCGCGGCGAAGCACGTCCGGGACGGCCTCCTGGACAAGCAGAGGGAGCGTCATGAGAAGAAGATTGAGGAGGTGCGTCTATGTCGTTCGTGCCCGGTGTTTCGCTTCGGACTCGAGCTCACGCGCTCCGTTAATCTTTCGCAGGCAAAGCAATTGGGGAACTACCACCCTACGCTGAAACCGTTGTATGACGCCGAGGCGGCAGAGCTGGTGAAGCCTAAGAACAACAAGCGAGAGAAGGGGCTGAGGATGGGTGTCGGGTCGTTCAAGGATGGTATCCTGCGACTGGGCAAGAATGAGATTGGCGCTATCGAGGCTTCGGGCCGGGGTAGAGGCAGGGGCAGGGGTGGTCGGGGCGGTGGTAGAGGCCGAGGCGGTGGCGGGGGCCGAGGCAGAGACGGAGGAGGCAGCCGAGGCAGAGGCGGAGGAGGGCGCGGAGGAGGGCGCGGAGGAGGGCGTGGAAGGGGAGCCAAGCGGTGATATGCCTCATAGTGCTCTTTCTCCGCATCGCCTTCGAGTCTGTATCATGAACGTGGATCGCATTTTGTATAATGTGTTGCATACGGCATACAAGGCATACTATCATATATTGATACACGTTTCCCTGCGGCGAACCGTCCTGTCCTCCTGTCTACCAGCAAACAGAGAGATCGTTCATGCCAGTTCTGGGGTCTCAGTCATAATCATACCGGTCGTCATATCCGTATCGGCGTCGTTCGTCCCGTCTCCGGCCTCGGCCTCGTCGGTCGTCATAATAGTCGTACGAGCCACTGCGACTCGAGCTCGTGTTCCTGCTGGCGAATCGCGTCGGCCATGCTGCCCTGCGCAAGGGCAGGGCATACTCACTGTCGTCGCGGGCTCGAGTAGTGCTCTCCTCGGTGGTAGTCGCGGCCGCGCTCGCGCTCATCCGGGATGTACTCTCGCGGCCTGTCGTGGCCGCTACGCCCCGAGCTGGAGTGGCGGTCGTAGTGGTCGCGCCCGTCCCGCGGGCTGGAGCGGATGAGCGTGTCGCTGGAGCTCCCGCTGCGGCTGTGAATCGTCATGCTTAACGTGGGAGTGGGGGAGATCGTAGGGGTGAAGAGCGTACCCTGACCGTCCTGACCGCGCGCTTCGTTCCTTCAAAGTAGGGTCGACGTAGATTACCTCGGGATCGTCTCGCGACGACCGCGTACCAGCTCGCGGTCGACTCGAAGGTCTGAATTACAGTGAGCTCATGTTTCATTGTGTTACGAGATAACGTACTGGTAGTGTGGGTCGTCGTGGTACGAACCGGGGGCATGCATGCGAGAGGAGTGAGATGAACTATGGTGGGGCGTGTGTGCCCTACGTGTCCGACGTCAGAACACATCACACCTACCTAAACAGTCTAGTAACGTACCTCTGCTCGTACGAACGGTCAATGGGCCGGCCACGGCGGTCAGACCGGCTGCTTCCACTCGTATGGTGCGAACGGTTGTCGCGGCTACCGACCGAAATATGGTCGTCGTTCGAGAATCCAGCCCTAAACGAACCCAAATCAGCGCCATGTTCAATGCGATTCAGACCAAAGGTGCCTACCTGCATATCTCGTGGCCATACTGGTCTTGCACAATCACCGGGCGCGGACGTCTCGGGGGCCTGTAACGTCCGCTGAAGTCGCCAACACTGCAGGGTGCGGTCAGTACACGGATTTCCCTTCTATCCGGAAGTGCAACGTACCGAGTCAGTTCGTTACCATCTTCGTCTTCGAAGATGACTGGGGCACCTCCAGGGATGATGTAGTACTTGTCCTTCTTCCCGTGCTTCCCGTGCTCGACCACCACCACCACTGGCGGCTCCTCGCTCGAATCAAGGGGGTCCTCCCAGTACGCTGGGTGGTCCCTGTGGCCCTGCGAGCCGTGTGTCTGTAAGTAACATCATCAGCAACCCAACTACATTTGACAAGCAACCAGAACGAACCCTGGGAGGCGCGCTCCGCTCCCTCTCCCTGTGCCTATGGTGCGGGCGCTCGTGCGTCGGGTACGACGCCGAGTGATGCACAATATCGGGGTGCATGCCCCGCATCGGCACGCCCCCCTCCACAACCATCGCCGGCTGGTGCATATTCTGGACCGCGTTCATATGCGGCTGGCCGCTCGCACTCAAGTGCGGCGGCGGCGGGTACATGGACATGGACGGCGCGGCGGACATCGCGGGCGCGAACTGCCCGCGGTCCGCGAACGCCTGCTGGATGCGCGTCAGGCTGCTCTCGCGCTGCACGAGCGGGATCGTGGTGTCGCTGTGCCGTCCGGAGAGGATCTCCTCGAACGACTCGTCGTCCGTGGGCATCCCGGGCAGCCCGTGCGGGTCCTCGGGGTAGTCTTCGACGGTCGTGCGGTAGCCGCCGCCGCCGCCGCCGCCGTGCGAGGGGTACATGCCGATGTTCTAGACGTTGGTCAGCGTCTCTGGGGTGTGATACGTGAGGGGGACGCATGGGTACTCACGGGATCCTCCATCCCATAGTTCTGAAGGCGCGCTGTCTGTCAGCGGAAGTGGTTGCACGAGCATGGGAGGACGTACCCTTTTCGTAGATTTTCTGTGCAAAACCTTGCTCCAGGGGGAGCGGTTCTGGCGGGGCTCCTGCTCTGCGTACCCTTGGTCATAGTAACCTTGGGGAGCATCGTACCCTTCGTACTGTCCGTAGGCACCGCCGCGCCCGTGCTCCTTGGAGCGTCCGAGACTGGGGAATAGACGAGGCATGACGTGGAAGAGAGATCAAGATGGAATATCAAACAAATGAGACAAAATGGCGAGACAAAGGTCAAAGGAGAAGTGGCGTTGGGGGTCGAAAGGTCGAAGTCTAGGTGAATGCCTGCATTCGGCGCCGCTGCGAGGAGCGACAAGGATGATGCTGGGGATCGCAGGAGAGGGGTGCTGCACACACAAAACGTCAGGATAGATGGAGTGCAGCCCCGAGCGGGGAGGCCACCTTATAGCGAACAGCATGGAGGGCATGAGGTTACCGCGCACGAGAAGGACGGCGGAGAAGAGCTATCTTGCAGGCTCATACGCGTGCTTCTGCTCGATATACCCCGGGATGCGCCTGCTAACCGCGCAAGAGATAGACAGTTACGCCGTGTCAGGTGTCCGGGGTTGTGAATGGACGGGGAACGCGAGATGGGCGAGCACAGTCCACAGGCGCGCGTCCTATGCTCCGCGCAGCGCGAGGTGACGAACGCCGCCTACCCGCGTGTTTTTGATACAAGCCGTGGCCAACGGCCTATACACTGGAGTACACAAACCTGGCGCGTACGCGCGCGACTATCCCACAACTGCTGTCCTCTGACCTGCCCCTGTTACTACATTCGACGCTGGCCACACTGCGCGATCAGGCCACACGCCGATGTCAGTTACGTTCCAGGCCACGATGAGTGCAAATCTAGCTCACCGAGACAAGAGCCGATGGGCATATGATCAAGGGTGTGTTCGTATGGGCGCAGGGCTCCTACGCGATCCGCGCTTGTTGTTCGCTCCAGAGTAGCTGCTTTACTTGGGCAAGAGCTTGCGAAACTTTCGCAATCGTATCGGCAGTTTGGCCGATCGACGCTGTATCTAGAATGGGACCGGCGGATAGCGTATCTAGGCGTGCGGAGAGTGCCAGGAGCGACTGTTCAAGAGAACGTGCGGACACCTCGAGAGCTGAGGATGTAGAGGAACGTGTTTCCTGGGAATGGTTCGGTGACTGACATACAATGTGACCTGATGAAGGCTTACAAGAACCGTCGGCTGTGATCTCGTGTGCGGCTCTCGCCGTGCATCGGACGGGTAATGCAAGGTGTCGTCCTACGGCTCTGTTATGATCACTTGATGCAAAGAGAATGAGACTTGTTCTTACCGCAGAAAGACGAGTACCCATGTTCGGCATGGCCTTTCCTTTTCCTTTATCAACGTAAGTCTGCGGAGGCGAGGAGAGCCCTGCAGCTGCGGGCGGAGGTGATCGGTAGGTAGCTGCTGAACTAGACGCAGGAAGCATGGGCACTAGGCGATCCTGTCCCAGGACGTCTTTCTCGTCTACATAGACGGTGCCGCAGATCACACACTCCTACAGTCGAGAGTTCTGAGCGCAGGCGCGGGGTTCGTATCACGGAGAATACTCGCCTTCCTCGGGTCGATAGTGGCCTGAACCTTTGGGGGCCGCACGAGGGGGATCCCGTAGCAGTTGGAACCGGGGCACTCATCTCCCAGCATCGCCCAGCCTCTGAGCATACGTCTGCCGATTTCGGCTGAAGCTGTGTCGGATTGTTGCCGACGACGGAGTAGCTCCGCGGGGTCCATGAGGGGGGCGAGAAGAGGCGAGTCTGGTGCGCTTGATACATCCGTCGGTGGAGTCGAAGACCGAGACATGTGCGTGCTGGACACAGAGCTCGCCGCGAATGACGCCTGAGGCACAGGAGTCGGCCGCAGCTGGGTGGAGGCACCTGCGCCGGAGTTACTGTCCGGCGCTGGGTCGCAGTTGACGCAAAACTGAGTGACAGCGGAGGCGGAGGACGGAGACCTCATCATAGGTACCCTGCCGCATTTTGAGCAAATTACGTCCGTCAGGACCTAGAGCGCATCTTGAGCATTAATGATCATCGCTGGCAGCCATGTTGAGACGCACCCAACCCTTGAGCATATATACGCCGAGATTGCTGGAGACGTCTATCACGTTTCGAAGACGTCCCCGACGGCTAAACCCGATCTCCCCGCCCCTCCCCTTCCTTTCCCCACCCTGCTCCCCATGCCCATGCCCATGCCTATGCCCTACCCCGTATGCTTCCCGCTAAACCACGCCATAATCACTTACACGTGTCATAATTTCACTACGATAAGAGCGGCAATGCCGCAGTAGACTCGAGATATGTTCGCGGAGGTCATCAGAAAACCCCGTACTATAATTACTGTAGACGGCTGTACAAGCACTACTTAGCTGTAGATTACAAACCAGATAACCAAAAAAAAAAAAAAGAACCGTGATCTTGCAATGTGATATAATCTAGGTAAAATGGACTTGCAATCGGCTGTAAGGTACCCAATGATCTTTAGTTTGGAATCTGTCATAATATCACTCGGATGACGTTGAGCCCCTTACAACCGCCTCAATGATTCCCAAATTCACAAAGATCCCGTCGCCTCCAATAGTTACGAGCACATACAAGACATATAGTTCCGACCATATATTCCTTGCTTTTGATATTCAGGTCGTGATATGCGCAGTAGATGGGGGGAACACGATATCATTGAAAACACCGAAAAATAGCTATATACAAGAGAGTAGTTCTACTGTATACACTGATATACGAGCTGTCGCGCGTGCCCGAAGCGGTCCTCCGCGCAAGAAAGAGCGCCGCGTAGCCATAGAAGCGGAGATCCTTCGAGGTCAGGAGCAACGAAGTCAGGGACGAGCGCAGAAGGCAGCACAGCGAAGACAGCTAAGGACTCGAAGGCTCCCAGAAAGACGATAGACGTAGACGCATCGCATAGAGCCCCAGCAAGTTAAACTAGACCAAGCCACAGTAGTAGTCAGACATGACACAAGAGATAGCAACCAGCCAGGAGCCCTCGAGAAGCCTGAGTACGAGCATGCGAGCCAGCAGAGATAGGTCCAAAGTACAAGAGCGAGCAGCCAGACGAAGACCCCCGTAGTCGAGACCGAGTACAAGGCTGAAAAGGTTAGTAAAGAATTTTCATGGGAGGGCGCGAAGCAGAAAGGAGGAATAATGAGGGACGATGGAGAGGAGCAGAGGTGAGGGGAGCGAGAGAGAACAGCGCGACAGACGTCCGTCACTAGGAGACCGAGATTTAAGCCCCGCCGATGAACTGTATAGTACATCAGACAGTCGCGCGAAGCGTCCATAAAATCGAGCGCGCGGTTTGCGAGTGGATGGCAAGGCAGGCGTGAGGATTGGGCAGGTTGCAAGACAGGTGCGAGGATTGTGCAGGTTGCGAGACGACGGTAAGAGCCTCGCGACCGTGTTCCAACAGATGCAATGATCGCGGGCGCTTACCACTACTAAGGAGATCACATTGGGTTACTAGCGTGTCATAATGCCATATAACAACGGGAATCCTTATCCATATAACAACTTCCGCGCCGTTTCTGTGATGTCTGCCAGGCTCAAGCTCAAGGCTCACTCACTCACTCTCGCTCTTTTCGCGTGGTTCTTGTGCACTCGGCGCAGTCTCAAGCGCACCAAAAACATGGCGACGACAGCGCCGTGGGGTTGTCCGCGAGGAAGCACTGGATGTCGTAGAAGGGATCCATGGATCCGAGGAGGTCTTCGATGCTGGAGTGCCGGTATTTGCGAGTGTAGTGATTGCAGTGGAATAGAACGTGTTCACGCGTGTGGTAAGCCGGCGGGCCGTCGTGGAGGGTGCACATGGTGGGCTCGTTCGCTCTCGCCCGAAAGCGATCACGATACCATCCGGTCGGGGCGTGGTTTGTGATGCATCGGATGAATCGCGCGGTGAGCGTTGGGCGTCCGCCGAGGCGCTTGAGCGGATAGGACTTTGTGTGGGTCAAGCGGCGGAAGGCCGGGTGCCGCAGATGTGTGCGGCCCCAGTACTTGGCTGGGTTGGCGTCGGCCATCTCGTCCCACTGGCTCAGAACTAGCCCCGTGATGCCGCTCTTGACGTAGGCGTACGACGTTGCAAGTTGGCCGCGGTACTCCTCCCTCGGCAGGTCCAGAACATGTGTGCGTGCCTTGAATTTGACGTCCGCGTCGACCGCTTCGTTCTCTTCGATGTTCGAGTGGGCTGGGCAGTAGTGAAGATGCAGGTGATTTTCGGGGTTCCGCTCGAACCACTCGCGTAGCATTCGGCACGAGTTTGTGGGCGCCATCTTGCCGCCGTCGGGTGAGAGGATGCTGGAGAGCGAATTCTCGCTGTCGCTGAATATATGGACCCGGCGGAACGACTTGAGGCAAACGAAACCGATCGCGAGGGAAAGCGCGATTTGCTCGCAGTCGAAGGAGAACGCGTTTCCGGTGTACAGGGCATATGCAAGATCACGGTCAAATCTGTGATGCGACGCGCGCTCGCGACTCGAGAGGCGCCGGGGGATTGCGCGTGTCACGTGCAGCGTGTCCACCGACGTGGTCGGTCCGGCAGAGGGTGGCCGTGTGTCTCACCGGTCGACCGCCACCACAGCTGCTACGAATCCACTGGGCCTGGTCTGCAGCTCGGCCATCTCTCTCTGGTCTACCCTCCTGGCTTGCTCTGCATGAATTGGCCCTCGCTTTGGCCCACTGGTCTGCTCGCTCTGCTCATTGTTGCTCTAGACAGTCCTTGGTCGACTCCTGCTCTTGCTTCACCAGGTCCGGGCCCGGCATCATGGACGAGTGGGCGCAAGCTAGATGTGAGGTAAGCTCTTTCTGCTCTTATTCAATCATTCATTTCACCTGTGCAATAGAGAGCGAGTGCGCGAGTTGTGGCATCACGGCTACGACCATTACATGGACTCCGGTACGTACTTGTCCTGAGCATCTTGGGAAGGCTCTCATCAGGTTGGGTTGGTCAGCATTTCCCTTGGATGAGGTGACTTGGCCGTTTCTACTTTTCTGCCGTCTCCGCCGTTGATCACGCCTGTAGCTTGCACCACTGTCATGTACAGGCCGTGGACCCAACTGGCTCAATCCGTGAGTACACTGTATATATTGCCCTGTTACCGGCCAGACTGAAATTGTTTGCAGGGGTGACTTCGCCAGAAATGACGTTGCTGGCAATTTCTCCGTCACTCTGGTTGATGTCCTTGACACTTTCGTCGTCCTGAACGACCCTCCGGGATTCGAGGACGCGGTCCGCAAGATCATCCGCTGGGTCTCCTTCGACAGCAACACGAAGCCACAGGTCTTTGAGACAACCATACGCGTCATGGGCGGCCTGCTGTCTGGGCATCTCTTTGCAAACAAGCCAGAACAGCCCTTCTACTTACCTTGGTACCAGGGCGAGCTCCTCCAGCTCGCTTATGATCTAGGTGTGAGGTTGCTCCCGGCGTTCAACACCGTCACCGGTCTGCCATACGCCAGGGTAACACTCCAATCTCCGTGATTCAGAGCATGTCTCACGTCAACGCTAGATCAACCTTCGCCACGGTGTGCCCAAAGGCGAATCGACAGACACTTGTATGTCCCCCGTTCAGGAGAGTGGTACGTGGTCTAACCACTTGTAGGTACCGCCGGGGCGGGGTCGTTGATCCTCGAATTCGGCACCTTGAGTCGCCTCACGGGCGACGACCGCTTCGAGAAGGCGGCGTACAAGGCCTTCTTTGCGCTGTGGAACCGCAGGTCGGACATTGGTCTTGTAGGCAACACGATCAATATATTTACTGGCGTACGTCCCAGCCTATGCAACCGTACGATATGAAGCGCGGATGTAACAGTCTGTCTGGTAATAGTCCTGGACGCACCCGGAAGTCAACAACATTGGCGCAGGCATCGACTCGTTTTACGAGTACGCGCTGAAGTGGTATATCATGAGCGGTATGTCCTCGTGTGTTTTCGTCAGGTAAAGTGTGCAATGCTCACTTCTTGACAGGCGAGGTGGAGTTCCTCGACGTATGGCAAGACTCGTATGCATCTGTCATGCGGTATTCCAGAGCACCCGATGGTTTCTGGGTGAGTCGCGATATCACTCATCAACCTTTAGTCTGTACTGAATTGTCATTGCAGTATCGGAACGTGAACATCCATTCGGTATGGGCAGTAACCGGCCCAGGAGCTCCATTCACTAATATGGCTGCAGGGGGATGCCCAATACGGTACCATCGACTCGCTTTCGGCGTTCTGGTCAGGGCTGCAAGTGCTTGGCGGCGACATTGAGAACGCGGTGAAGTCTCACCTAATTTGTACATTCACTGCGATCGTGCTGTTCCACGCTGCTCGACTGCTGAAAGTGACTTTTCTGCAGATTACAATATATGGCGCGGATTCGCAGGACTTCCGGAGGTTTGGGACATGAACTACCATCAAGCCACCTCTTTTCAGTATCCACTGAGACCAGGTGAGTACCACGTCCTTGACTACCCTGTCGAATCGTTCCTGACGGCGTCTTTTTCCAGAGTTTGTGGAGTCCACATGGTATCTGTATCGTGTGAGACAAACTTGCAATGGTCAGTATGATCTGGTCACTGACTTCCCGCTTAGGCCACTGGCGACACATTCTATCTAGACATCGGCGGTAAGCCAGCTGCCCTTCCATCATGTCTGTCTTTGGCAGTCAGCTTGACGATGTCGAGCAGAGCGTATCCTCCACGACATCACAATACGGTCAAGGGCAGAATGCGGCCTGACCGGTATCAGCGACCTACGCACCAACACCCGAGACGACCGGATGGAATCATTCGTACTCTCCGAAACACTGAAGGTTCGTCTCACCACACACGTCGTCCGGTAGCGCCTCACGCATCCGCCGTACACAGTACCTATTCCTCCTTTTCGACGAAGCGAACCCCCTTCACGCCGACGACACCCAGTGGGTCTTCACGACCGAGGGCCACATCCTCACGCTCGACCCCGCGCTCCTTCGCCCCATCTCGCCCGCGCGGCGGAAGCTCCGGCGGGTCGAGAATCTGCAGTGTCCTGCGTATGCCCCGCCCATGCTCGCGTACGACGCCCCAGAGGATTACACACGCGACACGGGGCTCGTGGGCGGCGTGATGTCGCGCGTGGACTTTGAGTACGCGCGGAACCTCATAGGGCGCGTACACTCGGAGAATGAGACGCGGTGGTGGGATCCAGATGGGTGGTGTGCGTTGCCAAAGCACGAACCCTACGTGCGTCACTCGGTGAACGGCATGTGCTCTGAAAGCTGACATGAGCGCATCACATCCAGACATATGACTTCGTGCTCTCGGCGCACGGGGAGGTCGTCCTGGAGGACCCCCGCCTGCCCGCAGACAAGATCACAGAGGTGGCGGACGGGTACCTCGTACAAAACGTCACCGGCATCCGTGTGCATATAGTCAGTCGACTAGACGGCAAGGGCTACGATATCGCCAAGTGTAAGACATTCTTCTTTATATCAGGATCTCTGTGCTCAGACTTAGACAGTGGGACCGTACGCCGTGAAAACCGGGCAGAAAATATACTTCAACGACACCCAGCTCTCGCTTACCCCAGTCGACGGCCAGGGCGCCTCCACACAACAACATCGTCGCATACCAGAAATCGAGCTACGCTTCTTCTTGGACTACGTCGACCCTTTGCTGCAGCTGCAGGCCCCAGGCATGCACGACGTCATCACAGAGACCGTCGTCCCCGCCGCGACCGCTATGTTCGCCGGGGATCCTGCAGCGCCCCGCGCGGACGACGGAACACATCCGCTTCGCTTTGGGCATGGCGCCGGAGTCCGCCTCATCTACTCTCCCACCAACCCGCTCGGCTGTGCGCCATATACGGAGGAACTCGATGACGCCGCGGTCCTAGTCGCACGTGGCGAGTGCACGTTCCTCGAGAAGCTCGTGTTTGCGCAGCGTGCGGGCGCGTCGGGCGTCGTCGTTCTCGGGAACGAGGACCAGCACATCAACCCGTCCGTCGACCTAGCGGAGCTCGAGGCGGCGGGCCCCGAGATCAACGACGTCGCGATCGTCGTCCTCAGGCGACCGGACGCGCAACTCGTCGCGGAGATGCTCGACTCCGCGGAGCGGCACGGGTTGGGCGATATTCGGATGGTCGTCGAGACGTGGGACGACGGCCCCCAGCACAGGAGCGAGCCGACGAAGACCGCGGGGAAGCTCGAGGACACGCAGCGCGTACTGTATCTCAACAACCACCCGTTGCTCAACACAAGGCTATTGGTCTAGCTGCCGCGAGTGCGGCTACACGATGTACATGCGCTGCTGATACGAATACACTGAACTCCGGCCGTTTGGGATACCGCACCGGCCCTTGCTGCTTTGCTTCTGCTCTATAGTCATGCTCCGTGTGTCTGGTCCCGCAGAACTAGTCGTCGACCTTGACGATCGAGTACATCGGCGCGTCGAGCTTCGACGCGGCCTGGAGGAAGGTGAGCTCGATGATGAAGAGGTACTCGAGCGTGTTGCCGCCGAGCTTCGCGACGAGCTCGCCCGCCGCCTTCGCGGAGCCGCCTGCAATCGGGGGTGAGTATTGCGACCCGAACACGACCCGCTGTGCACGACTGACCAGTGGCGATGAGGTCGTCGATGATGACGACGTTCTGGCCCTTTGCGATCGCGTCCGCTTGCATCTCGAAGACGTCCTAGCACGGGCGCTCCGCGTTAGCAACCGCCTCCCGTCCCACAATCGCAACCACGCAGAAAAATCGCGCACCAGGCCGTACTCCTTCTGGTACTCGGCGCTGATCGTCTCTCCGGGGAGCTTGCCCCGCTTGCGCACGGGCACGAACGCGGCGCCGAGGCGCATCGCGATGATGGGCCCAATGAGGAAGCCGCGGGCGTCGAGGCCGACAACGACGTCGATCTTCTTCGACGGCGAGCTCGCGATCGTGTGCGACGTGAGACGGTGCACGAAGTGCGTGATCAGCGTCTCGAACGCGACCGGGTCGCGGAGCAGCGGGAAGATGTCCAAGAAGACAATGCCCTAAAGTGCGCGAAGTCGTCAGAAACTGCTTGCACACCGGGACGTGCATCGCACCTTCTTGGGGTAGTCGGGGTACGACCGGAGCAGGCCTTTCAAGTAGTCGACGTCGGCGGGCATGGTGGTGGTCGGATGTATGTCCTTCTGCCCGAACGCGACTCGGAAGTCTGATAAAACGTGCTGTGGCCGAAGACGATAATTTGTGCCTCGCCGATCATCTTAGCGGTCCGCGATTCGGACGGCTTGTACAGTTGTAGCGCGTACGTACGCGGCCGCCGGTGGGACATGCTACAGAACACCAACATAAACAACCCGAAGGATCATGGGTCGGTTGACTTTCTCACAGACGAACACAGACATCACACCCAACAGGTTTCCGGTACAATCACAACTGAACATAACGATAGACACCAGTGCAAGCAGACGACAGGATGGGTGATATGGCGTGCGCGGTCATGTCATAGATTGCCATACCCTTGTAGCATAAGTGCGAGAGATCATGATGAAGGATACAAGAGCAGACAACAGTAGGCTTTTATACAGACTCAAGGATCTCAGGCTCCTTGAAGTCCTTCGCTACACGGGTGCCGGTCTCCTGTAGACGCAATGTACGCGGTCAGGACAGGCAACGTGGCGGGTAAGCAATAACTTACATCTGTTGACTCGCCGTGGAGCTCAAGGAGCTTCGACATGTCGAACTTCGGCGCCTTGATGATCTTCGCCTTGTGGATGTAGACGTTCTGGAGGGGGTAGATGCTCCGCGCCGCCTTCTCGATCTCCCGGCCAATCGCCTCGGGGACGAACTTCTGCACGAGCTCCTTCAGGTCGCAACTTGTCGCTTCCCTCGTCATGATCTCGAACATCTTCTTGCGGATCTCCCGGATCTGCGAAGACTGGGCGTACGTGGTCTTGCGGACCTGCGTAGGCCGGCGCTTGGTGAAGCCAATCGCGAAAAGACGGAGGAGGTAGCCGTCGGTCGTCTTCACGTCGACGTGCGCCTCGATGAGAGTCTGCCATTTCCGGACGAGTGACCGGAGCTTGTCGGAGGTGAAGCTCATGCCGTGGAAGTTGGTCAGGCAGCTCTTGCCCTGGATCTCGTCCACCCGGAGCTTGATCTTGCGGAAGGCCTGCTCCTCATCCTTGTTGAGGTCGGCGAGGGAGACCTCAACGATACGGCCCTTCAGAGAGTCGTTGGCGTTTTCTATCAAGCGATGAGAACGCTGCGTATGATATCAAACTAAATGCACGTACTGAGACCCTGGGAGCGGTTAGCAAGAGTCTTGCCGACGTTCTTGACCTCGAAGATTGAAGGGGCCTTGATATCGTACCAGTCTGTCCGCCAACGTGTAAATGCCACAGATATAACCTGCACGAACGGTAGACTCACCCTTGCGGGAGAAGGGGTCGACGACCTTTTTCTTGATACCCTTCTTGCCCTTGGACAAACGCTTGTTCTGTGCGCGAGCGAATGTCAGAGCCAAACGACCGCCATTTCGAGAACTAGCACGAGAGACAGACCTTTCCAACAGCCATGGTGGGTCAGAAGGGAGGAGGGGGAGCCGGCAGTTGGACGGGCTGAGTTTGGGGATGCGTGAGTGCCGCCAGACGCGGACACGGGCAGGGCAAAGTGTGGGAAACTGGCATGGGTGGCTGAAACCTTATTCTCTTAGCTAGAAGGCAGGCTTCCCACGCCACACCATGCCACTCCCCATGCTCACCTCTCTCACTCGCGCGCAGTTTGAAGACGCATGTCGCCGTTATGTCGCTGCTCACTCTGACCAAGGTCGTACTGGCATAACAATCTATCCCACTGGATGGTCATGGCATGAACATTCTGTACGCCTGTCTGAGTCCTGGCCAGACGTTGCTAGCCTAGGTTCTGACCGATACTCAGTACGTCTCTGGACTCGGTTACTTATCCAGGACTGTCCTTCTCCCTCGCATATCACCCAGTGAAGAGGGTGAGCTTGGCGAGCTTGTTGGGACCACCCTCGAGGTGGAGGACGAGTCCGCCGCCGTGGTACCCGGAGAGCTTCAAACTTGCAAGCAATATGTGGTGTATTCGCCCACCTTCGAAGTTCCAGCTTTCTACTTCACTTTGAACAAGAGTAGTGCGTGTCTGCACTAGTTGACTGAGTGTTGGCCCCTGATGTACAGATTATCGTCAGGTGGATCACCCTTGGTCCTAGACCAGATAGTGCAGTCTACACTGTTCCGACGCAATGCGCTTCCTTCGTCGGATGGGAACACCTTCGGGCTGACCCTCCCAGGCTCCAATCTCTCGCTCCTATCCCAAGGCGACCACCCTACGCTCGGAACGCCCTCATGGTACTTCCATCCGTGCCATACCTCCGAGGTTGTCGGGGAGATACTAGCGGCGTCTGAAGGGACACAGCCCGGAGACGAGCTGCTGCGATGGATGGAAGTGTGGTTCATGGTGATGAGTAATGTAGTGGATTTCTTTGCGGGTAGCAATACATGAAGTGCTGTTGGGCGACGCGCGACACGGAGCGGGTGCGGGGGTCTCGTGGACGCGGCGGGGGAATCAGCTGCCCGCGCCCCCGGTCGGGTCATCGAGCGACAAGCGACGGCCGAGTCTTATATAAGAGACCGACGGGGTCTCACCCTTGCTGCCCCCGACGTTGGACAACACCGGCACGACTTTGAGTGCAACGCGTCTTTGTTGGCGAGAGACCGGCGTCCCTGTCGTACGATCGTCAAATACCCAGAACGCCGACCCCGCGTTCGCGGCTAATCGATCAATTCATCCACTAAGCGCATATAAGGCGAAGACAGAATGCTCGCTGCCATACCCTCCTCCTCAGCCACCCGTCTCCCCCTCAGGCACCTCATACGCAGAATGGTATGTGCCCCCGCCGTCCTCATCGAACGCTGTGCGCTGAGACGCGTCCTCCAGTCCACTCAGACCCGTCACGAAGCCGTCATCGTCGCTGCGTCCAGGACGCCAGTGGGATCGATTAACGGTGCCTTGAAGACCGTCACGGCCCCCCAGCTCGGTGTTGTCGCCCTCAAGCGTGCGTTCGAGCAGTCGGGTGTCAAGCCCGAGGTCGTCGAGGAGGTTTACTTCGGTAACGTCGTCCAGGCCGGTGTCGGCCAGTCTCCCGCACGGCAGGTCGCGCTCGGCGCAGGCCTGACCACGCGCTCGGATGCGACGACGATCAACAAGGTCTGTGCGAGCGGCCTCAAGGCGATCATGCTGGCTGCCCAGAGCATCGAGTCCGGCTACAAGAGCGTCGTGGTCGCGGGCGGTATGGAGAGCATGAGCAACGCACCGTACGTCGTGCTGCAGTTTACGTATTCGCACAGTCACTAACGGGGTCTCATGTTCAGGTTCCTCCTACCTCGCCAGAACCCCGTGTTCGGCAAGTTCACCACCAAGGACTCGCTCGAGACCGACGGTCTTTGGGACGTGTACAACGAGTTCGCGATGGGCAACTGCGGCGAGTCGGCGGCTGAGAAGCACGGTATCCCCCGTGAATCACAGGATGCGCACGCCATCGAGTCGTACAAGCGCGCGGAGCGTGCATGGAAGGCCGGTGTGTTCGACGCTGAGCTCGCGCCCGTCACCATCAAAGGCAAGAAGGGCGACACCATCGTGAAGGAGGACGAGGAGTACAAGCGTGTCATCTACGAGAAGATCCCCACCCTCAACCCTAGCTTCAAGAAGAACGGTGGCACCATCACGCCCGCAAACTCCTCGAGTCTGAACGACGGCGCGTCCGCGCTCATCCTCATGTCCGCGGAGAAGGCGCGCGAGCTCGGTGTCAAGCCGCTCGCGAAGGTCATCTGTGAGTGACGCTCTATTACTCCGTATCGGTCGGGGCGCTGACATGGAAATTGCAGCATATGCCGATGCGGGTGTGGACCCGATCGACTTCCCTGAGGCGCCCACCTTTGCCATCCCCATCGCGCTTGAGAAGGCAGGCCTGAAGGTCGAGGACATCGCACACTTCGAGATCAACGAGGCGTTCTCTGTAGTCGTCCGTATCGCCGAGAAGAAGCTCGGCATCGACCCCGCGAAGGTCAACCCCCACGGTGGTGCGGTCGCGCTCGGCCACGCTATCGGCAACTCTGGTTCTCGTATTGTTGTCTCTCTGGTGCACTCGCTTAAGTCGGGCGAGTACGGTGCTGCGGGTATCTGCAACGGGGTAAGCTCTTTCTTGCTATACCAGGTGAGGCAGGAGGCTGACTTTCGTCGTTTAGGGTGGTGCTGCGTCCGCGCTGGTTATTCAAAAATTGTAACTCTAGACTTCATCATCATACCGTGTACTGCTCTCGCACTGCTATCATATCCTGGTTAATCGGCTGGAAATTCCCTACCCTGTGTGATGCAGGCTCGTTAGTCACGGACTACAGTAGAGTTGGTTCTTCCTCTATATCTGCCCATCTATGACTTAGGCGAGAAGGGACGCGTTCCAGCATGCATGTGCTCGCCGTTCGCTCTGCGATCTACGGTTGTGATGTACGTCAGGTCTGCCGGGTTATGTCTTAAGGACTGTGGGCGCATGTGAGTTTGCAGGAGGTGTTTGATCTGCGAACTGTTGCTTATCTCTCATTCCAGCGACACTTTATGGCTTCCTGCTGGCGCGGGACCATACCCTGCACCGGCGCACCGGGTGACCTGCGGCGGGGTGACAGGTGCCGCGCTGCTTCTCGGCGCGCAAATGAAGTGGAGAAGCCAGCTAGGGATTCGTGCCGTACAAGCGGAATCCTATCTAATGGCTCGGGCTCTCTATCCCAGACCCAGTGATGCCCCTAAGCCCTCTACCATGGCTACGCTGCAGCAAAGGAAACCGCCCCACGCGGCAGATGTTGACATAGTCTCCGTGCTGGAAAGCACGGATGGCGACGAGGCCCTCAAGCTCGTAGGTCGGGAACGAACGGCTCAATTCAGCGAGGGTTACAACAAGCAGCTGCGCAGGAAGCTGGTGAGCGTGATAGTTTTCGGTCGTGAAATGGGAAGCTCATGCTGCCTTGTGTAGGACCACGTTATACCTCCTCTCTGCGCTGCAGTGTACTTCACGCAGTTTCTGTTAGTCCGCATATCTGGATTCGTTTGGAACGTGGAAGCTGACCAGACCATCTAGAGACAAGACCTCTCTAAACTACGCGAGGTACGTTTACGATGGATGTCTGCGGTGCGGATCGAGTCAATGATCCTTTGTAGCATCATGGGCTTCCCTATTACTGGACAGGTAGTCCACCAATGGTTTGCTTCCTTTTGGCCGAGTGGCTGATATGTGGGTTCTCCAGCACTACAACTTGGTGTCTCTCGCGTTCTACGCCGGTGAGTCTACTACACAAGCAACGAACGCAATCGATGTTCATGCGTCCATAGGTTTCTTAGCATGGGTATTCCCGACGGTGTACATCGCGCAGAAGACGAGGGTGCGTTATATCTGGACATATTTTCCGAGACCTAACACCGTGTTACTCTAGGTCGCGAAGTATCTTGGCGCCAACATCATCGTGTGGGGTGTTGTGCTAATGTGCCATGCTGCCACTACCTCGTTCAACGCATTCTTTGCTCTGCGCTTCATCCTCGGTATGCGTCGCTGCATACTGACAGAATAGCAAGCTAACGCGCTTTCAGGCATGTGCGAGAGCTGCGTTACTCCGATTCTCATCTTGATTATTGCTATGTTCTATAAGAAAGACGAACAGGTACGTCACCTCACGGTGAATCCTACCTGATTACGTTTGCCTAATCAACCATAGGGAACGAGGGTATCGTGGTTCTATATGATGGTCAGTTGAGCCACATATGCGTCCTATACCATGACTAACTTGAATTTTTAGAACGGTAATCGGGACTTCGTGCAATCTAGTCAGCGATAAATGCAGAACTAACATGGCACAGGTCTATCGCAAATATTTGGCGGCTTCTTCGCCTACGGAGTCTCGTTCTATGAAGGTCACGTTCTGTTGCCATACCAGATCATTTTCTTGCTCCTGGGCGTGCTCGCCATAATGGTCGGCGTTTGCGTCATCGTCTGGCTTCCTGATTCTCCCGTGAACGCGCATATGCTTACGACGGAGGAACGCATCGCAGCGCTCGAACGCGTACGGGATGGCCAGGCCGGTACCGAGAACAGGCACTTGAAGAAGGAACAGGTCATCGAGGCCCTGGCGGATTTACGCACCTGGCTCATCGCGTTGATAGTCATCCTGTGTAGGCTCACTCTTCGACGTCGACTTAGTGGCATCGGTGCTGATACCGATTGTAGCGAGTATTCCAAATGGAGCGTTCAGTAACTGTGAGCATGTCGTGCTGCGTACACTATGTTGTCCTCATTACTCTCTAGTCAGCAACATCATCATAAAGGGTTTTGGCTACACGTACGTCTCTGCTTTCCTTTTCTTTCCTATCCACGCTGACATGACACCGACAGTTCGAGGCAAACTTTGATACTATCGACACCGGGCGGCGCAATAGCCTCCATAGCCACTTTGTTATGTGGGTGGTACTCTGACAAGAAGGTGAACGGAACATATCGGCAATTCTACTTCCGCGTTGATTGACACTCAACAACCAGAACGAGAGGATAATGCCTATCATCATATGCCTCGTTCCTACCATGGTGGGCTCCGCCATGTTGATTGGCCTGAACGACTCGGGGCACAAAGGCGCCCTCCTTGTAGGTGCGTAGAGCCGTTCATATGTCAAGACGGTAACCGACGTCTAGGATAGCGATCTACCTTGTCAATATCTTCAACACCGTTCTGCCGACAGTATACGCGTACAACGCAAGCAATATTAGTGGTAATACGAAGAAGGTCAGTAATATTTTGACTCGTGAGTATCATATGTGACTGATATTATTCGACTGCACGCACAGAATACGGTTAATGCGTTGACACTGACATTCTTCGGCGCGGGCAACATGATCGGCGCTGAGATATTCCAGCCCAAAGACGCGCCGGCATACATCCCAGCGAAGACCGCCAACATGGTTCTGATCACCCTCCAGCTTTTTATTACGCTGTGGGTGCGCTGGATCAACTTGCGTCTCAATGCTCAGAAGAGAGCGACGTTGGAGGAGGAGAGGATCAAACATGGCTGGACGGACGCCGACGTTCAAAGAGAACGTGAGCGACACGCGTTCATGGACTTGACTGATAAACAGTACGTGCGACGTCACTACTCTCATGACTGCCTACACGCTATATACTGACCTGGCATCCAGGAATCCGTTCTTCGTGTACGCTCCCTGATATCAATGTACTGGATGCCTTACACATCTTCGGACTGCGGACAAGAGTTCCGACTCCTCCGAAGTGATCGTGGCTGTCGAAATCAATTCGCTATCGAGGTCGAGCACTTCTAAAGCACTTCCTCCGGTTCCTCGATGCGGGAGGACCCACAACTAGCGGTCCTGATACTGGTATTTGCAATGGAGTAAGCTTGATGCTCTTATCCCTTGTCAGCTATATACTTACCCGTAAACTAGTGCAAACCATGTCTGAGCTGATCTACAGCGTGTAGTTCTCTCGTACTCCCGTAGCCTCCTGATTGATCGCGCAGAGTCACTATCTTCCGTGCACGGCCTACTTTTATCAATGGCCTGCCAAGACCGTGTGGATTTTCCCTCGATATCTCGCGGCCCATGACCACTTGTATCCCGACGAGCGAAGAAAGGCCCCGGCACGTCAGTGCCGGCGCTATGCAATCATGCTATCTAAAGAGCTCCCTTGTTGTGCATGTGAGTGAGGATTACCCTTACGGCACGCGTCACTTGCTTATCTCCCCTTCCAGCGGCAGAGCCGTGCCTTGCGCTGGGATTGAACTATTCCCCTTCTCCGCGGCATTGGCGAGTATTATGGCACAGCAGCAGATGCTGCCGTGCTTCTCGGTGTGCCACCAGCCGCGGCAGCAATGAGTGATATATATGCGCAGGCCAGCTGGACGGGCGTGCCGTGAGACTGGCACGGATCACCCTATCTAACCGCAAGGTTCTTGATTCCGACTCGGTGCTTTCTTCCAGATCCACTGCCATGGCCCTGCCTCAAGACAAGAAGTCACTCGACATGGTGGACGAGAAGCGGTCTCGGGACGAAGAGAAGGACGGATACGATGTGACGGTCTCAGTTACAGACAGTGTGGAGGGCGACGAGGCCCTCAAGCTCGTCGGCCGGGAGCGTACAGCTGAATTCAGTGAGGAATACAACAGGAAGCTTCGCAGGAAATTGGTGCGTGTTTCTCGAAGGGGCTGCGAACTCAATGCTGATGATTGAATGTAGGATCTCCTCATCCCGCCTCTTTGTGCGGCGGTGTACTTCACGCAGTTCCTGTATGTTTGCTCCGCCTTGTGCTTCGGAGACCCAACTCATGAGCCCTCAGTGACAAAACCTCATTGAACTATGCGAGGTACGTTCGGCATCCGTATCTTTTCTGTGATGTTCTGATGAGTGCCACTACAGTATCATGGGCTTCCCAATTACTGGACAGGTATGCACTACTCTGGCTTCACTCGTCATGGCCAATTGTGAACCTTGGTTACATTTCGCAGCACTACAACCTGGTGTCTCTCGCGTTCTACTTGGGTTTGTCGTTTATGTATTTCCGATGTTGTGGATGCTCATTGTGTCTCAGGTTTCCTTGTGTGGGAGTTCCCCACGGTATACATCTCCCAGAAGCTCAGGGTACGTGGGGATGATCTGTCCAAACACTCGAGGCTAACGTATGCTGGTATTAGGTTGCGAAGTACCTCGGCGCGAACATCATCATTTGGGGTATCATTCTGATGTGCCATGCCGCGGCCACATCGTTTGGCGCGTTCTTCGCCCTTCGCTTTCTCCTGGGTATGTAGTATTCTGAGATGTCGAAGTTAGCTGACATTAAGGCCTTCATAGGCATGTGCGAGAGCTGCGTTGCTCCTATTCTCATCTTGATCATCACCATGTTCTACAAGAAGGACGAGCAGGTCAGTATCTTTCAACGTGTGCTCAACTCAGTGCTGACTGCGTATAGGGAACGAGAATCTCATGGTTCTACGTGATGAACGGTACTTGACACTTCACGTAAAACCCGTTATGCATCTGACACGCGGCAGGGCTTACGCAGGTATTCGGCGGCTTTGTCGCCTACGGAATTTCCTTCTACGACGGTCACGCCATTGTTCCATACAAGATCATCTACATCCTACTGGGCGGCCTCGCTGTTCTGGTAGGAGTATGCGTCGTGATCTGGCTCCCTGACTCCCCCATCCACGCGCGGGCCTTCACCACCGAGGAGCGCATTGCCATCCTTGAGCGTGTGCGAAATGACCAAGGCGGCTCTGAGAACAAGCACTGGAAGAAAGATCAGATCATCGAGGCTCTGACGGACGTCCGAACTTGGCTCATTGTGTTGACGACTTTGACGAGTAAGTGTATTCGCTGATGCAGTGGTGGCCACTTTGTTGACTTTGGCGATAGCGAGTATACCAAACGGAGCTCTGAGCAACTGTAAGTGCAGTTTACTGAGTCTTACACATGACACTCACCTCTCGCGTAGTCAGCAACATCATCATCAAGAGTTTCGGATATACGTGAGTTTTCTCTAGCATACTGCTCTCGCGTGGTGTAGGCTGACCTTAAGACCATAGTTCGAAGCAGACCTTGATTCTGTCGACGCCCGGCGGCGCGGTCGCCTCTCTCACTACCTTGTTGTGTGGATGGTATTCGGACAAGAAGGTAAGCTTCTACTTCCTTTACCTTTTGCTTATTCGCTCATAACATTCGCAGAACGAGCGGATGATCCCCATCGTCTTCTGTCTGCTCCCTACAATTATAGGTTCAGCTATGCTTATCGGTTTGAACGGTTCCGGCAACAAAGGAGCGCTTCTCTTCGGTAAGCTTGTCGTGCCACATACTAACGAAGACGCATGCCTAACCCCCTGGCACAGCGGTATACCTCATCGGGACCTTTGGTAGCGCGCTGTCGTCGGTATATGCGTACAACGCCAGTAACACCAGTGGCCATACGAAGAAGGTCCGTGAGCCGTTGGTCAGAACGTTCTCCCCCATGCTGACACAGCTCACACAGAACACTATCAACGCCCTGACGCTGACATCGTTCAGCGTGGGCAACATCATCGGCACGGAGATCTTCCAGCCCAAGGACGCGCCCGCGTACATCCCGGGCAAGATCGCCATCATGGTCCTGCTCACCGTGCAACTGTTCATCTCGATGTTCCTGCGCTGGATCAACCTGCGCCTCAACGTGAAGAAGGCAGCTAAGCTTCAGGAGGAGAAGGAGAAGCACGGCTGGTCGGACGAGGACGTCCAGAAGGAGCGCGAGCGGCACGCGTTCATGGACTTGACTGACAAACAGTACGTCTTTCCTTCTATCGCTGCGCATCACGTTTCTGACATGGATTGTAGGAACCCGTTCTTCGTGTACACTGCTTAAGTGTAGACTCGACTCCGGGATGAAAGAATGATAATGACGATATGTATGACCTATGTGCCAGGCTTCTGCTCCCGATGCGAGTATGGCATGCGCATGTGAGGTGTGCCTCACGGGCCGCAGAAAGGTGGCGCAGCCCGTTATCGAGGAACGAGAAGGGTTCGCACGGAAGGACGCCCAGCGATGCCGCCGAAGCACGCTCTGGGCTCTCATGCGGTGCCGTCCTCAACGATGGAGCACCTTGTTATCATCCTAAGTGCTATCTTACCCCGCCTTCTCACAGGACCCTCACGCGGGCGGTGGCAATCGACGTGCCAATCTTAGTCCTCTGTATACTCGCGCCCTCCGTCGGACTGCGGCTAGAAGCGCACGGGCAGTCACAAGATGGGCGAGGTGAGGAGTATAAGAACCTTCTATGCTAGCGCTGTGGTCGCCGTGCTAGCTCGCTGCGCCCGCCCCTCGTACCGCCATGGAACCCGAAGTGAAGGACGAAAAGCAGCTCCACACGGTTCTCGTCACCGACGTCGAGTCCGATATCGACTTCAGAGACAAGGACGAAGCGCTGCGGCTTGTGGGCCTCGAGAAAGCGTCCTCGTTCACCGAGGAAGAATACAACAGAATCCGCAGGAAGCTTGTGCGTAGACATACAAGACGCATCCTGTTACGCTCATATAGACTGAACTGGTGATGACAGGACTTTGTCATTCCACCCTTGTCTGCGGCAGTGTACTGCACTCAGTATCTGTAAGACTTATCACCGGCCGTGTTCCAGCCGCACAGTCCGCTCAACGTCCTGATAGCGACAAGACCGCGTTGGGCTACGCGAGGTGTGTTCTCCTACAAGACTCGTCTTGAACGAGGGTAACAAAACGCGTGCAGCATTATGGGTTTCCCAGTCACCGGGCAGGTGCGTCTACCACTGACCTACGATCTTCTAGTGTCCATTGTCCCTGACATATCGGCGAAGGGCTATAATCTAGTCTCCCTATCCTTCTACATAGGTGAGGGCAATCGCTGAACCTATCGCTGTCGGACAGTACGCTTACCTTCGTCTAGGATTCTTGATCTGGGTTTTTCCCTCGATGTACATCGCACAGCGGCTTCGGCTCGGGAAGTACCTTGGTGCTAACATTGTGGCCTGGGGCGCTATCATGATGTTGCACGCAATCCCTAAGTCGTTTGGCCCCTTCTTCGCCCTGCGGCTGCTTCTCGGTATGCGGTCCTCTCGTTCATGACGGATTGCGCCCGTGCCGCTCACCTCCTTGCGACCCTTTTTGCAGGCATGCTTGAGAGCTGTGTCGCACCCATCCTTATCCTGATTGTGTCTATGTTCTACAGGAAAGATGAGCAGGTAAGCATCGAGTCCGGAGATTCTGTTGTGTTCATTCAACTGACTTGCACTGGTCCAGGGGAGTCGCATGGCGTGGTTCTACATGATGGTATCGCCGATCTTCAAAGACAGCCGCTTCGCATACTGAACCACTACCTGCCATGCAGAACGGCGTCGCGGGCATATTCGGCGGATTCCTGGCCTATGTACGCGTCCTGCGTTAGTATACCCTTTGACTAAGACTCACCAGATTTCTGGACCTAGGGAATCTCCTTCATCCCCGACCGTGGCTTCGCGCCATTTAAGATCATCTACCTCATGCTCGGGGCATTCGCCATCGCGGTCGGGGTCGCTGTGCTCCTCTGGATGCCCGACTCGCCCGCCAACGCACGGTTCCTCACGAAGGAGGAGCGCGTGACCGCGATCGAGCGTATCCGCGACGGGCAGTGCGGGACGGAGAACAAGCGGCTGAAGAAGGAGCAAGTCGTGGAAGCACTATTGGACTTGAGGACGTGGCTGATCGTTCTTGCAACACTCCTAAGTATGCCAATCGTACAAGGGCGGGTGATGAGATTGTGTTTGCTGACGGTGTCATAGCGAACATACCGAACGGGGGCCTGGCGAACTGTGGGTGCTGTTTCCTTCGAGCGGTCAGCAGACACTGATACTCGGCATACAGTCACGAACATCATCGTGAAAGGCTTTGGATACACGTAAGAACGCAGCTGGCCGTTAACGTTGATGGCTTACCGCCTCATGCCATGCACACAGGACGAAACAAACCCTTATTCTGTCAACTCCCGGGGGCGCAATCGGTATCGCTAGCGCGATCCTTTGCGGATGGTACTCCGACAAAGCCGTACGTTTGTTGGGCAGTCACCGTCACTGCGGGTGATGTACTCAGCGAAGCTTGCCGTAGAACGAAAGGATGCTACCTATTGTGTGGTCCCTGATACCGACACTCGCTGGTGCAGCGATGCTGGTGGGACTCAATGGCACCTCCCAAAAAGGCGCACTTCTCTTCGGTAAGACTTCGCGATATAGGTTCCCCGGATGACCTGACGCGTTCATTCGACTCAGCGACCTGGATCGTCGGGACGTACGGGTCCTCACTCGCGATTATCTACGCATACAACGCGTCGAACACGTCCGGCCACACGAAGAAGGTCACGGTGAATGCGCTCACGCTCGCCGCCTTCTGCGTCGCGAACATCGTCGGCACGGAGACGTTCCTCCCGAAAGACGCACCGGGCTACCTCCCAGGAAAGATCTCCATCTTGGTACTGCTGTCCGCGCAGCTCGTGCTGTGCTTCGTCATCCGCTGGGTGAACTTGTGGATGAACCGGAAGAAACAGCGCGCGCTTGAAGCGATGAAGAGACGGAACGGGTGGTCGGACCGAGACGTGCAGCGAGAGCGAGAGAGAGCCGCGTTTTCGGACATGACAGACAAGCAGTACGTCCTCCATTTTTTCGAGGGTGTTGGAGTCTTGTTGAAGCCCGTTTGATCAGGAACCCATTCTTCGTGTATACGGCTTGAAGATGATAGTATGAGACGTTATAGGTTGGGTGAAGGTAAGAGCAGTTAGTGTCAAAAGTAGCCCTAGTGTCGGAGAACCGTCCATCGCATAAGCTCAGCGTATACGAGGTGATTGAAGGAGACAAGTATTCGAGCTGTAACAGTGAGAAAACAAGCTTGTTGACTGTACACCTTCGTGCGTGAGGAAGAGACTTAGACTAACGCAGGCGCTGGGCCATGGCACGAGACGGCAGATCGCCCGATTGGTATGACGTCACGCGTTTTGGGCGGCAGATCCCGCGGGTTACAGATTTGGCAGCCTTCGCTGTGGCCCAACCATGTCGCGACGCGCCTGTTCGACTTGTACACTTCCAACCGCACCTGAAGGAAGTAAGCAACAGCCTAGGGTGGTCGCCCTTGTTTGCGCTAGCTTTGACGATATATCGCAAGGCGTAAAGATGCATCCGGTCTCTGCAGACGTCGACGACGGAGGTTGCCTTCCCCCACTCAACTCCCCCAACCTCCTCAAGCTCGGTTCTTCCATCGCAGACAAGAACACATTCCTCCGCTCCTACATCCGCTCCCAGGAAGCTCACCTGGCGAGCTACGTTGTCGAGGGAAAGTCCGGAGCACCACCTACCGACATTGGCACACCGAAGAAGACGAGGACGGTTCTCCGAGACTTCGAGATCGAAAGTGGTTTCGGGACGCCCATCCTCAAGCATAGGACCATTTCGAGACCAACAGATCCAACACCACCTATCAAAAAGAGTAGGCTCGAGGATGTACCGGAGAGGGTTTCAGTGGCTCCAGTCCGGGCTAGGCACGGCGACGACACCCAGCAGGATAAGAATGTGGTCGAAAGGAGCGGTCGGCCCAAGGAGCGTGCAGTAGACCCCAATGTCAGTCGCAAAGCCAAGAGTCCCCGGGAGAAATCTCCTACGACCACAAACGATAAAGGCCAAGCTAGAAAGAGCACGGAGAAGGATAAGTGCGGGAGAGCAGAGACGAGCAAGCGAAAACACAAGGAATTGGGCTCGGATGACGAGCACCGCAATCGTACGCACAGCGCTCTCCCCTCTATGATGTATTTTGACCCATGTGTGCTATAGGTTTGGAGGAAAGACGGGAGCGGAGGCGCGCGAAGAAGGCTATTGTCGCTCCGAAACCTCCGCCTCCAGAAAGTGATTCGGGCGAGGACACCGATCCCAAACGCGGAGGGCGTGCGGGCAAGGCCTCCAAGAAGAGTAAGAAAGGCAAGGGCCTCAGCATGCCTGCAGGTTTGGCCTTGATGCACGGTTTCTCGGCGACTAACATTGGGAAGAATCGCTTGACAGTGAGTGACGATGTGTCCTCGATGAACATAAAGTTGATAGCGGGGACAAGGTCAAGCTCGACCCTGTCGTTGGCGTGTTTAACAAAGGAAAGGCGTCCGCGAAGACTGTAGTAAAGAAGAGCAAGCCTACTAGTATGTGCCGCGTTCGCGCGATGCATCTTGATCTGACCTGAATACAGAACCATATCTGAAGCTATTCTCTGAAGACCGTTTCCTGAGCAAGACGCGCGGGCAGAACAAAGACGATGGCGCAGACAGCGATGCTTCCGATGACCAACATGAAGACCGCGACCATGACCACGACCATAGCGAAGACGGCGCATTGGCGCCTCGTGCAAAGCCTCGCAAGAAGCAGGTTACCCCTCCGCGGACGATAAAGGTCGCCCAGAAGCGTGCACGATCACCCTCGAGCGCCAGCGGGTTATCGAGCGATGAGGAGAATGATCTGCGTCGTCCTCAGCTCGATCCTGCCCCTCCGAACAAACTACATAAACGTCCCCGTGCGGAATCGCCGACGTGGGATATCGAGTTGGAGGAAGGAAAGCTCCCCTCCGAATCCGATCCTGACACGTCTGTGGTTTCTAGAGCGGAGACGAAGGCTGATGGCACCGTGATCCTCGACATGCGTGTGACTGGCGCGAAGTGGCTCTCTACGACACAGGAGAAACTCTCGCGAATGGAGGAAGTCGTGCCGACGGAGGACGTCGCGCTAGACGAGAAACGATCGGAGCCATCATCGATCGCTCCCTCCAACTCTGCCTCGCAAACCGCGTCTCGCCGTCCTGACCGGGACGCAGACGGGGTTTCTATTTTCTCCAAATACTTCTCGGCGCTCGATCCTCCTATCGTTGAGCCCGCTGCCTCTTACAGGATGCCAGACGCACCTTCGTCTCCGCCACTGCCTGTCCTTCAACACGCATCCGCCAAGCACGGTGGGAACCTCATCGTCACGGAGAATCCGGGTTACCAAGACACTCTGGACCCACACTACCGGCCCACCTCTGGCGGATCTGTCCATATGCCTGTGTCGTCCGCTGCTCTCGCTGCTCCTCGGCTGGTGGAACGAAGTGTTTCCCTTCCGGTTCCAAGTGTCTGCCCTCGGTCTCCTCTAGTGTCTACGTCGCCTCTGGGATTCTTTTCCGGGCCCCCATCACCTGCGCTTTCTGGGTCTCTTGCTCTGCCTGCTAAATTCAACTCATCGGCATTCGCTTCTGCTAGGGAGCGGTATCATACATCTGGGGTCAAGCGTCAACAGCCACGGCCCAGAAGTAGTCACCCTCGACGCTCGACTACGGCTCACCGTTCACCGGAACGTTATGGGACTGAATACGACTCCGAACAACACCAAGTCCAGTCCGCTTCCGACGAGTTCGCATGCGCAGATGGTTATATTCGTAGCCCTCAGCTTGACGGACTCGAGCTATGCTTTTCCGGTGCCCAGGATCCTGTGTTTCTATCCGATTTACCTGCTCGGGCTGTCCGTTATGCGGGTGGCGATGACGTCTATGAGCTTGAGGTCTATGCTGGGTTCTCAGAGGCCTATTGCGACGAATTTCCTGCGGATCTTGCGTCCTCGACAGGTCAACGCGAACTAGACCCTGCATACCCGGGAGAAGACGAGCCCCTGGTCTATTACCGTGACGATCGCCTAGGCGTGTCTGGTCATGACGAGGACTGGCGCGACGAGGAGCCATACGACCTTTACCCTCCCGACGGAGCGCTGGGCGGATCCTGCGACGAACTTCCCTTAACCTACTGCGCTATGGAAGAGGCCGTCTTCGATGACGTCTATTGCGCAGAAGGCTCTGGAGACATCCCGGCCGAGCGGAGTGACTTTGTCTCTGATGATTTTGCCTTCGACCCTGAGCTCGCACCTGGCGCGGGGACGGATCTGGAGGAGGATCTCGGCTACGACAGCGCGTCGGACCCTGAGAATCAGTCGGTGCTGGGGTCCTTGCAACGGTTCTCGCAGGGTCGGGCGTTGCTGATGGGCGTGGCGGAGCTTGGGCCGGGCAACGACGGTCCAGCGGGAGTGTCGAAGGCGGAGGAGGATGTGGCGAAGAGCTTGAAGGGACACTGGCAGCGGCAGCGGTTCTAATTTCGTATGTCAATTGGACCTCTGACTCTTCTCATGTTCTTGGCTCTCGCATTGCAGAATGAACCGACAGCTTTGACCTCGCGTTCACCCAGGCCAGAGCACAGAGTTGGGATGGGGCGAGTGGCCGATGCGCCGGTGCTCTGGTCCCTGTGTCAGGGGCTTCTGGAAGATGGAGAGCGTTCGCGCCCGCCCGCTTGGACGCGGTTGTGGCGCGAGGGGCCATTCTGTCACGCTGTGACCCGTCGCGTTGTGTGTCTCTGTTTGCGCGGTGGATAAGCGGGGGCTGCCTAAAGTACCCAGCGCGCGCCGGGCGACGCGCCCATATTCCCCCCGCTTACCGCCCGCAACGCTCCCCCCAGCACCGTACGCGCCAGACCGCCCAGCACAACAGCTCCCCGCAACGCCCGCCCTTCGCAGGCCCCGATGAGCCGCAAGGAGAACACGCTCCCGAACGTGAGTGCATGATCAGCCTTGCTCGGCCGTTTTAGCAGCAGCGCGCCCAGGCCGCGGCGCGCTAAACTCCGCGACTTCTGTGCGGACGTCCTCGGCTAACCTTGTTCTGTCCTTGCCTTGTTGCAGCACGGGCCATTCGTCAAGCCCGAGCCCGAAGAGCCCCGCATCGCGCCCCTGGCCGCGTCAGGAACATGGCAGGCTGCAGGATCGACCGTCCCCGCGCAGGCGGCAGCGGCGATACCGCAGCCAAAGCCGCTCGTGAAGCCCGAGCCCGTCGATGCGGCGCGTCTGGTGAGTCACGGGCTCTGGGGTGTTATGAGACGCGTTATTGACACCGGAAGCGCGTGCGTTGTGCAGCCGCCGGCCCTACAGCCCCCTTACAACGCGTCCTTGACCAAGCAAGACTCATTTGCGGCCGCTCAGGGGCTGAATGCGCCGCCGCGCGAGCTGTTCAAGAAGTATGAGTGCGTTGAAGACATACACTACGCGCCTGAGGACGCGCTCAAGGAGGGTCTGGGCATGGTGAAGACCATCAAAATGAATCTGAAGAGCTTGAATGTGGGTAGCAAGATGCGCCAGGAGGTGTGGATGAACGAAATCAAGAAGTGCGTCCAGCGCGCGCGCGTTCTCCTTTATCACGGGGGCAGGCGAGACTTACGATGTTTTGTAGCTTGGAGAGTCAGGGCGCCCCTACGACGATGATAGCAGTTTGTGGAGGTGAGTCAAACTAGTCAAACTAGTCCTCTATTTGATAAAGTCATCTGCTGATTTTTATTGCTCACAGCGACGGGTGCTGGAAAGTCCTCCACCTTGAATGCAATCCTTGATGGTGCGTTTTACTCGCAAAAGCGTCCTCTAGATTACAAAATTTGACGTCGTGCAGACACCATCGTCCCCACGAGTGGTATGCGAGGTACGTACTTTCAACTCTGCGCAAGTGAATGTCTGAGAGCTCACCTAAAAGTACAGCCTGTACCGCCGTGGTCACTGAGATCGCGTACCATAAGAAGAAGACCATCGACGGAGACGTGTCGTTCCTCACTGAACAGGAATGGCGCGACGAGCTCGCGGTTCTCCGAGACGACCTCATTGACGAGGACGGAAACATCAAGCGCAGCACTGACCTACGCAGTGATGCTGGTATCGCGTGGTCTAAGGTAAGCATGCCCCTCAAGACTTGGTGAGCGGTGTATAACTCATGGGGCTTCTAGGTACATGCGGTATACCCCCTGATGTCTCCAGACGCACTTCTGCGCTTGACGCCTGACCAGATCATTGCCCGCGACCCCAGTGAGTTGGCTGCATATATGCGGCATATATGCACATACTGACCTGTTCTGCCTCACCAGAAATCGCGAAGCTGCTTGGGACGACCAAACACATCTCTGCACCCGACTCCAAGACCTTCGCGAAGGAGATCAGCAAGTACATCGACTCCAAGGACCAGAAGCGTGGCGACAAGAAGGACAAGAAGAAAGACAAGGATAAGAAGAAGGACAAGGATCGGGACGGCCCCGCATACTGGCCGCTCATCCGCCAGGTGCGCGTGTGGTGCAACGCGCGCGCTCTTGCGACTGGCGCGATTTTGGTCGACTTGCCTGGTGTCGCGGACGCGAACGCGGCGCGTAACAACATCGCGAAGGACTACATGAAGAAGTGCGACTGCGTGTGGATCCTCGCGCCCATCACGCGTGCTGTAGACGACAAGACTGCTCGAGGTGGGTCGCAGTGTGAAAGTAGCTGTGTGCGGGCGCTGACGGACGTGTAGACTTGATGGGTGACGCCTTCAAGATGCAGCTCATGATGGGTACGTACGCGCGTTACTATATGCGTGAGCTTCCACTGATACGAATTTCTTTGCAGATGGAAAGTGAGTAGCGTAACGAATGACATGCAACACGGTCTCCCACTAACATTGTCCATCAGCTATGACTCAAACACCATTACATTCATCGGTACGCATATTTCATCGCTCCTAGAAAATGTACCCGACTGACACATCCCGCAGCGTCGAAGTGTGACGATATTTCGTGTTCGGAGGTCATACGGGCGCTTAACCTGGAAGATGACCCCGAGTTAGAGGATATCGAGGAAGAGATAGAGCAGTGCAAGCAAGACACCAACCATTGGAAGGAGAAGAAGGCCGAAGTCGAGAGTGCCGCGAAGGACGTCGACGCGCAGCTCAAGCAGTCGCGCGCGTTCCTCAAGGAGTACCAGGAGCACCTGCACGCGCTCGAGAACGGGGAGGACTTCGAGCCCTTCCTCACTGCGAAGAAGGGGCCTGCGAAGTCGAAGGGCAAGCCCAAGTCCAAGGCTAAGGCTGGGTCTGACGCGGGGTCAGAGACGGAGAAGGGCTCTTCCTCGGAGTCTGAGGAGGAGTCTGAGGAGGAGAAGGCTCCGAAGGGTAAGAAACGTAAGAACAAGGACGAAGGCAGGAAGAGCGCTGCGAAGAAGCGCAAGCCCAGCGCAGCCAGTGATGAGGAGGAAGACGCCATGGCGGTTGATGACGAGGACGACTTCATGGTCGATGACGAGCTCACCTTCTCTGATAGCGACGAGGACGACGCGAAGTCGAACGCTGGCTCCTCTTCGTCTGGCAGCGATTCCGGCTCAGAGTCTGGTTCGGACGACGAGAAAGACGCTGAAGAGGACGGCGATGGCGAGATGGAGGAAGAGGTCACGGTGGAGAGCCTGAAGGCCAAGATCGAGGAGCTCAAGCAGGCGATCAAGGACGGGCGGGTGCAGCTATCCGAGTTCCGCAAGCAGCGCAAGGAGGCGAGCGACATGCTCGCGACGCTGAAGAAGCGCCAGAACAAGGCGCAGAGGGAGAAGAACGCGTTCTGCTCGCTGAAGCGGTCTGAGGTACGTCCTAACCGATGCAGGTGAAGGAATGGTTCACTGACACGGCGTGACGGCAGTTCTCGCAAGATGTTTTGAAGGAGGACTTCCGCACGGGCTTGAAGGATCTGGATGGTACGTATCATGGTTCATGCTCTCAGTAATTTCACTGCTCACATCCGCCGTAGATGCTCAGCAGGAGCAGCAAAACCCGGATACATTCGACCCCACCGTGAACATCAGAGGTACGTAGTACAGAGCAGGATGAATCTGACATAGTCTAACGTACTCTCGCAGACTACAACGCGATTGATCTTCCCGTCTTCACTGTTTCTGCCCGGGACTATGTTCGCATCATGGGTATGTTATAGCGATCCCGATTCGAGAAGTCATGACCTAACTATCCCATACAGGCCAGGTCAAAGGCGACGGCGACCCGACATGTTTCTCGAAGGTCGAAGACACCGGTGTCCCCGCGCTGCAGAAGTGGTGCCACCACCTCACCGTCGCGTCGCGCTCGCGCGCCGCACGCAACTTTCTCGCCCAGTTCAACACCTTCTGCAAGAACGTGCTCGGCTTCCTGCAGGGCATCGGCGAGGTCACCGAGGCGGACCGCGCCGCGATGCGCGAGAAGTGGGAGTCGAGCATGGCCACCGCCGGCTACGCGGCGAGCGAGAGCGACGACGACCCGTTCTCGTACGTGTTCGGCGCCGCCGGGGGCGGGTGGGGGAGCTCGGACCCGTACGACCAGCAAACGCTGGATGACCTCATCGTGCATGGGCACGGGGCGCGCTCGGGGCTGCTCTCGCTCAACAAGCAGACGAAGGTGGACCAGTATGGCGAACCTGTGGGCGTCGCGCCGCGGTTGGTCGCGGTATGTTGTCTCGTGTCAGCGTACTAGTCGCAGATGACTCACGGCGATATTCTAGGACTTCCGCAAACTCACGGATGGCTGTGTGACCGACCTCCAGGAGCGCTTCAGGGACGGTCTGGAAGAGAGATGTTTGGTCGGTGCCGCGAATGTGAGTCGGTTGGAGTTAAGTGCATGTGTCAAACGATGACCCCTTCTTTTTGTAGGCTGCATCGGCCGCCGTTGACACCTCCGACCTATTTGCAGCAAGCATGCATTGGGCCACCTATCGTGCGAGTAAGTGCCTCGCTGCTGAGACAGCGGGTGAGGACGCTCACCAGTGTGCATCATTCCATAGCGCTCCGCCGGTTCGGCGACTGGCGCCAGAATCTCAACGTCGAGCTCTCCAACCCGTTTACACGCCAGATCGCCAGTTCTTGGTCCAAGGTTTTCGAGGCAGACCTGTTCGCGTCGTTCGAAAAGGCGACGACGACGGTCATCCAGAAACTCGTCGACGATGTCGTGGCCTCAGCAGCGCCGGGCCTCAAGGAGCGCGCGCGAGGCCAGGGCGAGCTTGCGATGGAGGACGCCCGCGTCGCGCTCGGGAAGACGCTCGAGATCGTCCGCTCGACGATGAACGAGGAGCAGAAGGAGGTCAGCCGGTGCCTCGAGCCGCATGTCAAGAATCAGCTCCTTGACGGGTACGAACGCGCGATGGATGAGCGCGGCCGAGGCAGTGTAGCGCGCCAGAAGGTACGTCTCTTCATGTGCTCTGCAGGGTGTGTGGCTTGGTGGCTGACGGTGGGTTGTCATAGGCTGTCTTTCATGACTATATCGCGAGGGTCAAGAACCACGTCTTCACGGGGGCTGCGGAAGTCCTCATGGGTCGCCTCGCGAAGGCTGCCGAAGCAGTGGGCGGTGCCCTTAGCGAGGCCCTCGAAGAACTCGCGCGAAAGGTACGTCGTTTTGCTTCTGTGTAGCGTGTTCGGTGTTGATAAGGTCGTGTGCACTTGCAGATCGAGGTGAACATGGCGGTGCTCTGGGAAGGTCCTCGCGACGACCCGAAGCAGGCCATGGCCCGTGGGGAAGTCGTGGAGGGCGTCAAAGAGATACTCCGGCAGGTCGAGTTGTGGAGGGGCGCGGAACAGCTTTCGCGTGTCCTCCAGGCCTACACGAACGAGATGGACCCGATGGACATTGAGATACCTACGACGTCGTGACTTCGTCGCCCGTTTTCTTACATTCACTCACTGTTTTGCCTGCTACGCAGAGCTTAGACTCTCCTTGATGATCTGATTTTATCTCTCCCCTTCCTACTGTAGTAGACCCCGGCGACGCTGCCATACACTATAGCTACCATATACGAATCCTATGCACTATATAGTGTCGCGACTAAGTACATACTGTATTCCATCACTCCTTGCTACCAGTTGCTCCTCTGACCTATTCTGGGTTCTCTTTGCCTCTCTTCTGTGTTAGGTATCTTGACATAGTATGCACTCGTTTACAACTTGTGCAGCCTCAGCCCGACCCTGTTGTAGACCGTGTCGGACATGCATGATCGTGATCGTGACCGGTCCTACCATTTGACCTACGTACGTACAGGCGCGCATCATCGAACGCATGCACTTCTTGTCGCATCCTTTCATGCACACGGTTCCCGGGCCCTCATTGCAGTCTTTTCCAGTCTTAATGAGCTCTGGCAGTACCTGCCGTTGCCGCCGCCAGCCTCGAGCAGGCCTCCATACTATAAACCTACTAAACTGACGCGAGCACGTGATGTAACGTGTACTTGGTACGCGTCCCGCGCGAGCCTGAGTCTGACCGCGACTCTCTCCAGAAGTTACCTTCATGGGCTTGCCAATGACCATCTATCGTTCTCAATCTCAACGCTGTGGCGACTCAACACGGATGGACCCTGCCTCTCCTGCGCCCTTGGAGAAATAGACCGTGTCTGATACGTGCTTCGCGCGGCCTTGCAGGTTGCACTGGTCACAGCCCAGGCTAAATCTCGACCCCCTGGGAGAACACCACCTTGCGAGGCCTCGTGACAAAGGGAATAGGCACGGTGGTTATGAGTGCATAAGGTCAGGGTGAGGTACGAGTTCGTTGTCTACAACACGGCGGTGACGGAACGAGCAAGTTGAGTGCCTCCTCTGCCTCTTTACGTGATAGAAGTCGTCGCCACCTCGCGCATGTGGCCTAAATCGGAAGTTTACATCGTGTTGCGCATGCGTAAGCTTCCCGTCGTTGTTTCTTGAGCTCACTTACCGAACCAGCGAAGAACCTAAGATCCTGCGACATGGTGAACGGTGCGGTGGGTGGTCCTGGGTCTTTCACAGACATTGACATGATACTGACGTCGACTCCGTGTTTTCATAGCTGGTATATGTCAAGCACGAAGACACATCTGATTCGGATCGAATCCTTCTTGAGCCTATACGTCGTAAGTTCTTGTGTCCTATGCTTCGACATAGCAGAGCTCTAGTATATCAATCCAACTCTCGCCTTGGCGGTGACTACAGCCGTCCGTGCGATTCAATACGAAGCCAACGATGCGCGAGCTCGGGCCCTTGAGATGGTCAACGAATTGGCGGGCAGGATCAACACGCTCCCCTTGGGAAGCAACTTGAGGAAGGACGAGTTCACAAAAACAGTGACGAGGTCAGCTATCCAATTGGATGATCCAGGAAGCTGTTTACTGAAGGCGTTCAGCCTACGAACACTAGCCGGGGCTCCTAGCAAAACATTGATTGCGTTTTGTGGCCGTACGCATGATCCACCATATAAGTCTGCGAATTACCCGTAACATGTCCATTGAATGTTGCAGCCACCGGTGCCGGGAAGTCAACCTTGATCAACGCCCTCCTGGGTCTCGGCGGTAAGCTATATGTTGAAACGAAATGAGTGCTCCTTTTTTGATATGTTACGCTTTTCATAGAAAACGTCGTGCCTACTAGTGCGATACAAGGTCAGTTGCGGTACTAGTATCGTCTACGTTCAAGTTCATGCTGATAATCCCTACCTCAGCGTGCACCGCTGTAGTAACCGAGATCGCCTACAATCCAAACCAGGGTTTGAAGGCCGAGATTGAGTATCTGACGCCCGCAGAGTGGAAGGAGGAGGTGAATGTCCTCCTTGAGGATATACGCGACCCAACAAACAGCGACACTACGGAAGAGGTCGAAATTGCACGAGCGAAGGTGAAGGCGGTATTCCCTTCGGTATCCCTGAACGCATTGGAGAAAATGACTGCGGACGAATTACTGGCAAAGAATTCCGGTACGCACGTCGCACAGTGTAATCCTCGACTTCGGACTTCGGGCCTCGGCACGAGTCCGTCACTCATGCTGCTCCTCAGCTCTCTCTATCATTCTCGGAAGCACCCTGCGGATCGTGGATAACAGTCCAACTCGATTCTCTCAGGAACTGTCACGCTATTTAGACAGCCAGGAGGGCTTCTTCGACACCCCCGCCAATGAAGAACCAAGCGTCTTGCCTCCAGCATACTGGCCGCTGATTCGGCAAGTTCGTATATTCGTTCATTGCGCAGTCCTCTCGTCCGGGGCCGTTCTTGTCGACCTCCCTGGAGCTGGCGACAGTAATGCCGCACGTAATCGCATTGCTCAGAGCTACATGACGAGGGCGGACAGGTTTTTCATCGTGGCACCCATTGCACGCGCTGTCAGCAACAAGGTCGCGGCAGGTTCGTCAATTAACATCTACCACGATTCGGTATAAACTAACGCTAGGAGAACAGAACTTTGCGGGGAAGCTTTCAAAAGCCAGCTCAAGATGGGTACGTTGTCATTGCTGACTCTCGGGCTCGTGCCTGATATTCTGACATGGCTCTGCCAGATGGAAAGTACGATTTGATTCCGTCGCGGCCTGTCACCGCCACCCAACGTAGCTGATGACAAACATCTGCAGGTACCATGCGCACGCCATAACATTCATCGGTATGTTCTGAACATGTGCTCTCAAATTACCTGTCGGTGACGCCTACATCTGTTCATGCAGCGACCAAGTGCGATGACATCCCTTGTCAAGAAATCATCCGCGACCTCAAACTCGCGAGCAATCCCGACCTCAAGGCGATGGAGAAGCGTATCAAGGATGCTCAAGCTAACCTGAAAAAGTGGGAGCAGACGAAGGCGAATTTCGACACGAGCAAGAAAAGTGAGTCCCGAAGGTTGTGTGCTTCCATACTCTCTAATGTGCTCCAGATCTAGATCATTGCTTGCGGCTAGCAAAGGATCGGTTTGAAGCAGCGCATGTATCCTCGATCACAACTGTCTCTTCCTTTGCGACCCTCAATCGAGCACCAGACGGTCTAGACGGCGCTTTGAAACGCGCACGGGGCCCGGTGGCGGAGACATCCGCCGCATCGTCGAAGAGACAAAGATTAGATCGCCCTGCAGGCTTACTTGGTGCGTAGTTTCTTTTCGGTCTAATACGCGAAGCGTAACTCATCACTCAAGGATGCGGGGCTAGATTGTGACGAACAGTGCTCAAGTGACGTCCAGCAGAACCCGCTCTTGACGACGCTTTCGGGCGAGATCAGGCAGCTGAAGGACGAGCTCCTCCAAGTCCTCCGTGCAATCGAGTCGGCGGATATTTCCATCGACATCGCAAACAGGAAACGTCTTGCTGCTATCGCGGATAAGGACACCTTTTGCGCAGCTAAGCGCTCCGAGGTGGGTGTGGGTGTGCAGGGGGTCTCTAATTGCTTCTGACAAGCCATTTTCTCTTCGCAGTGGGCGACGGCCAAGCTACGGGGACAGTTCCGTGCAGGTTTGGAGGAAATGGAAGGTAAGGATTATTTGATACAAGCAATGCACCCCGTATTCATCATCGCACGCGAACCAGTCGACGACATGGTCAATGACCAGTCGGTGCCGGGTGAGGTCGCGTCCCGCTTGCGAGTGAAATTCGTATACTCACTGGCACACAACATTACTAGACCGTGTCGATGACGATCTTGCCGTATTCACCGTGTCAGCTCGGGCCCAAATCGAGATCGAATGTGTGTACATCATGATCTTCTTCGTAAGATCGCTGCTGTTGACAACCTCTTTCTTTCACTAGCGGCGGCACGCAGGGGCGAACAGCATACACTCGGACATATAAACACACGCATCCCTGAACTGCGCCTCTGGATCGACGCAATCACTCGACCGACGCGAGAAACGGTTGCGGAGCAGGTTCTTCAGCAGACGAAGGATTTCGCGCGCTGCATCGAGACATGGATAGACGGTATCCCTGGCGTAAGCCTTGGTGATCGGGATCGGTTGAAAGCATGCTGGCGGTCGAAGAAGAGCCCAGAGGGCCCCAAGGGGAAGAACCAACTTTCGCACAGGCAACTCTTGCAGAGGCGTTATCAGTCGAGCCCAGAGACGGCCATCATCCCGGCACTCCTCAAGGTGAATCCTAAGCCCGGAAGGATCACCTCTCCGCACACATCTGACTGCGCATAACCAGGTCTTCCAGGCGGTCGTCGATGGCTTGACGGGCGATATTTCTGCGCGCTTTGGAAAGGGGCTGAAGGACAAGTGTCGAGCGAGTGCTGGCGCAGTAAGTTTCCCCGTTCGAGTAATCGATGTAACCCACTGACCTTTCGCGACAGGCTGCAGCAGAGGTCGTAAAAATCTCCGAAGACTTTGCAACGCGCATCCATCACCTGACATATCGTGCTAGTGAGTGCAGTCCGTCACAAACTTGTTAAATGAGCTTATAACTCATTTAATCGTCAGCTATTCGCCGCAAGGGGCTGTTCCGGAAGGATCTCAATGCTGAGCTTGCTGTGCCATTCACAAGACGTATCGCCCGGTCTTGGTCCGACGCGTTCGCTTCGAACCTTCTCGGGACGCTAGAGGAACGAGCTGCAGCGCAGATAGAGCTTCTGCTCGGTAGGGTCGTCGCTTCAGTTCCCGCGTACCTCCAGCCACGCGCGCAGGAAGTGGTGCGCTCTATCATGCGCAGTGCGCGTCGAGAGTTGCGTAGCGTGCGCGCGCTTGTGCGAACTGCGTTAGACAAGCTCAAAACCGATCTCAGCCAGTCGCTGAGTCCGCTTGTTCAAAGCCAACTTGCAAAGGGCTACGAGGACGCGTCATTGGAAGTGGGGCGGGGCAGCAGTCGGCGACAAAAGGTGTGTGCTCGGCGCCTCCCTATCCTCGTGGCGCTATACTGTGCTGTCTGTATTGACATCCATGGCCAGGCCGTCTTCAATGCATACCTGGAGATCAAGAAGCATTCACTGTTTATCGACACTACAACCGCCTTGGAGAAACGACTCGAGGACGTGTCACAGGTGGTCGGCGAGACACTCGACAAGGCGCTCGAAGGTGTAGCTCGGACGGTGCGTGCGCTATTCTGGGAGTCATCGATGTAACCGTACTGACTACGACTTACGCAGGTCGAGGTGAACGTCTCTATACTCTGGGAGGGCTGTCCGTTGGAGGGCGAAGAGGACAACAAGGCGCGCATGGAGACCAAGACATTGCTCGCGGACACTGTTGCAGAGGTAGACCGCTGGCTCGATGCCAAGAAGCACCGGGATAATAGGCTCTCCGGATCCGCCAGTCAACAATATTTCGACGGCTTACTGGGCTAGTCACTAGTCCGCCAGCGGTTCGTTCTACCGCTCCGGCTCGGGGTTCGGGTCGCACGACGGTGTACGAGAACATGCCTGGTCTTTCCATGCACCCGTGGTCTCAACATCATTTGGCCCTGCTTCTGGGCGCCGCGCGTACCGGTGGTCTAACGATCTAACTTCTTTCTTCTTGAAGTTGAGTACATATATGAGCGTCGAGTCAAGCTTCACGGCCCGGTGGCGGGTGAGGTGTTGTTTCTACCTCATCTATGAATGTATTGTATATATGTATGATCTTGGTCGACTTGTACTTTATGATTTCATGACTCCGCTGAGGCTGAGGGAGAGCTAGACGACTCGTAGGTTACAGTCGGAAATGTCGGGGGAACGCGAGTGTCACGCAGACGCGTGAGGTCACGCGTCAAGTCGCGTGTCAGCCTGTGTCAGCTACGCGTCGTGTTACGCAGGCGCTAAACCCAGGCAGCTCTCCACCACCTCCCGTTCAGCTCGGTATTCTGTCCCACTCTGTTTCTGGGCCCCCTGCTGCCACTACCTCGCTCAAAATATGTCGTCTGCGTTCTCCGTGGACGACTGTGAGAGCCCATCACGATCGCCCTCGCCTTTGGACCCAAACACTCAACAACTACCAGTCGTGCGTGGCATACTACGAGCAAGTCAAGCTGTGAAGTTCACCGGATAATGTACTGCAGGGTGACGAATATGATGCCGATGTAGCACTCGCGTATAGCGTCCGCGCCGCCACGCAGGTACAGCGCGGACTGGAGTCCATAGGGATAGGCACGCAGTACGTCCAAGATTTTCGCAGGTAAGTCCGAGTCCGAAGTCCCGATAACACACCCTCGCCCCAACATTAAGAGGCTCAGTTTTTATGTGTTTGTGAACTGCACAGAATTCAAGAAATTGGAACCCATGAGAGAGTTGTCATCGCAGTTTGCGGCGGTACGTGTTAGCAACTGTGCATGCCTAGTGTTAGCATGTGTATTGACAACGATGTTGATAGCGACTGGCTCTGGCAAGTCGTCTCTAATCAACGCCGTTCTTGATGGCGAGTAGTCCGGGCATGATATAATCAGTTGTTAGTCAGGCTCACGCTAGCTATCCTTCCAGATGAGATCGTGCCTACCAGTGGTGCAGCAGGTTCGTGGTAGAGGCCCTCTTGAAGGAAAGTTCATGATCGATAATCCCATTGTTAGCATGCACATCCGTTGTGACTCGTATCCAGTACAGTCGAAAGGGTGAATACCGCGCGGAGGTACATTTCCTGACGCGCGAACAGTGGCAGGAGGAGCTCGCAGCGCTCATTTCTGATGTCGCCGACTCCGGTTTTGAGGCCGCTAGCAAGTCGAAGCGGCCCGGTGATCCAGCCAAACTTGCTTGGGACAAGGTAGGCTCGACCAGACGTTTTGTAGTGCACCACTGATGGCTTGTCTACGCAAATGTGTCCGTGTACTCTGCACAGTTTCATGCAGTCTACCCCACAATTCCTGCCAAAGCGGTCCCTAAGCAAGACATGGAGACTTTGTTAGAGGAACATTCTGGTAAGCCAAAATATTCTGTCAATGCCAAGGTTCGATATTAACTTCGATACCTAATGCTATACCAAGACGTGGCTCAGGTCTTGGGTCGCAAAGTCCGCATTGTCGCCACAACAGCAAAAAAACTGCACAAGGACCTACGGGGCTATTTACAGAGCCACAAAGACAAATCCGCCTATTGGCCCCTGATCCTATCCGTCGACATTTTTTGCCCTTCCGACGCCCTTCAGACGGGCGCGGTGCTCGTCGATCTCCCCGGGGTAGCCGACTTGAACGCCGCGAGGAATAAAGTCGCCCAGGACTTCATGGAGCAATGTCACCACTTCTGGATTGTCGCGCCTGTGCAACGTGCCGTAGATGACAAAACAGCGCTCGGTCAGTATCCTGCCGACGGCGGTAGCCGTCGTGATCACTTCGTGCCGTGCGTTGACCAAAAAAGCTAATTTGCGCAAAAGATTTGTTGAGCAAGGCCCTGCAAACTCAGATCAGGCTCGGTGAGCAGGCCTATATTATTGAGGTACATCTGGCGAATATCTGACTATCTCGTGGGTGATCCAGATGGAAAGTCCGTCTTCAACGTCAAATCTAGTCATGATGCATACCTAACTATCAGGCAGACTGAATGCCCAGTCCATTACTTACATTGGTAAGTCCAAAGACAATCCATTAACTTGCGCTCGTCGCTAATATCACAACGATCGAAGCAACGAAATGTGATGGAATTCGCGTCAAAGAAGTGATTAGCGGGCTCAACCTGAGCAAGCACCCCAAGTATCGCAGCATCTCCGACCGCATGACGCACCACAATAATACACGCCTCGCACAAGAGAAGGCTGTGGCGAAGAGTAATGCCGCTATTCAAGGTCTGTGACGGTTGACTGCATTGCGATGGAGCCTCTTACCTCCACACGCCCATCAGCTCTGGAAGACAGCTTGAAAGCAACACGACAACGACTCGCCCAGTTACAGGCTCCCTCTACTGTCACTGAAGGGGCCATCCAGGGCGATTGCGAGTCCGGCGGGGGTCGCTCACCAAACTCGACGTCTAAGCGCAAGCGCGCAACCTCGACTGTGTCGGAAGGATCGAAAGCAACGGTGCCAAAGAAGAAGAAACGTGCAATGCAAGATGGGCGTGCCCGCGCATTAGGTATATCGTTTGAATGTTGTCGTCCGGTAGTGTTTTCGGTTTGCTAACTCCCGACATAGACATACCCGGTGTCGCGGGCACTTCGAGACATCTCGTCCAGGACCAGGATGTGAGTATCCAGATAGCGGAGCTTATCAAGACGATATCTCGTGAAGATGCCGCGGTGATGGAGCTCTACCGAAAGCACCGGGGGATCTCCGACGCTTATAGGGATGCGACCTCTGCTTACCACCAATGCCGAAAGGAGATGCTTACGTTCTGCAACTCTCAGCGCTCTGCGGTAAGTACTGCTGGACCTTCTCGCTATCTATATAGCTAAGCGACATGGACAGTTCGTCAAGGAGCACCTCAAGGCCAGTTTCCGTGCGACGGTTGAGGAACATGGTGCGCGTCTTTTGCTTCCGTTATGCTGCACACGATTGACGACTGGGGTGTATAGCGGACACGGATCTTGGTACGGGTACGTCGACACAATGTCCGATAAATCCACGACTGATCATCCCTTCTTCACAGACCTGCCGGTATTCACCGTATCGTCCAGGGAGTACATGCGCCAAAAGGGTGCGTCCGCTTTCATGATGTGCTGGTTGACGAATCTGTTCCGAATGGGATCTCGCGATAGGCCACACTGAAGGCGAAGACTGCGAATTCACGTCAGTCGAAGACACGGGCATCCCTGAGTTGCGGGAATATTGCCACATTGTGACATTGCCCGTACGCGAAGAGGAGGCCCGCCAAACTTTGCCGGAGCTCAGAGCTAAGGCGGTGGCGCTTCTCTCCTGTATCGAGGGTGCACCTGAGATCGCTGAAAAGGAACGTCAAGCTCTGCAGAAGAAGTGGGAATCACTATACTACCCCAATTACGTGTTCTTAGGCAGAGGTTGGCGGGCTCACGAATTCAACGATGGGCTTGAGCTCCTTTCTGTAGAAGGGTTTGATTGGTCAAAAACTGGAGTTGTTGCACAACTTCTCCAGGTGAGTTCAACGTTCATGGACAACTCCTCAAAGTTGACTGATCATGCATCCAGACATTCCGCATCTTGACCGATAGTTGTGTGAGCAGCCTGAGGACGCGGTTCTCGGAATACCTGGAAGAAAGATGTCTGGAAGGCGCTGCAGTTGTGAGTAGCGCACTAGCGTGTTTTCTTTGCACGTAAAGGTTATCAAGTGATGTGCTTATCACTCCTAGGCATCCGAACTTGCGTATTCTAACTCAGTCGAGTTCGCTGAGGGCCTTCACTTCCAAACATTTCGAGCTGGTAAGTGTCGCTACTTATAATTGAACACCGATACAGATGTCGTACTACCACCACAGTTCTCCGACGCCACGGTGACTTTGGGGAGCATAACCTCAACATGTATCTGACTACGCCACTGTTCTTGCATATTGCGAGCAGTTGGTGCGACCTTTTCAAGACCAACCTGTTTGCAGAACTCGAAGGCAATACGATCAAGGCAGTCCAAACCCTCTTGGACAAGATCGTCAAGGGGGTACCCGAGTATCTGAAGACGCGAGCTCGGAAGCAGGCCAACTCATGCTCCGCGGAAGTGCGCTCGGCCCTCGATATATTCATGTCTACCGCGAAAACGGAGCTACAGAAGCATCAAAGGAGTATCAGCCGAGGCCTAACGTCCCACGTCCAAGATGAGCTGCGTCAAGGCTACGAGGACGCATTGCTCGTGAAGGGAAGGAAGACGACCGAGGCTCAACGTGTGAGCTCTAGTGTCGACTTAAGCACAGTCCCATCCGGTCTAACGCTTTCACTACTAGCAAGTGGTCCATGACTACGTGCGCGATAACGAGGATACCATGTTCGAGGACGCCGCGAGTGCCCTCATGGAGCGTCTGGATGAGGCGGCGAATATCATCGGGACATCTCTGCAGAGAGCTATGCAGAAGGTCGCGATGAAGGTACGTATGTTCACCTTTGGCGTCCGATTGCATTGCTCATCAGCGTGCGTACGTAGGCAGAGATCAATCTCGCCGTCCTATGGGAAGAACCATTCGAGGACAAAAAACATAGCAAAGCACGCGCAGATCTGGTTCGCTTGCTTGGCACAATCGTCGCCGACGTCGACGCCTTGATCAGCGCAAGAACTCTTCGTGACTCTGCGTTGCATGAAGAAGACGAACATCCGCACGCCGGCGTCGAATGCGAGGACGACGAAGTCACCGATGACCAGGACGAGGAAGAAAACGATGGCGAGGGCGGCGAAGACAACGAATATGGGGAGAATGGCGAAGACGACGATGGTCAAGACGACGAAGATCTAGACGAGAGCGGCTCCGAAGATGAGAGCGATGGAGAGGAAGACGAGGAAGACGCTTAAGGGGCTGCGTGAGAAGAGCATTGGACATGATCTTGGTAAGTGCTATATGATTGCTGATTGCCTCAAGAGCCTCCGTAACATTCACTCCCCACACAGTAAGATCCGGCGGCGTAGCATACTCCAAAGCCTGCCGTTCTCACTCTTCAAGTTCGTTTCGCCCGCCCCTCGCTGTCGGCCGTTTTTTTTTTCGCTTTCCCACATGCTGTTTGTCTTGCTTGTTCGTTGTAATGATGTCGTTGCTCGCGCTCTGTAATACCTCCAGCTTTTTTGCTTGCTACTCTGCCACACACACTTCGCTACTTTGTCCTCGCACTCCCACTGACGCGGTACCTACTAGAATATGTTTTAGAGCTAATATTGAACCGTTTATGATAGTAAATAATTGATTGTGCGCTATCTACCCTTGGGTATATCTCGTTACCGACGTTGGATGTCTATCATTGGGACTATGGAGACCTCATCGTCGCATTGCACAGCGTGGGTGACGCCAACCTCGAGACTCCTCCGACAGGTGTTCCGTCGCGGCCACGTGCGCGAGAATAGGGCCATGCGCACTAGCGCTCGCCAGTACTGCGCTTCCACGGGCAAGTGCGCCACCGGTTGCTCGCTCACTCGACCGCAAGTAGTACTGGGCCGTTCCTTCCTTTGCGATTCACCCGCATATAACGCTCGAGCAGTCTGAGTCCGGATTGACTGCAATATGTCTCAAGAACCCGTATGTGCACTGATTAGAACTGGGCCGGCTAAGCGGGGATTCTGGGAGCCCTAGAGAATACTCACTTCTCTACAGGTGTCCGGTTATGATGCTGACGAGGCTCTTGCAAGCATCATGAAATCCGTTGCTATCATTGGTACAAAGTTGGAAGCCATCAAGATCACAAGCAGGTCTCGGGAGCGACAGTATCAAAACGACATCAAAAGGTTACTAGTTAGACAAAGACGCGACAAGGACGGCACAGTCGTCGAAATATTGACTCATTTTCTATACACTACAGCATTCAAGCCCATGATCTCCGTGAACGGGTCATAATAGCAATTTGTGGTGGTATGTGATCTTAGGCTCTGTGACCTTGGTTTACGTCCGGAACTTATATCGGTCTGACACTAGCTACCGGTGCTGGCAAGTCCTCTCTAATCAACGCCATTCTGGACAGTAAGCCTCTGCCGGTCTTGTCCCGGCTGTGACATCAGTATTGGATACTGATGCATATGGATCCTCTAGACGAAATTGTACCGACAAGTAGCGCAGCAGGCACGTATAGCATGACTTGACGCTTCAAACTGCGTCTCATTGGCCACATGCAGCGTGCACTTCAGTTGTTACCAGGATCCAGTACAGCCCGACTGGGGAATACCGCGCAGAGGTTCACTTTTTGACATGCGAAGAATGGACGAAAGAGCTCACAGCCCTTGTGGCGGACGTGACGGATTCTCGATTCTCGGATGACGACTCTGAACAAGCCTCTGGATCCCTCAGTGAAGTTGCGAAGCCGGCTTGGGATAAGGTATGCCGACACCAGTCATTTGTGCTTGGTTCAGTGCTTCCTGATTAGGTCAAGTTTCATGCAGTGTACCCCAACATTTCCCTTCAAGCGCTCGCCGAGTTCAGCATCGACGATCTACTAGAAGATTATCCCTGTGAGGACCTACTACTCATCGTGATTTTTCAACGAATTGAACGTACCCCTTCCACTAGCTGTAACAGAGCTACTTGATGAGACGCTGCCCATCCACTCGGAGACGCCTGAAGTGCTTTCTACGGAACTGCGTGACTATCTCGAAACCAGTCGCAAAGACCTACGCGGGAAATTTGCATACTGGCCACTTATCCGATATGTGGACATCTTCTGCCCTGCGGATGCACTCAAGACAGGCGCCGTCCTCGTCGACCTGCCGGGCGTGGCCGACTTGAATTCAGCGAGAAATGACATAGCCCAGAAGTTCATGGAGCAGAGCCACCATTTCTGGATCGTGACACCTGTGCAACGCGCTGTGGATGACAGAACAGCACTCGGTTAGTAGACGTGGCAAGTTCTACTTGCACCGGCTGACCAGTCAATATGAAGACCTACTTGGAAAGGCTTGGAAGACTCAGCTCAGACTTGGCAAGTGGTTTCTCTTTTGTCATGGATTCGCTGATTCACGGTAGACTTCTTTTCGTAGACGGCAGGTTTGTGTTCACGTCAAGTCCCCGTATGTGGCTCACCGTTACCCAGCTTGAACCCGGAATCGATCACGTATATCGGTATGTTTTTCTATCTGACCTCAACCTTCAATCTTTTCGATGCTCACATGCTAAACCGCGTAAGCTACGAAATGCGATGGTATTCGGGTTGCCGAAGCCGTCCGGAGTCTCGGTTTGGGCGAACGCCCCAAGTATCAACGGCTCTCACAAAGAGTAGCCCGCCGGGCTCAAACCTTGAAGGACGCCGAAAAGACATACTCGGATTCCTGCAACATCGTCAAAGGTTCGTACCATACTTTGCGTCGTACTACTAGCTTACCATTGAAGCATCGAATGTGGATTTTAATTACGCTGCATCAGACACGGAGAAGAGCCTCAATGTGAAACGGGCAAGACTTGCAGAATTGCGAAGCTTCCTTCAAGATTCAGGTGGCAAAGAGGCCGTATCACCCAACCAACGGGGTCTTGGTCAGGCATCGAGCTCCACACGGAAGCGCAAAGAAGCCGCCTCAACTGCGAGTGCGAAGGACGGCCCTACCAGCAACAAACGAGCTCGGGTTGCGATGACAGAAACCCAGGCGGAAACGCCTGTGTCAATGCTTGACCGGACGGCTGTGGAGAAGGAGGCTACGGCACTGGACCGCGAGATAGTGCAAGATCGGCTCGTGTGCTTGGACCACTACCAGGTACAGAATGACGCTCGCGACGCTCGAGAGGAGGCCGAAGTGGCATACTCTCAAACTCAGAAGAAGCTTGTCACCTATTGTCATAAGGCGCGCTCCGAGGTAAGCTTTGGTCTTTTCGTCTCTAATCTGAGTCTACTTATCGCCTACTGTTGTATGCGTAGTTTCTCAAGAAGCACGTCCAATCTGATTTCCGCAATGACACTGCAGGGCACAGTGAGTATCCATCTCAGACTCCTAAACTGTCGAGATGATGTGCTAATCGGGCCTGGCCATCATACAGCCCAATCAGACATGGGTATGTTGTCGTTTGTTGCACTGTCTGCGATGCAGGCCTTCATCCAAGCCCCGTACTGATTGCTACTACCCCGTAGCCTTACCAGTCTTTGCCGTGTCATCTAGGGAATACATGCGCCAGACAGGTTTTGTATTTTCCTGACAGGATTTGACGGCATCGCAGCGTTAACCCTCGCATTCCCCGATAGACCAAATCAGCGGTGAACCTCTCGAGTTCACGTCTGTCGATGACACCGGTATTCCCGCGCTGCAGGAGTGGTGCCACACACTGACGCTCCCCGTGCGTGAAGACGACGCACGGAAGGCCGCGTCGGAGCTGGAGGCATTCACCGTTTCTCTGCGCACGTTTGTGGAAGGCGTACCCGATGTCGCTGAGGAACAGCGGCAGTCCATGCGCACCGATTGGCAGTCTGTCATGCTCGTGGGCTCTTGGGAAGACGAGGACGAGAGTGAGTTGCTCGACGCGGACGAAGCTTTGTGGGAGCAGGTGGGGGTTGTATGGCGCCTTGTTGAGGTAAGCCATGTTGGGACGACTAGCGCAGCGTATCCGTGTCCTGATCTCTGGTCCGTGCAGACATTCGATAACCTTACCCAGGAATGCGGGCGGGACCTCCAAAGATACTTCAAACAGTATTTGAACGTCAGATGCAAGGAGGCCGCAAAGCTGGTAAGTCCTCCAAGACGCCGAGAGCATGTTCGGGGATACATTGACATCACTCATCAGGCCGCCGAGCACGCATACGCGACCTCCAAAGAGTTTGCGCATGGGCGTAAGTGGCAGAAATACCGAGCCAGTACGTCCTTTCACACTGCGCGACAACATGCAATCCATTCCTATTTGAACTAACGACTAGCCACCCAGTTCTACGCCGCGGCGGTCAATTTGGCCCCGAACACGACCTCAACGCAGAGCTCACGATCCCGTTCGCAGTGCACATTGCGAGCAGCTGGCGCGAGCTCTTCTCCGCCAACCTCTTCGGGAAGCTCGAGAAAGACGTCATGCGCACGATCGACGAGCTCGTCGACGAATTCGTGCAAGGGGTGCCGGAGTACCTCAAGGCGCGCGCCCAGCAGCAAGCGGACTCGTGCAGGCAGGAAGCGCGCTCTGCCCTGAGCACCATCATGGCCACCGTCGCGTGCGAGCTGAACAGCGAGCAAAAGCGGATCAGCAGGGGCATCGCGCCGCATGTCCAGGGCGCGCTGCTGCAGGTCTACGAAGATGCTCTCCTCGACACAGGGAGGGGATCCGTCGCGCGGCAGCAGGTTCGACGTCTTCTGTCACTATCACGCGAGATACGGTGCTGACAAATGACCATGTTAGCAATTCGTTCACGATGCCGTGCACGAGAAGCGCGGCGACCTGTTCGGCGGCGCTGCGAGCACTCTGATGAAGCGGCTGGCGGACGCTGCGAACGGCATAGCGCAGTCTCTTCAGCCGGCGTTGCAGAAGATCGCCCGTAAGGTGGAATGCCCTTGTTCCCGATCTTGCGTAGGCATTGAGCTGACCTTATTTTCATAGGCCGAGACCAACCTCGCCGTTTTGTGGGAGAAGTCGTTCGACAACGATGACAATGGGGAGGCCCGTAAGGGGCTGCTTGCTTTGCTCGACACCGTTCTCGCGGATCTCGCCGCCTTGGAACACGCACGGGAATCTAGCGACACGGAGCCCCGCAGCACCCTCGAACGCCAAGAGGAGGACGACGACGACACAAACGAAGACAACAACGAAGACGAAGACGCAGACCAAGATGGCATGCCGAGCGGAGACGACGATAATCACGAAGATAGCGTGGATGAGCTCGCCGAATACGAGACGGGAACTTGCGACGATGGCGGTGTGGGAGACGCGGTCGTTCATCAAGAGGCCGTATGCGCGGTGAGTGAGGAGGCTGATCCTATCGCTGATGAGCAGACCAAGCCTTCGGTGGTCGAGACAATCGATATCGACATGGATGTTGGACCAGCCCATCACGAAGACGGAGCGTCTTGTGCTATCAAGACAGAGACAAAGATGGAAGATATAGTCGAAGACGGTAGGGAATCAGACAGCAGCATCGGGAAGGACGCTTGAGTGCGCGGGAACGCCACTGAGAAAGGAGAAGGTAGGCGGAAGGTAGAAGGGCTTGTCGGTCATCTACACAATATAATCTCGGTCCCACCCATGAACCCGCGACGGACACGCGGCGGCATCGCAACGTTGCGGAAATCCTCGAGGCGGCGGTCCCGCGAGCGCGAGGAGCCGAGGGCTATTGTCCCAGCTACCCCGGGGAGTGATCCGGTTCGAGGACTGCGCCTCGAGGTCGTCGCGGGATGCTGCGACCTCGGTGCCGCGCGCAACGCGCGCCCTAACGGCGACACGCTGAGACAACAACCGCTCTTTCCCGCGAGGTGATGAGGCAGGCGTCAGACGAGGTAGGATTTCAGGTGATATATTGCGCAGCATGTCCGGGACGTTCGTACCAGTACAAAACGGTCATTAGAGGACAAGAACGGATGAAAGGGGGCCGAAAGCATTATCACAAGCAGCAACGTGGGTGACGTGAGAGCGGTCGTGAGGCGCGGCATGGTAAGAACTATAGTACACAATACCGATACACTAGTCGCATGGAGTCCGTGGTCTGGGCGGGGCATATGTGAAGGACGATACAGTAAACAACGATGCAGAGCAGACGACTATGGGGCAGGGGACTCGAAACAAAGCAGACTAGGAAGACATAACGATAGTCCGGACGCCAAACTGGATGCCGGCGCCGAAAGGGATAAAAAATGAACAAAGGAGGGTGTGAGACGCGCGGCGGTGCACGCCTCGCGGAGGACGTGCGTGATGGAGCTGCACCGCGCGACATAGGATATTAGAGTTAACCGACCGCGCGCCAGGCGGATCAGGCAAGTCCGGGGTGAGTCCGTGATCCGCAACGCGTCGAGTGGACGCGTCGGGGGTGGTGAACGCGCTCAGACGCGGTAGATGGGGCGACCGCGCCAGTCGACGGTGCGGCCGCTGCGGGCATCGACGTAGTCGCGGTTATGGGGCCGGGAGGAGGAGTGCCCGAAGCCAAACATGCGGCGGATGCGCTCGCTGAGAGGCTCGCCGACGGGACGAGAGTGGTGGGCCTGGTGCGGAGGAGACTGGCGGAGACGGCTCGAGCTCTGAAAAATGTCAAACCTGTTAGTTCGCGCGTCTCCCGCTGAAAGCACGGTGTAGCTTACCCTGGTGTGGTGGGGGCGGCGGGCGTCGACTACCTGGACAGTCCGCGGGACCGACTGAGAGCGGTGGTGACGACTGTGCGACGCCGAACGACGCTGGCCAGACGAGGGGCTATGGCGCGAGTGGGAAGGGGCCGAGGAGGTGTAGTACACGCCGCCGGAGCCAGCGCGAGCGTGGCCCTGGTGGTGATGGCGCCCGGAGTCGTGGTGGTAGGTGGGGGCCACGTACTGGGGCGCTGCGTAGTACGCGCCGGAGTGGTGGGGGTACGCGGTAGCCCGGCGCTGGGGCGAGCTATGGTGGGACTGGTTCGAGTGGGTGTAGACAATCTGTTGCGGCGCATGGCCGTAAGACTGGGAGTAGGCGCGGGGGCGCTGGTACCCGGGTTGCACGTAGTAGGTGGCCATTGCGAGGTTGGATGCGAGGTTGTGTGAGTGTGGTGGGGGTGGTGAGTGCGATGGGGGTTGGGAGGAGGGAAGGGTACCTGAAGGGGGGGATTATATACGGGAGTGGAAAGCGGGCGGAGTGGCGATCCACAACTTTTTGGCGGGCTCGGTGTGAAAGGGGATGTGAAGGGGTAACGTCATCGAGCCCTTTGTGATCGAGATCGGGGCTGCTTACGATCTGCCTTGGATCTGCCGCCGGGCGTCTTTGGCCTCCGCCGTCGGGCTGCAGCTGGCGGTGCAAACACAGCTCGAGCATCCCCGCCTTGTGCTTTTGTCCCAGGCCGTGCTGCCGCCGCGCGAATAACATGCCGTTGACTCTGCGAGCTGTGCGCGCTAACCACCAGCGCGCGCCAGCTGCACCCTTCCGGCCGCGCGAGCTGTATTCGTTTCACGTCGCCCCCTCCCGTCGCCCGTCCTCCTCGATTCTTCACCCGCCTCCTGCTGCGCGGCCGCACAACCCTCCAACAGCCCTCCCACGAGGCTCGCGCGCCCCGAAGAAATCACGCCCGCTCATGCACCAAACTCTCGCGCGCCCTCTGCGCTAGCTCGTTCCGTCCACCCCGACCCGCCGTTGTGTGCCATTCTCACACCCATTTTCCCCGCATCCACGATAGAGCGAAGGTGCGTCCCCAGTCCTCGCAGTCCACGCGTTTGCGTGCAGGGCACCCCCGGATCCCACCCCCGCCTTCTGTGCGCCATCTCTCCTCTCCAGGACCCGCTCCACCCGCCGCCCCCGGCATCTTCACTGCTCGACGGCGACCGTCCCCGCGACCCCGGCCCACAGCAATCATGCAACAGCGCATGCTCAATTTTCGGCGTGCCTATCACTCGACGATGTGCCTGCTGAGCGCTGAGCCGCAATTATAGCCCGACCGTTGCTTCGCTCCGTCCGCGCGCACACACTCTGGGGCTGCCCCCACGCGCCTAGGTGGCGCCCAAGAGGAGCTCAATTTCTGTTCGAACCGCTAGTACGCCCATCTCAATACCCTCGTCCTGGATGCTGATTGCCCTGGACGCTTGCGCCGCACTACTTCGCACGCAACTCTAGATATTGAGATCTGTGGCCCTCGATACCTCCCGTGCGATCTCCGCTGCGTCTCGGGCCTCGTGTAGGCAACGTGGTGCGGCCCATCCTAGTCTGTCACTGTCAACCGCAAGAGCGCTTTGTGGCCGCGATACACCTCAAAACAGAAACATACGCCCGTTGCGACCCATGCTCTCGTCGTTATCCTGTTTCTGCACATACTTGGAACATATCACCAACGTGTCGTCTCTAAGGCCGCCCGCCGGGACGCTTGCCCATCTCGGCCTTTGTACGGGATCGTCCATGGCGCAGCCGCGCACCTTGAAGCTTGAACCCTCGAAAAGCACTTCTCACCACGCTCGCACGCGTTGGCGCAGTCCGACATATGCGGGGGCGCGCTGTATGTACGCGGCGTACCTCGCCACCGCCGGAAGCCCTTCCCTGAAAGTTCTCTGTGGCAAACCCCAGAGATGGTCGGCCACGTTCCCGCATCGAAGCCCAGGAACTCGACGGCGCTTCCGCGGACGAGGATCTGGGCTGCCGCCTCTGTGCTAGCCGGTCTGGCTCCATGAGCCTCCCGCGGAGCCGATACCATACAAGCCGCGCGCGCAACGCTGTCCCTGGGCCTGCGCGTGATGGACGCGCGGGCTTCTTCGTGAAGCTTGTACGGCTGCCAGCGTGCTCGGCGCGCGTAGCTATCGGGTTCGCGCGAAGGTTCGTGCCACCCCGATATCATGAGAAGGTTGTGCTAAACCCTGTGCCTCTCTTAGGCTACAGCTCTCCAACCGGAGAGTCGTCGGAATATGTGAGCCTCCTGGCCACATTTTCTATACTCATGCGACATACCATGCTCTCAAGACCGCAGCAGGCAGACCAGGTCAGCGGCCGCCTCACGCGGGCGCACAGGCTCCGCCGCCCCGTCTGCAGCGTGTCGGGGTGTATCCTTACGTCCTCCTCTAAAGCGCCAGAGGTGCGTTCCTGTCCCCCCATACGCAAGCCCCCACTCTTCCGTGCCTTCATGGACACCCACCGCCTGCGAACCGATCGAGCGAGACTCGTGCACAGGAACAGCAAAACGCCTACCCCGCATTCATTTCGCCCCCAGTACTTACGCGCTCCAGCTTCTCGCCCAGGATGCACCCCTCGATCGTCCGTGTGCGCATACGCGAAGCGACGGCCGTGGATCCGCCATTAGGTGCACACGACAGCGAAGCGGGCCGCAGAAGCACGCGAAGGCGCCAGCTGGGGGGGACCGTGGCATGGCATGACGCGATCCCGGCGCGTTCGCAGCGGTGTACATACGACGTGGCGCGCTCGTGGGCACGCTGTCCGTCCCGAGCTCCGAGCGCTGTGGACTAGGTGTAATACCTTGTGGTACGCCGTCGTCGATGCCCCCGGGGGCGTTCTCCCGCACTTGCGTGCTGCACACGCGGTGCGTGCGTGTTCGCTGTTCCCTGCAGACGGATGCGGATGACGCCGCCTCTCCGTCCTGTGGTCTGTGGTCCGCGAAGTCACATCGGCCGAACACTTTGCGGGTCTCCGAAGCGCCTGCTCAGCAGGCCACGGCGGAAGTCAGAACTCTATCTCTAGTGCGGCGCTTCGTGGAGCAGGGACCGTGGAGGGCACGCACACCGCAGCCCCTGGGCAGAACTCAATCTGCAGCTGTGGCTCCGCGGGCTATACATACTGGGTATATCTTATCGGCGCGTCCAGCGCCGCCGTTAGTAGAGTTGGAGGTGGGGGAGCCGGACGGATCGGATGCACTGGTGCCATGATCGGGTGCGCGTTTCGCGAACTGCAGGCGGCGGCGGCGATGTGGAGGGTTTGGCGTCATCATGGAGTTTATACACCCGTACAGAACTGTACTATCGTGCTATCCTTGCGTTGAGCGGGCTGGCCATGGGAACGAGAGGACGACGATCGCTACTTTCTGAGATAGCTGGCGGGCGAAGAGCTGAGATACCGGCGTGCCCACTCGATATCCTCGTGTTTCTCGGCGCCATTGATTGAACTCTGAAAGCTTGTACGTCAGACGATGGTACTAGGTTTGGACCGAAGTGTCGGGGACGGCCAGAGTGCTGAGAAATCTGTCGTATAATCCCGTAGAAGACAGATACGCTGTATGTGATTGGCAGCTCCTACCAGGACGATATGACTCGGCCTCACTCAGGTCTCCACACAAACTTTCCCTAGTCAAGAACCGCCCATAAAGCCAACATTAAGCGCATCCGTCCCTTCGTTCTCCAGCCTCGAGGCCTGAAGCCACAAAAAGCTATATGCCACAGGGGCAACTCCCGCCCCCGGAGATCCTCTCAGTCCTTAATGCGTGCAAGTGCTCACTGTCGGCCGAATGTTAGCGCATCAATCCCGCTCGGCCTGTCCACCGTGGCCGAAGTGAAGGTGACTCTCATGAGGCCAATAGCCAAAGTGCAGCCTGCGCACCGCCGGTGCGCCACTCCATCTTAGTTTCCTAACTCAGACGGCTACCGAAGAGCCCGCCCCCGCGCGTTCCGTCGCAGCTGCATTCACATGCGCAGCGCATCAGCAATGTTCAGTCAAACCACCAGCACGATCATGTCAAGCGTCGACGTCGGACCCTGCACGGCGTGCACGGCCACCGCCACTACTGGCGGATGGATACACCACACAAGTAGATGCTTGTGGTACAGTGCGCCCGACTGGCCGGGCGTCGTCGTGCATTGTCATCCGCTGCGTACGCCTGACTCCAAGTACGCCTGCAGCGGAGGTGTAGTCAGCCAGACGTCGGAGAGCGCGATGTGCGCCCCGTGCGGTAGCTCGGGACGCCCGCTCACGGGCATTTGGTTGTTGCCCGCAAAAATGCAACGCAAGTCAAGGCTGCGGAACACGTCCGACTCAGAGTCACCGCCGCCTAGAGCTGTGCGTACTCCGTTCTTGCGCCGCAGGGGGGAGTGCGCAGGACGCAGATCCCCGCCCGTGCGGTGTCAAGGAACGTGTTGACTGGGAGAGCTGGGGTCAAACTTTGCGCGGGAACTTACGGGGGTCTACGACTGCCCTACGTGTCGCGTTCCGCTGGCGAGGCTTGAGGCTGACTCCCTTCTATCTCCTCGAGTCCACAAGGCATTGCGCCCGGATACACGGTTTCATCGTTTATCGGACAGATATTTCCTTTGTTAGTGGCGGAGTTTTCACGCAGAGAAAAGTCTTCTGGAACTTCTGGTTACGCCCGTGCAGGTGTTCGAGACCTGGGATTACGGCTACAGTGTGGATAGACGCCCGTGGGAAAGGCGAATGACTGGATATGATACAGCGGTGGGTTCGGCAGGCGAGTATAGCATCCGTTTGGGCGGCGAAGATCGAGGCTATAGGCGCGGACGAAGACCGCGAGATATGGGTACACGAGGAGCGGTCGCAATCATGAGAATGCAGGCTGCAGGCTGCCCGCTCCCAGGACGTGCGGCTGCGCCCACAAACTACTCCAAGTCTGCGAAGTCGCCCTCGTCCAAGTCCGCGGGCTGCAGAAATATGTGTTAATTCGGTGAATGCAACACAAGAGTAGCATGGCCGTTGCGTCCACATGGAGCGTAGAGCTGTAGATGTCGGATGCGACGTACCTCCTTGGGCTCCTCGTCTTCTCCGTACTGCATTACGAAGTCGATGTGGCTCAGCACGGTCTCGATCGAGTCGGGGTTTGTGAGGTCGAGCGGCAGAAACTTGACTAGCGGATGGTCCTCGATCTGTGCGGGCGCCGAGACGCATTACCGCGAAGCGGTGCACATGGGAACGGGGGTGGCAGTAGAGCAGAAGCAAGCGGCGGAAAACATGGCACGTCCAGTCAGGGTCGAATATGTGGATAGATGAGTACACAGAAAAGGGAAGAATGAGTGTACATCAACTGACCAACTGGACAATCGCCTGGTTGAGCGAATGGAATTTTGAGTCCCGCTCCGTCCGTTCATCACGGCTACCGGGCGCCGAGATGAGCAACATAGGATCCGGTTCGAGGTATCTGTGAACAGGCGCGAGCGGAGTGTGAGCTTGACATATTCGTCTCGGCATTCCCGGTAATCGAGGAATGCAAGTCATGGTGGCGGTGGGCGGTAATAGGGGCTAACGTGGCGCGGCTCGGCGGAGTGGAGAACCGCGGCCCATATCTACATGAAGATACAGTGCCTCTGCGCGATTTGTGCTTGAGGGCAAGGGCTCATGAGGACTGTGATTGTCGACAGCATATTTGCTGTGCAACGGCATATGCAGAACGCCGGATGTAGTAGCTGCGGCCGTGCACGAAGAGACTCACCTGGCGATGTCCTTCTTCGCCCGAATGCCGTTGCGGCCACTTCCTCTGTCTTCGGAATTACTGGTAACGAGATCCATCTTCGACATGATATTTACCCAAGAAACCTCCAAGTTGACCATTGCAGACATCGCGCTGAGAACCCCGCTGTGTACAGGAAAGCACAGTCGCAAAATTACCGGTTAGTTTCATCTGATTATTTCTGTATATATTTCGGAAGAACCGACCTGAAGAACTTGTATTTGTCTTCCATGAATTGCGATTCAATCAAGTAGGTCGCACATGTCCGGATGCCCAGTCTTTGCAGATGTCGTACAAGAGTAGGCAGGAATGGATGGTGTGTGTATAGTTCAATCTGACCTGCTCACACGTTTGTACGCGCCCCGGATACATGTGGACAGACGGCGTGACTTACCTGGACAATCAATAATCAGGTATTCATCCTCGAACCCTCCGAGCTCTTCGTCAAGCCAGTCCATGTTCTGCAAGAGATACCTAGCAATGCCGTCGTGCGTAAGTTTCCATACAAACCTATGATACCTTATTCCGCATGTCATGCGCGGTGGGGAGCAGGGAGATGAACGCACTCGAAACAATACACCAAGCCACCATTCGGCCCGTACCCGAGGTGCTCCATGACGTCGTCGAGACTTATGAGGTCTCGGATATCAATTGAGGGCTCGTATTCGAACGCCCCGGTGTTTGCTGCAGGGTCCAAGTTCACAAGATGACCAGAGCGTTTTGCGGTTTGGAGATGGGTCATGAGGCCGTTGCAGAAGGTGGACTTGCCCGCTCCGGCTGGTCCGGTAACGAGGACGGCGTAACGCATGCTGCAGTCGAATGAGAATCAAGCAGGATTACGAGGGCGTCTCTGGCAGTTATATGTAGGATATTGGGCCGCTTTCTCAGAGGGAAGAGCACGTCGGACAGAGGGACTGAAGCAAGGGCGTCGTTGTGGCTGAAGAGAAGTTGTGGGCGGCTGTAAGCGCCAGGGCTCGCAAAGATAATCTGTGGGCGTCTAATCTGGAGAAGCCCTGGAGAGCGCGCTGCCCTGATCGCTCCCGGCTCACTCTTGCTCGTCTTGCGCTCTCTGTGCCCAATCGACCTCACGACCTCACCTTCTCTCCACCGCTTGCTAGGCCTTGTGTACGCGTTACTACAGCCTCTGACACTCTGCGCTTTATATCACTCGATCCTCCGCTCTAACACCATGTCCAAACCTCCGATCGTCCCTGAGACCACCGTGGCTGGTATTGCGGTCGACCCGCGCACCCTCGAGCGCGTCATCCCCGAAACCCGCAGGCCTGACGGGACGTACGTCTAGTTTCCCACTCGTGCGCGCGCGCTCGTCTCACGATTTCTCTTCTCTCGCGCTGTTTCTGTGATCACGCTTGCTGTGCCACTCTCTGACTTACGCTCCGATCTATGTCACCGCCGCGTGTCTCGCGCGTTTTCCCCACAGCGTGCGCAAGCAGCTCAAGATCAGGCCGGGGTACACGCCCCAGGAGGATGTTCGCCGGTTCCGCGGCACGCGTCAGGCACAGATGGACGCGACCAGCCTGCCCAAGGGGCATGTCATCGGCTGGACGCCCAAGCCCGCGGCTGCGGTGCCCCCAGCCTCTAAGGTGGGCCTGACCAAAGCGCAGAAGAAGAACGAGAAGAGGAAGGAGAAGCGGAAGGAGAAGCACGATGAACCCAAGGTGAAGGACAACTGGGACGATGAAGACGAAGGCGAAGCGGGTGAAGGAGATGCTCCCGCGCCCGCGGCAGCAAAGAAGACGGCGTCGGGGTCCCATTCGCCCGAGAACCCCAACTGGGCTGCTGCGCCCGACGCCAAGGAGGACGAAAAGAAGGACGCGGGGGCGGACGCACTTGCAGATAAACTGGAGAAGTTGGAGGTGCAGTGATTTGTTTGTAACACTAGTTGGGTTGGTCTACGTTCTTCGATGGTATGTACTAGTGGTCTAGGATATGATTACCGCAATGTATGGATAGAATTCTCCGTGAAAGACGAAGGCAAGATGTGGTTCCACTATGTCCAGCAAAGCAGAGATGATGCACTAATCGAGGACGTCGTGAGTCCTTCTATATTCCGTGAGGTCTACCTGTCCTGCTGGTGGCGGGCCTGGTCATTAAGCGTTAGGTTGCAAAGAAGGTATTCCGGCGCATACATCTTGGGGTGACCGCCACCGTCTAAGTGACCCATGGTAGCGGACCACCACCTGGAGGCATGAATTCGGGTTGCGGTCCGCTTCCTGCTGCCTTCGGCGGTTTGGGCTTAACGACGTAGATCTCCATGGAGACAATGAGGATGAGGGATAGAGCTCCCAGTGCAGCTGTGATGCGGACGCGGTTTAATTATTGGGGGCTGGACGGGTGGGGCAGGCACTTACCGACTGCCGCTCGCATCTTCTCCCAGCGCGACTCTTCGACCTGCGTCTTGAGTTCACCGATCGTGACAAGTGCTTTACTCAGGACTTCCTGCATTGGCGACATATGATTTCAGCAGAGCAGAAATAGGAATGGCGAAGCCACCGACCTCGATTTGCAAGTCGATGTTCTTCAGGTCATCTTTGGACTCGTTCTTCCGGCTGTCGACGTCCATCTGGATTCTATATGCGTCATTAGGTCCAGTATTCACACATTGGATCGGGGCACGATGATTTACTCATGCTTTAATTGCGCGATTCCTTCCTTCATTCGCCCGTCTAACGCGTCCACCTCGCGTCTTAGGGCAGAGGTCGCCGATCGCATGGCAGCAGTCTCGTTCCTAGTCAAGACGCCAATCTCGGTACGCAGCTCCGACAAGGCGGCCCTGAACAAGTAGGCTTGCTGTGGAGCGTCAACCGTGCTTCAATATGAGATCATTCGACAGCGGACAGATATCACTCACGCTTTCAAGATCCTGCACTGTTAGAGCATCGCGCTTCACCCGTCCTATTCGATCGACTAAGAGCGCACGCGTCACGCGCATAAGGTTGAGCGCGATAGGCGTGGGGAAGGATCGCTCGAGCTCCGAGAAGAAACGATGCGTGTTGAATGGCGGATTGATGTGATATGGCGGCGGGGCGTGAGGGAGTGGGAGTTGCGCTCCGGGGTCAATTGGAGGGTGAACATATCTTGCAGGTACTGAGGTGTCCGCGGAAGTATTCGGGGTTGTTTCCGCGGCATTTACCGAGTCTGTTTGTGCACTGGGAGCGTCTGGTGTTGGAGGTGATGGAGATGTTGGGGGAGGATGGAGGGTGAACGATGAGGAGCTTTGACTCGGCCCAGCCTGGTTCGAAGGGTCCTTGGGATGCGCAAGGGATACATTTGACGGTGCGGAAGGGTGATTAGGGTCGGAGATCGTGACATAGGGAGCGGGGCGAATGTGTCGAAGGCGAAGCGCAGATCTCGTCGTGCGCGGGCGCAAGCCGTCATTCCGAGGGACTGCAGGGTAGCGAAGGGGCTGTAACTTGCGCACGAACATCACAGAAGGAGACGGAGATCCACTTGCACGATATGATATATAGCAGCTCTATAAGCGGAGCAAAATGATAGTCCAGATGAGTGTGGTACGAGGCAGAGTCAGGTCAAGCAGGGTAGATGAGCGCTTGTTACGCGAGGCGTAGTGGCACGAAGCCATCGCCTTCCGATCACTCCTCTTCGGGAACAGTACTCAGGGACGGCGCTCTCCGAGTGCTTCGCATCTTCTCTCAGATTTTGTCAAGCTACTTGCCACTCTACTGCATCTTGGTCCGACGAACTGGTCTGGTTGTCTCTCGTACCATGACCAGATACACAAACTTCGCACGCAAGCGGACTTACGTCGAGGCCGGCTTTAATAACGACCCAGAGCCAGAACCTCAAACTGCTCCTGCTACCCCTGCTGCTACTCCTGCTGTCGCCCCTGCTGCTGCTTCTACTGCGCCTACCACTGTCTCTGCTTCTGTAAACGACTCCGCGGCGGCGGAGGGGGATGCATCTGCGGAGCCACCGAAAAAGAAGAAAAGAATAAGGGGGAGGAAGCCGAAGCCTCCTAAGCCTTCGAGTGAAGATGGCGGTGTAGCTGGAGAAGGGGGAGAGGGAGAATCGTCGTCACAGGCGGCGGAGAAGGCGGCGGAGAAAGCGGCGGAGAAGAGGAAGAAGGCTGCAAAGAGAGCCAAAAATGCTAAGAAGCTCGAAAAGCGGAACGCTAAAGGTGTGTCACAGCGTTGCTACTGCTCAGTTAGGCAGAGTCTAATATAGGCTCAAGACCGCAAACAGGCATCTGAGGACCGCAGACTCAAGCGCATTCAGGACCGAAATGTCGACACGACCTGTTTCGCGTGCAGAGAGAAGGGTCACACCGCGAGGGACTGTACAAATTCGCTGGCCTCCGATGCACTTGAGGGCGAGCAAGGACAGAGCAGAGCTCCGTCAGGGCGCGACGCAGTGGGGATCTGTTACCGGTAAGCCGCCTGAAGATCTCCGTAGCGCTTGTTCAGAGCAACCGTATGACTTAAACCGCTTCTAGGTGTGGCTCCAGGAGACATGGCTTGTCAAGATGTCCCGAACTTGTCGATCCCGCGAATCCTCTCCCGTTCGCATCCTGCTTCGTCTGTTCAGGGAGAGGTCACCTAGCCTCTACGTGCCCCAAGAACCAGTCAAAGGGCGTGTACCCGAATGGTGGCTGCTGCAAACTCTGCAAGGAGACCAGCCATCTTGCCAAAGATTGCCCCTTGAGAAAGAAAGGTTCGTGTCCCACCCCCACAGTGAGGAAGCTTACAATCCTAATTGTTGTGCGCAGAGGTCGCTGCGACCACCGTGCTTCTAGGAACCGGACGGGAGGCAGGCGCAGACGAGGACGACTTCCACACGTTCAAACGCGTCAATGCCGAGGTCGATGAGGCTCAAAAGGCGGAAGAGCGCACAAAAAGGCGTCTAGACGCAAGGGTTGGCGTGCACTCTGGCGTAGTGAAGGCGTATGGGGAGGCACCACTAGCAGCGAAAAAGAAAAAGGTGGTCACATTCTGATCCTCCTACAACTATCATCGGGCCATGCCGTTGTATCTGCAATGTTCGGGGACGAGCCCGCGTTCGATTATGCTCATTTAGTACTCTCATCAAAGGGCCTAGATGGCAAAAGAAATGATGATTCAGTAAGTGCAAAGGGAAGAATCAGGTAGGGCATATCATGAGGGAGGCGGCTCGAGCTGTAAATTCGTACTGGGGAGGTCTTACAGCGAATGAGAAGCGTCTTCCCCGGGGGAATATGAATGCCCAGCCTCGTGGATTTCCCTGACATCAGCAGGAGACCTTCGTAAATCTATGTAACCAGACCTAGCCTGAAGTTGGAGGGAGGTGAACGGAGTGTGCTCCACGTTGACTTGGCTCGGGATCTGCAGGGAGTGGAAGGCGGCCCGAGCAGGCGTCCCCGTAACCCATTGCGGATACTCGAACGGGCTGCTGAAGAACGCGTCGGGCTCCGGAAGGACAACACCAGCCGCCCCGTTCCAACCCTCGGGGAAGGTGTAGTAAGGACCCGTCGAGGACGGCGCCGCCATCATCGACGAGGGGCGCGAGGCGCCCGTGCCTCATCCGGAGTGCTCGAGTTGCGCTTGCAGATCGGAGGAAGGACGAGAACGCTGGCGCTGGCGAAGATCCGCGTATACTCTGCCCCCCAGCCGGACTTCGAGGCAGTAGGAATGGTCGTGCGGCCAGCGCGTAGCAGTCAGCGTGACAGTGCGACGCGAGTTCCCGAAGCTGAGCGACCCGTTTGGCCAGGAATTTACGTGGTAGACGGTAGAAAACGTCGGGTCGTAGTTCGGGCACGGCGTTGGCAGCGGCGAAATACTCGACGGATTGTAGGGAACACCGTCGGCGTAGTCTCGGGTGCGATCCTGAGGAGAGGCCGGTCTGATGGAGACGTGGGCGCAAAGCAGGGAATCGTTGCACCGGCCGAGATGGAGCACGAATCGTTCGCGCGTGCTGCGGTGTATAAATCTGTACGACTTCGGGGGTCTTGCACGCCCCGAAGACCAAGTCTCTTTGGACTCCATATCGAAGCCGAAGTGGGCTGCGAGGGTGGGTTTGAGCCAGCTAGGGATGAAGAACGCATCTGGCTCTGTGGCAGAGAGGTGCGCGAAGACGTTTAGCTCGGAGGGGGCTTGGACGTCGGCGATGTAAACCGTTGTGAGCGACCCGTATGCGATCGCAGTCGACGCCCTGGATAGTCCTTCTGACATACTGTTTCCCGAGTGTCTGGGAGTTGAGAAAGCTGAGGGTTGCTCGAGACTGTTTGTCATAGGTGCCCATCCGATCCGACGAAGGAGTTCTATAGTCGAGGGACCGATGAAAAGTAATCGATAGCCTGGCGGATCGGATACTTCATGGGATGTAACGCCGACGGAGAATTGGGAAAGACCACTCGTTGGATGTGCCCGGCGCCATAGGATGAGAGCGACGCATTCGCCCGCCTGGCTCTTACACGGAAGGAGGGCCAGTGTGAATGGGTTGCCTTCGACGATGATGAAGTCGCATCGAATCCCGTAGCTGGTGACTCTATGTTCGCAGACGGTCTGGATATGGTGAACACGCGGATCATGCATGATTGATTAACGGGAGACGTACCTGATGGTCAACACCGTTGATGGTGAACTGCTCACGAACGAGCTCGGCGACGGCACCCAGAGAGATAGAAGCCAGACACGCAGAGTGCCAGAACGCGCTTGGAGAGGGCGCAAATAAGGAACTTGTGGAATTTCGCCTATGTACCAGAGGCGTCATTGGAGTTTCGGTGCCAAGCATCACTCTGCCCCAGGCGAAGAGTGTGTGGTCAGGATTGCGCTTCATGATCTCCTCTTGCAACCGCCGAAACGCCTCCCGTCCCTCACCGTAGATGGTGGACATCGTGATGTCAAAGATACCCATAAGAGAGTACGCCTCGTCCTCGACCCGGGAAGTCGTGCGTCCGGACGTCCAGGACATCCGATTTGCGACGCTGACTTGTTGCAGAGGCCGGCGAAACGTCAAGATGGCTGCGTCAATACTCGTGATCTCCTCCAGCAGGTAGCACAGTGCAGCCTTCGTGCCTAAGGGGGTCCAATCCGACGACATGAAGACGAGAACTTGTGGCGCAATGAGCTCCTGGAGCGTCCATCCGCGCCTGAACCAGTTACTCCAACGGAACGCGGAACGTGGCTCGTCGACAGTGCAGTCACTCGGGACGTCTGCGAGGTACGCGATACATACCCCGGCCTGCGCGTACCACCTGAACATGGAGTTGATCGCCTCTTCGAGCCCTGCGCTACTCGTTTTGTCGATACAACAAGTGTCGATCCAGATCCAGTAAAAGCCAAGAAGTCTAGCTGCGTTTATGGCCCCCAGAATCTTGTCGCATATCCGCGGGTCGTGGAGCGATGCGCCTTCATATTGTAGCTGGCGGATCTCTTGGAACGATTGTTCTGGCTGCTCCCAGACGTGAGAGAGGATGGCGTATCGGCCGTTCACCTCCTTTACGTCGTTGAAGTAGCGGAGCTCGAGAGTCATGCTTGTCGTCGATAATAGCCACATTCCTGCAAGCCCGTGCATGTGTTGACCAAATGGAATTGGAGTGAATGCACGGAAACAACTCGCCTGTTGTTGGACTGAAGCAATACTGTCGAATGAGGGATTGGATGTGCCGAGTGGGCTCGGAGTGACGTCTCCCATATAAGTGGGCCGTCTATTGAGCTGATGTTGAAGTGTCACCGTATCACCCGGCTGAGCACATGCGTCGCATCCCTTAGCGTTGAGCTGCCATGGCCACGAACTACGCTAAATCTCTTTGGAAATATACATTGCATCCGTAGCGCTGCGCAGGCTTCGATCGCGTGGGTCCTTGCTAGAAGCTTATCAACCTGTGTGACATCAGTCAGGGTAAATCCTGGGTAATCAAGGGCCCGAGCATTATATACTTGAAAACCTTCAGGCTCATCCCGCGCAGTGTACACGGAACGCAGTATTGGTGTTGAAAGTTGAGGATCAGAGAGGCGATCCGGAGGCGCCCATAATGGCTTGAGCGAGTTCCACGTGCGGATGAGCACCGCCACAGGGGGAGGATATTGCGTTGCTGCACGCGTTGGCTTTGCCCTGCAGCAACGATAACACCTTCTCTCCCTCCCCCACCACCACCCAATGGCCACCCCGCTCTCTCCCCAACAGTCCAACCTCGCATCTCCTCCTACGAAGATGTCTACTTCTCAGGGCCTGCAAAAGGGCAAGGCCCAGCCAGCGCCTCAACAGCATCCGACGACCACTCCGGCGTCGACCGTTAAGTCGAAGAAGGATTCCAAGCTCTCTAACACTCCCTCTACCATGTCTACCAAGCCTGCAGTTGTACCCCCTTCTCAGGACCCTGTGAAGAAGGTCTCGCGTCGCGGAAGTAAGCCAATTATCAACTGGTTCCAGCGCAAGCTTGCAGGTACCGTCCGGGCACGTCGGGCTTCTGAATCGCAACGCTTCAACACGGTCCCTGTGCGTACCGGGAAGGACAAGCAACATCGTCGCATCTCCGCCCCTATGCCCCCACCCCTCACGATCCAATCACGCACTCGCAGTAACAACAATTCAAGGCAGAACGGTAGTCACAGTCGTCTTTCGGGCTCGCGTGGTGGCGCGATCTCGCTGAACGAGACGACCGACGGTGCAGACAGTGGATCCTACACGAGCGACTCGGAGGATGGCCGACACTCGTCACTTGCGCGCGACTCGACATACTCTCCGGCAAGCTACTTCGAGGCGGACGAAGATGCGTCGGTGCGGCCCCTTCCCCCTAGCTCGCCACCTTCCCCTTCTCCATCGCGCTCCTCGTCATCCTACCTGTCGCATTCCCGCACATTCCGCAGCATGACAGCAAGCACGAAGCCCACGACTTTGCTGAGCATCGATCTTACGGGTGGCATGGCTCACATTGCGCAGGCCCCACCGACCCCAAACACCACGGGACATCGTATTCCTCCCCATATCCGGACACATTCATCGGGCCCCTCTTCCGGCTCTATCACTTTCTCTGCCATTCCTCCCCCATCCCCCACGAACCCTTCGCGTCCGTCCTCTGGGAACTCTGGCGCGGGAGATCCGCGTGGCGCCACACTCACTGCGCCACTGTACACAACCCATCATCCGCGCAACAACCCTCGCCCGTCTTCCCCTCCCCCTGACGATGCTTCAATGCTTACGCTCGCTTCGTCCGCGTTCGGGATGCCGGGAGCACGCATGGGCGCGACTGCTGGGGCTGGGAGAGGCTCGATTGCAGACGACTCCGTATCTCACTGGAGTCATGTGGCGGGCCTCACCGATAGCACCAGCCACTTCATGATGAACGAACTCGAAGAGGGGGCTGAAGAAGGACGCTACACATACAACGACCATGATGTCGATGCTAGCGTTCGTGCGCTGCGACCGAGGAGTTCCCGCCGCGGAAGCTGGGACAGCACTGTCAGCGGCTGGAGTGCCAACGTTGCACTCGCTGTTGGCACATCCAGCCCAGGCGGAATTAGGAGACAGGGGCTATGGAGGTCGGGAAGTCTCAGGACGGGCGGGTTGAGCACGGAGAACGAAGAAGTCTTCGAAGACGGGTTTTCAGGGGCGCAAGAAGACGGGGAGAAGCAGTCTGCTCAGGACAACCAGGAGGAGTTGGAGGGAAGCGTCGCGACCACTGAGGAGACGGAAGAGGCCACGCTTGCCACTACGAAGACTCCCCCTGCGTCCGCGCCGGACGATGTGGCGTCCACACTATCTCTACCCGGATCGAAGACAGCGGGGGCAGACGATCTCGCGTCGACGGCAACCCTTCCAGGTTCCAAGGCGCACTCTGAAGTGCCTACGCCGGACAACGCGTCCAGCGATGCCGTCAAGAGCGGAGCGTCTACGCCTACCAAGGCTGAGTTCAGCCCTGTTGCTTCGGGCCAAGTCCCTGCAGCCCTGAATCTGGAGGAGGCAAAGGACGTGGAGGCCCATAGGCTATCTGCTCAGCTCAGCCCGGCGAGCACGGATGCGCACACTGTCTACCACTCCGTGCCGTCAACCCCGGCTGCTTAATGTCCTCAGGTGAGGCTCCGTAATTCGATTCCAAACTTGAACTCATGCTGACCAACTGCGATAGCTAGCCTTTCCTTGGTGTCTTCGGCTGTCTATCTTACCACCGGTCTTGAATTGCGAATGTCCCTCGTTTCTATACTATCCATCATGTCTGTTGAACCGGTGTGGTCGAGGCTGAGTCTGGCCGCTGTGTATCTATGCTCTACCCTAGTGATCGTGTACTGTATTGTATAAATCGAACCTCGTATGCTGCCGTCACATACGCGATCTGCGTCTGCGCAACGGCGAGCTACGTCCGCGCTGTGACCGCGGAGGTGCATGGTGCATGCCCCACGTGAGGCAGGCGCGACGCGCCGACGCGCCCCGCGCGTTCTGATAGCGCGCGGCGGCTTCGTCGCTGACACCTTCGACCACGGCACCCCGGTCAGCTGGGCCGCTTCTCTCCTATTGCGCTGTCCTCGTGAGCGACGAGCAGGTGCGGCGCGTACGCAATACGTTGATGGGTGCCTCTATTCCGGTCCGCCGTGCTCGAGCAATTGGCTGACGGGCACGCGGGGGTCCCGACGGCCCCGGTCGCAGATGCGCTTTTAAGAGCCTCCTGGACGTCGACGCTGCCCGCCTTTGACTCTCGCCTTCTACTATCTGGAGTGCGCGATACGCTAGGACACGCGGCGCAATCTGCTTGGAACGTTGTTAGGATGAAGCTCGGCTTTGCACCTTTGGTGACTGCGGCGGTTGGCGTGTCGGCTCTGCTGGGAGCGACGGCGCAATGCCCGGACTTCACGACATATTCTCAGGTGGGACACGTCCTCGAGGACTGGAAGATGAGGGAGCTGATGTTTTGCCTGTTGTAGAGTCCACAGGGGAACCCTTCAGCGGGCCCGTTGGCCTTGCCGTATATGAGGCCCGACCCAGCATGTCGCACGTTCAACAGTACAGCCGTAGAGGTGCGCGGTGTAGAAGGCGTGGAACGTCAATCCCAGCGACCTCATACAACTACCGGGTGCAGAAAGTCATCAGCGACATGAAAAGTCGTCTCAAGGACCCGGACTTGGCGCGTCTCTTTGAGAACACGTTCCCGAACACCCTAGGTGCGTATTTATCGAATGCGTCCCATGGTCAATATATAGATGAGATATATGACAGATACAACCGTGAAGTACTTCAACGAGGTAGGCCTTAGTGCTTCTTTGCACATTGATCGTCCTGAGGGTTCTTCTCCCTGCAGACCGAAAACCTGGCATTCATCATTACCGGGGTACGTGCAGCAGACGTTGACAGCACAATATATGCACGCTGAAAGTACAAACTTGACATAGGACATCACGTATGCGATCCTTTCGCTTCTCGATTGTGCGGCCATTAATGACCCGCGCTTTCTCGTAGTGCTCAATGGCTGCGCGATACAGCGAACCAGGTAAGATGCCCGCTTTTACTGTGACTCATGCCCTAACGTCATCCTAGTTCGCCCATTACCACACGCTGCTGTCCACAGACAAAGAGCTAGCAACTTTGGTTAAAGCGGTCATCAACAACGAAGCTCGCTACGTTTCGCAGTACCCGTATTGCGGTGCTTTCCAGCCGCCACCGGAGAGTGGCCTTGCACCCTCTCACAACGACTGGGCCGATGGCGTCACGGTTAACCCGTAAGTTACGGGGGCATTGAATGGTTCGATACTTGTACTAACTACATGACGAAGACCCGTAGATAACCAGACCGTCTTCGAGTGCAAAGTGCGTTCACCGCGGTAGCCTACTGCCCAAAGAAATTACTGAATTTCACTCCCGCAGTACGAGATCGATTCGCTATGCGGCTTCCTGAAGCTCTCGCGCTCCTACTTCCAAGCTACTAAAGACGCGTCCTTCATGAACAACAACTGTGCGCGTCAGCCGCCGGATCCCAGAACGCTGATTGACCCTGCTCACTTCCCAGGGTTCGCGGCTGTCGACCAAATCTTCAACGTCATCTGGGAGCAATCTCAGTCTAGCTTCGACGAAGACTATAACCTCGTGTCGTTCTACAACTGGACGGGCGGGAACGGGGCGCTTTCCCCTGCTGTGAACAATGCTGGAAATGGCGAACCCAGGCTGTATTCTGGCCTCGTTGGCACTCATCACAGGCCCTCAGACGATCTCAGCACGTTCGGTACGCGTCTTGGCCCACGCAGTGTTTGAGCGTACGAGCGTATGTTGACTGGACCTTCCAAAGCGTTTTTGGTTCCTGCCAACGCTATGCTGAGTGTGGAGCTCACAAATCTTGCGGAAGTCCTTGAAGCTACGAAGCAGGCTAAGAACATCAGCCAGCTCGCACGGAACTACAGCACCACTATCAAGAACGCTATTTGGGAGACTACGGTCAGGACTCCGTTCCCTTGTACAACGCTCCATTTCTCACCTACCAATTGGCCGGAGTAGATCGTCAACAACATCTTCGCGTATGAAACGAATGGTGAGTGTAACACTCACGTAGTTATCGTGGATAAAATCCTGATTCGTCTGCTTAAGGCTTCGGTGGACGCTATGTCATGGACGATGCGAACGTCCCGGTAAGCATGCAATGTCACTCAGAAAACTCTGCCGGAGACTAACGGCATTGGATAGTCGTTGCTTTCCCTACCTTATCTTGGGTTCCTCAATAAAACCCACCCGGCATACGTGGCGACTCGGAATCTGCTCCTATCACGGAAGAATCCCTATTTCGCCGCGGGCAAGAACTTCAGCGGAATTGGGTAGGACAACATTATATCTTTCTCGGCACGCACCGGGGTTAAAGCTCTTGTTATGTAGCGGCCCGCATGTCGATGCGTGGAACCCATGGTCGGTCATTCCCATTCAATGTGAGGTATGCTTCTCGATAGACTGACGAACGTGTACCATGCCAGGCCGATGTCCCAGATTTCCGCCATCTTTGGAACCGACGATGACGAGGACATCACGCGGTCGCTGTACCTCATCGCCAACGTGAGCATTCACTTTCTCCGTTTGAGCTGCGACCATGAGAGTCTTGTTCTCCGTCGGCGCTTTCCGAGCGTGCAGTGCATTGTGCTCCCTTTGTCCTCCTCCGTCGTTGTGCCAAGGATATTGTGCGCTGACAGCGTCATGACATAGAACACGCACGGCCTCGGCCTCATTCATGAGTCGATCAGCATTTACGACGGGTCGTACACCCGCCCCTGGTTCGCTTGGGCCAACAGCTACTTTGCCGAGATGCTGCTCGACCTCGCGCAGCGCAAGCCGCACCTCATCTTCAAGGATGGCAAGCCGTATACTCCCGGCCAGTGATTATTAACACACTGCGCTCATACTGCGGTGGCTGTGATCAAGTTTCCTGTACGATGTATATCATACTGCGGAGGCAAGGAGGCTGCGGCAGGAGCGACGTGCATGAAGTGTGTTGTATGACGTCCGAGGGTTTGTTCGGACCGAGGCGTCTCCAAAATCAAACATACAAGGAATTCGGTATTGGAAGTGGTGATACTAGCTCTTCTTGGACTTGTGTGGGCTGTCCGCCAGTCGAGATGCCGGTGAAGAGGAGAAAGATCGAGCATGGAGCAGAGGCGGAGTGGAATGGACAGTAGCGCGTAGATCATGGCATGACAGCCGCGCTTGGCGCGTACTGGGGCAGTGATCTGGATTCTGCCACTTCCCCAGAGCGCTCACGTTCGTTTGCAATAAAGTCTGAACCTCAACCACACTCCCTCCGTCCGCGCCGCCCTAGACCCCCTGCGAGAGCCCTGCACGCCCACACACTCGACCAATGTCCAGCGGTCGCCACATCGGCACCCTCATCGTCGTCATCCTCAAAGCGGTGTGTGTACACCCGCCCCGCCGTGCCCCGCTCTCGCTCACCTTGCGTCCGCTCGCTTAGAGGAACCTCCCGAACAAGCGGCACATAGGCAAACAGGACCCGTACTGCCAGCTCGTCTTCAATGGAGAGAAGCGGCGCACGAAGGCGATCAAGCGCGGCGGGCAGCACCCCGAGTGGGACGAGGAGATCCGCTTCGAGCTGTATGAGGACACGGAGGACATCCCACACATCCCAGAAATAAGCGATGGACCCCCGCCCCCACCCCCACCGAAGAACGCGAAGGGCCCGCCGAAGGTGAAAGGTGGAAAGTTCATGGCCGTCGCGTGTTACGCGGAGGATCCTCGCGAGCCGGATCTCATTGGAGAGAGCAAGGTCGATCTGACGGAAGTGTTGACAAAGGGCGAGACCGATGGTGCGTGCAACAGGGCGCAGTGGTCGCTGGCATCGCTGACTGTCATCTAGAATGGTTTACGGTCATGAACAAAGACAAGTACTGCGGAGAGGTATACCTCGAGCTGACTTTCTGGTTGAACGTACGTACCTTGCGTTTTCGACGCCCAGCCAGTCATATCTCAATACCCGATATGTAGGAAGCTCCCCCGGTCAAGAAAGCCAATCCGAAGCCCAACGGTCAGTACGGCGGGAGTGGGACGTTCATTCCCATAGGAGATTCCACATCTTCCTCCCTCAGTGATCTGGACCACCACTCTGTGCACTCACGTCCCAGCGTGTCAAGCATGGGACACCGTCCTGAAAACCTCCCGCCCTCCTTTCGAGATCCCAACACCAGGCCTAACATCTATGCCGCACCGTACGAGAGCACGCATCCACATAGCTCATCTATGGATGGGCTTGCAAATGATTTCGCTGAGCTAGGAGTGCAGTCTGTGAGGGACAAGCGGCGGAGCTTTCCGGTATGTTCTATACGCATATACTCGGTGCAGTGTACTCAGTTTCGTGGATTCGTTCTCAGCCACGCACGGGAAGCTATATGCCACGACCGGTCTCATCTCTGGGTTTCCCCGATCCATATGCAAATGGGCAGCTTCCGCCTCAGCATCAGCCTACATATTCCGATGGTGGAGGGAGCTACCAATACAACACGGGACAGTCCGAGTTCTATACCTCGGATTCAGCGCCACTTCCAGACCCCTACCAGCCAGCGTACGAGCAGGCTCCCGCACTGACCGGTTATCAACCGCCACAACCACACCCGAGACGTCCGAGGGCTAGCTTGCCCCCAACATCATCAGGCTTTGTTCCGTTGCCAACATCCGCGCCGTCGGGCTTCATGCCCCTCTCATCTAGTGTCTCGCAACAAATGACAGGGTTTTTGCCACCTCCTTCGACGACCCCAGCGCCATATGGCGGCCAGATTGTCCCACCTCGTGCCCCCTCGTCGAGCTTTTCTTCTCTGCCCTCGGGGTTCGTGCAACCGGGCCAGCTGCCCCCTACGTCTTCGTATCCTCCGCCTCTCGGCTCTTCATCCTCACTCTACTACCCTCCAGCGCAGAATCCACAGCCTACAGGACAGTACTACCAGCAAGGCCACCACTCGCCTTCAAGCTACCAACAGCAGGGGTCCCCCCTTCCCCCCTCATCGTCTTTCTCTCAGAGTACCCCTCCGCCCTCAACTTCGTACTCTCAAAATCTGCCAACGTCCTCCTTCCCTCACAACCCGCCGCCGATGTCCTCCTATCCGCCGCCACCCGCGTCAGCCCCGCCGCAGCCACAGTACCCACATTCCCCGTCTACCCCCTCCGTACCTCCGCACACCCAATCAGCGCCCCCAGAACAACAACAGTATACCAACGGCCATTTAACGTCCTCTCCATCGCATGACAATATCCCGCCGCCTCCGCCACTCAACGAAAGTCCTTCTAGAGGGCACTCAACGGGTTCAAGGCCGTTACCTCAGCCTCAGGTTCAGCCGCAATTATCACTATCACTCTCGCAGAATGGCCGAAGGCAGTCGTCACTTCCGATGCCTCCGTCCAATTCGCAAGGGTATTTCAACGGCACCCAGAATCCGCCAGCACTTCCCTCGGCCATGGCTTACCAGTCTATTCCGCCCCCACCGCCTTTGCCACAGCAGACTCAGCCGCAGTCATCGTACCCACAGAATGGTCATCAGCTCGCACTGCCTGGACCCCCGCCTCCACTGCCACCTTCGCAGTCTCATTACACGCAGGGCCAAACGCCGACACCCCCGAAGCGGCGGCCCAGCCTCCCCCCGCCGCCGATGGGATATCAGAGTCAGCAGTCGGCGTTCCAGGCATTGCCGCCCCCACCCCCGCCGCCGAGCATGCCATCGCACTTGCAGTACGAGCCGCCGTCGAGCTTCTCGCCATCCAACTCCGGCCAGGTCTACTACCCTGGTCCTCCGCCTAGACCTCCTCAGTATCTCCCGCCGAGCGGCCCTCCGCCGCTGAACGGCGGTTACTCCCCTCCTATCCCGCAGGGACAAGAGTACGACCCGTACGGACGATGAACTCAGAATCGTTTCTTTCCTGCACTACTCACTCCCGGATCAGGCTTGTAGCAATTGTATCCTCGTACCCCGTCAGTTATCCTACGGACAACCCGCTATCGATCGCTCAACGTCCCGTCCATACCTAGTCGCTAGTCATCGTCCGCGCATATCTTTACCTGACAAACGAGCTCCCGCAAAACGCCTGTAGACTTACTGCACCCCTCTATATATTCAGTGCAGGCCGCATATATACATATCACCGTGTGCTGGGCTGGCGGGAATTACTGTGATGATGCAGGGGTTGCGGTTGTAGGTTGCCCAGCCCGTGCGCGGGCGCGTGCTTCCGCCTCTGCTGCGAGTATTTGTGAGCGCTCCGTCTTCCACTTCGCGATTTCTGTCTCGGTCGCGACGAGCCCGCGTCGCGCGAGGTCCATGCGGGCTTCGCGTCGGAGGGCGCTTTCGTGCAGACGTTGGTCCTGCTCGTACGTCTGAAGCGCGTTCTCTGCGCGGATGCAGAGGCCGAAGACCGAAACTATGCGCATATGCATGAGCTTGAGAGTGACGGGGAGGTGCGGGGCGCGTTCACGGACCTATCGTGACGAGGAACGCTTTGAAGGGCAGTGTCTGTCGCCTGCGCGAAGTAAGTTGGACCCATTCGCGGTCTGATTGTGGATGTATAAGCTGCTCATAGACGCACCTGAATGACGGCCAAAAATGGTGCCCGATGGAGGCGAGCCCGAGTCCTACCGCGCCGTACTGCGCAAAGCCGATGGCGCCGGCCCTGGACTGGATCTGATATGCCTTCTCGACGTCCTCCTTGCGATGCCCTCTGTTCATGACCGGTCCAGGAGAGAGAGAGAGAGCAGAGTCTAGCGTATGTATGGCAGGAGTCGGCGGTCCTGCGCGACGGTACGGACTTCGCGCCGCGAGCGTCCAGCGCCACGCGATTTCCCGGGCGTTCCCTGTTTTCCCGGAAAGGCAACTATGTAGGAACGCCCGAGGTCGTCGGAATCGCCATATTATGAGGGGTCGTCGAAACGAAAGCTAGTGAGCACATAGATTACAGTATAAGTTACATGGGCCACAAAACAGTATCACAAATCCATCAGCTCTCCTGTGCGACTAATGTACGCGAGGTGGTGGTCTTCGGAGCACGCCGCCCACCGTTCGTCTCCGAACGCGACTTGTATAACCTTGCGTCCAGGTAGACAGGGAATCTAGAGATACTCAATGACTGGAGGCGCATATACACAGCGGGTTGTCGTACCGATTGCATGACTTTGTCAGCTTGACGTAGATCCCACAAGCGCACGCAACCATCCTTCTCACCTCCGCCTGACGCGAAAGTGGTGCCTTCGACTGAGCCTGTGAGATGTATATCAGTACGCCTCCTGCATACCCGAAGACATGTTAACGCACCTCGTACAAATCTGCCGTGAACCTTGGCACTTGGATACCCAAATCGAGCCACAGGCACTTTGGGCACAAGACGATGATCCCGTACTTCGAACTGGAACTCACGGTGGCCGACCTAAAGGTAAACATGTCAGGAGAGCTCGTGTTTCTGAAAGTGCTGACCAACCTCAAACAATGTGCAGAACTCCGAGATCGCAGTGTGAGCGTGGTACACCGAATTGGACAGCTTGAGGATGTTAACCACTCGCTCGGAGGAAAGATCATAGATGTTGACACTGCAGTCCGCGCTGGCAGTCACGAGTTTGCTGCTGGTATCTCGGATGGGTAACAGAGATTGGATGACAGAGTTATGTTTGATTGCGAGTGGGGCGGAAGACACCGGTCGGCGGTCCTCCGGGAGCGTCCAAAGATGGACAAGGTGGTCGTAGCCGCCAGTGGCGAACATGTTGGGTTGCATCATGGCGCATATAGCGCTAACTCCGCCGTTTTTGTCCAGTTGGGAAGGACGGTCGAATGTCCCTAACTCTTTCACCTGACACGACGTTAGGGGGTTTAAGGTGAGAGCAGATTGCACGTACTCGGGTTGCCTTCAGTCGTACCAAAGATAGTTGTTGGTTGTTGCGAGGTTGTCCGAGCACAAAAATGGGTCGGCTGGGGCCGGAAAGGACGCACGCATCATCGACGACATGGCTGCTGGGATCCGCAATTGCGCCGCCCCTCAGGATAGCTGGATGTCTACTTGTAGTTCAGCAATATGTGATCTAAGGTAAGTTAATGACGCACCGAAAGTCAGCTTTTGGAACGATGTCGAAACAGCCTCGCATTGTGACGCTCAGTACCCCACGATTGGGTAAAACGAACAGCCTACGAGGCTTGTCATGCGGGTCCTTTCGAAGATGGATGGTCTGGACACTCGAGGCAACCGACCGCACGCTCGCTCGATCCGTTTGAGACGTCCCTTCAACTCTCGTTGAGGTGAATTCCGTGCTCGTATTAGTCAGGGGTGGCACCCGACTGGTGCTCTGGGCAATAGCCTCGACTGGAGAACTGCCAAAGGCGACGTTTAAGCGTTTGCACAAAACGGGGCGCGAAGGGTACGAACCTCAGTCTGACATCGAAGGAGCCGGCTCGTGGGACAGAGTGAGAACGACGGGATGCGTTGCTACCAGATTGTATCTCAGGCTCTGGGCCGAGAATGAGAGTCCCACTTCGAAACCTTGGAGGGCTCGTCAAAGCGGACCAACAGCCCCAGCGAGTGCTTCCCGGCACAGACGCCTCAAGATGATTCTCTGCACTCTCAGACTGTCCTCGCCCGTGGTGTAATTTCGGCGAGTCAGACCGAAACGAGATTGCTGAAGGGGACCCAGGCACGGAGATAGGTATGAGAGACGGAGAGTCCAAGAGCGTGAATGACGGTTCAGGTCCAGCCGCTATGATACGAATAAGTCAGTCATCCAGAGTAACTCTGTCGTAATGGTATGCGAGCGCTCACCGGATCCGAGAAGTTCGCGGTCTAGGTAACTGTCGCCTGGAGGAGACGTTCTGACCGGAGGCCCCATGATGTGTGTTCCGTCGAACGACTTCGTGTTCGAAGGCGTTGACGCAGAGAATGCACGAGCAAGGGAGATGCTCAGGGACGGATGTCTGGGGTCGAATGACCAGGGCTGCTGCCGGACACCGGAGGTCGAGCGACTGGACGGTTCATGCGTAGACCCTGACGGTCCAGAAACCTCTGAAGAGGGCGTTCGACCCAATCCATCTGGTGTTGGACTTCGGTAAGTCAACAATGGCTCGTCCAAGGGTTCCGGCTGATCCAGAGATAGAGGGTCGTGCAGTGCCGCTGCACGTAACGGCGCTCGGTCCTCTGCAGCGTCTGTAGAGGAAACCCGATTGACACCGGGAATGATCCCCGCGTCTTCCAGTCTAGGTTTTTTCGGCGTTCTGCTCGAACGATAATGTGTACGATGCGCCCAGTTGGGCGTCGAGCCGCGCCAATTGGAGGTGGACTGGCCGTGACGGCTTGCATGTGAACTCGACGGGCCGCCAGCAGAGAGCGCGGCGTCTTGTCGTGGCCCTGAGAGGTGTGGACCGTGGGCAGGGCCGTTGTAGCCCCTTCCGCGCCCGCGGCTGAGAGCGCGCCCTCTCTGAGAGACATGTCCCTGGCGCTGAGAACCTAGGACCGGGCGGGATGAACGAATAGCTGGGACGTGTGTGTTCCCCTTTCGTGCATGGCGCACTTCATTTGACTGTGCATCTTGGCTGTAAGACATATTCCGTGTGCAAGGCTCACATCAAGACGCGACGAATTTTGAGTACCGAGCATTGAGTGCGGTCGTGGAGAGAGGGAGAGGTTCAGTGATCGGTGGCTGGCGCGCTTCAGCCACCGACACTGCACGGGCGCCTATGCATGCCTCCTGCTTTCTTGGGAACGTCGACCTCAACGAACGTTTGGACTTGCTCAGTTTCGTGGCGGCACTGCGGATGTCCCATAGCGCAAAACGCTCTGCCTCGCCCTTACCTCGAGATCTCGACAATATCCGTAGATTCAGGCTCTCTGCACCAAAGAAAGATACCGACAAAAATCAAGGTCATGCTACTACCTCGAATTCAGATCCGCAACAGGGACAAGAAGTCATCTCTCTCTCGCCGTTTCTCCCCCAAACTACAACGCATCAAAATGTCAACGACCTGATTCTGCAGACGGCGGCACGCTTAGCACGAGAAGGCAAACGTTTGACTAGGGCGCCTCAGCTTTTGTGAGTTAGGCGGAGATTCGCATGAATGTTAGCTGTAGCTGAGGCAGAGGCATCGAGGCCTGACGGGATTGCATTCGACTGGTACGTATTAACTCAGCGTTACGTCCAATACTCGCTCAGAACGTATTACACTATAGGGTATCTGATCTCACCGCCCAGGGCGAGAGTTTGAAGTCGCTATTATCCGTGTAGGAAACCAGCCTCCCTCTGGTCCCGCTCGAACTCACCTCGTATCTTTTTAGTCAAGGCATTAGGTCCGCCGACCTTGACAGGGTTCTGTCGCGTGCCGTAACACATACTGGACGAGCCTCGACGCTCGAGCCGCCGAAAGTTGAGCCATCTCATAACGCGCAACTTCGGTTCAACGCCAGCGCCCCGCCAGGGTCTCAGCTTCTGCCGGGGAATGCGTCGAACCCTATTGTCATCGACGAAGACGATGAGCCGGAGATTATAGGCACGAGTGTGCGCATGCCCGACATGACATTGCGGTCGCCGCATGCACAGATGACACAAGTTTTTGCGAGCGGACCATCGTCGGCAACCGATGTGTCAGTCGCTTCAAACTCCCCGACCTCCCCATCTAAGCAACAGGCTCCAGACATCCCTTGTTCGCCCAAACACAATGTTGGGGGCCCATCCAGGCTATCCAGTTACGGCAGTGGAACGCCTGAACGCTCGAGAACCGCTGAGCGTTATGAAAGCGTGGATTCAGATGCAACATCGTTGACGTACGTTCGTTATGCTTTCTTGGAAAGTCAGTCTGCTAATGTCCACCATCGCGTAGCGCTGCCTGCGACCGAGCGTCAGTGGTGACATACGCTTCTCCGCGCCTCGAGCACCGTTCAGCGACCGTTCGCGACCGGGATGACGATCAAACGGAAGAGGGGTACAAGCCGCCACACTCGCCGCACCACGATGGCGCCCTCGCGCTTGGGAACCCATCTGGTTGTATCCGCAAGCCTGCGACCCCATCCAGGCGTCAGCTGGAAAAGCGTCGAGCCGACTATGGGAACTGGGAGAGTCTCGCCGCGGAGTCCAGCGATGCGGAGATGGATGACGTTTATCCGTCGAGCAGGGAGTCCTCTCCGGACAGGGCGTTCCCTCCACAGTCGCTGGGTCGGATTCCCGGACTTGGATTCCTGCCGCAGACATATGATGCTTCCGATCTTGCAACGCAGCACGCGTTTGCGCCCGCCTCTCGGTCCGGTCCCCGTTCGGATAGCGATCCTTCCACCGACGGCCGTGCGCACACACCGCCACCGCCCGTCCCACCCTACACGTCAATTCGCAATGAGCGGAATCGGAACACGCGGCATTCGGACGATGTTGACAGCGACCCTGAAGACTTCGGCGGTCCGCCCAACCGATCAGTTGCAGGGAAGAAATCCATGCAGCGCATGCGCGTGGACTCCAGCAGCGATCACGACGACACCGATGAGGACATGCGTATTGACGTCACATCCAGAGAGGAAGCCCGCTCTCTACGATCACGCACTCACGACAGAAGCCACCGTCGGGCGCGAGTCCGCGCGCCTGTGAGAGGGCCGCAGAGCAGACGCAACGCCTCTCCTGAACCCTCTCGGCATTCCAACCCCGCTCGCCGAGCCCCATCGCGTTCTATCAGCGAGGACATGGGCTCGGATTCGGACCAAGACGAGCCCGATTCCGCGGGTCAAGAGAACCCCACTGGTCATACTGTGGTCATACCGAAAGCTGGGTACGCGCGGGGAAGGCGGCTGTTGGCGCCTCGGAACCAGGATCTCCCCCTCACCACGATCCTCATGCGGGGCGACGCTCACTTCATTGATCAGCGACGGAAGTAGGTGGCTCCTGCGTCTATTCGCCCGCTTTATTGAAACAGTGGCTGTACAGGGCGCGCATAACCCGGTGGTCGCTGCCTGTTGAAGACGACTCCCGGCACGTCGAGGACGCGTGCCTCATAGGCGACCACACAGTTGTCGTCGGCTACAATAAAGGGCCCTGCCAGGTGTCTTTAATTCCCGTGCGGGTGGATCAGGTACGGGATGAGGCGCCTTCCTGATAGACCCAGTGCGGAAGGCCGACTGCTAAAACCCACCCGCAGCGCCCACGCCGTATCGATCTCACCTACAGGGCGCATTCGACCGTGATCGAGAACAGGTTCGCCGGGACGTCCAATCCCAACCCCGGCATCGCATGCCTCGCGCCTGTCGGAGACGAGAGCTTCCTATCAGGTGGTCACGACAAGACGGTCCGCCATTGGAAGTTGACGTGCGAGCACGGCCGGAACGCGCCCCGCCCCACGGCATTTTCCGCGACCTCAGTACGCATCCAAACCCAGCACACCCAGGCCGTCCAGGCGCTCGCGTATTCGTCGTGGAACGACACCGTCTACTCCGCCTCGGGTGACTTCATCGCGGCGACGCGCATCGATGCACGCGCCCCCACAGAGCCCGCCCGCGTCTCGGGAAAGGTCACTCAAGTGCACGTCCACCCGCAGGACCCGCACATCGTCGCCCTCGAGGTAGGTTGTTCGGGACGCGCTATACATTCCGCCCGCGCTCCGATGTCAGCCGCCGCGCCCGGATCAGCTCAGAGCTAACAGATGTGCCGAACAGATCGACCATATGGACTACCAGGTGCACTTCTACGACACGCGCACCCGGGGGTTCGGGCGCAAGCCGTGGCTCGAGTTTGGCTACCGCGCCGCGCCTCCGAAGCCCGGGAGCAGGAGCAGCAGGAGCATCGGGGGCGCGCCGCGGCCCGCGGGGCGCAGCCACAGCAGCATGTCCTCCACGTCCGCGTCCGCACCCGCGTCGTCCGCACCGAAACTGGGGTCGCGGTACATCAGAGGGTCGACCGTGCACAGTCTGTTCGCGCGCGGCTACGCCGATGGGGTCGTCCTCGTCTGGGACCTCCGGAACGGCGCGCAGAAGGTGCGTGTGGCAGCTACCCCCGGCGCCAGCCGGCGGCGTGCGCTGGCTGGCTGGGTATTGCTATTGCCATTGCCTGCCCTTCCCTCTCCCCTCGCGTTCGCGCTCGCTAACTCCGCCCGCGCTTCGCGGCCCTGCAGGAGGTCGTCGAGCGCGCACACTTCAAGCGGCCGGCGGAAGTCGCACACACGGTCCTGGCGGGCACCGACGTGGTCGCCTATGGCGGATACTCGGCGACGTTCTGGAGCACGCTCGGCGGGTAATAGGCTGGCTGCCGCTGGCTGGGATCGGCTGGGCCAGGGCTGAGAATGGGAGGTGCGAGACGCGAGGCGTGTGCATGCGTGGGTGTTTCTGTAAATTGCGCTGCGCGGAATTGAATTCTGGGTTCTGCGCGGGATGCTCTGGCAGCTGGGATGGGAGGAGTCTGATGAGCAGTGCACACTGCAGGCTGCGAATGCGACACGAGCCACGGGACGCGCCTCGCGCCTGCGCGGCCGGTTCTCTTGGAACACTCCTGCCCCGGCACGCCACATGTCGGGAGCGGTTCTATGCTGTTGTGGCATGGGCGTGTATTCTCTCGCGCGCCCGCGCGCGCTGCTGGGCCGCTGCGGCGCGAGATCACGGACGGGCGTGCAAGCTGCATGCAGAAGGGGATCAGGGGCCCCTTCCAGCCTTCGCGCCTTCTCTGCCGGCCACATCACGAACCGTCAGAACGAGCGGGGGGATGCCCTATGCCGGCGCGCGCGGAATGGTCCTCGGAAGACCCGTGTCGAGCGAGAACGGACACCAGTTATCGGCTCGTACGTACGAATTATACAAACGCTGCGCTACAGCGGCGTTTGGACCATCCATGGCGCGACGCCTGGTCCCAGCGTAGATGCATCCAATCCGTAATGTGTATATATCCAAAGTGTCCGTATATGGCCGTCAGATCGTAAATTAAATACTGCTCCGCAGGAATGACGTGCTCTAGTCGGCCTTCTTCCAGCCTCCGAGCTCTATAGCGAACGAGACGGCGAGCTTGGAGAACTCCAGCATGTGCTCGAAGCTGAACTCGTCGGAGATGTCGTAGCGGCTGCAGGGAGGAACACAGAGCCGGTGCGTCAGCGCGCAGAAGGAGAATCGTCGGAGTGCAACTCACTCGTTCGCGCTGTGGATGTTCCCGTGGTTGGAATTCTCGAAGGTGGCCTCTGTATGCATGTGAATGTGCATCCGATAGATGCAACGAAGCGGGCACGAAATGAAAGACACTGCGTGAGCGACGGTAAGCGAGATGAATCGAGCCGGCAGCGCGCACCAATCGTGAAGACACTGGGGTATCCGCCCTTGCGCCACGAGGCACTGAAAGAAGGGAAGAGAGGGTTTCAGCGGGACGGCTGGGCGTTCGGAAGGGTCATTTGGAATCTCACTGGTCACTGCAAGCGTATCCGCACTTCGTCTCCACCCAGGGAATGTCCAGATACAGTTCGACCAGCTTCTTGTTGTATTCCGTCAGGCTGCAGAGATGTGTAGATGATGGTGAGAAACCAAGAACCACAACAAACATAGATTGGAACACCGACTCAGGGTCGACAAAGTCGGTGATAATGCCGACCTGCTCCCGGGTGCCACGCTTGACCCAAGCCGTCATGTCGTACTGGAGGCAATAGCGTCAGATCGCGACGATAGACTGAGATTCAAAAGATAGACCCGAACCTGACTCATGGCAACAACGTTCACATTACGCCCTTCGTAGGCGCGCGCAACCGCTTGCGATCCGAGGAGCCCTCCTTCCTATGACAGACAAGAGCACAGTGTGGTCAATGCAGTCTTCTCCAACTCCGCTACCGTAGAGATGTACCTCGGCAGAATACCAGTGAAATTCCACAGCGCGCTCTGGCCGGAAGCCTGCGGCAACCAACCCGCGGTACGCCTCCAGAATGCTCATGGAACCCGAACCATCATCGTCGGCACCTAAAGGGCCGAGTCAGCCCAGAAGCGTTCTTTGAGCACACGACTAATTTACCGGGGGCAGGGAGGAACGGCCAGCTATTCGTGCTGGAGACGCCAAGGGAATGATCAATACAATGAGCGGTTGCGTCCGGAACGGTACCGAGTCTACCAACCTATCGAGGTGGGCACCGATTACGACCACACCGTCGTCAGTCGGCGATGTGCCGTTGATCCGGACAATCTGGGAAAGTGGCTTCTGAGCATGACCGCGGAGTGGAGTGTAGGAAGAGACTTACGACGCTGCTCTGCGCCCAGGAGTGCGGGAATTCCTGGATGGAAATCTCGTCCTTCAGAGAGTCGGAAGCGAACTTCTCTGTGATCTGAAACACGTTGTGTGAGGCAAGGACGACTGTGAGAGACGTCGGCGGAGTAACCTCAGTGATCTTGCTCAGGAGCCAGCGTTGGCTCTCCTTGCCGGTCTATGCGCAACATATTAGCCGGGACATCGCTGGTGGCGGCAGCAACCTACCTCGCTGCGGTAATCTGGTATATTGTGAGACAAGGTCCCGGCCGGGGATAAGGCAGCACTTACAGCGTGTACGGAAGCTGGTGAACTTGTCGAGGCCATCTCGAAGGTTCTGGATCTCAAGGGTGTCAATGATAGAGCGAACCGCCTGGGTGTTGTTCGGAGCAGGGTAGGATGCTGTCGCTACGTCAACCCAGGAGATAGCAGGTCGCATAAGAGACAACACACGTTTCTGCACGGCCCTAAGGTGGGCGAGAGAGCCCAGATCTGGGGTCTCGGTTCTGTCAAGGGGCAGGGTGAGGTACGTGTTAATGAGGAGCAAATGACCACCTACACGTCGAAGAACTTGATGCCGCGAACCTTCGCTTGAATCTGGAAGGGAGCATTGTGTGAGCGGTGTTCCCGTCGGTGGGCGGAGAAGGCGGTTGACCTTCTCAAGCTCGGTCATCGTGACCGGCTCGTCCTGGCCATCCAACTGGACAAGACGCGGCGCGGAAAGGTCGAGGTCGAAGCCTGGGTAGCTGGTGGGGAAGTCGCTCAGGGGGGACTGTGCATTGTCAAAGAGCGACAAGGGCGTTGCCACGACGGCGGAGACAAGGGCGAGGAGGAGCGCAGCGGTCTTCATCGTTGTGCGAGGAGATGGTGGCAGAACAAGAGACGACGAGGAGGGACAGAGGCTACCCCGCAGTGCCTGCTTTGGGCAACGCGACGCGTGTCAGTGGCCCGTCCGTGACCGAGTTAGCCGGCGCGTCGACCCTAACCCCGCGCTCTCTTTTAGGCGCCGTGGGTGTGCTCTGCGCTGCCGCGGTCGACTCCGGCTCTGTCTTTGCCAGTCCACTCCACCCTCTCCTCACTGTCCTCGGCGATGTCTAAGGCTGCTCTCAATGCTCGGGCGCAGATAATCGTGCGTCGTACACCACGCTATTCTCGTCGTCCTGCTCACATGCCTGCAGCGCCTGCTCATCCCCGCTGGCAAAGCGGCCCCCTCACCGCCGGTCGGTCCTGCGCTCGGTGCCCGCGGTGTGAAGTCCATGGACTTCTGCAAAGAGTTCAACGCGCGGACTGGTCACATAGAGCCTGGCACTCCCATTCCCACATTGATTACCGTCCAGCCTGACCGCACTTTCTCCTTCGTCACAAAGACTCCCCCCACCGCCTACTTCCTCAAGAAAGCCGCGGGGATCGAGAAGGGTACCGGCCGTCCCGGCCATGACTTCGTCGGCACCGTCAGTCTCAAGCACGTCTACGAAATCGCAAAAATAAAGGCGACAGACCAGCACCTCAAGCACCTCCGTCTAGAAGCCATCGCGAGCACCATCGTAGGCACGGCACGGACGATCGGCATCCAGGTCGTAGCGTGAGCAGCTGCGCGCGCAGGTGAGTGTATTCCAACTCAGCGTGTACGTACCCGTTGCTCAACCGTGCCGTACCAACCCCATTGATTATCGTGCATGTTCTGCTTCCAAGAAGTCGCGCTGCCGGAGCCAGGAGCCTGAGGCATGTGCCTGGAATGTGTACATACGTAGACGGACGACACGCCAAGGAGGTTCTGGCCGAATCCCGTAGGGTCTCTACCACTCCATTTGGGCTGCCTTCTGCCATCGGATGCGGGGGGACGCGTGACTGGCGGAGAGAGCCGCCGTGGCTGCTCGTGTCGACCCTCTCTTCGCCCTCCCTTCCGACCGAAGCGCGCATTTGAGCGGAGTAGGATGCGCATTGCATTCATTCCCATTCATTTCCCAAGGTTCACGCTGACTGTGCAGAGTTCGGGGAAGAAGGTTAAGCTCTGATATTATCACACCCTCTTCCGCCTGCGCTGGGCCGCGCCTGCCATCTACTCTCGCCCGTCCCACCGGCCGAGGCCACATTTGCCGTTCCCGTCCAGACGCTTGCAGACGATGAGAACGTCGCGCATCTCGGTTTTGTCATGCCTGCACCCCATTCCTGCACCCGGTTCGAACTTTGATTGCAAGCAGGGAGACCCTTTGTGCTCCATATGGCATCTCTGACACGCTGCGTCCACGCCTGGCCCGCAGCGCTGGGCTTGCCCTCCGCACACCACCTCGTTGCAGCCAACCTGCCAAATCAAGATCGCCTTCGTCCACCTCGTGTGCGCGAGGGCACAGGCGCAAGTACGCTTCGTCCTTGTAAGCTGATGGATATATCCTCCATTTTGACTGTTTTACACAATGGAACGCGTAGGATCCTGATGGGCCTGCGTTGTTCGACGCAACCCGTCCCTTCTTCCTGGCATCGAAGCCCGCCTGCCGTGCGCACTCGTTCTATTGCAGTCTCGAGGACATGATACGGCGCTCACAAGATCCCTCGTGTTCTCTCCCGATCATGTCTGCACGCCCAAAGGAACTTCGGCCCACACACTCCACTGTGCAACGCCCCGGACGACATCGTGAAGCACACTTCTTCCACGGAGACACGTTGGAAATCCTTGTACCCAGCTTTATCTAGCTGCCGCCGCGACCACGTTCCCGATCGAACATCCGCACACATCAGTTGCAGAATCGAAAATTTACCATTTCGCGCGGACGCATATAAAGCACGGGAGGGAATACACCGCGCTCCTCACTCAGCTTCGCCAGGTCTTCCGGTCCTGCACACACTTCCGCTTCCACGCAACCCGTCTTCTTCGCGCCCACTCACGACCATTCTCCGACGATCATGGCGAGCAACGAAGTGCTCTCCTGGACCTCGCAGGACCCCCGCGACAGCCAGTTGTTTGGCAGCTACGGCGTGCTGTACCGCTTCCAGGTAAGCTCGCGCTCCTCCGCTAGCCTCTGCGCCCGCCGCGTCGGTGCTCATCTGCCCCGGCACAGACCGACAGGAACAACCAGGGCCAGACCGTGACGACGCTCTGGCGAGCCATCCGCGCAAACAAAGAGGACCGAGTGGCAAAACTCGAATGGGCGCCTGGCGGAGGGCTCGGACGCGCAGTCATTGGCAAGGTACGCCCCGCGCTGGGGAGATCAGATTGCGTCCAGATCCCGGGCTGATAGTCGCCGCGCGTTCTGCAGAGCACGCTGCCCATGTCCGACCTCGTCCGCATCGATCCCCGCCATTACGTGAGTGTGCGAACGGCCGTGCTCGCGCGAGCGCCACACGACTCACCCGCGTGCCCCGCCCGGTTCCCCCGGCCAGAACTCGAGGGTATTCAACGGCCCAGACGGCTACGAGTATCGATGGCGGCAGACGACCAACACGTACAATGACATCGAGGTGAGAGTGCCTGTCCGCGCTCCGCGCGCAGGGGCCCACATGTTGCGCCCCCGCGCGCGGCGGCGTTGCAATGAGGCCGACCGCACGCTGAGCCATATCGATGATCGTGCAGCTGCTCGACCAGAACGAGAACATAATCGCGTTCTACCGCCCCACACGGCCCCAGCGGTACAACATCGGCGAGGTCTACGGCGAGCTGCACTTTGTCCGCAATGCCGGCGCGGGCGTCGTGGTACGTGCCTCCCCCCTTCTCCCCTCCGTTCCGCCCACCGTTCCGCCGCGGAACCCGGCTGCAATCGATGGATAGCTGATCGCATTTGGACGCACAGATGCACCCCCCGCTCATGGACACCGTAACGGTTACCGCGATGTTGTACCGCTGGGTCGTGGTCTACGGCGGAGGAGCACCATCGTGAGCCGAGGGCCTCACGTCATCGTCGTCCATGCTGCACGCACGACGTGCACTCGCGCCCCGTTCTCCCTACGTACGCCCGTACACCCCCCTCCCACCGCGCCGACCCCGCACCGCGTTCCGCTCCCCGTCCGCACCGCAACCGAAATGTACCATTCTCGCAAAGGCTCACTTTATATCTATATGTCGATGTACAACCTTGTATACTATCCAAGTAGGTCGAGAACCGAAGGACACTTGCTTCGGTACCACAACCGTGGGCCAGCGATCGACCCCGATGTGCCGTAACCGCCTCGATGCACCGTCCTTTGGTTCTCCTCCCCGCGCCCAGTATGGTACAACGCGCGCCATTTCTGGGCAGGAACGACACTAAACAGAAACGAGCCCCTGCCGGACATCTCCCCTTCGGACCCTTCCCCCCTGCGGACCGACCGCCCGCCCGCCCGCCCCGTCCCCCGCTCCCGAGCCTGAGTTCAGAGTTAGAGCTTCGCCTGCGGGGCGCCATCCGCGTCCGGGAGCGCCAGCTCCGGCTTCACAACGTCGAGAATCTTGTCGACGGTGCGCACGACCCACTCCGTGCCCTCGTCGCTCGCGAGCCAGTAGTCCTCCGCGCTGAGCCCGGGCACGTCGCGCGCCTTGAGCAGCCCAAAGACGTGGCTCGTCAGCTGCGGGCCGACGCCGCCCTCCGCCCGCAGGCACGCGGTCCCGACGATCGAGCCCTGCGCGCGGCTCAGGTTGCCCAGCACGGCGTCGCCCCCGGGCAGGGGCGCCAGCACCGCTCCGTACGCCTGTATGATGAATTCTGCGGTCGGGCGCGAGCCGAGCCGAACCGATAGGGTGCGGTCGAGGATGTGCGGAAGAGGGGCGATCGGCGGGCAAGATTAGCGTCTGATAGAACTCGAGCGGTGCAAATCGGACGGGGGGCGAGGAGGGTGCGCAGGGACCGGGAGCGTGCGTGCTGCAGGTGCATCCCGGGGGTGCGGGGTGCCCTGCAGCACGTCTACGGCATCCCGGGCACAAGGGGAGGGAACGGGGAGGCCCGAGGGAGCGGACGCGTTGCATTATGCCCCTGCGGTCCCTGCATTGTTCTGCAGTGCGGGAACGAGCGAGGGGCAAGGTGCGCACGCCCCGGGCACCTCGAGGGACAAGGAACGCGCGGCGGGCGAGACTTACCTATGAAGTCGGGGTGATACGAGCCTAACTTGTTACGAAGTTTTTCCGCATGGGGGGTGTAGATGGTCGCCCACAGCGCCTCGCCGCGCGCTACGATCTCATCGACGTTCTTGCTGTCCACCGTCCTGACAGTAGCAACGGGGCACGCGTCAGCTCAAGCGTCATACAATAGAGCTAGCGTTGTGGGGTTGCGAGGGCGTACCTGACAGACGTCTTCCGCAGCCCGTTCCTGACGTCGTCTTCTATTGTCTCGTGTAGGTTCGCCAAAGAGAGGATCGTCTGCGGGGGCCAGTGGGCGCATATATTCGTTTGTGGGGCACGGTGAGCGCAGCAGATGAGCTATCGTGATATCGACGCGAGAGGACGCGTGCTACTTACGCGTGGTACGCCGACGAAGATGCAGCTCTTCAGCGCGGACTCACGCATGAGTGCGGCCTTGGACAGCGCCTCGTCATATCCGCGACGCGTCGCTGCGTTGTCCAGGTTGTCCCGCGTCGCGAAACGGTACAAGTGACCGATAGTTGGCGGAGCGTTTGCGGTCAGAAGAGTGCACATCTTCACGCGGGGCGTTCAACATGGCAAACGCAGGGTTGATTATTCCCCACAAAGTGAATGACGCGTCAGCGTTCCGTAGTGCGCGTGTGCTGCGGCCATTAGAACGTACCGCAAGTGTGAGCCAGCCCCGCTCAGCCTTCTTCGCCTTCGCATCTTGGAAAGTGCTGGAGAGGACTGCGGTAAGCCGCGGTAGAGAAGGCGTCGGACGCGGTTGAGGTGTGCGCAGCGTCAGCAGCTGCTTCACGGTCGGTGGCAGATGTTTGACCACCATATTGGATTCTACAGTCGTTGTGTAGGGGGGTTGGAAGTAAGGCTCGCCGCAGGCCTCAGTGGTCGTGTCTATGTATATGCACGATCAAGCAGTGACGGAACACGGAGGCTCGCGGAGGGCATCTGCGTTGCATTCGGCCGACCGCATTTCCCTCGGTTTCCACGCCTCGACGGATTTATCGACGCGGTCCGGCAACGCGGTGCAACTAAGGGCGACGCAACTCTGGCAGCGATCGAGCTGAAGCTTACAAAACCAATGCATTCGTGACGATGCTCAGGTGCACTAACAATGCGACAAACAAATATTGTGATAAACGGCACGGCCAGGTAACATCTGGATAAAATCTGCATGCACAGCACCCACGTACGAGCCTCGGAAACTGGCACAACCAGTCCGACTGCTCTAAGAAACCACACCAACACCTATCCAGAGGCACGAGGACCCGGCAAGAAGAGACAAGGGTATAGGTACGAGCAACGGCCATGATACGTCACAGTCGTGAAGTCCGTGACGACCCTCTCCGTATCTGAGACGTGGGTACAATTAGTAGCTGTTGTTGATAACGACGAAGCCGAGATCGGTGGGGGAGCCGTCGGAGTTCTGGAGCATGTTGAGGGTGTTAACACCCTGCAGGTCGTGCATAACACCTATCACAGAAGTTCAGTATATGGCCGACGAATGAAACCTGCTATAAGCTCACCGAAGGGGCAGGCAGCAACCATCCAGTCGGTGTTGTCGATGAATTCGAGGGCTTGGCCCATGAACTGGAAGATCTCCGAAGAGGACGCCTGGGAGCCACCATTGAAGTTCTGAAAATGGAGTCAATACAGTGTCGCGGATGCTATACCGCCGCAAATACCTGGTCGGCGAACTCGGTGAGCATGATGGGGAGACCAAGCTCGTTGTGGTACTGCGTAAGGTACGACTTCAACGTGTCGAAACCAATGTCGTACCAGTGGACGGCCTGGTAGTCAACCTGATGGGAATAAGGTCAATAACACACTACAGTGAAACGGTGAAATGAACAATACCGTGCAACCGTCGCACGCGGCCATGAAGTCCTTCATCCACTGGTGGCCGTTAGGGCGAGACGACATAGCGGGAGAAGCAAGCTTGTATCCCAACGCCGCCTTCGGCTGAATGTGCTGCTTCCACAGGGCGGCTGCAGTCTGGGGATCCATGTTGGACTGTCCCTCCTCGTTAGGCCTATGACGAGGTCAGCAAACCGACATTGCAATGCCAAGAAAAAGCTCACTCGTTGAATCCCAAGATAATCGTACCAAGACCAGGGTTGTTGGCGATCGCAGACTCGAACGCGCTGATCTTGTCGCCGGAGCTACCCCAGAGCATGGGCCAGAATTCATAGCCAAGGCTATCAGCTTTCGAGGGCTTGTCAACACCCCAGTCGTAGATGCTAGTGTTCCCAAATGAGTTATTATGCTCGCTATTTACCGGAAATAAAGAAAGAGTGGAGCGCACCCAACAACGTGGCTGGTCTTGAACTGGGCCAGGGAGGCATCATTGCCGTCACCCCAAGCGACACAGATCTTCGAGCCCTTCTGGCCGAACTTGCCACTGCCAGCAGCACCCGAGCCGCTGCTGCCGCTGGACGCCTTGGTGGTCGTGGCAGGGGCCGCGGCCTTGGTAGTGGTGGTCGCAGCCGGCGCCTTGGTGGTAGTCACCGCCGCGGCCTGGGCCTTCACACTGCTAGTGTGGGGGGTCGTGGAAGGAGCAGCCGAGGACGTGGTAGAGGGGCGAGCCTTGCAACGCTTGGTGTCGCGCTTCTTCTTAGGAAGAGACGCGGCATGACCGAGGTGGCGGTTGTTAAGCTGCTGCATGTGGGCATGAGAGAGCGCGTTCGCCGGCGTAGCCCCGAAGGAGCAGGCCATGATGGCGAGAGAGGACAGAGCGACGAGATTGAGGAGCTTGGAGGCCATTGTGCGCGAAAGAGTGAGCGCAAAAATGAAGGAGGGCGGGAAAGGAGTGTGGGCCCGGGACGTCGAGGAGAGACGGTGCTGGAGGGAGAGGGAAAGGTGCAGATGAAGGGCTCGCGCGGGGAAGAAATTGGTTGCGACGAACGACGCTTAGGTAATCTGCCAAGGGCTCGCACGGACCCGCGTCGGGGCGTCGCAACTGCACCACTCGCGGCGACCGCCGCGCGCATATGGGCCTTCAGTTTCCCCTGTCCGCCAAGGCGGCATGCCCGCTTGAGGCATTGAGCGCGCCCTCGTTGCCCACCCGGCAATCCATGCCCTATACGACGCGCTGCGTGGGCGAATGAACGAGCAATGTGCAATCACGCGCGTTCCTGGTGATCAGCGCTGCAGCGCCTGCAGTATCGACGTCCGTGCTGCAGGGTTTAAAGACGACGGCCGCAGCCTGAGTGCGCTGGCAATCGCCAGCTGCAGGGCCTGCCGCCTGCGTGCAACAACGTGATGATAGATCTGCAGCGTGTTGTGCATCGCCCGTGCCAGAGGCTGATGAGCAGCAGCCATGGCGACGTAATAGGCTATGAGCGGAGTTTGCTGGCGTATCAAAACAAGCCAGCCCCCCGCTCCCGCCCTTTCCTCCCAACCCCCAAGTTTGACACGAAGAAACCGGTTCATCAAGTTCATCCTCACGAAAAACCCACCCGTCCATCCCTCCAAAATGTCCGACGCCGCCCCCGCCGCCCCAGTCACCGAGAACGGCGTGCCTGCGGCTGCGCAAGAGTCCGTCGTCGAAGAGACTCCCGGCTTCAAGGTCCGTCTTCTTTCATCTCTGACGTGGCAGCATGTCCCGACCCCTCTCCCCAGGTATTCGCCGGTAACCTTGCGTACACTACCACGGATGAAGGGCTTAAGGCGTTCTTTGCGCCTGTCCAGAGCGACGTGTGCGTGTTGCAGCTCACCTCCGACGCGCATTCATTCATGCTCACGCGCCACTCACCCTCCCCTCAGCCTGTCCGCTCAGGTCATTATGCGCAGCGGCAACCGCTCCGCTGGCTACGGCTTCGTGTCCCTCACGACCCTCGAGGCTGCCCAGAAGGCTGTCGAACTCCTCGACAAGCAGGAGCTCGACGGCCGCACCGTGATCGTCGAGGTTGCCAAGCCTGCGGAGCAGAAGGACCAAGAGAAGAAGCAGAGGCGTGTCAAGAAGAGGACTGGCCGTCGCGGCAGCAAGTCCGTGCCCGGCGAGGTCAGCGAGGCTGAGGCAAACGGTGAGGCCACCAAGGCCGAGGGCGATGCCCCTGCCACCGGCGACGCGGAGAAGCCCAAGAAGAAGAAGAAGGCTGTAAGTCCTATCCGTAGAGTTTTATGGTGACACGCGATGTTCATATATGCTATCAGCGCAAGCCCAAGCGCAAGACTGGCGCGACCTCGGAGGGCGAGGCGCCTGTCTCCGGCGCGGAGGGTGTTGAGGGTGCTGATGGCGAGAAGAAGCCTCGTCAGCGCAAGCCTCGTGCCCCGCGTACCCCCCGCCCCGCTGGCGAGGACCCCGCCGGCGAGCCGTCTAAGACCGTCCTCTTCGTCGCCAACCTCGGCTTCAACATCGATGACGAGGGCCTCGCCAAGCTCTTCACCGACGAGAACATCAAGGTCAACAGCGCTCGCATCGTTCGCCGTCGCTGGGGGAAGCCCCGCAAGTCGAAGGGCTACGGCTTCGTCGACGTCGGCGACGAGGAGGAGCAGAAGAAGGCCATCGAGGCCCTCCAGGGCAAGGAGGTCGGTGGCCGTGCCATCGCCGTCAAGATCGCCGTCAACACTCTCAACGACGGCGACGGCTCGGACGCTGGTGCCCCCAACGATGCCGCTCCGGCGGAGGAGGAGAAGGCTCCCGAGGCTGCCCCCGCCGTGGCCGCTTAAGTTGCGCCCGGTTCGCAAAGCGGATTCGATGCGTGGTTCCTGCACCAAGGAAAGAGCCTCCTATCCCCGAGAATCCCGTCTACCTATCATGCAGTCCATTTCCCCGCTCTCCCGTTACACCGCAGCGGTCTGGTGCCGTTTTTTCGTTCGTCAACTTGTACTGTCGCTTTGTCAATCTAGCGGCTTTGCACATCCATAACTTAAACGAAAAGCCCATATATTATAACGTAATGCACGAATAGAATGACCGCGATGCCTGTCTGCTCTTGCGTGATGGTTGGATGCCTTCGTGTGCAAATTCGTCAAGCTTAAGCTTTAGCTTCAGGGCCCTCGCTGTCGATCCGGCGACTCGGATGAGTTGTTCGGACGCGTCGCGTGCCTCTATTCGCCACAGACGCGCTTGACATCATCGCTCCCGCGTCCTCTCTATCCATGTAACCACCACCACCTCCCGCCGGACACCCCCACCATGTCCGACGAAGAAGATGACTACCTCTCGGACAAATTCCTCGTCGCTGCTGCCTCCACATCTACGTCCGTCGCGCCCAAGACGTATGCGCAGCGGCGCAAGGAGGCGCAGGCCGCCGCCGCCGCACGGAACGCGGAGAACCGCAAACTGGGTGCGCGTGCGGCGCGCGAGGACGCGTTGAGCCGCAGCCTGTTCGAGCGTGCGCAGGAGGAGGCGCGCGAGAGCGGGCAGCAGAACAAGGCGTTGGCGATGATGATGAAGATGGGCTTCAAACCCGGGCAGGCGCTTGGGAAGGAGGAGGAGGCTAAGGCGAACAAGGGCGAGGATGGGGAGGAGGCAGAGGGGAGTGGCGCGCCCGCGGTGCCTGCGCAGGCATCTGAGCAGGAGGAGGATGAGCCGAGGCGGGCTGGTATAGGTGCTAGACAGAGACCTAAGGTGGACGCGGATGAGGAGGCTGAGAAACCGCAAGCCACCTCCTCAGGCCACCGCATAGTGCCAATCGGAATTAGTGAATGGGAAGGTACGTCCGGCTGCATGTTTCCATACTACATCACATATACCGTGTATACATGTCTCACTTACCGTGGACTGCTCGATCGTCATGAACACAGCTAACCTCGCACCCTCCTGCAGGTAAGAAGGGCATCGGGCTCCGGAAACGAGCCGCGTCCCCCAGCGCGCCGGAGCGGCGCGCGAAGATGGCGAAGATGGCAGAGGACCGCGACCACACGTCCTTCCGCGACCGCGCGCGGGCGGAATACGAGGAACGACGTGCGGTCGGGCAGCTCGGGCCTGCACAACGGACGTGCGCGACGCTCGATGAGAAGGCCGGTATCGAGGTCTGTCTCAGCGTCGGTTAGTTCATCGCGTGCACACGATTTCTGATGCATGCATGTACACAGTTCAACGTGCTCTGGTTGAGCCCGGAGCACCCGGAGACGTTCCCAGAGGGTCTTCTCGATGCGCTCGACGACCCCGTGCTCGTCGCGACCATCCAGCGACAACGCGCGGACCACTCGCTCGAGGGCCGGCTGCGCGCGAAGATGCAGGCCGACGCGCTGCGTCCGCTGAAATCAACGCTCGACGACGTAGATGCAGACGCGGACGATAGTAGCGCGGACAAAGCAGAGCTCCTCAAGGCGCCGTACTCTGAGGAGGATCTCGGAGAGGCACTGCAATTCTTACGGCTGAACGTACGTCTTCCGTCTCCACTTTACCTCACCCTTCGCATGACGCTGACGGCGGACATTGTGCAGCCCCGGGACCGGCTAACGCTCGTACTCGACTACCTGCGGCGCAAGTACACGTACTGCTTCTGGTGCGGCACGCAGTACGACGGACTCGAGGACATGGAGAGCAACTGCCCGGGCGCAGAGGAAGATGCGCACGACTGAGCTCATGGCTCGCCCACCACGACTGATGCGCGTGCGGACAGATATGTGGCACGCCGCACCGCTACGGTGCGTTGGGGAGGTGCACACAGATCGGTTGGTTGGATGGCTGATGCAGCGGCAGACCGCTGCTGGGGTCTTCGCCGTTGTTGTATTTGTGATGCGCGGGGGCGCCGAGTAGCTAGAGAAGCTGTACAGTAGCAGCAGTAGCAGATCACTATAACGACTGTATCCCGGCGCCTGGGCGCGCGAAGCAACTATGATAGGGTGGTTGCGATGTGGGGCGCGCGATCGCGACGCGCGCGCGCGTGTGGTTCTGTGGGGGTACGGGGCGGTGCTATGTACCGGGGGGAATGCAAGACGCCGACGCTAATGCAAGCGGAATAGCATGTACACACAACAGTCCGAGGGTGGTATGGGAGGGGCGCACACCACGAGCGGTGGCGGAGCTCAGGGAGGGGATGGGGGAATCAAAATCAGCGTGGGCGAAAGCAGTACAGGAGATAGCGGAGCGAGCGTGAGCACGAAGAGTGGGTGGCGAGTGGTGTGCGCGGGAGGGGAGGAGGTAAGGACAGGGGCCGGGCGCAGGCCAGCAAATAGGGACTCGAAGGAGTGTGGGTGTAGCGGTAGGGCTTGGGTGGAATGATGGGGCAGGCAGTGTCCGGAGCCAAGAAGCAAAAGTCCACTAGGGGGTATAGCGAGGGAGACTTCCCTTGCACTATCGTACATTAGATGATACGACTTTTACTGAGACCCACCGAGTGGTGATGGAGTTGTAGGATGATGCAGATGCGGATGCAAGATTGGTGGGAGTGGGGAAGGCGGAGGTGAGCGTCGAAACGCTTCATGCAATGGGGGCGACCTGGAGTCGAGCAGCATCGTCCGGGGCGAGCGGCGCGCATACAGCGATGCGCGGAGAGGTAGCCGGGTCGAAATAACGCGACTGCCATGGCGGACTCGAGAGGACGTGCGGCGACTGACCGAGGCGGTACGAGTTGTCTGGAATGGCGTCCATCTCATCTTCCTCGCTATCCGACGACTGAGTCGTAAACGAGGCGGGCGAGAGAAGGGTAGGAAGTGCCGGGATTGTAAGCGGATGCGCCGTGGCGGTCGCAGTCTCGCGGTCTCGCGCAAAAGTGGGAGACGTCGGCGAGTTCTGCGGGGTCTTGCGGCGGACGTAGGAGGAGATAGGGGTGTATGCCATGAGGTCGGCATCGGAGAGCGGGAGGTTTGCTGGACGCCGGGCGCGACGACCGCGGAAGGAGGTGCTTATGGGCGAGAGACGCGGTGACGTCGAGAGGGCCTGTAATGGGTTAGGACAGGCGCAAATGAATCCGAAGATGTTGAGCACTTACTCGAATAGGCCTCTCGTATGTCCTTTCCGCATTGAGGACGGGCATACTTGCCTTCCTCGAATGGCTCTGTGCTACGTCAGTACGTTGTGCGATGCATAATTAAGGGCTCAGGAACGCACGATGGACCCATACGGGGAATATCTGGTGGTGGCCCTCGACCGACGAATGTCGCAGGGCACGTCCCTCTCTGGGGAGCCCTCGTGGGACGAGACGACGATTGCGGGGGACGGGGAGTGCGCGAAAGAATAAATATTGCTGGTGGATGGTGGTACAATGCTTGAAGATGCCGACAAGTGCGAGATAGACGAGGAATGCGAGGACGAGCGCGAGTGGCGGGAAGCAGACTGGCTGGGCTCGGAGGAGTCGGTGGGGTCGCCGAGGCCGAGGGTGGCCATGAGCTCTACGAAGGACGGAAGGGTGGTGGCCATACGGACGGCGGTGGGAGAGAGAGGAAGAGAGGGAGGGTGAAGAAAAAGCCTTGGGGAGGGCCGGATGGGGGAGGCCTGAACAATAGCGGGGGCGGGGAGGGCGCCATGTTATAATGAGGAGGGCGCCTTGGAAACGAGCCGAGAGAAATGGTTGCCATGAGTTGAGGAGATTGGGAGATCGGACTGTCATCGCGCCGCAACCACTACGCCCAACACGCCCCCATTCCCCCGTCCTCTCCCACCTCCCGTCCCTATCCTCCAACAATCTGTCCTCTGTCGCGGGTGCCCGACATATCATCCAATCACCCCGCCCACCCGTGCACACACCAGCGCTCTGGTACCACCCCTCGGCGTCCTGTCTCTCACCTGCTCCTGTATCCACACAACCTGTAGTCACACTGAGACCGCCCGCGTTCTGATGGCGACCGTTGTATTCTCGTCTCCTCGAGTGCCCAAGGGCGGTACAGCAACGACGGTCTCGCGGCCCGCAGCCAACTGAGATGTATCTATCCCTGCGCGCCTCGCCCTCGAGCCGCCACAACTGTTCCATCCCTTGCCGGCCTCCGTCCCCAGCCTGAGCTCTAAGTCGCAGCTGGTTCCTCGTCAGGCTCCTCCCCAACCAACAGCGCCGTACCGCGAAGGCATGATGTGCCAGCCACAGAGGAATGCACCCCGCAGATAGAGTTGCGAAGAGAACAGATCTCGAGCGATGATCTGGGCCGCTGCCAACATGTCCGCATCCTGCGGGACCGGGCCCGGACGTCGCGTCGTTAACGACGGGCCCTGCGCCGCCGTGCAGCGCGCCAATCCGCAGCGAATACCGCAGCTATATCGGGCCCATTCGGACACTGTCGATGACAAAGCTAGCTGCGCAGGGGTGGACAAAGTAGGAGAGCCCAGGCGTGCAAACATAGCATAAGACGCAGCCCGTAAGGGGACCTGGCACACAATTGCAGACAGGCACGTCGTCGTCGACATCACATCAGGCGGGAAGAGCGCGCCGCGGTGCGCACGTGGCATTGAGTCGGGCGCCTGCACCGACGAGCGACAGCCGAGTTTGGTTGTGCATGTGCGACCAAACAAGCTTACACAACTGTCTTCCTGCTACCACCATGAATTCCCAACCGGGCCAGAACTACGGCAGCAACTCGGGCTTCCAGAACGCCCCTGCGCCCCGTCAGGACATGGAGTACCTCTGTGCTGGTGAGTGAACGCGTCGTGTGCAGCGTGTGAGCCACTGCTGACTGTTGCCTGCAGACTGCGGTGCGAAAAACGAAATCAGGTCCCGTGAGCCCATTCGCTGCAGGGAGTGCGGACATCGTATCATGTACAAGAAGAGGACAAACAGGAGTACGTCTCTCTTCCTTCTAGCTTCCGAGCGCGACTGATCTGGTCGGTGTAGTGGTCCAGTTTGAGGCGCGGTGATCTCCGTTGCTGTAGACCTTCCTTCCCTTTCCATCCTCCCTTGGTTCAGATGACGACCTTCCCACCCGCCCTGGCCATTTATCCGATGCTCATCGCAACAACCTGCTCTACTTTGCCGGCCGCCGCGCCATCCAGGAGGGTGCTTTAGGCCCGGGAGAGATCACCAGTCCACATGGTGCCGTCCTGCCGCTCATACCCTCCGCATGTATACTACCGTGACAACGTCATAATGTGCATTAGGTTTGATCATGTGTACACTATGGTATACAAACTACGATGAAAGCGGTAAAGCATGCAAAGGAAAAGAAAGCAGCGGTCCAGTCGTCTTCGACGATCTCATCGTCCCACCTCGATCCGTCGGGCCCCCGGCGGTCATCCTAGCTGCCGATGCGTCTCCTTCTCCTTCCCTTCTTCGGAGGCCGCTAGCCTTCTGGCCCCTCTCCAGCCGACTGACACAGATCGATCTGGGCGTTCTACCACAGGTTCAGGCGCTTGAACCATAGGTTCAGCACGCAGGTCACGACGACCCTGTCGAGAAAGCCCTCGGCGCGTTCCGCCACGCGCAGGATGAGCGCCTCCTGCGTCCACATCGCGATCGTCTTCCCGCGATTCGTGAGATTATCGCTCACGCACTAGAAGACGGGATCACGCGAGACGCCAGGGGCGCAAACGCGGACAGGACAGTCAGCGCAGCGCAGGTGCGTCTCGGAGCGGCCTAGCGCGAAACTCACAATCAAATCCGCGCCGTTCTCCGCAATCTTCCACTTATACTCTGAGCTGTTCACCTTAAATCGCCGGGATCTGCCGTTAAAGGAGACGGACGGAAGGGAGGTCAGAGCCTGTAGCCTGTAGGCTAACGCCTCAGGCCGATCAGCCGCTCACTTGCTCGACGGTTTCTTCGCCTTGCGCAGCTCCCGGATCGATATCTGCGTTATAAAAGCACCGTGGCCGACGCCGGAGGTCAGCATGTCATTGTGTGGAGAGCCTGTGGGAGGGCCTCACCCGCTCGACGCCGAAGTACACGGCGCCGCTAGTATTCGAGTTCCACTCTATCTGCCCTGCGTTCTCCCATAGCTGCGTCTCGAAGTTCTTCCGCTGGAACGTCGTGAGACCGGTGTTGACCCCGGTGTTAGGGTGGTGGAACTGCGCGCACGGACGGTCAGCCACTCATAGAGAGCCGGGGGACAGCAAGCGGGGGCAGACCTTGTACAGCTCGATGAGGGTGTCGGACCCCTCGACGGCCTGGTGTATATTGACGGTGCGGAAGTCGGCATTGGCGTTGTCCGGGTAGACGAAGCGGAGGACGAGATCGGTGGCGGCCATGATCGCGCGCTGCAGGGCTGCCGTCGGGCGGTGGCGCAGGGGCTGAGATAGAGGCCAGATACGAGTGGGAGGGAAAACGAAAACACGGGTGGGCGCAGCCCCCATCCTGCTTTATGGCCGTCCGGACGGGCGCGAGGGCCAGGACCCGTCCTGGTGCCCGCTCTCGCACCTTCTCCCTCCGCACTGCAATCTCCGGGTGCCGGGCGCACGCCGCCACGCAGAGGCAGGCCGGGTGATCTCGCTCGATCTGATTAGCATCAGCGAGCTTAACTCGCGTGGGCGCGCGGGACAGCGTCCCGGGCGCAGGACGAGGCAGGAAGCCGCAGGGGGTGCACCGCAGAAGCCTCCTCGGGCCCCGTACTCTGGGTGCGTGACGTAGCGGCCTTGCGCAGGGTTCGCGCGTTTGGAGTGCGCGGACATGCGTCGAGGGCGGGCGCGTGGGTCGGAGCGCGGGGAGAAGCAGGGTGCTGCACACTGCGGGGGTGCGCGCACCCGCAGGCTCAGGCTCGACCTCGGGTGCGTTTGCCGGCAGGTGTCCGATGCCGGTGAGGATGCAGGATGAATGGCCGTGCGCGATCGCGCGCAAGGCTTGGAGAAACTGTATATGGCATTCGGGCGATGAGCAGCGTCGGAGGGGATAGGCACTGGAAGGCACTGAAGGACGCGCCTTATCGATGTGGCAGCCCACACGACGGTGTGGCCGTGGGGGCCAGGGGTCTGGGTAAATTATCGCATGCGGACCTCCGCGGCCATGACGGTCGATGAAACAGAGCTAAAGTGAATTCGAGGGTGTGCGAGGCCCTCCTACCGTCATCGGCACAACTGTTGCGTGAGCAGCGGGATAGCCGAGGCGGAGGAAGAGTTCTCGGAGGGCAGATATGAGAGCCTCGGATATGCCACAAATGTGGAAACACGGAGTATCCAGCGCATTACACCCGCTTTTAATTCTCGTACAAACCCCGTTTCAAAATCCGAGGACGGCTCCGTATAGACGCGCGTGGCCTCGCGTCGCACTCGGAACATGCTGTATCTCTCCCAGCACTGACAGCTTGACACGTATAATCGAGGGAGAGACCGTGGGTGTTGCTATAGGCTCGAGGGGACGCCTCGTTACTTTGCCAAGACATGGCACAAATGCTGAAATGAAGTTGTGCCAATACTTATCTGCCTCGCGGGCGAAGCGATGCCAAACCACGTCACCTGCCAGGTCTAGAAGGCAAGTCCTTCCAGCCTGATGAGCAACGTATGAGCAATATTCCCTCCCGCAATATAGATAATATGCCTTGTGATAATACCTGACCCCAGTCTCCTAGAACCAGAAGCAGCCAGCCGCGTACTTCTGCCACCGACTCCCTCGTCATGGGCTTACGTGGCCAGCTGAGCCCACAGCTCTCGCCACGACGAAGCCAGGCTCCGAAACAACACAAAACGCCCTCGAACACCACGGCATCCGGACGTTGTTGCCCACAGATGAGATCCGCGTGTCACGCTAGGACCGCCGCACCTTCTCCTTCCGGAACGCCGGGGTCCACCCAAGAAGCTGATAATGCGCAGGCCTAAGTCAAACAGAGTGCGTCCTTCCCAGGCGGCGGCGGACTGTATTGCGGTGCCAGTACGTATAGCTGAGACGTCGGAGGTCCGAGAGAAGCCGCGAAGAGCCAGCACGGCGGCTGTGATGCAGCGTGACTTACGCAAGTGCGCATTCTAGAACGGGACTGCTCCGCGACGCTGCGCTTGCACTGGGCCATCTCGTCTTTGTGCGCCGTAAGAGGGAATTTCCGCCGCCTGGGGGACATGGGTTCTAGGGAATGAGCGTCATGAGTGTGCCGGATGAACAGCAGGTCAGCGAGCCTCTTGATATGGGATTTCCGAGACACGTCTGTCCGCCGAGAGCAGAGGAGAAGCCCGCGGAAGTGACGTCGGTTGCAGATTTATGTACGGCAATCCACCCGACGAGCAACGCTGCAGACAGGCGGTGAGGGTCCTTGTACGAGACATACGTACTATGACTCAAGACGGTGTGGCGAGCTGTCGAGATCGGACAGGACGAGTCGAGGAGCGAAGAGAGATGGGGTCCCAGAGCGGGTCTCGGACGCTGCAGGCCAGAGATAATGAGCGCGTTTCGGAGGCCACGACTCTGCAGAAGACGCAGTGACCGAAATGAGCGGATCGTAGTAGGAAGCAACAGCAGGCGTCACGGTTGCGCTCGCCGACGTAATGCGCCACAACGGCTGCGACATGCCGCGGCATCATAACTTACCAACAAGTCCGAGTCCCCCGTAATTTCAAACAGTGTTCGCGTAATCGCGGTCCGATGCACCAGAGACAACCAAAATCATATCGTTGAGGAGCCGTACTGGCAAGCTTCGCGCATGCTCATGATCAGGCCCGGCGCGCCCATGGGCCAGTGCATACGGGGCATAATATTGTTGTACAGTTGTCATGGAATTACACGAGGACCAGGCCCTGAGGATAAGAAATCAAACAACCTAGAGACCGTCGACGTGTATTGACAGTCACGGCAGGACTCCCGACCGCATCGTCTTTAACACCGTTGGGAGTCCGGGACGTCCCATACCCCGACCATGTATTTTCCCAGCTTGTTCCACCGCGTCTGTAGAACCCGCGCTGTTAGCCATCCCGGCAAGGTCGAGGAACAGCGGGGGCAACGTACCCTCCATTGACATTCGCTGGGACTAGCATACAGCACGTCACGTACGATCGCAGGCGTGGTTTCGCACATGACCTGTTGGTCGTCGCCATCGCGGACATTCTCGAGGGGAGATTCGAAGCGCTTCGAATGAATATTAATCATGAGTAACTTGCACGCGGCGGTGCATTAGCCGACGAAGACTCACTAGTAAACCTTGCACGCTGGGGGTACATCCCTGACGCATAGCACATTTTGAGTGCCATCCTGGATCAGAGGAGAGGTCTGAGATTCGACCTACCTTGTCCTCGAACCAGCCCCAGCCCGTCATACAGTTGGGTTCGCCGGTGTTCACGTACCACGTTCCGACGATGTCTCCTCCGTCCTGTAGACGTAGTACGCATTAGCACGGCGATGGCGAATATGAATGCTGTCCATCACTTACATTCCGCTCGCATGTGTCTGGATCAGTCAAGTTGCGCCCACCTGAGATCGTCACAGGCGGCATGTTGTAGCACACCTCCCGCCAGCTCAAGTCCCCGGGCACGTCCTTGAGGTTCGCGTAGTACGCGCGCGTCCCGTACGCACGGCAATGTGGGTCCCCGTGCGGGTCCTTCCAGTACACGCCCTCGCTCCGTCGCCTCAGCTCCAAACGATGGCGCGCCTCTTCCTCCCGTTGCTGCTGCCAGTCTTCCAGCTCCTTCTTGTGCTCTTCACGCCCACGCTTCCAGCCCGCGGCCTCGTCCTCGTATTCGGCGTGCTCGCGCTTCCACGTTTCGAGCTCAGTCTGATGTTCCGCTCGCTCTTTCTTCCATTGTTGCCGCAGGGCGGCCTTGTCTGCAGCGGAAACACTATCGTTGAGCGGGCAACGCACGAGACCGGCGTTCTGGCAGACCAAGAGGACGAAGGCGATTGTGCCGATGCCCCAGAGCAGGAGACGAACCCCTCGACGCATGTTGCCTTGGAGGATCTTCTTCGACAACAGGGATGTGCGTTCGCTGATGGAGTTTGTCAATGGCTGTGAGCGAATGGGGATGTAGGCGGGCTGGTCACGATTCATGGGAGTGAACGACAAGGGGGGGGGGGTCTCGGGTACGTCCCTGTAATCCAAGTACAGCTTGAAGGTGCCTCTACCACGAGGCGTAAGCTCAAGGTTCGTTGAAGAAACGCCCGGCGCGGATCCAGGCGCTCCTTCATCCGGGGAAGACGGTAGTATATTTCTCGCAGCTCCCCCCAGACATGCCCGAGGGAGCTCCACAAGAAACCGACAGCCGTAAATAGTTGTATCTGGAATTTGTATACGAAAGAGCACGATAGTGACAGCAACAGAGCAAGACGAGTACGAAAGGCATGTGACGAGAAATACAATCCGAGTCGCAGGATATAGTTGATGGTCGTAGAGAGCGTAACGCACGTTTCGGCGAGGTTCTTCGGAGGCGGTAAAGATTCAACAAGTCTCGTCAGGGTAGTCCCAGAGACCGACAACGCCGCCACCGAGGCTTCCCTATATAACGTTTGAGCACAGACGGCGACATATGAACCGCATGTGCAAACCTTGTTCTGGCATGATGTAGGGTGCTCAAAAGATGCATCCTTGAACGTAGCAGGGGTTGTGCTGCACATCTTCTCCCAGTCATCACCCGCACGTATCCCCCACAGACGGCCTTGTAGGCGCTATTACGAGCAAGTTGTCAGCAGCGAGCTTTGTGGAATGATGATTTGATAGCTACCCGCATGCCGAGCACTCCCGGTGCGCAGCCCTGAGTGAAGCGATCAAAAGCTATATACGGATAGATGGTGAGTGAACATACTTTGTCTGATATGCCATCCCAGTAAGGCACACATGTAGGTTCGTTGAAGTTGACGAACCAGGTTCCAAGAACGGTCCCATTGTCCTAGCTTCGTATCAGATATGACGCTCATATATGCGCCCAGACAGGTCAGTGACTCACATTGCGCTCGCATTTGTCGGGTCTGTCAATCGTGCGAGTATGGATAACCACCGGCATGTCTGAGCAAACCTCCAGCCAGTTGAGAGACTGAGGGACATCCTTCAACACCGCGGTGTATCGTTTGGTGCTGTATGCGGTGCACTGGGCGCTGGCCTCCGGCTCGGTCCAGTAGACCCCTTTGCGTCGCATCTCGATGTCCTTGCGACGGCGCTCTTCATCCTTCCGTTCGCGTTGCCACTTCTTGCGCTGTCCTTCCCATCGCCGCGTCTCCTGGTTGTATTGCTCCTTTTCGATGGCCCAGCTGCGACGCGCTTCTACGATGTCGGCATCGGATGGGCAGCTCGAGCGCGAATTGCGCATGAAGATGGCGCCGAGAAACAGCACGAGCAGCAGCGGGAGGCCTATGAGAGTGACGAGTCGTATGCGGCGAGGTGAAAAGCTGGTCCAGTTTGGCCGGTGTGCCCTGGGATTGTCTGGAAGATGGCTCCCTTCGAGCAAAGGTTCCCGATCTTCCCCATCGACGCTGGGCGGTGGTCTTCGCGAGGTGAGACGACCTAGGTGAGTACTGGACCGTAAAAACAAGCTCAGATGCGTACAAGATGTCCGGGTAGTAGCCAGGCGGAGACTCTGGAGGGTAAGTCAAGTCTACCGAGGGTTCAGACGCATCGGTCTCCGGCTCATCGCCAGCTCTATTGGCACGATCGCGCTTTGGCAAGTCGTCCATGCTGACAGAGCTTTCTTCTCCTTGGACTACGCGCATCTCGAGTACGTGAAGAAGTCCTGGCGAGGTGACCTTCAAGGGAGGAGGATACACGAATATTCAACCGCGCACGTAGACGCAGGCGGCTCGGATTTAGGTTCGACACTGCGGTAGCCCAAGCTTCTCTTCGGTACAAGCCGGCGGCTCGACAGGGTATGAACGTGGCTATCCTTGAGCACATCTCCTAGAGTTGAGTATGTCCTGTTCGTAGTATTGGTGGGAGGTGGTGGTCACAGAGAAAGAGCACCCGCGGTGAGCATCAGCCTAGAGCATCGACGATCGGGAGGAGTGGATCTGACTGTGTGCAGCACAGCTGATAACGGGCGCGTAATCGTAGTCTCGTTCCCACACCTTCCGGCGCTTGAGCTCGCACGCCAGAAGGTCTGGTGCATTTCGGGCCAGATTTCGGCCATCGTGACGGGCGGGTCACGGCTGGTTGGGCGCGCTCCTGCAGGGGTTCCCCGCCACCGTTTTTTGTGATTCGTGCTCAGAACGATACCTAGTACCCCACTGTTCCTGCATGCCGACATTCGCTGAGCTTGGGTAGATTTTGAGTGTTTAGCAGGACACCTGAAATGGGGGCATTTTGGGCGCTTCTGAGCGCGTAAGCACTCTTACGCGCTCCTCTCAGCCTCACGCAGAAGACTTATAGCGCTGTGTTGGTCAAAAACGGCGGGAATCCCCCGCGTAAAATCACCAATGGACTCTAAAAGTGCTTCAACGTGCCCCATCATGTTTCTGTTGTGTCGAATGCGCGAGAGATGCCCAGAATGCCTGCGTCACATAAGGTAACAATTGTGACGTAACGTCACGAAGCCTGAAATCGAGCCCGAAATGCACCAGACGTTCTACAAGGCTCTCTCCCCGGCGCTAACAAAACCTGCGTGAGAAATTTCAGAAGTGCGCTTGCAATCTCATTGGCTCCCGCAATCCACGAGCTCCTGAGCGCAGCGAAGGGTTTGTTAGCGCCGCAGAGAGCCTGTAGAACGTCTGGAGCCGAGACTAGCGTAATCGTATACCCCGCGTTAACCTCCCCAGATAAGTTCCCTGCACAAGGCACCCAGTCGGCGCAAGGCTATATCTCCCCGCACTCCTCTCTTCATCCCATACCACGACCTGACCGCGGACGCAGCACGGGCAGCATACTCGTTAACACGTTCAGCGCGCATCGCCAGGCTCTTCATTCCACCATGCTTTCGACCGTACCGTCTTCTTGCTCCATCTTGCCTTCTTTGCGCCGTCTCGCCTCCGCGCCCGGGACTTGGTCGGTATCTCCACGCACACACGCGGCGGCGCGCCATGCCCGGAGGACGTTCGCGACGCATGCAGAGGTATGTGCAACGCGCGTGTCGCGTGAGACCGCCTAGTCTGACTTGCAACCTTAGGACACCTTCCGCATCCCGCTCATTGACTTCAGCAAGTATCGTAATGCGAGCTCTACCGCGGAGAAGGAACAGACTGCGCATGATATTGTGCGCGGCTTTACCGAAGTGGGGTTCATCTACCTGAAAGACCACGGTATACCCCAAGAGACGGTGCAGCAGGCTTTCCAGAAGGTGAGCGGCACACTCGAGTGTTACTTGCACCCATACCCACGCGCTTACCGCTCCATAGAGCGCAGAGTTCTTCGCGCTCCCATTCGAGAAGAAATCCGAGCTCGCCTGGCGCGATCCACGTGCGAACCGCGGGTTCGTGCAGGTCGGCCGCGAGCGCGTAACGCAGTCCGCCGACGCCGAGGAGATCAAGAAGCTGCGCGAGAAGGCGCCCGACTACAAAGAGACCATGGAGATTGGGCGCGACTGGGACGCGACGTACAAGAACTACTGGCCCGCAGAGGGCGACGCGCCGGGCTTCCGGCGCACGATGCTCGACTTCTTCCAGACGTGCCATGAGCTGCACACGCTTGTTATGCGCTCGATTGCGCTCGGGCTGAAGTTGGACGAGACGTTCTTTGACGACAAGATCCATGAGCAGTACCACAACTTGCGGCTGCTGTCTTATCCGCCTATCAAGACCCAGCTTCTGAGCGGCGATGGCCAGGCGCGTGCGGGCGCGCACTCGGACTATGGTACTTTGACGCTGCTGTTCCAGGACTCGGTATGTGTCCCAGCCCAAGGCATGAAGTCTTAATCTGACAGTTCGATACAGGTTGGTGGGCTCGAGGTGCAGAACCCCCATACTGGACAGTTCCAACCCGCTACCCCTATTGTGCGTGGTTTCCCATTCTGCTCTGTGTCCATTTCACTTACTCGTTTCACAGCCTGGAACGATTGTGATCAACGCGGGTGACCTGCTCGCGCGCTGGAGTAACGATGTGTTGCGTTCGACGCTTCACCGCGTCGTCGCGCCTCCGGCGAAGGCGATCAGCGAGACCGAGCAGATCACCCCCGCGCGGCAGTCGATCGCGTTCTTCTGCAACCCGAACCAGGGCGCGGAGATCGAGTGCCTCCCTACCTGCCTTGTCCCCGGCAGCAAGCCCAAGTACCCGCCGGTGACGACGGAGGAGTACATCGTAGGGCGGTTACAGGCGACTTATGTCTAGGCGCTTCGGGGTCAGGGCGGTCGGAATTCGTTTCACCCTCTCTTGGATGTATATATTTGCTGTGCTTATATGTTGTATACGGATGTTTTCCTTGGGCCTCATGCATCATGTGGAGATCTTGGTGGGAATGAGCGTTTCCGGAACCCGCGCACAGGGCCCGACGCGATGCGTGACAGACCACGTGCTGGGTGTAACGCATTTGGAGTGCAGGCGCGCGACGCTCTGTGTCTCCTCGATCTCGACTCAACATTATCCCATTATATGCTAGCCAGCTGCAGGTACGCTACTTGGAACTGACGTGCACTCTTCATACGAAAGGTTGTACAAGTGATTGTACTGACTGAACTGCGCATATAGCTGCTTTTACTCAGGCACCGCTCACAAAACTGCGTGTCACTTCGCTCGAGACAAGCATCGAGTATCTGCCAAATCCACGTATCTCTCGGTGAATATACTCGTCCGGTATAAAAAAACAACCCTGATCAACTCTGTGTTCTCAACAATTCACGAGAGACATCTTTCGCCATGGCCGTGCATATGAGCACCGTCATCTCGCGCGAGCTAGGCCACATCACCGAGTACCTCTCGAAACTACAGCCGATTCTCTCTCAACACCCTCTCTTATACACTATCTCTGTGTCCCAGAACACTCGCAGCTCTGATCTCTCCACACTCGTCACGTCACTAAAAGGTCTTTCGCGCGGCTCGGTTGGATGCCTCTCTGCCGCAATACCCTCTGCGGGCCCCCCTTCCTGGCGACAACACACTTCGGTATCTCTTGCGGCTTTTGACGAAAAATGTGCCACAATATTTCGCAGCACTATCCCAGGGCGGAAGGCCACTCAAGTCGGTCGGTGGCATGCCATGCATAAGGACGTCCAGCCAGACCCTGACGAGCCTGCCCACGACACGGATGGCATGCCAAACTGGGACACCGCGCTGTCACAAGCATACGACGGGCAGGCTCTTCCCGCTGAACTCGAGTCGTTGCGGTCGGTCCACCCATATGATGTCCCAAGCATCGCAATACTGACGATGTTCTCTCAGCGCCGATGACGTGCACAGCATCCTATACTTTAGCGACAACGCGCCAGAAGGCCTCACAAGCTCCCTGTCCAAGTTCGGTTCCGCAACAAAAGTACGCGGCTCCGGAGACTCAGTACATGAATGCGCGGCTCACGGTTTCGCATCATGTAGCTAGGGCTGATCGGCACTTCGACACCCTTCGTGACGGGGAGGCCATACACGCTCTTCCACAACGACAGGATACACTCCGATGGGGCCGTCGGCGTTTGCCTCTCTTCAGGCACGCGGCCCACTACCTACAGCGTATTCCCCGGACTCGAGGCAATTACACGCCCGATGATTGTGACCAGGTAAGGTCAGCTCCCGGGCTTTGAGGAACCTCAATTAAAGTATCGGTGTCCTACAGCTCCGAAGGAAACTTGGTCAACTCGCTCGACAACGCAAACCCGTCCGGGCTGCTCCTACACGCCCTCAAGAACCACCCGGCGGTCGCTGGAACCGCGCAGGGCATCTCGCCAGAGCTACGTCTGTACATTGGGACACTGCAGCAGAAAGCGGGCGGACACGAGGTGGGCTTGCATGCAGATATGCGCAAATCGTCCGGCGCTGACTGCAGTGGACAAAAGCTGGTTAGGCTTTCCTACATCATGTCTGGGGACCCGTCGCGGGGGTCCATTGCGCTCGACACCGACGCGGCGCCTGCAGAGGGCGCTCTTGTGCAGGTAGGAGTTTCGGCCACACATATCTATCTCCAAGGGCCTAACGGCGGGTTGTAGATGTTCCTCCTTCCTCCGTCGGCGTCTCCGGACGTCCTGGGCGAGGTTCAAAAATACAGCGGGACCACAGGGCCTCGCCTCGCTTTCGCCTCGACATCGCTCGACGAAGCGGAAGCGCGTTCTCTCTCGGAGGAGATTGAGGACAATGGGGCCACCGTTCTCGAGGATACATTCCTCGCGGCGTCGGAAAACGGCTGCATCGTCAGTCGATCCGCAGAGGGAGAGAGCGAGCGCCCGTGGAAATGCGCCGTCCCTGGAGCGACGATGGGTCTGCAGTGGGCTGCGTAGAGGATACATATCGCTTTGTTTTATTGTAACACAGTAATAACACCCGGCCACCGCTCATCACAATCACGTTTTCATCCACACTCGAGCTCTAGTTCCGTCCATTGAACCACAGAGCCTGCCAAATCGGGGTAGCCACACTCGCTTAGGCGTCGATTCAGTAGACTGCGCCGCGGGCGCTAAAGCACAATACTTATACGCCGCTACTTGCACCCGACCACCACTCGCCTATCTGATACCCCCACTTCGCACCTGTGCCACCGCATACGACGCTCACGACGCCATGAACCGCATCTTTGGATCCTCCTCGTCCAAGAAGCCCAGACCCACACTTCAGGATGCCATCTCTTCGGTCAGTCTACCTGCTTTCAGCCACCACGCGCCCGGCGGGACGCTCACGCTCATGCGTACGCGTGCCCCTTCCAGACGGACACTAGGATAGGCTCCATCGAGGTGAAGATCAAGAAGCTCGACGGAGAGCTCGCGCGGTACAAGGAGCAGATGGCGCGCCTGCGGAACGGCCCTGGCAAGGTGCGCCCTCACCCTGTTCTTGTGGCTCACCATGGGCTAATCACCGCCTCTCCCTACGCTCTTTCGTGTGCACTAGAACGCGATCCAAGAGCGCGCGCTGCGAACGCTCCGCCAGAAGCGCATGTACGAGGCGCAACTCGCACAACTGACGCAACAGACCTTCAACATGGAGAGCGCGGCGCTCGCGACGGAGAACCTGCGGAACACGATGGCGACCGTCGACGCGATGCAGCTCGCGAACAAGGAGATGCGCAAGCAGTACGGCAAGATCGACATTGACAAGATCGAGGTGCGTGCCGCTTTATAACGCCTGATGCATGAGCGCGGGCCTGATGTGAGGTGGGGCGCTTGTAGAACATTCACTATGATATGGAGGACCTGCTGGAGCAGGCGAACGAGATCCAGGAGACGCTGGGGCGGTCATACGCCGTGCCGGATGAGATCGACGAGGCGGATTTGCAAGCGGGTGAGTGGTTTTGTGTATTGTGTTTAGCTTGACGTGCTGACACATTCTGTAGAACTTGATGCGTTGGAGCTGGACGTAGAGGAGAATGGCCCGTCGTATCTAGACGACCTGAACAAGGTCCCGGACTTCGTGGACGAGGCACCGGTGGAGTTGCCAGAGGTACGTTCCATGCTTGTACCAACGCCCGCATGCTGTTCACGAACTATGCAGGTGCCGGAGCAGAAGGAGGCGGTCAAGACGTCGGCCTAAACTCTGATGAACACTCTTGGATGCCCTCACGGTCTCTGTATTATCCGCATTGTAACAACACATATATCCAAGGTGAATGTATACTAGCTCTACAGATGCCGGTGAGGCATGTGGTATTGGATTCAGGTCTCCCGAAACGTGACCTGAACAACCACAAGTCCGGTAACAATGACGGAGGCCATCATCAGCATGACTTGACATCGCCACTTGTGTAGGTCCGCAACTGTAGCAGGAATGCGTTTGTTGCAGTTCGCAGAGGCGAGCAATGGAGAAAGACTCACAAGGCTCAAACCCGTCTCTCCACTGCCAGAATGCGCCGAGTATCCACAACGGAAAACAGAACAATCCCAGGATGAAGCAAATCCTTTCCGGAGGCCACTTGCACGGGTCGTCGGGGCTGATACCCATGTGCTCCGACTTGTCTATTCGTGGTGCGCCGTTCCGGTCAAGATGCTGCAGCCATACCACATCAGTTGCGGGCACTATAGTCGCGGGTATTCAGTACGCACCGTGGAGAATTGATCAATGGACCCTGGCCAACGCCATTTATGCCCATGCTCCGGCGTGTCCTTCATGGCCGCGGTAAGTCCACTGCCCACGACCCATGCTGAAGAATATCGGACCCACCTGCGAAGCGGGTCGTTTCGATAGAGACTGCTCGCGCGCTGTCCCTCTCTCCGCTGCATCTAGGGCGGGCATGCTGGCAGGAGTAAGAAGAACAGGTCGAGTGCGGGCATGGGAGGAGAGGGCCTCGAGGCAAAGGGACAACAACCGGAGGCTTCTCTGGCGCTGGGCCCGCTTTGTACCCAGGGCCGTGTTCGGGGCTTCGGGGACGTCACACACAGGGGCACCCCGCGTCCCAAACAGGCTCGGGATCGAGACCGCGGTCAGCTTCCGCGCGCGTGCCTCTCACACCCTCCCGCGACGTGGGACTCGGGAGCACAGCGTGCGCCGGGGCCGCGGCGATAATTCCTGCTTTGGGGTGCTTCCGGGCTTGCTGTCAGCGAAGCTCACCTGCGATCGCGATGTGGCCTAACACATGTCTCCTTGTTTGACGTCGCAGTGTGGACGCGGAGCCGCTCGCGTGTGATGCGAGTAGAGAAATCCATTTGCATAGCACTGTAGAGTAACACGCGACAGAAACGGTCAGCCGTAGCGCTTCTCAGTGTCGTCCTCGTCCGCGAACCAGTCCTGCGCTTTCCGCGTGTCCTCAGCAGAGGCAATGTTGACGATCGTCGACTTGCTCTGCGTGTCTGCGAAAGCGGCGGAGTCAGCGCAGATCTTCGTATGAGGTTGACACATTACGCACAAGCCTCGAACGCCTCGAGACCATTTTCCCGACCAATGCCACTCTCCTTCATCCCACCCCTGAACGCACGTCAGCCAGTGTTACACAGAGAGAGATGGCGGCGTACCATGGCGAGCTGGGGTCGTTACGGTGATGCGCGTTGACCCAGACTAGCCCAGCCTCGATGCGCGCAGACACACGGTGCGCCCTCGACAGGTCCTGCGTCCACACCCCCGCGCCAAGACCGTACTTGCAGCCGTTCGCAAGGTCGATGCCCTCCTGCTCAGACTACGTGCCGTGAAGATTAGTTGCGCACCCATGTGACGGAGAGGAAGACTTACGGAGAAGCGTTTGACGACAACGACCGGGCCGAAGATCTCCTCCCGCCACAGGTCGTCTTCGGTCGGCACGTCTGTGATGACCGTCGGCGGGAAGAACGCCCCTTGTGAAAGGTCATATCCGTCGAGGGGCGACGGCCCTGTCATGCGCTGGCCGCCAGCGAGGACCGTGCCGACCCCGCGCTGCACCATACCCTGTATGCGCTCGAGCTGGCGCAGCGAAATTATCGTGCCCATCGTCGACTTCGGGTTCAGCGCTGCGGCGGAGGGGCAAACGTGAGCGGGGCGCAAAACGGGCAGGCTTAACTGAACGCACGGTCGCCCATCCTGCGCGTGATGCTCTCGACCTTGCGCATGAAGCCGTCCATGAACTCGTCGTATATGTCGTCCTGCACGAGCAGCCGCGTGCCCGAGACGCACGTCTGGCCGGAGGCGACGAAGCACGCGAAGGCCGCGCCGTTCACCGCGGACTCCACGTCCGCGTCGCCGAATACGACGATAGGAGCTTTGCCGCCCAGCTCGGCCGTGTAATGCGCTAAGTTTCCGCCGACGATCTGGCCTATTGCCCTACCGGTGTCCGTTCCTGCCTATATTATTATAATATTATTATAGGTGAGGCCCCTCTATGTGCCCCGCGACCTGGGCAATGGACTTACTGTAATGTCGACCTTCCTAATCGCAGGGTCTGAGACTAGTGACTTCCCGACTGTACGTCCATACCCCGGTAATACCTGCAACACCCCGGCGGGCACTGAGTCATGAAATGGGAACTCTGGCCCGCTGATACGTGAGACAACTAAAACGCACCTCCGGCAGCAATGGCCATCTCAGCGAACTCGAGCACGCTGATGGGTGCCAACTCGCTTGGCTTAACGATGACGGAGTTACCTGCGGCGAGCGCAGGTGCTATCTTCTTGACCGCGATGAGCAGTGGATGGTTAAAGGGCTACAGCACCTGGGTTAACTAATGCATTTCGGAGGCTTGAGGAATACTCACAGTAATCTGAGCGACGACGCCAAGGGGTATGCGCTGCACATAGTTAAGCAGCTGTCCTTGTGTTGGCGCAACGTACGCATTGTGCGTCCGCAGAACCGCTGCATAGTAGTCTCTGCACATCCCGTTAGCCCCGAGGCATACCCGTCGGCCAAACGTTAGACTCACAACCATTCCGGCAGCCGCCCCAACTTATTCACCGAGCGAACGTCAGCGTTCGCGCCCCAGCAGCACAGCGAAGCAGACGTGTACGCACCTGAGCCTTCATCTCGCGCACCGCCCGCCCAGTCTGCGCCGTCTCCACCTTCGCGAGTTCCGGAACGCGCTCTTCCAGGTCGCGTGCGAGGTTGGACAGCACCATCGCGCGCTCTGATGCCGGCGCGCGCGACCACACGCCCGCCTGGAATATCTCGTGCGCGCTGAACACCGCGCTCTGCACGTCCTCCTGCGACGCCGACACAATCCTGCGGACGCGGGTGGGTGCTTAGCGCGCCGCGTAGGAAGGAATGTGGGGAGAACCCTAGGGAGTACATACGTGGATATATGCTCGCCATTGGCGGGGTTGGTCACCATAATTCTGAAGGTCCAAGCGTAAGCAAGAAGCAGAAGTCTAGCAGACTAAACACGCACTCTTCACGACCGTTCGCCTCTGGCATAGGCCCGTCCCGTACCGTATGTAACGCGAAAGGGCCATAGCGCGGCCTAAATAAAGGCTTCGCCTATCGCAAGAGGCACGATACCAGTCAGTACGCTACAGCGCGATCCGCCACCGCCGTCACCGTCATGGTGGGGTGTTCCCGTTGACGTACCATGCGAACAGAGCTTGGTGTCTTTACGCGCATGTTGCCTACGCGTCGAAAGAAACAGTATTACAGACTATCTTGGATGGCCACAGCGCAGACTAGAGCAGACCTTCAAGAAGTTGCAGGAGTAGAGTGGCGGTATGAAGCACGCCGCGAAGCGCCCATTCACGTCGCGCGTAACCTCCGGTAGAGGGCCGACGCGCCTCGAGCTTCTAACACTACTAGAGATACTTACTTGTGCTTAGGCACGCGGCCACTAGGAAGACCTAGGCTGATAAGAAAACACTACAGTCTAGCCTTTACAATGGTCGACATGATATCGTGTATCCTGCCGAAGATCCGTGCATAAAATGTGTAAAGCTACATGCATGTGGTAGATATCCATCACGACAAGAAACCCCTGATCGCGCCTCCAACGTTCTGCACATCCAACCTAGACGCGTGACAAGGGTTAGTGAACGCCCACCGACAGCAGGCGATGTCGAAAGACTCACAAGAACGTATCGTGGCCCCAAACGCCGCCGAGCTCGTAGTAGCTCACCATCTGGTTTCCCGTGATCCTCAGTGCATCCGCTACCTCACGCTGCTGCTCCACGGGGAATAGGATGTCGCTCTGCACTCCTAGGATGAGCACTGGCGTGTTCGCCAGCGGCCGCAAGCCGTCCGCGAGCTCGGGGAGATGCAATGGCGGGTTCGGCGGTGGTGGGTGGCTCTTCGAGTGCGACAGCAGATGGTGATACTGCGAGTGCGCCGGCGATGAAGGGTGCGCGGAGAGGCTTGGAGGCAGGGGTGGCGGCCCCGCGCGGGGGGCGGGCGACGCGAGGCGGAGCTCAGCCAGCGCAGGCCCTGTCATGTCAAAGAGGTCCATGGCCTTCGAGATGTAGATGAGCGAGTTCGCGTCGTACTTGAGGCAGAACTCCTCGCCTTGGTGGTCGAGATACGTCTCGATCTGGAAGTCCGGGCAGAGCGCGGGTGTGCGCGGACGGTCGGGAGCTGTGGCCGCGTCGTCGGGGAGCTTGCGCAACTTGCGCCCAAAGCGCAGGTCCCACTCCGGCCCGGAGCGGTATGTGATAGTCGCGATTTCTGCAACAAATGAGTATATGCGCGGGCGAGGAAGGCGAACAAGGGACGCACGTCGCGCGAGCTTCATGCCTGTATGCGGAGGCAAGCCGTCATAGTAGAAGCCCTTTTTCCAATTGGGATCTGCCATAAGGACTACGGGCCTCGTTGAGTCAGTGCTCTTTACGCCAGGCCGTAGATCGAACTCACCACTGCGCTGCGCGAAACGCATAGCAATCGCGCTAGGGCTGCTGCGCGCCGTCCCGCTGATGCTCACCACCTTGCCCACTCGTTCCGGATAGAGCCAGCCCGCCGCCAGACTCTGCATGGCGCCCATGGAGGAGCCCACACTCGCGTACAAGGCATCGATACCGAGATGGTCGAGCAAGCAAAACTGTGCGCGGACCATGTCGAAGATGGAGAGGACGGGGAAGCGCGTGGCGTAAGGCTCGCCTGTCGCAGCGTCGATCGAGGAGGGTCCTGTCGAGCCGTAGCAGCCACCGAGTACGTTCGTGCAGATGATGAAAAACTGGTTGGTGTCGAGTGCTTTGCCAGGGCCTATGAACTTCTCCCACCATCCGTCCGCGGGGTTCAGGTCGGTAGACGCAGCATGCGAAGACGCAGAGAGCCCGGTGTGGAGCAGAATCACGTTGTCCTTCCGCGGTGAAAGCGTACCCCAGGTTTCGTAGGCGATGTCGAAGGCGGGTAGAGGATCGGTGTAGACAAGAGGCAGCGGAGACTGGTGGCGGTACACCTTGTACGTCGTTGGGTTGGGCCTGGCATAGGGTGGCTCCGGTCCAGACGAGGTAGATGCTGATGAGGATGAGGAGCGAGAGGTGATTATACGAGACTCCCGAGCAGCGTGCGCGTCGACACAAGGGAAGTGGGGGCGCTCATGGGGAGGGTTGGAGGGTCCAGGTGCGCTGCATTGGGACGCTGCTCGTATGGGATGGGAGCGGTACGCGCGCGCAGAGGGCTTGCTGAGTAGCCTGAGAGCTTTTGGTGTGGACTTTCCGACGTTCATCGCGCAAAGGGTCCGGTGGGAGATGGTAAGATGGGGGCACTTGGGAGAGCGTGTGGGGGTTAAAAGGAGGACTCCCTGCGGATGGGGAGAAACCAGAGGAGCGCTATTCGCCGCTAAGCGAGCACGGAGATGACGAAGACAGCGGGCGCGGCGTTGTGGGCGACATCTCTCAAATTCGCCAGCCACCTGTGGTGGTCGGTGGCCAACCCATTTTTGGCGATGGCGACAGAATTCGCCACTCTTGCCCGCACGTGACCGTGTATACTCGCGTCGCGTCGCGCCGCCGGCGTCTCCGAGCTCGCGCACTTCGTACCCACGTTGTTCGCAAACGCGATGGACCACAGAGACTCATGTATGTCCCAGAATTGCGAAGTATACGCACCATACCATTAAGCATACCCAAATGGACGGCCACCAACTAGCCTTGATAGATCCGGTACTGCCGGACCAGCTGCCAGTACTTGGAGATGTTCGTAGATGAAGCACTTCGCGCTCGACCTGAAAGCCGACATACGCGACCGCGCGCCAGGTACGTACCGACTGATCCATGATAGTCTGCAGGCAAGGTTTCATATACGTCGTCATATTCAGGGTCCATGCATGCCAGCCCTTAGACCTTATATTTGGCAGTGAAGTAAACACAGGAGACGCGCCGCCACAACAGGCGACAATTTGCCGTCTGCTGGACCTCCAACTTCCCGTCCTCGAGTGACTCTGTGCAGCAGCCAGTGCAGCAGAGGAACAGCCCAAATACGTGCCTGTTGTGGTACGATGCACCCAGCAGACGTACATGCGATCGCAGTGCAAAGGCGCACAGAACGCTGGAAGCATGAGTACATAGCACCCTGTGCTGCGTACCCCTGAGATGCCCCGGATTCACGGCCGGACGTATGAATAGACGCGTGCTTACCGTCAGCGAACAGCGAGCGAGAGACGTCTCATTATGCCCGACAGCCGTCATGCATTGCATGTTCTGCGGCGTCCGAGTGTTCAAAAGACGAGAGGACGTAGAGCGCAGTTCTCGAGGCGAGTCCCCCGCTCGAACACAGCGCCACAATGGAATTTCCCACGGTTGTGCTACTCCCCAATCCGGCGTCCTCGCCCGCCCCCGCCGACGTCCATGCCATCCATTTTCACAAACCTCTCCCGTTCTTTCTCATCCACCGCTCTCTACGACGCTCCCCAGTGTTGAATGTATCGCCTCTCGTTTCTCACCAACTCGCTCGAACCATGGCTGACGCCGAATCAACCATCACCGACTCGTCTCTCGCTCCCTCAACAACCCCGACATCTCTCCTCGACCCCGGTACACGCTCTGTGCACATGGCCGAACGCCCCGATAAGTGCGAACGGAGGGCGAGCCTAGGTTTGATGGACGCGGCACGCGTGCGATTTTCCAAGGATGTGAGTTCTGAACACGCCCCCTGCGCGTCCATCTACATAGTCCGCGTCGTGCGTCGTGCCTAACACGTGTTGACCGCCTGTCCGTGTATCCTTCAGTTCTACTCCCTCCTCCGCTCGAACAGCAAGTCGCGCCAGATCCACACAGTCCTCTCAACTCAGGTGCGTTGCATCTCTGATCGGCTCTTGTTACATCTTTGGGCATGCTCTGACGCTTGTGCTGGGGCACGTTGTCTTCCAGACGGAAGATCCCGAGAACCAACGTAGCGTGTATACGGACTATGTCAAGCTCTCCGCACACGCTGTAGACGAAGGGCAAAGCATGGAGGACCCAGCCGAAGAGCGACCTGGGAGAGGGTTCGGTGCAAGGGTGCGTATAGCCGGCTCGCGTTTCCTCACCGATCGGTGCTGACGGCGGTTTGCCATGCTTTCGCAACATGGCTTTTCGCGTCCCTCCTGCGCAGATCGTCAACTTTTTGAGTCGCTCGCGATCCCGCTCACGCTCGAAGAAACGCCGCTCGCGCTCGCTGGACGCTATCGTCGATCCTATGCCGACAACTCTGCACACCGCCTCACTGCGCTTACACGCGCGCCATTCTAGTCTTGAGCCCGACATCGATGCCCCGGTTGCAGGCCCTTCGCGACCTATGACAAGGTCACCTTCACGACCTTTGTCTGGCACTACATCGCCCATCCCGACCTCCAACAAGACGCGTTCAAAGAGACCCGAACATATCACGGTCCCCAGGACGGGACCCACTGCTACCGCTGAGCTCGTAGCGCAACTCCTCCCCATGGAACCTAGCAAGTCCACGTCTTCAAGAAAGGGAAAGTCGTTCAATATCTTCGGGATGCTGCTCTCTAGCCCTCGCAAGAGCTCGTTCGGCGAATCCGCGAGGGGGAGGTCGCGACCGACGACGCCGTCCGCCGCCGCACCCGCAGCATCAGACCCTGTATGGCACGGAAGTGACGACCCTGCTTGGGCGGGGAAGTCTGGGTCGCAACGCTCACACCGAAGCACTCGGAAGGGCGTCGCCGTGCATGTGGACGAAGTCACTAATGGTCAGGGCCTGACGTCTTGCATGCCTTCGGACTACGGCAAGAGCTCTGCCCTCCCGGGGCTTGTCGCTCCACAACCACGCCGTGCCCCGGTCCATGTGCTCAGTTCCTCTCCACCTATGTCCCGGGGTGGGTACTTGCGGTCGGACCCCGACGAAGACGATCAGGCTGCACGGATGAGCGTCATGGAGGGCCGGTGTTCCCCGCTGTGCGGATTGGTTGGCGGCTCTTCCAAGGGGTCGCACACATCTCAGGAGAAGGGCAAGGAGAGGGAGAAGGCACGCAGCAGGTCCCGGGAGGCCGAAAGAGGGCCCGACCGGCGGGAGAAAGAGAAGGAGAAGGCGCGGGAACAGCGGCGGGACCTGGCTATTCGGGAGAAAGACCGCGAGCACATCACCCACCCGCGGAGGGTGGGCTCGCCCCTCTCCAGGGAACGACCGCGTGAGTCTCACCAGCCCACGCACCTATCGGCCGTACCTTTGGAGAAGACGACGAGCAACCGCAGTACGGGCAGCAAGAGAGAGAGAGCTAAGGGGTTTGATCTGATCTATTGACGTCGAACAGCGGGAGCAAAGACCCCCATGGGCATGCGCACCCGCGATCGGGTGCCGACCGACTGGCGGCGCACACAAAGCGCAGCAAGCACGGCAGCTTTGACTTTGAGCGGCCGATGTCCGCAGGCGTCGGTGGCGGGAACGCGGGCGTGAGCGTGAAGACCGCGCTGCGAACGATGGGCGTCGGAGGGCCGCCGCAGCACACCATGCAGAGGACTCTGAGCGCGCGAGGGCCTTCGCGAAGAGGCACGGACGAATCATCCGAGCCTGCCTTCGCACCTTCGTCTCTTCCCCACTCACGCGCGATCCTCGACAAGGGCAAGGGCAGGCCACCGGCGGATGTTCACTTCGCGGACCCGCCCTCTCGGCGCACAACAGATAACTCGCAGTCTAGCTCGGGTCACCGGCATGGCCACTCGCAGTCGACCTCATTACCGAACCGCGGCGGTCTCGCCGCTCCGAGCCACCATCGCGACGCCGTCGTCCCTGCATCTCCCATCTCGTCGCACTCGGGCAGCGAGTCCCAACATGGGCGTGATGGGAGCTGGGGTCGCAATAACGGAAAACGCATGGCGCGCGGATCGCATGGCCCATTCAAGTTCGAGCCTGCCATGCCGCCGATACCTGGCTCACCTGCGGATAATGAGCGGCGCGCCGCCGCACGCGAAGCCGCGCGCCCGGAATCTCCGCTCTCCAACCCTCCGCCATCGCGGTCGCAGCAGGCACGAGCTGCAGGGAAGGGCCGTTCACTCGACCTTGGTCTCGGCTTGACATGGGCGCCGTCTCGGGTGCGGGAAGAGGCGGTGCTCAAAGTCGGTCCTCGGAATCTGGGCATGAGCGCGAGCACCACGGCTGCGCGATCGAAGTCAAGGTGGCGGGGCGCAGATGAGGAGGGTAGGTTGACTGTGGGGGCTGCGTCGGACGTTGCAGTGGCCTTCAAGGAGGCGCTTGGAGACTCGGCGTACGGCATTTTCAAAACATGTCAGTCGTCTAATCCTCTATACTGTGTGCGGGCGTCGCTCACGCTAATGTTGTCCCGCAGACGTACACCGCTTCGACGCGAACGCGATCCCGCTGGACGGGCCGTACGGGCTGCTCGCGCATATTGAGCGGCTGCTCGACGGCGCCCCCGGCGTAGACCACCGGCGGAAGCGCATACTCCTGGACAAGTTCCTGCGCGTCGTGCAGGACTCTGAGAACCGATGAACTCGCTGGGACTCACCTCGTCTCCTGTCATGTGTTTATGCTCCCCTTCCTCCCTTTACGTCGGGCTCTTCATTTCGGGCCTGCTGGATCTGCTTCGTACCTCGCCCACGACCCACGGCGTTCCGAGCACGTAACGTATAGTCTAATTGTTGCCCCGCTCACGCCGTTCTCCACGTTTCCTGCCATCACGTTCCCCCCACGCCCCTGGAAGATCCTCGCTCACGCCTTCTCTCATAACTCACGCCTCGCCGATGCTGCATATGCTCTCGATCTATGATGTGCCTACTTCCCCCGGTTCTCTCGTGCTCTACTTCACTTCGCTCTGTACTTCTTACCCACACTATACGCCCGCATTCTTCGTGTACACCAACCCGGTTCGGTTTTTCTGGCATCTGGAATTCCCCTGCATCGCGCCCCTTCACGATTAGCTACATTAATTGTGCCTTGAATGTTGTCAACGCCTTGTAATTCGCCATGCATACGTCTCCGACCTTACGCGCTCGCTCCTGATGATATCCTAATTTCTTCCCATATCCTGTTCCTGTGTTGTGTTCGCTCCTCGAGGGGGCGATCCGAAGTAATACATACCGTGATAGTACATTAACGAGGTATACAAGCTGCGCGAACGAACGAGCATCTAGTCCAACATTGCGATCTCTCCGCGGGTGGGCCACGCCGACATCATATGGACGTTTACGTCGCGGGCCGCAGCGCGCGCAGGCGCGCCGCGAGCGAGTCGTCCTCCTCGCCGATCTTCTCCTTCGCGATCTCGACGTGCGGCGCCTCCTGCGAGGGCGAGACGAGGTCGTGCTGCAGCTCGATGTTCGCCTCCTCCGCGGTCTGCTTCATGAGCGCGTCGACCTCGTCCTGCGGCGTGGACGTCGCGGTCGTGTTCGACATGGTCTCCTCCATGTACGACGTCTGCACGTCGAGGTCGGAGAACTGCGACTCGAACTTGTCCATCACCACCGATATCTGCGAACACAGGTACCGCCGTCAGGCACAGAAAACGGGAGGGTGAGAGAAATGATTAAGGGGGGACGTACCCGCTCGAGGTTCATGCTCTCCATCGCCTTGTCCATCCCCTTCACCACGGACGCCATGTTCCCCGAGACCTGGCGCATCGTGACCGCGGTCTCGACCCTGCTGGACACGGCATCGACGCGGCTCGAGAGCCGCAGCAGGTTCAGCGATTCGTTCTTCTTCCGGATCGCGTTCGCGGCGTATATCCGTGCGCCATCGGCGTTCCCCTGCTGCAGGGCCTGGTGCACGCTGTGCTCAGCGGCCGCGCGCGGAGGCGTGTAGAGACAGGGACGCACCTTCTTCAGCTTCGCCTTCTCCACGTTCTCATCCTTCTGTGCTTTCTTTGCCTGGCGGTTCAGCGTCTTTGCGGTGAACTGTGGCGCGGGGCGGGGTTATTGCGAAGGTCATGCAAGTGGTACAGCTCAGGGTGCGGACCTTCAACTGGAACAGGGTCTCTGCGGGAGGTCAGCGTAAGAGACAAGGAGTACTTGAGACCCACTCACTCTCAAGGTTACTCATGGTGGTCGCGGGGTTGAGGCAAGGTGTGTACAGCCGCCGCGTCCAGGGACCCGCTGGGCGATACGCGCAGTGGCGCCCTCTCGCCAAGAAAGGAAAGGCGCGCAAGGGACCAGATAATCTTGAGCGTCTAGTTGTGTACTCCGCGATCTGTGGACGATGTGATACTTGGACACACAACACCACCACGTTCATTTGGGTAAGATGGCAGAACGCGTTGCAGGGGAGCCTTCTTCTTGCCTGGGAACTCTTAAATGGCTGTCAGAGGAATACCATGGTATGTCATTTTGATTAAGAAAACTGTGACTGGAGTGGCTGATGACGGAAACGCACAGAATTGAACGGTGCACAATATGACATCCTGGAGGGTTTCCCGTCCCCGTTGGAATTTTCCCGACTCATCCGTATAGGACGTCCAGTGCTCATTAGGGGTACGCCGTTGCATAACGCAATTATAGGCCTTGATCTGACATGTCTCAAAGATACCGCGATCCCGGACGCTCGAGACAGTCAAATCTGGTCCAAAGAGTGGATCAGCAACAAGATGGGCGACAGAGAGATATCGGTTGCTGTTACACCCAATGGGTACACACTGCAGGTCTTCCATCAGCTTCTGCGTCTCACACCGCACCTACAGTCGCGCGGACGCTGTGACTTCTGGGCCGCACAACCAACGATACTTCGCGGAACCCCATACGGAGCAGATGACCATGGAATCCTTCCTTGAGACGCTCTCTTCAGGTTAGGTGCGATTCAACAGAGTTATCAAACGATATCATGAACCTGACCGCGTGCAATTGGACATGCAGACGGCTTCGATGGTGAACACTCCGGCGGGGAGGTGCACTACCTGCAGTCGCAAAACGGGAACCTCTTCACGAACCGCTACTTCGATCTGAGCGGCGGAGAGGACCCCTCCGAGTTCGAGCCCCTGCGGGATCATGTTCCCAGTGAGGTCCCATGGTGTAGCGATGCGCTAGGTATGGCATATAGTTCTCTCAGCCACCACGTCCTCCAACGTCTCCCTTTACAGACAAAGTACCCGACGCTGTCAACCTATGGATCGGCGACGAGAAGAGCGTGACCAGCATACACAGCGGTGCGTCCCCGCCTCGGCACAGACCGCTTCTCCCGTTCTCACATACGTTAAACATAGACCCTTATGAGAACGTGTATACCGTAATCCGAGGCTCGAAGCACTTCACGCTGCTCCCACCGACCGAAGGCTGGTGCCTGAAAGGTCCGTATACCAAGCCCTGCCACGGTCCCGTTATCCAACTCAATCGCACCTTTGATGTGCACCCGCAGAGCGCCGCTATCCGCACGCCACATACGTTCGGACCTCTACGACGTCCCAATTGGACCTCGTCCGGTCGCCCGCCGACACGCCGCTGGTCCGCTGGTCGTCCGTAACCGACCCCACTGCACCCGGAGCGTTGCCCTCGGGCGCGCACCCTATCCATGTCACGGTGCGCGCCGGGGAAACCCTGTATCTTCCGGCAGGTTGGTGGCATTACGTGCGCCAGCGAGGGTTCACGGTGGCGGTGAACTACTGGTACGACATGGAAGGCAGGGGGATGTCATGGGTGTGGCTCAACTTCCTGCGGGGCACCGAGGAGCCCCCACTCGGAAATGCGATTGTTGAGGAGGATGCGAAGCAGTAGGGTGCGGGTGCGATGTCTGTACAGACTAGGAGATCCCGTATGCGTATTTGGACGGTTGCCTGCGGATGCTACCACGGGACGCTTGGGCGGGAGTGGCGGCCGTGTCAATGTCATGACACCCAGGGAGGACTTGGACCCGGGAGGTGCGTTTGCCTAGAAGCGGCAACAGTGACTGGCCTGAGCATCTGCTGCGGAAATGGAAAGCATCTGCTATATATGTTGCGCTATCCCTTATCAAGCCCTCTGTGCGGTGATGGGAGGGTATGCACCGCTCGCTCTGATAGAACGTTGCACATGTTCTCCCGCGAACGTTCGTCGGCCTCGGACGTGTGAGGGTGCTAAGACCTGTCGGGAAATATCGCAATTTATCAAACGTCTGATCTTTGTCAGGAGGCTCGGGGAGGACGAGAATGAGCACACTTGTGGCACACCTGAACGACGAGGCACGCACCGGTACTAGTAATCTGTCACCGGCGTCGTTCGAAGTGTCAAACAGGTGCAGCGGCAGTCTGGCAGAATCAAAGCCTACAAGACTAATGCCCATACACTCGGAATGAACGGGCGACCATACCTGCAATCTGGGACATCTGCTCTGTCGAGGCACCCGGCGGCAAGTAATAGGCAGCGATTCGTGTGTACTGCGGGGTATACGTGCGAAACTCCTCCATCCGGACGTGCGACGATCCAAGCAGTGCCGAAGGCCCGTAGGTTGAGCCGTAATAGAGTACCACGTCGGTCACAGCCAACGTACACCGCGGACGCCCAGGAAGCTCGGAGAGTCACCTGAATGCGATCGAAGAAAATCCCATGCAGACACCACGAGTGGACTGAATGGCACTGAACAGCTGAGATACGTACTCTTTAAACGGCATAAAGCGCCGCAGAAGGAAGCGGCGACCCAGCACACGGACCGCCGGTTGGGAAATAGCTGTATATGGGGGAGGTACGGCCGCACTGGGCCCGCTCATAGAGGCTACCTGCTAACCCTCAAACGTATGCGTTTCGACCCTCCCAGAGGAGGCTCTTCGACTACGATGCCGACCCGGCCAACTACGCAGAAATGCGGCCATCTGTACGTGGACAAGGACGCACCTAGACTGGAAGACGGCACGGTCGAGACACGGCACCTTCGTGGCGTCGTACAATGGGAACCTCTTGTCCAGAAGACGTAGGTCTTTATCTACACCCAGGCGGTCAACTGACCATGGACGAGCGACTGGATCGCGCCCAGCTGTCGGATCATGAGAACCACCGTAGAGTTTCTACAGTACACCAAACCCTATATACGTGGACGGCCCCCGCTGGATTGTTGCGCGGCGAGAAGGCCAGCAGTCGCCTCAGATGATGAGAACCTGTGCACTCCTGCCAGAGCAGTGTTTGGGGGTTATGAAAATCGTTTCCCACCGGAATTCGACAGAGTGACCGAAGGGGGGCTACGGCCGCGAGAAGGAAGTATGGATGAGAAAGATGTGAGCAGCTGCGCACTCACGATTCTGTGCCGGTATGGACGGCGGCATCGGGGAGGCCGGAGAGGGCTAGTCCTCGCACGTTCCTGCTCGCTCGCACTGGGGAAACTTGGTGATCAGCTGGCGGCCTGCGCACATGCGAAGGTACTGAAGGCCAGTATGGCGGCCTGCACAATGGTGCGGGGCTGATGGGAACGTCAGAAGCAATGGAAGGCAGGTATAGCGTGCTGGACGCGCCCGGTTTGCATCATAGACCCTGCTTGTCACGCCGGGGCACGCCGTTCATGGATTGGTGTTGGACATGCTCAGACACGCCGTGCGCGAGATGCGTGGCTGGAAGCGGGTGCAGATCATTGTGGCGACGGTGGGCTGAGCGATGACGGAGGCTTACGGGATACAGGCGTGAAATTGCACAGTGTACGCTGTTGGAATATGCAGTATGGAAAAGGACTTGCCGCGGCGTTGGGACATGGACGTGCCGCAGAGGTCACGTATGGTCGTGGATCAAAGATCGAGAGTCCAGGGAACATCAGAAGACGGGCCGACTCTGTGCGCGCAGCTCTATGCCTCTTCTAGACTTATCCGAGACGTGGCAGGCCTAGGTTGTCGGCGAGAAATAATGAAGAGCGGCGGGCGTCGAGGAGGAAGACGAGCGGGCGGCCGACGGAGGGCGCCGCGGCGGTGAGGACGATAAAGGCACAGAGGCCGACGCCGCTGAAATTAAATAAGCGGATCTTGTTGATGCGGACGTCGCGTAGATAAGCCCCAATCGGGAAACGCGCCCGGTATTTACACGCGCCAAATTAAAGCAGAACCGGGCGCCTACGGGGAGCAGGATGTCCTTCGCATTTTGGATCTTTGCCGGGTCGCATCTAGCTGCCCGGCAGGGCTTCTCCTCTCCCTAGTACTTACCCTCTTCCGGTTTCTCCCCCCTCCCCCATCTCTTCCCCGAACCCCCACCACGGCTCGCGCCGCCCTCTCTTTGCCACCTTACGCCCGTGCCCCTATCCTCCCACCCGTATGAGCGACGCCGAGAGTGTAACAATCTCCCTGCTGCCCGTCTCCCTTTCGCTCGTCCATCTACCTCGTTCACGGCTCGAGCATTTTACGCAGCATGTTCTCCGCCAAATTCTCCAACCTACCCCTGTGTTCCTCAACGTAACATGTAACGAGGTCGAAGTCAGCTTGTTCGCCGAGTATGATACTCTCCAGGAGTTCCACAAGGCCGCTAGGAAGGATGCGCGTCGTGTGCGCCAGCGTGATCGCGAATCTCGTACGGACGCCAACTCTTCCCCCCGACGAGCGAAGCGCACCAAAGAGGACTGGGAGCCCGTCGAGGTCACCTCCGAGCGGTGGAAAGTGCTACAAATAGACTCTCACTCTGACTGCCTAGGTGCGTGGAGCGTGCTCCCTATGCTATGGTCTTCCCATTGACTGTTCCGGTCTATGTCCCCCCGTACAGACAACTCCGGCGCTAGAGTTCATGAGCTCTCTGCACCGCTAGCCGCCGCTGGGATTTCGATCCTGTACCAGTCCTCGTACATGAGTGACTTCATCTTCGTGAGTAGCATCCATATTCTCCGGGTTAGCAGTAACTGCGCTTCTGCGATGCAACCGCTGCTGCGTGTTCAGTGTCACGCGTGCAGTACGTAAATAGGTATCACCCTTCTGGCTTCTCACCACCCTTGTTTCTTATCTGTATTCAGACGCGTTTGCCACGATGGAGCTCATTACACATTGGAGACGCCTGTCCCCAGTGTGTCAAGCTCGTTTTACGCAATCGTGCGCTTTGCCGTCGAAGCTGTACTCATACGTCTTGCTTCACAGGTCAAGGAAGAACGCCTCGCCGAAGTCATGTCTTTGCTGGGTTCCGCAGGATTTGATCTGTACCTCTCCGATCCCTCCAACCTAACGGCCCAGATCTCGACGTTCGCGTCGCCCTTGATCTCGCCAACTGGCGAAGACGAGCCGCCTATCGGCATGATTGACTTGAACACTTTCCAGGGCACAGGGCGCAGCGACAGTGGAATCATCTTCACTCGGTCCAGGAGCAACACCAGCGGCACGACGAGTAGCTCAAGCTCGCGGTCGCAGGAGCTTCTCCATCGCACATCTACACCGCCCGACGATCCCCGGAGTCCGTTAACACCGGAGGACACTCCTCGTGCGGACCCGACGGGCGCTCCCCCCGCCCGCCCAGCGCGCAGCCGCACCCTCTCGCACTCTCCTTCGGCATGCGACGTCCGCGTGCTCTCGCCCGACATTACGTGTGTAGGCCTCTCCGACGATAGTGCGGACACATGGTCCCTCAAAATCATCAAGCTGGTCGCCTTCCCCGAGCTCATCGTGGGCTCAGTGGACGTGTCTCGACGCGCATCAGAGAGGCGAGCACGCTCTGCCCATCCGCAATCTCCCTCCATGCTCCCTGCGCTACCGGAAGAGCAATTCCGGGTACTTTCCCTAAGCGAAGGCGAGGTCGGAAGTGGGAGTGATACCACCACGCGTGTCGCGCCCGAGTCACCGAAAAAGGACCCGTTAGGGGACGACCTTCTCCCTGAGGACGAACGCGACGAAACTCACGACACCTTCGATGACGATGATTCGAGTGACGATGAGGACGGAACACGTCGTCGGCGCCCCCGACTCCCGCACTTGGATACTCTGCGCACGGTCCACGCCCCTTCGAAGAGTGTGACGCCCAGTCCTCGCTCCCGCTCTACGTCCTCGTCGTCAAGCGAGTCCGCACCCCCACCCCTGGTGCCCTTCTTCTCCTTCACACGTACGCCTGAGGGGTCATCTCTCGCCGCTCCCGTCTCTCTGCTAGCGACGCTATTCCCGGCCAGCGAGCGGCACATGGTCATGTGCAGCCAGGAGCTGGACGTACTAGATTCGCGCAACGCATCCCCGGAGAGATGGGAGGAAGACGAGGAAGGCAGCGTCGATGACGACGCGGATGGAGCTTTGCCGGAGCCTGATGGCACGCTCAAGTGTCTCCAGATTGACCTGAGGAAGTTCGGGCTCGGTGCGTCTTCACTTTGAAGCAGAACTCAGAGCGTCTGCTTATCATGATGTGCAGAGAAACACGGTCTAGTCAACCGTTTCTCGCGGACGCTAGAAGACAACGGGATCAACCACATGTACAGCTCCACGTACAAGACTGCGAACCTCTTGGTCGACAAGGCGCACGCGAGCCGTGCGCAGGCGCTGCTGCGCTCGTGCTAGATACCTCCGCACAGTTCATGACATCCCGATCTCGCTCACTTGGCCATTCCTGTCCTTATGTCTGGCCGATTTGGAAGCAAAACGACACGCGACGACACCCGCCGCTGCACCTACGACAGTCTTGAACTATACCCCGTGACATTGTGTACAACACTCCTCCATGCTTGTCGCCTCGCCTCACCAGCCTCTCCTCTCCCATCATACGACACGGTCACTCGCCTCATTCACACCCTCATCCGGTCCTTGCCCATGCAACAGCAGATATCTTCACATTTCTGATGCACGCGCCCATCTTCCCCCAGCATCACATCCATGCTAGATATCCGGACCTCCACGTCCCTCTTCCCTTGCAACACGTTCTGACCACCGTATCCCATCATCGTCCGGGCCACACACATCTCACGTACATACTGCAATGTCTTCACCCACTCTTCTCTCCGCGTCCCCCCTCATTCCACGCGTCCTAGTGCTTCGCCCCACTCCGTCCTTGCCCCCCTCATCCAGTCCGGGTTCTCTTACTACTACGGTGTACATACTCATTCACATCTATGTCTTGGGGTATCGTCCCTTGTAGTACTCGCTGTATCTGTAGTCGTCTCTACCGCGCGCGTATATCATATGCATTGGTTTCTGGGCTCGGCTGTACACATCCTGCGTGTCCTCCGATGACCTGTCGGACGTGCGCTGCGTGCACATGAATCTCGCGCCGCCCTCATGTCGCTGATGTGTCCGACCGGGGTTTATCAGGTCATCATCAAGCAGTGCATCGTCGGACGCTTTGACTCACTTACCAGCTGCGACGGTGCTTGATGGGAGTGGTGAATCGTGAGTTCATGCGCACTAGAATGAAGTGAACAAGCTTTTGAAACGGTCAGAAGTTCCACAACAAACCAGTTACTCAACGATGGAACCAAGTCCTAAGTACTGAAGACCTGCCTTAATCCATTCATCATGATCGTAAAAACGCGCCTTCTCAACTATCGAGAGGTCAGGCCTATATAGGAAACGGTGCTACTGAACGGCACTAATCCATCATGATTAATCCCGGCGGCCCACTAGATCCTGGCCTCAAGCCATGATATTATACTCCTGTCGACATCGCGCGCGGCGCACCGCTCACGCCCACGCTATACGCCCGTGATTGTGCGTCGGGCGGCCTACGACCTGAGCCACGATCCGAGCTGTCGAGCCCGACGTGTGTTCAAACCTCGGCGTTCGCCCTGGAGGCTGGGAGCGGGACCTGGGCCGCTCCGCGCGCGCGTGCTGGCGTGCCTGTGCGCAGAGGCGTGTCAGCGCGAGTACCATCTGGCTGATTGGTAGATGGAGGCGCAGTCGGGGAACGCCGTACGCCGAGGCGGCGATGAGCGAGCGCGGTGTGCCTTGGGCGTCGGCGGCGTCGTGCTGTGTAGGATGGTGCGGACCTCGCGCAAGCACCGTAGAATGTATTGAGGTGCTTGGTCATGGGCTGTGAGGGGATTGTTAGGAGGTTAGAACTAGGGCTGCTGTGGTTCTGTATATCAGAGAGTTGTTAGAGGGGCGGGAGGTTGTTATGTCTGGGATGGCGGTGATTATGTTTCGCTCAGCGGCGTGCGCCACGCCCGGTTCAGAATACCAGTCATGATCCTGTTCGTTAATGCGCCTGCGCACGGCCTATCGGCCGCAACTTTGAAGGTATGTGTTGAATCAGCATTGTATGTGTACAGTCAAAGATATCGGGAGTAGGAAACATACCGTGGGTGATGCAGTTCAATTTTGCGTCTCTCATGTCATGGGGAGTAAACATACAAACAAGAGCAGTCGTAGACACAGGTCGGAGCGCGGTATCACGTCGAGAGCGTTCCATGTACTATCGTGTCATATCTTGATCTGATTTTCGAGGATAAAACGGGTGTTGAGACCGTACAGTAACATCCAGACAAGGGACAGCACAGGCATGTTCGTAGATGTCAAGAAAGCTCTGAACAGATGGCGTGAATGTTTCAGCAGGAGGCGGTCCGTGGTGATCACAAGACGTCTGGGAAGTCAGCATGCGCAGGCATGTTGCATTCAAGGTGAGACTGCGGAGACGGAGGCGTTGCAAGGGAGGCATGCTTGAGCAGCAAGACGGCGACGAGCGGAGAAGCGACGCAGCACGGAATCCACTGGCGAGTATAGACGAGGGAACGGGGAGACGCAGTGGGAAGAATGGCGGCGACTACGGAGCAGCGGGGGCCAGGTTCGGAGTGATTCTGGAGGGAAATCGGGCTGTTACCATCTTCTGTGCGGGAGTCGGTGCTGCTTGTATATGATCCCGCGCCGCTGCGGATGCGCCCCAACGGAAGACGACGAAGAGCGCTGTTGCAGGTTGCAGAGACAACACAGAGTCCTCCCTGCTCAGCGCGCACTTTCTGTGGCAGACGGGGAGGTCGAGGATGCTTGGCGACGAGTGACGGGTGTTCGCCATCGCCGGCGGCTGCGGTATGCCACCGAAACGCCCAATCTCGATAATTGAGCCTAGACCCGGTGTCTAAATGAGGCAGGCCTCCTTCCACATTTGGTTTTTTCGGCATTCAAGGTGCTAGTGCGGCGATCGGCGGCTAGGATCGGGAGCGAGACACGGTTCCGTCTCCCTGCATGGACCCGGACGCGAACTGCGTGGGTTCTGTCGATACTGCGCCTTCGCCCGGGCGACGCGTATGCCGCGCGCAGGAGGGGACACGCTGGAGGGCGCGAGGGACAGCGGAGGGGTTGAAAATAGAGGCGGTTACCGGGGATTGACGTCATCCCAATGGGGCGCGGGGAAAGCGCTGGAAGGCAGCCGTTGACGCGGGGGAATATTGCGTTGTTCCTTGGTGCGTCCCTCTTCTTTTCCAGTCCCAACTCATCATGCCCTCTCGCGCCCTCGCCCTGGCTCGCCCAATCCGAATATTTCTCGCCCCCCGTGCCCCCTCCCCGCCCTCTTCCTTCCCCTTCACGCGCATCGTCGCCCTCCCCTCCCCGCCCCCCGTCCTTGCCTTCCTCCCCCCTCCAGCCTGCTCTCCTCCACCATGCAAGGCTCGCCCCCGCTCCATGCACCCTCTCCACTCCGAAACGCGTCTCCTACCCCGGCCTCGTCGGTCTCGGATCCTTTCACCGACCAGCAACGCCTGTCCAAGCTCTCCTACGACTCTTCGCCCTCTCATGCTCCAGGCTCCTCTGCGCACCTCCTCCAAGACCGCTCATTATCATCATACCCCTCAATAGCCTATCGGTTCACCGCTTTTTCAAGTAGTCCGTCATTATCGGTCGCGTCCGACTCGCCCTACATCGGCCCAAGCCGCCCACTGTCTTTAGGCGACGACGTACGTTCCGCCCTCTCTCCCTCTCTGCACCGCACCTCACCCTCGCCACACACAGTACACGTTCTCGCCCGACCCCCAGCAGTGGGGCGCAGACCTCTCGCTCGATTACAAGGAGGAAGACGACTACCTCCACACGCCAGAACCAGCCCCCACTCATAAGGGCAAATGGATTGAACACGACGGCCATGTGTTCTCCTGGCGCGGGGTCACCAACCTCGGCGCGTTGATGATCCTCATTATCGGCATTCTGACGTTGTTGTGAGTATCTCGTTTGTCGCTGCTGCTTTCGCGTCTGCACCGCTGTTGGATGCTGCTGCGCTGCACCCCGCGGTCCGCCGGTACGGTGGCGATCACTTCTACCCGGAACTATTATAGCGGCACTCCACCACCACATGAACCCGGTTTCTCGTACCGGCGACACCATCCCGCTATGCACCATCGCACACACTCAGCTGGACTATACATTTAACGGGCTGCTGAGTTAGCCTGAGTACGACAAAAAAAGGACTGGTATCGCCGAACTGGACAGATGTGATTTCTCTGATCAGCGACGTTACACCTGTCCAGATGGCACATGGTCTCGACCCAAAGTTTACTCCTTGGACTGCTGCGCTCGGGTATTGAGCGCAACGTATGAATGGCACGAGGGACATGCCAGTGCACAGTACGCTCTCGAATTCTATCATTCACTTCCTTAGCTAGATCAATGTTCCCGGAAGAAACTATACTAATCTCCGCTCTTAGTGCCGGGTACCCGATGATCACAGCCCTTACCTCGAAACCTCTCAGCAATCTGGGAGCGTTCAACATCGGCGGAGTGAACGCCTCCGGCCAGGTGAGTAACGTCCACACAGCTCGTGGGTCTGACGTCTAACAATAAGTGTTCTATCTATAGGTGCCGGATATTCCGGGACACCGTAGTCTAATTGATGTCGACACTCCAAGGAGCGCTTACACGAAGCAGGCGTGGCACTCGGATGAGACGTTTGAGCTGGTGTTCTCTGATGAGTTCAACGTCGACGGGCGGACCTTCTACCCTGGCGACGATCCGTACTGGGAGGCGGTAGACCTGCATTACTGGGCGACTAACAACCTGGAGTGGTATGACCCAGAGGCAATCACGACACAGGATGGCAACCTGGTCATCACGCTGGAGAGGAAAGAGACTCACAATCTGCATTTCCAGGGCGGTATGTTAATTCTGCTCCTACAAGTCAGACGACCCACCAGTTTAACTCATCAACGATTTCCAGGCATGATGACTTCTTGGAATAAGTTCTGCTTCACGGGCGGTTATATCGAGGCGAACGTATCCCTTCCGGGAGTGAACAACATCGTGGGGCTGTGGCCTGCTATCTGGACAATGGGTAACCTAGGTCGCGCAGGATACGGCGCGTCGCTTGAGGGCATGGTATGCATATTCCATCCGATTCATCACGGACGACTAGACGCTGACCATGATTGTATCCTATCCATCTGTCGTTCCAAACGTATTCTATGTGGCTTGACATATTCTAGTGGCCATACACATACGACACATGCGACATCGGCACGGTGGCGAACCAGACCATCAACAACCTGCCCGCGGCTGCGCAGGTCAACGGCGACACCGGACACGATGGGATCCTCTCCTTCCTTCCCGGGCAAAAGCTTTCGCGGTGTACATGCCCGGGTGAGACGCACCCGGGTCCCAAACACAGCGACGGCAGCTTCGTGGGCAGGGCTGCGCCGGAAATCGACATGTTCGAGGCACAGATCACAGGGACGCCGTTAGTGGCACAGGTATCTCAAAGCGCACAGTGGGCAGTGAGTTGGTTGGCATTTGAAGCGCAGGATTGCCGCTCACCAGAGTTTGCGCGTTTTGCAGCCATTCAACCACGCGTACCTGTGGAACAACACGGCCGAGAACGAGATTATCGTGGACCCGTCAATCTCCGAATTGAACACGTTCACCGGTAGCGTCACGCAACAGGCGACGTCGGTGGTCACTGCGACGGACCCCAATTGCTACGAATACGATCTCGGGTGCTTCTCGATATACGGGTTTGAGTATCAGCCGGGTTTCGAGGAAGGGGTACGTGTCTACTCGCACGTCTGCATAGGTTTCGATGGCTGACCGCAGTGTTTTGTTGGTAGTATATCACCTGGGTGTCGAACAACAAGGTTTCGTGGACCTTGATGGGCACTGGAATGGGCCCCGATCCGACCGTCGAAATTTCTGAGCGGCCCGTGCCCCCAGAGCCTATGGTGAGCGCGATCTGTCTCTTTCTGTCAGTTCCTTTTTTTCTGACACCGCCGAACCCGCAGTACATCATCATGAACCTGGGCATGTCGTACAACTTCGGCGAGATCGACCTGGACCACCTCCCGTTCCCGGTGCACATGCGCGTGGACTACATCCGCGTGTACCAGCCCTCGAGCGCGGTCAACATCGGGTGCGACCCCAAGGACTACCCCACGCAGGACTACATCAACACGTACCTCGAGGCGTACTCGAACCCGAACCTCACGACGTGGAGCGGCGACTACGCGCAGGAGTGGCCGAAGAACAGCTTCCTCGGCCAGTGCTGATCACACGCGGGCACGCGTACGCCCGCATGTACCATCACTGACCCCTCATCATGTTGTACCTGGACGCGGACGCCCGCCCCACCCTCGCGCGCCCCCCGTACCCCCGAAAGAGCGCGCGGCGGGACGCGACGCGTGCGCACCCCCGCCCTGCACGTGCGGCGGCGCCGTGGGTTCGAGACGTCCGACTCCCCCGCTTGTACCTATACCAGACTCCGCACCCGTGTTTTTCTCCTGTCGTGCCTGCTGCTATCGCCAAGCTCTTCCGCATCGTTGACGCCCCCGCGCGAATCGCCCCTCTCTGCCCGCCCCGCCCGCTGCCGTTGTCGAAATATGCGCGCGCTGCGCCCCTTTACCCGCGCCGGCGCCGCGCGCCCATGGTTTAGCCGCCGCACGCCCGACGCCCGGTGGCGTCCCTGCCTCCCGCCCGCCCGGTCTTCCTCCCTCCCTGCCTATCCTGCTATCGTACCCTGGGCGGTGGCGGCGGGGCAATAAGGCTGGCGCGCTTCCCCGCCTGGCAGCTCTCTCGTCCCTCGCGACGATCCGCTCCTTCCCATCCTCATCCTCGGACTCGCGCTCTAACGCTTTTCCGAACCTGAACCCTCCGTTGCATCCTCTGAATTCACAGACGATCGTAGCACAACGTTTTCTCGGACACTCATTGCGGACTGTAGCTAGTCTGGCTGGGCCGTCGGCATACACGCACATGCACACACGTCTTCCACTCCTTGATTTTCACATACGATTAGATTTGGTGGGACATGTTGCTCGAGCCGGTGACGGTGGTAAAATGGTACAGGCCCTCTGTCCCCGGGGGTGGGAAGAGGAAGACTTTGACCGCTGCTGGTGGGGCCGGTCGGGCATGTCGTGCGCCCCTGTGCCGCGACCGGCGACGCCAACTACGCCAACCTGGTGGTTAGGTGCTTCTACTTCTGATATGGGGTGGACCTTATTAGCGTTAAAAAGTTCTGTGGGCCTAAATCTACCTACGGGCTTTTGTGCGGCGGATTAGAGACGTTGACGAGGAGCAGCGGTCTCGGCTCATGTATTTCTGCTACTATACCTTGTTCATAATCGGGTCGAATGTTGTATGGTTTTTTTTTACGCGCGTGTGCGACTCGGACAACGTCCATATTTGCACGGCACGGGGATTGTGCGGTCCGGCAGCTATATGGAATAGCAGATGAATTTGACTTCGAATGTCCTCAGCCTAAACTCGCGTTGATCATGAACACGAACTGCTTCCGGTATCCACGGTCGTGCGACGAGATCGTCACGAATAGCTGTGCGAGACTGCGAGTCGATATATTGCAACACGGGCTCCGTGTAGCCCGCACCATGCACACCCATGCAGCACTGCGAGCTTCCAGTTCCACGGGCAAATATCGGCATTCAAAACGATAGTATGTACGTGCCTGAACGTATACACGCATGTACAGCCTTTCAACCAAAATGAACCGCACATGCACTTCGGTGTTAAGCCGCACCAGGCTCCACAGGCCGCGCAAACGGCGCCGGGGGCGCGCGCGGCATGAACGAGCGGCGGTTCAGCACCAAGCCCTTCAGCGCGCGAATCTCGCGCCGCACCTCTTCCTCCGCAGGCGCGAGCGGGACGCCCAGGCCGAGCCCGGGCGCGCGCAGCGTGTGCGGGGCGGCGTACGTCTGCGCGGCGATGTACCCGGTGAGGTCGGAGAGCGCCTGGAAGGTGTGCTGGAATTTGGGCTGGGAGGGGGAGGATGTGGCGGTGGGGAGTGTGGAGGCGAGGGTGGAGAGGGAGGTGAGGAGCGGCGGTGTGGCGGGTGGGGGTGGGGGGACGTATGTCCAGACTGTGTCTTGGGAGGGGGCGGGCGGGGGAGGGACGGGAGATGTTGTGGAAGGGGCGGCGGGAGGGAGAGGCGCAGGCTGGAACATGGGCGAGTTCGTGAGCGTTTCCCAGAGCGTCTCCTGTGCATCAGAGGTTCAGCAAGTTGCACATCGTACGAGGGCACCGGGACGTACCTCGTGCTGAGAACCCTCCGCTGCGACCCACGGGAACTTCTCTTCTAGTATGCTGAAGAGTTCCGCGGAGGTCGCCTTCTTCGTGCCCTTTGAGCATTCCTGGATCGCGCAGCGCAGGAGCGTGACCGGTGGGATGTCCTGCTCACCCTTACTCGCTTCTGCGAGCTTGTCAAGCGTTTGGTATTCTCTGTACTTGGCAGGTTCGCGGAGGGGTTCGGGTTGTGGCAGGACTGCGAATGTGGACTGCTGTGTGGCTTTGAGATCTTGTAGCGAGCCTGTGAGACGCTCGAGCAAGGCTTTGCGCTGCGTGCGCAGGGATAGGCGGGCTTGGTATGTCTGTGCAATCCTGGGGTATATGAACCGCTAACGTCCGGGTTGGAGCGTAAGCAGAGAACGGTGTGGGTAACAGCGTGCACGTACGAAATAGGCGAGGAGGAGCGCGGCGGACCCGCCTGCTATCCAGGTGAGGGCGCGCAAAGAGTCGAGGAGCAGACGCGGTAGGCGGGAAGGCGGTGGTTGCGGATATGTCTTCGCCGGAAGTAATGGCGGGGGCGCGGGCTTCATGATACACCCTGTTTAGTTACTCGCAACGGAGTCAGTAAGCGGCGATGGCACATACCACTTCACGCAGCAGGCTCTCAATCTCGTTCTCAGACAGTCCCTTCTCTCCCAAGAATCTCCGCTTTGCGGTCAGGTCTTCATGGCGGACCTGTGGCGAGCTCAGGAAAGCGCGTGCCCGCTGCAGGAGCTCTGTGCGATCCTCCGGCGCTGGTGCAACAGAGGGCGGAGGGTCGTTCTGCGGAGGCGTGAGCTCTGGTGCTGTCTCTGCTCCTGCTGCTGAAGCATCGGGTTCCTGGGTCTGAGGCTTAGGTGCGGTGTCCTCGTCGGCCATGGTGGAGGTGAGTGGCAGGTGGCGGATGCGGGGTAGCCGCTCGTAGCCGGAGCCGCGGACGGGCGTGGTCCGGGAATGCCGGAGTCGCTGGATGACGCGACGCGACATCGCGGCCGCTCTCTCTTCGCGTTCATCTGGGCTGTCGCCGTAATCTATCAGCGTCGGCATATGGTGGCATGGTCCGCCACAGCCCGCATTTGCATATTCAGAGACTTTGAGGCGCCGCGAGAGTCGGTATAAACACCGTGCACTCGACGTCCTTCGGTGCCGCCGGCGCCCCACATCACTACGCCAACTGCGGCACGGCCGGTCTCTAGCAAACTGCCATGAAGTCGGATCAGGCCAGAGACTCGAAAGTACGTGACCCGGAGGCGCAAGATGGCCAGCTGGGCAGACGTTCGCAACGTCTCGCCTTCAAGGTCGTTGTCGCTTGTACTGCAGTGTATGCGGTCTACACTCTCGCCGCAACTATCGTATCTACATTGGGTTGTTCGAACGACTTGTGGCCGATCAATGCATTGGCGGAGCGTCCCCCTGCTCTCAAATCGCGGGAGGAGGTGGAACAGCTGTACCTGTACGTCCGAACCCTCCTTTGAGTATCAACGATTCGCAAAAGCTGACCCCTCTTGCGCATTCAGCTCTGTTCCGGACGCACAGAGTGCACGCAACGTTTCGAGGATATACTCAACCCGTCCGCACGTAGCAGGCTCTCTCGGTGATTATCTCGCAGCACTAGACATTCTCGAGCTGTTCCAAACGGAACTGGGAATCGCACCTCCTCCCAAGACACCAGTCTTCCCCGCAGGGTCGCCCGCATCGCGTGCAGCGACGCTCGGGATAGGGAGCTTGACGGAACCGAACGCATGGATCGACACGTACTACCCGCTCATGAACACGCCCCTCGACCGCGCCTTGTCGATCGTGGACCAGAACGGAAGCGCGCTCTGGGAGGCGGACCTAGTGGAGCATGGCGATCCGCGCGACCCGGGCACGGTCAAGTACCAGGACGTGGTGCCGACGTTCCACGGCTTCAGCGCGGATGGCGATGTCGAGGGTCCACTCATTTACGTGAACTACGGCCTGAAGGCCGACTACGACGAGGTCCTCGCTGCCGGCGGAAACTTCACCGGGAAAGTCGTCCTCGCGCGATACGGCGGGAACGCCCGCGGGCTTAAGGCAAGATTCCTGTTCTCCACCTATGTCTGCATTTTTCTGACGCATGCATGCACAGGTGCAAGCTGCGGAAGAGCTCGGTGCAGCCGGCGTGATTATGTACTCAGACCCACGCGACGACGGCCCAGTCACGGTCGCGAACGGGTACGAGGCATACCCTGATGGGCCCGCGCGCAACCCAACGTCTGTGCAGCGCGGAAGTGTGCAGTACATCTCGCTGTACCCGGGGGATCCAACGACCCCAGGGAAGCCGGCGTACCCTGACGCGGTGCGCACGGAAGCCGAAAACGTCCCGAAGATCCCGAGCCTGCCGATCTCATGGGCGAACGCGCAGCGGCTGCTTAAAGAAGTCTCCGATCATGGGCTTGAAGACGCGTTCGCGCTTGACGGGAAGTCAAGCACACGGCATGTTCGGCTAGTAAACCACGGTTGGTACATTTTCGGCGTATGGCAGCCGCTGGACTGACCGTACCCATGCCCCCCAGTGCACACTAGAATCATGCCCATATGGAACGTCATGGCCGCCATCCCTGGGCATATCCATAATGAGACCGTCATTATCGGCAACCACCGCGATGGTACGTCCCCTGCACCCACCACATATGTTTTTGTCGATTGAGGGGTGCGAAGCATGGGTCATGGGTGCTGTCGATCCGACTTCCGGTACTGTGACCTTGCACGAGATTGTGCGCGGTTTCGGCGCGCTGCTCAGGAGTGGCTGGAAGCCCCTCCGGAATATTGTATTCGCAAGCTGGGATGCGGAAGAGGTGCGTTCGCAGTGAAATTCAGTGCACGTATAGCTGATTGACCTCATCCACGCGGGTAGTATGGTCTCATTGGCAGTACCGAGTGGGCAGAGGATTTCCCTGACTGGATATCCGGGAACGTCGCCGCGTACATCAACGTCGGTATGCCGCTTCATTAACACCGTTGCTTTTATACGTCCTAATCGTCTTCATGATAGACGGGTCTGCTGGCGGCGCGCCCTGGGTGGTGACGGGGTGTCCGTCCCTAGCTCATCTCATTCGCGACGTCGCGCTCGACCTTCCGCACCCAACGGCCCCAGGGAAGACTCTGTGGGATGCGAGGAACGACATCGGGCCATTCCACGGGCCTGCCGATGCGGACTTCGTAGAGGCCTATCTCGCGAGTCGTATTGCGAAGCAGGACGGTGATGTCGGCGGCATCGAGCCTCTTGGCTCAGGAAGTGACTTCACGCCGTTCCTGCAACGGCTGGGGGTGAGTGCTGCCTGAGTGATCGCGGTGCAGTGATCGCTGATAGGAGGACGCACCGTCAGGTTGCCAGCATGGACGAGACTTTCAACCTGTCGCCGACGGACGCCGCGTATCATTACCACTCCGTATACGACTCGGAGATGTGGAAGGAGAAGTACGCCGATCCGAGCTTCGAGAAGCACGTAAGCAGCGCGGAGATGGCGTGAATTGAAAGGGGAGCTGACTCCCGCTCCAGGTCGCCGTCGCGAAGCACCTCGGCATCGTTCTGTTGCGGCTGCTGGACTCGGTGATCCTGCCGCTCAATACCACGCACTACGCACATGAGCTCGACAAATATCTCGACAGGTACGTGAACTGAAGCACAAGGTTTGTCGGATACCTGCCGTACTGACTGCCGTTTACAATATCCAGCGTGGAAGAAGCCGCATCCTCGCTCGGCCTCTCCCCCGACCTGTCACAACTCCGCAAATCGATCAAGAACGTCAACACCGCCAGCTCCGCACTCGACCACGCCAAAAACGACGCGGCGCGCACGTTCGAAGACGTCCTCCGCAAACAGCCATGCTACAACAGCAGCGGCCTCGCCTGCTGGCTGGAGAGGCTGCGCGACATCGCGCGCGGCTCGCCGCTGCGGCGCCAGCTGTTCTGGGCGGCGTGGCATGTGCGGCGGGCGAACGAGAAGCTCATCGGGTTCGAGCGCGGGTTCATCTCCGAGGACGGCCTGGAGGGGCGTGAATGGTACAGGCACCTGGGCGTCGCGCCCGGGAAGTGGCTCGGTGCGTTGGTCACACTCCTGTGCGTCTGTGATTCGAGAGTATGTGCTGACGAAGCTGGGTGTTATAGGGTATGGTGCGACAACGCTGCCAGCGGTCGCAGAGGCACTGACGATCGAGAAGAACGTGACGCTGGCGGAGAAGGAAGCAAAGCGTCTGACGTTGCTGCTGAACAAGCTGGCAAGAACGTTGGTGGAGTAGCGGCGTTCATCCTGACCATTGGAGGCTGGAAGCTACGCTGTGTCGCCCATGTAGCCAGATGGGGGAATGCGTCTGCCTCGGAGGAGTTTTTAGGCATCAATTTGTCAGTTTCACGGTGAACATCGCTCAACAGCCGCGTAGGTGGTGAAGCTGGAAGCTCTGCTCCCAGGCCGTGTGAGAAAGCACATGGTCACGTCGTGGGTGTTCATACGTTCAGACCTGATTAAAGCAACGATTTACTTTGGATTTTTTGGACACCGTGGTGAGGTGTCGGCCGTCCTGCACCTTGTCGAACGTTGGCCATGATAGCAAGGCTTGACGAGATACGCGTCTGTACGCGTGCCTTAAAGCAGGACGCGGTCACGGGGCTTCGGAGGCCGTGCGGGTTCGCGTCGTAGATCAAGCTATCATGCACACTCGGCAGGACCGTGCCGGCATTGGGATCGAAGACGTTATCTGCGTTCCTCGTGAGCAAACGCTTCCCCGGTGCCCCACATATATCATCACTGCCTGCACGCCATGGACGCCCGCACTCCTCTACAGTCGCCCTCACCATGGCCGACAAGTACGCCGAGAAGACACCCTTCCTCGACCCCGAGGCGCAGGCCTCCGAAGTAGGTTCTGCTGAACAGAAGCCTGCTCGCAAGACGTTCTGGAGGCAGGCTAAGGCGCTATGCTACGTTTACGCCGCTTACCTTTTAACCCGCGCCCTCGTCTACTCCGTTTGCCTCTACCTGGAGGTAGATGATGTTGCTGGCGTGCAAACGTCATGGGCTACGTCCGCACTCAGCCAGCTGCGCAAGCCCCGCGTCGACACCGAAGCACTCTATCTGTACGTCCACACTCCCAGTGCGCTCTCTCCAGAAGCATGAACTGATTCACTTGTAGTTCTGTTCCCGACCCCGCGAGCGCACTCCTCGCCTCACGCGAGTACGCGACGCACCCCCACATCGCCGGCTCCATCGAGGACTACACCGACGCGACCGTCATCCTGAAGCTCTTCCAGGACCACTTCGGCATCGTCGCCCCGCCCGAGCCCCCGCTCTTCCCCGCCGGCTCGCCCGCCTCCCGCTCAGCGACGCTCGACATCAACAAGCTGCACAAGCCCGCGGCCTGGATCGACATCTACTACCCCGTCATGAACACCCCGCTCGACCGCGCCGTCGAGATCCTCGGCGCGGACGGCGAGGTCGAGTTCTCCGCGGACCTGGTCGAGGACGGCGACCCGCGCGATCCCGAGGCGGCTGAGTACCGCGATGCTGTGCCCACCTTCCACGGACTGAGCGCGGACGGTATTGCTGAGGGCGAGATCGTGTACGTGAACTATGGCAGGAAGGAGGACTACGACGAGATCGTCGCCAAGGGCGGAAACCTGACCGGCAAGATCGTGCTTGCGCGGTACGGCGCGAACTTCCGCGGACTGAAGGTTAGTTGCTCTAGATACTCTCATTCGCCTGGTCAGCTTTACTAACATCACCCTCGTAGATTCTCGGCGCTGAGCAGCTCGGCGCCGCTGGAGTGCTCATCTACTCCGACCCGCGCGACGACGGCGCAGTGACCGTCGCGAACGGCTACGAGCCGTACCCCGCCGGGCCCGCGCGCAACCCGACCGCCGTGCAGCGCGGAAGCGTGCAGTACCTGTCGCTCTACCCTGGGGACCCGACGACCCCTGGCGCGCCCGCGTATGCGAACGCGACGCGCCTAGAGGGCGGGAACATCCCGAAGATCCCCAGTCTGCCGATCTCGTGGGCGAACGCGCAGCGGCTGCTGAAGGAGATCTCCGGTGGTGAGGCGGAGGCTGCGTTCGTGCTTGACGGGCACGCTAGTGAGAAGAAGGTTAAGCTGGTGAACCATGGTGCGCTTCCATCGCTACAGCGGGTGGATTGTGTGTGCTGATGCTATGGTGTAGTCAACACGCGCGTCATGCCCATCTGGAACACCATGGCAGCCATTCCTGGACACATCAAGAACGAGACCGTTTTCATCGGCTGCCACCGCGACGGTTCGTATTTATTGAACGTACTGTGCGGCCCACGTCACTGAGTGTGCTTCGTTGCAGCTTGGGTCATGGGTGCGGCTGACCCGACTTCGGGCACCGTATCTATCCACGAGGTCGTGCGCGGCTTCGGCGAGCTCCTCAAGAGCGGCTGGAAGCCCCTCCGCAACGTCGTCTTCGCCAGCTGGGATGCTGAGGAGGTCAGTCCTGCTGCCCTGCTATACATGGCCTACCTGACACATCATATCCACTCACCCAGTACGGCCTCATCGGCAGCACCGAATGGGCCGAGGACTTCCCAGAATGGGTCTCCGCAAACGTCGTCTCCTACATCAACCTCGACGTCTCCTCCTCCGGCACGGTGTGGAACGCGGGCGGCTCGCCCTCGCTCGCGCACCTCATCCGCGCGGCCGCGCTCGCGGTGCCGCACCCGACCGACCCCTCCAAGACGCTCTGGGACGCACGTAAGGATAGCGGACCGTTTGAGGGCGCGCTGGACCCGGAGTTCGCGGAAATGTACGAGGCGGAGCAGCACGTGCGTGCGGCGCGGCAGGGGAAGGACGAGGTTGGGATCCCGGCGTTGGGCTCGGGGAGCGACTTTACGCCGTTCTTGCAGCGGCTTGGTGTATGTGGCTGCTCTTTCAACGCCTGTCGACTTTGAGTGCTGACTGGAGAGATAGGTTGCGAGCATGGACCAGGGCTTTGGGGGTACGCCGAACGACGCACCTTACCACTACCACTCCATCTACGACTCTCAGCTGTGGCAGGAGAGATACGCGGACCCAGGCTTCGTTCGTCATGTACGTCTATGTCACTCGGCATTGCAAAGTAGTATCGAGACTAACCTGCTACTCGCATACAGGTCGCGGTCGCCAAGCACCTAGGCCTCGTCGCGCTGCGCCTGACAGACTCGATCATCCTCCCGCTCAACACAACGCATTACTCCCTCGAACTCGACGACTACCTCGACAGCGTAGAAGCCATCGCCGCCTCCCTCCAGGCCGACGCCGACTTCACCGGGCTGCGGCGCTCCATCAAGCGGCTCCAATCCGCGTCCGCCGCGCTCGACGCCGAGAAGGACGAGGCCGGGCGCAAGCTGCAGGAGCTCCTCGACAAGATCCCGCTCTCCCAGGATTCCCATGCGTCTGGCCTCCTCCCGGAGTGGCTGCAGCGCCTGCTGAAGGCGATCTTCGGGCACGCGCGCCCGGGCCCGCTGGGAAGGTTCGTGAAGGCGGCGAAGCGCGTGCAAAGCGCGAACGCGAAGCTCGTCGCGTTTGAGCGCGGGTTCATCCACGAGGAGGGGATCGAGGGCCGCGAGTGGTACAGGCATCTTGGGGTCGCGCCGGGGAGGTGGCTCGGTACGTCTGGCTCTCTTTTTTTTGGGCGTGGCATTCGGAGCGGGGCCTTGTTTTCTTCCGAGACATGGGCAGATAGGCAGGCGGCCGCGTTCGTGCGGGCAGCCTTGTTGCCGAGCATCCGCGCACAAGCGATGCTGCTGCGCGCGGACGACGCGGACGGCCATGGTGCTAGTCACGCGGGGAGCCGAGTACGCGGCGGGGAGCCGTGCGCGCGCGATTTCCAACCTCGCTCTGCGCGCCCGCGCTGCCGTCGCGTCTTTCTTGTGTTCCTGATGCGGAGGCTCACGCGCGTCTTACAGGATACGGAGCGACGACGCTGCCGTCGATCACGGAAGCGCTGACGTTCGAAGGGAACGCGACGCTCGCGGAGCTGGAGGCGAGCCGTGTGTCCGCGCTCTTGGACAAGCTCACGGAGACTATCAAGGTGTAAGCGCGTACGGTACGCGCGCGCTTTCGATTTACTTGTGCAAGTCCTTCGGAAGGCGGTTTGGATGATGAAACAATATATCTTGTATATCTGACTCTTGCTCGTGTGTTGACTGAACATATGTCGAGAGTAGGAACGGAGAGGTGGACGGAAGGAGTATGTGCAGCGGCTGTGTGGCAGGAACGCATCCTCGGCGCGCGCGACGCGATCGCGGGAAAGGATGGGAGGGCGGGATGACGTCACGCGACGCGTCTTGGACGGACGGCCGTGGCTGTTGCGCGCGCTCACATCGACCACATCCGGAGGCCCGTCTTCCTCCTCGCGACTGCTAAAAATATTCTGTGCAGACCGCGCATGGCCTCCGAGCAGTATGCGGACTCCGTCGACGGACGTCCGAGGTCGAACAAGCCGGGCAGGCTGAGATTGCGGCCGGACACAGCGTATTCCACTCGTGATGTCACTCCAAGTTCATACATCCTCTGACGCTCCTGATCATGAGACGTATATATACCTCTCGTTCGTCTCTGTCACTGGCCCCAACAGCACACTGAGCTTCAGCGAGCTCTTCTCAAGCATATCAAGCACAAGCCCTGAGCCAATTCGTCACTAGCATACCATGGATCCCGAGAACAAGCCCCAGGGACCTTCGCCCCACTACTCTCTCTACCAGCGCGAGGTCTTCAAACGCGGTGGCGAGACCGGAATCCTCCCCAGCTTCTCCGTTCACCCGGAGGAGCTCCAGGAATCGACCAAGAAGAAGCTCAACGACCGCGGCTACTTCTACGCCAACTCTAACGCGGGCCTCGGCTGGACGGACAGAGCTAACAGGTATCTACCTCTCATTCTCTGATCACAATTATATCCACTGACAGTGTACTTCATCTATAGGGAGTCATTCTATAGATGGCGCATCGTTCCGCGTGCCTGTGTCGATACGAACACCCGCGACCTCACCAGTGAGTTACGCCCGTCAGTATCCTCTGGGCGTTCTACTGAACAAGGATACTAGCTACCATCTTCGGGCACAAGATCCCAGTGCCCATTATGTTTGCTCCGATTGGCATCAACAAGCTCTACTCGCCGCTCGGCGAACTGGTCCCCGCCCGTGTGGCCGGCGAGCTGGGCATGCCGGTCAGTGTCTCGCTTCGCCTGGTTTACTGCTGCGTCAAGGATATTGACTGACGCACATGCTTGACAGTACTGCCTTTCTACTGCTGCGTCTCAGCCGATCGAGGATGTCGCCCGAGCCAACGACGAGGGCGCGTCCGTGAGGAACGAAAGCAACTCTATCCACGAGTACGACGGTACGTGGTATACTTATATGTGCTGTGCTATTTGTTGGTTTATGATTCAACACCAGGCCCGAACGGCGGGGACGCGAAGAGTCCACGCTTCTTCCAGCTCTACATGGGACACGATGACGAGATCGTATGCGCCATTCACGTCCTGCATACACCGAGGTTACGCGTTTTCTGACGGCCGTACTTCTGCCCAGACACTGTCCCTGCTGAACCGCGCCTGGAAGTCCGGGTTCGACGTCGTCATGCTCACCACCGACACCTGGCAGCTCGGCTGGCGCCCCACCGACATCAACATCGCCAACTACGTGTGCGTGCACCCCCAATGCCCTGACCGTTGTGAAAGCAGCACTGACTTGTTTATTGCTGGCTAGGTTCTACTACCAGGGCGCAGTCGGCAACGAGGTCGGCGCCTCCGACCCCGCCTTCATGGCGAAGCACGCACAGGAGCTCGAGAACGACTCGGGCAAGTGGATCGACCACAGCGTCTGGCACGGCAAGGCGCACACCTGGGCCAAGGTCAAGTGGGTCGTCAACGAGGTGCGTCCCCTCCCCCCTCCCCTCTCCTCGTAACCCCGAGAGCTGCAGTCGTACTGACTCGGAGCCGTGCGCGCAGTGGAAGAAGATCTCGGGCGGACGGCCGTTCGTGCTGAAGGGCATCCAGAGCGCGGCGGACGCGCAGCGCGCGCTCGAGGCGGGGTGCGAGGGCATCGTCGTCACGAACCACGCCGGGCGCCAGGTCGACGGCGCCGTCGGCAGCCTCGACGTCCTCCCCGAGATCGTCGCCGCCGTCGGAGACAGTGCGTCCGCCCTCCCCTTTCTCCCCACATCCCACATCCCGCTAACAACTCATCCCGCGCAGAGATGACGATCATCTTCGACTCGGGCATCCGCACGGGCGCAGACGTGTTCAAGGCGCTCGCGCTGGGGGCGCACGCCGTCATGGTCGGCCGCCTGTACGTGTGGGGCATGGCGCACGAGGGCGTGCACGGCTGCCGGCACGTCATCAAGAGCCTGCTCGCGGACCTCGACATCACGATGACCGTCGCTGGGTACCGCTCGATTCGCGAGGACGTGTGGCGCAACAAGGATGCGCTGCGGTTCAGTGCGAGCGGGGTCCCGCCGGGCCCGGGCGAGCATGCGAAGCTCTGAAAGGAAGGAGGGAGGGGGTAGATGTGGTGTTTAGATGTTTGTTGGATTGGTTTGTACGGATTGTAATACATAACCACCGCTCTTATACAGGATATTGTGACTGCTATTGCACCAGACCACATGCTACGAATCTCGAGAAACAAGGGGGCCTCAGTAAACACTATGCTGGGGTCCTGTGTGTTCCTGGTTTCGTGAGAAAGACTTGCGCACTTTCGGCGCCGTGTAGTGTGCGGACGGAATAGACTGACACAACAGAACAAGAGGTTAGCACGCCCGTGCACGGACGGAATGAACTAGAACGTACCCGGATCGAGAGCTGGTCACAACCAACCTCCGACACGCGCACTGTCTCCTCCGACGAGCACGACTCATCCCTGCCCTCATGGTCCCGGTGGTACTCCCCACCATACTGCCCACCGTTCCCCGGCGCCCCGCTCGCACACGACCCCCGCGGGCCCACCCCGCTCCCCGCCCAGCTACACCCGACCGCACCCCGGCCCCCACCCGGCCCCCGCGCCTGCGCATCCGCGTCCGCAGTAGCAAAGTCCCACCCCGTGAGCGAGCGCCGCCCAAGGTTGCTCGTGTGCATGCCCGCGCGGAACTGCGTGCGCGAGTTGAGCGTGCGGAGCAGCCCGAGCGTGTACACCTTGCCCGTCAGGATCGCGAAGAAGAGGTCGAGGTGGAGCGTCTGCGCGCGCATCGCCGCCGCCGGGCTCTCCGCGCCCGCCCCGGGACCCGACGCCCCCGGGGAAACGTGGGACAGGGAGGCGGAGGCGGCGGAGGAGGCCTGCGCGTCGCGGATGGAGTAGATGACGGCGGAGACGAGCATGCAGGCGGTCGGGAGCACGGCGGACTCGAAGGTGATGAAGATGATGTGTCTGAGTGTGCGGTCGAGGTGGCGCAGGCCGGTGCGCGTGCGCCAGAGTGAGACGGAGACTGCGGGGTGGGAAGGGGTGAGTGGGTGCAGCGGCCGGGGGTGGGCGACTGGGGGTACGTACGGATGATGGTGAGGGAGAGCGCCATGACGAGCGTCACGTAGACCCAGAGCGGGTAGGCGTACATGCTGGCGTGCAGCGGCTGGGACGGCAGTGTCAGCGAGCCTCTCTGAGGCGTGGATGTCGGAAAGACCGTACGTCTGCCATCCCGTTCTGCGACAAAGGCCCGATGACTTGTGCTATGCGGATGGTCTACCGCGGTGAAGAGTGAGTATACGACAAAGAACAGGGTGCCCTTCGCGTTTACGTACGAGACATATGCTCGCCACCAAGGATATGATGAGCAACGAAGCTAGGTATATGAGCACAAACATATTTCTCTGGGTGATCTGTTCCCGCGGAGAGGTCGTCAGTGCGCAATATAGGACATATACTGTGTGACTGAGACCCACTCTGTAGCACCGTCGGATGAGGAAAGCTTCACATATGATGCATATGAGGGCGTTGCAAAGAAATTCGGTGCAATGCAGGCGGCTTGTCCACTGGCACGAACGTAAGTTCTTGATGAAGACACGACCCGGCTCCCGAAGTCTGGGAGGGCACACACCCAATGCACGCCAACAATTGTTTCCACCCATGTCTTGTAGCTTTCCAGAACAGTTTGTATCCTGCGCAGGTTCAGCGGGATTTCCCTTACGATCATGCACACGAAGTACTCACAAGGAACAGAACAGCAGGACCACAACGTACACACGCAGCGCCACCGGGTCATCTTGCCATCTATGATAGAACTTCGCACTCTGCACAGTGACACAAATCAGAACACTGGGCGTCACCGTGCTTCCCCACACAGACCTGCGAGATGATGACCCCTTTATGTAAAGCCACGATCAGCATCCCGAGCGTCGCATGACAGCTGCTGAAAGCGTACCTTGGCATAGATACTGCAAGAATCCTTGAATGAGAATCGGCCCAGCGGTGTCCTTGTCGGGTCGACCATCAAGCAAGCTTGAGGTGACAGAACTTGAGTCAGAGCTAGCTGTAGAGTTCATACCGGCGACATGCAAGGTGACAATGGGCGCGCTGTGTCATGGAATGGGGATCTCATACTCGGTGTCAGCCAGTCTACCATATTCCATGTGAGCCGACGGACTGGTCAGCCGCGTTGGTACGGCATCGTCGGCGGGCACCGCGGACTCGATCGAAATGGCAACGAGCGGCGGCGGATGTGAAGTGCGTCTTCGAGCGGACTCGCGTGTCCGTCCCGGTCCCGATCACGAATGTAGCCTTCCGCCGATCGTAGTGCGGGATGTTATGTTGTCAATTACGCCAGTACTCGTTGAATGTAAGGGACGCGCCTGTGGTATGATACATACTAGCCAAGGATACAAGACCATACAGCTCTAAATTAAGTAGGTTAGGTAAGACATAGCGAGCGTGAAAAGAACGCGAAGTAGAGCAAGTAAAGGAGGACCGAGAACCGAAGGCCGAGGGAAGTGTTATGCTGGCGGCTGTGATTCGGCGGCACGTTGTTCGGATACTTTCTGTTTGAGGATCTCCCACCCGCGGGGGTGCACACTCTCGCAGTGCGCGATCAGCTCCTGTTGCGACACGTTGTCGAAGGGCTGTGGAGCCTCCGTCGTGTGGCCGGCTTTAAATCGAGATCTGGCACACCACCCGTCAACGATTGCGTGCCGGGGAGATTCCTAGCTGGGCCACATACCTGCACATCTTGCACCATAGCTTGTTCTCGTCTTCATCGTCGTCGTCAAAGTTCGCCTCCAGACAGTCCTCCTCCACGGAAGACTGCTGCTCCATGACCACATCATTGCTAGGTGGTGGTTGTGGCGGGAAGGTGTCAAGTGGTTTACTCGCCTCTGCCACACTGGGGGGTTGTGAGGTGACTGGGGGCAAGTCGCTGGTAGACGCGGAGGGGAAGGGCGAAGCATTGAGTAGCACGGAGGTGTCATATCCTTCGGGTGGGTTCCACGAGGAGGGCGTTATAGGCGTCGCAGTCTGCACCGGGTACTGCTGAGCGGGCGAACCAGCCATCTCCGGCCCGTGGTCGGTTTTACGGCGTTTCCTAGAGCCCTCCTGGGCTCGGGACTCATCTGCCGTCAGGTCTATGAAAGCGCCCGCTAGGGAGCTGGTAGAAACCCTTTGTGGCTGTGGCACTCTGTGCAGACTGCTTACGGGGCCAGACACTGATCGAGAAGCAGCAGGAGGACCGCCGGTGGGCGCGCCGGACGTAGATGGCCGGCTCGAATTAGGGGTCGTCGGCGCTGGCGACTGGAGACTAAGGCCATTAAAATTGCCGAGGGGAGAGGCGGACGAAGAGCTCGGACCAGCGCCGTTGGGCATAACGACTGGAGCCGATGTGCGGCGATGGTAAGCAATATTGGGAGGCGCGGAGGTGTTGATGGGTGAAAGCTCGGGATGCGAACGAACTGCCGGGAGCGGTTGAATTGCCCGGTGTTGCTGTTGTGTGTTCATCAGAATGGCACGTTACAACGGGAAATCGCACGGGCGGATGTCCACTACAAACCTGAGGTGGCCGTTGTTTGTACGCGGCGAGGGTCGGTGCTATAGCCGTAATTACACTGTCAATCCCCCGCAGAACAAAGACAAATGTGAGTGAGCGCACTTTGCTGGGCGACCATCTGCTGAGCCGGGATCGACACAACCCGCTGCTGGGCGACCTGCTGCTGCGGATGCTGGACCATCATCCTCTCGTGCGCGGGGACCATGACCGCCGAGGGGATAAACCGCGACAGCTCTTGTCGGAGGAGCATAATCTCGTTCAACCTGCATCACACACGTCTCCACAACCGTTCCAACACCGCTGATAAGGAAGAGAAACGCACGCTGCATGCAATCGGCCCTCCATCTCCTCGTTGGCGCGCTTGCTCTGCTCGATCGGCGCGCGGATGTCCTTCATGCGCGCGTCCTGCGCGTGGATGAACTGCGCGAGGTTGTAGTTGTCCGCGTACAGCTTCTGATTGTCGCTCCTCAGCAGCGCGTACTGGCGCTGCAGCTCGTGGTGCTCCTGCAGAAGCGTAGGGAAGTAGCCCATCTCCGCGAAGCACTTGTTCTGCGTCTTCGCGAGGACGGACATGATCTCCGGATCCGCCTCGCCCGAGAACGGCGGAGCTTGCGGCTGCTCTGTCGGTGCCCTGCACACAAACGCGGACGTCGGTCAGCCGGGCACGGGTGTTTTCTGAGCACAAAGCGTACACTTCTGCTCCTGTCGGACGCGCCGCCGGTGCGGTCACAGCACCCTCAGCAGCCATAGCCTCGCTCATTTTGTGCGCGCTGGCAGTGGTGTGACTACGAGACAATCGTGGTCGCGGTCGACAAGCAAGATGGCAACGCGGGTAGCCGGGCGAGCTGAGCGAGCACAACTCTGCGCGGTGGGCTCAGCGCCCCGAACGCCGAAGACGCGACCGCCGACCCTGCAGCACAATCACAGACCCCGACCACCACCCGCACGTCATGCCACATCGGGGAAGCCAGATGCCATATTCAGGTCAGTGCCCGCTGATACCCCGGATACCCCACCGCAAATCATCCACAGTTCGGCGAATTCCAGCATCCCTTGGAAGGTACGCGAACGCGAGCGCGGTGCGATGCAGCCTTGTCGACGAGGTGTTGTGGTCCTGGCAGGTGGGAGCCGCGGGTGCGCAGCCTGAGACGAGCAGCTCGAAGGAGGCTAGTGCGCGTTGAAGGCGTGTAAAGTGATACTACACTTGTGATGAGATCTATACAGTAAAGAAAGATGCGGTGGATGACACGAAACGGGTGGATGAGTATCTGGTCCCCCTAAGTGCGCGAGCGGTGTGCGTATCAGAGTCCATGGAGAGAAAATGCGAAGACACAGCGTAGCGTGAAGATTAACCGTCCGACGGAGAGACAACTACAGTACGGCCCGGGGGCGACCGCCCACGGCAAGGCCCAACAGACTTCAAATAGACTCTTCCCACTGCGGGCGCAGTAGGCCCACGAGACCGCGACGTGGGTGTTTCGAAGTGCGACCGAGGGGACAGCCGTGGAGTCTCGCGTAGCGACGTGCGCTGCCGTGCGAGGTTGTGACACCGCTCTCGCGCGTAAAGTTTGCACCCCGTACGTCTGCCGCAGCAGGCACTGGGATGATACGCAGGTCGGGTGATGGCCTACGCACGCAGTGCTCACCCAGGCGGCGGCGGCGGTGGTGGTAGCGGCGGCGGTAGTGGTGGTGGTGGAGAGTCCGAGTGCGGCACCGTCTCGTAGTCTGGGGGTGGGGGCTGGTAGGGCGGAGGTGGCGGTCGCCATCGACGCGCCTCGAGAGCTTGATTGAGACGCTCCATCCGCTCCCGTTCCATCTCCTCCATCTCGCGCTCCAGCTGGTGTCGGCTCATGAGCGCAGCAATCCGGTCACGCGGCGGCGTCCTGCGCCAGACGATGAAGCAGCGCGCGATACCTGCTAGCAACCCCACCGCAACGAGCCCTCCCAGAACCTCGAACGCGATCGCGACAGGCGGCTGCCCGCTCGATGCGGGCGCGACGGGTGGGGCGCGAGACGGTGCGGTCGCGGTGGGTGGGGGGAAATGGCGCGTGAAGGTCGTGCCAAGTACTCCGGTCCAGGTTGGATGTGGATGGGTCGTAGGGCGGACACTGGCAGTCGGGGCAATGATAATCGAATGTTTCGACGTGGTGCTCGTGCTGTCGGACGTTGGCCGACGATCGGGGAGGTCAGTCTGGGTTGCATCGTCGGAACCGTCCTGCCCTGGTTGTCGACCGGAGCCTGTCTTGACCACGACGGCGCCGGACGTAGACACGATATGCGTGGAAGTACTGGCAGTCCCCGGGGTAGATGACTCTGCGCTGGAGGTGGACACGTCCTTGGCAGCGGGAACGGCACTAACAAGTCTGCGCGGACGGTTACGGGAGGCTGTTTAATATTGGAAAGCAGCACTCACTGGAGACAAGCGCCAACCAGGTGGAAGCATATGAGCCCAAGCCTCCAACTGAACTGCATGTGCGAGCGTGCACGGCGTGCAAACACCAGAGCCAGAAAGGCCCGGAAAAGGGCAGGAGGCGAAAGGAAGACGGAGCGGCGAGGGGCGACCGGACAGGTGGAAAGGAGGGTCAGACGGCCTGGATGAGCAGGAGGGGATGCCCAGGGCCAGGAATCATGGCATGGAAGGAGGAGGAGGAGGGCGGGAGGACGGCCGTGGGGAGCGTTGAGGTTCTGTATCCACTCGGTGCCCTGAATAGGTCGCTCATTGCCGCCGGGCTGCACTTAAAATACTTACGCGGGCGGTAGTCCAGACGTTCCGGACTCCCGGCGCCTCCTGTCACGGTCACTCGCACAGTTCCCCAGTGGCTGTGCCTTCCCCGCGCCGTGTCGTCCAATCGCTCCTCCGCCTCGGATGCCCTCCTGGCGCTCGAGCCCATCTCTTCCATCTGCCTCGACGTCGACGCCGCCGTCGCACCTCCCAATCCAACAGATGCTGGCAGCCATGCATCCGGGCATCGTCTTCTCGACGCGGTCCACCCGTGACATGCATTCCGATAGTGCCTAGCTCTATCTGATCCAATTCCACGATTCCACGCGACAGAGCGCACAAAGTTCCCTGAGCATGCATTGATGCCTCCCTTTTCAGGCCTCCGGTGACCGCCATCCCGACGGCCTTGATGCATCCAAAAAAGCCCGCTCTAGCTGCGACCAGTACGAGAAGTTCTTTCAGAACACGTTAAAGGCCACAATTCGCCGCGATCGACTGGATTCACAGTACAGCCGTCCCCCGCCATTCCGCGCAGCTACCTAGCTCACAAAGCTGCATCGACTCCAGTCTCTTGGATCCTCGTCCTCCCTGAGCTGGCGTCGGCTCTCGAGGAAGGTCTCACCGTCTTACCAGCCCGCACACTATGGTCTATCGACTCGATCTACTCTCGCGCTCTCCCTCGCAGTCTCCTACCCGCACGCCCTACGGTCGAAATCGGTTAGGCTGAAGACACCCAAACACTCTAGGCTGTTTTGATCCTCTGGATATATTCTTGGACTCTCTACGCACGTCGCGAGGCTGCCACCACCTTTCACCCGCTTAGCGGTCTTCTGCACGAGCTATTTGAAGAACGCGACGCGCGGCCTCCTCGACCCAGTCCAAGATCCGCCGACGGAATCCACCCAAATGTATGTAAAGATGGGTGCTACCTGCGCATCCGCGCCTTTCGACGGCCTTCAAGACCGCGTTAATCGCCGCAATGCGATCGCCATGTGTACTCCTGCAACTCGCACCCGAACAACGCCGTGGTCGACGCTTCCTGTCTGTCACGTCCACGTCATACCTCCCGGCCGTCGGATCCAGTGTCGGTAACTCAATAGGATCGGCCAGGATGGAGGTGCATGGGGACGCTGTGCGAGGCGGCTCGCTGGCTGCGGCACAGTAATACGGGCGACAAACCCGCTCTGCGCTCGCGCCGCTCAGCTTTTCTGCTGCGCGTATATGCGAGCACAAGGCGAGTGGACCGGATACGTCTTGGCGGTGAGTGCTGCGCTGTATAACATATCATGACTTCCTGGAAATCCAACGGTCATACTCCAAGGCATAGGCTCATACGTGTATCACGCCACGGCGCAGGTGGCCACTAACAACCGCCTACCGCAGCACGATTGCGGTAACACGCTACGGAACGCAGCGTACAAGAGCATTCGTGTCACGACAAGCTGCACCTCAATTTAAACGTCTCGCCACCAACAATGCCGCCGGTGCAACCTCCCGCTGCCGCCTTCGCATCGGATTATTTTACGTGCCCAGTACGCGCCTGCGCGCAACGTTATCTCGTGAGCCTGCAAGCTTGTGATTCGACACCCAAACCTTGCGTGCTGATACTATATATACAGCACCCTCACTGCCTCAAATGGCTGACGACGACGGGCCTCTCGGCTACCTTTCTCCCATGCCTTCTATCTGCGCATACTACGCTCAGCTATTCCAAGGGCCAGTTTGAGGCAACGGGATTGCCCCTCGTGCGTCGTTTTCTCAAGCTACAGCAGGGGCTTACAGGTATTCCATTCCATCTTGATCACTTTCTAGCCGGCTTTGGCTTCTTGCGGCTTGCGGCTGGCGTTTGCTCCAGCGGCGCTAACGCGCATAGAAATGCCGGTGCGTGCATTCCGATGCGGCGGCGTTGTTTCCGTGTGCAACCATCACGATCCTGCACCGCTTGCATGGCGTTGCGGTATACATCGGAGGAAGTAGAGTTTCTTCTCGAAGGTGACTCAAGCTGTGCCATCTTGACGCTTTACAATCGCCATTATGAGCATGACTCGAACAGTGATGCACATGAGTTACCGGCGCCCATCGCTCGGTTCCAGTCCACCCCTGACATCGGAGGTGAGTACGGTACTGAGTCTGGGCTCCCACCAGCGTGGATTGTTAGACGCGAAGCCAATTTGAACCTAACTGTGTTCCTTGCAGCGCTCGATGTATGGTTAAAGTCGACCCGAGAGTTGTTCATAGCATTCACCATGGTGATCGAGCACTAGTAGTGACCGGTGACCCCGATCCAGCCGCATCATGGAATGCTATAGTCGCCGTACGATGAACGCGATGTGGCGCATTCATGCACGCTGTTTACCGCTGTATAAGCTCTCATAGAAGCGAACATTCGTACGACACAACTGTACGGAAAACAACGGGAACATGTTGGATACACGCTGTAAGTTGCCATGATTGCGATTCGGTGGGCATTAGCCACGGTCTAAGTAAGTGCGCTCACTCAGCTCAAAGCAATTTCTCAGATGACGGGGCCCGGTGACGGGCTAAGGGGGTCGGCTGACATATCCGACGGGTTTTCGGCTTGGTCCAAACACCACAGAGTGTAAAGCCGGTGGGCATATGGCATGGTGTGGCGTCTTGTGGCCACTAGACGAAGGTCGAATAGAAACAGGAAAGCTGGCTTTCGAGCGCGATGGTATGCGTTGAAACTCTGAGTTGCCGCCACACGCGGCCTGGCACGGAACGGAGGAGAAAGCGGAGGCGCCCGGTGTCCGCGTGATTACGTGAGAGAGTCGGGCTGAGGGAGAGGTGTATTCCCGACGCGCTCCCTTGCAAAGCCTGCGCCGGCATCGACGCTGAGCATGTTTCTTACAACCTACACCATCGCCCGCCCACCCCTCAGCGCCGCAATCCCCGCACTTATACCGCCCTCTCCCCAGCCCACGACCACCCCCACCCCCCACCGCGAGCCTAGATCCCACCCGCGCCGCATCCAGCGATAAGCCCACCCAGAATCACACTCCGACAGCCCAGCCCCGTACATCTGCCATCGCTTCTGCCGAAATGGCCCATCTGCACCACGACGATCATTCATGCTCCTGCTGCATCGAACACTCCCTCGCCGATCTCGCCCTCCTCGATGCACTCACCGCGCCGGACCTGCCCTCCGCCGCGGACCTGAACCTCGCCGCGAAGAAGAAGCAGCATGCGTATAAGCGACGAGACGCCGACCTCGACCCCTTGCTCCTTGCTGCTGCCGCCTCCTACGGGTCGGTCACCCGCAACCACTACACCCATGACTTCTTCCCTGCTGTCGGCGACCCGCGGTCGGAGGGTGCGTACGACTGGACGAAGTGGCAGCCGGAGGATCCCGCAGCGCGCCAGGAGCGCAGGCCCCGCCTCAAGTATGTCAGTAGGCAGGGACCGCGCTCGCAGAAGAAGCAGGAAAACACCGCGAGCACCGATGCTGCAGAGCCTTTGCGGGACCCCAGCAATGTCGCCACCTCTTCTACTACGACGTCTGCATCCACTTCGTCGGCCCAGCCCGGGTTGCTACCCGTGAGCGCGGAGCTCCAGGTGAAGTGCATGGCTCGCACGCGGGTACCCACACCACACGGCCCCGTCTTCCTGCACCTATACCACAACTCCAAAGACAACAAGGAGCACCTCGCGATCGTCGTCGACCCCGCACAGCTCCAGGAGGACACACCCCAGCTCGCGCCGCCCATCCGCAGCCGCACCCTCGATGCCGTCTGGTCCGACTCCGAGACGGAAGCAGAGCGCATAACGCGAGGCGCATACGTCGGCCGCCTCTCAGCGGACTCGCAACGGCCCTCGCGCCCAGCAGACGAGCGCACCGCGCCGCCCGCGCTCGACACCATCCCGTCCCCGCTCATTCGCATCCACTCCGAGTGCTTCACAGGGGAAACTATCGGGAGCATGCGCTGCGATTGCGGCGAGCAGCTTGACGAGGCCATCCGGCAGATCGCGCAGCCCATCACGATCCCATCCCCGACAGACCCCGCGCAGACGGTGACGATTCCCGGCCGCGGGGCGGTCGTGTACCTGCGACAGGAGGGTCGTGGGATCGGGCTGCTGAGCAAAATCCGCGCGTACAACCTGCAGGACCTCGGGCACGACACCGTCACAGCGAACCTGATGCTGGGACATGGGGCGGACGAGCGTGGGTACGCGATCGCAGCGGCGATTGTGCGCGACCTGGGGATGGGCACGGACGGGATGGAGGGCGTGCGGCTGTTGACGAACAACCCGGACAAGATGCGCGCGCTGGAGGAGGAGGGCATCCGGATCGTGGAGCGCGTGCCGATGGTGCCCCGGTCGTGGCAACGCGTTCAGCATGCGAAGCTGGGGGGAGACACCGCCGGGGTGCGTTTGCATGATCGCGCTGAGGAGAGGGAGGGCGGCGTTACGATGATTGGGCACGGCGAGGTGTATGGGGACGATCTGGACAAGTATTTGCGGACGAAGGTCTTGCGGATGGGACATATGCTCCCTTTGCTTTCTGACCTGTGAGATCTAGACGGGGTGTGCACGATATAATTATTGTAGGGAATGCTTGCAGTACTAGCTGTAGACGCAAAAATGTCAGAAGTCAAAGATTTACAACATCATAGGCCATGTTTGACAACCGAGAGATGCCAGTAAATACCGACAAAAAACATATGTGAAGAATGGCAATTGTAGTCTGTTCTTGGCTTTCTCATGCAGAGCTCGCGCGAGAGCTGCCACTCCTAGTGTATAGCCCTGCAGCAGGGGTTCTTTGGCAGTGCGCCCATAAGTATACAGTGTAGTAATACATTCACTTTCAACAATCCTTGTCGTTGTGCCCAGGTAGGCCCTTCTTTCGTTACTCCAAGAAAACGCACATCCAGCCGTGTACGGTATGCGCGCCGCAGACGGCATCGCTCTCGCGAATTTTAACAGGTTCTGGGGGGAATGGTGGTCAAGGGTCAGTCCTCTGTAGGAGCTCCAATGTACTCTGGCTACACATACCTCGGACTGATCTGCGTGACTGCACTTTTATGTCCGCTAGAACAATAGCGATGCGGCCGCATCCAAGTTCCCTCCCATTGCATCCAGCGCGCTGACGGCCGCTTCTCGGGATGCGCCGAGCCCCATGAGCAATTGGATGGACGCCTCTGGATACCGACTCTGCGCCTGCGCCGGTGCGGGCTGCGACCCCGGTGCACCACGTCCCCTTCCAGCACCAACTGGAGCAGGCGCCGCGCCGAGCGTATGTCCGCCCCCTGGGAAAGGTTGTGCGGGCGGCTGCGCCGACGCGCTGCCAGACGCGGCGCCCGCAGCAGACGAACCGGGGGTCCCGTCGGGGACCTCCCCCTCGCCCGAGTCCATTTGGCGCGCCTTCTCCGGGAGCTCGTGCTCGGAGAGGAAGCGCACCTCGCGGCCCTGGATGCGGAGCACGTTCTTCTCGAGGTCGATGCACGCCTGGTGCGCCTTGAGCATGTCGAGCCCGAAGAGCAGGTCGACGTCGCGGCCCTCCATGATCGTGAACGAGCACGGGAGGAAGAGGTCCTCGAGCTTGAGCTGCGCGGAGTGCACGCGCCCGAGGATACGCGCGGTGCCGACGCCGCGCGCGATGCCCGCGAAGCGGCGGTCGACGAGGCGCATGATCCCGCAGGCCTCCGCGCACTCGGGGCTCATGATCGTCGACTGGGCGCCGCTGTCCACGAACGCCTTCACGGGGTGCCCGTTCACCTCGACGGGGATGTAGAGCATCGTGACGCGCCCGAAGGACTCGGGCGAGTACTCGAGCGCGTGCTCGAGGTTCTCGAGGACGGCCTGCTGCTGGATGGCCTCCTCTATGCGGCGCTGGGCCTCGATGTCGAAGGGATCGCCCTCGAGCATCGAGCGCTCGCGCTCTGCGTCCGCTTGACGGGCGTGCGTTTGCCGGAGGAGCTCGGCGAAGCGGGCGGGGTTCGCTTGCGCGGCCTGGGCGATCTCGGGGTTTGTCGCACGGAGCTGGGCCATGAGCGCGGGGTCTCCGAGCAGCTGCAGACGCATCATCTCCGCGTCCTGCTCCACGGACCTCCCAGCTACGTTGACTTTTCGACGGAGCAGTAGCATTGCGTGGTCTCCGACGCCGGCCTCGCGCATGGTCGCCTTCGGGTTGCCTAGGTCGCGTCCCTCGTGCGAGAGACTTTGTTCAGCCACCGGTATGCCGGATTCCGCTTCAAGGAGGGCCATGACGTTTTCGAGCTCCATGTTCGGGTCGATCTCGACGACGAAGGACTGGCCAAGCTCGGTGATGAACGTGAGCTCCATCGTGCAGTGCGATTGGGTGTGAGTGGTGTGCAAAAATGGCGGGACGCGGTGAGTGCGGTTGATTGAAAGGCGGGTGGCTCAGGCTGTTGTTCCGCGTTATGAGGTCGTGAGGAGTAGCAGGAATTTGTCAAAGGTGTATGTCGTGGACTCAGCAGTGATGAAAACACAGCAAAAGCGCGGCGAAGGATGATTGTCAAGAGCAAGACACGGAGACCGAGGAGAGCTGAGGCAGCGCCGAGGTGACCCAGAGCGCGGAGGCACATCGACGGACGCCGCGGTCCGGGTCGAGTAGCGCGATGCCGCCGCCGGCTCAGAGCGTCTCAGGACAGCTGGGCGCTCGACTCAACTTGCCACCTGCGCCTCACCTCACCGCGCTCACCCCACTCGCTCTTGCCGACGCCCACCCGCAGCCATGTCCTTGATTGACCCCCTCGCCGTGCCCAACTTCCCTCAGGACGAGCCCCCATGGCCGACCACACCTCACAGCCCCAACGAGCCTATACCCAACCTCCCCAGGCCCTCCCCCAACCACCACGAGTCGCGTGGCCCTCCCGCCGGTTTGTACGGGAAGGAGCCGCAGATATACGGACAGCCTGAGCCGGGACTCATCTCCCCGCGTATAAACACCTCCGCGAATGGCGTGCCATTCGAGAAGAGAGAGCCGTATCTGCGCGTGAGGATCACCGCGCTCGACCGCAACAGGCGGGACGTCCTCATTAAATTCGATGCGCAGGTGCGTGCACGGTGCGAACTGACCGCCTTGCGACTGCCACTGACGTTTACCTGCGCTCTCTTTGCCTTCTGCGTGTGATCAATTATGGTAGACCAATCTCTCAAACTTCACGGGCACGACATACCGCAACGTCTCGCGGTCCTACCTCGAGTTCCAGCAGTTTTACGAGTCCGTCATTCAGAATAACCCGCAGACTATCGTCCCTGCCCTCCCACTTGCGCGTACGTCCGCACCGACGGATGAGGAGGACGACCGGCTCGTGAAGATCATGCTCCAGCGTTGGCTCACGCGCATCTGCGAAGACCCCATCCTGATTCATGAAGAGGAACTCCGGTCGTTTGTGGAAAGCGACTTCGGGTACCAGCCGACACCTAATACGCGCAAGAAAGCGTCAGGCGGATTTAGCCTTATCCGCCGTGGCGTACCGGATGAAGATGAGGAGCTTCAGCGAGCACGGTTCGAGCTAACGAAGCTGGAAGCCCAGTTCTTCGATGCAGCGAAGGCGATTGATAAGCTTGCACGCGCAAGGAAATGTACGTTCATATACATACTCACCAGTTGTGTTGAGATTTAATCCTCTATTTTCAGCCATCGCGGCAGTGAAGGTGGAGATGGGCAACAAGCTGGTGAACGTCTCTTCAACAGAGGCCCACCCGCCGCTCGGAAACGCGTTGCAGAAGATGGGTCGGACATATCACAGCCTTGCAGACCTGGACCAGGCTCAAGGTATCAGCGAATGCGTTATCATCGGTGACTCGCTAGGCTATCAGGGTCTGAACGCGCGGTCTGCCAAGGAGACGTTGCAGCAGCGTACAGGGGTCCTGGAGGAATACCAAGCAGCTGTAAAGGCTACCATTTCGAAGAGGCGGAATATGGAGCGCTTGAAGGCTAGCAGCAACATTAGCCCTCAACGTGTTGATGAGGCCCTCGAGGAGATGGAAGAGGTTCGTAGTTGCCATTTGTGACAGGTCTAGACCTCTTGGCTAACACCAATTACGACAGGCCAACAAGTACGAGCAGATATTGGCTCGGAGAGCTGAAGGTATCTCGCAGAATCTCCACCGGGCTCTGGATAGGCACAGACGACTGGTTACGGAGGATATCACGGCCGCGCTAGTCGAGCACGTCCGTTCGACTATCATGTACGAGCGGCAGCATCTGCGCGAGCTGGAGTCCCTCAAACCAGACGTAAGCAACGCGGACCAGAAGCATGTACCGCAGAAGCCTGTCACCGCGCCACGCCCCGCGTACATTCCACCTCTGGAGGACTTTGCCCCCAAGCCACCTGTCCCTCGCCCAGCATCGGCCCAGCCTCCCAGTATGCCGCGCGCCGCCCCTCCGAGCGTGCCTCCGCTCAGCGCTTCCGCCTTCATCAATGGCCCCGCCCAGAACCCTTTCATTTCTGGCGGTGCGGCATCTCCTGTGCGCGCCCCGCTCCCTCCTCAATCGCCGGGAGCAGGTCCCTCGTCGGCCCGCACCCCATCACAGGCATCATTCGCGCCCCCTCTCATGGACGGTCCTCCCCTCGGCGGACGTCTCGTGGACGGGACGAAATCCATGTTCGTCAAGATGCCCTCATCGCCGCTCGCATCGTCTGGACTGCCCACATCCACGAGCACGTCGACGCTGCCCCCTGCTCCTCAGTCAGCGACGCCTCAAGCTGCGCCCAGGACTCCTGCGGACCCGCTATCCGCGACCTCCACTGGCCCGCCTTCAGGGCTTCCGTCTGCGGCCCCCCACCCGCTTGCAGCGTCTGCGTATATGCCATCCGCTCACTCTCAATTTGCCAACGGTCGGTCGAACACCGCCCCAACCCTCGCCAACGACCTGGACCCGCTCGGCATGGCGAAGCCTGTCAACATGTCCGCGTCGGTGCGGGTGACGCCGTCGAGGCCCAGGCTGGACGCACGAGAGGCAGCGAGCAAACTTGCGAACATGTTCTAGGGAAGCAGGTCCACGTACTACGCATGCATGGGTCCGTCAATGATATCCTATCGCTTCGGATTACACGGGTCGGAATCTACTATCCCCATGTTTGTACAACAAACGTCGGCTCCAGAACCGGGTGAGTCGCGTTAATCAAGTGCAATCTTTCCTGCCGACCGTAGACGAACTTCCATCGCTCCTCTTCGCCGTCCCAGTAGGCGTTCTCTTCTACTCTGAACCGGAGGGTCTCGTTCCGCTCGGGGACGAATGAGTATGCGTACAGCTCGATGCTGTAGTAGGTATTGGGTAGAATGCGAAGTTCGCCCAGGGTGGGAACAAACACTGGAAGGTTCGTAAAGCCTTCAGGTCGTTCAACGTATGAACACCACCACAAGCAGGCCGGTGAAGAAAACATACCAATGACGGCACCCGCTGAATGCCCAAAATCACCGATGGGATGGCAGTATATCTGCCCATCGATGCCTTCTGCCTTCATCTGGGCCAGACTTTCCTTGAGCACCTCGTTCCCGCTCTTGCCCGCTTCCATCACCTCCAGAACGATGTCCTGCATCCGGTTCGCCTTCTTCAGCCCCTCCTTCAGGCCGGCGGGGGCGTCCGTCTCGCCCTGCGACGTGCGCAGGACATAGGCCATGTGCTGCACGTCCGTATTCAGACTCATCGCGGTGATGCCGAAGTCGACATGGATGACATCGCCCTCTTGGATGACGTTTTGCGTGCCTTCCCAGCCGGGGAACGACTCCGGCGTGATGACGGACACGCGGGGATGGTTCCAGGTGGTTACGTTCAGGAAGAGCATCTTCTCCCTGTACCACCATTCTACGTCCTAGGCAGGTATCATTTTCAGTGCGCCTGCATCATCGCGTGTATGCAAATGACCAACCTCAGTCGTAGTGAATCCAGGGGTGATGACCCGTTCACTGAACGCCTCCTCGACCAACGCCCAAGTGGTCTCCTGCAGGTCGCGGTAATACCGCAGCTGCCCCGGCACGCGTGTCGCGACATACTCGACCCCGAGCATTGGCTCATTCACTGTGCGCTCCGTCCAAAGCTCTCCCATCGCCTCTGCGAGGGCCTCGTACTCGCCGACGTGCAGCCCGCCCCCAAACGCGATGCTCTTGTCCGTGTTCAGCGCGATGCGGCGTGGGTTGTATGCGTGGAGAGCAGCGCGGAGCGCGGGCCACACCGCACCCGTGTTGTCTACCCAGCGTAGCGGGTTCGGCTGCCCGGCGAGCGAGGAGGTGTTGGTATGGAAGAGGAGGACCATGCGCCGATGCGGGGCATACTCCGTTGCATCCTTGATGGACCACCAGAGCGTGTCCTCGGCGTATTCGCGTTGGACGATCTGAGCAGTATCATGGTCAATCGAAGTCTCATCATAGCATTGGCGTTCCGAATTCGATAGATTAACCTAGACTCACAAGCCAGGCGGGGATGCTATACTTGTTCAACAACGCGGGTATCCCGACAAGACGATCGTCGCGCCATGCATCCTGTATTGCGGCTTGTTCGCGGAGCGAAGGAAGCTGGCGATAAGTCGCGGGGCTAGTAGGATGCAGCTGCGCAGATGTGACATGGACCAACAGCGCGGTCAACAGCGTCCACAGGAATGCGGTCTTATCGACCATGTCCGTGATGATGACGGCTTCGTCTAAGTTCAGCCCAGTTCAGATGGCCGGTGTCCAGGACGTCCTGGAGACGGCATCTTCGAAGTTCGAACGGCATCACTACTGAACCAGGTCTGATGACTTCACGTGAGAGTGCTACTACAAATAGTAGATACATTATTTTGGGACTACTTCTCCATTCACATCCAAGCTAGCTGAGGGGCGGAGCCCACTCACAGCTGCAGAGCGAGCTTACAACAGGGTCTTGAGGATCTCCACGACCTTATCACCCATCTCCTTCGTCTTGACGCTTCCACCGAGGTCCGCGGTGCGGAGCTCCTGGCCTCCCGCGGCCTTGTCGTCCAGGGCCTTGCGCACGGCGCTCTCGATCGCCTGCGCGTACTTCTCGAGGCCGAGTGAATAGCGGAGGAGCATGGCTGCGCTGAGGATAGTGCCGATGGGGTTCGCGATGCCCTTGCCGGCGATGTCGGGCGCGGAGCCGTGGATGGGCTCGTACAGGCCGGACGTGGGCTTGAATCCAGGCGAAAGCGCGTCAGCCACAGAGGGCGCACCCGCGAGGGAGGCCGACGGGAGCAGGCCCAAGGACCCGGGAATGACGCTGGACTCGTCTGAAAGACTGTATGCATGCACAAAATTAGCGTTTGAATGCAAGAAGGGCTGACCTACTCACATGTCACCGAACAGGTTCTCGGTGAGAATGACGCCGTTCAGCTTCCGCGGATTCGCGACGATGAGCATGGATGCGGAGTCGACGAGGTGGTGGTCGAGCGTGAGCTGCGGGTACTCCGCCGCCAAGGTCTCGGTGACGACCTTGCGCCAGAGACGAGAGCTCGCGAGCACGTTCGCCTTGTCGATAGAGTGGATCGGTAGGGGCGGGTTCGCCGCCAGCGCGATTTGCGCCGCGACGCGTGTGATGCGTTGCACCTCAGGGATGCTGTAGACCATCGTGTCCCACGCTGAGTCCTCATCCGGGCCCGCGCCGAGCTCCTTGCGCGTGCCGAAGTACACACCGCCGATGAGCTCGCGAATGACGATGATGTCGACGCCCTCCGCGACGGATGGCTTGAGCGGCGAGTTGGCGAGGAGCGACTTGGAGGCGAAGTTTGCGGGCCGGATGTTGGCGTAGAGTCCGAGAGCTTTGCGGAGGGTCAGGAGGCCCTGCTCCGGGCGCACCTTCAGTTCCACGCCCCACTTGGGTCCACCGATGGAACCTGGAGAGCGGTCTCAGCTGTTTTGAACAAGCTGCGTTCGATGCATAACGTACCCAAGAGGATGGCGTCGGCCTCCTGACAGGCCTTGAGCGCGGCGGGGGTCAGAGGCTCTCCCGAGACGTCGATCGCACGCCCGCCGAAGTCGTGCGTCTCAAGCTTAATGTCGATATCCTCCGATGCGTCCGAGATGACCTGCAGGACGCGGGTCGCCTCCGCAATAACCTCAGGACCTGTGCAGAAGGTGAGCGCATCCGCATGCTATAGCAGCTTTAGGACGCACCGATGCCATCTCCGGGGAGGACTACGACGCGGAAACTGTGCAGAACCATGGTCAGGGTGTGCAGCGTGAGCGGGGCACTGGCTGCACTCACGTCTTCTGGACCATGGCTTAAATGTGTGTTCTGAGAATAGCGAGAGAGTTTGGGAGAAGAGGAGGAGTGGGAGTGACTCGCCCGCGAATACTTTCGGACGGGAGGCCGACCCGCGGTGCGCGACTCCAGTCCGCTAGACGCCCAAGCTATGGCGCGAATCTGATCTCTTCGCGCCTCGATCGTCCCGATGGCGATCTAGCATCTTGAGCACTTACACCCCCACGTGATCCTGTATTTTCGCCCTCTCTCCCGACCTCCATGGCTGCCTCGACGTCCTCAGCAGCGACAAGCGGCTCCAAGCCAGCATGTAGACACCTTGTGCTCGATGCGGGACCTCTTCTGTCGCTTTCGCCCCTCCGCGGGCTGTCGGAGGCCTACTACACCGTGCCCCAGGTCCTGGACGAGCTCAAGGACAAGCGGGCACGGGAACACTTTGAACGGCTTGGGCTGTCGGCGGGAGTGAGGATCGAGATGAAGGGGCCATCCACAGCATCCATTGCACATGGTGAGTGCACTGCCAATTGATATGCTAGGGATGCTGAAGCCAGATCTAGTGATCCAGTGGGCAAAGAAGACGGGAGACTATGCTGTGCTCTCGCATCCCGATATTTGCGTCTTGGCTTTGACATATGAACTGGATCAGCAAGAGAAGGAGGCTGCTGCGAAAGCGAAGGCGGAGAGCGATGCGTCTGGAGAGACTAGCCAGACACCAGAGGCGGAAAGCAAGCAGGACACGGACGAAAGCGCTCCGCAGGCAGAGGAGGAAAGCCCTGAGGGGCCCCTCGAGTCCGATGTCGGAGAAGTCGTTGAAGAGGTCTTCTCCGAGTCAGAAGAAGTGCCCCCTCCCTCTGAGTCGGAAGAAGACGACACGGAAGAAGACCTTGAAGAGAGGGAACCTCTTGCCGTAGAGCTCCAGCCCATTCAAGGCGAGATCGCCACTCCCACCGAGCCCTCTCCTTCACCTCTACCCACCTCCGAACCTCCCACCGCATCTCCACCAGCCGAGGACGCACCTGTTTACGATGATCCTTCAGACGAGGACGATGGCGAGGGAGAGTGGATCACACCCTCAAATGTCGCTCTACACAAATCCCGCGCGCTTGATCTCCTACCCGGAGAAGGTGCCGGGCGGAAGGGAAAGAAACCGCAAGAGACCATCCCTGTGGGCTGCATGACCGCCGATTTCGCGATGCAGAACGTGCTGCTGCAAATGGGTCTCGGTTTGGTCGGCGTAGAGGGCAAACGCATCGAACGCGTGAAGAGCTGGGTGCTCCGGTGTCATGCCTGCTTCAAGTATGTCCTGTGTTACGATGAAGGCTTCGCTCGCTCACGCCTGTATCGCAGAATCTGCAAAGACGCATCACGGAAGTTCTGTCCAGCGTGCGGGAACCCGAGTCTGCTCCGCGCGTCTGTCACGATCTCCTCCCCGAACGCGGGCCCGAACACGCCCGCAATGCAGGTGCACCTCAAAAAGAACTTACAGTTCAAGACGCGCGGTACCGTCTTCTCGATCCCCGCACCCAAGCCCGGATCCGCGAAGACCGGTCCCGGAGAGGGTCTCATCCTGCGCGAGGACCAGACGACGTACATGCGTGCGAAGAAGCATGCGGATGGGAAGCGCGAGCGGGAGGAGAAGCGGATGCTCAACGCGGCGACTAAGAGCGCAGAGATGGGGCAAGGTGGCACGGTCGTGAGCAGCTGGATGGACCCGGACTGGGTACCGGAGATCTTGAGCACTGGCACCGGTGGAAAGGGGAGGAGCGTGCGCGCGAGGGGGTACGATGGGGACATGCCTATGATCGGGTACGGGAGGAAAAACCCGAACGAGCGGAGGAGGAAGAAGTGAAGGGGCATTCATCGAGCTCACCTGTAGTATTCATCTTGCATGCGCATCGTGTCGGTTGAGATAGAGGTATCATCCTGGAGACCGGTTGTAATACACTGTTGCACGACGTACTCTCGCTTGCACGGATTCGTCTGGATCTACTGCGTGCCCAAACTGCGGTTCATGAAGCGCCGCTTCTGGAACGACATCCACCACTTGCTGGGCTTCCCTGTGCCGTCCGCGTAGAGCTTCTCGATGAGACGAGCCGCAAGCTCTTGCCGTGTTTGAGTGAGGTAGCCCCTCAGGTACTCTACATGAGACCATGTGTCATCTTCCATCGCCGTAACTGATTCTTCGAAGTAGTACTCACCAGCATCCGCCCTACTTTCTGGGGTTGCATAGTGCGCGTTCAAAGGGAAGTTGGCATCACCAGGGATGGGGAAGTTGTCCACGGCGAGTGTGTTGAGTGACTTGTTGGCATCTATCTGGTTCGGGACCGTACGCGCGGTACCGATCTTCGCTAGGCAGTCGGATACGAAGAGGATGAGGATGATGAGGAGGCGATCGGCGGGGCCCTTGATCTCAAAGTTGCGGAAGAGAGAGTTGGCACGGAAGAGATCCAGTGTCTCGTCGATGATGTCGGCCTCAGCGGGGTCCGCTATGTGCCGAGTGAAGTATGCATGTAAGACAAGTACGAAGGTATACGTCATATGCGAGGAGGGCACATACCGAGAGGAGCGGGTCCACGAAACTTGGTCTTAATGGGGAGGATACCAAGGTTGCCGACGGTACGGGTGTCAGGGAGCTCGTTGAATGAGGAGTGATATGCCTATATTAGCCGTCGTCAGTCGAGCTCCAGGGTAACCCAAAGTTAGGACAGACCGGCATGGTGGAGGATCTGGATGAAGGTAGCGCAGGAGACGCGCAGCTGCAGTGCGGACGCGACAAGAGGTCGGCAAGTTCCGATACCGCTGTGTCCAGATGCGGGAGGCGGGCGGCCCGAATGGGATGTGGAGAAGACGCGCACGGTCATAGCAAGGCACCGAAGGACGTCATGCCAAGGCAGTGGGTACTCTTTCGCTCAAAGTCTCGCTTGCGTCGCGCATCGTTGCTTCGCTCTCCCTCTGCTCTGTCTGCTTTCTTGGCTGCCGTACGCTCGTCGCGTCTCCCTGCTGTCGCGTAACGCACATCCTACGCGCCGCACATCGCCACGATGCCTCCCAGTACTGAGGATAACATTTCGACTCTGTCGGTGGTCTCCCATGATCCCTCACCGGACACAATCACTAGTACGTGTCCTTACGCGGCATTGTTTCCGGTTTACTCAACGATATACGTGGTACAGGCCTCGTGAGGCGTGTCAAGATCATGACCTTGAAGCTACTTCCCGTCGAAGTTCCCCTGGATAGCATTAGCGATCCTACCAGCCGCATTATTACGCCGCAGGTAATAAATGCCTACATGGATGCGGCGGGAGACTTCATGGAAGCGGTGAGCACCTTCGTAACGCATGCTTCTATCTGAGTCTCTGAACCTTCCGTCTATAGTTGCCGTACTGTTTGTTGCGCGCACGAAAAGAATTCGTATACGAGGCCAACCACAATCCGGCTGACTATGACGAAAACCAAGGCAGAGGTAATGAGTCCGATAGCACTTTTTCAGTGCATGTGCTTACTTGGTTTGAAGCCACCGCTTGTGAGGTGCTCGCTCGGCGCGTCGTTCACCAGGCTCCGCCGGAGAAGATCCCCGCTATCATGTCTATGCGCTTCCGTCACAAGGAGATAGACGGTGATGTGAGCGGCCGCATAAGTGCGCTTGAGATGGCTATCGACTCGCACTGGTAAGTCGCCACTGCGTAAGAGAATTTCGTAGGCACCAGAAGCCTCATGCAACCGTACAGCACAATATTTCTGTCTTCGAGCGAAGCCCAAGATGGCAAGTATTTCATTGGCAGTGATTATGTTCAGTGTACTTACTACGAGCCTCTACAGTCATACAGGACCTCTGGAGTGGGCGCACAGTACAGGTTTACGATGATGACGGCTCCGTCAGCTGTAAGCTTGCTCTCCAATTTCACCATCTATACGCGCTCACGGCCATCGAAGTTGTTCCGTATAGCGAGGTCCTATATGACGGCTTCTGGAGTCACCTCACACCAGCCCGGCTGGGTGTCCCTAGGTATCAAAACATTTTCCGGATCGCCGTTTGGTTCCTCTTCCTATTCTCCTACTCTCAGGCAGGTTCGTGTATAGCCCTTGCTGCACACTCATATGTTGAACTCACCAAACCTTGTCCAGTACGGGAACCTCTCGATAAACTGAACCGAGACCACGACGATCTCGACGAATGGGAGATCGTCATGTACGTCCTGGCACTGGCATTCTCTCTGGAAGGTAAGATAGATTCCAAACGCCTCGCGAGCACCCATTTCTGACTTACAAGCGTACAGATATCCACAAGGCAGGCCCATACCATGCCCTGTGCCGCTCAAACTCGCTCATTTGCATGCCATAGATTTACAAGATCCTCAAGCTCGTGTCTTGGCGCGCATTTGGCTTCTGGCACATCGTCTCAACCACCATAGACATCCTACTCACCGTTGCATTCACACTACGCGTAGTTGGGCTGGCGTCGGCGGGAGACCAGTCTCTGTCCTTGCGTCTACGGAGTTTCCAGTGCCTGAGTTTCGCTGCGCCACTTCTTTGGTAAGTTATCTTTCCTTCAATCCGCTCGTTCGTTGCTAACGAAGGATGTCATATTTCAGGATGAGTGAGTCTCAAAAATTCTCCGGGCGTTCTACAGGACCTATTCTGACGAATTCTCAGAATTGATACCCATCTTCGACGGCTATAAGTGAGCACCGTGTCTGGCTTGATGTATGCATATCTGACAGCATATGTGTGAAGGTTCATCGGAACAATGCAGATTTGCGTCGCTCGTATGCTCAAGGAGTCCGGGTTCTTCTTTTGCGTACGTTTTAGCGAGTTACCCTAATATCGCTGTAATTGATTGCTAACTCCGTGTTTACAGCTGCTGGCCCTCCTCGGCATCGGCTTCTTACAAGGCCTGTATGCCCTGGACGCTGCTGACGGCCAAACGGACCACCCTACGGAGGTGTGTGTTGCTTTCCATCGTTGCAGAGCGTGTACTTACCATGCGTGACCATCACAGATCCTGCACGGCTTAATTCAAGCCCTGTTGCAGTATGTCCATGCTGCTGCCTACATTGCCTTCGCCCTTGACAATTTATGCATTGCAGGTCACCGAACTATGACATGTTCAAGGCCTCGTGAGTGTTCAAACTAGGCACGTTTTCCAGTATAAGTGTAGGACACTGAACTTGTTTCGGCAGACCGCTTGGACTTGCGCTATACTATCTGTGAGTGTCTATCTCGCAATGATTTACAGGACACCGTTCACTAACATCTGTACTTGAAGCTGGAATGTGGCGACAGCCGTCGTATTGCTCAACGTCCTCATTTCCCTCTTCTCGTCTGCATACGAGGATGTCAGTCTTCCAATTTCCTGATCGTCTTGCGATACTGATGGGTTCCCTCTCCTACAGGTGGTAGAGGACGCAGCAGCGGAGTACTTGACCTACTTCGCAGGCAAGGTGATCAGTATGATCAGGGCGCCGGATGAGTTCATCTACCCGCCGCCGTTCAACATCCTCGAGAGCTTCTTCATCGCACCCCTTGAGTGAGTGTCTCTCCTCCCTGAACCATGCCCACCACACTCACCCACATTGCGCAGGTTCTTCGTGAGCTCGAGGGTGTACGCGAAGGTCAGTCTTTTTCTTTCACACACTGCCGCCTAGCACTTTCATGCTGACCCCATCCCGCCGCAGATCAACCGCTACGTGATGCTCACGATATTCTTCCTCCCGCTCTGCATGATCGCGCTGTACGAGGCGCAGTTGGACCCGGCGAAGAACCACTGGATCAAGGACTGGTTCAGCTCGCCGGACGAGGGCGGCGAAGACGCGCCGCACTACCAGGACCCGGAGGTGACCGGGGCGGACGCCGCGCGCGGGCTGAAGATCAGCAAGAAGCAGTTCAAGGAGATCATCGCGGCGTTCCCGGATACCACACATGTGAGTGCTGCGTTCCTCTGGTGGTTGCAAGGGGCGTTCTGACGTGAATAATGCAGTCGGGAGAGGCGGTGATCATCTCGGAGGTCAAGGAATTGAAGGCGGAGGTGGCGGAACTGAAGCAGATGATCGCGGCGCTGACCGCAAAGCTCAGCTGAGCTCCCACACTGCTAGAGGCTGAGGTGACGGCGCATGCTGCACATCTACCCATCCACAGTGCCTTCATTTACGACGGACACCACAACACACGGACTCACTAAAATCACGAACACTCACGATATACCTCACGTACCTTCAACATTACAATGATCAGCATGTTGTACTGGTAGTGTTTCACTAGCGCTACAGATAATGTACAGCGGGTATACCTCCGATACTGACTACGCGGGGCGCAGGTCCTATCCTTGGTCCATGCCGTCGCCTTGCGGAGGTTCGCGCGTGAGCTGAGTGAGGACAGCCATCCCTCGCACGAAGAATGGCCGGATCTCGTTGATCTCCATCGCACATAGGTTGGGCAGCTACGCGTGGTGTGTCAGAGTGCGTTTGTCTTGGAAAGCGGGCGAAGGGACCTACCATGAGCTCGTTGTGGTCGAGTTTTGAGAGACCTTCTCGACTCTTGGCTTGTCGCGCCTCACGAATATCTTTAAGCAAGCCGCGGACCCTGTCCGGATTTTGCAGGTCGTCTGGCGCTCTGCAGTCGGCGGTACGCACTGAGATGAACCGGTGGCATGAAGATAAGCATATGGACGTACACGTCAAGCAGAATTTTTGCGATTTCCGCGAAGCGGAAAGGCATCTCGCTGAAACTTGGATCGGTTGTCTCCTGCAGCAAACGCTCCTGCAGGAAGTCTAAGAAGCATGCCCGTGTGAGGTGACTTTTCCAGGTATACGAGCAGCGTGCAAGCACATACCGACATTGAGCCATGAAGGGGGGACAATATGGCACTTCTTCTTGAGCTTCAAGTTCGATGCCATCCAGAGTGGGACCTTGCACTTAGTGGGTGGCCGCAGGGGACCGTACGCGCCCTAGAGTTCTCATGTTGGCAAGCAGGCTAAGGTGTGTAATGGCAAGTATAGCGTACGGAGATAAACGCGGTGCGTTCCATGGATACGAGAGGCACGATCTCCACGAGCTGTTCCGAGGCGACCAGCTCGAGCTCCGGCGGGCTAATCGATGTTCGCAGAGACGGAGGAAGAGCCATGTCGTCGAACGTTGTTCAGAGCTGGTGAGAGCACAGCTGGTCAACAAGAAATAAAGCAGCAGAGGACAGCAAGGGGCAGAAGACAGCAGAGAGCAGGAGAGAGCAGAGTGAGGCTGAGAGTCCGGGGACGCGACTTTGAATGGGGAAGTCACGATCACGTGGGATGACGCGTGTCGCGTTTTGCCACGGTTCGTTTCTGGCCGTCTCGATCCTCTCCTCGGCGCCACCGTGCGCTCCTGCTAAGGCTGACTGCTCTCCTTGCACCCCTCCTGCGCCCTATTCCCGCCCGCAATACTGGAGACATTCACTGCGCAATCTACCACGCTACCTCTTCAGGACTGGATCCCGTGGGCAGCTCTCTTTCTCTGCCTCCTCGGTCCTCTCGCATACACCACCATGTTGGGCGCCCGGACCAAGCAAGTCTTTGCATATGGCCGCCGTGGACATCGCATCGTCAATGTATCCGATGACGCCGACCGCCGTAACACGAAGGAGGCCGATCATGTAGACACTAGGCGTGAAAACGCCGTCCCGGAAAGCCCACTGGTTTCTTCTAAAACACTCAAGACCTCTGTGGTGCAGAAGTCCTCACAGCGGGCGGGAACTGGAAAGAAGTCCCCCAAGGTTGTCAAAGTAGGTGCAGCGGTGCTCCCGAAGTCCAAGCGACATGTCCTGGGCTCCTTCGCACCCAATGCACCCGCCTCTCCGGCCGTAGCTGCCCCGTTGAAGGCGAAGCGTCACCCGACCGTCGCCAAACGCTCGGCCTTGGCCCCCAGTTCGCCGATCGTGAACCTGGACATCGTTGTCCTCGATGGACAAGGCCGGCGCGTCAGCCAGGAGAGGCGTATATCTCGTTCGGACGTTACGGCCAACGTCTTGGCTGCCCCTGCTCTTGAGCCTAAGGCTCCTGCTCGCGCGAAGGCAAAGAAACAGGATGAGCCCATCGTCCTCAGTTCAGGCACCGAAGATGAAGCACCCGCTGCTAGGCCAAAACGGACTACTCGCATTCGCAAAGCAGCTCCAATAATCATCTCGGACGATGAGAATTCGGGTTCAGGTAGCGACTACGCGCCTCCTTCAGCAGCAACATCGCTTGAAGCCGACAGCTCTTTGGAAATATCTACGCCTATACCGAAGGCTAAACGTGGGCCTGCACGAACTCGGGTCAACGTCGTCTTATCCCCGCCTCCCAGCCCTTCGCCATCGCCTCCCTCATCACCTCTTGCGACGCCACCGGCTCACGTCGACGCTTTCCATTCCCCAGTGCCTCAGAAGAAAGCGGACCTCCCTTCAGTGTCTGTCGCCAGGACTCACACTCTACCTAGCCAACCGCTCCGCCCCCAACAGTTCGCTCCCTTCGCATCTCTTTCCCAAATCGACGAGGCAGGCCCCAGTCGCTCGAAGCCACGATGTCTCACCCCAATCCGCGCCCGTCCACGACGCGCGCTCTTCCCCGCCCCGCCCTCTCCACCTTCCCCTACTACGCCCACTGACCTCGATGTGACGTTCGACTTCGCTCAGCTCGCGCTTTCCCCAAACGCACTTGCCGAAGTACAGCAGCTAGGCGAAGCAGGACCACTACAGCCCGCACACATCCGCCCTCTGCTCGAGGAATGCGCGCAAGCCGGCCCGCACGAGTTCTCCGCCTTCATCGAGATGTTCCCCTTCGACCCGATCGTGCAAGACACGTCCGCCGAGGGCGCGGGTGCGGGGCCGCCGCGCTTCCTCAAGATCGGCGAGGCGAGCTTCTCGGAGGTGTTCGGCATCGGGGGCGTCGTGCTCAAGATCATCCCGTTGCGGGACGAGGAGCGCATGGGCGCTCTCGACGGGGTGGCGGACGGCCCCGCGCCGAGCGACGCGAAAGACGTGCTGAAGGAGATGATCGTGACCCGCGCGATGGGTGCGACCTGTCCGGGGTTCGTGGAGCTCCTGCGGACGTACGTCGTGCGCGGGAAGTACCCCTCGCTCCTCCTCGACCTGTGGGACGAGTACGACGAGCGCAAGGGCAGCGAAGGCGTCAGACCAGGTTCGTCCTTTCCGCGGGCTCTTGGATATACGGGTCACTAACGGGTGTATGCGCGACAGATACGTTCGGCGTCTCGCAGCTGTACGCGATCATCGTGCTTCCGAACGGCGGGCCCGACCTCGAGGCGTACACCTTCAGCTCGCCCACCAAGACCGGCTGGCGCCAGGCGTGCAGCGTTTTCTGGCAGGTCGCCCGCACGCTCGCGGACGCGGAGGAGCTCGTCAGCTTCGAGGTGCGCATACACTCATTCTCATTCACTCTACATGACGGCTGACGTGCGCTCGATGCAACAGCACCGCGACCTCCACTGGGGCCAGATTCTGGTGAAGAATGTCACGTCCGCGAAGGGCGCCGCGGGGCGCCGCAAGAGCCGCACGTCCATGGACGACGCGGCCCACGGCGTGCTCGTGACGGTCATCGATCTCGGCCTCGCACGCATGGATGCGCACGACGCTGGCGGACACCGCGTCCACTGGACGCCGTTTGACGAGGAGACGTTCGAGGGTGAAGGGGACTACCAATTCGACGTCTACCGCATGATGCGCCAGCACAATGGCGACGCTTGGGAGGACTACCGCCCGCTCACGAACGTGATGGTACGTCCCTGCTTTCTCGCCACTCTTGTTCCCCGCGGGTCGCTTACGCCTACCCCAAATGCACAGTGGCTGCATTACTTGGCGGTCAAGCTCCTGAAATCGAAACGCCTGCGGGCGCCCGCAGCGGCACGCAAGAGCACCGCGGCTGCCCCGGCGGCGGCTTTCAGCGAGCGCGACTGCTACGAGTGTCTGAAGGAGGTCGAGGCGCTGCTCGCGCAGTGTCTGGCGCCCCAGGCGCCGCGCAAGGGCAGGCGGAAGACGCAGGCCCCCGGCAAGGCTGGGAAGGCGGTGCCAGGGCTGGGCGCGGGGCCGCAGAGTGCCGGGGAGCTCGTCGCGTTGGCGGTTGAGAGGGCGTGGGTGTCGTGAGCGGGAGCTCGATAGTTTCGTTAGTTGGGATGTGTGCACATGGATTCTACCGGTGTATCTTGAGCTGTATTGTATACATACCTAGTTCGCCGTATTATATATACCCCCGGATTGTAGCGTTACAACTAGCCGCTTGAACGTGGCGTGGCGTGAATAATTGTATGAATGGTTGTATTTGTATTCGCATTCGGCATAAAGGTGGCTACTGGTAGCGAAAGCTAGTAGAAGACACGTTGGCAGTCATTATATAGACGGTAGATGCTACAAAGGCCCGGGATAACTCGTCGGAGGCAACGTCCGGTCCGCTCCAGGTGTAGGATGGTCGGTGGGAATGGGGGATGGATGGGGTGGGGAACATAGGAGCTGGCCATGGGGCGTCCGAGTGCTGTGACGAGAGGATACAAACATGTTGGATGGGGAAAATACACGAACACAACAGCTGGAATAAGATAATGTAATACGTACGCGGTCGGGTGGTTTCCTCTCCTAGGGATACACATACACACCCACGATATGTCATCTGTACACTTGAACGCGATGCGCCCCTTCTTCTTCCTAGGGCAGCGCCGACAGACTAGATATCAATCACAGGCCGTCGGCGACTCGATAACTTCTCTGCACGCCGGCAGTGTAGGGCGTCCTGCTTGGATGGAAGATGGGAAACTATCTGATAGCCTCGGACACCGGCACATCGCCATTCTTCCGCCGGTCATACCGTGTCTTGCCTAGCGGTGCGTCCGCGGGCGGCGACGGTTTCGCCTTCTTGCGCGCGGGCGGCGCCGCGTTCTCCGTCTTGCGCGCTGCGCCCTGGTTCGACGTACGAGTACGGCTCAGCGCACGACCTCGACCGGTAGTGGGCTTCTTCGTATTGGCAACCACGGCCGCAGGAGGTCGTTGGCGGAGATGGTACCGCGGGGAGCTTGGCCGAGCGTCCTGGAGTACTGGGGTCGTGGGTGGCGGCGAGACGGAGGATGGCGGTGACTTTGATGAAGAAGGTGCGAAGCGGTTGAACTCCGCCTGTGGAGGCAATTGTAGATCGTGTCGGCGACGGGACGGGGTGCCAGCGGGCGAGGACCCGAACACGGCGGGATGCTGCGACCGCGCCTGTGACCGCGCAGGGGAGAAACCGAGCTGCGACATCGTAACGTCGTCTTCGTCGGGGAGCTGCGGGAGAATCGACTCCAACTGCGAGGCGGGCATGGCGCTCGTGTTCTGTACGGTAGGCAGCGGCCACTGTAGGGAGCCATTAGGCGTCACGAGTGGCGTGTCGATCCACGGCTCCGATTCCTGCGACTCGCCCTGCTGGCTCGCCTGTGAGGGAGAGACGTTGTTCGTGATGGCAAGGGGGCTCAGCGACGTGGTCTGCGCCTGCCGCCGCGGCCTATGCGGCGTCGACGGACATTGTGCGCCTTGCGACGGGCCCGCTGGCGACACCGCCCGCAGCGCGCACGGGAGCGCAAACCCGCCCTCGCGGGTGGTCAGGCCTTGGGACTGCGCCGGCTCCTCGTCTGCGGGCTCCGTGAGCGTTCGTCCGAGCGCTTGCGCTCTCTTGCGGAACCGTGAGCTGCGGCTCACGCCGGTGCCGTTCGAATCGATATACCACGTTCGGGGAATCGATGGATCTTCGACGTCGCTCTCCTCGCCGTCGGCGTTTCCGTTGAGCATGTCACGCGTGCGCTTGAGCGTGCGGGTCCTGGGCTGTGTTTGCACGGCGAATCGCGGGACGGTGGTTACGGGCGGCAGTGTTGTCTCGTACGCGAAGTCGCGGACGGTGATGCCACACGTGGCTAAAAGGGCGACATGGCTGGACTGGTCAAGGCCGTCGCGCGCGAGCGGGTGCTGCGACGCCGGCGGCGGCGAGTATTGGTGGTGAGGCTTCAGACACAGAGAGCTTAAGGATTTCGGACAGTTGGCATACATACACGACTCTTCACTCACGATGGGGGCTAATGCGTTCTGGCTGTCGTTGGATTGGCTCATGGCGTCATCGGGGTCGCCGTTGGGCTGAGATGTTAGTGCACTCATGTGTTCTTCTTGTGTTTCTTGTGTTCAGAGACCAGGCACGCGTTCTTGAGACCGACGGCTTGTGAATTCGGGGGTGGGCGGCGGCGCGCCACCGGACGGACGGCTTGTTCGAGAGTTGTAGCTGGGTGTGACCCTGAACTAATTTGGCGACTCGTGATGTTGATAAGCCAACGTCACAGCTGTGTCTGGTGGCTTGGGAGCTGGACGCAGGTCGCTGGACACACTGGGTCGAGCGGGATGCAGAGAGACGAGTTGTCGTCGTCGCAGTGGCCGCGCAAGGAGTCGTGGCTTGTTGGTGGTGGTGGCTGTAATGAAAGCCTGGCGGGTCCAAGCTGTTCAGCTCTCTCGGCGAGTCAATCGCCCCGCTTTAGGAAGACAGGCGCGCATATAGTCACACCTGTCACGCCGCCGCCGTACCGCCACAGGCGCCCCGCGCACCGAACAGACGCCGGCCGCCCAACCGCACTCGGGCGGATGCCATCACCCGCGTCCGACACGCTTGCTCCGAAGTCCTCGTAACCCCATTCCACATCGTCCGTGGCCCTGGATGCGGCGTCGTCTCAGCCAGCCTTCCAGGCTTGCCACAGCGCCAGCACGCTCGCAAGAGGCTCTGTAAATGTAGGCCTGCATCGGTACTACTTAGTAGGTCTGTCAACATCCACTGGATACCGCGGCGCACTTCCCACTGACTGACGTGACCACAAGTCTAAGATGAGATGTTCCTCCGCTTCGCAGGCGACGCTAACTGCCACGAGGCGCGGCCCCTGAACGCGATGAGAGACCGCCCCGGCCAATAGTGTGCAGTACGCATCAAGCTGTGCATCTTCTACGATTGAAACACGCCGAATGCGTCCTCGGCTGAGACCCGGCGATGGGGAGAAGCATCATAAACGTGTCTAAGTAAGCGTATTATTTACTGACAGTGACCCGAGCACTGTCGAAGGCCTTCCCTCCCTCTTCCCTCCCAACCACTAACGACCCTCCGCCTCTCCTCCCGTCCTCCTTTGCAGCCATGGGCGACTCGCTGTTCATAGTAGACGACCACAACCTGAACTCCATCATCTATGACACGCAGGACTTGTGGTTCCCTACCGCGAACGTCGACGCCGCGCTCCAAGGCACGCTCACGGAGGGCGTAACGGGAGCGAAAGCCAGCCTGACGTTTTCGGGTAAGCATACCCCGATCATACAACCTACCAGAGTCCTTACACCCGTGTCTAGGAACCGCACTCGCTGTGTTCGGTCTCGCGACGACCGCAAACAGCTCGGCCCCCACGATCCAGTTCTCCGTCGACGGCAAGGTGCTGCAGACGACGACCGCGCCTAACAACGGCAGCGTCAACTTCGAATTCCCATTCTTCGACATCGAAGATCTGTCAAGCGCACAGCACCTGCTCGAGTTCACCGTGCTCAATGCCACCACGGACTACCCGTTCGCGCTCGACTTCATCGCGTACCAGCCCGTCAGCGGCGCGGCGCCGACGGCGTCCCAGCAGGTCGTCACGAGCTTCCTCCCTGCCCCTACGGGCGCGCTAGCGACAGCAGCCGCCTCGAGTTCGTCGTCCAGCACCCCCGTGGGTGCGATCGTGGGAGGCGTGGTCGGCGGTGTCGCCGTGCTCGTCGCTACTGCCATCGCCGTGTATCTCCTGTGCTTCAGGCACAAGCGCAAGGGAGAACCGTATCTCTACGCGGCTCGTGGACAGGCCAGCGACCTCCTTGACCAAGGTAAGTTTCAACATCCCCCGGCAGATTTCAATACTGACTTCGCACCACAGAATCGAAGCCGACGCCCTACGAGGTCCCGCAAGCCACCCCGGCCTCTCTCGGTCCCCAGTCCCGCTACAGCGCCGGTCCCACCTCCGCATACAGCGCGCCGTCAGCTTACACTTCGCCCGGCCTAGGATACAACAGTCCGGGTTCAGCACCATACACACCCTCCGAGGCGCCTGTCAGCGACTACACCTCTGTGTCCGGGCCGTCCCACCCGCCGTCGCTCTTCGTCGTCACCAACGCGCAGGCCCCGAGGGACAGCCCGAACCAGGCTATGAGCAAGGCGGCGGAGGCGGGGCTGCTGTCGGTACCACAGCCTGCAACGTTTCACGCGGACTCGGGGATCCGCTTCAACTCGGCCGGGGAGCCGTCGTCATCGACAGCGGCGGGGACTTCGCACGTCCTTGCTGCGCCCGAGCTGGCCGACGTGCCTCCCACATATTCGGAAGCGTGAGGAGGCGGTGGCTGGGAGGATTTGCCCATGCATTGCGATGCGTGCGCCGTTTGGTAGCGCAGGGCGCACGCGACTTTGCAGACTTTCCTGACAGTACAGTGGTCCATGACTTATATAGCTTCACGACCCTCTTACCCATGTACAATATCTCTCGAGTAATTGGCAGGTCCGTGTATTCACGAACACCCTAGCAGGAGAAAGCACAACCGCGAATCCTGTGAGCGTCTCGGGGTTCTCGGTGGTCCGCGGCGATGCGCAATGTTTCAGACGCGAGGCGCGCGCTCGGCGACACGACGCGACGGTGGTGAACCGTGATGGACCTGGGCAGCCAGGTCATCGTCTCGTACAGCGTACGCGGGCTATACGGGGAGGGACACCATGCATATCAAATTCGCTTTTGTTTTCCTTGTCCCCGACCCCCACGCCCGTCCCACTTCGCAGCTTCGCCGCTGACCGGCAGGCATACCATGCCCGACGTGAGCGTTGACAGCGCGAACACGACCGCGATCGAGTATGATTCGTACGGACCTGCGCCCTGGCAGCTCATCCAGACGGGCAACAATGGCGGGGTTTTCGGGCAGACGTTGACCAGGGTGGAGGGTACGGGCGGTGTGGTCTTCCGCTTCCACGGTGAGTGCACGTGCCCGCTCACAGTCACTCGGAATTACCTGACATAACATACTGCATGTTCGTACGCGCCTAGGTACGCAGGTGCAGGTGTTCGGTTCAATCACGCCTCCAACGGACGCGGGCGCGACCGCGACGTCGTCGTATACGATCGACGGCGGGCAGACCGCGGCGTTCTCGTCGGCGTCGGTCCAGCTCGCGCTGGTATCTGAGCAGGACGGACAGCTGTTCTTCGACTCCGGCACGCTCGCGGACGGGGACCATGTCCTGGTGATCAACGTTACGCTCGCTAGCACGTCGGAGCCGTATTTGCTCGACTTCATCAAGTATGCGGCCACAACGGCCACAACGACTTCGTCAAGTACGACATCGGCCGCCGCAACCTCGAGTGCAAGTGCAAGCGCGACCGCGTCGGTCGGGCCGTCGCACAAGAACATCGGGCCGATCGTGGGCGGGGTGGTGGGAGGCGTGCTGGGCTTCGCGCTCCTCCTCGGCGTCGGCCTCTACTTCTTCTTCCGCTACTTCCGCCACCGCATCTCGCTCTCGGGAAGAAGACGCGGCGGCAGGGGTACGTCCTCCCCCTTGAAGTTCTCTTACGTTCCCCGCTCACCTTCGCGCCCTCGCGCCCCTTCCTACAGAAGATCTCGTCGAGGATCTCATCGAGGACGATAAGCCCGGCGGGTCGGACACGGGCCCGCCTCGCACGTCCTCGACGCCGTTCCGAAGCGAGCCCTCATCCGACGCGTCCACGCCCTGGCGCGCCGGAACGCCTGTGCTGCAACTGCACCCGCCCCCAGCGTCGAGCGTCGGCCCGGACGACTCCGCGTCGCAGGTCGCAGGGCGTATCTACGCGGCTGAGCTCGCGCAGCAGCACCGGGACGCACGCGCGGCGGCGGGCGCGTCCAGTTCTACTCTCGCTGGACCTGCATCTGGTTCTGGCTCGGGCCCTGGTGCGGACTCGCACCGGAGCCGCGACAGGAAGGATCCCCTCCCGCTACCAGTGCCCGAGGAGCCGGAAGCGGTGCAGCACGAGGACTCGGGCATCCGCTTTAGGGAGGGGACGTTGCCGCTGGTGCCGCCGGCAGAGGTTGGCAGAATCGAGGAGGAGCCGCCAGAGTACACACCTGCGTCCTGACGTGCTTCTGCGCCTGCACCGGCCTCGGGTGGGAGGTGGGCGGAGGCCTCGTAATGCGAGGGACGAGATGTGGCCGGAGGGCGGACCGCGTGTGGGGTGGGTGGTGGGCATGCCGGATTGGGCAGGCTCAGGCGTTGTGGCTTCAGGTTGGATTCTACGCATTAGGATGGTACTGTATTGTAATAACTATTATATACCGTGTTCGAGGGTGAATCGCTGTAGGGTCTGGGGCGATTCCGGCTGGCCACGCGAGGCCAAACTTTGCGCTTGGCCGATAGATCGAACCCATGTGTGCGGCGGAGCCGGGCAGAAGGAGGGTTTGGAGCGCCACGCCGCGCCGCGTCAGCGCAAGGCCTTCCCGTCTCCGTGTCCCCCAGCGAGGTGAGTATGGTTGCGCTCGCTGAGCTTGAGCTAGTCGGGCTTGAGGCAATCGCCACCGTGGTCCAGCGGGATGCCGGAACAGCCTTCGCGCAGACTAGCGTGGCTCATGCCTTCTTGAACTTGCGCAGGCTAGCCTCCATAAAGCTACATGACAGCCGTCAGCAGCGGCGACACGGACCGCGCGTCAATGTAGGACATACCCGCCGAGGTCCCCATCCAGGACGGCTTGCACGGCGGCGGCAGACGCTACCGTGTATTCTGTCCGGAAGTCCTTCACGAGCTGGTCCGGCTGCAGAGTATACGAGCGGATGTGCGGACCCCAGGACTCGGCGGGTTGCGCATGGTCTGCGGCTGCAGCCGACTGCGCTCTATATCGGGCCTTTGAGTACGTATCTCCGGGGTCCGCGAGTCGGGGTACGGGGGCTTACTGGTTCTGTATCTCCGTGTCATGTAACTTGGCTCTTAGTAGTGAGAGCGTAAGCGTCCGGTTCTGGTGCACACTGGGCTCCTGCTGGCACTGGGCAATGCAGGGCGGGGTCGGATCTTGTGCAGAAGCCGCAGCCGCAGACAGAAGACTCACGGATACAGTGATTCCTGTGGGGGTGTGTACCACGCGCACGGCGTTCTCTGGCTGACCAACGTGCGGCTCATCTGCGATGACTGTCGGTACCATTTATCAAGTTATGTGAGGTATGGCTCACCGTTACTGTGGCTGCGCATGGTGGTGATTTGCAGATCCGCCGGCTTGAGGTCGACAGCGGCGCTAATTCCATCGTCTTCGAGGCATGGGAGTACGCGAACATCTGCTGAGGAAGTGTGGCATACCCCGGTCTTGTCGAACGGCGATATGCGAATGAGGCTGTGTGTGCCGGATTCGTATTGAACATATCCGTACGCATAGCGGCCCTCGACCAAGATTGTGGTAGCTTTGACACCTGCGATGTCCCCAGGTGTCACGTCGACAGTTCTTACTGAAAAAAAGCGCTGTGAGATGCAGATTATTACGGAAAGTATAATGTATCGTACCAGTGTAATTTCTGGAGCTTGCCCATTTTGTGTACATGCGCGCGAGCGTAGATGCCCAATCGCAGGCATCTGGATCCTTGGAACTGGCTCGAATGTCGATGTACGCGGAGTTCTGGTCCAAAGGGTCCGATAACCAAAGAGATACGAGGTATTCTTCTGCACCACGGCGGAGACCTTGCAGATCCAGCAGAACGGCGGACTGCAGGTCGGCGTCCCCAGCCTTCTCGGCCAAGCCTACAAGGCGGTACAATCTGAGAGAAAGATGCTAAGAGGAGCTACATGAGCATACCAGAGAGTTCTTGTAGGCGGTCGAATGATGAGCGCAGTCGACGTTGAGTTGAAAGTTTGTGCTGCATGTCGGCGAGATGCGACTGGACCTTTGCTGCGCCGGCCGGATTCGTGATCCATAGTTGGGGGTCCTGAAGGACAGAATGAGTTCGGTGGTAACGAATACGAGAGTATGGTGAGCGGATTGTTACCTCCAAAATTGCTTCCGTCTGTTGTATGGCTTGAGAAACCTTGTCGACGTCTACAAACTTATGTATGCTTTCCAAGGTGCGCTCCATGTCCGAGATAGCATCACAAAGATTCACAGATGACGCTTTGTGGGTTCTCGGAGGAGTAGAAGCGACATAGTGTCTTCGTAGATAGGCTGAAGGACTTCTGAACAGGTTGCGACTCCCCGTCAGACAACGTTTAGGAGGGCAGGACTTGGCAAATGTTCCATGCGCGACGCGCTGGACGATGCTGAGCATGCGCGTTTCCTCTTGGCAAACCTATCAGCCTTCGAGCTGATGCACCCTGGTGAGCTGGTGGTGGGACTGGCTCAAATAACCGCAAAGTGAGCGGAAGCGGTCGAAGTTCATACGAACAGGCATCGTGGCGCCACCGGATCAGTGCGAGACGCGTCGCGCGACCCCCGCGCGTTTGGCGCCCATTTGCCACTGACGCAGACCACTCGGCAACGACCAAGCTTGCAAGTCTACCACCTCCTCTCCATACCCCTCCTCCCCCCTCGCGACACTGGCTGCTCGTTTTGTGCTGTAACTTATACGCTGGGGTAAACCGCAAAACTCTGCACGTACCTCGTTTAGCCTAGCCGGATGCTCGCTTAACACCGGTACGTCTGTCTCAATTTCTACCGCGGCCCAATGGTATGTCTTATGAAGGAGATTCTCCGCAACAGTGTCTCTTCCACTGTACCGCATACCGTCGCAGCACACTCGCCGTGCTTCCGAATCGCCACAATGCTCAGGCGCGCCTGGAAACCCATACTGGGTACTTCCGTCCTAGTCGGTGCCCCCACCTATATCTACTACCGCTATAACTCAAAACCGAACCGGGAAACGTTTGACATCTCCATCAAGGCTACAGGCCCGGACGGAAAACGACATGTCGTCACCCAGGCCATCCCGCTCCTCACCAAGGACGAAGTCGACACACGTATCCGCGAGCACGCCGCCGCGCAAAGCGTCACTCGTCATGGCGGCATCGTTTGGAAGTCCCAGACCGCACGCCTCGCGTCGAACGACCCTATCGAGGATGCGAACGCGAGCCTGCTCATCGAGCGCGACGCGTCCGATGCGGCCCCGCTCGGTGACTACCTCTTCTTCGCCGTCATGGACGGCCACGGCGGCCCGCACACCTCTCGTGTCCTCTCGGACGTCCTCATCCCCACTGTTGCGATGGAGCTCGCCTCGCGAATCAACGACCCGAATGCATCCCTGTCCGACGCCGGGTTGATTGCGAAGGCCAAGTCTCTCGTCTGGCGTCCCTCGTCTGCGCCTTACGACGCCGACCCCGCTAATGTAGCGCGCGCCATCGAGGCAGCCTTCAACAAGCTGGACGCGCAGATTGTCAGCGCACCCCTGGAAATCCTCGCTAACTCTGTGAATCCGGAAGACCTGAAGAAGAGGCTCATACCGGACCTCAGCCAGCACCCGCTGGGGCAGTCTAGCATACATACTGCTATGTCTGGTAAGCAACCAGCGATACGTCTGACTACATGCCGGCCTCTCAACTTAAAATATCTCGACTCGCAGGCAGCTGCGCACTGCTAGCACTGCTAGATACCTCAAACCGCAACATGTATGTCGCGGTGACTGGCGACAGCCGTGCTGTTGCGGGTGTGTACGAGGAGACGAATGATGGTAAGGGCACCTGGCGCGTCGAGGTGCTCACAGAGGACCAGACGGGCCGTAATCCCAATGAGCTGAAGCGGTAAGCATTCGATTTGGGCTTGCGTCTGCACACATCCGCTAAGAGATACTGGTAGGCTACAGTCTGAGCACCCGGCAGATGAGGCACAGTCTGTCGTACGAAACGGTCGCATTCTCGGCGGTCTCGAGCCCAGTAGAGCGTTCGGTGATGCCCGCTACAAGTGGCCACGCGAGGTCCAGGAGGTGTACGTTTTTCTGCCGTGCACTCACCTTCTCACTCACTCGCTCATATCGTATTCTTCCGCTCAGATTGAGCAAGGCTTTCATGGAACCTAGAGGCGAGTCCATGCGCGCCGCGCCCCCGACGCTCAAGACTCCGCCCTACGTGATCCCCACACCAGTCGTTACGCACCGTCCGCTTTCCTTCCTCCCGCTCCCCTCCGATGCCTCCACGCCTGCGCCGCGCTCTGCACTGCGCTTCCTCGTGCTCGCGACAGACGGTCTCTGGGACGAGCTCTCGAACGAAGACGTCGTCGCGCTCGTCGGCGGACACCTTGCTGGTCTGCGCGGCACCATCCCCAAGGCGGAGCTTGCGCAGCGCGTACCCACGGCGGCCGGCTCTGCCGGCGTTGACGGCAAGGAGAAGGCCGTGCGCTCGACACAGCGGGGCTCGTGGGCGTTCGAAGACGACAACGTTGGGACGCACCTCATCCGCAACGCGCTCGGGAGCGGGGACCAGGAGCACCTGCAGAAGCTCGTGAGCATCCCCGCGCCGCACTCGCGGCGCTTCCGGGACGACATCACCGTCACGGTCGTGTGGTGGGAGGATGGCCGCGAGGCGCAGGCGCAGGCGGAGCGGGTGGCCGTCGCGCCGGGGCAGGCTGGGGAGCAGGCGAAGGCGAAATTATGATAGCGGACGTGTAGCGTACATATTTGCCATAATTCACGCGGTATATCAGGGGCAGCCTCTCTCTGCGTCTTCCTCTATTACATATTCCGACGGTGATGATGTATATATTGCGAGGACGAGATGGTATGGTCTATCGCACAATGCGGGGGTGGTAGGAGGGGTGGTGCAACGCGGTGGTGGGGGTGAGTGATCATAGTGATACAGTAGGAGAGCGAGAGCATGGCCAATACAACAGCGTCCGCGCGCTCTACATCAAGAACCGCTTCTTGCGGAAGCGGCCGGCGGGGGAGCTCGAGGGCTCTCGCCGGTCCTTGAGGTTGTTGCTCCCCTTCAATCGGCTGAACGGGTTCGCGCTGCCCATGCGACGCTCCTTCTTCGACGACGTGGGTGGGGAGATCGGCGTCCGGGCCCAGGTGGTCAATGATGCCTCGTCGTCGTCGCCGTCGGGACTCTTCCGCTTCTTGTCGTTCGAATTGGAGGTGGGCGTGCCGTAGAAGGACGCTGGGGGTATGGGCTTCTCGGACGAGGCTGCGGTAGGGGGGAGAGGGGGTGCGGATGTGGAATCGGCAATAGCTTGTGCAGACGCAGACGAAGAAGCGGGGGCAGGCTTATAATCGTCCTTCTCGTCCTTGCTCGGCACCTTCTCCCCGACGTCGTCTTCGTCTTCGTCGTCACCATACTGGCCGAGGCTTTGCAAAGCGCCCTTCGCCTTCTGGGAGTCCGCTGCTGCGATCTTCTTCTTCAAGGACTCGGCCTGCGGGTCTGTCGCCTTCCGGGGCTCCTTTGCAGGCGTCTGCGGCGGCGGCGTGGGGAGGCGTGGGCCTATGAACCTCCGGGGCGTCTTCGCCGCCTTGGGTTTATCGTCCTCGTCCTCACTTTCCACGATCTTCCGCTTCTTCATGTTGGCCACAAGTCCAGTCTTGGGCGGCACAGGTGGAGGAGTCGCCGGGGTCGCGGTGGCGGCCTTACCGTTGACGGCAGCCTCGAGGGCCTGGCCCTTCTCGCGGATGTAGAAGAGCATATATGCACTCCTCATGTTTGTGGGCGCGCTGCTCTGACGCATGACGGACTCGTCGTTCATCTCGTACCACGTCCCGTTGCCACCCTTGACGTGGGCGTAATAATGACCGGAGTTCGGCCCGCTGCCGGCGTGTGAGATGACGGCGTACAAGGAATATGATGGGCCGAATTTCCCATCGCTCATGTATGGCTGCAAGGTGAGGCGCTCTGGGTAGCTCACTGGATGCGGGATCTTGCGGCCCATGGGTGAAAATCGCTTCAAGTGAAGAGTGAGGACCACTGGTGCTTCGTCGATGGTGAACCGCTTGTCAGCGTTGACCGGTTTCTTGCACCTGTGAGGGACGTCAGCTAATGCGAGCGTCGGCTGCTGCTTGCCTACGCACTTTTCGCACTTGTACTTGTCCGCTCCACGCAGACGGTCCACAGCAACGAATTTTCGTAGCGCATCCTTGAGGGTTGCCACGCCCGCAATGTCAACACTGAGGTCCAGCATCCTGTCGTAGGTGTCGCTGTTATAGTCGCAGGACAAGCAGTTCACGCGGGAGCGAAGGAGACCGCCAAAGATCTTGTAAACCCAGGTCTTCTCCGCAACCTTCGGGTCAACCTTTCTGAGTGGAGGTCAACCAGTTGTCGGCTTGGAGGGATACCCTATGCTCACCCAGGAAGGCCTGCAAGAGATGACTTCTGTAGTGCATCGACGAGGTAGCGTAAGAACTCGTGTGAATCCTCTTGCCGTCCTCTTCTCATTTGCTTCGCGATCACTGCATAGAATGTTGGAGCTGGTAAAGTAGGGGCGTGAACTCATACATACCTTGGAGCTTTGTAGTGATGGGGTAGGGTGTAACGGGGTGAGATTTTGAGAAAATCTCGGTCATCACTTGGCGAAGAGCGCAAATCGTGCAATATGAGTTCTTCGGAGCTCGACCTTATGGCGCACGTCATCGGTCAGAAGGCGCCGTGCAAAATTGTGGCTGAGAGCTCACATGGTTCACCCTTCGAGTGCTTCAAGAGAACGTGCAGTAGCGGCGGCGTATGCAAGAGGCATTGAAGGGCACTGTTCAAGAAACAGGTATTCCCGATGTTGTTTAATCCGCAGCCGATGGTGGCGCCGCTTGGCCAAGCGGTCTCGACGGGAATGTCAAGAAGGGTCTTGGATGAGGACAAGGCAGTCTGAGAGGCCTTTTGGGCTTTGGTAGATGCGACAGAAGCGCTGCGCTTGAGTTCATGTGCCTGCGGGCTGCATGAGCGGCAGATGGCGCGTCGAACACGATCACACTCACCTCTGCTGTGGTCGCCGATTTCGGACTCTCGTTGATCGCGGGGTACTTGCCCTCAGCCACCGCCAAAAGGCCCGAAGAAGATCCTTCCACAAACTCTATGGGAGGGGGAAGCAGTTTGTTGAAAGCATCCAAGTCCTTAGCAGGGCGGTAGCTCGTGCCTTCGTCGAAGCGAGGAGAAGGAAGCAAAGGAGATGCGAGCATTTTAGGGCGCGTGCTATGAAAAGAGCACGGAGGACGGGTCGCCAGCCAAGGACGAAGGAGAGCAGGAAAGCGGGAGAAGGAGAGCGTGGTGTTAACGAGCGGCAGACGCGGAGGAGCAGACGGGCATGCGCAGAGCAGAGCAGAGCAGAAGGGCGGTGAAGAGAAGAGCCTCAGCCTCCCAAGCCGCCTGCTAAACAAGATTCCCTCCGCCACTCGCTTTTGTGAGTCCTTGTTTGTCTCATCCCAGGCGCACGTGCACGTCTGTAGACGCCTTAGGCGCTAGTGCTCTCTAACGAGTTCGACGCCGACTCGGACTCGCTCTCGTGGCCGTTCAACGTCACAACTTCGTTCAACGTCCTCAGGATTGTCTTCGTAATAACTCATACATTGACATAACGATTGATACATAGGTGCCTAGGCTAAGGACTACATGGTGGGTATGCGAACTATACAAACGTATCACTGAGCATGCTACACGAAGGACAGGCTAAACAACAAGCGCGAAACGAGCGGTCCAAAACTGTCCATGGGGAAAACCAAACCAAACTGGATCAAGAGGCAGCTACAGGGACTGCGGGAAGTTCAACTTCAAGTAATCGTCGAACAGCGCAGACGACAACTGAGAGGGGCACCATGCTTTCGCGTACTCGAGCGCCTCCACGTCGCAAGGGTTCGATGGGTCCGAGGCGAGCGATGGATCCGAGGCGAGCAATGGGTCTGAGGCGAACAATGGGTCTGAGGCGAACAATGGGTCTGAGGCGAGCGCTGGGTCCAAAGCGAAAGATATGTCCAAGGCGGGCGGATTCGAGGCTGTCGGTTGCACCATTTGCGGCTGCGTGTGCACGTACGGATCCGACCACGACTGGAGCGGGTACGTAGGCTGGCTCTCGGGCGAGCACACCCCGTAGCCCTCCTGGGACGAGGTCCAAGCGGGCGCAAAAGAGCGCATATCATATCCTTCCTGGATACTATAAGGATATGGAGCGTGCATGGCTTGTCCATCTGCAGGAACAAAATTATGTCAATCGCGTGCCACGCCAGCGACATACAGCGACGTACACTCTGGTGGATCTGATTGCTGGAACGCGTTGCCGTGCGACACAGGGATGGGGCACAGGTATCCGTTCAGAGGCGCGCCGTGATAGGGCGTGTACCCCGGCGAGCCCGTGCTGGAAGAGTGCCCACTCGGGTTTTCAGGGAGCAAGTAGAAACTGGGAGCTGTGCGGGTCTGTCAGTCCCAAGACTCGAAGTGAATAGGAAGATGCATACTAAGTTCTTCGCTGTGATTCGGCTGGGAGGTACCAGCCCAGGACGCGGCAAGGTCGTCATACGTCGCTTCCGAGACACCCGGAGAAGGGCTCAGGCCGGAGGGAGATAGACCGGGAGTGCTGGCGTAGCTTTCGCTATGAGGGACGGGAAGCAGCGGTGTCTCTGCGTATAAACGGCGTCAGAACATGCGCGCTCCTATAACAACGTAACGGCTCACCACCAAACCGCGGCGTCGAACTGTACGGTGGCGCAGCAGAGACGAAGTCCCCACCGTAAGATAACGGTGCGTCTGAGCCTGCATACATCGACGGGCCAGCGATGGCGGGCGCGAAATCTCCGCCTCTCTCGATGTGGTCACGGCCGTTGACACGACCGCCGCCCTTGACACGTCGGTGGCGTTTGGTACGGGGGCGACGTCTAGTTGGGGGTTCGGGCACCGCTTCCCCGGGAGGTGCGCTTGTGGGGGGTTTGTTGACAAGATATGCTAGTAGTCTGTCATCCGTGAGGTCTTCGGGCGCGAAGTCATGCTCCGCCAAGTGGTTTTTGAACCCCGATCGACGCTTGATACTACGAGAAGCGTTGATCGTTAGCGGAAGAACGTTAGAAACGGTTACTGCGTACCACCGGCCACAGCTTTCTTTCGGGCACTTGTAATACTGTGTGCCGTGCTGCTCTCTCGTGTGCCGAGAGCAGGAGGACGGGTCGCTGAATGTCCTCGGACAATTTGAGCATGGCGTAATGCCATCTCCCTCTCGGGGGAAGGGACGATGCTCGCATTTCGTTTCGTGGACGTCCAAGGAACCCTTCTGCGCGTATGCGTTGGTGCACTCTCCAAATTCGCAGCGGTACGGCCTAGTAAGTGGAACCTGGTCACCTCATCATTTGCAATCTCGTGTACATCGAGGACTCACTTGAGCTTGAGGTGGTGAGAATTCCGATGGCGCTGGTAATCTGCCCTCCGAGCGAAATCCTTGTCACACGGCCGGAAGGGGCAGTGGTAGCGGCGCCCTGCGCCCAGCTCTCCGTCGAACATTTCAGAGGTGCCTCCGGTTCCCTTTGTGTTCTTTTGGAAGACCAAAGCGATCGGCGCATCATGGAGTCAGTGTACCATCATGCAAGAGCGCCGCGCCCGCGCGTGAACGCGTACCTCTAACCACTGCGCCTTTGCTGCCGCCAGTCCATCTTCTATCGACTTCGCATACTGCTCCTTCGTCATCCTCACCGCCGCTGCCTGGACGGGGTCCTGCAGCTCTTCCTCATGGGCGGCGACCTCCTCCGCATGGGTGGCGTTCTCCAGTCTCCTCTCGCGGCTGGGCTTGCCCTGAGCCTTCTCCTTCTGAGAGCGCGTACGAGCCATGTCGTAGTATCGTCGGGTATCTAGCGTGAGTGGTCGGAGGGGTCGTGTGTGTCGTCAAGAGCACCAAGTGTAAAGTGTGGTCCAAGAAAGCGAGTCCGTCGCGTCCTGCACGACGTATTATTAGGATTAAAAATAGAGAGCGGAAGTAGAAGTGGGCGGATAGGTGGCGCAAAAGGTGGCCCGCCGCTGCGTCTTCGTAGCCAGATAGGATGGAAAGGGAAGGGGAGAATGAGCCACAACGCGGCCCCGCACGTACTTTTATATGGCGCGCAGAGGCATTCACGGCGAGCCCGCCTTGACTGGAACATATCTCCAGACAAGACGAGGCGATCGGGCGCAAAGCACAGGCGGGATCTCGGGGGCGGATGCCGTGCCACCGCTAAAGCAATGTCGTCGCAGGGGCACGCATAGGATAATCATCTGGCAAAGCGGGGGACCCGCGCGAGACAATTAAATGGAGGTCAGATATGGCGGGAGGAGTTCTGGAAGCGGTCCGAGGACTGACCTTGCCCGATCCTTGCCGTATTTGTCGGAATGATCGAGATCTGAGCGACAATACCAGCTGGCCGGTAGCCTCGTGGATCGTTGATGGGTCTCCTATGACTGCATGCTCCTGTAGATCAGAATGTCTTGTTCAAGCTACTCACAATAAGAGTTGGCTTTCCGCCTTGAAGTTCGCACCGCAGACTTTCGTAGGGGAACACTACGCTGAAAAGCAACGCGGCCAGCGCCGATGCTTACCATAAGCGCCCAAAGTGGCTAGCGAGATCACTGCTGCTCGGTCAGCGATCTCCACGAATTATAGCGGATGAATTTGAGCAAAAAGGGAGCGTGATAGAGCATGAAGGTGGGCTACGCACCATGGAGCATCCAAGCTGCCAACGAGCGAGCGACAAGCCAGCAAGATCGACAAGACCGAGACACCACAGCACAGAATGCAAACCTACGCCGCAGGCCATAAGATCCATACGCCACATACTATTGTCTGCTAGCAAGCATAGCAGACGATAGCAACCGCACAAATGCTTGTAACCGCATAGCCCGCGGTATCCGTCATGGAGAGGCTCAATGCTGCAATATCGCACTCGCGATCATCGTGGCAACGCAGGGGGAGATGTGAGAGGCAACTGGCGAAAGAGGGCGGAAGAGGAGCGAGTGGCACCCATACACACTCCGATGCCCACTCGCGCAAGTTGCAGCTTACTGTACGTCGTCCCAAACCCGTGGTTGGGGCGCGTTGAAAGGGTCAGCGTACGTCGGCGGTAACCGACTCGCACTCTCCTACCGTCATACCAAATCGTTCACACGTCGCGGTTCTGGTCGGGTCGTATACGCGTCGAGCGCCGCATGCGCTGGGAACGCGAAACCCGCCTAACAGAGGAGAGACCGGACGGATGGACATCGAAAAAGCCCCGTCCACGTTGGAGATCTAGGCGTGTCGTGCGGGATCGACGAGGTACTTCCTTTGCGAGCCGGCGGGGTCTAACCCGCGACGCTCAAACAAGGTGCTGTCGGCGCTCCGATAGGATGCCCCTTCCGGGAAGTCGTCCCTCACTGTGGGAGCAGTCCCACAGTCGTGGGCATGCCACTTCCCCATCCTGGCACGCGAAGGCGATGCCCTCGACGATTAGACAGGATTGGTATATCGCGTTCAGAAGGCAGGATTCAAAATAAACGTGCGATAGTAGGGGCGGCGGTGTCGGAGGAGCTGGAAGCGCGCTGGGGTGGCATGCCCGGCGTGCCCGAGGCGCTCGATGTAGAGCTGCGGAGTTCCTGGGAAGACAAGTCCTTTGAAAGACGTAAACTGAAGCATACAAGGGGAGGCAAAACATACCGGCTACACAACGGAAGCAATCAGCAGAGGCACAGCGTCCACACTGCCAGCATAGTACAAAGTCCGAGGCGATCCACGAGCGAGATATGGTACAGGTTGCACACAACGACTTCGGGTCGCGAGTCCAATTAATGTGGGGTTAGTGACCGAGCCCGGGGCCGGTGATGGCGTTTGTGAGCTCCAGCCAAGGCGCAATTGCGGTGAGGTCAGTCCAAGCCATCGAAGCATACTGGTTCCTCCCCGAACCAACCATGAGGTCGAGATCTTGCAGGGGAGGCACGTCAGCGATATGTTCCTTGGTCTGGGGGCCTATGATTTGTGCCGTGATTCTGTTGGATAATGAGTCCAAGGGTACACAACCCGACCGAGAGCATGGATACTTACAGCATCGGACCAACCCATTGACGACCGCCTTCCTCAAGCTCATCCGTCCCAAGCCAGCGTTTGTCTTCGCCGCCAGGGGTGTAAAACGGATACCTGGCGTGTGCCTCAGAAGGAAGTGGATGCGTGAGCTGGCGGTACAGGTCCTTGGGGTTTCCTATGGGGGTTTATAGATGAGCGTGTATGCATGGGTGTCAAACAAGCGAGTGGACGCATACCGTAAGTGTTCCTGACGGGCACCGGCGGTTCCAGAGTCGACTGGAACGATTCGTCGCTTCCGTCAGATACGGCCTCAGAAGACTGAGCGTCTTCGTCTTCTCCCTTCGTGATTCCCGGCGGATGGAGAAACAGGCGAGCATTGGGGTTTACCGAGAAGGTAGAACGCGGTTTCATCAGAACCCCCAGCGCGATGATTCGCACATCTTTGAACTCCACAACGAGCTGTGTTTGCAGACAACGTAAGTTCCAGTCGAATCGCGGAAGATATGCGAAACAACGAACGCGAGCGTGTGTCATGAGATGTGCAAGGTTGTTTTGCAATCTTGAGAAAAGTCAGTGCGTGTCTTGGCCAGAGGAGTGATAGATTTACTTAATCTCATGAAACATGGTCAAGGGGTTGTAATTGCGCGAAGACCCGTTCAACAGGTTCGCAGAACCATTCCGGTTGAGCACGATATAGCTACGACTGCACTTAAACAGCCTGTCTCCAGTAGAAGAAGACCTTTTACGTACTGCGTCCAAGCCTCGTCCGCAGTACAGGAGGAATGGCTTCTATGATAAAGCCGGTGCAACATCCTAGTGTCCAAGCCCGGTCTATATCCGCGCGTTCACGAGCAAGCGGGAAGTGCGCACTTCAAGAAAGTTTCCTTCCAGCTAGCGTCCTTCTTCCATTTGATCCATCCGGGGAGGAACCTTCGCCTGAAGCATTCCTCCCACTCGGCCTCCTTGAGGTTCGGGAGCGTCATCCCGAATAGGAGGTACTCTGCCTTTCCCAGCGCCAGAATCTCGACCCAGTTCTGCCGCGGGACCGTCTGCCGGACGGAGAGATGTTTGAGCGCAGGCTCGTACACTTCGTTCGGGTCGAGGAGGTTACGTAGGATGGGCTGCCGCCAGGGGTTAAGCGAGGGCTCTGACGCGACCGCACGTAGGCGCCGTGAGAGACACGAGACTGTTATGAGGGAGGCGATGTCCAGCTCGCCTAGTATGTCGGCTACGAGTTCAACAGGGAGATACTCGAGGGGCGTAGCCATCGTGGTGGGTGTGGAGGCGAACGATTCCCAGTCGACAAAGCCTATATACTTGGGGGGTGAGCGTTGCCAGACGCCGTGGTAGGTGGAAGAGCATAGGTCGGTGGCAGTGCCGCGTATTACTGTACGCCCTTCGCCTCACCCACTCATCCTGCGCTGGGCGCCAACCTCTCCTCGCCCTCCTGTAACGCCGCACTGCCAACAGACAGTGCTCCTTCACTCTCCGGTCGGTGCATAGGGTCCACCGAACGAGCATGGCGCAGTCATATCCTCCACAACAGTTCGCGCGGTTCCAGGAATACAGGCTAATTAAAGACATCTATCCGGCCTCAGAAGAGAATAAATAGCGTGAATACCCGAGATCCATCCTCCAATCGTGCCCGAGCCTAGAAGTCCTTCCACTCATCCCAGTCGTCGGCCTTCTTCGCAGGCGCCCGTTGCGCCGTTGTCGAAGCCTGGGTATTCATCGACGAGGAGCCATCTTGATGGGAGTTAGAGTTGTATTGGTCGAAGAAATCCTCGTCGTCGTGATAGAGCGCGGAGGACTCCTCTTCGTGCTGTAATCCGACCGCGCCATACCCCCTGTGTTCCGGTCCTCCGCCGACGCGGTCCTTCACCGTGCCAACCACGCCACCGACAGACTCGGCGACGTCCACCCCAAATGTCACCTTTCCCCACATGTTCGCGGTCCGGCCAACATCCCCGGCGCGCTTGCTAGCTTCCGTGACGTATCCTCTCACACCCGCCTGGAAGTTCGGGTCTGTAACCTTCTCGACTCCGGGCTGGATCACGTTCTCCGTTACTACGCGGGATGCGCCTGCCACGGCTGCGGAGAGGAGAGACCAGCCCTTACTGAGCGCAGCCCTAGGGTTCTCCTGCAGCTCGCTCAGGGACGGCGCAGCAGCGGACGACAGCACAAACGACGGGTGCTGAGATCCCGGAGGAGGAGTGGGTGTGCTTCCGAACCCCTGGTACCGGCCTCCCTGAGAAGGCGGAAGGTCGACCGGTCGGGACGCGTTCGTTTGTCCGAGCCCGGCAAAGAAGGACTCGTTCGCGGTCCGTTGGTCGAATGAGCCGGTCATGTTGGGATTCGGGCTGACTGCGGGCGAATTCGCGTTGCTGAATGATGCAGGGGACGCAGAGTCGCTGCGGAGCGATCGTCCCGTGTTTGAACGGGCGGATGCCCTGGATTTGCGCAGTCCCTGCGCAGAGGATGGGCGGCCGGGCGCGCTCAACGAGTCGGGAGAGCCCACGCGTTCCGGCGGTGCGGATGGCGACCACGGCCTTCCGGCCAACGCGGCGTCGACCTGTCGGTGTCCGCACATGTCAGTGGCAAGTAATGGCGCGCAGCAGGTCGCACACCTTTTCCCGGTATTGAGTCGCAGCCCAGCTATGATAGGTATCGTACGAGCTCATTCCCTCCTTGTACCCGCCCGTTTGGGGGTCGTACGTCTTCATGAATTCCTTGAATGGCGAATTGCCGCCTAGCTATATGGGCCATCCGGTGTTCGTGCGAGCGATGTGCGTAAGAAGCTTGGAGGACTAACCTGCATCCTCTTGATCTGCTCTTCTTGCCACGTATCCATTGACACCGATCTCACGAAACTAGGTGGAGTAGGCGTCGGGATGCTGTCCATGGTGCATGCCAGACGAAAACACGCACCTAATATGGACACCGAAGCCTCGGTGCACGCCTGCACATTGCAAGCACAAAAATACTGCAAAACTGTTGTCCGCAGTTGATGGTGGAGACCACAGCAGGATGAACGGCATGCATTCACCTGAGGGAGGCCCATTGGGGGTTTGGGTTGGAGCAGTCGATGCACCGTTTGTTATCGAGATCTTCCCGCTTGATAAGCTCCTGGAGCGTTTTCCGAGCAACTGTCTGGTCCATTCTGTGGCTCGAGGTGGTGGGAGGGGAAGAGGTGGTTCTGGCGGCGGTGTCAGAGCGCGACGCGCAAGAGGAGCAGCACGGCCGCTGTGATGATCATCCCCGGACACGCGAGACGTGCAGCGTGGGAATCCCGAACAACTACACAATGCGTGACACGGCGGGAACGCGTGCTTGTCACGCCCTGGGGACTAGGACGGAGATGAAGCGGAAGAGCAGCGAAAGACGATGGAGGGAGGAGGCAAGACGAGGTCGCTGCCCGGCGGGGCTCCGGATTGCGCTCACCCGCCAAGCACGGTGGGAATTTCCAGTGCCTGTCACGCCCCGGTCCCGACGCGCCCCGTCACGCAACAGGCCTCTTTGCACATCCAGCTCACTCAGGCTGCCTCTGCAAGCCGTGTCTGCTTGGCACGCGTGAGCCTGAGCACGCCGGCAAATATCTGTGGAGGACAGCGAGCTCGCCAGCAAGGCCGGCAACCGTCTCACACTTCAGATCCCGGAGAACCGACCATCTGGTATACGTCCCGTCGTGCCAGTCCCGGCCGCTCGGGCCCCTGCGATGTCGTCAGACTGCCTGGACACTATGTACATATACTGCATCGTCGTGATCCATCGCAGAGCATAACACTGCGCAACCTCCGCCGCTGAAGTGTGGTCAGAATGCTCTCGCTCTGCTTGAACTCAGCGCGTGCCGCGCGTCTAGCTGTCTCTCTGCGTATTCAAAAGTCTCCCTGCTCCGAACTACCGACAAATTGAGAGCGGACATCGCGTGGAACCCGCGACTACCTTTGCAGACCAGGCTTCTGGCGAGCATCCACTCTCCCGGGTTCATCCTTTCCAGCACGACGGCAACGTCTCCCACCTGCTCATCTTGCTTCACCTGCCTTTCCGCCTACCGCTTTCTTGTCTTCGCTCAAATCCGTGAGAAGCATTCCCTCGCCCTTTCCCAAGCGTCTCCTACTTTACGACCAGTCTTCGTCCTGCACCACCAACATCTCGTCTCGTCCACCCGACTCTCCTTGACCGCTCTCTCGCCGACGTGTACATAGGCGCCATGATTCAGAAGACAAACGCGCGCGTCGGTAGCTCCGCTGCGGCCTCCGTACGGCAAAACACCGCTAGTGATAGCCCGAACAGCTGGGGCAAGTATTCCGGTCGCAAGTTAGTGCTCTATTCCTCCCGCTTCTTGGCTGCCTGATAACCATCAATACCCGCTGCGTTGTCTCGGTGCAGACACTACTCTCTTGAAGTCGTACAGCATCCCATTCGGGCGAGGATGTGCGGTTTCGGTGACAAGGTACCAGCGCCTTCCTACGTCCCGAGCGCGTTCGTTAACGGCTCGATTCCATAGGATCGGCGACCACTGGCACCCGCTGCTGTGGCTAAGATGATAGTAACAAGAGACGATGGAAGCCTTGTGGATGTTGAGTGCGTACCGCCAAGTCTTCCCCCCACCCCCGTTCTCACGCGGCTGTCCTGGCAGTGAGGTCGACTGCTCGTTCTTTCTTGTCACCGTCGATTTATGGTCTGCGGATGGCAAACACGAGATGAATCTGGTGCTCCACCCGACCTCTGCGGATCGTTACGTGCCCGCAAATACCCCCAAGAACAAGCGGCGAGGCACAGTCACGACCAATACTTCCAATCAGCGCTCGACCCGTCAGAGCCCAGCGCCTTCACTGCCGCCACCGAGTACCCCTCAATATTCTCAGCAGGTATGTCCTTGTCATCCTCGCGTCTATGTGTCGCGTTGAGAGGAACGCTCCTCAGCAATTGTCCTCGGGAATGACACCTTATATGCAGCCTTCAAACGCCAATTACCCTGCGCAGGGCTATCCTTTCCCTGCTCAGCCGGCGCCTGTCCCCGAATCAAACTCGTTCCAGCCCGTACATCCGTATGCACCGCAGCCCGACTCCAATACGCCCTCGTGGGGCTATTCTGCTTCGGGGACAACTGTTGATCGAGCTCAGTCCTACGGGACGCCTGCACTGCCCGCCGTCAACGCCGTCAATCGCACTACGCCCCCATCGAACCCTGAGCCTGCCACGGCGGCCGAGTACGGCGCGCCCGCACAGGCGGGTGCGAATCCCCCGCAGGACTGGCAAATCCAAACCCCGGTGCGGGACGACCAAGGCAATGTCGATTACCGGACCTGGCCCCAACAAGGGGCGGCTTATTCCTCCGTCGAAGGTCACCCCATGCCGCCCGCTCCCACCCCCCACACCGCCGATCCGCGCGAGGGTGCTTACGGCAGCGTCGCACCCGGCGGCACCTCGGACGCGTACCCGCAACAGGCGCGCTATTCTCAGGAGCCGTACACGCCCGTACAGACGAGCCCGTCGCAGTCCCTAGACTCGTCCATGTACGCGTCTGCGTCATACGCCCAGCAGCAGCACCAGCAGCAAACGCAATCACAGTACCATCAGGGGTCTTCTTACCAGGAACCTACGCCACCCTCGACGATTCCCCCTCTGCCCCGCCATACTTACACCCGGACCTTGGTCGGGCCGCTCGCCGCGAACGCCTGCCGCCTTCTGGACGAGCACCGCAAGCCCGGGGTGTTCTTCCTATTCCAGGACTTGTCAATCAGGACGGAAGGTGCGCCTCCATTCTCGGAGTCCATTTCCGCCCTAGTGCACGTTATCGCGAACCTTGCTGAACGTCGATATTCTTGATACACAGGCACCTTCCGTCTCCGGCTTCGGTTGATGAACGTCGGCGCGTGAGTGTCCCAACCGTCCACAACTGAATGGACTCAGACGGAGCGCGTACGCTGACACTTGCGCCCCTAGTCCCCCGGCACCTGAGCCGCGCGCCTCTGGCGTCCATACGGACGTGTCAGCTGTCCTCGCACAAACTTTCACGGAACCTTTCGTCGTGTTCTCGGCGAAGCGCTTCCCTGGCGTGCCAGGTAAGTCTTAGCGTCCCGCCGCCGATGGCGCGCGCGTCCTTGCACTCCTGATCGGGCTGACCAACATCACGCCCTGCACAGACACTACCGCCCTTTCCATCGCCTTGGGCAACCAGGGTCAGAAGCTCCCGCTGGTGCGTCATCTCTGACCGCATCCCCGCACAGCCCAGGCTGACTGAGGATGTATCGTCCGCAGCGGAACCGCAACGGGTCCAACAAGCAGGGCCGCAAGCGGCGGCGCGACGGCTCAGACGGCTCGGGAGACGAGTCCGACGACGCCTGAGCGGGCGCGCGGACGTCACACACGAACCCTGCTGCAGCCTTCTTTCAATGTAAATTTAGAGCGAATCGGTGTGCCTCCGCCGGGCGCGCCCCCGGCGGCGGGCCTGTATGCCTGCCCCTGTCGTTGTCGTTGTTGTCGCTTCAGTTATTAGTTCTCTCGCGCGCACAATGTAATCTGGCTATCTCATCAGAAACTATCATCTGTTGTGCCGCGCTGCGCCGTGCGCTTCATGATCTCGTACTCGCGTATTAGCTGTACCGTCCGGGGGAACGCGTCGTAGATCCCGCCCAGCACCTGCCCCGCCGCCTCGGTCCTCCGCCGAATCTCCTCCGCGTCGAGCGCCGCCTGTGCGAAGTGCGCGTCCAGACCGGGCTGCACCGGCTGCACGAGCTTGCCCGCCCGGAGGTGGTCGAGAACGCGGCCAAGCAGCGTCAACGTCGCGCCATGCGGCCGCCAAGTGTTCCACAGCGGCGAGAGCTGCTGGAGCACATGCAGCGGGTGCGCGAAGTCCTCCGACCCCCTGCCATCCTCCAGGCCTTGCCGGTGCTGCAGCCGCTTCGTCGCCCGCTCGGCCGCGGAAGTGCGTTTAGCGGCGCTGTGTAGCGGCGCCTCCGACCGCGGTGGAGGTAGGTCGCCCTCCTCGGGCGGCGGCAGGTCAAGCGTAAGAGGTGACGTCGGGCGCACTTCACGCTCGCGGCCGTACTCCCGCCGTATCTGGGCTTGGTACCTGAGGATGACGTTCTCGACGACGTCGAACGCGCGGTGCGGCTCGCCCGCGCGGACGAGCGCGGCCACTAGATGGTTCCAGTTGTGCGAGTCGAACTGCAAGCCCTCGTCCTTGAGCGTCTTCCACATTTGCGCAACGCCGGCGTGATCGCCGGCAACCGAGAGCGCGTCGATATAGATCGAGACCGGGATGCACAGCACGACGCCGTGGCCGCTGAGGTTGGGCGGCGAGGGCTCTTCTAGGGAAAGGAGGGAATTCAGCCGAGCGTACTCGATCCCGAGGCGATGGATTTCGGGCCAGATGGTCTTGACGCCCTCGATGTTGCCCGTGCGTCGGTGGACGTCGAGCAGGGCCGTCAGCGTCCCGAGAGTCGGTTCTCCGCCCGCCTCCGTCATTTCCCGGTGGATGCGCTCGGAATCGAAGGCGTTCTCCCTTGTCACGTACGCGTTGAGGAGAGGGCGGTAGACCAGTTCGAGGGCCAGCCGACGCCCACGCTCTAGCTGCAACCAAGGCCGGCCGTCATCTTTGCTTATGAGCGACTGGAGAAACTCCTCCGCGACGGTCGTGCCTGCCGCAATATTTTGCCCGCCATACGCCTTCAGGATGGAACCGTACGTGATCGCAGTAGGCTGTATCCCCCGCGCCTTTATGCGGTCGAGCACCTCCTTGGCCTTCAGCCGTCGTCCGGAAAGTAGGTAGCCCCGCAGCAGGATGGTCAGGACATAGATGTTGGGCCGCAGAGCGATTTGCCCCTCCTCCGTAGCAAGGCGCTCCATCTCCAGAAACAGGTCCTCTGCGATGTCCATGAATCCGGAGTCGCACGCTGACTGAATCAGGAGGGCGAACGTCCGCCCGTCCGGGCGAGCGTTAGCGGCTTCGAGCTGACGGAAGACGTTGGCGACGATGCGGAACGGAGCACCGATGAGGACGTAAGCCTTCATGAGCGTGTTGAGGACCTCGATGGTGACCGCGGCACCCGGGCGGCCGACGGTGTTGAGGTAGTCGAAGGCGCGGATGACGCCCTGCCATGAGCCCGCCTCGACATGGGCGTTCATAACGGAGGTGATCATCTTGCGGTCTGGAGCGATGCCTTCGGACATGGCGCGCTTGTATACGCGTTCTGCCGCGACCGGGTCCTGTCTATCGGCGAGAGTGGTGATGAGAGTGGTGTAGAGGACAGCAGTGAGTGCGACGCCGGATTCGCGCATCTGGTCGAGTAGGGAGGTCATGGACTCTACGTCCCCGCGGGAGGCAAAGCTTTGGAGAATTATACTGTAGACGTGGAGGTCCGGGTGAAAGCCTGCCCGAGAGAGCTCCCCTAGCCAGTGATTAACGCCGTCGAGATCGCCGACCTGCGAGAAGGCGAAGATGACGGTAGTATAGTGTACGATATTAGGACGATATTGTGCTTGGCCAAGTTTGACTGCTGGAGGGAAGAGCTCGTCGAAGAGTTCCACGACGCGCTCAGGGTTCCCTGTGACGGCGTACGCGTGCATGTAGGTCGCTTTGTCGTCGGACCCCGCTCCCCCGGCCTGCGCAAGGAGGTTCCAGTGGTGGTCCGCCGTTTCAATGTCTCCTTGTCGTGCAGCCACGAAGAGTGCGGTCGCGTGGTAGGCTCGCCGCTGACCTTTTCCATACTTCGCAGTGGACTCCTCCTCAGCGAACGGATTCAGCAAGTTGAGAGCAGCGTCGAAAGAGCCCGCTCTCGCCAGCTCCTTCACGACGGTGAAGACGGACCAGGGTGGAAGTATGACGGACTTCCTGTCCAGGGCCTGGAGGATTGGGGAAGGATCTCGTCCAGCTTGTGACGTGGCACGGATGAGTAGGATGCCCAACGAGGTAGACTGTGATTTTGTCAACACTGCCGAGGACTCTTCGAGGTAGGGAGCGGGATTCTCTATGTGAGACAGCAAAGAGATGGCGACCCGAACGAAGTTCTCGGCAGCTTCGAACCTCAATATTCGTCGTGGAGGACCGGTGAGGTACTCCTGTAGCCATGGATGCTCAACGAGAGAGCCAGCAACAGCGTGAGGCCCGAGATACAGATATATCGTAGGCAGAAAGACGGTGTACGCCTCCAACAGTTGGGACCGAAGCGTCTGCTTGAAGTCCGGGTTGGTAGGCTGTTGCCGGTATAGCGAGGCCAGAGTATCCGCCGCTTCATCGATCTCCCCCAGCATCCCAGAAGCCACAGCAAGGAGAGCATTCCACCGCACCTTAACGACGTTGTTGGGCATGTTCCCGATGCCAGGATCGATGTGATGGAGCACGTCTCGTAGCCGCTTGCCCCAGTGCTTCAGGATGTCGGTAGACAAATCGTCCGGATGGGCTCGCGTGACGGAGAGCGCAACATTCGCCAGGAAGGCAAGGTCGGCAGAGGTAGGTGTACGAGTGCCCCCGGTGCGGGTGAGCGATTCATAAGCCTGCCATGCGTCTTCGGGGGTAATGGACCGAGAGCCCTGCGAAACGTCCTCGTAGGTCTTTAACCAGGCTTGGACTTGATGCGGGGCCGCGCCAGGGTGTTCAGACAGAGTGGCAGCTGGCTGATTTGACGCATGCCGTCGCTGGGCTATGTGGACCTGCCTTGACCACGTCCGCATGGAAGGTACGTGGGTCCCGCTCCCAGAGGCCAGGCATTTATGACCGGGCGTCCGACGCGTTCGCTGGCGGGTGGAGAGAGTTCTTGGAGAGGATGGAGCAGCCCTCTCTAGCCCTACGCGCAGCTTTTCAGTCATGCGCACGGTGCGACACAGAGACGTACACTCACCTCTAAAAACCGCGCTACTCCTGCACTCCTCCTCGTCTAGATTGCTGCTGCAGAGACCGTGCTCGTCCTCCGGCAGAGCCCTGCCCTTGCCCTTGACGCCTGACGGATGCGGCGTGAAAAAGTCGTGTGGCAGCGCGGGTTTCGCGTTTCTCACAGCCATGCCAACAGCAGACCGAGAGGCAAGGAAGTGGGTCGCGAAAGGACGGTATGGGAGGACGGAGGTGAGCACGGTCGCAGCGAGAGGTTCCAACATCACCGCACCCGCCGAAACGAGTGGTGGAAAGGGCCCTGTGGACGGAGGCGGTGAGCAGGCGCAGCGGACACGACGGGGCCTCGCAGCCCGCGCACCTGATAGAGCAGGCAGAGAGAGAGCAGAGGCTGTCGGGCGGGCGACGACATACAAAAGCGAGAGGGAGGTGCGACGTCGGTCTGCGCTGCGTCTGCGTCTGCCAGCGTCTAGCAAGCAGACTCGGCCCAGCAAGATCCTCGGCACTTGCCGCCTCTCCCCTTTCGGCATACAGACGCCCATCCCGCCCCCGACACAGCACAAGTCACTCTGCCTTCGCGCGCACCCACAAGAAACACATCCCGCCCGCATCCCGCCCGCACCCCGCCGTCGCGGCCGCCGCGCCGTAAACAGCAATGGCCACACCGCCAGAATATGAGATCATCACTGTGCCCGCTGTCGGCCAGCCGGGCCGCGAAGCACTCAGGCAGCAGTGCTACGACGTCCGCATCGACGTCTTCCACCACGAGCAGGGCTTCCCTCTCGACACCGAGATCGATGAGTGCGTCGCGGCTTCGGCTTCCTGCCCGTACCTTTCGCGCCCTCAACCGCAGGCCCTTCCTCCCCCGGCTTCCTGCCCGCTAGGTATGACGAGGAAGCGACCCATATCCTGCTGCGCCTCGTGCCGTCTCTCAAGCCCGTCGGCACCATCCGCTGCGTGAAGCTGAAGGACTACTACAAGCTGACCCGTCTCGCCGTTCTCAAGGACTATCGGCAATACCGCTTCGGGCGGGCACTCGTCGAGTCCTTGCACGCCTTCGTCAGGGCCGAGGCGCGAGTGTCCGCGTCCGCGGCCACCCTCGGGGAGCCGGGCGTGGTCAAAGTCGCAGCGCATTCCCAGATACCCGTGAAGGGTTTTTACGGCAGGTGGGTGCTCGCACTCTGGGTCTTCCTGCGGCTGAGCCGCTCCGCTGCGCATGCCATTGACACCCGTGACACCGACAGATTCGGCTACGTCCCAGAGGTACGTTCTCTCCGACGTGCCCATGACCCCGCGGGAGTATACGGATGAGATGACGAATACATTGTTCATCTGCGTGAAATCTACAGGGCGACGAGTTCGATGAAGACGGTGCTCCTCATCAGAAGATGGTCGTTCGCTTGGTGCTATCGGATTAGGGTAGCATATGAGAAAGGGGATCGTCGTAAAAGGTCGTGACGTATATACGAAGCACAGGAAGACAGAGTGAAGAGAGCTATCAATACAGCATGAGTGGAGCGAGTGGTGGTATACAGCGATGCAAGATGGGGGAGTCCGTCGTGATCATAAGTACTGCGAACACAACAGCGAACAGAGGGTAAAAGAAGACATACGAATGAACGCGGCGGACGCCGCCATATACAGCCTCGCATCCGAGGTCAAATGTGAAGGAAAGATCGTTCGCTACGCGCCAGTCGGCTAACCGGATGACGAAAGTCCTGTAACTGCAAGAAAGAATGGAACCGGGTATGCTTAACGGCGCCGGGGGATAGCAAGGGTATGGTCGGCGCCGTCGTCGGTCATGAAGTCATCGCTCTCGCTCTCCGAGCTCAGCGCCTCCTGCTTGAGCGGGTGCGGGGTGTTCCTCGGGATCGGCATGAGGTTGATGGGGCTTCCGGGGAGGATGCTGAAGTTGATACTCGTGCCGTAGCCCGTCGTGCCATCCTCATACATCTTACGTGCGGACTCGTACTCCAGCTTCTCCTGTTCGGCCTGCGCGAGGAACGGCTGTGTTGATCGCGGTCAGCAATAGTACGAAACACCAGGGGCGTCGCACTAGCTTACCTTGCGCTGTTCATCAGTCATCGAGCGCCACTTGCCTGCGGCCAAGACGCTCTGCTTCGTAGTCTCGGTCTCGTCACCGAAAACCTCTTGGACAAGCTCGGGATCCGACCGGATGCGCTGCAGGAACATGAAGTACGCGCTCAGCGGTTTCTTCGGCGCGTTCGGGTCCTTGAGATTCCCCTTGCGAGACTTCCCGGCCTTGCGCTGCGCAGTCCGATACTGGTTCTCGCGCTTGATGTCCTCGGGCGTCAGGGTGCGCATATACGCGTTGAGTTCGCGCTCTCGCGCTTCCTTGGCCTCCAGGGAGCGACGTCTGTACGGCTGACACGTAAAGGTATCAGTCACATCTATCCGAGCATCAGCTTGAGAATAAGACGCGCACCTCCTTCTCCTCGTCAGACAGCTTAGCGTACTCCTGTCCGGCCTCTTTCGCGGCCTGCGCGACATTGAGCTTCTTCGAACTGGAAGCCTGGTGGCGCTGGATCCAATCGGTGAAATACAGCTGCCACGCCGAGGGCGCCAGTTTGGGCGGGCGAAGCGTCGACTTGAGGGGAGCTGCACTGACGTGTCAATATCACGTGTAGCGCGCAAATGAATGGGACAAACTTACGACTCTCGGAACGCTTCTCTCGGGGCTGCAATTCGCCCTCTTCCACAGGCCGCTTCTTCTTGCGGACGGTGGCGTCGCGATCATCGTGTTCGCTGATCGACTCTGACCGCCTGGTGCTGTACGGGCGCGAGTGCGAGTGCAGAAGCGGCGGGCGGGCGTGGGACGGCGAAGGCGCACTAGAAGACTGGAACAGTTGTGTGACTGAAGTCCCTCTTCGCACAGGAACTCGCTGCCTTTGGGTCGCGAAGTTGTCTTCTGTAGATAGGGGCCCGATAGGCACCGGAGCTCCGGGAGAAGGCACGGTCGACTGTGCGGCCCACAACTGCGAAGCCCAGGAGGGCGCACTCGGGTCGGCGAAGAGGTTCGCGGACGGAGAGACGGCGCCGGAGAGCTCGCTGCGCAGTTGGTCCATCATCACGGTGTCTTCCGGCGGAGAAAGCGGGAGTGGCTGTAGTGCGGCGAAGGCGGTATTCGGGGAGAATGCGTCGACGTCAGGAAATATCGCAGAGTTCTCACTGAAGGCGGCGTATGGTGACGACAATGTCGGCGACTGCGCATGGCCGCCGGGGATGGGAATCGGCATAGACGCTGTTCGTGACGCGTCGGGGTCGGCGATCCAGTTCGAGTACAGCGCAGACTCGCTGAACTCTGGTGTCGGGGGGTAGTAGTTCGACGAGCAGTTAGAGAAGGTGGAGTCGAAGCGCCGATTGTGGCCATTTGAGACGGGCTCGAGCTGGCTGGTTGTCGAGTCGGGCGAGCCGGGGAAGGGGATAGAGGACATGCTGTAGCTCGGGTAGTGGGGGTCCCATGACAACTGTGGCTTGCTCTCCTGCGGGCTGAACGAGTCGTCGAGGTCGAGGCCAAAGATCATTGCGCCTGAGTCGTATTGCGAATGGTCGTCATAGGCGAACATGGGAGACGGGTCTCTTAGAGACATGTCGGAGGCAGCGAGGGTGATGTGGGTTGCGTCGCGATCGTCGTCGCGGTGGTAGAAGGGCGACGCGGGCATTGGGGAATGAGGGGTGGTACGGGGGAATGGAGGAAATGGACGGGGCCTTATATGGGAGGGCGGAGGCGGGGACGCGTAGGTTGGCGGAGAAGGCGCAAGGGTGGGAAAGACGCAGCGTCTGCGGGGGCGGGCTTGGAATGATCTGAGAAGGGGGGGTATGTTGCAAAGCGATGGCGGCCTTCGAAAGCGCGGTATTTGAGCCATGGCGGATTAAGTAGCGTTCGGTACCTCGTTTGCTGACTCGGTGCAGGTGAGAATCAGCGGGATTGGGCGACTCGAGATCTGGTATAGATGCAGGTGCACGGGAATCCGGAGAGTTTCAGCCAGTGCGCCTCTTTCCTTTCGCGGTCGAATTGCGGCCCTGTTATGGGATATTGCAGGTGCAACGGGTCCGGCTGTGAAAGTGTAACTGGACATATGGAAGCGTCCCTCTGGATCGTCGGCAGAAGCAGGCTCACCTGTGCGGGTGACTCCTCGTGATCCCAGCAGCTCTCGACGACGGGTGGGCTCCGTATCCTGGCCCCGGGCGACATGCAGTTGCCAGACGTGGCGGGGGGTGCGAACGCTATCGGCCAATCAGCCCAGCACGGGGGAGGGGTGCGCGTGGCGTGGCTTGGACTGGCGCAGGCTGGCGTTTGTCAGGCGTCCGCTGTCTGTCTGCGCTGCAGCTGGCTTGTCAGGAAATATGCGATCGGCCGCGTCGCCGCAGTCACACCGACTCCGACTCACCACCCGCGCCGCTCCTCCGCGCTTGCCCTAAACACCAGTCCGCATTCGGCACCCGGCGGGACGCTGCATGATGGCTGCATCCGGCAGGTCCGTCCCGCCCGTCCGGGCTCGCCCGCCGCCCATTGTCCCTGCAGCTCCGGCGTCCGGGCCAGCGTCCCAGCGCCCCGCATCTCTGGCGCCCATGGGCCACGGCTGCTCTCCGCCAGTTGGACATCTCGGCGGAATCGCGTCTAGCTCCCTCCGAGCAACGCTGACAGGCTGTGACCGAAGCGGCAACACCGGCCACGAGTCTCTCATCATCCATCCACAAGTTTCGAAGCTGTGGCTCATCAACGACTGATTCGGATTGCTCGACGCGCTGATACTAGGAAAACGCGCTACCATCATATAACCACGATCGTCTCCGCAGACCGGTGGTTGGGCTTGTTGTAGACACTCTTTCCCGCCTGCAGTGCATCCATCCGAACGGAACCATCCCGGAAGACCAGTTATCAGCAAGCACTCTTTCACCCGTGGGCCTCCGCCCGTTCGAGACGACACTGACCTCCCAGCCCGGCACATCCTTCATGATCTCCCTCTCCCGTGCAAGCGCCGCTTGCTGACGTCGGTACGCGTCACGGTCGCCCTCCGCCAGGAGAAGAGGCACCAAGTGAATGCGCGACCACACCTTCTCGCGCTGGAGCTCCCTGTGAAGCAAGCCGTATCAGTACGGCGCGCGCTGGAAACGGCGCGGGGCCCATGCCAGATTTGTCACTGATAAGGCCCATCGCGCGGTCGGATCCTGAGAAGGCCACGTTCCCCGTTGGGCGGGCCCATAACTGCCCACGTTTAACGTCCGCCTGACCTTCCCCCGACGGACCAAACGAACGCAAACTTTCCACGTACCTCTTCTCAAGGTTGCCCTTTCCAACGCGGTAGAAGCCATAGGCGCAGACCGCCGTGACACCGCCGAGAATAACGAGCCCACTCGGTCCGCGGAACGGCAGGTTGCGCTTGTACTTGACAGCCTCGAAACCCCCTGCGGGCGGCATATCTCTGCGCAGCGCGTCGTGTCCTTGGTTTGAGCGTGTCACAGAAGCGTCGGACAATGGCTTACTGTCTGAATGGTGTTGACACTGAGAATCATTCGTTTTGTCAGGATATCTGCGGTTCTGCCACACACGCACAACGGAATAGATCACTTACTGGTAGACGTTTCTCGGTTCCAAGTCACTCAAAGGCTGTTCAGGCCGATCTCGGCAACAAGGTGTGAAGGAAAAAGAGGCAGCGCAGCGCGGCTGAGGCGCACAAGGCAGGTAGGATCGAGCTGGTTGGAGGTAAAGCGTAGGTGGGTGGGCGCCTCGTGTTCGCACACGCCAAGCCACGTGGTGGCGGGAGCGTACACTCCTTTCTGTCGGAGTCCTGTCCTATGTCCCAGGCTGCTGCTGCCAGGATAAATTGGTTCACATGCATGCAGAGCAGCACATGTATATGCTGTGCGTGTAGCATGCGTACGAGTATAATTGAGGTGTGGCAGACAAGAGGGCGACGCGGGGTTACGACCTAAGCGAACCTTCCGCAAACGGCCGGAAGCGCGTCTCTGTATGGGAAGTTCATACGAAACGACTCTCCGCCAACATGACAGCTAAGCTCAGACACGGTTCGTGCTGCGCCTCTTCCTTCCTCTCTCGTCGCCACCATGCTGCCACGTCCCCCGTCCCCCAACCCTCCATACCCCTACAATCCCAACTCCTCCGCCCACTATGACCGGAAACAGAAGCAGCGCAGCATCATGGGCATAACAGCTGGCGCGGAGGACGTCAAATACCAGGCCAAGTACAAGGAGTTGAAAAAGAAGGTTAAGGAGATCGAGTCGGTGAGTCACCACGACGCAAAAAGTCCCGGACTGCGTTTCACCATGCCGGCGGACCCTCGTACCTGCTACAGGACAATGACAGGCTGTACTTCAAGTTGTTATTGGCCAAGAAGAATATTCGTCGGATGAATCTGGAGCGAGCGTACGTCCTGCTATGGCAAGTACCACCAATCCCATGCCTGACATATCTCTCGAACATCTCAGCATCCTGTACGAACGTCTTGCTGCCGTGCCTCCCACCCCTGGCCGACAGACACAAGAACTGCCTGCGGAGCAAGACCCTGTCTTCCACCCACAGCCCCCGGTTCCCCCAGAGCACGCTCGTGTGATAGATCCGAATGACCGCGAGGTCGCGGAATACCTGCACGCGCACCCGAGTGCTCGACTCATAACGGGTCCTGATGGACGGGTGGTCGCGATCGAAGACACGCCGACCGTGGACGCGCGCGGCGTTGCGGTACCTTCGGGCCCACCTCCACCGCATGGTGTACCCCTTGTACACGGCTTCCGCCATGACTCGGGTCCTGGCTATGACCCTGCGCGCCAACTGCCTCCGCCGCCACCGATGGTCCCACTGCTGCATACTCAAGAGGCGCCGCACGAGCCGGCTCCGCCGAATGACCACCCGCAGGCGCACGGATACCCATACGCGCAGACCCGACCGCCGCCGTCGCACAAATCCAACTCGCACAGCAGCTCTTCCCACCAATCGCGCTCGTCCTCGGCACGCCCAGATCTCGATACCGCTGGAGGCAATCCGCGCATAGATGCATCTAGCGGTTCGTACTCCGTCCACAGCCGCAGCCCAAATGTTCCCGGAGAGCCGCAGGCGGGACACCGGACGCGCCGACACGAAGCACAGGACCATCCGCACTCGCATGTGCAGCAGCAGCCTCCGCCACCTATCCAGATACCCCAGCAAAATGATTCGTCATCGCCTCCGATGGTGTCTCCTTCTGCACACTCCCACAGTTCGCGTCTTCACAACCACCAGCGCATCGGGCCGGGCGCTCACATTCATCGGGAGCGAGACGAACGCGACTGGGAAATTCAGCGAGAACTCGAGTACCAACGCGAACTCGAGCGTGAGCGCGAGGAGCAGCGCGCAATCGAGTTGCGCCGCCGTCTAGAGATTGAAGAACGCGAGGAAGAGGCGCTCTGGGCTCAAGAGGAGGCGCGTGTTCGCGCCCGCGCACTTTCTCGCTCTGGTTCTCCCGGGCCTATGCCCCGGAACGGCGGCAGCCGGGATGTCTCGCGGCCGACCTCTGGACAGGCGCACGATCCCGAACGTCCATCGAGAGCTTACGCGCCGCACGTTTCCAACCTCCTCGGCATCGAACGCGACCCCCGCTTCAACGGGGACGAGCACAGTCTGGGCCCTGGTTCCCGCGATGGGGCGCATTCCGCAGACGGGCCTGCGGGTTCTGGCCTGGAGTCGCGGCGACGCTCGCGGGACGAAATGGAGATCGATGACCGCTACGAGGGTGAGCCCCGCGCTGCCAACGAGAGTGGGGCGGCTTCCCGCGGTGCTGCGAACGCGGGCGGCAACAGGGGTCCAAAACGTACACACCCTGACGAGGATGACGATGCCGGGAACCCCGCGCCCGGAAAGGGAGACGACCTGCCGGATGAGCGGATGGAAGAGGACGAGTAGGGGCGCCACCAGCCGCCCACGTCGCTTCTGTAACTGTAGCCTTCTGGTACGGCCCTCTTCTTGACAGATTGTCACCGCCCTGCTGCCCGCCGTGCGCTCATGCGTTTTCATGTGCCCCGCACCCCCCAGACTCTGCGATATGTAATACGTCCGAGCATCTTCGACTGCTGCCTGTTCGCGCCCCTTGCGCAGCACCTGTACTGCCTTCTTGTGCACCGGCTTGCTTCTGGCCGTATGTGGTTTCGTAAATATCTATATACCAGGTCGAACGTTGAACCTTGCTGGTTTCCATTTTGATCATCTCAATATCTCATCAAGAAATTCGCCGGAGGCATGTGGCCATGAACAGGTAGAGTATGTGGCGGCCCGATCTGGAAAGTAGGATGGGCGGCGGCGGAGTCGCCGCCACGGCGGCTCAGATCAGGACGCAGGGTCAGACAAATGCGGGAGACATGAGTCACCTCCGACAACTACAAACGGCTTGTACTTGGGTTACGTGGACGACATATGACAAGGCATCGCAGAATTCGCACTGCGGTACAAGAAGCACAAAATTGCCATTCCAAGCGAGCAATAACGCGTCGTACGTGCAGACAATACCCCGCCGCAGGCGCGTCCCCGCCCGTGTTATTCCTACTACGTGTGCTGCGGCGTAACGATTGACAGAGAAGGATCCTGGCTCCGCGCCGACATTTCCCGCGGCGACGTGTCGGATTGGATCCAAACAGCCGTCGACCGCTCCGCAGACACCTGAAATGCAGCTCGCGCGACGCGGCGCGGCGTCTTGTCGTGCATACGTGCTGTGCCGGCGTATGTGGATCGTCCGCCCCCGCGCGGCGTGGCGGACCTGCGGTCATCAAGTTCGTCTTCGGGATCGAGGGAGCCTGCGGCAGGTCGCAGGGCATCGCGGCTGAGCTCTATGGCCTCCAGGATCACGTCTTCGCTATACTGCAGGACCGCCGGCCGACTCCCGAGGATCACGTCCATAACACACGGTCTCCGGCCGGCCGCGTCGGTCTCCGTTGCGGCGGACCGCTCTGCGCGCTGCAGAAGATCCTGCGCGGCCGACGGGGAGGGCATCGCGGGGGACCTGGCCTGGCGGGGAGGTGTCCGCGTATTAAGCCGTCGATCAGGTGCTGGTGGCTGACGATGGCGCCGGTGGCGGGTGCTAGTCGCGCCCTTGCGGGCGGGCGGTGTGGGTGGTAGCGTACCGGGTTTGGCACCGCCACGCATACGCTGCTCGGTGTCGGGGAGTCGCTTGCGTTTAGCGGGGGAGGTGCGCTCTGGATGACGTCGGGGTGCGGATGGCTTTTCGGAGCGCTGTTGGCTGCGCCGTATCTGCGACCCGGGCGATGCGTCCATGATTGTGACGTGTCTGAAGCGACGGTCGTACTCGTCTGTCAGCAACCTGGGGTTGAGCGGCTGTAGAAGGGTGCTGTGACTCACGAATTGCCAGTGTTAGCGGTGCGAATGCGACCAGTGTCTCCTGGGCTCACGATTGAGCGGAGATCCATACTGATAGCTAGCTGGCAGGCCGCACCCGGTTGCCGATGACATGTCGTGGCTGGCTTACGGTTCGGCCCAAGAACGTCGCCAGCCCATTTGCCCGCACTCGCCGATGCGCACCCGCCTCGCAGGCGGTTCCAAGCAGCGAAACGACGCGTCCCTGTGGTCCTGCCGAACTCAATCATCGTAATCGAGTCGGGACGCCTTCGCGGATTCGCACACATGGTGAGATCGGTCACGGATTTGGTTCCGAGGCGGATAGGGGTTGAAGGAAACTGTCACTCGCCTGGGGCCCCGACGCGGTCCGGTCTACCTGTGTGCCGAGCTGTTCATAGCACCGATAAGCCCCGGATGGGGAAAGCGCGGGTCGTCCCTTGCGGTACCTCCAAAGGCTGAAGAAGACTAGCCCCTTCCGAGGGCGCGAGGAGGGGCGGGGCGTTTGCGAATAGACGTGCGCGGGGGATGGGCTGTGCGGCGAGAAATCCTGTGCAGGCCAGAATCAGCTGTTTGTTTGTGGGAGTTCTGGAGCGAGACATACCTAATGCTCGTCCTTCGCGCCTGCGGATCACAGGGACGCGCGCTCCGTCATACTAGCACCGACGCGCCCGACTCGTTTGGTAGCACGTTCCATGGTGCCCCCATCGACGATAAACTTTCTTGCGTCATACTCACAATCATGGGTTCAGCCCTTCGGTCATCAATCTAACTAGAATCGCGCGCCATCGAACTCTAGAGCTGCGCGAACTGACCCTGCCGAAAGGAAGCGCGGGCGCGTGAGCTGAGCAACCTCAGTATGGGCAACCACCTCCCTCGGTGCCAATCCACACAAGGAGATTTGCACAGGTCCGACGGGGTCCTCGCCCGCGTCGGACCCACGTTGCTATTCTCCGCCCGCCTACAAAGTTTGAAAGCGCCTGCAAATGAACGCCCGACGCCGCCGACATGCCGTTACCGCCAGCTACATGGGCCAGTCATGGCCTTGCACGTCGTGCTGCGCGAGGAGGCGCGCGGCTTCTGCCGCGAAGTTTGCATAGCAAGGCACTCCACAGGACCCTTAGCGGGGAAACCTGAGAAAACGGGTTCGAATTACGTGTTGAGAACATATGGCATCAGCTTTGTGGCGGCTGGAAGGTGCCTCCACGCCTCCGACTCGCAACCCTCTATCCAGCGCGTCACCGGTAGACATGATCCGCTGCATTGACATGTCATCAGCTTGTGAAATAGACCGCAAGCGAGCGATAACATACAGTGCAGGTTCGCAGCGATCTCTGCTTCCGCTCTGTCACCATTGGCGAGCAACTTCTCCTTGTTGTAGAGGAGCTCCTCGCGAGTCTCTGTCGAGAACTCCTGGTTTTGTGCTGTTGGAGTGACGCAAGAGCGTTGAGCGGTTTACGCGATGGAGTAGAAGTAACTCGGCACGCACTCTCGACAATGGCGTCTACTGGACAGGCTTCCTGGCAGAAACCACAGTAGATGCACTTCGTCATGTCAATATCTATCACAACGTGACTGTTAGCTTCGCAGCTGCAAGGGCGTTCCAAGTGACTAACCGTAGCGAGTGGTCCGGCGTGAGCCGTCGGCTCGGGCCTCGCTCTCGATGGTAATGGCCTGCGCAGGGCAGATGGCCTCGCACAGTTTGCAAGCTGTCACGCGTGATGTATGAGATCATAGAGGCATGAGAACGGACGCGAGAACAAAACATACCGATGCAGCGCTCTTCACCGCTTGGGTATCTGCGAAGGGCATGCTCTCCGCGGAAGCGCGGCGACAGAGGGCCCTTCTCAAAGGGGTACATGATGGTGTACGGTGGCCGGAAGAACTGTTCCATGACTATCCACATGCCTGTTTGCAAGGTTCAGGAACTGTTTCACGGGACGGGTGCACACGTACGGACCTCTGATAATCTCGGTGAAAAAGAACAAGTGCACGGCCTTGTCAATGGCACTCGGACCATCCTTATACGGGTCATAGTCCTTGCCGACCTCGTCCGCGGCAGAGTATGTCTTCACCGGTGGAGAGCGTATGGGTGCTTCGGCCTCGAGGGGGGTCTTGGGCTGGCTGTTCAAGAGAGGGTCGCGGGGACCAGTGGAGTGCCATCGGTAGGCAAGGGTGATGTGGGAGGCGGTGACACGGCCAGCGGCCAGCCTGGCAGAGGGACCGGCGGCGACGAGGGCGCGCACGAAGGACATGGTGGTGGGGGTTGTCGACTAGGGCGTGAACGACGACAAACGACCGCTCGTCGACGTTGTGGAGGATGGCGGGCGACTTCCGGGACACCTCAACGCCATCGAGCGCTGCCGGGCATTGCCGGCACTCGCCTCGGCCAATCACGACGCGAGCATCTGCTATGCGATTCGCACCTTTTTTGGACGAGATTGTCGTGACTGCTGCGTGACACGCTGTGACTGCACGCATCTGTCTCCTCCGCCATGTCGAGTGCAGCCTCGAAAGCAAAGTCCACGGGCAAGGCACCCCAGCCCAGGCCATCCGCGCAGGGTCTGTCTCTCCGACGCGTCTACTCCCTGCCAGTCTAACCTCGCCGGGTGGCTAGCCAGAGCTGCAACAGCAATATAATCGTCTGCAAAACGAGCTGCAAGCGCTTGCAAGCAAGATCGGAGAGCTTGAGCAGGAGGCTGAGGAGCACAAGTGAGCAAGATGGCGAAGCTCGTGAATCACAGATTACTAACGCTCTTCCCAGCCTGGTACTCACTACGCTTGATGAAGCCCTGGCTGAGGAACCCGACCGAAAGTGCTTCAGACTTGTCGGCGGTGTATTAGTAGAGCGGACCGTCAAGGACGTCGTTCCCGCACTCAATACCAACAAGGATGGTGTAAGCGGTCTCTCCCAACGCCGGTTTTTTGCGCGCACTCATGTTCGTGTTAGATCCAAAAAGTGATCGCCAATCTCGTCGAACAGTATAAGGGTAAGGATGAGGAGTTCGAGAACTTCAAGCGGGAGTACAACATACGGCCTGCACCTGCTAGCTGAGCGACGAAGCTGTGAGTGGTGCTGTTCTATGACACCGTGGCGCAAGTTACTCATTATTGACTGCAGACATTGTGTGTACATCATAATCAGGACCGCACGTGTATCATATGAGCACCGACATGCTGTCCGGAAACACCTCTCGAGCGCAGGCGACACTCGAAGTTTCATATCCCCACAGATGCTCCTCTCCACAAATGCCTACCATACAAGTCAAGCTGAGAGACCGTTGAATTTGAAGATGGTGCACTAGCGCCCTGTCCAGATTAGTCTTGGTCTTCGAGATGCGCAACTGCCGACGCCATCGGCTAAGTGTTCGTCGGTGCGACGGCTGTTGTGGATGCACATGTGTCCACAACTCTGCACGTCCTTCAGCTTCCGTTACGATGTCTTTGTGCAATCTTCACGTCCTGTCCTTCCAACAGCTCTAAATCAGTCTCAGGGCCTCGAGGCGCTGCACATCGTGACCGCAACAAACTCAAAATCCAGCTGGGCCTGGTAACAGACGCCAACCACCTTTCGTTCCTTCCCCCTCCTCATCTTCGACCGTGGACTCTCATTCCTTCGTCCTGTCGCCCTGGGGCCCTTTGTGATCCATACTTTGCTTTTTCGCTCATTTATTACGCGTCATGAAGGTCTCTTTCGGAAGCATCGTCTTGGTCATCGCTGCGTCCGCGTCGGTAACCGCAGCTGTTCCTTCTGCGTTTCATGGTCAGAGTTTCTTCTAGTGGGCATCGGATCAACGTGATTCTCGCTAACGCTTGTCCAGAGCCCGCCTCTTCGGCCTTGTCCCCTTCAGGAACGGCGACGGTGACCAGCGATCAAGCCAGTATCGTTCAGAGCACCAGTGGTCCTACCAGCGGCACTGAAACGCCGTCCTCCGAACTATCCGCGCCCACTACTACGCCGAGCGCGCCGGGACCCTCAGCGTCAACCTCCGAGAGCGCTACGTCCACGAGCGTGTCGTCGTCGGTTACTCCAATTCAAAGCTCGATCATTGAATCTGCTACTTCGGCCGTAGGTTCGCCGACTTCCACAACGGTCTCGTCAAGCTCTTCCGTCCAGGTCACTCCCACTTCCTCCGACGTCTCCTCCGACACTAGCGCCTCGGTCACACCGTCCTCGGCTGCGGCTACGCCTTCCACAGAGCAACCTGGAACGTCGGCGGTCACAGTTTCACCTAGTTCTGCGCTAGTCAGTCCGTCGAGCGCCTCCATCACCCCGAGTCCCCTTCCCTCGAGTCCTTCACCATCTGGGTCATCGATCACGTCTCCGGCACTCTCGGACATTTCAACTTCGGTTTCGGTGTCGGTATCGTCTAGCATCTCGTCCGACGAGTCAAGCACAAGCCCCGCGTCTACGCCATCCGCTATCAGCGCGAACAGCGCATCTGACATATCGACACCCTCGGCATCAGCGCCCTCTCCTCCTCCTTCGGACGTTTCGTCGGCGTCGACACCGATCACTACTTCTCCCGCCGTCAGCGCTCCTTCGACGACCTCGGGGAGTGCTAGCTCGGCGTCTACTCTTACGCCCTCGTCCTCTGACGCCAACGCCTCTACCCCGACTAGCAGCGGTTTCAGCACTAGCTTCGTCACCCCCTCCGCTCCGGCTTCGACAAGTGCCGCGTCGATCCCTGCGCCGACCGTAGGTTCCGAGCAAAAGCAGGTTTATCTGGATCGGCACAACAGCGTGCGCCAGAATTTCAACGCGCCGCCGCTCACTTGGTCGGATGACCTGCAGGCTAAGGCGCAGGGCTACGCGGAGCGCTGCGAGCTCAGACACTCGAACGGGGTGCTTGGCCCATTCGGCGAGAACCTCGCTGCTGCCACTGGCAACTTCGACATTGACGCCGCAGTGGATCTCTTCGTGAGCGACCAGGGTGAGTCGTGATCGCACTTAGCTTGTGTTGCGCGCTCACGCTCAGTAATCATCACCAATAGGCCAATTCAATGCGGATCATGTCGTCTTCAGCCACTTCACTCAGGTTGTCTGGAAGTCCACCACGCAGGTTGGATGCGGTATCGCTACGTGCGACAACATCTTCCCGTCCCGCAAGGGCCATGCCACCTACCACGTTTGTCTCTATGATCCGGTTGGAAATGTCATTGGCCAGGAGAAGTGAGTCTGACGCGCCGTTCCCTTCGCTCGATAATCCTTCTGACGAAGCATATGTATTGCAGGAGAAACCTGCCTGTGTAAAACCACGCTTCAAACGTTGCGCTCAAACACGTGCGCTGCAACTCGCCCTTCGTAATCCCGAGGTCAGGCAACTTCGGAATATTCGCCGTTAACTTATTGCCTCGCCCCGGGTGCGGCGAAGGCCTATATGCGTCCCATTGGAGAGTTTCATGTGTAGAACGTCGCTGTCGCTGTCGCGATCGAAGGTCCGGAAACCTGTAACGTCACCCATTTCGTCTGTCCCTGCCGTCCCTGTCGCTCTCGCGCTGTCTCTTTGCACTCATGCTGTACCGTCCTGCGCTCGTGGCCCGCACTCCGCGGCCCCACCACAATTGATGCGTGTTTCCCCATTGCGCCCGCACGGCGTCCCGCTAGTACGCCGGAGGGCCCGCACCTCCGAATGCCCACCAACCCAATCAGGCTCCGAAGCGTGGCCACCACAACTGCGATCTCGCGAGATCTGTGGACAGACGTGGTGCGCTGATGGGCCATGAGGCGTGTCACCGCGATCGTCCCTTCAGCGGGTCGCCGCTGACTGTATTGGTGGCCGCCCTGAACGGCCGAAGGGCGTCCCTGCGGAGATGGCGGCTGCATTGCCCAAGTTGCGACGGGCTCGGAATATACATAGCCTCAGGCTGGACAGCGGGATGCGCGACTACCGCAGCAGCGGGTCCGAGTTGTGTCACCCGCCGCCGTGGCCGTGGCACGCCCGCACCTGTGGTGGCGCACCCGCGCCGTCGAGATTTCAATTCGTGCATGTCGCTGAAACATGCCCGAGGACTTCGAGGCTCCGCGCACCTCGTGTTGGGCTAGTCCAACTTGGGGGCGCAGCGCAGCGGGGTCCAGTCGGGGAGGTGACACATCGGACACGCACACGCCGATAAGCAGGCATGGGTAAGCGTAGCATGTTTGCATTAACAGTGCATGTACACACATCGCTGAGTGCGAATGTACAGATTGCATTCCTTCGATACACGTCCGCGCATCTCATCTCCACCAGGTCGTGCGTGCATGCCAGTCACTGCCGTGGCAGGGCTTTAATGGCAAAGTCGTAAATGCCCATGCGCCGCAATAGATCCTGGTGGAGGAGCATGAACAGATCCCTGCCGCCCCCGACGGACATGTCTGTCACTGCAGAAAAATGGTGGTCAGGACGTACGCCGATCCAACGTTAACACGATCCGCACTCACGCCACAGTGCAGCCTTCAGCCAGCTGGCGGCGTTCGCCTCGTCCCGCAGCACAACATACGTGTTCGCGATGCGGAGCATCACCTCGATAGGCTCTAGGAACGACGTCGCCGTCGGGATGCGCTCGGTGCCGATAGGCAGCAGTCCCCCACGCGCGAGTGCGAACCCGTACCGCTCAAGCGCCTTCATGTCGAGCCGGATCGCCTCGACAAGGTCGTGCGGGTTCGTAGACATGCGCAGCTTCTCCGCGACGACGTGCAGCGCGCGCGCACTCAGCGGGCGGAGCCCACTGCGCCCTGGGCCGTACGTCGCCGCGATCTGCTCCTCAAGTGTGCGCATCTCGGCCAGGGAGATGGACACCGCGTTGTCGAGCTTCTCCTTGAGCTTTCGCTGCTTCTGGTGCCGCGCATCGCCGTCGCGCTGGTCCTCCAGGCACAGGCGGCATCTGCAGTCTTTGATCATGTGCTTGCGCAGGATCGCCCTGCGGTCGGGGTACGTCTCCTCGACGCAGTATGGGATGGTGACTTCCGTGCCTGCAGGGATTGGCTCTGCGGCGCGGACGATCAGGAGGTCCCCGATGCAGTACCACGTTGCGTTCGCGACGCAGCAGTGGTTAAACATCGACGGGAGTGTGTACAGGGCGGCAGGCTTCGCCCGCTCGTCCTCCCGGGGATTGTCCAGACGGACGGGACAGAAGACGTTGTACGTGCATATCGCCTCGAGCCTCGAAATGTTGATGTTGACTTGAGGGTCGAAGGGGTCCACTTCGCAAGCAGGACGGTGTGGAGGCGGGTATGTGTGAGGAGGCGTCCACTCCAGGTTGGGGCCCGCATGCAGGTCGAACACTGCGTCGTGAAGGTCGGGATTGCCGTAGATCTTCTCTACGATGCGGGCGAGGAGGAGCGCGTCTGTTCGTTCGCGGCTTGACCCCAGGAGCAGGTCGATCGTGACGACACCTTCGTCGACTGGGAGTTCCTCACCATAGACAGAGGCGAATGGTTTGGCAGCGAGCTGGGACAAATCGTCAGACTGGTTGATGATGTCGAGGACTGCGTGTTGGACGTACCAGAAGATCCCCCGTTTTGATGTTACGTGTGGCGATCATGCCCCGGCCCCGGTCCTGCGTCCAGCGGACTTCCAAGGGACCAACGAAGTCAGCTGCTTCGACGCGAATCTGCTTCGAGACGCTGGCCGTCAGGAAGAGGGATACCCAGTCGTATTGGCCAGTCTTTGCTTCGTGCATGCGCTGACGGCATTTATCCAGCCAGCCGGTTACAGCGGCGTCTTCGGGGTGCCTGTTCTTCCAACGAAGGAAGTCCTCAGCGGCACCCCGGAAGTCGCCCCTGCCATACCGCGCCTTCGCCAGGCGGAGGAGTGCCTTGAAGGAATACTCGTCGTTCGTGCCTATCTTCGTGATGATCCACTGTGCGTCATAGGCAGCGCCCGAGTAGTACTGTAGCCGCAGATATGCTTCGGCACGGTTCAGGCGCAGAGCGAGCGCCTCACGTTCGCGGTCACGCTCAGTGGTGAACGTAAGGGCATGTGAGATCGTGAGCGCCGCGGGGAACCACTGCCCGGTTCGGTAGTGCTCGTTGCCCCAGAGCTGCCAGTCCCCGAGGGCGTTTGGTAGCCGGGAAGCACCTGGGATCACGTCGCCTGACCTCCATCTGATGCCCTGGAGTAGGGGGCTTTTGGCAGGGACGAATGCGATGTCTGCGGGGCTGTCGACACGCAGGAAAGGGTGGGCGGACGCGTCCTGGGATGGCGGCTTCAGAATCGGCTCACGTATAGCCAGGACTGTGCCGCGCGGAAAGATGGTGTCCAAGTAATGAAGGGGGCTGCCGAACGCGGTGGGGAAGTTGTAGATTGACAAGGGATAAGCGATGCCTTCGGGATCCTCCACCACCACCTGGACGGCGACCATACGTACTGGGAGGGAGATGCAATTAGCACGGCGCGCAAGAAGCACATGAAACGCGAAAACTCACCACAGGGGGCGATAACACGGCATAGAAGAAACCGTCCCTGAGTACGATCATCCGGTCAATGATTGAACGAGAATAACGATGTGGGTGACATACGGCGTGCGCTTTACGAACATACATCTTGGAGAAGTCGACTGGGATGGGGTCAATAGCCGGAGTAGAATATGATGATAGGGGATGCGTACTGCGGGTTAGGGCTTGAAGGGGTGTCGAACTGGAGTGCTTCGGAAAGCCGACCATCGTGGTGTACCACCGTTTCTTGCCTTCGATATCCCCAGCATTTTGACGTGCTAAGGACTCGAGCTGGACTCGATGATCCTCGCATTGCCTGATGAGCTGCTTGCGGTCGACTGGGGTGGCGGGGTGCGGTGGTATCTTGCTGTCTTCGTCGAGCCATTTCCAGTACTCCCTGGCGTACTGTGAAACCTGCTCAGGGAACAAGGTGTCGGGGAAACGCGGCGGGGGACGACCGAGCGAGGAGGATGCTTTCGCTGAGGAGTGCTGCTCGCGCCGTTCGGGATTCATGACACAGGTCGGATGTGGGGATGAGGGCGACATAGCGGGCATCCGCGCAGTTTTTGTGCGCAAGCCTCATCTCTGCGACGTGTGCAAGGACGGCGGGGAGCGTTGGCCTCACGACCTCTGTCGGTGGACGCAAGAGAGCGTATGTGTGCAGGAGTGGGTCCAGAAACGCTCACGGGAAGACGCCGGAGGACCGCAGCATCCCCGCGCAATGAGACCTATCGGAGACGTATCATGGACGAGTAGGGCAGAGACAGCGCCTGATTTGGGGGAGATACTCGCCTCGTTGGTATCTGGGTTTGTTCCTCGGGGAAGGATGGATGTCGTTGGGCATCAGCGCGGAGGAGCGGCCTGGGGCTCGTGGCCGGGGGCCGCATACAAAAATGAGGTCTGAGCACCGTGAAGCATTACAAGCTCGGACCGGGGGCGTACGAGATGGTGGATGTCTGTGGGCGCACCGTGAGTACGACGCGGGCGGGCGTTCGGGGAACGGAGGGACGTACGGAAGTCATGAGGGCGGCGACGGGCGACAAGGGGGATGGTTCGCAACCACCACATGCCGGGCGCAAGGTCAGGTTCGCGGACTGTTAGCTCACTGTGGGCACCAGTGGGCACGACGGCGTGCGCGGCGGAGTTCACGAGTCCTATCGATCCAGCAGCCGCCCAGTCCCGTCCCAGAATGGAACGACGTTGATCGTGGCAGAAGCTGGAACCCGGGTTAGGGTTGCACCCCGCAACATGGGCGTCTCTTCACAGGGCTTCGACATCGACGCTCACCTTCACCGGACGGGTCTTCGGCCCAATCCATTCCATGAGCGACAGAGAGCACAGCGTCGCGTGTTTCGCCCCGCACATCTCTGCTCTCGACCACCACCACCCCGACTCCTGAACGCATCTGGCCAGGGTATGCAAACGGGTGCCCATCCAACCGCCAACGCCGGACCTTCTGGCCACATTACGTATCTGCCATCCTCGACCCAGTCTCAATTGAGGTCCACCCAGATTCTCACGTCCTTACCTCAAATCATCTCCGAGCTCGTGCAAAACTCTCTTGATGCAAACGCACACAGTGTAGATGTCACCCTAGATCCAGCAGAATGGGAATGTTCCGTCCGCGACGACGGCGCTGGAATTTCACGAGACGGACTCACCGTTCTCGCTGGCGGCTCGCAGGACGGTCGTTACGGTAGGTTTTCAAGCGCCGTTGTGTCGTATCACGCACTAGCTGATGCACTGCGTAGGCACCTCGAAGGCGTATACGCCTGCGTCCTTGGACGAAGTAACCACTTTCGGCTTTCGGGGTGAAGGTACAGAGACCGCGAGTGTGACGGAATGAGTCCCGAACATCTCTCACGCATCTATGCGTATAGCATTAGCCTCAGCGGCCGACATTGCATGCCTTGAGATCTCCTCACGAACAGCGCATTCGCGCGAAAGTTGGTCAGTCATACTAAAGGTTTGCCTTCGCCAGTACGTAGCATTCCTCGGAACTGCTTGTGCTTATTCTGTTGTAGGGCGGGCAGCTGCTATTTGCGGGCCCCTCGATCCGCTGGCGTCGAGAAGCGCCCGGGACTGTTGTCTCAATCCGCGACGCGTTTTACAACGTCAGTATATGCGCTCGGTAGGAGGATGATTTGACCAAACTTCCTACTTTTAGCTTCCTATCCGCCGGCGCTCACATCCTAATGCCTCACGAACGATTGAGCTTGTGAAACGAGAGGTGGAGGCCTTCGCACTCGTTTTCCCGAATGTCTCTTTCTCCCTAGAGAACGCTCGTAAAGACAAAGCAGGCACTCTCGCGCGCTCCAAAGCGCGCGTGTTGACTGTCCCAAAGGTCTGCGTTCGTACCTTTCTAGGTCAAGCTCTTATCTGACTCATACGCGTAGACCGCATCGACTCTAGCTGCCTTTCGTCACATATACGGCAAAGCACTAGCCGATGTGGGGTTTCTGTCAGTCGCCGTCATGCGAGAACCATCTCATTTTACTTGTTATACAGGAGGTCGAGGAAATAGAGGAACAGTGTGACGGCATGCGCCTCGAAGGATTCGTATCCTTGCAGGGGGCGTACTCTAAGGTGTGCTGAACATGGCGTCATGTAACTCCTCATGCTGATATTCTACGCAGGCATACCAGTTCTTGTGTACGTCTACTGATCTCGTCGACGTTGTACAGCTAATTTTGGAACGTCCAGATATCAACAAGCATCCTATGGCAACATGCGATCTTCACCGACATATAGAAGCCGTGTACTCTCGTAGCTCCTTTAACAAACACGTACGTCAGTTGTTCATCAAGCGTCGCACGGCCGCTGATAGCTTTTCCCAGGCCCTGGAAGAGCTGGGCAAGACCAACGATCTCACCAGTTGTAAGTATTGGTCTCTGACTTCCTGCCGGGCCAGACTAATCTCCGCGCTGAACGCAGCGGTGCGCCGCTCTCCTCGTAAGGCAGAGAAGAAGGCGGTATATGTCTTGAATCTCACCATCCCGCCGCGATTCGTCGACAACTGCATCGAGCCGGCAAAGGCCGCCGTACAACTACAGGTATATTTGCCGGACTGCCGCGTATATGCTAGTCAGCGCTCATAAAAGGGACAGAACTCATCTGCCACGGCCTCCTTCCTATCCTCAACCATCGAACGCGTGCTGCTAAAACACGGTTTTCTGACTCCGCGAGTGCACGACGTCCAGCCCTCGGCCGCTGCCGCGTCGCCACGCAAGAGACGGAGACTCGAACGCGAAAATTATCCAACTGGACCCGCGCAAAGCGGGACTTCCCGCTCGTCCTCCGTCCCCCATCATCCCTCGCACCCCTTGCCCAGTATCATCGTGAAAAAAAATTGCACCGATGGCGGAGTTGACGAGGAAGAGGCATCGCCCAATCTTCAGTGGACAGACCCTGCGACCGGGGAGCGGTTCGTCATCGATGCGCGGACGGGGAACTCCTACCCGCAGCTCGCCTCCGTAGCGCCTTCTAGTGCTGATACCTCCACTGCGCCCACAACCCGGGCGCGTATGACGCTCCCGAGCGCACACCGGCCTCTCTTCAGCCCACGGCCAGCCGACGCCCCCGCGGCCCCCGCATGGATCGCGGAAGCCCTGCGCGCCAACGAGGCGTACAGGCCATCAGAGCGCAAAATCCACGCGGTCATATCGAGCGGCGCCGACGCGGTGGGCCAGCACGCCTGCAACGGTGCGCACGGGCGCCCCGGGGCTGCACCCACAACCCTCCCGTGGGACGCGCCGCGGCGCGCGCGCTTCACAGCCTCCGACCTGGCGCGCGCACGCGTGCTGGGCCAGGTCGACCGCAAGTTCGTGGCGTGCATCATCATGCACTCTGCGCAGGCTGCGGGAGAAGAAGGTGGAGGCGATGAGTATCGCGAAGATGGCCATGGGGAACGCGCGCTTGTGCTTATTGACCAGCATGCCGCGGACGAGCGTGTGCGCGTCGAGCGCTTCCTGCATGAGCTGTGCGCTCCGTCGTGGCGCGGAGGTCACCCTTCCGAGGTGGGTGCGCGTTGCGGCGGTGGGAGCGGGGGCGGTGGTGGGGGTGGTGTGCGGACGAGGGTGCTCGCTCCGCCGGTGAACGTATTGTTGACACAGGTGGAGGCGAGAGCGATCGCGAAGACGTCTGACGTTCGTTCAGCGTTTGGTCGCTGGGGCATCACCTTTGCTGGTTCCTCCGCTGTCCAGGAAGACATACCCAGTGCAACCCAGGACGGCGAGACAGCGTATGTTCAGGTCGCAGTCGCGACCGTGCCGGAGGTTGTCGCGGACAAGGTCCGTTTCTCTGCATCTACTACAATGACAAGGCTGACGGGTACAACTGCAGCTGCTGGCTGGAGACGAGCTGCGTGACTTGATCAAGGGGTACTTAGCGAAGCTGGAATCAGACGGATTAGAGGGATATGTGCACGAGCCCGATCCCCCTCAAATGGGTGATGGTTTGCACGAGTGGCAACGGGCTCTGCGATATTGTCCCCGCGAGCTCGTCGAGCTCGTGAACTCAAAAGCCTGTCGAGGTGCGCTCCACTACGACTCGCCTCGATCGATCGGTACTCACCAAAGACGTTTCAAGGCGCCATTATGTTTAACGACACCCTCACACTGGAACAATGCAAGAACCTTCTCGACAAGCTGTCCGGGACAGCATTGCCATTCCAGTGCGCACACGGACGGTGGGTGCCCCCTCTCCGTCTTTGTGTACGGCTTGGCTGATCGGCGCACCTGCACAAGGCCTTCCTTGGTGCCCTTGGTGGACGTCGGCGGTTCAGTGTATAACCCAGCGGGCGCTCCCATCGATTGGGGCGAGTTCATGGGACCACGTAGTCAATAGGTGGTCACCGGTTGTATAGCAAGCATGTGCGCGGTTGTGCGCGGCCCCGGACGTCCGCGAGCACGATGTCAGCGTGAGTCTGCCTGAGTCGCGATGAGCGCATGCAATGGCCGGGAACGATCTGGAGTGATAGGGCGGGTGATTTGGCTGGCGGGCGTGGGGATCGATGCGCGGGCCAGCGAGAGGCTGCGAGAGTGGTCTGGATGATGTCACGCGAGCGCGGGCACCCATGACGTCACTCCCCCGCGCGCCCCTCATATACTCGCCGCCCGTGCTCGCTCCTGCTGCATACGCACATACGCACTCCCCTGCTCTCCCTCCTCATCGCACAACACCGCCTCTACACCACCGCACAACCACCGCACACCATGGGTCGCGAGCTTACGAAGGTCGTGTACAAGACTGACGCCAACGAGGACTTCATTGTCATCGTCAACCCCGCAGAGGTGCGTCCATCGAGTGGCGATCGCGTGTGATCGTAGTGCTCACGCCTGTCTTTACACCCTCCAGTTCAAGAAGTGGAAGGAAGGAGGTACGTACGCTGCTCGTCTGCGAGCACGGCGCATGCTGACACTATCTCTGCAGACACGTAATGGCACATTCCCTTTGTGCACGTCCGGACGTCCAAGACTGACTGACAGCGATCTAGCACCGTCCCATTAACGGAGGTCGTCGATGGTAAGTGCCTTCGTTGCCCGTGGATGTGCGTGCGCTGATAGGGCGCGATGCACACAGCGTTCCAGGTGTTCTGGTCGAACCAGGGCGCACAAGGGCTGCTCGGCACCCCGTCAAACCAGCAGCTGGACAACGCGTTCGGGACGCACAAAGACGTGGACGTGATCACCGCCATCCTCCAGAAGGGCAAGGAGGAGACCGGAAAGAGCATCCGATCAGGCGAGGGCACCGCGACGAACCTCACGAAGGGCAGCTTCGCGGTCGACACGAAGGGGAAGGGCTCGAATGGGATCTAGGCCCGGATCCTTGGTCCGTCTCGGATTTGAAGTGACTGGGTGGGACGAACGGCAGTGTACCAACAGCATGTATTCTTGAGCATAAACAGCATGATATTCTCGCGCCGTGGGCGGCCTTCGGCCACACAGCGCAGCGGAGGCCTGGAGTCGAGGAGGAGGGTGTAGATGGGCGAGACCAGCAGAAACGCAGGACCGCAAGCGTTCCGGAGCTTGTGTACCTGGTAGATGGGAGAGAACGGGGCCAATGGGAGGCGGTGTGAAGCCGGCGGCTGGGGCATGGTAAGGCCGTGCGAGGCGCCCAGCGTGAGGTCACCGCGCCGGCGAGGACTTGCGGAGGATTGCAGCGGCATGGCCCCGCGCGCAAATCTACCTGCAGCCGCGCCCGGCGCAGGTTCTTAGGATCCTGCTGCGAGACCCATCTACATCCCCGCGGGCAACTGTCCATCCCGCTCGCTCCCTGCCACGACTGCCACGGCATTATACACGAGCATGCCCACCACAGTCATCCTCGGCGCAGGCATCATCGGCCTCGCGACCGCCCACTCCCTCGCCGAGCTCGCGCCCCCAGACCACAGAATACACCTCGTCGACCCCGCCCCCGAGCTCTTTGCATCCGCGTCCGGCAAGGCCGCCGGGTTCATCGCGAAGGACTGGTTTGCGCCCGCGATCGCGCCTCTCGGGGACCTGTCCTTCGACCTCCATCGGGCGCTCGCCCACAGGCACAACGGCCGCGCGCGATGGGCATACTCTGAGAGCATCTCCTACTCCCTCGACCGCGATTTCGACGATGACTCCGACGACCCCGACCTCGATCCCGGGCTCGCCTCCGGATCGGATCGCGGTGCGGACGCAGAATCTACAGAGCAGAGCAGCGCGAGTGGTCAAGATGTCCCCATCTCTGGCCGCAATGGCAGCCAGGGCCAGGGCGGCCTTGACTGGCTCCGCCAAAACACAAGCCGGGCGAGCGTACTCGAAGACAATGTCGAGAAGGCACACTCGGATAGGAGCGTGTCGGTCGATGACACAGACGAGCTGCCCAAATGGCTCCGCGCAAGGCCAGACGCGCTACAGATGATATCGGACAGGAAGTCCACTGCTCAGCTGTACGTCGTCTCGCGCCCGGTTCTTTCTTCTTAGGATCCTCAGTGCTGCACCCAGACATCCTTGGCAGCTGTGCGAGTTCCTGCTCGAGCAGTGTCTCGCCGCCGGCGTCACCCTCCACCAGCCCGCCCGCGCGACCAAGCTATGGCTGGACGAGGACAACCCGGGCGGGCTCACGCGCATCCGCGTCGAGTACCTCGGCCTCCTAGCAAAGACGGTCGACGGGCGCGCGCGCACCGTCGACATCCCCTGCGACAATGTCGTCATCGCCGCCGGCTGCTGGACGCCGCAGGTCTACACCGCCCTCTTCCCGAACGCGAACCGCATCCCGCGCATCACGCACCTCGCAGGGTACTCCGTCACGTTCAAGGCGAAGCACTGGCCGCCCCCCAATCCTACTCCGAAGGCGGACCCACACGCGCCACAGGCGCCTAGCAGCCCGTCCCTGCCCCTGCCCCGCCGGCACGACTCCCAGGTGTACCTCGGGGCGAGCCCCTCCCACGCGATCTTCACCGGCGCGCACGGATTCTCGCCCGAGATCTTCTCACGCACCGCGGGGGACGTCTGGCTGGGCGGCCTGAACCCGGCCGCGGCGGCGCTCCCGGCGCTGCCCACGGACGCACAGGTCGCCCCCGCGGAGGTCGCCAAGCTGCTCGCGGTCGCGCATGAGCTGTGTGGGGAGGACATCGAGCTGCGCAGCCAGGCGTTGTGCTTCCGCCCGGTGAGCGCGACGGGGCGGCCGATTATCTCGCGGATGCATGTTGCGGACCTCGGCGATGGGGTGAAGCCGCCCGGGCACGACGGGGCGGGTGGGGTGTTCGTCGCGACGGGCCACGGTCCATGGGGAATCTCCTTGAGCCTCGGGACGGGAAGAGTCGTGAGCGAGATGGTGCTGGGGCGGACGACGAGCGCAGACGTGAGCGCATTGACGAGGTGGTAAGTGCTCACCAAATATTTGCTTCTAGATCCCCGAGGCGGGTCACGATGGCATCCGGGGTGCCTTGGATAAGCGAGAGAGGGCCTGAGAGAGGCACTGGGTATGCTGGCTCGACGTGGCCGGGGGGAAAGGCACGGGTGGAGCGGCGCGATCTACAATTATTGACCTGGGCGGCAGGCCACAGGCATGGGCCATCTATTATCTCCGGATCTCTCGCAGCGGCGGCGTGGCGGGATGGGGCTTCTTGGGCTTACCAGTGCGACACAACTACATCAGTTCTTATGAATTCCCCTCCCTCTGCGTCTCGCGTGCATATCGTCATGCCTCCGAGTCTTTGCGTCTGGACGGTGCTTGATGTGTGCGTTCTTTCCAGGGACGGTGTGCCAGGCGAATCCGACTAGTGCAAGACGAGTGAGCCGCCTCGTGCATGGCAGCCACAGAGAATCAACTGCAAATGAACAACCTTTAAATCCGACGGGATCCACCTGGGGCGGGTGCATTTAATAACCGCGCGCGATGTGCTCGTGGGGCCGGCATCCTAAGGTGGGGCATATCCTAGAAGGAACGTCGTGGAAGGGATCTTCTATCGACGGTCGAGCGATGGGGAAAGCAAATTTTAGAAACGATCTAGCGGTGCGAATTTCTTCTTAGTGTTCCCGTTAACTTATCCCCCATGATACCGGTCTGTATGCGCTTACCAACTATGGAACGAAGGACTCGCTCTGCCTTGAGCTGCAAAATGACGGTATATATATGCTGCGGCTACCCTGGTTTCGATCTACTTCGATCTACTCGCTACACAGCTATGCTGGAAGGGGATGTTCGTATGTGTTCTCCACAGTGGAAATCAGATGCCTTGAGGTAGGGGAAGAAGTGGTCCAAAATACCCGCCGAGTCCCTCGAAATGTCACTTGAACTGCCCATCGTGGCTCGGATATCCCGTTGCATGGTTCTACCACGGTCTATACTGCTCTGCGCAGCCACACCCTACACGCGATATGCTCCACCCGATGAGAGAGGTGTGGTTGGAGCACGCTCCACCTGCTAAATTGCGAAGTTATCCCCGACTCCCTCGAAGTACCCCATATTATGCATTGATCCTCTCCGCTCCCGAGGGCTGGATATACATTACACCTGACCACCCGACGCTCTCACCCACCCCACTTCCTCGCCATCAGCGTGCACCACGGTCACGCCGACACCCTCCAGCTCAGCCACAGTTTCCGCCCACGCCGCGGCGCCTCCGACGCTGCGCACAGCCTCCTCCACCACATACGTGCGCCACCCCAGCTCCGCACTGTCCCGCGCCGACGCCTTCACGCAGTAGTCGCCCGCGAGTCCCACCACGAACACGTGCGAGACGCGCGCCGCGCGGAGGCGGGCTTCGAGGTCGCTCGTCGCGGCCGCGAGCGGCGGGGAGCGCAGCGGGGCACGGAACGCGGAGTACATCTCCACGCGCGGGTCGGTGCCCTTCTCGACGACGGCGTCGAGGCGCGTGAGGGTGAGCGCGGGGACGAGCGCGTTGCCTGGGGTGCCCGTGACGCAGTGGACGGGCCAGAGGCGCGTCTCGTACGTCTCTGCGGGGTTGGCGGGGTTGGTGATGGTGGTGGTGGAGAGGAAGGGCTGCGCGTTGAAGTGGTTTGAGGCGAAGGAGACGTGGTCGGGCGGGTGGTGGTCCTTCGTCGCGATCTTGAGGACGAAGGGGAGCTCGAGGAGCTCGTTGATTATTGGGAGGATTTCCCGGCCGCCAGGTACGGCGAGCGCGCCATCCTGTGTTACAGACATATGTGTATTAGTTCATGTCTTCAATTTTGACGGTCCTGATCAAGATGAGATTTACCGGTGGGCAAAAGTCTTCTTGAACGTCCACGATGAGAAGCGCCGGACGGAACGGCTCTGGTGGAGGTGCCATGGTCTGGTGTACACTTGAACAGACACGCCGACTGTAGTAAGTGCTTTGACGAACCCGGAAGGAGGTACACGTAGTGCGTGTTCAAGCCCGATATGTATGAAAGATGGTTCAGAAAACGCTGCGCAACTTATCGTTTCTAATCAAAGTTTAAGTTCATACGAATGAGCCCTGGCCATGGAAGTCCGACACGATGATAAGTGTCTTCCCCCGTAGCGTAGAGAACCGAGCAGTAAGTATACAACAAGTAATGTAAGATATAGGAGCACAATAGCGTGTAGATATCCAAAGCACGGTCTGGGGCTAGCCCAACAATCCCCACAGACTAGATCCAAGCATCCAAGCAAGGTACCATATGAGACTCCCAGATACGTCTTCGTCCTGCCCGAGGCGATCACTGCACACCGGCCGTCTCGGCCCACTCCTTACTGCCCATCTGCACGAGACGGGAACAACAGCGCGCGAACGCGAACAACTCCTCGTCTCCTGTGAACATCGAGCTCGCGCCGATGATGTCGCTGGAAATGCCCTGTGATGGGTGGTCAGCGGATGTTGCCGTACCATTGAAGAAAGTTGATTTACCAGATCATCCATGACACTTCGCATGTGGTCGGAGATGTCTTCGCCCTTCGCGTTGGGGTCGTTCGAGAAGATCTGGAAGATGGGCACCTCGGAAGAGATGAAGAGCTTGGTCTGAAAGGACCAATAGGGTCAATGATCTGTACTAGTAATCGCTCGTTGTGAATGATCTCACCTTGTTCTCGTAGCAAGCTATAGGGGTGATTTGATTAGCGTAAGGAAAACGTTGAATTTTGAACTCGACACACCATCAATGAACGTGATGAATCTCCTCGCCATGTCCTTCTGACTCAAACCCATCTTCGGGACGTCCGTCACAAAAATAGTGCCAAAGGTCTTCGTGATCTCGATGTAATCCGCTGCGCTCATCGGCTTCCCGCACAGGTCTAGGAAGCCAAACTTCGCGACGGTACGCGTGCTCTGTGGTACAGCAACCTCGCGGCCCCAGACATGCAGCTTGCGGTTGCGGGTGATTGGCTCGTTGTCGTGCGATGCGAATGCCTTGAACAGCTTCTCGAACTCGGCCTGGTTCTCGGGCGTCAGGGGGTCGTAGTACACGTGCGACAATGTTCGGGGAATGCGGCGATAATCTAAGCGTGCTTGATCAGCAACCGGAATTTCAGCATTGGGAGGGTGCGAACGAGACGCACCTGTTCCCGAGTCAAGATCTGTGACCTCGAACCGCTCTTTCAGAATCTCGATGCACGGTACGAAGCTCTGGCGCTGAATGCCATTCTTGTAGAGCTCGTCTGGGTGTCGACTGGTAAACGTCAGACCGCGCACCGCAGACCGATATCCGGCCATGCTCACTTTGAAGTGATGACGGATACGACCCCAAAGTTCATTAGCTTCTCAAACAGCTGTCGCAGAATCATCGCATCTGCGATGTCGGTAACCTACAAGTTCTGTTCAGCTCATGCACGCGCCAAATGTGTCCTCTCGCTCACCGCACCTGAAACTCGTCGAAACACAGCACATACGCCTCCTGCGCCAAATCCCGCGCTACAGGCTCGATGGGGTCGCCTCCTCGTGCACCGAGCTTCGCCTTCATCGCGTGCACGCGTTTGTGCACATCGATCATGAACGCATGGAAGTGCACTCTTCGCTTGCGCTTGATGTGCGGTGGTAGAGTGTGGTAGAAGAGGTCCATGAGCATGGTCTTGCCAGTGCCGACGTCGCCGTACAGGTAGAGGCCCTTCGGCGCATTCGTGGGGGCGGTGACAGGCGCGGCTCCAAGCTGTCTTGTGAAGAGGCGCGAGATCTGGGAGAGCTTCCAGGTTCGCTGAAGAATACGAGAAACGGAGTTCGCTAGCACTCACCAGCGAATTGGAGGCCGGGGTGTGTGCGATATTATGCGGCTCATAGTGTAAGAGGTCATCATGGAGTCTTTGAAGCTTCCCGATTATACGCTCTTGGTGGTCGTCTCCTCGTAGTGTCCCAGACTCTACGAGCTTGTAGTATTGCTCTAAAGGCGAGTTTGGACGCTCTGATCACGCAAACCACGTCAGGACGGGCGGAGACAAATCAATGTACAAACTACGCACCTTGGGTGGTCGGTCGTGGTGGCGCCTCGCTAACGTGTAAATGATGGCCATCCTCAAATGGCCTCTCCTTTTGAATTGAGAGGGAGGAATTGAATCGGGACTTCTGGACTATCCCAGACCGGGCCACCCCCCGGAGTGCGGCTCTGTGGTGACGCACAAGGGCAGAGGACGTCCGGCGGGGCAAGATGGCATTGGCGTGCAGTCGTACGCTCGAGAGGCGCATCCCGAGAGACTCTATGCCGACACAGGACGCAAGAAAAGAGAGTTGGGCAGGAGCCAGCTGCGGTGGGCGTGATATGAGGACATCAGCCCTCCGCCACACGCGGACAGCTATACCCCTCATCTCATCTAGGCGCCCGCGGTTGGTCCCGCCTGTCAGCGGATCCGGCAGGCCCGGACTAGCTCCGGCCAATCTCATGCTCGTAGCAGATCGGACGCAAGGCCCGATCACTCCCCTGACCCGTCCAGTGACCAGTCGCATGCCGAGCAATTCACGCATAGACAAGCAAAGTGCTGCACGGATATTTCTTAAAGTGATGCTGGTTTGTTATACACAAAATGGTGCCAAAACAACTGCAAGTGCTCGACAACATCGCACAGCGATCCTCACATATCGTTGGTGAAAATGTTGATCGAGTCCCGAGTGGCCCCGGTGGAAGAAACAAGGAGGTTGTCCTATACAAATTCCTGTCAGCTACGGCGGAAAGAGACGTCGCGGCCGCAAACGTACCGCACAGCCCGATCCGAGGGCAGCGTTGCCGATCCAACCGGGTTCCCAGTAAACTGTGAGTACACCTTCGTCAGCATAGGTGTCGTAGCGCGGAGGGTGCAGCGAGTACGCACATATACCCTGGCCGAGCCCGTTGGGGAGAGCCGTCAGGACGTTTTTGATGTCGCCGACCCAGGTCTGCTGCCCGCTCGTCGACACGGCGATGCTCGGCTCCGTCAGCTTCGCGCCCGTGCAGGTCACCGGCCAGTCCGTCTCCGCGACGACGATCGGCTTCTTGAACGTGTTCGCGAGGTTCGTAAGCGACGACTTGAGCGCCGCGAGTGTCGCGCCGGAGTCGTAGAACGGGTAGAAGGACACGCCGATGATGTCGACCTGGTCCGCGGAGAGCGCGCCCTGGATGAAGACCTTGCCGAAGAACGAGTTCAGCCCGGACCAGTCCCAGCCGTTCGCGAGGTGGATGAGGATCTTCGGGTTGCCGGCGGCTTTGGCGCCGTTTATGGCGGAGTGGAGCAACTGCGAGACGGGGTTGATGCCTTTGGATGAGATTTGTCCGACGGGCCAGAGGAAGCCGCCGTTGATTTCGTTGCCGACCTGCAAGATGTCGATCGGAGTACCCTGGCTGGAGAAGCTCGTTACGACATCCTTCGTGTATCTACGAAGCGCGAAATGTCAACTGGTGCGACACAGGGTGGACACAATGGATACTACGAACTGCCAAATTTGAGTGTTCAGTCCGTCCAAGTCCGTGGGCCACCCAGAGGGAATAGATTGGTGACCAGGGTCAGCCCCTACGTCATCGCATCAAAGAACGATATTAGTATGTGAGACAAAGGTTCGTTTGGGGTAAGACGAAGCATACGCACAGGTATCGCTGTAGTGCAGGTCGACGACCAGCGTCAGGCCGGCCGCCTTCACGCGCTTTGCAAGCGCCAGCCCATACTGCAGGTTGTAGTCGCCCGCCGTCCACACGCGGATGCGGACCGTGTTCGCGCCATGGTTGTGGATGATGGTCTCGAAGGGCGTGACCTTGCCGCCGTCCGTGTACTTGATGCCCGCCTTCTCCACGATCGCGAGCGAGGAAATGTCAGCAGCCTTGTACGTCAGGGCGCTCGCCAGCCAGGAGAACGAGAGCAGCAGGAAGGGGAGGACGAACATCGTGGCGTCGACTTGGGGCTACCTACATGCCGCCGGTCCCGGAGCTATATATGCGCGTTTGTACGCGCGATCATCTGCGCGGGCGAGGTGCTGGCGAAAAGTCGCATCGAATGAGACGAGTGGGAGCATGCGGTCGGGAGCGCGACTCGTGCAGGGGCATGGCAACCTGCGCCGAAGAGAGGCCAGATGAAGGCGCGAGGCGGGAGAATATATACCGCCGGCTCCGGGGTAGGTGCGACCCGCTCGAAGAGACGAGCTTAAGAGAGCTTAACACTCCTACGGGGTACCACGGAGCATTAGAATCACTCCATGAGAACGGAAGAAGCTGGCACTGCTGACCTTCGCTCGCCATCTGCTACCCGCGCATGTGATCCGGGATATAGCCAGCGGGCATCTTGGGCATCCTTGGAGGTTGGTCAGGTACGACGACAACGCCGGACCGACGGGGCAGCGAGGCTCTCGCGATCAGCTGCACGATCAGGTTGACCGCTGCGTCATTGCAACAAAATTTCGGCTGTTATGAGCTGCACCGTACTTCAAGCATGCGTGCTCTGCATGGGAAATTGGTACGGTGTGTGCAAACTGAAACCATGGTGGGATACCACGGATACTTACCAGGTACCGACATGAGGTCCAGAGTGCCAGGGATGGCCCGGACTCTCCGAGATGACATACCATCGGTTCTGCCGGAGTTGGTGGCGATCATGGCTTGTGAGTGAGCCGACGGCATCTCCTCTTGACGACGAAATTTGGCAGCCCAGAAATCGCCTGCCCTTGTCAGTCCCGCATGTTGTCTAAGGGGGCCTAGAACGCCTGTCCTTTGGACATAGATGGAGACTAATTGTCGAGAGTTGCAGAAGACGCCACCTTCGGAGGAGGTTTTGCGTCTCGACCTCCGGTGTGATGTCGCCGGTGCACCGCAGTGGCAGGCTTTCGCATCGCGACTGAGAGCTACAAGTACTGAAGATGCGAAATTGAGCCACAGGGTCGGAGGCTTGAGCCCGACTCTTTTGGTACGCCAAGGGGATCGTCTAAAAGGCACACACGTGGCAAGAGAGTAAGCATGAAGTGAACCAAGTTGTGGCGGCAGTGCCGGTGGCGCGTCGGGCTCACAGGCGCCCATGCGCACCTCTGTTCAAAGTTTCATCAACGGGCCTGTCCTTGCCTCGTAAGCTTCGGTTGAGATTGCTGCGAGGCTCAAATGACTGCCACATTGAACAAGTCCGAGATGGCCTCGGGATCGTTGTCCATGTACGTCGTAACGTGCAACTCGCTGGTTGACAGCTCTTGACTTTCTCCAGATTTGTAGGCCCGGGGCGTGTATTACGTCTCGAAGATCGGACTCCGTCTTTCTGCTGACTGAGAAAGATTGGCAAATTTCGCGCGTCCGTATCTTCAAGTATACATTCCAGTAAGGCTTCTTGAGAACGCGGCAGTCCACGAGGGCATGTGTACGTTGCCTCTAATGCGTCTACCGAGCGGAGTACTATCTGTGAGTAAATGCCGTCATATATGGTACATGCGCTATCGTCTCGACTGACCGCGTAGTGCGCAGATGCTGCTGTGGCATTATGATGCTCTACCTTGATCCGAAAAGCCCTGAAAATGTTGTCACGAACCATGTGGGGCGGCTCACCCTCTGAAGCAGAGCGTTGAGCTGGTGAGACCACAGCGATGGTGGAACACCCCAGCTTCCCTGACGCTGCCGATGGCGCCGCGGTCTTTGATAGCGTCGACAAGAGAAGCTCGAGTGTGATATGTAATATCCGTGAACTCGGCCGGTGCGTGTCGCCCAGGTAAGGTTCTGTGGAGGGAGAAGTCTGCCTGATTTGGCAACGGTCTTTCCCAGATAGGCGCGTTGTTTGGCGTGGACGCCCCGTCACCTCCCCCGCCAGACAGCTCATCAACGTATCCAGAACCAGAACCATAACCGGTTGACCGCAGGGCGCCCCCGCAAATGGCCCTATATAATAACCCCGCCTCGCGTCGTCCCCATCGTGTCTCGTCCCATCTCCCCCGTCCTGTCGTGCGACACGCCAGAGCTTCCTGACCCTCCCCTTTCGTTGCATCATGTCTACGACTACGGTAGATGACGTCAAAGACAAGACGTTCGACTTCATCGTCTGCGGTATGTTGATCTTCTCAGAACGATGTATGCACTCACAAAACCATCGCTAACCCGCACCGTTGCTTCTAGGTGGAGGGGTATGTGGTGTCGGGTGGACCGGCCTGGCTGCGTGCACTAATGTACACTGTCTGGTAGACTGCCGGTCTCACACTCGCTGCCCGCCTCAGTGAAGACCCTCAGAACTCGGTTCTTGTCTTGGAGGCAGGCGAGGCGAACATCGGAGACATGGCGCTATGTGAGTGCTGTCTCGAGAGCTAAATAGAACTTTGAGCCTCATGACCTCTGTTAAACTATTAGTGCGCCCGGCCTCATACGGTAGCCACTTTGGGAGGCAGGAGTACTCGTGGAATCACGAAACGGTGTGTCTCATGACCTCCGCCACCGTCTTGCGGCGTCTCATTGTACGTTATAGACCAAGCAGAAACTGACTGGGGATAGTGCGCATATGTGGCACAGGTCAGTATATGCGCCTCCTTTATCATGTGCGCCATATTGAGACGCGTTGCAGAGGGAAGGGTCTTGGAGGTAGCTCCGGCATCAACTTCTTGTGTTGGATCAAGCCGCCTAAGCAAGACATCGATGGTCAGAAGATTGAGCTACTTCGATGCGAGCCGTGGTTGACGTCAGTTATAGATTTCGAGCGTCTTGGCAACCCCGGCTGGAACTGGTCGAACTTTGAGAGATACATCCATCGTACCGAAGGGTGAGTGTTGTCGCCAGATGGCTTTCCCTATCACGCATTGAGTTAGCGTTATGTAGCTTCGTGCCGCCGAATGAAGACGTCCAGAAGAACATGAATATGAAGTTCGATACGTGGAACATGGGTACAAGCGGTGAGTGCCAGTACATGAACCAGTTCAAATCTATTTGGCCTTACGACGTCATCCACAGGGCCGCTGGCTATCGCATACCCTGCAACTATCGACCAGTCGGAGTTGAAAGTCCAAGAGGTGCCACGCTGTCTGCTGAACGGTACACGCACTCGTTGCTAATGCACCCGACTAGACGCTGTTGAACGCCGGCATCCCACAAGCTGCGAGACCTGTATGTGAACTGCTATTTATAACCGCGCGCAGCCCACTAACTCCCTGGCCGCAGATGAACGGCGACGTATGTCACTTCCGTTCGTGCCTGCGATAATCAATGACCCCTCTGTCGACAGCCCGCAGGGGTGTACTTCGCGCCGTGCACATACGATCCCAAGACGCACACACGGAGTTATGCGACTACTGTGAGTTTTTCATCATTGCCCTTCCTGGAAGACACGGTCTGATTTGCGGCGGGAGTATAGGCGTTCTATCTTCCGTACAAGGATCGCTCAAACTTTACCGTGCTCGTTTCCGCACATGTCAACCGGGTCATCCCGGCGTCCGATGACGGATCGCAATTTGTTGCCGAGTCGGTCGAATTTGAGCACAAGGGCCAGGTTTACACCGTTCGTGCTAAGAAAGATATCATCCTGAGCGCCGGGTGAGTATATCTGTAGTATAGATAATGAGAGTTCACCATGCTGAACCGCCCTCTCTGAAAGCGCTCTGAAGAGTCCTCAGCTACTTGAGCTTTCAGGCATAGGAAACCCCAACATTCTCCGCAAGATCGGCATCCCCACCAAGGTTGACCTCCCGGGCGTTGGTAGCAATGTGCAAGAGCACATGAACGTCGCCATCAGCTTCGGTGAGCAGTCACATTGCGGACTTCGATAAACACCAAGTAATGTTTCTTCGTCAGAGCTCCGAGATGATGTTGAATTTGACACCATGGACCTCCTGGCGGATCCCGCCGTGCTCGAGAAGCACGTCGAGTTGCAGTACGTATTGTATCTTCGTTTACTTTACGGCCGCTCATCATTCGCTCCAGTTCCACCGGTACCGGTATCTTCACTACGGGTATTGTCGGGTTCGCCTTTGCCAAGCTGAGCGAAATCAGCCCGAGAGCAGACGAGATCTTTGAAGCAGCGGAACACAAGATGATGAAGAATGGTAACACCTATCCGCCTGGCCTGCTCGAGCAGTACAAGATATCTCTCGAGCGTCTCAAAGATGGCGTTGGCTGCGAGTTCATCAGTTTCCCGGGGATGTGCTCTCAGCCGAGTACGTTCAACTCTGCCATCATTGTACGCAACGGCTGATCTCACTTCTACCTAGACCCACCAGAGAAGGGGAAGCGTTACGTCTCCTTCTATGCTGCGACAAACCATACCTTCTCCAGAGGGACTATCGTAAGTATATTGTCGTTCAAGCATGCACGCCTGCTGACGCGTTTGAACAGCATGCATCATCTAAGGACCCGGCTGTAGATGCCCAGTTTGATCCTCGCTACTTCGACGAAGAAGTCGGTAAGTTGATAGTACCGGCATATGGAAGTTCCCGGATCTGTCGTTCATGTACATGTCTTAGATCTTCAAGTCTGGGTCGAGATGGTGAAGTTTGCGAGGAGCCTGCGCAACATAGCTCCACTCAAGGACATGACCAGTAAGTTATCACGGCTCTATGTCTTGCGGGTTCTGCTGAATCGTAGCATTAGCCAAGGAATTGAACCCTGGCCCCGAGGTTCAAACAGACGAAGAAATCGTCGGTAAGTCTTCATTTGACCTCGTGATAGCGCGTTTTATCAACACGGCTGTCCAGGCTGGATCAAGAAGGTCATGTCGACTACTTGGCGTAAGTCCATGTCAACCAACTGTCGCGCAATTGCTGACTTAGCTTCTATCTAGACACTGCGAGCTCTTGCTCGATGCTTCCGAAAGCGAGCGGTGGTGTGGTGGACCCTCACCTCAAGGTATGCCAAGTGCGAATATTCTCACAGCGACGGACTGATCGTAGTATATAGGTGTACGGCACCGAAAACCTCCGCGTCGTCGATCTTTCTGTCGTCCCTTTGCACATTGCAGCCCATCCTCAGTGTGAGCAGTATCCGTTTCTTTCAAGTGCTGTAGACTGATTGTCTTCTGCAGCTACCGTCTACGCCATTGCCGAGCAAGGTATGTCACGCAGGGGCTTGAGATTAACACGCTAGCTAACACATGCGTACAGCTGCGGACATCATTCAGGGAAAGCAGACTTTTCGGGTCTAATCGAGTGGCTATTGCGCGTTTATAGGCGAGGGCGCCTGAATGCGAGCCTTCAGTGTCTGTATGAAGTTGTTGATCCCGCCCGTGTACTGTTGTCGTTTGTTAAAGTTGTATGTAAAGTATTCGAAGAAGTCCACAGCGTCCTTGTACCCTCGTCCGGAGCGCGGTAGTGGCCTGAACATCGTTACTGGAAAACGTTTGCCAGTCGAATCTCCGTTGTTTTCGGACAGTTGACCATCACATGACGCACACACGCGCGCAAACATTGGGCGCTTGCGTGTTTCCCCGCGCCGACATCCAGCTCGGTGACGTTCAATCCATCCCGACTGCTCTACGCTGCGCCATCGCCGACAGCGCCCAGGAGGTGCTCAAGACCGTACAGATATATCCCCACCTCCCGCCATCCGACATGCCCGCCCGCCGAGCCGCAAAGTGGGTTTCAGCGTAACAAGCGCTCGGTCTGCGCACGAACTGACGTTCCGCTCGATCAGGGGAAAGAAACGAGCGATTCAGCAAGTGCTCTCAGAAGACGAGCAATCGAGCGAGGCTTCTTCATCGTCTGTACCCGCTGCAACTCCTCGCGCTCGGGAGAAGCAGCCCGCGCTGCCCGTGAAGAAGCGTGCGCACTGCGGTTCTGCTACTCAAGTTGTTACGCTGACGCCCTGTTCCTCAGCTAAACGTGCGGAGACGCGCAAGTGCCCGATATGCGACGAGCCCATCCCTCTACGGCTACTGTCAAAACATGCGGTTCTGGAGGCGGAGCGGCTGGAGGAGATAGTTCGGTCCATTGGGTCGACGGAGGTCCTGGGCGAGGCCGAGCCGGATGATGGGTGCGTCGACTTACCGCTGATACGCGCTCCCCACTAAACCTTTCGTCCGCCCAGCCTTTCTGCTCGAGCGCGACGGTCCGCCTTGAAGGCTCGTCAGAGCATGAAGCCCGGCACGTCCTCGACGGCCGAGTCGACCATAGAGGACACGATGAAGACCCTGCGTATGCTGAAGCGTCACCGGAAACAGCGACATCAGAAACTGCGAGAGCTCACACGCGAGGAAGAGGACGAAGGTTGGTGGGGTGGGCATCACCGAGGTGAAGGCGGCGAGGGTGAGGGGACGCAGTGTCCAGTGTGCAACAAGATGGTCCGGGGAGACACGGACGTCGTGGAGGCCCATGTGGACTCGTGCTTGGCGCATATGCGAATCACGAGCGAGCAGGATGGACGTAGACGAAGTGGGAGGGGAAGTGCAGAGGTGGATGACGATTTTGACATCGACGTCGAGGGGGAAAGCATGATACATGGGGTTATGGAAGGCGTTAGCTTCCGAGGTGCGTGGTATAGCTGGTGCTGGTCTCGGTCAGTTCTAAGCACCAGGATAGGTACCGGCTTCGACATCCCGAATCGTACTGTTCAGGATGTTGATGAGGATATCGACATCGACGGCGAGGACGAGGCCGTCTTCGGTGTCGCGCAGTTCACAGAGGAGGACATACTAGGCACCGCAGAACCTCCCGCCGAGAGCATGTCGGACGCAGGGACAGATGCGGATGTGGACGTTGACGACGCGGGCGGAGGTGGGGGTGCGCAGGTGTCGAATGGGGCGAAAAGTTTGCGAACCTTGGTGGAAGAGGGCAAGGTTGTGCGCAAGCATGTCGAGGAGGCGAAACGGACGATGGAGGAGGTTATGGGGGTGAGCGAGACCGAGCAGGCCGATCTTGCCGTGGAGCTTGCGCGAAGGAAGGGCGACCCGGCCGCGCTCATACGCGCTCTAGAGAACAAAGTCCAATTGCTGGTCAGCATCATGTCATTTCCTGCGGTGGCTTTCTGGCTGACGAGTCTTGTAGGAATCGACGAAGGTGTCTTCGTCAACATCGCTGCTATGTCGCATCTGTCTCGACCCTTACACCGAACCTACCGTTTCAACCGGGTGCTGGCATACGTGCTGTCGCGAATGCTGGCTTCGTTGCCTCGCCTCTACCAAGCTCTGTCCGATCTGCAAGAGGATCACAGGTGCGGCGGATCTGAGGAGGGTATATTTGTAGTAATGTCACTTGATGTCTGGCTTTGCTTTGCTTTCATTTCACGCTTTCATTGCACTGTACGTAGTTGCATCGTTGTCTTATTGCTGTCTGTCATATCCTGTGGGCGTAAAGTCGTAAACAAATGTTCGCATCGAGAACTGGGAACATTAAAGAGGACTCATATCTGGCCTTGTCAATTCTACACGTTAACGCCACTCACATAAACCGTGCAACAAAGAGGTTACAGCGGCGGCACATTCGGGACACCGTACTGATGCCACCACGACATATATAATCACAGTCCCGAACCAAGCAGACGGCGGCTCACCTGGCACAACAGACCCGAAATCAAGGCTCACAATGGCAAGAACTGGACGGTGCAATGAAGAGGGGCTCGAATTAGGTGGTGGTGAGTACAGTGTATACAAGTGCGTGTATGATCATGCGAGGGGGCTGATGAGCCTGGGGAGAGGTCAACCGCTGCCAGCAGTACAGGACAAGAGTTACGCACTTGATCAAGGAGGGCTGGGGGTTGCTCCGAGTGTAGCCCACGTAGATGATGAAAGGAATCCACGCATAATGGGCGACGACCTATACGGAAGTTAGCAACAGACACGGTGCGGAGGATACAGCTGGCCGCAGCGTACGCGAGCGAGGTCGACAGCCTTGACAATTCTCTCCTACAGCCCCTGTGAGTACAAGCTCGCATATGCAGCGCAAATATGCGTACCTTTGTCTCTTCTGAAGGCATTTTGTGGGAGTGAGGATGAACGACGTGGAGGAGGCGTTGAGGGCGTCCCCGGGCGTTGCCGACAACTTTTTGGCCGCCCGGGCGCCTCTTTCGCGCATCTATACCGCCGCGCTTGACCTGCCCTCGCCCTCCACATATCCACGAAAATGCCGCTCGGACCCCCCACCTCCGCAATCTACCTCCAAAACACCGCGCCGGGTTTCACGGTCGCACCCGGGTACGATTTCCGTGCATTCACCAGCAAAAAGAGCTGCAATCTGACGCGCGATCGCACACAGGCGCACCCCGACATCGGTGACCGTCCACCCGGTCGCTCTCTTCTCGATTCTCGACCACTTCTTGCGAAGAAATGACACGCAGGAGCGCGTGATTGGGACGCTGCTTGGGACGCGCTCGGAGAACGGCGAGGTCGAGGTGCGCTCGTCGTTCGCGGTCCTCCATAGCGAGACGGAGGAGCAGGTCGCGGTGGACATGGAGTACCACCGCACGATGTACGACCTCCACCACAAGGTCAGCCCGAAGGAGGTCATTGTCGGCTGGTGAGTTCGCGCTGCGTCTTAGGAGTATTTAGCGGGTGCTCATACCGCTTTGCAGGTACTCGACCGGATCGAACCTGAACACATACTCGGCGCTCATCCAAAACTTCTACACGCAAGAGACCACGCCGCACCAAGCTATCCACCTAGCCGTTAACACTGGTGTCGAGGAAGGACAACAGGCTGGTGTCAAGGCTTTCGTAGGGTAAGCCGACTTCGCGCTCGTTTGACCTACCTATGGCCTAATGTGCGACCTGCAGATCGCCCGTTGGTGTTAACCCGAAGCCCGAGAACTGTGTATTTGTACCGATTCCTTGCGAGCTCCGTTTCAACGACGCCGAGCGCAGTGGTCGTACGTATTCCCCGCTGTTCTCCATCTACCGCAGCTCACACCGGTTCGCCCCAGTCGACCTCCTCACCTCCATCCCCGCAAACCCCGCCAATGCCACCTTCACCAACCCCGCAAGCGACCTCGAGCTCCTCGAGCGTTCCCTCCAGGAAGTATCCGACATGCTTGACCGCGTCCTCGCGTATGTGCAGTCCGTCCTGTCCGGTGCGGTGAAAGGGGATGCCGCCGTTGGGCGGTACCTCATGGACGCGCTGGGACCGAGCACGGAGGACCTCGAAAAGGGCGAGTTCAACTCGCACCTCCAGGTGTGTACTCCTCCACATCCGACCTCCAAGCAGCGTGCTCATCCACTCCACAGGATACCCTCATGGTCTCCTACCTCGCGAACCTCGTCCGTTCGCAAGCAGAAGTATCGGCGCGGCTCGCGCTGGTGAGGGCGTCATAGTTTTTGTGTATCTTGTATTTTGGGGAAGCGGGCAGTGCTGGCTGCCTATAGTGTATCCATAGCGGACGCGCGTGTACTGCTTAGCTGTTGAAAATGCGCGAATGCTGTAAATCGTGCCGCGCCGCGAGGATCTCCCCTAGAGGCCAAGTCATCGCTGGTCCGTGTAGTGCATCGTCTTCAGGCGCCGCATGCTCCTTAGTAGCTCGAAGGCCCGTAGTGAGATGCTTGCACCGTGACATCTCGTCCTCGACAAGCGGGCGAACGGCATGCAAGAGGAGTTGCTGGGCGGCGTAAGGTCCGATGATGTTAAGGCGCACAGAAGCTGAGAGGACGCTCCGCGCCTGCAGGAATAGATGGAGGTACTGACTCCGTTCTGAGGGAGTTGAAATTAGAGCCAATGCATAATAATACACGATGGACGAGGACGCGAGCTGTATTCGCACCAGAAGATAGTTCCAAGGCGGCTGTCAAGAGTCCCCAGCAAATAGGCAGGTGTCCGTGCGTTTCTTCGCGGCGCACAAGAAGCTTCAAGCGGTCGACAAGTATGGTTGCGCGGGCTTCGCGCTCGGATACACGAGAGGGCTCAGCCGGTTGCAGCTGTCGAAATAGCCGTGGCTTCGAGAAGCCCTTGGAGAAGAGCGTCAACAGAGCGACGCCTTGCGATTTGGACGCCCTCCGAGCGACGTGATTGAGCGTCATGGTCTCGTAGAGTTCATCCAGCTCCCTGAGGCGTTCGACCGCGCGATCTGCCATTGCCTCCGCGGATGCCTCGGACTCCTCGAGGGCTTCTACGACAACAAGATGCGCATCGAGCACAAAGGGAAGCGCCGAGTGAGCGTATGTCGAGAGGTTATCGCGCAGGAAGCTGGTTGTGTAGTCCATCTTGTCCGGAGGCGGAGCATCGGATGGCGATGAGAGGTCCGTGAAGAAGCCATGCGCGACGTATGACTCGAGTCCAGCAGACGCGACAAACGCGCCTGTCGGGAGGTTGCTGTCCGACAAAAGAAGGAGGATATATGCTTCGTGGTCGCTGTCCATGGTCGTTGGCGAGAGCAAGGCGAGAGACTGAAGGAAATGGGCGAAAGAGAGCAAGAGGCGCACGCGAGCGCCCAAACGCGCTCTGTAGCACGCGGTCTGCGCGCGCGTCATCCGACCTCTCTTGCATTCCTTCTCCCAACCTTACCTGGCCTGCATGGGCTGACGTCTCTTGGGTTCTTGGACAGTATCTAAGACACCACTCTCGAGCGTACCTGGCGGGGATAGTTGCTCAAGATGGGTGCGCAAAGTCCTGGCATCAGGCGAGCGGGACCAGTCTGAACCACCCCGCAGAGTCCAGCATCTCCAAACAGCTGGTGGACAAGATGTACGAGAAGCGCAAGGCGGCTGCGCTCGAGCTAGAGAAGTGAGTGGTTACGACATATCGTTGCCTTCGGAGCGCCTCATGTGTACCTGCGCAGGCAAATACGCGAGTGTCACCAGCAAGGGGACCAGCGCCGTATAAGCCAAATTGTGGACCAACTGGTCGAGATGTTCAGCAATCCCTCAAACCCCCTACACGTACGAAATGGAGGACTCATTGGTCTTGCTGGTACTGCAATTGCCTTGGGCGTGGATATCGCACCGTACATGGAGAAGTTCGTCGAGCCGCTGCTCGTATGCTTCATGGATCCGGAGAACCGAGTACGGTACTTCTCCGCGGAATGCCTATACAACATCGCGAAGGTGTCCAAGGGCGAAATTCTGGTGTACTTCAACCCCATCTTCGACGCGCTCAGCAAGGTGCGTGCGCGAGTGCATGAAAGTCAAGCTTAATTCGAACGCGTATCAGCTTGCTGCAGATTCGGAATTGTCCGTCAAGAACGGCGCAGAGCTCTTGGACCGCTTGCTCAAGGACATTGTCGCAGAAACAGCATCTGTCTACATCCCCCAATACCCCGAGACCGAAGCGGCTCGCCGGAGAGCAGACCAAATGAATGGCATTCTGGTGCCCCATCCAGACGATGTCGCGAACGGCGCAGATATCGGTTCCGCGCGCAAGGCTTTCTCCCTGGCACACTTTATTCCTTTGCTCTCTGACAGGATATACGTCGTCAACCCGTTCACACGAAGCTACCTGGTCTCCTGGATCACTGTGCTTGATTCAGTCCCAGAGCTAGAGCTGATCACTTACTTGCCCGAATTCCTCGACGGTCTTTTGTTCGTACACATCCAGTCATTGTGATGTGATTGGCTAATTTTGACGACATCGCTGACAGGAAATATCTCTCTGATCCCACCGACGACGTCAGGGTGGCGACAGAAGGTCTTCTTGCTGACTTCCTCCGCGAAATACGGGTCGTCACAAATGTTCAAAAGCATCAAGAGGAACAAGCGAAGGCCAAGCGAGAAGCGACTCTCGCGGAGTCATTTCGACGCCACGAAGGAGAGAAGGAAAGGCTGCCTGACATTACCATGGACCATCCAGAGCGCGGTGCTTTCATCACCGAACACGATGACGTCTTCGACAACGACCTTGAACACCAAGACGACAGGCAGGAAGAGCAGGAAGTCCGCGAAACCGGCAGTGGGTATCCTTTATATGCGGTGCGCCCAGACATTGATAAAGTATCTACTGCAGCCTGGTTGCCTGGTCAGGGTGTAAGGATCGACTATGCGGCAATTGTCGAGATACTCTTGCAACAGCTAGACGACCAACGTACGTCTCCGATGACTTCGTACTCTAGACGTAAGCTGAAGGATATTGTTAGATGACGAAATCCAGCAATCGACCGCATTGCGGTGGCTGTCCGATTTCCTCAACATCACACAGGAAGTCATGATACCCTTTACTCCCCGACTTATCCTAGCTATCCTCCCTAATCTTGCGCACGATGTCCACATGATACAAGCAGCAGCCGTACGGACGAACCAAGCCCTCATGAACGTTATTCAATCATTACCTTCTCCGCCTGACGCCGCACCTGGTCGGCAAGGTACAGACAAGTCCTCATTGGCTTCCGTCGCCATGCCCTCTTCACCCCCGCCTCCCGCCGCGCCTAGGCAGTCAACTTCCGGAAAGGACGCCTTTCCTAGTCGGGACATCAGCTCGCCAGAATCCACCCCGGAGACTGGGGGCTCACAGGTTGGTGGCTCCGACCGCGCCTCGTTATCCACTCAACAGAAAGGACGCTCCGCCACGCTGTCATCTGAGGCCGCCCGGCCTATAACCACGTTCGAAGGCGTCGTCCAGCTTCAGAACAGCCGTCCAGCATCACCGACGTCCGCTGTGAGCGTGCTCCAGCTACACCAGTCCCCAGAGTCGTCGATGTTGCAGGAGAAAGAGCAGATCGACTACCAGGCGACCGTCAACGCGCTGACCATACAGTTCTTGAGCGAACACGAGGAGACGCGAGTTGCTGCGCTGAAGTGGCTAATCATGCTGCACCAGAAGGCGCCCAAGAAGATCCTCGCTATGGACGATGGGACGTTCCCTGCGCTACTCAAGACATTGTCCGACTCGTCAGAAGAGGTGCGGGGCTCACTCTGCACCATCGTCGGGGTAGCGCTGACAAGACTGTGATACAGGTGATCAAACATGATCTACAGCTTCTTGCGCAGATCTCTTCCAGCTCGGAAGAAAGCTACTTTAAATCTTTCATGAACAATCTCCTGGAACTGTTCAGCACGGACCGCGGACTACTCGACTCTCGAGGTAGTTTGATCATCCGACAGCTATGCCTTAACCTCAATACCGAACGAATATACCGGACGTTTGCGGAGATCCTTGAGAAGGAAGAGGTAAGCGCTTTGAATGTACATACATTCAAAGATCGATGCTCATCGACCGCTAGGATTTGGAGTTCGCCAGTGTGATGGTGCAGAAGCTCAACATGATTCTCATCACCTCGCCGGAGCTGGCCGACTTCCGAAGGAGACTGAAGAGTCTGGAGACACGGGTATGTGACAAGCTCAGCCTCCTGAAGGTGGTGCGCTAATATTGGGGAGATAGCAAGACGGGCAGGCGCTGTTCACGACATTATACAGATCATGGTGTCATAATGCTGTGGCGGTGTTCTCGCTATGTCTGCTCGCACAGGCATATGAGCATGCGTGCAATCTGTTGTACATCTTGTAGGTGATTCAGCGCCCAAACGTTGGAAATTATTCTCACTATGGCCGCCCCACAGTGCCGACCTGGAAATCACCGTACAGCTCCTCGTGCAAGTCGACAAGCTCGTACAGTTGATAGAGTCCCCCGTCTTCACATGTGAGGCGTCCGTCCCCTTACCTCTCAGCCTCGCTAATCAATTCCACCTTAGACCTCCGACTACAACTGTTAGAGCCCGAGAAATACCCACACTTGTTCAAATGTTTGTACGGGCTCCTCATGCTACTCCCCCAAAGCTCCGCTTTCCACGCCCTTCGGAACCGCCTCGTCGCCGTCAACTCCGCGGGCTTCCTGCACATAGCACCAAAGTCGTAAGCTCCCTCTGTGCCCCGTCTCCCTTGTGTGTCGAAACTCATCACAACAAACACGCAGGACCGTCGGGAACCTATCCTCGACGCGGTCCAAGCTCGGACGCGAAGATATTAAGTGGCAGGAGCTCCTCCAGCACTTCCGCACCGTGCAGATCAAACACGAGAAGGCACGCCGTCAGGCGCTCGGCAGCGCAGACTCCATGTCCTTCCCGCCCCCCTACGCCAACGGCGCTGACAAGCCGCCCTCCCCACCCTCCGGCAGCGGTGGCGGCGCGACGAGCCCAACCCCAGGGCCCACTATCGGCCCGGTCCCGACACCGACACGGCGGAAGGTGACGGGGGGCGATGGCCCGCTGCGGCCACCATCGCGCACGGGAGGCGTGCTGTCCCCTTTGAATCCACGGGCGCGCGGGGGGAGCGCCCTCGCGAACTCGCTCGCGGGAGGGGCGGGGCAGCAGCAGCCGCCTGGGAGCCCGACGGGCCAGACACAGTTGCAGACGAAGGTGCGGAGGACCTTTAGCTTAAGTCGGAAGACGTAGTGTGTGCTTAAGATGTTGTCCATGTCAGACCGCTGTGCGACGGAGGTGAAGATGGACACCGGGGTGTTACGGTAGTACATATAGTATTATTGCGATTGGTTGTATTCTTCGCGCGTCCACTCTCACGTCGATTATGCGATATGGACATGTGGTTGAGACGGTCAGTTTGGATGGCGGGGTCAGCCCTGGAGTGATATATTAGCATCACGGAGATGTGTCTATAGACTATTGTTACACAGCAGCGTAGTTGTCGGGTGTACACTATAGGCGTGGTATTACGATGATGGAAGCAATGCGGAGTAAACGCAGGGAGGACAGTTCAAGCCATCCATACACTATCAAATGTTGAACGCTAGCTGCGAGCGAGCGGTGTGGGTTTGGGGTCGGTTGAAGGGGCGGGAACCAGGAAGTTCTTGCGTATGGTAGCGATGTCGTCATCTGTCAGCCCGACGACGTTCTTGAGGTATCCTTCGACGCCTCCGTAGCGTGTTTGGAGCATCTGTAGAAAAGCGACCATCGTCTCGGCTCTGGAGTAAGACCTCCATAATGAGTACTACATGCTGTCTCTCGAGGAGCAAGAGCGCTTACCGCGACGAGAACATGTTTAGTGCGGCCTCGGTGTTTGTTGCAAAATATGGCACTTTGGACAAGCGCTTCATGATCATCTCTCGTGCGGGTTCGCGGCCCACGCGTGTCAGGGCGTAATCTCGCGCTATCGTCTCGTCATCGACGCCGGCCAGCTGTGGTGTACGGACTCAGAGATCAGTTTTGCGCATGGGTAGAAGAGACATACGTTGAGCAGCAGTGCGGCGAGTACGCCTGTCCTGTCCTTTCCCGCTGTACAGTGGAACAGGCAAGGGGAATCTGGCTTGTCCCTTATGTGGCGAAGGACAACGCCGAACGCGGGGCCGGCGCTGTCTAAGATTTGCGAGTAAAGCACCATGAAGGCCTTGCTCGGTCGTCAATACGTCGCGAGGACGGGGTCAACGGAGGCGTACCTCGGTCTTGCCACTCGCATAGAGCTCGAAGCGTCTGTGCGCCACAAGCGCGAAGCGTCACTAAATGCTTCGCGAGGAGCCTGCGCAGAGTAGTAGACGCACTTTGCCATCGCTTCTGGGCTGTAGTCCTCTGTCTTGAAGACAGGTGTGTGCACGATCTCGACGCCGTCTACGGAGGGAATGGGGGTCTCGTATCGAACCATCTCCGTGTCTGAACGGAGATCATAGACAGTAGTGATTCCAAGCTCCTTGAGCTGCTGTATCCCTGCGCGCAGTCAGAGGATTATCCCAGCGACGTGTATTGGGATGTGCGCACCCTCTGGGGTTATGTGTGATATCTCGCCGGCACGGTACGCGATGCCTGGCCTGGTGACAAGACCCGGATGTTGTGTGGGGTAGTGGCCGAGATCGCGAACGTTGACGACGCCGCCGATGGAGACAAAGGGCAGGCGGGAGAGTGTCTCTGCAACGTACTCGGGGTCGAGCGGGTCGAGATCCATTATTTCGAGAGCTGTAGCGGTCGCGGTACGTTGCAGCGAGGGGCAGCCACAGAGGACGCCGAGCACGCCGAGCGGGGGCACGCCACGGGCGCGTGCACTTTAGGGCCGGTCTTCTCGTGTCTCATTCTGCTCGACGCGTCCGGGTCTCTCATTGATTGGAATCCACACACACCTCCTTCTCCCCACTCTACTCGCCGCCATGGACGTCGACGTCGCGTCTTCTCCGCCTCTTCGCAACACCTCGCTTCCGCCCAGCAGCGCCCCCTATGCTTCCCAGTCCTCCCCAGTCCGTTCTCGCGGCACGCCCAGAAGAAACCGCCAACCAGGCGACGCGCTTGGGCTAGCCGACGATGAGGCAGAGGAGGTTGGCCAGAACGGCGCGCCCTCGCGGAAGAGGAAGGGCGCCAGGAACCAGGCCAATGGCGATGTGCCTATAGTGAAAGACGCGGTCGGCGAGAGCGTCCAGGAGGCTTTCGAGACATTCCTCAGAACGTGCGTTCCCGCCGTCTCCGTCCTCGCGTTTTTGCTCAACCTCAGACTGTAGATTCACAGAGGAGATCGACCTCGCACCAACCCCTCGCTCCGATGGCGGCATCCCTCTCGCTCCGGATGGCGAGCTCATCTACATCGAGCAAATTCACACCATGCGCGAATATGAATTGACCACCCTCTATGTCGACTATGGCCACCTCCTTCAAAAAGACGACGTGCTGGCCGACGCGATTCAGAAACAGTACTACCGCTTTCTCCCTTACATCCGACGCGCCCTCCACAACCTAGTTGCAGAATTTGAGCCAGAGTATCTTAAGCTCAACCCAACCGCTGCAGCTACGGACTCCGTCAACCTCCAATCACGCGAGTTCAATGTCGCGTTCTACCACCTTCCTCTTGTGTCTGGAATCCGAGATCTCAGGACGGACCGGATCGGCACCCTCATGAGCATCAGCGGCACTGTGACCAGGACAAGTGAAGTCCGACCAGAGCTGTTGTACGGAAGCTTCATCTGTGAGGTCTGCGGTGGTCTCGTCAATGACATCGAACAACAATTCAAATATACCGAAGTATGTTGTCTGTGTATTCCGCGTATTGCTTGCAATTAACCAACATCCACCTCTCAGCCCGCGCTGTGTCCAAACCCAACGTGTGGCAATCGGTCCGCCTGGCAGCTCCAAATCGACACCTCCAAATTCACCGACTGGCAGAAAGTGCGTATCCAGGAGAACCCATCTGAAATACCCACCGGGTCCATGCCCCGTTCATTGGACGTGATTCTGCGCTCCGAACTGGTCGAGCGAGCCAAAGCGGGAGACAAATGCGTTTTCACGGGCACATTCATAGTTGTTCCGGATGTCAGCCAACTCGGTCTGCCTGGAGGGAACAAGGCGGAACTACAGCGAGAATCAGCTCGCTCAGGAGGAACTGGAGGCGCATCAAGTGTAGGTGGCTCCGGGGTTACTGGGCTGAAGAGTCTTGGTGTGCGAGATCTGGCGTACAAGACGGCCTTCCTCGCATGCATGGTCCATGATGCAGACGGACGCGTGAGTTCCTCCCTCATACTGCTCCGACATTTCACTGAGACAATCTCGCGTAGGCTGGCACAAACATTCGGGGAGAAGAGGACTCGAATGATGACGACGGACAGGCGTTCGCGCGGTCGCTGACCGAACCCGAGTTCGACGAGCTCAAGCACATGCTCGAGTCGGACCATATCTACTCGCGTCTCGTCGAGAGTATAGCGCCAACCGTATATGGACACGAGATCGTTAAGAAGGGCCTACTTCTGCAACTCATGGGTGGTGTGCACAAGCAGACGCCCGAAGGCATGCACCTTCGTGGGGACATCAATATTTGCATTGTCGGAGACCCCTCAACATCGAAATCGCAGTTCCTCAAGTGAGTGTAGCTTGTTGACCAGTGCACCGGGCTTGAAGCTGACAGTAACGCCTAGGTACATCTGCTCGTTCCTACCCCGTGCAGTGTATACCTCTGGGAAAGCCTCCTCAGCAGCTGGCCTTACGGCGGCTGTGGTCAAGGACGAGGAGACTGGCGATTTCACTATCGAAGCGGGCGCCCTCATGCTCGCAGACAACGGCATCTGCGCAATCGACGAGTTCGACAAGATGGACATCTCGGACCAGGTCGCGATTCACGAGGCCATGGAACAGCAGACCATCTCCATCGCCAAGGCGGGCATCCACGCGACGCTGAACGCACGGACGTCCATCCTCGCTGCGGCGAACCCGATCGGCGGCCGCTACGACCGCAAGAAGAGCCTGCGCGCGAACGTCGCGATGACCGCGCCCATCATGAGTCGTTTCGATCTGTTCTTCGTGGTGCTGGACGAGTGCGACGAGAAGAGCGATTTGAACATCGCGAAGCATATCGTAAACGTGCATCGGTTCCAGGACGACGCGATCCACCCGGAGTTCAGCACCGAGGCGCTGCAACGGTACATCCGGTATGCTAGGACGTTCAATCCCAAGGTAGAGTCTTTGCTACAGAGACGCGATATTTTTTGCTGAGGATAAACTGCAGATGACACCGGAGGCCGCTGATGTCCTAGTGGAGAAGTACCGGATCCTCCGGCAGGACGATTCGTCGGGCGCCAGCAGGAACTCGTACCGTATTACGGTCCGTCAGCTGGAGAGTATGATCCGGCTGAGCGAAGCTATTGCGCGAGCAAACTGCACTTCGGAGGTATGGAACTTCACTTTTCACCTGAACACCACACATACTGACAGACTCGAGTAGATTACCCCCGCATTCGTGCGCGAAGCCTACACGCTCCTGCGGCAATCGATCATCCACGTAGAGCAAGACGATATCGACTTTGACGAGGAAGAGCTGGAAGGCGAGCGCGACGGCGACCACCGCGCCCGTGCCTCCTCGCACGTCAACGGCGAGGACAGCCAGGAGGTCGACATGTCCGGCATGCAGTCCGGCATGGAGACCGACGGGCTCAACGAGTCCGGTGCGAACGCCTCCGCGGGGCTCCGCGCAGGCACGTCCTCGGCCGGCCCGTCGCGCGCAGGCAGTATCGCGCCTCCCCAGCCGCAGCTCGGAGAAGAGCCCGCGAAGCCAAAGCGGCGCATGGTGATCACGCACGACAAGTACGTGACGCTGCAGAGCCTGATTGTGATGCACCTGTCGCAAGTCGAGCGGGACACGGGGCGCGGGATGGACCGGGACGAGCTCATCGACTGGTACCTCGAGCTGAAGGAGGACGAGATCCAGGACGTGGAGGAGCTCGAGTACGAGAAGGAGCTGATCACAAAGATGCTGCGGAAGCTCGTCAAGGTGCGTTTGTTCACTGCTTGTGAAGTGCCGAGGGGCGGTGCGCTGACGGGGTGGGATAGGACAACTACTTGCTCGAGATCCGCGGCGACGTACAGGACTCGCTGCCGCCGTCGATGGAGGAGGAGAGCAGTGGCCAGCAGCAGTCGCTCGAGTCGCAGGACGGCGCCGTGCGCGTGTTCTACATGGTGCATCCCTCCGTCGACGTCGAGTCGGGGTCGTCCTCTATGGCGCAGTGAGCGCGCTCTGCTACTGGCTTCGAGTTGGTTTCCATAGGACTGTCGTCATCTCTGCATGGTCTCTCCGTTGTTCCGCGTTACGATTACGAATCGCTGCTGTATCCACGCTGTCCCTGTTGTACGTCTCTGCTCCGCGCTCGTCGTGTAATCTACTTTCGTTCGGAATGTTTGAAGAAGACAAGAGACTTTCTCGTCCAGGGTCTCGTTTGCTGTGCGACTCCAGAGTAGGTGAGGGTTAATCACTGTCACTGAATACGCTCAACGCAGGACGCGGTGCTTGAAGTTGACGACCCTAAATTCTTCGTTGTCCGAGAAAGATTAATGGTCTGAGTCCAGTTGAAGTATGTAGTATGCAACGGCTTTCCCAGTACTCGGCTTCGATATATTCAAGTGATTTGTCGCGACTGGGAATTCGGAGACATGGATGACGAAAGAGAGCGATGGGCGCCTATTCCGCGAGGCTCTGGCCCCGAAGCGTTGCAGCCACTTCGCCTTCGCCTCCACCACTGCCCGGGCACAGGGCCCCTCCTTGCTTTTTTACGCACCTCTCGGAAACTGCTCGCCGTATAATTTGGAAAGGACTCGCTCTTTGGAGGCGCTCTCATTCCTCGGAACCTGTATACCCTCTAAGCCTAAGCTTCTCGGAGACCTCAGAACGCGCGCCAAGCCGGTCGCCTAGGACTGACCTTCTTAGTATATGGACTCATGTCGGCCGACCCGCTCATAGTGCCTACCATTGTCCCTGGAGGCTCGCTGCATTTTGCGACCATCCCGGCAAACGGAACGGTACAAGAGGTACTCGATACGCTCATCGCGGATGCGGATGCCGTCGCGGAGGTACTTGGGAACCTCGAGCCGTACGGCTGGGCCGTGCAGCGCATCCGTAGAGAGCCCAATGGACGACAATGGGAAGAGGATGAGCTCGAAGCTCTTGGGAACGGTGAGTGTACATCGCTTCGCGCGCATGGCCGTGTCTACAATACAGTGGCTGATGAACGAGCTACGCGCGGTGTCTATGGGGCAGGCATCCTACCTCCGTCTACAGCCGTTGCGCCGCTGCTAAACGCGCCTGCGCCCGCCGCAAGATCCCAAAGGCACTTCTCCGCATTCCCGCTTACATCGCACCTACACACACCTACGCTCCGCCTCGTCTCATTGCACCCCTTCTTGGCCGTCTCGGTCTCGTTCCTACGCGTGCCCGAGATCCACGATGGGTACCTTTGGAAACTATTCATCTCGAGATCGAGCACCGCGCGCAATGCTGTCGACACGGTGATCGACGAGCTCGGTCTGACCAAGGCCCTCCCTATACCCGGAGGCGGCGCCCTTGAATATGTCCTCGAAGAGGTCTGGGCCTCCGGCCACAGTGAAAGTGAGATTCGTTACCGCGCGTCATGTATTGTACAGCAATTGACAATCAAATGCACTCAGAGGCGACCCGAATACCTTTCGAGACCGTCTTGTCCGAAGTCCTCGAGAATCCTCTGTCTACAAACCCCTATGGTTCCTCCGCTAGCCGGTCCTTCCGCTTCTGTGTTCCTGACGAATGGTATCGTCGATCTAAATCAAGGAGCACGTCTTCAACATCCACAGATGTTTCCGAGGATACCATTCGGAGACTTGCGGATCTGCAAGAAGACGAAGAAGACGAAGAGGAGGGAGGAGACGGGACGGCCAAGCAGAAATCTCTGGAGATGGCAAGTTCTCCAGATACTGCCCGTGGGTTTATGGCACCTATGGATTGGCGCGGCTCGATCTCGCAGAACCGATTCTCTAGCATACTGGACGGCTGGATGCGCCCACAGAGCCCGGTGTCCGAGGAGCGGACGACGCCAGAGCGCAAGATCGTAAGTGAGCCCAAACTCGTGGAGCACAAGACGGGCGACAATACTGCGAGCAGCCCTGCCGTCGAGCCTTCCACCAGTGGAGTTGACCCTGCAGAGTTCGAGCGTATGCTTGTACGTTCTCGAGGACATGCACATATTCGTTGTTCATTAACACTTTTCAGGACGACTTGGGGCTCAAGGGCCCTAAACGAGAAGCTATGTACCGCCTGCCCCCGGAGCAAAAGCGGTACCTGCTCGAACAGAACCAGGTGTCTCGCGCTTCGACTCTGTCTAGGAGTGCCGGTGCTAAGGCTAGCAAGTCTTCCGCTGCACCGTCAACTTACGGCCCTGCTAGCGCTGCAGCCATGCTGCCCCGTCTCGTGCCCCAACTTACTGGCGATTCTGGCATTATGAAGCGGTTTTCCATCGCGGGATGGAGTACCGGGTCAGTATCTCCTCCCAGCGGCCCGCCAGATTCTCCTCGCTCCAGCGTTGATCTAGGGAGCAAACGAAGAGATTCTATAGTCTCACTCAAATCCCCTGCGGAGAAGGCCGTGGAGCCCGCCCCTCTTCTACCTCAGTCCACCGGCAGTATGTGGACCAGTTGGTGGGCATCCTCTGGCGGAGAGAAGGGGGCGGCCGGAGACAGGTCAAGGGAAGCTGAGAAGACGGCCGGTTGGTACGCCTCCGGGATACGCAACGGGCGCACAACGGACACCAAACTTGTCAAGCATCTGATCTCACTTCGTGTTCATTTGTCTACGGCCAACCTTGCGTGGATAGAGGAGTTCGTTACGACGGAATCTGGTATGAACATCCTTAGCGACTTGCTGGCACGGTTGGTCAGCAAAGGAGGTAAACGCAAGAAGCTGACGGACATCGAGGACACCGTTTTACTCGAGACGATCAAGTGTCTCCGTGCGCTTCTGAACACAGAGGTAAGGTTAACTCAATACTTACAGTCACGACAGCTATTCACCATAGCATGTAGCCCGGCTTTCGGGAAGTCCTCTCCCATCCGACGCTCATCACGCATATTTCCTACGCCCTGCACGGATCCTCAGTCAAGCTGCGAACGTTGACGTCGGAGGTCCTCGCAGCGATTTGTGTATTGTCACTGAAGGAAGGACACAAGGCCGTGCTTTCGGCCATGTCCGACTACCGGGTCGAATTCGAGGAAGCGTTCCGCTTTCAGGAGCTCATCGCGTCAATGCGTCTGCCCGAGATATCTGACGAAGACGATGCTGTGAGCGATGCTGGGTATGGCACCGAGGACGATGGCGCGTGGGAGGCTCGGACAGCTTCCATGGCGCTCATCAACGCGTTGACGAACTGCCCCGACTCACTCGAGGACCGCATCCTACTACGAGAAGAGTTCAGCCGGAGAGGGTTGAACGAGGTCATCGTGGTATGTAGAAGTCTTGCTCACGCGTCGAATTTCTCTTAACAGTTCCACAGACGTTACGGTACATCAAACCGCCCGAGTCCCTCGTAACTCAGCTCGACGTATACACGGAAGAGAAGTTCGAGGATGAGGAGGATATACGCGAGCGCGCAAGGGACGTCATGGACAACCGTCGATCCCGCACGGAGTCCGAAGCCGTGCTGGACGATTTGCTACGGATCGCCAAGCAGCATGAAGAGTTGTATCCGATGATGCTGGCCACGCTGAAGCGTTATGGGGATATCTTTGAGAGGGATATGGACTCGTAAGTGCGTCCGATTGTGATCGCCGTTTCTACTGACAGTTAGGTACATAGACAGCTGAAGGCGGATTTGTTCTCTGTTCTCGACAAGTTTGTGGAACAGGCCGCACTTCTTGACGACTTGTGAGTTTATGGCAGAGGCAACACTTTCGGTCTTGCAGTTGACCCCTCCTATAGCGACGAGAACTGGTGTGCCTTCCTACAGCGCTTCGCCGAGTCCGTGCAACATGTCACCGGGCAGGTTGTCGACGTCAGGCTAGCTTCAGATACGGATCACTCTCTCTTGCAGGAGGAAATTGACCACCTTCGTACGACTGTGGACAAACTCAGCGATGAGGTACGGCTTACTGCTGCAGCATCATCCTGCAAACGGCTCACACCAGCTGTTCTATACGCACAGCGCTCTCAACTCCGTAATGAGCTCGATCAGCAAGTTGCTGAGCTTAACACGTTGAAGTCAGTGCCCTCTGTGCCAGCCTCCATCGGACGAGGCGCCGGTAGGGGAAATCCTGAGGTTCGTTATGCATCCTTTTGAGAGTATCATAGTGTGGCTAAAGCTCCCTCAGTCTACTCAGAACTTCCACGGGCTCGTTCAGCGGCTCGTGCAGAAGGAGAAGCAGGTTCTTCAGCTACAGAATGAGCTTGACCGCGTCAAGGCACAGAATCCTACAGAGACACGAGAGAATGTAAGTGTATGTTCCTTTGGGGACGAAAGTCGTACTGACTCGCCGATACCTGGAAAATGACAGGACGACAAAGCGAAGCGCGAACGTGATCGAGTCAAGTGGCATGCGTTGAACGAGGAAATCGCGAATCTGAAGTCATCGGTATGGCATGCGTACTTCAATTCGGTTCGGTGAATTGACAAGTCCTTGCACAGTCCGGAGACCTTGAGACAACGATAGGCATCAAGGAGAAGGAGATCATATACCTCAAGCGCGCACTGGAGTCTGTCTACTCGCGCTTCCGTTCCCGCGAAGAGAGCAGGGAGTCCGAAACCCGCGAGGCCGACTTTGACGCACAGGCTATGGCCAGCCGCGCGATTGACAGCCTCACGCGGAAGGACGAGGAGATAGCTGCCCTCCGCAGTGAGATAGAGGATTTGAAGGTCCAGCTCGCAGCAAAGCCTAAGTTCATCACGGAGAAGGACTACAAGCAGAAGGTAGCTCCGCCACCACCGCCACCCGTGAAGCCTATTCGTGCTACTACTCTTCCGCAACCGATCAGTGGTCTGCCAAACGGTAGCAACTCCCTACCACCTCCACCTCCACCGCCACCGCCACCTCCGCCACCTCCCCCTCCTGCTCCGAGACCGCCGCCATCACGCACAGTATCGGTAGAGTCTCTGTCTCCTGAGCATGTCCTCGCTTCACCGCCCCCTCCGCCCCCGCCTCCTCCACCACCTCCTCCACCACCTCCGCCCATGTCGCCTTCTTCCGTGGCATCCGGCCCTCCGCCACCACCACCGCCGCCACCGCCGCCACCTCCAGGGTCAGGTATGGGTCCACCTCCTCCCCCGCCACCGCCACCGCTGCCTTCCATGAACGGCTTTGGTGGCGGTCCTCCGCCGCCGCCACCACCACCTACTGCGTGGAGGGCTGGTCCACCGAAACCCGCTCGCCCAGTCAAGCGCCTGAAGCCGTTTTTCTGGAACAAGTTGAATGCTCCGGCTTTGCCATCAACAGTATGGGGCGAGATCCCACAGGAGGCGACTTTCGATTTGGGAGATCTGGAATCAACGTTCGCTATCGAGAATGCGCCGTCGTCGAGTTCACAGCTGAGCGTCACTTCCCCGAAGAAACATAATGTGACAACAATGTTGGATATCACTCGTGCCAACAACGTTGGTAAGTTGGCCGTTGCATTTTGTCGCTGTATCGTCACTGATACAGCGTTGTGCAGCCATCATGCTCTCCCGTGTCAAGCTTGGTCTATCTGAGATCAGGAAAGCGCTTTTAGAGCTGGACGACTCGAAGCTGTCTGTCGATGATTTGCGGGCGATTAGCAGGCAGCTACCCACTGCCGAGGAGGTAACAAGGTTGAAGGACTTCGGTGACCTCAGCAAGCTCGCCAAGGCAGATCAGTACTTCGGCCACATCATGACCATACCGAGACTCTCCCAGCGGTTGGAGTGCATGCTGTACCGGCGCAAACTCGAGTTGGAAATTGAGGAGATACGTCCGGACTTGGATATTGTTCATCTAGCATCGCGCGAGATGCGATCATCCCCTCGGTTCAAGCGTGTACTACAGGTGAGAACTCGCGCATATATGAACTAAAACAAAACTAACCGCTGCCGGAATCGAGGCTGTTCTCGCTGTTGGCAACGCTCTGAATAATTCGACATTCCGTGGAGGTGCCCGAGGCTTCCAATTGGACGCATTGCTGAAGGTCTGTCTTCCACAGCTGTGCATTGCATGCGGATACTCACATCACCACAGTTGAAAGAGACAAGAACGGTCAAGGCGACTCCTGACTGCCCTACCCTGTTGCACTACCTGGCTAAGGTACTGTTGAGGAGCGAGCCCTCGACGATCACATTCATTGAGGATATGCCGCACGTAGAGGCTGCAGCTCGAGGTGGGTCTATATGACAACCCATCCTATGGACATGAGCGCTGACTGCCATGCTAGTCTCCGTGCAAACTGTCGTACAGTCCGTGCAGTCGCTCGTGGGTGGCTTGAAACAAGTCAACGAGGAGATCCAGGAGTTGCGGCGAGCGCAGCCCATTCCCCAGGATCGTTTCGTGGTAGTCATGCAGGTGAGCACGTCTCCCAAACCGCTGTCATGAGGTCATGCTCACGAGCCCCCAGCCTTTTGCCCTGCAAATGAGTGCCGCTGTCGAGTCTCTCAAGAACATGGCGACCCTCTTGGAAAGCGACCTACGATCTCTGCTCGCCTTCTACGGGGAGACACCAGACTCTCCTGAGGCTCCTAAGCCCGAGGATTTCTTCGGCCTCATCCTGTCGTTTTCGTCGTCGTTGCAGAAGGCTGCGCTCGAAGTGCACAACGCTACGCCCAAGATCGAGCCCCCGCCGACGCCCAAGATCACTATCGACGAGCCCTCAACACCGCCTGCAGAATCGGTGAGCACGTCTCGATGGTGCCTCCACGGCAACGTATTGATAGTGCGACAGACAATCAAGGGCAGCGACGCCCCAGCGCAGAACAACAACACGTTGCGGGCCAGTCGCTCATTCGGCCGTGGCGACCTCGACCAAGCCATCCGCAGCATGCGGTCTGGGAAGCGGAGAGAGCGCGCCCCGCCGTCGCGGCCGCTCAGCAAGATCTTCATCGACGGCGCACGGTCGAGCCGCATCTTCGAGTGAGCGCCCGGCGCGCGCACGACGTCCGCCCCAGAATCGAGTACTGGCGTGTATCTCAGGTATATTGTAGACTATGCTGGAAGGGAATTTGCTGTATCTCTGCACCAATCTAACGACTGTAATGACTTATACCTCGGCTTCTTCTGTTGCAATCCAATCACGATGTCATAGTATGATGTTGTTGAGAGGCGTGACTTTGTCGCATCGCTCGACGCACTCCAGGAAGAACTTGAAGAAGCCGTCCACCTATACGCCATGAGCACCCTCGGGTCGTAAACAGATTAGAGACGCTCACATCCACTTTCTCCGCGACCATGCAGTTCCTGCCATTCCGTCCCCACGAGTCATCGCACGCGCGGTAGTTCCACACGTCCACGACCGTCTCCCCAGCGGTGTGCGTACCACTGAGCTCGACGTCCACGCGGTAGCGGCGGCATGTGAACAACTCCGGCGAAGCGACGTACGCGATCGTGAGCGCGTCGTGTAGCGGCGGGCCGTCCGTGAAACCGAAGGTGGACTTGTATGACTCCGTAAAAAAGTTGATGAGCGTGGAGAGCATATAGCGGAGATGCGTCGCGGGTGCGGGGAGCTCGCCGAAGGGCGAGAGGGGCGCGCGAGGGTCGAGCAGCGCGCTGTGGACCGCGTGTGTGACGATTGCGGTGTGGGTGACGTTGAGCGGAATCATGGTCTTCTTGACGGGGAGGTCAAGGACTATCTGTGCGGCCTCGGCTGTATGGCTGTCAGCATAGGGAGATATGACTGTATACAATGGTCATGGAAACACTTACGATCGCACAGAATATTGAACTCTATGAGGTATGAGTGACTCATTCATCTGACCACTGAAGAACCTACCTGCCGAGGCTGAGCGGTTGCCGACGCCAACGCCACCTCCCATGAAGACAAACTCCTCTATAGCCCGATCGTGTCAGACGCAATGCAAGCACCGTGTCAAATCGATGGCCTACCAATGCATTCTACTAGCTCAGGATAGACACTGACGAAAAGCGCGAGGTTCGTCATAGGGCCGGTCGACACTATGGTGAGCTTTCTTCCGATACCTCCCTTCCACTTCATGTGGACAGCCTTAGCCATTCCCTCCAATGCACGAATAGATTCCCCATTCGCGATTAGCCGGGCGCGAACCTCAGGGCTGTTCGCAGGAGGCAGACCCTCGACGCCGCCTAGCCCATCAATCCCATGGATCTCGGGATCGTGTCGCTCAGGCCGTAGGAGAGGCTTGCTCGCACCCGGGCAAACACGAATGTGTTCGGCGGCGGCGAATGCGTAGAGACACCGCGCTGCGTTGTTATTAGTGTTTTCCACGCTCGCATTCCCGTGCACCTGGGATTAGTTGAATATGGCGTTTATGTTAGGGGTTGGAGCATAGCGCACAGTCGATATGCCCAAGAGATGCACGTTCAAAGAATGCAGTGACAACAAAATGGCGGTAGCGTCATCGTGTCCCTGTGTATTGCGCCGAGAATCAGTGGAACTGCGCTGATGGAGACGTCGTTGTGTACTGACCGGGTCGCAGTCGAGCCAGATACTCCTCATGGTGGATTGCAAGATGCGATTGGCACCCTAGTCAGTGCCGCGAAATTAAGATCTTACGGCTGCTTATCGCACTCTAGCGATCAGCGTCACGCCCGCTAGCAATAAGACTGCTTCTAATAACTGTTTAATTATACCCGGTCATTGCTGAATTCAACCTGTTAAGCACCTTGTGGGCGTATGCTTATAGCCCGGGAGAAGAGCAGCGATGCAAACACAGCAGTCGCATAAAGCAATCGAGGTACTGGACCCATCGGGCGACTAACCATAAATAGGCGAAGCACCGCTTACATAATCCATTTTTTGAGAACATGGAGCAGAGCGAAGCGCACACGACCCTTGTGTTCTGCCATCGCGGCTCCGACCACATCTACCAGTCACCGATGGACCCTCACTCCCGCTTCTCCCACTTCAACTCCCGGCAGACAAAGGCGGGCCCCCTCGCCTCTTCATCCCGCTTCATGGACCCCGCCAAGCTCCCCATCTCTCTCGACGGCTTCACGTCCAAGAAGGGTTCCAGGACCCAATCTACATCGAAGAAGCCATCTTCTGCGGCTCAGGCTACGCTCTACGTGGAGAGACCGATAGTCACGAACTCACGAATCAAGCAAGGTGTGTCGTTGGTGGTTCAGTCAATGTGGCTACCGCGACTGACCTGGATGAAGATGAGCAATATAGGAAGGACATGCACCTCGCCTTCGTGAATAACGCTCTCCAGCAAAAGTCAATGGTCAGATCCCTGCTCTCCCTCTCTCCCATGCCTTCTGATAATCTCTACAGGGCATCAGTGACGCATTCGATGAACTGGTAGACCAGTTTAATCCAAGGAAGATCACCCCAGACGCGCCTTCCCCCGCACCTCAGCTGCGATTGTGGCTACTAGCACTATCCCATGTCGTCTCTCGACTGGAGCGTGTTCACTCGTCCCTAGTGGAAGCCATCGTTACTTTGCCATGGACGACGATGGACACGGGTTTCGCCAGGACGTATACAAACTTCATTGGCATGCTGGTCAGTGCAAGGCCGGAATATTTGTCTCTCGTATTGGGGAAGATAGCCCAGGGGCTAACCTACCGTATGTGACCTCAATGTATACCGCGTACCGTGCTTACCCCGTTACAGAGTCGGGCTTACAAGCATTGAATGCCGGTATGCCCGAAAGCTCCTCGAAGCCCCTCACACGGCGGATTGTATACGATCGCATCCACTTCCTCTTGCGCCACCTGCTCTCTCTGGTGCCTACCCTCCCTTCTACTCTGCAACCGCTTCTGGCCCGCAACTTTCCGCATAAACGGCAGGACCAAACTGCGCAGGTCACCTACATCCGCAACCTCCTCCGGGTAACCGACTACTGCCCCGAAATTGCGGATCGGATTCTAGCCACTGTGATTGACCGTGCTATCCAGATTGATGTAGGTCGTGTTCCTATATGCGACGCTGTATCATGCTTATGACTTTCCGAATCCCGTAGGTTGAGATCCAGGTTGAGCTGGAGGAACTAGAGGAGCAGCTGGAATCACAGGAGCAGAATGAGATGTTCGAGCTAGATCCGTTCGATACTGTACTGGGTCAGGAAGGGGATGAAAGCGATTCAGACGAGGAGGACGGCGAGGATGACAACTTGAGTGACCTCTCGTCCGACGCTGGGGGTGACCCGGACGACGAAACGGACTGGCAGGTGGACGAGACGACGAACTTTCAACATATACAGGGCATGGTTAACAAGCTCGACTCCATCCTGAAGATCATCTTCGACCACTTTAACCAGACCCATGCCATCAACGATCCCGTACTCAAACTTCTTCCATCCACTCCATCCTCACGATCGGACTCTTCCTACTTTCCTAACGAACCCCCACGAGCCATCTCACCTGCAACCCTCGAAGAAGGCAAGGCTCTTCGCCGCGCCCAATTCAACACCCTCCTCTCTATCTTCGACCGCACGATCCTCCGCACCTTCAAGTCGCGCTACACGCAATTCATCGTCTTCTGGTACTCCTCGCTCGACCCGGAGTTCGCGGACCTCTTCCAGGGCATGCTCGTCTCCAAGTCGCTGCTCGAGGAGGACCAGCCGGCCGTCACACGCGCCGCCGCGGCGAGCTACATCGCATCCTTCGTCTCGCGCGCCCAATTCGTCGACCGCGACGGCGCGCGGCGCGTCGTCGCCGTGCTCTGCGACTTCTTGCGCGCGCGCCTCGACATGTTCATGGCCGCGGCGAAGGCGGGCGTGCAGGGCATGCACATGCACGTCGCGCAGCACAGCGTGTTCTACGCGGTCGCGCAGGCCGTGTTCCTCATCTTCTGCTTCCGCTGGCGCGATCTGCTGGAGGACGTGGACGAGGTGGACGAGTTTGCGCCCGCTCAGGGTCCACCGAAGAAGTGGATGCCGGGCCTCGACGTCGTAGAGCGCGTCGTCGCATCCGAGCTCAACCCGCTCAAGGTACGTTCATCAGTCTATACAACACGATCTGCCAGAGTACTGACGCGCGATGCTCCTGCAGGTCTGCTCGACGAATGTCGTAATGCAGTTCGCTCGCGTCGCGCACGCGACAGGGTTCATTTACTGCTACTCGATCATGGAGGCGAACCGCCGCTCAGAGTATGCGCCATCGACCCCGGGCGCTGCGAACGGTGCTGCCAGTGGGCGCCTGCCCAAGGGCCTGCGATTCGAGCACTCGATGACGGCCGAACTCAACACATTCTTTCCCTTCGACCCGTACAAGCTCCCGCGCTCGGGCTCGTACATCCAAGGCGTCTACCGCGAGTGGTCGTCGGTTGCCATCGACGACGATGAAGACGAAGATGACGATGACGATGAAGACGAGGAGGAAGACGAGGGCGCGGATAATGCGGAGCATGAGGACATGGCGTCGTCTCAGCCCGTTGGCATTCTCGTCAATGGCGTACGGGCGCCATCGGAGACGTCAGACGATGGGCTCGGACAGTCATTCGGGGGTATGAGCATCAGCCCTGCGCGAGCGGCGCATCTGCAGCAGGTTATCGTCGCGTAGTGGTCATTTTCTCTCTCTTTGGGCTACTGAGGCGCATTCTTACATCTACTGCTGTGTTCGCTGTGTCGTTGCTACATGTTCGCTATATATGATATACAATCCTAGGACCATTCTGACACGTTGGAGTGAGGTTACTCTAGAACACTAGAGCCGTACAGCACCATATTGTGTGCGAGAAGCTGACAGCCGGTGCACCGTCGCAATGCGCATACATACTGAACAACGTTGGCTTCTACCTCCGGTGAATATGTACGAAGAGTCAATCGTGTCAATATGGGGCCTGAGTCGGTACATCAAGAAAATGCAAGGGGAACGTCAACATTATGTGTGCCGTGTCCGTCGTGGGTAGCTACGTGATGTGTATAGTGTACGTGCCATGGCCCATTATCTAGGAGCATCACCAAATGTGCTCAGATGTAATCCACGTTCTTCATCTCTCCAGCCGCAAACAACGCCTCGTCGAGGGCCTCGTCCGGCACATCTCCCTCGTTCTCGCCTTCGTAGCCGTGGTCCTCGTCCTCCTCCTGCCCGAACACCATCTCGTCGTCCGACCCCGGCTCCGACCCAGGCAGCGACCCGGGCATGCTCGTCAGGCTCCGCCTCCGCTGGCGCTTTCGCCGTAGCTTCTCGATGTCGTCCTCGTCCTCATCGTACTCGGAGTCCGACTCGTCGTGCAACGTCGGGCTATCCGAGCGCGGGCTTCCCAGCGTAGACGACGACGATGTCGTGAGGTTCGCCAGCGTGCTGCTTAAACGCTCGAACGACGTCATTTGCCGGAGGCGACTCTCGTTCGTGGAGTCCCCGTTTGTGCGTGTAGGCCGCGCGATCCCAGAGGCCTGTCCTGCCTCCGTGGCAGGTGGTGGCAGGTTGAACTGCTTCGAGGGTTGCCGGCTGGAGACCAGACTGAAGTTCCGCAGGCGCGCGAACGTGCTCTGGTTTGACGTGTCCGAGCGCGCGCTGAGCGCAGGCGAGGGCGGAGAGAGGTCAGGAAGCGGGAAGTCCTGGATCGGCGCCTTCCAGTAGTTGAAGTCGGTGTACTCGGACGCCCACTTGCGGTTGATAGGCGGGAACATCTGGTCGACGAGGTCCGTCATGTGGATGTAGGACGACTTGTACCCGGCGAGCTCGAGGAGCTCCATCTTGACCTCCCCGGAGGAGTCGATCGTGAAGATACGCGAGCTCGGGATGTTCACGCTCCGGTAGGACAGCGCATCGGTGATTCGGTTGCCGAAGCCTGCGTAGAACGGGTTGTGCGTAGGACCGCCAAACAGCTTCTGGACGTCACGTAGACATGCCATCTTGAACACCTCCGGCTTGCGCATGATGACCTCACTGGCGCGAAGTTAGCCCACGGCGGTAGTGTCGCACGGCCCATGGACGTACCGATGCAAAGACGCCATCAAGCGGTCGGGGCTCATAATGACAGGTCCCTCGGGAAGTTGGTAGTCATTCTGCTTGATTCCCTTCAAGTATTCTCGGGTGGAGTCCGCTTGCCCGATGGCGCGGGAGGTCAGGTACAGGATCTTGTATCCGTTCCGGCAGATATCGGTATACAATTTCGCAACACCCATATGCGTCCAGTCTCGGCCGATCATAGTAAAGACGTGACCGAGGGCGTCCGACCTATTAACGGGGCATGAGTATTTGGAATATTGACGAAAAGCGGTCTGTTCACTTTGTAATGGTGCCATCGATGTCAGACACCACAACGGAGTCTGTGTAATCCCAGACAAACAGGCGCGCACTGCATGCCGCTACTCCTGTCGCCGACAATGAGAACGTCACCGAGTTCGCGCCGGGTTTCAGGTTCAGCGATTTCTACGTAAAGCATGGTGAGTATGCGTATATGGGCACAGTACGGTCCTACATACCAGCTGACTTGAGGTCAACCGCAAAGTCTTCGCGAACCGTTTGTGCTCCTCCGGCTCAGGCGTGCCCTGTGTTGGTGTACTAGATTGGGACTCAGGCGTTGCAGGCTGCGGAGGTGCTGATACAGACATTGCTGGCCGCCGCACCGGCGTCTGGAGCATGTCCTCGGACGCTGCCGCTTGCAGCTCGGCCTGGGCACGCACACACATCTCGATCAGCTTCAGGGCAAAGGACTTTGGAAAAAAACTATCTCACCGCAACGTCCGCTGGCGGTTCTGAGTTTGTATGGCTCATTTCCGGGCGCGGGCCCTCCGTTTGTCGACTCCGGCTCCACCAGCGTACCCATGAAGACGACGTCGGCGCCCGGTTCGGGGAGTTGTCTGCAGCAGTCTCGTTGCCTATTGCGGTGGCGGAGCGTTTGGCTCTCCGATCCGGGGAAGCGGGCTCGTCGCCCTCCGACCGGACTCCCTCGTCCTCCGAGAGCAGCGAAGGCGAGGTCGGGCGGGAGGATATGTGCGAGTGCTTGTCGCGTAGAGCGGATTCACGCCAAGTGACGAGGGCGTCCATGAGCGGGGAACCATCTTGTCGGCGGATGTACCTGGTTTGAATTCAGGTCAGTATCTGGAGAAGGCGCCGTGTTGCTGGTACATACTTGTCTCCCGCCCATCTCAATACGAGATTTGTTTCGCTTACGATGTACTCATCACGCATGAACTCGTCGAAATGGACTTTGCCCCGCTCGAAACGCTTCTCGTCCTCAACCTCGTCTTCACCACCCAGGGGTCCGCCGGCAGTCTTCTTGCCATCGACTGAGTCTACGAGCGCAAGCTCGAACTCGACGGCACGTCCCTCAATGAACACCCTGAACCGTGTAGAATCTGCCTTGTCCACGGTCAGCCGCCCACCGAGACCATACGAGGTGCTCTCGTCCGGCTCTGGCTTCACTGGAATGTCAAGCGAGCGGTTGAGCGCGATCTGCTCCGCCTCAGGGACCTCTGACATCATGCGGCCCTTACCCTTGCGCGGCGATAGGTCGACCGAAGCCCCGGTCAGGTGCGAGTGCCCGTGTGCAGGCGAGTGTCCGACGTGTGGAAACGTCGTGCGTATGGGGGTCTTCTGCGGGAAGTTGCCCCATTCCCACGTGTATTCCTCCGTGTCGGGGGAGTGGATTGCGGGGAGCGTCGAGAGGTGCGGGCGCGGAGCGTTGCTCCGCAGGGGCGTACGCACGGCGACTTGAGAGGCGTCGAGTCGGGAGGTGGAGGGCACCGGATAGTCGTCGTGGTCTGGTGGGGGCTCGGAGGTTGCACGGAATGGGGGGAATGGGACACCGGCGGACAGTGAAGGAGGCGTGGCGGGTGCGGGGGAGGGAGTGCCTACAAGGGACGGTCAATGAAGTGTGTGGCTAGCAGTGGAACGTTGGGGGCACACGTACGTGATGGACCTGGTGTGCGGTTTTGACTAGACGTCTCCGAACCCGATGAGCCTCTTCGCCGTTTCGACTTCACCGTTGCGTCTGAAGTCTCGCGCCCATGCGACGATTGTGCGTGGTAGCCTTCCGTATCGAACACCATGTCTGTATCAATCTTGCAGTAAGATAGTGATACTACGCGCGAGAGCAAGCCTGAATTCACTCACTATCGGTATACCGCACTTCGGGTTCGTGTGCTTTCTCCATTTCTCCTTCTGGCAACACTTCATCACCCTTTTCCTCCGTAGAAGGAAATGCGACAGCCGCGTGCTGTGTCGCATTGAAAGTGGCGGCGGCTTTATCCCTGACAAACTCGCTCTGGCTCTTCTCCGTCTCCTTGAGTGCCTCGAGGACCGTCTTGTCCTTCAATTTATCGGTCTCATTCCTCGTAACCTCATGCGCAACGCCGACCATGGCCTTTCCGAGCTCCGCGGTACGAGAGAGTAGAGACGGGCCTTTAGGGCTCTCTTCCGGCACCTCCTCAGACTTCGCAGCGGGTGCCGGGGCAGCGGGGGACGGGTCATTGCTAGGCGGGTTCTCCGCGGAGGCATCGAGGTCAAGGAACTCGGGCTCTTGGTTGCTCGCTGGAACGTCTTTCGCTTCTGGTGATGGTTCACCCGCGCCAAAGCGCCCCGTGTCGCGAGTCTGCGCATTCGTCTCCCCGGGCTGGGTGGCTTCAAGGATGGGACTTGTGACGAGAGACTCCGGGACGTCCTCGTCGGTCTCGAACACGAAGAAGGCTTCGCCGGCCTCTCCGATTTTCATCGAAAATGGCACGAGTTGACCATTGACGAACACGTCAACCTGCAGCAATGTGTTGGGGCGTGTACCTGACGCGCGGGCCGAGCGCACGCACCTTCTTGTCCTGCGGCCGCAGAACCTGCCACTTCCCGAACCTGACGTGGAACGGCGAGCACACATACTCGGTCTCCTCGTCTGTGAGCTGTCGCGGGGGTGCCTCAGGGAGGAGCTCGCCGAGGTGCGTGGGCCTGCGGACGACGATGACGTCGATGGCGCCTGTGAGGGTGGACGGGTTGAGGTCCTTGTAGTACTGGTACGGCGCGCTGATGGCGCTCACCGCGCCGCGGATGTAGTTCATCGCGCGCGTCGACGAGCAGGCCGGGGAGGGGTGGGGGTGCTACGGAGAGAGGATGCCGCAGCGCACGGTGGTCGTCGGATGGGGAGAACTCTGGTGCAGAACCCCAGCAGGAGAAGGCGCTGAAATCGTCGGACGAGTGCGCCGCCACGTGCGTACCACTGGCACATGTTATTCGGGCGTTGGAAGGTGTTTTTCGATATCGAGAGCGACCGTCGACCCGAGACGACGTCAGACATGTATCATCAATGTGCATGCATGCGGTGCGTTGTAGCGGATTACGACTTATCGCCGCTGCAGCAGTGCGGGAGCGCAGCATGTTTACGATCAATGTGGGAGGACTTCACAGACTATCTACTGAAATGAAAAGCATGTCTGAACTACATACTTGACTACTGCGCACGGGCGTGCAGGACTTGATACTCGCAGTAGCAACGTGACCCAGGATAGAACAGTCCAGAGACACACAAGACTGACACACGGAGTTTCATGATCCCAGAAGATGTATTGGCGCAAGATACAGTGCACAATCAATGCCCGTGGCCAGCCCGGCCGTGTTCCTCGTTGTATGGCTCGTGGTCGAACAGAGGGCCGACGGGAGGCTTCCGAGGTATTCATGGTGAGCAAGAGTATCGAACTAGGCCAAACGAGACATACCGGCAGGTTGCGTTCCCTAAGAGCAGCGGCGTCAGTGTCATTCACAAGCTGTGAGTAATATGAGACATACCACTTCGTGCCGTCGGGAGCCTCGGCGGCTGAGTAGTATACCCAATCAACACCAGACAATTACGAGGAGAGTCAGTATACTCACGGCGGTAGGGATCGGGATGCTTGCGCGAAGCAAGGGCAGCTTCGGCTTTCTCGAAGATTTGGATGAGCGCACGGGGGTCGTGGACGTCCCTGAGTGCGCGCAAGAGATGACAAGATGAGATGAGTGAGCCGTGTGTCTGACAGTAGAGAATATGCATGCGCACCTGTTCCGGTCAAACTCTGCCCGGATGGTGAGTGCACGGGCCCTCCAGAGGTCGCGTTGAACAATCCAGTTGAGCTCGTTTGTGAGGATGCGGCGGTATAGTGATTTCACATAGGACCTGTTGGCCGCTGTGAACGGCGCAGGGAGGGACGACATGGTTCGCTGCTGGGAGCTCGTTGCGCGCTTCCCCGCTCGTCGACGGCGACTTGGGCGCCTGCGTGGTTTCGCACAGCGTTATGCCCTGTGACTGCGTCACGGGAGACGCGGCCACGTGACAGGCGTGAGGCGCTAATGAGCGCCTCGGCGGTCGCTTATTTGGGCGGTATTTGTCTGTGTGGGTGTGGGCGCCTGTCGGGGGTATTTACCACGGTTCGAATTGGCGGGAAGGGGCGCAGACTGACGTTCGCAGTGGCCATCCTCCTCTCTTCACGACCGCGACTACTCTTCCGCTCGACGGCTCGCCCGAGGCCTTACGCCACCACGCTCAACGCACACGACGCTCCCTCAAGACCCTGATCGTCTCAAGCCTCAAGATCTCACGCCAATATGATCCCTCTCATCCCAGCTCTCGCACTTGCTTTCGTCTCGTTCATATCCTCAGCGTTCGTCATTCTTCGCATTCTCATCCCCATCTTGCCACCACACCCCCTCAGCCGTCGAGTCGCCCCTGTGAGTACTACGCTTCTCGCATAGTCCCATGGGAAACTGACAGCAAATTCTGCCCAGTCCGAATTTGGTCTTCCTAACTACCGGTCTGTCTCTCCTGCAGATAAGAGCCACCTCTGGCTCGCCGCTTGCGACCTCCTGGCTCTCGCAATCTTCACATGGCAAGTTGTGAGCGAGTCCTTTGGAAGTCCTGTGGATTATGCCATCGCCCATGATCCCGCTGCCGCCGCCAGGCTCTGGTTCGCCATGACATTGAGGCAAACGTGCCTCTTCGTCGTCTCTGCGCTCACCCTCCTGCATGTGCGCATGGGCCGTCCCGTTGCGTTTGGAGGCAAGCACTGGATGCTCTGGGCACCTACCCTTGTTCTTGTCGCAACTTCAACTGCCCTCGCTGGTGTCTTCGCTGCCACCAACGTCACAGGCCTCTTCGTCGGTCTTGTCGCCTACTCCACTTCCATTGCGGTCTTCAGCAGTGTTGTGTTTGGCTGTCTCGTGGGCACCCTTGTTATCATCAAGCGCAACCTTGCTTCGTTCAACGAAATCCGTGACCCTTGGCCGCCGGCGAAGGAGATCGAGGAGAAGCCGCGCCCGTCCTTTGCCACCGAGGACATTGACGCACTCAAGGATGGCAGCTCCTGGATCACCTCGCGCGCCAGCTCCCGATGCGAGAGCGTGTCCGCGTTCTCATTCTCGACGCACTACACGCACCACTCTCGCGCCGCGTCCAACGCCAGCGCGCGCATGCTTCCCAATCCCGTGACCGCGTCGAACCCTTCCCTAGCGCCCAAGTCGTCGTTCTGGTTCAACCCTGCCACTCCCTACAGCAGCCACGAGACTGTTCCCCCGGTGCCGCCTCTTCCTGCTCTGTACCGTCCGGCATCCACCACCTCGGCCCACATCAACGATGACCCCGACCCCTTCAAGCGCCAGGCTCCTCGCATGGGCTCCCAGTCGTCTTGGCTCACCGAGCCCTCGGTTTACCAGCCTACCCTGTCCAACTGGTCTTTCCCCGCCACTCAGCCTCCGTCACCACCTCTTACAACTGCTACTCTTCCTGGCCTGGGATCCGACATGCTGCCCTCCACGGCTGTGTCACGTCCCATTACACCAGCCATGGCTAGCGCAGAGGTGCTCGGTGGGTACGGCTACGTTGGGGAGAACAGTCAGGCCGAGAAGGGATTCAACAGTTTCTCTTCCCAATCGTCCGGTGACCTCGACATGACCATCTATCGTACTGCTGGATGGCTTCTTATGATTTGGGTGCCTCTCGTATGTGATCACCAATTTATTCATACATGCAACAATACTCACTGGCTTGCTTTACAGGGTCTTGGCCTTCCTTACATGTTCATGGTTTCTCCTGGTTCCGCTACAAGTCCTATTGCTTCTATCCTGCTCATGCTCTCTGTCACGCTTTCGTCGCCCCTTTTGGCTATCAACATCTTGTTCCGGTCCCCGATTCCGATCCCCTCTGGTCTCTTCGACACTTACAGCGAGCCCCCTTCTGCTGTCATGCGTGCGCCGTCCCCGCAGAGCACCCTGCCATCGTACAAGGCATCCCACGAGTACAAGCGCAGCGGCAGCGTCACCGTTGTCGAGGGCCGTCGCAGCACCGATGTCTGGCTCACCAATGGCGACGCTGTCGACGGCAGAGGAAGGATTGGTCGCGCATTTGGTCTCCTCCAGCCTAAGCCCAAGCTCGCGGTTCTCCCGCCCGATGGCGAGAAGATGCAACAGGAGCCGCTTACTCCGCCTCTGCCCATGCAGGAACGCTCCCTTCCTCCCACTCCCGCCCAGTCTGAGTGCAGTGCTGAACTTGGTCGCACTCGTACGCGCAAGGAAAGCAAGGCAAGCTCGTACTACTCCGGTGCATCTGAGAGCGCGGCGTTCCAGACACAGATCATGATCGCTCAACGCCACTACTCTGCACTCGCTACGAGGATGGTCGTTCCCCCGTCTCCCACCGGCGAGCGTGCCCCGTCCATGGATGAGTCCGCTATCGGTGTTGCCGTCAGCGGTGTTGAGACGCCTCAAACCCAGAAGGCGTCCCGCCCGTCGCAGCATCTGCGTGTACGCTCCGTTTCCTCGATCACTGGCGGCAACTACGGCGAGTCACGCTTCCCCGTCAGCCCTCCTCCCACGTCTCCTCTTCCGCCTACCCCGCCCTCCGTGCGCGAGCGCAAGGCACGTCTGCTGTCTCACCGCAAGTCGCAGTCGCAGTCCTCGTCCTCGGTCGGCTTTTCCTTTGGCCCCGTAGGTGGCGACGACATGGCGGAGATCGATGCTCTCTCGGCGAAGGTCCTGCCTCTTCTCATCCCAGGTCTCACTATCGGCACGGACATGCGTGTGCGCGACGACTGGGGCCTGCCGTCTCCGTATGACAAGCACACTCACCAGACTGGCACCATGAAGAGCTCGAGGACCGTCCCCGTAGAGATGGGTGGATTCACCAGCGGCTTCTCCACTGACTTCTCGTCGGTGGAAATGCACTCGACTCCGCTCGACCAGAGGAAGGGGCCGCCCAGGCAGAAGAAGACGTCTATGCACCGCCGGCACCACTTTAGCTTGCCCAGGTATGTCCCTGACATTGTTACAATATCCTCCGTACTGACATACCTGTACCATTCAGTCTTAGCCTCGGGAAGGATGGAATTCACGCACTCTCGACTTGGAGGAACGATCTCAACCGCGCCCTGGAGAGCAAGCTCGTGTCGACACCCAGTGACCATGGTCACAGGCGCAACACCGTCTACGGCTGCGAGCTCGTTCCCAACTCTGGCTCGCACCTCAACGTCGTTACGGAAGACGATGAGCTCCTGCGCCCCGCTTCCCCTGCCCAGCCCGAGCGCCCGGTCTCTGCTCAGACGTTCGGTCATGACGCGATGGAGGTCCCGGCTTGGGAACCCAGGGCGAGCTCGCGCAACTCTCTAGCCACCCTGATCACCGCGCTCGACCAGGAGCTTCGCATGCCGCTCCCGCCGCCCTCCGCCGCGTCCGAGGTCACACTCTTCGACCTCGAGAACTTTGAAGCCGAGGGTCCGCTCGCGTCCAGCACGCCGCACGAGTCCCAGCGCACGCAGCCCAAGTCCAAGTCGCGCCACGTCCCGCCTGTGCCGAAAGTGCGCGACGGCGCGTCGTCCTCGAACCGCCGCTCGAGCATCAAGTACATCGTCGCGGACGAGAACCAGCCGGAGTCACCGCGCATCGAGCTCGCGCCGAAGCAGGGCTTCGCGCAGTGGTCCGCACGCGCGATCCGCCCGCTCGTGCCGAAGTCCCCGAAGTCAAAGGGCAAGGGCAAGAAGGTGGCGACGCCGAAGCTTGCATCCGCGCCTGCTGGGGGCCTCCGTCCGCTCTCGCTCCTCCAGGAGCGCAACCTCAACCAGGCTGTCAACGAGACGCGCCCACTTGCGCTCGGCAAGAAGAGCAAGGTTACGGACGAGAACGCGGACCCCGAGGCTTCTGTGCAGTCCAAGGGCAAGTCTGTGCTCAAGCCCCTCCGACTCTCGCGCAACGAGACGACCAAGGAGCGCGCGCAGCTGCGCAAGCACGAGGTTCTCCCTGAACTTGTTGTTCGCCCTCCCTCTGAGGCGGAACGCGGCTACTACGGCTACGCCTGAACCCCGAAGACTCAAGACCATCTCACTGACGCTGAACCCTTTCTGCGCTGAAGATCTTCACATCGTATATACCATTTGCTGTTGAGTTATCACTCTGATTCCTCGTCTCGCTGTTTTTGCACCTCTTCGTCCCTCGCATCATCGCTTTTGTCGTTTGTTTTTGTCTCGTCATCGCTACTCCGTCTCGTATCTCGCGTTCTGATGCTGTTCTCACCTCACGTCGTCTCAACGCTTTAAAACTCTCAATCACCCCCCTATGCCATCTATGCGTTCCTCTCTGTTGTGTCTATGTTTCACTGCTCTCTCGTCCCATACATACGTACGTCCAAGCTGTCTCCACTACTGTCTATACCGTCTCCAGTCTCACGTCGCACGCTATAACGCTCGCATTGTCTGTTATGTCGTACGAACCCTGCTCCTCGCTTTTTCCACGCACGCTACGCGTGCCTCCCTTGCTGTTCCCTGTCGCATTACTTACCGCTTCCGTGTCAGTACTCGTTTACTCGCACATCCCCCGCCCAGTCTCGCATAGCTAGTCTACACGTCGCTGACGCTTGTTCTCATGCTTTTCACTCCAGCGCAAGCTCGCTCTCGTGTCGATATTGCGCACCTTTGCAATTGCATCTCCGTTATCACCGCACACACAACGATCGCGGTATACACTGCAAGCGTAAGAAGTACAACATAAAGTGCAGAGATACAATGGTAGGCTACATCCCAGGACCGAACAAGCTGACCCAAGCTGTAGGTGGTGGGCCGCCCTCTCTGATCTTCGTCTGGCCACAGTACGCGATGATATGTTTTGATGGGTGCCAGGAGACCGTGACTGAAGGCCCTTGGGCAGCCACGCGATGCAATGGCACACCAGTCTCTACCGCGCACTAGATAATATCAGACGTCATGCCATAAAGGTGGAGTGTGTGCGGGAGGGCACTTACAATGTCGATGTAATTGCCTGCGTTGGCAATCGCGATGAACTCTCCATCGTGCGAGAAGCTGAGCGCGGTGATGGAATGACTGGGCGCAACATGGGTCAGCGGCGAACCTCTTAAGAGTAGCAGGGGACAAGACTTACTCGCACGCGGTGATGGTCCGCACGCATACCCACTCGGACACGTCGAACAGGTTCACGATCGAGTCGTTGCCGCCCGACGCGAGGTATCTGTTCGAGGGGAAGAGAGAACTAAGTTCCGCCTTCCGCGTCGTGTCGCTACTTCCTGACACACCTTCCCCTGGGGTCTAGGGCAGCTGCCACACAGCCGCCGACATGTGCCGGGGTGCTTTGTACGGCGTTCAATGCGGGGTAGTCGAGCGTACGGAGGGTGTGCTCCGACTGGTGCGTCAGGACGATGCCGTCGCCGACATGGTTGAATGTCGCTGTAGACGCAGAAACATATTTCTGAGGAGGTCGTGAATGGTGGCATGGGTAGCAGGTAGGAATATGCGTACCCCTCCAATGTCAGCGTGGTGCCATTGATCTTTCGTGTCGTCTCCCTCTTTGCCGAAGGTGAGCACGCCCAGCTGTCGGCTTAAAGTCGTGTACAGGATAGTCTTCCCGTCGGGCGCGTAGTTCAATTGCGAGGGTGCTAGCTTGAGATTGAGCTGCTGCACGTGCCGACTTTCTGCGACCAGTGAGACAAGGGACATGGGACAAAGTCCGGGGGTAACGCACGTCGACCGTCCCAGAAGACGACCCTCCTGTCTTTCTGACTTGATGTGCAGAAGAGTTCCGGGTGGGTAGGGTTCCACGCGAGATAGTCGACGTCGTCTGTGTGGCCACCGGAGTAGGTGGTACATGAACGCGTTTCCAACTGCTGCGAGTCAGAAAACGTTCAGGTCCAACGGTGGGGTAGAACACGCACGCTCTTTTCCGGAGTCCATATCCTGACAACCTTGTCAATCCCGACCGCGCCCAGCTTCTTGCCGTCGCAGCTCCACGCGACGTGGTTCATGGCTTGATGAGAGGATGTGAAGCGCATCTCGCGCGGCCTGAAGGCGGAGAAGACAGGAGACTGCGAGGAAGAAAGGCCATGGTCACCAAGAGTCCCTAAGCGTATAGCGCAGTCAAGATGTTCGTACGTGGACACCGCGCACCGCGAACGTAGTGTACAGCGGCGGAGAGGGTGGCCTCTCCGGGGGCGGGATCTCCTCCTCTGCTGGGGCTGCGAATTGACTGGCCATTCTGAGAGTTGCGCGCTATGTGTGTGATAGAGCTTTACTAGGAACCAGCAGCGTGTGCGGAGAGCTTGAGCAGAGCAGCGCGAGAGCAGAGTGGTGGAGGAGGCAGAGAGTGGCGGAGCCGGACGGCGGACCGTGCATGACGGTATGCGACGATCGGTGCGCTTCTCATTTTGGCAAGTGTTGTCAGTCGTCGCTTCGTCGTACAATCTGCACCCGCAAGAGCCACCTTCTGAGCGGCGGTGTTAATACCGCAATGACATTCTGGACCACATTATACCGAGTACATCCTAAATTACATGTTCCGCCTGCAAATAGTACAACCCTTCTCCTTCACTGCAGTGTCCAATGAAACCTTATAGCGTCATCTCCGTAGCATGTCCACTGAACCTAACTCAAGAAACTCCGCCGTCGCACAGCAAACGGAGTTCGATGTCATGCTGCCTGGTATCCCGGTGGTGGTTCTATAGCATCCCGCAGTTCGAGTGTCATCTGTTGCTGCAAGATCTTCATCCTCTCCATTTCCGCTCGCAGTTCGTTCAACTGGTCGCGCAAGACGGCTTCCGAGGTGCCTTCGTGCGGCGGTAATATACTTGACGTCGGTGGTGTAGAACCAGGCCCTAATTGGGAGGGACCAGGACGATCCGCGGACGAGGACGTCTCAGCACCCGGCGGCGCGTCGGTGGAACGCCTCGTCGCCAAGGCGTTCTCGACTTCTTGTACCCGCCGCGAGAGCTCCGCCTCGCGCTCCGCGATCTCTTTACGCGCAAGGCGCGCCATCGAGTTATCCGGCCCTTCGAGCCTCGTCTCCCCGCCGACCTGGACGATGCGCGGCTGCTGCCCCCGTGAGAATGGGTCTTGGTTGGACGAGGAGATTCCCATGAGGGGCACATCGGAGTCGGACGGCGAAGGTTCTCGCGAATGCCCTTCTGAGCTTTCATGATAGCGCGAACGAGGTGTATGTGGATACGGATGGCTAGATGCGATGGACTCCTCGTACGGCAGCGATGCGACCGATGAGGCGAAGTTCATGCCTTCTCTGCCGCCTTGCCCTTGCGACCGTCGGTTTGGCTTCAATCTGTCGCTATGGTCCGGTTCGTAGCGTTTCATGAGGCGGCGCCTCCTGCGAAGGAAGACGAAGAGCAGCACTCCGATCGCCAGGACCGCAACCGTCCCCGCGGCCGTCGCGCCCGCAATGACTCCGACGTTCGGCTGACTCTCGCGGGATGCATCGCTGGAAGCCTGTCCAGACGCAGTCGTGGAAGGCGATGCCTCCAGGGGAGATACAGTGGTATTCGCCAGATCTGAATTCGTCCTTAGCCGAAACATGAGCAAACCTGACGTGCAGTGAGCAGGCGGGCGAACTTACGTGTAGAGCGCATAATCGAACAGCATCCGCGAGTAGCCTACCGAATTGATTCGCAACGTGTGGTTCCCCTCGGGCACGGAGTAGTTGAACACCTGGAAGTTGTAATGGATCTCGTAATCTCCAGCCGCGTCCGTCTGCCCGCTGACGTCGCGGAAGAACTTCCCGACCGCCTGACCGTCGAGCTCGAAAGTCATGTTCGACACGCCGATTTCGACGCGATCGACCTCCGAGATGATGCAGTACACGGATATCGAGTTTCCTGCCAGTACAGCCGACGTGAGTTGCGGTACGCTAAGGACTCAATAGGAGTGCCGCACCTTTGAAAACGAGGTCGATTGTGCGCGGTGGCGCGTCAACGGACGAGCCGACGGAGTCATGCCAGGTACCGTTCCGCACCATACTCGGGTCCGGGTTCACGAGGCACGCATCGTCATCGGCGACGCACGGTTGCCCCTGTGACCACTCGGCGGACGGGGAATACACAGGCAGCGCCCCTGTGGCCTCGTCCCCATACGTGTCGTCTATCGCGATGGTGCGAACGGCAGCCGCTACCAGACGGATAGCGCAGAGCAACACGAGAAGATTGAGCAGTGGCACTACATCGAGGATTATGCGACTCATTCTGACGAGTGAGCTTCCCTGCGAGGGGACACAGGTGTATGCAAGCTAGACGGCGAGCAAAGGAGAGGTGTAACTGGGAGAGGAACCAAAGCTGACGGCGACACATCGAGACTAGTTCCGCGCAACCTCCTTGACGTGGCCAGATAAGACAAACGTGGATCGCTTGGCTACCCTTGACATCTGAAAGTCTTCTGTGTAGCCCTTTACCGCAGCTAATGAATAGCTGGCCCACGTCCAGCGACAGTCAGAGCAACCGGGAGGGATTGACATGACTGACCGCGTCAGTCAGAATGAACGCCCATGTCCCATTATGGTAATTCTCTCATCCCAGTAGCGAACGTAGCTGTGAGGCTCATCGACACTGCTCGGACGTACGGACAGGTAAAAATCTGTCAGTTCGTGGTGAGCGACGTAGATGGCGGAGAGATGCGATTTACAGAGACAGATGGGGCTCGGACTTCGACGACGCATCTGAGAGGCCGCCACGCTCTGCACTGTCGTGGCATACCGCGGAAAGCCCGAAGTAAGCGGAGGCCGGTCGGTGTGTGGCACTGCAGCAAGTTGTAATGCCCCGGAAAACAACGTCGACGACGTATACCATGTAAATGGCGGACTTACGCCATTCTTGCAATTGTATGGGGGTTCCGTAGAGTATCAGAGCGTGTCGTCAGATTTGAATGCGACTGCTCAGTGCAAGGTGTCTAGCGGGACAACGTAAGCCAGAAGTCTCGCTCGGATGGTTGAAATATATGGCAACTGAAATTGAAAGGGTGCTTGACAAACGACAGTCATGTCAGAGACAAGAGAGCTCCGAGCCGCGGGCGCACCTCACAAAGACACCAGCGCTTGATAGGATTCCACCGGGGGTGCTCCGTGGAGAAGGGGTTTATCGAGAGAAGCGTGTGTCGGCGTAGATTTGAAGTACCATCCCAAGCCGGCACTGGCAGACCGGGATGATCGTATGGTCCATGTAGATGGGATACCCGGCGTGAGGACGACCGGTAGGCATTGCACGCGCGCCCAACCTTTGCCGCTTCGAAAGTGCCTTCTAGTGCGCACGAAGACCATGAATCCTAAACAGCGCCCACAGCCTTACGAGCATGGGACCTACCGTGACCGAGTTTGCGAATGGTCTCGGCTTGCGCAGCTGCGCAATCAGGAGTACACGGAGGGGCATCCATAGGTTTGGGCGATACACCACCGTACAAGGTTCTTCCATTGACCTAACGCACTACGTAGTAGTGCCTGGAGAAGCCCGCCCTGCACCCATCCAGTCAGCGACGTCACGTTAGGTACAACTATGAACTCACCACACACGAGATAGCGTCCGCTTCAGGCGTCTACACAGCCGAGGGTGAGGCCGCGGGTCATGGTAACACCATTCACCCTGGGCAACACACCGTCGCCCACTCAGCCACGCAGGTGATTTGTACTTAGTAACCAAGGGCTCGAGCGCCATGCTGGGACCGGACGCGCCGCGCCCACTGTACGCTCCCGATCCCGCGATCCCGATGGAGGCGAATTATCACGATCGTCGCAGGAGGCCAGAGTGGATACAGACCGGTGCTTTGATGACCGGAGTGTGTAGCCCCATCGCGTTCCGCCGCCTCTCGTCTGGAAAAACGGCTGCGACGGCGCGGAGGCGCACTGATACATACACCAGCCCCCAGGCAGCCGTCAGCGGGGTCACGGGCCACCTCCTGGGCGCACGCCGCGGTTCGGACGGCTTCCGGGCTTCAGGCAAGGCACCCCGAGTACGTCGCGAACGAGGAAGCCGCCGCTACTGCGGGGAAGATGCTGGATGAGCGCAGTTTAGCCTGAAGGGGACTCTCGACCTGCGTCAGCCCTCTCCGGGATTGTAGGAAATCCCTGGAGGCGGCGCAGACGTGCGGATGGGACACGCCGAGGAGTTGGCTCAATTGCTCGATCCGGTGTGCACGCCGCGCGCTCGAATGATTTTTATGGGGCGAAACGATCTTCCAAGATGCAGCAGTCAGTCGCAAACTCGTCCAGTCAGAGAGCCAAAACCCGGCGTAGCAACTTACCGCCGAAAATGCGATGTCAGCACAATTTTTGCGCCGTATGTTCCTTGACCGGACTTGGCGACATGTTGCAATGCGCATGCACGTCGAACCGGATGATATTTTTGCTTCCGCCACACGGTGGGACTGCCAGGTCGTACAGATTACTCCGGCTCATGAGCTTTGGCTGTACGGGGGCCACCCCCTCGACGGTTCCCGGACCCGGAACTACATCCACCGACCCGGAGGTCGCTCGGGAGAGGGCGGTCGGAGCATATGCAAATGAGGAACATACGTATAGGCACTCGCCCACGACGACCTGCCGGGCGACGCGCAAGCGATTCGAGGCGAGGAGGCCCGCGAGCAGTGCTCCGGGGGAGGTAACCGCGAAGGAGCGCTTTGCAGTCAGAGTACGGATGGAGGAGCGTGGGTGCCCGGGTTGAGCGCGGTCTCGGTGTGCGCCGCGCGGATACACAGCGCCTATGACAGCGGCGGCGGTGCGCCTGTGCAAGGATCCGAGGCATGCTACACTACGGCGATCTCAGGGCGACAACGACGACGGGCGGCACCCTCATTGCACGAGCAGCACCTCAAGTTTCAACCGTGCCAGTTCAGGCCAGTTCCCCATCCCTTTTGATGCGTCTGATTGCGATTTGGCGGCCTTGCTCGGGCTTTCAACCGCCCCGACGCGGGGAAGCGCCGAGAAACGTTAAAAGCCTGGGTGGATACGTACCACTCGCCAACCAGTAGCTCACACTCTGCACGTCATGGACCCTGCAAATCCCGCTAGCTTCAACCACCGCACCGAGCTCCTCTCCACCGGCCGTCGGTACCACTTCGTCGACCAACTCCCCACCAACTACGACCCCGCCATCAACAAGACCCTCGTCTGCATCCACGGCTTCCCTGATTTTTGGTAACGTCCAACAGGCTTCCGTTTGTGGGCGCCGGTGTATTGATCGAGCCGCGTAGGTACGGATGGCGCTACCAGATCAAGCCGTGGGTCGACCTCGGCTACCGCGTCGTCGTCCCCGACAAGCTTGGCTACGGCGGGACCGACAAGCCTGAGGACGAGAGCGAGTACAGCGCGAAGAAGATTGCGGACGACATCGCGGCCCTCATGACCCTGCTGAAGGTGCCGAAGGCTGTGAGTCCACCACGCGCAAGTGTCCTCGGAACTGGCCACTCACGTCGAGCGGGTCCTTTAGGTCATCATCGGGCACGATTGGGGGTGCTTCATGGCATCCCGCTTTGCCTTGTGGCATCCTGATAGGCTTCTGTCATTGGTGCTGTGAGTTGAATGAGCGCCTTTTGCGGTGCCGTTCTGACCGCATGCGTTCCCCGGGGTTTCCAGGATGTCAGTGCCGTTCGTTCCGCCGGCGAAGGCGTACACGCCGCTCGAGAAGATCGTAGAGAGAGTGCCGAACTGGGGATACCATCTATTCTTTGCGGATAAGGCCTCAAGCGGCGTCATCGAGAAGAATGTAAGTCCTCTCCGCCGCCATTCCCGCCGCGGCTGTTTCCTCACTGCAATGCATGAATATCAGCTCGACACGTTCAACAAATTGATCTGGCGGGACAAGAAGACTAGTGACGAGAAGCTTTCAAATTGGACCCTTACGGGAGGACTGCCGAAGCTTTTGAATAATGCCAATTTCAAGCTGGCGAGCACGGGGCTGCTTAACCAGCAGGTGCGTACTTCGTATACCGGCATAGAACCAGCTCGGTATTGAATCGCGTAATCGGCCGCAGGAATTCGATTACTACGTCTCGCAGTTCAAGGACAGCATGCACGGTCCCCTGAATTACTACCGCACGACTCTGCATCGCTTCAATGAAGAACAGGGTGAGTTCGCTAAAACGCCACATCGTGTTTTCCACTCACCTTCGGGCGTCTTGACTTCTAGACCCGGCGATCCTACCAGCGCCTCGCGCCAACCTACCAGTGCTGCTCATCATTGGCAAGGAGGACCCCACGTCGAATCAGGGCGCGCTGGACGTCACAAAAAAGATGATTCCACATGTTGAGATCGAGCTCATCGACGGCGTGGGGCATTGGCTGATGGTGGAGAGCAAGGACTACATCAACAAGGCCATCCCGCGCTTCATTGAGCGTGTATCGGCGGACGAGGTGCAGACAAAGTTGTGAACGCTTGGGACTTGGGTGTTTTGGACTGTAGAGTATGTTATGGACCAATTTTGTGTACTTTCATCGTGACAAGCCTGCTTCTAGATGCAATGTTATCTGTATGACCTCAGATGAGCGGGATGCATAAGCGCAGATCTCGTCGGGTCCGAGCGCACGATCACCGAGTCAAGCGAGGAGCATGACACGAGCCGTGTGCTGCGGCAGCAGGGGAATGCGTGCGAGAGGGTGGAATTGGGCAGGAAGAGGGAGGCAGCGAGAGAGCCTGACTCGGCAGGAGCAGGGCTGGCAGATGGGAGTTGCTGACCAATCCGCGGACGGCTCTGACGCCTGCGCCGTCGTGTCTTCCGTCCTCATTGCCACTCACGACGTCCTCCACGCCCTCGAGCTCTCTGCTATCCTTCTCGCCTCGTTCCTTCTTCGCACCACGTTTTACCGACCAAGCTTTGCTCTACCAACATAACCAAAAACTCAGTAACGCCGTGCGTGCTCCTCCAGATAAAACATCTGCGACAATATCGTCCTAATCATTCATTGTCTTCTCTTTGCCAGACCCTGCCATGCCAACCGCTGTCTCTGCCTCCGCTACGAACTCGCGCAAGCCCATTGAACGATCCCTGTCGAATCCGGTCCCGAGGAAGCGGCGTGCCGTGAAGAGGAGAGGCCGGGCGAAGGATGAGTTCGAAAGCGACGACGAAATCGAACGGGAGGTCAGGACAGACTCGGAGTCCGATGATGACCACTCCTCGATTGATTCAGAGTCGGACTCAGAGTCCTCGTCCGACGATCTCCACGCAGATGCCCACTCCGAGGTCGTAACTCCTAGCACGACCCAAAGTCCCCCGCCCGTGGCGCGCGAAGGCCTGCCCCGCGGTCCTGCCAAGGATCCCGCGGCGAGTCACACTGCCCTCTTCTCGGACACGACCAACTGGGCAGAGATGGTAGCGGACGAGGCGACGAACGGGGCGTCCAGCTTGCCTGTCATCGATTTTGCTGACATGGATGCTGCCCGCCTTGAATCCACCGCTCCACCTCCTGCCCCTGCCCCTCGCGCGCGCAAAAGCAACAAGTCCGGAAAGAAGGCGGCTGCCCGCTCGACCTCCGCTCCTCCCCGTCCCGATCCTGTCCCTACTTCCGAAGCAGCGGTCTCTGAGGAGCCCGACGCTCGTGAGGAAGAGCCGTCCGCGTCCACTTCCCGGGAACCCGAGTCGTCCCAGTCCGCGCTCCCGGGACGCTCGCGCATGCAATCCGCCCGACAAGCATACCAGCAACGCCTCGAACAGGATCCCTCCTTCGTTCCGAAAGTAGGAGAGTTCTGGGGACATGACGATCGTCTCCTAGACAAGGAGTTCCGCAGCCTGAGCGGTTGGTGGCGTGGACGGTGGCAGTCTCGGGGCCGCGGTCGTGGAGGTTTCAGCCTCCGGGGTCGTGGTCGCGGTGGCTTTTTCCCTCCGCGCGGATCGGGATACGAGCAGGAGGACGGTCAGGTGGCCACCGAGCCCCCGGTTGAGGAGGTCCCTCCTGTGGATCGCCAGTGGACTCATGACGGGTTTGAAGAGATGAAGAAACGGGATGAACGGCGTCGCACGATACAGGAGAAGCAGCAGCTGCCACCTCAAGCAGCACCCGCGCGTGGGTTCGGGTTCCGCAGGAGAGATTTCGTCCCTGGGCGCGGGAGAGGTGGCTTTGGGCGTAGTGATGCGATATCCCCACCGACGTCGCAGCGCCCATTATCAAGTGCATCAATGGGAGAACGCGTGTGGTATGCGCAGAAGCCGGAACGGATGTGGACAAAACAGAACGACATCTTCCTGTACAACGACGCCGCTACCAAGCCGCGCCCAGGCGTGGGTGCCGGCGTCCGAGTTAAGCTTCCCGGCTCGAAGGACTCTTCCATCGTTCGGCTACCCCCACGCAATCATACTCATTCCTCCGACAAACACGAGCCTGCATCATCGGCTCAGGATGAAGGGGAGAAGGCGTTCACCGTCCGACTTCCGCCCCGTGCTGGGAAGGAGAAGGCCGTCGAAGAGCCACCTGCTGTAGAGCCCGTGGCGACCGAGGTTGTTGCAACTACCGTGGAGGAGCTTTCCATCGAGGAGATATTCACCGTCCGCCCCCACGTTGTGGCAAACCGCCGCGTCGATCTCTTTGTTCCGTCGACGTCCGCGTCCGAGGACTGGCGGCATCGTCCAATGGTACCGGAGGCACCCTCACCAATCCAACCATCGTCATCATCCTCGGGTGCCACCGCTGAAGCCTCTCGCAATGCCATCGAGGACATTCTATCGACTACATCCGTCGCCGGTGGCAGGACGTCGCCTAGTCCACAAATTCAGGAGACCATCCTACGCAATCCGCCCACGTCGGAAGAGGAACCCATCGGTGCCGTTCCCGCGCCGGTGGAGGAGCCGCAGCCACAACGTCCGATACCACCAGTGCTCCATCCCCTGCAGACCAGCTTTTCTCCCGTGCCGCCGACGTCGCCACCTTACGGATCTCCGTACGGCTATGCCCCCGCGCTACCACCTGGTGTTGCCGTCAATCACCAGGGAATGGCTTACGAGTACGCGACGGGCCGCCCTGTGTATATCCAACCAACCCCTCCGCCGATGTTCACCCCGCGTCCGATGATGCACGGACATCACCCATCGCTGGGCGTTCCGTTCGTCCCGTCACACCTCCGCCACCATTCATCCGCTTCCCCCGATTACCTTGCTCACCCGCATCCTCCGCACACGCCGCCTGTCGCCTCGTTTGTCGACCCTGCGACTGGCGTCCCCATCTTTGCGCCGGCACGTCAAACAAGTCGCATCGAGATCCGTGCTCCGACGGATGCCTCTGATGGCAAGAAGTCAAGACCGTCTCACCAGCGGAGCGGGCTCTCGACTTCTAGCATCTCCGCCGCCGACGCCCCTCATCAGCCCACCTACTTCCAGCCGCAGCCCTCATACGGTAGCGAGCAGCCGTCCGCGGAGCAGGTGGAGGCTTCGCAGCAGCCTGCTGAGTACTCCCAGGCGCCACCGATGGACCCCTCTGCGGCTTACGCCCCTTACCCCCAGCCGTACTACTACCCCGAGCAGTACGGCTACGCGCCATATGTAGACATGTCGCAGCAGGTCATGCATTACGATATGTACCCTCCCGAGCACCACCCCTCCCACTCTCAGCCTGTTGTCTATTACTAGCCGTCTCGCACTGTCATCGTCCCTCTGTCCTACATTTGCTCTATCATGTGCTGTTTGTTACACACGCTTGGACCCGCCAGGTCGCGTTTTTGTTCCCCCTGTCACGGTTGTTCCCATTTCACCCCCTACTCTGCCCCCATACGTCGCTACGACTCCCGCGTCCCCTCCCCCTTTTTCTTCTGGTCTGTTCTCTGCTCCTGTACGTGACAGTGCCGTATCGACCCATGCCAGTTATATTACATGTGCTTTTTCTTGATCATGCCCTTCCGACATCATCTCCCGAGAGTTACCGCAATCATCAGATGCCTGGTTTTCTGTACTGTGCTACGCTGTTTTTCGTGGTTGCCCTCGCATGCAATGCATTCCTCCTTGTCGTGATTCTCTATCGTATTCTCGCAGTGAAATGAGTTGAAGCATCTATGAAAATCCGCAGTACGTGAGTCTATCTCTATGGTCGATGAGGACCTCTAGCTACTAGCAATGAACCGATTTTTGGGAAGCAGCAGCCCTCCGAGCACGCCGACCTCTGTATGTCTACTCCATCCTCCGCCCAACCTTGGTTACCAGCAACCAGCAGACGCCCTGCGCACCGAGCAGCGCGACCACCGTCGGCTCAACCACCCAGATTCCCTTCTTCGTGCTCAGCAGGCCCACAACGAGCGGCCAGAACGCGCTCCCACTCTGGCCGATAGAGCTCATGATCGCGAACGCGTCCGCGTGCATCGCGCGCGGGATGAGGCGGCCCCCGGTCGTGATCGCGGCGGTGTAGAACGTGGAGATCGCGACGCCGACGAGCGCAGTACACACCGCCGTCGACGCGAGCACGGGCACGAACCACGCGACGCACTCGAGGGCGATCGCGAAGAGCACGTAGACGATGACTGCCGCGCGCTCGCCCATGAGGATGTTCAGCGGCGGGAGGAAGATCCGTCCGAGGGCGATGCCTGCGAGGGTTCAGTCCGGAGGTTAGCGTGGTGCAGGTGGATAGCGGAAGGTGCGGGAGCGGGACCGACCGAGGTAGAAGCAGGAAGCCACCCACGATGCACCTTCGGGGCTGCCCTTGCGGACTTCGAGGACGTAAGAGACGATCCAGCCGCCGCTGTCAAGGATGCTGCGCTTTAGTCCAATGTTGACGCGGGGATGCGGGGGCCGGAACTCACATTGACTCCTCTGCTCCCACGTAGAGCATGAGGAAAATGGCGAGCGTCCAGACGGCGCGGCTTCGGAGTGTCGCACGCAGCACGCCGCCGGTGGAGGCACCCTCCGCGGCATGCCTCTCAGTGGGGTGTTCGGGAAGAGCGTGCAAGTTACGGAATGCCAGCCAGGCGAGCGCGAAGACCGGGATGTTCATCGCGACATTGGTCGTGTAGAAGAAATGATACTGTAATGAATCAGCATACTGAGTACTAGACCTGGCACATGTTCGAGGGGGACGTACCGGGACCCCTCGAGTGACCATAGCAGTGGCCACCAGAGGGCTGGCAAAGGCGCCGAGGCCATAAACTCCGTGTAGAACGCCGGTCCACATAAGTGGCTTTTTGAGGATAGTGAAGTAAGCGTTGCATAAGCCGAGCTGCACATCGCGTACAGACTTCAGCGATGTGTAACATACACGAAATTTATGAAACCCACCTGTGTTGCGAATGCGATACCGATGACGAAGTAAGCGAAGCACATAAGACCGAAGTTCATCTGTTGAGAGCTGTTGATGACGTTCTGTGGTGTGCAAACACACGTGAGCATCTGCCGGGTTATGACGGGATGTAGGACGCACGCCGGCCAGCTCTACAAGTATAGAGATGAGCATTGCGTGTCCGTAGCCCACTCGGCGGGATAAGGTACCCGCCCCTGCCGCAGCGACCACATATCCCAGGAATGTAGCCACGAAAAGGATAGAAACGTGAGCGTAGGTTATGTTATAGTTGCGCTCGATGTAAGGCAGCAATGCTCCCGTAGAACCACCACTAGCAAACGATATCGTGAGTATAAAATGTTCTAATCTGTTGACAGGTCATCTCGAGAAGAGCCGCCTGTAGAGAACACTACACGCGGCTCCTGCGAGCAACCTTGGGTTAAGACAATTACAGGGTACTGACTTCCACCCAGCAAGGAATAGGGTCGTGAACGCTGACGCCATCCGGAGGCGTCGGAGCCCCTTCGTCTCTGCGAGAGGCTCTATAGGCACCTCGGATACCATGACTGGAGGATATATGGCCACAACCGGCTCAGTGGGAGCCTGAGCCAAATCATCCGCGCCAGCCAGACCGGAGGAGGCTGGTTCATTTTCATCCTTTCCACCGTGAGCGATACCGAAAACGGTGTCGCCAGAGTCGAGTCTGCCGAATGGCGGACGAACGGCCATGTGAGCGTCGGCCTCCCATGTTCCGGAGACAGCACCGGAGGCCCCGACGACCTCTGCACCATCTTCGCGTTTGCCTGCTTCCGACGGCGTGGACTCGTCTATAGCCTGCGCGTCTACGTCCAACCGAGATTCAAGCTGGGCAATAGGGAAGTTAGTGAGGTGCATATCAGCGCCGGAAGTCATGGCAGAAGAGTCAATGCGGTATAGGGGAGACGCAGCGAAGGGGGAGGAGGGAGCCCTCGCCGCACCAACTTGTGGTTGCAGTACTTTATAGCGTTGATTGCTAAGCATTGGTCCGACGGTTGACGCACTGGTCCGTGGGCAACATTCAGGTCAGATTGGTCGAGACTCAGGGCTTCGCGCTAACTGGACGCCGCACACGGTCATCTGCCCTTCGGAATTTGTCGCGCTGCCCAGCCATTGGACCGTCAAGACTGATAAAGAGGTCAGAGAATCTCTGCGGATGTTTGTTGTTACGTACCTTGCGGAACTCGGCGCGAACTCCAGTAAGGGGCGGGTCGCCGCCACCCGTCGGTGTTGTTCCATATGCGGAAGGTGGTTAAGAACGTTGCCCGCACTGCAATGTCGACGAGCAGGTTGACTGCAAGCCCTAGTGGTATCATGTAGACATAAAACATCTAACCTCGAAATATCACATATCACGACGCTATAACCAGATCAACTTCCTTCGTCCGCACCATTCTCCCCGTCTGGGCTCTTCGCATTTCCCCTGTCGTCGGCCCGGGTATTCCTCTTGTTGATGAGGTTGTCGAAGAACGCCTTCAGAGCCTGGTGCTGTGACTGGTCGTCCGCGGAGTTGGGTGTCGTCGCCGACATCGGGGCAGGCGAAGGCGCTCCAGAACGTCCGAGCGCGAGTGCCGCACCCGCGGTGGGGATGGAAAGGCCCGCATTGGGTGGACGAGTGCCGCCACGCCCAGAGAGTGCCCTCGCGGCGGGATCCCGTGCGGTGCTCATGTTCAACGGGTTCACGCCAGAGGCACCGGCAACACTCTCCATTTCCGTTAATGCACGTTCCACGTTTGGGAGATTGAAACTGCTGCTGCCCATTGGACCCACGATACCCGCAGAGGCCGTCTCGTTCGGGTTGCGGAACGCGCCGCGAGGATCGCGGTCGGGCTTCTTCGCGTTCTCGTCGTAATTCTTGGCCAAGAACACTTGCTCCGGAGTTGGGTTGTTGAGTGGTGGGAGAGGGGGCGGCTAGGGTGCAGACATGGTGAGTGGAGGGAAATCCGTAGACATGGCAAACTGTATACCTTGCGACTCATATCGGGAACAAGACCAGCATAGAGTCGTTGAGCATGAGCTGTGCCGTCACTGTCATCTGAGTGGTCAAGGTCGTTCTCCCAGGCTTCTCCCCACAACTTCGCGTCAAATCCATCGCGCAGGACGGCGATCTTGCCCCAACTGTCCCAACCTGCGGGGATGACAATCTTGTCGCGATCCAATGCATTGGGCTTGTGCTCGAAGACGAAAGGATTCCGAGGAGGAGCGGCTACCTCGGAAGAAGCACCCGCAGCAGGAGAAGGCGCAGGAGGCACGAAGAGCATGTGCAGGGCATACTGCCTGAGAACCTGTAGGGTCGTTGGCTGGGGCGTCGTGTAGAACAAGCCGGCGCCGTCTGTACTATGATAAGAAGAAGTTCACGTTGACTGACATCACACGCACATTTGAGGCAGATAGTCCGGAGAATCTGCATGATACTGTCTGTTTGCTCTTCCCACTCGCCGCCCTTGCCCTTCACCATACCACCCATGCCTGATGCTCCGGTGCCGATGATATCGTTCCCCTCGTCAATGAGGTCTGCTTTCGTACAGACCACGACAATCGGGACGCCGGCGGAATTATGCGTCAGAGTACCAGGCCCCAGTGGCAGGATAGTACTGGATACTGACGTCGCGGGAAGTGGTTCCGAAGAAGGTTCGGCGTAGTGCTGCCAGTGTGCCTGCACTGTACGCTTAATTATCAGCACAGAAGTATGAGGTCACCAGGGGAATATGTACGTACAGCGTTCTCGGTTCTCCTCCTTCGCTATATCGAGGTCACGGGAGCCGTCTCCTTTAACCCATTGCTCTACCCACTCCAACCAAGTTTCTAGCTCTTGTATGAAAGACCATGGGCGTGTCCAGTCGAGGACGACCATAACCAGGGTATGTGGCAAGGAGGTACGGGGAGGGACAAAATAAGGCAATAGAGAGGTATAAGATGGCGCGGAGGAAGGGACTGTGTACACGGATAACCTCGCAAGTGTGTCTTGACGAGAGAGTATAAGCTAAAATGATCAAGAGAGCGTATTGGGGCCACACACCTTCGTCCGCGTCGTCTCGTACATCCGCCCAGTCGTACCCCAGCGCAAAGTCCGTCCGCTGGTCCTCTTTGGTCTCCTCTGGAAGCGGTTTCTGCAGCAGCGCAGAGACAAGGGTAGATTTCCCAGAGGATGGCTCGCCCAAGATAATGACCTGCTTCGCCGGTATAGAGCGCGATGTTGACACTGAGTCGAGGATGGAGGACCACAGATCCTGCGGTGGCGCCTCCGGTGAAGAAGGCCGCGAATTCTCCATTTCTGCCCACCCTCGGTTGCAGAGATTATGATAGACGCGACAGCAGCAGAGATAGAGGTTATAGAGCGAGAAAGCGGACGCGACTGGGAGCAGAGACCTTGGTGGTGGCAAGCAAGTCGATTGAAACTCCGGAGACGCGTCCCGCAAGCGCGCTCGGCTAGATCGCACACACTCCGTCCAAACCTCCATCCACTACGGCTTGCTGTATATTCACGACGACCTTGGGTCTCCCATATCACCGGTCGCTTCTTTTCAGGAAGCCATAATGTCTGCCGCAGTCGCTCTGCCCAAACACCAGCTATTCGAGTCTCCAAACTCACGGGCGATTGAGATCGGCCCGTGGACCATCACAGCGCGCACCAATCCCATCTCGAATGCAGGCCAGTCAGACGCGCTGCAAGCTGCCATCGGCGGCATTCCCCTGCCGGAGATGACGTTCGGCAGCAACTCTCTAGAGCTCGAGCACAAGGAGAGCGGCTGGAAGTACGCGTTCACCACTGAAGAGGCGCTTAAAGGCGTGCGCAATGGCGAGCTGCAAGACGGTGATGGAGGAGTGAAGGTGGGCTATGCCGATGCATGGCTGAAGAGTCGGTATGATACGGTGCTTTTCGTGGTTGATGTGCAGACTGTACTAACTCCGCATCGCAGTACTGGTGCTACCTCTCAAATACCGATGCCCAAGACCGTGCCGACTAAACCGTTCGACTGGACATATACCACTCTCTATCCGGGGCATTGCACCGCTCCTTCAAGCAATGTCGAATGGAAACCCGCGGAGCGAGGCAACCCGGCTCACAGTATTCCAATGGCTGAGCTGACCCGCCCCGATCCCATTCTGTTCTACGCGGAGATCCCTCTGTATGAGGACGAGTTGCATGATAACGGTGCTTCCCATCAACTAGTCCGCATCGTATGTCCCGTCCTGCCAGATTTCCGCGTTTTAGGGCTGACGGGTTTCTCAGCGCGTGATGCCGACGTGCATATTCATCCTGCAGCGGTTCACCCTCAGGGTAGACAACGTTCTGTTCCGCACGTTCGACACCCGGATATACCACTCCTTCGTGTCTTCTCCGCCATTGATTGTGCGGGAAACGAGCGGCTGGGAAGCGCCTTACGATCATGTCAAATGGGTGAGCGCCGTCTGAGCTACGCATGGTCAACGATACACCGTATAACACATCGATTTAGCGACTGCCCAAGCGCGATGATCTCACGCCATTGACCGACCCTATGTGGATCGCTAAAATCCTATCGGAGATCCCGTCGGAAGTATCTCAAGAAGTTGGAGCGGGCACCAAGTGGAGGGGGCTCGGTACAAAAATTGAGGTCGCGACGTTGACATAGATTGATATATAGGAAGTATGCACTCATGAAGCAATTGTGTATCATAGGTGAGTCCGCCCCAATGTATAATAATAACACCGCTAAATGAACATCAGGAGGGTGTATCGTTATATCTGCTTGCTGAGGGTAGATGTCGAGAATATTCAATGGAGATATTGGTACAGCTCTGCATTGATTCGCAATCATCGAACTCGAAGAAACTGTAGCTGAAGTAGCCATTGTATAGTCAGCGTACGGCCTCAAACTCTCTTGGCGTCTTAGTACCTTCTTTCCAGCTGCTGATCACGACGTAGGTCCCTTCCGTATCCTTCCACGTCTCACTCAACCGAGTCACCCCATACCAAATTTTATACAACCCTTGCCTAAACTTTTGGCAAGTAGTTGTAAAATACCTTGTGTAGAATGACCTACCCTTGTAGCCTGGCGGTTATTTGACGGAGTTCGTGCAACATTAATCGGCGGCTGGCAGCTCTGGTCGGTGCCTGTGACACACTCTGTAGGGCGGGGCGATAACACGTCTATAGCGTATGAACACTGTAACATGAGGCGTAATGCAGCATGATAAATGGCTACAAACCAGTCGGAACGACATTAGGACCGCGGGAGGTTGTGTCGGCGTGTTCTTGAACGACTGCCAAATGCGGAACTGGCCTCGCGATCGAGAATTTGTGCCGCGGGCGTCTAACGGGCTGTTTGCAGCGCGCCTCGTCTACTCTCATTTGTCCTCTCTCTGGCTTTACTCCTCACTACTTCATCGACATGGACGTTTCAGATATCCTCGCGGCTCACCAGGCTAAACAGTACGTTACCACAGCATCTAAGCGCGCTAAATTGCTCATGCACTATGCAGAAAGTCCGTTGTAGTCGAGAAGGAGATCCCACTCGAGGTGGACACGGGTTTCCTCACGGTGACCGACCTCAACCCCGTGGATCAAGAGAGCTACGAGTAATTTTAACCTACGTATGCCTTATATCGCTCAAGACTGACGTATGCGCGTGTCCTTCCCGCAGAGCGGACATGGAGGAGTACCTGATGTCGACCGCACGGGATGGCGTCCAAACCCTCATCGCCTCCCTCTTCTCCCTGCCCACAACATCATCCGCGGATGGACCCCTCGCACAACTGCCCACACCCACCACGCTTCTCCCCCGTGCAAAGCCGCTGCCGAAGCCAAAACCGCCGACCAAGTGGGAGCAGTTTGCGAAGGCAAAGGGTATCCAGAAGACGCGGAAGGAGAAGAAGATCTGGGACGAAGAGAAGCAGGAGTGGGTTGACCGCTGGGGCTGGAAGGGTGTCAACAAGAAGGAGGAGACGCAATGGCTCACCGAGGTCCGCGCTAATGCTGGTGCGTTTTTCACGCCGTTGCCTCGATGCGCCGCGCGAAACGCATGTCTCATTTAACTCCTTCGTTTTCGCTCAGATGTGGACCACGACCCCTCCAAGGCCGCGCGCGATGCTCGCAAGGAGCGTGTTGCCAAAAATGAGCGACAGCACCAACAAAACGTGGCTCGGGCGACACAGTCGACCGGACCTAGCACTGGACCTAGCACTGCTCCGGTGCCCAACTCCATACGCAAAAAGGAGATCGACAGGACTCTTGCTGTTACGCGGGCAAGCACGGCCAGCATGGGCAAGTTTGACCGGAAGCTGGAGGGCGAGAAGAAGTTGAAGGGTCTGAAGCGGAAGGTACTCGACGATTTGCCGTTGAGGATGACTTGGCCGGTGCTGACTATATTTCAAAGTTCGAGCCCACGGAGATGGCTGCGGCCAATGAGAAGTCGAACAACATGGCTATCTTGGCTAAGCTCGACAAGGAGCCTACCGTGAAGAAGTCGAGAAAGTCGGAGTCAAGTGGCTCTGACGTCCTCAACGTCAGGAAGGCAATCCGGTCCGCGAGCAAGGGCAAGGGCAGTGCTGCGCTCGCTAGGGATAGTAGTGGTAAGGGGAAGAAGGGGAAGCGGTGATCTATATTGCACAGTCCATACTCCTCGCCTGTATTCTTGCTTGTATTTCGCATCTGCAACGATTATGACGACTTCTTGGGATCGCGCAGAAGCACCAGTACAAAAGTGTTCACATGTGGTAACATTGCTGAGTCCATACGCATACATACAATGGCACATAGGATTATAATCCTGAGTATGATAAAGTCACCTCACCTTACTTCGACCCGCTCTCCACCGGCAGTCTCTCCAACTTCGCCTTCCCGTCCCTGATCCACTCCTCCTTAACCAACTTCTCCTTCTCCGCATAGTAGAGGCGATACACCAGCTTGATCGTACCCTCGCTGACTCCCGCGACCGTGCTGATCTCCTTGACGGACTTCGGCTTGTCGAGGAGGCAGCAGGTGAAGTAGATTGCGCCGCCGGCGATAGACACGGGCGAACGACCATCCGCGATGCCCAGTTCGCGGGCCTTGACGATGATGTCCCCGCATATAGGTTGGACGTTGGGCGGGAGATCGAGGTGGTTACAGTAACGAACCAGGAGGTCCTCGGCACCGGTCGTACCGCTAGGGGCGTTCAGGTGGCGGTCCTGAGACGCGCCTGGTGTGAGGTTGAAGGCCTGCTCGAGGGCCTTGTAACATTGCCCAAGAACCTTCTTGCTGACGTGAGTGAGATTGCAGATTTCGCGGAACGTCCGCGGTACATGCGCTTGTCGGCAGGCAATGAAGATACACGCCGCGATGACAGCTTCGAGCGGCTTGCCACGAAGTAGCTTCTCCTCGTCCGATCGCTTGTACAACTGCTTCGCGATGTCGGAGATGGTTTTGGGGAGGGAGAACTGGTCGCACCAGCCGGCTATGTCGCGGAATGCCTGCAGGAGATTTCGCTCCGAACGCGACGCCGCCGAACGAGATGCTGCGCGCTGCAGCTCGCGCGCTATGCCAGAACCACCATCCCGGAACGAAATGGTCGTGTCCAGCTGTTCCATGCCCTCCATGAGAGGGTCAGATGCCGCTCCGACACGCGAAGGGTCATCGCCCTCGTCGTTTGCGAACGTCTAGAAAAGGTGTGAGGCGAGCCGGCCCACAAGATGGAAGCGGGGGCATAGTAAAACGTGATGTGACTTACCCGCCACTCACTCCTTGTGTCGACGATCCTGTCGCCCAACACTAGCCCACAAGTGCCACAGACCAGATCTCCGCTGCTGAACTCCTCGACGATGTTCGGGTTCGGGTCACGACATTCAGGGCAGATGAGACGGACTGCAAGGTCCGGGCCGAATGTCGGCTGCTGCACCTTCTGGATGGGTTGTGCGAGGGGGAACGGCTGAGAGTAGGCCATGGCAGGTGTGGGCTACGGGTACGACGAAGGTCGAGGAGAAAGGAATGAGTGGGGCGGGAAGGATATCTGAGTCGTGTAGGTCTTCAGTAATCTCGCGAGACGGGTTCGTCGTGCCTGTGTTATCGTCGCATCATCATGTCCAACGACGAGCGCAGTGCGTACATACCACTACGCAAGTAAATGCGAGACAGCCGGGTAGATCGACAAAGGGAGTGGTGACGGTTCGTGGCAAGAAGCGTACGACCGCAGTGAGGCATGGGCCCGGACAATGGCCTCCGACAAGGGGGCTTAATTGTCTAAAATATTAGTAAGGAATATTCAGCCAATCAGCGCTTGGTTTAACTCACGGTTATCCTTCCCCGCGACAACGCCACCGGATCTCTCACTCAACCCACTGCCACCATCTCTCCGGTCGCACCATGGGCAAATGGTCTGTGCTGTGGACATAGGGCGCCGTACATCGCTAAACAACCTTCCTTTTTACAGGACGCTAGAGCACCACGATGAAGTTCTTCGCAACAAGATCAAAAACATGGCGTGAGCACTGGCGCAGGCCACATTGGTCACCTTCCCAGACTGACAACGATGTAGCCAAGGAGCGGTCAAGCGGATGAGCATGGAGAAGGAAAGCCCTTCAATTACGTATGAAGCTTTCGTAGAGGACCTAGACGAAGGCGACGCCTTTACGGCGTCTCTATTTGACATCCTGGTCAAGGTGTGTACCTCTAGACCTCATCACCAATGTGTATCTCACGTCGCCAATGTAGGAACTGGCGGAGCGTCGAACGCGGCCTGACCCTGCCGACCGACGCTTTATATCTGAACGAACCGCCAAGGCATTAAACATGCAGGCTGCATCCCGCATCTATAACACCGCCCACAGCAGTCGCCGAAGTCGGACGGCTCGACGCAGCCTCCCCGTACTCCCCCCGCGATACAGCGCTTTCCATGACGCTCTTTCCGAATCAGATGGTGACGAAGACTACGGCACCGCGCTCAACAATCCGGGGCCCTTCGAAGGAGCGAGGATCAATACCGATCTATACGATGCGTATTTCCCGTCCACTATCGACTTGCCTGCGACCCTATCGCGCCGAACAACCTCGGACGTAGAGTCTCCTCCCCCTCTTCCCCCCATCTCCTCAATGGACCCGTCCAGCACTACTAGGAGACGGAGCAGTCCGCGTACACAGTCGCCTCCGACGGCTCGATCCATCTGGTACTCAGGCCTTGGCGGCGCTAGCTCCTCCTCGTTGACCCGGCAACCTACTATCCGTCGCCCCTACCACTCTCGCACGACAGATTTCAACGAGTTCACTTCTCGTCGCCGGTCTGCGATAAGGAGCAACACCGCAGAAGAAGACGGCCCTCGCACGGACTCTGCGGATACAGCGGTCAGACCGAGTTTATTTGGGTCTCGAACCTCCTCCCTGGTGGATGAATCGTCCACGCACGGTATCCGGTCATGGTCAACTGCGCGCCGCCGTTCAATAGCTACGCAACTTGGCCGTACCCACGGAGGCAACGCTGAAACGCCGTCCACCACGACTAGCGAATGGCCAAGCGCGAGCTCAAGTACCCGCGGCCCTAGTTCATCACAGCTATGGTACTCCCTGACCTCTCCGCTTGTGCCCCCTCCCGCTTCTGTTGGTGCCCCTGGTCCAAGCCCTGCTGACAGCGACGGCGAGCGACCTCAAGTGGTTGCCCCTCGACTGCGGCGGGGCGGGCTTCGTCCCCCCGAAATGGTGCTGGTACATCATCACGACACGACCCACCCTGACGGCTTTCATGTCCTTCCACCCCCATCTGCTACGGTACCCGTTTCCGGAGGCTCTGAATCCCCACCCCAGTATGACGGCGTGACTATGTTGCACAGTACGGACCCGTCGGCGGATGATTCGCGGTAGATTGGTGTTGTATCGGTTTTTGTGTCCATGTAGCTCTACTTCCTCCCTGTACTACGCTATCGGTCTCGCTGTTATGCCATGCGCTACCCTTTGGACTACATTGCGCGAATACGCGCAGACGAGTTAGCACGTGATCTCGGGAGAACCCCACACTGCGAGTCGCGACTTCGCGTGCGCTGCCTTTCCTCTGGTCCATACTGTCACTGCGTCAGTTCTTGGATCATGATAAAGAAACGCTCCAGACCCCAACCCAGAAGACGCCAACCGTCTCTCGAGCTCGAAGATGAGTCGCCGGAAGCAGGAGAGTCCCAAGAAGAGGAGAAACTAGAGTGCGTGCTTAGTGGCTGTCTATCCGCACTAGCTGGAGCTCACATGTCTCACGCGTCAGTATTTCAGATCTCATTGAGCTTCGCAAGCTGCGTAAGGCACGAGAAGGCATAGATGTAGGCAAGCTGTCCAAAGGAGAGGTCAAGAAGAAGCGCAAGCGGCCCAAAGAGGAGGACGTTGTGGCAGGGCTCCGGCCTGGGGTCTCCCATGACAATGACGAAGAGTACGTGTGCACCTGTCCCACATTCGAATGCAGGTGCTGACCTTTCGGCAGTGAGGAAGAGGATGCCGAAGCGAAAGCGAGGAAGGTTGTCCGCGAGAACAACTTCACGCACCAGACGAATGCTCTCGATGTGGACAAGCACATGTACGCATGGTTGTCTTCCGTGAGAAGATGCGCTTACAGGGTTCCTTCAGGATGGCATACATTGAAGAGAACATGAAGCTACGACGGGGCACGCAGGACGAGTCGAAGAAAGACGATGGGCAGGCGGACCCGTACGCGGAGGTCTTCCGCATCACGGAGAAGTACAAACCCCCAACTCAGAAGAAGGAGCAGGAGGAAGGGAACGTCACGAACAGTTTAGCCATGCTGACGGCGATTCCGGAGGTGGACTTGGGCATGGAGTACGTCCCCTCACGTCGACCACGCCTCGTGGTGCTGACGTCGTTCATTCAGCGCTCGATTGAAGAACATTGAGGAGACAGAGAAGGCGAAACGTCAGATTGCAGAGCAGCGAAAAGACAAGCAGAAACAGGGAGACGACGAAGCGCACCTTGCCGGCTCACGATGTAAGTCTCCTGTGAACCTCACGACTCTTAAATTGCTTATATGTTCCTCAGTTTACCGGCCGAACCTCAGGGCGAAGTCTGACGCGGATATTCTCCGGGATGCTAAGCTGGAAGCGATGGGCCTCAACCCTGAGGATCATGAAGTCCGCCGACACAGCGACCGACCGCAGATGGCTACGGATGAGATGGTGAGTGCTATCCCGACTTCCATCTGCCACGCGCTCACTTTCTCGGTCCTCAGGTCATGGAACGATTCAAGAAGAGAATGCGGAAGTGACCTGGCCTCGTCTTGCTATCGTAACTTATTGTACACCGGATCCCCTGTATTCCATCCTGTCTTACTCAACCATTTTTGGTGCGGCCCTTGTCGTCTGGCCCTTAGGTTTGCTGTGTTCTGGTCCGATACTTGGCCGAGCTCTGAGATCTGAGAGCTCGCAAGGCCAGACTTGTCCTGGTGCCATAGGAAGGGGTAAGGGAGGAAGAGGCCTAAATGAACTACCTCATGCAGGATCGAACTGGTACCTCTGACTTTAGTCCACACCCAAAGAAAAGAAAAGTATCCTCCAGCCGGGATCGAACCAGTGACGTTGTTCGATCCCGCTTACAAGGGGTAAAAACAAAATAATCCTTCGAACCGGGATCAAACCAGTGACCTTTGACTTAAGCTTGAGTCTGCGCGTTCGCTCGCGCAACGATAGGAAAGTCAATAAAAACACCCGCTGGGTCCCCCCGATGTGCGCTCAGTTGGGAGAGCGCCGGGGTTTATTTCTTCTGTTATCTGCCCCGTGGGTCGCCCTTTCAAACCGCGACTGCCAGACTGTCAGGATTCGGTGGATTAAGCTGCGCATGGCACGAGGCTACGAGGCTACCGCACCACCCCGGTGCACTTTATTTATGCCTGTTATGGTCGGTTCCTCCTCCCAAGTTTCCGGCAGAGCACATTCTATTTGGGTCCACTTGTCCATCCCCGATGCTTCTTTTCTACAAGTATATAAGGCCGATATTCCAGACAACACGTCCATTCCCTCTTTCCCTCTTACTTCCACCTGCACACTTCTCATCGCAACTCAGCTTCCATGGGAGACCACTGTCAAGACACCATGCGCAAAGTCAAACAGGCTTTTGCACTGCCCACCCAGCCCATTACCACAATTGGTACTGCCAGCGGTCGCCAGGGCCCAGGAGTCGGCCACCGCGTTCATCCCGCCCCCTCTGGGCTCTTCCACTCGACCGCTGCCCATCCTGTAGCTCCCGCAGACGGTCCTCGCCATCAGGCAGTTGCCAAGGGTGAGCGTACCCGCGGATCCTCTTCGAACGCAAACACTCGCACACCAGGTATGTCCTCGGCACTCTCCCAACTGAGCTGCACTAACATGCCTGCCCAGTAACGTCCAGAGTCCACCAGCCTCCTGCTCTGCCCGGCACTTGCCACACCAAGCTGCCTATCCATGGCCTTGACCTGCCCCCCCAGCCGGCTCCTGGCACCACACCCGCTAGGCAGGCCAGAGAGCCCCCGCTACCTGTTGGGATCCATCCCACCGGGTCAGGCCCTATGCTCCTCCCCAGGCACACAGCCGCCCCACAACCTGCAGCACCAGCCCGCAAGCAGGAACTTGAAGACCCCCCTTTCACCAACATCGAGGAATACAACCGCTACGCTATGCAGCAGCACAGCAACTATATGCGGTGCACTGGTACCCCTGTAAGTCCCCACTGATGGCCGCTTCCTCCTCCCCGCTGCCACTGATGTTCATTATAAATCGTAGCCCGCGCGCGCGCGCCAGCATGCTCAGACTACGACCTTGCTGCCGGCTCAAGAGGACGCTGTCATGCACCAAACTGGTTTGGCACATGGGCCTACCGGAACAGTCCAGGGTATGCCAGCAATAGGAGCACCCTCACCAGACAGACCTAGGACCAGAGACCAACCTAGCAGACACCAGAATGCTTAGGACTAGCCCAGAGGTCAGGAGACAGTTCCGGAAGGTACCGGAAACTTCAGGAACAGGAGGAACCCAGCCATCAACACAGGATCATCTGCAGTCATGGAGAACATGCTAGACTACTTCAGCTGACCAAGGTGCAGAAATTGCCAGAAGGTTCTAGAAGGTTCCAGACAATGTGCACATGACAGCCTAGCATCAGAGAGCCAGGAAACACCAGGATATTCCAAGGAGACAGGAGGAGAACATGCCGGAAACCCACAGAATGTTGCGGAACATTGCGGAATATTGTGGAAACCACTGGAATACTCAGTGTTCCCCTTCAAGAATTCCCTGGAAACCATTCAGAACTCCTGGGAAACATCAAGAATATGTGGAGAAGGTTCTTAGAATGTTCTGGAAATCCCTGACAGGCTCAGGAAAAGGACGGATAAAGGAGAAGGAAAGGACTAGGAATGAAGGGAAAGTAGGAGAATAAGGGAGAATATTCTGGACATGGATTAGTCGTACTACAGACCTGCTTTGTAATGTACCATTTAGGATCCCGCGCCCCTTGG